CCGGACCCACCCCCGGCTAGGGAAAGGTTTGCATCTGCATCGTACCTTTGACCAGGGCTACGTGTTGAGCTGCGCTTGTGTACTGTCCAGCCACAGCATCATATCAATTTATACCGGGCGGAACATGTGAACTATACATAGTTTATTACGCCATGGGGACTTTGGTTCATTACTGGAACTATCACTTGATGGACAAAGTATACAGGGATCGCCTGAGCGACTAGTACGCTTCCAATTTAATACAGGTCATGAGTGGTCTCTTTTTGGGGTTATTTTTTTTTCTGGAATCCCAAATCGCATGAAATCCCTTCGCACTAACTCCATGCAATACCCGACCCCTTTTGAAACATATTGCTTTTTGTTGGTTTGCGGCCGGCGCGACAAACAAAAACAAACATCTCAGATGACCAGCCTTATTAGGGATCCAAAGCCGGAAGGCTAGGGGCTGATAGAACGGGTTTCCTTCTTTGGAATACCGATCCAGGAGCAGAAGCAAATGGCGCCACCATTTTACGCGCCATAGATCACTTCGTGTGCAACGCCCTCAGAGCACCAGTTGAAACTTGGAGGCGATTATCTTCTGACAGGTCGCAGTGGCTTTTCTTTTCTTTTCTTCGCTTCCTCTTTTGGTGAGGGCTGCAGTTGTGGTTTCGAGGGCGATCCCGGGCGCGCGATCCGGCGCTTTGCGATGGCGCGTTGTTTGCTGATCATGAAAAACTCTTATGGTCATCGGGCGTTTTAGAGTGGGGGTTCTAGGCCCTTTCACCCCTGGCCGATCTATTCTGGCGGCAGGCTCGATACAACGAGAGCCCTTCAATAACTGCAATTTCGGTCGATCGGCCATAATGTCTGCGTGACCACGCCCCCTTTTCTCTTTCCTCGTTTTTCTTTTTCCTGTCAAGCTCGTTCGGTGGCCATTGGAATTCCGAGATTACCGAATAGAACTTATGCTTGTAATTCGTTCCCTGGGGAGTTATTCGTTTCTTTCATTTGTCCATGATCCTTAACCTTTATTCTATTCTCCCGTCAACCCTTGATCGGGAGCGTTCTGTTCTTAACTTATTGTAGACGGAATTACTCAGAGAAGGAATTTCCTGATGAGCCCGAACAAAACTGCGTCTGCCTTAAGTCTGGGCACCAAACAGCAAGCACCTTGACCTGGTCGTGTAACTCTAGAACATTACAGGAGGTTGGCACCATTTGCGTTTGCCTCCTTCGCAGCATGGAGTTCGAGATCCAGATGGTCTCCAGGCTTCCATAATCATCCTGTAGAATGGCCAAGCCTACGTCAAGTCACAGTACTGGATTATGCCGCAAAGGCTTGCAACACAAAGAGGTACCCTAGAAATCCAAGGTGCTCTCATAACTGGCTCGCCGATCCGCAAGTGCTCTAGCACAGCATGTCCAGTCCCAGTCGAGATCGAGCATCGGTATGAATGAACAGAAAATCAGGAAAGTCATCTTTGAATAAAATGTCACGATTTAATGAGATTTCATCATCGAAAGCTACTTTTCGTAATGGTCACTGTAGACTTTGAAAAATCACATATGCTTACATATACATGCCAGCTCTGCCCAGGTGGTGGCACTTGCTACCCAAAGTCAGCGGGAATCAATGTAGTAGGTACACAGCACAGCGACCGAGCCAAATCCAATATGACAAGGACCAAGGACGATCACAAAGCCATCAACATCAACCTCGCTACCGGTAAGTCCTAAGTCATGGTGTGTCTACCGTTGACAGGGTATCCTCCATCGTGTGACGGAGGTAAAAATTTCCCGGAAAAGTAGTATCGAGGCAGCCGACTACACCAGCTCGTCTGCGTAAGAACAGCTCCCAGGCTGGGACATAGCGAACCAGTTCCATGACTTCATCTTCATGAGAAACATGGCCGAATCTTGTTGGCCTGGCCGCGAACAGATTTGGGCCACGTCAATAGGCCATGTCCATGTGAGCAAGTCGCTGTTTTGGGGGAAGGGATCTGCGGCCAGCAATAACAATGAGGCTGATGACCGAAGGCCATCGATGCTCTTGAGACGTCAGAGATTGATTTTGGCGAGAACATAGTCCGAAGCTTTCTTTCTTTCTTTCTTTCTTTTCCCACTGCACTGTGGAGCTTTCTGTCTCACCTAGCGCCATGTTTACACAACGTCAGGTCGGTCATCTGAACTGCGTTTTGTGTCGCCGGTCCAACATCGTCACCGCCAGCGCGGCTATGTCGATTACCGGGGGATTGGAGCAAGGAATGATCAGAAGAGTAGCAGGAGGTGGCCCTATTGAAAATCCAAGCTGCAGCAGCTACCTGACCGACGCCGTGGGCGCCATCTAGATCACGGAAGCCATCTGCCTGTCCCTCTCCCGATCAAGAACACCTACCGGAGAGTCTTGAAAATTCTATTCCAGCCCTGTCAACCGGTAGCTCGCCAGATCAGGCTCTCCCCCCGTAACCTATCAGTGCGGTCACACCGGAGTGTTGGGTTTGCATTTGGGCTGATGCCGAAGCCCCAACCTAACCCTATTCTCGATGAGAATTCTGGAGCTGACATTGTTTGTGGCGCCATACATAAGCTGTGTTCATGCAAGCCTTTTCAACCCCAACCTTCTTCGGCCCCCAATCGTCTTCGGCCGGTGGCTTTTTACGCATCCGCCTTTGCCGATGATTTATTATTAATAACTCTTGGATAGTTTAGTTATAGCACTGGAGATGCAGCCACTACATGCCAAGGTCGCTATAAGTGGTACCCCAGGAAGGTTCTGTATAGCCTCAATTGGGAATATCCATAATATTATGCTCATAGATAAGAATACTTGTAGTAGTGGCTCGCTCATGTATGCTACTCGAGTTCCCCTTCGATCTTCTGCACAGGAAACTTGTCAATTCTTTACTAGGAGATTGAGGAGTACTCCCACTCCTCGGCTGAGTTGTACAGATGACTCTAAAGGACAGCTCTCATGCCCAACGAGATGGCTCTAGATTAATCTAGACTGATATTCGTCACAGGAGAGACACCAGCCGAAATGAGAATAGAATTAGTAGGTATGACTAGATTGAACATGTAAGCCAGATGAGGACGCTGAAGCTGCTAACTGCCCGCAGACCAAGCCGTTCCACAAGCTACCTTCGGGCTACACTCGTCTTCGCCTGAGAGTACGTGTCTGATGAAGTCCCAGAGCTTTGAGCGACTAGCCTACTACGCGTAGAACTAGATTCGGAGCCCGGCGTGTCCTAGTACCACTGGCAATCCAAGTTGATACACGGTGATAATGATTTCGGGTGGTAATTATTTTTTTGGCAGCACCAAATATCTTGATCTCTTCTACCTCGTCCTATTAGTAGGTTGTGAAGTTACTAGGACTAATAAAATGCGAATGTACTTCCTATAGCTAACGCCATTACCCATCATAGTTTGAAAGGTTATAAGAAACCTATTGCAAAACATGGTGTTGTTCTTTGGTACTTTGGGAGGTCAAAGTAGTGTATCTCACCTCATCACATGCAATGACTGGACGGAAAAAGGCACATAATCCCGAAAGGTGGTCTACACGAGTGAGCCTCAGTGGATCGTCAGCTTATTGAGTTCTGTGCACCCACGAGCCGCGGGGAACTGGGGTTATACTTCCATGCGCGGTGTAACATCGATCAACCAGCGTCAACCCTGCTCGGACCTGATACCTGAAAGGAGGTAGCTCGACCCAAGAATAACAGAGAGAGACGAAAGGAATTCTGGATTAAGAGAGAATCATTTTGACATGATGCTTGATTGTTGGTTATCAGATAAAGCTTTCGTTAGGCTATTTCTCCTCCTGACACTGCTATTTGCTCTGTTGTATGGACTGAAAGCAGATTGCAGCTATACTATGAATCAATTTCCACCAGCTCCCATAGGCCAATTACATGGTGATGTGCGGGTGCCTCTTGAAGACCACAGGAAAGAAAGGATCAGGCTTCTGAGGCCAAAGAGCACAGCATCATCCAGCTCTGCGACACCAAAGCCGGCGATCCCAGCAAAACGGTAGAGTCTACACCTTGAAGCTCTCCCACTCTGCTGTAAAGATTGCCTAATATGTGCCAAGATCCTTACCCAAGAAGCAGGTACCCCTTTGCAGCTAACCCTGTGACGGACCTAGGCAGCCCAGACCGACAAAAACCACGTCTGCTAAAATTGGATACGAGGCAGTCTATATGAACCATGAGTTGGCCCGGTCTTCATCAAAGCTCCGTGGCTTAAGACCCTACAGTACACATACAACGCCGCCTCCTATTTCCCCATATGGCCGCGTAACACAGCGTAGATCCGGTTCTCACGAGGCCCGGCTTTGCTTATTCTGGGCATTCAGACATATCATAACAGCCTTCTAGTCCGGAGCTTAACTTCCCGAGGCAGAGTGGTTCGTGTAGTTCATGGAAGGTGGATGTCGCGTGCTGCAGCTAGTCGGCCGCTATTCCTCGGCATGTAGAGGCGAGCTCGTGAATGCGATGCGATCTACACAGATGTACCCAGGTGGGGGACGGGTACTCACGGGTTCTCCCCAAACTCGTCCACAGCTGGCCATGTCTGGAATGATAGTTTTTTGTGATGGCACAAGACATACCGAGGCACGCTGAGGGCGTAAGGAGCAATTTATGCATTCCGCTGCTTAAAAGTGACACGACGATCCGTGCGCGTGCTGAATATCCATGGAGATGATAGAAGGGCAGCCAAGCCTTCGGGAACTTGGGACGGATGACACTGGCAGCTTCGAACTCAATTGGCCTACAAGTGTGTTTACTCATTCCTGGGACTCGGGGGATTACTAGGGTGTGATGTAGACCCACTGGACAGAGCAAGTAGCAGGATAAGAGATCATAAATCTTTTTCTCATTGCCACTCAGGAATATCTATGTAAGGGACCATGTCTACATGGCAGGCCGCCCAGAATCGTCATTTTGTGCTTTTATTTGGCACACGGTTGGTATTCCAGTGCCGCCCGCCAGGCATTAGAACTATGTGCGCGTAATCTAGAATTCAGACTCATCGTCGCCAGAGATAATGACGTTGTTGATCTACAGCCCTGTTAGTATAGTGCAGAACATCACGAACCAATAGACGCCCGTACCTTGAGAACCATGCGGCAAAGCTGGGTAGCGAGGAGGAGCTGCTGGCGTTTGCCGATCAAGGGGTCAATAGCGAAGTGCTCCCGCATGTCTGTTTGGAAAGAATTAGCTTATTAGAAACAGAATAAGTAGAAGACTTCAACCCACCGTTGCTGCCAGTGTTCATGCAGTCAACACCAAGCCGGGTGTTCTTCTCCTTGACCTGGCGGGATTTGATAGAAGCCAAAGTCTCAATCGGGCTCAGACCAGAGTTCTCAGACAAGGCCAGTGGCACGGCATCGAGTGCATCCGCAAAGGCACGCATAGCGTATTGTTCGATACCAGGGCTCTGTAGATCGATTGTTAGCCGACTCAAATAGCATGATAGCATGGAATTAGGAACGAACCTTAGTAGCGGCATCCTCGACAGCAATAGAGCAAGCAATTTCCGCAGCACCACCACCGTAAACCACACGGTTGTCACGAACCAGGTTTCGTACCACGCAGAGGGCATCGTGTAGTGATCGCTTAGCCTCGTCAATGATCTACAATAGTGTTAGTATGATAACGGTTTGAACTTGAGTGAGATCATACCATCTTGTTACTACCACGGATGAAGATAGTGACAGCCCGGCTGTTAGCACACTCTTCAATGACAAGCATCTTCTCACGGGTAGTGCCGAAAGACATCTCACGCACACGACCAGCAGTACCCAGCTTGTCGGCGCTCAGATCCTCAAAACGTGGCACAATACGGCCATTGGTTGCAATGGCGATCAATTCAATCTCCGGGCCACCAACCCATCGGACGGCGGGAAGCTTGTTCTGAAGGAGAAGGTGATTGGCCTCATCGTCGAAACCCCACTGGCAGATAACCAGGTTGGCTCCTGATTCCTTGAGCTGCTGGATCATCTCTGTGAACTTCTCCTTCTCATACTCTTGAAGCTTCTTGAACTCTTCAACTGAGGTGATATCAAGCTTGTGCTTGGTCTTGGGCTTCGGGGGCTCGAATGGGCAGGTCAAGATAGCGATCTTGGCGTCGGTAACTTCGTCGGGCATCTGCGGGTGGGAGAAGTCCTTGTCGACAATGACACCCTTCACGAGTAAAGAATCCTCGAGGGAACCTCCAACCTTGCCGTCAACCTTGATCAGTTCGAAATCGACATCCTTGCGCTCCAGGTCGGCAACAGAGAGTACGGCATCCACAGCAATCTTGGCGAATTGATCGTGAGACTTGGAGACACTGATTGAGGTTAGCGATATCTGTGAAAGGGGAGATCTGGATGCATAATGCCGTACATCTTACTGCCCAGACTGGTCTTAGCGACCTTGAGAAGGTTGCTTGTGTCGTCGCGAGTGAAAGGAATCTCATCACTAATCTTGTCCAGCTCCGCCACTGCAATCTCACAGGCCTGATCGTATCCGTCTGCTATGCGAATAGGGTGAATGCCCTTATCGATCAACTCCGAAGCTTGCTCCAACATGGCCGCAGCCAGCACCACGACACCGGTTGTACCATCACCGATTTCCTCATCCTGAGACTTAGACAATTCGACCAGCAACTTAGCAACATTGTTTGTAATCTCCATCTACGAAGGCAGCCCGAATCAGTATTTGACGCATAGTCGAGACCGAAGGTAAAGGGGCTTTGAAACCGACCTGGCCGAGAATAGTGGCGCCATCATTAGTGACTGTGATATCGCCGTCAGGAGAGATGAGAATCTTATCGAGACCACGGGGACCCTATGAAAACAAGTGTCAGTTCTCAGTCATCCATGTAATCCTTCGGAACGACTGTACCAAAGAAGTTTTGACAATGCTAGCCACGGTCTTAGCAGCCACAATGTGTGCCTTGACAGCCTCGGTACCGTGCTGTCTCTTCTTCTTTCCTTGGCTATAGTGTCCCGGTATTAGTACTGCCACTCTTTTCGTATATCAAATAGCATAATCTGGTGGTCAAGGCTAGGCTTGATAAGGGGACATTTTTGTAGACATACTCGCGAACGACGATAAATGGGCGACCCTGTTCATCCTTCAGCACTGATGCTGTTATTGGAGTCAGCTCATGTGTGTTCATCCAATCGACACGTTGATATTGGTATTCGTTATTCACCTTGAGAAAGATCAAGCTCTGTGGGCACAGATAGCGGACAGTCAGTTATTTTGTTCCAGAGGGTCATATCAGCAAAACAGGGTGGGATTTCTCACGCATCGCCATCTTGACTGTGCCTGCCAGGTGGCAGAGAATTCACAGATAGAAGAGAGTAAATCAAGGAGGGGCAAAGGAGATTGAAGTCGCAAAGCCCGAATTCGCACGGAGATGCGGAGGGGTTAAGCTTGCGGGCTCACAAATTAAAATCGAATCGCCCAAAGCGGTAAGGCGCCGACTCTCTCCGCCTTCCAGCTTCCCAACGCGCGCGACTCAACCCGCAAGTAATTGTATGTTTTCTATTTGCTGTGTCTTTTGCCCCGCCATTGGCGAGAGGCTTAATTCCCTCTACTGACAAGCTGCTGTCCAGAATATCCAGTCTTGTGTCTCCCACTGCAAGCATGCCTCGTAAGTCGACGCGTCCGAGTTCGCGCCGGAGTTCATCACAGTGTTCGTTATGGTCCGTGTGCGCATGCGATTCAGCTAACCTCAATGCCCTCTTAGCTCCGGTGGAGGACAACTCAGATGGAGATGGTGATATTCCTTTCGCCGACGCGAAGTCAGAACAAGTTGATTCCCCAATACGGAAGCTTGAGGATGATGATGAGGAAGAAGACGATGACGATGACGATGAAGATGTGTATGTATACCCACCCTGGGCTTGACTGAATAGCTTGGCTAATCTAATATAGCTACGTTGTCGAGGAAATAAAGGACCATTCATATCAGAAAAAGGTACTTCTGTCGCACGAAGACGTTATCGCTGTTGCTAATCCTGCTGCGTAGGGCAAGTCGACTCAGCTATACTTGAAAGTTAAGTGGAAGGGCTACGACGCGCCTGAAGATATGACTTGGGAACCGGAAGCTGGCCTGTACGTATCGTATCTACTATGTCGTATTGGCGGATCGCAATCGCCGCATCACCATGTTTTTTTCTTTTCTTTCTCTTTTTCTGGGGGTTTTGAATCTATTGGAAGACCTTCAACCTTCTCCGACTCTCTCTATTGCGTTCCTTATGCTGTCCACCAAAGACCGACACCAAAATCTGCGCTAACACGAATACTAGTCAGGGGGCGAAGGAAATCGTCGACAAGTACTACCGAAAGATTGGCGGCCGACCTACCCCTGCTATGAAGAGTAGCGGTCCTGGTCGCAAGCGCAAGTCAATGGGGGAACCCAAGCCAACCTCTTCCGCCACCCCCGAGGCCGCACCAAAGAAGAAGCGCAAGTCGAGCACGGCGCCTTCTGCCGAGACTCCCGCCGAGACCGATGAAAGCGACAACGAGGACAACTGGGTTCCCCGCGGCAACAAGTGGGACGACCAGGTCAAATCAGTTGACACCATTGTTCGCGATCCAGAAAACCATGAGCTTTATGCCTTGTTGATTTTCACCAATGGTAAGAAGTCGAAGGTTCTGGTGGAGACATGTTATCACAAGTGCCCTTACAAAGTATGTTTCGCCCTTCCGTGATGGCGTTTCACGTGCATATTTTACTGACATTTCCCTAGATTTGCAAGTTCTACGAGTCTCATCTGTAAGTGTGCTGTTGAATATTCTTCGTCCTCTGTTGTGAAACTGACGCTTTGCCCAGGGTTTTCAAATAGGCGACTGCCTCAGCCTGCGGCCTTGTCTTCCTATGGACAGCGTGTTTTGCGGATACTCAAGCCAAGGGCAGAAGATGTTATCTGGTGTTCCGGAGTTATGGCCTTTAAGCTACGTTTTCATTTCAGTTTTGAGTGCACTTTCCAATTGTTTGGCCCTGCTCCACATGAGGTTCAAGCCCAAACCGATATGTTTTGATCCTTTCGGGGACCCGATTTACTGGCGTCAAATGGTTTTCTGCAACTTTCCACTGTAATCTACTACCATTTCAAGTTCCATTTACCAGCCAGGGTACGATAGAACTGCAATCTTGGTGCAATCCTACCAATTATAATTTTGCACACGGATCTTTAGCTCAAACTTGTATGGCAAGTGATCGATCGTAATTTTTAAATTGTAGTTGAAAGCTATGAGGAACTCCCGCTACCTATTGGGTATCATCAAATCGAAACGCCCGCTGCCCGGGCTCGCTGCAAAAAATTCAGTCTGTCATCACTGAGGTCTTTGCCATGCTTTTGAATGACCCGCTCAATGAGTCGACTATCGGGGGCTTCCAAGCATCGGTCATCTTCGGTCGTCCATACACCGCGCATTTCAGGGACACTTTCGCCAGGCACCCATCTACGCAGGCACGCTTGGCATAGTACGGGTTATTACTTGTGCGGATCAGGATCTCCTTAACAGTCCGCTCATCGAAGTTCCATCGAGCCATTTGAGCGTGAACCCAATCTTCAATCTCGGTGGGATCCTCGTCATCTTCATCTTCGTCATCTGACCCGTCCTCTTCCTCTTCGTCGTCTGCCTCATCATCTTCTGCGGCAGATGAGCAATGTGGCATGTCGAGAAAATAGAGGGTGGGCGATTCTGCAGTGTGCTCTAATTCTGGGCTCTCTGGACCCGAGGCTGATTTTGAAATTGGCTGCTTGGTTCTTTCTCTGTTCTTATTCTCCACCCTTGTAATTGGTTCGGACTGTGCAACTCGATGAGTTTGGTTCTGATTCTCCGTGTTGGGGCTTGGATTTGAAGCCAATTGCTTCTTGCCCTGGCTTTCGTTCTCGCTCTCTGATACTGCCACTGGCCTTGGAGCCAATTGCCCAGCGGCGTGACTTTTGCTCCGCTTCTTATAATCCGCGGGAATTGACATTCTGTGTCGATACTTGCCCGGCGGCGTGTCTGAGCTAGGTGTACTTGAAGAGATCGGCTCCCCTGATGGGCGCCAGGGGTGGCGATGATGGGAGCCTTTGAGAAAATTGGCCATGGAATCAATCGCGTCGCTTGTACCGAGTAACTCCCCTTGCTTTGATGGTGCCATATCAGGGCTGGCTGGCTCGTCGGTGTCAGGCACTGACGGGCGTTTCCGTTTGTTCGGATTCGAACTTCGAGATGGGCTGGCCGCAGCAGGCACGCGCGAGGGTGATAGGACTGGAGGAGCTGGAACCGAAGGATTGACCGAAGGACGAGCTGTTTTGAGAGAAGATGATTTTTTTGGAGGCAGGCTTTGAGCTGAGGCTGTTGTTTGGGGTGGGGGTGCCAGTTGTAATTGATGCCTGTAAGGAACTGAATTACTTGGCTTGGGGCCGCCAGGACGTGGCTTGCCTCTGACAGTTCTCAAATATCGAGTTCGCCAGGATTGCCACGTGTGGTGTGGATACTGAATATCAAAGTGAGCTAAAATGGTTTTTATGAACGCGAGGGTATCCTACCTCATTTGCAATGTCTTGGTAAATCTTGTTACCGTTAATCGGCGCACCTTGTATCTGTTCGTACGGTTGCAACCAGTCATAGAGTAGCTGATCGTCTTCACGAGTATACTCTTTCCTAGTGCCTTTTCGTGCAATATGAGATGCGCCCATGGGTCGAGGCCCGGTTGAGCCCACGCGGTGCTTGTTGAAGTCTTCGACTTTATTGTTTTGCACAGAGCGCTCAATGTATTTGTATGAAACCCTGCGGAAAGTGTGAGCTTGAAGATGATGTTCAAGAAGTTTTCGGGGACTTACGTATTCACCGTCACTTCCTTAAGATCATGTCTGAGGTGATCGACCACGCGAACATCAGCGTCTTTCTCCTGTAAGACAATGCTTCCACCTTGGCTCTATTTTGACACGTCATTAAGGTCGCTCGGGCGTTCGTTTGATTAGATCAACATACTGTAATCATATCCCTAATCATGGTTCTCTGGGGGATCCTTCTGTCCAGCCAGAACGTAGCACCATCAAAAAGACCCCCGTGTGTAGGCAATGATCCCGGTGCTGCCATTTTGAACCAATAGGTTGTCCAACAAGGGTCTGTTTTAGAATCGGTGGCTTCTTGCACAGCACCACGGGTCGACGCGTATCACGTGTCAAACTGTCAAGACTCCCATATTCATTCAAGGGCAAAGGGGGCAAAATGCGAGGCTTATTATCACTCCTGTCCAATGGAAAGATTCTTTATGGAGCGAAACTGTCGATGTCGTAACCCTGATTGGAGTCAAAGTTCTTTGATGGAAAGAACCGCGTTGACATCGAGCGCGATAGCACGTGACATGGAGCACCATGTCGGCGGCATCTACAAACACATCAACCTCCGAGGGTCAATTTTTCAATACTTTGCAGAACCTCGGTGATCATGGACTGCTGACAAGTAGAAACAGCCTCTGGAACTCGATCTTCGTGTGTTAATACGCCTGGCTCAGTGATCTCGTATTCGCCGGAGAATGGGGGTCCTCCGAACGGTCGCGTTGACGATCCTGGCCATCTCCGCATTTACATTCATCGCTCTCTTTGGCCGCCTCCCAATATTCCGGTGAGGCTCAGTCCCCGAGCTTAGATAAATGTCGCCGTTCTTACTAACGGTTTGCCAGGAAAACTCCGATAAGTTTCTTACACAGACTTGTGTGGGTTTATTTCCCCAATGGAGTTGCTGCCATTGACTCCCGCTTGCTGGGCGGGCGGCTTGTGCGAGCATGGACTCGGAGTGGCAGCTACATCTGGAATGACAATCACCCCTTAGTTTTGGTTCGTGTCAAGTCCACCTAGATGACTATTCAAATTTAATAATGTTTCCCAGATTTTCTTTGTGGGTTTACTTGCCGGAGGCGAGTTTGTTTTCCTACCAGTCGCATGGCCTCGTATGTCAGACGTTCATACCGTATGGGTGCCTCTGGCTGTCGTTCTGCCATACTTCTTCATCTACAAATGCGTAGCGACAAAGTCATTCATCACACCTGATAATCATGATGCTGAGATGAAGCGATACCCGTTCGACAGGGTCTTATTCCACCCGGGACACGTCTGTCCGACGTGCAAATTACCCAAGCCGCCTCGAAGCAAGCATTGTGGCATATGCAACGCTTGTGTATCTCGTCATGATCACCACTGTGTATGGCTGATGAATTGTATCGGCGCACAAAACTATGTCTATTTCCTGGCGCTTCTGCTGTCTGTCTCCGTGCTCTTGATCTATGGCGTTGCCCTGGGCCATACTCTTCTGAGCCAGACGCTCATGGCTCGAGTTCCGGCGGACTACCGGGCAGATATGAAGAAATGGACTACTTACTTTCAAGTCTGGTCTTTGGTGATTACCGCAGATTCCAAGATTGGAACCGTCACCTTGCTAATGCTCCTGACCGCGCCTCTTGCGGTGGCATTTTTGGTTTATCATACATACCTCATATGGGCAGGTACAACGACGAATGAGAGCTCGAAATGGTCCGATCTCAAAGAAGAGGTTGAAGATGGCTTTGTCTACAAAGCGAAACGAAGCCAAATCAGCAATGCGCCGCCGTACTTGGATCTCAATGAGCGCCCGTGGCCGACTCAGACTGATCAGATCCTAGTCGTCGATGAAGATCCACCCATGGAGGGATTCACGCTGGCGACGGACTCTAACCGGGTGTTCTATGACTTTGGAGGCGAAGCCCCTGTGGATGCACGTTGGACACATCTTCGATCTATGAATGATGTCGACAATATTTACGATCTTGGCTTCGGAAGGAATCTCAGAGATGCATTGGGGATGTCTGTTCGTCAGGAGATTTGAGATGTACATACTCTTTCAATACGTCCCTCGAAATGAACCGCAACGCTCACAAGGTCATGCGGTAGATCCTAATCTGTTGAATACGGGACTGTAGTGCACACCCGTCTAGGTCATATGCTAGCAAGGAGCATCTCGTTCCGCAGAATTTTGTATAGCAAAGAGCCAGAAATATGTTAGAATGAGTATGTTTGGCGAGATTTCCTTGGGCGCAGAAGTAAATGTGCACACGGTAGATTTTCCGCCATAGATCGGATACTCACGCCTTCCCCCTTCTGGACTAGCGTCAACCACGCCACTCCGCCGGCGGTCAAGAAGGCGGTCTCTTATAAGGCCATCGATTTTGTGCACCTCGCGGATTTTATCCCACCAAGTGATACTTGAGTCTGTGTTGAAGCCGCCAAGATGAGCGAAAAAAAGCCATTATGTACGCCAGCTGAACTGATGCTCAAGGTAATCTTGGTTGGAACACTCAGTCACTATGAAACTCGGGGTATGATCGATGACAAGCGGTTGGAGCATATGCTCGCCGCCGGAAAACAAATTCTATACAAGACGCACCAAGAGAGTGAAGTCCGGTAGGGTCTCAGACATGAGAATGAATAATGAATTTCGTCTGACCTGAGTACAATTAGTCACAATCTAGGCATGTCTCCAGATATCTGGCAAGGCCTCACAGATGTCCTCACCAAAGCGATTCCTGTCCTCGAATCACAGTCCTTTGCATGGAAGAGCCCCGCAGCAACATACGAGCACTCCTCCTCTAACCTCATCGCATTCAACTACTTCTCTCTGGTCAAAGATATTGAACGGCTCAATGACCTCTGTACCATCGCTCGGAATCTACTGGCTACCACAAAGAAAGCCCAGAACTTGGCCGCTGCGAAGGGCTTCGACCAGCGTGTACTCGCTTTAATCGATACATGCGTGAGGGTAACCGCCCGGGGCTTTGACGGTGAAACGAATGCTCGAAACGAAGAGCGATGGCAAAAAGTGGTCAACCTTTATAAGCGGCTACTTATCACCTGTCTCCAGTACCTGCACAACTTTATCATGCACAACGAACAGCGCAAGATGGTTTTGTGGCTGGATCTCTTCGGATACCATTCAACGGCTGACACCAACATTATCAAGCCCAAAGATGCCTTGGATTCTTCTGCTAAGGCTGAAGGAGTAGCGCCCGTGGTCAAGATTGGCGAACGAGTCATCAACCCGCCTATTCGGGCGTTGTACGACCAGACTGCCGAAGATCTACTCCTTGAGACCATTGCAAAGTTCCCAAGAGAGCCATCTACTATTAAAGAAGAAGCCGCCATGCTTCTCTTGGCGAATATCAAGGATCACATGGAGAAGATTTTGGGGCGGGATCTCAGTGACATCCAAGAAATGGGAAGAGACCCTGAGCAAGTCAAGTACATTCGTGCTGCACTGACGTCTATTTTGGGTGCCAAAGTGGATGGATGGTCTGATCTCCAAGACCGGGCTCGGGAACTACCTCCTGCTCTCCCTGAAGAGGATGAGCCCGAGGCAACTAAAAAGAAAACAATTCTCACCATTGACCGTAGTCTGACCGCCGGGTTCCCTCGTTTATGCTGGTCTGACTTGCCTGCGATCAATGACTATGCTGTAGACTCGGCCGTGACCGATGATGATACTAGCATGCCTCGCTCATCTCAATCAGCAGCTGAGACTTTACAAGAGGCCAAGGATGAATTGATGGCTCGTCTGCAAGAGTCATCACACCTAGGCGAAGGGGATGCAGACTACGATACCGGAGACGTAGGGACCGTGGGTGATGATGAGTCGCACAGTCTAGAGGGCCACGCGGATGGCAGCATTGAAGGAGATGATGAGGATGAGGGAGATGACGTCGATGGTGTCGATGATGGCGGCGAGGTAGATGACGAGGAAGACGACGATGATTATCGCGGTCGCCCTGGCGATCAACAACGTGGCTTGCTGACCGATATTCCACTGGTCTTAGGACCTGCTGAGATCGAAGCCCTGCCAATGATTATCCAGGCTGGTATCGTTGACAGCTTCGGCCTCAAAGGTGGAGAGCGGGACGGTTCGCGCAACATGCAGGCTCTTCGCTGTCACATCCTCCTCGCACAGGAGACTGGCCGTAATTTACTCCGCGAGCTCCTCATATTCATCGCTGCCTGGGACCTTCCTGACGACGAACTGTACTTCAAGATGATGGTACAGATCATGGAAGCTGTTCTGCGAAATGGGCTAATGTCACACGCATACTCCGACTTCGGCCAACCAAAGGATATCATCTCACCAGCTCAAGCTGTAGTGATCAAGATTCTTACACACATCTTCCGTGCCAAGTACTCGCCTGCATCCGTCACAGGATCCTCTCAATCGACTACTGTCCCGCGGACTCCAGCATCACTGAGCCGTGTGGATATTCTCACCGTGCGATACATTTTCACCATTTTCCGTGGCAATATTATTCCCGAAACCTGCGCTTTGATCTATCTTCAGGGACAAATCCGCGCAGACAGAGCCCTCCCCGAAGACTTCCCACTCAATTTGTGGGATATGGAACGGGTTTATGAGGGTGTTTACCAATTCCTTGAATTTTTCGCCGTTCTTACCGAGAACAACGACTGGAAGAACCTGCTGGTCAAATGGGAGATCGTCTATGACCTTGTCACGTTGATCAAAGAGCTCGAAGCCAGCATCCCTAAGGGTCAACTGAACTCTATGCCCTTTGGCTCTGTTCCCCCGCCTCCACCACCACCGCGCAGTGTCTCCTCCAACGACAACTCTCGGCCACCATCCCCAACGCCTGTTGCTGTTGAACGCCCCTACGACCCAAGTGACCCGGATCCCGTCGACGGGGGTGCTGAGAGCGTCGGTTCCCGGCCCGAGTCACCCCCGATCACCGAAGATCCATCAGAGTTTGAGTGGCGCAATCTCAAGAAGTTGGTCGTCCTTGTCCTATCGTCTCTTGTATGGAAGTGCCCGGAGGTCCAGGAACAGATCCGCCGGTACGGTGGAGTTGAGGCCATTCTTTGCTGCACTGCTTTCGACGCACATAACCCTTACATCAAGGAGCATGCTGTCATGTGCTTGAAGTTCCTTCTCGAGGGTAATCGCGAGAATCAACGACTTGTTGAAGAGTTGGAAGCTCGTGAGGTCAAGGATGATGGTGGCGTATTGGAAAAGAATGGCTACGAGGCTATGATTGACCAGGCAGGCAAGCTAACGCTCCGTCAGAAAGACCAGACACAGTGAACATAATATTTCCTACCGGGAACTTCGGTCGAAATCGGCTGATTATTACTCTCTGAGTATCTTTGCGGCGACTTTATCGAATTGAGTCATGTCAAATCTGAAGAATAGACGACGCGCAAATCACGCTTATAGAATCTCTTATCCAATTATAGATGGAGTAACTTTCGGAAAGCAATTCTATATATTCCAAGCATCTTCCAGTATATCTATATGTGGGAAAGGGGGTAATTCAGGATTTTCCAGCGAGGCTTGATAGTAAAACATGCAGCAGGCTAGCGCGCAGGATCGCGATTGGTAATAATCTTGGTACACGAGCCATGTATTTATCATCAAGTATAATCAGACAGGATATCATCAAGGCTAGACTAGACTTGGTAAGCTTCTGCACTGCAATAATCTCCTTCGGTGGCGGCCTTGGTTGGTTCTGTTTGGCTCGGGTTTTGGCCGTAGTGCTTAAATCCGTTCGTATGTATCCGCAACCGGGGGTGGGGGCCTTAGTATGCCAGTATACTAAGGCTTGGGAGTTGTCCTGGAAATCTGGAGGCTACTTCATCTTCGAATGAGCGTTTCCGTAAGCACGGAATTAGGAAGCAGACATGGCTTATATCCTCAGAAGGAGCTATATATCCTCCGGCTTGCCTCGTCTTCAACATCATCCCATCAACTCTAGTCTAAACCACTTGACAGCATTCAAAAGCATCCAAGTCCCGCCGACTATAACCAGGACACGCAATATTCGAAACATCACCATGTCAGGCAACACTGAGAACCCCGAGTCCGTTAGGCCTAGGCTACCAAACTTCCCAGATCATGCCCTCATTGGGGATGCTGCGAAAATTCCCAGTCAACTCGCCAACCGCAGTGGTGTCGGTGAGCCCTATCATCATCCCAGCACCAGAACGTATCATCGACCTTCATGTACGTGTTTCGGCCCCCGTGACAGGAAACAACCTTCCAATTGTCCTCTTGTCACATGGGCAAGGCATGTCGAACAATCTGTCTTCCCTGAATGGCTACGCACCAGTGGCCAATTTCTGGGCGGCGCGTGGTTTCGTGGTTATCCAACCCAACCACCTGAGCTCCAAGTCTTTGTCTCTGGGCCCTGATGTCTCCCCCGATGCTCCTCTGCACTACAGATCTCGCGTGATGGACATGAAGAAGATCCTCGACAATCTGGATGTGATCGAGGCTGCGTTGCCTCAGCTTAAAGGCCGCCTGGACCACAGTCGCATTGCCGTCGCCGGGCATTCCATGGGTGGCCATACCGCGAGCATGCTACTCGGTGCACGGCTGACGGACCCAATAAGTGGCTCCGAGCTGAATCTCACCGAGCCCCGCATCAAAGCAGGCGTGCTCCTCGCTGCCCCAGGCGATGGCCGGAACGGAGAGGGTCTCAGCGACTACGCGAAGACTCACATGCGCTTTTTCCTGACTCATAGCCATGCCGAGATGGCTACGCCTGCACTGGTCGTCATCGGTGAAGAAGATGGCAAGGTGCCTTTTTTGACCACCCGGGGCAGCGAGTGGCATGCGGATGCCTATAACTATAGCAAAGGACCGAAGTCCTTGCTCAGAGTTGTTGGAGGAGGACATGGATTGGGCGATGTATCTGGATATGATACTGCTGAAGCCACGGATGACGAAAGTCCGGAGCGACTGAGTATGGTCCTTCGTCTTACTTGGGCTTATCTTTGGAGTCAACTCTACCCTGAAGATCATGCGTGGTCTGCGGCTGTTGATGCCTTGAAGCAATTGCCACATCTGGGAAAGGTTGAGAGCAAATAGGCGAATTTCTTGTTGAGTGTTAATCTAAGAGAGAAGTTCACACCATAGCCTGAGATCCTGTGATACATGCAGTAGAATGTTACCTAAACGCTTTCAATATCATTGCTTATCTGAAAATAAAGCGCTCACCATCGTATATAGATGAGACCTGTCTTTCTTTTTCCGTACTGAGTTGAGTTCCTCATTGCCTATACGTCAGCGGGTAAAGATTATTAGTCGCTGTAAGTACAGATTGTACAGTTATAAATAATATTAGTGAGTAGAAAGTGGTATGATATACTGGCAGTAATCTGAAGTTCCAAGTTGGAAGAATTCCCAGGCACTTGGTGTGGCTAAGAAGCTACAATCGATACTATAGTATAGCAGCTGGTATAATCTAAAAACGAATGCAGGCAGAAGGGAGGAGATTCCTGAAATTGGGGACGTGAATGATCCTGGCCCCATATAGAACGCACGGTCCAATTACGTCCCCCGCGCCGCGTTATCACTCTGCTGCCTTTGATCGGCTGGGCCTTTTTCTCGACTCGCTTCTCACCCTCCAACATTGCCCACCCACGCCCAGATTTGCATTCTGAATCGAGGCCACGGGTCGCATCAACGCGCGTCGGTTCAACAGTTCCACAAACAACCTCGCGGGCCCTTCCCCGCACAAATCTGCATTTTCCCCAACTCGACCCCAACCAGCAACCCATCATGTCGACCTACGAAGGTGCGCGCTCTCTTGGAAGCATTGGCTTTGAAAAATAAGCCGCTATGGGGGCAAGAACTGGTTAACTCATTCCTCTGCAGTTGAGCACAATACCACTGACCCTGCGTCGACCACCACCTCTCCCCGTCGCCGACCCGACATGTCCACATTCTTTGCGACTCTGTCAGAGATCACGCCAGACCCTGAGCATCCCGACCACCGCCCCCACGCAGTTCCGGTTCCCGGAGACGTTAGCGCTGCATTCTACTCCCTCGCCGAGGCCTTTGAGGCAGTGCGCCGCGACTTCGCGCGAGTGAACGAAAATAGCGGCCCCGACGGACAGAGCGGCGATGATCTTCTGACGGAGATGATCCAGAGCTTGCTGGGGGCGGCTGATACCCCGCCAAGGGAGGTTGAGGGCGTCAGCGAGGAGTTCTGCGATAGTAAGTCTTCTCCAGTATCCTGCGCACTCATGTCAGCTTTTTTTGCAATTTGGTCTCCCCGACTAGGGTGCTGGTTGAGGCATTGCTCACTACAAGCCTTGACAAAGGCCTTGAAATATCTGGGTACCTTATACATTAACCTTAATTTGCTGCTATATAGTGCTCGACCGCATCCCCAAATCAAAATTGAAACCCGACCAGTCCTGCCCGATCTGCAATAACCCTTTCCTCGAAGATGAGTACCCGCTTGTTGTCCAGCTCCCCTGCCACCCTACCCACCTCTTTGATCTCGAGTGTGTTCGCCCTTGGTTGCGTCTGCGCGGTACCTGTCCGCTCGATCGGACGGATTTCGCCAAGCAGCTGCGCGACAAGGCGGAAGAACGGAAGAAGATTGTCGAGGAAGACGAAGAGGAGGAGTGGGATGGCATGTATGGTTGAGCGGGCTCTGCGGGAGATTTGCAATTCCTTTTCCGGCTATGTTGTAGCGGAATTAGCTGGCGTTGATGGGGGCAAGCTCGGAGCGAAGAAATGCATTTACGCGAGTTGATGATGCCGGGGGCGCTGTTACTGCCACTCGAGAAGGAAATGAGGGCGATATGAGTCATGAACGAAAGTCATACTGCATGGCCAATGCAAATATCTTCATAATTGATTGGGGATTCATAGTAAGATATATACACTAAGTTGACGAGGTCGGTTTTGGTGACGTTGATGGAAACATTGTATAGTAGCTTTTAAACGAGCTCGAGCGAGATAAATGGGGTCTCTGCAAGGCCAGCCGGCACAGTATATGTGATGTTGTAGAAGATGAAGTCGTTCACACTCTGATCGGTGTCGTACACAATGGTATAGTTCTCGAATGCATTCGTCTTGACCCGGAGATCCAAGGCTGGAAGCCCTTCTAGCCCCGTCACATTGAAGCCATTTCTTCTGGACAATCCACTGAACAAGAAATTGAATGATACTGAAGCGTCCGAGGAAGTTGCATTGGGGTATGAGATCTTGAGCCCATTCGAAGACGCCACGGCATCAATAGACGACTCAGTCACCCAGTGCGAGATACACCCAATCTGATACTCGTCGATCGCCCACTGGATGACGGCGGGGCTAAACGCGCTGGTGCTCTTGGCAGCTCCTCCGATGACCTCTTGCGCGACTGTTTCTGCACCGATGGTGATGTTTTCTGACAGCCAAGTAGTAATGTTCCGCGGATACGTGTCGAACGGCGGCGAAAACGCCTGTGCTGTGTAAAGTCGCGGCTCGGAGAATTTGACGAGGCTTGCCTTGGATTCGGCGGACAGATACTTGAGCATCTCTGGCATGACCATTGCGAATAATGGGTAGAAGGCGAAGTCATCGCCATGATACATTCCCGATGTTTGCTGAGGGATGGGAGCATGGTCTCGACCTACGGCTCCCCAGATCACAGCACCGACGAGAGAGGCATATTGCTTCATGTCGTATCCATAAGTGCGGTCCCAAGGACCAGCCAGGTTCTTGAGGTTCGCGTTGTAAAGCCCGGCGAGCTCATTCCAGCTGGCAGTGAGAATCTCCGGTGCATATTTTTTTCAATCGACTGTGCTCGCTCGCATACTGGCTCCACAGAGCCAGCGCCCACATTGCGACGCCACTGTATGTAGGGGAATTGAACTCCGAGAGGGTGTGGTGCATGCTCCAAAGATCGTAGAGCTCCTGTGCAAACTTCTCTCCAGACTGCGTTAAGTTCGCGTCACCTACTCGAGTGCCAACCCAGTTTTGCAAGATGGTGCGCATGATCCACGGGTTCGAATAGCATGGGTATAAATTGTCTCCGTCGACTCCTCCGACGCGATAGAGATCGCCCTTGGCGGCGATATGCAGTGATTGCTCGATCTTGCTGACGGTTTTCTGTGGAAGGAGATGATCGTAGTCATTCAGAGCCATCAGCCAGGCACAACCGACAAAATCTCGAATATTTGGGTCCCACTAGCATACAGTCAGTAACGTATATGGAGTACCATCATGCATTACAATGGACTACTAGTATGAGACCTCCGGGGGCTCATCGGAAAAGACCCACCGAGCTGTATGGACCATCGTCTGGGTATTCAGCGGTGCCAGGTTCAGGTTCGGACGGCGATTGCTGATAGTCACCGTACCACTGTTTTGAAGGGTCCAGGTATTGGCCCGCGATGACATTGTCGAAGATTCGAATAGCTCTAGCAACGTCCCCTGGTGCATTCCGGGCGAGCAACTGCGTCGCATACCAGGCGGTATGGCGAGCGTCATAACGACCAGGGTTACTGGCAGCGGCAATCAAATAGCCCGCTTCGTCATCCCAATAACCGTCATTCCACTCAATTGCGGTGGTGAACATGTCATCTGCATATGTGCCGAAGCCTGCCCGGCGAACAGGGGACGGCGCCGCCAACGCCTGGCTGGCCCATTGAGCGGTAGTCCAGCCTATAAGAATATTGACAAGCTTCATGGCTACAACGGGAAAGATCAGATTGTCCAATGGCTATTCTGATCCAGCGGTCAATTACGAATGGATGCGGACAGCCCGCAGGCCCCTTTTTATCTTCGTGGGAATTTGCGGGGTGCAGCTGCCTGGCATTTTTCCTTCGGTCCAACTGATATAGGAATTAACCACGCGCAAAGATCTACCCGAGGAATCTCCGTTAGGCCTGACGATATCATCGGACCAGTTGCCCGTGTTCTCCGGATCGCCGTATCTGGAAGCGCCTGGCCTTTTACTAGTATTTGTCGAAAGCTTCGATGATAGCGAGTAATTCAGATAAACAGATAGTCCCTGGCCGCTCCCAATAACATAGCGGTATACTAGGAATAAGGGGCTTTCACTGCCATCTCTAATCATCTTGTTCCTGTTAGCGCAATCTGCTATCAGCAGAAGGCCGGCTTCCCCGGATTTGCCGGTCCTTGCAGTTTAGCGTCACTCGGTTCTCTTCCGCTTGCTGTTCCCCTGGATCTCTATTCTACTTGATCGATTTCTTGTAATGTTCCCGTACTGATGGCCGCTTTGGCTTTTGTCACCACTGCTCGATAAGTCTTGTTCTGCTCTCGGTCCTCAAGGAGACAATTTCGCACTAGAAGAACAGCAGCAATATAATGTAGGAATATTATCCCAACATTTTAGCTGCTACTTCTGCCACTCTCTTTCTATTGCTCGTGAGTTTCTTCTTACTCTTCCGACATATACACAGTGGAAATATTACGCCTAGGGATGACTGGGAATATTCTCACCCCTCGATCGTTGTCATTGCCGACTGTAAGAGTCATCGTAGGCACCCAAAGCGCGGGTTCGTGTTTCTAGTGGTACTGAGTACACATTCGGTTTTAGAGGTCTTCGGAATCTGCAGGACCGATGAAGCCCATAGAGGGTAAGCAGAATGGCCCGGGAAGCGCCCTATCTATCGTGCCTCCGCAGCTCAATCTAAGGTTCGTCTGGCTAGTATATAAGGCCTCAATTGCTCCCATTCGAGACCGAGAAGATCTGCAAGGAACGTAAACACTTTCCCAAGGTCTTTTAGTCCGACCCATGCTGTTACCACCGAGGGGTATGACGAACCGGGCCTCTCCTCATTTTCATTGCGGGGGTACGGGGTGAATCATGCACCACTCCGATCCTCTTTTTCCAAGTTTGGATCATAAGTGTACCATCTGCACATCCAACTGGCGGATAGACCGATTCTCGCACTGACTCCCAAGAGAAGTTTCTCGACTTGACCGAGCAGTATCGAGACGTCATTGAGACCTGCCAAGCGCCTGGAAAGAGCCAGGGTGGGAAAAGGACTTCCATTGGGAACAGCGGGGGACCTTTGCAATTTGCTGCTATTTATTTCGCATACATGGAGCAAGCCGTGGCGCTTGTGCCCCCACGGCAGTCCTGCTGGGTGATGCACATCTGGCATTGAAGCTTGCGTAGGGTCTGGGCAGCTCAGCCAGCCTCAGGAAAGTTGAAGGTTGAGAACAGGCCGTCCACGGCCCGTGCAGATTCAGCTTCCCGCTCAGGTTTCTAACGGATTCCCCGGATTCCCCTTATCAACTCTGTTAGTGCCTCTGCATATGAGTTTGCTTCTCTGAGATATAAATTTGCGCTGCCTTGGAACCAGTTTACAGAGGCTATGGTGATATTCGTCGTACTTCCCGGGATCAAAAGACTCGTGAGCGGAGCTATCACACAACGTCACACCAGCTGAAAAATCGGCATGCATGGTTGATCTCATGCAGCATGGGCGAATAAGATATACCCATGTGGCTAGGAGATCTTTCACCCGGCCATCTCTATCGGCAGGGCGCCACTATTCATTTCCAAGTCCTCTCGCATGCTGCGATCAGATCAGCACCTTGGGTTGAAGTTCAGCTAAGCCCTTTACCCTATGGTTGCGCAGCTAAGAAGGTATAAAAAACCCCTTCCGTTCGGCTTCGTGGTTTTATTTCTCACAACCGATCCTCACTTCTTCCCTCATCCTCAACAGCTTTGAAATCAGAACCACTTTAATTGTGAAAATGGGCTTCAAAATTTTGGACGAGTACGTCCAACCCGCCTTCCTCTTTGTCGCTCTATCAAAAGATGATCTGCTAATTCTATTTGTCAGTCCCACTTCAGTCGAGGACGAGATTGGGGAAGCCACCGTCCCTGTCGTTGTCCACTATTGCTTTCCTGGGATGGGTGAGTCTTCGCTCGTGATGCCTTTATTGGAAGCATTGGCGGAGGAGAAGGTGGACACTGTTCAATTCGTGATTTCCGAAACCGGCGAAGTTCCTCCTGGATACGCACCAAGTGATATTCCCTTGACAATACTTTACGAAATGGGCAATGTGGTCTATAGCACAACGGGCGACGATGACCCGGCGCTCGAAGAGCTGGCTGAGAGGTTAAGGCCACTTTAAAGGGCAATGATAGTGCCTGAAGGCACTTTGAAACATGGACTCGGATAAGAGCGGGTGTCCAGTGCGGTGTGAACCTCATATACCATTCCATGTTTGTGTGCGAGTATGTCACGGATGCAGACTTGTACACCAGCTTGATAGGGAGGGTATGCTGTCACTATATTGCCCATTTCCTCCCTCATTTCGAGCCCCAAGTATCGACAATTAAACTGTGCTTGATTTTCCAAGTCTCAAGGCCACGTAAGTATGATTGCAGTATAGTTTCTCTTCCATTGGCATAGGTAAATATCGAGGGTGGACCACGACCAACTCGAGTCATGTTACGGATATAACCCCTGTTTTGTTCTCTGGCTGAGTATCAAGGCAGTAAAGCCAATATACCGGTAATGCAGGCCGACAGGAATATCTTGGGTTGTTGATTCATGTGGTGATAGGCAGGAATAAGACATGCTAGTAGCTAGAAGTCCACTAGAGTGTTCTTACGTGTCTTGCCTCGATGGCAGATTTTTACGCCGTTTCTTGCAATAAAGGTCAGGGATGAATAATGCCGGGTTGGGAAGAGTGAACGTCGCACCTGAAAACTAGGCGGTAACTTAATATGACTTCAGATTAAGGCCTTTGTCCTTTATACCGGTTGGGTCAAATATTCCTAGTAACATCCTTGGAGTTCACTGAGTTCAAGATTTGTAGCGTAGTGGAACTGTAACTAGTGGTACAATTGAAATTCAGCACTTAATAAGGAGAGTGCAGTGTGTCTTCACCGGACTGGAAACCACACGTCATATTCTGCAGCGGGTATTTGACTGAAACAGATGGGGCTCATAGCGGGGTCGGTGAGGATCTAGACGGGAAGAGCGTTCCAGAGGGCTTTTGGCAGACCACGCATTATATGCATAGTTGTCAACCTGGAGAAATCCATGAGAAGGGATCTCGCCAAATCAGCGCATTGGCCGAAGCTGATTTAGCACCCGGCGATGTCTCGATGTTTCGTAACACTGCCTCGAACTCCGCCGCGGAGATAAAAATAGCGCCGTGACACACGCCCACGCTGCCCCCCCAACGTGTCAAGTGGAGCGCTGATCATGTTTACCCGCGATACAAATAATCGTTTCCAAGGGGCAACCGCTGCTTTCTCTTCATCCCCATTTCACGATGCGGTCCAAACCCTCCGACTACCCGCCTATTCCCTTCTATATCATCCGATTCTGGACCCTGCTGTCATCCATCCTGGTCAGCATCATCCTCGCCGTCTTCATATCCCACCTCCATTCCGATGGATATAAGCTACCGATTGCATTCCTAGTGGTAAGACTCGTTGATCTCTTTGGATTATCGCCATACCCCACACATTCCGGGATGAGTGCTAGCCGGTGACAAAAAAGCCCCAAAAAATGGAATCCACGCATACCAGACAATATCCAAACATAGAAAATCAAAGAAACTCAAACTAATAAAACCCCCACCAGCTCTTAGTCGCCGGCGTCCTCTCCCTCATCAATGCCATCATCAGCATCATCATCAACTGCGGCTTCGGCCTCTCCCCAGGCTTCTCCCTCTTCACCAATGTCCTCCTCACCATAATCTGGGCCGCCGGCCTCGGTCTTGAAAGCTACGGCATGTGGAACACCATCCTCACCTCCTGCACAACCGAATACTGGGGCAACTCCACCGGCGTCCAAGTCTGCGAACTTTACAAAACCCTCTTCGCCTTTAGCGTCATCGGCACCGCCGCACACCTCGCCTCCCTGATCTTCGACGTCTTCATCCGCCGCCGCGTGACCCGCCTCGGCGCATACGGGCTCGCCACGACAGTCCGCAACGTCGAGCCCGAGGACCAAATGGAGCTCACCCGGACGGGCCTGTACTCGCACTCGCAGCAGGACTCGCTGTCAAGCGCGGTGCCATATGATTCTGCGGCCGTGCCGCCGATGGCGGGCGCCCTCGGGCACCATGATACCGCGTATTCGAGTACGTTGGAGCATGAGCGGGTGGGCGAGGCGCTGGATTACTACGATAATGTGCCGATGCCCCAGCGCGGGCGGCAGCGGGAGTTTGATCACTACGGGGATATGCAAGACCATCCGCAGCAGACGGCGTATGAGCCCCTGATGTACCGGTGATCGGGAGGGAAAAAGTGCTTTTCTCATGCGATATGACCTCTTTTTTTTTCGCTTGTTCTTATCTTTGGAACATTTGTTGTTCAGCCGGCCGATGTTTTATGATCACGATTGCATTTTGCATTTTCGAGTCCGCTTGTGGACTGCATGGCCCTGGGCGTTTACAGGGGGACTCTCCTTCATGGACGGGGTGTATATGAAAAGTTGGGATGGTCGATTGATCAGCTTCCTTTATCTCTTCACGACATTAAAGCGCATTCAAGCGGAGCGCTCAGCAATACATATGGACATGATGAAACAATTGGCCAAGCCATTCAAAAACTGCAGCAAGATTATGAAGGGTCGCTCGATATTGACAAGATGGATTAATTTCTTTTTCGACGTTTCGACTCGTAAACCAAAAGATTATGGGACCTGCTTCTACATTATGACCTCGTTGGCGACATCCTGGAAGAAGGTTAGAAGATGAGGACTGTTGAGTAAGGGGTAAAATAAAACAAACGTACCCGCTTCAGTTCCTTGTAAGGCAGACAGACACAGTTCTGCACTCGGACTTCGTCACCCACACCGCACTCCTTGCCAAGAATGGTAATGCTCTGCACCTTGACACCCTGCTTGACAATGCTGGTCGAGTGGCTGCCAATGGGAATCGGAGTTCCCTCCACGCGGGCCCACGCACCTACACGACTGCTCCACCCAATAATAGAGTGCATCACGCAGGCGTCGTGGCGGATCTCGGCGTCTTCGAGGACAATTGAGTCCTTGACACGGACACCGGCACCAACCACTGCACGAGGTCCGATGGACACATTGGGACCCAGCTTGGCGGTGGGGTCTACGCTAGCAGTAGGGTGGATGTAGACAGGGGGCACAATGGTGGCAGAGGGAGCGACGAGTTCTTCCGATTGAGCCTGGAAAGCCTTCTGGAGGTAGAGCGCGTTGGCAGGCACCGCAGAGCCGGCCGACTTGATCTGGCGCCAAAAGTCCTTGGTCTCGTGGACGAAGAAACGGTTACTGTCGGCCAAATCAGAAAGAATGTCCTGCTCGAGGCGGATCACCTCATTCTTCTCAGCATCATCGTCATCTCCCGCAGTGGCGACAAAGGAGGACTCGAGGTTATCGGAGGAGGGATAAGAGAGGAGCCGCGGCCGGGTAGTGCGGCGCTTGATGGCACTGCGAATAGCGGGGAAAATACACTCGGTCGCGAAGAGGTAGACACCGCAGTTGATCAGGTTAGAGATGTGCGATTCGGGCTTCTCAACGTAGTGCAGCACACGCTTGGTGTGGGAGTCAGAGACGATACAACCGAAGTTGGAGGCAGCTTCGTTGTCCACCCGTGTACCCAGAATGACCGCCTCGGCGTCCTTCTCCTCGAACAAACGCAACATCTCACCCAACGGGAATGAGCAGCAAACATCGGCGTTTAAGACGAAAATACGCTCCGGCTTCCCCTTGAGAATAGCATCACGGAAGTGGTACAGACCACCTGCGGTTCCCAAAGCAGTGTACTCCCGGAGATATTGGATTCGGAACTGAGGGAATTCCTTCGCCGAGTCCTTAATGAAGTCCCTGAAGACCGACTCATCGTAATATCCGACCAGAATGACCTCGCGCACGTCTGGAACTTTATCCAGGGCCTTCAGGCAGTGATGGATGATTGGGTGGCCGGCGACTTCGAATAGGGGCTATTTTCAGGGAAACATGGTCAGACATCGGTCACTAGAGGGAAGGCCCTAGGGAATTCGGAGGTAATAGCGCTTACCTTGGGCACATCGAGCGACAATGGGCGGAAACGAGTACCCCGCGATGGGCCTCCGACCTGTTTATCGGTCAGTAAGTGGAGAGGGGGGTTTGTTGTGTCCTTGCATCACCGCACCAAAATGATGGCCTTGGTAGAGGCATTGTTAGCCCTCTCCCGAATTGGTACTTGCAGCATGGTTACTGAGGAAATATGAGGAGTTGAGAAAAAAAAAAACAAAAGGAGCTAAAAACACCGACGTGGCCGGATTCAACGTCGAAGGCTCCGGGCGCCAAGACGACGCTTGCGGTGGGGGGCGATCACTCACCTGACTCAGATCTATAAACAGCTTATCAGTGGCGATCTGGAGTCAACCAGCCGGATTGGGGGTTCCAACTCGTGGTTCATATAGAATCATATTGACATATCCATCGAGCAAGTCCATCTGTTTGTATACTATTGCCAATGAAACGCCTCGTTGTCGCCGAAGCAAAACACGCCACCCGATCCACACATTTGCACTAGTTCACCGCAAATTGTGAACACTGAGACATGGAGCGTAACATGACTTCTATGGCTTAAGGCTCGGAACATGCATATTTTCTCCCTATACTCATAGAATCCACATCTACAACACAGGACATATCATGGTGTTTCAGTACAGGCTGCTGCCATGGAAGCGGAGGTAATCCAACAATTTTTTTTTCTTTTTTCGATTTTCGGAAATACTATCTAAATCTCAACATTGAACATTTTCTGGTCGTGATATCCGCCCGGCGCATGCCCTCCCTGGCCCTTCCATATTTCACTCTGCCATTACCCTTGCACAAAAATTGAATCTTCATCGTCATTCCACTCATCCATTCTGGTGTCTGTATCCACATCTATGACCATCTCTGATTTAACCATAAGATCCTCGATATCGTCGAATTGCTCATTTTCCTCCCCACGGATCGCTGCAAGCCAGCCTTGGGCTTTGTGCAACTTCTCGCGTTGCTCGATCAGGCTGTAACGAAGCGCCTCGCGCTGGGGGTCTTCCGCCATAAGCTGTGCACAGCGTTCTGGAGGCTGATCGGTGAAGTCTCGAAGAAGCTTCTTGTCCAGCTCGTCCCGGAACTTGCTATGGATGGTGTATCGGACCATCTGACACACTACATCCAAGAACCGTCCCCGGGCGATCTCGTAGTATCCACGACATTTCTGTAATTATATCAACAAAACGTGCCCGTTAGAAGGTAGCTTCAAGTAGAACTTACGGCAACCATATTAATCTCGTGATGGAACGGATCGCGCCCCAGCTTGGTTTCGTTGATACTCTTGACGGCGCTTTGCTCATCGGCCGGCTGCCCACTGAGCCGGAGCCAGCATTTTATACGAGCGTCGGTCCGGGACTTCTGTAAACTTTTGAGGGCCTCACCTGCCTTCGCTTCATGCTCGCCTTCTTCAATAGTGAATGGTTGCTCATACTGGATATTGAAAAACTTCATGATGTCGCAGAGCTGCTCTGTCCGAACATCGTACATGAACTGCTGAATGAGCGTCTGCACTTCACGATATAGTTCGGTCTGCTTGTACTGACTGAGCTCATCATCTAGAGCTGCTGTCAAGACTTCTTCAACATGGTCGTGGAGTGCCGTCACGAAAACATGGGCGACATTGCTCCAATGTTGGATACTCAACCGAGCCATGAAATCAGCTGCTCGCGTGTCAACGTGGTTTGGTATACCACCACTTTGGCTATCTAGACGAATCTCCCGCACATGTTCAAGAGAGAAAATATGGCCGCTTGCAACATGACTGGAGAAAGCCCTCGTCTTAAAATACTTGTCTCCATCGTCACTTTTATCTGCTTTGACAACGGTGGGTGATCGGACCGTGGCCTCGGAGTCGAACGTCCCGGCACGCTTCTTGCGGGGGGTGGAAGCAAACATGAGTTCGCAATCCGCGTCGACTCTCTCTTTCAAGATATGCTCGTCGGAGACGGCACTGGTTTTCAAGCGGGGTCGCGTAATGCGCAAAATTGTCTCGAAGTCCAGCTCTAATTCTTTTTGGGTGCGCCTGAACACATTTGTATCTGGGTCGCTTCCGAATAAGTTTTTGATGCGCATGCCGAGTTGGATTATTTTCTTGATCAATGTCCCTTGGACATTGTTGGCTAGGGGAGCCGGAAAAGTGGCAAGTTCTTCGTCGATCCGACGGGCCTTCTCATCAATCTGATTGATGATTGACGGGAGGCACGTCTGGATCTGCGCTTTCAGAATGGTTGAAAGCGCCTGCACAACATTAGGGACTCCAAAGCGGCCTTGATACGCCTTTAGAGAGTTGACCCAAAGACTTGTAGAGAAGAACCGTACTTCTTCCTCTCGCGCCTGGTCATTGCTCACAGACGGATCCGGGTTGTTGCGAACTACGTAGTATCCTCGGCCGAGTTTAAACTTGCTGCCATTCAGAATATCCTCCCACTGCTGGTAGGACTCTCGACCATCAAGCTTGTCGGGCTTCGTAAGAACGCCGAGAGTACGCTCTTTGGCGCCTTTAACTTCTCCGACAAGTCGGGCGGCACTCGAATTGGTAGGGTCGTCGGTCATGGTCAAAGTCAACAGGACAATGCAATTCTCTTGTGAGACGTAGGATTTGACCAGGTTCTCGACAAGCGGAACAAGATACTTTTCATCGTCCTGCTCTGACTGGTTGATCACCCCAGGCAGGTCATAGAAGCTGAGCGCAGGGAAGTTTGGGCTTGAGACATCGATGCGAACGACATTTGGCGAGAACTTGACGGCGGTAGTGGTGTCGGCGTTTTTGCCCGGTTTGTAGTTATTGAAATCAGAGCCAGGATTCAAAGTCGCAAGCTGAGCCCACTTGATCGCATCTTGGACCTTGTGCTTGTCCCGCGCAGTCAAAGTAACGAACAAGTCATCGGGTTGACGACTGCCGCAATCAGTCCAAGGTCCAAGACCCTTACGAGGGAATCTCTGTCGTGCTCTCATGGTAGGCAAGTACCAGTAGCGAGTTGACAAGTAAATGGAACATTTCCATTCTTCATCTTCGTCGCTCTCACTCAAGTTGATTTCCATGGGACATCTTGTGCATGTACCCGTGCTTCGTGGTACTTTGATGCCGGAGATGCTCTCGATGAGAGAGCTTTTCCCAGTGCTTTGGTCACCAACAACGCAGATCTTGGGAAGGGTGATGTTGTTATCTTCGATGCCGAGGTGGCTCAAGTTCTGGACTTTCTTGACCAGGGTTTCAATATCCAATCTTTTGAGCGTCTCGGTGGTAGAATTCGGTAGGGCTATGTTCGCCATGTTGAAATAAAGAAGAAGGTACACCTGCTGTTATCATTCTCCATAAGTATCCCTCAAAGCGTTCTGAATGATGAGTGCGGTGATGGGTGGTGGGTTGTTCTTACCTGTGCTCAACTTTGAAAGATGGCTTCAACAGAGGAGGCTAGGGCGTTTAGTAACGAAAGCTTCAAATGTAACTAGAGCACGCGGATAAACACAGCAATATGCTGGAATGATAGAAGGTGAAGGAGGATGATAGAAAAAGATAGGGGAAAGTTTGGAGGTTGATGATGGGGTGGGTGGAGAGAAGGGAGGAGGGGAAAGAGAGAGAGAAAGAGAGAGAGGATAGGCTCAAGACTGGGGAGACTGGAAACTTTCCTTATAATGAGAAGACGAAAACAACTAAAACACAGGGATATCCCATTTCCTAAATTAACAACTTGTTCAATGCCCTTTTCGAGATTCTGCTCCTATGTCCATTTTCCTCGCGCCCCAGCCAGGGATAGAAGGCGAATTTCAACTGCGATAAGATTTTCCTCGTATTAATATAAGGAATAAAATGAGTTTTCCAATAAATATTCAAGTCTAGGGTGTTAAAGTACGTGCTATTATCAACACCGCTGCCGAATGACTCGAGAGCAACATTGCTAGGCAAGGCCGTCAGCAGCTCCATTCAGACAGAGAGTAGTCATGGCATTAACGTAACAATCAATGCTCAAAACTTGAAAGGAGAAGAATTTTATCCCCAAGACGATACTACTATATCCATTCAAGTTGCTAACTTATGTGACTTATGAGACCTCGGGATCGTTCAACTTGATGGTTAAGGATGGGAAAATTCGACTGCAAATATTGTGACGAGGGCACATAGTTTCCAAACTTGAAGCTTGAACCACTTTTTTGTTTGTCTGAAGAAAGTATGGCCCAGAAGGTGGCTCAGCAAACAGGGAAATCAGGTGACCGGGTTCGATCATCTGATGTTTCGAGCTGTGATAAGTACAAAAGCTTAGGAAGCTGGGTCAAGCTCTGTACTATCTCCAGTAAGCCTTGGAGGTTAAACTTCCGGTATTGCGAAGCCAAAGGGCCTTTGTAACCTGTAGTCTACTCTATACAATCCTATCAGCGCGGAATGGCGGGGTAAAACCATCCCGCTCTGCCTTAAGCCCTAAATCCCCCGATTTAGTATTCCTCTTCTCATGACTTTGAGCAATACATGGAGCTTGGAAAACATTTATTTTGTATTACGAATTACGAATATGAAATCCTTTTGGGATAAGACAACTTTTGAGTTCAATATGCCACGTGCAGATTCACGAAGATAACCTAAGGAGCTCAAATGGTCTGTACTTGGGCTGTACCCAATCACGGGCCCTGAGTCATTGCTCCCGCCCAAAATTTCATTGCGCCCCTCACCATTCATTTTCTCCATCCCACCTTTTGAGTCTTCACTATCGAAACGGACATCATGGCGGAACCCAACCCTGTTCAAGAGGCCGAAGCCTCCATGGCCAATCTTCTTCTGGATGAGGTTACTGGCGAAAAAGTGTCCAAGTCGGAATTGAAGAGACGCCAGAAGTTGCGCGAGAAGGAAGCCAAGAAGCAGGAGAAGGCCGCGGCCGCCCCTCCAAAGGCCGAAAAGAAGACTTCCGCTGAGGATGACGAGGCCAATCTCACCCCCAACGTATGTTCGAATGGCGAGCGTCCGTGACGCCTGCGCTAACAGTTGTAACCGCTCTACAGCAATACTTCGAGATCCGAAGCAACAGGATCAATAAGCTGCGCGAGTCCAAGAGCCCGAACCCATACCCCCACAAGTTCCAGGTCACCGATGACTTGCGCGAGTACCTCAAAAAGTATGATTCTCTCCAGAAGGGCGAACAGAAGCCCGAGATACCCGTGCGCATTGCCGGCCGTATCTACACCAAGCGCGCTTCCGGCAACAAGCTCATCTTCTACGACATTCGCGCTGAGGGCGTTAAGGTTCAGGTGATGTGTCAGGCTCAGAACGCCACTGGGGACGTTCCTTTCGAGGATCAACATGAGCATCTTCGACGTGGTGATGTTGTTGGAATTGTCGGTTTCCCCGGTCGCACTGCCCCCAAGAACCGCCCCGACGGCGAGCTGTCCATCTTTGCTACCGAGGTTATCCTCCTCGCACCCTGCCTGCACGCCATCCCATCCGAGCACTATGGATTCCAGGACAAGGAGCAGCGATTCCGCCAACGTTACCTTGATCTTATTATGAACGACCGCTCCCGCGACATCTTCCGCACGCGTGCCAAGATCGTTTCTTATATTCGCAGTTTCCTCGATGCTCGCGATTTCACCGAGGTCGAGACCCCCATGATGAACGCCATCGCGGGCGGTGCTACCGCCAAGCCATTCGTCACCCACCACAACGACTTGGACATGAACTTGTTCATGCGTGTTGCTCCCGAGCTGTACTTGAAGATGCTGATTGTTGGTGGTCTGGAGCGTGTATACGAAATGGGACGTCAATTCCGTAACGAAGGTATCGATCTCACTCATAACCCCGAATTCACCACCTGTGAGTTCTACTGGGCCTACGCCGACATGTACGACGTGATGAACTTGACCGAGGAGCTTGTTTCCTCTCTCGTTAAGCACATTACTGGTGGATACGAAACCAGCTACACCAGCCAGACCGGCGAAGAGTACACTATCAACTGGAAGGCCCCATGGCGACGAATCGAGATGATGCCTGCTCTTGAGGAGGCCTGCGGCGAGAAATTTCCTCCAGGCGATCAACTCCACACTCAAGAGACCAATGATTTCCTGAAGCGCGTCCTCAAGAAGATGAACGTCGAATGCTCACCTCCTCAGACCAACGCTCGCATGCTCGACAAGCTGGTTGGTGAATTCCTTGAAGAGACCTGTATCAACCCCACCTTCATCATGGGCCACCCTCAGATGATGTCCCCTTGGCCAAGTACCACCGTGAGCACCGTGGCCTGTGTGAACGTTTCGAGGCGTTTGTCCTGAAGCGTGAGATTTGCAATGCTTACACCGAGTTGAACGATCCCTTTGACCAGCGCCTACGCTTCGAGGAGCAGGCTCGCCAGAAGGACCAGGGTGATGACGAGGCTCAGATCATTGACGAGACTTTCTGCCAGTCCCTGGAGTACGGTCTGCCTCCCACTGGTGGCTGGGGAATGGGTATTGATCGTCTGGTCATGTTCCTCACCAACAACTACAGCATCAAGGAGGTTCTGACCTTCCCCATGATGAAGGACGACAAGAGTGCGTCCGAGGCCAGGCCTGCCGCCGAAGTCGTCGGTATCGAGCCCCAGCCCGAGGAGGGAATCCGTATGTTCCTGCTTTCTTGTAATTTCCACGAGCCCGTATCACTAACAATGAATCTCCAGCCCACAAATAAATGATGTAAACGTTGAATCGAGTCTACTACCAGGGTCACGAAGGATTTCGATCTCTTATGTTGGTGTCTTTGCATGCGGATTCTATGGCGGTCATGAGTAATGCATCTGCTGAAATAGGTATTCCATAGAAACAAAATTCAAGCCATTCAAAAGCCTTATTACGTTTCTTCCTGTATAATACCTTACCTTTTTCTTTCCTTCTTTTTCCCAGATATATCGTTCTGGCTACCAAGTGCTACCTCTTCTAGATTGGGGACCTGTGGTTCATCAGGCGCATCAGGGGCGTTATGGCCCGGTTATAGAAGGTTTTTCTGCCAAGTGGGAGATTAGAAAAGCAGAATAGTCACACCAGTAGCTAGAAGTTCGTCTGATCTCTTGAAGACTACCGGCAGAATGTAGTAGAAGGGTTTCTCCGCTGTGTTGTATAAAGAAATAATCACTGTGCTCCTAGACTATTCCCTTTCCACCTCTCTTCGCTTACTTTTACTTCATCGTATTTTTTTTCTTCCAAGACTGAGCCTTTCGTATCGTTTTTCGTATCAACGCCGTCGCGATGGAGGGTTCTACTCCTCCATCGAACGAAGCGTCGCCAACGACAGCACCATCGACAACAACGACGCGTTCTGTTACGCAGGAGCGGGTCCTTTCCCTCGAAGAAACGAACATCGTGAACTATGAGCGAGGACTTCCTGTTGAACCCCCCCGTCCAATCTCGACATGGTCCCCCCCCATCCATTCCAGCTCCTATCGATCAACCCCACAGACTGTCTGGTGATGATTTTCGTTTCCAAACTTCGCATGTCCACATATCCAGTCCTCAGTATCGTACCAATACCCGTGAGCTGTCTGAAAATGTTGAGAGCGGTCTGCAAGAAGGATCGCCAAGTGTGGTGAGGGAACATGTGCAGCATCATGACAATCAACCTGAAGTGCAAGACGGATCGCACCGTTCTGTCAGTACCCTGTTCGCTCTGATGCAAATTGTTTTGTTCATGTGATGTTCGAGCTAATATCATCTCAAGCCCCCTTTGTCGATTGACACGGGTGCTGCAGGTAACGCGAGTACTCAATGGGTTCGTATCCAATCATTCCAGATATTCATTGACCCTACGTTTGTATATTGCAGCGCTCTAACTCTCTCCTCAAAGTTGTATGAACATGGACCTTCCACCTATCGTCCCGGTGTTCCCATGGCTAGTGGTCCAGCGCATGACAGTACCTGTTCTTGTCAGATCGATCCTGCTCTTCGAGCCATGACCAGTGATGCTATCGATGAAATTCTTTCTTCGCCTCCTGGTCGCCCTACCTATCGAGCTCGCGATGCTATCACCACCGACCCTGCTTTCGAGACCATTTATTCAGATCCTCGTAATCCTTCCCAGCGAAATCCTGCAGTACGCATGAATCCTGCTTATGGGAGCCCTTATTTTGCTCCTGCAGGTCTTCCTCACCCTGTCCCTTATCCGTATCAAGGCCCTTGGCCTGCCTCTGGGTATCCTCTGCCCCAAGCCCATGATACGATGTCCGCTGATGTTGGTAACGACCACAATGATTCCAGCTATGGTAGCAACCAATCCCGCTGTCAGCATGGATTTATCCAGTCCCGCATGTCCCTAAACATTGGCTCCAATACATCCTCAGCTGGGTCAGGCCAATCTATGAACTCCCCACGGATTTCAGCTGGAGGAGGCCACCCAAGCGCTCAGACCAGAGGACTTGACATGACATCTATGCCCCCACCTGCTATGCGTACAGCAAACCTTGCAGAACACACGGCACCAGAAGTCCCCGACACTCCCTCGACTCAACTCCCTCTGCGTCCCCGGGGATCTGCTGAGAAACGGACTATAACAGTCGTGCAATTCAATGATGTTGCTGCCCACACAGCTAAATGTGATGAATGTGACCACCGAAACAAGGACGGCATGATCCGCTGCACGTCCTGTGGGTGGCAATGTTGCCGCTGCTGTCTGCGTCGACGTGGTGGAGAACGGTCTCATTCTACATTCAAGAGCGAGCATGTCCCTGAGGAGGGTCAGAATAACATCGATATCCCTCCTGTTTCGCCCTCCAATACACCTAAATCGCGCTCAACGACGGCTTCCCGCACTCCAGGAACAGCTCAAGCTCGCATTCCGGCTCGCACTCCGGCTCGCACTCCGGCCAGAACGCCAGCTCGAATCCCAGCTCGTACCGCAGCTCGTGCTCCGACTCGTAAACCAGCTCGTGCGGCGGCTCGTACTCCAGCTTCAACTCCAGCTCCAACTAAAGCTCGACCTGCAGCTCGTACCCTAGCTGCGGCCCAAGCTCAGACTCCAGCTTGGAGCTCGGTTCATGCTGCCGCTCCAGCCCCAGCTTCAGATATTACACGCCCTGCACGTGCTGAGAGTGCTCCCGCTTCTGCTCCTGCTGCAACCGTTTCTCAGGCTCCTCGGCGTCGGCTGATTCGTGGCCGCCGTCCACGTAGTCCTGATACTCGTGGATCTGCTTCGGAACTTGACCCCAGCGCAGGCTCTTCCTTCGCCACTGACGCCGCTGCGGATTCTGGAGCTCACCCTGTTCCCACTGCTCATGTGGCTCTTAACGCGGCTCCTCATGCTCGTAGACAGGTGTCTGAGGACCCTGACGATCCAGATGTGGCTGTCGCACGAGCTCTGATGGATTTGTCCAATCGCTTGACTCCTGCGACACGAGCTGCGCCTCCTATGTCCTCGGATTCCGAGCTTTCCGACGTTCTGGATGTTTCGGCCCCGAGCTCAGATCCTGTAACTTCCTTTGATAGCGATCAGACGTTGTCGGATAACATCAATGACGACACGGATTACATGGACCTGGGAGTCGAAGATGACGAGGATGACGAGGATGACGAAGAGGACGGGGAAAACGAAGTGGAAGAGCTTACGCCCGAGCCTACCCCCGCCCTCCTCGTCGTCCTTCTCGCTTTAGCGTTCCTGTTGATGAGTTCGGCAAGGGTGAATTACAGGCCGACCTTCGACGTAACCCTAGCCGCAAGACCCGACCCATCGACCTGACCGAGCGGAGTGGAATGTAACCGACCAATTGAACGGCTATTGATCGATACGTAAACACCAACATGAGAACGATCTATGAACTGGCGTACGGAGTCCGGGAGGAGATCTGCATTTCAAATTTTTTTTTTTTTAGGTTTCTTGATTTTTTGAGCTTTGAGGATGGCCCTGTATCCGACCAATCGATTCGAGTGAATATGGGAGAAGTCGACAATAGAGACGGCAATTGATCGAAGCTTATCCCAGCGGCGAGAAAAGGTTCATGAATTGGTTGGCCAGATATTCAGAGGGTTTTATTGCCATGTATCTTCAGGGGAATTTTTCAGGGGAATTTTAAAAGGAGTTACTGGGATCTTGAATCATAGTTGATTGATGTCTTGAGTTAAGAGTTCTCCGCTTAAATTTGAAGGTAAACAACATATAGGACGTAGGAATACAGATCGAATCATAGAAAATACATTGGGAAGAAAAGGAATGGAGATAGTATCAGGGAGTCAAGCCCCAGAATATTAATACACAAGACAACTTTGGTTTACAGCCTCTTGATTCCAGCGGTAGAAGAAGACAGTTGCTGACCACGGGCCTTGGCAGCCTTTTGCAGCAGCTTGGCAGTGCGAGAAGGGTTCCACACACGGCTGCCCAGAACAAGGACCCAGGTCAGAAGGAACAAACTGCCTGCCTGGTGCGCAGAGGCCAGTGGGATCGGAACAAGATAAAGAAGGGTGCAGATACCCAGGGCAACCTGCATGGAAGCAAAGCCAACCACCCCATGCATTCCCTTACGAGCAGCAGCAGGCAAGAGACGCCGCACGGTAGGTGAACGACGAGAGTAAGCCCAGAGAGCCATAATAGCAGTGAAGGTGGTGGTGGCAAGAATACGATGATCGAGTTGAACGAGGGAGGGGTTTTCTAGCATGTTACGCCACCAAAGATCGGAGCGATCCTCTTTGCGAGAGTAGCGAGGGTCCCAGAGTTCTTTGCTCGGAGGAGTCAAACCGTTACCCATATAAGGGAACTCGTTATAAATCAAACCAGCATCCAGACCAGCAACAAGGCCGCCGGACATGACAGTGGCGAAGACGAGCAGCAGAAGACCGGCAACGGACCGGCGGAAGAATGCCAAACGAGGGTCGCGCAGAGCCTCAAGCTGCTTCAAACCAGCTGCCGGGTCAGCTAGCAATCGGTGAGAGCGCAAAATGGCAAGACCATTCCACAGCATGGCAACGTAGCAGACAAACGCAGCGCCAAGATGAGCGGTCAATCGGTACTGGCTAACTCGCGGGTGGCTTCCGGGGGCAAAAAGATCATCCTTCAACCCAGACTTTACCATCCACCAGCCAATGAATCCTTGGAAACCAATTAGGCCGGCAATCCCCAGCAAACGCCAGGACATAGGAGCAGAGACTTTCTTGCGAGCGACAAAGTAGACAGCAGGCACAACGAAGGATAGACCGACGAATCGGCCCCAGAGACGGTGGATCCATTCCATGTAGTAGATTGACTTGAATTCAGATAGAGTCATGTGAGGGTTGAGAAGCTTGAATTCGGGTGATGCGCGGTATTTCTCGAATTCAGATTCCCAATCCGCCGCATTCATGGGTGGAAGGGAGCCGGTAACAGGTCGCCATTCGGTGATACTCAGTCTAAGAAAGCTCCGTCAGTATCCGGTTGCTAAATCTAGGAATAGACCCTTAATTCGCTTCAATCCAAGTAAGAGGGATATAACGAACCCTGATTCCGTAAGGCGTGTCAATCCACCGAATACCACAATTCCAAAAACACTGGCAGCGCTACCCAGGAGCCACCATGCGACAGCTTTATCGCTAACGTTTGGAAAGCTCGATTTGGCTTTGACGGCGCCCTCTCCGATTGCACTTGCAGCTGCGGGGGCAGCAGCCGATTTCCGAAGGCTTGAAGTAAAGAATTGGCGGTTCTTGTCGGTGAACAGAGACGATCGGATCTTATTTGTTTGGGGGGGTGGCATTGCGCCATACCGGCGGATGGAGTTGACAGCATAGGCCTTTGTTCGAAGGCATTGTCGACAGGCGAAGAGGTCCTTAGACAGGCGAGGTGCCAAAGACCGCCAGAGCGGAATACTAGACCCCAAGGACGCCATCAGCGAATATATGTGAAGGGGAAACTCCTTGCAAACGAAGAAAAAAAGAAGGTTGAATCCCGCAGTGTCGCGGAGATCATGCGATGCGGGTCGGCGGCCAATCAGAGATCACGAATTTGCTTTCGTGAGAACAGCTTTGGGCAACAGAGTGCCTTATCCGAAGTGGACCATTTAGAGGGTGGACCGATTTTATTCCGAGGCGATTATCTGAGCTTTTCTATCTCTTGGACCTCTAGATCACCAGGTTTCGTGCTGGCTGGTCCCATAAGTGCCTCAGGCAGAAATCGCGACCTCCGCGGCAGCTCAAGAGCCGCCTCGCTCTGACCTCCGCTGCGTACAACCAACACACATTTCAAATTGCAACCATGTCCTACGCCATCGAGTCAAAGAAGAGGAAATTTCATCGAGTGCTTGAATCGATCTCAAAACCTCTTAATCCTACCCTCGATAATACATCCAAGCCATCGAAGAGAACGGCGATTGCGACGACCATCCATGATACTCAAGCTCCTCTGAACCCTTCCATCAAGAAAGTTCGCATCAATGGCCAAGAAGATTCTGATGCAACTTTGGTGCGCAACTCAGCTCTGAAGCAATCCGGGTCTCTACATCGTACAACCTCCACATCATCTTCCAAGCGCCCAACCTTTGTCCCTTGGAGCCGCGAAGCATTCCTCGAACGGCTCGAGACTTTCCGCCGGGTCGATCGGTGGACTCCAAAACCGTCGCCAATCAACGAAGTACAATGGGCAAAACATGGTTGGATTTGTACTGATGTTATGCGCGTGAGCTGTGTGAGCGGTTGTGGTGGCTCAGTCGTCGTTAAACTACCGGATGAAATCGACGAGCTTGATGGATACGATGCGGAGAAGGTCCAAGAGCGCAAGGAAGTTCGTAAGTATCTACTCGCTCTGACCATACCCAGGAGTGTCCAGGTCAGCTAATTTGTCTTTTCAGGCGCCAAGCTAGTTGAAGAGTACATGAAGCGATTATATACGGAACATCAGGACAATTGCCCATGGCGGAATAAAGCTTGCGACGGTAATGTTTATGACTCGACCTATCTGATCACAGAGCTAATAAACAAGCAGCCACTATCCAACATTTGTCTTTGGCAAATCCCGAAAACGCGATCGCTGGTTTACGTGATCGATATGTGAACCTCCTAGAGCTGGGCGATAAGCTTCCAGCGGATGGAGCCATACGAACTCCAGAGGGGCTTGATATTGATGAATATGCGAAGATCTTGCCCGAAACCTGGCTAAAGGCACCTGGCGAAGTTTCCAATGATTCAAATTTACAAGATACCGCTATCCATAATGACAATCAGGATTCCGAACAGCCACGAGCCGATTCCTCAACAAATATCAACCCGGTGGCCCTGGCTTTGGCTATTTTTGGCTGGACGGTGGCCGACACAGGAGCTGGTCTTGTTGGTTGTAAAGCATGCTTTCGTCGTCTGGGCTTGTGGATGTATAAGCCGAAGGAGAATGGGGATGTCACGGTTTACTCGACCCTGGATGTGGTCACTGAGCACATGGAGTACTGTCCGTGGATTGATAGGGTAGCGCAGAGTGGGACTGGAAAAGCCCATGAAAAAGAGAAGGACTTGTTGGCTGGATGGGAGGTCGTTCTCCAAGCCGTCAAAGTAAAACATCGACGACGTTTACGGTCCACAACATCCACGGACACCCTCCATAGCCGCCTTGGAACTCCACTTGAAGATACACTTCCTGACGCACCTGATGATGAGAGCAAGAAAACCGCTGACCGTGAATGGTGGGCCAAAATTCGGCGGATGCGACAAGTGCTGAGTTCTAAATCTCCTCGACGCAAGTCAGTGCTCCCTCAGTGATTCACATTCGATATTATGTTCTTCAATTGCATAGATACCACTTATTTTAGCGTATTTCGTCAGCATCTTAGGTACCTCGAATACTGAGTTTTTGTTCAGCTTTCCCCATTCACACGAATCATCTACAAGGACACACCATTAAATGATTTCACATTCAGCTTAGTTCCCAAGTTGAGATAGAGTTGACTACTCTATTCTTATTCTTCTACTGTCCTATTCATCAACTTTGTCAGTCCCAGTCCATTTACCGAGCCGTGCTCAACACCAGTCTGCTTATCCTCTCCCATTGATACTCTGAGGCTGAAAAACAGGCTGCCCTCCGATCGGAATAAGAGTTCTGCGGGATATTCCAAGATACTGGCCTTCTCAATCGCTGTGCACTCGTCTCCAGTTTCAATCCCTCACTTCGAAACTCTTCTTCGCCAAGTCAGGTGTATTCACCATCTCCGGATTTCAAGGGTACCAAACTCTCCGGGATTGACATCGCATTCATTTTGCTGTGGCCGCATATATCAGTTAGGATTCTCCGCTCACACGCACGCTTTTGGTCTTATCGTTCTCAGCCGATCCCCAAATATCATCAGAGCCTCCATCGAAAACCCTTCTCTGGGCCCGGCTATCATGACACGATACGGTTCTTCCGACAGTAGGGTGACCTCTGAAAGTGAGGAGGATACCAAGTCAAGCTCATGGGAGTGTCCGGATACGTCAAAGAGCTCAGATGGGTCATCATCAGGTAGCGATTCTGCCGCGAGTGCCAGCATCGCCGAACCTACCCCACGTCGTCTCCTGAAGAACGTCCGGCCACCATATCTGAAATGCGTAACCCTTCCAAAGGTAGGTAAAAACCTGTGCGATGAACACATTTGCCTCCTTATGACACAGCCGCCTTCGATACGAAGCAGATACACTCAATATTTTGATGGTCGTGGGAGGGTGCGACAAGGTTGGCTTCCTCTCCTTCTAGGCCGCGGCCCTGCTGGCAACTATTACCTCCCCAAAGACATCATCAGGGCCGTTCTTGGCTCAAAGAAGATCCGCCGCATGGCGGACTCCCATCCAGATCTTTTACTACCGGATTCATTTCGACAGCAGCAGTTGTTAAAGCGCTACTGGAAGGCTCCAGAGGTATGGAGGGCGAGAACCCCTTCAGCTCCGATGAAGTCGGAGGTCTGTGTTGAGTCTCTCCCAGTGTCTGGAGAGGAGCGGCCTCTTAGCTCGGTCTTGGTTCCCACCGGTACTTCCAGAGCCAAGATCTCCAGGCCTCTCTACTCTTCCGGTGTTGAAATGAGGCCGCCTCAAAGTGCCGTGCCTCAGATGAGATCGATGCTATCAGAAAGCTCATCTTCTGCAGTACCTACCGGTGAACATGAGAATTTGACCTACTCAGTACCTACCCAAGAAACCGGGGGCCTGTTCGTTGATCACACTCACCTCGTGACATGTGGCCCAGCAGGAGGATATCCATCGCCTAGCTCTCAGGACCCCAACTCTGAGGTCCAGGGCAGCGTATCGAAGGTGGGTCCTGGCTCTACGTGGCCGAATTCCCTACTTGAAGGGGGTGTATTTCAGACCAATGGACCGCAGTCACATTGCCAATGTCCTCATGGACCACCTTCCGGGATGCCATATAACTCTGTGCACGGACTTGCGCCTCCATTCCTTGAGATCTTGCAGTCGTTCCCTCCCTTCGCCTCCCATGCGCCCGTGGAGGCTCCAGTCGTCATGATGCGAGAGTACGTGGAGGCGCTTTTTTTCGTCTACCCAAAGATCGAAAAATTGCAATGTTAACTTGCTTGATCCTGGGGACCTTGCTCAGTTCATCGAATGGGCGGAAACGCAGTGTGTGTACATTTCCCGGATTCAGACAAGCACGAGGGCCATAAGTTTCCCGCTCAAGAGAGCCATATCTGAGCTCCAGATCGCTCTGTATGGGATTCGAAATGCAGGTAGGAACTTACTAGCTGCTTTAAGGGCCCCTTGAGCTAGGCAGGTGGGGCCAGTGTGATGGATGTGCCTGCGAAGGTTCCTTATTGCTCTTTTTGGAGTCTGATTTCCTTTCCTTCGTCATTTATTATCGTTCGTAGCGACCGTGTTGAACTGGCCACCCACCCAGGAGTACCTATGCTTGGCGACAAAATGAAATATGGAAGAATTCTATGGAATCAATATAATCCTTCCTCTTGTTACCATATTTCACCTATAGTGGTATACCTTAGATTATGGTTAGGTACCTATTCCCCAAGTCGAGTCTCGGCTTTCGCGCACGAAAACCTCAAGTCATCGTAACAGAACGTATATTTCCCGATGGTGCGGAAAAACTACATCATAGAAATGCGCCAAAACGTGTTAGCGCAACATCCGTAGAAGGTCGGAACATGGAGAAGTCTACGCAGAAAGGACTAGTGGTATACGTAGACTTAGAACTCGCAATTCTATGCAGTGGACTCCATCTGGAATTGACGCGCAAGTCCAATTTTTCAGCAAACTTTGGAATCTTTTTTGATTGATATGATGATGTTACCAAAAGGAAATTCCCCTAAGACTAGTAGATACCCCATCAAGCCGTTAATACTTCAAATTTCTTAGCCATTGACCACGACACCACCATTAGGGTGCAAGCACTGGCCAGAAATGAAACTACTGTCCGCGCTTGCTAGGAATACAAAGCATGTAGCAATCTCACTGGGCTGCCCTGCCCGTCCCAGGGGCGTGGCATGGAACTGTTCCATCGCGGAATCGTTCATAGTAGCCGGAATCAGAGGGGTCCAGACTAAGATCCTATTAGTATGCTATTTCGAGGTCGTCTGCACAATGGGAGGCATGACATACCTGGTCCAGGACAAACAGCATTGACACGAATTCCTTTCTTGACTTGCTGGTTCGACAGGCCTCGCGTGAACGAGACGAGTGCACCTTTAGTAGATGTGTAGTCCAGGAGATCCGGACGGCCAATATAGGCATTGATGGAGGCACAGTTGATGATGCTCGAACCACTCTTCAGGTGTGGAAGGGTGTATTTCGAGAGGAAGAAAACCGAGTGGATGTTTGATTCAAAGGTGGAGATCCATTGCTCCCTATTTGGTCATTAGAACAGTTGCTGGAAAAAAGGAATGGGGGTGAGACTTACTCGTCCAGGTCCTTGATGTCGTCAATCATGTTCTGCGTCCCTGCATTGTTCACCAAAATGTCAATCCCCCCTAGGCATTCCAGTGCTTTCTCCACAACCTTCTTGCAATTCTCCTTGCGTCGTAAATCGGTCGCAATCGTGTAACACTTTTTCCCGAGCTCCTCCACGCGCCGAACGGTGATTTGCGCATCTTTCTCTTCCTCGGGTAGATATGTGATCAAGCTCGATGCGCCTTCCATGGCGTACAGAATGGCTGTCGCCCGACCGATGCCTGAATCGCCACCAGTGATAATAGCTCTTTTCCCTTCTAGCTTTCCGGCGGCCTTGTATGTTTGATAACCTCCGTCTTCTGTTGGGAGGTGGGTCGACGTAGGTTTTGGATCCGACATTTCATCCTGTAGACCGGGCTTCTTCTGGTGCTCGATAGGAATCTCGTGCCCTGCAGCAACATCATGAGCATTGGCTTCCCGGAAGAGCTAGGACCTCTAGTAATATAGCTCACCTTGTTGGAACTGCGACGCAGCTCCTTGGGCAGGTCTCTTGACTTCTTTCTGCATACTCATAATGTCGCCAATAGTGGCTTGAGACTTTTCTTTTGAGAGTTGGAGTGAATGGAGATGGGGAACTGGAAAGTTCTTCGAGTAGCAGTAAATAATAGGTGGGGTGTTAACTAACGAAAGCTCCCCGCGGGCGTGCAATATATGCGTTTGCAGTTCGTCCGTAATGATGACGCGACACAACAGTAATCCCCTAGTATTGCCTCTTGGTACGACTTACAATAACATACCCTGTCCTTTTTCTTGACATGACGCTTGTATTGATGGCGGCTCTGGAGCCTCCGCTGCTATTCCGCCAATCAAGAGCGCGTGGCTCCAAGGCCCGGATCGTGGCAATCAGCGACCCGAAACTTGTTTGCATGAAAGTCGATGAACCCCGGATGACGAAAAACCACGGCAGCCGGAAATACTTTACGACCCACCGCTGTCGCATACTATAATCTATCGCTGAATTTCAACCGACTGATTATCCTTCAACCTTTGCATAATTCTGAACCGAGTATCCTGATTCACGGAAAATGGCAGAGGTAATTCGACTCGAGTGTGATTGCAAGGTAAGAACCATGGTTTCAAGGACATAGACCATATCGCAGCATGTCACTAACCTTCAATGGCCAGCATGACCCGTGGGGGAAACCTGGAAAGGAGTCCCTCGCTGGACGCTTGTGGTCTAAGATGCCCGGAGCAACAGGGCTCAAAGACTCGGAAACATACTCAGAGGTTGGTTGGATGAATTCCACGGTATCACGCTCTTTTATTAGGACAAATAAGCTGATTTGCGAAGATGTGGATGGGGACATACCCTACACTCCCCTCTCGACTGGCTTCCAATGGCGAGCTTCTCCTCGACCATCTCAAAAAAAACCCACATCTTGTGGGAGATGCGGTGAAGGAAAAGTTTGGTCTGGATATTCCATTTTTGCCAAAGGTATGTCGCTACATATTTCTTGATTTTCTTGCTTCTGAGCTTCACGGGCGTACATAGAATGCTAATCGCATGCGCGCAGGTCCTCTCCTTCCAAAAAGCACTCCCGCTTCAGATCCACCCAGACAAGGCTCTGGCTGAGCGCTTGCATGAGAAGAACCCCGAGGAATTCGGTGACTCCAATCATAAGCCTGAGATAGCGATTGCCTTGTCTCGTTTTGAATCGTTTGTTGGATTCAAGCCACTGGAGGAGTTGTCCGAGATTGTGCAATTGAAACCTCTCCAGCCCTTTGCGCCCGGGCAGAAACTCAATGATAAGAGTCTGAGAGACCTCTGCAAAACCATGTTGGAGCTGTCGCCTGAGAAGGTCTCTGAGCTCGTCAAGCAGCTGCAACAGTTGCCCAAGTCGGACCTAGGGAAATATGACTTCATTCCCGGCCTTTTGAGCCGACTGAATGAGCAGTACTCACAGTTCGACAACGGCAACCTTGTCGCGGTTCTCTTCATGAACTATATGATCCTGGAGCCTGGTGAGGCACTCTGTGTTCCTGCCGACAGTATGCACGCCTACCTTTCGGGCGACATTCTCGAGTGTATGGCTCGATCGGACAACGTCCTCAACGTTGGGTTCTGTCCGCGCTCTGCTCGGGATAACGTTGAACTGTTCTCTGAAGCTCTTACTTTCAAGCCTCACCAGCCCAAGGATGCGTATCTACCGCCCAAGTCGGTCCCAATTGGCGTGAATGGCAAAACCAAAGCATACATGCCACCTTTCAGCGAGTTCAACGTTCTGAGTCTGGATCTGGCGGCTGGCCAAACTGAGACTCATATCCCGCTACAGGCCCCCAGTATCTTGATTGTGACTCAAGGCTCTGGAGAGTTACGCAATACCAAGAAAAACGAACGCATTGAGATTAGCGAGGGAAATGTCTTCTTCGTGGGCCCAGACGCTGAGCTGTCGTTTTCCACCTCGGACGGCTTGACAATCTATAGATCGTGTGCTACATTTTAAGTCCGTTGATCGCAATCAACGTATTTTCGAGTCAGGATAAACTTAAAAGTATAGGCATCTGTGGTAGTGTAAGGGTGAATTAAGAATAGCTATTTCCTGTATAAGTGTCCGTTAACAATGATCTACAAATCCAAATCTCGCATACGTCCCGCGCGCATTATTAACAATGTAAAACTGTTCTTATATCGTTAATTTGTCGATGATCTTCTAGACCTTCGACATGCTTCATGATTCGTATTTTTCATGGGAAGAAACTCGTCATATGTAGAGAACGGTTCAGTTTTTTCATTAACTCATTTTGACTAATAAAAGTACTTTAAAGAGATCCTGCAGCCAATACATATCCTCCATCCACTACAACAGTTTGGCCATTCAAATACTGGTTGGTAGTAGCGAAAAGGATCGCACTCGCCATGTCTTCCTCCTTACCCGGTCGGGCAGCAGGGACCTTGCCCTCGTATTGCTCTTTCGGCAGAGAGCTCTTCTGCGCCTCGTCGCTCTGCTTGGCGGTCATTTCGCTGGGGAAGACACCCGGGGCAATGTTGTTGACACGGATCCGCAAGCTAGACGAGGTGATTTCATGTGCAAGCATCTTGGTCAAATGAATTGCAGCAGCCTTGGACGCGTTGTATGCGAAGTGATGCTGTGAGACCTTCACAATGCCCGAGATGGATGAGATATTGATGACGGTTCCGGACCATCCGCGGTGCTTCTCGGTACTTTTCTGGATGAGTGGAAGGAATGCAGTGGTGGTGAAAAAGAGCTGCGTGACATTGGTGCGGAATGTATCATCCCAGGCCTGGATGTCGGCCGCGTCATCTTCAAAGAGCGACCTTCGAAGCTTGTGGGGATCTTCTTGCTCGGTGTCCTGGCTGCCAGTTGAAATACCGGCGTTGTTGATCAGGATATCGAGAGATGATTCCTTAGAGCTAATGTTCTTGACAAGTTCGTCGATCGAGGCCTTGTCCGTGATATCGGCCACGATGGGGATAATCTGACCGGGGATGTTCTTGTTGTAGATCTCAGCAACTCGATCGAGCTTCTCTTTTGTCCGGCCCGTAATGTAGACTTTGCTTCCATTCACAGCCAGTGCCTGGGCGGCCATGAGCCCAATGCCGGAGCCACCGCCGGTGATGAGGGCAACTATGAAAGTCAGACAGCCGTGATGGAATTCGCGAAGGATTCAGTATTACTAAACACTTACCTTTGTCTTTAACATTGAAGAGCTTCTGGATCTGAAAGTTCTCGTTGCTTTTTTCGGCCATAGTGGTGGTGTAGGATCTGGGGAGTATCGAGTATCTGGGGAGTGTCGATGGCGAAAAGTTTTGGAAGGCGAGCTTGCAAGTAGGAGACCTCAAGTTTTTAGTTATCTGCCTGAGGAGTGTAGATCCCATACGAGTGAACTTGCAGAGTGGCTGTTTGCTGAATGGATTGAAATGGGATGTTGATGACTCTGTATTTATATTACGATCGTTTGACCACTCTACATCACGGAAATGGAAGAACCCATCATTCGCCCCCCACCTTCATGCGTTAAGCAGGATGTAAGAATGAGTTACACATAGAAACCTGTTTTGCTCGGCTGTTGTACTAGTAGGCGCAAGAATGTTAGGTGTAATCGTGTCATAACTGGAAATATTTCCACGCCCCACGTTTGTACTTTTGCATCTGGAGACCGTAGGAGGGTGCGTCCTGAGATCAGCATGACGTCGAAGATCCAACTTGCATTTGAGCGGCTCGGGACCCTCCAATGATCTCCTATCGACTGCCATGGACGGGCAGGATGAAACCTCATTTATTGTCATGGTCCGGTCATGCAGCCACCAATGCGACGGAGTGTTCCCAAGGGATTAAGATACTGAGGCTACAATAAACGCACGCATAGTTCTGACGAACTGGGTAAAAGTGGAAAGCGGTGAATTCGGCAAAATGGAAGAACTGAGTCAGCAGCCATCAGCACGCCTGGGCGACAATTGACAGATTCGCCAAAATCCCTTCAATATCTCTACTTGCAACTTTCGTATTTATTTCGTCAGGGACTTAAGTCCCCTCACTGCGACCTTTATTCTTTGCAGGCAGACCGATAATATATCTTCAGAATTAGCACCTTTATATGAAAGGCAATTGGACCACTTCAATATGAATTCGCGTAGTCTTAGTGATGGTCAGTTACACCTCGGTCTAGAACATAACGAGCTCCGAGTCAACCTTCGATTTTCTTTCCACATGCCCAGTCTCTGAAAACTAGACCACGCGCTCCAAAATGAAGAATGTCTCGGGCAATCTTTTGACAGATTCCAAGAAATGAAGCTTTGCTAGTAACTACTACATTGGAATCGGCCGTTAGAAGCTACGTGATCGGCATGGGTTCTGCGACAGACGGCCTCTTGATTGTTGCTTGGGCGATGCTAGTCGCACGAGGACTAGAATACAGGGCTCCGCTATCTACAATCTAAATAGGAGTAGGAAGCCCAACATTGCAGCCGATTTCACTCAACTCCCGATCAGGCTAGCGCTGAGAAATACTTAGACGGCAATAATATCCAAACCGTCTGGATAGTGACGAACTTAGTCAACTATAAAACTTGAATGGGTCTCTGCCCTGGCTTTTTGTTGAATTTCGAAACATCCAAAGCGAATTTCAATATGTAGCCCTCTAGAAGTCTGCCTCTCGATCCTCTGGCGTTCAGTCGGTTGTATCAGCTCACTGAATGCGATGGTCCCTTCAACTTGGATGGGTACTATGCTTCTCAAGAGAGCATAGATCTCAGCCTATACAAGACTGAAGAATTCCGCGTCGCTTAAGTTGCTGTCCACACCCCTTTCAGGCCCACTTTTGTGTTCCTTACCGACTTGGACACAAGACCCCGACTTATAAAAGTCTAAGACATCAGAGTACCTTTGATCCTTCTTTTTAGTTATTGCGAATGAGCGTTATCTGGTAAAATGACTCACGTCAAGGTTCTCCAATCCTCCGAAGACAAGTTCGAACTGAGTGGTGGCCAGTCTATCATGCTGCTACATGCAGGCTCATCTGTTGAGTCATGAAAATCGGAGACGTAAGGATCGCTCAGACCATCTGCTGCCGTCATTCGTTCTTGTGGATCCCAATCAAGGAGCCTTTCCAGCATGTTAATAGCTACTGAAATCAGCGACTCCGCAGTACCGAAGGTACAATGAAAAGGGTCATTGCAGGGTATTACCTTTGAGATTGGAATCTCCAAAATGAGATGCCACCGAGCGGCATTCCGCCACTGGTAACGATTCCACGGCATTCAATGTCTATGTGAGTTTTAGCGCCATATAACAAATGAATACTTGCCCAAAAATACTGACACCCCTGCCAAGAACTCTTTCCATAACTTGCGGTGGAGGTTTACCCAAGAGCTGAACGATCAGTGTGAACTGATCGATATGATTTTTCCCAGGGAAAAGAGGCTTCCCTAGGATCATTTCGGCCAAAATACACCCAAAACTCCACATATCCACCGCAGTGTCATATCTCTGCCATGTCAACATGACTTCCGGCGCTCGATAGTGCCGTGTCGTGACATAACCAGTCATCTGATTCTCCTGTCCCGGGCAAATCCAAAGTCGCATATTTTCAAATCACAGTTCTCATTGATCAGAATATTGCTCGGTTTGAGGTCGCGATGAAGAACGCCGGCAGAGTGGATATATTTGAGCCCTCGCTAGTAACCACTCAGCAATTTTCAGTACTAGGAGGGACAATGGACCTTGGTTTATATTAATACCATAATCTGATAACTGAAGAATTGGGCATATTGGTCTTCTAATGGCTTTGAAAGGAACTGTGTCAAGGGGCGAAAAAGCGTCATTGGAATATCCGTCACAATGTACCTGCGATAGAGGGGGTTAGATCTTTTTGCTACTCGGTCGGGATATAGAGGTTGTGAAGTACAAATCTTCTGATGATGGCGAAAAGAATACATCTCTCATTTGGATCAGCTAAAGCCGGGTTAGTCTGCCTCGTAGTTTGACGGTTCTTCTACCATTTCACATTAACCGTACATTATCATGTTGTAGCTTGCTCAGCAGATGAACCTCGCGATACGCGCTTTTAGCAAGAGTACTGGATTCGAACGGAGCCGTTATTTTCTTGATGGATACCGTTTGATTGAGGATCGAGTCGAACGCTGAGCTACGTCCTCCCAGTTAGCGATACACAGAAAGCTTGGGGTATTCAAAAATACTACCAAGTTACACCAAAATTTCCAATGTTGCCCAATCTCAGATTGCTGTATCTCTCGGTGATCTCGAAAGCTGTGCCCATGATATGTTGCGAGACGAAAGCCGCCATGATTGCAGATATCGCCAGCCAGGTCAAAAAATGACCCGATGAGCTTGCCCCTCAGTCCTCCCTTGCCGGAGTTTTTACGAGCTACCCGCCCTCTTTATCCATACTCCCGACTCTCTTATAGCCCGCATCGCATGTGTTGGGTACTAGTAGCAACTTCTTACTGGTGGGAATCTCTTCCAGTCCAATCAGGGTATCGGTTTCTATCGACCCGCTATTGCAACTTCACCAATAAGCGAGGCCGTCTTAGGGTCGTTCTCCTTCCATATACTGCCTAGTTCTTCGGGGACGGAAGTTGTTCCAATTTTGTATCTAATTCAGGTCAGTTTGCCCCACTTCTCCAGATTTTTTCATGCAACCAGGCTCGTAAACCTCCAAGGTTTGGGGAACCCGTGTCCAGATCTTACACTAGTCCTGCTCTAGCTCTGTGGAGCCGAGAGATTTGGGGTCCAGTGCGTAAGATTTAGTCCCGAAGTACGAGCCACTTAATTCCCCGCTACTCATAGGAGGCCCCATTCGAGCGCAGCTGAAGTTAAAGAATGGAAAAATGCCAGAACGCTTGAAGTTTATGAAATTGTGCGGGGGGAAAAAAAAAGGAATTCGTGTAAGGTCGTAACTATGGTCCGGTGAGGCTTCAACAAGTATACGCCTTTCAAGCCTGTGAATTAATCAAAATTTTGCAATGCTGGTCCCGGTGGTCAATCAATTCTTGAAATCCCTTTTCAACCGCATCGGACAGATGGATTATAGATGAAATCATTTTTTGCGGCTGAAGTTTCCCTGTGGAGTATTTGTATAAGCTGCCGGCATCACGTTTTGACTTGGGTGAAACTTACCCTCAGCAAGTGCTTCAATAACCTCCGTGAACGCATTCTCGTCATATAATGCCGCGCCCATGTAATTGATCTCATGATACATGAGATCATTCACTTGCACATTCGGTGACTTCTCCCAAACTGCGATGTTGACGATGGTCCCGTGTGCCTTGCAAGCAGGGATGACTCCGTTTAGCGCTCCTTGAATGCCGGCGGTATCGAAGACCAAGTCCACCCCCTTGTCTTCTGTGATGACATGTGCTTCTTTTGGGATGTCCACCTCGCGCGGATCGAGGGTATGTGTAGCGCCAAAAGTCTCTGCAAGCTTTTTGCGTTTCTCCATCAATTCAACCAGGATTATGTTTTTTGCACCCTTGAGCTTCAGGATTTGAATAATTGCAATTCCAATAGGCCCACCCCCAAGGACCAAGACATTGTTGTCCGGTTTCATAGGTGATATATTGACGGCATGCCATGCAACAGCCAATGGCTCGATCAGAGCGGCAGTCTCGAACGAGATGCTATCCGGGAGCGCATAGAAATGCCCTGCTGGAGCAACGATATACCTGGACATGCCTCCACCATACCCTGCGCTTCTGTCAGAATTCTTTCATCCAATCACATCGTGGTTGAAACGAACCACTAAGCCCAATAAACCCAATATTTGTGCAGCATTGTTCACACCCGTCCCGGCAAGCGGAGCATTCCGTGTCGTAGATAGTCGGCCGCACCACGGCTCTTTGGCCGGGACTGAATCCTTCTACGCCTTCTCCCACGGCAACAATCGTACCGCTGAATTCATGTCCCAGAGTGACGGGGTATGTTTGATGTGTCAAGGGGTGTTCCTCCTCGGGGACTAAAACAGGCCCGCCAGTGTACTCATGAAGGTCTGTGATAATTTTAGTAAGCTTATTATTTGGGCCAGGGCTGCAGGTAAAACCATGGAAGCAGCTTTGGCAGATACTAACCACTCCCGCAGATCCCCGCGAACGCTGGCTTTAACTACAGGCACGTCATATTATCAGCAACGAGCCTCACGAATGTCGACCCGGAATAAGAGCTTTTGATATTCTCGATACCTTTATTTCGCCTCTTCCACATTTTGGTTCCTCCAGATGGTCTACGCGGATATCTCCGCGGCCGTGGAAACGGACAGCAGATGGCATCTTGAAAAACTGCATTAAAGGGTTCTTTTCCTTATAAAAATCGTGAGTAGTCCAGCAAGTTATGAAGCAATCGTGTTGTTCATGCGGTCTTATAGCTACTGAAATGTAGAGAGAATCCTTTGACGTCATGTAGTCTTCCCCCGGAATCTGTGACGTCCTTATCAAGTTCGAGACAGCCAATGATTTACGGCAAGGGAAAGTACCTCAAATTTGAACAAGGGGTCAAAACACACATGGATTCGTGATTTCATAATGATCATTCGAGATAATCCCGGGAACTTTAGGTAGTTCGACTTTGTTCTGGTAATGTTATCAAACCAGATAAAGCTCCTCAAGCCCCAACCATGGGTAAAGTCCGCACCGTCGGTATCCAAGGGACTCGGAAGGACTAGTGATCGTAACCTACCCTCCATAGAGGCACTTGCCTGTGGGTCTACAATTAGCCCGAGTCTGTGTGACTTCTTGGCCAACCCACACACAATGCGTTTAACAAAGTCATCCCTGCAGACACGCAATGCAATTACACAAGATGATGCGAGAGGCGCCACCTTGCCTCCAATTCCATGTCGACGAGCTCGAGTATAAGGATCCACACGGGAGAGGGGATTTCTATGTCACATGCAGTTGAATCCACTTCTGCTAGGAAATAGTATCCGTCATGAGGCAAAAAAAAAAGTCCACATTTTGCCGGTCGCATCTCACAGGATAAGGAATTGACCATCATCGTGATCAGCCCTGTAGGGCACTATCAGATTCTGATCGACACCTCCGTTGAACTGGGGCATGAGAAGGCCCCGGGTAATCTATGGTTTTACTTGATTCGATGTTTAAAGAATACAGATTATGCTCTTCTTCCCTTCTTTACTCTCCTTTCCTTCGTTTTCCTTTCTTTAGATTCCTGTTTTGAATGCATACTAGATTTGACGCTAGAAATGTCCTGCAGAGGGAAGTCCGGGGCTTCGAGTCATTTTGATTATTCGGATAGATACATCCATGTCATAGTTTCGTTCATAAGTTGATCAAATCGTCAAACAGAGCGCCCTCGGGCACCTCAAGCCCCTCTGTACAAATGTCCGGCAAGGAGTCGGTGACTTGCGCTGAGGAATCAGACGAAAAGCTTGAAGGTTTTCGGTATTCCGAGAAGGCATCCTGTGTCATTCTCTGCAGCCATTGCAAGATTTCTCCATCGCCGCATTCCGCATGCGCAAACAAGCTGTTTTTCAATTGCCAGACCTCATTCCGCAAAGAGTTGGCTTCTGAAATGAGGGACTCCCGCCTCTCAGACTCTCTGTTCATCAGCTGCATCATCTGCTCCTGGTCTTCCTTTTTCTTCATTCGGCATTTATTGGCGGCGATCCGGTTTCGTTCGAGGTGCCTTGCTCTTTCGGGATGGACGGATTCACGAGAGATTCGCTTTGTCGACGATCTGCGGCGGTTTCTGGTAGGCAATGGAGGCATTGGAGGTGATCTGATGCTCTTTTGACCAGAGCTCAAGTGGAGGAGCCATTCAGGAAGTGGCTGGTTGACCGGGCTGATGGCCGCACCAACCGGGGCATTGCTCGCTGGTTGAAGTTGGAATGGAGTGCCGAGTGCAGCCATTTTGGTGATTGTATTCGATGTCCGAAGAACAACCTGCTGCCAGACATCACCGCAGTGGCGGTCCTGATATTATAGGGATGGGGATGAGTTTATACACGTCATGATCTACCAAGCTGTCCCAGGGAAGCATCTATGTTGTCGACCCAGGTACCTAAGGAATCAAGGAATCCAATTCCTACTGGTAGCCAGTGGACCGCATCTAAGCTGCTCATCTTGCCCTTCCATGTTGCAAGGGCAGATATTGGCTGCAGGAGGACCGATAAGGTACCCTGAGAACTCTCATGGTCGATCAGTTACTTCGTGTGCGGAAACGGTTTCCTACCACTCAGGGCTCTCAACCCGGCTCTAATCCTTGCATTTGATCGCGGGGTGGTGGGGGATGAGACGGCATTTCGAAATTGTGGTGGCCAAAAGCGCAGCTGCGGGACAGCTTTATGACGGCCTGTGGGGCCGTGGGGTAACATATGGGGCCGAATTGGCTTCCTTGATTGGTTGGGAAAAATCACCCGCCAATCATCTCACTCTCAGTATCCGTTGGCATCACTTATCTTGGAAAATAACTGATATGTTCTACTACGTCACGACATTCCGGGTCCACTGAAGCAGTTTATGGCTCGAACGTTCGGTCTTTTTGCAATCCCAGCCCACTGGGTTTTCAGCAGACTGGATACATTCAGGAAATGATACGAATAGCCTAGACTCCTCTTCCACCTACAGCACAGCAAAGGCTTCGGCCGCGTCTTCTCCGAAGGCCGAGCGTACCTCAGGTCAACTCCGAGATCGCTTCCAAGAATTGGTTCTTTTTCCTAAGTTTTCGCAAAGCATATATACTGCTAGTTGAGACTACTGAACGTGAAGCTTTCAAGGCTGGAAGATGCGGCCTTGCTCCTTATTATAAATAGAGCACTGATTTGCGGGGTGGACCGCGCTCCCCACCCATCATTGCTGTCTATTTCCTTTTGCGAGGGGACCATCCTTGGCAGTCGAATTCCAGCAATCCGATCTCCCATGGCAGGTTCAAGTCCGGTTCAAAATGAACTTTCTCCTCAGCCCACTCGGCATTATCAAGCACTTTCCGACCAATTTCTATATGCCGTTTCCGTTCAAACTTTCCCGCCGCCTATCTCAACTGATATGGCCCAGCGAGGGGGAAGATGATTCACAGGCTTCAAATAGCCAGCCTCTCTCCCCCCGACCTGGGGACTGTAAGGCCTGTCACGACTGGGGAGTCTCGTGTGACCAAGTTCGGCCCCAGTGTACTCATTGTTTTGATGAGCAACTTCTCTGTTTCTATGTTAAGAGCAACCCTTTAAAGCCCATGAATGTCATTCGATGGCTTGAGACACAATCACAGCCATCATCATGTATTACCTCACTCGGACGGGATCTCGACCAATTTGAGCTTGAACACCTCACAAGCCAGGCTACTATCACAGTCTCGTGAGTTTTCGTTCATTAGGATGCGACATACTCAGGATTAACATGCTCACCAGGCAACCTGAAGAGGACAGCCATTGAATCCAACAAGGGAACTTCAACTATGGTTCAGCATCAAGATCGTGATATACACTGTACATAATCTAAAGTTTCAAAGTTCAAGCTTGTGCGTGGTACCTGGGTTCACCAATTCTCTCTCAATGGGCTGATATTCACCCAGCTAAGTCCCACATACATAATATGATCATATCCAGAGTTGTGAAATCGTGAAGTGTAATTTTGGACTCAGAAGGGGTACCTATTAGTGGATTTTCGGCCGCCGTGGTTATATTGGCTGCACGAGTCGAGACCAATGATTACCCACAGTTGATACCCGTGGAGCATTCAAGTTGCGTCTTGGACTTGATATTGAAGTAACTTGTAACCCGCGAACCCTGGAGTAAAACTTTTTACCTGTAGATAGATATATATACGTGACCCAAAGAGATACAATGCTGGCCTGAAGTCCTCTCATCCAGAGATCAAGGTACATGTGCACTTGATAATTTGACAAAAAATCGCTGCATGCTAATACTATCAACATCTTAAACAGCGAAAGTTGTTCTTCGAAAAGTGAATACTGGCGAGTTCTACTGGTGGTACTGATGGCTTCTGATTGGTCCATCTACTGATGGCTTCTGATTGGTCCATCTAGCTCTGACTGCGAACTCGGACCCGCACCCCGGAGCTCCATGCAATAACTCTTCCCTACGGTCACTTACTCTCTTGACATTTGGGGTGATCTCGTTTCGTCGTTATTCGGACGAATCTCTGCCACATAAAGACACAAAAAGCAAGATCTGAAACATCTTCTCTTTAGTGCCCTTCATCACCTCCAAAGGCCTTTCTCCATCCACCATGGAGTCCTCAAACTCCAACCACAGACCGTCCACAGACGGAGCGCAGGATGCATCCAGAAACGGATCCTCCTCGGAGCACAATGCCAGCTCAGGAGAGCGACGCCCAGGGCCCGATGGCCGCAACACCCCCTCAGAGCCCCCGCAAAGTGTCCCAGGCCTCTCCTCAAAACGACAAAGAATGCAAGAGCGCCATCAAGCCCGCAAGCGCGGCCGCACACCCCCAGAGTCAGTCTTCTCACGACGCCAAAGATCTCGCAGCCCGAACAGAAACGGAGAAGCCCAGCGTCGCTCTCGCTCCCCCCTCCAGCCTCGGTCCCCTCCCGCCGATGAAGCCCCTCGACAACGCAAAAGACCCGGCGGTGGAGCACGAATGGGCATTGTCGATGCACAGACAATGCGCCGCCGCCAGGAAGAACGAGAACGAGCCGAGGAGGAAGATGCGGCCCGGTACGCGCGAAGTCAGGGTGTCTCGGACGTGGTGCGGCAGCACTACAATGCCGTCCCGGAGCGTGGGCGTGAATGGCGCAAAACAGAGAGCAAGATCAAGGGGCTGCGCAGCTTCAATAATTGGGTGAAGAGCACTCTCATCCAGAAGTTCTCACCCGATGAGGACTTCAGCGCGCAATTCGACGACCCCAAGGACTGGGCGGACGACAGCATGGGCCCGCCCCCGGCGCACGAGAATAAGCTACTTGTTCTGGACCTGGGCTGCGGGAAGGGTGGCGACCTAGGCAAGTGGCAGCTTGCTCCGCAGAAGGTGGATCTCTATGTTGGGCTTGATCCGGCCAATATCTCGGTTGAGCAGGCTAGAGATCGGTATGCCACTATGCGGTCTGGGCGGGGGCAGCGGGGGCGCAGACCGCCGCCGAATCTGTTCCACGCGGAGTTCTACCCGAAGGATTGTTTTGGCGAGTCCCTGGGTGATGTACAAATTGTCCAGCAGGTTGGATTTGATGCCAATGCTGGGCCTGGTGGGTCGATGATGGCTTCGCGATGGGGCGGTGGTGGATTTGACGTCGTCACCTCGATGTTCGCCATCCACTATGCATTTGAGAGCGAGGAAAAGGCACGACAGATGCTGAGCAATGTCGCTGGAAGTTTGAAGAAGGGGGGTCGGTTCATTGGAGTGTGTCCTAACTCCGACGTGATCATCAGCAAAGTGAAGGAGTTTCACCAACGCCGGAAGCAACACGAGGCGGCGAAAGCTTCTGCAACAGAGGCTCCTGAAGATGGAGAAGTGGAAGAGGAGGAGAGAGTCACATGGGGCAATGATATCTACCAGGTCCGATTCCCAGGTGACACCCCTGAAGACGGTATTTTTCGGCCGCCGTTCGGCTGGAGGTATACGTACTTCATGAAGGAGGCTGTGGAAGAGGTTCCTGAATACGTTGTTCCCTGGGAAGCCTTCCGAGCGTGAGTATTGAGCATTGGCTGTTTTGGTTCCATTATTCTAATATGATTCTCCTGTTAGGCTCACGGAGGACTACAATCTGGAACTCCAATACCGCAAACCCTTTTTGGATATTTGGGAAGACGAGAAGAATCATCGCGAACTTGGACCATTGAGTGAACGCATGGGTGTTCGTGACCGAATGACGGGCCAACTTACCATGACTGACGAAGAGAAGGAAGCCGTCAGTGAGTATTTGCCGATCTCTAGCTCGTCACTCGTGTTGCTAATTCTTCCAGGCTTTTACCATGCATTCTGTTTTTACAAGGTCTAATGTGCTGCGACAAACTTTTGCATAGAATTACTACATAGGGTTACCACTAAAACTAGACTTACAGTCCACCACTAGGCCCTCCCAGCCCAGTAGCTGACTAGTTAAAATCCCAGAAGCATCAGTATCAGAAGATCTGCATACGATAAGCCTTATCAGCCCAATCATTCCAGAACGGGACTAGCGCGGGTCGCGACGCGGTTTGAACTCGATGCGTTCTTCTTTGAGCAGCATTGACAAAAGAACCTCGCCATCCGAGTCCACCGGTATCTCTTCGCGCACTCGGTGTTCAAGTAGAAAGGCCAAACAAGGACTCACCCAAACAAGGACTCACCTCGAGATCGAATCACCTTCCACGATGGCGTCCGCAACGCCGTCACAACGACACGGACGCGCCTTAGCCCATGCCCAATACACACCTTCCATCAACATTCCAGCACTACCTCCCTACGAAGCACCAGAGGCACCGCTGGATGCCGAACAGCAGCGCCGACTTGCCACCCTCCTCTCGTCCCGGGAACTGAAAGACCTCAAAACACACATTAAAAGCGCCGCCGAGAAACTCACCGAGTCAGTGGGGCAAATTGGCGATCGCCTATGCGATGCACAAGTACGCTATGAAAGGGAAAAGGACAAAATCAACGCCCGACGGCGTGCAGGGAGCGATGAAGAAAACATAGCTGCCGACCGGGACGAAGCTCTCCTGGAGGAGCAGCAGCGGCTGACTGGGATGGAACAAAAAGTTGAATCTCTAAGGGGAATCATGGAAGAGAGGATGCGCAAAGTCATTGATACAGAGAGCCGGCTGCAAGCATTAGAGGACGCTGTTGAGCAGATGTCGAGGGAAGAAGCTCAGGCACAGACGCAACCGCGGCAAACCCGAAGCGCGCGGAGGAGACCACGACATAGCGGTGGAGGAACCGACGACGAGGATGATGAGCAGGATGGAGACTATGAGACTACGCCCGAGCGCGAGGCTAGGGAGCTGAATGCGCAGAATCCGCCCAGCCGCAGGTTTGTTGCTGGGCTGGGCCGAGAAATTGAGAAATGGGATTCCCTCTCGATGACCCAAAAGTAAGGATTATTGGTTCGTTGCAGATGCCGTGAAACACTCGCTAATTTGGTTGATTCAGGTACACGGGGCATAACGACTACGTCGGTTTCTACAGAGTTGTGCATGAGTCCAAGTTCCCAGCTGATCATGTTCCGCCTCTTCCACACTCGTCTACATGGTTTGAAGGACGAGAAGATCCTAATGCATCTGCCCAGCGGACACGCTCAACGCGCAATCGAGAACCATCTCCTGCAGAGTCGGACGACATTGCAATTGAGCGGGAGAGGGAGTCCCTTGTTTGCCCGCTTACCCAGCGTATGTTCGAGGACCCTGTGACAAGCGGTAAATGCCCACATAGCTTCGAGCGAGAGGCTATCATGAGCATGATATCGCGCAGCCCGACGACCGTCGCACCTGGCCCGGGCCAAGGAAGAAGGCGCCTGAGATCAATTAAATGCCCCGAGTGTGATACGGTGTTCACGGCGGCAGACCTGCATAGCAACCCGGCGTTGGTTTTGAAAGTCCAGCGGGCTCAGAAGGCGCAGCGGGAGGCTGAAGAGCATCTGCACGATGCCGACGACTTGGATGATCCGAACCGGGTTACCCTGACCAGTGATGCCGTGGACGCAGACGAGATGGATGTAGATGTGGACCTGGATGCAGATGAGTCAGATGAACCGCGGGTCAAAACGGAACCAATGACCCAAGAGGCACTGTCTGTGGCTACAGATAGCGAAGAAGAGGCTACAGATAGTGACGAGGACGAGGAGGACGACGACGACGACAACGAAGAATGAGGCACGGTTACGCTTACGGAGACGGATGGGCAGATAAACCAAGATAACGTGGCAAAAGTGGCAGATAAGTGTTGCCAGATGGGTGGCCTTATCTATTGATAGGCAGTTCGACTGTCAACGCACATGTACCCAGTACAAGAAGAGAGATCAAAAGCCACGTTCCATCTGCGAGGTTTCATCTTCTTATTACTACCTACTTGAGCCCTCGGGTTTTCTAATACAAGTCGATCGATGGGGAAAAAAATAGATGGAACGGTGTTTCAGTGCGGGAGATAACGCTAGGCGGGAATGGGGCTAGTGCGGCCACCCCCCCTGTTCCCCTATTCGTGGTTTCTCCACACTCGCTACCAACTGGAAACAGGCGTCCGATCTCTGCGAATTTCCTGAGGGAGCTGGGCTCCAGACGATGGGGTCCACGGTCAGCCGGAGCTGACCAGATCAGGGGCTAACGTTGGGACTCAGACGTCCATGCAACGCGAGGATCTGGCAAATACCACTTTGGGAAACATCACGAGACAAGATACCAACTACTCGGAAGGACGAGAACAGGAGACTGGGGATTGGGGACACGCCATCGTAGCTAGTATACGAGAAATGCTACTTGAGGCGCCACTTAAGCGCATGATAATACACCCCCCAAGAAGCTCGGGTTCCGGTACGAGGACGCCTGCTGCAGCATCGAGTAAGCAAATCGTAGTGTAACTCTGCTATCAAAGCGGAGATGGCCAGCAACGCCACCAATCAAACGAGTTGCCCCCGCAAATTCCAGACTAAGCTAAGCTAAGGTTTAGCTGCTGTCGGATGTTACCCTGCCTCGTGGTTGTATTTTATCTGTCAACTCTTTTTTTTTTCCCTGGGACGAGGGAAGCTGCCTTCAAATTGCTCTTACTTCCCCGGTCTTTCCCTTCTTTCTTTTCCCCACTCCTCCACCTTTCTCGAAGTCGCCCCACGCTAACCGTCTTCACTTCCTACTGCTGATCGCCATGGCAGAAGTCACGAACACGGGCGAGAAGTCCGCCGAGTTCAGCGCTGAGATCGCCCAGCATGATTCTCACGGCGAAATTGCCCGCCCTGCTGGTTGGATGTACAAGTCGTTCGGGATTGGCAAGCACCGCATGTGGTACGCCTCGCCCGCTTTCCAGTTGGGCTTGGTAGCCTTCGTTTGCTTCATGTGCCCGGGTATGTTCAACGCATTATCGGGTCTCGGTGGAGGTGGTCTTAAGGATCCGCATGTTGCGGATCAGATGGTAAGTAATTTGACAAATGAGGTGAAGCTTTACTCTCTGTCGCCCCCTGCTGACCGCGCTTTTCTTCGTCTTTCGGCAGAACATCGCTCTTTACAGTACCTTTGCCGTGGTTGGTATCTTTGCCGGAACTATTGTCAATCGTATTGGCGTGCGCTACGCGCTGGCTTTCGGAGGCACAGGATACTGTCTTTATGCAATCAGTCTTCTCGTGCAGGTCCATTTCAATACGACCCCCGGTATCCATGGATTCAATGTCTTCGCCGGTGCCTGGCTCGGTCTTACCGCCGGCTGTCTGTGGACCGGACAGGGTGCGATCATGATGTCTTATCCTTTGGAAGCGCGCAAGGGCCATTACTTTATGTGGTTCTGGGCCATCTTCAACATCGGCGCTTGCATTGGAGCTTTGGTAAGATCCTCTCCGGCCCGCCCGCTGGAAACTACGAGTTTGCTGACATCATTATCTTTTAAATAGATCCCTCTCGGCCAGAACATTCATCATACCACGGCAGGCAACGTCAACGACGGCACTTACATCGCCTTCATTGTTCTCATGTTTTTTGGTGCAATTCTGGGTCTTTTTGTCTGCGATGCGGACAAAATTATTCGCCCCGACGGCTCCCGAGTCATCGTGATGAAGAACCCTAGCTGGAAGACCGAGCTCATTGGTCTGTATCAGACCATTAGAACGGAGCCGATGGTCATCCTCCTTTTCCCCATGTTCTGGTCCTCGAACTGGTTTTACACCTACCAGCAGAACGCCGTCAACGCCGCTTACTTCAATGTCCGGACCCGTGCCCTCAACAACTTTCTGTACTGGTTTGCCCAGATTGTCGCTGCCGTTATCATCGGTCCTTTGCTGGATATTGAACGGGTTCGCCGTAGTATCCGTGCCAAGATTGCATTCGTTGTCTTGACCTCCCTCACGCTTGTGATCTGGGGCGGTGGCTATGCTTGGCAGAAGAGGTATGACCGCCAGGACGTTGGCAAGGGCTCGGACTTCGTTGCTTGGGATTGGACCCACTCTGGATACGCGGGCCCTATGTTCCTTTACTTCTTCTACGGCCTCTATGATGCTGTGTGGCAGGGAATTGTCTACTGGTATGTCTTCACTTTTCTTATTCCCAACCATTTGAAAGCCAGATATCTAACTTTATCTCTAGGATCATGGGTGCTCTGGGTAACTCCGGTCGCAAGCTCGCCAACTTGGCCGGTCTGTACAAGGGCTTCCAGGCCGCCGGTTCCGCCGTCAGCTGGAGCCTGGATGACCACAACGTTTCTTACATGACCATATTTGCCAGCAATTGGGGCCTCCTGATGGCATCTCTGCTATGCGCCTTTCCATTGATCTGGTTCCGTATCAAGGACAGCGTCCCCATCGAGGAGGATCTGAAGGGCACAGACGAGACCATCGAAGACGTCTTTGTTCCTGGTGCGCTCGAGACCAAACGCGTCGGCCCCGAGGCCATTTAAGACTGCATACGAAAGATTCCTTTCTCGCAGTACATAACGCGATTTAATGTTCTCTTGGGTTACGCTGGGCGGCTCTGTTAATGCGTGTTTTTTCCGGCTTTGGTTTCCTGCACCTGTCTGCATTTGATACACCCTTTTTTTTGTGTGTCCGCCGAAATTCAGGTGGTCTGCTTTTCTTTTACTTGGATCGAATTTCTTACCTTCATATGTTTCATGGACAAAATTACTCCTGTTAGGGCCTTTCTCGCTAACTTTATGTTGACACGATACTTATGTTGGGGAGAAGGTAGGCCTAAAGAAACTCAAAGAAGGAATATGAATCATGACTCATACCCACGAAACTTGAATGCCGCTCTCCTATTAAATTTTCGAAGAGTATGTGAAGCGTCTCTCATCCATGATATTAGAATATGCAAGGTCGGTGAGTCAGTGCTATGAGCCACCGAAGGCAAGTATCCCCCATGGAAACAGCGAATACATAGAACACCTCCTAACACATGGCAAAATACTAAGGAGATTCTTCTTCCGGGCTGATTGGAGGTTCTTGAGATTGATTCGAGTACCTAGCTTACAAAAGAAGCTACCCGAGCTAATAATAATGAGTCCATTTAACGCCCGCATGGAGCCAGCCTAGGGACGGCCCAAAAAACATAGGAGACACAGGATAAGTGGATATTGTGTAGGGTATTCGCACAAGCAAAGGATATTAAAAAATAAGAAAAACAAAGAAAAAAGAAACAAGAGCAACAAGAGCAACAAGAGCAACGTGACGGCAATCCCCGTGCACGATTCGTAAATTTCGTTTCCCGCGGCGTCCGATTCCTCCGAGGGAATCTGTTACCAAGGACACCGATTGGCGACCAGGATACCTCGGCGAGAAACGATAAATCAGCGAGGGAGGTATAACCAACAAAGCCCACCAGCGCAAAACTTGATGTGAGACAAAATCCCCCCCGATACGCGACCCGGGGATTGGAATCAGGTAGACACATCTATGCAGAGGTCCGCGTACAACAGTGAGCAATAGGGGCCCCGGGGGTGACGTAGCCCGCTGGAAATTTCTTGGAAAAATGTGCCGTAATTAGAGCAAAAACGTCGACGATCGCTGGGAACTCGAGGCAGGTTTTGGCGGGATGTCGCAGAGTCGTAAGATGTGATCTTGTGGAAAACAAGAGAGAAAGAAAAAGTAATGCCCAACAGGAAAGCCAGAGCCACCGAATTCAAACAAAACACAGAATCTTCAGGCCAGGCCAATTCTACTTGGTGATGAGGTTAAGATAATCGGCGACAATGAGCGTAACCATGCTGTCGATCTTGTTAGCAGTGGGTCTAAGTGGAGCGACGGGGAGGAACTAACGCGTGAGGGGCGATTCGCACATAATACGTGCCGAAACCACGATAGAAGCGCAACCAGCCCTCCTCCGCAACAACCTTGCGTGCACAATCCAAGACGCCCTTGTACGGCAACTGGCCGGTCTTGGGATCCTTCTGCTGCTTCTGCAGACGGGTCTTGATGAAGTCGAACGGCAGCGACAGGAAACTCGCGAAGAAGCCCGCGATCGCCGACGCCGCAAAAGTCTGGTTCTGCACCGATAGGTTCGTGTGCTGCTTCAGCTGCGCCTTGGACTCTGCGAAGAAGGTCAACTGGCCCATATTCAGGGCCATCGCACGGATGACGGTGGGCAGGGCACCAGACCAGAGGGCGCCGATGCCTTCGGCCCGAGGGATACGGACCAGCGCATCGAAGACGGAGCGGTAGTTCGCGCGCGCGGCAGCGGGCTTGAGGCCATCGCTTTGCATCCGGACCAGGGCCAGGTCGGCCGGGTTGCCGATCATGGCCGCAATACCGCCAGCGGAGAGACCGGCAGCGGCGCGCTCGGCAAAAGTGACCTTGCGGTTGGCGGACTCGGCGTTCGCGTTCAGAGCCTTCATGAAGGTGTCGAAAAAGCCCAGTCGGGCAGTCGTGTAGACAGCCTGGCGAAGAAGGCCGGCGGAGAGACCCGTATATAGATCGAGCACTTTGCCGGACGTGATGATCTCGCGGGTAATGCCGAAAGCTGATGGGCGAGGGCCGGTCTTTGCACCTTCGCCGGCGAGCTGGAGACGGACCTTGACCATGTCGACAGGCTGGATGACCACTGTCGCGGTCATTCCGGCCACGCCGCCATTGACGAAGGGGAGGGCGGCGCGCGTCCACGGGTGGTGTAGGAGGTCTGAGATCCGCTTATTCTTAGAGGCTTGTTTGGCGGACGATGCGGCGTTATTGGCCGTCTCCTTGATTGAATTGGATGCCATCGCTGGTAGGGTTGTGCCTGGGTCTGGGGGATTTGCGTTAGCAGGAGAGATCAGAGCGTAGCCCGTAGGACCCCAGAGGAAAGTCGTGGCAGATGAGGAGTATGACGGAGGGGAGCATTGGAAGACACCCACCACGAGTCCACGAGCGGAGATGCTGAAAGTTTGAGCAGCGAGACTGGGATCGCGTTACGCGTCAACAGATTTTGATCAAGTCTTCGGATGCAGAAATCACGGAAGTCTGCTGCGGGTGCTAACCTTGGGAACTGATGACGTCGAAACTCGGTTCCAGAAGGTTGCAGGAGTCTTCTATCTAGGAACACCAGAAATGTATACTGCGGGGAAGGTCAATGGGAGGGGTCATGTCTATATACCACAATCTAGCCCTGTGCCATCCTGGGCGACGATGTCATTGTATGACCCACGTTTATTTCACGCAACATCTCGATCCACCCGTGAACGGCCGAGCCTGAGTTCCGTCATTGCCGAGATCCTACAGCTGGGATTGTCGGACTGCCAGGGTCTGGGGAGATTGACAGCCTGAGGATCTCCAGTCTCCACTACGAAACCCCCCCGGGAACCACGAGGCCAATCAGCGCTGCGACAAGCGGGCATTAACAAGCAAGCATGGGGATCGCGGTATTCTTGGCCCGAATGCGGGGGTTAAAGCTTGTCCCACGCATGCGCAGGCAGATGAGGGGAATAGGCTATGCAAGGCAGGTTATACAAAGGCCTGTTCTCCTGCTCTAGAGGATGCAACGCCATTCTTGTCAGTCGAATATCTACTACTGGTGGGGGGCAACCCCAGACTCCTTCTAGCGCATTAAGTGTCAAATGGGTACCCACGAGCTAAAGCCGGAACCCCACTTGACATCACTAAGCGCTTTCTGCAAGCGACGCAGATGAAACCCATGCCCTTGTATTCTGCGCCTCCACGACTAACAGGACAAAAGGAAGCACTGTCACGCTATTCTGCAGCTCTTGTCTTTGCACAGCTTGCCCGGTTATTCCAAGTCGGCTATATCTCAAGAATTCCTCTTTCCCGCTCCTGTTCCCCGGGTTACCGAGGAAATGGAAGCTCCTCTGGCCCGCCAATGGCCCTGTCGGTCAATCGGTAAATGTTGATGGCTCGGTGAGGCCCAATCGGAAGTTGCAAGACAGGAACTTATCCGCTCTTCGCCCTGCTCCACTGGGAGTATCCGAGCTATATCCGTTGGGGCTTTGTCCGAAGACCGGCACTTTGGAATAGACTTCGCGGATTCCCCCACTCACGCGCTTCGCTGGCCCAACATCAGTTCGAGCTAGTCGCCTTTGTAATATCGGAGTGGGTTAGCATATCGAGATTCCCCAAGGGGTTGCTCCGCGAAGCGGACCTTCCAGGTGGAGAACTGGCCTCCGTGTCAAGATGCCGTCTCAATTGGGATCTCGGTATCTTCATTCGGCTATCTATCCGGTGGAAATGATTGAGGCCGGCAAATTGATCCGGATGGAGAGACGAGCTTGGGCCCACTGAGCTGCATCGCCGCGGCAAACCTTCGAGTCCCTCGGCTTGCCCTTGGTGCCATTCTGCATTGCGGCAAATCGTCTGTCCTGGTTCTTGAATTACAACGTAGATCAACCCTTTCCCGAGGAATTGCTCCTGCTCTGCGGTGCTCGAGACTGGATTGCTATCCTCAGCAGAGGCACCCCACGGCCGTCTCCGAAATCCGCCATATACCCCGTTGGATCATTAACGAGGGCCGCCCGTTTGCTCCCTTGTCTAGCACCTTCAACAACCAGTGCAAGTGTGTCAATACGTCAAGTTGCATAAAGTAGGTGCTTATTCGCTCCTGGCTTTCAATCAACCTTCACGGTAGTCGCACAAGGCCAAGTACACGCAGGCAATCTATTCACGGCATCAGCCCAGATAGTTAGGAGTTTCCCCTGATCCAGAGCTTCATCCCACAACAGGTTCCTCAGAACTTCCGCCACGCCGGCCCATTCCTGTACTCCCAATTCCGAGGCCGCTTCTATAAATACTGTAGCAAAGTTCTGCTTAAGGTTCTCGTCTGCAGTACAAGCTGAAGCAAGTAGAAAGATCCACAGTCTGAGATCAGGCGGCAGGTGCGGCAGGGTGCCCGTCTGGAGTGACCCCGATGCTCCAGGATGGCTTTCATAAAGCCGCCAGAGTCTGCTCGCTAGCATGTCATAGACGAGATAAGCGGGCTCTTCATTGACAATCATCAACGAAAACATAATAAGAGCCAGTCGGCAGGCTTCGTTAGCCAAGTCCGAGAACTCCACGGACAGAAGTGTATACTGGGTTGTCGTGACCAGGTGGCGGACAGTGGCTGCATCGGCCCAATCCCGTGTTTTGCTGAGCGTCTTCTTAATGCTCATGGCATCACTTAAGCTCCCAAGAGATTGCCACAGCTTAATATTCAGAGGTGTTGATGAGTCTACCGCCTCGAATCCTTTGCTATGAGGATTGCTGCTGACAACTGTGCTCGATGCGATACCTCCGTTTGAGAAGTATGGGGGCTGAACAGCATCCAGCGAGCCACAGAGATCAGCTCTGTGCGTACCACGGGGGTCAATAATCGACAAGTCAAAATAAGGGACACGATTTTCTTACCGGTGAAGCTTATTCATCACAAGTGGCTGAGACTCGAGAGCACTTAGTCCGCCACGCAAGTCAACAAGCTGCCTGAGACCCTTCATGTGGACCTCCCAGTTCTCATGTGCCCCTCGGTTCTTCTGCTCCACATTAGCCTCAAGGTCATAGTATCAATTTTAAAGGAAGGAAGTACCTCAACACAAGCCATCGTAGCAACTACCACGAGAGTAGTATCGGAAGGTATCTCATCGCGCTTGATACGCTTATTAACGATGGATATTGCTGCATTTAGATGCTTGATCGTTGCCAGACTGTTGCGCTTCCGGCCCTTCGGTGATCCATATGAGCATGTGCAACCGAGCAGGGTATGAAAGAAGGCCCTGTCTTTTAGTGCCATCTCGAGCCAGAACTGCTTCATTGGGTTCACCGAAGTGTACTTTTCAACCGTGTAAAATGCCTTCCAGCCAGTCGTAAGACCTGGGTCTCCTTGTTAGCTCAAGTTTTGATAACTACGAAGTCAACCAAGCCAATCTTACAGAATTTAAACAGTTCGTGCATAGAAGGGTCCATATCAATCGAGAAGTCGTTAAAGGGATCTGCCCCGGCGATTTCCGGTGGAGGAGAATATCGACTATAAGTGTCCTTGTCGCTGTCATTCTTTCTATCACTGTCACGCTGCTTGCGCTTCTTCGATTGCATATGATTTATCATCGCCCTTCTACGGATCATCCTGCGGGCATCTTTATCGGTGATCTTAGACTGGCCGTCCATTTGAACAAAGTCAAAGGCGCCTTGTATACCTGATAGCTCATCTTTCGCTGGGTGAGGGGTACCTATTGGGGCATTAATTCGGACCAAGCAGTCTCCTTTTGGGATATTACTTACTCCTTCGAGGCCGTCCTCTCTTCTTGGGGACCTTCACAGCAGTGTGGCCCGTCTCGAATTGGAATATGCTAATTCCATGACGTTGAGCCGAATGATCCACATTCTGTTCTCCGGCTGTGGCGCGGGCCATGATGACATTGTTTCTTTAAACTCCGGGTTTAAGCAAAAGCAGAAATAAGTCAGAGAAATTTGACCCTTTTAAGAAAGGGCCTTCGGGGCTAGCGGGCGGCGATGGGCTTGTTCTTACGTTGAGGGGGGAAAGCGCGATGGTGGCGCTAACTCGATTTGGCAATCAGTCACCAGAAATTGACCAAGAATGGAAGTGATCGTCGGGTCTCTGCTGCCTAGATGACTTGATTCTATAGCCCTGGAGTTCACTTTACAGCTGACAGCTTCGAATCTTCAGGGAAAACGGACTTAGGAGTTACAGTCAATTTGAAATGGACCAAGGTGTATTTATAAAGGAGCTACATCTCCCCGGTCCTCCACTCATCACCACAGATCATTCAATCGAAACATCAGTCCCTCCAATCCTCCACCAGTCCAACCTATAAGATGTCTTCCTTCGGCTTCGACACCACTGCCGACGAGGTCGCATCGATCTGTTCTTCCACCATCCGTGGCAAGACTGTCTTGATCACCGGAGCTTCCCCCAACAGCCTAGCCGCAGAATTCGCCCTCTCCATCTCCAAACATGCCCCAGGCCTAATCATTCTCGCTGGTCGCAGCGCCGCCAAGAACGAGCAGACAGCTGCCGAAATCAAGAAGGTCGCACCCGACGTCTCGACTCGCTTCCTCCAGCTAGACCTTGGCTCCATGGCGAGCATCCGCGAGTCTGCAAAGGAGGTCAACGGCTACACAGACGTGGACCACATCGACGTCCTCATGAACAGCGCCGGTATCATGGCCGGTCCGTACGCGCAAACGGCCGATGGCATCGAAGCGCAATTCGGCACGAACCATCTGGGCCATTTCTTGTTCACCAATCTGATCATGGACAAGCTGGTCTCGGCTGATGGCAGCAAGCCATCCCGGGTGGTGAATGTCACGAGCATGGGCCACCAATTGTCGCCTATTCGGTTCCAGGACTGGAATTTTGACGTAAGATCTATCAATTCCCCTCCAGAGAAGCCCCAATTCTGATCTCCTCCCAGGATGGCAAGGCGTATGACCAGTGGTTTGGCTATGGCCAGTCGAAGACCGCTAATATGCTTTTCTCGAGGGCTCTCGCGGCACGCTATGCTAGCAAGGGCCTTACCTCTGTGAGCGTGCACCCGGGGGCGATTCTTACGAATCTGGTCGGGAGCACTACAGATGATGACTGGGCTGCGTTGAGTAAGTACCTTCTTTTCCTCTATGCTGGGTTGAGGGCGAGGTTTATAACTTGAAACAGAAAAAATCGCACACAGCCATGGACTTGCCGATTTCAAGGCCGAATTCAAGTTTAAAACTTTCCAGCAGGGTGCTGCTACTCAGCTCTTTGCGGCATTCCATGATTCTGTTCTTGGGGAGAGTAGGTGACTTCTGCATACTGGGGTTACGCATGTACTAATTCAATCGAGCAGATAATGGGAAATACCTTTTCGATTGCCAGGTTATTGATGACGAGAGTGTCATTTCTTGGGCTAGAGACCCAATTGATGCCGAGCACCTGTGGCGACTGAGTGAGGAGATTGTGGGACAGCAATTTGGACCCTAGAATAGCTTCCCATCCTTATGGGTTCATGATTCTACTAGGGCCAGGGGGCTTGTATTTCGTCATTTACAGCCTAGTTGCTATGCTTCTACAGATGGTATAGAATATACAATCTTATAGTTCAAGGAAATTGGAAGATATCTTAGTTCATTTGGCTATCGTTGGGGGGGGGGAATCGAGGAAGTAAGACGATTCAGCCAGTCGTCAAGATCAGAACCACTGGACATAGTAAGAAATAAACAAAAGAATAGAAACCCATACATGAATCAAGATCTACTGCCATAGATCAAAGACCCAACAAAACGCAGCACGCCATGCAAAGGACACTTGTTCTGTCCGGAGTAATAGGAAAACATGCCATTTTATAAACCATCAACGCGTAACCAGCAGTCCGCCCACTTAGACCTGGGGAGCGGCAGCAAGGACCTCGGGAGTAGCCTCATCGGAGTACTTCTTGAAGTTCTCGTTGAAGAGGGTAGCGAGCTTGGTGACCTCATCCTTGAAGGAGGTGGAGGCGGTCCAGCTGTTCTTGGGGTTGAGAAGCTCGTTGGGAACACCGGTGCAGGAAGTGGGGACTGGGAGGTTGAAAGTCTCGTAGGTCTCGTACTTGGCGTTGGCGAGTTCACCGCTGTGGATGGCGTCGAGGATGGCACGGGTGTACTTGAGCGGGCAACGCTTTCCACCGGTGGTGGCACCGGCACCGACCCAACCGGTGTTGAGCAACCAGGCGTTCGCCTTGTGTTCCTTGATCTTGTCGGCAAGCATGCTAGCGTAGCGCATGGGGTGCAGAGCAAGGAAGGGCTGAGCGAAGCAAGAAGAGAAGGTAGCCTGGGGCTCGGTGACGCCATCCTCGGTACCGGCCATCTTGGAGGTGTAACCAGAGATGAAGTGGAACATGGTCTGCTCGGGAGTGAGCTTGGAAATGGGGGGCAGGACACCACGAGCATCACAAGTAAGCAGGATAATGTTGGTAGGGTGGCTGTCGCTCTTGCAAGGGATCTTGGCGTTCTCGATGTACTCAATGGGGTAAGCGCAGCGAGTGTTCTCGGTCAGGGTAGAGTCATCATAGTCGACCACACGGGTGAGAGGGTCGAAGACCACGTTCTCGAGGACGGATCCGAAGCGGATGGCGTTGAAAATATCGGGCTCCTTCTCGGCGGAGAGACCAATGCACTTGGCGTAGCAACCACCCTCGATGTTGAAGACACCGGTGTCGGTCCAGCAGTGCTCGTCGTCGCCAATCAGCTTACGCTTGGGGTCGGCAGACAGAGTGGTCTTGCCAGTACCGGACAGACCGAAGAAGACGGTAACATCACCGTTCTCACCCTCGTTGGCAGACGAGTGGAGAGTCAGGACGTTGTGCTTGACGGGCATCTCGTAGTAGAGAACGGTGAAGATACCCTTCTTCATCTCACCGGCGTACTCAGTACCCAGGATGACCATCTCCTTCTCAGCGAAGTTGATGGCGACAGAGGTGGCCGAGGTCATACCCTCAGTGAAGCGGTTGGCAGGGAAAGAGCCGGCGTTGTAGATAACATAGTCGGGGTGGAAGTGCTCAAGCTCCTCACGGCTTGGGCGAATCAACATGTTTCGCATGAAGAGAGCATGGTAGGCACGGGCACAGACGACACGCACGCGAATGCGGTAGCGCTCATCCCAGCCAGCAAACCCATCAATAACATAGATGCGGTTTCGGGTGTTCAGGTAGTCGACAGCACGCTCACGGTTGATGCGCCACACCTATTAAGAGCCGCATTAGTATATGACGTCATGCACATGAAAGCCTCGGTAACAGGGTCAAACGAAGTTTCCGGAGACACGGATCAAATGTCAAAAAGGAAAACAGGGCATGCGTAATTAAACCGTCGGGAGCAAACCCGGCGTAACACAAGCAAGACGGTGACACCGAGGCAGGCTGCCAGAAAAGCTTGACCCGTCCAGCGCATATGCAAGGGATCCTGGGGGTGGAGCCGGCTTAGAGCGGGCTGCAAGGGCAGCTTTTCCACGTAGGTCCGGCGAGTATGCAACAAGAAAAAAGACGCAAACACACAAAAATCACTCATAGTAAAGCACAGAAAACAACGCAATAATAAGAGGTGGAAAATTTTGAAAAATGGCTCAACTTACATCCTGGGTCATGGGCTTGTTCACGGGTCCCCACCAAACATCCTTCTCAGACGATTCTTCTTGAACAATACGCTTGTCTGATGGTGAGCGACCAGTCTTAGCACCGGAGTAGGCACTCAAAGCACCACTTGAGGTGATGGCAGAGCCAGTTTCGTAGACAAGGGCATCTTCGTAGAGAGCAGGGACAGCGGGGTTGGCAATCTATAGCACGTTAGCCAGTGTTCGCAAAAAGCCATCGTCGAGCCCCGATGTCTAGGAGCCGGCAGGGAGATTCTTACAATTGCCACTCGGTCGTAGTCAATGTGCGCAGTCTCGTGCAGCTCCTCCTCGAGCTCGGTGTGACCTTTGCTGGGTCTATAGGTGAGGGGAGACAATTAGCAATGCTGGGAAGTGAAGGGACGGCGAGGTCAGGGTGGTCAACATACTGGACACCACCTGGGTGCAGGGCAGTGCGGTTTACTGAAGTGGCAACCATTGTTTTGAGTGATGAGGAATGGTAGTTATTGTTACGTTGTTTCGCAACCTGTTGTTTGAAGAAATCTGAAGATAAAAAGCCAGGAGAGCCGGGGCGGTTGGGGGGTATATAATTCTTTCCAACAGGGGCCATGGTCTCAAAGATACTTGGTATGCAATAGGCTCTTCTCCACAGTACCACGGGTGATGTCGGGGGGAAGGGCCGAGCTGAAGCGGCCACCACGGTTTGTGATGAGTGAAGGGTTGCCGTGCGTTGCAAGTGGGAGGCGTAATCCGACTTGACCCGAACGGGTATGGAGGTGGACACGAAATACAGCCGGGACGGAGCAATTCCGGGAAAGTAAGGGAGGGGGGATATGATCTTCCAAGTGGAAACCGGTATCGTCTGAAAGATGAGACTGGGGATGGGATCTGGATCTTCGGGTCCGGGGGGAGCTGGTTGAAGAAATACAGAGAGCGCTGGCGGACGAACGGCAACCTACTGCAACCGGCTACAAGCCCTTCTGGTTTCATACAAGTCATTCGCAAGTCATCCACTCTGTTTCCTTTGAACCTAAGTTTTCTACAACTGTCTGTCATGGAAGATCGTCCTGTGAAAATCCCCGTGAACCATGGAAAATGACGCGCAATGATCTCACTAGTATTGTAGGTATGAAGCCTGGACTATGGGATCTAGTCCCATCACGGCAATTCGCGGGGGAGGATGACATAAGTCGATCCCAAGTGGCTTGTTCACCCTTTCATCCTCGCCAATCAAGGCCACCAAAACTTGAAGATCAAGTCTGGGTGTCTGTTCGGCTGTCTTCCCGGCAGTATCGCGTTGGAAAACTTGTATCAGCACACGAAAAGAAACTGGAACCATATGACGCACTCGGAGCCCGAGCTGGTTACCACAGGCGACTCCATTCCGTTACTCCAATAACGGCGTTTAACCAGCCGAGGATGATGCATTTGCAACAGAGATCGCGGCGGTGCGGGCCAATCAGCAGCCGCAAATTTCCACTTTTCCTCTCACGTCGGGTAGGCAGAAGGTATTGCCGCTTGGGTCCTCCTCCAACTGCCAATCACGTCTCTTCTAGTCGCTGACGATGAACCAGCGGTGTTTACGGTGCAATGGGATCAACGCCTGGCCTCCGACCTGTGGTACCTCTTGCTTCTCGATTACATTTCGTACAAACTCGGTTTCGGCCCAGACACCAATCATGAGGCATTCTCTGCTGCGATATTTTCGGGCCCTACCCGATGGGTTTTCGGTCTGGTCTGGGGGTCAAAAGAAGTGCCCGAGATCACTGGTCTCGAGAAAACAAAGCAGAATCATGAAGACCCGATCTTTCTTCGGCATGATAACTTTTCAGAATTCCAATGGGTTCCGACCGTGACCCCAGATCTGTCGGTTTTTTTTAGAGGTGGATCCCGAACCCGGTAGACATTCGGGAGAGCCTCGACTTCTCATTTTCCTTTTTTTTGCGCCATTTGTCTCAGGAACTTACGTATTACTTCCAAAGAAGGGGAGTGCTTAGCTGATCAGGAGAGTCTTTTAGTTAACTAGTTATAAAGAAAAAAAAAAACATAAGAGTTCAACTTTGGCCATAATTTACTGCGCGTGACTCGGCGTATCTGCTTAGCCATAGTAACGGTCTAGAACAAAGGGTATCGAACGCTATGGCCTTCGTTCTGCAACTTTGGTTTTGGATACGGAGTACAGAGCTTCAGATGAGGGCACCAACCCTCAGCCTTGCCGTTATCTATTATGATCCTGATTTGCCCTGGTTCGGCCCGGGATTTCCCCTGATCTAGCCCGACCAAAACTCATACCAACGGGCTTCAGGCCTGTGACATCAAGGTTGGCCTCCTATTTCACCCGTGATATGCCTCATGGGCATTCAAATTTCGACCTATCACGCCAGCCCGATCAATCGGTTAGACATAGTTTCAAAACGGTCTGGACCGAAAAGCGGAAGAATCTCAGGGGCGACGCTGACTCGGCTCCTATTTTCCCCGAAGCTCGGCGGCATGTCATGGCCTCAGCTGGCCTCAGGATAAATAGTCAGCACGGCTGTAATTATTGCCACTGGGCTGTTTCAGGCCTGACCAAGACCTTGCACGGTTGTCCATGACTCGCTCGTCGTTATCCCGAAGTAGTCTGCGAGTCCCGTTCTTCGCATAGCGGGCTTGGCTGTCTGGGGAAGCTGTCGCGTGGTGCCCCTGCGGATGCGGGGTATAAGGCCCTTGCCTCCACTGAGCAGCTTGCATGGCAATATCCTCGCCACGTCATGACGCTTCGACTGCGATGTTATTAATTCGCGCATCGCTGTAGAATGCCGTTGTTAACCGGGGTCGTATTGCGTTCGATCCAGCAAGGCCGAAAGTGCCTGAGTAACCGTGAAATGGGTTTCAAAGTTTTTAGTATAAGCAGAAGCAGGGGCTTACTTCAGTATAAGATCCGCCAGCGCATACTCGGCCTTACATATTCCAAGGTTAATAATCCTAATACCTAGCTTTGATACCCTGGAGTGCTTGGAGCGGCTCGCTGGTTCGAGACTTCTGGGATCTTGATAACAACATACCTGATGAAGACTAGTAGCCCTTTATCCAACTCAGCTTAGATATATGATGCGGGAGCCCGGGGGCCGAGAGTTATCTCACATTATATATAATCCTAACCTATTTTCCCATGATCAACTGATTTATCTCAATTCATGACATGAACCCTAGAAAACTAGCACTAGAAGAGTAAAAGCTCCTCCTTCGATGCGCCCCTCTCAACCCACTTCGTAAGAGTGTCCTTACAATCCCGAGCTACAGCCGCCGCGTATTCTGGGAGCCGGGACGGGGCACCAGCAGGCGGCTTCTTGGCTGGGTTACCAACAATCCATGCCACCGGATCCTTGTTGATTCCCTTGCAAGCGTCGCGGAGAGCCTCAACATCTTCCTGCGAGAACGCGCGCCCAATGATCACCGCGCGCGGCTGCCGACCGAAGGAGTTGGTCCCGATATCAGATGTGGGTGAGCAAAGGGGGGGACTTTCCCCCCAAGAGAAGGGGGAGCTCATCCAGCGCTCGCTCCTTAGTCTGGATGAATCGAATCACTGGGGAAGTACTTAGATGAACAGTAACGTTCAGGGACTTCGGAAGCAGCTTATCGCTTTTGTATCTCACCTTCGAATTCGGGGAGCAGAGCTTCGGATACGGGCTTGCCGACTGCTGTTGTTCGCCCGCATAGCACGACGGGAAGCGCCTTGCGAAGGGCTGCCATCTTAAGGGAGTGTAAAGGTGGTGAATGGATTGTAAGTCAGCTTGGGCGTGGTGGCAGGTACTTAAATTCAGCTATCGTTTCCATCTCGGAGCGGCCCCGCCCAGAAGGGGTACGGTTCACAATTACGGCATAAGCAGAGCTTATTTTCACCTTTTTGGCTCTTAACCCCCATTTTTTGCACAGATTCTACCATTCAAGGAGAAATATTGCCTCAAGACAATTACCGTCTATTAATACTTGGCTTTAGCTCTGGGATTGGAGCGGCTAACAGATACCACCGGGGGAGGCTTTTGGGAATCGTGGCGGCTCTCGGCGTGTGTGGAGCCCGAGCTTATGCAGGTGGAGTATCCGATCAACACCTTCAACCACACGAGTTTTTGGCCAGCGTGGGAACTACACGCGGGCGGCACTTCGTTCTAGCGTTTCTTTCACTCAGGGACCACCGACATTAAAGGCAAGATGCTTACGAAAGGACTAGTGTCGCCCAAGGAAAATTCGACCAAGTACGAGTGTGATGTATACAGCAGAGTTGAAGAGATATAATATACCACCTATTCTTGGTACGCTATCAACGCTGTTTTTCCACATGGACAAATCTGCCATTTCGAGAGCATCTTTGGGAATCATAGAAGCCTCTTTTGCTTTTCTGTACGCATTTGCCCCAAGATTGAACAAAAACATCTTGGTGGATGTCACATCTTCACTCTTTGGGCCCTTTCCGAGTCACCAATTGATACTTATTGCGTTGGCTTGTAATACCCCGGTAATATTGGAGTATCTCCTGCAATTCCATTATACAAAAACCATGCTAATCTTTCCGAACCACCTGGCATATATACCCTATATGGCCACCCCGTTGACATTGGTCGTACGTCATTGATAGATCAACCGCCTCCACAGCCTGAGCCCTATAGCATTTCCCAAGGATCAATTGATAGCACCTGCAGCCTAATCCTACCTTTAGTATTCTCACAAAGGCTCATAATAAACCCTCCAGAAATGCCGAATATAGAACCACGACCTATTACCCGCCCTCTAGCTGCCCTTGTCAAAAGAGCCAACAAACTCCGCTTCTACAACTCCCTCCTCTCCTGGCTAGACCGTAACCTCTCCTTACCATTCCCACCCCGTCCATCCCTCGAACTCACCATCCCAACGACAATCAACAAAACCCCGGGCTCAATAACGCTCTACTTTTTTACCAGCCCGACCCGCAATATAGCAACCGAACCCCCAAACCCGGCAACCCCCAAACGCCCCGTCCTCCTAAACTTCCACGGCGGTGGCTTCTCTATCGGCCACCCCCTCGATGACTCCCGCTGGGCCGGCACCGTCCTCTCCGCCTTCCCCGACTCCGTCGTCGTAAGCATCGCCTACCGCCTCGCCCCAGAACATCCCTTCCCCGTCCCGATCGAGGACGGCGTCGACGCAGTCCACTGGCTCTGGCGGCATGCAGAACACTACAACCTCGACCGCGCGCGCTTCGTGCTCTCCGGCTTCAGCGCGGGCGGGAATCTGGCGTTCACCGTCCCGCTGCGCCTGCACGAGGAACTCGAGAAACTGCAGCTGCGCGGCACGCCGCACGAGGTCACCTTAGCGGGGATTGTAGCGTTCTATCCCAGCGTGGACTGGTCGCGGACGCGAGAGGAGCGCGACGAGTCGAATCCTGTTTCTGCGCAGAAGTCGATGATCGCGCCGGGGGTATTGGACTTCTTTGATGAGTCGTATTTGCTGGTGCAGAATTTGCCGAGGAAGCCCGGATCGCGTGTTGTGGATATGAGCGATAAGTTATTGAGTCCGGGGCTGGCACCGAGCTGTTTGTTGTTGTCGGCGCTGCCGTCTTGCGTGGCTATCTATACGTGTGGGTGGGATCAGCTGTTAGTGGAGGGGAATGCGTTTCGGGAGAGGTTGAAGAGGTTTGCGGACGAGGGGAAGATGGAGTATGTCGGGGGGTTTGTGCTTGAGGAGACGGTTCATGGGTTTGATAAGAGGCCTTCGTTTTGTATGGCTAACGAGATGAGGGATCGCATGTATGGGGATGGAGTGCAGCAGCTGGGGATTATGTGGCAGTATAACAAGCTCGAGGAATAGGTAGAAATGGGCATCAAGATCTTCACATCCATACAAAGTAGGAATGAGATGGACAGGCTTCGTGATGCGACGATAGCCCTCTAGAGGTAACAGGCGAACATCGCCTTGAACCCTAATCTGCTTGAGAATACGAGGCAGATGACTCGAGTAGCGCGGGCAGATGGCTGAATCACGGAGCGGGGCGAGGCAGCGGGGTAAAGAGCAGAATTTCTCGCCGTTTTGTGCTGCCCTTTCCCCTCATCGATCCCTCGTCTACCTCCGATATATCGACCTTGGTAGTTAAACTTATTCCTTTGACCCTGTATGTTCCAACAGAGCTAGTGATCTCAGCCTTATACTAACCGACCATAGATTTACACATCCTTTTTCAGGTTGAAACTATCGTCATGTCTGCCCACCCAAATTGCCCTAAGTGCCACGCGCCTTCTTCAGGTGACAAGAAATGTGGTTCCTGCGGTGCTGTACGTTACTCCTGTTATGTGTCGAGGCTGTTGATGTCGAGGCTGTTGAGTAGCTAACTTCCTCGACAGACCTGCCCCGTCTGAGTTTGGGCATACCAGCCGAACATGGCGCAGACGAAGAGAGACGAAGAGAGACGAAGAGAGACGAAGAGACGAAGAGACGAAGAGACGAGATGATGAGTTACGTTGGTGATGCTTGGACTGCAGTTTTACCGGGTGGGATTGTGCTGGGGCATATGTTGGCATGCATTTGGAAATAGGCCGCGAATATCCAAGCACTAGGACAGGAATGCACTGCTCTAATAACTTCCTTTGCTCCATACTCTCTCGTAGGTAGGAAGGACGTATCAATTTACTATATACGAGAATGCAAATGGAGGCCGTCTGGAACTCTCACAAAGAAAAAAGTAGTACTATTTGTTCATGAACACCAAGGATATCAGCTGAAACAGTCAAAACACCATTTCTGGGGGAAGCACACGGGATTCCCGTATCTTTCTCTGCATGGCTCGTACTCTACTCGAAGGACTCAAGTCACTTGCTGGGTATACATGCCCCTCTCACAATCCCAGCAAGGGAGAGAGGCTTTCACGAAACATTCTTTCAGTCACGACTATCGCCCCTTTGTTTAGGCGGTCTTGCGCCACTGCGACCAAACGCCGATCAAACTGCTAACGGTACCGGCGATACCAACGATGCCGTCGTCGAGGTTGAGCAGGCCGATGGCTGAGGCGGGAATGAGCAGATCAGCGAAGTCAGAGACGAGCTGCACGCGGGCGGCGGCGCGCTCCCTGTAAGACTGAAGTTAGTACTTTCATCCGAAACAACGCCCCATCCCAAATCCCAAATCACGTCACGAGTATAGACATACTTTTCAATCTTCTTGGCCTCGACAACACCCTCACCCTCCTTAAGGTCAAGACTCTTCTCCCTCTGCTGAAGCTGGTAAAGGCTGTAAATACCGGCAGCGGCGCTGAAGGCCAGGCCGGCGAACCAGGAGCGGTAGGCAGTCTCCTGGAGACGCTTGACAGACTCCAGCTTGCGGTAGCCCACGGCGTCGACGACGGTGATCGCATCGACGGTCAGGTAACCGGCATATCCGAGCTGGCGGCCAACCGCCAGGTAGCGCAGCACGGGGTCGATGGGGGCCTTGTTGTCCAGGGCGACAGAAGCAGCCTTCAGGTGCTCGAGAAATTTGCCGAACCGCATGAGCTTACGGGTAGTTCCGAACTGCTTCTTGACGGCATTGTAGGGGTCGATGGCCGATTGCGGCTTGTTGGTGCGGTACAAGTACCAGGCGTAGAAGCGGGAGAAGTACTGGATGGTTCGGAGGAGCTTATCGCGGCCGACTGTGCGCGGTAACTTCCGTTAGCATTTCCGGTCGGAGTCCTTTGCGGGGAGGGCGGGATTCTATGGGGCATGGGGCTGGCGATGCATCATGGGGTTCGCCCTGAATCTGTTCTTTCGCACCAAGGAAGGGGTATCTTCCTTCTCTTGGTGATTCACGTACCGGTGGTTGAGACGAACTTCAGCCAGTGCGCAAGGGCTGGATGGTAGACAAGGGCGTCGGCGACCATGGTGGCTCAATTCCCAATCACGGCGATGCGGTGGTCTAGGTTCGGACAAACGGATCCGAGAGGGAGTGTGAATGGAGCGGAGGAGAATCTGGGGAGACCCGAGATGTTAAAAAGAGGTTAGAGACGTCGAAGGGGGATGGTGATGGGGAGACTCCGGTAATTGAACTGACGTCTGCTGTTTTCCGCCGGAACGGACCTCGGCTGAAGTAGCGCCTTTATTTGGTCGAGTCCCGGGTTCGTGGCGTCTGCGTATTCCGGGCTTGTTGCATGTGAAATGCTTGTTCCTTCGTATTTTCTGATCTTCCCGTGGTATATATTGGCTATTTGAACTCACGTTTCCAAACCCCTTGTCTGGCAGAATCTGAAAATGCCATTCATGGCGTGCGGTGCTCTTCTCTCCCGGCCGGTTTTCGTTCCGCAATTGCATACCTAGTTCGGCAAATGGAAGCTGTTCCCCAATCTCACGATGTTTCCACTCCAGAGAGAAACAACCAATGCTTGGGTGCTGCTCAATTTAGTAACTAGCATTAAGGGCTATTTCACCCAGGTCCATCCACGCAGGGGGCCCTTAAATGATCAGGGGAAATCTACTGGTAGCTCAATGATAATGGCATTTCCGAACAATTATTAAATTAATCCAGTACCTGCGCACAAGTGAGTTTCATCTTCAAGCAATATCCTGCTGGTATTTGACCAGACCAGCAATGGATGCCTCTATAAGTCCATTCGACCATTCCTATTGTTTGCCTTATCGGAACCGAGCCGTATCTACTTGATCGAGGGGTTGCTTGGGCGCGAGGACAGTCGCATAGGGGGTTTGTGTTCCGGCGGGATTGAGGGCTTAGGCAATTCTGAACATGGGCAGTTTGATGAAAGATCATTATAGGGCATCGATAGAGGGGGCTTAAAAAGGCGCGGTCGAGGGCTAGTTCGCTGAAACGCCCATGGAAGTGGTATCGTAGCCGTGTTCCTCGAGGTAAGCACGGAAGCGCTCGTCTTCGTGGGTGATGGTGTCTTGGTTGATGGTGGGCAAAAGGAAGAAGGCCACGACGGCGCTGAAGATGCATAGGGCGCTGGAAATGAAGAAAGGGTGTTGACCCTTTTCGACCGGGGTATGGGCGTTCTTGACAGCAATCGGAAGCACATAGGTGCCCACAAATGCTCCGATCTGCCCAAAGCCGCAGCATAGGAGTAGTATTGACCACGGATGGCGGTTGCACAAGTTTTAGCCGCACATAAGCCGATATTGTCACCAGGGCCAAACTCGCCGAGCGCAAGGAAGACACTGTGTGGATTAGCGATTTACGCGAATGCCAATTTCCAGACTCAACTTACCCGTAGACAACAATGAAAGCTCCCATATACTTCTCAGTCGCAAGCCACTCGTAACATCCGGACATGATGAAACCGACAATGCCCTGGAGACCCACTCCGATGGCAAGAGTCATCTTGGGACCGATCCAATCACTTGCAAATGCTCCCAGGGCAGAGCCGGGGATGTAAAACAGATAGATCAGAGTAGTCCAGCCGAAGGTCTTCCACAGGGGCGGAGAGTCGCCGAGGATGAGAGTCAGGAACTGAGACGAGTACAAACCGAAGGAATAGGATGAAAAGTCATAAACAAACCAGATCAGCGAGACAACGGACTACGATAACGTCAGCGTACCAGAGGTTGGTCAGAGAAGCAGTCGATCCTTACCAGTCGCCACCAATAAAACTTGATGATGAGCCATATCGGGAACTTGGCCATCTTTTCACGCTTGAACTCCTCCGGTTCGTCAAGCTTCAGTCGCAGATAGAGCAAACTCAGGGGGGGGATGACACCAAGACCCAGTGCCATACGCCAAGCAGCACGAAGATGATCCTCGGTGAAAATCAGACATAAGATCATGGGGACGAAAGCAGAAATGACAAAGGCAAAGTCGATCTGGAAGTTGGTGAACATGATGAACCATCGGTTGCGATGACCTTCCTTCAGCTCTCCGGTATTTTCTGCGCAAGAAACCGAGCCGGCCGGATATTCACCACCGATACCGATACCGATAAAAAATCGGTAGGCCGTCAAGGCAGCGAGCATGCCTCCTAGACTGTCATTGTAACCGTACGACCCAGCCGCGAGAGCAGCAAATATGAACAGGATCACAGTTGAGATAAAGAGGGACCATTTGCGAGACCAGTGATCACTGGTCCAACCAAATACCAGCATGCCCACAACAGTACCAGCAAACGCGATAGCCGAGACGTTCTGACTGGCCGTAGAGTCCGAGTAGGCGTCGCCATAGATCTTCCCGAGCATGGTGTTCACCTGGCCAATGACCTGTAATTGGACATTAGTATCATTTCACGCGGTGTTCCCAAATTGCGTGGCCCCACGAGAGTATATTCCAGGCCTTACTTGCGAGCAGATAGGAGTAGGTAGGGGCTACTTACGCCATTGAGATATCCGTCAGAGAAAAGACCAGCACCGCAGGCAATAGTGGGCCAACTACGTTCCCAGCGTCCTTTGGGCACTTGATCCAGCGGCACGAGTCCGTCCTCCATGGGACGAGGATCCTTCTCTGAGGAGACAAAAGTTTCCGGCTCCGTTTTCTCCGTTTTCTCCATTGTAGACTTGCGTTAGCCGTGATACTTCGAACGGTATTGCGGTGGTGAGCTCAAATAAAACGGGCAGACAAAATGGGATGTTATGAAGTCTTCTGGGTCAATGGGAAGAGAAAACTTCAAAACTTCGCCACGAGAGACACAAGCCGTTAAGTGCAAATCACTGTGCCACCCGACGAGCGCGCTGTGAACTCGAGCGTCTCAAGGAAAAAGGACGCGGCAGGAGGGGTGGGAAGGAAAATAAGTACGGCGCTGATCGAAGGAGATCAGACGATAGCGAGGAAAAAACAAGATATTAATTTAAAGAGAGAAAAAAGAGTTCAACCGAGGGACAGCACTTGCCCAGATGGGCGTTAGGAGTCCGGCCCTAACCTGCGTTCTCCTAAAGTAAAATGCGGGATAGCGGGGGCGCTTTTCCATCCTTTTCCTCCTCAGCATCGACCTGCCCGGTTCAGAACCAGCTCAGCCAATCAGGAGAGCTCTTTCTATCAACACCCCGCCCGGTCATACCTTCTCTTCCTTGCCTGAAACAATTTGAACAGTGCCGACTATGGACGGATGTGAAAAATAATCCGATCTGATCATAATCGGATCACCGACGCAGCCAAGCTTCGGGATCTCCGCGCCGTCAAGTCCGTGGAATCTTGGTAGGGCCAGCTTCGATCTGTGTCCAACACATTCCGCACGTGGGCCGGGCTGAATCCACCTGGGGCGCACAGGCACTATCCACTCGGGCTTATCCACTTATCCAAGATCCCAGGCAAAACGCGGCAACCTCAGGATGGGCTTGGGAATTTTCAACCCAGATTGGGGATCCCTATTCCCAATCTCCTGAATAAGTTATCCGGGTATTTGGTCGTCTGGGCTCTGTCGATGCGCCGCCAAAAAATTGTAGGAAATATTCTTCGTAATTCATAGAAACACGTTGCCTTTTTAGGACTCTCAGCGCAACCTGGACAAGACAGTTGGACAAGATGGTATTTTGGCACCATCGTCCCGAGTGCCATTGAGTTCACATGTTCAAATCGGTTGTTCGAAGCAGCCAAGTCTTTTTTAGTCATGTAAACTCGTTGACCAACTAACCACGGCTCCCAAGAGCTTAGAAGAAGGCGTATGAGTCGCACGCGACCACTAATGATGCCCAGAAGCGAACTAGAGGCAGGTGGGAGTGGGGTGCGTTCTTCCAGAAGCCTGCGTCCAAATGCAGAGAGATCAGCATGTCATCGGGCAAATCAACGGAAGAACAGACGCTTGACATGCGACTATGCCGGTGGACACACTTTGACTAAACGGGTATTTTTAGTGCCTTATGTTATAGGCACTCAGCATCCGGCTTGTGCGAGCCTCAGGCATATATGATTATGTCATCACTCAGCTAAAGCTCCAGTTGTGAGCCAGCTATGTGATGCATCCGAGCCAGGTCTTCCCCCAAAGTCATCAAAACACCTTCATCCACCCTTCCCCGAATATCCTTCCTACTCGCCGCCCCGATCCTAGACCCGTCCCGCCATCATGGGATCTGATCCACAGTACATCAAGTACCCCGACCTCCTCCTCGCTCAACATGTCTTCAACCTCTCCAACCCTGCATGCGCCCCAGCTGTCCAGCAATCTTCATTGAAGAAGCTGCAAGATGTCATCACCGAGCGAAAGATGGCCCCCTTCTACCGCCATCTGGCTCACCCCACGGAAGGAATTTTGAATAATGTCGGCGAAGGTACTACACAGCATCCTCAGAATGGCTCCTCCAAGCCGCTTCTTGCCTCGAACATGCTTGCCTCACGAAAGTCGCCACAAAAGATCGATTTTCCATGGGATGAGAAGCTCTATCAATCTCTGGTAGAGGACAACAAGAAGGAGTTGGATGGATTCCAGAAAGAAGAGGATGATGCTGAGGAGGCTGCTGGTGAGACCGAAGTGCAGGCCGCACGAGGAAAGCGAGCTGAGTTCTGGGCTCGCGTGGGCGACAAGGTAAGAGCTTCCATGGCCTCATAATGTACTTCAGCTATCTGACGCAGTATGTGTATTGCAGGACAAGGCTATCGAGTCGCACGAAGCACTGCTTGAGAAAACGGGGTTTCTGGGCACCAAGATTGACCTCGTCCTTGCTATGATTCGGATCGGGCTGTTCTTTGGTGATGCTGCTTTTGTTAAGAAAACTATCGAACGGGCAGAGACCCTCGTGGAGAGCGGTGGTGACTGGGACCGGAGGAATCGCCTAAAGGCCTACAAGGGAATGCATTTGCTCACAGTTCGTGCCTACAGCGTGGCGGCGCCTCTCCTCCTGGACAGTCTGTCGACATTCACGAGCTACGAACTCTGCAGCTATTCTTCTTTGGTGATCTACTCAGTATTGGCCGGCTCTTTGTCTCTGAAGCGTGTGGACTTCAAGGCCAAGGTGGTGGATGCCCCGGAGATCAAGGCTATCTTGGGTGCCGGGGAAGACCGTCTTGCTGCTTTAAGTGGAGAGGTATCTGCAGGTCCCGGTGCTCGTGAGGAAGAGACCAAGGATGCGACAATCTCGCGATCAACACCCGGCTCCGGCCCCAAAACCGCGATTAATCTCACCACCTTCAGTACTGGCTCTGCGGAGCAAGCAGAGAACGAAAGCCCGGTGGATTTCTCTCCATTGGCCGAACTGGTCAACAGCTTGTACAACGGCAACTACCGCTCATTCTTCCTGGCTCTCGCCGCGGTCGAGGATCAATTCCTGACCCAGGATCGCTATCTGTACGAACATCGGGCATGGTTCGTCCGTGAAATGCGTCTCCGCGCCTACCAGCAACTCCTTCAAAGCTATCGTGTGGTGGGATTGAACGGCATGGCGAGCGACTTCGGTGTGACAGTTGATTTCCTTGACCGGTATGTTCCCCTTAACCCGTCAGCCTTCAGTCTTTCTTGTTTTTCCTTTTCTTTTTTCCTTTTCTTTTTCTTTCGTCGGTAACTAATAAACCGACAGCGACTTGGCCAAGTTCATCTCTACCAACCGCATCTCCTGCACCATCGACCGGGTGAACGGTATCATCGAAACCAATCGACCCGACGATAAAAACAAGCAGTATGCGGATGTCGTGAAGCACGGCGATGCCCTGATCACCAAGCTCCAAAAGTATGGTCAAGCTGTCCGTCTGCGTGGAAGTGAACGCAGTTGAATCGATTAATCTCAGTATACCAATGGCAACCATGCCAGAGAGTAGTCTCTTCTTAGCATGAAACCAATAACTAGAATTTGACTCACGAATTGTACAATGCCAACGCATTCGCCGGACTCTACATAAGTTCCCCGGCACTCGGATGACTCCGGTGGCGACAGAGACTAGGAGATCGCCGGGGAAAGACGACCCTGTGATCGGCTAGCTCGTGTTAGATGTAAGCGCCGGTACAAGTACAATTCGGCTCAGCCCAAGTGTACAACCTTAACAGCCTCAGTCAGTATAGATCTGAGTCATCTCTATCTTCTCGTCCGATAAGCCCCCCGCATTCTATTTTTTCTTCGAAGGTTCACCGGCGATAATGCTGAGTCACTGCGTTCACCGCCCCGTCCCTGATCCGATTATTTTTCTTCTTTTTTTCTTCTTTGCATCCCTGTAAGGACTGTGTGCCAACGCTTGTCGAGTTATTTGGGATTCTAGCAGAGGGCTCTTTGTGAAGGAGTCGATTCCATCATGTCCTGGCAATTTAAGCTCGCATCTACCCTGCGGGCATCACCGAAGACCCGGGTCACTCAGCCGCAAAGAGTATTCCCGATCCTACTTTGCCCGGGAAAGTCTGCGGGGTTCTCCGCTTGCTTAGGTACGTGGCTGTCGTATACAGATTGGGCAGTCAGCGTTCCACTTCGATCAGCAACTAGTCTGTGACTGGCCTGTGACTGGCCGCTCTTGCCGCCCGTTCCTGTCCGTTCCTGCCAAAATATTCACCCCCGCAGTCTTCCCCTTAAAACCATCGCCCGTTGCCAATTTGATCTCACTAACACTGCAGGGGTTCATCCAGCGCCCAAAATGACTCGGACTATTTCCACCCAGCGCATGTCTCTCGACAACATCAATCCCTCCGTCAAGCAGGCTAAATATGCAGTGCGGGGTGAATTGGCTGTCAAGGCTGAAGAGTACCGCGCGCGCCTCGCAGACGGCGACAAGTCACTTCCCTTCGATAGCGTGATCTTTGCCAATATCGGCAACCCTCAGCAGCTGGATCAGCAGCCTATCACCTTCTTCCGCCAGGTCCTCAGTCTCGTTGAAAACCCAGTGTTGCTGGAGAACCCGGACGTGCTCAAGACCGCATTCGGGTACAAGCAGGATGTACTGGACCGAGCTAAGGCCTTGCTGGCGGCCGTCCAGAGTGTTGGTGCCTACAGTCACAGTCAGGGTGCCCCCGGAATTCGGGAAAGTGTCGCCAAGTTCATTGAGGAGCGCGACGGGTTCCCCGCCAATCCCCAGGACCTGTTCCTGACCGGGGGTGCTTCGTCAGGCGTCAGCACACTCCTCAACATCATTTGCGACGGTCCCAAGACCGGCGTCCTCGTCCCCATTCCTCAGTACCCTCTGTACACTGCGACTCTAGCACTGTTGAATGCCACCTGCGTCCCATACTACTTGGAGGAAGATAAGGCATGGGGGACCGACGTCAATGCGATCAAGCAGTCTATCAAGGACGCCAAGGCTGCCGGCACCGATGTGCGCTCTGTCGTTGTCATCAACCCCGGGAACCCTACCGGTGCCTCGCTGACCGCAGACGATATCAAGCAAGTCATTGATATCGCTGCCGAGGAGAGCTTGGTCATCATGGCCGACGAAGTTTACCAAACGAATATCTTTATGGGAGAGTTCGTTTCCTTCAAAAAACGCCTTCGTCAGCTGCAGCAGGAGGTCCCGCAAGTACGATAATGTGGAGCTGGTGTCCATGCACAGTACCTCCAAGGGCATGGTTGGCGAGTGCGGCCACCGTGGCGGATACTTTGAGTTGGTTGGCTTTGATCCCTTGGTTCAGGAGCAGATCTATAAGCTTGTCAGCATCGGTCTGTGCCCACCGGTTGTTTCGCAGTGCTTGCTTGAGACTATGGTGAACCCACCAAAGGCTGGCGAGCCTAGCTATGAGCTGTACGACAAGGAATATAGCGGCATCCGTGATGGTTTAGCTCAGCGTGCCCTCGCCCTGTATGATGCCTTCCAGCGTATGGAGGGCGTTGAGTGCCAGAAGCCCCAAGTATGTTATCATCCCTTTCTTCACTCCTAAACTATTCACTAATTGTGACCTCCAGGGTGCCATGTACCTTTTCCCCAAGATCGAACTGCCCGCCAAGGCTGTCGAAGCTGCCAAGGCAGAGAATCGTGCCGCTGATGAGTTCTACTGCCTGCGCCTGCTTGATGCCACTGGTGTCTGCGTGGTCCCTGGTTCTGGCTTTGGTCAGAAGGAAAACACCCTTCATTTCCGTACTACCTTCTTGGCCCCTGGTACCGACTGGGTCGAGCGCATCGTCAAGTTCCACTCCGAATTCATGGAACAGTACCGTTAAGATCGCCTGCGATTACAAAAAGCTGGGTTCAACCCACGCTCCTAAAAACTTCCATCCATCTCATGCGCCACATGAGATGAGCCTCCGACACCTACTTCGTTCTGGGCTCTACCTTTCTCTGATACCCGACAGACCGACCCCCACCCGATGGAGACAGGTCTGATATCATTAATCATTGATATGGTCTCGCGTTGACTTCACCCTCCTTCTGCATACGGGTTATACAAATTCCGGTGTTTATATCCATATTGGTATTAAAGGCTGATTAGAGTAGAATGCATACTGCTTCATTGCATATAAAACTGGACTGATACTACCAATGTATCGTATCGCTGCCTTCGATAAGCTTTCTCCCCAGGTTCTATAGCTTCGGATAGTGGGCGTTGCTATTAGTAGACACTGAGAAGACATTACACGTGAATACTAATATCCTGTTCCCAAAAACTTCTCGGACAAGAGAATGACTCTACTTCAACCTTGGGAGTATAGTTGTATAATAGTAATCGGAAGACTAAGCTTCCCTTATTTCTACTCGCAATTTGAACCCTGGTGCGTGCGAACGGTTCTTTTGCAAGTCAACTTAGCCATGCAGTACTTGGCAACTCTGACCCCTGCTCATAATAGTTGCAGTAAGTGCGCTTAGGGAAGCTCTCATTAACAAGCAATTACAGAAAGATCAGTGCGTTTGATCCGAGCTGTACCCACGGATCTCCTCAACATTCCAGCCCCGATGCCGACTTATCCGAGGTCGCAGACGAGGATTGAATAACCGTCCATTCTTGCTACGTGATCAGTGCATGTCATCTCCCTTGCATAGGACGCGAAGGATAGTCGTCGGATTTACAACCTATGAAACATTACATCACCGACTGAGTAGACGGAGCAATCATTGCGTACATATCTTTCGCTGCTTTGGGACGATCCTGCTCAAGTTACTTCGTTCGATTGACATAATGAAAAGGCTTTCTATTCAGTCTCATTCGGTGCTGTCGCGGACCGCTGGATGCATCGGAGCTTGTCCTAGTGAGCTGCGTTTTTTGCATGATGCGATTTTCTACTAGTACCGGTCGACGGTACTATATCCAGGTGCGTCATGTATTATTCGCGCGAGTAACGACTCCGCGTTGCAGTCAAGATAAGCTTCAGGCGCCAAGCCAAAGATCACTGCACTAAAGATCTCGAAGCCCATTATTTCTTCTTTTGCTTTCCTAAAACCTCGCTCAGAGCCTTGGCTTACGACTTGCTGCAGATGACCGCTATGATCGCAGTACTAGTAGAGCTGAGTTCATCGCTTATGCCGCTCTAAAGCACCTCTATGCAGGCGACTCTGGGTCCTCCCCCCGGTATCAGAACAGGTGTTGATCTCAGACGTATCAAATCCCTAGTCTCCCCGCACGTAAAATGATATCATGAAACCCTTACCCAAGCGCAGGTCAGATGCGCCCCCAACGATGGTTTGGGGAATTTACGATGCTTATTGCTCCTGCAGATCTTGCCAGGAAACATCAAACTGTACACGTACCACCCTGCCCAGCATACGTAACGAGCTTGTAGCATCTCGTACCTTTCCCATGCTCATGCTCAGGTAAAGCCCGCCTGACCTCGCGGGAGACCAGACCTCCCACTTGAAGTATATCGAGACAAAATATCTCCCCGCCACATCTCCGCGCTGAAAGTAGCGGTGAGGGTAGACCCAGAGACCCTACCACATCTCACGATCAAACCGAGCAGATCCCCAACTGTACCAACACAACCCACAAAGGAAAATGTCTCCTGACCCCACGCCAGATCCAGAAAACAAACCCCGGCCTTGGGGAAATCGGTGCCCCCCCCCATACCGACCAGCCCAAATACCATTCCAGCAGCACCGAGCCCCCACCGTCATCCCTCCCAGCTAAACCCCCCGCCACACAATACTCATACAGAAACCATACGTAAGGAGCTCGTAAAAGCGGCGTACGATTGAGTCCGCGTTCGGATGCACATGTGCTCATGCATGCATACCAAGCCTTTCCACGATCCCGCGTCTTACCATACCGGTGTGCTCCGCGGAGGCTTGTTTGGGGTTCTGTGGACGAGAGACTCGAGCACAGGCCTTGGCTAATGCTTAGCCCTGCAAGGGTGGTTGTCGTGTGCATGGGTTTCAGGGGTTCTTTGGTAGGTGGTTCGACGGTTTGAGTTGGGGGCTCTGGGTCTCGTTGGATATTCTTTGTAGGATTACTACGAGTAGTCACTAGTCAGGCAAGTATGGCTAGGGGGGAAGGGGGGGCCTTTAGAGCATGTTTACAGAACTATATTAGGGCTTCGAAGCACTGCTCAATTTCCTTGAATCGTGACTATAAGATGATATATCACCGGGTGAAGTGACAGGGTCAAACACATCAAGGGGATGATATATTATGAGCACTCGAGTGAGGATTTGAGAATTTGAGATGCACGGATCTCTAGGACTAGGGTCCAAACACCGTTCGTGCTGACTGAGACAGATGTCAGATCCATTGCGCATGGTTATGCGTCACCGCTAACTTGACATTACGTTGAAAATGAGGCAGCCAGGTTTTGAGCTGGGTCGGTTTTTGAGTTGTATGATGTGGCTAATTCTGAATGTAGAGTTCTGGAAGGGGGAAAAAGGTTATCTCGAAACTCGAGGAGCCAAATGACGTCTGTTTGTCAATGCAATGTCGTGAAATGACCTGGCTGCATCGCGGATTGGGATCTGCGCTACATCTCTCGTAAGGGCGGGGGTTGAGAATACGCTACGAGGGAATTTACAAAGACTCTAGGACGCATACGAATGCAGTGATTCAGCAGTCTGAATTGCCATGTCCCATTTTGTATTTAGATACGGACTAGCGTTCATTGTACAACATAAAACACACGGTCTATACAGCGGAACAACAGCACGAAGGTTGTCCGGCGTCCTGAACACCGGGACGTACCATCGAGCAAAACAGGACCACAGACCTTCTCTAGATTCGGAGGTATCGTAAAAGATCTAGATTGGCTAGTTGAAAGTACGAATCAAGGCATTTATCATCATCTCTCATCAGGGTCATAATAGACGGTGTGGAGGTGGTGGCAATGCAGCAAGCGGAGACACGAAGGATGATTATTTGATATCGAGCCCGCGTGCTATTGCGTCCAGGACTGACGGAAATAGCTTGAATCCATCGGCGGCGTCGAATCAGCATCGAAAAGGCCGGCAGGCCAGATAGGGATCGTATCGTTGGCAGTGGGTGCGGAGTACATGTCTTGCTGAGGAGCGGACTTGGCTTCCATTCCCATGTTGGCCTGCAGCTGGTGCTCCAGCGCGGCCGTCGACTCATTGGCGGACTTGAGGAAATCATCGATGTTGATTGACTCAAGATCATTCGACGACAAAAGTTGCGCTTGAGGCAGGCCGACCAATGAAGAAGCAGAGCTGATCCGAAGTTGGTCCATGTCCGAGGCTTCGCTCACGCTGTGGAGATCATGCATGTCATTGCTACCAGCGTGTCCCAGACCGGGAAGAGGGCCAAAGTCGTCCGCTTCGGAAATATCCCCCGAGGACGACGGGGGCTGGAGGCCTGAGGGATACGAATTGTAATCGAAACTGGCGTACGACGGGGTCTGGTTGCTCGTAGTCGCGGGGGCCTCGGAGTAGAGCGGGAAACTTGACCAGTCCACCGACGGCGCGCCCATGCCAGATGACCCGATCGGCATCTCAGAGTCCGGAGACGTAAAATACTGGTCTTGAAAGGGATCCTGGAATGCCATACAGTTGATAGGCGAGTTCGAACTCGTCGTAGGAAACGAGGTAAAACTCGAGACATCGAGAGGCGGAGGCACGCTAGTCATGATTTGCTCCAGAGGGAATTTGTCCATCGTGGCTGGAGCAGAAGTCGGGTTGGGCACCCCATCTGTAGGCTTCTCGGGAGCGGTTTGAAGATTGGGAGGGGTGAAATTATCCAGGAAGACTTGGTCTAAGCTCGGGGTTGAAGTGGGTGTATCGTCCACGCCCGACGCAGGAGCACTATTAGGAGAGCCCTGCTGGGATGGTTGCTGCGATTGGGGCAGAGGCTCCATCGAGAGTGAGAGAGGTTCTTGGACAAAAGGAGACTGGGTCAAAGGGAGGTGGTCCACCGAACGGCGAGATACGTCGGTCGGGTGGTGGATGGTATGGGATCGTGGGATTGTATACGGCAATCCGCACTTGTGGGCCATGTCATTATGCTTATGGGCGGGCTTATGGTGACCGTCCCGGAAGATCGTCAGCGTCGACTCAGACTTTGTCGACGTGAGGGGGGGCTTCCGCGGGAGCTCGGCAGGAACCGACGGTTGAGAGATGGGCAAGCCAATCTCGGGGACGGGGTCTAGATGTTCCTTTTTCAGCGCGCAGGTACAGCGCTGGCCGTGGCAGCAGCCACAGTGATGGGGATCCTCTGTATATTCGCATCAGAATCAAGGGTCTAGGGAAAACCAGTGCCATTGCTCACTCAGATCGCGTTTTTCACCATGACCGTCGGACGAGTCGGACTTCTTTTTCTTGTCGCCGCACTCGCACCTGACGTGAGTGGTTCGAGACTTGCGTAGACCGCGGCAGTGAGTACATTGAGAGACTGGGCGGCCTTTCTTATTGATGTGGGTCAAAGGGCGGTCTATGACCAGATCGTTAGCGTGCTGCGGTTACCCGAGGCTTTAAAGATCGACCTACCACTGTGGTGACAGCTGCTAACCCGGTGACCCCGGACGCAAGCTTCACAAGCCCACTTCTCACCATCTATTAGCATCGCGAAGGGCTACTGCGAGGCACACATGCGATGAATCGCCAGATGGTAGGAGCGTCGAGTAGGAGTAGAATTGGTATAGAATAGATGCGGTCCAAAGGACTACAAGAGCCGTCAAGGCTAGGATAGGTTCGCCTCCTTCGAGAAGAGCGAATCCTAAGGTCGAATCGAACAAAAGGGTATCTCGGGGTATCAAAAGGACTCCCACTGCGCCGGGGAGTACGTCACAGAACGCCGATCCGGCAGTATAAGGCAGATGGTGTTGCCACTGAGGGTCGCACTGTGAAGTTCGCGAGGGGCGCGACCGAACGAATAGATTGAGGGGGAAAACGAACAAAAAAATTATGGAATTGGCGGCGAGGAAAAGGGTCGAGGTGGCGGAAGCGGGAGGTATAGTAAGAGAGGAAGGGAGGCAGAGAGGAGATGGGGGAACTCAAGGGGGACCAAGCCTACGCACCGTTTGGCGCCGGCCGTGAGACAGGACACCAAGTACCGGTAGTGGCGGCCAAAACAAAGCGATCAATATAGAGAGTTGGAGGAACACCCTATACATAGAAGAAGGGAAGGGCCTAAGAGAGGGAGGCGAGGGTTAATAACGGGAACGGGATTTTCACACTGCGTCAGTGGTGGCTGTGGTTCGCCGGAGGGAGGCACAAGGCACATCTTTACCAACTTTACCTGCCTCTTACGCCCATTACAGGACTGTGACCGTAACTTTTCCATCCTGGCGCTTTGCCCGTTTCAGTGGCCCTTTGCCCCGTACTTCCCGTGCGCAGAGATTCTCAGGTTTAGCTGGCCTGCTCGGGGACTGCGTCAGGTTATGCACATCCTGACTCCGATGGTCGATGGGTGGACTTCCGTTCGAGAAACTGAGGGAAACCCCGGTAGATTGTTCCACCAGAGTTATCACAATGTTTCTATTTGTCAAACGCTTCCATTGCTACTGCGACTCCGTTTTAGACATTGTACTCCTTGGACCAGTCCCGTATCTGTTGTCCACTACGTGGCGGTCCCACCAACACTGGGTCTCTCGATACAGTGCGGGTTAGGGTTTCAATGACCCATACTATCGCCGACCAGGGTTTGGGGCTAACACGTTTGTTCAGATTAAGATTAGTAGTGGCATTTCCCAAAATCAAGCACGCTGGTTCAATTAAACTGTTGCAAACAAACCCACGAGAGCCGCCGTGTCCCCAATGCTGCTACCTTGATTCGCCAACCTCGCCGGCCCCACGAGGCAACGATTCCATATCCCGGAAGGCATCAAGACGGCATGTTCTGCAGTGTAGATCGTAAATAATGGAGCAGTCTTCGAAGACGCAAAGCAAATAACAATTCAAGAGGTACATCATTCTACGGCTTTTATCCGAGGATGGTTGACCCAAAACCCTCGCGCATTGGCCTTACGAACTGGAACCCCACCAAAGGATGGAGGTCGCTAGTGAAATCTGGGGCCGCATATCCATCCTTGGCTATCCCAAACCCCCCCCCCTGCGAGAGAGACTGTTTCAAGGTCCAGTCCTGTGTAGAAAACCCCCAATTCGCGTGTCGACAAAGACTCCCGGGTCCCAACTCCGGGGAAAGGAGTCTAGGGCCTCGCACCTGAAGCATGGCGCTAACCCCATACGCGCACCCTACATAACCCGGAGAATCTTCTCAGATCCCTGCAAGGCGCACTGGGGCACGATCACCATTGGCGGAGTCACCGCTGTATGAGACCGGCCAAGGGTTGCCTGAATCCTGGGGCTTGCAGCGGAATCGATTTCCTCTAACGTTCACCCAAGACGCCATGGAAATTTCCCTCCCGAAACAAAGCACGAGTCAAAACGGGGTCGGCAGGACCAACAAAGTGCCCACGAACCGCTGGTCAATTTACAGGCACGGTACAGGACTGCGTGTCATAGCGTCGTTCGCGCGGTCCCAGTGTCGTCAGAGGTTCTGCTTCGGGCGGCTTGCAGGGCCAAGTTTGGCGCCGGCCAGTTGGTGGGCCCTGATCTGCATCTGCAACTAAGAGGCCGCAGAGCCAATCGCCGCACCTTAGGGAGTGGATTCCGGTTTCTGAGGGCTTACCGTGACGGTACGCGGGAGGGGGGCCATTGTCGAACCCAATCAGCTCTGCGCTCCACTGGAATCGAAAAAGGCACGAAATACGATCGGGATGCGCCTTACAAATGGCGTTAGTCTTGTCGAGCTCGAATTGTTCATTGGATTCATGTTGCCCGATTTTGCCCTCTGTCACCGATCCCTGTAGGGCTTGGAGATTCAGCATTGTACCGGAAAATTTAAATTGCATTAGGCCAATGTAGTTGAGCGTTTTATGGGTGTAATAGTGACCTGAAAGAGACGAGATTGCTTTGTCTTGGGTATGCGCTCCAGAGCCTGCGGGTGATTGACGGTCCCCGAATCTGAGGATGTTTGAGTATGCAGCAAACCCAAACCTCTGAAAATTCTGACAGGGTGAATTTGCCGATGGATGACTTCAGCAGCTGGCTAACAGAGGCGGATAGCATTATTATTAGCAAGATAAGGTTTAAAGTTGCCCTCTACAAAAACAAGGCCGAGATCGTCGTCTGGATTTCAGTTGCGACCTCGTGGTAGAGTTTGGGGATCAACATTCTCTCCATTCAAGATCCGTAAAGCTAAGACCCAGAACAGAAAGTTTACTATGTTTTCCACACTGCTTATGGAACTTGAATGAAACTTGAGATTGACTCGGAATCAGTCCGTAGTCAAGTCGTCTAATTGCCTTTCCGGAGCAAGTACTGGCATCAACAGGGAACTGCCGAGCATGTTATTTCATTTCAATCACCATGGCTACTGCTGTTACTTTGATAACTGGAGAGCTGACGCCTTCTAGTTGACCGACGCCTAGCTAACTGTTCGAATCATGTCAAGAAGCCGGATAACTACTAGTTATGGCTTAGTTATGGTAGACCGAGCTTGAAGCAGGCGTGCAGATTATTATCGTCTAATGGTATTGGCTATGTCATAACTTTGTTTAAGTGTGAAATTAGGGGCTATGAGTTGATAAATCCATTATACAGAGAAAGGAATTTGGGTCGGTTTTCTACTAAGATGGCTAATCCAGAGAAAATCCTAGGGAAAAATTATTCGGATCCCCGGGGCCGGACTTGGCTTATCCCGCGAAATTTAACTATGCAGCAGCGTCATGGCATATTCTGAGGTCAGGGCCCTTGTGGCGAACATTAAACCTCACCTCATAGTATTGAAATACAGCTGAAAACCAGAAATCCCTCTTTAGCCTCAACATGACACCAGGCCTTGGGGGCCATAGAAGCATAGCTAAGGATTCCCGCGCGACAGGGCGGATCAGCGATGGAAACGGGGAAACAGTATAATCCGCACTGGAAGTACGGAGCGCGCAGAAACAAAAGGCCGACGAACTATAGATCAGAAGTCTATACGGAATTGTTTATTCTGATATTGTAACTACGATCAATGATGTTGGTGTCGCTGAATGTGGTTGCGCAGTAGCCCCTGTAAAATTCTCCCGCGCATCTTAGCAGATTGAGAAAAAAAAAGAGAGAAAAAATCCTGTGACCTGACGCGACCTCCCATCCTTCCTCCACCAACTCCGGAAATCCGCTGCCCACCACCCACCCCCTCCCTTCAACCTGTGCTATCGGTCATTCTTTTGCGATCTTGATGAATCATCGGGATCAATCTGAAATGGCTTCTGGTAATTCTTACCCTTCTCCAAATGGAGGGCAGATGGCTCAGGGTGCGATGCCGTACTACAACCGCCAAATGGACGAGCTCCTGACTGCGGAGCTGTCGCGCGACTCTGCTTCTGGCATGGGCGATGGCTCTGGGAACGGGGTTCATCATAGCCAGGGAATGGTCCTGGGTTCCTCAGGCGCTGGTGAGCTTGGCCGTCCTTCTTCCGAAGACCACGGTCATCAACACATGATCCAATTTACTCCGAGTCAACAAGTCGGCGTAGACCCAAACCACGATTTGAGCTATGGCGAGCAGAGCGCGCGCAAGCGCTCCAAGATCTCTCGTGCCTGCGACGAGTGTCGGCGTAAGAAGGTATCTCACCGCGTCTATCTCCCGCGGCCGACGCGTCAAGTCCCTGCTGCTTACCATATAAATTTTCTGCCCTATCTCAGGTCCGGTGTGATGCGAGTTCGGAAAATGGCCTTGATACTTGTTCAAATTGTCGACGTCTTGGTGCTGTTTGTCAATTCAGTCGCGTGCCGATGAAGCGCGGACCGAGCAAAGGGTACGGAAAGCACAGCCTGCAAAACGCGCCGAAACAACAAGGCTAATCATGATTCCTGTTCTAGCTACATCAAAGAACTCGCTGAGCGCCTGCATACTCTCGAGAGTCAGATGCAACCCGGCATCGGTCAACCCGATGTGCAATACCAATCCATGAACGATCTGCCCCGAACCTACCAAGACTTCGAATCGCCAGTAGAGTCCGGCTCTGCCACTCGCAAGCGAACGTTCTCGGTGTTTGAAGGCCTTCCAAGTTCATCTTTCGCCCAGCCGACCTTCAACCCGCGCGGATCGCAAAGTGCTTTCGAGCCCGAGTCGACAGCAGACCCATACAATGCTTCAGCGACCGCCGATGGAGCCACGAAGCCCAGCAACCCCTTCTGGAACCCGAGTGGCAATGAGCAGGACCTTCCAAGTGGTCTTGAGCTGGCCGATTTGCCCCGTCATGAAAGTGCCGATGACATGACACCCGTGAACCTCGACGAAGGTGCCCTTGACGCGTATGTGCAATGCGCCCTCACTCCTCAAACTATCGTGACCCGTTGATCTGACAGCCCACAGTTACTATCAAAAGGTGCACCCTCTTCTGCCGATTCTTCCGCACACCCGCCAGCGCACATTGGAACTTCTTCATCAATGCAACCGCGAGGTCCAAGAGACCTTTTGCTACGCATTGTACACTGTCACCCGCACCGACACTACTCGTCTTGCCGGCAATTTTGAGAAGGTCACATCATTCGACAATGCGCAGGATCTTCTGCTGTATTACACCAAGCAGCCGTTGATTGTCCATTCCACGGCAGTCAATTTGATCTGGCTTCAAACATTACTGTTTATGATCATAGACTGTGATTCTCGCGGTCCGGACAACTTTGTCCTCAAGGACGGACTTCCTAAACACACGCTTGTCCAGGCTGCTAGTAAACTGGGCTATGACTTGGCCAAGAGCCAGGGCCAGCTCAAGAGCAAGCGGGTCTCGGATCCTGATATCGATTCAGATGCTAATCTGACTCGCCGCAATTGGGTCTCATTGATCATTTTGAACCGGTGGTATGCGATCAGTGTGGCAGATGCGACTGTCATTGGGGGCGGCCAGGAGATCGGAGGACGTGAAGATGAGAGGGTTGTCGGACAGATCACCACTGGAATTGCCTGTAAGTTGCACCCCTAAGCCCAGGATCGACACCATCGTTAAAAGTCCTTTACTGAAACTTTCTCAGCATTCTCTACTTTCCTTTCAGAGCTTGTTACCCTGGCTACTGTCGAGCACAATGTCTGTCAAACCAACACTGGACTCGGCCGGATGGTCGGCGCCAACCTTGTTGCGTCTCTTGAACGTCTGGCCGAGATGGAGGACATTTTCAACGTCCAGGAGCTGCCAGAGCATGCCCGATCGCTCTTCGAGAGTCTCCAGTCCCAGCTCTACTGGACCGTGCGTCTTCTCATCAAGCGCCATGTTTTCGTCTATAGCCCTTATGAGATTATTTACTGCGCTCGCGAAGTGGTCAGCGAGCTCCACCGCGCAACCCTCCAGCAACGACTCGCAACACCCTTCGACCTGCACAGCCTAGCCCTCGCATCCATGACCCTCCTCGAAGCCACCGTCCTGCCCGAGCACGCGGAGGAGTGCTGGGAGTCTCTGGCCAAGGTCGAAGAAATCCTCGACAGTCACGCCAAACTGGCATCTGAGAGTTCCGAGTTCGGCTACATCTTTGGCACCCCCGGCTGGGACAACAAGATTCGAGTCTTCCTCGAATGGCGCCGCGCCAAGTCCCAGGAGAGTGAGCTCCAGGGTGCCGTCAGCGGCGAGAAGCGGGCGGGCTCGAGTGTGCCTCCCTTAATGGGTCCCAACGAGCAGCGCTCTCTGCAGCATCTCGCTGATTTGGCGGTTGCGGCCGATGGCTCTGTCAACCAAAACCCCTCCACTCCCCCCAGCCTTGGCGTTGAGGGTGATGCTGAGGACCCTAGCCTGGCGCCTCAGCTGTCTCAGCCACACGGGACTGGTCGTGTCGTGGTTGATTTCACGATGCTCACCAAGGAGGGATATCTGAATGTCTTCTCTGGCTTAATATACCACCGTTCTCGCTGAGTTTAGTGTGCGCTTGATTCCCGCGCTAATTGACTTTTTCGTCTGTCGGGCCCTTTTAGCTTCTTCGCTAGTAGGTAATATCCTTCCCGCTTGGCTTTTATATGCCAGCCATTTCGTCTCATGGATTTATATTGCGTTTTACTGATATTATAACCCCACTTGCGCTCTAATCAAAAGATTGTTTCTTTGGAAAAGAAAAAGAATATTCAGCGTGTTCGTCGTAAAAGCCATAAACTGAACCTTATCGCTATTGACTGGTTTTGCACGTACACCATCCCACCCGCATCACCCTGGATGCTGCACATCGAACACCATAGTCACTTCCGAGATACGCCCGTCTTAAAAATGTGATATAAATAGTTTAGCAACCCGGATATCCGTCCCAACTTCTCCACATATGGAATGCAGTTTAACCCCTCAGAACCGCTGCGGGTTGTTCTTCCCAAACATAACCCGCTTCCACGTCGCCTCCACATCCTCGCACAAGCCCAGAAACCGGTCATCCTCAAGAAGCTGGCACATCCAGTCCTCCAACAACGCCATCCGGTCTGGCGTCGGAGTTGCAATGTATGCAGTGAGATGGTCCTCCACAGACGCAGAGGCTTGCTGGGTCTCCTCAATAGAGGCCTGGACCGGGTTAGGCTGAGTCTGCCTGAGGGACTGCGAGGGCTGCGAAGGCTGCGAAGGCTGCGAGGGCTGCGAGTTTGGGATCGCCTCCTCTACTTGTGTGCTTCGCTGGCTAGATTTTAGGAATGGCAGGTCGCGCTTTGGAGGGAGCATTTGGTCGAGTTGGTCGCCGTGGTAAGCGCGTGCTGTCACAGGACGCGAGATGTGTTCCTCTTCATAGCGAGAGTTGGGGAGCGTGGGTTGCTCCGCGATTGAGGGTACGTATGGTGCTGCAGAGGGTGGGTATGCGCTCCTTGTTCGCTCGGGGAGGGAGCACGTACTTGTCATTCCGCTGGGTGAGTATTCGGTCATCGGGAAGAATGATGCTGGGTTGTCATTGTCTGATGTGATCGAGGTACTTGCGTATTTCGATGCGGTGGTCGGTCCGGGGAAAGAGGTCCATGAAGCAGAGGATGGTGGGCGTTGAGGGGGTTGGTTCGCGGTGACGCCTTCTGTGAGTGGGCAGTTGACTTGGCTCAGCCAGGACAGAGCTGTGAAGTAGTCACTGGTATTCACGAATTTGATTTGGATACGGACCGCCTATGAGGTGAGTTAGGAAGATCAATCTCCTGGTTCTCGGTCACCTACCAAATTCTCCCTGTGAGGGTATTTCACTGCCAGACAAGGGGACTTGACGACAACTGCAAAGGGAGGCTTTGGAGAAGAGAGGTTCTGAGTCTGGCGCTGGTTCTGGTTCTGCGTCGCCATTCGAATAAAGTGAGCCAGGTCGATCTCCTCCTGTGCCGTTGTGTCAGCTTTCTCTTTCCTCTCTGAAGCCTGTAGTCTGCAAGGTTGAAGATACGTACAAGAATTCCATCATTGCGCGCGATTCGAAGAATAAACCTTGCTGGACTTGAGCTGCTCTCAGGGAACTTTCGGAGGATACAGACCATGTCACCAGTGCTATTGGCGTGTGTCCATCTCAATGTACCGGTGAAATCGATTGGAGCGCTTGTGTGGGAAAATTTAGCAAGTGGGAAGCTTATTTCTTCAAAGATATCAGGTGGCCTTGTGCTTTTTGACATTTTATCTCGATCTCGGTTGTTCTTCCAAATCATGATAGATATGAAGAGGCGGGGGTTAGTGTGAGGACAATCAAGATCCCTTGGAGCCGGCGGTGCTTAGTATAGTGTGACTACCACCACAACACATAACATTATTATTCGTTACAGAGGCCCGGAAGAACAGACACATTCAACTTGTCTGTTGATTGGCCTTCTCCGCACTCCTCCATCGTAGTCGCGCTTCGATATATTCAAATGCAGTGTCTACACTTGTGGCCTATTCTGCTGGTATTATTCTTCTTGATCACCTTGACGGAAAAAATGAACTTTATGCATTAGTCACTCTATTGAACGGTTTAAAATTGGAGACTGAGGGTCTACCTTTCAATGCTACTCCAGCATCATACTCGGGCCATTATGGTGGCAATATTCATCTTTATAACCGATGGAATACTAGCTGGGCTACTACTAGTATAGAGCTTGAATAGAAAATTTGGCCAAGCGGCATTTGTATCTCCCAGTCGCGCATCAGTTGGCTGGTCGTGATTTAGCGGTTTAGAAGATGCAAAAGTAGTCTCAGGCCTTCGCTGATCTCATCATCTTCCTTTTAGTAGGAACGGGTATATTGGAGTGGAATTTGAAGGCGGCTTCCTAGGTCATTATCAATAGAGTCAGCTACTACGAACCTGAGCCCAAGTGAAGGGCGATAAAGCGACGCAATTAGTGGTGTCCTGATTGATGAACCAGAGCAAACCCCAAAACTGGGGTTATCTAGATCATCGTTTTTCTGCCAAAGATTTCACCGTTCCTACCAATTCCCTGATTAAACTCCTCAGCTTTTACTGAGGAGTTGAGGATATCGCATGTTCGGTGTAAAAGTACGACTCGGAGCATTATTCTCCAACCCTTGGTTTATCCGAAACTTGAAACCCCTCCCCCGGTGACATTGGGAATGGATGAGGACATTCGCAACTCATTGAAAATACTCGAGCCGGTCTACACTTGTTGATAGGACAGACCCGAATAGATCGCCTGCGAACTACATGATACTCAAGTTAGAGAAGAGTAACTTGACTCACTAGGCGCAAATTCTATGGATAGTTACCAACGTAGATATTAGGTAATTTGCGTCACATCCTCGGATAGGCCTTTGTGCTCCACCGCCCCGTGATGTCATGGTTATCAGGCACATGGTCGATCTCCTCCACCGCGGTGCCCGGTTCGGCTACGCGCTTGACGTTATTGTCCAAGGGCTGGGGAAACGGTGGGTCCGACTGCCAGATTAGCGCAGTAACATCATCGTGATGTCTATACGCAGTAGGATAGACATCGAAGACTGAGGCCTGGTGAAATCTCCCGTCTGGATACCGAGGGCTTAACTTCAACTTGAAGACAAATGGAGGGGATGATTATACGGGTCACGATCTAGATGTGGATACCGTCGCTGGCCCGTAAGATGGGGACAACAGAGGTCTCAAGAGATGAGGATATGGTTTGGAATTTTTTTATTTTTATTGTGGGATTCCTTTGAATATATACACAACACAGATACTGGAAAGAAAATGAAAATGCACCGTCGACATCATGCCTGACACTTCGATAACCGCCAAGAACGAAGCAGACCCAAATGTTGGACCCAGCTCTGCCGTAAAGAGGATAGACAGAGCTTGAAAAAAGGAAAAGGAAAAGGAAAATGGAATGAAAACACAACCATCATCACGCTCGTGAGGCAGCATGGTCGCTGGCACACCTATTAGGGGAAGAGCTTTGAAAGAGATTTCTAAATATGTATAGCGGGAAGATAAGGATATGACCCGCAGCGCAAGGGCTAGAGGGCGTGATGAGACGAAGGTGAGAGAATGGGAGGGCAACGTGCAGTCTCTCTTCTCCATGCACGTGTGCAGTAAGGTAAGTGGGGTATTGGTGTGTGCGACATGGCCAGGAAAGATGGACATTTCAAATGACGAACCGGCTAGCGGTCAGCCCTGTGTAAAAGAAGCGAAAGCCTGGGTAGACGGGATGGATAGAATCAATTGATTTATTCATCATCGTCCGATTCTTCCTTGCCACTCATCCAACCGCGCGACATCTCCACAGCTTTGGACCACTTATTGTACATGCGTGCGCTGGCTTTAGGGGAGATATGGGGTACGAAGGTGGCGCGGTTAGCGCGGTTCATGTATTTAAGATCGTTGAAGTCTTTCCAGACGTCGATGGCAAAAGCAGCTGCAATGGCTGCGCCGAGGGCTGTGGTCTCGTGCATTGCGGGGCGTTCAATGGGGATTTGAATAATATCTGCTTGCGTCTGGAAGGGAAATTGGATAAGCAAGTGTTCAGACGGCTTTGAGACACCCTTGGGGGTAATGCTTACCTGCATGCAAATATCCGAGTTACTCATGCCACCATCAACAGCCAACTCGGTCAGCTTCTGGCCACTATCCATCTCCATTGCATCTAGAATGGCCTTGGTCTGGAAACAAGCGGCTTCCATGGTTGCACGGGCAATGTGCCCTCGCTGGGTATGGTGGGTAATACCCCCTGCGATAAAAAAAAAAAAATTAGTTTCAATTCAATGAGACAAATGGAGAGGTGGAGTCGGGGGCGGGGGCGGAGGGGATGTCTTACAGATTGTTCCCTTGGCGTCGTCAATCCAGTAAGGAGCAAAAAGACCACTGAATGCAGTAACGAAGACGCAGCCTCCACTATCCGGCACGGTAGCAGCCAGATCACTCACTTTACGCGACTCGCGGAAAAATCCCATATTGTTCATGAGGAATGAGATACCACTGCCTGCGACCGCTACGCTACCCTCCAGCGCATACACAGGTTTCCGATCCCGACCAAGTTGGAATCCCACAGTACCCAAAAGGCCGTGCTTGGAGATGACAGGCTTTTCACCAACATTATAAAGCAGGAAGCAACCCGTGCCATAAGTGTTCTTGGCAGATCCCGGGGGTGAAGGCGCAGTGGCCGACCAGCGCCGCTGCTTGGTCACCGAGGCAGCTAGTGATAGGGACGCCTGCCAAGGGACCCTCATAGATCTCACCGAAGCCTTCCCGGTCCGCTGAGGGGAGAATTTCGGGGAGTCGGATCTTAGTGCGGTCAATGCCGAAAAAGTTAAGCAGCTTGTCGTCGTACTGGAGGGTTTCGAGGTTCATGAACATAGTGCGGGAGGCATTGGTGACATCGGTAACCAAGCGCTTGTTTTGGGGGCCTCCGTTGAGACAGTAAATCAGCCAGCTGTCGACGGTTCCGAAGGCAGCCCGACCGTCGTCATAGGCTGAGCGGACGTCGGGCAGGTTGTCCAGCATCCACCGTAAAGTGACGGAAGAGGGGTATGTGGACAGGGGCAGACCGCACAGATTTACCAGTTCGTCGGCGCCCGGCTTTTCCTTGAGCTCACGGACCAAATTCATAGTTCGCGTATCAGTCCAAGTAATGGCGTTATGCAGCGGTTCGCCTGTTTCCCAGTCCCAGACCAAAGTAGTCTCTCGTTGACTGGTGATCCCAACCGCCTCGATGTCGGCTCGGGAGTGACCTAAGGCGAGGAAAGTCTTCATAGCTTCTTCAATACAAATGAAAACCGACTCAATCAATTCGTAAGGGTCTTGTTCGTGCCATCTGGAAGGCGGGGCAAATTCTGTTAATTGGTATCCCACAGAGGCGGGGAGGGGGAAGCTCGTCTTCGAGCCACCTACCCTGGATGCTGATGAATTTGACGAAATTCGGTCTGATATTTGGCAATGGGAACTCCTGTACAGTCGAAGATAATAAATCGAGTACTGGTCGTACCCTGATCAATGGTACCAATAAAACGTTCCTTGAGGTCATCGCTTCGTCGCTCCTCGTCCTGGATCAAAGCGCGATCACCATCATCGGTCTCTATCGGGCGAATTGGCAGAGAGTTCTCATGTTCGTTGGCGAAGTTGCGGGGCTCATCCGCGGGCTCAGAGGCTCCGTCGACGCTCTCATCGTCTAGATCGAAGGGGTTGCGCATTTTGTGTGGGGGGGGAATAAAGGTGGGATGAGAGAGAAGTCCCGTAGGTGTAGAAGGGACGAAGATTCAGATGGGATCTGAGAGGAATTTACAATGCCTGGAGAACGAGGGAGAAAAAAGACTACAAGTGGCGGGCGTAGGGATGGCAATACAGCTTCCAGGAAAAGTGGAGCGTGACGTACGAGAGGGGGGGAGGCAACACCTGGGCAGGACGGGAAGATGACCAACAGGTTTTAAGGGACACCACGACTCTTTTATCCAGACGAGTGGGCCAAGCAAGAACCAAAAAGAAACGACCAAGGAAAAAGAAGGGGGAGGATAAGGTGGGGTTTGGAGAAGGGGGAGGGGGTTACTCAAGGTAATTATGGATTATTATTGACAAAATCTGGCAGAATAAGGGAAAATCTAGAGAAAACGAAGAAATTATGGAGATATGGAGATATGATTGCTCTGATTGCGCCAAATCCGGTTCGGGGTCTTTTTTTTTTTTTGATCAGAAGACCTCGTCACCTCCCCCCCCACTATTCCATGGAATCTACTCCTTCAACCCGCCTGGCGTTTAAAACCCCCTCAAAGGTGTACTTGAATCAGTATTTGCCTCTCCAATATGTCACGGCCTACTTCTGTCAATCTCGTTCACATACCCTTTGATCGTGAACTCTCGTTTCCCAAATAGACCGCCCTGGTTATTTTAGGACCAGGCACACAGTTCAAGAGCCCCGTCGATCGGCCACATGACACCAAATATTTTTTAGCTTTTCCTTTTTTATTCCGCTGCTCCATTTGCTTCTCCCAACGCATTTTGCGGGTTCTAGACCCCCCCTGCTTCTCTCAAAATCCGCCATGGCTTACGCTCAATGGACAATTGGACCATCACGACCATGCACACTGGCCCTTCTAACATGCCCTCCATCCTGTACACACGTAGAGTCAACGACACTTTGCAGTTTGCTCCCTTTTTCTACCCGGGATGGTTAACCCTGGTTCCCCAATTAGTACCGGAAGCGCAATGGAACATTCTCTAGAGTCCATACTAGTCCGAACGAAGAATAACCTACGAAGCCTTCCCTTCTCCCCCCATTCCGGCCCCTGGATGACCGGGTCCCCACCATGCCGAGAAAAAAAATTCCATTGATCCCGTGCATGATATATGGAGCATGGCCGTACAGAAGGTGAACCGAGTGGATAATGCCCTGAGGTTTCGGGGCCCCGATCCCCCGGAGCTGTCCAGCTATAGAGCCCCGTTGATCGGGTTATCACTAGGCCCGAGAGATATACGCAGTATCATGTCAAAGAAAACAAGATGAACTTGATCGCTGCTCATCCAATCATAACGCCACTGGGCACGGGTGATGACGTCTGGGATCCAGGAGTCGACTCAAGTTCACCCCCGGCATCTCCAACCAACCTATAGGAGGCGCTGGGAACGCGGGGAAGTCCAGAGCGCTGGAGAGTCTTGGGGGATGGCCTCTCCCAGGGACCTGGGACGTGCGTTGTGTTAGTAGATCACGCGTAGTATCGCAAGATACTAGTACGAAAGGCCGTAGGATTCCTTTCGACTCTCCTTGACCCAAAGTCCAGATCTAATTCCAGCTCCCCCACTGATTACCGTCTCGGGCAACGAGATAATCCAATGCCAAGGGAACCTGGGGCGACTTGGACTCGTGAGTAGAGACTGGAAGGAGCACCTGTCGCAACCGGAGGCGTAGTGCAGCGTGACTACTCCGTAGTGCTTGAGTAGTATGAGCTCGGCTCGCCTTACCTTCCCTTTTCTCCGACTTCTAATTCTTAATTCGTTTTCATGCTTATTTGATTGGAGCCCATGGAAGTGGCCATGTCAACCACGGGTGGGGAGGGGCGGAGCTAGCAGAAGTGGCCCGTGGCGTCTGCGCCCAGCCAAACTCCAGGACGGCCACTGACAGATCGATTTTAGATTTGGCTGGATCATCGACTCCCGGGATATGTAAATTGCTCATAGCGGCTTGACTCGCGGGAAAACGCCATTCAAACCTAAGCCCGAAGCCTAATAATCCAGGCACACATACATATCCGATCTTTGGATATATATATATATACCAGGGTCCTAGTGCTGGTCTAGCTCTAACGATTCATCTGGAAGTGTTCAAGCTTGATCTTTGCTTTTACTGCAGGAGCCAAATGACCTCGGGGCAATGACGATCGGGTCGATATCATGATAATCCCCATGGAGGAAGATACTCAGCGGTTCTGCAGCCTTGTCCTACCTGAGGACCCCTACTACTGCCGCAGTGGATTATTTCAGATCTGCTTGGACCTTCAGGCCGGCGAGCTGCATTTCGATCAACCGTATCATCCGAGTCTGTGTGGGATCATCCTCTCCCAATGTTGGCCCAAAGCTCGATCTAGTTTAGTGGGCATAACGTATGCACGTGGTCAATGAGGAGTGGATCACAGCGTTACAGCATGCTCTCTCCATCTGCTCCGTATCCCCCGAGCCCTTCCCGAGGCCTAGCTATGCGATTTACCCACAGGTCTGAACATCTGGATAATTGACGCTGCTAGCGCGCGTCAGGAAGATCACTTGACTTTCTTTACTGGGAACTGATAGATCGGTTTCCGGGAAGTTGCGGGGCACACAAATCAGAGACAAAAGAAATCAGATAAAGCTCTAGCCCTAGTGCGTTCTGCGTATAATCTACAGGAAATCACGGGGAATGCAAACAAGATAGAACGCGGCGGGAGGGAACTTATACCCTCCCCCGCCTAGACTGCAGAAAAGTCGGAACTCAGCCAATACACATTTACTCCTCGAGCTCGGCCTTCTTGCGGGCCTCGGCCTCCTCCTTCTCCTTCTTCTGCAGGAAGATCAAGGCGTTGATCTTGTCCTGGATGCTGTGCTCGGCGGCGACGCTTGACTGGATCCGCTCGCGGCCAATCAGAGTAGCGACAATGCTGGCACCCACAACGAAGGTGAGAACGAAGCGGTACATGCCGTACCAGTGGGGTGCACGGCCGGCGGCGGCAGCGCGGGCGTCGTTGTAGTACAGGAAGGTGAAGGCGAGGAACTGGCTGATCAGGGCGTACTCAACGGGGAGCAGAAGGGTTGGCCAGGCCACGGCAGGGGCAATGATACCGGCGGCGTAGCGGCGGTAGCCGAACCTGCCGCCATAGCCGGCCCACTCGAGACCCCAGTGGATGGCACCAAGGAACGAGAGAATCTAAAGTGGTGGTTCATTAATATATGGACTAGGACCACAGGAACATGTGGATGTCCTCGATATTCGAAGAATAATATCAATTGGGATTGCACTTACAACGGCACCGTAGCCAACCTGGATGGGCTCCAGCATGTGCAGCATGAGCTCGGCACTTTGACCAGAGAAGATCAGACCATCACCGGCGGCAGCAGCGCGGTTGATCTCGAAGGAGAGAGCAACGGTCTGCAGAGAGGTGACAAGGTAAGGCACAACACCGGCCATACCGAGGTAAAGAGCATCCTTCGGGACTTCGGAAAGACTGAAAGTGTCCTTGATAACTTTCTGTGTACCGAGGAGCCTATTAGCATCGTGCCCATATGTTCAGGGTCGAGCTGGATAAGAGATCAACCTACCGCCTCGGACTTCATGCCCGCCATCATATCAACATCTTCATCGTCCTATCGAACCAAAGTTCCATTAGTCATTGTGCACAAACTCCTCGGTGTACAGTGGACAGACGCCTTACCTTAGCGGCAGTGGAGGCATAGCGAACGAGAGCAGTGGTCACGGGCTTGTGGGCAGCCAGTGCGAAGTTGGGCTTGATAGCCGGGCGGATGGCGCTGCGAGCAGACGAGGTCAACCCAGCCTTGAAGACGGGGTTGCCCAGGGCAGAGCGGGCCACGGAGGCATTGGAGCTCTGAAGAGCCCGGAGAGTGGAGCGGGCGGCGACGTTACGGAAAAGCATGTCGGGGAATGGCAGCGCTGTTATGCAGATGTCGTTAGCAGTTTGCGCGGGTAAGAAAAAGTCTCGGCAGCTGTGACACCGGGGAGCCAACGAACCCAATTGGCTTGTATGAAGCTTGGAGGAGAGATGGAAGAGCGGAGATGAGGGTATTCACCCAAAGGACTCGAGGTCGACGTCAGGAAGGCCGTGGAATACCGGAAGTGAGAGAGCAAATCAGAACATCCCGAGATGAAGTGACTTGGGAGGTGTGGTGGTATACTCGGGTAGACCGGAGCGACCTACAGTGCACTAATTCGTCCATTCAAAGGGCCTGAGGCCATTGAGCTAGGGTAATCCCGGAGATCCCGTGATCTGGGCGGTGTCAAGCTCCGTCCGGCAGAAAACCAAGATTCAGCAGAACGGCATTGATGTCATTCCTGTAAACAACCGTTACGTTCTCGTACGAGGGGTACAAGCTGGAGATGTTTTTACGGACTGGTAGTGGAGAGCCCTCACAAGGTTTGCCATCAGACTTGAGAAAGTAGTAAAACTCGCATAACTTTCATGTTATACCATAATCGACTAATTTAAAAATATCATGAGCCTGTAGTCACAATTCCGCAATACAAGGTCTGTAACGGTACTCCAAGGAATGTTTTTCCTTGGCGGGAGCAGGTCGCTCTCCGTGTACGGCATTCTTGGCTTCTGCCCATTCTGCGTACCAGATACGGGGAAGCAGCCATTCGATCCACGACCGTCGACACCCAACTGGACTCGGTCGCGATCATATTAGCTCTACAACCTCCCTTAATTTTCTTCTTCTATCGAACATCTCACACAATAGCCCTGTGGAATTCACCTTTGCACACTGGGAGGTGGTACTTCCGCTTCTATATCGCGTGCGACCATATTTACCGTGCCTGCATGGCTCCTCCTCCCGTCTGAGACGTTCGAATGAATTGAATGTTTATCACCACGTGAGAGATTAAACCACGGCGCATACTTTTAGTGCCAAGATCCATCGCTGACAGCTATAATCATTAATTGTAGATCAGTTTTCATCGAACCACACCACCCCGCCCAGTGATCATCGGCTTTGAGCCCCCAACCACCGGGCTGGTTGACGGCCAACATCCGCCATCATGTTGGAAGGCCTGGTCGCCAATCTATTGAATCGCTTCCTATCATCCTACGTGAAGAATTTTGACGCCAAACAGCTGAATATTGGGATCTGGTCTGGCGATGTCAAGCTTCGCAATTTGGAGCTTCGCCGAGAGGCGCTCGACCAGCTTCGTCTTCCTTTGAACGTGGTCGAGGGTCGTCTTGGTCAGCTCACATTGTCGATTCCCTGGTCCAATCTTCGAGGCAAGCCGGTCAAGGTCCATATCGAAGATGTCTTTCTCCTCGCAGCCCCCAAAGAGGACGCAGATTACGACCCGGAGGAGGAAGATAGGAGAGCCCATATGTTGAAGATGGAAAGAATCGATGGCGCGGAGATCATCCGTGAACGAAATGCGGAGGGCATGAGCCAGGAAGAACAGCGCCGAAACCAGAGCTTCACCCAAAGCATGATCACAGCCGTCGTCGACAACCTTCAAATCTCGATTAAGAACGTCCACCTTCGCTATGAGGATTCCGTCGCATCTCCCAATCACCCGTTCGCTGTCGGCGTCACGTTGAAGGAGCTGAGTGCTGTTAGTACTGACGCGGAGTGGAATCCCACTTTTATTCAGTCCACATCGGATACGACACATAAATTGGCTGTTCTTGGTGCATTGTCTGTATACTGGAATACAGATGCGACTCTCCTGGGCACCGGAAGAGGAAGTGATATAGGCGCTGAGGCTCAAGGCATTGAACACGAGGACTTGATGAATAGACTGCGCGAGGGAATCGACAATGGCGAAGGCAATCAGTTCATGCTTCGTCCTGTTAGTGGACGTGCAGGTCTGGAGCTCGACAAGTCAGGTAAATACGACCGCCCCGCCATGAAAGCTAGATTACTCTTTGATGAACTGGGGTTCGTCTTGGACGACAACCAATACCGAGATGCTCTGATGTTAGTGGATCTCTTCCACTACTTCATCCGTCATCAAGAGTATAAGCGATATCAACCCAAGTGTTCGGTAAAGGAAGATCCTCGAGCGTGGTTGAAATTTGCAGGACAGGCTGTTCTAACCAAGATCCACGATCGGAACAAGAGATGGACTTGGGAATTCATCAAGCAACGCAGAGACGATCGCATTGCCTATATTGACCTTTTCAAGAAAAAGAAGCGGGAAGAGGCCTTTACTCCGGAGGAGACCCAAACAATGGACAAGCTTGAACATAAGCTCAGCTACGAAGATATCCGCTTCTGGCGGTCCTTGGCCCGGAATCAACTACGCAAAGAGAATGTAGGGATTAAAAAGCCAGCCAAGCAGCAATCGTGGTCCGAATGGCTCTGGGGTACTCAGAAACCTGATACCGAAGAACCAAGCATGACCGAGGAGCAACGGCAAGAGCTTTACAGTGCTATTGATTGGGATGAGAAGAAGGCGTTAGCAGAGGATGTCGATGTTCCCCGCGAATGGGTCAAGCTCCAGATAAACTGGAGTCTGCGCGCGGGTAGCTTCACGCTTAAGCAAGACCCTCATGGTGCTGCAAATGAAGTCATGAAGTTGGTGTTCGATAACTTCCGAGCAAAGGCACTGCAGCGCCCGGATTCTTATCTTCTTGATCTCGACCTAGGTGGTTTGAAGATGTATGATGGTACAACTCCTGGCACTCTTTACCCTCAGATTGTCAAGGTCAAGGATTCGCTTCCCGATTCCTCTCAGCAACGCAGCACAGATGACGATGAACTCGCCTCAGAAGCTAGTGCAGATGACCTCGTCGACGAGGACAGTCTGTTCCATCTTCAGCTAGAGAAGAATCCACTCGAAAGCGACGCAGACTCAGCAGTCAATGTCAAATTGAAGAGTATCGAAGTCATTTACAACCCTCGATTCTTGGTGGGAATTGTGAAGTTCTTTGAACCACCACAGCGGCATATGGAATCCATCGGAGCTCTTTTAGACACTGCAGGAGCCACCGTCGAGGGCATTCGTCAACAAACTCGGGCAGGTTTGGAGTTTGCTTTAGAGGAGCACAAGAAGGTCGATGCGCACTTCGATGTCCACGCTCCTTTGATCATCATCCCTGAAAGTATCACCCAAGAAAGTTCACTTTGTCTGATCCTCGATGCGGGTCATGCTAGTGTCAACAGTGAGCTTGTTGATCGACAAGCGATGCGAGATCTCCAATCTAAGCAGAAACGGCAGTACGAGGAAGAAGATTACAAGCAGCTTGAGCATTTGTTGTATGATCGATTCCTCATTAAGTTGGACTCAACGCAGCTGCTGATTGGACCTGGAGTGGATGCAACCAAAGCTCAGCTTACCTCTGACGTTGAATCGAAGAATTTCCACATTATTGACCGGATCAATGTGGACTTTGTTCTGGAGATGTGCATCGTCCCGAAGGTAACCCAACTCACGCGGACGCGTATATCAGGAAACCTGCCTGAGTTACATGCGTCCATGTCGGATACCAAGTACAAAGGTCTCATGAAGCTCATCGACATCGCGATCCCGCACTTTGACGAGGGTGCCCCTTCTGGCCAACAGCCCACCCCGTCTACTGAAGACAAAGCCACTACACGAGCACGATCGGCATCATTCCAGCCTACAGCCCTAAGACAACTTCCGGTTGTAGATGACGAGTTTGAAGCTGAATCGGAGAATGAGAATGCTCAAAAGAGCCTTGATACTACCAGTAATATTCATCGTCGTGACTTTGAATTCAAATTCAACGTCGGCCGATTGCGGGGCTCACTCTTCCGGTCGGACTCGCAAGATCCCCGCAAAGATCAGTTACTGGTGGAGCTGGTCGCTGAAGGGTTCGAGTTAGATTATTACATGCGCCCCTACGACATGGTTGCCGAGGTCATCCTCAAATCTTTGAGTGTGGATGACTATATTGAAGAAAACCCGCTGCCAGAGTTCAAAAGAATCGTCTCGTCAAAGGGATTCAATGCCGATGAAGATAGAGACCTCTTCCACTTAAAGATGGTGCGCGTCAAACCGGAATCTCCTGAGTTTGAGTCAACTTACGAGGGAATTGCCATGAACCTTGACATCTCAGTTTCTACAATCAATCTGGTAGTGACAAGAAAAACACTGCTTACGCTGTTGGACTTCATTCTTTTGACATTCACAAACCCGCAACCACCTGCCGAAGAGACCACCCAGCCAGACAAGGCTATACAGGAAGCGGCCGACGCTGATCAGAAGCCTCAGCAAGCCGGAAAGCTCCGCATCAAATCCAACTTGAAGAGTATTGCTTTGATCCTTAACAACGATGGTGTCCGCTTGGCTACGTTGAGTCTGAATACTGCCGATGTTGGAATCTTCCTTGTTGGCCGGACAATGGTTATTCAATCTCGCATTGGTAGTCTGACTCTGGTGGATGATGTCAACCTGGGTGCATCGGAAGAATCTGATGTTCGACGCCTTTTGACCATTGAGGGTGATAATTTTGCCGATTTCAAGTATGAGACCTTTGATCCCGAAAGCGAGACATACCCTGGCTACGACTCGGAGGTTTACTTGCGATCTGGTTCAATCAAGATCAATTTCCTGGAAGAGCCGTATCGGAAGATTATCAACTTCTTGGTCAAGTTTGGCAAGATGCAAGCCATCTTTAATGCCGCTCGTCAAGCTGCAGCGAACCAAGCCAACCAGCTCCAAGAAAATGCATCGCGTATGAGACTTGATGTAGTTGTCAAGACTCCGATCCTAGTATTCCCAAGGATCATGACTAACGACCGCCCCCGCGACACAATCACTGCTCACCTGGGTGAAATCTATGTCAAGAACGATTTTGTGCCTATGGATGATACGAAGGATAGTCCTGCTGTGAATGTGATTTCAACTGGTGTGCGCAATATTCGCTTGACATCCAAGTTCCACTTCCCAGACGGCCTAGAAGAAGAGCTTGAAATGATTCAGAAGGTCAATCTCGATTTCAGTATATGCTACCTGGAACACCAGAAAGACAACGCACGGCCAGACATGGAGGTCGAGGGATCTTTGTCGCCAATCAACCTTCGCATCTCTCAGGCGCAACTCAAGTTCCTCCTGGCATTATCAAAGTCAATTCCCGGTGCCTTTGCCACTGATGCAGAGCAGCAGGAACTGGAGGCTTTGAAAGCTCTACCATCATCTGTCACTGAGCCTATGACCACATCTAAGGCTGTTCAAGCCGAGAAAGAGCAGCAGTCAAGCATCGCTGACGATGGTGCAAGCAAAGAGATATGGGTCAGACTTGACATGATTTTCAAGGTGGATAGTGTTGGACTTGAGCTTATTCTTGCTAACGACGATCAGCCTGTTGGACGTCTGGAAGACTCAAGCTTGTCTAAGTTCTCTCTTAACGACACGAGGGTTAAACTTCGTATGCTTACCGATGGCTCTCTCGAATCGGAGCTTTTGATTCACTCATTCTCCATTCGCGACAGCCGTCGTCAGGACTCGAATAAATTCAGAAACATCATGTCATTGATAAATAACGATGTTCAGCAACAGTTTATGGCGAGCGTGACTATGTCTCCTGGGCCAGATAAGCATTTGATTGCAATGCTCACTATTGACAGTCCGCGAATCATGTTTGCGTTGGACTACCTCTCAGCCTTACAAGCATTCAGCAATTCTGCGTTCGCATCTGAAGAAGCTCCTCCGGTAGTGGAAGAAGTGGAAGATGACGTTGACTCGACCGAAACTTCAGACGAAGCTTCAGAGCGTGTCAGTTCCGACAAGTCTGCTGCTGAGGCTTCCGGAGACGCTCAGAACGGATCTATGACAGTATCGTTCCGTGTGAACCTGGTGGACGCTCAAGTGATTATGGTGGCAAATCCTGCAATTCCTCATTCCGAAGCAATTGTCCTTGGAACGAAGCAGATCCTCCTCTCACAACAGAACGTCTTTACGTTGCAAGTTCAGAAACTTGGCATGTTCTTGTGCCGCATGGACAAATTTGAGACAAGCAGACTCCGTATCCTGGACGATTTTACCCTCGAGCTGTCGATCGATAGCCGAACACAGGACAGAGGATCTGCTCTTACCTCGATCGAAGTTCACGTGGAGCCTCTTGTTCTTCGTCTGTCTTTACGTGATATTCTCATGGCAATCCAGATTGTCAATAAGGCCTCCGAATTGCGGGCCCAAGGTGCCCCTCAGGTCGAAAGTGGAGAACAAAAGAAGATTGCTGATTCTAAAGCCACCACACGTGCTCGGTCTGCTAGCAAGACATCTTCTACTGGCGGCCAAAGAGGGCGCCGTGCGGCCAGCCAAACGGCAAAAACGCAAGACAAACCTGCGCTGCCTACAAGCTCGGCTGTTCTCAAGCGCGAGGAGCTGGCGGCCAAGGTTGACGGCGTTCGTGTCATCTTGATCGGGGACCTGCATGATCTTCCATTGCTTGATTGGAGTGTGAAGAAGTTCAACGTTGATGTGCGCGACTGGTCATCGACACTGAGTGTTGACACAAACTTCGAGACATTCATCAATGTGTTCAATTTTTCAAAGTCGGCCTGGGAGCCCTTGATTGAGCCTTGGCAACTGGGGTTCCATATGGCGAAGGAGATCAGCCCAAATGTATTCTCGATCGACGCTTACTCCCACAAGAACATGGAGCTGACATTGACATCCGCCACTATTGCCCTTGCTTCTAAGTCTTTCCAATTTCTCTCGACGGATGAAGATGTCCTGTCCAAGCCTAGAGGCGCAGATGCTCCCTACAGAATTCGCAATTATACAGGTTTCGATCTTCATGTGTGGGCTGATGTCAGCTCTGGCGAGGATGGCCCCGCTGCGAAATTGGCCGATGGTGAGGAATACCCCTGGCGATTTGAAGAATCCACAGCTATTCGGGAGACCCTTTCTCCGGAGGGTCAGGGCGGAATTGTCGGTGTCAAACTGGAAGGAAGTGGCTTCGACAGCATCAACCGTATTCCTGTTGTTCGAGAGGGAGAGATCCTGTATAATCTGAAGCCCAAGCGAGACAATATTCTCCATCGCCTCCTTGTAGAGGTCAAACTCGGCGCTGATAACGTCAAGTATATCACATTCCGCTCGCCGCTTCTGGTGGAAAACAACACTCAGATCCCAGTTGAACTGGGTGTGTATGATCGCGAAGAGGGTCATCTCCTCAAGATCGAAAAGGTCCTACCTGGTGATGCACGTCCCGCGCCGGTTGGATCGGCTTTTCTACATTCAGTCGTTGTTCGGCCCGACCAAGGTTTCGGCTATGACTGGTCGAATGAACAACTTTTCTGGAAGGACCTCATTCGTCGCCCTACAAGAACCGTCAAGTGCGTCAGCGACAGTGGACAGCAAGCTCCTCCCTTCTACTTCCAAGTCAATGCCACGTATGATGGCAAGGATTCTCTTTCAAGCTCTTATCCCTACATGAGGGTTCGTATCCATGCTCCAGTGGAGATTCAAAACCTTTTGCCGTTTGATTTCAAGTACCGTATTTATGACAAGAATACCAAGAAAGACTGGACAAATTTCTTGAGGAAAGGTGGGGTCAGCCCTGTTCACGTTGTGGAACTGTCCCATCTGCTCTTACTGAGCATCGATTTGGAAGATGCAGTGTTCCGACAGAGCGAGTTTGCCATAATCAATGGGAATGCACAAGACTACCGGAGAGAGCATAGCTTGTCTTTGAAGGACGAGAGAGGGCTCCAACTTAAATTGAAACTGCATTATTTCAACGTCCCCAACAGTGGTGGTGCTTTCAAGGTCTCCGTCTACAGTCCTTACCTTATTTTGAACAAGACTGGTCTACCTATGGACATCCAGAGCAAAGCTTTCCTCCAGGCCGCACGCAGTGTCGCTGGACAGGGCCTACGGGTCGATCCCAGAGACGGCGGTCGTGCGCTTCCTTACATGTACTCCTACGCGACCGACGACCAAAAGAATCGGTCTATTCTCAAGGTCGGCAACTCTGCATGGAGTAAGCCACAATCTTTCGAGGCTTTGGGGAGTACTTTCGAAGTCGTCTTCCCAGATCAAACAGGAAGATCCGAGTTTCACTCTGGTGTCTCTGTTGCCGAAGGCGAAGGCAAGTACAAGATGACCAAGGTGGTCACTATTGCTCCTAGATTTATTCTCAAGAGCAAGCTCAACGAAGACATTTTGGTACGTGAGCCAGGATCTTCGAACGTTCTTCAAATCCGGAGCGGAGAATTAGTGCCTCTGCATTTCCTCCGTCAAGTTGCAGAGAAGCAACTCTGTCTGTGCTTCCCTGGCGTGAACAACCAATGGTCCTCTCCTTTCAACATCGCAGATGTCGGCACTGTCCACGTCAAATTAGCCAAGGCGCAGCAGCGCCAGAAGCTTATCAAGATTGACGTTGTTCTCGAGGATGCGACACTCTTTCTTCACTTCAGTTTTGAATCCAGGAACTGGCCCTTCTCCATGCGCAATGAAAGTGATATGGAATTCATTTTCTTTCAAGCCGTAAGTTGTTCCGAACTCATGGATTTTCTTACTGCTAACTAATTACCATAGAACCCCAATGTGGAAGATGATGAAGATGATCGAACAAGCGGCTGGAGACCTATTCGCTATCGCCTACCCCCTCGGAGTATCATGCCGTATGCATGGGACTACCCGGCAACTAAGAACAAATCCCTTGTTCTGACTTGCCAAGGCAAGGAACGACATATCAAGCTCGCCGAAATCGGTAACTTAATTCCCATGCGAATCCCACCCTCGAGACCTGGCGAATACCAACGAATCATTGATATCAACATTGTGGCGGATGGTCCCACTCAAACTCTTGCTCTGTCCAACTTCAAACCTTCCAAGAGTATCTACAAACAGCAAAAGGGCCAGACGTCGCAGAGCAGTATAAGTACTGGGTTTGAAGTCAAAGAGATGAACTCGGATGTGACATTCAAAGCTCAGCTTCGCTTGGGTGGTATCGGTATATCTTTGATCAATCAGAACTTAAAGGAGCTTCTCTACCTCACCTTCCGAGAAATTGAGATCAAGTTCCGGGAATCTGCCTTGTATCAGACACTCAACGCGACTATCAAGTGGATCCAAATCGATAACCAGTTGTATGGAGGAATCTTCCCGATTCTTCTATACCCTAGTGTGGTGCCTAAGACTGGCAAGGAGATGGAGGCCCATCCGATCTTCCATACTATGGTGACACGAGTCAAGGATGATACCTATGGTGTTCTTTACATCAAGTATGCTACTATTCTTTTGCAACAGATGACTCTCGAGCTAGACGAAGACTTTGTCTTTGCTATGCTTGATTTTGTCAAGATCCCTGGGGCGTCTTGGACTGTGGAACAGGAGGGTAAACTCTGCGATGAAGACCTGAAAATCCCCGAGCCACAGCAAAGTGATAACGGCCAAGACGTCTACTTTGAGCTTCTCCACCTGCAGCCCATGCAGCTTGACATTTCGTTCATGCGTACGGAGCGTGTCAACGTGGAGGATGCCATGCAGCCTTCCAGCCCTCTCATGTTCATAGTGAACGTGATGACCATGTCGATGGGTAATGTCAATGATGCTCCTATCCGACTGAACGCCTTGATGCTGGAAAACGCCCGTGTGTCATTCGGGAGGTTGGTCAGCAATGTGCAGGCCCACTACACACAAGAGTTCGTGCGCCAAGTCCATGTCATCCTTGGATCTGCGGATTTCCTGGGCAATCCGGTTGGTCTTTTCAATACTCTTGGCTCCGGCGTGGCGGATATCTTCTACGAGCCGTATCAAGGCCTGGTCATGACGGACCGACCCCAAGAGCTAGGCGTTGGCATTGCAAAGGGTGCCACTAGCTTCCTCAAGAAATCCGTTTTCGGATTCTCTGATAGTATGGCCAAGTTCACTGGAAGCATGTCGAAGGGTCTTGCTGCTGCTACACTCGATAAAGAATTCCAAGACCAACGCCGAATGTCCAAGTCTCGAAACCGCCCCAAGCATGCCCTCTATGGAATCACAGCAGGTGGGAATGCATTCGCAACCAGTTTGGCCAGTGGAATCGGAGGCTTGGCTCGCCACCCCCTCCAAGGAGCTGAGAAGGAAGGAATGGCCGGCTTCATTAAGGGTGTTGGAAAGGGTGTTTTAGGTCTTGCCACCAAGCCTGCTCTTGGTGCCTTTGATCTTGCCTCCAATCTTGCTGAGGGAGTCCGGAATACCACCACTGTCTTCGATGCCGACGGCTTGGATCGTGTTCGTCTTACCAGATTTATTGGCACTGATGGCATCGTTCGACCATATTCCCAACGAGAAGCCCTCGGACAGTTCTGGATGAAGACCACTGATAATGGAAAGTATTTCAACGAGGATTACATTGCCCATTTGGAACTTCCTGGTCGCGATATGCTGGTCATGTTGACCTACACGCGCATCATGCTTGTGCGCACCAAGAAACTCGAAACGGAGTGGGACATCCGATTAACCGATATTCAAACAATCTCGAAGGAGCGGACAGGGATGAGCATCACGCTCAAAGGTGGAGCCAATGGTCCGTTCATTCCAGTTCAGGATGAAAGCTCTCGGAACTGGCTGTACAGACAGATTGCCATTGGTGAGTATAGTTGTTCAAGAAAAATCTAGATTCAAAGCTAATGACTTCTGGCAGCGGTGAATGCTTTTAACGAGAAAAACAATACTCGAGGATAAGATGCGCTTCTTTCGACTACCTTAATGATGTCACGAACCATGGGTTGCATTCACGAAGAGGAGATTCAAAATAAATCAGTTATAATAACGAACCAATAGTTTCCTTCTGGTGTCGTTATCTTCTACATGGCTGTACAAGCATGATTGTTTCGGTCTTCGATTCACGTACATACGTTTATCCTTCATTGTTCTTATTGTTTAAAATTTTTGTTTCTGCCCCCTAGTAATAAATAAACAAGTTCAGGAGTGGTTTTCACTAGTAGACCGTAATGATCACTGGTATTATGTATTACTCATTCGAAATAGTTAATAAAACATGCCTGATGTTGTACATAGACCTCACTCGAGTCCGGTAGATAAGCAAAAAATAAGGAAGAGAAGACAAAAGAAAAAAGTGGAAAAACTCAAGAGTACGCCTCCTCAGCTAAGAAATTCGTGGTACTGCCCGATCTGGCCCCATCTTCTGATCCGGATTCTTGACAGGATGTAGAAACATAGACGGAAAGCAATGACGTCCATAGCGAACTTCTGTCGACTATAGTACCGAAGTCAGTAATTGCTGGATATCAAAATAGCGACAGACGTATATAGGCGCACTTGCCTTTCTCCCGCCCTCGTTCTCGGCCGTCCTATAACCAAGCCAGCGTCTGTAAAGATCCTCCCCAGTGTGCGAGGTAAACATGTATGAGAGCCGGTACAAGATGTGGTCGAACCGATGATCCCAGTTCCAAATACTATCCTCCAAACCATTGTTGTTCTCCGGCGGCCCCCGATTGAAGATGCGGTTTAACTCAAGTGGCGTCCACTTACCATCTGCCCAAATAGGCTGCGGGATGGCAACGGCCTTCAGCCCATGGAAGAGGCACCACGAAGAGCCCGTCATCTCAGATGCAAGGCCTAGGCCACGAGTAGCTTGTGCGTGGTGGATCAGGTCCAGTAAGCGCCGCGAGTAGCGGCCCATTGTGATAATGGAGGCGCGGCGTGGCGTGTCGAGCCCGAATTTGAAATTCCAGACTAGGTCGGGGAACGTCCATTTTGTTCCTTTGGGGTCGAAGATTGGGAGGAAGGTGATGTAATCTGCTTCCTCGCCGACGCCCCATGTGAAGCTGTCGTTGTCGGGGTGTTCGACTGGAGGCTCCGGCCCCATGGGTCGAATACCTGTTCCGTAGGGCGCGCCCCATGTTGAGTTCTCGGAGTTTGGGAGACTGTTATGGACGAACTCGGTGAAGTTTCTCCATGAACCATGGACAGCTGGAAGGTAGAAATGAGCATTTCTTTCCCAGAGGTATTTGCGGGGTTGTTGTTTCGCGAAGGAAATTGCTTTGTCGAAGAAGTGGTAGATGTGCCCTGTGTGCCGACCATCCATTTCGAGTTGCCAGTAATAGTCGAAGTTAGGGTACAATTGGGAAAATATTTGTATAGGCTGATGCTGCTGCAACATTGGGCTATACATCGATTAGGGTCGGCACTCTCATGACAGTGCTTTTAGTGATACTTTACCTATGCTCTTCAATCTTCGGATACCAAGCCTCGAGCAATTTGTTGTTGAAAAAGAGCGCAATATTTCGAAATTCAATGGGAACAGAGTCTCGAAGCTCCTCGATTGTCTTCCGATCAGAGAAGATAGGCAACTGATCATCCTTCACGTGAACCAGGAGGAACACCTCGTACTCTCCGCCAGAGTGTAACGAAAGCTCCATGATTAAAGCTCGGAGATATTCGCGAAAATCATTAGTCCACAACATATTATTCCACGCCCGAACAAGCACCGCAGATCGCGCGTGGTGGCGCTTCTGAGTCGTCGACCCGGGGTTCTCTCCAACGCTCTTCCTTGGCGATTGTTTAAGTTCAAACGAGAGAGGCCGCTCTTGTGTTTCATTCAAAACGCTGCTCGAGCGATACCGTTCTGCGTTCCTCGCAACACAATCGGCTTGGAGCTCATACCAGTCGACCTCCTGCCAATTTACCATAGGCGGCCGATCAAAGCCAGGGATATCCTCTTCACTTTCTTCGTCGTGGCCATACGCCCCATAGCGCGAGTAGCGGTCCGTACAGACCTCCCCGTCAAGGCCTATAGCCTCGTAAGATCCGAAGACTGGCTCTGGAAAGCCGAGCTGCTTGCCCTTGTACACGAGCATCATGTCTTCTGTCTTCGTGCGGTCGAGGTCACGGCCCCGCGGACCCATACAAGGTGTGAAGCGGCCATAATGTTGTTTCTTCCATTTGCGCGTGTTGTAGGCAGGATAAGGGTCGAAGATCAATGGGATCGGGTGAGGATCAGGAGGGAGAGCCGAGGTGAGATTTAAGGTGCCGCCAAGATAGAACTGCTCATTTCTGAGGGTTTGAAGAAGATATCAGGTCATATGGATTTTCTAATAGACGAGGAAGATACCGTTCACCAACCTTCGGTCATGGAGGTTACCCATATCGTCCACCTCTTCAGTGTCTTCATTGTGAGCCTCAAAGATGGGATCATGCGTATTGGTTCCTCGGTATTGGCCTGGTCGAAGAATGTGAGGATGATCGTGAGGCTTGAGCCAATAAAACGGCGATAGCTCTGGACGGGCTGCAAGGGAAGAGTAGACTTCAAAGAGAGTAAACACGGCGAGAAGATAAGCAGCCCAGTATATGATTGATTTCCACCGACGTGTACGAGCAGCAAATGAGCCCCGGGTTTGGAAACCAAGCTGATCCTTACGACGCATGATGACAATTTGGGTCACACTATCAGAGTAGATTGGGGATCGAGAAATACCATGACCTGAGACCTGAGGTGAGTAGTGGAGAACGAGCGTGTGTCACAGCAGGCTGTCCTGCTTTTGGAAGCACAAATGAATGAGAGCCTTCTAGAAGGAAGCACCCTGATTGTGGTAGAATGAATGTTTCAGGGCATTGTCAGGAACGACAGGTAGGAACAAGTGTCCGGTGGGTGAGAGGGCGATGTCATCACGACGCGGCCTTGACTGCGTCGCGACCTGCTATTTGGGCAACAAACGCATCAAAAATTACGGGTCTAATACCTTCTCCCTCCTAATCCAATATTTGCATGTTAGACAAGGGGATTCAAGCATTTGCATATTGTAAAATGCCCTTCAGAGCTTATTTATAGTGCTATGCAGCAATATTTCTTTAGTGTTTGAACCCTAGCACGTTTGAATGATTTTTTAGTCATGAGGCCGCAGCATAGTCATGATCACGATGCAAATACTCATAAAACATCACTGTACAGCTATCGTCGACCAGGAGAGGCTGGTAGCAGAGAGGTGATACAACCTCTTCAGTGGAACACTGAACGTGTCCAATCCTGCACTGCTACAAGAACTTGAACTAGATAGGAGATGTTGAAACACCTAAATCATCAGGGCACCTTATGTCTAAGAATATACCCGGAGCACGCTCTAAGTTGAATGTACGATTACGAAGCTTAAAAAAAGGCGGTTGAATAGCAACTGAGGTTGTTAAAGTCCACTGGGTATGTCCAACACAAAGAACAGGGAAGTCTCCATAGAATTTTCTTGTTTCAATGACAAAGTGGGACAGAAGATTGTCTGTCGAGATGTAATCTCCATGCTGTAACCACGTACCCACAAGGCATGAGGCTAATTGTTATGCTGATGATGAGACCATGGATATTTTCCAGGCGGTCGAAGCCTCTCGGGCGGTGGTGTCATTCAATTATGCGAAGTAGCTCTTCCAGAGGACGCCAGAGAGATCTTCCAGTTGGTCGGAGGTGAAGGCCTAGATGGTTCAAGTTAGATAAACATATTCTAGAATTGAAGTTTGGCAATAAGGACATACCTTCGCATCAATATGCCAAGTATCTTGTCGTGTCTTCTTGAAGTCGCTGATGATTGACTTAACACTAGATCCGACAACACCGGGATCACTGGCAGCACGAATACTCAGAGTGGTGAGCGCCTCTGGCATCCATCTGGGAGGAGGACTGTTGTAAGGGAATGCCTGGATGAGAGCACCCAATCCCAGGACCGCTCCGTGACGGACGATAATCAGACGGTTGTGCTCGGGCGTAGGAGTTCCAGCACCTGAGGACACTGCAGATGATAGACCGGACCGGATGGCCCTGGGTTTCTTCGGAAGGGGATTCTCGGCCAGAACCCTGGTGAAGCGTTCTTGGAATCGGTGGACCATCTTGTTGCGTAGATAGACAGGCGAGCAACGGATCATACCAGAAAGAGTGGCTGAAGCACCAGCTCGTACTTCATGCTGGGGGTCTTCCAGCATGGCCGCGATGCATTCAAATAGCCTGTCTCGGTCGGAGGAGTCGAGGAGGAATAAACGGCGGAAATAGATGATTTGGATGTTGATCATGACGCGGAGACGTTGGTGCCATGAGGTTGATGTTTGGCCGATACGAATAAGAGATTGAATAAACTGAGAGTTCTTCTCCGCTGGATATGGAATGTTAGGAAGATGGCGGAAAACATGGTATGCCAAAGACTGTAGTTCAGGGTCTTCTTTGACATCCATCATGTGCAGAAGCTGGGCGGTAAACACGTCGGGGAAGAACGGTACAAGCTGTGTGCATTCGTGGGAGGACAATGTTGAATCCAGCCACAGAAGTACCGTTTTACTACCCGAAGTGTATGACGATGGAGTTTGCTGGCCTGGGACTCGGTCGTGTCGCCAAGCCTCAATCTTATCGAAAACGCCCCGGACCATAGCGGAAAACTCATCAGAAGGACGATACGGATAGCTGCCAACCGACGAAGCCTTTCTCTGGTCGTCTAACAGGTGCTGAAGATCTGGGTAAGACTCGTGGTATCTTGTGCGGTAGATGGTGGCAAGGGTTTGGCCCATAGCCTCACGGACTCCTTTGTATGGGTGATCCAAATGGGCGAGGAAATCTTGCACAATCGGCTTATCGAGTTGGAAGTGCCAACCAGCATCTATGATGCACTGATGCAGGAGATTAATCTTGGAACTCTCCTTGAAGGCTGCATTGGTCGACATGTCCAATCGGAAGCTAGCCAACCAGTCAACCAAAGGCCAAGCTCGTCGAGGATCACGGCACTGCAGGATCATGTGAAGAAAAGTGGTCCAATAGCCAGAGTTCTCCGGGGTGAGGCCATCGCTGAAGATTTTCCTCACGATAGGGAAAACATACTCCCAAACTGTAGCTCGCCTTTCCACTGTAGTATCAGCCACAGAGCTGATGAGCGCCCCAAGGATTTCTGCAGTAGCACGGTGTTGGTGCTTATCACTACCATCCTCGAATACGAGTTGGATCTCTTCTTGAATATCTTTGAACGAGGCAGCTGTGAGACCGTCCCGAAGCAGAAGCTCAAAGGCATACAGAAGCATCATGGCACAGGACATCCGGAATTTGTCTGCCGATGGATCCCGAGGCTCTTGCTTCAGATACCTGAAAAATTTGGAGAACCACTCGCGAGTGAACAACTTGCCCATCTGCGTTCGGACATTCCATTCCACTTCATCATATTCGATGTCTCGTTCCACATTGGACTTGTAAGCAGGCATTGTTTTGGACCATAGTAGCCAACCGGGGTAATCATGGTCAACGTAGTATTCAGCCTCTGGCTTAGCGAAGCTAGACAAATATTCCTGCGTCCATCCCTCTTCATAAGGACGGGTTGCCACCTTTATCTTTGCAGGAAAGCGCTGATGACCCAGTATGTAATTCTTGTACTCGTGGCTGCAGATGGCACGTACATCAATCATGGTGAAGAGGGCAATGAGAGCTTGCGAGTACATGCCACGCAGACCTGGGTGGTCGTCAATCGAGCCGAGCGTCACCAGCTCGATCAAATTTTCGCTAGCAATGTAGTCGAAGCGAAGACCCATGGTGATGACAATGGTCGCGGCGCGACTGGCAATCTTCCAGTGTGAAACCCGTGCGAGATTAACCAACTCTTCCGCGAGATCGGCTTTCTTCTTTTCGATAGAAGCTCTCTTGTTGTTGATGCCCTTGCGCTTCTGCTCAATTTCAGAAGTGACATCATTTGCCGGTGCAATGGCCTCCACAATGCTCTGGTCAAGGATAGCCATTCGCTCCATGGCACGGCCGTAGTCCATTATTTGGAACACAGCAGTGGAGCAAATCTTTTGCACGGAGGGCTTATCGACAGCACTTGCCTCAATGAAGGTTCGAATGAGGGTTGGAGTGTATTTCCAGTTCCGCCCAGCAGTCTTAGCGACGCTACTAAGAAGAAGAGAGTATAAAGCGCCCTTAATACGGGCATGGTCGTTCTCCCGTACACCTTTCTGCAATGCTTTCAAAAGAGGTGGAATAATGAGCGATCGCGCACCCCAGACAGACTTGAGCGCCGATTCTCCAGCATTCTGAGCGTTGCGGCGGGTCTCTGTGTAAAGTGACACACAGGATTCCGCAAGGTCAAATAGAAGAATTTCGTCGAGTTTGGACCGCGTGCGTGGTGCAGCATTGTGTCGCAGGCGTTGGAGATGATATACATTGGCTCTGCGCACAAGCAAAGCTCTTGGATAGTCTTTTCGAATTCCACTCATCTTGTATGGGTGGATATCTGCGGCGAGAAGTCGGGTGACACGGTCCAAGACATGGGCGGATCTTTCGATGCCAACATCCACGAACCAAGAGCGGAAGGCTGAGTAAAGTGCTCCGAAGCACGGTACATCATCTTCCTGTTTGTCACTCAAGAACCGATGCACCTCATGGAGTACCCAGCCTGCTCGTTCACGAAGTCCGTGAATGGTATTGTAAAGAGCATCACCTTCAGTAAGAGGATAGCCGGTAGGATAAGTAAAACTTTCTTTAGCAGATACCTCATCTGAGCTATCAAGCAGAGAGTCGGCCTCCGTCTCGCTAAGCCCGTTAAAGTCTGCATCATTAAAACCATCGGAAAACTTGGCCGAGGCTGCATCCACGACATCTGCAAGCTCTGGCGAAGTCTTTGAGGCAGCTTTGGGGTCAAAAAGTACCGAAATACCAGAAAGGAGAAGACGGAGAAGGACCAAATTGCGGGTGACCTCATCCGACCACTCTTTTCCACTACCATCGCGTTTGATGCTCGATGTCTCATTCGTCAGTCCCACCAGATGACGGAGAGCAGACTCTGCTTGATTCTCGAATACTTCCACTGCGAATTCAAGCTCTTTTCGCTGCGGAACATGCCACTGTATGCTCAGCTTCTCCACACTGGGTATGTAGCTCCAATGCTTTGGCTGAATGCCATCCTTGATATCTGATGGCTCGTAGAGAGAAAAATCTCTGGTGTAGGTTCCAGTCAGATTAAGCAGGAGGTGATGAATGAAATTGGAGATGTGCACTGTAGGAATGCCTTGACACTTCTTTTGCATGTACACAGCAATGTCGAATAGTTCCTGTCGGTGAGCCAGAACAGCATCGCCCACATGGACCACGCACATGCTCAGCATACTGACGTTCCAAACTAAGCCGCGGTCGCGTGGAAGAACATCTGTTCCGGTAGTTCTGGTCGAACCAGCGCCATTCTCTTCGATCTCGGTGCGGATCGCCTGGGTGAGGACAGGAATGAAGCGCTTGAGAGCTTTTTCGGGGTTAACTTTGCAAAGGGCATTGCAAATGAAAGCCATTGCATCACGGGCCTGGTGGATAACGTGGTTGGAGACGAAATCCACAATCTTTGACAGAGCGATATCATAGTACTCCGGCGAAAGAGAGGCCAAGAGGGGCATGAAAGTAGCAGGGAGAGTGTTGACAATGTTTTCCTCTGGTGAGCCATTGCGGACTCTTGTCACGTCCGGGAGGTTTTCCAGGAGTGTAAAGACTCGCCCCAGGAATGAGATTATGAAATCGCCGAAGCCGCAAGTCGATGAGCGAAGAATTAACTCTTCAGTCTCATCATCCAACTCCGTTTCATAATTGAGCTGTACATCTGCTCCTTGCTCCTCCATTCTCTCCATTTCGCCGCTAATCCATTGCATCGCAAGCATATTACAGTTGACATCCTCTCGCCCGGCAGTCATATCCACCATGGGGATATTATAGCACGCTGACTGAATGAATGATAGAGCATGGAGAGACTTCTCGAGATCGTTGGCGTCTATACCAGGCAAGGCTAGCCCAAGAAGGGTTGTCATATGACAGCGGTATCCTCTAGACCGGGTGATAACGCGAGAAAGTACTTGCATAGCGCGTAGGGAAGACGTTGTCCGATGTACCTCAACTAGTCCTTGAAGGGAAGGATAAATTCTTTGGAGAGCACCTGGCAGAATGAGATGTGGTTCCAAGTACGCAAGGCCCTGAAGTGTCGAGAGAGAGAAAGTCATGGCGGTGCTGCTTTTGGCGTAAATACCCATGAAAATTACATCTCTGAGGCAGATAACGAATCGACGCTTCAATGCTTCATTAAGTCGTCGCTCCGCTGGGACATCCATCTCACCACTCTGCTCGCGGTTCCAGCGCATCACAAAGAAATCTGTCAGGTAATATACGAGCTGCGATAGAGTTTTGGTCCAGCTGCCGGAATTGGAAGGATGGAAGAAAGTCTCAACAGCTTGAATCAGACCTTCGAGTTGAGTGAGAATCGAATCTTCTGATTCGAGACAGGCAGGAGAAAGTGACATGACGATCCATCGAGCAATATGATGGGCCACCGGATGCTTTCGGGTATCGCGGTCAAGCATGATACCGAGCCCGGAGGAGATATCAACTAGAGCACTGTATGGTGAAGTAGACTGGCCTACGGGGATCTCAAGCAGTCTCAAGACCGCTGTAAAAATGAGCGACGACTGCTCCTTTGTAAACACACCATGTTCTGAAAATGGAATATGATCGGCTGGAAGTGAGTCCCGAGCCAGTCGAGACAGATAATCGAGGTAGGTGGTGTCAAATGTCTTCGAGCGACCAACGAGTGACCACAGATGGAATTGGGTGGGCAAGTGATTTTGCGGTAATAGGTCTTCCCGGTCGGCTGGTGGTGGAGATGTTGGAAGCATCAAATTAATCAGACCGGCGACCACAAAAGCGCCTTCGGAAAATGAGGTTGTGTAATGGGGAAGAAATTCTTCAAGCATCGCAGGGAGCTCGCACGGGTCAATGAAAAGCTGCGCGAATGCGCAAAGCTTGGTCAGTGTTTTCACATTTCGCTTGAGATTAGTCGAATGCACGAGGCCGGATTCAGCGGGGAGTACGAAGGCCTTGAGTTCTTTGTAAAGTGGTCTCCAGTCCAGGATGAGGTCCTTCACTGGCTTGAGGTAGTGCTTTCGCCTGGGGTGCAATCTTATTAGTACCTCTCCATTGGGGGCGAAAATGGCGGAGCAAACCAACTTTGTAAGAAGCATGAACATGCTGGCGAAGCGCTCTGAGACACTAGGGTCGATGCCCGGAGCCAAAGAAAGTTCATAATAGAGCTTCACGAGATTTACTCGGTCCTTGCGCTTCGGATCAAATTTAAGTGAAAGCCATCCTCGCAGCTCGCGTGTCCAGTGGACAGCTCCGGGACTGAAATCTCCAGCTTCCACAGAGATGTAGAGCTGATTCAGAATCTCGCGGAGGGCCTTTTCCCGCTCGCCTTCATCCTCTAGTTGATAGGGTAGATATTTAAAGTAGGGGTAAGTGCGAGGACGGACACGAGCTTTAGGTTCGCCATCGCCGTTGATAGTGGACGGTTCACCCCCGGGTGAGGTGGCCCGTGAGATCTCCTGTGCATGCGCGAAATTCTCGGAGGTCAGAATCGCCTTGGGGGTTGAGGCGTCCATAATCGCATTGGAGTGAAAACGATGGGAGGTCAAGCAAGCTAGGTGTGGAGATGATGTCGATGAGGATCGTCGTGGAGGTCAAACGGACACTACATCAGTATTGATGCGTTAGCCGGTGGTGCTATTCACTGACAAGTATGGCATGGGCTCATGACTCACTCGATGAAGACTCTGCACAATTCGAGACTCGGAGTTCCAGTCTGAAGGATACGGGAATTAAAGCCGGTGCGGTTGCAGACGCAGCTTTGCATGAGGTACTCGCGACCTGACGGCGGTGGGGGCGGAAACGCACCGAGAGAGAATTCGTAGACGTAAGAGGGAAGGATAGAAGAACGTTAAATCGGTCGGAAGTCCGGAGGTTCTCCCAGCAGTTCCAGGAGTGAGATAGGTCAAAGGAGAGGTTTCAGAGGCTGGATGACATAACTAGATGAGGTCCAGAGCGGGAGGAAAAAGAGCTTTGGCCAGCTCTGGAGACCCGCGTCGAATGGGGTGGATATGGCCGTTGAGAGGGACTCGCCAGTCAATTTGGACTCCAGGACGGTATTTAAGAAGATTAGAGGGCACAAATGGTTCAAGAGGAATTTCAAGGCAAAATGGGCGGTAGTATCCCATGTGCCCAGATTGCCTAATAAGAGGCCTGATTTTGCTTAGGCAGATGCGGTTTACGCAACCGGCATGGCGCCCGGGTAGATTGGTGGACAAAGGCGAGGGAGTCTACAGAACACAATAGAATCAACTGGCCTTATGATACCCAAGTCAGATGTGGATTTCTAAGAATTTTTTTTTTGGAAAGTCCTTGCGAGTTTCTACGCAGGCGGTAAGAAAGAGCCGAAAAGAACCGCCTGAATCAATGCATAGCCTACCATGGCCTGCGCCGTGACGGTCAAGTTACGATGACCTTTGCGGTAATCTTTTAAGCTGTCCATCGCATTGGACGCAAGATACCAGTAAAATACTGGATACCCCGAGCAGATTCGGTTGACAATTTGAACATGATAGCTCGTCATGGCCAGGACTGCCAGTAAACCTTGAGGCACGGCAAGGCGGAAGAGCATGGAGCCCGGGGTAAGAGGCGAAGGCGACTGCTTGCCCGGCTCTAACCCGAGGCTCGGGGGTGTCTGTAATGCCCATAGAGACGAGACCACCATCAATGTGAGCACGGGCGCGGCCACCAAGAAAAGAGGGACGTTGGAAATAGTCCAGTACCGAAGAAAACCGACGTTCCTAGAGAGGCAATTAGCCATCGGTAGTATGTATCACATATTGGAGAGTAGCAGGAAAGTAGCTTACCAATAGAATCCTTGAACCCAGGTATAAATGCTTGGCAGGGTCCAAGTACACCAAGGCCGAAGGTCTGTTTCGGTCAGGCAGTATGCGCGATAGGCGATCACTTGGGGTATCAGTGTTCCCATGGCGACAGTGGCACCACCAATCCCAGTCACGAGTAATCGGCGAACAGATTTAACGGATGGGCCCTGGGTCAGTATCACCCATGAGAGGAACAAGACATCGTACGCGAATAAAAACCCACTCAAGAGACCATTGCTGCGCACGGTAGTAGCAATGGCGAAGAGGAGCGCAGCTCCAAGTATATAGACATCTCGCAGGGCGGCGCCCCCATTCTGCTCTGCGATTAGAGAGCAGGAGTAGAGGTAAAAGCCAGATATGTTAAGGAAGGAGAAGGTCGATTCTCCATATGGAGCCGAAAGAAAGGCACCCCGGGACAGATAATATGCAAGGCGGCCGACAGGAAACAAATTAACTTCTGACGAGATGTCGCATGACCGAAAATATTGACCGAGAGCCAATACAAGGCTACCACAGACAGGTAGTGCGCGACATGGGACAAGGCAATGCCCACCAATGCAGTTGTAATAGGGCCCCCCGGTTCCACCAGATCGGCGGATCCCTAACACTTAATTAGTGGAATTTCATAGGACACCGATCGGTGTGGTGGGTACCAGAAACGAATAGGCCTAATACTCTGGGAAAGCCAAAAGCCCATTCCTGCTCGAAGACATAACCGTTTTCTGCAGTGTGGAGGAAGTAAATGGAATCCCAACGAGCAAATTTCAACTGCCATGGAAGCGAGGTTGTCAAGCGGGCATTCTCATGATGGATCAAGGCGGTGGAAGTATCATAGCCTGACCCAGGGCAGGCAACAACCGCTATGAACACCAGGGGTTTCCACACCAGGAAAGCCAGAGTCAAGCTCCGAATTGGATTGTCCAGTCGGAGCAGGCTGGCGGAAATCGGACGGCGAGGACTCGACGCCATTGCCAATTGTCGGGAATGGCGCGACTGGGTCTCACCAATCTAGGAGATTCTTGAGCGAATCACGATAAGATAATAAAGAACGGCTCTTCAAATGGCCGAGGTCGAAAGGATGTTGACACGGGATGAAGTTGCATAAAGCTCGCGCGGGAGAGATAGTTATGAATGCGCACAATTAGTCAGTGGAGATCTAGCCCTAAAGCGGGATCCGGACGATCTTCAAATCCCGAAATGCGCTCGTGGTGGATCTGACACCGGGAGGGGCAGTTTCAATCGAACTCATGAGCCCACAGGTACAGATACGTGGTGCTTATTTTTCTATTCCCGAATACACTGGTAAATCTTGACTTCGATCCCGCCTTCGGCGTTCAAGGCTGAGGGTCGCCCACGAATCCAGATCTGGATTTCAAGTTGTACATGCGGAGTATACATTCAGTTGAAGAGGGTGGCAAAAAGCAAAAGACCCTCTCTTGGCGTTCAAATTCGACTTGTTTCTGGGTTGATGACCGGTGGGAGCTGGGCTAATTTGGATGCCTAAGCTGGACTTATGTGGTGAGGAAAACGCCACTGATGCCGCCAAGTAGCAAGCCTACTGCAGGGTTCTTCACCCACTAGCAACAAACATCCTGGTCACCTTTCTTAGCATTTAACGTCCGTGGGTCTCTTAGACGATGCCGTCTTACTCTCGAATGAGACCGACAAACTGCTTACCCGATCAGGAAACGTTCTGGCGGGTCCACAAACCTTCCGATTGCCGCCGGAGGGAGCTTCGGCTCTAAAGCTCTTCCGCACCGAAGTATACCCCCCCGAGTCAGCGGTGGTTGGTGAAAACTCTAGCGGTTCCCCCGTATCGGGCAGTAAGCTCTACGCTGAAACATGGATAAGCATGTGGTTCAGGGTCGCGCTAAGCGTACGGCACTGGAGAGTCTACACATTCGCACGATCTAGCCTTCCACGAGTCCCAAGAGTCCCAAGTAATATCGAGCCTGACACCCCTCCCCCCCACATTAGATGCACAGATCTTGAAGTTTGGTGTCATACTAGTCGATTTCGTAATGAGATCGCGGGAAGGTGTAGAAGAAAAGACCCCTCACGCCTTCAGCCCTGGGCGCTGAATCAGCTCCGACCCTGCAGCCCTGGGGTCGGCAGCCGGATGTGCTCGGAGGATACGGAGCTCGGGGTCTGTGGATCCCGATTTAGAAAAAGTCTTTTTGTTGTAGCCCGTACACGAGGTAAATTTGAGGGAATAAAAAAAATAAGAAAAAAAGGGGCCCCTCTTTGCCTCGTCCCTTGGAACCGCGGGCTTTTCTGCTCCACTTATGATCTGTCCGACTATACAAGGCTGACCGCCGATTTTTCAGAGAAGTTTATAATGTCCCGTTTAACAAGTCGTCCCTGCCGCGCATGACTAAAAAAGAAGCATTCCCCCTGCTCGGTCCCTTGCATCCCCATTTTGCGCATTTTACGTAGCCCTCGATCTTGCCACCTGGGCAACTCTTTTTTTTCTGAATTCAAGATTGCGGTCCAGACTGTTTCCCCCTCACCTCCCAGCTACTCGTCTTCAGCTTGCGCCTGCACCTCGCACCAACTGGTGGCTTGCGGCTGATATTCAGTTCCACGCCAACCTCCCCTCAGCTGAAACCTCGGTCACCTTGTGATCTTTGAAAACGTATGTTCATCTCCTAGAGAGTTGCGGGATTGGCTTTTCTTTAGAGGCCCTCCGATGCCTGTCGGCTCCGCTGAAGCCCAAGAATGCTGCTGAATCTTGGTCTTACAGCGGACGCCGCAGCAGCCCACACCAACGATCTTAGCGTCGACCCAGAAACGCCACCCGCGCAATCTACGTCGTACTATTCCCAGGCTTTCTCTTTGTCTTCACTGCTTTTTCTTGGTGGTCTCTATAGCACCAAGCAAGCCGATGGTCCTTCTCAGCCACCTGGGGTCATATCCAGTGTGGCCATGAGCCCTACCTCCTCGACAGAGGGTGAAACCTCGCAAGACCCATCTGTTCTCGCAAAAACTCGTGCATCTACCCCTCAAGCAACCCGCAAGTCTACCCGGACAAAGACGGCATACCAACTTGCTCACCCAGCTCATCATGCTCGTCATAAACGATTGAAGTTGCGCCCAAAGCTGCTTCTGCAACTGCAGCAAATTTCACGAACACCTCGTCCTCTTCCTATTCTTGATATATTACCATCAACTGTCTACCTACCTCGACTAGCGCGGAAGTTCCCTACCAAATTTCGTGGAAGAAACGGACTTGGTCCCTATGATCTGATAATTGTCATGAGTGAGCTATACGAACGTTCTATGACCAGTGGCCCGGAACAACCACCCCATACGGATGATGATGAAGATCAACGAGAAGTGGTGGCCACTATTTGTCAGATGCTTCAAGAGGATGCCCGCCAGAAAGGTAAAGCAGAGATATGCTTAAATTTTGGGCCCGTCTGGGAAGCCACACCACTTCCGAGTGGTTCATACGAATTCGTAGCACAAACTGACCAGGGGGTACGAGTCATGCGCTGGGCTATGCGGGAAAAGAATCGCCGCATGTCCGCACCCCAAGGGATACCAACAGGCGACGATACCAAGCGATTTACCTTTAGCGTGATCGACCCCACCACTCGTCGACACCCGGTCATCGCTTCCATGACTCGGAATCAGCTGGAGGTGTTCGACACATACTCGCCCGTCGTCCGGTCCGGTAACGGTAGCACCACTCCGAGCTCCAACGTGTCCGTAATCAGCGATGTTTCCGATGACGCACCTTGCGAGGCTAATATGATCACGTTGGATGATGGAATGCGGACACTGATCATCGTCACTGGAATATGGGTGGCTTTTCGCGAAGGCTGGTCTAACAATTTCAGCTACGGAGATGCAGTATCTTCCTCTACGAAAAGTCCGACCTCCCCAGCGTCCTCCAAGCCGTGCTCAATTGCTGCAAGTGCCGACCGGGTTGATGTGAATCAATTGCAAGAGAGGAGCAACGACACCAGATCAAGCGTACCCAAGTCGATTTCCCGACGCTCTATTACCATGGGCACCCTGACTGCCAACGACACCATGGGCTACGGGAGTCTCACACGACGTTCAAACTCGACAGGAGCTGCTTTCATGGAAAAGGTTAAAAGAAGAAGTTCATCTGCCGCCGGCCGCGGCCGAGTCAACCGCCATAGTCTGTTGAATGGCGTGGGGGACACAGGATACGAAATTGTTGTTCCTCGACCAGCGTCTATACCACGGAATCCCACCGATCTCGAAGAAACCATCAAGCAACCGACACCGCAGGCTCAACCTGCAGCTGTGCGCGCTCCAGATACTCCAAAATCGAAACCAGAAAAGCCAAGCCATCTCCCAATCCCTTCTTCGGGGCCTAACCTGGTTTGGGAGGAGGATGACTTGAAAGACTCCAAAAATCTCAACCCCAACATCAAGAGAAGCAAAACGCGCCACCGGCTCAGCGCCATGTTCACTAGGTTCCATCGAAAACAAGAGGCGCATTGAGTGCCCTATCTACATTCATATGTATACCCAGCATCTCAGCAACGTTCATGTATTCTTTCTAGCCATATTTCCCTTCTTTTGGGTTGCATAGGATCCGGCGTTTTTTCCCTTTCTTTTATTGAAGTTTTTGTCTTTTTTTGTCTTGTCTTGTTTTCTTCTTCACTCGGGTCATTACTGGACGTCTGGAACGACGGAATGCCATATCTTCACTCTCTTCTTTTACTTTCCTCATGAAGCTGCGTTTCACCCTATGGGTTATAATTTTTTGGAACCGTATCTTGTATGCAGTGGATAGCAGAAGCTCTGTCAATATTATCATGACTCCAACTTGGACAAACCGAAGCGTCGGCCCGAGCATAATTTGCCTTGAAGGACCCTTGTTATTTCGAGCTTGAGCCACTCATTGCTAGCTAGAGAACTGGTGTATAATTGTTGACTGTAAAACTCGAGTTCATACTAACTAGGTAATAATAAAGTGCTGACTAGCAGAACCAATGGCCCGGCAGCGAACATATCAGCCACTAGAAGCTCCTCGCTTTCCACTTTGGGTTGATGTGAATATACGCGGGGCTTGTGCAAGGCAGACTTTGTCGCTTTCGAAGTTCGTGGTCACTAGTACGGTTGATTAGAGACTAAATATGCCGACGCGGTTAATTATACCTAATACCACGAGTATGTATCAGCCCCGAGACCTTGGGGATCGGTGTTAATCCGCGATCGCCGCCGGTGACCAAAGACACGGTAATGTACCAATGCGGCAACCACGCTTGCCGGCCAATGAGTAGATGTAAACGAGGCTGTGTACCGCTGCATCTCCGATGCCCTGTCGGGCGACTCAGCGCCGATTTGCAGGGCCATCATAGCGCCGATGCGGGGTACTGCTCCCTGATGTCGAGACGGAACATGCTCGACTATTAACAAAAGCAACACGCTGGTCACATATGCCTCGAACGGGAGAAATATTATAAACTTGAAGCTTGAGGCCAACAATTGCCATGTCGATGAACTTTGAGGATTGTGGTGTGGTCCGGGATGGCTTCCCCCGCCCTTTTCCCAATACCCCGTCCAATGTCTTGGAGCAATTTCGCATGGACAGCAAGGTGGTTGTTGTCACTGGTGCTTCGGATGGCATTGGTCTTGCAGTGGCAGAGGCAATTGCGGAAGCAGGTGGTAATGTTGTCTTCTGGTACAACTCGTGAGTGGTTTTTCAGCATCCCCAAGTCCGAGAGCATACACTCATTCTGCGCAGAAATGATGTCGCCATTCAAAGATCCCAAGAGATTGCCACCAAACACAACGTTAAGACCTCTGCGTACAAAGTTGACGGTAAGTGAGACCTATTTTCACTCGCAGAACTGCTCTGAACTGATATATTAGTCTCTGTTTCAACTCAAGTCCAAGAAACCATCGCTCAGGTCGTCAAGGAATTTGGCAAGCTCGATGTCTTTATTGCCAACGCTGGTAAGCACTTCGATATGAAAAGCTTCATTTGTACTCTCCAACTAATATCTGTCCAGGTATGGCCATCTCAAAGCCCATCTTGGAGCAGACCTTAGAAGAGTACCGTAAGCAGATGTCCGTGAACGGTGAGCGCTTGCTACTAAACTCAAATTCCGGTGTTGTACTAATTTCGATCAGTGGACGGCATTGTACATTGCAGCAAATATGCCGGCGAGGTTTTCCAACGCCAAGGGTTTGGAAACCTCATTATTACATCAAGCATGAGCGGACACATTGTCAATGTTCCAACCGACCAACCTGTCTACAACGCAACCAAAGCATACGTCACTCACTTTGGGAAATCCCTTGCTCGTGAATGGCGAGAATTTGCCCGTGTGAACGTTGTATCTCCGGGATTCTTTGACACCAAGATGGGGGCCAGTCCCTCTGCTATCAATGAGGCTTACCGTATGGCTGCCCTAGGACGACAGGGCCACACCAAGGAGATCAAGGGTCTGTATCTCTATCTCGCCAGCGATGCTTCAACATATATGACGGGAAGTGATGTGCTTATTGATGGTGGCTATGTACTACCTTGAACAACAGGTAAAGAGCGCGAAAAGCACAATTCCGATTGATAGATGTATTTTGAGGAAGTAGAGCTGGATGCTAGCAGTCGGAACTCCTTGGCCTGTTGGGGACTTTCAAGCGGGAACTTAACGAAGCTGTTCATGGCCAAGACGCCGCTGATGGCCCCTGAGCTTTGCCTACTACATCGACTGGTTTTCGAATGGCTCGAACTTATGGGGGAAGATAGACTTCGTAATGGCTCTTGCCCAACAAGCATTCCGCCTGAGCTAGCGATACAGCTAGAAAGAACATGAATCGTTGTTGAACAAGGCCCCTGGTTCCTGGTTGTCGGTAGAGAGACCCTCTGGAAAGCCTAATGAGTGCGCGGATCAGTGTTGTTCCATAGTAGATGTTTATCGCCTCAGTGGCGCTTCTGCCAATAGCTCCGCTACCAATAGATGACAACAGACAAGTACAATATAGAACAACGTCATGGATGGGTAACTAACTGTTTTGAGTGATTAGGCAACTTCACAAGAATTTTGAAAGAGGGCTAGTAATGGCTCAATATATGGAGCATGTCGGATCTTCCCCTGCATGAGAATATGAAAAAAAGCAAGAGGACCAGCATAACCCAATAGTCGAATTTTACCTCCTACTCACAGATAAAATTACCAATAAAGTCTCATTAATCAACATAAGCCCTCCCAAAATGAAGATCCTTCTGCGGGTTCTCGAATTCCAGTGGAATTAATTTGGTTCCAAGGACGATTTTGCTCTGGATAATTTCCACGCTTGAACGCTCCCCGCAACCGAGGGTCACATTTGCCCTCTACTCGTACGCCCTCGGTTGGCACTCCTCCGATGCCAGTGCCTCTTCAATGCCTTCGGCGCTCAGGCATTAGTTCTTGACTCAATATTTAGCATGTCCAATCGCTTCTACATAATGCGAATGGGTTCTTGCGCCCTGCGTCCAGGCGTAAGCGCCATCGCCCCCCAGCGGAGATAAGCTGTTTTCCGAGACTAGACAATTTCGACTGGACGCCGCCTTCACTACAGCCCCGCATCTCTCAACTGCACTCCTTGACTCCCATCCACAGCTCTGGACTTGCATAGGACCTCCGGAAATATTATACTCCTCAGTTTGTCCGGGCCTGATCTGAGCCAGCCCCACTTATGGCTGAACCCACCGAAGATCCCACCGCTGAGGCTGGGGACGGAGCCCCCAAGAAGAGAACTAGGGTCCAATTCTCCTGCACAGCGTGTCGATATCGAAAGCAAGTTTTCATCAATTCTCTCTTCTGTTTCTGTCATGCTAACCAATGACCAGACTTAAGTGCTGCCGAACGTATCCATGCTCTAATTGTACAAAGCGTGGCGAGGGTGCTTCATGTACTTATGTCGGCCGTGGCCCTCGTGGCAAGGCTCAGCATGGGCGCTCGAACCCATCTCTTGTTCAAGATCGCCTGCAGCATCTCGAAAATCTCGTTATGTCCTTGGCTCAGCAGCATAAAACTGGCTCGGAGGATCCGATCATCGATTTCAATACAGCTCAGCCCCAGAATAACGCCGTGTATGATACCCCGCCTTCAAGTAGTGATCGCGACTCCAAGGCATCGCCTAGAGATACTGGCACCCTACTCGTACATGATGACGGCACAAGGTATATTGATAGTAGTAATTGGCGTGCTATCCTTGAGGAGGTATGTATCTACAAATTGAGGTTACTATTATGGGCGAAGGCGGGGGCTAACATTTTCTTTCAAGATCAAAAGTGTCAGAGAAGTCATTAATGATGCAGCAGAGACACCGAAAGATCTCTCTGGAGGGGACCCTTTCGATGAATCATCGCCGGCTCTACTCCTTGGGACGAGGCGCTTGATGTCAAAGCAGGAATTGCTTACGGATCTTCCCCAGCGTTCCATAACAGACAGGCTGGTGTCCCGCTTCTTGAAAAGCTCGGAGCCTTTTTTAAGTAAGAAAGAGATTCTGTTCAATCTTCCTATTGCTAACTTTCTACAGTCCTTCTCCATGTACCTACTTTCCGAAGGGAATATGATCAATTTTGGCGCGACCCTCACGGCATGCCCTTTACTTGGATCGCCCAGCTGTATGCGATGATAGCCATTTCTGTTTGCTTACATTATCGAAGTGGAGAGCCTCTCCCCTTGCTTACGGCAGATCCCATGGCCATCTGGGACGAGTTCCGTCAACGAGCGGCTCAGTGCTTGATCCATTCCAACTACATTACCCCTGGGAAGTACAAAGTTGAGGCTCTTCTCCTCTACTCATTGAGCGAGTTCCATCGCAGTCAAGATGCGCTCATGTCAGTGCATTACCTCTTTGGTATCACCATTCGACTGGCCCTCCGCATGGGCTATCATCGGGATGCCAGCTTCTATCCCAAGTTATCTCCATGGGAGGGGGAAATGAGGCGGCGAGTTTGGGCCTTACTTTGTCAGCTGGACACTTTGGTAGCATTTCAGAATGGCATTCCACGTTCGATTCAGCCCTGGTATTCAGATACTGCGCTCCCGACAAATCTTCTGGATGAAGACTTTGACCAAGATACCGTTCAGTTGCCTCCGGGTCGACCAGATGAAGAACGATCACCGTCTTCCTATACTCGATCAAAGGCGCGTCTCATGGGAGCATTCGGTCTGATCGTGGATCTTTCTTTCAAGCGAGAATACACGCCATACGAGGAAATCATGGACCTTGATCGGAAACTGAAGGAAGCCCGCGACCAACTCCCTGGATACCTCACCATTCGCCCTATGGCGCAGTCTATAGGGGACCAAACCCATCATATCCTTGCGCGTTATACACAAGAGCTACTCTACCAAAAATCCCGCATAGTCCTACATCGGCCTTACATGGCTGAGCAGGACAGCAAGTATGCTTTCTCACGACGATCTTGTATAGAAGCTGCGACGGAAACTCTACGGCATCATCACGATATTTCAAATGAGTCACTTCCCGGCGGTCAGCTCTATGCGGATCGGTTCATGATCAATTCCTTCCAAAACACCGACTTCATGCTTTCCTCCATGATTCTTTGCTTGGCACTATCGCAAGATATCGCAGGTACAACCAATAGTGACTTGGGATCACCCGAAAGACGGGAGCAAGTCCAGCTCTTGATGAAAACTCATCGGATTTTCCAGCAAACGCAGAATCGTTCAGCGGACACGCAGCGAGCATTCGCAGCATTGGATGTCATGCTCCGCCAACTGAAAGGTTTGAATATAGCAACTCTGACACTGGATGATACGGAGATATTTACGCCGACAAGTGGTAAGTTCAAGCTCTAAGTACCGGTATGGAGAGTGATCTGACATCTTTACAGGGGACGTTTCCTCTGAAACGATTACTACACTTGAACAGCATCCTTATGCGACGTTTCCTGCATCTGGCGACCTCATTCCTAGTGCTCATGACCCTCATGAAGAAACTTCGCTGTCTTCCTTTGGAGTCATTGGAGACATGCTCACTACGCCTGCTCAGGTGGATTGGGTAGGTCTAGTCACTGCGAAACCAATCAAGATCAAGCTAATTAAGGTATCTAGCGTCTTTATGACAGTCATATGTTTGGCTATGACATGACTAGCCCGAATGATATATGGCCACCATTTGAAGACATTTCGACTGCAGATATGGGCTTCCCTATGAATCCGGATCAGTAACTACGGATAATGCAATATTTTAGAATGAGCTCAGAGTGCTGCTACAGGTAATAATTCTGCACGACCCAGAGATTCTATCAAAAAACATGGTTAAAATTCTGATCGACCGAGGCCACACCGGCATTAGTGGCTGTGGGTATCAATATAAACCTGAGAAAGTTGATCAGCGTGTTCAAATGGAATGGGAATCATGATTATTCCAGGACTTATTTTGCAACTTGAAGTGAGCGTAGATTATAAACAATGTCAACTCCATGTGTGAGTTGAACTCCTGTAAAAGTCCCCGTAAGACTATCAGTGGAAGCTCTATGCAACATAGTGCTTGAGCAACATAAAACTTGATTTGGATAGATACTAGCAGTTGCTTCACTGAAACGCCTAGCGAAGCATCTGAGAGACTTACAGGTGTATAAATGGGGGTGGGGGGGCGGAATCGTCGGCACACCCAAGGCAAGCTTGATATCTATGGTTTCAAATGAATTCTCGAGAGGATAATATCACTTTCATCAAACGAACCTCATACAAAGATATTTTGACGCTGCTGAGATTTGCAGTATAAGTCCAGCTGTGTACATTGTAGCTCTACTTCCTAGAGCCGGGACGGAACCTCGGCCTTGAGCCCCCCCGAACCGCGGGCAACTTTTCTTTCTATAGAAGATCAGCAACCTTCAAGTTCCCACCACAGCCGAAGTATATACAGACCCTTCCCCCCGTCCTCCGCTTCCATGCGACCCGCTAAGTGCCTGCGACTTGGAAGTCCCCCCCCTGGCTCTCTCGCTCCAGCCAGGGCCCAAGCTGCAGCATTGCGCCAGCCAATCGCTCGAACGATCAGCACTACCTCAAACAAGCGGCCACACCCATCACCCTCCCAATTGCCTGGAAGATTGCAGGCCCCATACCTCCAGCCCCATCGCCGCTCGTTCGGTCTCCCCTCTCTCTCCTCCTTCCTGCCCTCCGGCGGCGGCGACAATGGCAACAACTCGCCCAAGCGCGTCCTTACAGCGAACCGCACCCTTCCTTATTCACCCGAGCTGCTCTTCAAAGTGATCTCCTCGGTGGAATCCTACTCCCAGTTCCTTCCTTTCCTTAACGCCTCCACGGTGACCGCCCGCGATCCGGAAACAGGGTACCCAACGCAGGCCTTCTTGACGGTGGGATACGGCCCGCTCAGTGAGACCTTCACGTCGCGCGTGGACTGCGATCCCGCGAAAGGTATCGTGGAGGCTCGCAGTGGCGCGAGATACGAGCCCAAGGACGGGGGTTCGTCTGCCTCGGGCCTCTTCCCGGGGGCGAACGAAGGGATCTTCGAGTACCTCTCTACAAAGTGGGAGCTGGCGCCTGTGGTTCCTGGGGGGAAGCCGGGGGGACCACAGACGAAGGTGCAGCTGGAGGTGCGATTCGAGTTTCGGAATCAGTTGCATGCTACGCTTATGGGGGCTGTTGAGGGGCAGATGGCTGGGCTTATGATTGAGGCGTTTGAGAAGCGCATTCGTGCGTTGCATGAGGGACAATAGAGCGGTTTGCATTCTGGATGTCATAGACTGTATATTAGTGGCGTTTTCTTTGGCTTCTCTTTTCTTTCAGGGTACGAGTATGCATCTCTGCCATATTAAGTCAAAATAGTCTTGCTTTGGCTCGAGACATTTCAAGCACTTCTGATGCATGGTTGAGGCATTTCATTTCTATCGCTGTACAGTTTTTAAGACAATGATTTTAAAATCAATGAGAAATGAAATAAATGGAACATGTTAGTATACAGTACATATTATCTGAGCGCACGGTGGAATTCAACGCGCCTAGAAATTCCGGCTGCGGGTCGACGACAGCCGTGCTGCCTTGGATGAGGTGACAGCGTTGTAGTTCTCGAACACAATGTCCCAGTTGATGCGGTCCCACCAGCGCTCGAGGTATTCCTCCTTTCCACCGATGCCGTAGTCCATCATCCATGCGTGCTCCCAGGTGTTAACACACAGAATAGGCTGCACATCAATGGCACCGGGGGCCATGTTCTTCTGGTTTTGGGAATGGGCGCCCATCGAGCCAGCGAACTGGTTGCCTATGGGGGCATCGGGCGAGTGTGTGGCCATATCAACGGGTTGCCGGCGGGCATGGGCAGCTGGGTAAGGGGAGCCAGCGTTGTAGGTGCAGAAGATCTGCATCAGACCCTCTCGCTCGAGATTCTTGGCGAGCCAGACAAACCCGGGGCCGAACATGGCGTTGGCGGTGGCGAGGAAATCGAGCTTGAGGGATTCGACGGAAGAGCACGTGTCGACGATGTCCCGAGCGAAGGATTCGGGGATCTTAGTAGTCGTGGGGGACTATTGCAGAGATGTCAGACGGCGCACAGAGCTGCATATGAAGATACCATCATGCGACTGACCAGGCAGTTGAAAAAAAAGTGGTTGTTGTGGGCCATGGAAGCGTAGTTGAAGACCGAAGCCATCTCTGGACGCCGGGAGTACTTGACCAGCAATTCTCCAGGCTTCGCATCCGCATCAATGGTGTCTAAACGCCAAAATGTTAGATTCTGCCACATGTGCTATTTCTTTGGTCCGATATATCCGTGTAATTGCGAGAGACTGGGCGAGGCATAGCGTACCATTTGTCAACAAATTCAGCTTATCCACAAGAAGGGTTTGGTATTGGGTCCAAGCGAAGTCATAGGCCTCGGGGGACATAAAATCCGGGACGCCATGCGCTTTGAAGTAGGAATCATGTTGCAATTGAGGGATCTGATGGAGGCCACGGGCTTGGAAGCGTGAAAGGACGGAGGAAGGTGTCTGCAGAGCAATGCGATCAGTCCATGCCACCCTACGCCCCCCGGGTGGGCAGAGCAAAATCGGGCTCCAATGTGGAAACTGACCTTCAGAGAAGCCGCGCGCAAAGCGCTCGGCCGGGCAAATCGGCCAAACATAATGTTGCAGGGAGAGATGTGATTGAGTCTGTCGGAGCTGCGGCCATCGAAGAAATTCGCTCCCGACGCACTTCCCACTTGGGACTAGCGCCATTAGATAATCCGACCAATCACCGCGCGCCGAGAACTATGTCTCTCAAGCTTCTGTTTCTCTAAGCGCCTTCTCTTCTGGTCGGCCTTTTTTTACATGTTGCTGTGGTGGGCCTGCCTGCTTCTGCAAAATTAAATTTGGTTTAGCGCCCGCTCATCTACAGGTCGGGGATTATGGCAGATGTGAAACTCGCCAGTGGGCCAATACTGGGTCGTCGGCGCGTGCTCAGAATAGAAGTGGGCAAAAAGCTGGCAATCGAATGGCGCTGGGCAGGATTTCATGCCATTAGGCTCCCTTGTCTCATTCTGGATTGAACATCCTTTCATTCTCTCTTTCCCTTCTTTCTCCTTCACTGTCTCTCTCATTGTTAGTGATTCTATTGATTACTGGGTCTGAAACTTGGAGTGAATGTCGATATACTCTCCGTCCGGGGCTATATTTTCCACCATCTTAATTTCTTCTAATTTGAGAAGAAACTTTGGCTATCTAAAGGCCCTCCTGGTCATCGCCAAAATGGCAAGCCTTCTGCTGAAGTCCATGATGACACGATCTTCTCTTTTATTCGCCTTGGCAACATTCGCCGCAGCCCAACCAGGTTATGGATTTGACACGACGGGCCTGTTTACAAGAGATGCAGGCTCTTGCCCTACAGATTACACCTCGTGTGGCGGAAAGCTACCATCTGACTTCTGCTGCCCTTCTTCATCCACCTGTCTTAGTCTGGAAAACGACACAACTGCCCTTTGTTGCCCTTCGGGGAGCGGCTGTGAATCGATCCAGCCGATCACCTGCGAAATCAGCCAACAAAATGTTACGGCCTACCCTAAAGGTACTGTTAAGACAACTCGCCTTGATGACGAGCTTCCCAAATGCAACGACGCCTGCTGTCCTTTTGGCTACACCTGCCACAAAGATGTTTGTTTGATAAACCAGGGCACATCGTCCAACGGAACAACAACCAGTGCAACTACACAATCGTCCAGCCCATCAGGCCTTGGAGCTGCTGTCACACCGGCTTCGAGTGCGGCTGCCGCATCTTGTCCTTCATTCCCAGGCGGCGCCGTTGCAGCAGGCTTCTTCCCTGGCGCCGTCTTCGGTGCCGTCCTTGCGCTCTTGATAACAATGTGCCTTCGCCGCCGCTCCCTCAAGAAGCAAGCAATGAACCCAGATATCAAATCCACCGGTGGCTCTGGCGGCAATGGGATTCTTTGGTCACAGCGTTCATCCTCAGGAGCCGTCCTCGGAATATCAAGCCCCATAGCCTCAGAAGATGCATCATACCGTACGGACTTCCTCCTACGACCGAATGACTGCAGACGGAACTCAATGGGCGGCCGTTCAACGCGGTCTGTACGAAGCCGAGTACGCAGTCTATTCGCAACGAACACGAGCAATCCCACGCTAGAGAAGGATGTTCCTCCGCTGCCAACCATGCCCGCCAAACCTGACCCCGTCACTCCTCCTCGACAGCGAGAGCCCAGCAGCGAGAGCATCAAGATTTATTCGCCTCCCGGGGCTTTCCAGCAGTCGAAGCGTTTTTTGGGCCCCGAGCCGTACCCAGGTCGAACAGCAAGGCCGTCCACTACTTTTGCGGATCTGATACAAGCGGTGGGCTTTGACGATAACAAGGGGAAGCCGGGGTACAAGGGCCAAGGAACGGGGAGATATTGAGGATCCTATTGACAATCTCAATAACCCCTCGAGTCTTGATGAATCGAGCCATTGAACATAGATAGCCCTCTGGTTAGGGTTTGCATTGCTTAGCGTTTGGTTGGGGTCATGTCTGCCTTGTGATACAGACTAGCATTCTTTGTTTCCATTTGTTTGATATCTGCCACGTCTTAATCATCCCCATTCACTCTTTTTACCTAGAATCCAATTCTGTGAAGACAAGGAGTACTAGCTCTATTTTTTTTTTTTATTTTTTATTTTTTTTTTTTTTTAGATCCCTGGCATTTTTAAGATGAGTTGCTTCAAGAGTTGCTTCAATATAGTGATTATTTGGATGCCAGGATGCAACAATAGAAAATGAACTTAAAACAAGTTACGCAGCATTAGCCCTGCGAGCTTTCAAGGTAGCCACTATTCGCTTGAGCTCCTTCATCAGACCAACAATTAGTGGAACGCCTATCGGTCCCAACAGAGGGAGATAGACGGCGATTTTGTGCTCGTCAGGGAAATACACTTGACCAACCATACTCTTCTCAAAGAAACTGCGTTCTGCCTCGATCTCAGCAATACGGGCATTGGCCAGAGCGGCTGAAAAGCGACCATGCTTCATATGAGTACAAGCCGCAGACAGGTGAGAAAGGGTGTCTGAAACGGAGGATGCAACAGTTGCTGGAATGGGAATGGATGGAAGGGATTCAGTGAGGCGCGCAAGTGATCCCATGGTAGATGAGGCGGATAATAAGAGACTAGCGGCACGCACACGAACCAGAGCTTGGAGGCGGAGCGGAAGGGATGAAGGGGTTGTGGGAGTGCCAAGGAGGGTGAGGAGTTGGTGGGAGAAGGTCATGAAGGCGGGACGCAATGAGTCTTTGGAAAGGTGAGAGGGGTTGGTCGAGTCGGATGAGAGAGGCGGGTTGAGAAGGAAGACCCCACCCCACTGAGGAACAATCCAGCTCGAAGCATGGTTCTCTTTAACGACGAGCGGGGATTGGGACGGAGATGGGACATAGAGAATGAAGTTGAGGGTAGGGCCGCTGCCAATGCTTGGGTTAAGCGGCCACTCAGCGGCATTGATGAATGCGCTCAGATCTTCCTTTTGGAGGGTCCAGGCTGCCTCTGTCTCCTCAAATACCGGCGAGGGCGCCATAGGTGAAAAGCTGGCATACAGCTGGACTTGAGTATCAATTGTGAAGTTGCTTATGCTAGCAAATTCATTGAGTAGCGGGGCCAGATACTCCTGGACGGCTGCTTCAATGTCCCACGACGAGGGAGCGGACCCAGGAGTAAACAAGGAAAACGAAAGGTGATATGTATCGGCATACTTCATCGACCGACGGAATCGGCGACTGATACTCTCAGCAAGCTGTGGGGATATAGAGTCCAAGTTTCCGGTCTCGCCCGACAGAACATGTGCAATGGTTGCTTTTTCTTCCCAATATAACTGCTGAAGTTCTTGGGCAATGAATACCGAAAGAGGAGGATTCGAGGACGACGGAATCGGGGCTTGGTTCGGTGGGTAAAAGATATCCAATTGGGTCGTCTCCGCATGGAGGTAGGACCGGGGCGCTGGCAAATCATCTTGAGAGAGCACTCGGACAGTCAAAGCAATATCTGCTTCTTCCGCATCGGTTCCCGAGGCCTTCTCGCGCTGCTCGACATTGAGTGCAGATGAATCGTTCACTAGCTTGAGGCGCAAGTGGTGGGCGGCGAATTCGTTCAGATCGTCAAGTGCATGCTGGGTCGTGCGGAGGAGGTGCTGAGATTCTGGCAGCTGCATTGTTGGGGTCATAAGATGGATTTCGAGAGGAAATACGGGGCGACACGTCTTTAAACACGCATTAGAAATGAGTTCAAGTCCCCCTAGAGAAGGCCTGGTCATACCTTGCCGTTCGCCCACTCCAGCATATCCTGGATTGGCAGATGTGCGCGGTAAATGGAGGTGGTTTTCCACCATATCGGGAAGCCCAAGAAGATTATGACGGCCCAGAAAGCAGCAATCACTTTGAAGCGCGTATAGATGGCCTGCGAAGTCTCGGGGGGAGGGGCGCGTTTGACGGATTTGGGGGCGTCTGGGGCATCTTGTGCCTGCAAAGACTTGACGTCTCCCTGCGTAGCGCTCATATTAGGGGCATTCTTTGTGTCCGGCACAAATGACACAGCTGAAGAAGTGTGGACGGGGTTGCGCACAGCTTGGAGGCTGAAGGCGGAGAAGGGGAGGTGGCCGCAATCGAGGACTCCACTTCGATATCAGAAAGCTCCCGCATCAGACCAAAACTCGACGGCTTTTATGTTGCTCCTGCTTGACACGAGATTTGGGACATTACACATATTTACGATCTTCAAATATGGAAATAATCTCATAAAGAGAAAGTGCGAAAATGCAAACCACCAGTATTTGCGAGGGAAAATACCAAAGGGCCCGGTATCGGGCGCGACCACGTAGCAATTGAACGAAGGTGATTTGAGAATTAAAGCAGATACATCCTCAATACCAGAGAAAAAAAAGGAAAGATAAAAAAGGGGTATCATATCCATTAACGCCAGCTCATGTAGTATTCCGTGAAGATTCGGCTCTTCTGCCTCAAGCTCCATCGACTAGTATTCCTTCTCGAAGATCTTCTGAATAGGTTTCGCAGCCTGTAGTCAAGAGGGAAAGCGTCAGCATGGGGGGCATCCATTCAAGGGCGTAGATATTTCGTACGTCAACGAATTTCTCGAGATCCTGATCCAGACTCGCAAGGTCCTCCTTGCGCTTTTTGTTCTCGGCAATTAAGGCTTGCTTGCGCTTCAAGAGTTCTTGGCGAGCCTGTTCCAGTTTCTCTCGCTCGGCATGTTCGTGGGTGATCCGAGCAATCATTAATTCATGCTCGCTGGACTCGCGGTGCTCAGGAAACAATTCCAGGAATTCTTCGACGGGTATCAACGGGAGCTTCCGATACGGGTGGCTATCGAATGAATGAAGTTAGTTGTGGCGAGAAGGATGATATGCAGGACTCTCCAAGGACTTACTCGTAAGATTCACATGCAGCAATCTCATTCAGCAGATGGTTTTTCTCGTAGTACAAATTCTGGAGCTCAAGATGCAGGCGATCGACCTCCTGGCGGGCCTCCGCGGTGGCTTGCTTGCTTTCACGAACACGAAGGGCCGCGTCGCGGTGCTCCTTACGTAGATTGGCTAGTGCAGCAAAAAGGGCTTTTTGATTCTCAGAGGCGCGCAAGGCCCATTCTTCGTCGGAGATACCAGCTGGGCGGTTGTCGGGGTCCAACAAGTCCAGAAGCTGTTGGGTTCGAGCTTTCGCCTCCCGGTTGGCGGCGAAGAGGGGCTCTAGCGAATCGTCGCTAACAAATTGGCTAAAGGCGACCATGGCGCAGGGATGCGATAGGAAGAAGGAAAGAAGAAAATTGGGAACGGGCGTGGGGTACCAAAATGGATCAATCAGGTGGCGGATCGGGTGTCCATGTGAAAGCTGTGCCGACGGTGGTTGGGGAGAAAAGGGGAAGCCGGGCCCGCCATGAAAGAACCCTCCTTTCCTTCTCAAACCCCCACCTCGCCTGGCATGTGTTGATCTTGTGCATAGACCGGGGACTCTCTTTTCAACTTTGTCTCTCCTTACCCCCTTCTCCAGCCTTTCCTGCGCCTGGTTTAATCCCCCTCTCCCCTTGACCTCGGACTATTCCGCCGATTCCGCTCCCTCAACCTCTCGCCTTGATCATGACCTGTACAGCAAACTCGATGACGGTAGAATCTTCTCTCGAGACCGAGGGGGGTTTCTTCTTCCGCCGCAACCCCCAATGAGGTCACTGGTCTTCTCCGCGATCGACGTCGGAGACATTCCTATCACGCCCGAGGAAACTCTCTTGCGACTACCAGGATGCCGACACCGTCTTCATCAGAGTGAGCAGTGATGAAAATGTTGATGTATTTTACTTTTGAGTTAACCGTGCCCGCAGGTCGAGCTATTCCTCGCCGAACTCGAGCGCCGTATGCAATGGATTGAACAGTACCGAAAGTCTCACATGGGTCAGATCGACGCTGGATTGAAGCGAGGCTACGCCACCCTTGAGGCCGTGCGAGACCAATGCTCACTTGCGTCGGGTGAATTGATGGGCAGTGGAAAGAAACGGGCCAAGATCTTGGTTGAAACTCTGGAGGATCGATACAATGAGGCTTTGGCCACCAAAGAGACATTGGAACAAAAGGCCCAAGCCGGAGTGCGTTTGATGGAGTCCTTCTTATCCGAACTCGAGTCACGAGCGCATGCTGTTCGTGACCGTGGTATTTATGGGGCCTTGGATGATGGATGGAAGGCTGTGGACTCGAAACTCGTTCACGCCCGTGAGGTGGTCGACGAAGGAATGGAACGGGCTCGGCGAGCCCGGGATGCTGTGCGTGAAAACATCGAGACTGCTCTGTCTCTGGCCAAGGAGAAGCGACTGATCACCTACTCGGATCTCCCTGACCCTTGGCGAGTCAACCCTCATATCCTCAAGGGCTACCGCTTCACACAGTCCAAAGTGGAGTTAATCTCTTCGGTCTTCGGCCTCTCGAATGAGCTAGTCAACATCTGGTCGCATATTATCGGTCTCATCATCGTGCTATCCATCGCATTTTACTTTTATCCCTTACACACCAATTTCCACCTCAGCACCAAGGCCGACATCATGGTCGCAGCTGTCTTCTTCTTTGCTGCTTGCAAATGCCTAGTCTGCAGTACTATTTGGCATACCATGAACAGTATTGCCTCGCAGCCACTCATGGAGCGGTTTGCGTGTGTGGACTATACAGGTATCTCCATGTTGGTTGCCGCTTCGATTGTTACAACAGAGTACACTGCCTTCTACTGCGAGCCTGTCTCCCGGTGGACATACATTCTCCTCACCATGTCTCTCGGTGTTGGCGGTGTCATTCTTCCATGGCACCCAACCTTCAATCGCCACGACATGGCATGGGCTCGAGTGGCTTTCTTTGTGACGCTTGCTCTCACTGGCTTTTCACCCCTCGCCCAGCTTACCTATACCCGTGGTCTTGATTGGTGCCTTTACTTCTATGCGCCGGTCATGAAAAGCATTCTTGTGTACTTTGTTGGCGCCCTGGTCTATGCATCGAAGATTCCAGAGCGATGGAGCCCAGGTCTATTCGACTACTTCGGTGGCAGCCACAACATCTGGCACTTTGCCGTTCTGGGTGGAATTCTCTTCCACTACCATGCCATGCAAGATCTCTTTGCAGATGCTTTTCAGCGGGCTCAAGGAGAATGTCCCAACCTGGCATCTTGAAGGTTCTTGCTGGTCAAATTTCCCAAGCCAGGTTTTCTGCTTTTGATAGAGGATTACGCTAACCATGATACCGCATCACGAAGAAGCCCGTCCCAAAAAGATATCACACGCGGTAGGGCATACGCCTGATCCGTGGTGTTCAATAGACTAATTTCTGCCTGAATTTTGATCGCGTTTGGCCATCGGCTGCATGAGTGGAGTTTTGCCTGTTCTGTCTATTTTCGCTTTCTCATTATGCTCTTGGTGAAGACCACATGGTCATCTCCATTTGTTCATATTATTCTGGTTGATTACAGCGAGACTGCACCAGCTTTCATCTATTCTTGTACTTACTTTCACTGCGCCACTTATCGCGGGGTCTTCATATTTAGAATACAAAGACATACCTTATATTTGGGGTTTCCGATTCGGCACCTTACTCTTATTACATCCTAATGGGCTATACATGTTTCGTTATGAATGTTTTTGGTTCTCCCCAGTTCTAGTACGGTCTTACCAAATGAATCTCTGGGGACCCCGCTGGTTCTCTTAGTCCCTCCGATCTTGTTCGCTATACTCGCACTTTATGGATTTACGAGTTTTAAAGACCTGGTTCGAAACTCAATGTGTTTCATCGATAGAATGTGGTCTAAAATCCGGGATTGTCCCTCTATGCAAGGTCTTTTTTGTCGTTATGGTCGTCAATCCATGCCGTGGGCTTGCGAACAGAAAATGCCAGAGCCGGCTCTCGGCCATTCGTCCCCTGCCACCTCTGTTCCAGATGATCTCGACGGATTATTTTGGTATGAGGAGAACCACAGAGGATCGATCAAGGAAGTCGCTCGCGTCTTGTAGGGAGCCAGCCTTTCCGACGTCTTATCCAGGGCGAATATTGTGCCACGACCGGATTGTGGAACTACTTCTTCCATATATGGTGCCAGGCCAAAAGAAAAGAAGCTCATGAAGGTCCTTTGATTCTTTGCCCGAGGCCCCTGCTACTGCTTCATGCATCATCCTGGCCAATGGCAGCAGGACCCTCGCGCTTTCGGAAGTGACCCTGCATCCAGCACCGGTACATCTTCACCTTGCTGGAGCGGTTGACAAGCAAACGTCGGTCAACTCCCATGTGAACAACCTCGAAGGGGGCGTTGGCATCCGCGGGCTGAGTCTCTGAAGGTTCGTCTCCAGATCCCAGTTGTAAGCCCTTTTCAGGGGTCCATCGACTCCAAATGTTGACCAGTTCCTCTTTGTCAAAGAAGTAAACCCGTGTTCCATCGCCTCGGACATAAAAATTTTCTTCCATATACCGTCCCTTTTTAAAGCGGACCTGGGCGAGATCTCCACGGCCATAGTCACGGAACAGCACTCGACCACCGGGCTTCAACAGACGGTGGATATTGTGGAGCGCACGATCCCACTGCTTCGGATTGAGGGCAGAAAAGATAAAGATTAGGATAACCACGTCAACCGAGCCGTCGGTCAAACCAGGGGGCAAAGAGTCCTCCGTCTCGGTGCGCTCGGCAGCCACATCCCAGACGTCGGCAACCATGTACTTGGGATTGTAGTATTCGCTCTCGCGCATCACCTGAACCGCATATTTGGAGAAGTCGCAAGCATGAACCATCAGCTCCTCATTCTCATTGTTCCGAATCAACGGGAAAGCAGTATTACCTGCACCCGCGCCAACTTCCAGGACGACCTGGCGACCGGCACCCTTCTTTGTCACTTCATCCAGAACCGGGAACTCCTGGCGCAACCATTTGCGATCTTTGAAAAAGTTTGCCGTGTTGTTCTTGTAGAATAGATTCCACCACTTAGCGGGGTCATTGTTGAACCGGTTCTTGTCGAAATCGGAGACTGGTGCAGCACGCTGCTTCTCGTACTGGGTCTCAGCGAATTCCTTGAATTCGTCATCTGGTTCGACGTGGTCCCATGCGTTGAACTCGAATACGTTATCGCCTTGCTCGAGGTAGCGCGAGCCGAATTGGAATGGATCACTGCGCTTCAAGTTGTTGGATGGGTCGTGAGAGCGATGGGGAGGGAGCTGTGGAGGCTGGACCTTCTCCATGACCTCTCGGATGGTTTGCTCTTCCGACATGGTAGATTGCTCCCTGGGTTGTGGCGAACAGACTCGGTATTGGTGGGGGTGCAAAAAACATAGTTGGCGCCGCGGGGGAACAGAAAAAAGAGAAAACCAAAAAGTAGGAAAATGTACCTGATTATGTCAGCTGTACATTATGCCAATCCCGTCTGATTTGACAAATAGGACTAAAAGCAGCAGCGTTCGGAGTCGATTCTCGACCTTAATACATCTGGCATGGTCCTATTTATCAAGGGCATATAGACAATGAAATCCTCGAAACCCTCGCGCAGAAAGTGCGATACCCGTTGAAGCGGGTCAATCGATAAGATAGGATCTACGGAGTAGACGTTCCGATATCGCAGGCTTGCCAGGCCGCGCCATCACTACCTTGAAATAGCCACTAGTTCTCCAGAATTCAGACGGCGTTCCGGCATGCGGAAACCTAAAGTGAAGAATTTTCTGGAACCGGTCATCCCCTTGTACTTCGTCCGATTTGGAGATACTGGCATCGAGGTTTGTAAATGATCGAAGGGCTTGGGGACCTCCAGTCCGAAAAGAAGAACACCGATACATAATTGACTTTGCTCTGCCCGTGGACACCAGCAAAACGAGCCTCTGTATCAAAATAGCCCCATAGAATCTCGATCTCCACGGGACTAAAGACTAAACTAAAGAGCCCGGGCATCTCCGCGGCTGAAAGATATGCTGACACATCGGCCAATCAGCACCCGTGGACCCGTGAACGGCCGGGGAATCTGGATGCCTGCGGGCCTCAACAGCTCCCCGCCTGTCCTCTTCTTTTTTCATTCTCTCAACCTCTCCCTCCGAGTCTGGTTTTCTTGTTCGTTTTGCTCCTGCCTAAGGAGCCTACTGTCTGGAGCGTGGGACCAGTCCATCAGTGGCAAATATAGCAAAATCCAGGAACTTGAGGCTCAAGTCGGCCGCCGTTGGTTCTTGATTTGGTCGCGCTTCGAAATGCTATAGGCCGTGGTGCGCCTTCGTTCCATAGATATTTTGCCCATCTATCTTTGAGGATAGAGAGTCAGTCTTTTTGACATCCTTTTCTGCGTCGAACTGCAAGAAACGCACTTCACTCCGCCATGTCATTTCTTTCTTCGGTGTTCTGCGGGTGCTTCAGCCGCAATGAAGATGCCCCGCCCCGGCCATTTCAACCAGAAATGCAGGAATCCACCCATACCTGGGGTCAGACTCGAGCCGGTATACAAACCGGCCGTTTCATTCTTTCCAGCGACGGCCACTTCGTCCGCGCCGCAGGCCCCAGCGACCATGATGGGTACGGCCCTCCGCCAGATTCCGACGATGGGGGCTATGCCAGCGTGGTCCCCCTGCCGCAATACACACCTCGTCCGATGAGCATTCACGAGAAGACCCTCGAGTCGCATATGCGGGACCCATCTGTGTCATCCGATAGTAACGGATTTTCGCCTGACTATAAGAACCGCAACCTCTATGACGAAGAGGTCATTTCTGACACGGCTTCTACTCTCTCTTATCCCAGCAGTTACGGCAACACTTCCACTGCAACAAGGGAAACTCCTCCTCCTCCATATTCGCCTCGCATGTCAGCTGTCATCGCTCGCTCTCGATCCCTCTCTAATTCCTCAGCGCGAGCAATTATTATCAACCCTCCACCAATGGCTCTTCTGAGCGGCGGCCGGATTACAGCCCCTCCATCTGATGCTGATGATCAGTCTATCCGCCGGCACCGAAGAGCCTCATGGGAGAGTCGGTGATTGATATGTATACGTATATCCAGGTCATTCTGCCTTGCCTTTCCCTTCCCTGTTAAAATCGCACGCGCGCGACCCAAACGACAGCCATCTGACCTCGTGTGAGGAGTGAGCTGGACTCACAACGACCGGCTACCTGCGGCTTCTGCTTTGAATGCTTACTTGCTTTCGGTCGTCGACACTCACTCTATACGACTTGACGACGACTCTGATTTTTCTTTTTGTACGCATCGGGGCCATGGAATATATATAGTTATCTAATAATGATTGTCGCTGGACGGATATATATAAACTGAACATGCTTGTTCATATCGCTGGATGGGCATTGTTTTATACTTACTACACTAATGGATGCACATAACAACTTCAACCATGGCAATATTAATCGAGACTTAGGGTTGTGTTTCACTTATGACAAATATGGTACATGAGGCTAGTGATCCGGCCGCTTCTCGTAAATGTATTATGATACTAGAAGCTGTAGCACTCTGCTTCAGTATTCCCAGTAAGTGTCAATTTATCATGAGAAAACAGGCATTCTACAGGGAAAGTCCTCCGTTCAAGAAACTATTGTCCAATCTAAAGGAGCTACCAGTTGAGTCTTTTCTCTCGCCTGTATCACTAAGTACCCACAGGGCCTAGCAGGAAATTCCCCAGAGAACTATCCTTCACTATAGTTCCTCCAGCGCATCAATGTTTGGGAGCAAATCCAAAAGAGGCAGATTCAGGAAACTCAAAACTTCAGCATAGCCGGGTCCTCACTATCCTCCAACCACATGTAGATAGCTGTGCACTCAGACGGAACCCCATTTCCCATCTATCACTGATCAGCATAGCACTTGGAGAGGGGCGGCCACCTTGCTAGAGGAACCAAAGAAGGCGAGTCTTTCTCGATCAAGCAGTCAAAGTAAACAGGCTCCAGCCGGCCCGTCCATGCATGAGACTCCTAGCATGCTTGGGAAGCATGCTTCCCTGAAACCTCCCGTATGAGTAAATTCGAGCATCCACAGTGGTTAGCATCTATTTGCACGCCCCAAGCCCGCGAAATCCGCATCTAAATCCATACAACCAGGCCGCTTATCCTCGAACTCGACCTGTGGATTATGCGAGTATATGGATGTTGCCCACCATACACTCCCAGGCCCCTGACTGCCCCAAGCAGAAGCCGAAGACCCATCCTGTAGACGCAACAAAGTCACATCCGTAGGGTCCGGGAGAAGACAAACAAGGCACGTGGGGACTGAATTCCTCAAGCCGAAAAGATGAACGCTCAGAAGCATACAACTCGAGAACAACGTACCCATCTTCCGTTTCGCAACACTCCCCGGCCACTTCATTCACATAGTGTTTGATCGTCTGTTGCCAATGGCTACGCCTCCGCCAGATCCGTATGAATTGTTCGCCAGCACCACGCTCTAGAGGCGGGTTATCGCGAAGCCAGTAAACGGCGTGCATGCGAAATGGGGGCCTGGAATCTATTAGTCGCCGCCACAGTTCTTCCCAGCCCGCTTTATGGGTACTCTTCTCTCGCATAATTACTCTCGACTGCATAAACCGACACGGGAAATCGTTACCTCCAATGCCAGCTTCATCATCAGATTCATCGCCCAGAATCCTCACCGGGCGTCGTGCAAGAGATGGAGATGACGCAGCGCCCCGATAGCCCAGAAGTATAGCCAGTGGGCCTCGGAGATGCATTCCAGCTTCCCAGCCGCAAGGCTGTGGGCCCAGCGCCTCGAAAGAATTTAGCCTGGACCTCGCATCCACCTGCTCGATTGCCCCGGGGCCTGGGCCCCGGACACTCAGCTTCAGCCGGATATTAACAAGGAGCCCCGTACTTTGCGCAGGGCGAGACAGTGGGGCTTGGTTTCATCGCACTAGAGCCTGTCAGCCACAGACTTGGGTTGGACGGGTGGGGGGCACTAGAATCATGGGCTGGCTAGTTTTGGCTTAATTTGGCACGTCTTGCAGGCCAAGCAGCCACCCCGAGACTTTCGGTGGAAGTGACGGGGGTTGCGAGACCCGATCGGCTGGGCCTGAAGGTGATCCTTGCGCTAAACGCGTTCTGTCGTTTTGGCATTCGGAAGATGCCCCGGCCCTGGGAAGATGAGGAGCCCGGGGACCTGGGTTCGGAGCCGGGTGGATGCACCTAGGGTGTAAGATGGGGAAATTAGCCGTTAGGGCTTTGTTCTAGAATGGTGTACTTTTTTTTTTTTCGCTTTTGCTTTTTCTTTTTTTCTTTCTTTTCCTTCCTCCTTGGAAGAATGTGATACAGAAGATGTCCATGGAGCTTATGGCGTCAGGGTTGGTCGGTAAGTGGAGCCTGATCCACTGGACGCGAGAGGGGGTGGATGAAATGAAGCTGGGCTCGGTAAGGTCTGGCTGGGTGAGTTTGAGACTAGTGGATTTTGGGATGTTATTGGTTGGGAATAAGGAGATATCGGGTTCAATCGAGGCTACAGATCGTGTGGATTTGTTCTTCCCAGTCACCAGTGCACTATCCCGGGTTCGGGGCCACCTCGTATTCATGCTGGTCGCGGATATGGTCTGAGATTGTGCCGTTTGGGTATAAAGGCTTGGCATTGTGGTTTAGGAAAACCGTAAATGGTTCTATGGAAGCGCTATATTGGTAGGTTTGCTGATCTGCAAGGCCCGACGCGAGATGCGCGGGAATCTCGATCCATCAAGCTCTTCCAGATCCGTGCGGATGTGGTTCCGAAACTGTACTTCGTTCAGTGGTGGATGCATATAATTCATAATTCATATACAGTACAATCGTCTTAAAATATGCAGACCGCCGGGGGTTCTAGATGCGAAGGCTTTGCTGTGCTTAGCCCATCTTTGCATTGGAAAAGTCCATCTCTGCATACCGTTAGTCGAGTGGTTTTGGTAACATTCCAGTTCCTCCGGATTTGGACAGAACTTACCGGGATGATCTGCCTGAAACTTCTTCAGAAGATCCTGCTTGCGTTGCTCGTCGCTAGTCAAGCCGCCGGCCTCCTTTTGGCGCTGATCATACATCATCTTCTCCACCATCGCACGAGTCTCGCCATCGAGATCGCTCAAGCTGGAATTCTCCGGTGTGATCTTGGTGACATCAATCTTGGGTGCAGAGGTCACTACATGAGGCCACCATTCCACCTTGTTGGACTTGTCGAGGTGGATGTTGACTTCTTTCCCGGGCGGGGGTGGGGGTGGTCTCCAGGGTCCAGGAAGATTCATCGACCAGGATCGGATGAGGCAGATCGCCCTGTAGAGACAAATAGGAAAAACAGGAATTAGCAACTGTAATTGAGTTTTTCCACATACCAAGGCCCAACCAAGGAGGGAGAGACCCAGCCCGGGTGAACCACGCGACATGCAACGTACCTCGATAATCGGCTCCTGCCCTTTAATAGCCACGCGGATCTTGGTCTTGGTCAAGGAGACCTCCATGTCCCGGCCTTTAATATTGGCAGGGATCGGCGCTGTCACGTCGACATCGCGGATGGTTTGAGTCCATTTGTAGGGGAGCTGAGCCTGCTCGGCAGCTTCCTGGGCCTTGCGCTCCTTCTCCTGGCGATCGCGCTCGGCCAATTCAGCCGGCGAAGGCCCTTGATCGGCATCTGTAGAAGACATCGTGAAGGTGACAAGAAGCGGCGGGTGGAAAGAATCTTGGAAGTGCGGGCAGAGAAGACGTGGAGTGGTGGGGGGGTTATTTTTCCCTGAGGCTGGAGCTTTGTGTCCAATCACATCCACCCATTAGCTACCGGAGCAAGTTGCCTCCCTTTCCCATCATTCTCCAGCTTCTGCCACGATATGACTGATCTTAACTTTATTTTTGGTTAGCACTTGGACTAAACCTGCGCAACTACCAACCTAATTACTTTTTTTTTTTTTGGTTTCTTCTTTTTTCTGGTTTCATCTTTTTTGATTATTTGTTTTCCTTTTGTTCAATCCGGTTTTGAAGCGTCCAACACCCCCACCTCCCACGGCAAACAATTCCGCGTGCATAGCCGCGCTATACGCCTTTATTTCCATGCGCAACCCCCTTGCGTGGGAAATGAACAGACGTCAAGGCGTTTCCCGAAGAATTTGCTAAATTATGATAGATCTCTAGAACCCCCCGTTGTGCTTAGCGTTGCCACTACGCCTTTCCTAAGGAGGAATCGGGGGGCCAGTGTCTGCATCCAATTTCGATTGATCGACGAGGAATGCTGTCAGAATGCTCTGCAGGGGGGGCGGGAGGGGAACCCGATCGACCGCGACAGGTAACACGTCGCGAGGAAGACGCACAGTAGTGTCGGCTATTCTCAGGTCTACAGAAAGATTGAGACAGCCTCACCGAACAATGTACCGTGGCCTGTGGTCGATACCCGACCCTGCGACCCTGCAAACCTGCGAACCGGTTGGCCGGGCGTTGGAGTGCAGATGCATATCCAGCACACACCGCTTCACCGTCGTACGAGCAGCCATGGGGGCAGCTGAACGATAGCAGGGTCGGACCTTGACTGCATGGCAGGGCGAATGAGGAAGACAGTCGCGGGTGCGATCGGCTCTGCGGGTCAACATTGCCTCCCTGCACCGTTGACCGACTCGGATGTCTTTCGCTGCAGCTGCAGCCGAAAGGGCCTAGTATGCACGTACTTACATAGTATTACTTTGCGATCAGAAGAGAGGGGCAGATCAGGGAATGCCCTGGTAACGATCAGGAGATGAGTTGCTATGTGCAGTGTCTAGATTCAAATTCGGGCTGTCAGGCTATGGACGGTCGATCGACTGGGAATTCGGATTCCGCAAGCCTCATTCGCGGAAGCTCCTACATTTCGACGAAGAAGTGGATTCTTATTGGTTGTGGTTGTCCCAGATTTCAATTGAGGAGAGAATAGTAGACGGTAGAAACAAATCCGGACTCGCCATGCTGATCAAATGCCAGAGCTCAACATCCCAAACGCTCGGCGGCGTGACATATGCAAAACTCCATTCCCAAACGAATGTGGACCGAGGCCTGCGACGCCCTATACCCTTGCGTTTGCGCTTCCTGATATGCTAAAGAGGTAATATGCAAAAGAGAAAGTCGAGAGAGAGAAACAAATATAGACATCGAAGGGAAGACAGGAAAGAAGAAAATCCCCAAGGAAAAAAAAAACTAAAAAAAAAACTAAAAAAAAACTCCTAGCTTGCGTAGTGGGACGTTGTAGGGATTATCGAGCCGCAGTTTGGCTCTGGCGGCGAGCTCTCTCCCTTTCTTCCTCTATGGTAGCTGTCAGTTTCTTCAGACCTCGCATACGATCGATCGGACGTCAGGATCGTACCTCGAATCTTTTGGATTTGCTGGTTGGTGTCCTCCATCAACTGCTCCCACCGGCGTTGGTATGTTTCCACGCTGATCATGGACTGCGAGCCTTGGCTGCTCTGCTGGGAGGTGGGCTTCTTGACTTGGTCCATAGCGGAAGATGTATAAAGCAGAGAGGCTCGATGGAGATGGAGTTGTAGCTGTAGCGAAGCTCAGTTCCGCCAAGGCGCAGAGGAGAAAAGAGTTCAATGCAAGAGATGCGAGTCAAGAGAAGCTTGGAAGGTTCCGGCCGTTGAAAGAGAGAATGAAGGTTCCGGTGGTCGCAGAGGCCTCCTTTATGTATTCTTCTGGAATCCCGTTCCTCGATGGAAATTCGAAAATGGAATTATGGAATAAATGAACAGACCCTCATACGGGCAATTTCAAGGGCAGGGGAAATAAAACCCGAGAAATTCCCAAAGCGAACATCGCCATGCATGATCCATAATGCCCCGGCCACATCCAATAGACCCCCCCGGGTATGTCAAATTCAAAATCCCAAAAAAGAAAAAAAAAGCCAAAAAAAAGGGAAAAAGCAATGAGAAATGTTTGCTCTGAGAAACCGGTCACAAGAGCCCAAACTGCCCCCCCCCGCTGCAAACTACTGTTCACCGACTCTCTCCTTGGGCGCCCTGGATTCGCTGTCTCATCAGCAGCCTTGGAAGAAAGAGTCACCAGCCCAGTCATCATTAGAACCCTCTACCCTAGTCACTGCAGCAATCGGGTCCGTCTACCTTGTCTTATTGGAGCAGATCAACTCCCAAGGCTGAGGCACCGACCACACCCAAACCCTCCAACACCACTCAAGCCCAACCCTTCAACCCCGGTTTCCTTTCTACTGCCTAAAATACAAAATTCCCAGACAGAGCTGAGCAACTGTTCGCAGTTGCGATCGCAAGGTGGCGCCCGGGTGGAGGCCCACCCGCCCCTTTCAACCCCCCTGGAACCTTCAGCCCATCGGTGATGTCAGAGGACGCGCTACTAGTTACGCCGATACATCCAAGAGCTCCAGGAGACCTCTCCCCCGATCGCTTATAGTAGCAACTCCCATAGCTTCTTTTGCTCCCCCTTCTTCCAAGTTTCCTGCGGCGCCGGTTTCTTCAGAGCTTTTCGCCTCTCCGACCTATGGGATTTCTTCCAGAGCACCGAACGGCTCGTCCATCCAATCGGGGCCCATTCTCTTTCTCATCCGCTGCAACCGATCTGGTTAGCGGGACGACGGAATTGAAGCCTAAAGGGGGTGGGGAGCTCCCTAGTCTCCCGCGGATGTGGGTGGTGGGTAGCGGGTGGAGATCTTTTCCACGGCCCCTTCATAGTCAACCCTGAGCCCTAACTATGGGGGGGGGGGCCTTAGAGAGGTAGTTGGAACGGGACCGGATGGATTTCATTGTACCCATTTCGACTTGTACTAGGTAGGGCAGCATGTAGGCGGCAAGTACAAGTTTACAAGCACAGTACGAAAGCAGCCTAGGAGCTAATAATAGAGGACTTCGGATGGCCTTGCTGCTGAAATTTGCTGGATCGGCGATTCAAGTTGTGATCGCAGATCGAAACCTCGATCTTACGTCCATCGTCTTCCGTGCTTGGGCAAATGTGGCATCGTTTCCAAACTTGAGTATCAGCTTCACTGCTTCTTCCCTTCCCTTATTGGCTCTCGTCGATACACCGATAAGACCACCATTTATTGTAGCGGCCGGGACGTTGCATCTTCGAGACCCCCACGTGGTTTCGCCACGCAGGGCCGTTATTGTCCTAGATCTTATTCTTGTTCGTCCTTTGCTAACCGCCAGGACCACGTCCCCCTTCCACTGTTACCAGGCTCTCCCTCAGTTACGAGGATTCTCTGACCAAAAACAACTCGGACCCCCCGAGGCTGAACACACAGACCCTGCCGAACTTTACCCGTCAAGCTTTATGCCGATAGGGCATCTGACGTCCATTCAGCCCGCCTCTGTCGCGTCGGTTTTTCTCTTTGCGCTCGACGCGCTGCAATTCCCGACAGTCTGTCCGACATCGCTAGTCCGTGGCAGTGCTGCAGAGAGAGTGGCAACCCCCCCGCGTCGGAGCATGGATGTGAGTATGGAAGGAGAATCACGTTGTCACACACTAGTTAGTTTTAGTACCTATAGGTGAAGACGTAGGACAAGGTTATAACTACCAGTATGTCACACAACGGTCCTGAATGGACGCTCTCGTGGACTGGTAGTAGCCTGCGGACCCCAATAATATCTGATCACCTCATCAACATCAACTTGGCCCCGGGGGCCTCCCTTCCCACTAGTGGTAAATGCCTCTACGGGCGATGACGGAATCACGGCGGCCGATTTATCAGAATCAACTCCCGGTCTCTACGTAGACATCGGTCCTCGGGCAATCAGGAATCAGAACCCCGAGTCAGCTCTGTTCAAAAATCAAATCAATGCAGCCCCGGGGGGGTGCCCTATCTGGTCCGCCTTCCGCCAGCCGCATCCTATACCTCATTCCCCGCCCTCCGACTAGCGCCAGACAAGGGCTGCTTTTGATTCGCACGGATCAGGCGGAAGACAGGGGGGAACAAAGATACTCCCGAAAATGGGACTTTTGTCACCATCGAATCATTCGGCGAAGACCAAACACCGCCTCGAATAGGATATACAAGACCTGTATAGAACGAACCCCATCACGCGGCTGCTAGCTCGCCGGCGACAGCGCCAGCGACTCACAACATCCCACGTGGACGAGAATTCGAAGTAGCGCGAGGAAAGGCATGAAGGGTTTGACCGAGCTAACCAAGGTATCCGCTACTTCCGCCTTTCGCCGTCGCTGTCGTCGTCGGAATTTCTCCGTGCTCATCTGCCGGGGATGTTTTGGCTTTTCGGGCCAGCGGGGTTCTTGGAGTAGACACCGCTTCAAGTTGGCTTTCGCGATGGCGATCCATCGGGACCAGTAGAAAATCCTGGCAGTTAAGAGATGGATGGCGCAGTTACGAGGACAAGGATCTAGGGAGTCACATGGTTCCTGGGGTTGACCGCGAGGGTCCGCACTAGCGGTATGCGCCGCAGATGCCGAGGATACTAATGCGGTCTAGGAGTACTGAGAAGGGCATATGTAGGGTGTTGATGGCGGAGGGGCATACTGGTGAGGACGTGGATCCTGAAGGATAACATTTGAATGGAATCAGTAGTTCTGCGTGGTGATGAAGGGTATAGGTAGGTCCGTAGCCCTGGAAAATATCCATGAATGCAAAAAATCGAGATCAACCCATGCTATGCCTCACCAACTCTAGATCACGCGGACTGGTGCCCATGCCCGTCCGGCCAAAAAAAGAAAAAAAGAAAAGAAAACGAATACATAGGCTGAAGCCGATGCGAGAGGAAAGCTGGAATGATACAAAGTTGGCAGAGGTGAAGAACAGAGAGGTTCGCGCCTGCATACCATGGCTCCGTCGTCACATTGGCTACGGCAATGTGATCCGCACGTCATAAGCATATAGCCACACAGAACGAGCGTCATCCTGCATGCTCAGCCCGAATTGAAACGAGGGGTTCATAGAAGAGGCAGAAGCAGCGCCTCGTCACGAGTCAGAGCGCCAGCGTGCCTCGCGGCATGATTGTGTTGCGGTGTAGTTACGGTGGATGGGGCTCATCCAGGATTAAAGAAAAATCAAATTTCATTGGACAGGCAGATAAGAATGATCTCAGAGATCAGGGAATAACGAGTCCCGCCGACGCCGTAGTATGTGTGGAATTCGCTAAAGAAGCAGAGATCATCGAAATAGGACATGACCAGACCGCATTTTCAGGGTCAAGAAAAAATTGAAGAAGACGGTTCGGGCTGAAAATGGGCGACTTTAGCCGCCCTGAGGGCTTTTAGTCTGAGTCGAAGGAGTCCATGTAATTGGCTTCCGCAATGGTTTCCGCAAATGAGTCGGAGACATTATTCATGAGACCAGGGCCAGAGGCAGCCATCGAGACGATAGGATGGGTCATGGACATGGCAGGTAAGATTTCCTCGTCCTCGACAGGCACAGACGGAGGTTCGAAGTCATTTGGAGACTCGGGCCGGAAGTCGCGCTCGGCCATGCTCAAAAATTGGCCAGCACTTTCGGCTAGCTCATTGGCCACCTTGAGCTCCAAAATACCCTCCAGCACTTGCATGTCTTTCTTCCATTTCCGCTCCCTTCGTGCCTTCTCCTCCTGGCGCCGACGACATGTGCCCTCGCGGGCACGGACTTTCATGCAGTTAGGGCATAGGTAGTTTTCCTCGCAATAGCTGCATTTGCAGGGCGGGTTCGCTTGCACACAGTCCTGACAGACATTCACCGCACAGGCCTTGCACTCGCGTAGGTGGCTCGGACACCGCTGCCGCTGATCGCCAATTGAACGGAAGGGAGGGCAAAAGAAGGATTGGCATCCTTGCCAGCGGGGAGCTTCGAGCGGTGACTCAAAGACGGAAGACGTCGGGGATGACGATCCCGAATGGTTGGAAGGAGGGGCGGAGATGGAGCGAGTAGGATTTCGTGGGAAAAGTGACAGATCACCGTGTGGAGCATCGGAGGGATTGTCCTCGTGGATAATGTCTCCGGGTGGGTCCTCGATGAAGCTACTGTTGGTTGAGTCGATCAATCGCTGAGTTCGGAATGGCAGGTCGTACCCGGGGAGCTGATCGAAGACGGCGTCAGGCGAGGAGGGAGGGTGGGCTGCCGATCGGTTTTGAATGGTCATCTTTTCCAATGCAAGGTCTCGATAGCCACATATCCGCAAGCGAAGCCCACGTAGATCGTGTTCAATGCAGAGGGGCTTGGAACAGCTCTTGCAGTGTACTTTCCATTGTGGAGAATCGTAGCAGTCCTGGCAGAGATTCCGCGGACAGGGTGAGACTTGCCGGGTTGGTGGACCTAGCAACCATTTCATCATCGCAAGATGGCCCGTCTCGAGGGAATAATCGGGTCTGCTGGGATCACCATAGGCGTATTTGGGGAACGTTTTACTCCATTCACTAACCGTATACTCAAGGTCTTCCCAGCCCTGGCCCCGCGGCAATGGTACAGCTCGTACTTGGTCGACATCTCGACTGGGGGTGCCAATACTAATACCCCCGCCCCCGGAAAAAATAGGCTCAGTGCAGCACCAGTGGAACTTCAGAGCAGGATGAGTCGTGGGAGGAGCGGTAGCCTGAAAGAGCGGGTTGTTATCCATGGGGTTTCCAACAGGGTCTTGCATGGAACTGGGCGAGTGCATAGCGCCAGGAGCCCACCATAGATGGCTAGGAAAGGTCGAAGTACTATTGCTAGTGCCATGGGTTTGCCCAGCAAAAGTGGCGGAGTTCCCACGATGAAGATAGGGTCGTTCATAAGCACAGCTAGCACACAATGTTCTCCGACAGCCCACGCAGTGCATCAGAATGCTACATTGCTCGCACCGCTCTAAGATACTCTCTTGGCAAGCGTCGCATTTGACATCCTGGATGAACTGTGTATGGCTATGGCGAAGGTGGGCAGGGGTCATCTTGCCCTCGCCTGGGCCGGGTCCTTCACCCGTACCCAGAGGTTCACCATAACACCCTGTGTCGCCATTCTCCCAGAGCTTGCCATCCCTCGCGGGTGGACGATCCACAGAAGAATCGACCGGCCCAATCCAGTTCTTGCACCTCCACAGTCGATCAAACACCACCCACACTTCAGGCGAGCCTTGTGGGACGCGCATTGAAACATACCCGCGGCGACGGAAACACCTGCCAGCAGGCGTCGTGCACCACGCAGTATCTGTCCAGATATCGAGTTTGTGGCAAAGATTCACGAGTTCGTGGGTTGGTTCTGAATCCGAGTCTTTGCGCAGCAAAGAGGCAGACAGATATGGTCGGCGTCGGTGGTGGCGGCATCTGTATGCGTAGAGACTCTTCAGGGCGAGCTTAGGTTTTGCAGAATTCCCTGCGTTTTTCTCCAAATCCACGTCATATTGAAGGCCGAACATCGTGAGGTAGGGAATGATGTGATATTTGAGGGAGACATTTTTGCAGCCCCGAACTGAGAGATGTACCAGCGTTTCCCTACGCGCGTGCAACACGGTCGAAATCAATATCTGCCCCGAGACGGCTGTATTATCGAGCTCCAGGATTTTCAGGCAGCTGCTGAATGGGATTACCACGTTCATCAACAGCTGATCCAATGCATATGGACGGGACTGGCGCTGTGTATCGGGATCCTGCATGCCTGGGATGACGATCCGGTTGGCCGAGGAGTGCCTGAGGGGACCATCAGACGAAACGAGAGGGCTTTCCATGCAGTCGGGTACACGCGGAGGAACGCGCGAAGATGTTGGGATGTGTGGTAGAGCTTGATGATGGTATCGGTGGGGATCTGGAGAAGGAGGGACTCGAGAATGGGGCCGTTGGTGGTGATCACTCGCTCAAATGTCGATAGTGGCCGCCGGGAGGGCGAGTGTGAGGTCAGGAGAGCATTTTCCATCTGCCGTTGGGGCTCATTCCCATCTCTCACAGCGTCGGGCGACATGTTGGCGCTGTGGTCCAATGCCGGGTCCCCGCGTGAAAGTAGAAAAGGCCGGTGTTATTCACTTGTACCCTCTCAGATTGTGAAGTCCAAGAACGCGATGTCGCGGGTTGAAAGGGTCAAGGCGAGTCCCATAATTAGGCGGAATTAGGGAACAGGGTAGATCACCACTTTTCAAGCCACCACGCAAGGCCATTAAAGGTGAAGCATAATATCGATAAGGCAGGATCGCAAGGGCGGTTCGGGAATCCGAAGGGGGAGCGAGGGAGGAGAGGGGGAATATAACCGCGATAAGAACGGTTGGAGTCGGGTCACTGTGATTGAAGTGCTGAATGAAACAGGATGGAGAGGCGCTCGGCAAAGGAGATTTTTTTTGGTCTGAAGCACAGACGAGACCTCTCATCTCTCACAAATGCGCCCGTCAGAGCCGTCATGTGATGGGGCGGCGTCTCCCGTTAATGGACGGAGAACCATAACTACTGAGGTACCTAGGTATAGATACGGGATCGATTCAGGCTCTAACAGGACCCCAGGGATTCCGATGTGGATAATCTAGACTTTGTGCTATGTATAGTTCTACATGTTTCCATAGACGCCCTGCGAGATACAGCCTGCAATATGCTCCAATACGGACTCCCGTAAGCGGAATGTCATCCACAAGGCGCGACTTTTAGATTATTCCTTTCCCATGGCGCTTAAATAGAAGAAACTAGTGTTTGTCGCTGGATTCACCCACAGTATAACCCCTGGCGATGCCCTTGCGCCCTTCTCGGACTAATGTGCTATCCGCAGGGTCCTCTTCTTCATCGTATCGAATATCGAAGTCACTGCCCAACCCCTTCCAGGTGCGCTGCGATCGCAGGAATTCCGCCCCTGGGGAGACGGTGCCCCAATGATAGCCAGATCACCGTTGGCCCGACGTGCCAGGGCTCTAGCCGCATTTGGCCCAGACGACCCGTCGATAAGGTGAGATTGTGAAGAAGAGGGTGGTGCGGACTCCCGCATCGGCCGTGAATGCGAGACGTAGCGCCCAGTGCGCAGGTCGAACTCGGGCGGCGCAGACTCGGGTTCTGACATATCATCTTCTGCGTCCCCCGTTGCACCGTTTGCTGATGGCTGGCCGTCGCTATCAGCCTCTTTGGCAGGCTGGTTGAGAATGGCCTGGAAATCACTCTGCCAGGCCCCCGTCCACACCCGCTCAGTGTCCCCTTGAAGTGCCAGTTCCAATTCAAATGGGGTAATGACAGGCTTCCAAAAATCCTTGCTGTCAACAAGAGAGCTCTCCCAGCAGCCAATAACCACCCATCCTCCAATCTCGCTGAAATTGGCTACTTTCGCAGCGTTGAGCTTGCCGACCACGAACATGTAGCTTTTCTTTCCCGCCGCCGCGATCTTTTCCTTCACATGCTCGACGATCCCGAGGTAGTTCTTTACACTGAGGGTATTGATCAAGATCCCCCCAAATAGGGACAGTGGTCAACGACGTCAGAAGGGCATAGCGCCGGCGCAATTGTGCAGCCGTGGAAACCTGTAATGGCTTAACGCTACTGTCACCTGGGTTACTTGTGGGGTAGATATGGATTGCGGCCACACGAGACGCAAGGGTCAATAGAAGAGCAGTCGGGGGGTCGGAGATGTGGAACAGCTGCCAGTCGGATAGAGTCTCGGGGTTCCCGCGAACGGCATCGGGTATAGTGCGATTTGGAATAGGCGATGAAGGCTCGTGAACCAGATCAGTCGCAAATATGTTGGTATATCCATCTTGTCCCAACCGCTCGTACAGGGTCGGGACGTGGTCAGAGAAACCTACATCGGCTGCAATGATGACTTTGGTTGATGGGTCCGGGTAGGTTGTCTTGAAAGCTTCCACGACAGGATCCAACGGTAGGGCCTTGTGGGTAAAGACATAGATTACAGGTAGTCTGGCGGTTGGCGACAGACATGATCTACCGTAATGCACCACAACGTCTGCGTCCACATGCTCTGCAGCCACCTCATCCACACAGCATGTGCCGTAGGAAGTATCAGCCAGAATGTAAAGCCGTGGCGACCATTTTTCCGCCTGCTCCAGCGATAGCTGCGACACAGACTGACTCAGATTATCTTCTGCTCCGACGCTGGTGGCCGCGCCAGACGGCTGCGTCTCGTTGGTAGTTGCCGCCTCCGTTGAGTTGAGACCGCGACTGAGAAGCTGGAATACGCGGGGAGCATCGGGGAGCATATCATCCGGGAATTGGAGGGCGATTCGCTTGTACCGTGCCTGGCGAATTTCCTTGAGAGTACGCTCAATGTCATAAGTAATGGTGAGTTCGTCATCGGAGGCCGGTTGGGCTGCGCTTGCGGGCACTGGCTTAGTTTCCTCCAGGATGCGATCATCGGAGTGGATAGCACCGGTGCTGCCTCCATTTTGGCTTTTGGGCAGCTTCTAAATGCTGGGATGTCTTTGTTGGAGGGAGCGAGTGGGAATCTAAAAAAATTTTGGATCGAAAAAAGTTCCCCCCACTTCCCCCGCCGCTGATAACTAAAATTGCGGATCAGCCCATTGGCAGCTGTCCCGCCGCAGATCGGGGACCATTGTAAGATCTTATAAGGATATTTTGATGCTGAGGGCTGCCAAAGTACATTCTTTATAGCTTGGCTTTACGAGCTTGTAGTCAGTCTTATTTCGAGGGAATCGAAAATATACCATAGTCTGAAGCTTATCGATAAGAATCTTAGATGAATCCGTATAGTTGTGATCTCTAGACGGAAAAATGCACGTAATACCAAGGTTTTGTCGTTTCCGATTTGAGGCATGATATGCATATCTGGTAATTACCCTCGAACCCAAGAATCCATCTCTTGCTCTCACAGGTTGGCATTCGCAGGCTCGCCCGCCCAAACCCGACGAATCAACTCGCGAATCGGCTCTCTTTCGATGGCCCGCGGGTTCCAGTACGGGTTTGATACAGCGATATCCGCCGCTTTATCCACATCTTCCTCCTTCAAGCCATAGTCTTTCAAGCCCCGCTTGACTTTCAATTTGGCAAGCAACACGTTCAGTCCGTGGATCGCATCCCCGTTGCTCCCGGGGAGGACTTCTGCCAATTTATTCATCGCATCAGGGATATTCGGAGCATTGTAGGAAATCGCATGGGGAAGAACAGCGGTATGAGTCTCGGCATGAGGCAAGTTAAAGCTGCCACCAAGAGTGTGACACAGCTTGTGATGGATGGACATGCCCACGCTACCTAGGCAAGTTCCACAGAGCCATGCCCCGTAGAGAGCGTTGGAGCGGGCTGACAGGGATGATGGGTTCTCCACGATTTCGGGGGAGGGCGCTGGCCAGTGCACGGGTTCCTTCAAGGGCCACCAGATTGATGATTGGGTTGGTGTTGCGGGCGTAGAGGGCTTCAACTGGATGCATATCGGTCTTAAAAACGGTCCTGTGGAGCAGAAGAACCATGCTTGACTATTGGGGTAAGTGACTTACCGGCATGAGCAATTGCATTGACGCCACTTGTAGCACTCATATTCGCAGGTAATGTCATAGTCAAGTCAACATCATAGATCACCGTGCCCGGCAAGATCTTAGGATCCGAGCGAGTCTTCTTCAGACCATCCGCAGTCTCGCCCAGGATAGGGGTCATCTCACTCCCAGCATAAGTCGTAGGAATGCAGATATGAGGTAAACCGGTGCGAATGCTAATTGCCTTGCCCAGACCAATGGTACTGCCTCCACCAATAGAAATCACTGAATCAGCACCCTGTGCCTTCGCATACTCGAGCGCCTTATCTGTAATGTGTGTTGGGGTGTGCATGGTAGCCTCGCCGAAGATGCCTGCCACCTGGCCCTTCAAGACATTCTTGACGCTTTCAGCCTGGCCAATTTGCTGTGGTGTCGAGAGGACCAGTGGGGACTTCAGCTGCAGACGAGCGATCTCATCGGGGAGTTTCTGCAGCGTGCCGCTGCCAAAGACAACGCGGCTGGGATTGGCATTGTATTCGAAGGCATCCATCTTTGAGATGCAAATGTTATATTTTGATCGATCCTAAAGGAAACCCATTGGTCTTAAATCTAACCAGACCATCCCCGCGAAACCCCCACTATTACTCCGATCAAAGTAGCCGTGGGGCCTTTGTGGGGTTTTTCTTGTACAATGTATGGTCCCATTGGAGAGATTGAGATATGTTGAACTTATTTATTTGCAGCTCGTTGAAGTTGCAATAGATCTGGTATGCGGAACGAGTTGTCCGTACCATTCAATTGAGCTGTCTATATCTTTGAACTGGAGAATGCCAGTTTACTTGGCAGCCTGATGTCGGGAGTCCCCCTTCCAAGGTTTCTTAGTTCAGCATGAATCAGCCTGCCCAGGTGAGCCCTGGAGGTCCCGCACGGCTAGGCATTTCCGTGACATTTGCCGAAGTGGAGAACAACGGGCTTGAATTCATCCTGCGAGCACCCAATTGGGCCGTAGTGTAGAGCATTTGATTTGGTATTCTGCAGAAGGGTATCAGGTTGTACGGTCATCCAGCGCTAGTCCATGTCGTGAAAAGCCATAACGTGTTGCCCTCCACTACGATCCTTGCCCTTAGCCTTCTTTCGTTTCTTTCGTTCACCGGCGCTCTTCTTCTCCCGATCGCTATCAGAGTCATCATCACTGTCGTCACTATCCCCCATCATATGCTTTTCACCAGCCAATGCCTCCCCGTTACCAACAGCATCCACGGCCTCGTGCCAGACTTTAACGACTTGACCGCCGCCAGAGACCATCCGGCCCTCGACATCAAAGCCGAGCCCGACAACGCCCTCGGTCTCATCGTGGACAACCTCTGAAATGACCTTGTTCGGGCCAATGCGGACAAATTTCACAAGTCCATTGGCCAAGCCAGTTGCCAAGAGCTTGCCCTGGCCCAGCTCATCAGGCACAACCGCCATGGTCTCAATTGACTCGCCGCCATCATTCCCACGATGAACGTAGATTCGCTCGTCCTGATCGTCCCACGCACCTTTCTCCCAGAGGGTCACGACACCAGCAGAATTTCCCACGATCACCTTCTCTCCTCGGCTAGTACCGCTACTTGGCAGTCCGCCCATAAAAGTAGAGCTGATCAATTCTTCTTCCTGGTCTTCACTGCGAACAAGCACGCCCCTCCGCAGATCTGTGACTGCCAAAGTAGTTCCTCCTGTAGTGATCCATTGCTTACTGAACCCAGAGGTACTGGTATCGGATGCGGGGAGAGGCGTCAAGGACGAAACGTAGTCGTCGTGGGGATGGTGCGACTGTTCGGGCTTCGCAGACACACGGGAGTAAGGGACTCGTAGATCGTAGAGATGCAAGGCGCTAGAATCCGTAGCAAGAAGAAGAGTTTGAGGAGAAAGCGCGTGAATCACGGTCGGGGCATCAACAGAGCTGAAAAGTTAGGTTAGCTTCTGCGACTGGGGGCGTTCAACCGCGTTGCAGCAGATCTCACCCGCTACTTTCAGGCGGAATGGCGATTTTGTTTTCCACTTGGCCACTTTCGGTCTTCGCGATCTTTACCAGGCCATCGGTACCTGCAGAGTACAGGGTCTCGCCGTCGACGCCAAATCCCAGACAGCGGCAGCTGCCCTTGTGTCGGCGTGTCCGCCACATGGTATTGATGTGACCCTTGCCTTTGCGGGCGGATGAGTTGGACCCTGCGTCATCGTTGCTTTCGGCATCCTCAGAGGGCAGTCTGAAGGTCTGTACATGGCCTCCTGCTAGTCCGACAGAGACTACTGGCTCGCGCGGGTGTATGGCCTGGGTGAACAGATCCGACGAGAGCGGCAGGGTGCAGACCGTGTCGAACATGGTGGCGCACTGGAGAGAAGTGATCGAACGAATGAACGCGTCACTAAATTGGAGCCAGTAATTCTTGGTGTGTTCAGGAAGGTACAGCTCTCGAGCGGCAGGAATCACATGGAGCTCTGACAGCTGCTTTTTTTGCGACGGACCGAAGATCTTCCGCTTTTTTAGCTTTGAATCGTTAATTAGTTCACGAATTGACGAATGAGATTACGAGGCGAGTTGGTTTCCAACTTTTATTGTCAAATCTTCGTTTGCAATATTCTGCAGGTATTTACTATTTGTTTGCTATCTGAATCGCACTCCAGAACATTATATGCTGTAGAGCACTGCAGACTCTTCTTTAATTAACATGTCCACGTCCTCGGGTCTCTGGCAGTTTAGACTTTTCCCCAAAACAGTACCCTCGACCTGCACCTCTGGCTGGGAGTACCTTTTTAGCGAGCACATAGTGACAACCAGCAGGGCATGCTCACAACACGATCTTAAAACTTGACAGGGTCGCGTTGAAGATCCGCATCTTCGAGTAGGTCTTGGTATGTCCTCCCCCCTCCCCAAAAAAAAAGCATTTGCTCAATACACTATGCACAAGCTTCGAGGCAAAGGGTATATTTGATGGGACCCCGCTGTAGCTTCCATACCTCCAAAGCCTCGTTAATAGACACCGGGCTGATTTTGTCGTTGCCATATGCATGTGAACGCAGCTGGTCAAGTTGCATGAGCAGGCTTGCCGTAGCATCTCCTTGGAGTATTACTCCGTTTTCTAACGACCGACCCTGGTGAACCATATGGCATTGCGTCGGCCAGAGGTAGGAGGTACCAAGGTATGCAATATTTGAGTCGGCAATGATAGTATTATAGTGAGGACGGGGTTCCCACCAGCTCGTGTCTTCCACTCGCAGGTTTGAATAACGAAGAATAGCGTCTGCGAGAAGCAGCGCAGACGTTGGGTCGACTTCTCGAACTTGTATCAGTATTTCAAGGCCATTTGCTGCGCGATCGATGAGAGTCTGGGTCATCTGAGGATCCACCAGGTCGGAGATGCTGACCACCAGTTGGCGCGAGGCGCCACGGATGAGCGCATCTTGTGCACGGCTAATATACGTGAGACCTGCGACGGGGTCATTGATCACCACCCCAAGACTAGCGAGCTCAGAAGCGAGCTCGGCGCGGCGCTCATCGGTTGCATCATTGTGAATGGCTTCGTCAGTATAACGATAGAATGCCTTGGCTGCCGCCGACGGGAGTTCGATTGAGAAGTCTGCCTTGTCGATGGGCCGGGTATCCATCACAGCCCCCGTACTGAAAAGGACATGAGTGTCGATGATAATGCCCTTCGCATGCATTACCTGCCGTGTTGCGGCGTCAGGTGTGGTGAACATGTTTATGTGAATGTTGTGGTCGGCGAGGATTTGTAGATACTTTGGATATTCCGGTGACTCTTGGAACTCTGTTGGTCCAAGTTTAGATGCCACTATCCATATCTCTGCTTGAGGGTTCTGGATTCGGAAATCAATCAACGCACCAAGAACACCCCGAGCATCGCCTTGGTTGCTGATCGAGAGATTAAACACGGTCAGTTTTCGCGGCTTGCTCGTAGTGTCAGCAAGCTCAGGCGGAGCATGGTCGCGAATGAATTGCTCAAAAACAGCGAGGTGCTTGGCGCCATTGGTCAATAGTGGAAAGATACCAGGCGGTAGGCTGCCAAAGAGCGGCTCCAGGATATTCCCACCAGCCAAGTTAATGCCATCAAGCGTTGCCTGTCCGCGCAGCTCATCTTCTCGAAACAAGAACGCATCAACATCAAAGCTGGCGCCATAGTCGAGAGACATCACAGACTGATAGCGCGGTGCTACGTCTGATGGTTCAATTTCAATGCTTTGCTTAGTCCCGTTGTAAGGAACACCAGTTGCAACCAATTGTCCGCCATCTCCAACTTCAATCACGTAAGGGCCATCAAGCTCTCGGTTGCGAAGCCGAGCTTCGAACGAATCTCCACGCCGAAGTGGTATTTGAATTTCCGTCCGTGGCACCGTGGACCCCATACGTACGATGCCATGCTTCAAGGGACCAAGCGTATGTACAACACCGTCGCTGGGGAACTGCACGCGCGCCATGTCGGCATTGGCTACCGTGAACATGGTCGGTGGATCTCCCGGATTGATCAGTTTCAGGGTCGTGTCTAGCAGGTCTGGTGTGGCCTCGACTGACACTACACGCCACTTAAAACCATCTAAAATTGCCAGTCGGCCTTCAAGCTGCTCCACCCGCACATCTTTGTGGACGGCACGTTGATCACGCAGAATCAGCTGATTCTCAGGGCTCACGCCCATTACATCGTAGAACTGGCCATCCAACTCTACTGGCAATGGAACACGCGCTCGCTCTTTCCGTAATCGTGCGTGCAAAGGAAGAATTGGATCGTAGGGTGACCGCATCGCTAATCCAACGACCCGTCGATGTCGCGTGCCCTAGGACGTTGTAATGTCGTGAATGATTGGAGTCAAGCTTTCTTGTCGTCAGCGAACCAACACCATTCTATACTCATGATGCCAGAAAGCTTGGAGAGCAAAGTTATCGTGAGTGCAAATGCTGGTCTGCCAATTTAAAGGTTTTATTACAAAATCAAGGGGTCAACGCCATCCGCTGCGTAGTGATGTCAGGGAAATAGAGTCTAATTGTGACACAGAAAGAACTGTACATCACGCTATGCAGAGGAAATCTATGCGATTGGATGCGAGAACACAATGAGTGAGAGATCTTCGCAAATTCCTGGAAAGTCCTAAGCGATCCGAGCCGCCTCCACTGGATCTTCGGTAGTTTCTTCCTCACGCGACCAATTGCCTGCAACAGATGCAGATCTACCCTCAAAATGCCACGAACACCCGGTTCGTGGCCACCAAGATGTAACTTAAATGACGAAATGCAAACTTAAACTGAAAGAATAGAGGGAGAGGGGACTCCACTCATGAGTCTCTTGGATTCTGGGCACAATGCGGAGCTATAGGTGGAGCTTGCATGATGTCGTCACATCATCGCTCCATCCGCCCAAAACACCACCGGCAATTAACTACAGGGAAGCAATAATTCAAAAGAAATCCTGGGCTGATCAATTCTCGGTGTTCTCAATGTCTAGTTAGCTTGTATGGGATCCTCGAAAGGGTTGAATCAAAGGTCGGAAGAGAGATCGCGCTAGTCACGCGATGCCTTCCAAGGACGCCGCATCCACTGGTACATCCACTGGTACATCTACAACTGCGAAGATCGGCAAGGCGGCTGAGCTGAACCCTTGCCACTAGAAGCTGAGCGCTTATTCGGCGTTTTACCACGAACCATTCAATCTCCCAACTACCCGGACCGTATCCACACTGCAGGCTGCCATGGTAAGCTCCAAGCAGTGTGATTTACGTAAAGTTTATGATACCTCTGATTTGGCCTCCTCTCCCGCGGCGTGGTAGGCACTTCATCCCCTCGTTCAGCAGCAGTTTGATCATATTATGTCAAAATTGCAATCATCATGCCATAACTATGAATAAAATCCATTACTCAATTTTTGTTTCCAAATTTGCTAAAAATATGAACTTCGCCAGCATGCATGGGAACCTTTCCCGCTCGCCCACAGTCCAGATCCCAAGGTCGAACCCTATCGCTTTACCACGTTACACAATTCCTTCGGGAAAGATTACAAGAGTTTTTTGCGAAGGATATTCTCGACCTAAATGCGAAGCGAACAAAAAATACAATTTCAAACAGCCCAGACCCGTCGCATCCTTGGACAACATATACATATCCCGGACGTCTCAAGTCAAGACCCTTTCTTGATTCACCCAATCATTGCATATTACATGAATCTTGAGTGAACACGTTCAGCAGAAACTTTCTTACGAGGAGTAAGTCGATCCAATCGGCCCAAACTTGATAGCGGAGAAGACAACATTGGACCCAGGTGACTGGGACTCAACAGTCTGCGGGTCTCCTGCCGTAGTGCTGCATGTACCACGAGCAACGCCAGGAGTGCTTGCAGAGCCAGTGTCGGGATCATTGCTGTCAAGCCAGTTCATGTTGGAGTGGTGGTCATCCCATAAGCTCATGACAAGCACCATGCCCGCCTCCAGTCCCTTGCTCATGGCCGACAGGCCGCCGTGCTGAGCGAAGATATCCTGGTCTCCGAAAGCCTTCTTCTGAGCCGTGCAGTACTTCGCGTTGATGGAGTTGCCGGAGACGCCGCTGATGTCGGATGCTGAGTTGGCGATCACTTTGCCGTTCTGGACGTACAAGCGCCTGATCTCGCTGAGGGTGCCGCTGTCGGTGCCGTCCGAGGTGAGGAACTGGGTGACGACGGTCATCTTGGACTTGGTGTCGACGATCTTGCCGGGGCCGAAGAAGGTCTTGTTGCCCATGCGGTAAGGGTTAAAGTCGCAGCCGTCGGGGTCGCAAGTACCAGCATAGCGGGAGGAGGAGTAGGTGCCGCCGCAATTGTCGCCCTCGCACATAGTCTGGGTGGCGGTGTCGCACGGGTGAGGAGTCAGGGCCGTGGAGATACTGTTTGCTTCCCAGATATCCAGCTCTGCGCAGCAAGAGCCGTGGTTACCGATTCCAGCGTTGCGGTCGCTGGTGGAAGGAACCCAGCCGTCCACGTTGGCCTGATATATGTGTTAGCTTCTTCCATACGATCGATTGTGCTTTGTCTGCTCTGTCCGGTGAGTCGTACCTCTCCATTGATGAACTTCAGATCCCTAGGACACTGCGAGTCGCAGTATCCAGTGCCGTATTTGGCACCGGCTTTGTTGGCAGGATACTTCGCTACACCACCATCTGCGTCCATGGAGACAAAGTACAGAGCACCGTTGAGACCGCAGGGGAGGTTCGAAACATCCACATCGAAGGTGAATTCTCTGTTGAGCAGCTTGAACGATTTGTAGGTGTTTTCGTCCTCCATGAGGAAGAGACGGGAGCCGATGTTCGCGCCAGTGACAAAGTCAATGGACAGAGAGTCGCCGGTGGTCGTGATACCGTAGGTTGACTGGTAGTTGGCGCCATCCAGGGCACAGTTCTTTGCACACGTCTCGTCATTGGGACAGAGAGAGGTGTCCCACTGGAGCACAGAGATAGCTCATCAGTCAAGTGTGCAATTTCTTTTGGATTGGCATAGTGGAATCTTACCGTGTTTCCAGTGTAGCAGTTAGTAGAGCCACTGGTTGAATGAAGCCAACGCCAATTGGCATCAATAACTACTTCGCCGGCCTGGTCAGTGCAGCCACTGGAGGTGCATTGCTGCCAGGTCAGAGACGGGTGGTTCTCAGCTGTAAGAGTACCAGCTTGCTGGGCTCGAACAGCTGCGATGATAGCAGACAAGAGAAAGGCTTGCTGATGCATTTTGAAATGCTGTTAAAAAAGGAAAGAGGTGTTGTTGTCTGCAACTGATGAGGCACGAAAATCAATGGCAGGGCAAGGCCAATTTATATCCCCCGCACATAGCTCTTCTGGTCAACTATTCACGGAATAACATCTGCCACAGGGTAGTATAGCGGTTTCAATGGCTTGGAAAATAAAGCCCTTCATGAAACCATCGGACATGGCGCGGTCAACAGCCGACTGTCAATCTGGGTGTAGGCTCTGGGGCCTGATCAAGAATGGGAAAGATCGCCATGATCTTCTGGGGATATTTCTTCAGGGTTCTGTCTGGGAACTTAAGCGAAGGAGATAGTGGCGATGCTATGCATTTTAATTGGACTTTGGCTGCATTGCGCCGGAGAATTCTTCATTCCTCCACTAAGACACATATTAGTTTGAATTTTGCATCTAGATTGAATCAAAATACTCAGTCTGGCATACACACTCCAAATCACGATTTATGAGACTTCGATTGGTTTCGGCTATACTGGAGCTAGGAGGGGGTAGCATGGCGAGTGAGTATCGTATTTCGTATTCGAGTTTGTTTTGCTACGAGATTTCTATAGGCGAATTCTTTACTGGTACCGCAGTCCATGCCTACCCTTGGCCGCCAAGTGTTTAATTTATGCGCGTAAGATGACCCCGGAATTGGGCTGATGTGGGGCTATTCAGCCGGTTAAATGATCGGATAATCGCCGCCAGGGTCGCTCGTTTTTGTGGCTGCAAATTTCAGGTGCCCGCCGCTGCTCATAGGATCTCTGGGCACGGCATAATGAAAGGTAAATTATCCTTCAATGAGGAGATTCGTGTAAAGCGCTGAGGAATCAGCAGATTAAACGGAGATTTCTTAGCGGATTAAGTGGTCTCAATGCGAAACAGCTGGAGTTCGATGAATCATCGCACTGGGTGATTTGTATGCCTACGCAATCTCGAAAATACGCTGGCAGTGGGGGTTTCAATTCGAAGCTATACACCGAACCATAGTATTCGATTGCTTGAGAAAGAGCTTGCAAATGGTGTGATATCAGTCTTCGTCAGCAACCTTGGGGATGCCCGCCGTTCTTCGTGGCGCCTTCTGACCGAATCAATGTAGGAGCCATTGCATCACTCCTAGGCCGCAGGTAGAGATGGACATAGAAGTAGTCTTTAGGGCCGCAATTGCAATGTCCTGCTATGCAAGTAATAATACTAGGACTGCTAGTCCCAGGGGCGATAGGTCACAGGGACCTATTGACGAGCTCGACGTTTCGAAGTTATTAGCCTAAATAAATAACACCGCGGAACCGGAGCTCTGCGAAATTCCATCCATCATATGGGAAGTTGACGACTGCCAGAGTGGGATGATCCGGCCGACTTTTCAACTTTTTGATTCTATCGCAGATTCCAAGGTCATCATGGCTTCCACGTCAATTTTTGAGCCTGTTATTATCCGGCCGATCCGCGGGCTCTACGGAGTGATCGACGCCATGACGCTTATCGCGCGAGATAAGCCCCAACTTGAACCTCGGTCCCGGCCTTGCATTGAGTCCTATCATCTTCCATCTCTCAGCTCGCGGTTCCGCAGAGGCGCATCTCCTGTATTAACAGCTAGCTCCGGGGTGGAATTAGCGAACTTTCGAAAAGTGCATCTTTCCAGGGGTTACCCGAGGAAACCATGGCTCTGTACCGTCGAACCGCAGATTTCATCTCCGCCTCCTGGGCTGACCAGCACACGCAACTCCCCCTGCTGGCGGTCACAGGAGCCTCATTCGCATTAGGCCTTTTGGTTCAATCACTCTTGCGGACCGGACCAGTGCAAGCGGGCATTCTTCCCTCACCCCGCTCGACAATTCTGCCACGTCTGTCGGAAGAGGAGATCCGCAAGCTACCTCTCCCGAGCGATGTTCTTCCGGGTGGTCGTGATGTTGAAAGTCCGTACGGCTCGCTCCGGTGCTATGAATGGGGTCGCGAAGATGGACCTAAGGTCCTGTTGGTTCACGGTATTACTACGCCCTGTGTCTCGCTAGGAGGGCTGGCCCATGCGCTAGTGGATCGCGGCTGTCGTGTACTGCTGTTTGACCTGTACGTCGTCTCCACCAAAAATCAATATGATCCTCAGGTTACCTAAAAGGAACAAAGCTAACTCACGAAAGATTCGGGCGTGGCTACTCTGAGACCCCCGCTGATCTCCCCCAGGATGAGCGGCTTTTTACCACTCAGATCCTGCTTGCTTTGGCTTCGTCGCCTATCTCCTGGACTGGGGCCAGCTCTGGGAAGTTTTGTCTGGTAGGGTACTCCCTGGGTGGCGGAATTGTGGCAAATTTTGCTTCGTATTTCCCAGAAATGTTATCCTCTCTGGTTCTTTTAGCCCCAGCCGGCATGATGCATGACAACGACGTCGGTCTTCAGGCTCGCCTGCTCTACTCCCGTGGTCTCGTGCCAGAGAGCGTGCTTGGATACTTCGTCAGGAAACGTCTACGCGGCGGGCCTCTAGTACCGCCGAAAGTTAACCCCAAAGGCGACAACAAGGTGGGCGTTGAAAGCGCCCTCACGGAAGAGTTCGCAACGGGTAATGAGGCAGAAACCCAGATTCTTTCGCGCGAGTACCCCCACATCAACATTCCTTCTTCGGTTGTCTGGCAAGTGGATAATAACCCTGGGTTCGTCCATGCATTCATGTCTACCATGCGCTTTGGTCCAATCTTCCGTTCCAAGCAATGGAGCGCCTGGGCTCGGCTTGGCGCGTACTTGAGTGCGCAGAACGGCGCGCCTGTAGGCAGCCAAGCCGGGAAGGGTTTGCCGAATGATAAGGTTCACATCATTTGTGGTAACAACGATCAAATCATCAACAAGGATGACCTCGTTACAGACGCCACCGCTGCCTTGGGAGGCAACGCTACCTTCAAGTTCTATGATGCCGGGCATGAGTTCCCTAGCACCAAGTACGAGGATATTGCCTCCTACATGATTAATTTTCTTTAGATAAGACGACTTTCTACACGTTCGACTTTCCACACGTTTCCTTCGTTCGATGTTTGGATTGCGACATATATTCACTAGCGCCTTCGATAGATAATTCAAATACATAGAGGGGTATCATATCACTTTGCCCATAACTGAGCTGCTTGTCCTAGTTTCTCGGCCTTAGAATCTCATCCATGGCGTTGAGTTGACTTGAAAGGCCATCGAGGTGCCTTGGTCCCTCTGCCGCGCGTGCTCCGAGATAGTACGGTGCCTCGGATGCTGGTGTACGGATGAATCGGTCCACGGTGCTGCGGTTCGCCCTTGGGACTTGGTTCATATTGCTTTGACGAAGGACTGTCCTTGAAGTGGCTTTCTGAGGGCTATCGAGAATACTCGTTAGACGGCGCTTCTCCCCGCGATATTAGGTCTCAAGCATACCCTGAGCTTGTGGACTCCATCTTTGACATGGCTGAGGTGTGGCAATCCCGAGGAAATATTCAGCGGTGGGAGGGGACTTGTTGTAAATGAAAGGGCTTGGTGATGCAACGGTGAACTATTCAATGTTCAATAGACCGTGATGAGGAGGAATAAGCTTGACTGAGCTGATTGAATAGCTTGTATTGACTGTTCTTGAATTATGAAACCATCCAAAGAGTGGGAAGCTCAAGCTATATATGTGCAGTCATAGCTGCAAGGCTGTGCCGCGGTCAAAGGCGTGGCTTCAGCAGCGGCCCACATGGATCCAGAAAAGAATGAAGAAGAGATCTTCACCAGGTCGGTTAGGCTCAATGTCCACGGCAACAGGATCCACTGCTGGTAGCCCCTGTGACACCATCCCTCGAGTTTCCCAAGCTCAGCCTCCGTGATCCACAGGAGTTCGAGCGGACCCGAGATTCCCGAGACTCCCAGGGTAGATGTTGACCAAAGCCATGGAGCAGTGCACATACTCGCCAATCCCTGCAAAACAGGCGACAAGGCGACTGTAATTGGTCTAAATGACGCACGATAATGGGGCCAAAAGGCAGGTACCAGCTGCAGGACCTCATGTGGAGCCGTTTCGCACGCTCCGTACCGTATACGAAGGGAAATGATGTGTTGACATTCTCCAAGGCAATGCTCACACATGGCAAACCACATGTCTCACTACGGGGATGCAACGGGGGTAGCCAAATGCAGTATAACCGCCGTGGAATGAAGCAAGACTCGGAGAAATTAACGCGCATATACGCAGGTATACGGTTGGCCGATCCATGAGAGGTTGGTTCCTAGGGGGTTCAAGGGGGAGCGTGGGGACGTCATCCCGCGTGTTCTAGGTGGTCGTCCAGGGTCCAACCTGGTATCCACTTAGGGTAGAATAAACTCGAAAAAAATGCACGGGTTGTCGCGTGGGATGGCCTTGTCCGGAAGCTTCGCAAGCGTGAAACAAGTCGTGCGCAAACGTGGTCGATCACATGGAGATCATGCATTCTTCGAAGGGGGCGGAGCTAAAACGCTTCACTAACAACCGCTTAGGATGAGCATACATTCTTGGAAGAGGCCCCTGCATACTCCTCTCTTGACAGCGTTCCTGTCGATCCTGGGCTGGGATTCGGGGACCCTGGGTTTTTGGGGAAATGGAAGGTCAATTTCAGGCGGGCCTTGTCAGTCAACCCTGCTAGCTATTCGGCTTGATTACATTGCCATAATGCCAACGGGGGTGGAATGCTTCGCCGCAAAGTTGGTCAATTTTGGACCTGCGTTTCAGGCCTTGTCAGAGATGCAGGTCCCAGGGCAGACTTGCACCCGCACGTGGATTTTCGCTCGTGCATGAGACATGTACAATGCATCTAGCGAAGATGAAACCATCCGGAATTGGGAAAAGAAGCATGGCGTTCGTATCACTTGACGTCTACGACCTCGATGCCGGCCTGATGTCGGCCTCCTGCCGGCGGTTCTTCCTCTTTTGTGCTCACACTAGTATGTTAGCAGTTTAGTCACATAGTCAGGCATCCTCTCTTCGCTGAAGAGCTCATGTTCAGGGTCTATTGAGAAAATCGAGAGAATACCATGAACATCGCTTCCTTGTTTCTGTCAATTGTAAGACTCGGGACCTTTCTCTACAACCGTCAAGTTCAAGTTTTCTATTCATAGTATATTTGGCATCTCTTTCCTACCATGGAAGCTTATGTGCCCACCATGCACGGATAAGAGGCCTAGAAGCAAGCCTCGCTATGCAAGCCAACAAGCTCCATGTGGAACGGTTGTTTCATGTTTTAGGTTCCTCGTCCAAGCGCGATTCTTGCAAGATCGGCCCGCCTGATTACTTCCAAGGAATTTTTGACGGGGCTGGTACTGATAATATGCAAGGAACTCCCGGCCCATGCTGCGCTAACCTAAATCCCGTAGTGCGCTGCTCACTGTGCCGAGTGACGATCGTCTTGACTTGATTTATTATGCTCAGCATACAAGCCTTCAAGTTCGCATGATCATCTGGGGCAAACCCATGACGGGCCGCAGCTGACGCGGTGAATTTACAACACAGCCGCAGCGATGGGAATGGCAACTAATCCCGAGCAACCTACGCATACCTCCGTTGATTGCATGTGTCGTATTCAGGGGGGAGCAGGAGAAAAAAAAATATAGACAATATATTGCAGGTTGTTTTTCTAATTTCTTTTTTGCTTTGTTTTTTTCTTCTTCTTTTTTTTTTAAGGCCTCCTCTTTCCTCATAATCCTGACAGGTGATCTATCGGACGGATTGACAGATGAGCAACTGCCCTATACAGCGTTGTCAAGGGATGGAGAGCAATAGTTCGCGAGGGTTAGCCCGAACGGGAAAGATCGACACTAGCGCTATCCCTACGCACAGGCATCTCTCAGATCACCAAGGCCACCGAGCTCAGTCTGAAACAGAATCCTAATGTTAAATAATGCAGTTTTATGTAGCCTGTACAACTGCCGTAGAGCCGCTGCAGCCTGTTGCTGCTGCAAACGTTCCTTCCGCAGTTAACCGGAGATAAATGTGCCGCGAACTCGCTTCGTAGGCAAGATGCCACGGCCGTTGGTGGAAAGCAGTTTCGGCCGAATTGCTCTCGCAAACAAGGCTTTGGAGAGTGCGGCATCTCGACTATCCACCATTCGTCCCGCTAAGCCACTAGGGATGGTTTGCTCCACGGTTTGCTCCCTGCGTCTTTTCCAACCCTGTCGCTGTTCACGATCCCCTGTTCGAAGGATTGGAATGGGCACAACTGCTCGGTCGGTCTTCGGAGCGTGACCAAATGTGGAAAGAGCAAAAAAAAACGTGGATCGTAATTACCTGGCGTCTCGGCGTGCCTGAGGACTTGGTAAAAACTAACGTGAGACACGCAACAAGGGATGCCACGGGCTTTTGGCCGAATGCGGGTGGCAGGGGGAGCCTCGAGTCATTGCCATGCGCTAAGCTGCAAAAAGGGCTTTGGAAATTTGCAAGTTACCGGGGCAGAATTTCGTTTTCATCTTGGAAGGATGCACCTGCGAAGCGTTTCCTGATCATTCATCACTGCGGCGTTGAGCGTCTGACATAATTCCTCTTCCGTCTGCCTCATTTGCCGCGTCTCTAAACAGCCAGGTTAGTTTGGTAACGTCAGTGTATCTCTTCCGGTGTCTGTGGCCCATATTAGTTACTTTTATCCGTTTCCTATTGAGTGCGTTGTTATCCTCTATGCTCGTGAGCAACTGCCATGCAAAATATACTTTGAAAAGGAATCGAAATGCTCTTCACTTGCCGTGCGCAAAGATTGGAAGATGTTCAGCTTTTCAATGAAGGTTCTCGTTCGCTCTAAGCAACTTGTTGCATGTCTTCATAAGACTCGATCTAATGAGGAAGGTTCCCAAAGCATTGTTAATAAAACCCAACCCATGCCGCCTGAGAGCATATTTGTGGCTCTTTTCCTTCCCACAGTTCACAAATTTGTGCGGAAAAGCAAGGCAACAGAGAGAGCATGTGGCTATTCCCTCCACGATGCCCCATCTTCATGAATTACTCGTCTCTACGCTGGAAAAATTGCAGGTTGTACTCATTGCTGAATTCTATCCTATTGTTCCTCGTATCCCCCAGCTTATCGATAAACCCGAGATCGTCCAAATCGACAATATCTGATTTGGGGATAGAGACCCGTCTCATTCGAGACCAGAATGGCCCCTCGTTGAGATATTCGTACTGTACGCTCCTGTCGGCGTGCTTGATGCCCCCGAGCATGGCAGTCTGGTCTTCATCTCGGCCACATTTTCTGGCGCTACCTCCCGGGAGACATTGAGGGGTTTGATCTCGATCGCCGACCGATGCCCCTAGAGTATACTTTAACTCCTTTGATACCGATTTCGACTGTGTCAGTCTGGTGCATCGCAGACGACGTACTATGGAAACCTCGTCGGCCTAATGGATTGAGACCGAGGCCCCACCTCCAGGTCGAAATGCAAGTGCGTTTCTAGGCCAGAAGGAACCGGATGTGAACGATGCTACCGGTTAAATAAGCCCTGCATGCCAGGAAGAAATCTTCGGGCTTCCAGCTCTCGGAAAGGTCTTACGCCCACTCATTTCGCGCAATTCGAGGCGGAAATTGACTCTTTGGTCTCTCTACTGCATGCTCGCCAGGCGAGCGCTTCTGCCCATCCCTCTTTATCACCACAGCCTTCGAACGGCATTGGCCAACCTGCGACGGCGAGCAAGCTTTCCTTCCCCTCCACGCAGAATTCTAAAGCTGTCTAGCTTTTGCCAGAAGATGGTCTTACCTGCTTCCGAAACCATATGCTAAAGTATTTTGCCTTTATACATATACCAGAAGATGCGGAAACACTCAAGAACCAGAGGCCTTTCTTATTTCTTTGCATCACAGCCGTCTCATCGTAATCCACAAACATCAAGACGGCCTTGAACGAAGAGATCAAAACGACATTGATCCAACGCATGTTTTTTGATAACGAAAGACTCGTAGACATCGATTTACTCCTCGGCCTTCTCATCTTCATTGCCTGGGGGAATGATAATCTCCTTTACTGTATACCAACCAGGGTACCACGCTTCATCGAATTGGCCGTCACCCTAGTATTCGATATGGGCCTCAACAAAGCACCATCGGAAGACTCGAATATGCTTCCGATGGGGAGAAATTGTCTGGGCCGTAGGAGTTCGACCCGAAGTATGGAAGAGATGAGATCGGTCTTGGGTTGCTTTTCGCTGAGTTCGATGGCGTCTTCGTATTTCGGGAAAACCGATCCAATGCAATGGACCTCGTCCATGGATGAGTATCTTGAGACTCTCAGCGGAAACCGAGAATTGGTCTACGATGAACTTTTCTGTCATCAAGTTCGACTACAGCGCATCGCGGCAGAGGTAGAAAACATGAGCGGTACCGACGTTCCGTCTACATTCTATGTCGCGGCCCTGCGTCGGAAAATGAATGAAATCAAAGCTGGCGTTTCGCCGTCATTGCTACAGAATCGTGAGTGAAGCCAGACCTGCTTCATGGCCTTCATCAGCAAACACTGACGGACAAAAACCTGAAGAAGCACTCCTAAGCTCGATCCACTATACCGATCGAGCTTAGGAGTGCCATGAGCGGACTATTTTTGGAGAACGCGTGGCTTACAGAAATCTTCTCATGGGACGAGAGTGAATTTTCCCACTTTTAACCTATCTGAAATTTGGACTCGGTGCCAGTAGTATCCCTTCTCGGACTTGCGGGGATAACCCCGGATTTACGCGGAGTTGCACTCAGACAACCCCGGAGCCCCCCGGGGGTCTACCTTGTCGAGCTCGGAGATCATAAGAATTTACCTTTCGCGTTTCAAGACGAAGCCCCACGATTCTGCACTATCTACGCGGTTTTATTGTGTAGCAGCGATGCTATCACCGAGCGCGCAGGCCTCCCCCGACGCGGCGACCAATGGAGTCAAGCGGAAGCGGAAGACGTACTCTTGCGACGCATGTCGGCGGCGTAAATTGAAATGCGATCGCGGTTATCCATCCTGCGCCCGATGTATGAAGGCGGGTCAAGCCCGTTCTTGCTTTTACGATGTGCCTCCCTCTCTTGAGCAAAGGCCGTCGAAGGTAGCCGCGCCGCCAAATGCTGCCATTCCGACGCCGGCCTATGAGGGAAAGTCTCACACTCAGATCGCCCCCGTGAGATCACTGCCATCCCAGCTTCCCACTTTACAGGCTGATCAGAATGATGGTACTTGGCAGCTGCTTAGCGATGTCGTTCAGAATGCTCCTAATAACCCACAACGGCCGACGGTCAGAGCCGACAACGAAGAACCATCCGGTGCGGCAACGCACGATTCATATCATCGAATCATATTTCGCGGAGAAAACTTCAAAACGCAGTACTATGGCGGAAGTAATCCCGTCAGTCTAATTGGTCACGTAGGATATCCACGCTCTCCTGATAATGAACCCTGCTAATCTAGAATAGTTTCCAGAGCTCCGTTTATTTATGAAAGAGGCCATCAGCCAGCAAAAGTCATTATACAGGACTCAGCATGGCCTCAAGGATCTCCAGAAAAAGTGGAAAATAGAGAAAAATAGCAATCTATCTACGCCTAGTCTGGATCTTGCCTACCTGTTTCCAGGGAGGGAAATGATGGATTTCCTCGTCCATCAGTACTTCGAGACATTTGAAAGCTTTTATCGAATCCTCCACATACCCAGCTTTTGGAAAGAATATGCTGAGTTTCTAGAAGATCGCAGATCTGCAAGTCCTGGATTTGTGATGACAGTATTACTGGTTATGGCCTGCGCAAGCTGCATCTCCCGGAAAGAGAGCATTCGATATATTGGGGATAGCTCCCTGGGACGAGAACGTGCGACATTATGGATTGAAGCCGCAGACTCTTGGCTACGGCATCACAGCCACAAGAATGTATATCTTGCTGTATGGCAGGTGCGCTGTCTCCTGCTTCTAGCCAAGCAAGTGAATATCGTCAAGAAAAAGAGATTTTGGACCGAGACAGGCACGCTGATCAGAGAAGCGATGGCCGCTGGCTTTCATCGAGACCCGAGCATTCTCGGCGACAAGGTATCTAGATTTGATCGTGAAATGCGGCGCCGGTTATGGGGCACCATGCTTGAACTGGAACTTCAAGCGTCGATCGACCGAGGCATGATCTCGACGTCTTCTAGCATGTCTGCCGATGCTAAGATTGCACTGAATATCGAAGACGAAGATCTGTCTGATGAGACAGGTAATGAGGAAAAGGCTAAACCGCCAGGCGAGTATACTCAAACTTCATTCCTCCATCTATCGGGGACTAGTTTCCAACTACGCGCCTCCTTGAATTCGGTCGTGAACGACTTGAATACCCCATTGAAATACGAGGAGGTGTTGAAATATGAAGAGCTCATCATGAATGAGCTTAAGAAGCTGCCCCCGTGGACTCGAACCCAACCACCTAGCGGTGCCGGTCTGTCCCTTGTGGCTCGAACGTTGCTTGATGTTCAACTCAGACAGTTCCTTATTATGCTTCATGGGCCCTTCGCCCGCCAAGAGGAGAGAACAACCCGACATTCGCTTTCTCGCATGGTCTGCTTTGACGCAGCGGCTAGTATTCTTGACCAGTACAAGCGACTGAGTGAGTCCGGAAATTACGCCCTGTTGCTGCTTCGGCATGACTACTTCCGGAGTGCCCTTGTCGTCTGTCAGAATGCATACATCTCCATCTCTCTCCGAAGTAAGTATGCTGGAAATCTTCCTCTCAGCGGCGTATTGACCTTGGGAAACAGATGACCTTCTGTTGAGTGCAAGCATTTCTGCATTTGCTGAATATATTGACCATTCTCTTGCCATGTTAGAAGACCGGATCATCCAGCTTGGAACCGGCTATACCCATTACTGGTATATCTCGGCTGGATGTGCTCTCCTCCGTTCAGCAAGCTCCCCTGACAGCTCGCTCGTAGAGAATCAACAAGCCATCGACCGAGTTGCTCGGCAATATTATCGAGTGTTGGCATCGCAAGATGATATTCATCTGGCAAAAGAAAAGGTCCTCAATATGCCGGCAGATCAGGTTAGTGGCACACATAACTTGTTCGAGGATTTGACTAACTCGTGTCACCCTGTGTTCACTGAACTCCAGCTCGACCAGTCAGCAGCTGCCCTCCCAATGATGGGTACTTTTGAGTCGTTATACCCCGATCCAAGCACTTTGAATGTGAGTCTTCTCCTCCTTCCCAGGAATCAGTCCTGACTTCCTCAGCCTATCTTTGATGATGCCGACCTGTCGCTCGATGAAGTCTTCTTTGGAGACCCTCAAGTATGGACGTTTGACAGTCTGTATCCGATGGAAACGTTTTGAATGTCTTGTACCCCCATGTAGATAATGATCTCTCGATTCAAATCCTAGGGTTCGAGGGGCTCAAACGATGATACTGTTGATTGGCTCATGTCTGTGGGGCCCCAGAACGGGTCAAATCTTGGAAGAACTTGGGGGACCTTCGAGTCCAAGACTAAAAAGAAAAAAGACCAAGACAGATCCGACCCACTTCTCTAGTTTCTTTTGACAGCAAGTTAGTTCTCTGGAGAAGAAACTCGAGTGCTTTCGTCGCCGAAATCAACGCCCACCACTGCCTCTTCCTTTTCTTATCCGACCTGTAATGACCCAAATAGAGCCTCGGCATGTCGATCTCCGCATGACGTAGCCCCGTAAGCCCTCCTCGTCATCAGCCCACGACTCCTCGATCATCGAGATGAAATGACGCAGAGCAAGATTTCGGTCTTTAATGGCAGAAATCCTCCATGTGATTCTGTTTTTAGTCCCAGATTTTCCCCTTTCCATCCAAACGTGTGTTTTGGTCGCTCGCACCCCCCGACCTCCTCCAACCTCACGCGATCCCGCGACCCGCGATCAGGACCGTGTCCACACCACGGGTATGGGATTGACGTATGCGTATCGCAGATCGATTGCCTTTTTCCTTCGAGCCATAGTTCGCCCCCGCCTACACTTGCATCCTAAACCGGACGAAGTCGCCCAGGTGCCCTCCCGCGATGCCGGACGCAGCATCAAAGCGCACATTTATAAGCCGCAAGGCGCCCACGCGCGCACCCCGTGCTGATCAATTTCTGTGGCAGCGGGTTCATCCTTGCTACCTTTGGCTCAGACGATGAGTACTGTCGCTATGTGGCGAATTCAACCGACTACACCGTAATCGATGTCCAGTATCGGCTCGCTCCCGAGAATCCCTTCCCGGCAGCATATAACGACGGGGAGGACGTGGTCAAATGGGTCCTGTCGCAGCCAGATCGCTTCGACCCGGCCCAGGTCTCTTTGTCCGGGTTCAGTGCCGGAGCGAACATCGCGCTCTCGATCTCGTCGTCATCTCAGTGCTTCAACCATGATGAAAAGCAGAACACCTTCCGCACGATCATCTGCTTCTACGGCCCGACAGACATGAACGTGCCTACGCCCGAGAAAACGCAGTCCGATTCATCGAATTGGATCATGCGCAAGATCTTCCCTGGGTTTTCCCACTTGTGCCATAAATGTCTCAATATGGGACAGGTGGACCCGAAAGACCCTCGGATCTCACCTAGTTATGCCGACCCTCAGAGCTTTCCCGATAGGAGCTTGTTCATCTCTGCCGCGCAATGCTCTTTCGGGATCGAGGCGGAGAAACTTTCACAGAAAATCGGTGCGGTTGAAGGGAAGTTCTCCGCTGCCATACGAATGAATGGCTGTGCACATGGATGGGACAAGGAGGCCGTCAGGGGCACGTCCCAGTGCAGAGCAAAGGATGAAGCTTATGCTGCTGCCGTGAAGATCTTGAAAGATGGTGAGCGCATGGACTTAAAGGGGAGTGATATATGATACCCACAGGCATGGATTCGAAGTAGAATCGGGATACCATGTTTTATTCAAGCGCTTCTGACTTTTTTGCTGTATTATTTATCTGACTAATAAATATAATCATCCTGACGCGATCAGCTCCACAAGGTGAATGTGATCGTGATTCTCCGAGCAGATTCAACGGTGATTAGCAGCTTTGCATAATAAGGACGACATGAAGGCCCGCAACAAGAACGTCACTAAATAAAAAGGTCCACTGAAAGTTCGTCATAGTCGTTCCCACAAGGTTGAGTGGTACGAATGTACGCCGTCTGCTTTCCTTTTCGACACTTCCGCGGCTCGGACCCAGTCGCGCTTGGCCCACATTTCCCCAGATCTTCCCGATCTGCAGAGTGCTTGTTCCATTTCCCCTTTGCGTGGATGTTCTTCCCCCAAGTGAAGAACAGAAGTGGCACAGGGGTCACTAAAGCGGAGACAACCCCTGGCATCGAAGTGCCCCTGTTGATACCCAAATGATGCTATACGTCGGCGTTGCCACTAGCGGGAAAGCCCCGGTCAGGGCCGATCGCAGGATTTCGCAGCGACAGTGCTAGCAGCAATATGTGGAAAAGTATGAAGCACATGGCTGAGGGCTCTATTGGAACGTAGTTACGTACCCGGCACCCTACCCCAGCGAGGCCAATAAGAGAGTAGGAGATGGCTGGGCCAGGAGTGCTTGTTTCACAAGTTACAGTCGGTGTTCTCCCTTCAAGTTGACACAGGAAATACTTCAGGTTATGCACAGGCAATTCTGCCAATCTATCTATACTGGCTCCTTCTTAGGAAAACGAGCACTGCAGTATTCTTCATTTCATGCTTCCAGGATTTGGAGTCGACATGAATAAATGCACTCCACGCTGGCTAAATCAGCCCTGGCTACGTCCTGAGATAACATTAGATACGAGGCAGTATATTTGCGACCACAAGATTTGCAATGTTACTTCGGAGGTCCTACTCAAGAACTTCCGGAAGGGGCGGAGCATTTTCTTCCATTGCGCTGCGCCACCTCTAGTTGAAAGCCCTCCAGACTGACGGACGTGCCCAAAGACTGAACACAGCCTCAGCTACCGAACTCTCTTACGTAGACTCTACCTCGAATCTTGGCTCATAGCTAAGCTTTTGATCCTTCCGTTTTTATTCCCGAACAATGTACTCTACTCCAGCTTCTACGGAGAATGAGAGGGCTTCTCGTGATATTCAGAAAGGAAGCAAATCCAAACTGGCCGCAGGACTGATCTCTCCTTCGGTGGCTTGCGAGAGCTATCGCGCAGCCTCGAGCTAAGATTGCAAGTGGCTTATCGCATGATAACGAAAGCCTGCCTCCATACAGCAAGCAAGGCGAGACAGTGATATCGTCCAGCACACCCCAGATTCTCCACTGCTATAGAATCCAACTTCGATGATGTCCCTCGAGAGATATTAGCAGAGCTTACCAGTTCTGAGCAAGTAATATCGTTGTCGGTCCTTAAGAGGAATTCACTGCGGCTAAAAACCTTCCTCGCGGTGCTTACCAAATGGGGACCTGAATGCGTTGGAAACAGTACTACGCCATTACCATGTTGTCTATGTGAATTCGGTGATTGGATTTCAGACATGAGACCACACATACTACACCCACCAGAGCCTCTTCGCGATGCATGGGTAAAATATCCGAGTAAGCAACGGCTAAAAAAAAAAGCTACGCATAAAGACGGACGTTGTGTGGGTGGATCGGGCGATCCCTTAGCTGTTTGGGGTTAGTGGATTCAGTTAAAATTCAACGCAGTAAGAAGGGGGTAAACACGAAACCCATGCAGCTCTAATCCGAATTACGTTGATACGAAGTACGCAATCTTCGAGCCACGGGGCTCTGCATTTCCTGGGGGGTTACAAGAAGAAGTACCGTAGGGCGTTTCTATGAAAGACCATGCGGCGCAGAGGCTTACATTCCGGGATCAAACAAAGAGATTGGCCCGCGACGGCCATCAACGCTGTTTTTGGCCCCCAAAATGTTATATTCTCGGCCCCTGCTGGCCCCTGCTGGCCCCTGCTATGCCTTTTCTCAGGCTTCATGGGGCCGTTGTGGTGACACGATACGTCATTTGATTAGCAGCGCTTGGCCCAACTCAGTAATGTTTTACTATACTCCAAAAAAAAAGGTTGGGAGGATTCTGCCCCTGACCCCATAATCGCGCAGGCGTGCGACTCGTTATATCAAGCTCGCGTCCCTCCTGTCTGATCTTCCTCCCTACGCTTCGCCATCCCATTTCTTGGTAAGTCCCCTCTCTGTTTATACCTATCCGTCAGTACGAGGCTCGCAGCTTCGTACTTGGGCGCCCTAATGACTACATATCTGTCCACGAGCGAGCCCGAAGAGCCTTTTGCTCACGTGTTATTTCTAGTTTTTGAAATTTAGCTCAGGCAATTCCGCCAACATGTGTCTCTCTGTCGGACTTCTCTTCACCCAAGCCAACAAGAAGCGCAGCAAGAAGTCGCAGCCGGGCGGTAACCCTGCCGATGGCCCTCCCGCCGGAAACCCCGCCGATGCTCCTCGTCCCGCGGGCCCTTCCCCCCCAGGGCGGCTCTGCCCCCGCGCCTCCCTACCAAGACAAATAGATGATCGACATCACACCATCCACATGGCAGTTGTCGAGATTGTTAGTACCTCGACCCCAATACTTGAAGAACAGCGCTGATCCCCAGAAGGAATGATCAGTTATGCTTTGTTCTGTCTCTTATTTACCTTCTATTTCCCTTTTTTTGGGTGGAACGATGGTCAGAACCGGGCCTGAGGACCGCTTTAACGATTTGCACAATACACCTCGAAGTTGTTATATTTATAACGTATAGATCTCACTGTGGTATTGAATCTGAAGCGCTATTGCTTTCAAATATTATGCCACCACTTTTGTCTGCTTGTTCCTAGTCCGCAGGAACGCCGCAGAATCCACGCCGTGATCCGTCCAATCGCGGTTGGATTCGACATAATCGGTTGCCCTTCTGAGAAGTTATCTTGGCTTCAGGAATGCAGGGGCCATGTACGTGATTAGTTTTGCATATGTGTATCAAGTAGTAGTTAAACTCTGTCGTGGCGTCATCGACATCACCGTAAACGCGGCGGCTCTTGCCGAGGAGGGCACAGAAGGGAGCTTTGGACGCAACCCCGTTCGCAGTCTGGACTGGCGATGCTTAGCTATGTGCTCCCGTATGTCCAAGTCAAATCAAACGATTGCCGTGCATGGTAATACGACTACTACTCAGGTTTGAGGGCTTTTGCATGAGGTCGACGGCATTTTTGCCCAGGGTCTTCGCTCGTGACGATTCCCCAATTAAAGAAGGCTCCTCGGTTCGGCCTATAATACTGACGAGGCGGGGCATCGCTTATAGTCTGGCATCTTTGTAGTTGTGCGCTACTTGGAGAGCTCTACCAGGGCTAGATGACAACGTTGTTATCAGAAGATGCTACCGACAGGGTATGATCATGTTAAAAATGGCAATTGTAAGATCCAATTGAGGGGAGCATACATTTTGAGTGGGGGTAATATTAAAGAGCTCGATTCCGACTGGTGTTCTTTCAATTGGTCCACACGTCGGAGCTCGATGAGCGTGGCCGCTTCATTGACGTGAGAAGGAAGCCGGTTGCCATCACATTTGGAGCGGCACCAGGCCAACCAGATTCATTAGTTACGTTTCTTTTGCATTGAAAGATGCTTTGAGCTACACACCTCATACTAGCTGAGTATCATGGCTGTCAAAGTGGAGTCCGATGCGGCTCCTCGACACAGCAATCTCCCCCCCGCGTACGGCTAAGCTTTTTCGCAGTACGCCTGAAGCGGGGCTTTTCCCCCCAAGGGTTGTTATAGATATGAGCTTGCGGAGCTGATCAGAGCGGGATAACCGTGAGTGGCACTGAGATCTTTTCTTCGCTGTTGCGGGTAGCGGTCGATGTCTCTTGGCTTCAACTCGGCGCACATCTTCGTTGGACTAGTTTGTGGTCATCACAGATAAAAACAAACTTTCACTCAGCCTCAATGTATTTTTAGATGAGATAATTTGGCAGCCTGGCATAGTTTTAGACGCGAGCCGCAGCCCCTGATCTGCTCTTTGCGTGCAGCTTACGGACCCCACTACTCTGTACAGAGTAGACCCTGAACTATTCGAGCGCTATGAGATTGCGTATAGGTCGTGCAATAGGTGGGCGAGATGGTGCGGGCCCTGGAGAATCAAGCCCTGGAGGGGCTAATCTAAAATCTGGGCCTTTCCCCCATAGCCGCTGCGGGCCTTCCCAAGACTTTCCACCCCTTTTTCTCTCAGCTTTGCGCCAAAGAGGGCAATTCCCTGCCACGCGCGCTTGGCAAAGCCGCTTGGCAAAGTAGCTAGGCTTGCTTCTTGTAAGACCTGGCGCACGTGGTCAGTGAAGGCCTCCGTAAGCATTGGTCTCGATTAAAAGGGGACTTGACTTATTCGGGCCCTTAAGCAGAGCTATGCCCGAAAAGTCGTGGGCCATTTGTCGCGAGAGCATGTTTCGCCGATAACACTTATCACGCCACCAGGGGGCGCTAACGCCCAGGGGAAAATGCAATGGTTACGGTTGCCTGGACACTGTGATTCGATGCTAGATCGCGCCGGATCCCTCCTCCAAGAACCAAGCCTTTTGCTAAGCCCTTTTGAGCGGATACTACGTCTGAACAGGCTTCTGTCCGTGAAAATCCGGTCTGCGAGCTGGGTGGAACCCCCAAGCCTCCCCAGCTGGGTTTTTTTTTTTAACCCAGAAACCCCCGCGCAGCATGTCCATTGTTTTATTTTACCCCAGGACCTATTAGCCATGCGGCAGCCGCTCCCTTCAAGTTGGGTCGGTCGGGCCTTTTTGGCGACTTTGATTTGCGCGCTGCTGACATCCGCGGTGGGATCGTCGCTCCCCGAGGCCAGTGCGGTCTCGACAGATCTCGACCAGCATGAGCTTCAGCCACGCGACGATGAGAGGTTCCTGCTTCGGATCATGCCTCTAGGTGCTTCGATCACTTGGGGCTACCTGTCTACAGACGGCAATGGCTACCGCAATTGGATTCGGCAGAAGCTGCGCAGTGAAAACTGGCAGGTGGAGATGGTCGGAAGCTTGCGGCATGGAACTATGCTGGATAAAGTGAGTCCACGAGACGGGAGCGGCGATTGAGAACATATGTAACTGACCTCCGGCAGCATAATGAAGGTCACTTTGGTGACAGGGTCGACCAGCTCCCCGCAAAAGTCGTCAAATCCATCGGGAAGGACCCCAATCTGATCCTCATCAAGTGAGTCAAATCAGCAGAGCCACATGGAATGCACGATCGATCCTAATCTTCCACTCAGTCTGGGCACGGACGATGCGATCCAAAATCATGACCTCAGCAGCATTGGCGAGCGTATGGACTACCTGCTCACCCTGCTGTACGACTCGGTCCCCGAGACGACCATTATCCTCTCGACCCTGCTCCCGCAAAAGAAGGTGCAGAGTCGAGTAGACAAAGTGAACCGGCAGTACCGAGAACTGGTTGCAAGGCGCCGCGCGCAGAAGAGCCGCATCGTGCTGGCCGATATGAGCTTCCTCACCACCGCCGACCTGAACGACACCACTCACCCGACCGATGAGGGCTACAAGAAGATGGCCTCAGTCTGGTGGGCCGCGTTTGAAGAGGCGCGATCCGAGAATCTCATCCAGAAATTCAACTACACGGTCTCCGAGAAAGTCGAGTCTACCCTGGACAACAGCACCGACGACCCCCATCTGCCTGACTACAAAGCCCCGGGCCAACCTACCAATGGCGCCATTGCCCAGCTGGGGCCTCAGCTGCTCTGGATAGCAGCCTTCTCCTTGGTGCGTCGAATCCGTTGCCCCATCGCACCTTATCTTGGCTAACGTTTCCTCCAGCTCTTCTCCCTGTTTTTGTAGCGAATTTAGCATCATGGAGCTACCTGCATGTACCAATTATACCCCCGCCCTAGTCTAGAATTATCGGCCGCCTGACATGACATTCTTCAATTCCCCGTCCCAATGCCCCCGTAAAAGCACTCGTTCCAGCTCAACGCAAGCCCCGACGATCCCGGGCCACGTGCATCCCCTCCCAGGCCTCTGATTGGCCACCGCCTTCAATGTTGAGATGCAGGGAGAATCACTAGATCCCCCCCCCCAATCCATAAATAAGGCAGAGGAAACCCCTGCCCGGTGAAGAGCTTTGAGCCATTGAAGCAATGCCACACCAGGGAACGGAGTTGTGGCCTCCCAAAGACGCCGATAGACTCCACGACCCGCTCGCCCAAGAACCCCAACTGGTCTCCTTCAACGAGATCCCCGAATGGTACTCAGATAACGAGTTCATTCTGCACGGCTACAGACCGATTTCCAACTCTGCGCCTGCCTGCTTCCATAGTTGGGGGTACCTGCACAATGAGACGGCAAATATCTACTCGCATCTTATCCCAGGCCTGGTCTTTCTCGCGGGCGAGTGGTATCTGCTCCAGTATCTGCGAGTGGAATACCCGAGGGCAACGGTGGCAGACCTTATGGTTTTCGCGTTCTTTGTGCTGACGACGACGGTGTGCTATGGGCTGTCGGCGATGTACCACACGCTGATGAATCATTCTGTCCGGGTGAATAGTCTGTGGTTGCAGGTTGATTTGATTGGTATTGTGCTGTCGACATTGGGGAATTTTGTTTCGGGGATCTATGTTATTTTCTATTGTGAGCAGGAATTGAAGAGGGGGTATTGGGCTATGGTATGAATCAAGTTCTTTTCGAATCTACTTTCCCGAGGTCGGGGATGATGAGCTGATTGGTTTCTAGATCTTCACGCTAAGTGTCGTGTCGATCACGTTTCTGGTAAATCCCAGATTTCAGGGGCAACCACTGGCGTGAGTTTCGGGTTGGCACATTCATAGCGACTGCTCTTACAGGCTTTGCGCCTATTCTACATGGAGTCTTTATTCACGGGTTCGGACAGTCCATGATTCAGTCTGGGATGCCGTATTATCTCGCAGAGGGGTCTCTATTTCTAGTGGGTGCATGGTTCTATACAGTGAGTGCCCGATATCAAAATTGGTAAGCTACCTGGGCTGAGTGCTGATACTTTGCAGACGCGATTCCCAGAGTGTATCAGTCCGGGCAAATACGACATCTTCGGGGCATCGCATCAGATCTTCCATACTTTAGTCGTCCTTGCGACGACGGTCCACCTGTTGGGCGTTTTGTCAGCCTTTGACTATAACTATCATCATCGCACCTGCGCTGTAAACTTATAAGACGAGGCTTCCCGCCCGTCGCTTTAGAAGGTTAGAAGATAAAAAGGGGAAGAAACATCGAGAAGATGTTGAAAATTTTGCGACACCGTGCCGGCTCCAATCATAAGAAGTAAGGGCCCATCAATCTATTTACAAACGCAATCTTTCTACACAAGTCTCCACAGCCGCTCAAGGGCAAAAGAACAAGCTCTAGACATATTCAAGCTTCTGCTCCACAGTCTCCTGATGGACAGCATTATCCTTAACATCGTACCGGAACTGCTCCTCCTCTTCCTTGAGCTTCTCTTTCAGCTTCTTGTTAGCCTTCCACACAGGCGACTCCTCGAAGAGTCGGTCGACCTTCTCGAGAGGAATACCGCTGGTCTCGGGGATCAGGAAGAAGGCAAAGAAGAAAGCGAGGAAGGACAATGACGCGAAGAACATGTACACGCCGTAGCCCATAGCAGCGAACATCTGCTCGGTGAAACGGGAGATGAGGAAGTTGAAGAGCCAGTTACTGGCAGTCGTGCAGGCCTGCGCCAGCGACCGGAAGTTCGGGTCGAAGAACTCCGAGTTGATGACCCAGGGGGTTCCGTTCCAGGTGGGGGTGTAGACGGCGGTCCAGAGGTAGAAGAAGAAGATGGCCGCGATCCCGCTGCCGGTCAGGCTTTCGAAGTGGTGCTTTGTTGGCTCGACGATGTACACATATGCGCCGATAACCCACATGCAGATGGAGCCGGTAATGGCACCGGCAAGGAGCAGGTTACGGCGACCGAGCTGGTCGACGAGGAAGAGCAACCAGACGATGGTCATGATGGCCTTGACGACTCCGAAGATCCCGGTCATGATATCGACAGTGTTGGAATCGACGCCGAGACTCTGGAGGAGATATTAGTATCGGTCCAATCAGGAAGAGAAGCCCGGTGAAGCTTACGCTGAAGATAGTGGGAGAGTAGTAGTTGATGGCATTGATACCAGACCCGTTCTGCCAGAAGAAGAGCATGCATCCCAAGAACAGACGCCACATCAGGTTCGGCCGTTTGGAAATGGCCTGGAAGGGCTTCCAGAATCCGAACCCGACAGCAGCTTGCATAGCTTCGTGGGCTGCGTCAATGGCGGCAACCTCTTCGGTTATGTATATGTCGGTGGCATCCAGCTGACGGATCCAACATAGGTTCTCCATGGCTTGGGCTCGGCGGTCCTTCATGAGCAGCCAACGAGGGGATTCCCGGATCCAAAGGGTACCGGCAAGAAGCATGCCAGAGGGAATGATCTGGATGGCGAAAGGAATGACCCATTGCTCATGGTTAGCTGCCATATGCTGCTTAACACCATACTAACGCATACGGAGTTAGTATCATCCATAGGTAGGGAGAATTCTTTCTTTTTCTCCTCCGATACAGACTCGGGCTTGAGGTTCGGGGACGTACGTTGATCCAGAATCCCAGCATACCACCAATTTGCCATCCAAGTTCGTAAAGTCCGACCAAACGTCCACGGATAGCTGGCGGTGCCAGTTCAGACAAATAGATAGGGACAATGTTAGAGGCAACACCGGTACCCAGCCCGGTCAGGACACGACCAGCGTATAGGATGCCGAGGCCAGTGCTACTAGTCGCACCAACCTGCAGAGCAGAACCAATGATGAATACGGAAGAAGCGATAGCCAAGCACCACCGGCGGCCAATCCAGTGGCTGAGGCCGTATGTGAGAAGGGCACCGAAGAAAGCGCCGGCGATGAACAGCGACACGATGTTCTCGCTAATGAGATTTTGACCCGCCTTGCTCAACTTGTCAATACCAAACTCCTTTCTAAATGAAGAGAGGGTGACAGTTGTACCGATGAAGGCACTAGTATAACCGATCATATTGGAACCGCATGACGCTACCAAGGCGAGGACGTAGACTCGCCAATTGTAGACGGAGGGTGGTGTTGGGCGGTCCTCAACAATAGCTAATACACCCATAGCTGCTAATCCGGACAGCTATTTATGAGTACTTGGGATATAGCTGAAGAGCGGGGGTTAAAATCACCGAGATGTGGGAACCGCAACAGATATCGACGGGGCGGCTGGTCGTAAAGCAATGCAGCGTCCACCTCGATGGGCATGGGATTGTATATGAGTGTGAATCTGCTCAATTAGCTCCTCTCCACAAGCCATGCCTTGTCCCCGTGCTTTGGACAGTATGAGGTTTAAAATAGGGCTACGAAAACCCTGAGAGGGCACAGATGCCGAGTGGGCCATCATGCTCCGGGGAAGCGTTTTCCCCGGCACGAAATTTCGAATAGGGAACCGTTCAGCCGGTCCAGCGAATGACCTGGCGTATATCTCTGGATTTTTCTCGCATCCTGGATTTCGTTGTGAGTTTGCCCGGGAAAGGATCTCTACCTATCAACCAGAGCGCCGCAAATTTTCAATTACCCCGGAAAGACTGAGCGGTCTTCAGGCATTTTACAGACGCATACCCTCTATAATACGAAGTGCACAAGGAATTGGAATATCGAATAGCCCTGCGACGCGTTTCTCCGCCCAGATACTATTAATCAGAACATTAGGCTTACTCCGGAGCCACATCATTCACCAGAGCCGGGGTAATAACGTAATAACTGCACGTCGAACGTGTATCTCCCCGGATGAACCGAAGTGTGGAGAGTAGGGCATCCAAATAACCCGTAAAGCACCCGGACAGAATACTGTGGGGTACGTGGAGCATGGGGAAGAACTTTTAACCCTGGGTTAAAGCGGAATCATCCCGAGGATCGGACTGCACGGGATGTCGAATTCTTCCTGGAGACAAAAAGGCCATCGGCAATCTAACTGCTTCAAGGACGGCAAAGGACTACGTTCTGCCACTCTTTCGTCACAGAATTGGCCCACTCGGCCTTTGGAGCAGAGGTCTTTGGCGTTCAACTCGGGCTTTACGCCGTGCAGCTCGGCTACCGAACCCCGGTCGTGAAGTTACCCCGTATTCACCTCGACTGTGGGGGAAACGAATAGGTTTGGTCCCGTGGACGTCTTTTGTACATCGAAGCGGGTCAGAGATGCCTTCGTATAGACTAGAATGCATGTATATTATAGTATGCTCGCAGATGGTGGCTCGCGGTGATGCCAATGAGTAGAAGGAAGGGTTTTGGCGCACGTCTGCAATTCGCCTGCTCGGTTAAATGGGGCCCGGCATCAACTTCTCCCCGTCCACGGGCTCTGTTGTTCTGTCCCTTGTTCTGGGTATACTTCGCTGAGGATACAACTTCGTCGAGGGAACATTCCACTTCAACCTGAAGTCTACATTATATCTTAAGGCAAACACTCTCGGCCCGCTTTCGGACGAAACCGCCACACCATTGTATATAGCATCAAGACAAGAATTTTGATAGTTCAAACTGTATATATGCAACCGAGTTAAGGGGTAAGTGCCTTTCTCCTCACAAATACTGCTCCTCATGCCGCAGGCAAGCGAAGCTCAAGCTCCCGGACCGACCAGACAGCTATGCTCTTGGATCGGTAACCTCTCAATCGGTGACATTCCAGAAGAAGTCAGGATACGCGCCAAGTACTTGATCTTAGACGGCATATGCTGCGCGCTGGTGGGTGCGCATCTTTCATGGACCAAGAAGGCTGCAAACACGGTCTTCGCGATCGAGCCGCCTGGGGATTGTGTAGTTTGGGGATACGAGAAGGTAACACCATGATAATTACTGAAGAATGCACTACGCTATCTAAAAAGCTCATCCACCGATGAATAGAAATTAGGCGCATTGTCTGCGGCTTTGCTTAATAGCACGGAAATCCAAGCCTTCGAGATCGATGACTGGCATGCTGTGGCTCCCCTGCACTCAAATTCGATCCTTCTCCCAGCGCTCTTCGCAGCAGCCAATCAACAGAAAGCCAAGACCCAAAAGTTGCTCGACGGCAAAGCGCTTTTACTTGCTACGATTGTAGGTTATGAGACGGGACCACGGGTGGGGCTATGTCTTCACGGAGCACATATGCTGGCAAGAGGCTGGCACTCTGGTACGGTGTTTGGGCCGGCTGCCTCGGCATCAGCGGTCGCCAAGCTTTCGGGTCTGCAGGAGGACAATATCAAAGACGCTCTGGGCATCGCCTATACGCAGGCTTGTGGGCTGATGACCGCTCAATTTGGTAGCGACCTAAAACGCATGCAGCATGGCTTCTCCGCGCGCAATGGTCTTTTCGCCGCGTTGATGGCCCAGGGTCACTATACTGGGGTCAGGAACGTCTTCGAGCAACGTCTTCGAGGAACGGTAGGGAAGTTTCCTGACAGTATTTGGCCAAACCTCCGGGAAGGAGCCACCCTTCCTGCCAGAGGGGCTGACCAAGGGTCTGGGAAGCATTTGGCAATCAGATGGTATCCGAGTGAAGTCGTACGCCTCCATGGCAGGGACCTATTGCACTATCGACGCCATTGCCGAGTTGCAGAAGGAGAATTCGGAGCGACTGTCTGACTTCGACAACGTCACAAGCATCCAGATCGAGCTGTCTGAGGCAGCCTTCAAGCACGGGGGGTGGAAACCGACGCGTCCTCTTTTCCGCGACTGGGGCTCAAATGTCTGCAGCATATGTTGCGGCAGTCCAACTTGCGAATAAGAAAGCTTCCCCCAAAGAATTCTGCCATGACTTACTCAATCGCGATTCGCTATGGAGTCTGATCGAGAAGACCGAATGTTTGCACACCCCCGAGCTGGGTGGACGCTATGAACAGGTGACCATCTCCTTCGCAGACAATAGCGTAGTTACCAAGGCGCTTGCAGCCCCTCGAGATGCTGTGCCTGGTCTCTCGAATGAAGAGATCCTAGAAAAGCTCCGCAGCTTCACAAAGGGCGTTATGGACGACGGGAGGAGGGACGCGATCGTAGACCGGGTAGTGAATCTCGCGACGGTCGCGGACATCACATCGTTGGAGGATCTACTAGTAGGCCGGACTGTAAATCCTATTGAGTAGATCAGAGTTTGTCGGAATAATAACACTTTTCAATCCATCGTTGACTCGTTCAAGTTCCCTGATAACTAGGCGGGTGAAGATCCAAGGCCCGCCAGCAATCATCACGTGTGCGGAGGGGAGCGTAGCCCGCATCAACAACTCCCGCAATACCACCGTTAACAATGCAGAATGCATATTCAACGACTTCAAGTGATGCTGTGTCCTGGGAAATGAATTTCATTTTCAGCGATCTTTCATTTTATCTGGGTCTCATCTGAACCCATACCTCTGGAAATTGACGATCTGTAGATCAGTCCGGCCTAAACTACTCGTCGGGACTTTACTTGCCTTTTATCTCAGATAAAGACCAGAACCAGAGTTCAATTTAGGCATCATCAGAGGAACCTCACGTCTTCGTGTATTGGCAATTATGGAGAACCAACCCTCGCCGCTAGCGATCCAAAAGACGATCTGGGACGGCCGCATACCACTGGAGATCGTCCTGGCACCCTCAGAGAGCCGCAGCTACGATAAAACAGACTCATACTTTGTGAGATCGCGGAATGGGGCCTAAGTGAAGCCATTGCTAATGCATCTCAGATAGCCTTCCCACGCGTCTCATATCTTCCGACGCTGCTCCCCAAGCTGCGAGCTTTCTATGCGCCCTACTTGATAGAGCCGAGCTCTCAGCATAGCGATGGCTGGTTTGCCTTCGAAGGTGTACCGTTGAAGTGGCACTATCCTGTTGGCCTTTTGTTTGATCTCTACGCTGGCGTGGACCCAGCCACCAGGGATGGCTCTCCTGCTGAAGACTCCGATGCCTCCCAATCTGGAGCACTGTGGCGCCTCACCGTCCATTTTAGCGACTGGCCTGTGGAAGAGCTCGTACGACTAGACATGGATGGCATGGTGATGAATGACGCTTTTATTAATAGTGTCAAAGAAGCAGATTTCCTACGAAACGGGACCGCTAAGGGTATCATGAGCCTATCGAAGGATGATTCCTCGGGACTGTGGAAAGCTGTTGAGAACGGTATGAGAGCCAGCGCTTTTCGAATGATTTGCCTCCTAATTGGAATATTTTAGTGGACCTACCCTCCTTTCAACGCATCTCAAATACACTCCTCCCGCCACTGTCACAGCCATTCCGCAATGTGCCGATACGAATATTCTTACCGCTCCCGCCCGATGATGAATCACCGTCGCTGAAAGTGGTCCAGTCACCCGTTCCACCATCTGTTGCCGTGTCGAACGTTCAGTCAAGTCAGATAATCGGCTCTCGGTCAAGCCCCAGTATGCAAGCTCAGACCGTGGGAAGTGTTCTGCATGCGCTACTGCCTAATTTGTTCCCCAGTCGAAGGAACCCAGTGCTTGCTAGGCCAGTGTTACACGGAGCAGTGCTACCTATGTCTGCTCCTATTGAAGAAGTGGTGAGGTGCTCTGCATATGGTGATGGGTGGGCCTATATTGTTGTGCGTATGATGGGTTGATGCTTTGGTTATAGAACTTGTTTAAATGTCTTCACCGCAGCAAGTGGCCAAAATACCTTATCTTATTGAAACAAAAATAACTTTGCTAGCCGAGAATTGGAATGGCCGGCACCTATTGACACCCAGAAAAGACAAGAAATGACAAGAAATGTGATAATTATCAACAAATAAGCCCACCCATGATATAGTTGCTAGGTAGAAGTAGACCAGCTCCCTTTTACCCAAAAGGAAATTAACGAAGGATTCTCCATGGACCTCGTCGATGCTCTTGAGCTCCATAGCGAGGCCGCTTCATCACCAACAAGAGTCGATCCTGCCATCTCATCAATTTCAGACGTGATTTCAACTTCTTCTATGGTTGTCGCAACGCTATGTCTTCCCTGCTCTGGTTGCGGACTATCAAATCTACCCTGGTCGTCAAACCAAAGTACTCCGACTGGATTCTTCTGCGCCAAGTCGAGAGCCGTGATGCCCTCGCCTATTGGCCAAGATGTACCGGATTGTGAAGAAGAGGAATTCACTGGGGCCTTTATGTGAGGATCGGCTCCTGCTGCTAGTAGGATTTTGAAGATATTATGCCGGCCGCGCTCCGCAGCAAGATGAAGAGGGGTCTTTCCTTCCTTTGTTTTAGCATTAACAGAGGCCCCGTTTTGGATGAGGAAAGAGACAAGGATTTCTTGGGGTATCTTTGCGGTAACGGCGAGATGTAGGGCTGTCTCATTACCCCGAAGGGAAATCGGGGCATCGATTTGCGCCCCATGAGAGAGAAGTAAGGATATGTAGGGTAATGTTTTATCGGTTTTCGAGTCGAAAGACCCAACATGGTTGATTATGAGGTAATGCAGAGGCGTTAGCCCCGCTGAGGTTGTTGCATTAGGGTTGAGGTTGAGTTTCAAGAGCACTGTCAGCATGTCGAGACAGTCCTGATTAAGGCAAGGGGTTATGTGAAGGAGTGTTTCCGCTTTTGCGGTCTGGACGTCAACATTTGCGCCCTCGTCAAGCAAGAAGAAAAAACATCAGCTTGTTCCCTGCCAAAGCCGCGGATTGGAGGGGCGTGAGGCCTTGAGAGTTGAACGCTTCAATGTTGGCGCCTTTCCCAAGGAGATGCGCTGCGACTGCGACTGAGCGGCCCAAGCGCGCTTGTCTATGAAGAAGGGACTCTCCTTCATTTCCCCACCCATTTATATTGGCACTAGCTGTAACAAGAAGGTCAAAGGCTACCCAATTACCCTCGCTGGCTGCCACATGCAGAGCAGTCTCGCCGGAAGCAGACCGACTCTCTATTTTCACGCCCCGCTCAAGTAGGAGGGAGACCGCTTCACAGTTGTCAATTTTGCAAGCGACTTGCAGAGCTGTGACACCTTTTCGGTTTAGGATCGTTGTGCTTGCGCCCTTTTCGAGCAGGAACTGGATGATTCTCGGTCGCTTCAGTTCTACTGCAAGATGAAGAGCAGTATTTCCAGTAATGGTATTCTGGACATCCATATCAAACCGGCTCTTGATCAGGATCGGCACGGTGGCCTCGTCATAGGTTGTTCCAACGGCTAATTGCAGCGCTGTATTCCCCTGCTTGTTCACTGTTCGCGAATTGGCCCGTCGGTGGAGAAGAGTCCTAATAATTTTCCGGTAGCCTTGCTCGGCAGCCATGTGTAAAGCAGTGTTTCCATGCTTGCAAGCTGCGTTGATATTGGCTTTGTGATCAAGAAGGAGCTCAATCATCTCCTCGTGTCCTTGATTAACGGCACAGTGCAGAGGAGTGACCCCGAAGTCGTTTTCGCAATCGTTGATATTAGCTCCTTGTTCAAGAAGACGCCTCGCTTTCCCGACAATCCCATAGTAAGCAAGTACATGCAGACTAGTCCAGTCAGAGAAGTAACCGCCAAGCCCCAGCTCCTTTGGAATTCCTCCGTCAGTGTTGGTGATCACCTCGATGGGAGGACGGCGCCAGCAAAGCTTGTTCAAGAATGTACGGATAAGCACCTGAGTGGTTTGTTCATCGTCTCCCACTTCCCGAGCGTGGTGGCCCCAGTACTTCGCTGCATAATCCAGTATGCCGCTGCGAGGCGTGCGGGATGTGTTTCCTTGGTTATAACATTCATCGACAACTTCATCCGACGAAATCACCGAGAGGCAAATGTCCGCAATACATTTCTTAGCTGAAGGAAAGAAAACCCGTGCTGCGGGGCCACTAAGATACTCCTTCGCCGTTTGATGAGCTAATTGAACAGTGCCAGACGTTGCATCGATACTCAAGAGACCACCCGCCTCATTGATCAACTCCTGTTCCGAAGTAGCGCCTTTTGGGCTCGAGTTGCTGACTGGCTCGAAAGTGGCAGCAAAGTTAAGCTCGGAGACAGTCATCGGCCTTTGGGCATACAGGGTCCAATACAAACACCGGCTTGCGTAAGGATTTTGGCTCACAAGCCTTGTCATGGATTCACCATAAGCGTCATTCAAACTTTCTGGAAGATGGAAAAGAGCTCTTTGAAGCAAACTGCCGTCGTTGCATCGGGAAAGTAAGTCCATGTGCAGTCGCGCTAGTAGAAACCTGTTTCCAGGAATGAATGTCAGCAAGTTCAAAGAAGGGAAACAGAAGGCAATGCATGCTTACAGTCCATGCGACTTTTCAATGACCTGTTGGATCAGCGCCTCCCTTAATTCGGAGGGATATTGCTTCAGTACCGAGGTCAGTCCACCATCCTGATCGATACGGTTGCAAATATACAATTCAAGATCTTCGCGAACCGCCAAGACTGAGAGATGTTCATCCCTTGATGCGCTGCGGGCCTCACGCATTGTAATCAGGAGCTGAGCATGCTCTGGAAGCTTTTGAAGGCGGTTCAAGATACGATCTTTCTCAGATTGCATGTCAAGTCCATCTATGACGAAGATAACTCTCGAAAACCTGTTTATTTCAGCCTTGATTGCATCTTGGTAGGCCTTTGCAGACGCCCGTCCTTTCGTGAACGATTCAGACTTGTACAGCATGGCTGTAGCATGGGAGGGCGTGCGTTTTCGATAAACAAGCTGAGCCAGCATCTTATCCAAGAAGCCAATGGAGTTTGGCCCATCGTCCGCCTCGTCTTGGGCGAATATGAACACAATGGCTACATCCGCTGATGTGAAGGTTCGCTGGAGGTTGTCCACGATTGCCGAGCTAGAAATGAAGCTTAGGTTAGATCAATAACCTGGATAGTATCCCCGGGCCAACTCACGCAAGAAAACTCTTTCCAGCTCCAGCTAAGTACAGATTAGCTCCTCTGGCGATTTCACTTCGGAAAGCATATGGTCATACCTGGTCCAACGCAGTAGAGAGTTCGGGGAGCAACCGAAAAGCCAGTTGGTGTAGAGTTCATGATTAAAGATCCATTCACATGTACCTTTCTGGCGTTGGTTGCAGAGGTCGGCCAATTTCATGAAACTCTTGGTGGTAAATTGGCTTGTAATCTGCTGAAAGTCGTCACAGTTTGGGGTTGTCGCTTGGATAGAGTCTGGGGGAAACTATTAGGATCTCCAGATAAGAGTGACACACGCTAGACGCACCTGAATCTAGCTCTTGGTATTGTCGAAGCTTGGATCGCAACTTCTCTTCCGTTCGGTTCTTCTCTCTGAGTATTCATTGTCTGGTTAGTATTCGGCGCTCGTGGCTATTGTATGGAAAGAAATCTTCTCACACTGTGTCAGGCTGTAACGCCAATATCAACATGACTTTGAATTGCTCGAGCCTCGGTAGAAACGTGCTGTCTAGCAATCGTTTCCTGAAGGATCGAGCACTAACACCACCTGGCTGGAAGTACACTTCTATTGTTTCAGTTGTCGACTCGAGAGATCGCAGAATCTCGTTGAGATTATGGAGGCGAGTAGGATCCAAGACCCATTTTTCCTCTACCCATGTCAACTGCTCTTGGATTCGGAACAACAGGTCGGATATTTCGCAAAGAAGAAGGCAAGCACGCTGCGAGATATCTTGGGACTCTTTGTTCCCACCGAGACAGCGTAAAATAGTCCTGACCGTGCGAGAGACTCGAGTGAGACGACCCCGAATTGCTGGACCAGTGGCCATGGTGAACGGAAATACTCCTTGCCAGGTGGTGTGTTGAAGACCTCAGGGTTGAGTAGTTAAGAAAGTGGGAAGTACACAAGCATTAATCCCCTTTGCGCTAGAACAAATGGGTACACTGACCACGGGATACACTAAAGTTCTGGAGAAAAAAATGGGGTGCTCCAATCAACCCGGACCAACATTGATGCCAGTGGGCACAGCGCCAGCCTGGCACAGGAACCGGCATTGAAAGGCTGAACCAAGCGTTTGGGAGACAAACGCCTGTGCAGAAGACAGTGAACCATCCAAACAAAAGATTCCATCTGTGCAAGTGGGTACCTTCCGCGCCACTAGGGTCTACGCCAGCGTTACTTGAAACACCAACCTACAGCCGCGTACTTATCGGATAGGACCTTGCTATCGAGGTGGAGAAAGCGATACGACAAAATGTGTGAGTGGTCACTCGAACGGTAGAATCGCCGAAGGGATTGTGTCCCTAGTTTCATAGGCTGGTGGGTAGAGCGCTGACGCCTCCTTGTCTTCGTGACCACAAACGGGTGGCCAGTCACATCGAGGCACTAGCCGCCCCGGGTGTGATGGGAACTGCGGCACGCAACAAGGCCGTTGACCGCTATGATTTCCCTACCACAAAGGTACCATCAAGTTTATGCCTTGATGTGAAACACTGATGTGACTTCATCATTTGGGGTTTGGAGGGGCGCGGAGGGGTTCTGCCCGCTTTCCATGGAGTAAAGGCTGAAGCAAAAGGGGTCAAACTGGTTTCGAGGCTGCATCTCACGTTCTTCTACTGACAGGGCGCTAGACCGGAATTGGCAAGCTTACCTCGATCAGACCATCGTCCTCGCAGGTGGAGGTGGACAGTGGGTTATCCCAAGGTTCGTACCAATGCCGGTGAGCGTATTGAAGTTTCAGTCTAAGCTTCGAATAGCGCATGCTTTGGTAGGGATCATGTTACTATGTTGCTTTACTAAGGAACTCGAATGATCATATCAATCGAACTGTTCAATTCATTTAGGGTATATTCGTTCATTTACTATCATTATATATTCTGAGCGAGAATCTGTCCTGGAGGCTCCGCGGTTAGGTTTGAGCTCATAAATTTCTTTTAGTTAACATCTAGAAGTTAGATTTCAAGAATATAGATAGTACAAACATTTCATAAGATATTCATAGGTACATTCAGTCAGTCAACGTTTCTGAACATGAACGTCGTTCCCATGGAAAGGAAATAGATCGGGGGTATTGAAAGCAAAATTTGCTGGTTAGAAATATTACTTGAAGGTTCGTTTGAACTAACACAGAATAATGCCAGCAGTGCCCAGTGCCCGGTGCCCAGGTGCCCAGGTGGCTAGTATTCAGATCACTTAATGATCAAAAGCACCCCCGGGATCAGACTGCTACCACAAGTAATAAGAGGAGACCAGACATTAACTTTTGGCTATCTCTGTCATTGAAAATAGCTACTAGTACTAGTAATTCCAATCGCGAAAGCGCGAGCCTCCTCTCGCGTTGGACAGGTCCCTCACTCTACATGGAGGGATAGAATATAATCAGCAAAACAGGAAAATGGGACGGAAAGGAGATTCGTTTCGAGAAAAAAGGCAGCGATGGAGTACATCAATCCAGAAATCAACATTCGTAGAAACAGGAACGCGGCAGAACAATACACGCACACAAGAAAAGTCAGTATTTGCTCCAGGTGGCTCAGCCACGGGTATCTGAAATGCCAAATGTGAAATGAGAAAATTGAACGAGAGGGGGGAAGCTAAGCAAGCGCAAGAGAAAATAGAGAGTGTATATTGGTCAGCCAAGCTGAGGGGGAATCAAATCATATTGCCATTCATGTTGACGGAGGCACCTTCTTCACGTCCACGCTTTAGAGCCTTGGCCAGCATAAGCTCACGCATCCAGTCGATGCGCTCGTCACGTGTCTTCACGGCAAAATGATGAGACTTTCCGCTGTTCAAGAACAAGGTCTTGCGATCAATGGCGCTGCCATTGTTGTTGGGCGCTGGGATCAAGGAGAATGCAAAAGCCGATTCCTCAGGAATATTGTCTCGCCGCTTCAAAACAGTCTTCTTGAAAGCTGCAGTCAACTTTGAGTTGGACGCAAGCGATGAACATGCCACTGCGTAGTCATCCACATCAATGCGCTCGAGAGCTTTGGAGTTTCGGCGAGCAGCTTCCTCATCATTGTGCATAGAGAGCTGGGTGCCCTTCAAGGTGAAGTGGTGGTCTTCCCATTCATGGCGGAGGAGGCGAGTGGTCTTGCGCTTCTTCATCCAACCACTGTGAGTCGCATCGTTGGGCCCATGGCCATTTTGAGCATTAACGAAGAGATTGTTCCGGCAGTGGGGCGCGCGGGGAGTGTTTTTCAAGTCTTCGGGTGTCTCGATTGGGGTCAACACCTTGTCTTCTTTCAGTGGGTTGAGCATACGGCCACCCTGTGCTGATGGACACCGTCGATGATGAGGCTCTTGCTTTGTGGACGACGGGCGAACAATGGGATCCACTGGCATGAAGAACCTGTTACCGAAGCGCATGTTGGGAGGCACCGATTGGGATTCTTCGCGCGCAACGGGGCCGACGGGAATTGCAGTCACAGGAACATCTACTTCTGAGAACGGAGTTTCCTGTCTGTAGGTCGGATCGTAGCGATAGAAGTCACCAGGTGATGCTATGGGTCCGCGAGATTGAGCTTGCAGCCCTCCGGGAATAGCCGTCATCTCGTCTGGGTGGAGTTGATGATGTTTTGTCAGAATAGAAGGCGTAACAGTCTTGAGGGCCGACCAGTTTTCAGTGGGAACAGTGCTAGCAATGCTGTGCATACTGGGGATGTGCAGTCTAGGCAGGCCACGAAGATTATCTGCCAAGGTGGGTGTGATTTTAGCAGAATCTGGAGATTCGGAATCCGGCGAGGGAAGCGATTCTCGAGGGGGGGTTGGAGGGTCATTGACGGTCTGCAGCTTCGACAAGCTCTGAAAGTTCAAGTAATTGCGAACATTTTCTTGGGGATCTTGTGGCTGAACTTCCTTCAGACGCTCCTGCGACAACTGCATCGTACTCGGTCGGTCAACACCCATTGCATCAGAAGAGGCCACAATGGAGGGTGTGATCTCAGATTTAGTTGGGGACTTGAGGAGATTTGGTGCTGTGAGTGGATTCCCTGGGTCGCCGGTAAGAATAGCACGACCACCAAAAGCCTGGATTGGCAGATCTTGAGCCAGCCGAGCAATCTTCGCTTGCTGTTTCTGCCACTTGCGACAATGTTCACCCTTGGAGCAGTTATGCATCTTGGGCAATAGCTGCTCAATAGCAACAATTGAGACGGAGTCACCAGGCTGGACATCACTAGTCCGGTGGATCTCTGGACTAGACTGCTGGCGACGACGTCTGGGCCTCGTCTCAACGCTATCTTCATCGGTTGAAGGACAGGAGTTGTAACTGCTGTTTGACTGTTGAGAGCCAATGCTTGATTGGTGACGGCTGGTGCTGGACATCATGGTTGAAGTTCGCACAGTAGACTGAATCTCCGCAGTTGAACCCGAGTTTCTTGAAGAACTTGGGACAGAGCTGCCAGACACAGAAGAACCACTCCTAAGGCTCTGAATAGAACTCATAATCCGACGTCGCTTACCAAAGGACAAAATGTCGAGTTCCTTCAGGTCTTCAGACTGGAGCTCAAGCAAAATTTCACCAGAGATGTCGTTCTGCAAGAACTTGTGGACGATATCGCTCTCGAATCCTAGGCTTTGCATCCATTGTACGACGTCCTGGGGTGACCAATCAGCCGTAGCCATTGTTCCAAAACTCGAGACCCGCTCGATTCTAGGTTCATATTGTGGCTGGGGGGTCACTGAAGTAAGATGACTTGGAAGTGGGGTATCTTGTCGATATGGCTCCAGCTTAGAGGCTCTGTTGTGGAAAGGAGCAACGGCGGTACCAGGTGTCGGCTCCAGCATGAGGTCAACTTCCAGCGCTGACTGATGATCAGAGACGACGGATGTCCTGAACAAATGAGGCCCTGAGGGTCCGCGAGTATTCTTATCCTCGATATGGAAATCAAAGGCAGTGAGGCCAGTGGATTCTGGGGTGGTCACTTGGTCGGGGGTTGAAGCCGTTGAAACACTTCCAGTCCCAAACTATAAGACAGAGATAAGTTAGAATATTATCCTGTGAAATGCCTTATATCGCAACTATCACTTACCGAAGCAACACTTCTCATGGGTGAATCGTAGAGGTATGCAGCGGCTTCCTCGTCGGATATCTCAGTCGCCTCTGACAGGGGCCGTGGCATGGTAGTTCGAGCAGGGAATAGAGGAAGCGGTTCCTCCTTGCGAGGAATCATATAGCTGAGGTTGTAGCCATACTGGGCGTCCTATACTACTAGTCAGACTTCACCAAGCGCCCCAAAGGAAGAATCACTGCGCACCATGTTGTCATAACAATGGCCCAACTGAGCCTGCTCGTGAATGAAATGTTCTCTAGGTTAGGAGATGGTTCAAGAAATGAAAAGGAATTTGTGTTTTTTTTTGGTTAGGCGAAATAGCAATCGTGGAGAATGATTCCAGCATTCAATAACGGTAAGAAAAGATGGCCGGAAATGGGTAGATCGGGTGCCGCAGCGTTTATGTACGGAACCCACTGTTGAGACACCAAGGGGGTTCTTCCTTTGTGGGGCTGGCAGGCCGGATACCCAACATTTAGTACTTCGGACAATTTAGCGGATTCGACGAATTGTGATTGTAGCCTACGAGGAAATCGGTGGCTAGGGGGGCCAGCGGTAAGCACACCCGGATGCACCCACGACCTTCCTGGGTGGTCCGCAGGCCAAACTGGAACACTAGTTTAGAGGCTTTACCCCCAATGCCAGGGATCAAGGCGAGAAATATCTCTCCTACACTCTGGTTGGCTAGCTCATGCCTATTTGGCTTCAATCATGCAGGACGGGGCGGGCAGAGCGGGTGATAGCGCACGTTGATAGGCGGTCCGTCACGGCGCTACTGCTGTGACGACTCGCTCGGCACATTTCCACCTCTCGATGGGATCCTGGGGCGCAGTACGAGCGCTTAACCAGTTTCACGTCTTTCTGTATAAATTCACCAACTCGTCGCTCTCGCAGCAAGGTGGCTGGGTACGATATCTCTGGGCGCTACTTGTTCTTGCTACCAGCATGACCGCGTCTGCCTTGCAGCGAAAAAGATGCTTCTCGAACGTGTTGGCAGAGGCTGTGAACCCCGCATATGCAGAACCTTGCGCCGCAAATATGTTGGTTAATAATAGCACCTTATCCCTAAATTTACCTATTTTGAAAACCACGCTTGGAAGAGGATTGGGCGTTCGGCAGCATGACTCCTCTCGGGCCCGGGCATCCTTCGAACCAACCACTGAAGCCTCGTCACACTTCATCACCCGCAATTTCATTAACCCGTTGTCATCACACCGCGGGTCTCCTTCGCCTTGTTTTCCCCTCCAGGTACTCTAAGCCATTGGTTAGATTTAGTGGAGCTCCAGTAAATCCTTTCAAATGAGGAGTTCTCGATGCTACAGCCTGCAAGTGCGCTGTAGCGAAAGCCGCAATCCGTCACCGTTTGCCTTATTTCCTATGATCATACTCCCTCTGTAATTATAGGAGGCTTCGAAGCCCATGTTGAGCTCAACTACAATAAATTTATTTTGCCGATCTCGGTCATTATCTGCCCTGGCTATTCATGCAAATGGACGGCGTTTAGGGTTCTCCAAGCTTCCCCGGTCTCGAGTGGGAACAGAACACATGCTCGGCCCAGATGGCCATGCAAAGAGCCGGATCCACAATGAACGAGCGAGGCACACCGCGTGCTTCGTGGTTTTACATCTAAAGCCGTATAGGCCAATCTTATTACTTTAATCACAGAAGAGCTTTTTACTCTGCGCCATACAATTAGTCCATATTCAGATACACCAGGCAATTATCTAATACCGAGGATCGAAAGGTCTCTCTTCTTTGAATATGGCTTTTCGTATTGAGTACACCATGTGGCATTCCCACAGGGAGTCGCATCAACTGTATTCTCCACTGTTTTTCTTTTGGGACGTGGGTCTTGATGAACGAATAACAGGTTATGTCATAACTTTCAATGATTCAATTGGGAAGAGCAGCAGGGATAGTCCTTAGGACAGCCGTCAATTGTGGTCCTGTGGCTGGGATAAGAACTTCAACATGGATCCACAGAGCACATAAGCGAACTTGAATTCGGATTCCAACCGGTCAGCCCACGTGCCAACAAGAAATGGTGTTTTGATCGATCAGCCAAACAGCTTAGGTACTGTGGCATATGGGACTATTCAAGTTGGTTCATATGATTTTCAATTGTCAGTCAACCATGCAGCAGTCCATTAGTTTATAGCTGATCCTGGGTCTGGGCAACTTGAAAATGTAGTTGTAGTATCGAACCAGGTTGTTCCATGTACACAAGCCAGGCACGTACGGGTGAAGTAGCACATGGCATTTTTCTCCTGGTTTCGTGGAACAAATGAATCCAAACTATTTCTCTAGTAAGGCATAAACCAACAGTAGCATATGGAAACTTCGGATAAATGTTACTCTAGCTAAGTTCATCGGATCGAGGAAATCCGTCAGTTTTACTCCGAGTCCTCTGCTACATGGTATACTGAGGACCTTTCTGGCCATCACTGGTATTGTAAGAATGCAGTGAATGGGAGTATCTCGACATGTTCTCAGGCCAAGATTGGCCAAAGCTGAGAAACATCTGTTGCTAGCAGGTCTCTCGTAAAAAGGCAACTGGAGTAATGACGACATACAGGATTGAGCATTATTACGGCGATCCTGTGACTCCAGGTTAAGAGTACAACCAAATTTAGATGTAATTAACGGTTAAATCGGCTGCCCATTCCAAAGTAGAAAGCAGCTAATGACAAGTGTTTTTCATGTAGTATGGATTGTTGGGTTGGCATTTTCTTTTCCTGGCATGTGGGGGAAATCGTTGCAGCGGGATGGGAGGCTGGAAGCGAACTTGAATGATCCCGCACTAATGTATGCTAATTATGGAAAATCTTCCATAAACTGAGGCTAATAATGCCTCAAATGGATATTAATAGAAGCCTTGGACGTGCTAAATTTACTCGACTTGTGCCGTAAAGAGGAATATGCGACCCAAATTAGAAAATATTATTCATGAAATTGGCGCCTAACTCCCGCTAATTATCTTCATTTGAGTGCCTCATCACAGTCCGAGCGTCATGAGAGCGCATTAGCGTCCCCAGACTCTGCAGGAGTTGGGTCCCACGATTGGCTCAGAAGTCCCCTTCCCGTTTCTCACAGATGGCACTAAGTTTTAGCGTCGTTGGTGGCTTCTCAGTTTCGGCCAACGGGGACTTGATAATGGAAGCTTGGCATGCACGGCGAACTACTTCATCACACATCACAGGGTACAGATTTAGTTGCCAACATCTGTTAGGCCAATGATAACTTCTTATCCAAGGGTTGTGGACCCATCTAATTCGGTCGCTTTCCTCCGCTCTCCGGACTCGAGATCTGATTCGCAAGGCGACAGCATCTTCTCGAGAGCTGCGGTCGCTACCCGTTGGTTGGTTTCTAACACAACTCCTCCTGAGCGCTTGAATAATATGCAACACAGCCTTATCAGTCATTGTAGGGAGATCAGTCCAGACGAGAGTCGTTTCATCCAGCTTGTGTCTTTTAATCCTAGTATGGCATTCTTCAGTACGTGGCTGGCGGAGAAAGAAGGGCTGGATTCTATCATGCGACTGGCCGTGAGAATATGAGCTATAAAGCAAAATCAAGTTAGTCCGGTTCGCACCCGCCTATCAGGTGTCAGAAGTCCTTGTATGAAGGTTCCACTAGATGCCAAAGGAGAAGCTAAGAGAGCGATTTGAAATATCTGGCTAATTTGGGCTATTTTGGATGTGACCAGACCCACTGCAACATCACGCATCCCCAGGAAGCCATTGATCAACCCTCTTTAGCTGCATTAGTGGGCTGGGAGGATTGTCTCCGGAAGACCTGTCCCTCATCACACTACGTGCTTACACCCCTGTCTGGACCCAAAATTAGTCTGAATTCCGGACCAACAATCTGTAACTCAATAATGATTTGCTGATCGTAGACCCTCCCCACCTGATGTTCGCAGATTGCTCCGGCTCGGACTAGTGTTGGCTACCGTGTTGAGTAAAAAATAGAAGCACACCTGCACAGCTGCTGATCGCAGGCCGAACTTATAACTAGTCGCATCCAAGATCTCTACCGGAGTTTTTCTGAGAAACCGTCTTGAAGCTGTGCTTTACCCATTTTTCCTTTCCTTTTCCCCCTTTCATTTTACGCCTAATAGATTGTAAGGCTGCCGGTCCAGCTTTACTATTGCACCCTTCATACAAAAGAAAAAGGCGGCTGGTCCTCCTTCGGCAACTGTGTTGACCCTCTACTGCTGTTGGCTGTGCCACGCCCTGATATCCTATTGACCGATTTTCTTTTTCATTCGGGACGATCCCCTACGGTTGTTGGCGACTTTTTTTTTGCTTGATTCTGTGGATACTTACCCCACAATGCCTTCCACCAAACCTACCAATGCTCCCGTGAGGGTCAGTGCCTCGGCCTCGAGCTCGAGCTCGTCGTCCTCGCAAAAGCCCACGGGCGTGCAGAAGAGCGGAAAGCCGCAGGAAAAGGGAACCAAAACCCACAAGAGATCGCGTTCTGGTATGTACTGGTATCATATAGTTCTATCCTGCTCTCATTCTAACTGTATTTAAGGATGTTATACCTGTCGGCTTCGAAGAAAGAAGTGTGATGAGGGGCACCCCTCGTGCAAGGCCTGCACTAATCTTTCCGTCAAATGCGAATATAAGCGACCGATGTGGTGGGGAAGCCCTGAGCAGCGAAGAATGCAGAAGGAGCGGATAAAGAACAAGATCAAGCAAACCAAGACCTTGGAGCGGAGCGGGCAGCATGGTACGTCAAGTCTCATAAGAGATTCCCGTTGATCGGAACATCATTTATTGACATCTCATGGGTCCTCAGATGGTCTGCGAGCTCGCGTGATTACATCCCCTGACTCTGACAGCGACTTCATGCAAGATTATCATCGGCCGCTCGCAGAGAAATGGGATGCATATGGGCCTCATTTCTCAACTCCAGGCTTCGTGCCCATCACGTACAGTCATTATACCCCTTACGAAATTGATGTCAGAACCGAACGCCAAACTTTCGTTAATGATGTACCTCTGCGACACGACTCATCTACTTCTACATTCAGCGCTATGGGCCCACCTGCACTGCACGCGACTCTGCCTACGTTTCCCCCGGAAGAGATCTTTACAGGGGAATTCGTCAATCCCCCCCAGGCCTTCGAAACAGCTACTTTCCCTGAGCATAGTGTGGGCTTGGCCTCTTCGTCTCTCAGCGCCAACATTCCCGTCGACGACTACGATCGCCCTCTTCTTGATCATTTCATTGACAATGTGCTTGGCATGATCTTCCCGATTTTGGAAGTCCATCAGCGGGCCTCTGCTCGTGCTCAGGCAATCCTTCAGTCTCTCGAGACCAACAAGTCCTATTTCCACTGTTGTCTGAGCGTGGCAGCAATTCACCTAAAGACAACGACCGGCTTGACCGGCGAACAGATTGATCACGATATTATGCGACACCGATATGAAGCAATCTCTCAGCTATGCCAGTCCTTAAACAGTGACAGGGAACACGAGCAAATCCTTGACGCGACACTAGCGATGATCTTTTTCCACTGTTCTGTTGGTGCTCCCGATGACTCTCTCCCAGATATCCCTTGGAGCGACCACTTCCAAGCGGTTTCAAACCTTGTTACCAAATTGGACCTGACCAACGCCATGATTCCATATGGTGCCTACATGGTGCCACCTTTCAGTATGTCTCTGACATCCTGGATTGACATCCTCGGTGCCACTATGCTCGGAAGAACTCCCCAATTCGCCCACACCTATCGTACCAAGCATTTGAGTGGAACTCCATCAGGGCTGAGAGAACTGATGGGCTGTGATGATAGAGTCATGTACTTGATTTCTGAGGTTGCCTGTCTCGAGTCACTGAAGCAAGAGAACCGTGTGGATTCGATGGCTCTCTGCACTCATGTCTCAGACCTCGGAAATCAACTGGACTATACGGAGCCTGCCGACCCAGTACTCGAGAGCCCTTTCTCTCCTAATGGCTCAATTCGACCTGAGATCCTCACAAAGAACATGACTGCATTATTCCGCCTTGCCGCCCGCATCTACCTCTGCAGCTTGGTTCCAGGTGCTGACCGTAGCCACACGAGCACCCAAAACCTGGTGAATGGGGTTACCACTGCCCTTTCTTACATCCCGGCTGGAATGTTTGGATACGACCGGTCGCTCGTCTGGCCACTTCTCATCACTGGTGTCCACTCAGTCCCAGGGAGCTCATTCCGTCAAGTATTGACCGATCGGACTGCCGCCATGGGCGACCATGCCGACCTTGGAAGTTATGGTCGCATGTATCAACTACTGACCGAGTATTGGCGACTGACCGATGATCCTGCCGGCCAACCAATTGCTTCTCAATGCTATATCTCAGATCCAAATGCCACATATGCCGGTCCTAGCTCTGATCTTCCGATGCAGCCACCTCTTCCGTCTCCTGGTATGCGTGAGATTAAGAGGCAACAGGTCCACTGGCGGGATGTGATGAACCGGAACGGATGGCGGTTCCTTCTGATTTGATACCTCTAGCTTCGTACTCGGGTTTCTTGGTTTTAGCGCTCTTTTCCTTTGGGCCTTTTTGTGTGTGGCATTCGGGTTGGTGTTCACGGTTACGAATTTCTGTTACTTCATTGATTGCGACGTCCCATACCCACTCATGTTGGGTTTATATTCCTTCTAGGCATTTTGAAAACTGCCTTCCATTACAGAGCATTGCGACTTTCTCCTCCTTGGTTTCCCTTTCTGGTAGCGTCTACTAGATATCATACCCCAACCCCATGCCTAGTATTTCATGTCATGCAGGTCCAGATAGGCAATTAAAAGCAGTCAATCTACCGGAATTTTTTGCAGAGCCCTTTCCTTATGCTTTCGCTTTATATCCTTTGGACGAGATTTCACAATATTGCTCAACTGGCGTGCACAGTATTGAGGGAGGAATTGATCAGCTGGCACTCGGACAGGTGACTTGACTTATAGCGTCGCCATTCATTTGCTTACTCCAATGTCAAATAAACCCAGAAGAAGTCTTTTTTGAGTGTTGGCTTGTCTTGAATAGAGTCTTGCCGAGACGTCATGCTGATATACATTTGTGTCGGTTCGTTCAAGGTCCTGTAAGCGAACATCTCTAGCCCGAAACGATTCTTTTATGCCTTCACAAGATGTTCCCACAGGCATCCCCAGGCTAAATACTGATAGCTTCCAAATTCGGCAATAGACCTAGGTGTACGATATTGTTAGTTGGGGCCGGCTTGACACTCGCTTAATCTTCATTTTTCTTTTTTTTACTTCTTAAAAAAAAGAACTCGAGTGGAGCTTATCGCCGCTAGTTCGTTATATGCGTCTATTGCGAGTCCTATTTCTATTTCTGTATCGTCTCTTAGCGTGCGCTCATTGAATTCATCTACTGGGACTATCTTGAGAATCCTACTTAGCTGTAACGCAGAGGGCATATATGCGGAAGATTTACTCATAACCAACCAAACAGCTACTGATGGGAATTGTTTCCTGTGATAGAATTTCACTCCCACCGTGGCCTATCGTTGCATTCACTATGATCGCATTCATTATGAAACAAAACAGTCAAGGCTAAAGCAGTTCAAGGCCTTCCAGCTCTATTGACAAGATGCTGGAGACTCTCCGAACGGCGCGTCCGTGCTGGCGCATTGGGTCTTGGAGGGCTGTTGCTTAATATCCTCCACGTCTCCTACGTATGCCGCACTGGGGTCTAAAGCCTTAACAATTTAGCTCCCTGGCGGGTGATTGGGCAATTTAGAAGCATACCATGGTGAGCGTTTAGTGAAACCTGCAAGTCACTATGTTGCGGGTAGCTTTGAGGAACAATAGATGAGTAGCTTATGTTTGGGAGAAATACTTAGGAAAGATCTTCACCCTGCCAAGTCTACTCTAGGGTTTCAAGATTAACTGGCAGTAGTTTCAAATCTTTCGGAGTAGGAGAGTAGTAGTGAAGAGCGAGCCGCCCTAGGGGTATGAGAACCGCGCGCTCTTCATTCAGCGAATGGGACGTCGGTAAACTCGCCGCGAGGGCTGAGTTGCCCAAGGAACGAAGGCGCCCTCAGCTGCCCCACCATGTCTTGTTTGCGTCAGGGATGGAAGAGGCTTGAGGGTCTTACTTCAGAAGGCGCGCGACAATGTCGATAGCGTTTTGCTTGAGCGACCTTGAAAGCCATGGCGGTTAGGACCAGGGCAAGGTTCCCCTATATAGTGCTAGTAGTCGAACGATCAGATCTTGCAACCATCAGTTCATTTCTTTCTTCGTTTCCTTTTTCTTTTCATCGGATTCTCATATCCTCTTGCTGGACGCTACATTCATTTTCAGATACTTGTGGATGCACTGGTTGCTTCATAGGTTCCTGTTTGCTTTCATTTAAAATCAATTTTTTGAGAGTGCTGGACCACTCCTCACGGTCTTTTTTTGGGATCAGATTACCCACCACTGCTCAGCCTCCCCCTTTCTACACTGGCTTGAGGCATCCAAGGGTGAGTGTTCCTAGGCCCAGGGGCCAAACTGCTTAGTGGCGGTAAGAATAGCGCTAATCCATTTTCAGGCTCGACGCAAAAGACTGTGTCATACGTGTTATACCGTCCGGTACGGTATTTCCGTCACGGTCTGTACATTACGGACTGAGGTTTCCCTCTTTCGGGACCTGCTCCGCCTTATAGAAAGGAAAGGCAGATCTCCTGTCCCTCCCCTTTGGTAAGATTTAATTACTTCCTCCTCTCCGCCTCTTTCGTACGTCTTTCTCATTACTCTCTTCCCAGGATATACACGTTGCCGTGTCTGGGCTCTAAACGGCATATATACCACCGCGTATTCCCTTCCCTCCTATTGAAACATTACGTCAAATCTTCCTCGCCATTCTTTCGCCTTACGCACTCGTCAAGCTCTAAACACTCTCTTGTATTGGGAACACACCAGCAAGATGCCGTCCCAAAAACCAGAGCTTCCTCCTTTGAAGACTCCCAAATCATTTACATTCCCCTCGGAAATTCATGATGACCATAAGGTCGTCAGCGCTATGAGCACCGGCAGCGCGGGCGAAATAAAGCAAGAGGACAGCAGTGAAAGCTCATGCTCCTCCATCCCGACTCCTTCAGCTTATACCGACTTCCTCACTGCTCTTACTCCAGTTTTCAGTAGTCCAAGAAGCGCTGGGGGTACTAGCTTTCCTATCTTTAAGATTGAGAAAACCGATGATCCATCACCTATTTCCCAACCTTCCGCTAGCGCAAGCCCTGCCTTTTCCTCGGCCCCATCTTTGAAGTCTCCTTCAATTTCCCTTCCACCACGGTCGCCTTCTCACTTGAAGTCGCCAAAATCCCCCCCCTGCACTTCGACGACTGCGCATCCCGCAGTCCATCAAGACTTTCTCGGCGAAAGACTCTCCGCGCTCCGCAGCGACCCCATTGAGCGCAACGCCGATGAGCGCAACACCACGCAGCGCAACTACACTCTATTCGCCATTTTCGCCTTCTGACTGGAAAGTTCGATATTTTGAGACTCCTCGAAGTGCCACTCCCACCAAGGCTGTCAGTGTCCGCCAGGTCGTCACCCGCACAGTGACATACAAGCGCACACCACTTGAGCCTCCACCCAAGGGAAAGAGAAGAAAGACCCAGGACCAGAAAGAATCTTGCAAGGCCTCCTGCAAAGATTCCTATAAGGATTCCTACAAAGATACATTTAAGGAGTCCTTGAAAGAACCCTGCAAGGAAGCTTGCAAAGAGGTCTGACTTTACGTACCCGTCATGAAAACCGTCATGCATCTTGATGCTTATTTTGATCGTTTTGGCGATGTTGTTTTGGCGTTTGGTGGTCTTTGTTGCAAGCTTTCCCTAGCTTCCCGAGTTGTGCTTGGTCAAAATACAATAGGCTCTATTTCATAATTACAGAAATGCAGGGCCTTGCCTTGATTTCTACATGTTATGAGTCGAATGATCTTCTACGCGCCCGGGCAGGGCGTTTTGGGGTGGATTTGCGGCCACGGCGTTCTTGGCTTTTGTACTCGTGTTAAAAACGGAAAATCATTATTGGAGATTATTACGATCATCAATGACACGGGACAAGGGCTTATCTCATTTCTACGCGGTCTACGGTTCGGTATTCCTGTGTGCTTTTTTTTTCTTTTCATTTCCCTTAAGCGTTTGGGAATCTGGGCTCAGGCAGCACCGGAGATATCGGGCATTGGAGCAGGGCATATCGCAAATACATTATGGATTCCAAATTCTCTCTCGTGTATACACCTAGTGAAATTCAGTTGCGATGAAATCTATCAACCACTACTTAGTACATTTCCCGCCTCAACCTCGCGCATGTATTTCGGCTTTTGCTGCGAATGCAGCCCTCACAAGACCCGGTTTTTACGTATTCTGTTCTGTCTCTCCAATGGCGGATTTTAAGTCAGCATAGATCTACTAGTGTCGGGAATTAATCCATGTGCCCCCGTTATTCTCGTGTCAGTCCACATGGCATGTCCAGAGCCCCATCACCACGTGTGGCGCCCGTCCTCTGGTAACTAATAGCAGCTCTCCAAAAACCAACAGTAAACCAACACTTCGCCAACGACCCTTGCGATTGGAAGATAGAGGGCCTGTTAGCGTCAGCTCGGATATTTCGGATTGATGCAAGTCTGAGCCATCCTCCCGGGACATCGGCATTCAGCCTCATTTGTTGATAGCGTTAAATCATGGCCCTACTCAGGTGGTGGCCGGTATACGATATTAAATGGCTTAGATGAACTTCAAAGTTTGGATTATGATATCGTCTTTAATCACTATAGTTGGTATGGCATATGGATAATTTAAGGAGCTGCTTATCTGCAATTGAAATTATTTATGAAGTACGAGGGCAAGACTGTCTACGCTAGGACCATAGAAGGCGCTACGCATCATATAATCAGAAGGAAGAAAAGCTATTGATCCTGGCGGTTCGGGTCCCAAATCAAACAAAGCCTCTAAAGCGACCGAACGATCGTTATCTTTTTGCTGGAGTTGTGGTCGCCTTGGCGGCTTTAGACCCATGTGCCGCGAATTTGCGAGGCCCCCCAAACGCCACAATGGGCCCGTCTTACGAATTTTGCTTCCAGGCATATGTGCTTGACTCGTAGGATTAACATTGCAGTGCGGCTCAGGCCCCGAGAGTCTGGCTAACAAGGATCGGGATACGCATGCCGGGGTCCAGAAAGCCTTCCCTGCTTCGAGATCTTTTCCGAGTGGATTGTTTACGCCACTGGTATCCATTAATCCTACGGACTATCCGCCAAGGCTGTGCCCCAAGTCAATGCCCAAGGAAGGCAAGGCAGAATTAGAAGTTCCATGCAGCTGCCGCTGTTATTGGTTTACTTGGTGGAACTTGTCTGCCTGAACGCACTCATTCCTATAATAATATTATAGTACCAAATATCGACTCCTTGTATGTTCATCTACGAAAGTGTATTAGAGCCGAAAGTTACATACATCCTTTTGTTACGTAAAATACAATATTACAAGATCTGTTATTAATTGCCGTCATGTAATATACAACGAGTCCCGTCTTAACCGTCCTGTTTGCATGCATAGCTTAGCAGGATAGTCATATCGATCAAATTTTCCACCAAATGTACCAGTACTAGTATTTGTATTAGGCTTGTAGTGTTTTCATCCCATTTTTGCCCCAATCAAATCCACTTTTGAGCGTACTAGGCTACCTGACTATGTAATTTGCGTAATACACTAAATCATACAGACTGGAAGTTCCCGTGGTTGACTTTGATCACAGGGCTACAGCGCACTACTACTAGATACAGGGTGATGAATCCAAGTGGGATTGACCACTGAGCATACATAAAAGTCCTCTTGTGATGAGGGTCTGTGGGGTTGTGCTTTCCCGTGTTATGTATGACGTGAATCCTGGATGAGATTCCAGACAACATTAAGCGCCGGCGCTATACCATTTACATACTAGAACCCCGCATGGTGTCCGCGGGGAGGCCGTGGTTGGCTCCGCCGTTGGAGGGGCCCGCAGTGGGGGGTGAACTCAGACCGTTCAATGGGTTTTGGTTGGCATAACGTGGCAGCTGATCAGCTCCCATCCACTGTGATTCAAGGACCCCCTGCAGTCCAGCTAGGGACTTGGGAGACCTGACATGAATGGACTGTACCTGACTTTGGCTAGTTATCAACTCTAGACCTGGGATGTGATACCCTGTGGTGGGCTAGTTGCATTTCAAAGGACGCTTGTATTCGAAGGTTTGTCTCATGGCTATTCGACCTGGAACGTTTAACATGCCATTGTGATGAGCGTACTTCGATAAACCCCTGCCTGCATACAGTAGTGTGAAGACTCTTTAATTAGATTTCAATCCAGGCTGCATGCCAGTGGTGCACGGACTGTGGAGGGGCTGTAGCCAATAGGCTTATTTATCTAACCGCCGGGCTTCCCTTTCCATCAGTTTCAGGCAAGCCCCTGTGTAAGGGATGCATGGATGTTAAGAGTCCGCCGTTTTTGCTGGGACCAGATTCTCGGTGCCCTTCTCTGCACTTTCTGTAGATCTGCCCGGGTTCGATCGTTTTGCTTAGCTATCACTGCCAACAAGACGGACCCGTAGGCTGGGCTAAATTAAGAAATCTTTATTTTTAGAACTGGAAGGTCCGAACATCAGAGTCTGTATTCCTTGCATTCCAAGTATAACATATAGAAGGCTGATGTTCGGTGACTTCCATGCATCTAGCTTGAACACTGTCGCTCATTATCAATCCAGTACTAATTTGGAACACATGTGCTCGATTCATGTGGCGTTGAAGAGGCAATAATTCGGTGAGCTTCAGCAGCCATGTCAAGGTCAATTCCTTTTTTATCGTCGAATTTCAGGCCACACCAAGCTTGGATATTGTGCCCCATCATATCCACCTCAAATCGTAGCGCCATATCGCCACCGTCTTATGATAAGAGCGCTTATTGCATCCAGACTCCTACTGGTACAGATGGAATCCAATGTTCCAAGAATAGTATATGAAAGGCTTCACCTACCTTTTGCTGTGACGGTCCAGCAAAGTTTATGGTGCTGATCGGCAGCGCTTCATGCACCAATGCATGAGTCTTGTGTCGTTTTAGAGGGCGGCATGATGCCTTATCCGCATTGCAAGCAACGGTTATGACTCCCCATTGGAGTACGTGTCCCAGGAATTTTAATTAAACATGGCATCTTTGCTAAACATAGTAGCAAAGCTATGATGGAGACTGCATTCCCCCGCCCTCAAGCTCTGCTAATGAAGGTCCAGCGCCTCCAAGCATCCAATGGGAACCTGGAGACGTGAAGATTCTCCACCCCTTCTCTATGCCGCTCTTCTCTCAGGGCATTGAGCAGCCGCTGACTTTCTCATACAGACTCTCCGTCGTCACCCTTAACCTAGACGGCTTCTAGCTTGTGTGACGATTCTGTAATGCAGACAAACCCTTTCACTATGTTTCTAATTTTGCAACTCGATCTCTTCTAAAAATATCTTCCTTGTGAAGCTACCCCTCATCAATGATGCCTTTTCAGTCATGGTATCATACTGTACAATACGTATGATCTTTTCAAGCTGAGAAACGTTACTATACAGGAAATATCGAGTGAGTAATGGGCTGGATTTGCAAGGCTCTTGCCGTCCTCGGCGATATATCGGACCGCATCGGCTGTGAGTCCCTTCTCGTATCAGCGGAGAGCAAAAAAAACTCATAGTTGTCCCACACCTTGACGTCAATCTGTTTGTGGGCTGTGTATTCGAGGGTCTAATCAAGCAGTTGAAGCATAGCTTTGGGGAGCACCGGGCAAAACGTGGTCAAGCTCACAATTGCGTTTTTTCCCCTTTGGTAGGATAGCTTCATATGACCCTTTTCGCCTGAATTTAAGGTCTAGTTGATACCTTGCGTTCTTGGCTGCTTCCAATAGAGAGGTTAATGGCCAATGCCGGTGAGTCTACATCAATCAAAACGTTTGTCATGCCATTGCCATCTATAGCCAATTTACTTTCAAATATGATGCATGTAGCCAAAGATCCCATTGGACAGCGGCTGATATAAATAGTATTTTGCAGTACAGCGTCTGCGGGGTCTATCACATCCACCATGTGGAAATCGCGACAAGAGCCGGCCACTACAAACATGAACACATTGCCACAGCCAAAAAGAGACTATATGCAGGCTTTGGAGTCTCTGAAGCAAAGAATTGAATTAATTCAGGGCAGGTGAAGGAAGGTTGTGCAGGATACAAAGCGATTTCGACGTACTCCGTACTTGGTCCCTTCGTATGTTCTAAATTTAGAGGCGGGGAATACCACACGAGAAAATGGCCCAAGACGTAAATTGATCACCCTTTTTGTCTGCCCCTCTGCGCCGACGAATGAACGTAGAAGATGCAACGATCTATTCTCTAGTTCGACTAGCCTTTCAGCTGAAACAAGACGCGAGGGTAACTCCGTGTAGTAGAATCCCGTGATCAGCCCGCACCTTTCCAAGCCGTCCGTCTCATCCCACTTGGTGCGCTCCTGGTGGTCCCTTTACTTGTTCTGCCCTCTTGTCTTACCTGAGCCAGGAACCCGATATCTGTATCTCGCGCGTCAGCCGTGCACATCCGGCTTTCCTTCAAACTTCTGTTGCGCTGTCGCCATGGCCCAAGCCCCGCCCCCTTCATACCAGATAGCGAATTTGCTGACCTTGAGACCCCCCGCGGCCCTAAAGCAGGTAGTTTATCTATCACTGCTTTGGCCCGGTTCGAATTCGAGGCCGGCAAAGCCAATGAGGGAACAAAGATCCTGATGGTGGAATGGGAGGACGACGATGTAACGAGGTCCAGCTCCGACGGCTCATGGCATGTTTCCTGGGCGGGCAAGTCTACAGTTCTTCCTGCAGATGAACGGCCAAATGATAGCACCCGATTTTATTTTTTGCTTGGACCAAATACCACCATTCCTCCTGTCATCACATTGTCGTACGAACCGAGGACCGACATAGACAAAAATGACCCACGGTTACCTTCGTCCGTTAAAGCTCGCGATTCCCTACAGCTGAACCCCCCTGCCAGCTATCTTTCCCCCCGAGTTAGGCGCAACTGGCCGTGCAGCAGGAAAGAAAGGAGTACTTCACACCATCTGGGCCAAGAAACGTTTGCGTGTGCTGGACGAGGAAATCCGCAACGAAAGTCGAAATAACGTCGAAGGAGTCGCCCTTCATATGGCCGTGCAAGAAAAAGAATGGATCGAAGAAAACTTTGGTGTCCATGCGCGCGGTGCCGAAAGTGTAACGATTAGCCAAGACTTCCACAATCCTTCATCTGCATATCCTGCGACTCCAATCTCGCCCATCAGCGGTCGAAAATTGACCGATAAGCTGAAGGGACTGAAGCTACAGACCAGCGAGAAGGACTTGTCTAGTCAAGATAACGATGGTGAGTCAAGCCCCAAGGATCATCACAAAGCCTCTTAATTCTTAACTTACAAAATTGTGCTAGACTCCGACCCCGGACACCTCTTGTCTCCTCAATCACCGGATGTAGCTGTCTCCTCATTCAGTTCCTTCCGTAATCTGGCTTCGCTCCCGATGCACTCAATGCCAACCCCAGACACAGCAACCAGTACAACTCCTCAAGCCCGTACTAAACCCGCTGCCCCCGAGCCTTTGCGCGCTGTCGCGCAATTCCCACCCGAAGCCCTCCAAGAGGCGCAGCAATCCGAACCCACAGGCTTCGCATCCATGAATTCAATGAGCACCCTAGTACGCACTTCCAGCGCCGAATCCGGCGACGAACTCTTCGCAAAAGCACTCAGCCCGCGCTCGCCAGACCTGCCGCGGAGCCCCTTCTCATTCGCTTAATTACCAGTATATACCATCTGGACCTGTGGATCAGGGTCCGTTGTTTTCACGATTTGCTTCATGATTCCCCTCTTTGCGGCGAGAGCTTACTTTCACCACCCCCATTGGCATATGCATACGGTCCTAGAGACATGATACGTCGACATTGGTTCACTTTGTCAAATACTTTTCTCCTTTTCCATCATACATATCTCATGCAGAAATACTATCATACTGTCCCGGACCTCCAATGCTACCTACATTGTCGAACTAGCCGAGTGCTTAGTTCCGGGACCTATCCCTCACTCTAGGATCCTATTGCGGTAGCAAAGACAAGAAAGCCCGTAGCTAGAACTACGCGACAAAACCTGACAGCGGCGTCTCGTCCCCGTTCGTAAAGTAGAAAGTACGAGATCTGTAGCAAACGAGTCATTGGGCAAAGCCCCCCCTTCCTCCCCCCATATCCGTCGACCAAAAGCCCACGAGGACGAGCCAAATAAAAAAAAGGAAAAAGAGGGAAAAGAGCGCTCAGCGCCATCTAATTCGCCTTCTTCCGCTGGCTAGCCTTCCCCTTCGACGAGCCCGAGGCCGTGGCCGTGGCCGTCGCAGTCGCAGGCTCACTCCCAGGCTCCGCCTTGACGTTCTTGCCCGTGGCCATGGACTCGGCTTCCTGCTGGTCCTTGCGCTCCGCGTACCACTGCCCAGCCTGCAGGACCAGAATGCCGACCAGCACGAGGGCGAGGATGGTGTTGCTCGCGGAGAGCACCTTGAGCGAATCCTCGCGGCCGAGGATCTCGTCCTTCTCGTCGGGGGTCTGGGCGAGAGCAGCACCGTACTGGCCCGCGGACGCGAGACGGAGGCCCTTGACGATGTTGGCGACATAGATAGTTACGCCGCACATGTAGAGGACAAGGGAGGCACCGTCGAAGAGCATGTTTGATTCTGAGGGGCGGTAGAGCTTGGAGAGCAGGCCGGCGAGGCCGAGGAAGATAACGATGTGGAGGATGCGCGGGATGAGCGGGGGCGAGGCGTGGAGGAAGCGGAGGTGAGCTTCAAGGTAGTCATAGTGAGAAGATGGGGTCGGGACGGTGGACCAGAGGATTGGGTAGTCGTAGGGGAAGAGCGAGAAGATGATGCCCAGGAAGAAGCAGGTTGCTGCGACGTGGTCAGTTGTTGATATTTTGTGGGGCGGGTTTGCAATGGGGATCTTTGGGGGGGGGAAGAGAAGGTGAGGGGTGGCCAGGAATACTCACGGCATAAGATGAGGAAGGTCGCGAACGACCCGCTCTTGAAAGCCATTGGGCACGGCTTCGAGTTTGAGAAGGTTTGTGAAGGGAGAAATTGGACGAAAAGGAACTTAGGGGAGAAGAAGGTGAAGGTTTATCGGTAAGCGGACGCCAAGGCGCAGCCCCGGACGCAGATAAGGCGGACATGTAATTTCCAACACGAGAGGCTTTATTAGCCGGTCTAAAGATAAGCTGAAAGCGCGTAATGATAAATTATAATACATTTGGGTGCAACGCCTGAAAGGTCACCGTCGCCAGTGGGTTTCATAAATATGCAAAATAGTGGTATCTCCCTGCCCCGTCCCAAAGAAATGCAAAATATACAGGAAATAGACACATGGCATCACAGAAAAATGGCTTCATCGCTGGTACCGAGGGAGAGACTCGTCCGCGTGCGCCGTGCCACCAACTAATTGATCATCTTCATCGAAGACCGGGGCACTGGGCCCTTCGCCGGTGTCTTCGGTAGGTGGTTCTCGGGGAGCACTAGCTAGGTCCATCAGTCGTTGGCGCTCTAGCTCTTGTTTATCTTCGTGTGGAGCAGAAGGCGCGCTAGGCTCGGCAGAATTTCCGTTAACCACGATTGTCTGCAGAGATTCTGCGGATCGAACTGCGTAGGGCAGCGGGTCTCTACTCGACGATGGTACATGCTCATAATCCTGGAGATGATGATCGTCGGATAAGACTGGCGCGGTAGGCATAGCCATCTCTCTGGTGGAAGGACCTGCTTCGTCTTCACCGGGTGGCTGGCTCGGCAAGAGCGTTTCTTCATGGCGCCTAACCCTGGCCTTTTCATCTTCCGGCTCATCCAGCTCGGGAAATGGAGCCATTTGCCCATTTGGCTGGTATGGCGAAGGATACTCCTCCGGATGTTCGGGCCACTCTTGTTCTGGGGAAAACTCTTCTTCGTGACCATACTCGTGAGGACTAGCCTCGGGCCAGTCCTCTGTATCACCGGGATTGATGAAAGTGGAAGACTCCGGAGGAGGATTTGAAGCGTTCGAATCAGCAGCGGAGAAAGACATTCGCTCGGCGGCAGACGCATTGCGCTGTGAATCTCGGGTCCCCACGACGACCTCGAAGGCAACTGAGATCACGCCTTTCGAGCGTCGAACTTGATCCGTGTCAAGGATATTTCCTGCCCAATTGGCGGTGATTGCGGTCCCATTTGCATCGGCGGGGTTTAAAATCTGGCCACTGGGCGAGAACGTGCTACCACCCGAAACCATGTTAAAACGCGGGATGAAGCGCTCGGGGGTAGTAGCTTTGCCTCGCAAGTCGACTACCACCTCGACATAATATCGAAAGTTGATCATGGCTCCAGGTACTCGCGTGATGGTGGGAAAGGCGTCCTCGGGAATTCGAATAGAGGTCTTGACAATCGCGGTCATGTCACTTGGATTCACGATCAACGGGGCAAATGACTGTGAAAGATCCTTGCGGAAGGTGCTGCTAGTACGAGTTGTGCCAAGTGTCAATCCTCCGAGTCCTGTCCGAGACCTAGGATAGCAATCTTCATAAACTGGTTTCTTCCCATCCGCTTGGGAGCCTATGGGAATGGCCGGGTGGAGATCAATGCGGCCTTGGCGGTAGAGTGTGATGATGATTCCTTGGGCGCTCCGAACAGCCTTGCAGTGGTTGATCGTAACTATGATAGGTAGCGTATCACCTGGGAGCACGCCGGCGCGCATCACCTCGGTCTTGGCGGTGATATTCTTCTCTGATATCGAGGGAGGGGCACTGTAGCTTTCGCTATTTCGTCTTCCGGTGCTCGCGGAGGAGCTTGGATCACTCGCAATTTGAAAGCTTTGACTGCTATTGCTGGGGCGACTGGAGGAACTGACATTACTAGGTGATGGGCTCAGCGGGGGACGTTCAGCCGGTGTGTCGGGTAGGCTGACATGTGTATTTATCGAGAGATTATCGGTGGGGGCGGTAGTTTCAGAAGAGGCAGACTTGGACTTCGCTTTCGTTTTCGAGCGTTTTGATATCGGTTCAAGAGTGACGATGCGGGCTTTGGGGGCGGGGAATGGGGCGATATCAATGTCCTCGAGGACATTGATTCGCTTTCGACATGACATGGTCGGATTCATCGTAGTCGGTCGTGTAAGGGTGGATGTTAATGAATAGGAAATAGCGCCTCGCTCAAACTGGGGGAAGGGTGGGTTAGCATGTGGTATTGCGAATTTCCATACCGTTCATTTCTCACATTGATGCTGCTGGGGAGTGAATAAGGAGGAAGCCCCATTTCGAAACGAAACTTGTAGATCCCTTCCTTGAGACGACCGTCACCGCACAGCACGACTTCGTCTTCGAACAAGGTGGCCAGCCCGTTGCCCATGTATTCTGCGCCGCGACGGCCGCGGCCAGGACCAAGAAAGCCCAAATCAGGGGGAGCTTCGCCCGCCGGGACGGCATTTTTAAAGACCTTCACGTAACCATGCAAACAAATAACCAGATGCGTAATGCGAACCGGCCGCACGACCATCAAAAAGACAGTGCCCTTTATCGTATCCCCGGGAAGTATGAGCGCCATGGATCGTCGGGCTCGATATAGAAATCATTGATGCTTCGGTTTCGTTGGCCAAGGGGGAGCGAAATTTGGACAAAAAGGTATTGCGATTCCGACTGACCGACAGCGTTGAGGTCTTGGTGGGAGAGTTGGATGACATGACACACAGGTGCTACCTGCTGCATCCAAGACGGCAAGACTAGGCAAAGAGAGAGAGGGAGGCGGGGAGGAGAGAGAGCCCAGAGAGGGGCAAGGCAGACAGATGGGGTACGCGATCTGAATGAGAAAGCAAAAGAACCGTATATGTACTTTGGTACGGGGGACGGGGATCGGTTGAGACCCGGATAGGCAGGACACTAACACAGCAATCGCAAGCGACACGTTGAATCCACGACCCTGGCGGCAATCTCTACCAGATCGGAGGGTCGAATGCCACGGGTTGTATATCCGGGAGGCCAGGAGAGGATTCCCCGCAGACAAGGGAAAGGGTGCTATGATCGAGAACCACTCGGCCACATTGTTTCTTATGTTGAATCAGCAGCGCGCAGCTGAAGACCCTCCGGTATAGGCCAGAAGTCGTGTGGGCGGAAGGGGCGGGGGGGGGGGGCCGAAAAAAGACGGAGAGAGAGAGGCGCGGAATGTAGGACAAAATTGTGACGCGCCGTCGGACTCGATTGGCAAAAGGCTGGGGTATGTACGAAGGCGAAACGGTATATATAAAGAGGGGGAGTGGGTGGGAAGAAGAAGGGAAAGGGCGGAGAAGGGGCTCTATCGACCCGACGATTTGCGCGTTGTACGATCAAGCTTCGCGGGCCCCCCCGGCTAGTTTCTCCTTTGGGGGGGCCTTGGTCGCCGGGTTCCATTCTGATTTCTTGGCTATTCCTCTACGTAAGTTCTCATCTTATCGTCCATGGGCATCCCGGACTGATACGAACAGGCGCGTATACGGTGCGGCTCTCAAATACTCGGTCAACGGGATGGCCTTCAAATCAGCCCTAAGCAAAGATTGCGACCTTGTACGATCAAGTTACGCGGGGCCCCGGCTAAAGCTCAGGCTATCACGGTCCTCGTCTTTGGGCAGAATGTTGCAGATTGTCTCAAATCAAGCAGTTAATATCATAGAGTTTGATCTATCCCGTGGCACCCGAATCCCTAGACAATGCTGCAGAAGCGATATTGGCCCAAGACTTGATACCCATGCTAAGCTTTTCCCCCCTTTTTTCCCCCCCTTGGGCGTCCCGTCAATCGCGGCAGAACTACTCCAAATCCCTCAAACACCCGTCCACGTACTCAGTTCCATAGCAATCTTGTAGCACAGCGGCCACGACTTCCCGGTCGCCCGCAAGATCTCGCACATACTGTTCCAAGATGTACAGATTATCTGTCCAGAGAAGCGCCTGCTCCTTAAACTCCGCTAGTTCGCCCTGAAGCTGCTGGGCGCCTTTCTGCTTCACCGAGAAGCCCGAAACTGAAACTCGGGCTTTGAGACCCTTGAGGTCGGCCTCCAGCTCAAGCTTTCTCTCTTGAAGGGACTGACGTTGGCGGTCAAGATCGGGGCCCACACGGTTGGTCTCATCGTCTCGTTGCACGGATTGGGCGACCAACAACGCCTCCACGTCGGCGTAAGATTTCCGTGCCTTCTCCACCTCAGCCTGAAGCCTGGCCAACTGCTGCTCGCGTTCCATTTTTTCGTCACTGCTGAAGCTCCAGTACCAGTTTCCCGCGCCGATCTTTTCGACTCGTAGTTTCCCCTCGTCGACTAACCCTTGCACGTATTCCTTTACCTGGATGCTGTTTATGGACGCCACGCTAGGGAGGCTCTTTTCGAGCTCCTTCAGTGTGTGGCACGTGCCAGTTGACCGGATATGAGTCACTATCAGGTCTTCTTTCTCGCTTTTGGATAGTTTGGGCTTACGGACGCGTCAGTTCGTGGATGTCTGATCACGGGCGAGAGGACCCATTACGGCGCGGGTCCACGTACCATAATTATGATACTTGCCTGTAGGTCCACTGGGCTTTTGAAACGAGACTGGATGACAATCGGAACTTGGATCCACGTAAGCCTTCCTGTTTGGGGCAAGGAAGTGAGTTAAGCCTTGGAGAGTGGAGGAGGATTTGTAATGCCAACGGGTTGATCAACCGTGGCCTTCGTGCCTGATCTACTCCTGAGTGAGATGAGCTTAATCAACCTTGGCAAATTCGGGCTACGGAATAAAGGAACTCAGCTTCCAGCTTATTGTAGATATATGCCACTAGGGAAGGAAAACAAAAAATGACTAGAGCCATACGCAGTGACAGCATCCAATTCTCGGGATCAGACGGATCGCCTCCTCGATTCCAGTCCATTGATTCGAGGCTATTGTAGCATGACTGCTGGTCGTACCAGATATAAGCTTACAGCGCCGTTGACAGTGTCCAGGGATGAACCCCGCAGCAAAATGCACAGAGCTCTGTGATCATCTCTATACTTACCAGCCTGGCTGTTCGGGTTTGCGGAACTATCCTATGATCGGATCCATAGTAGATCGGGGTTTCTCGCAGCCCATTTGGAGTCGACCGTGCGCTGATCTTGAATCAGAACCATCTGAGGAAGGACCGAGTGTCTCTGTCCTACAGCCTTGGCTGTAAGGTGGACTATCCACCAATGTCGCAAGGAGGACCTGAGTTGATATCTTATTCAAACAATGAATCGCAGGCCTTCTCACCCGTTCTCAAATCCACTGCCTGTTCTTTCAGGATTTGTCTCGGGACCCGAGGATTCTGCTTCCGATCGCTTGGTCCGACGACGCTTGTGCTTCTGTCGCACGCCCTTTAGATGCTGATGGTGTTGGCTGACTGGCCCATCAACAGTCATCGCCCGCGCACGCTTCTTTCTCCGTACCACTGCGGGTAATGTGCTATCACTGACCTCACCCTCATCTTCTGAGGATGACATCCCCTCTACGAGCACCAAATCCCCGGTAGCACCAAGCTGCTCACGGGCCAATTCTTCGACCAGGATCCCGACTGCAAGTAAGGCCGACTCGTCCATACTATGATGGTCTAGTTTTCCTCGTTTCTTCGACCGATGTTGATAGAAATCAGCGGTATAGGCGTGAATGCACTCGAGCAGATCGGACCTTGGGAGAGGGCGACTGGCGGGGAGTTTCTCATGGGCAAAGTAGGTCTCTTCGTCTATGAATCGCTGGACCTGCTCTTTGTCCCAGCGCGACCGGTGCGAAGCCAGTCGGCGGTAGATTATCTCTTCCGGGTGGAGGTCACGGAGTCCAGATGATTTTGTGTCCCGTGTGGAAGCCACAATGGGCATATCCGGGTTAAAGCCGCGGGTATTGACACGGCCTAGACTTCGTTAGACTCTATCCAACTGACTTTGAAGTGATTCTGGATGTTTCATACTGGCACACGCATCGTACACATTGGCCCAGCGACGGTTTGAATCAGTGAACAAGTCTTCGGGCTCTTCCTGTGGCAGCTCAAACCTCACTCGAGATCTTGAGATGCGCTGAGACCTGTAGCTATCCGCCTCGCCGGCGCGTCGTCCAGTGCTCTCTGTCGGACTATCCTCCGGAGGCTGGAGAAATCCCTTCCGCGTAAGATTCCTTAACGCCCCTGTCGACATTTTGCAAGACAGGCGCAGGCGGCCTGAAATGAAAAATGCGTATCATCGCAGATGATTTATTTTCCCCAGAAAATCCAACGGCCCGGCTAAACTTTATTGCGATGAGGTCACCTCAGGTCCCGCCTAGTTCCCCCAGTATTCAATTCAAGCGCTGATGAATGAATGAATTCCTTTCTGCTCAACAGAGCCCTTGGCTCTGTTAGACCAGCTGATTTCCATGTCGCCCAAACAACTCGCCTAGTCCACAACTTGGAGCCTGCGCCAGGGATCCGCTTCTCTAGCCGCAGACCCGCTCCATCCAACCCACAGGATGAAGCGACAGCGGACGAAGGATTGGGGGTCGTCGAAGAAGTTTTTGCCCACAAAGCTGGTGTAAAATGCCTCGCTATAGACGAATTCGAGGGCCGATAGTACGCACCAAGGCCCGCTTCATGAACTATCAGTACTAACGAGCATAAGCATGATATCGGGGGGGTGCCGACCCATCTATTCATCTCTGGGATCTTGAAAGCAGAGGCTCAGAGCTTGACCATATACATCGTGCCTGCGCATCGGTCAGCAAATCGGCGCATCCAGACGCCCATACCCACGCTATTACCTCCCTCTCTATATACCCCTTCGACCCCGTTCCCTCGACCATATTCTCGACTTCGCATGATGGCACTCTAAAGCTTTCTGCTCTCCAGCCGCCGGCTATTACACCGGTCCATACATTCAAGCTTGAGTGCACCCCGTATTCGCACTCTTTTTCCTCCCAACCCGGCTCAACCCTGCTAGTGGCAGTCGGTACATCGGACCGGGCAGTCCGACTCGTGGACCTACGTTCAGGGCTATCAACCCACGGACTACCAGGTCACACCGGCGCCGTCTTGTCAGTCGCCTGGGCTCCGCATAAGCCTCACCTCCTCGCATCTGCGTCAACAGACAACAAAGTAATTATTTTCGACGTGCGCCGCGGTGGCCACAACTCCGCCATCGCAACCCTGAGACATGGACGATCCAACAGGCCTAACCCTCCGAGAACCCCAGTCCGACACATCCTCCATCAGACCAGCCTATTCTCGACATGCACGAGCACACAACGGCGCCGTCACCGGCGTCCGCTGGACCTCGAACGGCAGCCACATAGTGACAGCCGGCCAGGACGCCCGGATCAGAGTGTGGGACGCCGCGACCGGCGCAAATACACTGGTGCATTTCGGCCCACGGGTCAGAAACAGCGCGTCCTCCGCTCTGGCGGAGCGCGCTCCCCTGGTTATCCCCAAGGGCTTCATGATGCCCGGCCAGGAGACCATTTTGTGGCCCAATTTTCACGAGCAGGACGACCGTGGCGAGATCTTCATGTTCGAGCTCCGCGAGGGGACGTTCATCAAGCGGCTCCGTGTGCCGGGGCTGATGAGTAGTTCGCAGAATGTGCGTGGCAGAGCGAGTGCGCTCAGCGCAGCCCGAATCAATGATCTCGTCTGGCGTGGTAACGGAGGCGCGGGCGAAGGGCTGGAGCTCTTCTCTGCGCACGGCGACGGGACAATTCGGTCCTGGGTCTCGAGGGAGCCAGATGGAGAGCCGACCGAGGAAGAGGAGGCACAGGAGGCCGACCGGAAGAGAAAGCGAAATGTTCTCGATGATATCTACAAGGGATTTTTCGGCAACGAGGCGCCTTGACTTCTACAGACTTTATTCCCGTAAGCTAAATGTAAGATTCCATTGATTCAAGCAATTCAAGCTCAATGTGTTCGTAATAGTACATCATATTCGTCCCATCTCAGGCAAAATTACCCTGACCATACTTTTCTTCAGCAGGCGGGATCCCTTTAGGCATTCCGCGCCGCATGCTCTCCAATATACTCCGCCGCGTCCTCGTCCTCCTTCGCGTACCGCTCAAACGAGCTGCGGTTTTGCTTGTTATGCTTCATGTCACGGGTGTCGCCCGGCGCGCCCGAGATATTCGTACCCATGTACGCGCGCTTCGACTCAATGCTGGCGGGAACGGAATCGCCAGTTCCGGTCATGACTTCGCCTGTCTGCCCGACGTCGCGGGTTGAGCGGGGAAGGTCGGTGGCATTGTCTGCTGCTGTGGCGAGGGTGGGCTCAGCGATGCCCTCGTTGTTGTAGAGAGGGTTCTCGGCTCGCTGGTCGGGGCGCGGGACGGAGGGGATGAGGTTTTGTTTGCCGGCGTCATTGGGGATTGCGGTGCCTGAGACGGCCATGTCGGCGAGGCTGCCGCCTTGGTGAGCGTCTTGAGACTGGCGAACCATTGTGATGAGTGAGGTTTAGGGTGGTGGGTGTTTTCTTTTAAGAGAGAGGTAGGTGCGTAGAGACAACAAGAGAATATATATTCTGGATGCAAATCGTGGATGCCAAAGTTGAAGACTCGAAGGCCGATTAATGGTTCAAATCAAGTGGTCGGACCTGGTGTACTTTATACTAGATCTGTGGCTGGTTAGCTGGAGATCGGTTCGGTTGTTCTGATGCGTCGGGCGGATGTGACTCTAGTATGATGAAGCCATGATATCACGGACGCATGCCTTGATTGGTGTTCCAGCTTCCCAGCTAGAGGGGCTGTCGCTGAATGGTGATTAAGCTAGCAAGATTGCATAGCTCATATTGGGATCTGATTTGTGGAAACTCAGGCGATGGGCCGCAAGGTAGCTGGGAATGACGAAACCAGGGCGGTTGTCAACCCTAAATCACCTGTGGGTACGGACCAACCAAGGGACGAGGATCGAAGCTTGATAGATATAGACGCGATATGATGCACTACTGGGATTAAAAAGTACGATGAGGCATTCGAAGGTGAAAAGAGAAAATCAATTTAGTTCAAATACATACTAGTGATACCTCTGGACTAAGATCGAACATTATTGAGCTTTGAAACGACAGCAGGTACACAGTCAGACGAAAAGAAAAGAAAGAAGTGAGATGAAGGGGAATTCCGGGAGACCATAGCTTGACAGATGTGTTTACAGAACAAAGGCGAGGACGCCCATAACAGCGGCAGCAGCAGAAACCACGCCTCCAGAGATACGAGCACCAGCTCCGGTGAACAAAGTGTTGGAGGAAGGTGAGGCCTTGGGGGCATTACTCTGCTCTGGAGAAGCACCGCTGGGGCGCATATTGGGGGCGTGGCTAACAGGAGTGGCCATAGACATGTAGGGGGCCCCACTGACAGGGGTCATCATGGCACCCATGTAGCTGGCGGAAGAGGGAGTGGCCATGGGAACGTGAACAGGAATCATAGAGTACATGGCACTGGTTCCCTCAGGGCGGACGTAGACGTAAGAGACGCTCGAAGCAGGCACGGAGGCGTGTACCATGGAGGAGTGCACTCGGTGCATGGGAACTACAGCAGTGGAAGCTGCAGCTGTCTGAACCGCCTCCGAGACGTAAGGCTGCTTGTAGATAGTCTCGGTGGCCTGGACCTCTCTGTACTGAGTCTTTGTGACAGTGTGAACGACCTCACGGACCTCAGCAGAGCACTGTTCTTGGTGCTCCTCACGAGGAGGAAGGGCAGGGTGCTCTTCTGCAGGAACCTCGACCTTGGCTGGAGGAGCAGGGGGAGCCTGGGGAGTAGGATTGGACTGGAGGCTGAGGGGCTTGGTGGACTTCGGGCTGGGGCGCAGAGTGAACGGGGTGCTCGGGCTGGGGTGCAGAGTCAACGGGGTGCTCGGGCTGGGGTACAGGATAGCCAGTGGGCTGCTTGACAACCGGAGCAGGCGCAGCTGCCTGCTGGTCCTCGTAGGACCACCAGTTCCACTGGGGAGCTTCGTGAACGTGAAAGGGAGGGTGCACGTTGGTTGTGTCTATCTTGATGGCGTGGTTGTCGGAATGATGCTCGTTGACGTTGCTGTCAACACCGACATCAGTGCCGTCATCGAAGTTGATCCCATCGTCGTCACCGGAAGGTCCACCAAGAGCGGTGCCACCAGGTTCACCGGCAAAACGCGCAGAAGCGTCGGGGGCGTAAGCGCGACGCCATGGGTGACCACCTCCAGGGGGCAGCACTGGGCCAGGGCCGCCGAATGGCTCGAAGGGAGGAGGAGTGGTTATATCCTCGTTTTTCAGATCAATTGAGTGATCATCTTTGTAGGCCTCGCTGACCTCAGTGTTGGTCTCCACAGTGATAGGCATGTTGAATTCTTGGCCGCCATCGTCCCCAGAGGGACCGCCCAAAGCCGTGCCACCCTCGTGAGGAAGGAGACCGCGCTTGAAGGGAGCACCGAATCCAGGGCGACCAAAGAAGACCGGAGGAGGGACAATGTCCTTGTGCTTGATGTCGATAGAGTGGTCATCCTTGCTGTACTCTTCCACGTTGGTGTGGATATGGGCAGTGTGAGGCTTGCCAAAGTTGAGCCCATCATCATCACCCGACGGGCCACCAAGCGCGGTGCCGCCGGAGATGGGACCAGGGAAGCCTGGCTCATCACCACCTCCAGGTCCACCCAAGGCGGTGCCGCCAGGGGCGAATCGCTTGTCGAATTCCGTGGCGGCGATATGGAAGTGCTCGGGCGGAGCTTGGTTGTCAGCACCACGGAAAGGAGGGTGGCTAGAAGGTCCAGCAGGACCACCAATGCGGGGTCCATGGCCAAACTCAGCAGCAGGATGAGGCGGAGCAACGTGCTCAACAATAGGCGGAGGGTGGACATCCTTATTCTTGATATCGATGGAGTGATCGTCCTCGTTGGACTCGTTCACCTCAGTGTTGAAGATCCCCGTGATGGGCATGTTGAAGGACTGTCCCTCATCGTTGCCGGATGGCCCACCCATGGCAGTGCCACCTTGACCCCAGGAGCGCTTGGGGAATGGGCCCGCACCAGGGCCGAAAGCATGATGGGGGAAAGGTCCAGCGCCCGGTCCAATGGGCGGACCGGCGTATTTAGGGGCCTCGTAGACATGCTTGTCCTTGATGTTGATAGAGTGGTCGTCCTTGCCAAATTCATTAACATGGGTGTTCACGGCAACATTTCCTCCATAGGGAAGATCAAAACTGCCATCATCGTCATTGCCAGATGGGCCACCCAGAGCAGTGCCACCGACATGGGGCTCAAACCCAGCAGTTCGGCGCAAGTGGAAACCATTCTGGTTCATTGAGGCGCCCTAATTGTTCATGTTAACATTTTTTTAGGAGAAAGAGTTCCTGAATCCAACTCACGGTGCCACGGGCCATATCCTCGGCCTGAACGGCGGCTACCAGGAGGGCCAACGGAATCCCAGCGATGAAACCCTTCATTTTGCTGAGTCGATCACGGTTTCAATATTAGTTGGGAAAAGAATATGTATAGGTCTGGCTCGGAATAAATCCAAAAAAAGAGCGACAGCTAATAATAATACTGGGCGTTTGGAAAAGAATGTCGAGACCAGTTAAGCGAATTACCAGATGGACCAAACTCAGGCCTGCGCGACGGGGAGGTTTTTCGATCTTTAGTACCTGCCTCGCATTCATGGACATCGCCATAGCCCTTGCGGTTGGAATGTGACCCCTCGACCGACGAGCGAGTGTCGAACAGTACTTTGGAGTCCAGCAAGCGTTGCAGAATGCTGGTGAGAATGGAACCCCCATAATAGAACGGTCCGTCGAAGTAAACAAACACCCTGCAAAACCCAAGATCCTACGGTGTTCGTGCATTCTTCGGGGGACACCGAGGGTGCATCGCCAGGGGATTGGTATGCCAGCTGGGCCTCTACACCAACCAGCATCCCGTCTCTCTCACTCTCTGCCAGCGTGCGGATTTCTTGATCGTTTCCGCGGACATCGGTCGTCCCTCATGACGGCATGATTCGTCCATTCATTCAAGCGTCGAAGGGGTCTAACATGGCCGTTACACCACCTTCCCACCCGCCAATGCTAGAGGGATGGGTCGGACACATGGAAACTTCTTCCAGAATGCTTAGTGATGTCAAAAGAGGCTACCCAAGGTGGTTTCCCTACTTGCACGTGTCCATCACAGCATGTCTTTACGTAAAACACAGCGTTCCACCGAGTCCTGGGCCCCCGGCCAAGCCTAATTCTTAAAGCCAATCGCAATTTACAGGTCACAAGACCAATTACATTCTCCATGCCTGAGCTCACAATGGCTCAGGCCTACCAAGCTTTGATCAAACGAATAGCCTTGGAGGTTGCAGGTGGGATGTTTCCCGTCTTCGACATTCCCCTCCCATCGCCCTCACTGAAGAGGACCCAACGGGAGGCGAACTTCCTATCGGGGAAGATTACTCTCCAGAGCCGATCGGTCCCGGAGGACCGAAGGCAACACATCGTCGTGGAGGTTGTCGGGAAGACAGGACGATGGTCGTGGCAGGCTCTGTTACTTTTTGATGAAGAAAGAAAACCTTTGCCTGAGAAAAATTTCCGTCTTTTTGTAGGTGCGGTGGATCACGTGGACGGGCCGTCATCTCTCCGGAGTGGAGTATATCGGCTCCGCTAGAATACTACCAGCAGACATCGCGTTCAAGTCAATGAAATTGGTCTGGGAATCTACTCAAGCAGAGCTTCGACGAAATGTACATGGATGATGCTCGGATTGCATTCCCGAAGCCCAATGTGGGGTCCCAGTACCCTTTTTCCAGAACCCCCCAATAATAAGAACCCCGATTGTCACGCCCAAAACTCCACGGATGTTTGAAAATCCTGTCATGCAAAACTGAGTATCCCACTGATCGAAGTGAAAAACACAAAACAAAGAAACACAACCATAAAAGAAATTATCTTCTAGCATGTTGCCCCGCTACACCAGGAGCCTGTCAAATCACGATAGTTCGACAAGCATGGCACCAGATCTGGTTTTTCCATTAGCTTTCTTGCGATATCAAGGTGGGTACAAAGGCCTGTCACTTACCTATCAGCCCCCCCAAAGAAGGCTGGTCTCCTCCGGATCTCCAGGCCGTACCTCCCACGGCGACTGTAATTCCCAGTGCGATGCCGATCATACCTCCAATAGTGACGACTGCAATGATCGCCTTGATGAGGAGGCGCTGCCGGCCGGTTAAAGAGTGCAGACACGATCGCGATGGCTTCCGTTCCTCCCATAGCTTCGATCGTTGAGGGCTTCCCCCTCGTATCAAGTAAGGTCCTGCATTTTCGAGATCGCCAAGTTGATGTCGATTTTGCTCGGCCAGTTTCGTTTCATAAGTCAAATGCTCACATGACAAGCTCGGCGTCCCATGAGGATAGAACGGAGAGCATGGCTTGGCTCCGATCGATGGGTCGAAGTCAGCGACGCGCGGTGGCTCGGTCAGGTACGGTGTCGATTGGACGGAGTGGACGGGCGACAAAGCTGCTGGGCCGGTCATATGCTTGTCATCGTTGCTCTTGAATGATGCGGCGACCTGAGCCCCGATGACCCCGAGTCCATGCAAACTCATATCGTCGGTGGTCGAATTAAGACTTGGGAGCCAGAAGACTAAATGCTGGGGCCTCCTTGTGCCAAGGGACCGACACTCAGTCTTAGAACGCTCCGAATGGGTTCTGTTTTGCTCAGGGTGTGAGGGAATCGTAGATTGGAGGGTTAGGGAGGGGGAGGGAGCGGGACACCCCTCAAAGATAAACAATGAAGTGACAGCCCGGAATGTTCTCTGGTTTCAACTGGGCTGCAAGCTCATGGCATCGGCTGAAAACGACTCCAGATAGATATTATGGGCGGGGGCGGCCTGTGCGGCCCAGCTGGGGAAGGAACTACAAGTAGGAAACTTCGACAGGTCCTAGATCTTCCAACAGCCTCCCGTTCCCCCTCATTACTTCATGGCCTGTCCCACTCTTCACTCTTCATCCCATGAGGAATCCTCGGTGGATGCTCACTCGTCCGGATCTAGCCTGCCATAACTAGAAGCCCTTCGGTATTGATGAGTTGGCAGGTTTATTGTGGCCATTCTGCTCCATCCCTTGATTGAGATTCCCCATCGCCTTCAACAGCATTCCTGCTTCCTTCTCAGGTAGGGATCGACCATTATCAGGGATGCGACCTCATTATTGGATCTTGGGCCTGTGGAATGCAAAGAGATGGGTCGTTTGCACATAGCGGGAACCTGCGTTCGTAAACCGGTTTGGATGTCAACAAGATCTTTCTCTCCGGGTGGTGCAGTGGGGCTGATTAAGGTTTGGTGGTCCTCCAAAACGGCCCTTCGTGATTTGCCTCTTTTCAATTCAATTGGATCAATAGACTTTTAAGGTACCAAGTGGGTGGCGTGTGGGGATAGTAGACCTATCGTCTGCATCTACGCTTGGGTCGCCACGGATCTCAAGAAATTCCTTGCCATAGATCTATCCCATACATACATTCGATGAGTGCAATTCCCACCTACGTAATATTTAAAGTCTTCTGAGGCTTGTAGTAATTTCCATTTTGTTCTACGACATGCTCTACAGATGCGAGGCGTCTTCTTCTCGATGGCCGGATGAGTCCTGGCTTCGTCGGAGGGCTCTGGGTCTCAATGTAGGAACATGTTCTGTAGTCGACATATATGATCTTCGGGAACAAAGTAAGGCACTCTGTCACGGTGGCGTTCCTTGCCTGTGTGTTCGCTCAATGTAGGTACCCGCTTTGGGCGATCCCGTGCCGATCTTCTGCAGCCCCTCGTTGAGTTCGGAACAATCTTGCGATGCATCTGCTGTGTGGCCAACTCGAATCGATATGTCAGATGTAAAGTTTCCCTTCTTTCTTGCGTCACTACGCCCTTATCTTCTCCGGTTCCCGCTTATCATGGATTGCGCTCTTGCAGTTTCTTGAATGTTGCTCCTCTTGAATTCTTGACTGGTCCTTTGAAGCAATATATATCTTGGCCCCACAATCCATACGATGGATACATCTAGAATCACTGGCACTTTGTCACCGATACCTCCAGCAAGAGCGCCAAAGCTTTAACCATAACCGCGCTCCATTGAGTAGGGTCAAATATAATTTGTCATTGCGTGGTTTTTGTTCTTACAGCTCTAGTGATCAGTGATCGAACCGAGGGTAGTTCATGGAGACACCGAGCATTTCGTCGACACTGTTGGTCTGCGGGCTGCGTTAGCCGTTGAGCAAGACGAGCCAAGAGACATACTCACAAGGCCTGATAAGTCTGGGGCTACGTCAGACGGCGTGAAAGGTGAATCAAAAAGATCAGTTTCAAAATTTGGAACGCTGATGGACTGGTTCAAGAACATGGCGCTTTCTAATTCAGGCCATGAAAATTCGTTGTCTTGCATGAGAAAATCTAGAATATAACGTAAGTGATCTCCTCTCATTGAAGTTCCTCTGTGCTTACCTGCTGATAAATTTTCATTGGGAACCGTCTCCCCCATCTTCTCAGTCGCCTGTTCAGCGGCCTTTCGCGACGTGGCTTCGTCCTGTTTGTGAACCTTATCGAAAACCACGTCGAGCGCTTTCATCGCTCGCTTAGGCTCGCTGTGAGTATCATTTGATTCGTACCAGATCGCACGCGACTTCCGTAAAGCAGAGATGATCTGCTTTCTTGTGTTCTGAGACAACGGTATGCGCTTGGAATTAGGATCACCATCGGATAAGTCAAAATTGAGCTCCAGACATAACAAAGTGCTCCCCATAACCCAAGTTTCTCGCATGATTGGTGATGCTATCTTCCACCTCTCGCGCCAGAAACGACCACCAGGCTCCGTCTCTTGCTGCATCAGATGATGGTACCGGACTATACAGAGAGCCTCCTCGATGCAGGTCTTGCGAGAGTAGGCATACCGCTCGTCTGTCCTTGCGGGTGCTAAGTAGCGATAGTGTAACACGCATTTTGCCTTGGACACTAAGAGCCGCAATTGGATACGACGGATGGTGACCTGAGAGCTGTCCATGAGAGACTTGTTCAAGGGCTTCTCGCGCAAGTTCTCTGGGGTGGACGCGTATGTTTCGCAGAGAAGCTTATCCAAATGCATTACCTCTGCATAGCTTGGACGGCGGATGGAGGTGGAAAAATCGGTGATAATCCCGTAAATCGATGTGACTCTGTGCTTCGACACAAGCCACTGACAGGGGCCCTCGAAAGAGGGTGGTCGAGAGGGTGGGAGCTCGACTGTGTCTTCATCGAAATCGGTATCCAGGAGGTTTCGCGGCATAGCCGAGTCTGATTGAAATTCTCGAAGAAGTCGGGGCAGACCCACCGAGAGAGAAAGCATTGTATCCAAATCCATAATAAGCATCCAGACCCTGCGGCGCATTTCGCCGTTGAAGGGCGAGATGTTAGGAAATGCGATGCATCACGGTGATAGCCCATTCGCTGGGCTAGCCGAATGATAATCCCCATCGTGAGTACGTGGCTCATTTCTTTGATTTCCGCATAGTGGAACTGTGAGTTCATCAAGCAACAGAGGGTCTCGATTGTACCTGGTGGGCATTCTTCGTATCTCCCGAGCACTAGACATCGGTTTATCTTCCTGTTGAAATCGCGGATCATGTTATCTGCGTTCGATCTAGCCAAGGGCGCCTGGTGCCGGAAGATGAGGGCAAGTGACATTAAGCCATACATCTTTCCGACCCAGATTGGATCTGCGTCACTCTGGTTCTCCCAAAACCGTTCGTACTATAGTAGTTGTCAGCGGCGCTTCCCTTTTACTAGAGGAAAGTGGAAGAAACTGTACCTGTCGCAAGAACGAAGGCCCATGGATCACTTTAGCCCAGTCTACGTTAGCTGTGCCAGCATGATATCGGATAAAAACGAGTCTTACATGGCAGGGGGTTGAAGTTAAAATATTGAGAAATCAGCCTATCACAAATGGTTCTTGCAGGTAGCCCGTCAATAATTTCTCGCAAGCTTGCAGGTACAGCTCCCCCAGGTAGGAGGTTTAGATAACCTTGCCCGGCCTCTGAATGCTCTCGCTCGAACAGAGACTCCGTCTGAACGGTGTTCTTCAGCTCAGTTATCTGTCCGGGAATTAGCGAAAGGCTGGTACGTCGGAGGAGTGGCTAACCTCATCTAAGATTGCAGTCCAATGGGTGTCTTGGACATATGTAGCCCTGCTATCTTGTAAGGAGATCTGCCCGAATGAGTCCGACGGCGCACTGAGTTCTTCATCCTTCACATTGGGCGTGCTGAGATCACCGCTTTCGTGCTGGTCTGTCTGAGCTCGGGCTGCCTGGTTACCGGCATTCTCCACGAAGGAAGATATCAAGCTTTCCAGCTGAGTAATACGTTCCGATAGAGACGATGCTGTACCCGATCGATGCTCTCTTGTGATCTTGCCTTTTGCTGTGGCTTGGAGCGGAGGGTATGTACAGGAGACGGATAGGCCCCGGTGACTGCATGATCCGCAGGGCTGGCCCCGGTCGCACCGCAATCTGTTATGCAGTCAGCTCCCCCACCCCCTCTTGCGAGTGCAGCAAAATTGCCTTTGATTGCTCGCGCTCTTACTTTCTTTTTCTGCATAGGTTGCATGACAACTGGGGCTTGTCGCGTCGCCGACTCGGTGGCGGGAGGTTTCTCACAGGTTCTGCCATGTTATGCTGGAACCAGAATGTAATTTCAGACCTCTTGATAATTATGTGGTTACCATTCTGGTAAGAGTAACTGTATTTGTTTGCAATTGCAGGTAAAAGGTTAGACAAGCAGGAAACATGCCTACTTTGTAGGCACAAAATCGAATCCCCGACCCTCCGATCCTCCGACCGTCCGCCCCAAACTCCGTGGTCGCTCAAAGGCGGGACTTTCCAGCCCTGGAACGGTTTCTATAATTCTGCCACGTTCCACATAATTCCCATGTCCGTCTCGATGCACACTCTCTGCACCTATCACTCATTCTAGGATCATGAATGAGACATCTCTCCAGTAGCTCGACTTGAGCGCCAAGGCTTGAGATGGCACCAGTCCCGAAGTTCAAGCACCGGAGCATCGCTCATGACTCAATTCAACTGCATAGCGGCCACTCCCCTCTTGTTCCCTTTTGAACCCTCGTCTGCGGCTCGTAAGTGGAGGCGAGGGAAGTCTCCCGGTAATTTCTGGGCGAACGGTCGAGAGGAGATCTGTTGATCTACAAGTGGTCCCTTGACGGGGTCTTGGCCTTACGAGCAGCATTCAAGCGGTCCTTGGCGAGGTCGCATGAGTCAGGATCGTCCACCCCCACCTTACCGGCAAAGATAAGATAAAGTATGCGCTACGGAGGTAAAACCAAAGCCTAGATCAGAGTCGTAGCTAGAACCTTAAGATCTGCCGTTATCAACCAAGTCTAATGCTGGACTCTGTTCTGGGAAGCTACAAGGTGGCCCGCTTCTTGTAGAAGAGCCAATGCGCAGCGGGACCCGCGACAACCTGCCCGATCGCGAAAAGCCTCTCCACTCCCCACATCGTCCAAGCCCCTTCGATGTAACAGTTTCCCCCGCGTTTCCCGCGACAACCACCGTGTTTTTTCGGGAGTGGGGTCATCCAGCCTGGTCATGTGCAGATATCAGAAGTGAGGCTGGACTTGCATACCAAAGCTCAAGGGCACAAGGACTGGACATAAGCACACGAGGCATCGGAGAAGGAGTGCTGTGTAATGCGCGATGACGAGACTCCGCTTATCCGGCTAGAGCTGCCGGAACGGGTCTAGGGATCGATCAGGTGAGCCCGCAGGAGATAAGAGGAGATACGCAGCGTAGTAAACAGTCAAGTGGAGCGTCGTGGGAGCAGCTATATGAAGGTCCCTCCACTTCCCCCCAGGGGCCAATTTCAAAGACATTCCCAGCTTCACTCTACCCCTCTGCCTGGCTACTCCCTACAGTTGCTATAGACTCTCCTCCCTCTATTCCTTTCTTCCCCTCTTCTCCCTTCCATCTGGTGTGCCTTGAAGCACTTCATACTCTACTTAGATGGCCGTTCTCTCTTTCTACCCACTACTCATTCATTCGCATGCCTATACCATATCGCTGTCTCAGCCCACACGAAGATCCAGTAGACCCAGTACACGGAAATCTAAACCGGTACTGTGAGCTAGCTGCCATTCCGGTTCACGAGATCGTAGTGACCAAGTATAATGTCGATCGAAATCGTCCCGCTCGTCGAGGCCGACATCCCCGGCGCTGTAGACTGTGTGCAGAGATCCTTCGCAGACGACCCTTACTTCCGCTGGGTATTCAATCTGTCCAAGGTACGAGCCCACTTCCCCAAGCGCAGCAGGTTGCAAGACCCCCACAACTTCTGGACTTGAAGGAAAAAAATGCCTCATGATGAGCAAAGAAGTCCAAACTAAAACATGCCCTGCTCCCATTAACAGTTCAATATTGAGCGAAACTCAGCCTCTGTCGCGGCTCATTTCCAGTATGGAATCAACTGCAAGTGTCCTGCCTCGGTGGCCAAAGTCACCCGTGCAGCAAGCGACCGAAAGACCGACCGCGACATGATGCTTGCTCCGGGCACGATCGTTGGTGTGGCCTGGTGGTACCCACCGCAGCCGCTCTCCCAGCCCCAGACCTGGACGGTGTGGGCGCAGGATTGGCTTCTCTCGTTCAAGCAGCTCATGAACAACATTCGCTTCCTTGGCCGGGGCGGTCTGGATGTGAACCGATACTGGATCTGGAAACGGCTCCAAGGCGTTGCGCACGACACCTTGTGGGTGGATCCACGGGGGTACTATTTCTGCAACCTCCTCTGTGTGAGCTCCGCTGTTCGAGGCATGGGGATTGGGAAGAGACTCATGCAAGAGATCATGGACAAGGCTGACCAGGAGGGGATGCCCTGTTACCTTGAGAGCTCCAAGGGTTACCCCAATGTGGCCATATATGAGAAAATGGGCTTCGAGCTTATTGACAAGATTGAATGTGCCGAGGCGGAGATACTTGCACTGTAAGTCAAGTTTTGTGTACACGTGTCTCCGGATGACTGACCTGAATCGCAGCTGTACTGCATGATTCGCAACCCGAAAGTGAAATCTTGATTACTGATGAGCTTATTCGCATGCGGCTATCAACATCGTGCAGTGCGAAGCGGAGGAACTGACCAGCATCTTCAACATCGATGACAGCGTTGACTAATGTTTTCTGATGAGTTTGCACAAATTGTCTCGTTATTCAGCTGCGCATATAGCTATGAACTCCCTCCACAAATTACCTTCAATTGGGATCTTTAGATACAGACTTGCTTGAAATGTCCTATCTACTAGCTACGTAATTTGCTACCCAGTTCCAATGGGGCATGTTCTTCGCCTAAACTGCGGAACCAAGCTTGGTGAATTTTCATCAACAGCTACTATTTATACCTCGTTGAGAAAGAGGCTCTCAAGCCTAGAATACTGGTAGCTACTGTGTCGACGCAGAGCCTGACTTTTCGCAATCCATCTGGACATCCCTACTACTATCTGACTCTGAAGCGTACGAATTCCCAAGTACAAATGGCTTCACTTGGCCCCTCTTTCAAGATAAGGTCTTCTCACAAGGCTTCTCTTCATCCCTTCCTCCAGTCCGCCATCGGACGGGAATGATCGTCTCTGAGTCCTCCCTGGGTCACTTAGCCTCTAAGAAGGTCCGCACTGTCCTTTTTCTTCATGTTTGAGTAAGCGAGCGGCGGAACACAAGCCACCGACGGATCAGTCTATAAGTTCAGACAAAGGCCCAGTAAGAGCTTCAAAGATCTAAGGCTCTTAGGAGGGGGATATGGAAGACAGAATCCCAAGACTTCGTTCTGCCTTGAAAGTTGAAGGCTTTTCTCCGGGGCGCCCCTTCCCATATCGTCTTCCTTTGGCCACGAATAGAGCTCCCTCTCGCCGAAGGGCAGGTCATCTGGCAAGCTAAGTCTGAACGATGCCGTTCACTTGGTGAAGATCGTGGAGCTGACATGGCACGCACTGAGATTCTGCGTTTGGCATTGGCAATACAGTTTCTCGTGCTCTCATAAACGGCATTGCCAGAGCTGGAAAGTAATTCTCTCGGTCCGTTCTTGCGTGGAGAACTGGACAAAAAGTTATTTGCTGAAGGGAACATTGACACCGCGGCTTCGTAATTCACCGTAGGAGGACGCAATGGTTGAGCTAGAAGAGAGTCATGGTTGAATACACTCAAGCAAAATCGCCATACTTATGAAGGAAAGGTTCGACTGTTGCTTCAAAGATATTAAGATATTATGAAGAAGGAATACGAACGCCTTGGCGTCACGTTTCAGATCTCAGGACGCCACTGCTCATTCATAAACATCGCGCTTAAGGAGCAGTCTTCCAAACCAAGTGATGAGAAATTAATACTCGGACTATGGCTATGTAGCGGGGGGTTTTTTTTTTTGCTCCCTGTCGGTGACAGGCTCAAGCACTCAAAACGGACGCCAACAATTTCAACCGTCAAAAGGTTGTGCTGCATCAACAGCGGCAACAATATATCGTCCACCCCATCGCAGAGGGGTGGGGAGCGGAATGAACCTGGGACATTTTAGAACGATAGACTCGATATCTAGTAGGAACGTCCGTTCTGCTCGGTCTGCTGCGGCCGGACACTCAGGTGCTGGAGCCAACGTCCCCCACGAATCATCATCGAAGTCTTCATCAGAGGGAATCTTGAAAAGGCTCGTCGCGCTCCGGCACGGTACAGTGTACTGGGATTATTTTGCGTCTCTGCAGGCCCTGCGAAGTGTCCGGATCGATCCTTCGGCGATCAAGCTAGAATAAGGGTACATGGCATGTACCGGAACGAATTTGAGACTGACAGGCGATTGCTGCCGTCGAGAAATATCCTCAGTACTCGCCTTGTCATAGAGTACTTAGAGACCAAGTTTCCCGATTCAAAGGACGCGTGGGAGCTTCTTCGGGACAAGGCAAATGCACGAGTCGCTACCTTTCTCGCGCATGTTCAGGATACAGATCATGAGGTAGTGAAGAAACGATCGAGGAAGTCCACCTCATTTGATGATTTGCTTCTATGATGGACAGAGGAATCGCTTGCTCATGAGGGTGGGACGGAAAGGCGGTTCTTGCTTTGGAGGGTGGGGTGGGCTGAATGGATTTGAGACTCCGCGCTCGATTTGGAACATTTCGAAAGTAATAGAGTTAATATGTTAATCCGTAGGAAACAAGTTGAAACACTTAGAAATCAGAACTCTTCGAGAATTCTTCATCACCTGTAGTTGAACTTGGAATCAATCTTGTCATATTCTATTTTCATGAGGATGGGGAAAGATAAAGCCGGGGGTTCGGCGACCTAGGTGAATGCCCTTATCAGGCTCGAAACATGCTCACCAAGGCTGTTCGTAATGGAGGGTACATGGGTGGCGCAGACGCACACATCTCGGATCGACATGTCTACCCGATCTCGGGCCTGTTCAACCCGAACATCTGGTCTTTCCGGGGCCTTTGAAGTTGGCTAGAAAACAATCACTGAGTGTACGCCAAGGAATTCAATGGATCGTTGTCTCTTGGCCAAGCTTTTTGACATGGAAAATCGATACTTCCACTTCGGACCAGTTGAAACACACACAAAGCCAAAACCCCACATCGCGCACAAGTCCACGCAGCCCAATTGCGAAGCTGTGGAGGATGGCCCTCTCCATCGGCCAATGAGTTTGTCCACCAGCTTTGGTCTCCCCATGGCTATATGGGTTTGCGCGAAAGAGATTTCCGTCCCATATAGACTACACAAAAGAGTTGTTCGCAAGTCACGCCCTTGGCCACATATTCCGCCGCGACCCGGGAAAAAGCCACGCGAAAGACTAAATCGCCAAATCAGAACTGTAGATGGTCAGCCCGTGAAACCCAATAGATCAACTGATGCGCAGCCAATAACACATTTCCCCACCGACGACGAAGACTACACATATGTGAGCCGTCGCCCGACCTTCGACTCGGCTTCCCTTCCTTCTCATCGCTCCTCTCTGTGCCATACCACCTTCCCATACATAATAGATGCGATAGTCGCTGGGCATGCCATGTGTTGATCCATCGCAGTAACTACGTTAGCCTTCTGTCGCTCCATCAATACACCCCCATTACGTCACCGCTTGTACAATTCGCGACTCCTCTCCCCAGCACATATTGCATCGTCAAAATGGTTATCAGCGATTCGGCCGTCATTGTCATCGTCCTCGTCGCATCCTTGTTCCTCACAGCCCTCTGCGCCGCCCTATTCCGCCACTATAACCCCACCGGCGACGACTGCAAGGCCTATGAGCGGAACCTCGAGCAGAGCAAGTACATGCGCGCCGTGCGTCTGCGGAATTACGGTTTCCTGAAGAGAGAATCGATGAGTGCGGCCAAGGACTTGGAATCGAGATGTATGTTGCGGTCGCATAGTCTTTAAGTAGTGGGGCGATACCCCCGCTGTTCAGCGCTAATCGATAACCAGATAATAACTCGGAGGTTGCCTCGGCCTTCTATCAGTATGGGCAAGATGCTGCTACGCCGAGCGGATATGGTCATGAGAGTTCCTACATGCAGGATGATGGTTATAGTGGATATGTGCCGGATCCGAACTCGAAAGAGCCCGCTCATCATGTTCGTGAGGCTACGACGCCATCGACGAACTTTGGGGTAGATATCTCCAGCACCCCTACACGATGACTACGATTTTTTTTTACTCTTGATTTTTTTTGACGTGTGTGCGAGGTTTGGCGTCTTGGGAGCCCTTGATCATTGGGGTCTGGTTCCTGCTGCGGGCAGTAGGTTTGTGGATAGTTGCGCCCGTGGCCCTTACCAGCCGCCCTTTTTCCCCCTGGAAATACCCTTCGGTGTCGCAGCTGGATGCGTACTTCCTGGAGACTCTTGCGATTGACAAAATTGATATTTTTTCCGCATGTCGATTGTCCAGTTACTGTGGACTAGCTTGCAATGTGATTATCTTGGATTTTAAAATGGACATAGTTACCCTTCGTCAAACCTCTCTAGCACAGTCCAATCATTGGGAACCTGTCTTGAGCCGATACTCATATTGGGAGGCGTGTCAACGGGTCAAGCCACAGAGCAAAATCTTCGTCTTTAAGCAGGGGGATGGGCACAAGGCAACCTGGAATGGTTCCTTCGTACGTCCTTCTACCATCCGATTCCATCCAGCATTAGATAGCCTTCTCCGCACAGGCCCAAGTCTACCATGGCTACTGTCTTTAGCAATATCAGGCTTAATATGGGTAATCAATGTGGTCCGTGATGCCGCGACAAATTCTGTTGCCTTCGGAGATGGATCGCCGTGCGGTTGGTTCTAGCGTCGATACAAGCACCAGGCATCGACATTTTTTATTCTAATGCATATGCTAGCGCGATTCACGTACTTATGTGCATATCTTCAAGTTGGGCCCGGAAAAGCCGGCCTCGGCAGGAGAGGACTCGATAGAACGTTATTTCATGACTCTAATCCTCCCATCCTCCAAAGTTCAATCCTCATGGCTAAATTGAAACGCCCGTAACGATCTAGCCTGAATCATTCGGGTTTAGCCCACCGAGTCTCATGAATGTCACAACATTCGAGCATGAGGGGCCAAAGCCACTCACCACTTTAAAACCTCGACTGGAGGTCCGCCGACCGCAGAGTGATCTATAATTGGGGCAGAGCTTGGCGTCAGGCGTCTTCTGAGGCTCTCGCGCTCAATGCGGTAATGGTCGCGCGTTGGTTGCTGACCCTGCATCTTGATGGTCGGGACCCCGAACAGCAGTGCACGGATTCTCACGATCGCATCCTTCCTAGCAACTTGCAAGCTTCTGCCAAGTTCTTCAACGTCCAGAAGTGGTTTCCCCATGTGTGAAATAGAGATGCCTGCCACTCTGGAATGCATGTTGCATGCCAGGCACGAATACACGGCAACGCAGCAGGTGCTCGTAGAAGGTTGACAGCCCATGCAGAACTCAATTTACGAGAAGGGGCGCATCACTTACCCCATCAGGGCGAAATTACCGTGACTAGTGCAATAATCGCCGTGCCCGACGTTCAGAGCTGCATTGCCTTGTCGGCTGATCATCCCCGCCAAGACCGTTGTCTCATCAGGGTCTTTCGCTCCGCTTCGAAACTCTACGGAGCCGCGCGAGCTCGGCCCTTCGCTTTCCTCGGTCGTAGGCTGCCACAGCTTATTCTGACCCCAAGGGCGAGGGACAGCGCCAATCAAATCCTTCAGGAGGATGCCCATGAGGTCATGACAGGCGCCTCCATCTCGCAAAGGTTCCTCTTCTAGAGCAACCGTTGGAGCCTAGTGGTAATGTTTCCTGTCGGGGAATTCGGGGAATTTGCGAAATTCGACCATCGGCGGCATTAATTGGCATCGAGCATAAAGTCTCACATTCTGGTCATAAAAGCCCCCGTCAGCCAAAACTAGGAGAAAAATCTCCACCGGAACGGGGTCCAACGCACAAGCTGAATCCCGTCGGACTTCTTGCCCCCACATGGTTCGTTCGATACGACTACGGGCCAGAAAGCCTAGGCCGAGCTAAAAGTCTTGGGCTTTACTACTTAGTTTGCCTGAACCCATGGAGTCGGTGTAGGGTGAGGAAAAATTAAAATAAACCTCCCACAAACTCTCCTGACCTTGCAATCCTTGAAACTATATTTTACCCCCCAGATCAGCTGGAATGATCTTCAACATGCAGGAGCCCAGCATGAGTACAGACTCGGTGGACTATCAGAGTGACACGGGAAGTGATGAACGGTAGGACCCGCTTATGGAGCTCCCTTTCTCCCTTTGTTTACTTCAGGCTAAAGGAGAAGTCCAGCCTTGCGTCGCAACCTGCTCGCACCAAAATCGAAGCAAATTTCAATGTCGCACGCCCTCCACCGAAATCATCACTACGCCTCTCGGCAAAACTACTTCTCCAAATCCAACAACTAGCTCCCAACACCCGTCCCGTCCCAGTCCTCGAAGTATGGCAACCACCACTCCGCAAGTCAAAGTTAACCCAAGATTTCCATCTGCGCCCGAAATTAAAGAGCGGCGACCTCTATGCGACCCGCGATGAACCATTTATCTTCAGCGCGAACTTGCGCAAGCAATCCACCAAATCAGACCTGACCGACTCTAGCGACACCCACGCTGTAGATAAAGAAATTGTGGCCGCCATTTGCTATCCCACTGCCGGCGAAGAGTCGACCTCGGTGCATTTCCGCGATTCAGAATGCTGCTGGCAGACCGGCGCAGCTGCCAAACCCCTGGAAGGGAACCCATGCTACCGGTTTACTATGCGCGGCGAGGACAATCTGGACCCGAGCCAGCCGGGGCGAATGATCCTACAGTGGGAGAAACGGGATACCGCAGGAAAAGAAAATGCAGAAGAACAGTTTATCCTGTTCCTGATTGATCGGCAGGCCCGACGGAAGAGCCGCATTGCTACTATGAGCAGAGTAAAGCTGGAGATATATGTGCGGAAAGGCTCGATTATCGAGACTCTGCAACTATGTCTGGATTTAACGAAGCCCTCAACGCGCCCCGGGGCCAACGCCCACGAGAGATTGGAGACGTGGCTTTTTACGTTAGTTCTCACGTTAGGAGTATGGGTTTCGCAGCAGGAAGGCTGGCTATAAGTATTCTCGATAACCAATTGAAACCGAATTTAATGACCTTGGCTTTCTAAGCGGACATCCTAAGTAATACCGGTCTAGTATGTAGCAACCCCCGCTTCAAGGGCCTTGATCTGCAACGCCAGTAGACGAGAGTAGTATCTGCACAGAGCAAGATTTCCGCCCATAAACCAGAAGCCCGAGTGCCCACTCCGACTCCAGATGGTGCGGAACTCACCCTCCTCATTCAGGCCCCAGACGCTGCCAACGCGATCAGCAATCTCGTCGCCAAAGATAATGCGCGCCTGGGATCGCATGTTCTGGTAGCCCGTAGCAAAGACAATCTCATCAGCCTCCAGTTCCGAGCCATCTGCGAACCGCACGCCGTGGGGCAAGATCTCGCTGATCTCCTGTCCCTGCTTCACCTTGACCTTCCCATCAATAATAAGCTGGCTGCCGCCCACATCGATGTAATACCCTCCTCCACGCTGAAAGTACTTGACCAGCAAACCCGCGTCCATCGGACCCTGATCGACCGAGAAGCCAGCCTTCTCCAACCCAGCAATGATCTTCGCGTCGAACTCAGCAATCTTTCTCGTCACCTTTGCCTGCTGCGTCTTGAACAGCTCCGGCGGCACACTCCACAAGAAAGTATCCGCATCCTCCGTCGGCGGGCCCGTCTCATCATACAACCCTTTCATCGCAATCTCCCCCCAGCGCCTCCGACGAAACCACCAGAGTCGAACTCCGCTGCACCATCGTAACCTCGTACCCGCGCTCGTAGTAATCCTGCGCAATATCATGCCCCGAGTTGCAGGACCCGATAACCACCGCTTTCTTCCCGGCGGAGTTTGCGTCTGCGCCGGGCCACTCGGAGCTATGGCACAGCCGGCCCTGGAAAGTCTCCTGGCCCTTGAACGTGGGCATGTTCTTCTTTCCGGAATGCCCGGTGGCCTGGATGATGTGGCGCGGGTGGAAAGTGCGCGTTTCCTTGCTTCCGTCTTCTTTCGTGCGCTCCACCGTCACGGTCCAGTGCTTCTTGCCTCGTCATAGGAGGAGGACTTGAGTTCTGTGCGTGTCCAGACGTTCAACTCGAGGAGTTTGACGTAGGACTCGAAGAACTCGGCGAGCTTGTCTTTGGGGGTGAAGACGGGCCAGTGCGAGGGGAAATTGAGGTAGGGCATGTGGTCGTACCAGACCGGATCATGCAGCACGAGCTGGTGGTAGCGGTGGCGCCAGCTGTCGCCGATGCGCTCTTCGCGGTCGATCACGAGGGTGTCGACGTCGAGCATCTTCAGGCGGGCGGCGGCTGTCAGGCCTCCTTGGCCGGCACCTGCGATACGTTAAGCTTATGTGTCTCATTTCTTTAGTGATTTTAGGAGTAAAGGTGTTCGTACCGACGATCATCACAGCAGGCTCCTTCCCGTTTTCATAGTTCATCGCGGCATTGCGACGATCCTGCCAGTTCGTGCGCCCCTGGTAAGCGCCATGCTGTACCCCGATGGGTCTGCGTGGACCTGTGGCTTCCTCATACCCCTTTAGCTCTCGCAGGGTCGTGAAAGCAGTGAATATCTTCCAATCACTTCCCTCCTGCGCCAATCGGACAACCCCGACTCCGGAGCCGACGTTCGTGGTGGCCGTAACGAAGAACTCAATTCCGTGGACTTCTCCAAACGCGTCAATGGGGCCGTTATGCGGCGCCTTGTGTGGTGCGCTACGATCAATTCCGAGCTTGATCGAGGCCGCGCTTCCTGCCACGAATTTAGAGAGCAGGTCCGATCCTTTGACCGTGCGGAATTCCCACGAGAGAAGGAGGTGGTCGCGCCAGTAGCTGTTGTCGAGGAAGAGTGCGGCAACGGCAGCACTGTCCTTCTTCGCTATGCTCTCATTGAGCTTGGTGATTATTTCGCTGGCGATCCTGTCAGGGTTCTCGGGGGTGGAAGTGCTTGTCCGGGGTAGAACGCCTAGCGGGATGTCATGCGAGCCAGGCTCCACTCGGGATCGAGATGGGATTGCTGGCTGGGCCACGTCGGCTGTCGCCATATTGAGACTGTTTATGAGAGATATAAAACTGAATTGTCAGGAATTGCATCCAGACATTTGAGTTCTTTATTTACCTGTCAACCCCGCATCAAGATGCGGGGCTCGCATAACTCAAGTGACGCAGGTTCCTTCTCGCTTCTGCTGTGCGACAGTGAGCTTACCCCATTGGGCCTTCTGGACCAATCAGTCGGAGATGCCCCGATTTTCTTTAGCCTGAGAAGCACCTTGAGGACATGTTGGTACTCATTGTTCTTCTAGTCGTTCCTGCGAGCCTCGTAGCTGAACCTGTGGGTCCGCGTTCAGAAACTTTTCCCGCGGAGATTCATATTGATTCATGATACCAGCTTCAGAGCCTTTCGCCGCTTCACGAAAGAAGGAGGTCTTTTACGTTCTAGAGCGGAGCCGCACAATGCCAAGGTGGCAGACATCGGTCATCTCTCCGGTGCCACGAAGGTATCTGTACCTAACGACATTACGAGAGGCTATCTGAAAGTTATATATTAAGTTCGGTAGCAGTTCAAGTTTAATATACTGAATCCCAAGCTTTGGTAAAATACCGACATACCTCTGTGTTTTGTCAGAACAGGAGCACAAGCAATGTGTCCAACTGTACGTCTGTATTGCGGTTAGGGGCTCCGCTCACTACGCACTGAGAGCTTAAAGAGATCTCAGTAATAGCTCCCACCACCAGACAGATACACATAGTATTACTCAAAAAGACAAACCATAAGACAACCACTCTAATCACTTTCTAAATCGGACCTGAAACGTGAAGCTACGGGACTTGAGACCCTCAAATTCGGGGTCGGAGACCTTTGTCGGCTTATTCTTGAAAATGCCGATTTTCAGACCAAGTATAAAGTTCCGACAGTGTCCCCCTCGTTCGCTCATTTCTCACTACTAAAAAGAAAAGGGGATTAACTTGATCAACATCTTATTGTCTGCAGAAATGAACATTTCCCAGCTCGTCCAATCAATCGATACTCTCGCCACTGCCGGCCAGCTGAATAGCATCGACGAAAATCAGCGAGTGCAACTCTATCAAGCATGTAGCAAACTCAGAGCTGCACCTGCTTCACCATTGGATAGGACTCTCGAGCTTCTTTTCTCTGTCAGTGACACTTCATCCGATCGGGCCGTTTCGCCGAGCTGACTAGTGTCAGGGCCACCAAGCGATGGCCGTTCGCCTCGGAGTTGATCTCAAACTCTTTGATTCGATTGCCCGTCATTCCGCTGGTGATTCAGAGAAATTTATCACCGTCAGTCAAATTTCGGGAGACATCAAAGCTGACGCTAAGCTCGTCCGTATGTTTCACATTTTTTGAGCGGCTGAGCTCCATGTCTAACGTGACATAGGGAGGATTATGAGATTCCTCGCATCTATGGGTATCTTGAAGCAGATCTCCAGGGATGAGTTCCAATCGACCTCATTTGCTGGGGCTTATGTATCGGCCTCTCCGTTATCCGCAGCGGTGGTCTATTTGTAAGTTGCTTTCCGCGGGTCAGGCCATGCAGTACAGACTCTAAACATCAACCAGCACCCATTTCCACTCTATCATTTCTCGGCTCCCTCAGTACTTCGAGGACAAGGGCTGGAACAACCCTGAGGACATCGACGATTCCCCGTTCCAGGCGGCTATGGGCATCAAATCCCGCTACTTCGACTATCTCAAGACTAAGCCTTACTACCAAGACGCTTTCAATAAATTCATGGCCTCCTCCTATGGCCGGGAAGGTAAAAAGTGGTTTGAATGTTTCCCCGTCGCAGGGTTACTGTGCGCCGAATGCCCTTCCGACGTTCTACTAGTAGACATTGGTGGCTGCCACGGAGTCGAGCTGGAGGCTTTCCATAAGAAATTCCCCGATGCCCCAGGACGCCTCATTCTTCAAGACTTGCTGCACGTCATCGAGACCGGCGATCTCCCTGCCGGGGTCGAGGCCCAGGGGTACAATTTCTTTGATGAACAGCCGGTCAAGGGCGCGCGGGCATACTACCTTCGCAATGTCCTCCATGACTGGCCAGACGAGCTGGTCCTGAAGATTTTGGGCCGCATCCGCGAGGCCATGGCGGCGGAGTCCTTGCTCTTGATAGAAGAGAGAGTCTTACCCGAGGCCAATATTCCGCTGCTGTCTGCTCTTGGCGATATGAGTATGATGGTTTTGTTTGCGGCCGCTGAGCGGACCAAGGGGGATACGAGGGCCTCTTAAATGAAGCAGGGCTGGAGCTTGTCGGGCTCTGGGAGCCAGAGAGCGGTCCGGCACTCCAATCATCGGTGATTGAAGCGAGAGTTCTCGGCAGGTAGTAACTTGAAAGCTTCCATGTTCGGATATGCTTGATTGAGGGTTGTTTCGGGAATGTCAATGTTTCAATTCGTTTTGGAAGCATCGAATGCTAGTCAGTACTATAGATGTTCGGCGTTTCCAACTTGAATCTAATGGTATTGGATCCATTGATACGTCCGTTTGATTCTCGTTCAAGTTGTGCCCGCTATTTGCTGGTACTATGATTCGTGGCATCCGGCAAAATATATATTCGAGATTTCTCAAGACACATCATAGAGACAAAGTGGCAAGCCTGTGAGGAGGAGACTGAACGTGCGGCTCGCTTAATAGGGTGGAGGCCAGGCTAGACCGCATCATCAAAAAAGGTGACAGACACATCATATACACATACTACGTACAGAAAATAAGGGACTTTGAAGGATCGGAAAGGGAAGAAAAACTACCTGACCATAAATTTTGGGTCATGTAGCACAAATCTGCCGCCCACTACATGAACCAGCATCATTGGTCTAGTGGTAGAATTCGTCGTTGCCATCGACGAGGCCCGTGTTCGATTCACGGATGATGCAAAGCAATTTCTTTTTTCTTTTTGTTTTGATGTTGGATACTTCAACCCCTTTACCTATTCTTTTCCCTAGCTGCACGATTCAAAGGCATCCTAGAAACTATTAGGATGGTCGGAAAAAATGGATCATCCACCACTTGAATCCCTGCTAAATCACGTTCATGCTGGGCTCTCGTGCCTCAGTATGGCGCGGCCACTCCGAAGTGGGGCCCCGTCAGGGATAAACGAACATTCAACACCGAGCACTTCTGAGCAACCTGGCCATGCTCTCATATCAAGAATTGGGATATCTATAGACAAATAGGTACAGAAATAGTCTGAGGTTTTGAGCTCGTATTTGCGGCCGATGGACCTGGAGCGAATCCGAAAATACCCCAGGGGGCGCGTTGCGGCAGCCAACGTCCCAAACGTAGCAGATGGATCGGCGATCCACGCGAGCCACTCACGTTATCCCCCCGAGCACGAAATACTCGCTACTTCTTTCTAGGCATCTGCCCCTAGCTGGGCAATGGTTTCCCCTTGTTCACTCCTCGGTGCTTGAAAATGGCATAGAGCGACGCAGTCCGAAGCCTGGAACTTGCCTCCATTCGACATGAGTCGAGCGGGACGCCAATGGCTTAGCTACTCGCTAGCAGTTCTGGCGATCCTCCTATTGTACAAGTATATGGACCCGCATGCGCCGAAACCGCAAGTACCAACAGCCAACCCTCCGACAAATACTGAATCCCTCCAACCTCCCGGCCTCGCTGGCGAAGACTTGCAGATTGAGGGAGCCCTATCCCCAGAGCCTAAGCCAGCTCCAGCACCGGATAGTCCCACGCCCCACGAGCCCCAGAATGAACTGCAAGACGGATCCCACGAATCCATTTGGAGATCTTTGCCCATGAGATTTGCGGTTTTCCCCAATGCTCTGCCGCCAACAGATTCATCGTTGGGTCTGCGAAGCATTCAAGCGGACTCTTCCAGGTTTCCAAAATCAACGGGATGGTTTTCAGAGGATGAAGCAACGAAGACCCGGAAGCGCAAACAGGCCGCGGTAAAAGCGGCCTTCCAAAGGTGCTGGGCATCATACAAGTCCTTGGCATGGCGGAGCGACGAGCTTGCGCCTGTCAGTGGCGTTCCTCGCAACGCGCTTGGTGGATGGAGTTTGGCTCTGGTGGATAACTTGGATACTCTCTGGATAATGGGGATGTTCTCGGAGTTCGAGGAAGCTCTAAACGCAGTGGCTCAAATTAACTTCGAAGACTCTCCGTCGGAGCTTGTCAATACCCATGAGATCAACATTCGTATATTGGGAGGTTTACTGGGAGCTTTTGATTTGAGCGAAGACCCCCGATTGTTGGACAAAGCCATTGAAGTTGCGGATATGCTCTACGTTGCCTTCGACACTCCAAACCGGATGCCCATCATCCACTGGGATTTACACGAAGCCGCACGCCGAGAGGAGCAAATCGCCGAAGAAACAGCCTCGCTGACGGAGATCACTTCCTTTTCCTTGAGTTTACTCGGCTATCCCAAATCACAAATGACCCTAAATATTTTGACGCCGTCCAGTTCATCATGGAGAAGTTTGAAAAGCACCAGGGCACGACACAGATCCAAGGATTATGGCCCGCGAAATTCAATGCGCGGACAGAGAGGTTGGATGGTGATGTCTACAGCGTGGGCGGCGACTTTGACTCCATATATCGAACTTTGCCAAAGGCGTTCGTTCTCCTCGGAGGCCGATACCCCATGTACCGCGAAATGTACGAGAGGGCGAGTCGAATTATCTCTGGTCGCATGCTGTTTCGGCCCATAAATATCGAAAACCTCGACATCCTCTTTGCAGGATCTGTGCGCGTGGCCCCATTCCCAGGGCGAAACCCGCGCACGCATGTGGAAACTCAAGTCCACCACGGCTCGTGTTTTGCCGGGGGTATGTTTGCCTTGGGAGGCGCCCTATTTGACATCCCGGCTCACCACCAAATTGCCGACAAACTACTGGATGGCTGCTTGTGGGCTTCCCGAATCTCACCTCGCGGCATTATGCCGGAGATTATGGATCTGATTGCATGCGAATCGCAAGGAGATTGCCCATGGAATGAGGAACACTGGCGGCGTGAGATTCACCACAAATCAGTGCCTAGCGCAGATCCTGACATGGACATCGACGCCATCATCCGCGCCTATCACTTGGCGCCGGGGGTGGTCGCGGTGCCTGATAAACGATATACCCTGCGACCCGAGATCGTCGAGAGTATCTTCACCCTTTATCGTGTAACGGGGCGCCAAGACCTGCTGGATTCCGGCTGGAAGATGTTTGAACATATCCGAGCTGCGACCGAAGTGACCAATGGGAATGCTGCGGTGGAAGATGTCATAAACCCAGAGGGTGAACCCGGCCACCTCGATTCCATGGGAAGTGTCTGGATGGCGCAGACGCTGAAGTATTTCTACCTTCTGTTCAGCCCCCCGGATACCCTCAGCTTGGATGAATACGTCTTCAACTCTGCGGGACATCCGCTCAGACGTCCGGAGGAAACCTTGCGAGGCGATTCGTAGTGATCGAAATCGGCTTCTTGTTAATGACTAGGATACTCATGGCCGGAGATCATTGTACATAGCTCATACTCAGGCCCATAAACGCAATACTCCATAATCCGTGTTTTCTTCCCCTCTATGGCAGGAGGTGAACCATGAAGTCGGATGGCTCACATTCCAACCTTCCAACCCGAGGCTGTTGCACCGCCCGCCACAAGCCTTGTCGTTCATCTTAACTGCTTGATTCTTTCCATAAGAGACAAGTTCAAAATAGAGCCGGGGAATTCACTTTTAAACTCGGAGACATGGACGAATATTATTTCCAATCCAGGTCGCCGTGGGCGAAGCAAAAAAGAAGAGCGTAATTGTTTCCGGATCAGGAATGCTTAGAGCGCGTTCGATGACGAAAGGAGCCGCTGGGCAAGTTCCACACCTCGTCCATTACCAGTAAAAAAAATTGGAATATAATGGACATGTAATTTCCAGATTTTCTAGATCAATTGACTTAACATTCGATAGAAGGAACTACGCCCGTTTGGCCGTCATGCAGGTCGGCGTTCGCATCGCATATGGTGTATCAGATACGTGGGAGATTAAGCCGAGACCACTTGCATTAATCTGGTATGCCGTTCCCAATGGGTGGGAATATCGATCTACGCGCCTGAGAGCTAACTCCGAAGCTAAAAGGCAGATTGAGATGATATGCTCAAGGAAAGCCCCATTGTATCTTCAGCGGCTTGATTATTTTACTAGCATGTGCCGGGCTTAGAGCCGCAAACCCAAAGCCAATATAGTTTTATAGTTTTATAGGGTGGAGCATTCAAGCCAACGGCCTTTTTTATGAGAGCTAAGAATTATTCAACAGCTCAATCTGGGGAAAAGTACATTCGTGGCCGATGAGGCCGATACAGCTCCGTTCTGCAAACGCTCGTGAGGGCGCCGCAGGCCCCGAGATGCAAGAGCACTTCGCATTAGCAGCAAGGGCTAATCTCGCAAACTCAAAAAAGGAACATCCAAGAATCAGAGATATGTAATCGAGATAAATCAGGTAATTGAGATTCGCGCATCGACGTATGCGACCCTAGACCGCCGTTTTGGGCGAAATGCGAGGCTGATCAGCGGCTAACAACCGACCCGCACCCGCTTCAGCCGGAAAAGCTCAGATCTTTGACGCTCGATTTCTTGTCATGTTATCCATTGTTTTTGAAGATGAGTGGGGATGAAAAGACCACAACAGAGCTATCCAATCCTGTACCTCAGCATGATGAAGAAAAGGGGCCGATAGATGCTAGCCCAGCCCATGCCCTAACAGCACCCGAGACACCGGAGCGAAGGCCGAAAGCAATCACGAGTCCAACGAAAACCCCGCCAAATACAGGCATTTGGCACACCATTGTTGATGCTCTTTTATGGATGCCACGGTGGTGTCGATATGATGAAACGAATCCTCCAAAATTTGGATTACCATTGAATATTTTATTTGCATTCGCTGGGACATTCACGGTACGGCGAGCATAGTCACCAATGAAAGACATGACACGACACTAACGATCAGTCCCTAGGTCGCAAATCTGTACTATGCGCAGCCCATTGAAGATACCCTGGCACGTCATTTTCATGTATCCCACGAGCAGGCCTCCCTAGTTCCCACGTGCAGTCAAGCCGGGTATGCAGCGGGGCTTATCTTTGTCTGCCCGCTGGGCGATTTAGTCAGGAGACGGCCTTTTGTGATCCTTTTAATGATCCTCACGCCGACTCTGTGGCTGGGATTGTGCGTGACAAACTCGTTCAACGCCTTTCTTGTTCTCAGCTGCTTGACTTCGATAACGACAGTGACACCGGTAAGTCGGAGAACCCGATTGCTCGATACCCTCTAGCTTCATACTCATACTCGAGAGGAACAGCAAATCATGCTCCCGCTAGTCGGAGATCTTGCGCCGCCAGCGCGCCGTGCAACGGCCCTATCAGTCGTTACCTCCGGTATCATCCTGGGCCTTCTCATCGCGCGCCTGCTCGCAGGTATCATCTCCACATACTCCTCATGGAGAAACATCTACTGGATGTCCCTCGGAGTGCAATACCTCCTCTGTATCCTGCTGTGGCTCTTCATGCCAGACTACCCGCCCACCAACACCGACATCACATACCTCAGCATCCTAACCACAATCGTCAAGCTCTGGCTCACGACGCCCGTGCTCGTCCAAGCCACGCTCATGGGCTTCTTCCTCTCCGCCACATTCACCAGTTTCTGGACTACCCTCACCTTCCTCCTCAGTGGGTCGCCGTACCACTTTAACACGGTGACCATCGGCCTGTTTTCTCTCGCAGGAATGACCCCCATGTTCCTAGGCCCCATTTTCTCCCGCTATGTCATAGATAAAGTCGTCACCCAAGTCGCTCTGCTAATGAGCCTCGCGGTCCTGCTCACAGGGATTTGCATCGGCACATTCACGGGCAAGGTCACCGTGGCGGGCCCGGTTCTGCAGGCTGCGTTGCAGGACTTTGGGTTGCAAATGTCGCAGATCGCCAATCGGACGGCTATCTACGCTGTGGCGCCTAAAGCGCGCAATCGTGTTAATACGGCTTATATGATTGGTGTGTTCTGTGGGCAGTTGATGGGCACTGCCGTTGGGAATAAAGTGTACAATGAGTATGGGTGGGTTATTTCGGGGTGTGTGAGTATCGCGTTTGTTGGCGTGGCTTTGTTTCTGACGCTGCTTCGTGGGCCGGCGGAGACGGGTTGGGTTGGATGGCACGGAGGGTTCCAGGTGCGGAAAACAGGATGAAGGACGGGATCATCGCTATGCGCAGAGATTGGCCACGTCTAATATGGCGTGCATGTCCTGTATATAAGGGGCTAAGCTATGGTACATGAAGCATTTCGAAAGATCAGAATTAATGACTTTGGCATGAGAAGAGACCGTTCATATGCGTTGTCCTGAGTGAAGAATTCTCGATCCGTTTGATTTGGACAGCGACGTTGAGGTGTGTGGTGAATTTAATGCAAAGATCTCCTATTTCATACGACTGGAGGATCGAAGGTAGTTTCATCACCAAAGGGAGGAATATCCCAGAAACTCATATCTTGCGGGCCGATATACGGGAACTGGATATTCGCGGATCAGTTCAAACCCTCATCATCATATATCGATTTTCACGTACCATGAACTCCGATTCCAAGCTGGACCCCAGTCCACTTTCCGGCGTCCAGAGATTCGAGCTGTCTGGTGGGACATTCAGAAAAGCATTTGGAAGAGGATTTTCTGAAATATATTGCTCAAGGAGAGTCCGGCATGTCTTCATGCTATCCAGGAAAGCATCCCGAATATGAATCCACTCTGCCTGTTCGCCGCTCATCATCGCCTGGATCTGAGCAAGTACCCCGGCGAGTAAACAGTAGCGTTTCATACTCGGAATACCCGCTTCGAGACTTTTGTATAGGTGTGCGCTCAAACGTTCCAATGCTTGGATGAGTGGTACTCGTACAGCCTGTGCCATCTGGTCTACCGTTGTTGGCGCACCGGGAGAGCCCGGAGGCTGCGACGCGGTTTCCTCTTCTACTTGAGTGATTAACTCCAAGGATATCACCATAAGGACATCCAACGAGAGATATCCTTTAAAGGTACCGGCTCCTGATAAGCAGAGACGCTGTAGGTCTTGATAGGGGGCTTGACTTGCCGCTGCTGCGTCTTTAGGCGGGTCGCCGTGGGAAGCCATCACTAGCGCAGCGTCTAAACTTATTTTCCGAGACATGTAGAACCGTGGGTCGTTGATAGAGTGGATTGCAAAGGGACGATGGATATTGACCAGGAATCGTCGCAGGATAATATCCATCAGCCGGACGTGAAAAATAGTCGGCGGATTTGTTGCAGTCTTTGTGCGGGGAAAATATTTGTGAAAGAGGTTTGAGAGTTCTTTGCAAGCTTGGAGAATTTCATTTCCAAGCTGCAAAGCTGTCTCGTATACTTGCGCTCGGCCACATTGATTCAAAATCCGCATAATTTGCAGCCGCGCGGGAAAACACTGATATAAGATAATCTGAAGAGACGAGGAGGTGAAGCATTCGAGCGAAGGAGCAGGTGGCAGTATCTCCATCGCGGGTTCGATATCCTCGTCGTCGAAATTGGATGGCGGTTGTGTATCATAATCCTCTGGAGCAAGTAAAGGCGGCATGGTGACATCGACAGAAAGCTGCACATTGAGTTCCAGTATAGTCGCCCATACGCGACGTCTCATCTCCCCGTCAAAGGTCGAGATGGTTGGAAAGTTCTTTGGATCTCGATGGAGTCCCTGATTGATCGCCCTCCTGAGCAATGCCCCCGCCATCACCCAGTTGGTTTCCTTGTGTATGGCATATGCCTGTCGGCAGACAATCACCAAAGACTGTACCTGCAGACCTGCCATGCTTTGCGCTTCCCGTTCGCCCGGGCCCTCAAGCCACCATTTTGCAGCATAAATCCAGCGGCGGATTGGCAAGCCAAGTTCATTGAAAGGTCCTGGCTTGCAGTGGAATACCGACCCAATGGCAAGAATCAGCAGTAGCTGCAGCAGGAATGATGTCGAAACATTTTGAGGTTGTTCCCAGAAGGTGTTATACTCCTGGAAGAACGTGGGGCTATGAATGACCCGGTATATAAGGCCTAGAGTACGGAAATAGTGCTGAACGAGCTGGTCACAGACATCCTTCCCCGGAACATCTTTCAGAAGGCCTGGCACCGGCTCCTCTAGCCTTGGAGCCTGATGGTTCTTAATCCTTTGCCGGATCGTACGGATCTCTTTCAGAGATTTGCTCATCTCATTCTTCTCTCCATCAGTATAGCTGGCCGTGCTGCGCACTTGCCGCAGAAGACGAAGCTAGAGGGTGTTAGTTGAAGGTAGCGCAGCTCGGAATAGACATACCTGCTGAAACACAAGGGCCCAGTGGGTAGTCCCGAACACTTTCATAGAGTCCGGGGTACTATTGAGGCGGGGATTGAGCGGAGGGATGCATGTTGGCGGGCTCTTTGTAGAGGTATGATCAGGCTCCCCTGCCAGCCTGGGAAGATGATTATCAAAGGGTTTGGCAGGAAGTTTGTCTTCCTGCGCTTCCCTGTGCTTCGATTTCTCCAGATCCCGCACTCGAGCCTGCAGGGCTTGAACCGTTCGCTCGAGCTGCGTTATCCGGGCTCCGTCGCTGGTGGAGCCCGCTTGCGACACGCCGATGCATGACGACTCCTGCTCTGCTGATCTGGAATCTAGTCGAGCGTCTAGCGCTGCCTTCCCTTCATTGACATATTCACAGTCCAGAGGGGGCTGAGACTTGGTACAGGGCCCGCAAGGCATCTCCCGGTCGCACCGGACTTTGCGTCGCCGACATTGCTCGCAGGATAGAGCGGGGCGACGGCGTTTTCGCGGATTCGATGTAGACTCGGTACGAGTATCCATTGCTATCACTTTAATGATTCAATGAATCCGAGAGCTTGTCCAAGTCAGGCTGTCGGGAATCTTTAGAACGCGGGTACGCGTCGCGGAATTCCGGCAAATTCCGGGCTATGAACGGGATTTTCGAAATTCGCCGCCGTGACGGGGAAACAGCAGTCACACTAGCATATACTCTGGAACTCACGTTATTGATTGATATTGCGTTTTTCAATGAAAAACGTCTCAGGTTCTAGTAAACAGGGTATCCTTCTTAGTTTATCCCAACCGACCCATAATGAAACCCAACATGCTGGGAGCCCCAGCCGAAGACTGGCCGACAAGCATGTGCAAGGAACGCCGCATATTATATATCAGAATGAAAAAGGAAATATAAAGAACAGTGATCTAGCTGACAGACATAGTGCGCTGTCGAGATGTCCTCTTCCGAGGCCCCGGCCCGGCCTCTCGACTTTTGTGGCCCATCCGACCAAGGGCCATGACTTCGAGAGTGTAGGGCTTTCCGCCCCAGATGAGGTTGCGTCCCTTCCCTTGTTGAAGCGAGGGGATCCAGAAGTGTGTCACGACAGCACCAATGACCATACAGATGCTGAAAACAAACAGCACAATGCCGTGGTGACGAGTGGAGATATTGCCCAGGCCACCTCCAAACTTGTAGTACGTCGAGAAGATCTGAACAAGAATCGAGCCAAGCTTGCCGGAGCCAGCAGCAATACCATAGCACGTGGCTCGGTAGCGAGTAGGGAAGATCTCCGCTGGGATCATATATGTGGTTGCGTTGGGGCCTGGAAGAATGTTAGCGGCATCATCTTTGAAGCCGAGCAGAATCAAACATACCGAAGTTGAACATGATTTGACCCAAGATGTATAGGGCAACCGCTGCAGGTGGACTGTCAATCAAGCAGACGAACATACTTCCCAGGACGATGAAGAGCACTGCCAGGAGGAGAAACATGTACTTCTGCAAAGCGACCCGGTCAATGCGATGAGCAAAGATGATGAACAGGAGACCACCTGCGAAACTACCAATGTTCAAAATGACCAAGGCGCGAACCGAAGTATCAAAGAATCCCTGGAAGACAGAGAAGTTCGGGTCTTCCGAAATCTTCCAGTATGGCTCCGGCTTGGAGATTTGGAGCTGGCCCCAAGTGCGAGCAAGGAACTGCGGACTTGCCAAACTGATGCCATAGAAACCAAAATCCATCAGTAGCCAAGCGACAGAGGTCGCAACCAAGCTACGCCAGTTCCCCTCGGTCCAGAAATATCTCATGATATCGGTGCGTGCCAGGCGCCAGTGGGAGTTCAGAGTTGCTGGGGGCAAGGAACCAAACTCATCATCATCAATGATCGAATTGCTCCGTAGCGAAGAAACGGGCGGTACATGCATCCCGCTGCCAGTGATAGTAGTCAATGTTCCAAACCCCCCCATCTCAAACCCCGGGCTTGAAGGAGGCTCGCTAAAGAGTGTCGTTGCGTCGAACTCGGCGGTCACCGGGTCGTCTTCGATATCGACCAGAAAACGCGGGCTTTCTGGAATCGCGAACCGGAAGAGAGTTGCGATGGCCCGGGAACAACTCCGATCCCAAGAACCCAGCGCCACATACTGTCCACCCGACCGACGATATCGGCGTCATTGCTGCTGCGCCCGATGGCAATGACGACGATGGATACGAGATTCCCAGCGATCTGACCGAGGGGTTGCGCGAAGAAGACACTGGCCATCATCCGAGCGCGGTGCTTGGTCGGAGCGAATCTAGGGCTCTGTCAATATCTGCTATTTGCCAATTAATGCCAGGATCTTTGCCGATGCTTACTCGGAGGTAATGACTGCACTCAAAGGATAGTCCGCACCCACGCCAATGCCGACACAGATTCTCCACCAGATAAGCCACGCATATACGTTCATGCTCTTGTTGACTCCCTCCGAGGACATCACGACGCCGAGCGTTGCTGTAATAAGAAGCACCAGTTCAACGCCGTACATTTTCTTGCGCCCATTCTTATCTGCGAGAAAGCCGAACATGACCATGCCGAGCAAGGTGCCCGCCAGAGTGGCGATATTGATGCATGTGAGTCGAAGCGAGGAGATTTCGTTGTTCCAATAGACGTAGGAGATCATGGGCAGGGCCATGTTACTTGCAAAGAGCTTACCCCTCACATGTTAGTATGTCTCTTCATCACAGCACTTGTAGTGTTCCCTGCAGAAACGACTGGGGCCCCAACGTACTGTATAACCGTCGAGGAAAAAGCCCAGACCAGCGACGAGAACGACAATCCATTGATATCCTTGCCGGTCGATCGTCTCATAGATTTGTCGCATTCGCACCACTCGATCCTGCCGTTTCGAACGTTAAGACTCAAAAACGAGACATATGAAACATGACGTCAACTGCCACTCCGCACGTACCTGCTCATGATCAAAGTCGCGAGCACGATCCGTCTTGTACAGACGGGCATGAAGCTTGCCCACATGCATGATGGCCGGTTCCCTCACGGTCGAAGCTATGGTGAATGAACCTGCGAGCCGCAGGAGATCCCAGATAAGTATTTTCCATGCAATGCATCGGCGGGGCCAATGGGACCGGTGCCCTGAGCCTCGTTAGCTGACCAGTCCAGAGCGGAGCCCTTGGGTCAGAACAGGAAGGCCATATCACGCCAGAACCGAGCCAGAACAAACCCCAAGGAGGGCGAACAGAGGCAACTAGTCCCCGGGAGTGCTTAGCTTCATGCACCCAATCAGACCCACTGCTCAAGATGCGGGCCAACCCCCAGGATCTGTAGCTACACGTGCGTGGAGAACAGCGCTTGACACGCTCGGCGGGAGACCCACACGGTGACCCACGCTTAACCGGACCCCATTTGGTGCTACAGGTCGACGCGAGGTGGCTTTTCGGGGGAATCGCGAGGTTTCCAGTGGGGTTTTGCTAGAGGGGCAGAGATCAAATCATATCGTCGCATTATGGTATCCTAGCTGCAAGGTAATTAAATCACAGACGCCAACGCCGCCATGCTAATAACTAGCCACAAGAGTAATACAATGAAAAGTTCCCCCGCACTAGTGCATGTCCCCCTGTTCATCCAATCGTAAGGTCTGTTGATAGCAGCTGGCAAAAGCTTTGACTGTCTATGATCAACCATAAGCGACGGACTCGGTTAAGCCGGAGCTGGGCGCAACTGACCATTATCATCCAGGAACTGGATGTGTAAATTTCGCATCTGAGCTAGGTAGTCGAAGTTGGGGTTCAAATCTACCGCCACAGGACGTCCGGACTTCTTCGGTGGCTTGACATGGGCCACGCAATTCACTGTAACATCAGGTGCTCGGAGATTAGCCTAGGGGGTCTAGCCGAGTTGGCCAGGCTGAGGCAGAAAAGGACCCTACTCACGCGGAATGGACACATATCGTTTTAGGTCTTTGCGCTGGGAGTTGGCAAAGTACAGCATCACTCGCTTCCCATTGGGGCCCCGGAGAATGCGGAGATTCTGGCTGATACACTCTTCTCCGCGGCCCTTGGACTTAGCTTCGGCCATTCCACCAATAAATATGAGCTTCGAACAAAGCAATAGCTCTTGGAATGATACACAATCTGCGAGTGGTATCAGCTGCGGTTCCTCGTAAACGTTAGTTTAGTCTTTTGCGCCGGTCGCGTACCTTCCCAATTCTCAAATTTATATGATAGCTGTGTCATGAAAACCACCTGGGAGGTCTGAATGGTTTGGTTCTCCAGGAACGAGACGCGGAGGGGGTATTCTGCGGAATCTTTGGGGTGTTCGAGATGCGGCACGGGTAATTTGGTGCCATGAACTGCACAAGGTCAGCTTGGTAGCTGCATGCGAGGTGCCTTACGGGCTCACTGACAGGCATGAATAAAAGGCGTCTGTTGCCCGAGACCTCCCCCCAGCTCGAGACATCGCAGCGCTCCCGATGAATCCTTGCACACATCAATATAGCTGTATCGTAGTTTGAACAGTTGGCCGTTCCTGAGGAAAGAACTGTGGTCAACCGTTAGCCGCGAGCCTTGGAGCTGAACAACAAGCCGGCTGAAAAGGACCTCCGGTGCGCGACATACACAGTCATGTACGGGTTCAGTTCAAGACGCACTACGTCATCGTAGAGTTGCCATGAAGGTTTCCGAGAGCCGGGGGAGGTGGCGGGACTCTGGAACAAGATGCTGGTTGACGCGGACGACACTGTGGAGGTTGATATGGTGCTTTGGCGACGCGAGGGGCAGCTCGACCAGTCGTCAAAGTCTTGTTGACCGTAAAGGCTCATGGCCAAGAAGCGGGTTCAAGATGTTTTGGCGTGGATTGGGGCGCGCAGTCGCATTCTCATAGAGATTTATGGCCGGCTTTCCAACATTGGGGATATCGCGTCGAGATGAAGCCATCAGATTATATTAGGGCGGCGTGATAAGCGGGTAATAACGAACGGGCAGTGGAGCGAGGCTGGAACGTGCTGAAATGGGTGGCTCAGAGATCGTCCTGTGGATCCACCCGTGATGCTCCCATGTGGCCCTGGACGGGCTCCGATTCAACCGTTAGCAACTTGTGTGGCTGTTACAGTGCGGGCAATGTGCTCGGGAAACACTGCCTTGCTAGATGGGCCCGACTTCACGATCCGACAGGTGGATCGTTCCTCGAGGCTTTCTGGAGAGCATTTCGCGTGCAGGCGACTTCGCAATTCGCCTCGGATCTTTTCCAGATTTACCTTTTGTATACCCATGGAACCTTACTCTAAAACTAAACTCTAGGCCAATTCACCTGGGGAATCCCCGATTTATTCTCGAACGATTCGGTGGAGACGCTACAGAACTCTACGGGTGGTCAATCAACAGCCCAGGTGTTAGCTCTGAGTTCCGAAGCAGTTATTCCGAAAGGATGCCTCCTACATAAATCTCTCGCGAATTGTACGAGGCCTTCAAGAAAAGAGGCCCAGGTCAAAGGATCTGAGCAGCAGTTGAGAACCTCGCTCTTTGTGCGTACTATTGTCGAGCTTGCTTCAAACACATCCAGGTCCTAGCCTTTCATAGCGAGGCTAACAGAGGGAGCTCCAGGAATATCCACGCATTCAGCTTTTTCCCCCTCACTTTGCTTTTTTCCTTTTTTAGCACCCCTTTCTTTCTTTCTTTCTTTCTTTTTTTTTTTGGTCATCTCTCCGACTAAGATAGCCATCCAGCAAATAAGAAGCCCCACCAAACAGACCTGCCTCGCTCATGGCACGTGGCGAGAAGGAGCCACAAGAGCCGGTGATTCCTATGTCATCATAGCTAATGCCCTCCGAACTAGTTTCATAGATGCATCTAGGCATTGAGAAGTATACGAGTACCCTTTGGGCTTGGTAAAACCTTGTCTGTCAAGAAAGGGAGTGGACACGAGGCGAGACTTCGACGCCCCTGCCCTGTCCTTGAATACCTAAAAGCGCACAGAAACATGCGGTGGGCATGGAGACGCTGAGCGCTCTCTCGAAGAGATCTAAAATCAAGAGGCAATCATAGAGATAATAAAGCTGTTTGATGGCGCCTAGGGCGTTGCGAACCATTTACTGAATAGTCTTGATAGGCCGACAGACTGGCTCTCCGCACTATTTCAAAGTTCGACTAGAATAATGTGGAAATTAGCCAAGAGGCTTCGAAATTTTGCGTGCATTATTCTCCTTCAATCTCTGATGCTCAAGACGGAGTCCGCCGTGTTGATTTGCCCCTCGCCCCGGCTTGCGGGACTCGGGGCTTGGCTAATACCGTATACCGAAACATAGAAAACACTAAATCGTATAATTTCATTGTAAAATATTAGTGGGAAGCACTAATTAGTACACGTCGCGGGCCCAGCATGTTATCATGGGCTCCACTACACCCGGCAGGGCGGCTGCGTCTAACCGCATGACCTCGCCTTGAACGGGAGGGGCTAGTAAGCTGGAGACCTGCTAGGAGACTTCAAATGGCCTGTTATTCCAAATGTGGTGTATTTCTTCCTCTCTATGCCACTATTGGCGACTGAAATGCAATTACCAAGCCGAACTTAAAGAAAGCATTGCTAAGACGCTCACCAATATCTATCACCTCGCAAGATATAAGGCCTAACCTTGAGCGATTTTCCTGATGCTTTCAATTTCACCAGATTGCTCACACATTTGGCGGAATACAGCGCCTTCTCCTTCATGACTTAGCAATTCCATCACTGATCCTTGCTCTACGACACGACCAGATTCCATGACAATGACTGTATCATAATCCGCGATAGAAGAGAGGCGGTGTGCGATGGTGATGACAGTGGTGCCTGCAGCAACGCTCGTCTTTAACGCCGACTGAATCAATGCGTCTGTGTCGTGATCGATAGAAACCGTCGCCTCATCAAGCACGAGTACTCGGGAACGGCGGAGCAGTGCTCGCGCTATACAAACCAACTGTCGCTGGCCTTGTGACAAGACTGAGGCAGAATGATTCAAGCTCTCTGATTGCAGACTCCGGAAAAGTTGCAGATCGCGGAGCATGTCGCACAGCTCAGCGTCCGCATATTTATCGAAGGGGTCAAGGTTTTCTTTCAGGCTCCCGTCAAATAGAGTTGGGTCTTGCGGGACAACGGAGACTGTTTGTCGTAACCTTTTGAGTGATATGGAGGATATATTCACGCCGTCAATCGTGATGCTCCCAGTGTCCGCCTCTAGGACTCGGATGAGCGCGAGAGCTAAGCTACTCTTACCTGCCCCTGTGCGCCCAACAATGGCCGCCCTCTGTCCAGCTAGGATGCTAAGATTTACATCGATCAAGACCGGATCAAGGTCTAAGGAGTAGCTAGTTGTATAGCCTTGGAACCGTACAGATCCGTTTTCAGGCCAGTGGGGTGGCAGAGTAGACAACCCGGACTCAAGGGGCTCAGTAGGCTCCTGAGTAATTTCAGTATACTCAATGATGCGTTCGGCAGAGTTCAAGCTTTGCTGAACGATGGCGTATAGCTGGACAAACCACAGGACATTATCTGTGAAGGTTGACGCGTAGGTCAGAGCCAGGCCGGCAAGTCCAGGAGTGACGGCACCTCGGTCCAGCCCGAGGAGCAAGAATGTCCCCGTAAGCCAGGAGATCACTGCACTAAGAGATGCAATCCGCAAGGTAAGCCATGCCTTCACGGCCCATCTCATAGCGTTTGGCTCATTGAACCCGTCAATCAGGTGGTGACTTTCGTCCGTGAATCGTTTCAGGTGTCCATAGGCACGTATGCTGACCGACCCAGTAAGAGCTTCCCCGAATTGCTGATACAGCGGCGACTGTCGGATTGCTTCGATTCGCTTGAGGTCCCGGGCACTGTTGATGAACATCCTCGTGATAACAGAATATACAAGACATATTATCACGGCCACTGGGAGGAATACAGGCAGCAGAACGGAGATCACTAGCACTACTGTACCCAGGCAGCAGAATGTATAGAACGCACTCATGGCTTGGGGGGCAATCTCTTGGTCCATTGCCTCGACGTCTTTCGAGAATCGATTGGTGATTTGCCCAAAGGGAACTTTATCAAAGAACAATAGCCGCGCGTAGAGAATCGAGTCGAGGAGGTTGTCGAAAATTTGTGCGGAAGCCTTGAGAGCCCCAGAGAAGACGGTGATATCGCGAATAAATGACGCAAGCGCGAAGGATCCAATGATCAATCCGTATACCCCAAGGTAATAACCAGAATTCACCCCAGCAGTTTGTGTGCGGGCCGGTGGCTCCTCGGCAAGGTTATCAAATTCGCTTACCCATCTCTTGATCCAGACATTAGTTCCCACGGAGGCGAGCTGCTGAAGAAGAAACCCCATCATCGCAAATGCCCAAAACCACCGCCCACCCATGGAGGAGAGATAGGTTCTGATAACAGACCACGGTACTGCGCCTGTTGCTTTCTCTTCTCGATACTGCGGATCAGTATGTTCGGGTGACACCCCCGTCCGAGGCCCCCTCGGCGACGGCCGTAGCAGAGCCAGAGGCAGTTGTAGGGTATGCAGGCAAAATGGAATGGGGTGCATCTTCCTCAGATGAGTCTTGGATATCGGATTCTGGCTCACGTTCGCTAAGGAAATTTGATCCTGTGAACTCCGAGGCGGTCCCTTGCCGCTTAACTCGACCATGCTCAAGATAGATCGCAAAATCGCAATGCGGAAGAGCAAGTTTGGTGTGATGTGTAGCCAAAATGCATGTCCTGTTTTCCATGAGCGGGCCTTTGAGCGCTTGGAAGAAGACGCTTCTTCCTGTGCGCGAATCCAACGCACTTAGACAGTCATCCAATAAGAGGATTCTCGCATCGCTATATAAAGCACGAGCTAATGCAACCCTTTGCTTCTGGCCACCGGATAGTCGACTCCCGCGTTCTCCTGCAAGAGTCAAGTCGCCTTCATCAAGCTCGGCGAGGTCTTGAGCAAGGCACACTGCGTCTTGCACCATGATGTAACGTCCAAGATCCAAAGGCTTCCCAAATAAAATGTTGTTCCGAATGGTTTGGTTCAGAATCCAAGGCTCTTGTGGACAGTATGCAGTATCAGTGGCTCTCATACTGTGACTTTCGCCCGCGGTAGGGTCATCGAGTTCCTGCTGAAGTGAGGAGGCTACCCTGCCTCGAATAAGCTCCATCTCCCCCAGTAAGGCCAATAGCATCGACGATTTTCCGGATCCACTAGGGCCAAAGATGACATTGAGGCTCTGTTGGCGAAATTTCACGTCCAGATCGGAAAGCTGAAACCTTGTCTCCGTCGACGATTGGGCGCCACTATTCTGGCCAGCGTTTGGATCGTCCCTAAATGTCGCAGGCCATCGAAAACTAGCGTTGTCGAAACCAAGCTGGAAATCCACATCATATAGCGCTTGATCATACTTATTTGTCTCTCTCTCTTTCAAGAACCGTTCTATTCGATTGATAGACACCAGTGACTGCATGAGGTACGAAATTGAGATAGCCATGCTATCCAATGGGATGCGTAGGACGGCAAAAGCAGCCAAGGCCGGGAAAGCGACCTTTGCCTCCAAATCTCGCTTTTGGAGAATGGTATAGCTGAAGAGAGTCAAGATAGTCGTGATAAACGGTAAGGAGAAGAACATAGTCATGGATATTGACCACCACAGAAAGTTGCCGCGCAACTCAGAGAGCTCCGCTCTTCGCAAGTTTCGCACATTCTCGCGGAACTCGGCCTCCCACGCACAAAGCTTGATAGTCCGAATGTTCTTGATAACCTCGTTGCTGGCTTGCACGCGGGCGTCCGAAGCTCTAAGTACTTTGATCCGAGCCGCAACCTGTCGTCGCGATATGAGTAGATTCAGTGGGAACAGCGCTGCCATCAGCAGAATACCAAGAATGCCGCTGATTCCAAGAATGCTATATAGCACAACAGATGCGATTGTGACCTGAAGTGGGAAGTTCACCCAAACAGTATGAGTGCGCGCACTGAATTCACTAACAGACGAGGCGTCGACGGCCATCAAGTTGAAGATGTTCCCGTCAGAAGCGTGAGTATCCTCTCCCAATCCTTCTTGGACTTCGGGAGTCTCCGTGCTGGGGTTTGTGGCTCTCCTCCTGAGGACCTTTGCAAATATTTCGTTTGTCAGAATTGCACGGACTTTGAAGCTGATCTTCCGGCCTAGCCATTCGCACTGGCAGTCGGCAACGGCTGCGACAAGCCCAGAGACCAAGAGGCCGATGATACAAAGCCGAGCATTGTTTCGAGACATGGACTCAGGTGCCTGCATGTACGCGAGAATATCACGAAGCAGTACTGCCGGCAAAAAGCTCATCAGACTGAAAATACTGGCCCAGAATCCTTGGTGCAGAATATCGTATTGGAAGAAACGATAGAGCCGCGGCAGCAATCTGAGACGGATTGAAGAAGTATTCTGAAATGCGTTGATCACATATGCAGCTTTGTAGTCCACACGTAGAGGATAAAGATCGGTCGCTTCAAGTGGAGTCTTCAGGGCTCTCCAAACGGCGTCACCCACCCATGCAAAGCATCATGTTGAGAGAAGGCTCGCAGTAGCCTCTTTAGTTGATTCATCAATGCATTCTTCCGCTTCTCCCTGGAGAGCTTTGGAGCTCAGCCTTGGTGCCGTGATATGCAGAAGTAAAAGTCCTGTCGAGAAAGCCATCCGGAGTAAGGTGATAGGATCCCACAAGCTTCCGTAGGGGAGAAAAGAGATTCCACAAGATATTACTCAGAAGTAAAATCCACAGTGTCGCGTATATACCACCCAGATGTTGATGCAAATGCACTGCTGGGTTTGGCTGTCTTCTTTCGTTTCTCGCAACCTTTTGTGTGGTTTGGAGCGCAATCCACAAAACGGAAGAATAAACGGGGAGACAGAACAGGCCGATGGGCATTTGGTCTAATGGATGCCGTACGAGCACGAATTGCAGGAATGTAAGCAAAGTACCAAAGAGGAGGAGACCTTCTGACACAGTCAATAGGGGCCCATGATGCGACGTAGCAAATGGTATTGCGGCATTTCGGACATCTGCTTGTTGGTGGCTGGGATGGCCATTGCTGGAAGACTGAAAGGTATCCAGATCTACCTTTGCGCGTCTCCAGCGAAACCAAGTATATTGCATCAGCAAAATGAGGGCTGATATTGCAATTCCAACCTGCGGAATCACGTTTTCAAGATATTGTCTCTGGATGCAGGATGAAAAATGGCCGTCTTCCCAGAAGGGAGGCGAACAGGCTAGTGATAGGTGTTTCATCTTCAACTAATATGCCATAGGCTCGAAACCAAGGAACCCAGCGAGGCGGACGTTGAAAATTGAGCTTTAAGTACCTGGAACTTGGCCGTATTGAGTATTGAGTCAGGCATCAACCATTTTGACATGAACAGGCAACCGATATCGCAGTGGAATCCCGTAGCCTGCTTTAGAGAAGAAACGCGCAATATCGTGGGTCTGATCTCGACGGGCATCTCGACAACAGGACGCGCGACGGAAACTTGAAGAGGTAAGGCCCCCCCGCGTTTCTCTGATTACATTGCCACAACGGTCCGCGTACGCAATCGCAGGCTACACATTTAATAATTAATCCCGAAACTTCAGTTAATTAATTCGGCAGAACCTCGAAGCTTCCAGGCAAGGTGATGAATAGATAATAGGGCCGAGGCCCTCTGTATTAGGCCTTAATATTTATGACCTGGAGGCCAGCCCGCAAACATCAACGGATTTCAGGGGCATAATGGTTGATACTCATCAAGAAAATTAGACAAAAAGAAAAGCAAAAGAAAAGCAAAGAGAAAGAAAATGGTACAGCCCAACTAAACCTTTCTTTGTTCGGTCCAAGCTAAGACCACAGGATCTAGTACATTTGTGATTCAAGTTGTAGTGCCGATGATAGAATTGAGAAAGAAATTAATTACACCAATAGGCCACGGCGGAATTTAGGCCTGAGCCTAACAAACTTGAAGCCACATAATCAAGCTTCGAGATTCCAAGGTTGGAAAATCTGCCTGTTTCTTATGACGGGATTACCCCCACTACTTCTAGTTCCTGTATTTCTCCATGAGCACGCTTGTTCCCGGAGCAATATTCTCCACTAATAACTTTTCCATCAGAATCATCGAGGCTCCCACCTGCTTGTAGATCACTTTCTTTTCTAGGAGGCCCAAAAGCGTTTGAAACAACCTCCTTATTACATTACAAGAAAATGAATCAGCATCAAACCAAGGCCTGAAACCGACTACTACTGGTCTCTTTGTACGATTAGTAGTAGGATGAACCAAGTAATATACAAAACCCCGGTTGCAGAACTTAACATATCTCCTCAATCTTCTTGAATTCATTCAGCTCAGCAGTTACCCGCTAGCTCTCAAACAACCAAGTCATTCCACGCGCATCACTGCTCGATGCCTCAAGACCGCAGGGCAGACGCGGCGAGATTTGATTATCTCAGGAACCAATATGCTTCTTCCAGGGAATACCCAACTCATCTGCCGCCAGACTTTGCGGACGACTTTCAGTGCACGTTCCCGCCTCTGCCCATATTAGATAGACACGGCCGAGTCCACACGCTGCCTAAACGAGGGGAAGATGGCGTCCACGGAATCCCTGTCACTATCATTGGCTCGAATGATGACGGCCCCCTTCCCGAACATCTCGAGCGGTTGTCAGATGAGAGAGGAGGTAGAATCTGGTTCTTTTCAAAGATCGGATTAGGCATTGTCGTGGCACTATTGATTCTTCCGCTTGCGGTAAGGTCCTGGAGATCTTACTTCTCTCCAGAAACTACCTCAGTTTCCAAGACCTTCCTTCCAGATCTTGGCCCCATCGACAGGCTCGGGACTGTCGAATATTCCTGCGGCCAGACAGCGAAACAGGCGCAAGCATTAGGATGCGTTTACGATCACCTTACCGGGTGTTGGCTTAATCGGTTCTGCTCGAGTCGGATGAATGACGAATACATGAGGTACTATGCGGGGAAACCGCCTGATATGTACTGGGATGCAGCGCTGCAGAAGAAAGTGCAACGATGGGAAGAGATCGAAGAGAGCCAACAGTCGTATTACTGGACTACGAAGCGCGACCAGGCGATCCGCTGCTTGTTTTTGTTGCGGCGGGCTCATGATTCGTTCCAGCATAACCGTCTCCTTGATAACGTTACAGCAAGCGACGCAATCGTAAATCATTGCGTTGGATACATTGCGGAGTGGGTTAGGCCGCCTAGTATCTTACCGGACGAAAGAGTCAAAGAAAGGAGGGGAAAGTGCTTTCTGTCTTGTGTTAGAGTCAAAGGGTGGGAGGGAAGGGTCCAAGCGTGGAACTGAGATAAGCTCATGAGTATATCATTGTTGCATACATAGAATGGCCAGAATCGGAAAGTATATATACGTATTAGCGGGCCTAAATATGACTAGGTACTCGGTGATTATGAATAATACATCGATACAAGATGTCCGATGATTGCCCAGGTCCCGTACACAATGGCTATTTTACAGAGCGACAGCAAGTCCGAGCAGACCGACAGCACCAGCGACACTGTAGGCAAGGCTACCAGTGGCCATAGGGGCGGCACCGTTGGAGGTGGAGGAGGGCGACGCGGAAGAAGAAGGAGAAGAGGAGGCAGAGGAGTCGGAAGCAGTGGTGCCACTGGAAGAGGCGGTGCTGGTCACCATGGCGGATCCAGACGTAGTGGCAGCGGACTCGGAGGTGACAGCGGCGGAGCTAACGGAGGCGATCGCGCTGCTCAGGCCAGTCTCCTCGGCGGTAGCTTCAGAGGTAGCCCAAGCCTTGACGCTCTCGGGCAGGCTGTTGTACCAGCCAGGGAAGACGCCGCTCTCGGCAGCTTCGTAGATGGACATCTGATCGGCCGTGTTGGTCATAACCTCTTCGAGCCAAGTCTCCGGAATGGCAGTCTCGAGCACAGTAAGGATCGAATTGGGGATATGCGAGCTGATGTAGGCAATTTCGCTGCTGAGAATGTCGTCCTGCTCGGAGCTCAAGTCATCGACACTGTAGGAGTCGTCATACTGGGCGACAGGGCTGGCCAGAGCAGGGGTAAGAAGCAGAAGAGACAGAAGGGCCTTGGACTGCATGGTGAATGAATCCGTCGGGCGCTGAGTTGGATATTCTAAAAAGAGTGGCGTGAAACGGTGTAGGGGGGATTGGGGGTCATACACGTTAAATAGTCAGATTCTAGGCTCACCACGCTCATCGGCCTTGTCGGCAAAAGTGGCCCCAAACCCTTAAGTGGAAATTTCCCTGAGGCTCTGCTGGATTCTACTGGGTCGAATAGCGCCTCCGCTTATCCCCATTTGGATGCGAACTTCCTTCTGCGGTTTAGCCGTGCAAGCCAAACGAGGCTGAGGAAGCTAACGATATTAATCAGTCATTTACCGGAACCAAGGAACAGGGGTAATTTGGTCTGCTAAAAACCTTGTGTTGCTTGTCTATTTATGAGGCTCTCACGGTTTCTTGGTATGTATCTCCTGAAGCTAGCCAACTATGCTTCATGGAGCAAACCGTCTGTGTGCGGGATACACAATTTTGGTTCAAACCCAGGAAAATGCGGGGTTGTTTTGGAAAAACCCTGGGCAATAGTTTTCCAGCCAGCAGTTGGGGGTCCACATGGTCCCAATCAGCCTCCTGGCAGCATGCAACGTTAAGGGTCCATGTACACTTGCCACTCCACCCACAGGCTTACCCGGTTATCGAAGCGAAAAGGCCAGCCAATCAAAGGAGAACATCGGACAGTCATCGGTCGATCGCGCCAGAGCCCTTCAACACGCTCGGGTTCTGATACCCCCCGCCTCTGGCGTATGATAGGACCACCGCATGAAACACCTAACGTCGTGCTTGATTTCAAAAGCCGGATCCTTTGGAGAAGTCCTGGTCAAGCCCGGTGTGCGCTAGCAAGAAGAGTTCTGGCTCAGGATGCGATAGCACGGTGATTTGGTATCCAGGCCCATGTAGTTGGAGCGATCGATTGACAACGCGCATGATCAAACGTATAGCTAGGGCATCATCGGCATCCAAGACACCAGAGGAATCGTCTGAGTGGATTGAAGGTTCAGGCGATTCTCTCTACAATTCTGCCAAGGGATCTGGGCTTTTCGGAAGAGTTCCGATATTCTAGCTCTCGGCTTGAAGGATAGAAAACCAGTCTGGGAAAGGCATTTTCCTGCTAGTTCAAGACGCGTCTCTATCTAATATGTACTAGGACGGGGACTATCATCGGAATCAATGTTTATACGTTCCCCTTTCCGCCTCGCCATCTTACCACGACAATCGACTGCACACCACCTCCACGGCTTTCAGAGACTTTCTTCCAGTCCTTAAGCGTGCATACCTCTTCAAAGTCATTCTTCTCAAACACTCTCAAGCTACTATTGTTCCCCAAGTTTACCGAGGCCCTTATGTCACGAGCCTTCATATATGGCACTGCCCAATCATGGATCAGCGTCCGTAGAGCGCTTGTCATGATGCCTTGACCGTGGTATCTTGGTGATAAAAAACCTATGGCAAAGTTAGCGCTTAATTAAATTATGAAGTTTAGAGATCTCATGATAGAACTCACATCCTATACCCCACGCAATACTTTCGTCTCCGGCAGGCAGTTCCTTATTAGCGTTCTGCGCAGCCGTTCGCTCCTCACTGTCCTGGGGGTACTCGTAAAACGCATACCGAGTAATCGTGATATCGCCGATCACACAATCTTCCAATGGATGGCCATCTTTATCCTCCCTGGAGACTAGGCGGATACAAGAGAACGGCGATTCGCCAAACACTCCAGGGTCTGCAGGGTTGGCCTGTATAGCTTCGACAACCGGGAGCAGTTGTTCGCCTATAGATTTCACCCAACTCACTCCATTTTCATATAGATACGGCACTGGAGGACCGTCGAGGACCATATAGATCTTCGGATCGTTGAACATCTCCACGCGAGGCGGTATATCTTCGTCGAGTCGGTCCAAACGGTGCGGGGTGATGATGATGTTGGTATGCGGAGCCCCGAGACGCAGATACGGCTCTTTGGTGTTAGGGTTTAGATAGAACGGCATATTGGCAGATGAGCTCCGAGGTGTTAAAGCCTTAGACTACCGCAAGATTCTTTAGAAGGATTATTTGTGGCACTGTGATTGCATGTGACCCGTGGCACGAGACATGGTTCTCAAATTCGGCCCCCCGCCCCATCAGGGGTTCCACCCCGCCTCGAGCAGACGGACTTCCGGACTACCAATTCATAGCAAAATAAAGAAATCAATCTCATTAGGGGCATCTATCACTTTATATGCACAGACCCTATCATGCTCATTATATACGCCAAAAAAAATGATCCCAGAAATCCATCCACCTTATGTACTTTTTTTCCATTAAAGGGTATCCAGGATATCCTGGCGACTGATGCCACTGCGATCACACATAGTGCGGAAGATGGAATCAGGGCGATCCCAAAGCGCAAGCGGAGTGTCCATCTCAGCGATCTGGCCCTGGTCCATAACACAGATACGGTCGTAGCCAATGATCGTGCGAAGACGGTGCGCGATGCAGAGCAGAGTCTTGCCTTCGAAGCCCCGGGCCATTGTATACTGGATCTTCTGATCGGTCTCGAAGTCAACGGACGAGGTAGCTTCGTCGCAGACAATGATTCGTGCGTCTCGGACTAAAGCTCTAGCGAGGGCCATCAGCTGGCGCTGTCCAAGAGAGAAGTTCAGACCTTCTTCGTCGACCGCAGACTCCAGTGTAAGACGCTTGCTTGAGCGGGCCTTCTCGTCAACTTCCTCAGTGGGTGTGGTTGTGCCGGTCGGGGGTAAGCTTTGGATGCCTTCTGTGTCGGGTCCGAGGGTGTCGTCGCCGATCAGATAGGCTTTGCGAAGAGCAGACCAGAGCTCTAAGTCGGTATGCTCCTCGAAAGGGTCGAGGTTGGTGCGAATGGTACCCTTAAAGAGGGCAGGATCCTGAGGGATAATGGCGAGACGAGATCGAAGGTCGGACAGGCCGATTTTCGCGATATCGACCCCGTCGATCTGGATGTTGCCGCCCGATAATTCTGTCAGGCGGAAAAGGGCGGACATGATACTTGATTTCCCAGCACCAGTGCGCCCGACAATGCCAATGCGCTCACCACCTTGGATATCCATGGAGAGCCCTTTGAGGACGAGAGGAAGACCGTCGCGGTAGCGCATTTTCACATCGACGAACTGGATGCGGCCCTTCTCGGGCCAGCTATCAGGTACCTCTCCCAGGTGAAGAGGGGCTTCTTCGTCAAGCTGCGTTCCGTAGTAGTGAAGTCGCTCTGTGGCATTCATGTTGTTCTCAACTTCGGCAAGTTGGCGGACGGTGAACTGGAGCATTTGGGCGATGGCCAGGATGTAAGAAAGGACAAGCCCAGAGATAGAAGGTGAAACGTTGAAGCGGGAGGTGACGACCAGAACACCAACGACGAAAACAAGAAGAGTGGATACTGCGTCTAGTCGAACGCTGAGCCAGCGCTGGTTCGAAAAGGTAAGGAAGTAAGCACCGTCCATTGTATCAATCGCTTCACGGATACTGCGACCAAACTGGTCTTGGACTCCGTACGCTCGGATGGATGAAACTCCGGCGATGGCTTCACCGAAGCGAGAATAGACGACAGATCGAAGAACGGATTCATGTCGCTTGATTTCACGAGCAGAAGCTCGGTAATAATTAGCTGCCAGAAGGAAGAGGATAACAAGGGGCACGAGCGCAATGACGAACTAAACACTTATCAGCATTCATTATTAATGCAGACGGTATTTGCATACTTACATAGTAGAAGAAGACGATGATCAGGATCAGCACGGAGAGAACCATGGTGATCGTTAATGAATAAATTCGCATTGCATCAGACAGCTCGCTGTCCATAACCTGAACATCTCGAGAGAAACGATTGGTGATTCGGCCCAGCGGGGTAGTATCGAAGAAAGTCATCGGGGCACGCAGCACGCGGGTCATCGCACGGTGAAGCATAGTCTTACTGGCCTTGGTGCCAGCAGTTGTCATGTATGTCGAAAACAGAAACATGAAAATCACTACCGAGGCGCCCAGTGAAGCGTAGATCCCGATGTAATCGTTCTGTGTAAGCGCAGGATACTTGCGGGAAGACCAATATGAAAGCCACAAACTACACCACATATTGGCGACGTTCGCAACACACAATAAGAAGATGACTGCGAACGCGTTAAAGTAGCTTCCAGAGGCAAGGATGTACGCTCGCCAGATTTCCCACCCTACGGATGCTGTAGCCTTGTCCTCTTGTTGCATAAGAACATTTGGGGCTTTTCCAGCCGTGGGCTCTGCAGGCTTTGCTTCCTCTTCATTTGCGGGCTCAACTGCATCTTTCTCAATATCGATTTCATCTTGCTCTTCGGCGTCTTCCTCTGACTCTTCCTGTTTGGACGAGGACATGAGGCGCTGGAAAAGCTCGTTATCACGCAAAAGATTGTCAAAAGTGTCAAAGGCGTGAACTTTCCCCGCGTCCATCACAATGATCCTGTCGCATCGGCTGAGGACATGAAGTTGATGGGTCGCAAGGATCCGACACCGGCCTTTCAATAACCCACAGATTGCTTTGTCCATGATATGACGACCCACATGGGCATCGACAGCTGACAAGGGATCGTCCATGAGCACTAACTCAGCGTTAAAGTAAATGGCACGGGCAATGTTCAGACGTTGCTTTTGACCTCCGGAGACAGTGATACCGCGCTCTCCGATTTCAGTCTGGTCACCGTAAGGAAGAACCTCAAGATCCGGGAGCAAGGCACAGGCCTCAACGACGTCATTGTACCAAGCTTCGTCGAATTCTTTTCCAAAAACAATATTGTTGCGGAGCGAAGCATTCTGAATCCAGGCGTACTGTGGACAGAAAGCGCGAGTAGTACCCATCCTGACCTTGCCTTGGGTGAGACGCATGTCGCCAGCTAAGGCAGAAAGCAAAGAACTCTTGCCGCAACCGACGGTGCCAATGACTGCAACGAGCTCATTTCGACCAACCTCGAGATTGATACCCTCCAGCTTGAATGGCGCTTTGGGAGCATCTTCGTCGGCCTCGGGCTTCTTGAGTTCGAGTGCCTTTGCCGGCTTCTTGTCGCCGGGGCCATCCTCTTCCTTTATGGGCAGACGTTCCCAGGTGAAAGAGGCATCCTCAACCTCGATCGCATTTTCCATGTCCTGAATAGTCTCGATACCCTCTACCTGCTCCTCGGCGGCAAGAAATTCAGAAATTCGTGTTTGAGCAGTGAAGGCGTCCGCGACTTGGCCAATCACCATGGGCAGGGAGTTGAGGGGTCCTCGCATCGAATTGAACAGAGCAAGGGATGAGAAAACGTTGGCCGCGACCAAAGCATGATTAGTCAATGAGTAAGTGATGAAGGCGAGCATGGAGGCGAAAATCGGGATGGATATCGAAACACACATAATGGCGTTTTTGATAGCCAGAACCCTTTGGATCGCTCGAATTTCCTGATTGCGGAGGTCCTTCAAGCGGTTGAGGAAACTCTGTTCCCACCCAAAGAATTTGACAAAGCGCACTGCCTGTAGGATCTCTTGAGTCAAGGATACACGGGCATCGGTCAATTTGTTGATCGCACTGCGACGCTTGACCAGAGCACGTACGGCAATGGTGAGGGCCGGCATACTGAGTAGTAGTAGCGCATAGCCAGCCAAAGAGCTCACACCGAGGTTGACCAAAAGAAGCACGAGGGTGACAATAATGGAAAGCGGAGCACTCCAAAGCATATGGAACATGCCGCACGCCAAGTTGATGCGATCAACGTCGATACTCATCAGAGCGATAATGCGACCGTTGCTCCATCCCCGCCCGTCGCCCGCAATGCCATTTGCTGCATCCGGGCCCCCTTTAGCATCGTCTTCCTCCCCATCTTTCTTCTCTCCAGACTTCCTACTCATGGCCTCATCTTTAGCCGCTTGGAGTGCAAGAAGTTCTTCTGATGTAGCCTTGCCACCTGCTTTGGCGCGACCGGACAATCTCATAGCCTTCTTGAAGATCAGCGAGATCAGCACTGCACGGATCTGCGCGCCCACCATCTGGCCACGGTACAGGAACTGGTTCGTGCATATACTCTGTAACGACTGCATGACGGTAATACCGACGACGAAGCCCATGCCACGACCCAAATCGGGGGTGCCATGGCCCAATTTCTTGGCCTCGTAAGCTTCGGTGGCAAAGGCGATCAAATAGCGGGTTAGATAGGGTGCAAAGACCAAAAGAAGGGAGCCGAATAACTGGCAACCGGCGCCTAGTAGGAATTCAAATCGGAATGTGTCATATAGAGCCGCGATCAGCGGGTTCTTGCTTCCACGTTCTGTACGACGGGCCAATGCAGCCTCCAAACGCTCCAACAATACATCCACGGCTCGATTGGGATTGACCGTCCAGATGTCTTGAAGTTCCAGAGGTCGCAAATAACCAACCTAGATTTCATTAGCTATTTGGAGTTCCATCTTGTATAACGATTTATGAAGATTGGCTTCATGGGAATTAATCATCCGGTATTGGCGCTTACATTCATCAACGATGACATCCATTGGAAAGAGATGATACTGAAGAACCCCGCCCCGTACTCTTTTGACACAGAGCGCTGTTCCGGAACAGGCGGTATCGACTGCCATCGCAGAGGGTTCAGTCGTCTTGACCACTCCCTCCCCTTGACTGGTTCCAAGCTCCGTACTTGCAGATCGGGGTTTTTCGTTTCCTCCGATCCCGCGGCGCGCGGGGCGCTGTCAGTGTCGACTGCCATGAGCCACCAACTGCAGATCGATCATCGATTTTGGGTGGGGCGAAAGAGACAGAGAGAGGACCAGGAAAAAGCAGAAACATGGAATTTATATATCGGAGGTTGAGCAGGTCACGGAGTTCACAAATGCAGTGGGGCGCGGTCGGGGCCACTCACTGCAACCGGGGACGGACAAATTCCACGGACCACGTCTATGATGGTTATGGACATCATGAGTCAGGGGGATCCTATTCTCCTCTTTTATCACGGTGGCCAGCTTACAGTTCTGACTCCGAATACCCCGAGCACTTACTCCGAGCACCATGAGTACTAGGAAAGTCCCATCTACCCGCCTCTACGGAGATAGCGCATTATCGGCGGAACGATATGGAAATATTTTGCGCCCTATGCTTATGCACCACGATGCACGGTTTTCCTTTAACACCAGGCTCCCGATTGGCTGGCTCATATGCACGCCCTTTTCCCTCAATCAGAAGGCCGGATACAACGTATATAGTCCGAGCATGGATACGATACACCTGACCGACTCTTTTCCCAGAAGTCTCTGCAGTGCATGGAGTTGCATGATCGTCTAGACTCCGGTGGCGGAATTTTTTTTTTTGGCAGAAAACTCCCCCCAATGGTATCTGTGGCAAATGAAACGACGAGGACCAAGTTCGCATTCGTACCCGGAGATCCGCTTCGCAGCCCTTGCCCTAATAGGACTACGGCCAACTTCTATACAAATAATAATCAAGAATAGGGGGATTCGGCCGCGGAGTTCCGTATTTCCGGTCTCGATTTTCTTTGATTTCCTTGCGGGGAAGAAGAGATTAATAATGGCACCTGATCACAGTAAATTACGGTCTAGCTGCTTGTTGGGTTGATTTACACTCGCAGCGATTCCTTTAGTTAGTTACTCTGCACCTATCGCAGCTAGTTTAAAGCACAACAAGTTCGCGTTCTAGATCGGAGATATGTATGGGTTTATTTTCGAAAACACTTTTCCGTGCCCGCAAAAGCAGCGTGCAGACTGCAAAATCCCCAGCAAGTCGCCTTGACGCAAAGCAAATGGGCTCTCCAGTATTGATCGGAGATAAAAAGCGAGGAGCGCCCGTAGGCGCCAAAATAGGAGCCATTCCGAATCTTCGCAACTCGTTCTAGGTCCCTTCGTAATCTTCGTGACTGAAAGCTTACAAACAATGAGCGCGCACGAAGCTGATGGATCGTCCCGCAGCCAAGTCCGCCATGGGTTTCTAATTTCCAGGCTGAACCCCCCCATTTTATCATTTCGTTCTAGAAGACTAGGAATCATCCTCTCTTAAGGGTGGGGAGCTCTTCAGTAGCTTCCTTGATGATGTCAAGGGCCTTCTGGATCTCTTCCTCGGTGATGACCAGGGGCGGTGCCAGACGGATGATGTTCTGGTGGGTCGGCTTGGCCTAGAGCTTGCTTGTTAGCTTCTGTTCCGGATCTCAGGCATTTGAACACATACCAGCAAGCCCTTCTCTTTCATCAGCATGCACAGATCCCAGGCAGAGGAGCCATTGGTCTTGGACTCGTCGATAACAATGGCATTAAGCAGGCCCTTGCCGCGCACAGTCTCGATGAGGGGACTCTTGAGGTCCACCAGGCCACGGCGGAAAATATGGCCAAGCTTCTCGGCGCGCTCCACCATGTTCTCCTCCTGGATGACCTGCAGTGCCCGGATAGCGACAGCGCAGCCCAGCGGGTTGCCGCCGTATGTTGAGCCATGGGTGCCAGCCTCCACAGTGAGCATCACCTCCTTGCTGCCCAGCACACATGAAACGGGGTACATGCCACCCGAGATGGCCTTGCCGAGCAGGACAAGATCGGGCTTGATCCCACTCCATTCGTAGCAGAGCAACTTACCCGTGCGGGCGATACCCGTCTGAATCTCATCGCAGATCAAAAGCACGTTGTGCTTGTCACACAAAGCGCGAGCTTCCTGCAAGTAGCTCTCGTCTGGGACAACAATACCCGCTTCGCCTTGGATAGGCTCGACCAGGAATGCAGCGAGGTTAGGGCCGGCCTGCTCGAAGGCCTCGCGGAGAGCAGCCTTGTCGTTGTAGGCAATAGGCTTCTCGGTTCCGGGGATGGTACAACCGATCCCAGGGAGGTAAGGGCCGTAATTCTCACGCGATTCCGGATCAGAAGACAACGAGATGGCGGCGAACTAATGCAAGGCACGTTAGCGATCAGCCACCGTTCTTGGATGGCGTCATGTGCCATGCTAGCACCCTAATACGACAGAGGGAGGGCAACGAGCGATAAAAGAGAGGCGGGGACTTACGGTACGACCGTGGAAGTTATTTTCGGCGCTCAATACCACTGCTTGATTCTCTGGGATTCCTTTGACCTTGTAGCCCCACTTGCGAGCGATTTTGATCCCTGTCTCGACGGCCTCGGCGCCGGTATTCATAGGGAGCACCATGTCAAAGCCAAAGTAGCCCGTGACGAACTCGGCGAAGCGGGGGAAAACATCGTTGTAAAAAGCGCGCGAGCTCAGGGTTACGCGCGAGGCCTGCTCAACTAAGGCCGCGACCAGCTTGGGGTGGCAGTGGCCCTGGTTCACGGCGGAGTAGGCTGAAAGGAAGTCCAAGTAGTGACGACCCTCGGGGTCCCAGACGGAAGTACCTTGGGCGCGAGCGAACACTACAGGCAGGGGGTGATAGTTGTGGGCAGCATACTTGCTCTCGGCCTTGATGGCCTCGTCACTCGAGGCAGCGTGGTAGGCAAAGGCGTTAGTCCCGTTGGCGGCCATGGTGGATTGCGGGGAACGGTTGGAGAGTTGGAGAAGCTTTGGTACTATCAATGCAGGAAAACAAAAAGAAAAATTAGGAGCAGATTGGATGGAAAAGGAACAGAAAGAGAAAAAGGACAAAGGTGGCTTAATATGTACCCAGGGCCGAAATCGAGAACCGATTAAGAAGCCCAAGGCGATCCCGCTAAGAAGCGGGCGCTTTTCTCCCTAAGTGCAGGTTGTCGCGAGAACCGTCCTCCTCCCACTCTCCGCTGTTCCCTAAGCGCAGGATTACACGAAGACCTCGCGCCCTGGGCCCCCTCCAAGGTTTTTCAAGGGCTCCAATCATACCGATTTAATTCGCTGACCTCCAATCGGAGCCTCGACTGCACCGGCCCGGGTTTTGATTCCCCAGACTGCTCCCCTTGATGTCATGCGCGTCTCGGGATCCGCGATGACTTGATGGACAGACAACAATCCGACATGTCTCAACGCACGCCAGCCGGCCATCCTTCCTCTATTTCTCACGCAAACCGTCCTGATAATACTCAACCCCCCCTACCCTCCGGTTCTCCCCTCGAAATTCGTCACGCGCAGGAAGCATACTCCCAAAGTTGGGACAGTGTTGATGAGTATTCGGACCAACCCTCTGAAGAGAACTACAACCTCAGAGCGAAGGGAAGATATACCGATTTGCATGAAAACGGCGATCAGAAGCAACAGGGCGGCGAGAGTGCAGAGTGGGAGGACGAGCATGACGAGCATACCGAGCATGGCAACTCTACAAACATCTTCGCGGCCATCTTCGCGTGCATCGCAAGGGGTTTCGCGATGATCTTCGAGTTTACAAGAAATCTGTTTCCCCGCGTTAACTTCCTTGCGCGCATCCGGAACTCCGTTCCTCCAGAATCTCCTGCCTCCCCCGCCATATCTGTCTATGATTCCATCCTATCGAATTCCCAAGTCCTAACCCCCCCCGCCAAACACCTCCATATTTGCGAGTGCCCTTTTCTATGCCCGCGCACTTTATACAACCATATGCGATACCTACCTTAATCGGACATTCGCTGCCCTCTTCGCATTCCGCCTATTCAATGCGTACGTCCTCCGGACGTTTTTCCAACCCGATGAGTTCTTCCAATCGTTAGAGCCCGCCTGGGCAGCTGCCTTTGGGGAAGACAAGGGGGCCTGGTTGACATGGGTAGGTATCACAATCGAAGCTCAGCATTCGAAAAAATCTAATATTCGCTTTCTGCATAGGAATGGACACATCGATTACGATCCTCTATACACCCTCTCTACTTTGCTATGTTTTATAGACTTGTATCAACGCTTTCAACTTGCCTTAATCTACCCGACCCAGTGCGTGCATCGCTCTTGATCGCTACCCCAAAGGTTGTTCAAGCTCATTTCGCCGCTCTTGGCGACTTCTACACGTTCAAATTGGCGCAGCGGATCTACGGGTACGACTCGCGGGGGGAAAAGGCTGTGGTGTGTTAATGGGATTCCTATGTTCCGTACATGCCAATTCTAACTCTAGCTTTAGCTCTGGGCAACTGTGCTCAGTCCATGGCAGTGGTTCTGTTCCACTCGGACTTTCTCCAACTGCTTAGAAACCACCCTCACGGTTATGGCGCTGAACTATTGGCCTTGGAGATGGGCAACATGGACACCCGTGCCAAACAACCCGGCACTTATTCGGTCAGAAGAACCGTCCTCAATGAATTCCATCTTGAGCTCAGGTACGTCCGTTCTGTACCTGCCTTTCTTTTTGACTCTAGATCTTCTATGTTGTCGGCCACTTCGGCACATCTACTAACATATTGATGATCAGTGCCTTTGCTTGGCCGTCTTTTGCCGCATTTTGGCACTAACGCACGGAGTCCTCGGTCACAGCAAGATCAATCGGGGCTCGGCATTTCGACTGGAGGGCAAGCGCAGTTCGAAGCCTCCGATGAAGTGGACACTACACACCCTTCACCCGAACGCCCTACTATATTTGATGGATTCTCCGCAACCCAAGAACAAGGAGTGGGGCGTATATATGATTCCCCAGAGCTACACGCAGGTCAGCCGGCTGTACGATTTTCTGGAGCGACCTGGGAGGGTGTAGAATCCCCTCTAGATACACAGCGTCGGAGGGTAAAGGCGGAAGACTCCCTAATGGATGCCGATTATCATCAGGCCTGGGGAAAGCCTTCACATAAAACGCAGAAGTCATCGAGATATTCTAAGGATCCACCACCACTCCCACTAGCAAGGCAAGTGAATAATTTTGGCCCGGATATTTGTTATCAGCAGCTCATACTTCGACAGTCTTCGTGTATGTTTGGTGTTGGCGGCTCTTGCGACTCTACTGCGCCCAACCAACGTCATAATCTGGCTTATCCTGGGTGGGAATGCTTTCTTGCATGCGACGTTGGCTCAACGTATGATCCTTGTGCGCGAGGCGATTTTTTGCGGGTACGTCTTTTCCTAATCAACGCTTGGCCAAGGAGCGCTTGATAGCTAATTTATTCTTTATAGAGGCTTGATGTTAGCTGTTTCCATCTTTGCTGACCGCAGCTTTTACGGGTTCTGGACATTCCCTCCGCTCAACTTTCTCTATTTTAATATTGCACAGTCATTAGCAGTCTTCTATGGGATGAACAGGCCAGACTATTACCTGACCGAGGGTTATCCGCTGCTGCTTACTACTCTTTTCCCGTTCGCCCTCTACGGCATGTTCAGTACCTTGAAGAACCGGAGATTGACACCGTCATTGCACGATAGGTGGCAGACAGCAACCCGTGTGCAGCTAGCAGTGGTTTGCATCGCGATGCCATTAATGCTCTCTCTTATTACTCATAAGGAAGTACGCTTCATCTACCCTCTGCTACCGTGTCTCCATGTGCTCGCCGCAGTGCCATTAGTCCAATGGTTTGCCCCAGCAGTTTACTATGGGGGCTCGCGAACCTGGCCTAGAGTCCTCACGATGAACTTCATGATATTGGTCAATGTTGTCATTGCTGTATACGTCTCTATATACCATGGCTCGGGGGTGATAAGCGTATTAGATTATCTCCGACAGCGCCAAGAAGTGAACATTGCCAAATTCGACGACCTGAAGAGCCGCTCACCAGGAAGTGGATCGATCCCCGGCCTGAACATGACAGCAGGCTTCCTCATGCCATGCCATAGCACCCCATGGCGCTCACACATGGTTTATCCATCCATCCACGCCTGGGCCCTAACCTGCGAACCGCCCATCAACATGAACGCGGCCGAAAAGGCCATTTACCGCGACGAAGCCGACCAATTCTACGACAACCCCGAAATTTTCCTCGCAACCCACATGGTCGGCGGTCTCCGCCACATTCCCCGCCGTCCAAGTTACACCCCAGGCTCCCGCTCCCTCTCCCCACCATCTGCAAGCAGAAAACCCTACGTCCACGAGTGGCCCGACTACCTAGTCTTCTTCCAGCAACTCGAACCAACCCTCAAGCCCCTCCTTCGCGGCTCCAACTACGGCGAATGCAACCGCATCTACAACTCTGCCTGGCACGACGACTGGCGCCGCCGCGGCGATGTCGTCGTTTGGTGCCTGGATCGGCAAGAGAAGAACGCCTGGCGCAAAGAAATCCAGCGCCGAACAGAGGCAAAGCGCGACGCACACTTTGACCGCGTCATGTCCGCCATCGCAAATCGGGAGAGCGGCTGGGGTAAGCTCGTGCCGTGGCACCAAGAGCCGTTTGCGAGCATCCTGCATTTCTGGCGCGAGGCGGTCATACCGTTTCTCCACGTTATGCGGTTCTTTCTCACGCCTTTCACGCTCTTCGGGAAGGCCGTTTATCAGGGCATTCTGAGCTGGCTGTTGAGGGCGAGGAGCTGGGTCCGTGGGCTGATATCTTTGCCGCAAACTTGCGGCTATGGACCTTGGCGGAGTCGGAACAAATATGATATCGTGATGCATCATTTTGGAGCTAAGTGTCCTTCTCTGTGGCAGATGAGCCGACGCAAGATTGGTGAGAAGATATATGGTGCTCAGAAGTGGATTGTGGAGCGGTTCCACATCGATGAGGCTTTTGTGGTCGGGGATCCTAGGTTACGGCACTAGGTTCAAGTTGTGGTTTGTGATTTATTCAGCCTCGAAGAACCAATCGTGGTCTTGATGAGAACCTACCCTATCTTCCTCTCCGTTTCTGAGCAGTAAATATTTCGTCATGCAAGCTCATCTGATCTGTGATTTATCTTCTTGTACACGCTTTGCCCGTGACTGGGCGTCTGGACGTTATTGTATAGACCTTCTACTGGCTCATCCGATATACCTGGAGTGTACACAGTTCCGGATGAGATTTTCACTTCGATATCAGTTTTACAGTAATAATATATAATTGCCATTGACCTCCACTCGTTCGAAGTCAGGGGGAAACATGAAGATCTCTTGCACAGAAATATAGGAAAGAAATGGGGAATGACCGGGGAGATGACCCCAAGAAAGCATATAACACAGATGAGAACAGAATCAAGGAGCGTTACAAACCGGAAAAATTTTATGCACCTGGATATGCACATGTAATCACATCTCGCGTCCATCTATCAATGTCGTTAGGCGCGAAATCACAAACCCGGAGCGTATAAGCAGAAGCTGCCAAGGCAGCAAATTAGAAACAGGCCAGTCTATTGGGCAAGGAGAACGATAGTGGGACAAGACAAAGTATCTTCATGTTTCATTTTCTGAATCATGTCGGATGTTCTCTGATCCAGATATAAGTCACAAAGTTTAGCCGTATCGTGCGCTAAGGCTGGCGAAGGCATCGGGACTATGTCGGCCGGTTTGGAAACCATTGATATCGACGCTAGGTTGACTCATGTGAGGGCGAGAAAAGGCAGAACTTGCGGGCTGCGAAGGATAAGGGTTGTTGTTGACAGGAGGGAAGGGGTTATTGCTGGAAGATGGGAATGGATTGGCGGTCGGGCGAATGGACTAGTCGTGGAAGAAGGGAACGGGTTGTTGCTCTTCAGACCCACGCCTAGACCGGTACTCATGTTCACCCCGTTGCCAGTTTGCAAGGGCTGCGAAGAAGTTCCGTTGGTGCCAAGTCCAAGACCCAGTCCTGCAGACGGCTGAAAAGTGTTAATGCCAGCTTGGGCGGCAAGGCCTGATCCTGCTGGCGCGGGAGGAGCAGCCGGAGCAGGACCATCAAATGGGTTCCGCGAGGCGTTGGAAATATTTCCAGCGCCAAACTGCGTTGAGCCAAAGGAGTTTGGAACTGGCGGGGTAGGGCTCGTTCCGAGACCAGACTGGACCAAATGTTGTTGCGGGATAGCAGGAACCGGGGCCGTCGGAGCGGAGCCGTACAAAGACAGAATGTTTCCCTTGTCCACTCGTCCGGTGGCTTGCGGGGCCAGTTGTTGCGGCTGTTGAGTCGGGAAAGAATTTGTGAATCCTGCACTCTGGGGAGTAGATGGCCCCATGCTCTGTTGGAATGGGTTGTGGGAACCTTGAGCCAGGCCTTGCGGTTGTTGCTGTGGTTGTTGCTGACTCTGGAAATTTCCAGAGGGAGCAGCCCCGAACGGAGACGTACCAAAAGATGAAGTGGAAGACAACGTTGGCATCGTGTTCGCGTGCTGGGGTGGACGGGGGATCCCATTTTGTTGCAGCTGAGACTGTGCAAGCCCATTCTGTGGTTGGTTACTGAAGAACGGGTTATTCTGTACAGCACCAGCATTTGACTGGGGTTGGTTGGCCATGCCACCCTGGAGCTGGGGAGCTAGCTGGGGGGGCCGTTTGGAAAAACGGGTTATAGGGGCCGTCTACGGCTTGCGGGGAAGATGTGTAGCCATTCTGCGCGAAGGTCGCCGTCGCCGGGGGGGGTGAACGGCTGCTGGTAGGCGGTAAGCTGAGGTAATGAGTTCGCATGCTGAGGATATCCTCCAGTAGAGTGTGGGAATAATGGTTGGGTCACTTGTAGGTTCTGGAAAGACGCTTCCAAGGGCTGTGCAGATTGTGGTGTCCGTGCCGGCTGGTCAAATGGGTTGTAGGACGCAGTTTGTGCAGATAGCGTTGCTTGCGACTGTGGGACTGGCGGCACTTGCTCAGTCTGGGTTGCGTCAAGCTTGTCGAATGGGTTGGTGGAGTTGGAGGCGTTGCCTTGCGTAGCAGGTCTTGGAGGCATTGGAGGCGGCACTGAAGTGTCGGCGCGAGTTGCAGTCGGTGTTTTAGATCGTGTGACAGGCAGGCCATTACCCTCGCCCAATCTCTGCAGTGTGGCTATTGACCGGTCCAAGTCCTCATTCAACCCCTTCAAGACCATCTCGTTCCGTCGGTCATTGGTGAAGCCCATCTCCCGCATTGCCGCCATCTTCGCCTCAAAGGATGCTGTGGTGACATCAGCGACTGGGGCGCCGAGTCCTGAAGTCGACCTCTTAGGGGGGTGGAGGGGACCATTGGTCAGATGATGGCGAGGATCTGGACTTCGTCCCAAACCGTCGCAAATTTGAGGTTGAAGAAGACGACCGAAGGTTCATCCCCAGGAATTTATTTGACTTCGGCGGAAGCGGAGGAGGGGATCCTTCTGGAGACTCGGGAGACCTAGACCTGGGTCCTTCACGAGATCGGCTGTAGCTCTCATCGCTTCTACTCGGAGGCTTAGGCTTGCCCTCCGCCAGGGTTCGATATTGGTATTTCGCCCGAAGGTAACGTTCAAGGGCGGAGTCCGTCTCGTCAACATCAGTCGGAACAGGCGGCTTCACATTTCTCGGGTTATAGATTTTGTTCATGAGTAGATTGCCATGGGACTTCATATTCTGGTCGTGTGACGGTGTATTAGAACGGTTTGCTCGGGTTAGACCGTGATAGTAGAAAGAGACTCACATCCACCTGCTCCGCGGACCAAGTATCCATCGACAAAGACTTGACCTTGGAGATGTGTGTGCCCAGCTTGCGGTGGATCGAGGCGCAGCGCATACAGAGAAAGATACCCATCTATTCGGGACACGGCATTAGCAGGAGGCTTCGGGGTTCACGGATAGGGGTTGATTTGGAGGTTGGAGTGAATCGCATACATTCCAGCTGGCCCATCCTATAGCACAATTGCACATTAGCTCGAGTTCGCACGCGGTTTATCGGGGCTAGGATAAGAACACACCTGGAGTCAAAGCCTCACAGTCGGCGCAGCGGTCATTTCCAGGGACAGAGCGAACTAATTCGGCCAAGGCCTTTTCATTGCGCAGCTGCTGGCGCTTGCTGATGCCATTCGGCATGGTGAGGGCAATACCAAGAAGGACTGAAGTGAATAGGAGAAGAGCGCAAAGATCCGCGGAGAACAGGAACCACAGTTCTTGAATTCCAGGGTCCGCGAGGGGCAAAAAATGCCCCGGAAAGAGTACTAAAGTTGCTCCTACACGCGGCCTCCCGGCTGCGGGATCCACAAAGCTTCCTTCTAGCACTGGATTCGTCTTTTCTAGAACCGGTCTAGGCTGCATGGAATGATGTCGTGTCGCCCTTGTGGAACTCTGGTTCGAAGCAGCGTTCTACTGGGCGTGTAGCCATGAGCTTGATTCCGTTCCTCCTCAACATAATTCTTCATTGATGACCCAAGCCCCGGAGACCAGCTTATGAACAACTACGCCAGGGAAAGGGCTCTCTACAACCTGCCTACTTGAATTTGTCATCAAGACAAATTCGCTTCTAGAGATGTCAGGGCAGCAGGTGACTCGCATCTACCACTGCAGCTGAAGCAGCCGAAACTACTCAGTGCCGTCGAGGAGCCTTAAGATGCCCAATGGTTCTTCTAGTACGCCAATATGACCCGCCATCCCATGAAGGAAGGGATTGGAGGTTGATTATGCGTTCGTGAATTTTCATGATTTAGTGTAAAGAAGAAAGAAAACCAGGGCCACGGCAAAATTTTCGGCTCAGAAATAGGGAGGCCGGACGGTCACCTGATTCTAGTCACGTGCTATACGTCCTTTTCTTTCTTCTTTTCAACTGGAGCATCTTCTTTCCGCATGAAGCTGTCCCTCTGCAAACCCAGCGGTGTTTCAGTCCTGGAATGTGAGGACTGTCCCACTTGCTCGGGCTATCTTGAGAGACTTTGAGTTTCTATACTCCAAACCACATAACCCGCGTGGTGCCATCGTGGCCCCGACGCTTCATGGGTAATTATTATCGTTCAGTGGAAGATCAAAACCAAACAGCTTTTAGCAGGGCTGCGTCTACTCCACCCTGATGCTCGCCCCAATCGAGCACCAGGACTATTTTTACGACGAACATTCCAGATATCAATATCATCGCCTCTTCAAATCCGCGTACAGCGATTCTCTCGATCATAGATTCTCTGTACTTTTCTCTGGCTGTTTATCTGGCCACCTGCCTTTATGAGAGCCCCTAGTAAGCTTATTGGGCTCTAAATAGCGATATTCCCACGTATTCCAGTATTCCTCTCTGCCCATTTGGGCAACGCTGGCTGTGCTGACTACCGTTCAAACCTCCGCCGGCACGACCTGGAAATTTTGAACTCCGCCCGCCCTCGAACCCTCAAGACTTTCAGTGCGAAGAGCCGGGCCCTCGCTCAAATGGCCGGGCCACCTTCCTTCCAGGCCGATTACTACCAAATCCTCAATCTCCCTTTTTTGGAAGCGTCAACGTCTCCCCTCTCCAAGCAACAAATAAAACTTGCGTACCACAAAGCATTACTGAAGCACCACCCGGACAAGGTGGGTGAGGGCTCTAGTCTTCCAAATGCGCAAGGCTCTTCGATTGAGCAGAGCTCGACGGCCCAGTCTTATACCATTGATGAAATCACCACCGCCTACAAAACGCTTTCCGATTCACGAGCCCGCGCGGAATACGATCGCACACTCCGGCTGGACCGAGCCAAAATTGCAGAGCGGGAAAAAACCAGCGATGTCTTCCATACGGGCCTAGAGATCGTTGACCTGGAAGATCTCGCTTGTGATGAATCCAACGAGGATTCGATATACTGGTACCGTAGCTGTCGGTGCGGAGATGAAAAAGGCTTTACGGTTACTGAGGATGACCTCGAGCGGGAAGCTGAACACGGGGAGATCGTGATCGGTTGCCGGGGGTGTAGTCTTTGGTTGAAGATTCTCTTTGCTGTCGACGGTGGCTGAATTTTGCGTTGTACGCCTCGACACGAAACCTAACCGGTCGCAGGAACGTGTTCTCAGACGTTTTGCCCATCTCTCCCCCCGATATACGAGCCATCTCGAACTTGTACGTCTCCGTACTAGTTATGTATAAATTCGCCGTTCTGCTAGATTCTCTCGGGTCTTACTCAAAGGCCCGTTTGATCAGTGGGCTCCTGACAGGGCAAACATCTACTACCTCTGGGTCCGGCTGTTACACAGAAGCATCAAGACTCACCGCAAACCTGGTCATAATACATGATCGTGATGTGGCACAGAGACTTTCCGATGTCATTTATATGCCATTGTCAGCTCCAACTCAGCATCCAGGATGGACATGATGATCTGACCATAGGGCTCTCTCAGTCGTGTACATGATGGACCTTCACGACTGTTCACTCGAGTATATTGAGCAAAACATGAATGCCTCATTCCGCCACGGCAAACCTCGATACAGCATGTTACAAAACAATCTATTCATTCTCCACACTATGGTAATCTTGAATTTCCAGAATATTTAACAGGCGTACACCAACCTAAGTCGTCAGTCTACCACTACCATATATTAAAGGTAAACTTCCATATTGTCTCAGACTTTATTTGAAACCCTCGCCCCTGGAATTCACAGGACTACACCGACGATCACAGAAGACTGGGGAACGAGATTCATTGATAGAGCTTGGGGGTTATTCCAGTGTATTGGTGCGGTGGCCATTAGCCTCGCTGTGCAAACCGATGAGGGCGAAGTACGGATGTTCAAGAAAAAGACATTCACCCGGCTGAATGAAGATGCTCCGCGGTCCTGGTCTTGAGCTCAGCACCTTTATCCACCTGTCTAGATACCGGTCTCTAGAAGCATCTTGATATCCTTGACATTTTTCGAAATGTTCCTCGCCCAGCATTCAATATCACTTCCATCTACAATGATCCCTACACCAGCTCAAGCTACTACGCTCTACTCTCTTGTATGAGCATTTATGCGCCCCTTCATTATTCTAGCAATAGAAACACGTCATGTTTGAAATATTCTTTGAGTCATAATAGTGGCTCTAGGAATATTTGACTGAACTGATCCCAAGCTCTCCATCCAGTACTTCGGGGAATAGGTCTGACTGGCCTACAGATTACCCAAGGCTGTACACCTGCCGGTGATAGTACGAACTAAACTCCTCGGTATATGCCCCTTCTAAAGCTTCCTGTCTCGAAGGCATTGCTCATGCATCAATGGCATTATCTTGCCGAGCTGGATCCATCTCACTATCAATTTTCCGAATAACCCTCGCCGGGTTGCCAGCAGCGAAATGGAACGGAGGAACATTCTGAAAGGTCAGCTCAAGCACACCTATTGCCCTCTGGAGTCATTCTTACTCTTGTCACCACTGCACCCGCGCCAATGGTACACCCGCGGCCAATCCGTACACCTGCAAGAATAATCACGCTGCCTCCAATCCACACGTCATCCTCGATATGTATCTCCTTGCCAGCCTCAGGTCCTTTCAGTCCCTGTCGAACAGCTGGATCAAATGGATGAATGGCTCCATAAAGAGATACATTCGGACCGAACAACACCCGTTCGCCAATAGTGATAAGACAGGTATCCAGGACGAGCAGGTTGAAGTTGAGGAATGTACCAGCTCCAACTTTGAAATTTAGACCATGGTCCACAGAGACTGGGCCATCGACAAATGGGTCTGTTTCGTCGAATAACTGCTCGTCTTGCTTCGGATCCAGGTCTATTGGGGGCAGAGGGCGGGTGTCACCAATGATTCTGGATTTAGAATCAGCTTTTACGACCTTGCATGAGGATTTGCCTGTCATTTTGGCGGATGGTCTAGCTCACTTTCGCCAGAGCTCGACTTTCTGTCGCCTTGATGCATTCCCAGCGGCATTGAACGCTTCGCAGGCTAGCTTGCAGCGGGTGCGGTTGTCTTGGAGATCTTGGTCCCAGGGCATATAGAGCTCACCGCGGAGCATCTTGGCCCATTCTTTCGAGGATGTCATTTTCGTTTTTGAGTGTGATCAGTGACTTGAAATGAGTTCAAATTCCTCGACAAGAGCTCACGGTTCTTATATGATATTGCGTTTACCCCGAAAGATGGATCGAGGTGCTGGGTTAATTGCCTCTTCGGGAAGGTCCGCCAGCAGACTCTTGTTCCTGGCGCTTGGATCTTCTATCTTTGATGATCCCCCCACCCGTAGACGCTCTTGTATTCATTTTATTGGAATGCAGCTTGGATCAGTTTAGTTTCTGAAGTTACCATTGATCATGCTTTTTATGGTGCTTGGGATGATGTCATTCGAGTATATAACTGCCCCTCATCGGTCGTACCGTTCGAGGCTTTAGACTTGCGATTAGCTGAGCTTAATAAAGAGATGCTTGAACGGTTGTTAAGAACCTTATGTCAGGGTAAATTGACGACCAGAGAGGGGTTTGACTCGAACAATCCCAGGTTCCAGCTTGCAGGCAGCACCCGTCAAATGACAATCACACAAATTTCATACGTCTGACCTGGATATATAATAGTATTTTGAAGGCGTCTTGAAGATCCGATACTAAGTACTAAAATAGGCAACGCCGAATTTTGGAACTCCTAGTATTACGCCAGGTTAGAAAAGCCGAAGCCACAAAAGAAGGAATAAAGTAGAAAAAACGCATCTATTTGACTTGAAACACCACAGCCCTATTTATGTGCGCGGGTTTCCGCCTTATTGACAGGTGGGATTGATGACATATTGAACCGACCAAAACAGCCGCCAGCTCCCCGCCTTCTCACCTCTGCACATAATCAACTCTTCAACCACCCATCCACGATGTCTGTCGTTGAGATAACATCGAACGAGCAGTTCAACTCCTTGTTGAGTCAATCACGATTCGTCGTGGCCGACTGTAAGTCTCTCGAGCTGATCTGATCCCTCGCAATTCTCCCCGCCCTACCGGCAGCCGCCGAGTTCGAATCCAGATACTGACCTCGAGTTATCCCAGTTTACGCCGACTGGTGCGGACCATGCAAAGCCATCGCTCCTGTGTACGCCTCACTGGCGAGCCAGCTCACCCGACCTAACCACATCACATTTACCAAAATCAATGGCGACAACCAGCAAGCCCTGGCCCAGGCCTACAGCGTGCGGGCGTACGTGAAACTCCCTCTATCCTACCGCCTCTACACATTACGAGTTTACCCCCAAGGACTGCAATAGAATGCTGCTCCAAGCTCCCCTTCCCCCCCCTCTCTACCATCTACACTCTCCAGCTAACAACGACTCTTTTTTTTCTCTCAGATATCCTACCTTCATCGTATTCGAAAACGGCCGCAAAAAGGAAAACCGTCGCCGGCGCCGATGCCCGCAAACTTAACGAAGTAATTCAGAAACTCGCCTCAGAAGCCAAGAACTCCGACGCCGCCGGCGGCGAAGGCAGTGGCAGCTGGGTCGGCGCAGCCATTGCCAAGGGCTACAGCGACGTAACAGACCAAGTAGACGTGAAGGGACTGGACCTACTGAACCGGGACAGCGAGCATGGCGGCCCCCGCGTGCTCTTTGACAGCAGCAAGCCCGCCGCGCTGGCGGGCAAAGGCAAGAAGGCCGATGCTGACTGGGTCGAGAGCGACACGGACGAGCAGTTGATGCTGTACATCCCGTTCCAGTCGACGCTGAAGGTGCACTCGCTGCATGTTACGTCCGTACCGCAGGAGGGCGACGATGACGATGAAGTTCCTATGCGGCCTAAAGACTCTGTGGCTGTACACGAACCGGTCGCATGTGCTTGGGTTCGATGAGGCGGAGGACATTCCGGCGGTGCAGAAGCTGGAGATTCAGGAGGGGGATTGGGATGCGAAGACTGCGACTGCCAAGGTTGATCTGCGGTTTGTCAAATTCCAGAATGTTACTTCGTTGGTCGTTTTCTTCGTTGATGGCGATGGCGCTGGTGAGAAGCTGCGTGTGGATCGTCTGCGCATTATCGGCGAAGCTGGCGAGAAGCGCTCGATGGGCAAGCTGGAGAAGTTCGGTGATGAGCCTGGAGAGTGATGTATCCCTTTCTATGGAGTTGTGTGGCTATTAGGAGGATTTGAAATTTACAGACGCCAGGCGTGGGCAAGACACAACATGCATGGCCGTTAGACGGGTCGTGGATTCTTATGAGCGACTAAAGACCGTGATAATACGCTACAGAGCAATCCAAAAAATTAAAAAAAAGAAACACTGAATCAAGAATCTTAATTGTTCTAGCATTTATCCAAATGTACAAGAACTGGTCTTGTGGTAAAAGAAAAAATAGGTATGTCCAGTCCCAAACCAAATGGCCTCATCCTTGAGAAATCAGAAAGGCCAATAAAGTAGAACCGGTGTGCAATTCCGTTCGTCTGTGACGCAACTGACACCTGGGTAACATCACTGAAAGGCCCATAGGAGCTTTGGATGTCCAGGCAACACGGGTAAAATTCGTAGTTGCGTCGCCGCACGAAGAAGAAAAGAAAAAGAAGTCGAAATTTGTCGCGCCGCGCAAAAATTTATGCTGGTCGGCTACGGACCGGGGTTATTCCGGCAGACGCGAGGCGCGGTATTATGTAATCGCCACGAGAAACAGTTTTCTCCTTCGAAGTTTTGGTTTTCTTTCTTTTCACATAAATTCGGCTGATGATGAGTATAATGGATAATTATGATAGGAAGAGACTGACTCCCACTGGGAGGTTGATCTTACTGTACACCATCTACTGAGGCCTATTTGTGTTTTTTTTTATCTGTTTGCGTCAGCGATTCTGATTCCTCGCCCTTGCGATCTTGGTCAGGCTGGAGACCAGGTGGGTTGATCCCTGTTCAAACAAAGAGATCAATCGTTCAATACAGTTGCGGAAACCCGGGTGTCGGTGCCGGCCTCATTTTGAAGTCTCGACCGCGCTGGCAGAAAAATCTGTAGCTGTCCGTACGCATTGTCGCATGCTCACGTCTAGCCGAGACAGGCCTCGAACCGACCTATAACCTATAAGGACCTTGAGACGCATTCGACAGAAATTTGAATCAGTAGAAACATTGTAGTGATGAAAGCCGCTGATGTATCGGAAGATTCATCCGACACATTGGGCTTGTTCCACCTGCTGACGATACGATCGTAGACAAAGCTGCCAGCGACCTGTCCGTCATGGGATATTATCCTCCAGAACGACGCTGGCGGCTCTCAGACCTTTTGCTTGAACATTTACCAGACTCCGCGCCGAGACATGCACAGCGGCTAGATCAATCAAGATCAATCGCGACCTGGATCGCAGCCACAATGAACTCAAGAGACCGGGTATTCTCGGTTGTGGATACAGTATTGAATCACTGACTCTTGGATTAAAAATAACCCTATCAATGCGAAACCAGAGCGGCACAGCCCGCTGTTTCGTTGCGCTCCATGGGCAAAGAGAATAGGACCCATCAGGCCGGACCGTTTGCCCTGGATCTCAATGGCACACACCCCACTGGGGCTCGGGTTTGCCAGCGGCTGAATCGTGGTATCGGGGCACGCAAGGCCCAAACCAACCCAACCCATGGGGCGAGGTTATCCCGCGATGGACACAGTTGCAGCCCGCCAAGCGAACACAAGAAAATGCCGTCCGAACGAACCACGCATTGGTGGGCGCGGGAGCAAGTGAACCAGGGCCCCGGTGGTGGTAGTCTCAGGCTTTGTTTTTTGTTGAGTGTGGCGTGCGATCATAACAAGTAGCCAGCGTTGTTATTGCAATGGTGGCATATTCGAGCGGCACAGGCCCCGCGCGTTCTGTGGTAGATAGACGGGCCCGACCCGCTACGCCCGCTTCGCCCGCTTCCTACACGAGATAAGTTGGCCAGTACCCTGGCGCTGTAGACGCACGCCCGCCTTGATTTTTGCGCCCACAGAAACGTGCGGTGGGAAAATCAGCAAGCAGCTAGCTGGCTCCGTGTGTGGCAAATCTGGTGGAGAGACCGTGGGAATGTAGCGTTGCATGCCCCCCGGTGGTTGGGCTGGGCCAGGCGTATAATGCAGGTACGAAGGGCATCAGCCACTGCAATCATAGCGGCCATGCCGGTCCCCATCGCGCTGACAGGGTTTCAGCTATCGGCCCCAAAACCACGCCTCCCCACGCCACGTAGGATGTGGGATGAACGGTGGGTTTTGCAGTAGCATATGCGGCTAGTACCAACGTCTGGTCTCGTCAAAGGAAGATAGGCTTTGCGCGGTTCCCTCTCGTCACATTACGTACTTGCAGAATACGGGACGCGCCCCCCCTCGCTCAAGGGTCGGATCTGCTAGATGTGCCTTAGGGAGTGTCCACTTCCTTGGTCACAGGCCGTGTGCGGGTGAGATCATCTGATAAGCAAATGGGATCTTTGTGTCGATCTCGATCACGCAAGAACGACAACTGCCGGGCGATCGGGGCTCGATCATGGACAAGTTTGCCTTTTGCGCCCGTAATTCGGGCCCTATTAGTGGATGGTATGAAGTCACTGGGTGCCTAGTCAGGTATATACTCCGTGACTGCCGGGAGATTGGCAAGGGGGGGGGGGGGACGAGGAACGTGACGATCGAGCAAAAGCCTATTTGGATGAAATGCTGGAGAAAAAAAGTGGCTTGACTGGCCTGGTCTCCTAAAACGGAGTGGTCTCCGGACCAAACGTGTTTATAGTGTTTTATCAGCGACAAGCCGCGCCCTGAACCAGGGTAACCTGAGGGACTCCGCACAACCCACCCGCAGTGGCTTCAGTGTGAACCAGGGGTTGACCTATTCGATAGGGTTTCGGCGGACACGCGGGGATCTCACAATTTGGCTAGGGTCTTACGGCATCACAGAACCGATTGTGCACGCTGATTAGACGCAGTGGCACGCGCGGACATCATGGGCACTGGATTTCCGAGAACAACTCGCGGCGTTCCCACCAGGGGGCCCTTTGTTCTTCATGGTTCTTATGGAGTCTACTCTGTAGATAGCCCAGGCTTGCCCAAGACGAGAGAGGGAAGAGGCCGAAAGGCACTATGATTGGGTCACGGGAACCTGTACCTGAGTCTCAAACCCACAATCGTGGAGGTGGTCCATTGAGTTTCCGGCAGCATCCACGTTTTGTCCGACCATCATGTTTCGAATAAGAAGCTTTCTCATTGCGTGCTTTGATGCACCAAATCGGCAACAGTATGCAGTGGGCTTCAGTTTGCCGAGCCCTCTTCCCCCTCCCCCTTCTAGAGGGATTTTTTTCTCGAGCGAACGACCTATTTTATTGTTTAATGCCTCAAAAATAATGCCTCAAAAATCTTGACAAGTGGAACATCCATGTACTCGGGCTTGCACTAATGCACATCCTAGGTCAGGCCATTTTGCCACGGGCTAGGATTTCAGTCTATCTCCGCATTTTTGGGTTTCTTTGATCGCAGCTCCTACTGTACTGTAAAGGAAACCGGACACGATGGAGCTTCATTCCGGATGCTCTGATTCGTGGTCGCGCCGTAGGAGCATGAGAGAAGTGGGCCGGTGGGGAAAGGAAGAAGCCGACCATTTCCACGAACTGACCCAGCGAAGCTTTCATTCCCACCAAAGGAACGGCAGCAGAGTATTTTACTCCCCGGGGACCTGAAGATTCGGCCGTGGGTGGGGAGACGAACGCTGTAGCTCGCGACTAGTGGCGTTTAGGTTGCAAAATCGCGCCTCGAGAAATTTCCATTGGCTGGTTATCAAGGTTTGAGTCGATTGCAGGGCTAAAGTCCGTTACGATAGAATATTAGTCTACTCCAAGAGATCGTCCGAGGTACTGCAGGGCTTCCTTTGGGGTTAGTGGGTGCGATAGACATGGATGCACGGTAGATCTTGCCGCAATTCTGACTAGTTCCTGCGGTGTTCCTGGCCGCCACCACATCGACCGGGGAAAAGGTCAAAACGTAGGTTCATACGGCGGATACGCCGGGGCAGTTGCTGGTTCGACGCCTGAGGCGGTTGAAGCACATAGTGATCATAGCTTACCCCCACACCCCCCCCCCGGGAGGACCTCTTCCCATTGCCGGCTTGGACTTGAATTCCTGAACCAGACTAGTGTCGGGAGAACTCGCCAGTCAGTGGTCGACGCCTCAAGGTCCTCTTGAAAAGTGGACAGTGAAGGGTGGGAGAGAGAATTGCATGATCACCTCCTAAATCGGTTCTTATCTTCTGAATTGTGTCGGAGTATCGTTAGTCCCATGTGGAGACCGAGGTCGCTCTCAACACGTGCTTCGTTTTCGTTTCCCTCGCGTATTTAGAGTTGGGTGCGATCTTCATGATTGTCGACTATTTTCAATAATGAGGTGATCTTTGTTTGACGGACTTAACTCTAAGAATATTCTAGCTTGCAGAAAAAAAAATTAAAAAAAAAAAGAAAAAACTGCCATAGCAATGGAGTTACATCTCTTGACTCAGAGTCATTACCTTCAACAGCGCGAACTCCTTCAAGACTGCCGGAAGGAGCTAGCAAGGAACGAGCAAAAATTCTCCGGGCTTTCGTAACGAGTCATGCATCAATCGTCATCTGAACTCCACAGTCCACTGGCACCCATGTACGATTCTTGGTTTTCCTGTACCTGCCAGATTGACTGGCGCAGCGAGTACCATGGATGAGAGCAAGCCATCGAACTCGAATTTAGCCGAAAGCGCCCCCGCACTTTTTCGCCTCTGGTTCGCAAGATAACGCACGTTCATCTGGGGAGCACATGCTGCTGGATACCAAACGCCAGCAGGTGAGCCCGAGAGCAACCCTGTGGCTCAACTGTGTCGGCTAGATACCTTTTTTTTTAAACTTTTCCCTCTCGAACGTGGAGGGCCTGAGCGCGCGACCGTTTAGGGTTGATTGGTAAATTCCGTTACGCGATATAGATTGCGCGATATTAGTGTACCCGTGGTACGGACCGTAGCACGTTCTATCTACACTGTGCGAAGTATCGGTCACAGAAGTGGCATTTGATCATGAGACAGTCCCTAAGATCTCATGATTCTCTATAACGTCACCGGAAGCAATGTTGAGACATGCGATTCATAAAACCATTTAGTGCTTACAGCGTGCTTAAGATTGTGTTAAATTATGTTAGATATGCATGCCTCGGAAATTGCCATGACTAATTTCCTGATTTGGATAGCCATGGATAAAATTCATCTGCCTTGGCTATTGGGCCCTCTAGACACCTCTAGACACCCGGCTAGAATAGATTCCCAGGGGCAAAGAAAAAGGACAGAAAAAGAAAAAAAAACAAGCCCCGTACTTTTGGCATCAAGCTCTGTGAATGCAAAGCAGCAGGTGAGAGCCTATCAGCCACACCGCTAGGAAAACCCCCCCGAAGCGGGAGGAGCTGGAAGTCAAGAGGCCAAAGAGGGTCTCGAATTTTCGAGTCGGACGTGGGGCGCCGAGCCTCTGCATCCGCTAGCGCCTCGACAACGCGTGTTCCGTAACGAGGTGGGCCCTGATACGGTGAACTCGAGCTGTTTCAGATTTCAAGCTTCCTTGGGGATAATCTGCGGAAAGGCCCGACCGGAATGAACAGTGGGAAAGTCAAAATTGTGAACCACGAAATTGCACTGCGCGCCCTAAACCACATGCCGGAACGGAAATGAGCAAGAGCCGGACGAAATTGGATCTGCGCAGCCGTGGGAGCTAAAGGTTCCTGCTAGAAGGATGGGACGGGATTGTCGGGACTGGCTTCTCGTTCTGGGCTAGCCAACACTATATCGGCAGAAGGTTGAAGCTAAGCAGAAAAAGGCTGTCAGTGCTGCCAGTGCTGGTATTTCCACCACCTCCCCTGGCCACCAATACTGTCAATTGGTCTCGGGGGAGGACTGCCAACGCGGGAATCCACATTGACCATGCTCATGCGTGCAGCCGTCGTGATCCAGACGATTGTCCAGAATCTCGGGGCTTTCAACTTGGTCTGTGCCGAGGACAGGGGAATGCCTCATCTCCGACACCATACGAGTACATTCGGAAAAGTACTGCATGGTTTGAAAGGTCTCGACGGACAGAGACCGCTCACCGCATCTGTGAGTTCGACGTCCGAAGTGACCGCGGCCAGTGAGGTCCTTGGTGGCGTTAAAGGATGGCACCAACGCTACGCGTCAAAGACCAATCCCTGTAGCCCAATCCCTGTAGCGAGCTAAAGGGCGTTGGTTGCTACCCATTAGCTAAGAGCCCGGCACTTGACCGCGCTTCAAAGAACGTACACGCAAGATGGCGCAGTAGACCCTCCGACTAAGACGGACTACAAGTGATTAGTATAATCTTAGTGATGGAGACCTTCTGGGCATAGGTACGTACTGTGGAGGATGCTACTCTTTGGGGCGACGCCGTCGGCGCGCTATCTTTTTTCGAATTGTTCGAGAAGGATTCGGAATCCCGGGAATATATATCTGGAACAGTAGTACGTTTCGCCCAGTCCAGACTATCCAAACAAGAAACATCGGTAGTCCCAGAGCCCAATAACCGCGCAGTAGTGGCAAACTTGAACGACTAGCGAAGTAGAAGGTGGATTCAGAAAAGGTTCCCCCCTCCAGAAAAAAAAGAAACAGCCTACGCGCTGCCACCAGGCCCTTGCAGCAGAGCTGTCCTACAGCTCATCTGTCAGGAGCAAGCGGCCCGAGAGCGTGCGTTCAACGGTGTTTATGCGCCCAAGCACTCGATAGCTCTCAAGATCCAAGGCTGGTAGAACAGACACCTAAAGTTGCTGCATCAGATCCCCCACAATCTACGCAATATTCATGTAGGTTGACTGGGATGATCTCCCTGGCTTGACAAGCTCCTGTCAGGCGACTGCAGGCAGACGATGATCGCCAACGGTTTCTCGCATCTCAGACCCCCGAGAGCCCCATCGACATGGGTCAAACACGGCTGATTCGCCGGGGAGCTCAATTGTTTCTTTCCTAATCGCCAGTCTGGTCAGGAGAACAATTGCAATCCCCCCATTCGATGCTCAACTCGCACATTTCCATCAGCCCCGGTTGATTGGGCCCAGACGGCGATGGAGCGGCGATGGAGTTATTGATTAGGACGAGGATGTAAGCGATGGGACGAGCTCTGGTCATGCGAGTGTGAAGTTCCGCCAAACCTGCCCACTTGGTGGATTAGTAGGTACCTTGGTGGCCTTTCCCGCGCCACTTGTTTGGGACTAGCACCCGCCGGCACGGGTGCGCTATCTCCAGTTTTTTTCTTTGTTCTCCACTAAAGCCAGAGCTCCCACGAAGATTAGCAGGGCCATCCTATTGCGGTCAATGTCTAAGAGACCTTCCCATATACCCCCAATCCCTCGAATCGTTCCCGCGCGGAAGGTTATTTTAGCTGAGCCCGTCCAGAATCATTGTAATTTCCCGATGAGGTCATATTTGGTGCCTATGCAGTGGCCGGTGAGGGTTTTATTTTTTGGTAAGATTGCCGGCGCAATGACCAACTTCATTCAATAGCGTACATTATTTTGTACTATGGGATTTGTTTACGCCACAGGCCACTCTGTGGCCCATCGCGCACGTCTGTGCGAGTCAACGGTGGCGGAAGGAGGGGCCTGCGAGAAATGTCTCGCACATATAAAAGCTGCTCCAAATGAAAAAATGAATAAAAAAGGTCGAAGCTTAAGCTAACCAAAGCAAGATCTCAAATTCGGAGGAGTAGTTCTTTGTTTCCTAAGGTGTAAAAAGTGGAGGTTAGCGAATTATTGGCACAAGTCAAACGCTCCTGATTTGCCTTTGTAGAAAAGCCTCTTTAACTAATCGTCTCCACGAAATGCATCGCGGATTACTCTTAAGGGCTTGGCTTGAGACCCCCTGGGGCAAGATGGAGGTCGTTTATGAAAGATTCCGTTCTAGAGTCTGGTAGATCCCATCGTATTGCGGATAGAGTCAAGACCCCCTCCCCCTGCAAAGGTCCCCCAGGCCAAAGGCATTGGGTTTCTCGAAGAGCTACTGACAGCCTTCCATGCATGGGTTTCCGTCTCCCTGGGACGCGGATGCTCTTTCGCGAGCCAATCCGGAATCAGCCTCCTTGAATGATTGTGGGCCATGCTCCGTAGTGGGGGGTGCTTTTGACTATGGAGCAAAGCGAGATTGATTATGTATACATACTACTCCGTATCTAGGTACCTTTGGGGACTCACGGAGATGGAGTTGACCCAGCCTCTGTCCACTTTTCCCTTCCTCAATTTCGTGTTTCCCCCCCACTTTGTGGGCTTTCCGCGCTGTGATTGGTGGCGGGATATGGGCGCATCCATCCGAGCAGGCATCATTTCCACTATCAGGCTAGCCGAAGCTAATGTGGGGCACGCTATCTTTAGAAGAGGCCAATGGCACTGGGTACGGGATCCAGGCGGACAAGAAGGACAAGACGGGTGATGGAATTGCGCTGGGGTAGGACTCGAAAGTCGAGGCCACAGCTCGGGGAAGAAAAAGACGACTTAGAGGCCATGTCTTGCAAACCAGAAATTCGAGAGCAGTCTACAGGCCCAGCACCGGGAACTGGGACTATTGGCACTCCGTACATTTGAGATTTTTTTTCTTTTCATCAGCGTTGTACCACAACGTTCTCGTCACCTTTCAACAAGTTCTGCGAGGACAGAATCCAACATTTGAATGGCCGGACCTTGCTTGCGTGGCGGCTATCAGGTGCGCAGGTGGCTGCGGTGGGCGTGTGCAGCGTGTCAAGACGATGTGTCGGCTTTCTGTCTGATGGATCACAAGATGGCACTGGCGTTGTCCTTCTATCCCCAGGATTTACCGTACACGCCAATGTGGCAGCCTCGGCGGCAGCAAGGCTATCACATTCGCTTCATGCATTCGGAACACATCACTTGGCGACGAGACACTGCAGGCTGGGACCAATAGGATGTATCACACGGGTGTCAAGGGTCAAGGCAACATAGCATACTTTGAACAGACTATGGGGGGCTATGAATTAGAGTGCAGGTTTCCAGCTGGACGGCGTACCCGGAAAGCTGACGGCGCTGAGCGGTGTCATGGGCGAATGCATCGCCGAGCCCAGTCGCCAATAAGGGACATAAGGCGCCCGGCAATATCCCTCCGGAAAAGGCTTGGGTGCTGCCCGCTTGACTATTTTCAGCTACAGGTGCATTTCGAGCCTTGCCTCCCTGGGTTTGCCACGCAGCTAATGAGCCTGCCGAGCCTCTGAAAAATAGGTTCTTGCACTGGGCCTCCACAGCCTGTACCTGCAGTAGGCCGCGCGACTCGACTGAATATCACAAAAGGCCGTGGCTCGACAATTCTCATTAGTCTGTGGTTCTTGAATTTACTTTTTGGCGGTGGAGGTTATGTATCGTGACCACCCTTACAGCTGGGAAAACCGAGAGGCAAAAAAAGAAAGAAAAAGAAAAAGAAAAAAAAAAACCAGAAAATGACAAAAGACTCAAACCCGTGGTCCCATGTGGTTGATATGATAGAGAGGAAGAGAGATATTTGACGTGCGTTTCCCCTCGGATGATGCTGCAGATACTGCTTCTACTATTGACTTATGGGTAAAGATGCATGGAGGAAGAGAACAGTATACGCTGCCTACGGTACGGAGTAGACAGGATGGGGATAAGGAAAGGCCCAGTTGTACTTTTGGCTGGGATCATATGAAACTGACCCGAGGGGGGGGGACCAATGCCGACGGTTTCACGATCGCATTGCACGGTGTTCGCCACCGTTAGGAAGTGATCGGCGAGGCCATTCGTGAGCGGTATGGGATGAGCCCATGCAGCGAGACAATACGCAGGGTCCAATCGGGCATGGATATGCCGGGAGAAGCACCAGCGCCCACATGTTGATCGCAGGCCACCGTCGAGGGAAAGTCCCGGGGAGCGGATTGCCTGGGATCAACGGAGTGGCCAGAGTGGGCCATGGGGCTTCGTTGGAGTGGATTGGATAAACGTAGGTGCGGTGGGGAAGAGAGGGCACACCCAGAGAGATCCGTCTTGTCGATCGCCTGATTCTGGCTTGGCTATACTGGCAACGAAATGACGAAGACGGGACGAGCGTGGAACGCGAACAGGCCAATTCCTTCGGGGACGCCCATTGGGTCTGAGGCCAATGGGAGACGCACCTTGGTGGCTGCCGGTGGGGGAGTTAGCACCAGTGGCTTTTGATTTGCGCGTCTGTGGTGGAGTTGTGCTGATAAGACCGGAGCAACCAAAATGATGATTGCCGCTGTCACCATCGATCCTTGCATCCAATCGCCGTGGCCCTCGTGGCCACACCACGCCATCCCAATTTTCGGTTTCACTGTTGATTGACGGTGTGCCTGACGAGGTTCTACAAATCAGAAAGCACGAACGGACGGGAATAGCGTGACCAACGATAACTGGATAGGTCAGGCCCGGGAGTTCACCCATTCATCGCCTTCAGGCAGTCTTACATGGCAAAAGTCAAGCCCTTGAAATAGACCAGCACGAGCAATCATCTTACGTCCTTGGGAGGGGGTATCAGAGAGTATCGTATTTCTTTTTTGAGAGGATTCAATTTCCTGAAATCACCCAAACGATGTGCACAGCCTCTTGCCCTCTCCGCATTTCAGACCAGCGCGTAACCACTCGTGTCCCCCCCACTTTGCTTTTTTTGGGTGAGTGGCCGAGGTCTTGGCCCCGATTCGGGGCACTGGCCCATTCTCCTGGGAGTCGGGACCTTGGGTACTTTGTGAAGGGCACGAAATGGGTCCAGGCAAGTGGGGTCCACTTCTGGCTCAGAACTTCCTCCATTCACGGATGGCAGCCCCGGTGGGTGACTGATGTGCAGTTCCTTATCCCGCCCCAGCCTGGCCGCTGATACCACCTTTCCTTACACAGCATAGAGACCACTTTGAGACAATTATTTATTTTCTTTTTCTCATTTTTTTTTTGGTTTCTTTCCATTTCTCATTTCCCAAAATTCCAGAAAATCCAATTTTAATTCCCTCCCCCCCCTCCCAGGAAAATCAGAAAGTCAAAAAAATCCACCGGAAATCCCTAAGTGGCTGGCCCACACCCACTGGCAAAGACCTAGTGAACTCGGCCGTCAAGAGGGAATCGCAAGCAGATCATTCTTATTATTACGGTTATCCACCGTTGTCCTCTTTCCTTTCCATATCTCTCCCCACGACTCGCCCATATAGGCCCCGTCTCTCTTTTTATTATTTTATTATTTTCCTTTTAGATATTCTTCCTTCCTTCCCTTTCGTTCCCACTTAGTCTTTCTGCTTGACTGTTTTGGGTTTGGGAAAGTTTGCACTTATTTACTCTCCTTCCATCCCTCCCGGATTTCCTGATATATCAGGTTCCTTGTCCCTCCTTTGGATCATCTCAAGAGGTTCTCGATTCCTCCAATCCTTCCCACCACCATCTACCATAATTGATCTGTTCTGGTCCACACACTCTTTATATCAAGAGACCAGTCCCTCCTGTACTGTACCTCAACCTTACTACCTTATACATCTAATACTTCCTTCCGCTCGCGTTGGATCCCACAGGTATGTTTCACCCGGTATTGATCAAGTCTGTTTTCTTGTGATGGAAGGAGGGTTGAGGGAAAGAGAACAAAATGGCGAGACGACTGCTAGGCCAACGGTATCTAACTTCCCCTCTAGCACTTTTCGCAATGGACTCGACGACGTACACAGTTGCACCTGCGCCGGTGCATGGTCAACCACAATTTGCGTACTACTCCGAATCGACTTCACAGCCATCGCAGCAACAATGTCACTACGGCCAACCTGAGATGCCCTGGTATGGACACGGACAAGCGCAGCAGCCAATTTACTCCGCCCAGCCGTTGATGAATATGCACCAAATGGCAACCACCAACGCCTTCCGCGGAGCTGCTCTGAATATGACCCCCATTGCCTCGCCGCAGCCCTCGCAAATGAAGGCTGGTCTGATGGTCCAGCAAGGCTCTCCCTCCTTAATGCCTTTGGACACTCGCTTCTTGAGCCACGACATGTACTTCCCATCTACTCCACCACTGTCTGCCTCCGGCAGCACTATCAGCAGCCCGCCATCCGCCTCTGGAGCTTTGCACACACCCATCAATGACAGCTTCTTCGCTTTTGAGAAGGTCGAAGGTGTCAAGGAGGGCTGTGAGACCGATGTACACACCGAGCTTCTCGCTACCCAGGACTGGACTCGCGCCGATTCGCCGCCAATGACACCTGGTAAGTCTACTATTGGAGACGTCAAAAATTAGATACAGAACTTGTGGCAGATGACGTGAACCTGATCATATTGCATTTATGCAAGGGGAGTAATGTGACAAACGCTAATTCTGTCCGCAGTCTTTATCCACCCGCCGTCCATTACTGCCAGTCATGCTTCAGATCTGCTTTCCGCCACTTCTTGCCCCTCGCTTTCCCCCTCGCCCTCTCCTGTGCCCTCTGACATCCTCGTCAACCCTCAAGGTCTGACCATTGAGTCTGCCGGTACCTCATTCTGTGACCCACGTCAACTCACCGTTGAGGCCTCTGCCAATGTCTCCGCCCCTCAGGCTCTCCCTCCTCTCCCCACTCTGTCCTGCGAGGAGGAGGAACCCCGTCAAGTTGTGGGAAGTGCGTCTGTGACCCTCCCTGTCAACGAGAATCCAGCGCCCTCATTCCCTGCTTCTAGCGTGGACCCATTGAGCTCGCTGCCAACCTTTGACAGCTTCTCCGACCTGGATTCTGATGACGAGATCAATAACCTGGTCGACTTCCACCCGGGGAGCCACTCTGTCTATTTGGGTGGTAAGCGTCAGCGAGTGCACCACTACGCGGCAGAGGACGATGGATTCCTGAGCGAGCACAGCCTCGATGACTCGGATGATAACGAGGCTTTCCATCTCCCCTCCGGCCTGCCTTCCCTCAGCTGGACCGAGACTCCCGAGTCTCACGTGGAGATCGAGGGTGAAGAGGAGGAGGTTGATGAGGAGCCCGAGGAAGAGATCAAGACTAAGAAGCGCAGCAGCCGCAAGTCTCGCAAGGGCAGCGATGCTGAGCACGTCAAGAAGTCGGTCACTGTCGCTCCGGATGCGATCCACAGCGCCGACAACTCAGACTCCGAGCCTGCCCCCGTCTCCATCAACCGTCGCGGTCGCAAGCAGTCCCTGACTGAGGACCCTTCCAAGACCTTCGTCTGCACTCTCTGCTCGCGGCGATTCCGTCGCCAGGAGCATCTAAAGCGTCACTACCGCTCGCTGCACACCCAAGACAAGCCTTTCGAGTGTCATGAGTGTGGCAAGAAGTTCTCTCGCAGTGACAACCTCGCCCAACACGCGCGCACTCACGCCGGCGGTTCCGTCGTTATGGGTGTTCTGGACCCAAGCGAGGTGTCGGGTTACGATGAGGAGAATGCCATGGGTGTCATGTACGATGATGCCCAGTCTGGTACTGAGTCCAGCCTCGACCGCCGCCAGATCAAGAAGCGCAAGCGCGACTTGGCGTAAGGCCTTGACCGCATTAATGATTTCTACGAGACCAAGAGCTTCCTATTTGCATATATCATCATACATTTGCTGGTCGTTGGTGTCTTTTTTATTTCGTCATCTCCAGGAAGCTCACGGTCGTGTTTTTGATTGGGTTTGGCGTCCGGGCATATTTTACACTGGTGTCGGCATCGGGTCATCGGTGTATGACACTCATTGGTTCCTTCTGCATTAGCATTCGCATTGCGTAAGGAAGCGGGGACACACAGCCCATGGGCGGTTCTTGAGGAGAAACTACAAAAAATTACTATTCGGATACGCATGGTGGACGGCGTTACTTGATCAACGCGCTCCATGGCGAGAAACCACCAAGAAGTCAAAATACCAGAAAAAAACAAAGCCAAAATAAGACCGAATGGTATCCGGTCAATGGCCTGAAGCTGCTGTGACTGGGTTTGGGTGTTGATTTCCTTTGTCAATATCTCTTTTGTTCGAGTTCTCTTTTTATCTGTTCCTCCTTACCGGACCTTCATACAAGATGTGGGCAGTTCGGCTCATCTATGGAGCCTTTTTCTCCTTCTCTACTTTCGTGCCCTCCCCGTTTCTGTGACTTATTGTTTTATTGACTTTTCCCCATCTTCACTTCTTTGCCCCCTTCTTTTCTTCGATTCGTTTCGCCCGTTTGTCTATTCCCGATGTAATAATTTTTTTTTCCCGAGCCTGTTCATCTTTTTGATCATTGCTTTGTCTTTGTCTGTGCTGGTCACGATTCTTGTATAAGTTTATTTGACCTTCCCATTTTGTCACTCATACCATACCCCTTGATTGTATTGCATTTCTACCTGCCCTCTTGTGTTGGTCTCAGGTTACTTGATCCGATGGATCTTATAGCGTCAATATCATGCTTCTATATCATTCCGTCCACGTCAGACTGCCTTATAGGGAGGACTCGCATATTAGTATAGGAACAAAAAAAATACTACTTCGCGTCATGTTTAGATGTGCGTGAAGGATCGTGGACCACAAAACGTAGACTGTCTTAGCATTGCGATGGTTCGTGTAAGAAGTATATGTGTAATAGTATGATTTGGAGTGATACAATGAAGGTACGTGGCTTCGAATCGACGCCTTCTTGCTTGTGTCATACGTCGGATGACTTTGCGATGCAGCAATGGACAGGTGCTATGCCACCCCTAATTTTGTTTCAACTACGTCGCCATTCTCAAGTTCAAGATTTTCAAGTATCCCAAATTATGAAGATTTCAAAAATTATAAAACAAGCGAAAATAAGTCAAAAGAGAGCAAAAAGGAAAGAAGCCCGGGGTCTAGCATTGCCAGTGGACTACCCACCCTAGTTACTCCTCAGCTTTCTTCGCAAAGACTAGTCAACCTGGAAGGAGGGCAATGGGCAGACGCTATGTCTTGAGCTATTGGCCTTGTACTTCCCGCTTCCCGCTTCCCCCATCTACATGCTTATCGATAAGCCCAACTGTGGGGTTCACAAAAAAAAGCATCTCGACTCCCCCAAACATTCCCATGGTCAAAACCAGATCAATGCCAAAATGATTAACCCCGGCGGACTCAATGTGATAGCCCTGATCTCCGGCGGCAAAGACTCCTTATACTCCATCCTCCACTGTTTCCGCAATGGCCACAAAGTAGTCGCCTTGGCCAACCTCCACCCCGCCCCGGAGACCAGCCAAGGTGCCTCCAGCCCCGAAAACGAAGACATCGACAGCTTCATGTACCAAACCATCGGCCACTCCGTGATCCCTCTCTACGAGTCCGCCCTTAATATCCCTCTCTACCGCGCTCCGATTACTGGCGGTGCCGTCGACACAGCCCGCATCTACCGCCATGATTCCACCCCCAACGCCGACGACTCGCGCAACGATGAAACGGAGTCTCTGGTTCCGCTATTGCAGTGCGTCATGCGTGCACATCCGGAAGCAAACGCTGTCTCTGCTGGCGCTATCCTGTCGACGTATCAGCGGACAAGGATCGAGAATGTGGCAGGGAGGCTGGGATTGACGCCGCTGGCGTGGTTGTGGCAGTATCCTGTTCTGCCGGCGCCGGTAGAGAGAGCGGATGATGGACTTGCTGTTGGGCATGCGGGGCTGTTGGAGGATATGGCTGGTGTTGGGTGTGATGCGCGGATTATCAAGGTTGCGAGTGGGGGGTTGGATGAGGGATTCTTGTGGGAGAGTGTTTCTGGGGCTGGGGAGGGGGGCAGGAAGGTGCGTCGGAGGATCGTGAAGGCGATGGCGAGGTTTGCGGAGCCTGAGGACCTGAGGGGTGCGGTTTTGGGAGAGGGAGGGGAATATGAGACGCTTGCGGTTGATGGGCCGGGGTTTTTGTGGAAGGGGAGGATTGTTGTGGATGCTGCTGAAACGGTGGTTGGGGATGGAGGGGTTGCATTTACGAGGCTGAAGGGTGCTCGGTGTGTGTTGAAAGAAGAAGGGGAGGAAGATGAATATACGCTTGATGATGTTAGGACGCCAGCGTTGTTGGATGAGCCGTTTACTGCTCTCCTGGCCGATGTGAACTCTGTCCAACCATCGATGGAAGCCACGCCAAGAGCCTTTCCGGAGTTTGATGGCTTCTCTGTTCTGCCCTATATTGCTCAGTCCGGGTCGACGTGTATAATGGCGAACCTGGTCGCGCCTGAGGCTGGTCCTGGTGCAGGAGAGCAGATGGAGGCCATTGTCTCGAAGGTCGAGGACACATTGCAGACATTTACAAATGCTGGGAGACCCCGGTCAGCAGAAGACATCGTTTTTGCTACGGTGCTGCTACGTTCGATGGCAGATTTCAGCCTGATGAACAATGTCTACGTCTCGCTATTCCAAAAACCAAACCCGCCAGCTCGGGTTACTGTTGCCTGCGGTGATACTCTTCCTGCTGATGTGAAGGTGATGGTTTCGTTCGTGGTTGATGCTGGCTTTCGTGAGGAGCGACAGGGCTTGCATGTCCAGTCTCGCTCATACTGGGCACCTGCAAACATCGGGCCTTATTCGCAAGCCATGTCTATTCCAATCCATGATCAGAGCAAGGTGGTCTACATCGCAGGTCAGATTCCTCTCGAGCCAGCTTCTATGGAGATAGCCACGGGCCACAGCTCTTGGTATGACGCATACTGCTTACGGGCTGTGCTGTCTTTACAACATTTATGGCGCATTGGCGAGGCAATGCAGGTGGATTGGTGGCTGGGAGGCGTAGCATTTTTGACTGGCGCTGAGCACATCGAAACCCAGGTGCGAGTGGCTTGGCGTCTGTGGCAGAGAATGCACAATCGGCCAGAGGATGATGACGATGAGAACGAGGGTTCAGAGCTGGATGCGTGGGATATCAAGTACGGCCGCCGGGGACAGGAAATCATCCCCGACACAAATCCTCCGGGCCTGCCACATTTCTCAGTTCTAGAAGAGGACAGCACGATTACAACTCCTCCATTCCTTGCGGTAGAAGTCGATGGTCTGCCGCGGGGGAGCGATATCGAGTGGCAAGGGTTGGGAAGCCAATGCCAACAGGTTGAGCTCACGGTTGATGGAGACACCATGACCGTTGCGGCCGACGATGCGTACAGTCTTACATGTCTAGAGATTGGCGAAGGTCAACTACAAGAAAGATTAACAAGATTGAACGATTCAGTCGAGTTCATCCATGGAAATCATCAGATGCTGTCGCAAGTCGTGCTATACACAACACAACCGGTGTCCGAGCGCCTCTGGGCAGGCCAGGTGGTCCCATGTCGCTCCATCTGGGGGCGAGATGGGCGACCGCTGATTGCAGGAGTGGTGATCATCAAGGAAAAGAAGAAAGATTGAACGTAAATGACGACCTTACGATATCTCCAACAAATGAAAGCAAATCACAGCGAGCCGTTCGACTAGTTAGTAGATGCTTCTTGCATACGCCACATTGCGTCTGAGCATGTGATAGGCAAAATCCCTTCCGCATCCAGCAAAAGATAACAACATCCAACGGGCCAAACTTCTGTTTCACTCCCACTCGAACAGATATACCCGACGACCGCAGAGACAATTCCCAAACTCTCTGCTTAGTCGTCCGAAACTTTCTTTGATTTCCTTTGCCCCTATCTCGCCCCTCGTCCGGAAACCAGGCATGTCGTATTCGTTGACATAAGGAATGGCGCAATGAGTCCACCGCGGAGACAGGAAGAACAAGAGATGTCGCAAGGAGATAGCGCACCTGATTCAATCCCAGATATCAACGGTGAGGACCTGCGGCAATTCACTCGTTCTCCGCACCCATACCGCCGCAGCAGACGCCCCCTGTCACGAACTCCGTCTGAGCAAGCCAGCGGGCTGCAGCCACAATCAGCCTACTATTCCAAGTCATCGCGCACTCCGAGCGACAGCGGAACCGAAGCAGATGACGAGAGTACGGGCATATTACGAGGCCTCCCCGCGCCGCCGCTGCGGCCGCGGAAAGGTCTACGGGTTGGGAATGGGAGTGCGGAAACTGATGGGTGGCTACCCACGCTCCACCCATGGCCCTCGTTAGTACGGCGGTCGAGCCGGGGTTCACGGCACAGCTCAGAAGAGGAAGCTATCGAGGAGGCTATGGAGGCAAAAAAACGTGGTCGGAAGCGTCGGGTTGAAGTCTTGCGACGCTTGCTTGAGACTGCCCTTTTGCTGTCCGTGGGGGCGATAGTTTTGCTGCGGAGGGATTCACGAATGCTTGCTTGGGAGTGGAGAAAAGGTAGAAAGACCTCAAATCAGGCTTGGATAGGCTTGGAGAGTTATGTTTTGCTGATGATACTACAGAACTTGCTACTCATGGCCTTTTGCTCGCCGCTCTTTTCGCTTCATACCCGGTCTTGCTCCCCGTCTCGTGGAAACCACGGTGGCAGGTGTGGCCAGCCAAAGATCCGTTCTTCGTTATTCCAACCACATTCGACCCTGCGCCGCTTCTCTATCCAGCCCTTATACCCGTTTTCGTTTCGATTTCTCTGTCTCACCACACACCGGCCTTGATTCTGCCAAATATCGTTCTGAGCCTTTCCTCCCTACCAACGCCCGTCATTCCGTTATACAACTGGATCAATGGCTTTAGTCTCACCCACTGGCTAGTCACATTGATCCCGATCCTGATATCAGAACATTTTTCTCTCGACCATACAGTTCCAAAACCGCTGACGCTTCGCGGTCACGATGCCGAATTGCTCACACTTCTTTTTCCTTTCCATCAAGCGTTGATACCCACTTTAGACTTTTTGTTGACAACCAGTGTCCTTCCAGCCGAGCTGCAGCTATTGAGCAGCGCACTAATAAATCTGTACTTATTTGCGGCGTCGCCACAGGCGGAAATTTTGAAAGCGTTGCTGTGGCTAGGGGGGCATGTGTTTGTTTGTCTCCTGCGGCGACGTCTTACGTTGGGAGGTTGCGCTGGCGCGGATTCCCAGCTGGAAGTTTCGTCGTTCGCTGAGAAGCTCTCAGTCACCCCGGCGGTTCTTGAACATGGTGGACCATCGGCTGTGCCAGAAGCTGAGCGGGACCGGCTTCTCAGATGAGCCTACCTCGGACAGCGATGGACCAGGCGCAGTCCCCCCGCGCAAGCCCAAGACGGTGCGTGGGCCGCCACAGTCACGGAAGCCTGTGGACTCGTTGCTCCTCGCTGGAAATTTGTCAGCAGAAGAAAGCCTGGAGCGCCAGGACGAGGCCGCGCGCAGGCAACAGCGGCGGCGCCATACCATCGCCACTTTTGACGAGGCTGTACAGGAAGAAAAAGTGCGCACTACACCGAGTGGACGACGCAAGAAGTTGATGGGGCCTGGTCTTACCTCGTTTCTGTCTCTCACCGCAGCTCAAGCCCAGGTCCGCAAATGGCTATATGCTTCCTATGTCTACCTGATTTCGCTTGGTATTATTATAGGGCCCATCCGCAAGTACGTGGCGGATCGGGCTCTACAAGGGCAGGATCCATTTGGCTGGGCCATTGGATACCTGCTAGGCAACCTCTCCGCATTCCGATTCTGGGTGCTTATCACGAATCTAGACTACTGGATTTCATTACCGCCTCACCCTCAGGCAGCAAAGGACTCCTGTTGGCTTGGGCGGGATTGACCATTTACGCCAGACATTCTTTGGACCCGCCAACGCCCGTCTCCTCATCATTGGATACTGTGTCGTTGTTTTGATCCTTGGATTGGCAGTGGTTTTCCAACTCAGCGCAGTCGTCGAGGTAGATACTCGGCGCAAAGTCTTCCATGGCATGATGGTGCTGATGTTTCTGCCTACCGTTTTTGTGGACCCGGCTTTCTGCGCCCTCGCCCTCTCCCTCGTCCTAGCGGTCTTTCTGCTTCTAGATCTTTTCCGTGCCTCGCAGCTGCCGCCCATATCGCGCCCCTTGACTTATTTCCTGGCGCCATACGTGGACGGCCGCGATCATCGCGGACCTGTCATTGTCTCTCACATCTTCCTCCTAATCGGGTGCTCGATCCCGCTTTGGCTATCGCTGGCAGATTTAGCCCGAAATGACGATGGTGCGTGGCCCGGCTGGGACGTCCCCTCGCGCGACGTTAGCATGGTGAGCGGTGTGATATGTGTGGGGATGGGCGATGCAGCTGCGTCGCTCGTTGGTCGCCGATATGGTCGACTGAAGTGGTTCTGGGGTGGCGGCAAGTCGCTTGAAGGGAGCGTGGCCTTTGCGGTGGCCGTCTGCACCGGCTTGTTGGCAGTTCGTGCCTGGCTGGTAATCGGGGGGTGGCCTGCCGAATCAGCCTGGGGTTCCACATCAACATTTCGATTTTGGGTGTGGACGACCTGCAAAGCCGTATTAGCGGCAGGCGGAACGAGCGCCACCGAGGCGATCCTCACTGGCTGTAATGATAACGTCGTGGTGCCCGTGGTGCTGTGGCTGCTTGTGCGGGGACTCGGGGTCTGAGGTGGGCCCAGTTTTGTATAGACGTGTCGAAGCATATGAAGTGTATTATAACAAATTCCCCGACCTTGTACATACTACATTGGAAAATATCATCCGTAGCTAATGATGGGGAAATGGCGATCTGGGGAAGGAGACCAACCTCTCCACCCGCGATAAGCTTTCGTTATCATAGCCGATCTCGGACTATCTAATCGCCTCTCGATAAACCCGCATCGACCTATAATGATGCATCCTCAAAGGTACCCCTGGGTACTCAGATGGGCGGCTGCATTAGTTCTCCTCCCCCTTTTTCTTTCCTCTTGTTCATCAAGTCTAGTTTGCAAAAATATCCTGCCTCCAGCTCTTTCGACCCTGATCTGGTGCCCGAGTGACCCAGTGATCCATCTTCTGACCGCCCGACAATCAGCGCCGCCTGTCACTCGTTATCTTCGAGCGGTCACACCCCTCAACGGTCCTTGGTCCAGCTCTTCCCGCCCTTTCCAGCATCACATCATCCTCGCCGTCCATTAGGACACTCTTCTCTCCACATCTATACTCATTACAACATTCCTCACCTGCGACACCTCATACCACCCTTCCCCACCCTTACACCGCCTTGGTTCGTCTTGCTGCATCCTTTCTCGCAGCTCTCCCTCGATCCTTGGGGAAACTTTCGAGCTTAGCTCTATTTGTCCAGTGCAACCGGATCGTCGTGACTCGACTTCGGCGGATCCTCCACAGCAGCGCCTCCTGATCTTCTTGAAATTCCCAAACTTGCGCCCTCACTCTTTCTCTTATCTGCCGTCCTTTCCATCCGAACCCAAACTATCTCCTACATACTGAGTGCTTCCCTGATGGGCGTCTCCCCGCGCATATCGTCTCTAGTCATTTTGCGGTAGCTGTGGTAGACCCGGAGCGGTTGTCTCGTGGTCATCCTCGGAGCCTCTCTGCAGGAAAATAGAGCGGTTTCACGACTGCTCCAAGACAGCCATGGCGTCTCAAAGTTCACGGAGGCCCAGGGAGACCCAACGGCCAGAAATGTCCATCGGTCGATACACAAGACTCGATGAGATCGGCCGAGGGAGCTTTGCAACGGTCTACCAAGGTATTCATACTGTAAGTTCGCCCTGACTTCGTGCTTCGACCCGCCCCTTTCCGAAATCCACAGTATGCTGATGTGTTTGTTTCAGAGGTCCAAAACGTTTGTAGCTATCAAGTCTGTCGACATGTCAAAACTCAACCGGAAGCTTAAAGAGAACCTTTCCTCCGAAATCGATATCCTCAAGGGCCTACACCATCCTCATATCGTCGCTCTCATCGAATGCCATGATACAACTTCGCAGATCCATCTTGTCATGGAGTACTGTGCTTTGGGTGACTTGTCACTCTTCATCAAGCGCCGTGACGGATTGGCAACGCATCGATACACCCGAGAGATGATTACAAAGTACCCGAATTCACCGGGTGGCGCCTTGAACGAGGTCGTAGTCCGTCACTTCCTGAAGCAACTCAGCAGTGCACTTAAGTTCCTCCGAGATCGAAACCTTATCCATCGAGATATCAAACCTCAGAATCTTCTGCTGTGTCCATCACCATCTTCGTACCGGAGCGGCATGGCACAGGTAATTCCATACAAAGGTAGCGATAACTCATATGAACCGACAACGGGTCTAGCATCACTACCCATGCTGAAGATTGCGGATTTTGGGTTCGCTCGCTCCCTCCCGACGAAATCTCTAGCAGAGACCCTTTGCGGCTCTCCATTGTACATGGCTCCTGAAATCCTTCGGTATGAAAAGTACGATGCCAAAGCTGATCTCTGGTCAGTTGGTACAGTGCTGTTTGAAATGGTAGTTGGGCGACCTCCATTCCGGGCAACTAACCATGTAGAGTTGCTCCGGAAAATCGAAAGGGGAGATGATCGAATTCGATTCCCGGATGAAAACCCAGCCTCCGAGGAAATAAAGAAGTTGATTAAAGGACTTCTCAAGAGGAACCCCGTGGAGCGGTTGAACTTCCCTGAATTTTTCAACGACCCTGTTATCACTGAGCCCATCCCGGGGTTGGTAGGTGATGATCTTCCCCCAAGTCCTCCGAGTAACCAGACTCCGGGCCCCGAACCCTACAAACCCAATATCCCAACGAGTCAGCCTGAATTCTTTGATGCGAAATCCGACCAAGATTCCCCCTACCTTGCTGACCAAGAGGGGCCTATGACGTATCCTCCTCGCCGGCCACAAATCCATCGTCAAAAAACACAAGAGGCTCCGATATCTTCCTCGCCACTGCGCAGGGGAAGCGCGGACCGATCACCTGGTCTGTCCCGAGAAGGCGCAAGGGAGAATTACCAGCCTTCCCGCCCCAGTCCGGTCACCCATGCAACAGCCCCGGGTCGTCAAGAGCTGGTGGATCGACATGCTTCAGCGGCTGCAATGGAGCGTCAGCGCAGTCGAAAGACATACTCCGGAGCCAATCGGCCAACCGAGAGCGACCGGGCTCAAGAAGAGCGTGAGAAAGCTGCGCAGGAAGTTGCTTTTGAGAGAGATTATGTGTTGGTCGAGAAGAGAGCAGTTGAAGTGAATGCGTTTGCCGATGAGCTGGCTCATAGCCCCCGCATTCAGGGCGGGTTTTCTCGTGGACCGACTGGCGCCGTGTCTCGTCGTGCAACTACGCAAGGTCTCCCCACGGTCTCCTCTACCTCGCCTCATGGCGGAAATCAGTCCAAGGCTGTTCAAGTCGCTGGAAATCGCACCCGAGCGGACTCTACTCATCAGCGCCAGCATTCATACGAGCGCCGGTATGGACAGAGCCCGACCTCCGCTACATCGGCCATCTCGAAGGCCCTCAATATGGCGAGTGGCCGTCTTTTCGGCATGGGATTCTCGCCTCCCATGGCCATTACTAAAGGAGGCCGTTCGCCACCTCTTGCTTACAACCCGTATCCCGCGTATCCAACCCAAGCGAGCCTGATGCTGCCAGGAGAGAGTCCGAAAACCAATCTGACGACCGAAGAGGATTACAAAACCGTTCAAGCAATCGAAGACTCTGCGACTCGCAGTGATGTCGTCTATGGGTTCGCCGAAGTCAAATATAAGCAGCTGATTCCGCTTGCACCTTCTTCACAGATGGATTCATCCGATCGACCTGCCATCTCTGGTGCTACCGATAATGAAGATGATGGCCTCACCGTCGATGCGATTGTGACCCTTTCCGAAGAAGCCTTGGTTCTGTACGTCAAGGCCTTGGCTTTGCTAGCCAAATCTATGGATATTGCTGGTACATGGTGGTCGCGGAAAAACCGTGAAGAGATATACGGTGACTCGCCTCGGAGCGACACCTCCACTGCTATAGCTGGCAACCGCATCAATAATGTGGTCCAATGGGTGCGGAGCCGGTTCAACGAGGTCCTGGAAAAAGCCGATTTTGTTCGCCTGAAGCTCATTGAGGCACAAAAGCGGCTTCCCTTGGACCACCCCAGCCACCCCGATAACTACTCGATGGGCTACACCGCCGGGTCATCTAGCTCAGCAGATGTCGTTGTCAGCCCAGGCGTCTCGGCTGGACGGTTGATGTTTGATCGTGCTCTGGAAATGAGTCGAGCGGCGGCTATCAACGAGCTCACAAGCGAAGATTTGGCTGGATGCGAGATTGCATATGTTACTGCGATCCGTATGCTGGAGGCCGTGCTTGAAGACGATGGCACCCAGTCGACCTCGAATGATCAACAGGGCAGCTTGAAAGGTAGCGAGAAGTCTTCATTGGACGACTTGCAAGGCGAGGATCGGGAAACTGTGGCTAAACGTAGGATCACCTGGACCAGTCCCCTCTTCTGAGGAGCAATACTGACATCTTTTCTAGTTATATCCAGTATGCGTGGTCGCCTCGCCTCCCTTCGAAAAAAGCTCTCTCATCTTGCCAAACGATCCTCTGCTCCAACCGTGAGCAGCGGTCGCCTTCCTCCCTCCAACCTGGCGCCCACCCCCCATGCTACGGGAGCAACGCCTCCACGTTAGCTCTGTAAATTTGATCGACTACTTCACATACCAGTCTCTTCCGATGCCGAGCAATTTCTTCTGCATTGTTCGTTCCGAGTCCTTCGGCTCTTGTTAGTGTGTGTTTGTCCTCTCCGTCGCGAGTCGGCTCAGTTTTAATGGTCTACACCACGCCACTCCCTTATGCTTTATGACGCCGACGCCGATTCTGCTTTCAATTTACCCCCATCTACCGTACATTCCACTGTCCACTGGAGAGGAGTTCACTTTCGTCGCATTCGGTTCTTTGATGATCTACTTTTTTCATTGCGTGTTCTGAAGTTTTTGGAGAGAATCCCTGATATTACCGGCGTTTAAGGCCTGAACATGTGGTAACAGACTGGCAATACCTCCTTTATTTTTCCCTTTTTCCCCTTTTTCCCTTTTTTTCCCCTTTTTTTTGTTGTCGCCCGCCTTCACCTTTCTTGGCTTTACAAGCTCTTGAAATTCGACAGCACCAGGTCAGGAGTTTGAATTGGTTAATCTTGTGGTTGTGGCTTCTAAAGATTCGGGGCGATTGAAGAGGTTTGCATATTCTATTAGATGAGAAATGACTTTGGACTCTTTGCCTCAAATCTCCAGATGGTGTAGAACGTGGTAGTTGGCGACTGGGGCCATTTGACGCCATCCATGGCACCCTACGGCCCACCGACAGAACTTCGAAAGAAGCTACAGGAACCCCACCCCGCGGCTCTCATGCTCGGCGGAAATTTAGTGGCGCAAGGCTCGGGAAGCCCGAGAGAGAACTGGTCCAATCAACCGTATTCAAGTCCAAAATTAGTTCGTCTAAGACCAATCGGGCTTTAAAGGTTGCTGATGTTGCGGAAATCGCGTCTATGGCGTGCTCGATTTCTATGTGTCATGATTTCCCGCATATGGCGATTTTGTCTCTACAGTTTCAAATCTCTGAGCTGAAAGTGGCAGCAGAGTATAGGAGACATTGATCTAGTAGACTTATCCAAATGTGTCGAGTATCATACAGCTTGTCCAGGCGTTTTCGTAGTGACCTCGACCCTGGCAATTTCGCTGCCCGTTCGTACCGTGGATGTACCATGATATGACAGGTTGGACCCTGAAATCCCTGACAGCAAACTCTGCCAAGGGTCCAGGGACCCCTCAAGGAATAAGCAATCTGGTGGGATGACCAGGGTAGCATGCGACGACGCCCAGCCGGGACTGCGTATTGCATCACATTTAGTGCCATCGCATCATTCCTGCCGCTGCTAACCGCACCAAAAGAACAATATAACGAGGCAATGTCCAGGATATCACGCCGGAGATTCACTCGTTTGATCGTACACACCTCCGGTCGATCATGGCGGGCTCCTCTGAGGCTTTCGAGGGCGGCAATAAAACGCCAGCCGTCAACAGCAATGCCAAGTCCGCAGAAGAGGGACTTAAACGCGCCGATGGGATCACCGGTCTATGTTAGTTGTTCCGTGCAAGATGAACCCGTCAACGTTGCTAATGGAGGTGTCTCAGACGAAGGAAATGTCTTCGAGACGTCGCCTGAGAATCGCCGGGAAATTGGCGTGTTTAGTGCGGCGTTGTTGATCTTCAACCGTGTCATCGGTACTGGTATCTTTGCGACCCCCAGTACTATTTTGCAGCTCTCTGGGAGTGTCGGCCTCGCCCTGTTTATGTGGGTGATCGGTACCCTCATCGCACTAGCAGGTACGGCGGTGTATCTTGAATGGGGTACTGCTATTCCCAGGTATGTTAGCATTGAATAGAAGCAGAGAAGAGACAAAAGAGGTTACGACCGTCCCTCGACCCCCCCCCGCTGACCATTCTCTTTAGGAACGGCGGTGAAAAGAACTACCTCGAGTATGTCTACCAGAAACCCAAATTCTTTGCAACGGCCATGTTTGCCTCCTATGCCTTCTTCCTCGGCTGGGCTGCTAGCAACAGTGTGGTCTTCGGCCAGTACATCCTCAATGCCGCCGACGTGGAGGTCGATCGCTGGAACCAGCGAGGTATTGGTCTCGCCTGTCTGACGGTGGCTTTTCTGGTCCACGCCGTTGCCCTGAAATGGGGTCTTCGTCTGGTCAACTTTCTCGGTATTGTCAAGCTCATCGTTATCGTGTTCATCACGGTGACGGGATGGGTTGCGCTGGCGGGCCACACGCGAGTCCCCACGCATAACTTCCATAATGCCTTCGAAGGGACCCAGGGGAGTGGCTACAGTATTGTCATGGCGCTGTACAATGTCATCTGGTCCTTCATCGGGTACTCCAATGCCAACTATGTGGGTTTTCCGTGCGGTGCACGTCGTTGGAATAGCTGGCTAAATCCGTCGAATAGGCTCTCAGCGAAACCAAGAACCCTGCTCGGACGCTGAAGATCGCAGCCCCTACGGCCATCATCTCGGTCGGAATTCTTTATATGTTCGTCAACATCGCCTACTTCGCCGCAGTCCCCAAGGAGCAGATGCTAAAATCGGGCTCCGTCGTTGCCGCCACATTCTTCGGAAACATGTTTGGCGCACGGGCAGAGAAGGCGATGTCGGTCCTCGTGGCGCTGTCGGCATTTGGAAATGTCTTGTCGGTCATTTTCTCGCAGGACGAAGTATGTACTTCCTTGAACCCCCATTGCCCCTCCCCCCCCCCCCACTCCATGCACAAATGCTAAACTATTCGATCCACCAGTCGTCCAGGAGCTTGGTCGCGAAGGCGTTCTCCCCTTTTCGAAGTTCTTCGCCAGTAACTGGCCTTTCCACTCCCCTGCCGCTGGGTTGTTCGAGCATTATATCGTGTCGGCGATTATCCTGCTCGCGCCCCCGCCTGGCGATGCGTACAACTTCCTTCTCAAGTAAGTGTTTCCACAGTCCTAGACGCTCGCTATTGTCGCAGAAGAAACTGACCGGTGGGACTCGTCGGATAGCCTTATTTCATACCCGCTCTCCATTGTCAACTCCTTTGTCGCCGCTGGCCTGATCTATATATATTTGAACCGGGAAAAGAAATTCCCTACCTGGTCTCCGCCAATCCGTGCCACACTCCCAGTCACTGTGTTTTTCTTCCTTTCCAATGTCTATCTGGTGATTGCTCCGTATATCCCGCCGGATGCAGGCCAGAATGTTTATGAGCAGCTCCCTTATTATCTCCACTGTGTTGTGGCCTTGGGCGTGTTCGCGTTCGGTGCTCTCTATTACCTCGGATGGGCCGTCTTGCTCCCCAAGCTTGGCAAGTACGTTCTGGTAAAAGAAACGGTCGTCGATGCAGATGGATGGTCTCGAAGTGTTTACACAAAACTGCCGCAGACTGCGGCTCCCTCTTAGTCTGTTAAGAGGGGTATGACATGATTCTAGCTCTTCTGATATGATCCCATAGAATAGAATTCTTAATTGGAAATGCTTGTTTGATATGGCATCTCTGAAGGTACTCCTTCTGATCAAGTTCCTCATAAGAGGATAAGTTCAAGGGTGGAAAGGAAACTTTTCAGTCCGAGAGTTCCCTCAGAGGTCTCGGCGGGGCGCCGTTGATTCTTCAAGTTTTCGGGGCGAAGTGGAAGCCAAAGTAAGCAACAATATGGATGGAGCGGATATTGGACGGAGGTCTTGTAGTCGTCTGGAACAGTACTCCACTAAAAGCGACGGAAAGTGTCTGACATTCTGAGTATAATCTGATTACCTGCTTAGTAGCATGCAACGCATCCTAAGCTAAACCACCGCACAACATCGAACATAGCAACAAGTAAAGACCAGCTTCGTGCTGTGCAGACCCTCTATCGATAGTTCCACGCCGCTCGATACCCCCGATCAAACAGTGCAAGCAAGCGCGGGCGTTAGGTCCCAGAATTGACAGTGCTGACTGTCACGTTCCTAATAGTGCACCCGTGCGCGTTATACCGATCAGAGTACGTCCCGTCTAATATACTTTCAAGCCAGGCCACGGCGCGGGGAAGCCCATTCACCATCTCATCTAAGTGCCCACCGACGGAATTTCGCTCGTATAATATGTTGGCCCCCAGCATGCAATTACGATTGACATAGTAATCTGCATCTTCAATCGGGGTCGCTTCATCTTTTATCGCCTTGTAGACGAACACAGGGGACCGGGGCACCCCGTGGTAGGTCATGAATTGGTTCTCCAAGTGGGCTTGTCGGATCAGCGGATCGTAGAGCACTGCGCTTCCATTGACAAAGTAGTCGAAAATGCTCTGGTTGTAGAAAGCGGCAAATCCCTGTGTAGGGGACATCTTCTTGGCCGCGAGAAATCCGGTTTTGTTATGGGACCCGGAGGTCTTCAGTTGGCTGACTAGACGCTCGTAGGCCTCTGGGTACTGAATGACAGGCCCCATGATCGCCCCAACGGCGATATAAGCAAGAGGCGTTCCGTCCACCACATAAATGCAACGAGTATTATTGGCAACCAGGCCGCCAAGCGCAGCACCGTGGATTTGGAGTTCCGGGGCATATTGTTCCTGGAATTCCAATGCCCATTCACTTGCGATGGATCCGCCCGAATACCCCCACAGCGCTACCCGAGACGTCTTGTCGAGACCAAGGCCAGAACGTAAAGAAGCACGTATAGAATCAATGGTTGCATGTCCTTCTTGAATTGCAGCAACATTGGCCGCCGAGGGACCCTCGAAATCAGGGACGGTCACAAACCAGCCCCGTCCCAGAGCATTCCCGATATCGGTAAGCGAATTATCGGCAATTTGAAAGGCGCCTCCGTTGGAAGGCCCTGCCCCCGAAGGCTGACTGCTGTAGAGCGAGTAGCTGGGGCTTTGGTCGACATCCATCGTGTTGTAAGGAAGTTGATACGAGAGCAAAGCTGTGTTGGACGATAGTTGTTTCGAAGGTAAGAAAAGAGTGGTCACTGCCCACGAAGGTCGGTAGCGACTGTCCGTGGTGCGATACAGAATATTGTAGACACTTGAACAGTTCCCTGTGATGGTTGATAAGTTTCCAGCGGCTTTTCTCAGGCGTAGTATAGCTCCTGGTGGGTAGGACTCGAAGCCAACAGGAGCTCGGTACCGAGGGTCTTGACTCGGAGGAAGAGGCACTGATGAGTGGACAGCCAGGGCATCGGATGTGGATGTGAGATGGGCTGAGGCGGTAGAGGTGAGAGACGTCCAGGCCAGTAGAGACCAAAGGACGTTGCGAACAAGATAATCTAGACACCACATCTCTGACGGCTCACGACACTTATGATTTGATTCGCGCGTTTGATCACAGCGTTTTGAAATTCAGAAAGAAAAAAAAGGCTGGGGTACCTTATTTATAATATTGAATAAGGTGGGAATATCAAAGTTCGCTCTTCGGATAGCCCCAGCAACGGAGGAGTAATTCGAGACTCTGCCTGCTTTCTAACTTTCATTCGTATTTGCTCGGTCTGCTCGGAAAGCTCTGAAGCCGACAGAGCCAGTAGCAAGCCTGGCACAGACACGTAGAACGCGTGCATACTCAATTGCGACTCGACTTGACGAGGGCGAACAGTGTCGATCAAAAATCCTTTCACAACCGACCTCTTGGGCTTTAAAGAGCCAAATAGGCAGTGGTCGAAGGCGCTTCAGTAGACGCACGAAACTAGTCTCACGATGCTCGGACTTCTGATGTTGGGAAAAACTACGCATAGTTCACTAGGGCTCACTAAATGGATCCCTCCTCGGTCGATACGAATAGAATAGGACCGTGCGCAATACGAGGAAAGGTTAGCGTATATATGATTTAAGTTCTGGCAGTGGGGCTCGTCCGTGTCTTTAATCACTGAGCCTTAACTATGCAACGATTCCACGTGACTTTGGTGTCTGGCTTGGTTGATTATAATTTCTCTCGGGGAGGATCGTGTCCCTCTGGGAAATTGTCCATAGCTTCTAGAAATGCTCTCCATGTCTCTCTGTTCCTCCATTTGTACTTCATAATGATACATGAGTCAACGGACCCAGATGACTTGGAGTAACAATGCGTTACCAGATCAGGCGTCCAGTCACACCATACATTACACTCTGACAGATGCTCAAATCCGAGCGCTAGCTCTGCATGCCCCGTGTAGATCATACACGGGGGCAGATATTCCGTCTTACGACAATTGTATGAGATCCTTGGCCTCGCTGGTATGCACGCTAACCTCTGCTCGTATTCTTTAAGACAGTCATATATTCACCAGTATCTCAGTTCCGATCGGCATTGCCCTGCTTGTGATTTATGGTACCGGAGAGACTAGATGACGGGGAGCATCGTAACCGCAAGTATTAATGCTATCGGATAGGCCATGGCGGCTTGGACTCAGGTTTTCCAATATCTTGCGGCAGACCTGTCATATTTCCAAACAGGTTGGCCTGTCCTTGTATAGAAACTTGGGACTCGGGTGGGGTAATTATATATTAGCATTTATAGGTCTAGAATCTCTGCCACTATTTATCATACTGTGGAGGGAGGTTGAAAGCCTGAGGAGAGACAGGTGGCCCTACTTGAAGGTTATGGTGTGCCACCAATGATAGAATAATGTCAAATTGCAGTGCCTGAAAACGACCAATGCTGACTCGCGGGGGCAAGGATTGATAAGCTATCAAAGTCGGCATCAAGAGAGAAAAGTACTCTCCCTGGTGGTATTTCGACTCACGTTTAGATGCAATTTACGTCGAAAGTGGGATTTAAAAGGCTAAGCTTCGAGTACCCGGAACCACACTGCCAGTGGGACCTGTTTTGGGGGCTCAATAGCAGTGTCCGCCATTATTAGCCCCATAGCCACGGCTTGGCAGTATAGACACCTAAGGAACAATTAGAAAAACGATATGTCTATTTATCTTGCAAAAAGGGGATTCAGATGCATATCCATCGTTGAAACTCCCTCCAATTTCCTGCCCCGACTCTGTTTTCTTACGAGGCTCCAGGGTCTTCCCGGAACTGTCCGTTTAAATGTGAGCGTGGACTAACCAGGGAAACTCCGTCAGTGTTTATACCGCAGTCACGATCACGATGTATACGCTACTGGTCGCAGCACTCCCTACAGATACACTCGCTCCTGTAGAACACAGTACAATTTGATCACCCATTGGATTCTGTTCATACTGTGTATAATCCAGCGGCATAGCTCAAGTACTAGTAATGCAGTCGAACTTAAGAGCCCATGGCAGTGGTAGTGGCTGTTGGAAAAAATAAAAGTTGGATGTGTCCTAGGAATGCTAAACTGGCCTTTTCACCGTGGAGGAAGTACTCGAAGTAGACCCACTTGGACCAGTCTACACATTCTGGTTGGCTCTGACATGGGCATTGGCCTTGGCACTGGCCTGGCCACTGTGGCTTGCCGCGATCCTTTGCCGTTGTGCCTTGTCATCTGCTATTTCTCTGTACGCCAGGGTTCGGAAGAAGTGCGTAACCGGATCAACCTTGTGGGTTTGCAGGAATCGATTCTGGGCCGGAGTCATGCGGTAAAGATGGCGCAGGATCTCTTGCATCGCTCCAGGTGTTGTCTGGGCGAGCTTTCGGGCTGCGTCGTATTTGATGTACTCCAGTTCACCGGGTTGGAGCGTGTCAAGATGGTACAGATAGGAGGTGGATACCGTGTTGCTGAGAATGAATCCAACGTTGGCGTCACCAATAGGCTTGTCGCCCAGGAACAGTGGCTGTTTGGGCTGGGATGCCATGATCGCGGGGTTTCAACCTGAATTTGTTTTTGGGCTTGGGATCCTATAGGAGTCAAAGAAGTTAGACACCGAATGCAGACGTGATCTTTTCATTGGGGGCTATACAGGTTCAGTCTGTAAGTTTGAATGTGAGCACACGAGTCGCGACTGGGAAACGACTGGGGAACAAATAGAGGAGAGAGTTGCCTGCTTAAATATTATGCGGGGCGCGTAGGATCTCATTCACGACTCGTTCACTACAAACGAAGACGTCACTGCCAACGAAAATGTCAATACAAACATGACTCGTTTCTATTATCTATGAGGGGAGCTTGGATACTCTCGTTCATTCTCTCTACTCGAACGAGCGGCGTTTTATGGCCCGTCTAAAATATTGGGCCTAATATCTGTTTTAAACCACAGTCAAGAGAAATCCATGAATAATTCATTCTGCCCATACAGAATCTATAAAAGACCTCTTAGCTTAAGCAATACCTAGGTAGTTAATATCGGTCCAGTCCGCGCACTTGCTGCCTAAAATGCTTTCAATAGAAATAGGCGTAGCTAGAGTAGTGGTAAAGCCTGCCCGCATACCCTCAGCGCTTTCTCCCGAGTTTTTGTACTCCCTCAAAAGAATGTGCTCCGTGTTGGGTGTGCTAGTCGACCATCCTTCCCAACCAATCGAAGCAATGACTTCGCTAAGTATTTTGGAAGACAACAGGGGCGTATTCTCGCCATGGGTGACCCAAGTAATAGCTGCCTTGAACAACAGTTTCCCCCGGTGCAGCATCAATGGTACCGTCATTCAGAACGAGATAGCCTTGGTGGTCGCTTGCAGGGCGGCCTTGTGCGGTGATCGTGCCACCAGACTTGGTCAGAACACCGATGTCGCAGTCGTCGAACCAGACGTTGCCAGTTTTCCCCAAAATGGATTCAATGGCGCCCTCGATATAGCATCTCTCGTAGAATTGATTTCCAGTGTTGGTGTAGAGTGTGTCTGGGGTTATTAGCCAAGGGGGTACTAGTATAGCCAAGTCACAAGCCACAACAAGGACTTACCCTGATAGCCGGTGGGATTGCAGCCATAGTAGCCTTGTTCAGTATTTCAGTATTTTGCCCACTGAGGCTTATGGCTTGACTGCCTATCCCAAACGAGTTTCTGATATTAAGATTGTAGAGACTCGTACCAGCGGCACAATTTCTCCAAGTTCCTACGTGATCGTTAATTTGAAACCGAGCTAAAGCTTACTTGAATGCAGCGCTGGGATCTATAATTGGCGGTTGCAATTTCTTTTCAGTATTTGATGAGATTTTACAAGAGAGTATCAACATGCAAATCATTCAGGTTTAGCTTTTGCCCACTTGGCATTTCAAGCCTTCTGAGTGTGCTCAGGCTGTCAGCCACTGGCACTTTCGAGTCCAAGCTTGAATTTCCCCGCCTCTAACTGCCGACAAGTGGGTCCATTTGCAGTCCGTTTGTCTTCTTTATTTTATTTCCCTACAATGTGAAGGGGGCGCTAGCTTTCGGAACGACTATCTCTATTTCTCATGGGTCTATCTTTTATCTACTGTGTAGGATGCCAACTAGTACATTGCGAACCCCCCCACTCGCAGAGATCGTTTGGCCCGTGACCCACGAAGCCTCAGGACTGGCTAGCCAGGCCACAATATTGGCGATCTCTTCGACTGATCCCAGACGCTTTTCCACCGGGGTTGCCTGCTTTTGGCCCTCAATCATCTCAGCAGGAAATCTATTGAGCATGTCACTTGGAACCGGGCCCGGCGCGACGGCATTGACTGTCGTGCCATTCTCGCCCAGATCAGCAGCCCAAGAGCGCGTGAACCCCTCGACGGCAGCTTTGGAAGCGATGTAGAGGCTGACGTTGCCAAACTTTGCCCGGGCGCCAATCGAGCTGATGTTGATTATGCGGCCTTTGGGCGGGAGAAAAGGAACCACAGCTTGGGTCATGAGGAAAACGCCCCGCACGTTGAGATCGAATACGGTGTTATAGTCCTCAACGGTGAGATCTCCTACGCGGCCATTCGCTTCCACTCCGGCATTGTTGACGAGGATGTCGATGGTCAGGTCTCCCTTCCTTTGACCCTTGAGGTGAGCGATCACCTCCTGAGCGGCATTTAAGGTAGAAAGGTTGACTTGGAGTGCCGTTACACTAGGGCTGTTCGGAAGCTTGCGGATCTTGTCTTGCAGCTCGGCTATGGTGCTCTTGCTTCGATCGGAGACATACGTGACGCAAAGCTACTGATTGTTAGCACAAGTGTGATGCTGTTCAGCGACGAGGTACTCACATCAGCTCCACGTCGCGCAAGCTCATAGGCAATTCCAAAGCCAATGCCCCGCGAAGCCCCGGTCACAATGGCAAGTTTTCCCTTCAGCGGGAAAGCAGGTAGAGCGTCAGCGGAAGACATCTTGTATGCTCCTATTGTTCAAGCTTGTTCTGGCAGAAGTGGGAGACGGATAGGCTTGAGTGGACGGGAGGAATAGGACTAAAAGAAACTAATTGGCACTACTGGAAGCTGGCTGTAATCTATGCAATATATACACCTTATCTTTTGAAAGCAAATGGCATCCCCATAGCAAAAATGGGATCACGAATGACATCACTGTCATCCGAAGTCCGAAATATTTCGGACGCCGCGTCAGTCTCTCCACTTTTGCTTATAAATCCTCCTGCTATCTAACTAGTTAGTTAGTTGACTAGTTAACTAGTTAAGTTAGTTAGCTAACTACAATATGCTCGATACTAAGCTTTAATCGCATAGCTGATGGGTCCCACCAGAAATCCTCCTGATTACTGTGGCCACCCCAAGGGGACGACTTCTCTGTGTGATACTTGCGACAGCTTCTTCATATGCACTACTAATTCGTCGAGCAGTTTAGCATTCGAGAACTGAACCGCTGATTGGAGGTTCTGTGAAGAGAACTCCCTTAAGTGCTTCTGCTGAAGAAGCCATTGTTTCCGATTGAAGAACAAGCTAGCGGAGGCAAGACTGCCCGGGGGACAATGGCTTTCAATGCTAGTTGAAGAGCCGGAGGAGAGATCCAACTCCAATGTTTGCATAGATCTCTCTCTTTTATACTGTCACCTTTGCTACAGTGACTATTGAATCATCTGTTCCTCGACAAAGCAAAGACTAGCGCCATAAGCAATGGTGATACCAGGAGCTGAAGGAATGCCAGCATAATCCGGTGAGCCTGGGACCAGATATCAGACAGAATCATACAAAAGCCCATACCATGGTAACCTTCCATGCCCTGGGTTGGTTCCTGGCCCCTCCTGGTGGCGAACTATGCAAACCACCTGGGCGAAGCAGCCCGAGCTGAATGATCTCCTTACTAAGCCTATTAAGTTACGCGCGGGTGCCCGGAGCCGCGAGCGGAGCGCCACGCTTCTCCGCATTAGTCAACGGAGCCAGCACCTTCTACTCGATACCAGACATTTTCTATAACACCCCAGCTGCATCAGCGATCTCCTTCCCCCTTTCCTCTCCTTTCATCGTTCCTCCAACTCTCTCAACCATGTCTCCCATATCAATATCCAAAGGAGGCACCCGCTCCCCCAATGAATCCTTCACCGCAATGGCCAACGAAGACCTCGAGTCCATAGGCCGACACTGTCAATTCGAATACTGCGGCCAGCTAGACTTTCTCCCCTTCCGCTGCGAATCCTGCCGCTCAACCTTCTGCCTCGACCACCGCTCCGAAACCGCCCACAAATGCCCTCGCGCCGGCGAGTGGGCGCGCCGCCGCAACGGCCCTCTCTCAGAGAACCGGCCCGCCCCCGTCAAACCCAACATCTACAACTCCACCCAGTGCTACCACGTCTCCTGCAAAACCCTCATCAACACCCTCAAGGACCCCGCCGTGCGCTGCCCCAACTGCAACTACGAATACTGCCTCAAGCACCGGCTGCGCGAGGAGCACGACTGCGCCAAGATTACCCCGCGGGGCGCGCGCCAAGGGTCCGGCGCCGCGCCGAACGAGACGATCAAGTCCATGTTTGCGCGCGTGCGCGGATGGGGGAGAAGACGGCGCAGGCGACGAGCGGGAATCTGCTGCCGAAGCCGAAACCGAAGCCGAATAGTGCTGCGGGGCGCGCGGTGGCGTTGAATGCGCTGAAGAAGGCGGCGAAGGGGGACGCGGGCGTCCCGGTTGATAAGAGGCTCTACTTGCATGTGGTTGGGACGGCGGACACGCAGGCGGCGGAGCCGCCGGCGGGGGATTTCTATTTCGATTCGCGGTGGAAGGTGGGCCGGGTGCTGGATGATGCGGCTAAGCGGTTGCGGGTTGAGAATTTGAATAATCGGGTTGGAGGGGAGGAGGCGAAGTTGCGCATCTTTCATGTGGAGTCGGGGGAGTTTCTGGAGTTTTCAGAGACGATCGGGAGTGGGAAGCTTAAGCAAGGGGATACGATTGTGTTATTGCGAGGCGCGGGGACTATTTTGGAGAAGTCTGGATGAACCGCTGGCACGATTTCTATGTAGCATGTGCATGATTTTGCTTAAAGCGCTTTGATATCAATACCATCTCACGCGATTATCACTTTCCCGTTGGGCTCCAGTATGGGTCGTTTACATTCAAATAAGACGGGGGCATTTGTATCGACATTATAACATAAGATCTCACATTAAACACTCATATTCATCTTGATCGTCTTGTGAGGCTTGTATCCAATGACCTCGAACTCGTCCTCTTTCCAGCCATCAATCACAGCGCTCCCACGGTCGTCCCGCTTGATCTTCAGCGTCGGGAACTCGGTAGGTTCACGACTGAGTTGCTCCTTCAGTGCGTCAATGTGGTCGAGGTAGACATGAGCATCTCCCATGGTATGAATGAGGGTACCGGGGTTCAGATCAGCGGCGTGTGCCAGGATATGGGTAAGCAGAGCATAAGAAGCAATGTTGAAAGGCACACCCAGACCCATATCGCAAGAGCGCTGGTAGAGCAGACACGACAGGGAACCCTTCTCCGTCGGCCGACCCGTCTTCTCATCGAGCTTCATCCCCGGCGGGAATGACACGTAGAACTGGGCGAACATGTGGCACGGGGGCAGAGCCATCTTGGTCAAATCTGCGGGGTTCCATGCGCTCATGATAATACGGCGGTCAAAGGGAGAGTTCATGATCTTGTTCACGACCTCCTTCAGCTGATCCACCCCCTGGCCCGTATAGTCCGTCTTGGCGTCGACGTATTCGGCGCCAAAATGTCGCCATTGGAATCCGTAGACGGGGCCCAGATCGCCTTCCTCGCGATGGCCCAGGCCCACTTTGTCGAGGAATTCGCGGCTGCCGTTGCCATCCCAGATCTTGATCCCCGCCTCGGAGAGGGGCTTTGAAGTAGTGGTTCCGGCAATGAACCAGAGGAGCTCGGCGAGCACGGCGCGTAAGAAAACTCTCTTAGTAGTCAAAAGAGGGAGAACGGGTATCGGGGCGCCGCCTTCGGGGTCGGGTTTGGAGAGGGAGAATCGAAGTCTGGAGGAAGTAAATTAGAACCTTGTCCCAAGCAATTAAGAAATTCCATCGTACTGTGGAGGAGCGAAAAGAGACCGAGTACCGGTTCCAGTGCGGTCCGGGCGGTGTTCGCCTTGTGAAAGAATATCACGGATCAGGTTCAGGTACTGGTGCTCCTCATGAGAAGGATTGTGTGTCGCAGCAGCCGCTGGCGCTGCGGGGACCTGTTCTTGTGTCATAACTTGGTACTGAATTGACAGAGACCCTTTTGATCGGAAAATACGGAGAAGCGTCCAGTGAGTCGCAATCGACAAAAGGCGGAACGGCCAGACTCGACTCGCGTCTGACGCGACACGCAATCACGTGCGATGATTTATCTTATCTTATCGACATCTCATCTAGAGGCGACTCGAGCAGCTGCATAGATATTGTATCGGCCAGGATGTGGCGAAGTGTCACCATATTAGAAGGAATCCATCATAATCCATAAGAGATAATCTTTATTTTTTGAAGCAATCCTTGTAACACCGTTTTAATGCACACGCTCATGCTGATCTATAATCACAACCGAAGACCACTAGCATTATTAGCATGCCGCCAGATCAATCCGCCAAAAGGTCCATTCCAACGCCTCTTAAAGCGCCAACCGCCCACTCTGGATATTTGGCCTTATCGCCTTGATAGATATCTGAAAAGAACTTCCGGACAAATGCCGGATACCGATCTTCGAGGATGGCCTGTCGCACGGAGCCCATTAGGCTTAGGAGATAGTGCACATTGTGAACAGATAATCTAGTCATATTAGTATCGGATGACTACTCGTATAGTTGCCACGTGGGACTTACAAATGTGCCCCAACAGTTTCCTTCGCCGTAATGTGATGCATGTATGCCTTCGTCAGTCCCAAGCCGCCCTTATCGGTGGGAAGACAGCATTGACAGGTGCAACTTGCGTCGATTGGGGTAAAATCCTCTGCATAGGATTTATTGCGAAGATTCAAAACGCCCTCGGAGACGATAGCATTGCCAAATCGCTGCGATCGAGGTCAGCATGTCAGCGACTGTACTCGTAAATCTCGTACCAAAGGTTCTATACTCACGGCAGTTCGAGTCGGCCACACGCAGTCAAACATATCTGCGCCAAGAGCAACAGCTACAACTATATCTTCTGGGTATCCCTGAAATAGAGGTAAGTACTTTCCTTGGCCATCGACTGAAAAACATACCACTCCCATGACATATCGAGGTTTATTTTCTGGAAGAAGCCCAGTGCACGTGTCCACGCTGCCAAGTGATTAGCCAAACGAAAGCCAAATCAAAGATGCAGTGTCAAGGCTGCATACACTTTACAGAACTCGTCTTTCGCTTCACCTCCGGAGAGACCTCCAATTGCGATACCTGGGGTATCTCGAGCCACCATCTCGGCGCAGCACTGTCGTCGAAGTTCCAGATCCAAGCCACCCTGGATAATGCAGAAAAGGTTCTGTCGCTCGGGATATTTGTGAGCATCGATACATCGGTCCAGCCAGCGAACGGAGCGTTCCATCGCCTCTTTGATCCGGGCGTGATCTGGAGATGTAGTCGCAATAACATCATCTAATTGCATGATAATATCCGATCCGATGGAATTTTGCAGCGAGATTGAGTGTTCGGGCGTTAAAAGCCTGTGCGATATTAGTCTTGCTCTTAGTCGAGATGCAGAAGGACGGCATACATGGGTGATCCGTCGTGCGGGGAAAGGAAGCGCACGCCTTCTTCGGTAACCTTTGCGAGCTTCAGCAGGGACACCATCTGGAAACTTTTGCGGAAGATTCGAGTCAGCATAATTTCGATGTTGGGGCATATAAGGTTCCTTACCCGCCACTATCTGTCAAGAGGTTGCGGTCCCATCCCTGCAGCTTGTGTGCTCCACCGACTGTATCCAGTACTTCTTGCCCAGGCTTGAGGCCGAGGTGATACGTATTGTTCAGGCAGAGCATGCAACCTGTATCTCGCAGTTGCTCGTATGTGAGTCCTTTCAGGGAAGCTTGTGTCGCAACGGGCATGAAGATCGGCAGGGGCACCGAGCCGTGGGGGAGGTGAAGCGTACTCGCACGTGCTTTGGTGGTCTATTTTTAAGAAGTACGACTCAGCAGGAGAAGCAGCGCATGGGCTGGAGAAGATAATACCGAGCATTTGGCATGGCGCTCGAATCGCAATGCGGAGGGCATGGGCTTGCGCGGGGCTTCTGCTGTGGACATATTTGCAGCACGGCGTACTGTTGGAGTGCGGAGACTTTTTGGATATTTATTAGCCTCGTCAGTGACCGTTCACGCTGCATAGAGTGGATTCCCAGTCGCAGATGCAATGTTTGCGACACGGAAAATAGCCTCGATAAGGTGTTTGTCTGGTTTGCATTGCGGCGGTCTGCTTGCTGCGTGGGGTTGGAGAATTGTCCTGTCCATCCTAATAGCTTTTTGAGTCCGGGCGCCATGGCCAAGGTGCTAGCGTGGTAAGTTATTACATTTTGAATGTCTATCTTTTTTGAGTTTGACAGTAAATTTATAGGTCAGAGGAAGTATGACCACCTACCGCTGGAACACCGATTAGTGAAATCTACTTCATCCTCGCCACTTTCTTTTCTCTCTAGGGCATATTCTCGGGCACTGGAGTCGATTTCATTGGCCCAATTAATCTCGAGGCTTATATTCATGAATCATTTTCAGCATGTCATCCATGAATACTGGCCTAGACTACCAGGGGCTCATATTATGCGAAGGATTCTGGTAACGATAAATTCTCCAGTCCTCAACTGATTTCGGGATATCGACCCCTGTTACTTTTTCACTAAAGCTAGGTTATTTTCTAGCACTGGGTATCAAGCTTTTTGTAGAGATTCCGTATGTCTCATTGAACTAACAGATCAAATACCCTCTAAACGGAACAGAAGCGCACTCAGGAGTGCTGGTGGGAGAGCAACTATAAAGGTTCCAATCGCGAAACCCCCCTTGAACATCGTTCCGAAGAACTGACCATAGCACGCCCGCCAAAGCGGCAACAAGAACGGTGATCACCATGATCCAAAAGATGACCTTACGACACGGTCCTTCAATAACATGCATACCCCATCCGAAGCATGCCTCACCACAGTCAATCACTCGTTGTTCTTTCCGCTTAGGCAAGCGTGGAAGCCAATCATTTCGCAAGGGGTTCAGGCGTCCTTCGCCGTGTTCGAGATAATGGATGAATATCTGCGGTGGCATCGGTGGGAGCGGTCTTGGAGGCCTAGAAAACTCATATTCATAGCAGTCGTCCGGAGGAATGCAGTTTGGCCGATCGCAAACAGAGACATAGCCACCGCGGAGATTCCAAAGAGTAAACTATGCAGCTGTGAGCAGTTGACTAATAATGGCCTATGCCGATAAGAATAAATGAATGCCTTACTTGAACGAACTCAATAGTCACTGGCTTGACCAGAAAGCTGAATACTGAATATAGCCGTCTTATCTTGAGATACTCATTCTTGAGCATACTGAAAGCCACTGCGTCAGATCTCAAGCTGGATGTCTCGATCTCCGCCAGGGTCGTGTATATTCCGCCCGTATTTACACAGAGGGCTAGGAACCTTGCTCGCTTGTCACAAGATTGAGAATGATCACTAGGACCTGCAACGGCATGCTCATCATTCGTTGTTGGGCTGCCGAAGGAGCTTTGTATCGCTTTGGCGTCAGAAGGTAGGGAGCTTGCAGGCTTATCATGAATCGTGATATTTGATGAGTCACATTGGGTATTGGAAGCATGATTGGTGCTCTCTTGCACAGGGTTTTGCAATGACGACGCTAGTTTATCGAGACTCTCTGCATCATCGTTGAGGAAATCAGCGTACAGATCGACGCCACAATCCTGTTCTCTGTCAGCAATCCCAAATCCTCGGAATAGAAACAGCCTCGTGCTATTAACCATTCTGGAACAAAAAACTTACACATTTCCACTCGATTCGACGAAACCCTGCTTCTAGCCTTGGTCTCATCATTCTTTTCCACCAGGCAAAGCAACGAGATATACAGGACATCCAAAGGTTTCCCCTATGCACTGACTGTCCAGGCAAATGTTTCTCAGCTTCACTGGAAGATATAGGAAGACTCGTTACAGCTGGATTCGCCTGTAACGCAGATTTATAGCACCGCTCCTGTGCATTAAGGTCCCTTCCAGCCTTCTCAAGATCAATGACAAGCTCTGTTCGGACTGGGTAGCCCCGGACTAAGATCTCGCTGCGGAAGCCTGAGTTCGAGTACGACCCATGACTCGTATTAAGCATCCTGGGACTTTCTTCGAACTGAAATCCTATGGAACATGAAGCGAGAATTGTTCTTGTCGATGTTTCTTCGCTTCCAGCGGTAAAATCGAAATTCTGAACGCTCGGATAGCAGGCTACTACGCCTTGATGTGATGATCGAAGAGCTGAAGCTAGCCAACCGATTTGCTCAGCCACTTCGGAGATTAGAAATTTGTCGCCAGTGGCGGTGATGGAACATGACGATGGAGGTAGAATGCACGCCGTGAGTTGCGGGTCTTCTAGATCGTAGGTCTTGAGTTGAGATGACATGTGTCCTGGCAGCTGGCCTAGAGAGAAACTTAAATCAACGTTAAGAACGTGAATGAGAGTTTCGGGCCTTACAAGAACATTCCTGACCCTTCGGGAGACGAATCAACTCTTTCAACAAAGTGATAATGTATTTCCCACTTCCACGCCACGTTTGGCCCACATACTCCCCCACAGTTGCAGCTTGCGCTTTGTTCCATGAGCCTGTCAAACAAACGACTTGTTCCAGGTCATTAAGAACGTCAAAACCTGGGCTGTGGGCCTTTTGATCCTGGATGAAACGTGCGGGATCCCAATCAAGATTAAAGGTCATCTTTACCAAGGGTTGCGGTCTTCGACGGCTCATCCTGCGTAGCGAGTTGAATGATCTTAGTTGGGATTGGACCTCAGCACCTATGTCGAGCATCAAATCGGGATTTCTGGGTCCTAGCTGACCAGTTCCGCGTATACTTGACAGAAGCCAATCCTTGTAGGCAACTGATCCCTGAATGAACTTTTCGTACTCGGGGTACTCTGGCAACTCCAATCCAACCTCTCCTTGGTCCATAATAGACGTGTCTGCATCTTGATCAAGCTCTCCGAATGATTCAGCGTTGTTAATCCAATCTAGAACATCCTTTGAGTCTTTCTCAAATGGCAGTCGCTCGAGTAGCTCGCCATCACTGACTGATCCCTCGAGAGCCTCTTTCTCATCAATTTCCAGCTCTTTTCCCGGGCGATCTAAGATCACATAATTGATAATATGCCTGAGATGAAAGGTGTTATCTTGCTGCATGCTTTCGAATTAGTGGCTACCAATGCATACTTTCTTTCGCGGTGCAGTGCAACGGCTGCTTCCCATTGAAATGGTGTTGAAGACTCTCTATGAAGTTTCCACGAGAATATTCGCAGAAGATGATCCAAATGTTGTGCGGAAATATCTGAGAAGTTCGAAACATTGGAAATGTTTTTCATGTCACAGGCGAGCTGATCGGCAAAAGCCCGAACATAAAGCAGTGGTCGGTGATCCAGGGCAAAGCCAATAGAGTATGTGGTTTCTGCATCACAGTAATCAGGACAGAATCCTCCTCAATGTCACTCTTGGGTTTGATATTGCTCGGTATAGTATCATCCTGATCAATTCCCAGCCCCACCTTCTGTTCCGATGAAGCGAGAGAGCTAACCACTTGTGTATCGAGCTTGGCCTTTGGTTGAGAAGTAGGCATTGTTGAAGGGTGGGTTGCTCCACTACGGTTGGCGCTGTCAAAAATAGACGTTTGGAGAGTACACCCAACGCTGCCATGATTTTCACCCTGCGCGGTGACATCGTTTTTCCACTCTTGCAGCAGCTGTGCAAGCTTCCTGTGTCCAATAGTAGAAGCAGCCTGTAGCGCACTTTCGAAGTGTTCACCTTCGATATCGGCTCCTCGGTCTAGCAGAATTTGCACAATATTGGAGTGTCCTCCGGCACAAGCAGCCTGTAGCGAACTTCCGTAGAATCCGCCTTGGATGTTGATATCGGCTCCCTGGTCTGGCAGAAACCGCACAATATTGGAGTATCCTCCGGCACAAGCAGCCTGTAGCGCACTTCCGTAGAATCCGCCTTGGATGTTGATATCGGCTCCCCGGTCTACCAGAAGCTGCACAATATCGGAGTGTCCTCTAATACAAGCAGCATGTAGCGCACTTCCATAGAATCCGCCTTGGATGTTGTTATCGGCTCCCCGGTCTACCAGAATCTGCACAATATTGAAGTGTCCTCCGGTAATAGCAGCCTGTAGCGCACTTTTGAAGTGTTCACCTTCGATATCGGCTCCTCGGTCTAGCAGAATTTGCACAATATTGGAGTGTCCTCCGGCACAAGCAGCCTGTAGCGCACTTTCGAAGTGTTCACCTTCGATATCGGCTCCTCGGTCTACCAGAACTTGCACAACATTGGAGTGTCCTCTAATACAAGCAGCATGTAGCGCACTTCCGTAGAGCCTATCGTGGGTATTGACATCGGCTCCCCGGTCTAGCAGCATGTCATCTAAAGGCCAGTTGCTGCCTGTAATCCCTTTTTTCAATCCAGCTAAATACAACCGTATTAGCTAACAGGGCTCTTGAAAATTCGAAATGAAATGGAACAGCCCTTACCACACATGTCCACCGCCAAACCCTCTTGTGAAACACGGCTGATAGGAACACATCCCAGCAGCTCTTTTGTATAGGATGCAGCCGCTAAAGCTGCGTACCCTGCCCAAGATTTATATCCATGAGAATCAGCATAATCGCAAATACCGCGGATGACTAGACAGGGAAAGTCCTCCATCAAACCGGCGGTCGCAGTCTCATAGCATAATGCTCCGGTCGTCTCTGCGAGTTGATCTCTTGCCTTGCCATTTTTGATGATCATATTTCCCGAGGCGATGATACCATAATGGAACTGCGGGTCACTATCGTAGCGTTCACTTCTGAACTCTTCCCATTCCGCCGGACAGTCGTCACAGGTCCTCGCCTCCATAGGATGATTGTGCTTGGTCTGGAACAGTCGATCCGACTGTGCATCGTGTGGGACAAAATTTTCTCGTGTTCGTGCATTTCTTCCAATCGCACGTTGGAGATAGGCTTGATAGAGAGAGTGACCCGACAGCGTATTAGCTGTCAGCTGGTTGACTGCATCGAGTAGCGCCTTTGGGGGACTGTTCAGCAACTCGGTTCGTTCAAATAGGCCATCTGTAGTGACCTTGCCCATATCGTATTGAATCACCCCACCGTATGGACCTTCGGGGGAGCCAATGACAATATCACCAAGGCGGATATCATGAGTAGCCGACGGGAGTCCGCTCCCGATACCAACCATCAATCCGATTCGAAGGGAGCAGAACGTGCGAACCATATTAACTATGATAGAGTTGACTGAGTGATTTACATTCCCTCTTGGGGGGGGAGGCGATCGCGATGTTATGTTCGCCGATACGGCCCAGGGTATAGGTATTCGTGTCGGCAGCATCTTGCTCCTCGAAATTCCCAAACCTTTCATCCAACATCTCGGCGGCGGCGGCGGCCTCGATCGGGAGTGAGCAAAACCAGCCAATCTGGAAAGCATCTCGTGGCGGGCAGGCCATATGGGAACCCTATCGTGGTTTGTGAGAGAGAAACCCTTCAACAACGAATGTTTTATAACACTGACACTTGTCGGCAGGATCGAAGAAACAGTTGAGTCAATCCCCCTAAAGCGGGGAGGGAGCCTCATTTCAATGCAGGAGGCAGCCGCATCCCTGCTGGGAGACAGCGCAGCAGTGCAGCTGGGCGGCTGGAGATAAGTTGCTATTGGCGGAAGGTGTCCGCATATCGAGCGGTGACAATCCTATGCGAGACGCTAGCCCAGCGCAGAGCCCCAGCCTAACTACGTGACACAAACACGAGGCAAAGGCAGTACGATATACCGCATTCCTTTGTACGACTGTAGTCCAATGGAAATGGCACCAAAAATTAGGACCTTGCGACTCGACGGACAATCACCCCATCTATGCTCGAAGTATTCCGTGAGCGTCTGCTTGAATGGCCACATCTGTAAAAGGATTAAACGGTGGCCGTATTGCGGATGAATGCCGTGTGTTTATGCCTAAATACAATATTATTAGGGTGCCGTGGGGATGGGGGGGGCTCTGAGTTAGGCTAAGGTAACCACTAAAAAGATAGCAAGGGAGCAGAATCCGAAAGTACGAGACTGCTATCGCCGCCCCGTTTCATCTTTCCAACTCTACTACCAGTTGGCGTACTCATCCAGGTTGGGGTAATCGTATCTGGATGAGGTGGACTGTGACGGCCTGTGAAAACCGAGTCAATGGATTCTGCACTGAAGTCTGTCGAATACATGAGGGTCCTTGTGCATTGGCAGTGGGGCCAGTAAGAAGAAAAGCACTTATCGGCGAGGAAGCCGATTTCGCTGCCGACCGTATATTGAGTAAGATGTTTTGGATTAAGCCCGATAGTGCAACTGAAATTGTAGATAAATGGAGTAGGCAAAAGTGCGTAGAATCTCTAGTTCGAGTAACTCGGTATCCTGGAGGTCCACGCTGCTAATTTCCCACCAATTCAATGCTCCCATCCAACCGAACACCCGGCATTTAGGTCCCCCCCCAAGTCTGTGGGGTTCGGAGAAGAGCTGACTTGGTCAGTGCGACCATGAAATGCGGGGGTGAGGGATCAGCTAGGGGTGCAGGGAAAAAGGAAAAGAAAAGGGGTCAATCACCCCTCCCTCGCAAATACTCCTAAGCGGCTCCGACCTGTACCATGGAGAAAAAGTATATCTCAGATGTCGAACGTGCGACGAGTGTAAGTTCCCACACCTCCTTGTACTACAGCTTCAGGGACTCCCAGGCTAACTCAGGGCTAAGGTTTCGAGTCCCGCATCGGAACCCGTGCTCGACGCCCGCGAGAAGGCATTAGTATGGAAGCAAGATCTGCGGATTGTGCCGCTCTGTGCTGCAATCTACCTTCTTTGCTATTTAGATCGGTCGAATATTGGTATGTTCCCGGGGACCACGAATAGTCCAGCTTCTAACAAGCATAGGAAATGCGAAAATCCTTAACGAAGACACGCACAATGATCTCCTCTCCGAGACAAATATGACCTCTTATCAATATACGTAAGTACGTGCTCAGCTCGACAGAACTATACACTAACACCTCTAGGATTGCCCTAATGGTCTTCCTAATTGCGTATGCTCTATTCGAAGTCCCTTCGAACTACTTCCTAAAAAGGCTCAACCCCAGCGTATATCTCCCCTTAGCTCTCCTCCGATTCCCCTCCATGATACTAACAAACCTAGCGCTGGATCGCCTTCCTCATGCTCTCCTGGGGCGCCATCACAATGGGCCTCGGCGGTGCCCACACCTTCGCCCAAGTAACCGGCATCCGCTTCCTGCTCGGCGTAATGGAAGCAGGCCTCTTCCCAGGCTTCGTCTACTACCTAACGTTCTGGTACCGAAACTCCGAGCGCTCCATCCGCGTGGCTCTGATCCTCGCCTCGGCGACTCTGGCCGGCGCATTCGGCGGCGCCATCGCCTACGGCGTTGGCCACATGAACGGCGCGCAGGGGCTATCCGCCTGGCGGTGGCTATTCATCATCGAGGGAGCCCCGTCGTGCGCGTCTGCGATTCTAGTCTGGTTCTTTCTGCCAGATTATCCCGAGACGGCGCACTGGCTGAGTGCGGAGGAGAAGGCGCTTGCGGAGCAGAGGCTGGAGGGGGAAGGGTCGCATGGATCTGCGAAGGCGATGTCGTGGGCGGAAGCGAGGGACGTGCTTGTTGATTGGCGACTGTATGCGCACTACGCGATTTATTTTGGCATTTCGACGCCGTTTTCGAGTCTCTCGCTTTTTACGCCGGCGATTACGGCGGGGTTGGGGTATTCGAATCTGAGGGCGCAGTTGATGACGGTGCCGCCGTATGCGGTTGCTTATGTCGTGACAGTGGCGGTTGCGTGGTCGGCAGATTATTTTAATAGGTATGTGCTCTTTGGAAGCATCGTTGAGTGGCTAGTTATCTGACTTCTTTAGCCGCGGGCTGCACTCCGCGATATTCTCGTTTGTCGGCGCAATGGGGTTCTTGGCCTCGGCTGTTCTTCCGGCAGACGCATACTTGGTATGTTCTGGAGAAACCACTATGCTTACAGGCAAGGGGTCACTGACACTCTACAGCACCGCTACGGCTGCCTGATTGTTGCAGCGAGCGGCTCCTTCGCCTGCATCCCCCCTTTGCTCGGGTGGCTTTCCGCGAACCTCAGCTCCACGGCAGGCGCAGGGCTGGCCATTGCATTGAATGTCTCATTTGGGGCGCCGGGCCAGATTGTTGGGGTGTGGATCTATAAAAGCGATGAAGCGAAGAAGGGCTATCCCACTGGCCACTGGACTAATGCAGCCCTCCTACTGTTCGTCGCTGCAGGATCCATCCTCTTGCGGTTATATTATGGGTGGAGAAATAAACGTGGCAGTCGGGATAGGAACGGTGCGAGTTTTGCTTATTAGATGGATCAGATGGCGGGCTCTGCTGGCCCTGCCGGGTCTTCGTTGATGTGATTCATCTTGAGCAAGGCGTAGTGGGAACAATGTCACGATCTGCTTATGAATTACATAAAATCTGCAGAACTCCGGCCGTATGATTGGTATAACGAGAATTAAATCTGCTCATTGGATGTCACTGACAGGGAAGTATGGTATCAAGCGCTAATAGAACACCCCCCAAAGCCCTTCGAATATGCAGCTTTTAGGCAGCCACCAGCTACACGGATCGACTGGACAAATCATCAGATGCAGTGCCCAGGTGCCCACAGGTGCAGTCGTCACATCAACATCCTGCTCCACCCATACTAGCACCGCTGGCAACTCCACCCAGCCAAGCGTGCTGGCTGGCCCGCTGGCGTTTCTGCTGTCTTTTGTATTTCTTTTTCTGTGTTCCGTTCTGACCTTGCTGGCAACGATCGTCATCCCGGACTTTCTTCTGATAGTTGTTTCCGTGTTGGGATCGGCGAGGGGAGGGTATTCTTCATCCCGGGTACATGAACAGAAACACATAGTGGAGAGATATTCTCTTCTGACTAGTAGCCAAGAGGACTCGAAATTGAAAGCATTCGGTTCCAAGTCAGGAGTGCAGAACTGAAGTGCAAGAGTTTTGGATTCTTCGGGTACAATGGAGCGCCCTTATAGACCCCAACCCCAATATGTACGAGGTCTTCATAGCCACCGCCCCGGAAAATTCATGTCAGCCTTGCTTGCTCCCCGCCCAATATGATTGGCGGTTTCGTTCTCAACTAAAGCGGAATGACGACTGACGATCCCGCTCCCCCGATCGAGACTGCCATCGAGAACGCACATCTCCGAGTACAAGGTCTATTCTCGGAATATTCGAGTTAGTGAACTAGGCATCCATTTTGTTATGATAGAACATCCACAAAAAGATTCCGTTGATGCTGGAATCGATTGCTATAATTATCCCAAGCAAGGCAGCCTTCAGATGTTGCAACCGCAGATCTTAACTCCCTAAGGGCCGCGGCGCGGTGCCACAACCATGGTTCGAGATGCGGCTCAGGCGCTAGAAGGGTAATCTGCTGTATTTCGATGGGCATGTTGATATGACATTCCATCTGCCCTGCTTGCCACTTTGTGAGTGTTCTCGTAAGTCCAAGTGTAGCCAGACTGCCTCGACGGCGGTGAGACGTATGACTTTTGATTGCTGTTTGAATAACCTCCAAATTATAGCCGGGTGGTATGTCTCTTCCATTTGGAGCGTGTTCCGTCCCTAGTTTCGTTCCTCTGCAGATACTGGTGTGCGGAAGGCTTTTCCAACTATATGCACGGAGGTAGGCCAACCAAATAGCGGACTTGGAAATGAAAGTCCTCGTTACCCCGTACCCTATACGGTGGTCTTGCTTCGATATCTCGTGGCTGCGTGGTATTAGGTTTCCAAACCATACATTGTGAATGTTTATGGATCTATGGATCCATAAGCCGCTACGTTAGTACATTTCAAATGTATCACTCGCAAATACGGCAATAGCGAACTTATGCCTTCCATTTCGTGAGGTTGCTTCAAGTTAAGGAGCTGAGTCACAGCAGGGTGCAAAAGGATATCCTAGTCTCCTCCACGGAACCCTACCTAGACCGGATAAGTAGATGGTAGAGTCTATTGTCCTTAGAAGTGGTAAAGAACGCATCTTGGACAGCAGGTTCGTTGTCCTCATTCAATTTCATGAAGCACCAAAAAGAACTCGGGCCTAAGAAGAAATGAAGCTTGATTTTATATGGAATACCCTGTCGATATACTAGTAGTTATCTGAAGCCCATCAATCAATCTGAACCAACCCACAAAATCCCAGTCCCAATGGAAAATAAACATAAGCATAAGAATGACATACGAAAAGCCAGCCCATCCACAAAAAAGGTGATCAAATGCCATCACAAAGTCCCAAAGATACACCCAATGAAACTCCCAAACAAAAATATCCGCACCCAGGGATCAAAAGCAATGAAAGAATAAACACAAGTAAAAAGCAAAGACAACCAAAAGGCCCTTCAGCCTTTTTACATTCACCGCCTTTTCATCTGCATCTTTAAGATGCATCAATCCAAGGCCCCCATCCCATCCAAGTCACACCTGTATAGACCGAGACACCTATAGTCGACGGAGATAACAAGGCACAACAGGAGCTGCTCACACATGCATCTCGAGAAGCTGCATACTGTTCCACGGGATCCTCTCTCCGAGCAGGAGAATTTCACAGACGCGGCCACCCACACCAGCAGCGCCCGAATTATAAGACATCGGGACACCGGAAAGAGAAACACTGCCCTGTGGTTGGTGGGGCGGAGGAGCCAGACGGGAGTGCCAGTGTGCTGGGAAAGACCGGTGCCGGATATCTCAGAAAAGCCAGGATACTTGGGGCGATTCACGGTCGAAACCCGCGTCGAAGAAGTGGGACTGGGCCGGGAGAACGGGTATCAGATGCAGCCGGGGGGGTAGACCAGCAACGGCCGGTCGAGCATGCTACTCGGACTATTTGTCAGAGGCACAGCTAGGGGCTGCAAAACAGAGTTTGCATGTCTCTGGGTAGGAGCCGTGGTCCCGAGCCGTGGGGATTGTGGTTTGTGTCACGATATGGCTGGTGGTCACACAGGCCCATCTGAGGTGGCAAGGTAGCGGTGTTCCTGGGTCGAGTAGACCGGATCTAGCAGGGCAGAATGAATGCTAGTCATAGTCCAAGTTCCCCATCCGTCCTTTATTTTTTGAACCTCTTCTCTCCTCCTAAACTTCCTAAACTTCTTCCCGGTGGATCAGACGGTGAAGAAAGTGGTATGTAGCCCTGCAGCCGAGGAAACCGGAGAGAATATCTCGACCAGGGAATATCGTGCCGAGTTCGGAGGGATGAGGACGCAAAAGAGGAGGTTTTCGATGTGAGATGAGGTAGAGGTGCGTGTTGTTTTTCGCCTGCGTCGCGCATAGAACAAATGAGCGCAACCAGGACTCGTTGTGTTGCTGCGGGTCCACACAGGAAACGCACAGCAACAAGCGGGAAAAAGGAGGAGGTTTCGAAATAAGAAAAAAAAAATCTGCAGATGACGAAAATGAAACCCAAAAAAAATTGAAAATGGGGGAGAAAATTTGGAAAACTTGGCAGGTCACCACGAGCGCACCCACGGGGAGGAAAAAGATCACAGAGAAAGCCACCCAAAAACAAAAGAAAGATTTGGCGGGCTCTGAATCAAGTGAATCAGAGCCCGGTCCCCCGGCTATAGCCAGGTGAGGATGATTGAGGATACATCTGGCCAACATAGACGGTGGAGGCACGCGGTTGTTGGTTGAGGATTTTCAGAGCGACCTCGGCGGCATCTTCTTTGGCATTATTGATATACTGGCCATCGTACCAGTAACGGGCGGCGATATTCTGGCCTTGGACGGTCACGGTGCTTGACCAGGCAGTACGACCTCCTGCAATTTGACGCAAGGGTAATCAGCATCCGCTGTCAAGTTCGGAAGTAAAAGTCGGTGTACAGAGATTCGACTCCACAGAGACATCTCATGGAGACAGAAGAAATGAAGGGGAAAGGAAAAGAAAACGGGTAGGTACCTCGCCGATCGGAGACAATGTTGAAGACAGGGGGGGCTAATTTAGTGCGCCTGCAGTGTTCTTCACAGGTCAGCCCTCTCTCTTCCCCTTCCTCTTGGCTTCTGTGCCCGGAAACTTGTGCCAATGGCTTACCGGACAGCTGGTCTTGCCATGTAGGGCGACTGGCGCCATTGCCGGGGGGACTGTTAGACATAGACATGGTGGAATCGCGACTGATGTGATATACAACGTAACAAGGCCGAATGCTTGAGCCGAGGGTTTCCCAGATTCGAAACGATTGTAAGGGCTAGAGGTCGCGGTTCCTGGAGGCTTTCCAGGTTCTCGTGCTGGCCGTTTCTCAGGGCGAAAAGAATGGAGAAAGGAATCGACGTCCAATGAATCTTGCGCGACCTTTTTAAATGCCCCTCGTTGACATGGGAGGCGGGGAGTCATATAGACGGTGGGCCATATCTCCAAGGCCCCGAAAAAGCACAAAAAAAAAACAATTCTCGGAAATAACCCGTTCGAGCTACGATTTTATTTTGGATTTATTTTGGTATTTTATTTTGTGACAAACATGGAGCCTAACCGTCAAACCTAACTCGGGCTTATGCAGAACGGAAACAGCATCGGCAAAGTACCTCCTCCTTTCTTTCCCCCCTCCCTCCCTCTCCACCAAGCGGGACATGCGGATCATTTCTTGAGGCTGCAAGCTGGACCGGCCCGGCGCACGAAAACCCTTGAAGAAACGGTCAGGTCGCCCCTGCTCCAGCGTGAATTACAGGGTTTCCGAGGATTCATGATTCTCATTTTCATGACTCCGGTCCAGCTCAGAGGGAAGAGGGGGTAAGAGGGAAGGGGCAAGTTTTCCCAGTGGGATGGGGATTGGAGGAGGCCTTGAAGAACAACTCACAGCAACCCCACGTTGGTCCAGTTAATCTGATGTGCAGGGCTGCCCCTCTGGCCCTGTCCCTGCCTCATTCAAGAACCGTCAGGTCAAGGTTAACCAAAGCGCTGGAACGGGGCTTCTGGAACAGTATATGAAATGCATGCGCATGTAATGCATGTGGGATCTCTGCCCAAGCGGAGAAGGGCCTAGTGCTACTTCATGACGAATGTCAGATGCCCAAAGTACTGGAAGCTCAAAGTACTCTATCAATGCGAAAAATCGAGCACCGAATCGTAGCTCTCGAACTTATTGGGCCACACAGACGTGCACACATCTGGGACGCATTCGCATAGCGACAAACGCACCCGAGGCAACCTCGCCTCATATTAATCCAGCTGTGAAGCTCCCGGGCTCTCTTCTTCCTCTCCAGTTTCCGAGCCGGGCCCAAGACGGAGATGAGCCACAGGCCGGGCCGCTCTGCATGAACGCTACGGGACATCAGAAAAGCCATACAAAAAAAAAGCACAGCCATATCAAAGTATCAGAGAGTAAAAAAAGAACGGAACCGTCGATATCCCTGCTGCATTACTCGCATGACTTCGTTTTGCCCGTAGACCTATAGGAACCCTAGTTCGTGTCTACGCGCACCGGGGAACGACCAGTCAGAATGGCTCCTAAGTGGCGGGCGGTGGGTACCTCCTGTGCTTAACCAGGAGCATCCTAGAACGAAATTCTCAAATCCTCAAATCCTTAACCGCCCTGGCCCTGCAGCACAATCGCCCAGATCCAGAACACCTCATCACGACCACAAAAATGAGAAAAGAAAAAAATGAAGAAATAAAGATGAAAAGCAAGTAAAAGAGACAAAAAAAAAACAAAACCAAAAAAAAGAAAGAACTCACCCAAGGAACCGAAGCACACCTTCCAGCACCCTCCGCTGACCATGATTCGCCGCATCCCTTTCGCACGGAGTTGGGCACTCATACCTGCAGAGCACCGTTGGATCCATGGTTCACGACAATGCGGCTACAACTCGTGGCATTCCAAGCGCCCCCTGCCAGCGCCCTACCGGACTAAGCTAGAGAAGAAAAAAGCCAGGCCTACGACTGGCAGTACCTGGTCGAGAGAGGAAGAGGGCCAGAGCAGGGCAGCCCCCCGCAGGAAGTCAAAACAAGCTAAGCCTTTCCGAACACTAGCCTCGACACTGGAACGTTGGAACCATGGAACCAGACTCAGGCTAAACAGACGTACGTCTCAGGCCGCAATGGGGCCTCCCGCTTGGGCGCGATCGAAAAGATTCATTCGGAGCCAATCGATTGTCGAGGCTCAGTAATGAGCATGTGCTTTTAGCTTTGGTTTGTTTTGGTGGTTTGCTGTTAGCGCCCCTTTGACTGGCTGGCGCTGTTGCGGGTATGGTCCGAACTACATCACATACAGGGGAGAAAAAAACAGGGGGGGGTGTTCTGCACCGGATTGGGGGAGGGATGGGAGGAGAAAGAGGGAGCAGGTCCACTACAGCTTAGCTTGCGCAACCGGCAGGCAGTACGATCCGCTGAGCGGTCTTTTGTCGCCAAGGTGTGTTGCAACGTGAACTAGATGGGACTGGGCTGAATTGGATCCATGGAACACTTTGCCGCTTTACCACGAACCGACTCTCTTCGTATCACCGAGTGCTACGGAGTCGGTGAGGGTCCGGGATAGCTGAGGTAACAGCACAAATAAAAAAAAAAAGAAAAGTAAAGAAAAGCAAATACCTGGAGCTTCCTCGAAGCAGCGGTCAAGCTTACGATATGCATCGCTAGCAAGCGCAGAGGTATGTACCATGTATACGCAAAGCTGGCCGCCGAATAAGTTCCTATGTTGATAGGAAAGACCCAAAAAAGATAAAGAAAAAAAGATAGCAAGTTGTCAAATGCGCTTGTTCGTAAGCCACCTACATAACCAGTATTGAATGGGCCAGATGCAAAGAGATAAACGCCTAACGCCCTCCGAGCTTCCGCAACGAGCTATCCAATAGATGGCTGGGGTAAGAGTGCTTGGATCCCCTAAGGATCGAATTCTTGGCTGACAAGGTTGCTGAGCTATGATGCCGAGGAGGACAATGAGGTGGCGCGCCGCCACGAAGATGGTCTGGACCGAAAGAAAATCAGGAGGTAAGAGGTAAAACAGGGAAGAATGAAAAAAAAAAGAAAAGAAAAAAAGAAAACGAAAGTAAGAAAATAAATAAACATAAACAAACATGAAGCAAATAATGACATAACAACATTAATAAATCAAGATAAATACGGTTCTGTCGTGCTCATCAGGACTGTTAGATGCAATGCCACCCAAACAAAGGAAAAACCTCGAGCTCAGCTCATGCATTCAGGTTCTCGGTCTAGGCAGACCCCCTCCGCTGAAGCACCTCGCCGATCAATCGACGAGGGCCCATGCGTTCCAACCCCCCTAGTCAAGGAGTTGGCGGGTAGCATCCATGGAATGCGGCGCTCATGATGCCAGCGGCGTCGAATACAATCGTCGACTAGAGCCACTAAACCAGTGGCGACAATAACGCTGTGACAAATCCTCGTTAGCCTATGGACCTGTATCCACTGTGACATGCAGCTGGATAGGGAAAGGAAAAAGTGGGGTTTTAAAGAGGAGAAGGTGGATTAGGGATGGACCGAGGAATAAGGTGGGGAGGCGAGAAGGACAGGGGTCATCTTGGCGAGCAGACGGTGGGATTGGGGAATTGGAGGAAGAGCAAATCATCTCGGAACACAAATTACTTACTCGGCGATGTCAGGCATCCGCTCGTACACGGACACATCGCTGATCCACAGCGAACAAGGCGGCACCCAGCCGCCCTTACTCTCTTCCTCCACCGCCTCCAGCGGTGTCAATATCTCCGGCATAAGATGCGCGATCGTCTTCGAGGACCGCGTATCAACGAGATAGTACGACACCTCGCGCAGGTCGCCTTCTTTCCGAGTATCGCGGCGCCATTGGTACTTCGTTGACCAGTACTCATACTCATAGCGCTTCGAGGAGCCCGGCCCCCGGCGCCGCAACTCGACATGCGCATAGTTCGAAAACTCCATTGTGATGGTGTCTTCGAGTGGTCTGTCTTTCTCGCCATCCTCCTCGTCGAAGTCGGCCGGGGAGTCGGGTCTGTTCTGGGATCTGCCTACAGAAAACCCCGAGTCGTGGCGCTTCAGCTCGGCGAGTGGCGATGGCGTGTGGGCGCTCGAGGCATGTCTGAACCCGGCTAGGACGGTACTCCATGATTTACGACGCAGCATCGGCCGCCGCGAGTTGGAGACCTCTTTGCGCGAGGAATGGCAGATCTCGCGACCTGAGTCGCGGCAGTAGCGGCGGAGCGAGAATTTGCGGGAGAAAAGATCATGCATGCGCAGATGGAAAAGAATGACGTCTTGCTGGTAGCCTGCGCGGCGGGGGACGACGGTGTCCACGCGCAGATTCATGTTGCCGTCGAGAGTGGTGTCATCGTGGCGGATAAGAAGCCTTCTTGAAGAAGGGAAGAGCGTGGCGAAGGAAGACGGGGTGGAAGCAAGAGCGTCTGTTGGGAAGAATTCTTGCCGGTCGACTACCTCGTACAGAGGCTCTTCGGCCAATTCGGCCTCCGCCGCAGCCGCAGCCATCGAGCGGGTGGTGGAAGCATAAGTTGAGACGGAGGTGCGGGATTCGCATTCGTCTTGGCGGTCATTCTCATCGCCATAATCGTAGTCATCGTCATACTCTATGTCGATATCATCGTAGTCGTTGTAGTCATGATGGTAGTCATCTTCATAATCGTCATACTCAGTCCAATGATCGCGATGTTTGGCCGGAGTGGTACGATTGCTCACCACCGTCGGCGCCGTGCTTTTCGACCGGGCTGAAGCATTGGTGTCTGTTGAGCTGGAGCTGCCTCCATTAGGCATGCGTTCGTGGCATGATTTGTACGAACCCATCCCTCCGGGGAATCTCTAGATCCCGGTCGCGATGTAGATGTGAAGGAGGCGGAACTGTGGAAACTATCCTTGCCCCGCTTTCCACCGGCGACTACAGATGAATTGCAGGTCGAGATGTAAATAGAACCACCTTTTTGCCGCCGCTAAAACAGGGGGGTCGAGACGTTAAGAGTTGTTTCAACAGCTCCCCAGGCTACCCGGTCTTAAGACAGGACAGTCAAAAGATCATGGTGCATTGGAGGCCCTGAGTATGGAGAATGGCACGACAAGAGATTCCTCGGGGAGGGGGGGGGGGACAAGGGGACAATCTCCACGGAAAATCAAGGGTCAGGGGGAGGCGTTCACAATCATATGACAAGGAAAATCGGGCGAGAGAGATGTATAAGATAACGGGCAATAAGGCTAGGGAGACAGAAAGGGAAATAAATGCCTCGTGGCCAGCAAGGACGGTAAGACAGTGGGAACCGGAGACACGGAGGGGGGCCAAGGTATCCTCAGATCAAATCTAAGAATGAGGCAAGGAATGTCTCTTCGTCATTTGAAGTTTGGGTTGTTTTAGGCCGGAGATCGACCAACCCATAGTCCCCCCTAGTGTGATGGCAATCACCGGGAAGAGCGCAGCTGTCTACTCGAGCGAAAAGAAAATACACGTTGTACAGGCAACACTTCAGGCTGCCGCACGAATCAACTGGAGTAACCGAGCAAAGTGGGAACCGTGCTGCCTCACGGCGTGAGCAAGCGACCTGCGTTTGGGGACAAAACGAATGCCCGAAAGCGCTCGAATTCCCAAATCAAGGCGAGTCTAGCAAAAGCAAAAGGGTCGAAGCTACGGGTTTCTCTGGTGTGTCAGTGCTTGATTTGCTGGCGAACCCCCTCAGGCCCTCTTGGGGGTGATGGGTGTGCTTCGCCCCCCACTCGTGCGAGCCACTCATGACCCCCGCGTCTGCCCAGGCTGGAATCCATCGCGTTCTAGGCACGTCCGGTTGATCTTGACTGGTCCTACTGTGGTTTTCCCCCCTCTTCCATGTCCTACCAGTTCAGGGATTATGTCACTTGGGGCGACGTCGCAGTTCCTGTAGCAGCGTCCATGCGTGTTTCGAATCGAACAGGCCAATAAGAGAGAGCCTGCAGTGCGTGAGCCGATTGAAAAAGGCCGTTGAGTCGCGCGATGCGCGAGATGCGCGTCTGGTTAGCAAGGATGTGCAAAGGATCAGATAGTTAGCGTAGGGTGAGATACACTAATGTTTTTTTTTTCTGATAAGTTGCCGATCCTATGGACTGGTCCAGGGGATTCAGGGTCCATGGTTCGTGCTTGGATCCGTGGTGGGGGCGAGCCTGATCTGCCCAAATTCAGGACATTCGGGCTGCGATGGCACACCTATGCCATCTGTCGTAATATCGAATTCCATTGTCTTAGAGAAACCGCTTGCTGGTTCCAAGTCTTCGACGATGTGCAGGCTTGGCTCTCATTCCTGACGCTTAATAGTGACGACATAAGACGCGGGTTGTGCACGGGGCTTATATAGAAATCCTGGACGAAAGCATTCCTAACGTTAGGAGAATACAACCGCGCGAACAGGGACGAAACGCCTGACCGCCAGTTCAGAGGCGACGAGCTCGGGCATCAAATGACATCGAGCTGCCGCTACCGCGATGCGACTATTCAAGTTCTCCGGTCGGCCACTACGAATGATCCAATGAAATGCCTGATAAGGAGAGTATATAAAAATCACGTCCGTTCCGAAAAACGGCCAGCCCCAATAGGTCATTACAAAAGCCCCATGGAAGAGCCCACCATCAAGGTGGAATAGAAAAAGAAAATGGAAAAAAGAAGAAAAGAAAAAAAAAACCACAGCATCCCAACTAATATGTACAGATGCTCTATGGTCTAGACCTGGGCATAGAGGGGTTGAGGAAGCTCCTCGCCCGGGTGGATGAAGTCCTCGGCACGACAAGCGTGCGTAACGAGCCCAGCTCGACTACCTGGAGCCGGGGGACGAAAGCCAACATAAGCTTCTCGGCGAGCAGGTTCACCAACAGTGACGGACCAGGTATGCAAGCCATAGTATGAGGCAATGGAGTGTACAAGCCAGCGGCTGTTATATGGTCACTAAAGAGGCTAACCAAAAGATTGCACGGATACTCACCCGAACGCAGCCGTGCGGTCATCAACAAGGCTTTCAAATACCATCTTCTCGCCGTCGCGCTCATCATGGAGGCTCAGCTCCTCGCGCATTTGCTGCAGTCTCTGCTTCCGCCCCGGAGAGTCATGCATCTGCCCATTGCGACCAACGAAGACAATCTCGTCCTCGGAGTCACTAGGTGAAGACTCTGGGGCATCTTGCAGACCATCGGCCCGAAGATAAAGCTGCTTGTCGTTCCATTTAAGGATGAAAACCCGGATCTCGTCTTCCAGGTCTTGAAGCATACCGCGGGCAGCTCGGGCATGCTTCAATCTGGACCGAAGCTCCTTGGGCACCCTGTGCTTCTCCGCTGCAGCTTTCTCGGCATGAACCCGCGCGGCGTGGCGATCAGCCACCTTGGCATAATGGACATCCCATAGGGGCGCCAGGTAGTATGGCATAGGATCATGGCGGGTATATGTTGGCTGGATATCCCAATCCATAGGGGCTGGCGGCTCCGCCCATGGGTTATGCAGGAGACGGTCTTGCATAGGGTTAGTATTCGATCATCCTATCAAAGCCAAGCCCCCTTATCGGTCTGCATTTCTGGCTGGGTTCAGGGGGGACACACCATTCTCCCAACGCTGTCGCCGGCGGCTGCCATCTTTGCCCTTGAGGAGAGCCTCGCGTCGCTTCAGACTATCTCGCCGAAGCGGTTCTCTGCGGCGGAAGCTGACCGTTGGCGCAGAGGTCTCTCCGGAAGTGGCGAGAACCTTGACTCGGGGAGCGGGAGCCGCAGCGGGTTCATCGTCCAGAGGGATCGATAGCGAAACAGTTGTGCCACGTAGGGGAGCTGAGCGCGTTGGGCGAGACGGTGTGGCGGGCGCGGAGCCGGCGTGGTTCGATTCGGAGAGGGACAGATCCTCGAGCGACGCGGCCGCTTGTTCCGTCCAGGCCGAGATAGCCATAGCCTGACGTGGCGACAGGCCTCCTTGCGTAGGCTCCGGGTGTAACTTGGGATGGATAGCCATGAGGTATAGAGGTAGAAAAATAAGATGAAATGAGATGAGGCACTCTCTATACGAGCAAGCAGACCAGGGAACCCCGATCACGAAGGACGTCAGGGCAGATAACCAGATAACCAGATAACGACTCGCGACAGCACGGGACACAGGCTGGTCGTTGATTGGTGGAATGGTGGGCCAGCAGTAGCAACCCTAACCCTGATTTCTGTCTTGGGTAACCGCGGTCCGATGGGAAATCACGTGAGGAATACCAATCAAGGCAGCATTGGGTCCTCGCGCTTTGGCGGCACTTATACCGCGAAGTCGAGCCCCAGTTCTACTAGTGCAACTCATCGACCTTCAGGATGTGAGTCACGGGGATCCGAGCTGAGCCGAGAAAGTGGAGTAGTTTCTCCGCTCGATCTTCCAATCCCCGCCCGCAATTTATGGCACCCTCTTGATACAGCCATGACGGGCTATGACTCCTCCTGGGAGAAAATGTAGGGATAACCTGTAAACACCGTGAAGTATCTCTATCACGTGTACGATAGAGATGAATACAAGGATGCCGTAAAATGTCATTGACAATGCTCGCCTTCCCAGTCCCTAGCAAGGGGCAGTCGTAGATAACCAGTGGACGAGGCTCGCTATTAATAACCCCAAACTTAGCGCGGGGTCCAAAAAGGTCAGAAAATAGCGGCCTTGGCGACCCTGATTCCCATCCCAAGGCGCGTGAGAATCGACTAGCTCCGCCCTGAAAAACTCAGCTCTTTAGGCCCTGCATTTCTTCCTTATATATATCCGGTTGAGGCAAGACCTCCCATCCTATCCCGTTTTGTATTCTTATTATTTCTGCAGCCATGAAGTTCCTTGCTCCCCTGGCGCTGAGCGCACCATTAACCATTCTCGCGGCCGTCATCCCGCAGGAGCCTCTGGGCCCTTCAATCGTCCAGAACACCCAGCAGCCCAAATGGCTGATTGAGCTGGCCCCCTACACCACCCGCTGGGTGACCGAAGAAGAGAAATGGGCGCTGAAGCTCGTGAGTCACCCTCTCTGTTTGCCTCTGTATTTAATGGTGCGCACCAGCTAAATGTCTACACAGGACGGCGTCAACTTCCTCGACGTCACTGATGAATTCCAATCCGGCCACTACGGCACGCTGCATACCCAGCGTATCGTTCACTACCCCGGCGAGATGATCCACCAGAAGGAAATCGAGCCGCTGCTCAACAATCTGTCCACGGACAACATGAAGAAAAACCTTGAGCATTTCACCTCCTACCACACCCGCTACTACAAGTCCTCGACTGGTATCCAGTCTGCGGAATGGCTTCTGGGCCAGGTCAGCGATATCCTGCAAGAATCGGGCGCAGCCGCCCACGGCGCGACCGCTGAACGCTTCGAGCACTCCTGGGGCCAGTTCAGCATCATTGCGCGCATCCCAGGCCAATCGAACAACACGGTCGTGCTGGGCGCTCACCAGGACAGCATCAATCTGTTTCTGCCATCGATTCTGGCTGCGCCGGGCGCGGATGACGACGGCAGTGGCACAGTGACTATCCTTGAATCTCTTCGGGCCCTGCTGCGGTCCGAGGCGATCGCTTCGGGTGAGGCGCAGAACACCATCGAGTTCCACTGGTACTCGGCCGAGGAGGGCGGTCTGCTGGGCTCTCAGGCTATCTACTCTAAGTACAAGAAGGACCACCGGGACATTATGGCGATGCTTCAGCAAGACATGACTGGGTATGTTCAGGGCACGCTGGATGCGGGCCTGAAGGAGTCTGTGGGCGTCATTGTGGACTATGTTGATCAGGGTCTTACCTCTTTCATTAAGGAGGTCATCACCACAGTAAGCTATTCCGTCTGGTTTTGTACTTACAGCGCAACCAAGTTTTATTAACATACCTTAGTACTGTGACATTCCTTACGTGGAAACCAAGTGCGGCTACGCCTGCTCCGACCACGCCTCAGCCAGCCGGTTTGGATACCCATCGGCTTTCGTGATCGAGTCGCAGTTTGAGAACTCGGACAAGAAAATCCACAGCACGGATGACTTGATCAAGTACCTCAGCTTCGATCACATGAAACAGCATGCGAAGATGAGCTTGGCGTTTGCATACGAGCTTGCATACGCCCCCTTCTAACGTGACCTCTTAATAAGTTTTACGATGGCGTCTCACTCTTGCGTTTCTTTCTGGCGTTCGCGAGATATACCTTGGGCATTTTCACTTTCGGGGAACGACAGTCATCATATCGTCGCTGGTTTGGCATGATGAGTGTCTGGGCAAGGTCCTTAAATCCACTACATATGTCTTTCGAATTATTTCATCGTAGCAGGTTAGAAAGCAAAGTAGTTCAGAGTAAATGACGCATGACGTACCTTGTGCACACCGCCCGCAAGACTCAGAGCGGGACTTCGAAAATATATTCGAGAACCTTGGAAGGTGGACCCCACGCCACATCGAGCACACCGAGATCTCACAAAGAAAATCGGTCGAGCAGGCCTCTCCCCGATCTTTAATCTTTCGGCTGCCAAACACCAACCTGATTCCCCCACATCCCAGAAAAGTTCTAAAATACGACCAATTGCCGAAAATGAGCTCGAAAACCTACACCAAAGAGCTCCATCTCGCCAGCCTCGCCGTGCAACGAGCCGCCCTCCTCACAAAACAACTGCTGTCAGTTGTTGACAAAGGCTCTCTCGACAAAAGCGACTCATCCCCCGTCACAATCGCCGATTTTGCTGCCCAGGCCTCTATCATCGCTGCAATCCACCACACCTTCCCAGATGACGACATTGTCGGTGAAGAAGACAGCTCCGCCCTTCGCACGAACCCCGCTCTGCTCGAACGCACCTGGGAACTCGCTACTTCAGTTCACCTCGATGATCCGGCGAGTGAAGCCCTGCTGTACACGCCTACTTCCCGCGAGGAGCTCCTGGACCTGATTGACCTCGGCGCGACTGGGGAGTGCCGGCCGGGCAAACGGGCATGGACGCTTGACCCTGTGGACGGGACGGCGACATATATGCGGGGCCAGCAGTATGTTGTCTGTTTGTCGCTGGTTGAGGACGGAGGGCAAAAGGTCGGAGTGTTAGGCTGTCCGAACCTGGATCTTTCGAGCGGGCGGGTTGCGGAGGAATTGGTTGATAGCGAGGGATACGGGCAGCTGCTTACTACTGTGAAGAGTGAGGGAGCATGGATTGCGCCGCTGGGGTCGGGAGCGTTGCTTGAGGGCCGGGCGCTGGACCGGGTGGAGCAGATTGAGGAGGGAAGCGAGGTGAAACTTGTTGACACACGGGAGGCATCATCGCAGAACCTGGAGGCTCATGAGAGGATTGCGGGGGTTTTGGGGTGCCCATGGCCGAATCCTGTGGATCTATGGTCTGCGCAGATGCGGTACGTTGCGATTGCGGTGCGCGGGGGTTGTAATGCGTTTATCAAAGTGCCGCGCAAGGATCACTATCGGTCCAAAATCTGGGATCATTCGGGGGGTATGTTGCTGGTGTCGGAGCTCGGCTGCTTGGTGACAGACCTGGATGGTCGGCCGGTGGATTGTGGCTTGGGCAGGACGTTGGCGGATTGTCATGGGATGGTTGTGGCGCCGGCTTCAATTCATGGGCGGATATTGGAGGCTGTCAAGGTCGCACGACAGTAGATGATGTGTGACGGCGCGTTGTATATGGACGCGAATGCCATGGCACACGAACACAGGCTGACGGATTGGCAGATTCGTATCATGAAGCAGGGCGAGCTTCAGGCATATTCTACTTAAAGAATGTTTTGATACCCTTGTGTAGTTAGACAGCTTGGACTACATCGAACCGAGTCCAGTGTTTGATTGGTTCAGTCTTTTTCTATTCTTTTACATCTTACCCAAGCTGATTGGGCCCATGCCTAGACTCCCAAGGTTTACTTGTACAAGGGATGTGGCACTGGCCGCCTGCCCCGCGTTGTCGCAACTCTTAGGGTTTTGGATGCCGCATATGGAAAATGGAGTTCCCAACTCGGGCTTTGGAAATGGCTCTGGTCCTTATGGATGGCAGTGTCCGTCGTAAATCTTTTTCAATTCAGCCATGGAACCATGGGTGCATTGCCCCAACGGGGATGATAGCTGCAAAAAGTAACCCCAGGTTGATCATCAAACCACGATCCGTGCGCGCCGATCGTCCAGTGGCGCCATTCAAGTTGAAGTTGCATCGTAGCACCTGCTCGTGCCAACCGCCCCCCTGCGCTGCCTGTGGGTTTGCGCTGTCCGTAGTTTCATTTTGTAGCTTCACTCAGCATCCGGTCGCATCCCATGAATCTCATATTCATAGATATTCGAGTTTGGGATCTCGAAGGAATAGCTCTGACCCATGTCATCAAGGTGTCGCATGACCGCGGGAGCTCGGGAGCAGGTTTTGTCGATAAGATAAAAGCTTGACATCATTTTGCGGTGTCGCGCTGCCTGCAGCCGGACGCCACTGCGGCCGCACGTTTCTAACTGGCGGAACCTCCATTGGGCTATGCGGGGCGCGCAAGCAACTTGCTGGTTTATATAGTCTGGGTTGTACGCTCGTCATTCCCCCTCCTCGTGGGGACTTTAGCTGCTAGACACCATGCCTTACTATAATCCTTTCTCCCGCCGGGAGACTCACAACGCCAACGCTCTGAATACCTACCGGGTGCTCGTGCCTCTGACTTGGGCTCTGGTCGTCATCGTCGGCATTTATTACTCACTGCACTCGCCGGACGATGTGAAGAAGAGCAAGAAGATTTGGAAGAATGCCAAGAAGCACCCCACTCCCTTCACCCAAGACAACACGATCACCGGCGTCTACTGGTGAGGCATTCTGTATCTTCAAGAGAAAAGATTCAAAATTAACGCATGCGTCAGGATTCTTCTGTTACTCTCTCAGATCAGCTATGTTTGGCACCTCTTCCACAAGGACACCGTCTTGGTGTCATCAGCTGCCAATGTCGCCGGCCACTTCATCTTGCACAACCTGTTCACCTTTGCGTGGGTGATGCTGTGGACCCGCAACTATTTCTGGTGGGCAGAGATCATCTTGATCGCCCACTTCATCAACCAGACCATTGCGTACTGGCGCCACAGCCGTCTCCCCGCATTCGTACACTTTCCCGCTGTCGCGGGCCCCTACGCCTGGACCTTGACCGCGCTGTTCTGGAACGGTGCCGTCGCAGTGGGGAGCCATAAGCTGCCTGGCCGCATCCTGGCCAATATCTTCATCTGGGTCATCCTATTCGTCGGCTTGACCAAGATCTTTGCCCGAAATGACTATATCCTCGGTTACAGCTTGAGCTTCCTCACACTGTGTAAGTTACTCATACTCCAGCCGATGGGAGTTTTGTGTTGTGCCGGTAGAACATCTGCTAACGATCCGCAGCTCTCGCCGTCAAGCAATTCGCTATCAAGATCATTGGTCTGCAGTGGATCTTTGCTTTCGTCATCTTTGCGATATTCCTGCTGTCCTCCTTCTGGATCTCGACTACCACATATACTGGCCGCGATAGTCTATTCCGTCGCATTGCGCATCCTGAATCTAGCGATCGCGAGCGTGAGCCTCTGCTCCGCGATGGGGCTTAAATGGGACACGAAGTGGATCGAAACCTGGGAATCTACTGAGAGGGGTAAAGCTTACGGCAGGCGAACGCAAATCGAGGGAGGGAGACATTGCGTTGCCTTGCTAGATAGGAATCGAGTGGAGGATCCGACCGGACATTTTGAACCTCTTCTGGTTTAGGGCTGGGTTATGACTATTGAAATTGAGGAAATTGGCTGCAACGCCGTCGAGGTAGTTAGCATTATAATGACTTTATTTCCTCGTAATACCCTGGCGTAAGGGAGTGCTACTGTTATCACGACCGAGTTTCTGAATCCAATATACTGTCGTTGCCATCCGAAAATATATCTGCAGAACTCGGGCGGGTCCCCCACGGATCTTCAGTATCGATAAGATAGTAGACATCTGCAGGCCTAAATGGCTAGTAAAAATCCATGAATTCGCCATTTCGAATGTTTCATTTGTCCTGCGATACTAGGGGTTTGCTATGGAGTGTAGAAACGAATATTAATAGCAGCCGCTTGGTTTAATGCATGGGGTGCATGGGACTGAAACGGGATCGAGGATCGGCTCATGGAGGGAAAGCTGGCGTTGCTGTGGAAACGGCTCCACCTCCACTTGTTGATCGAAGAACCCGTCCAGCCTCAGCGTCTCTCCTTCCAACGTTCTATCGTTTGGCATTTTGTGTAATTGTCTCTAACCTCGTTCCCAAAGTTGTGAGTTTACCCGCATTCCTCGACGGTGCATTCACATTCCATTCGAAGTAATTCCTAACCTTTTGTCAATCTGACAGGCCTACCGAATCCACTCAGTGCCGGCACTGGGAAGCTGCCATAGGACCTATTGTACAACCGCTAAGAACAAAAAAGTATTATGAGAGATTGAGCTACGAGACACATTCCGAACGTCATGCACCGTCACCCGCCGTCGACCTACGGGGACGAGCCCCCGGCGTACATTGACGAGACCTCGTCCTTCCTTGACGATGCTTCTCCCTCTCGACAGAACGGCTCGACCATGCGCCTGTTACCTACGAGCAGTGAAGACTATACTGATCTGGGCGGTAGCCCGACCTCGTCTCACTACCAACCAGAATACCCTGATGCAAGCCCGTAAGTCTTCTTTATGATTCATAACTGCAACCTTATTTCCCAGACACATTCCTGTTGTCACCCCTGTGATAACCACATGCACCCCTTGCCTGTCTGAATACCCCTTAGAGAGCACAAATTGTACCTTGCAAGAGTACCTTGCAGTACTTGGTTGGCTGTCTGAGACCTTGTGTTTCTGATTGGTTTGAGGCGTGCTTGGTGAACCTGGGCAATTTCATGTCGGATCGGCAGTAAACAATACTTTGCTGGTACTTGTTTACCGCAGGCCGAGCATTGATTTCATCAACAGCGAACGCCGTGGCTCACACTCATACCCACAATGGACTATCCAGCGCGGCCACGTACTAATATTCGAACGCGTAACAGAACAAGACAAGAAGCTGGCTACGATGCTCGATTCTACCAAGTTCCCAGCGCGATCTCGCCGTCTCGTCCATCTTCGAGCTTAGGAACGGCACCAAACATCCCACCTCCTACGGCGAGCTTGGCAGATACTTCTGTTTACCCGTCCATTCCCCCAAGAACCGGCTCACCAACTCGCCCATGGAGTCCTGGACATGTTCGCCCACCGTCTGTCTCTAGCGTTGGCTACGAAAGACCTGATATCAATGGAAGCCCGCGACCTGGTACTCCGAGCTCGCGCTATGGAGGTAGCCCCCGACGCCCTTTGCCCCCCAGCTCCGCTCTTTTCAGGGCCTGCTCCATCATCAATGGCGGAATCTAGCATCGATATCGGAGATGGTGCTAGTGGAGACGATCCGTTTGTCAGTGGCCCTCGCTCCGTCCATCACACTTCGCGTAGCAGCGTTCGATCTTTCATGAGCGAAACCTCAACCGTCATGGGCGATGAGAAAGATGAGATGGAAAAGGTCTACCTGGAAGATGAAGACGAAGCGGGCAACATGGTGGACCCGAATCTTCACTACGGCCCAGCCCCCGACAAGCAGACTCGCCGCGGTGTTCGCCAAGCTCAGATGGCCAAGAAAGAAGTTCAATTGATCAATGGTGAACTTATTCTGGAGTGCAAGATTCCCACGATCCTCCACAGTTTCCTTCCCCGCCGGGACGAGCGCGAGTTTACTCATATGCGATACACTGCCGTGACCTCCGACCCCGATGACTTTGGCGCCCGCGGCTATAAGCTTCGCCAGCAGATTGGCTCCACGACTCGCGAGACCGAACTCTTCATTTGTGTTACCATGTACAACGAAGATGAAGTCGGCTTCACCCGTACCATGCACGGTATCATGCGCAATATCAGCCACTTGACATCGCGCACGAAGTCCCGTACATGGGGTAAAGACGGATGGAAGAAAATTGTGGTCTGCATCATTGCTGACGGCCGTAAAAAGGTCCACCCTCGAACCCTGAACGCCCTTGCTGCTCTTGGTGTGTATCAGGAGGGTATTGCGAAGAACGTCGTCAACCAGAAAGAAGTCCAGGCCCACGTCTACGAGTACACCACTCAAGTCTCGTTAGATGATGACCTCAAATTCAAGGGTGCGGAGAAGGGTATTGTCCCTTGCCAAGTGATCTTCTGTCTGAAGGAACACAATAAGAAGAAGTTGAACTCCCACCGATGGTTCTTCAATGCCTTCGGTCGAGCCCTACAGCCTAACATCTGTGTTCTTCTTGATGTCGGTACCAAGCCTGATCCTACTGCCTTGTACCATTTGTGGAAAGCCTTCGACCAGGACTCCAATGTGGCTGGTGCTGCCGGTGAAATCAAGGCTGCGAAAGGTAAAAGCTGGATGGGGCTGCTCAATCCTCTCGTCGCATCTCAAAACTTCGAGTACAAGATGTCCAACATCCTGGACAAGCCGCTCGAGTCTGTATTTGGTTACATTACTGTGTTGCCTGGTGCTTTAAGTGCCTACCGATTCTTCGCCTTGCAGAACGACGCTGATGGCAATGGTCCCTTGAACCAGTATTTCAAGGGTGAGACTCTTCACGGTCAAGATGCCGATGTGTTCACTGCCAACATGTACCTCGCTGAAGACCGTATTCTTTGCTGGGAGCTCGTGGCAAAACGTGAAGAGAGGTGGGTGCTGAAGTTTGTCAAGAGTGCTGTGGGTGAGACTGACGTGCCTGATGCCATTCCCGAATTCATCTCGCAACGTCGTCGTTGGCTCAACGGTGCATTCTTCGCGGCAGTCTACTCCAACTTTAATGCTGCACAGATCTGGAAGACCGACCATACGATCGGCCGAAAGATCCTGCTTAACATTGAGTTTGTGTACCAATTCTTCAACCTTTTGTTCACCTACTTCGGACTTGCGAACTTTTACTTGGCTTTCTACTTCATTGCTGGCTCATTGACGGACGACAAGATCGATCCATTTGGCCATCACATGGGCAAATACATCTTCATTGTACTCCGATATGCTTGTATCGTGGTTATGTGCCTGCAGTTTATCATCTCCCTCGGGAACCGACCGCAAGGTGCCAAGAACCTTTACCTCACTGGTATCATTGTCTACAGTGTCATTATGGCCTACACCATCTTTTGTACCCTCTATCTGGTGGTTATGGAGATGATGTCGCGCTTCGGACACGGGAAGAGCGAGATGCACGTAAGCGACACCTTGTTGATCAACATTGTGATTTCCATGTTGTCAACAGTCGGCTTGTACTTCTACATCTCCATTCTCTACCTCGACCCGTGGCACATGATCACATCGTCGCTGCAATATTTTCTCCTCATGCCGAGTTACATCTGCACATTGCAAGTTTATGCTTTCTGTAACACTCACGATGTTACCTGGGGTACGAAGGGCGACAACTCCATCAATACCGATCTGGGAACTGCAAAGGTGATCAACGGATCTACCGTTCTGATCGACATGCCGTCTGAGCAGCTGGACATCGATAGTGGATACGACGCCGCGCTCCGCAACCTCCGCGACCGCCTCGAAGTTCCCACTCCACCTCCCAGCGAGTCTCAAATGCAGGAAGACTACTACAAAGCCGTGCGAACCTACATGGTGTCTATCTGGATGGTGGCAAACCTTATTCTGGCCATGGCCGTCTCTGAAGTCTACGGGGTTGATCATGGTGGCACAAACATCTACCTCCTGATCATCCTGTGGTCCGTCGCTGGTCTCGCTATCATCCGCGCAGTTGGTTCCACCGCCTACGCCATCTTGCATCTTCTGCACAAGATTGTCGAAACAAAAACCAAGTTCGATGCAGGCAACCTCACCAACTTCGCTCCCAGCTCCTATGGTGGAAGTAGCCTCGGCACAAGCTCTGAGAACGGCTCTTCACGGCCCATCCGCTATAATGGTGGCCCTAGCATGAAGGACCGGGTCAATGAGGCGCGGTGGGCTGTCGGGCGGACCTTGGGGAAGGCCATGTTCTGGCGGAAGTAGCCTATTAATACTTTTCTTTGCTTGCTTTTCCTTTTACCTGTTTTGTATCCGGCGTCGAGATGATTCCTCTGGAGTTCCCTTTTTGTGATGGAGATCTTTCACACGATAGTTCTCAACCTTGTTATGTGTCTATGCTAGGAGATGAATGTACTTATGCGCTTTGTCTTGAAATGAATACCTTTCGGGGATGACTGATATCCTTTCCCAACTCTACCTAGATGTACTGGCATATTCAGGTCCGTTTCGCGGGCTACCTGATGGAAGAGAGCTTGAACATGTAGTCCTATTTGCAGAAGGCTTGGGCTAAGACTTTGGTCTCAGGAGAAAAGTGCAATGAGAAGAACCTATAATCAATGTGCCGTTTTTGGCAGCTACACAATCGGGCCAATGAGAAACAGGAAGACAAAGAACCTTCTCATCATTCAAAGCCACCCACCGGCCATCATGCATTGAGAATCCACAAGCAGATCTCGATGACTTATAGTAGCCAGACGGCCTCCATTTCGCCAGATCCAGAGTTCCAAGATGCGTGTGCAAACAGGAATCATCGCCTGAGAAGAATACAAACTTCTTTGTATTGAGAGCTCCTTTGATTATATGCAGCAAAGTGCCCGTAGTCGTATCCCACAATTCGACCCGTACATCCCCTCCCATTCGTGCGATTGAAGTAGCGAGGGCTACAAATGTGCCGTCTTGCGAGTATGATATAGCTTTTTGGAAGCGATTTGGGCCTCTCTTGCTGAATGGGAGTATTTTGAAATCTGCCTCTTTCCCAAGCTTAACCGTCACTAGGCTCTCGCACAGTGCTATCGCTAAATGATCTCCAAGAGGAGAAAAGACGGCAGTGATAACGTGGTCGCTTGGGTCGCGGCAAGCGCAATTTCCAGAAATCAGAGGGGTGATGTCGATGTCTTCAAGTTGTCGAGTCCATGTGGTTGTTTCCCACACAAAGACCTTGTAGGGTCCATTGTCATCATTGGAGTCGCTCAATACCATGAACGTTTGACCGCGATCTGTCCATTTGATAGCAAGGATACCTAGAGATGGATCGTCGAGGTTGATTACGAGTTTGCCTGTCATAATATTCCAGATTCGAACTTTGGCGGCCGAGGCCGAGGCCAAAAGGGGCGCATGTGGTGCGAAATCCATGAAAGAGGCGTGGCTTGAGTGCCCAACCAGGATATGCGTGAGGCGGCTTGCTGTTGCATCCCATATTCCTATCGTTCCATCTGAGAACGCAGATGCAGCAAAGAGCCCACTAGGAGACACATCGACCTTCAAGACTCTTCGCGTGAATCGGTCGACATCGGTGGAGAGAAAGCTTTTTGTACTCCAGAGTAGGATGTCTTTGTCAGACGATCCTGTCGCTAAAGTGCGACCTGAACGTGAGAATGACAAGGCAGTCACTGGTCTGGTATGTCCTGGGATAGACTTTGGAATGCGAAGAACAGGCACGTCCCAGATAGTCAAGCCCCCTAGGATATCTGAAGTTGCTAAGTGTCCGACGGGAGAGATGTCAAACCGAAAATGAGGCATGGATCTCAATCGAGACCGCACAGAGTTTGTGGCCAAGTCCCATACGGTGATACCCCCCGATCTAGATAACTCGACGACCAAGAATGTAGCATCGGAAGAAAGCCGCATACAAGAAACAGGAAATTCAAATACTCCTGCAGTGCCTTCCAAAGACCATGTGTGTGTATTCCAGATTTGAACGGTTCTGTTGCTACAGCTCAGGGCCATTAATCTCCCATCTTGTGAGAATGCAAGTGGCCCCTCAAAAGATCCGTCAAGAACTATCTGCGATGAATTTTCTTTGATGCTGTACAGTGTGATGGCCCTATTTGAGCTCCAAACTACTTCTTGCCGATTTGGGACGAATGCTGCTTCAGGTTCATCCATGTCTGATATTGGATTGCTGGACATTTCTTGTACGTCCCCCGTTGCGACGTCCAACAGAAACACGCCGTAATTCTCTGATGTAGAATAAGAGGTTGAGCTCAACTCTGAATCATTTCTCCAAGAGAAATCAATGAACGCCACTGACTTTCCATCTGGAGAGAACGATAAAGACCTAGCCCCGGCCAGTGTCTCAACCGATTGGCGTAAGGTACCTGTATTGACATCCCAGATATTGATCGTCCCATCAGAGGAGGAAGACGCAATCAATCGCTCATCGGCAGAGAACACCAATGAAGATATCAGGCCAGAGTGGCCTTCCAGTTTTCGCAAAACAATCCCCGAGATGTTTGGGCCATCAATCAACACGTTCCAGTCAGGGAATTCATGTTTGAAACTTTGGCACACCAAGGATGTCGCGGGTGAAAATAGAAGACCCGAGAAGTAGACTTGGAGAGGCCATTTATTGCATATTTGCCAGTTCATGTTCACAAACAACTTGGCATCATGAAGGAATTCTCCTAGAAGAGCAGCATTCTCGCTGTTGATGGTCTCCTCTAATTGATCCAGGACGATAATGATATCTGATGTCAATCCTAAAATACTCATTGCTTCCACCCAATATAAGAAATACCTTTGGAGGAATGATGTTGCTGTGGAAATCAGCGATGTGGGCATGGAGCTTTGTAAAAGATGCCTGGCCCAAAAACGACAGGAATACTGTAATTCTCGAGGAATACACTGTTCTATCTTCTTGGGATCGAGATCTTTGCGTTGAGCTGCTGGATCTTGCAGATTGCAAATGTCTCGCCTCAACTTGGTGCATATGGAAATGCACTTCACTGCGATTTGGTGATGGGTTTCTTTGTCATCGACCCAAAATGGGGTCCTATCGCGGATCTCGGGATCAAGTAGAAAGTCTCGAAAGGAGAGATGGAAGGGTCGAATAGGGCTCGACTCGTCGTGTGGAATGTATATGACCGAGTGCAGTGCATTCAGTCTCATACGAAATACCCTCTCGGGTATATCAAGAAGCCTTGAGAGAGCTTGTATGGGCAATGGGTCTTCAAGCATCACGATCCCGCCAATTATCTCTCGAAATTCTCGGATCATCTGCTCTTCCTTTCTATTGCTGCGGGCTTGTAGTTTGAGTATGCGACTGAAAATTGGTAAGTACGTCGCGACCAGCTGCGATCCTTCGCAACGGTCACTTATAATCTCGGTCAGATTATCGACTGGATCGCTGTAGGGGTCTTCCACAACACGGCACACGGTCGCAGCAAATATGAAAAGAGGAACAGATATTTTCACAATAGACTCAATCTCCTCGGCTGGAGGCCAATCGACTGGGAGCGCTCTTTCTTGCCGAATGATTGCAAGACGGTGATTCAGATAGAGCGAAATATCCTTTGCTGTCACAGCTTCGGGGACCTCATGGAGTATCAGGTCTTCATATTCTGCCTCTATCTGCTGGAACCCCAGACGGATCGGCAACTCAGGGCGACTTGTTAGGAGAATTCTTACATTGACGTATGAAGTCTTTTGTAGTCGGGGCAGCAGGTGCAGAATAGCTCGCACGTCCTCGTCTTTTTCGCACTCGTCCAAGGCATCGAGGACAACCGCTATCGTGAGAGCACCACCAGTAGTACTGGTGGCATGCGCGCTCAATGCGAGGAGGGGATCAAGAAGTAACTTTTCAAATTGCTCCCGTAGCGCCTTGAACGCTACATCCGGATCTGCCTTTGTTGCTTTCTCAAGCTCAGGAGCCAGCGCTGGCACTTTCAGGGCTAGCTGTCTTGCCAGGGTTGGGAAAAGCCTTAGAGCACTACCCCGATCGCCCTCGCCCCTTTTGAAAAAGAAGCTTGCTCCTAAGATCCCCTTCTCTTTCAGGGCGTATGCTACAGTCCGAGCTATTGTTGATTTTCCCGTCCCCGCCATTCCGTTCAGCCAGAATAGAGTCTTCCCCCCCGGCGACGAGGCCCATGTCATGATACGCTGGAGTAGCTCGGTCCTCGTTCCTGGCAGACATCGCTCCTCATGCTGGTCCACATATGATTCAAATTCAGCTCCATATGCAACCGGTAGCTTGTCGAGAACATCCTGATTCGAATAGAAATGGTTCGTAGTTACCGAGCCGTGGTTGACTCCCACTTGGACTCCCTCGTTGGTCCCAAAGGATATGCTTGCTGCCATGGTTACACCATAGAAGCCACAAGTGCTAGGGCCTGTGGCCGCCGTGCTCTTGGCTTGCAACAGGATCAGCTTTCAGTAGACCTGAAGCACCTTTCCAGTGTCAGCGCAGCTGGATGCCCCGCGCCGGGAAATCTATTGCCCGGATCTCACCAACAGACTATACTTGCCCATGTTCCATTAGCATGGGTACGTGTTGAACCCAAGTCCGTGGAAGCCATGCTTCGCGATTCCATCTGGTCTCGAATTTTGGTAGAACTTCCATGAGCTGCATCTCTCGATCTAACCAGCCCGATCGCCGATCTTGGAAGATCGTGGGGTTGATGAAGCTTACCAACCGACCGTTTCCCAAATGCTCATCATATGGTGCAATTCTATGCGTTCTGCACACCCGCCCAAACGGGACAGACTTAAATGTAGCATAAGAACCTGCGAAATCGAGGCCTAGAATGACAGCCCCTGCCGCTAGCAACGGTCACTTTTCCACCCGCAATTTCCACCACCTCGCCGCCACCAATAGTCAACCCGAGGTCCCTGCTACATAATATAAGTTTAGCTCCAATTGCTCCCTTCATAAGTGCTTTGAATCTAGGGCTCTCCTGTATAACATGATCGGAAGAACAGCTATTCTGATTCAGACCGTTTCATTTCTTTTGATACTAGTGCAAATCCCACGCAAGGGTGTAACTGGCAATTCATCTATTGCTGGCCACAGGTTCGAAAGTGTCTGAGAGCATCTGAGATGACTTTAAAAAAAAAAAAACAAAAAGCAAAAATAGAATTGGCTATACTTACGCTACGGATGGGCCCAATTCGGCGCTTATGACTGGCGATAGCTCTAACAGGACTAGCGCGCAAAGCTTACTGAGCTGCTTTAAGGTGACACGCTTATAGTAAGGAAAGGGACTAATTGGCCGGACGAACACCAAGACGATGAATAGATAAGCACAAGGTACCAGAAATTACCTTTCACACGTGATCCAAGGGCTTCAAAAGTCGATCGTCACGGCTACCTCTAATGCCACAGGCGCCCCGTACTTATCGGCTCGGGCGCGTATCTCCTGATAAGCCATAGTTGCACTGGCGGGGATTACTCCGCTAGAGGAATTGGTTCCGATTCCGATTCCTATCAGGCAAGTATTTAATGGGAACTGCGGGGCTTGAACTGGTATCTCCTGCATCTCCCGAACCATCCTTAAACAATCTAGCAATAGCTACATTTTTCTCTGACAGCACGAGATCTTCTATACGATGTCTCTTCAGCCATGGGAGCGCCAAGCCCAAAAGGGTCGAGACATTTTGCAGAACTCCGTCCCTAAACAATGGCTCTTGCCGGAAGATAAGCTCCCCCCAGCGTCACAGAAGGATGTTACAGATGTTCCAGTGCAGTGTGGGCTGCTGAGCGAGCATGAAGTGGCGATCACCAATCTATCTGCGACGCAGCTTGTAGCAGAGATGGGACAGGGCAAGCTTTCGGCAGAGGAGGTCGTTATTGCCTTTCTCAAGAGGTCGGTCTTGGGACATCAGCTCGTAAGGCTCTTCTTTTTTGTTCATGAGATTGGATATGGCAATTAATTATTGACATCTTTGTCAAGTTGAACTTCGCTACTGAATTCCTAGCGGACGAAGCCATTTCGAGAGCCAAGGAATTAGATGATTACTATAAAAAGACTGGAAAACTTGTTGGTCCTCTGGTGAGCAAAAAACTCTACCTTGGAAGGCTCTTCTCTATCTCCTAATCAAGATTAGCATGGGGTTCCCATAAGTGTCAAGGAACATGTCGCTATCAAGAATAAGACCTGCAACACAGGCTACGTTGCTTGGTGTGTCAACAAAAGGAGGGTCAGTTCGAAGGATTGAGTTAACATTCAAGTTCCCAGGGTCGACCAGGTAGCCAGTGAGGATGCATACCTCTTGCAGCTCCTCCATAAAGCAGGAGCAGTATTCCACGTTCGCACAAACCAGCCGCAGTCACTCATGGTGAGTCCTCGACCGTAGTTCCAACATCAACTGGCTAACTGAGCGCAGCATCTCTGCTGCGAGAACAATATCACAGGCAAGACATTGAACCCATTCAACCGTACCCTGACGCCTGGTGGCTCTTCCGGTGGCGAGGGTGCGGCAGCCGGCTTTCGATGCTCCCCCCTGGGTATCGGCACCGATATTGGAGGCTCAATCCGAGCCCCCGCTGCCTTCTGTGGGGGCTATGGGTTCAAGCCAACCGCGTTGCGGAATCCAATGGCAGGATGCAGAGTCGCGTGCCTAGGGCAGGAGACCATTCTCGGGGTCATTGGTCCTCTGGGTAGCTCTTCGCTGGACGATCTGGAGCTATTCCAGAGGGCAGTCCTGGACCAAGAGCCCTGGGAAACGGACACATCCTTGGTGCCACTTCCGTGGAAACGGGTGACCCCGACGCGAGATATCACGATTGCTATCATGTGGGATGACGGGTATGATATCTTATCCACGAGAAATCCTGATATCTGCTAATGCGGGGACTAGATGTGTACGTCCCCATCCACCAGTGACCCGTGCTCTTCGACTGGCAAAGGAGAAGCTTTCGGCGGCGGGAATTACCGTCGTCGACTGGGAACCATATAAGCATCAATACGGATGGGATATCCTCGTAAGCCTTTCCTTGCTTCTTCCACGGTCGCCCACTAACCGATTCAGTCTAAACTGTATTACCCCGATGGGGCCTCCCTGCAACGCAAAATGCTTCAAGAATCTGGCGAACCTGCCCTCCCACTCAGTGAATGGGCCTTCTCATATGGCCCAAAGACACCCCTGACGCACCCTGAAGCCTGGGTCCTTCAATTCCAGCGCACCATGTACCGTGCCGAATACCATGGACTTATCAAAAGCCGAGGGGTAGACTTCATCATATCACCTGCTTATCCAGGCGTGGCAGCCGTTTATGGGGAGTCGCACTACTGGCACTACACTGCGATTTGGAACCTACTGGACCTGCCAGCGGTGATCTTCCCGTCTGGGCTCCATGTCGATCCGAAGCTAGATGCATTGAATGGGGAAGATGAAAGCTACAAGCCGCGGAATGAAATTGATGAAAGAGAGTGGAAAAAGTACCAGAGCCCAGAGCGGTATGAAGGAGCCCCCATCGGACTGCAGATCGCCGGCAGACACTTCAAGGACGAGGAAACTCTAGCTGCCGCTAAGATTGTTGAAGATATCATGAAGGAGGGGGCTCCAGTCTCCGGGCATTGATAGCACCAAGGCACTCCAAGCGACGGGGCTTTAAACCTTCCGTTAGTAGGACAGCACTAGCGTCAACAAGGCCCTCGGATTACGCGGAAAAGTCTCTCAATCTCTAGCCCCTCACCTACCCACTAGTAACCACTAGAACCTTATAGATCATGGGCAGGTAATATGCAGTTGGTATAATTATGGATATCCTCCTCATTCGTAGGAATCCCATCGTGCTAGAGTACAAACCAAGCCTTCATGATCATTTGCTACGTTGCAAACGTATAGACTCCGCACTTCAGGCCCCAGAACACAAGTACCAACCTAATTCTTAGATCCCGGATCCCGGGAGGCAATGCAGCCACGGAAACCCATCAGGCTGGATGACCTGCAACTCCTAGCCACAGCACGTCAGAGTCTCGCACAGCGTGCCACACACCACCTGACAACGGGGCACCTTTTCTCCGTCGAGGTACACAACGCTCCCTTCCGAGACGACCTCTGGCTGCAAGGTGATTGAGTGGATCCCATACGCGTGGAAGCACTGGCTAATGATCTTGGCTGTTTCCATGAAAGAATCCACCGTAGGCTCCGAGACCACGACATGGACTGAAGCGAGGGTCTTTTGCTGATTGAGCTGCCAAATGTGCAGTTCGTGGATAGAGACGACGCCCGGGACCTGGAATCCGTCAGCGAAAAAGTATACAGTAGTTCAATTGAGACATTTGCACCTTCTCAAGGTCGTGTTGCACGTCGCTCAAGCTAACGCCGTTGGGCGCGCTCTCCAATAGGAATTCTCCCGTTCTTCGTACTACGTGTATGTGAGCTTGATGTGGCGAGCCTTCCGTGGATTCCCGAACTCACTCAGCGGTATCGAGGATAGGAAGATCAAAATTGCGATCCCCATGCTCACGCCGGGATCGGCATAGTATCGTCCCTCGTACTTAGCAAGCCAGATGACCAGGGCCGCGGCCATAACGCCAAGGTTGTTTGCGGCGTCGCACAGAACGTGGAGAAGGACGCCCATCATACCGAAATCATGACCATGACCATGCCCGTGCCCATGTCCATGTTTATGGCTGTGGCCGTGGCTATGATCGTGTTCGTGGTCTTTGCAGCCGGTGAGAAGTTCGGAGTGCGTATGCTTATGGTTGTGGTGCTAAGGCGAATTAGTAAAGAAAATAGCGTGTATCTAGCTATAATACCTTCGTTAGGGATTCAAGATCATCATCTGTTGCAGGGGATATTGGATCTTTAACCGTTCGAAGGGGCCCATGGTCGTGGCCATGGTGTTCTGGTCGTTGTCAAAAGATATGCACGCAACTGAGAATGCGGGAGACCATACCATGCAAGAACAGAGCGCTGATTAAATTGAGCGTCAGGCCAATGGCGCCTACAATCAGGACTAATTTTGGCTGCTGGATAGCTGTTTCGATCAGCCTTTGGATCATAAGGTGGATATCCTCAGACTCACGTTCTAGAGAAATGAAGCGCTCAATAGATTGTAGGAATATACTGATCCCTAGAGCGAATAACAGTACTCCGTTGAAGAATGCACCGAGCAGCTGGGCTCTTTGCCACCCAAATGAGAGGTTGTTCGGTGAATCGCCCTTTTCTTCAATCTAGTTCACCGTTAGCCGGAGTTCTTCACAATGCAGAGGATGAGCATACCTTCAATGCCAGCAGAGCAATAACAAATCCAATCAAGTCATTCAACTATCGAGCCCAGTAAGTCAGTCTCCTCGTATAAGCCTTCTCAATTAGGAGCATACATAGTGGAATGCGTCAGCGATCAACGCTAGTGAGCGTGTATAAAATCCAACTAGAACAAGATCAGCGCGGCCACGTGCAGTAGCAGAGGGATTGCTTCGTACCAGAAATCTCCCCAATAAAAAAGCATGTCGAGATAGCAATAACAACTGTCAACCGTGTCGACGGTGAGAGCATCATCTAACAGGCCCAGGCTGTGGCAGCCCGATACCAAGACTTGGGAGGAAGAAGCAGACCCGGACACTGACCGCGTAACTGCTTTCCAAAACTGTCTTGATCTGAAGTCCAAAGTCGGTAGGTCTGCAGGTCTTCATCCAAGTAAGTCCAGAAAGAGAATCAACAAGGCCAATAGTCAATAATGTCGGGAACTTGGCAGGGAGCTTCTACCCTTTTGTTATTTTTGCTAGGTCCACACTAGACGCCCCAGGTGTGTCCAGTATTGGAGCATGGACTGAGTATGACGGAGCGGAGTCGCATACCATTGTATTGCTGGATTGGAATTTGCCCGGCCCCTTGGGCAAGGAAATCTTGGTTCTGGGTTTGCTCCTAGAACTAGTCTTTACAGTCCTGGCCGGAAGTAATGTCAGCACCGATCCTTTGAAGACAATTTCTCGGCCATGATAGCACCTTCAGTTTTGCTTTCTCTATCCGTAAAGAGTCCTCTCCCGTAAGTTTCAACGACGTTGATCTCCCCATATCGCGGTCAAAGGGGGGAATCGCGCGCCTGTTGTCTGCATGACAAACGTTATGCTCCCATGAATCATGGGCTCTTGCAATTTGCAATTGCAATCTAGATAACTTCCAGGGATACGATCCTGCTGGAGACTGCATTCAACTCTAAAACCTAACCTTGAAATGTCAAGTTGACTCTCGACAAGCATCCACTGTCTTCGCGTCGCAGAAGGCTGGGAAGAACACCCGCGCTTTGATAGCAGTTCCAGGATTTGATAAGACCGAAAGTGGATCAGCGAATTAAGTCTAGAATAACGCGCGCGGAGCATTTCCGTTTGGCAATCCGAAGGGGATGGGATGTTTACCAGCCGCTGCCAAAAGTGATCGGCGCATTCTTCACGGCCTCAAACCCTATCTTCGCCCTACGAGGTCCGAGGCCCACAACCTGGGAGATTCCAATGCGAATCATAGATATTCCCGATATGTATAAAATGAGGATTATGGAGGGGCTTGATTTATTTTATTGGCCATGGTGAGCTGTCGAGGCTTTTACCGACCTAATATATCTCCAGCGCGGGTAAGTAGACACTTCCCGTACACACGCACATAATGGCTAGAAGCGGTCCTCGAAAGGTTTAAGGCTACAAAGGACTGTGGCACAGTAAAGGCATTTAAGTCACTCCTGAATCGGGTCGGATATTTCACATAGATCAGTCATTTATTTTCCAAAAGATACTCAATAACTTAAATCATACACCGTTCCCCATTGAAGTCCAAAACACCAGAAACTAGACTCAAAACGGGCAACCTAAGCAGCAACCTGGTCCGCCAAGCCATCCAGCTCACGCTCCCAGCACCTGTGGCGCGAGACAAGCCAGATAAACTTCTCCGCGAGTCCCTTCGACTCAGCCGTGACGTCCTTCACACCCAAGACATCCTTTCCTCCAAAGCCGGTCACAACACCATACGACTCCTTGCTCTTCTCACCTGCCTTAGCGACAACAACTTCATCCAATCCAACGCGCTTCTGCACAAACGAAACAGCCTCATCAACCGCCGCAATAGGCTTCAGGTGCGCAAAGGACTCGGTAATCCAGAACTTCGCGACGCCGTTCTTCGCAAGCGTCTCCACGTGCTTTCCGCCCGGAACAAACGTAGCATCGAACAGAGTCGAGCGCATGCCGTTGAAGAAATGGTCCGGCACAACCTTCTCGCCTGTCTGCGAGACGACACCCTGGCGCTGAGCTCCGATCGTGAAGACGAACGCGCCGCGCGCAGAGAGGGCCTCCTTGATGGCTGTGTACGAGGCGTAGTCGAAGCCGTCGGCGATCAAGATCGCGATGCGGCGGGTGTCGATCACGGCAGTCTTGGGCATGTACTCCAGCTGGCTGAGGCCCTTGGCTTTCTTGCCGTGGTTGGAGCGGTTAGCCTTCTTAGGCGTGTCGCCGCCGACGTTCTGGGCGACCGCTTGGGCGAGTTCGAGACTGGTGTCGGTGAGACGTTCGCAGAGGCGCTTGTAGACGACAGGGTCATCGCAGTGGTCTAGTTCGAACGAGAAGGCCTTGGTGAGGTGGGCTTTCTCGATGGGGGACAGGGAGTTGTAGAACGTCTGGGCTTGGTTGTAGTGCTCCTTGAACTTTTCCCGAAAGGGCGCGCGACTTGACGCCGTTTGGTTTGTCTGGGTAACTGGTGAAGCCGCCCTGAGCTGGGGTTGCAGGAGGGTTCGCCTGGAAGCGGTTGGGCCAGTAATTTACGGTGCCCTTGCTGATACGGTGACGCATGGCGCCGTCGCGGTTAACCATGTTCATGTACGGGCATACAGGGCGGTTGACGGGGAGTTCTTCCCAGTTGGCGCCGAGCCGGGAGATCTGGGTGTCGAAGTAGGAGAAGTTCCGACCTTGCAGAAGAGGGTCGTCGGAGAAGTCGATGCCGGGGACAATATGGCTAGTACAGAAAGCGGCTTGTTCGGTTTGAGGGAAGAACTCGTCGACATTGCGGTTGAGTTCGAGCTGGCCGATGTAGCGGATGGGGACCAGTTCCTCGGGCCAGACCTTGGTAGCGTCTAAGGGATCGAAGTCGAAGTCGTCGAGCTTCTCTTCAGGAAGAAGTTGGAGACCGAACTTCCAGCGTGGGAAATGGCCAGCGTCGATAGCGTCCATCAAGTCTTTGCGGTGGAAGTCGGGATCCTGTCCACAGATCTTGAGGGCTTCATCCCATACGAAAGAGTGCACACCAAGCTCTGGGGTGAAAATGAATTTGACGAAGTGACGCTTGCCCTCTTTGTTGACCAAGCTGTAGGTATTAACACCGAATCCTTGCATCATTCGGTATGATCGAGGAATAGCACGGTCAGACATTTGCTAAATCGGTCAGTTGTAACTCTTGAAAAAGAGACTAGGAAGGTGATTCTCACCCAGTAGTTCATGTGTGTCGTCTCCGAATGCATATAGACAAAATCCCAGAAGTTATTATGCGCACTTTGGCCCTGCGGGACCTCATTATGCGGCTCAGGCTTCACAGAGTGAATAAGGTCAGGGAACTTGATGGCATCCTGGATAAAGAAAACGGGGATGTTGTTCCCGACGATATCCCAGTTACCCTCAGAGGTATAGAACTTCACTGCGAAACCACGCACATCACGGACGGTATCCGCACTGCCCTTACTACCCTGGACGGTAGAGAAGCGGAGGAACACAGGCGTCTCCCGGCTAGTATCAGTTAAGACGCCGGCGCTTGTGACGTCTTCTGCGCTCTCGAATAACTTGAATGTACCAAAAGCTCCAGTACCGCGAGCATGGACGACTCGCTCGGGAATTCGCTCGTGGTCGAAGCGCATAATCTAAAGCGCGTAAGTACTCATCGTGGAAGTATCGCAGTGGGGAGGTACCAACCTTCTCACGGGCAATCTGGTCCTCCAGTAGCGATGGCCCAGTGTTTTTGTCGTTAACGACTCTGAGCCAATGGTCTGGATCAGAGATCTTAATTCCATAGTCGGTGGTCATATGCTGCTTGTTGTTGATCTCGATGGTATCGTGCTGCATGTCGGCGACTTTGCTGTCGGCAACAGTAGATCTAGCTTTAGTCGTCATCTTGGAAGTGTCTCCGTTTAGCTGATATCGAAAGCACTTAGAAAATAGTCTAATTCAGAAGAGGGAATAGAAAAAAAAAAAAAGTCATAGAGGGCAAGTTGTAATATATGGAGAGCAGGGATAAGCTTTCCGCATTAGGCTATGATGTAACGCGATACTCGAACACCCAATTCACCACCAATGACAATTCCCTGAAACCAATCATGAAGAACACAGCAGACCAAACGTCTTGCAATGGTACACACGAACCAATAGGAAGCACGATGGGTGATCCAACGATGACCCAGCAATTAGGTCATCGACGAGCCCTTGTCTGCACGCAGCGCTAGAAGCAGGTTTGGGGGGACCACCTCAGATGGATTAGGAAGGGTTTATAACGATTAACAAAGCATGAGGATCTGGCCAGGACTCGTGGAGCAAATGAGGGCCAGACTTGACAAAAGCTGCTACGGTGATTCGCGGGTCGCACCCCCCCGTTGGAGCTGGAGCTGGAGCTTCGCATGGCTAACAAGGTTGATCGACGGTACCGAACGGGTTCCATATGCGCTGGTATTTTCTTGCTTCGTCAGTCTCATGACGTTTAGGACTGTTTGCAATTGCGATTGCTTCGATCCTTCTTACTCAACGACTTGAGCAAGACAGAACTTGATTTGATGTGGTATCATATATGTGACGTCATTAGCTACCAGGAAAGCCGGAAGCCAACTCTGCGGCCGAAAACCACACGCATTGTATGTACAAAAATGTCCGAATCTACTCCGTACGAGATCTTAGCGGTCAACTAAGGTAATCTAATCGATTGCCAAAATCCTTCAAGGCCCACTTGTCGGCTGCACGGGGTGAGAACCGCCGTCCAGGCCGCGCTCAACCCACTCTTTACTCCCCATCTCCGCCAGACGGGAAAGCGCACGGGCGAATGCAAAACGCTCCTCGTCGCCGCTGAAAATGGAGGTGTTTTTGAGTGCTTGAACAGACATCCCGAGATCATCCATCAGATTGCGCATGGCGTCGGAGAGGTCGGAGTGGTCGCCGGCTTTCATACCGTCTTTGATGTCATCGGCGGAGAGGAAGAGGTTTGCCAAGGGAACCTCGGTCGTGAGGACTAATTTGGCCTGTAGTGCGTTAGCTGCTATCTTGACTGACCAGGTAGGATCTTCCGAGAGAATGTGGCTACATACTCTGCTCTCATAGACAGCATCGATAAATGTGATAAACCGCCTGGCCAGATCTCGCTGGTTCAAATTCATGCCAGGGACATCGGTCACGATAAATGCATTGTAATGCCGCACCAGCTCCAGGTAGTCGGCAGCACCCGTAGCTGCACCAATCAACTGGTTGAACGTATATTGCGCGGCCTTGCCACTAGCCTTGGGGACCCGGATTGGGCGGCCCCAGACAATCTGGGTATCTTCATGAGGGGGGGTCATTGACAGGATCACCGAGATAATCAAACCATTTCTGCGCATGCTGGTCGGCTTCGGGGCCTAGGCCATCGTGGTAGACAGCAGCCGGGGGGCGGGGGATTTTCCGATAATCAGTCGGAGAGTTGAGGTTGATAACATTCAAGGCGGTCTTGAGGAGAGTGATGCAAGGGATGAATGACTCGCGCTGAATGCCGTTTTTGTACAGGTCATCGGGGTGACGGTTGGATGTTGTGACGAGGACGACACCATGCGACATCAGGAATTCAAGGAGCCTGAATACTGTCAGCTCAAAACCGGGTCGGGGCCAGTATCTTAACAATCCCGTAGTGTCTTACCTCCGCAAAATCATAGCATCAGCGACATCCGTGCACTGAAACTCATCAAAGCAAAGCACACTCGCCGTCTCCGCAATATCAGCTGCAACCATCGGCAATGCATCGAAGTCATTCCCGTACTTCATCTTGACGACGTGCATGCGCTTATGTACATCCTGCATGAAATTGTGAAAATGGATTCGGGTCTTCGCCTGGATATTCGGCGGAAGCGTCTCAAAAAACAGATCCATCAACATCGTCTTCCCGCACCCAACGTCGCCATACATATACAGGCCCTTCGGCAGGTTCTCGGGGATATTCGACTTGGGTGCAGTCTTCGCACCGCCGCCGAACAGCGATCCGAGAAACGACTTTTTAGGTTGGGGATCCAGCGACTCGACACTAGGGGTGGACGACCTGCGGCGCATGATAGGATTTGAGAGCCTCAAAGAGGTCTTGTAGACGGACGATGATTCCTATATCACAACCACCATATTTTAGTCACAGCCTCACTTTTCCACGATTCTTGCCATGGTGTATTGCGCACCTCGCTGGTATAGATCGTCGCGCAGACGACCCTCCCGAACCCGATGGTCGTATTCCGCCAACGGGCCTTCTGTCGGCAGAGCCCCGGTCCTGGTCTCAGCCTGGTCGTGCACAGTAGCGAATCCCCTCCCCGCGAGCGCTGCGCCCTCGGGAGTGACGGTGCGGCGACACTCGACGCTGCAAGAGGGCATGGCGTAGTCTGGCTTCGACGGCTACCGGGGGAAATGCCGGTTCGGTGTGTAGCATAGGTGCGTTCGTGGGCCGCGCGGAGTGGTGAGGCCGCGCGGAGGCCGGAAGGACGCAGGGCGCCGGCGACGCGAAGATGCACGGGTGACCGGCTCATGTGTAGGGCGATTGGATCAGTTGGGCGGTACTATTGGGTTTGGGCGGTCATTGAGGTGGGTTGGGGGAGTAGCCGAGGTTTCGAGGCTTTCGAGATTGTCGGCCGTGGACTAGTTCCGAAGTATGGAGCCAGGATCTCGGGAACACAGCGACTTTGTCTGTACTGTAGATTTTGTTTTTACGAAGGGACCGGTGGATAGTCTACATTGGTGAATCTCGGGATTTCATGTAGATTTGATCCCATCAAGCTCGTAACCCCAGCCAATAAACAGCCTTATGTGGCAGTAGAACCGGGAATCGTTCTCTTTCCCATGGGCCGAGTCAGGTGACCCAGGGTGCCGGTCCCCAAAAATGGAACCCGTGATATCTACAGCGTTCATGTCCACGATAGGTGCTCAGGTGTCCAGGTGCTCAGGGGGTATAGAAGTACCTGAATAGTGCGGGGGCCTGGTAGATGCTGCATGTAATTATGTGTCTCAGCGCGAGAATAACACGCTCTGCAAGGATCGATACCAAATGGCCCCTTGATGAGCAATTTGATGTAGTTACACTGCAGGGCACGCATATTCCGGGCCCCTTGACCTGGGACCCTAGCCCTTCCATGCTCTCAGTTTGAAGTCGGTGCCTTCCGAATCAAAACAAATCTATGATCCAGGATTTTCGCTAGAAACAAGACCAAGGTCACAAGGGAAACATTTCCTGTATATGCACGACATAAGAGAGCCTATGTACAGTCCGCTGAAGCCGAGCATAGCCAGACCAGGGCGGAGATAGGGTGTAAAATATTGATAGGAATAGTGGCTCATCAAGCGAGAAGAAGTCCGAAGAAACACAACCGCAGCCGGCATGCTGATGTATCTGACACTCAGAACAGAGAACAAGACGAAGATTGCAAAGCAGCATACAGATCGAAAAGTATAAGGACAAATAGAAAAAGAACCCATACCATACATCAAGCATCGTTATCGTAACACCTCGATCATTCCTCCCTATCGGATAAGGAGGGCAATCGCTGAAAGACAAGAAGCGCGAAATGTTAAAGGGACGCCGGAACTCCATTTAGCGCCGTACTCATTGCAGCATCAAGCATAAAAAATCACGCATCGACAAACCCCCATGAACACCAGAAAAAGAAGTCTATATCAGACAAATTAATAAGTTTCTTTGTATGTGTTCATGCAAGGCTGACGAAGAGGGTCAGCTTGACCACGCTTCGCATGGCGTTTTCGAGATCTTGGTCGGTGTTCAGATCAATGTAAAGACCGGACGAATCATCCTTGTACTGGATAATGATATCCTGATCGATCTTGAGACGACCAGACAATTTGTCCTTGAGGTGTTGCAAGCTGACGCCAGAAGGAATGCGCACAGCAATGAGGTCATCCTTGAAGAAGACCTTGACCTTCATGGCCTGATTAGAGCTCTGGGAGCTCTGGGTGAGAGAGCTGGCTTGACGGTTCATAGGAGGTGGGGCTCCATAAGGACCAGGGGTACGAGCTGAAGCACGCTCCGGAGGTGCGTTCATGGGAGCTTGTGATGACTGGCGAGAGATCGTCTGCGCACCTTCACCGGCTGATGAATGGTGAGATTGGCTCGAATATCGTGCCTCCTCGCCGAAAGCATTGGGGTCGATTTCGAAGTCGCCTTCGCGGGGCTCGAACAACTGGCGGACAAGCTGGCACCGAGAAATGTGCGGGGGCATCGAGAGGAGCTTCTTAATGTACTCATCGAGATTTTGACGACGGCCGTTCGAAATCGCATCGGTGACGTGAGTAACTGGGCCGGGCATGAAGGGGAGAGTTCGGGGGCGGCCTCGATTGCCCGCCTCATCCTCAAATTGGGTGAGGAGCGCAATCTGGAAGTCGTAGAAGTCGTGGTAGTATCGTGATAATTCCCAGCAGCGGCCGTCCTCCATCTTCGCCTCGATAATGTACCAGTATTTGTCGTTGTCGAAGCAATAGCGGGGAATCGAGGCGGCGACCGGAGCGAGGGGCTGATTGAAGCCTTGCGAAGGAGAGTGTGAGTGCTGGTGGATGAGGCTCGCCTTGCTACCATCGCGCGTGTGATAGCCCTTTTTCTTCCGGGTTAGCATCCAAGAGATCCAACTCAGCTAACACTGCTTCGAGCTGCGAGTACTTACGTAGGCATTGCCATTCTGGCTCATACGGCCGCCGTTTATAGACATCTTATCCATACCCCCCAGTGATCGCAACCATTCCATTACCTCCGGTGGAATGGCTGTCGATCTTGCCGAGGGTGATGCTACTGTTCTTATATTCGGCGGTCATCTTCTTCCATTCCTCCACCTTGGGAACACCGGCACGTCGCACAGCCTCGAGCGGGTCGGTAACAGCCTGACCGGTTTGCATGTCGCGCAACTCGATAAACGAGACGGGAATCAGACCGGGCCCTCCCAGGCGGCCGATAGGCTTTGCGACGAACCATTCTGGGTTGGACTGGGCGATGACGATGATGGCCTCGCCAGCGCGGGCATCCAGCTCATCGGGACGCTCCGCCTGGAAATCGTACTGGACGATACCGTAGACCATGGCGCCCTGGCCCTTGAGAGTCGACATTCTAAAAGTAGAGCCGCTTTTGATGGGAGCAGAGTCGGAGGCGGAACTGCGGTCGGCAAAGCCCGAGTCGTGTTGTACCTTTTTAACCTGATCGTCCGAACCCCCACTGTTCCGTTCAGACTTGCCAATCACTTCGAAAAAGGAGACGGGCACGAGCCCTCGAGCGGAAGGGATGAGCGGATTACAGGCTTCGTACCAGTCAGAGTCGTCCTCCCTGCTGATAACGTGAAAGAAGTCCCCCTTGCTGAAAGCCAACTCCTGGGTGGTACCAGGTTCCGGGTGATAGTCGTAGAGAGCTTTGATTACCTGCACGAGATTGGTTAAATGTCTGGCCGGGGAGATGCAGGGGTGGCGTCTCGTTTGGTGTTGTTTTGGTGGGGAGGGGGAGGAACGGTAGTGTTGTGTGGAATGTTGTGGATTGTGTGGATTTGGAGGGGGAAAGGAGGGGAAGAACGCGGGAGGGTTAAGGGAAAAATAGGCTGCGTCGCAGGGAAGGATCTCACCTTCTTGGGGGGCAGGATCGCCAGCGCCGACTTGGGTGTGATGGAAATGTGGTGAGGATGAAGTTTGGGCTCTTTGGGGAACTTCTCGCCTCCCCTCAAGGACCGCCTAATAGCCTAAGGGTTTGTTCATCAGCGGGCTTGCGCATTTTGGCAGGCAGCAGTACGCCAGTTGCGCCCGAGGACTTACCTTCATCGCGAAATCTCCGGGGGGTTCAAGGGGGTAGGACGTTCAAGGGGAGAGTGTACGGGAGAAAAGAGGGAGTTTTGCAAGGCCTCTCACGTCTTTACTTTTGGGGAACTGGCCATCTAGAAGGCTAATCTGCGTATTGCGGTTCTGACCAAGACGGGCTGGATTGCGATGGAAGGAGGCCCGCTTTTTTTTTTTAGGAATTTTCTGCCTTTTGTTTTCTCATTGGCAAATTTCCTCCTTAGAGAGGTTTCTTTTTAATCCTTTGACCGACCTTCGAGAAGGACGCGCCAACCTTGGAACAGACTGGGTTCCTAGCCGTGGCAAAGACGCGGTTGTACAGAAGATACAAAAAGATACTGCCCCAATACACCCCTCTGACGACGATAACCCGCAGACGCTGATCTTGAACAAAAGGATACTCCTCTTCGGAGTAGTTCGTAACATAAATAGGAATTGAGCACAGCCCAAATCCTTGATGACATCAAAAAAGAATTGCCCCAGAGATCGACACGTTTACGGTACAAGTAACATACGAAACGCCGGCCACATCCACCGCGGCGGGTCGAGTCGTCCGTTGGGCAGCGAAATAATCCCACCTTGTCTGGATTGTGGGTAGCATGAATCGCGTTGAGTAACTCCCGACGACCCTCACTGATTAGCTATCTGACTTTGACTTTTGGTTGAGCCTCTCATGGAAAACCCTCCCCCGTTCTTTTTCGTGGTGTGCTCCACAGCGTCGGCCATACCGTGGTTGTGGCACGCCGGGTCCGTGGATCATGTTTTCATCCGAAATACGCCTCTGCCCAAAGAATTGAGCGCCACAGCAGTGGCCATCCGCGTGGTTGGCATGTACATGCCAGTATAACGAGTCAAGCCCAGCTGTGCAGGACGTCTACTAGTACGTCTAGACAATGTCAATCAACGAGGCACTATTAGTTAGTGAACTGGAAACAGAGAGGAAGGGAAGGAGAAAGAAGCAACATCTCTACCAAAGACCTGGAGGCAATCATGCATGTCTCTAAATCCTTGTCCGGAGAGTACAACTGGAGAGCCCAGGGCGATGCATCCCCTGTCCCTTTCAACGGTCCCATGCTCATGGCCCGAGTCCTTTTGATTCTGGGGTTGCATAATGCGGCAAAGGACCGATAGAGTGTACCCAAACGGAACGTTTGCTGAGCGCCCGGGCGCATCCAGGCTTGGGTTGGGAACCAATAGTGCCCAATGCAGTAGAACGCCATACAGTAGGCAGAAACGGAACACCGAGCAGACAGGTGACGATCCACCTTAAATTTCAGCTGACGATGTGCGCGTAAAGAAACCAGGCTCACCCCGTATCCGCAACCCCAACCGTGACGTCAAATAGGTATGGGCCGGCAGCGAATATAGAGAAAATATGGATTGAAACGAGGTGACCCAGAGGACAGGGGAGCGGCTGGATGTTCTCGAAAAGGGGAAGAAGGCTGTCAGGTCAGAACGGACCAGAACCATCCCCGCATTGTGTCTGGTTCTAGATCAAGCCGGCTGTGCGCCATCTTGCCCCTCTACTTTACCAAGGTACTGGTAAAATCCAAGGTCGCGTGCCCCACGTGGCGGACAAGAGTCCCATGGAAGGGTGTGAGGGTATTCTCCTAGTAGCATTTATCCTAATGAATAGCAGGCTCAACTTCCCTCCTATCAAGAATAGTGATTCATGTATCTAATGTGCTAATCTACCTTAAGTAGCGGGCATTGTTCCGGTCTTACCAAGACATGTTCGTAACTACCACCTGCGCACATGCTGCCTTTTCCATTTCAGGCTCTACAATGAGGACATATGACCCAATAATAGAAACTCTGTTACTTCTAATCAGCCAGGTCCTTTAAGGTGGGATGTTGCTCGTCCTAAGGATTTGTCGGATTAAGTGGAGCAGACCGCGTGTACGGAGATACACAAGGTGGAGCGGAGTGGAGCGGAGGAAGGAAAGGCAATGTGGCGGCTCCATGGACAGCCATAGCTTAGACATGGCAAGTGTTTGCCCACGTGGGATGATACGGTAGCAATAGAAGATAAGCCCATAGGCCTCGAGATAGATATCAACGGCTAGAAATAATCATCGCGTAAGCAAGACCCCGAAAGGAAGCAGGTAGGTCAACCTTTTGACTGTTACAATACATGACTGCAGTGCTCCATCGCATTAGCTGGATACAGTATGGGTATCCTTCACAAGGCTCCATATTAGTACACCTCTTGATAACTAACATGAGATACTAAACACCCCATGGGGATTATGTTGTAGCGATTATATACGGGAAAAAAATGCTAAGTTGATTCAATGCTCAAGATCTTCATATAGATAAGATGATAGCATCGTCATCTACCCATTACACCTGTTGACCAAAACGCCACAATGCCACTTGACTCGTTGCCGGCGAAAGTCCGCCAAACACGCACTCGAAGAAGAAAGAAAGAAAGAAAGAAAAGAAATCCCAGGGGAAAAACCGCAGGAAAGTCGCCAAGAATTAGTACGAATGTGAGGAGACTTGTCGATAGGTCTTTGGAGAAATGGCCTGGTCCGAACGCGGAGAACGAAAGATAAACCGAGTGGAAAAGTTCCAGGATGGAACAAGGCTTCGCTCGGCTAAGAAAACAACGCCTGTCGCTTATGTATCGGGGAATCAAGAAATGGAGAGAAGGCCGACAAATCAGATGGCAGAAAATAGGAATTCAGACAGGCAGCCCGCCTAGTCGGAAGCATGGAAACTTTGTCAAAAGCAAGGGAATTTGGAATCGGGTTCAAGATCAGGGCCATTTCAAACATAGGTCAGATCTGTCCCTTGATATCGACAACACGATGCGCTTCTTGCTTAGCTGCTTCGAACTGCGGGCCAGCCTTGCTTGTCAACAGCCTCACAGTCCCATTTTTTTCCCCGAGCGACTCCTTGGAAGAGTGCTCAATGATGAAATCTATGGCCTGATCATCGTGCGTGAACCCCAGTTCTTCAGTAATAAGTCTGACCGGAACATCTGGTTTGTATCTATGGCCTTGTTAGTTATCCTGGCAATAGGAAGAAGGATCACAATTGGAGACTGGGTACTCACGCTCTACAAATAGTGGACAGAGCATTCAAACGCTCACGGTCGACGAACATATCCATGAGGTAAGCCCCCATATTAGGCGGATCAAGGTACAGTAGGAAGAAGCGATGGTAGTTACCAAGCGCTAAAGCAGAGCGGACGTCCAAAGCATGCTTCACAGCATGGTCTTTCTTGTCTTCTGCGGTCACATCGGCCAGCGTATCATTCATGGCCGTCCAGTTGCGGGTGTAAATGAAATAAAGAATACGATAGGCCTTGAATTCCATGGGATGCCCACCCAGTTGCTTCTTGTACAACGCCCGCAGCTGGGTCTGGCATTGATTGTACTCACCAAGATCCCCTTTCTCTAAGGCGATACGGGCATGGTTCTCGTAAACACTGACGGTAAACTCGTTCTGTATATGCTGGACAGTGAGGTCCTGACGAAGAGATTTGAACTGGTCGCAGATGTAGGTGTAGTTGCTTTCTGCTTTCCACTTCTTCTTCAGCAGGTCCAAGGCTCTCCGCAGGACAGGCAGAGGACGGACGGACTCCGGATTGGGTGCGGATGTCAACCGGAAGTAGTTCTTCTCCAGGGTTTGGCATCGTCCCACCACAGGTCCTTGTTCGCCCTCTGGTTTGCGGGTTTCTATGGGGAAAGAGGCTCCCGAGTTTCCGAAGCTGGCTCCCGCTCCTTCAAAACGCTTCCTCCTCATCTCCAAATTAGCTTTGGACTTACTAGAGTCCCTATCCTCAAGTGCCATTCGTGCTTTCTTGTCTGTGGACGGGTAAGTGATTCGGTCCTCAAACCGATTTCGATTGTTAGCTTTCTTCCAAGGCGCTGTATCATGCTCAGTCTGGTAAGGAACATCGGTCGACTTGCGCTTCCGCGACGCATCTGTGAGAGGAGGAGATTGACTGGAAAGACTCCAGCCCAACACACTCGGGTTGGACAAGACCTTGTTACGTTCATTCTGGATGATGACCTGGGGAAGTTGCATTCGGTCCCAGTCGATCCGGTGAAGGCTCTGGTTTTCGGCTGCTTCCGTGATGATAAGTTTGAGTTTCGTCTGTAGCTCGGACATCTCGACGCTGGCGATCTGGTTGCTGGGATCAAGGCACCGTTGAACGTAGGAGCGGACTGCCGGGGGGAACTCCACTTTCGATCGAGGCTCTGGCCCAGGAGTTTGGTGGAATCCATTCGCGGGTTGGCTGGCGGAAACGGGGTGGGCGAGGCTACGTGCTTGAACTGGAGAGTAGGCGGTTGCCGCTGGGCGTCGGTGAGCATGAGACGGAGAAGGAATCCGGCGGATCATCAGCGTACCTGATGGTGGGAAAGCGGTAGCCATCGGCGCTGGTGCCGAGGCGGTAGAGCGCCATGGAGGGATACTGGAGTTCATCCCTGGTTCTATAACGCAGAGATGATAGGGGGAAGAGAGAGGGATAAGATCGGAAAATGGACAAAAAATAAGAAAAGGCTACGAAGGGGGAATCTTCAAGAGATATAGAGATTCTGTAAGACAGGTAAGAGGAGACAGTCCTCTACGCCGCATATAGTTTCTCTATAGAGTGTGGGAAGACGGCTGGGTTTGATCTGAGATGATGGGGGAACGGAGGAAACCTTGGGAGGTGAGGAAAATGAAGGGAAGCCCACATTCGCCCCAATTCGCTTGTCCGGCTCCCGGATTTACCTTTCTCCGCTAGACTTTAATGCGTACTGATCTCTTATCGCGAGCAACAGCAGCTGCCTGCCATGTCGCGTGAGCCTGATGTTTTTCAAGCCTCTAGATCTTACCACTGCACTGAGGCCCTTACTGTTACCTGACGAGACCCTTCTCTTTGTCCAGGATGCGGTCGGGTTGTATGAAGGGTGGGTTGTTTCCATGCGGGACTATGGTGACGGCTACTGATATCACCAAGGAAATACAAGATCCCCAACTACCAGGATGGCCAAGCCTACTTAACCTCACATAGAGTGTGTTATGTTGCTACAGAGGAACCCCGAAAGTACTCAGTTGGGATAGAACTCAAGGAGATTGACCGTGCCGAGCACCAGGTAGGAGCTCTACCCCTCTACCCCCCACCTCCCGCATTAGCAGCATGAATGGCTAAAGATCGTACTGGAATTTGCAGGCAGGTTTTTGGAAGTCGTCACCTAAGATCACTATTTTTCCGAAGCCTCAGAAAGGCAAGGTTGATAAGGCACGAAGTGAGACCGCCAGTCCGGCCGCTTCACAAACAGCCAGTCTTTATCCAGGCAAATCGCTTTCTCCTCTCCCACAGGCAACCAGCTCTCCTTCCCCTAAGCCGGTCAATGTGCCTTGGATCTGTCCCATATGCTCATTCTCAAACCCTGTTCCGTCCAACTTTGATGTGGCTGCGCCAGCTGCATCAACGCATGTGCCACCGTGTCTAGCGTGCGGCATCAAACCCCCGTTCGCCACCGTATTGAAGGCCGCGATTAGTGCTGCTACAAGTGCAGACTCCTCCTTTCCCAAATCGAGTCCATTGCTCGCAGAAGCTCAGGCGCCAAGGCCACACGATGACCAGCCGGGTACTAGTACCTTGAATGGGTCTATATCATGCCCTCGGTGTACCTTCGTCAACCACCCATCTTTGGTGGAATGTGAGATGTGCGGGGGTCCACTCAAAGTCGGCGCTCATTTTGGAGCAAGAAATCGCGCAGATTCTCCGGCACCTTTCTACGAGCAAACACACATAGCAAATACTGAAATCAGCGAGTGTATCAAGTTATCCTTTCGTGATGGGGGCGACAAAACATTTCTAGAACGACTCAAGGGGGCTTTGATTCAAAGAAAATGGCTGTTGTTGCATGCGCCTCCGCCACCACCTCCACAATCCACAACCCCCACGCCTAATTCAACAAATGAGGAGAGCCTACAGCCTGCACCACGAGCAACGGCCGTGGGGATAGCAGGATTAGAGCAGCGGGGATTGGAAACTCGATTGAATAACCAGCTTGTCATTGGGAATGCTTTTGAAGATCTCGAAGCACTCATGGCCTCAGCCAAGCAAATTGTTGCCTTGGCTGACACCCTAGCTCGAGAGTCGGGCATGTCCGCCAATGATGGCTCTGCGGAGACTCAAGCAGTATTATCGGAATCAGCGGCAGCACTGGGTATGGTCACTACCAAGGATATGCTCCGTTCGGGCTCAGCAAACCTATACCTCTCCGAATTGTCGCGGAACCTAGCCGAGTATCTTACAGATGACCGCAAAGGGATTCTACATCGGGAAGGGGGAATCATGAGTCTGATCGATCTCTGGGCCGTGTTCAACCGGTCTCGAAATGGCGTTGAGCTGGTCAGCCCCTCGGACTTCCAACGAGCGGCAGAGCTCTGGGAGAAGCTGAAGTTACCGGTGCGTTTACGCCGATTTAAGAGCGGGCTCTTAGTGGTTCAGCGCTACGACTGGAGTGACGATAAAACAGTACGTCAACTACTCGAATGGATGGAGGACCTGCGGCAAGTTCCCCCAGAGGAACCAGTCCCATGGGATTGGATGCTTTTCGGTCGGCCAGTCACGGCCCAAGAGGTAGCCCAGCGATTCCAATGGAGTGTGGGTGTAGCGACCGAGGAGTTAGAAATGGCCGAGGACCGCGGGGCTCTGTGCCGAGAAGAAGGTATCGAGGGGCAGCGCTTCTGGCGAAACCATTTTCTTACCCCAGAAGATCAACTAGGAGAGACTCCACGATCATACGAGCTACGGCCACCAATGGTCGATAGCGTAAGCAATTAATATGTGACCCTGTTTTGTGCTATGCAAAGGTAGACGTAAAAGGAAAAGAATTCCATGGCGCACTACACCAATAAGGAGAGACAGTATATGACCGGAATAGCAGGATTTGCCAGGGACCATCGGGTGAACAAGGAAGCTGGCACGAAGCCTAAAGGGCCCCATGCCCGATTGTTCTATAAGGAGGGGCAGGTCCCGCATGATGATTAGCCAACCCCGCGTCACAGTCTGGTCTGATCCGCCAGGCCGGAGAGCTTTCCCTTCTACTCCGCGTCTACTTTTGGCTTCCCGACATCACTGCGTATCATCGTAGACAGTCCGCCACATTCTCCATTGACTGACTCTTCTCTTCGCACCATCAGGGCGGTTCGATCTGGAAGCTAAAATCCATAAGCATCCGATCCGCTTTCGAGTGGATTCCGAGTGGATATGATCGACCGTCCCTCTGATAGCATCGGTCTCAGTCACACGCGCGGTATCTAAGGCAACAGCACGGCAACCCCCCCCATCTCTACCTTGACGATATTCAATTTCGTTGTGGGATCGAGAGCTTCTCCCACGATGACGCGCCCTGGAGTTGGTCGCTCTACGTTTTCCGCCTTGTTATCGCACCAGGGCCACTCCCGAGGTTTGTGGCGGGCAGCCAAGAACTCCCAGGATACCCCCGAGCAAGTTGAATACACCTTCCGGCCTTTCAAGAAGAGCAAGGCTTCGAGTGCCAATGTTCGTTATGGTTTCTCAGGATTCTCAGCCAACCGAAATCCCAGATTCTGGGACACAGAGCCTGATCAGCTACTGACACAAATTCAGTCACTAAAGAAGGAGCTACTGGATGAGCATGATCAGCTGATGAAAGAATTGCAGTCCATTCAGAAGGAATTAATAAAAGATCCCTTCTCTGCCATATTTGGCCTCCAGACTGATTTGTTTCGTGAATGGGAGAAAGAACCTACCTGGCAATCTTCCATGCGGTCGTCGCCGAAGACCAAGCGACCATCTCGTTCTAAGGCCTCTTCCAATACCAGTCAATCCGAAAAGGATTTTGAAACTACCACGACTGAATTGAGCCGAGGCACCCTTCGGTACGACCCGATTTCGGGACGAATGGTCCCACGTCAAGATGAAGCCACCAACACCGGAAACGAAGCCCGCCCTTTTGCCGCAGACTGCCCTCCCAGCGTCCACGCCGACGTTAACACCTCCCCGTTTATTGCCCACAATGGAACATTTCATCAACATCCAAATTTTGCGTCTAGACATTATATTCCAAACTTCTGGGACCCAAAGTTCAATCATAGTGGCCCTGGAATTGGATCAGAAAGTGTTCGCAAACCTGACCCTAGCTCTCTCAAAGATGATGACTCCATCATCTTTGTGCCACCTCAGAGACCGGTTCCGCCAGATCCGCAGGCTGATATTTTGAACATCCAAAAGAGCTTGCATGAACCAAGCGAAGTCGCTCCGCTCGCTTGCGGTCCTTCTGTTCGTGCAGATGATAGCCAATCGACATGGACAACAACGGTCAAGACGACGGCAAAACCAGAATCCAACGAGCCTCGACCGGAAAATGAGACGGATGTCGTAACACCTGAGTTTCTTGAAATAGATACGCAATATCCAACGAAGCAGGCTAGTGAAGTTCGTGATAAAACAGTCGAGTATTCACTTAGCGGTGAAACGGGATCTGTCCTCACTAGTCAACCTCTTCCTACCGTTGACAATGGTCACCTTGAGCCTACCAAGGCTGCTGGTGAAATCACTTCTATTGAGCCCGAGATCATCCTTGACTACCAACCGAATAACAAAGTAGAGACTCACAATGTCTACATTCCTGTCTCGGAGAATGACTACATTGATCCTTCAGAACACTTGGATGCCAGTGACATCCGTGCTCGCTACGCATCACCGCAAGGGGGTTCCGAAAAGGAGAAGCCTATTTCTGCGCCAGAAGTAGACTCCGCTGCCACTGACTATAGTCTCGAGGGCTTGAATTCTCGCGTCGGGGCCCTCACTTCTCCGATTGCCGAACTAGTCAGAGAAGGGCCTGCCACCGAGCAGGAATCGCCCGTCACAGCGTCACCTTTGCCTGAGTTCCGGATCTTAACATACAATCCGTATGACTCCCAGGTGACTATTACCGGGGCAGAGCCATTCTTCGATGCCAGTGAGACTAGATCGCGATCCGCTATTCTCGCTTGCCTCAAAAAAATTGCTCGTCTTGAGGAGTCTGGGAGGTTTATGCCTTATATCACACAGATGGAGCAAGATGGTTACGAGATCCTTGCTAGTGCCGATGATCTCTTGATTTTCCGCAAGGTGAACCGCCATGGTGTTTTCGGAGAATTGATCAACGAGTCGGATAATGACAGGAATGCAACTTCTGAGTCTTGTCCTTCTGACAACGGTCACACCTCCACCAACCAGGTACGCATGCAATGAGCGGGCAACCATGCGTCTTTTCTAACTTGTGGAATTAGTCAAGCCAATCAACTATCGATCAAACGTCGTCGGTGGGCAAGACACTTCGCCGCGTGCTTTTTGGAGGTGTTGTGACTGCGGCGTTTTGCTACACGACTGGTGTTGTCAGCGAGTACTTCCGCACAGGAGGCGCAGATGGACGCGGCCCTGACGGGTTTACCCCATTTGAAGTCGAGCGACGTTATCGGGAATGAAAGACTTGGCCAACGGGTTTCTTCCTCTGATTGCTATGAGTATGGTCCGCTAACCCAAGTGACTCACTCGGTGGACTAGGGTGTGAACGTCAAGATACATTTTCTAAGAGATACCCAATAAGCAACTCTTCCGACTTGCTATATTCCCGTAACAAGACCTCCAAAGGGTCTTATGAACTCTCCATATTTAAGGCACATTCCACCCGTTAAACCTAGTGTTGTGATCTCAAAGCCATTAGTTATCCTCTTGAGGCATCTAGAATCCAAAGTCTTCCTTCAACTTCTCTCCCCCAATTTCTACTGGCTTTGACTCTTGGAGCACGAAAACCACTCGCGCCCAATCAGCCTTACTTTTATTCCGCCACAGATGCTTTGTCCCCCGTTGGACGGCGATATCACCCTGCAGCAGCGTCTTAGCCTCGCCGCTATCCAGTTGCAGTTCCACGATACCCTCTATCACAATTGCATAATCAAGTGACAGGGTCCTGTGTAGGGCACTTGTGCTACCAGGAGCAAGATCGATGGTACACAGTAAGGTTCCACCTGGAACTGTAAAAGCCGGAGGGTTGATGAGGTATTGTTGATATGTTGCCAAGTCCTTGCTTAGGTCGACGGGGAACTGGTTCGTAGCATACGCGAGATGGAGATTATCACCAGTTGGGATTGCTTGAGCTGGGACCCTCTCGGGGGTGTCACTGTGGAATATTGCGAGACCATTTTCGCTGTGATCGGTGATAAATCGGCTGGTTTGTCGTAGGTTGTTGGGCGGTCGTTCTTCAGCCATGATATTCACTTTTTGGTTACGAATCTTGAGTTTCCTTTCGGGGGTGGAAATAGTATCAAGATGTCAAGAAATAGGAAGAAGAAGGATCAGAAACGACTTGGGATTCTCAAAATAAGTGTGTACTACTACTTTTCTTTTCTCACGAGCTCTAGATATATCGTCTTTAATATACCCAATTCTGCTAGTAGGGGGGATATCATCAAACACACGACGAAGATAATGATAAAACAGTTTCTAGCTTTCATAGAGTCATTTGTCAGTCTCGCGCAATCCAGCGCCCGAAGCCCCGATCATACGAAATCGGGTTAGTGCTGCAGCCAGGAAATAGTTCAAGTTTCGGCCGTATTTCGCCCGCTCCAAGCCAAACAAAACCCGCAAAAGCCGGTCGAACAATTCTAGATTGACATCATGTCACATTACAAAGGAATAGAGCGAAAATCAGCGGCGAGTCCTGCAATGGAGTCAGAGGCCCGACAGCACAAACAATCTCCGCGAGCTTTTGAACGACTCTAAATCATGAGGAATAGTCATTTCCGGCCTTTTGGTATCGCCCTCCACACTACATGCCAGTTTCCATACTAAACTCTGCGCTTTGAGCGATAGAGCACCAATCTTCCAATCCCTGAGTACAGGGGTTCCCATCAACCATCGTCGCATTCTACAGCTATCAAGCCCCTGAGCCAATAATGATAATTTCCCATTTCAAAGCGCTAAGAATAATACTAGCCCAGATACTTTCCGAAAAGCCACAATCATGCTCAAGATCAGGAACTACGTAGCATCATCTACCTCCTCATCAGGAAAATCCTCTTGGTGCCCATCTCCATCCTTCCACATGAAATCCCACCAAGGCTTTCTCGCTTCCCCCAAACTCCCAATCCGATCTAGATCCCCCCCACCGCATATCCTCCCTCGCCTGTATCTCAGCGAGCTCCTCTCGCCGCTGTAACTCCTCCACTCTCTGGAGCTCCCTCTCACTGCGGATAACCCTCGCCTCCTCAATAGCCGCATGGCGCTCCAAAACCAACGTCCGCTGCTGATCCGTCATCTCATCCACAGAAGAATCAGACTCGAAGTCACTGTTCTCGTTGCTGTCATCATCTTTCTCGCCCCGGCGGATAGGATGCTTCTCGAAAGTCTCCTGCAGAGCTCCGCATAGAGCCTTACCAGAGAAGAGATACATCTGCAGCGCGACGAGCATTTGCACGGCCGTGTAGAAGTCCTTCCGCTTCCAGAGATCGTACTCTCTTGTCCCCAAGATGCGGAAGGTGCGGGTGTCTGGCTCATTATCCAGGAACTCCATTTTAGTGGCGTCGAGTTGCTGGCGGATGCGCTCGAGGTTATTTTTGGTGTAGAAGCGCGGTGTGTGGCTGTGAGCACGGGGCCTGCTGTGAGAGGACTGGAGGTTGGGGTCCAGCGGCTCCATGAGGTTTATATCGAACATCTCGCCAATGTCTTCGGATAGGGTTTCTGTTGAGCTTTGCTGGTGGTGCTGGATATAGCTAGGGAAGCTTGTGTAGGAGGCAGTGCGAGAGGTGGTGCGAGACTTGTCCGGGATATTGTGTCCATGATCGGCGTCATAGTGCTGGCTATCGCTGTCGTCCATGTGTTTGATCCTTGGGTTCGGAGAAGATGAGCTACGGTGGCGCAAGGGTCGAGGAATGAGGGTAAAGGTTTCCTGGGCTGGGATGTAGCGGCGGCACCAGAGACTGGAGATCTTTTGGCCTGGGAAGTAAGCGCGTAGGAGATGGAGCTTCGAGCCGTGGATTCCTAAGAGGAAGATCTCTTGGTCTGGGAGTCTGTCGCCAGGGAGTGGGAGTGGGCGGATGTGGAGGAGGAGTTGACCAAGAATCAATTTGAATTTGTCGTCAAGGACTTCGGTCAAGGGGGCTTCTTTTGTTGTCTACACTGGAGAGTCAGATCCTGAATCATTGGGTCTTTGGGCGGTCCAGAGGGCCACTGACGGAGGATACTGGGAGAATGGGCACACAGCCTCCATTATCAGGCTCGAAGTCCATGGCCAGAAAACCGGCAGTCTTGGGGCCGTCTTTGTGTTTCTCTCGGTAACCTGTCCAATATTCAAGGAAAGAGTCGAGAAGACGTGGTCTGAACGAGAGTAGAGCTCATCAGTATACTGTACGTGAATCCAGGTCCAATGAACTCGCGAGGAGAGATCTCAAGCTTTCAAGGGTGTCCGGAGAATTTATGAGCTCACCGCAGATAGAAGATGGAATTGCCATCCTTTGTTGGTCTCTGCAGGTCTAACATTTCAGTCACATCACTCAATAGAGCGTAGACAAGCTGAGCCTGGGCAAGACGGCTCTTATCGTTGAGCTCGCCATGGCACTTCTCACTGCCGCCTTCCCACAGGCCCTTTTTGAACTGCGGAACTTTGCTGAGTGTTTTGAAAACGCCGCGGTACCGAATATCAATCTTGGACCACTCTTTCTGGTTCACCTGGCGTCCATCCTCGGCGCCACCGCGGAAGATCCAGGCTTTGCGTTGAGCGACGCCTGGTATGAGTTAGTGTAGGCTCGATTAGAGAAGCACATGGAAGAATTTTGATCGTGCTGCATTGTGGATTGAGAAGCAGACTGACCGGTATGCTCTGCCCTTCTCAAGTATCGTCCTGGGATTAGGTCTTGGAGAGGCCGATTCAGAAACACCTTTGCTGTGAGATTGTGCACGCTACACTTGTAAGAGTCCGCCTTATCTTCGAAGTCGGACACTGAGGACGAAGATTCGCTCGAGGAGTCCATGGTGGACTGCTTGGTTGGAAAGCACGACATAAGGCACTAATGCAGACGCGTTCAGAAATGAAAGAGTGTGTCTGGGACGGAAAGGGATGATGAAAGGTGATATGTTGTTGATGAGTCGCGTTGGAACTAAGTCACAGTGAGAAGTGGTCAATTGTTGTCTTTTCATGTTATGGCTGGTTCAACGTTGGGGGGTGAGATGGAACACTCCGTCTCCCACCAGTGGATATGAATGACTTTACTTTTTTGGATGGTGATTACATATGAGAAAGACTACCGGTATTCGAGAAGCGCGAATGGTATTCCAGATTCATCAAGGTCACTCTCTTATGATTCTTAGTCAACAAGCTCTTGAAGAGCACCTCTCTTAGTCTGAACTTTGAAAGACTGAGGGTAACCTGGCCTTCCCATAGTAGTTATTCAATGCAGATTAGATATCTAAGCTTTTTGTTATTAACTCACATGGCAACGAAACTGGTCAACGGAAGTCCCTCGGTCCACAGGCAAATTGGTACTACAAACCCTGGAAGTGATCCTATCGATTACCCACTAGTAGAGATAATGCTATATACCTGCTTGATGTGCATTCTGCAAATTGGACGCGAGTGCTGGGATGCGTAGCTAGTACTCAAGTAAGGATTCCAATTTTGAGTTCGGACGGTACTCAAGTTCAAATCTGTTGATACTGAAACATGTCTCCTTCGTTCCGCTTGAATTTTTATTTTCTTCTTTCTTTTCCCGAGATCACTGTCACCAGCATACTGCTACTACCATAGTCCTTCTTCCAAGGATGACTTCAAGTTCCACGGGTGGACTTGGCCACAGCTGGATGTTCATTGAGGGTAATTGCCAGGATAACCGAGAATATATATTATGGGTACTATGAGCCGTGCAAGTACCAATTCTTTTCTCCTTCCAAGGTCGGAGATACTACAGCAAGATGATGCCACACAATGTATTAAGCACCTGTTCGTAATTAAATCGCTAACAATCCTTGCAACCCCAGGAGATACGGTGCCCCGCATTACGGACACCATGATCCGGCGCGAGTACCATCAAACGTTTGCTCCATGCAGACGCCACACATGACGCATACCGGGTGGCTGGACCACGCAAGCCGAAGCCAAACCAAGTATCTGCAGGGACACGACGAGACTGCAGTTCCAGACAGGTCACATTCTCCACCATTGTGTGTTCCAGGCCATTCGAGTATTCGTGGATCACCCAAAGGCGCGCTGACTAACACAAAAGTTCAATCCCCCCTGGAAATGACGGAAAAGCCGATCGTGGATGGCGGTGGGGCCGATAGCTGGCGCAATCAGGAACAGGCCTAGCGTGTGTCGGTTTGTGGTACGGTCGCGTACTGTGTAATTAAAAATAGCTCGGTGGTGTGTTCCTTGGCTATAACTTGGTGCTCTTTCGCTGGTTTCAGTGAAGACCAAATGTGACTAGTTAACTAGTGAAGAATCTCCGATAGCTGAGTCGTGTCAGCAACCATCCATGGATGTACAGACGGGTCTCGGTGGGCCATGGGGGCCTCAAACAAAGACAAAAGTGTGTCCCTAGGCGGGAATCATCAGCAGCCGCTACCAACCATTTGCCGTGACAGACAAGAACTTAGTCTTATTCTTTGTTAACGTTGCCTCCGTGGCTCTACATCTAGGTAGATCTCCAGATCTTTGTGTAGAGCTCACTCTGGAGCCCACAGCTCGCGAACACTTAGGGCCGAAACAACCCGGTGCACAGAGCACCCCAGGGTCTTGGGTGTCTGGTCCAGGATGGAGCAAAGGATCTGGGAAGCGCAAGCACCTCGTACTGAGTACAGGCGGCAGGACACGAGCTCCACAGCCGTTAGATCAAGAATGTGTCTAAATTCATGTCGAGCTCTCACGCGAGCCAGCATTCCGATCGGACCGTCCCAAAGCACGTGGGTGTCTACTGTCCTATCTCGTTGACATTCTCGAGCGATCGGCAATCGTAGACGGGACAGTGCCCAGGCGGGCGAATCTGTGATGGTGACATAGCCTACCCTCGAAGGTACATGATCCACCCATATGCACCTGCAAGTTTAGCCTTCTGTTTTGGAAGACGGGCAGCCGTTGAATATCTTCCTTGCAGGCCCAGAAACGAGATACATCACAATAAAGCCGACCGTGGACCCCCGGGATGACGTACAACAGCCAGCATTCCTGGAGGGGTTTTACTGCACTTCTCAATGGGGAGCAAGCCCCATCCGCAGTGTAGGGGTCCAAGAGCCAAAGCAGGAACCATGAGTAAGGCTCACAGATGAAGGGCCTAGCGAGGCCAAGTGGGTACTGATTTTGCCGCGACGCTGATCGGTTGCCCGAAGTGGGTGTACGGGCGACACTGGTTGTGTAGGATGCAGTCTCTAGAGCCCAAAAAAGGCTAGTGGGCTCCTGAGGTGTTTGAAATCCCCGTGTATTGTCTTGCGTATTCTGACCCCGGGAGGGTCCAGGGGCCCCACATCTACTGGCGCCACGCACTGCGCTACTGTTTTGTCCACGCCCAGGAACCCGTAAGTGGGGCTGCTGGCCGCACCATCTGAGGGGCCAGACCGACAGGCGTGAACCTTGTCCCGCCAGAACCCAGAACGGTCTTGACGGTCAAATTAGGATGGGCAGCCCTGAAGACTCTATTTTGGCAGAGACTCCATCAGCTCGTATTTCCTAGCCTCTATGGAGTACTCCGTAGTGCTAACCATACCCCAGGTGCAATTCTTACTAGTATCACATAGCTCTTCGTTTTCTGGCCCTTGCGTGCCCAGCCAAGAGTATTAGGTTATAGTTTGCCCTTCCTGCAACTCCCGCCCCGGCACTAGAGTGCTTCTGGGAGAACTATTGTTCCTCTTCCAAGTCTCGATTAACGGGTCCATCTATTGCCATCCAGCCTTACTCTTCTTTGTCCAGCCAAGATGTTGATCACCATAGGGGCTCCTGGACGGAACCCTGTTTATTGTTAGCGGAGTTGTACAACGGACGGCCGATGGCACCGCTAAGCTGGATGACAATCCGGACTCTGAATCTGACGGTCGGAAGGTTACAACGCAGGAATGGAGACAAACGAATTTTAGCTGTGCATGGCAATGAGATATCCCCAAGATCTCTGCAACTTCCCCGGAGTAACGGAGAAACAATTGGACTTGGGAGTCGCTTGGTCACAGTCTGGATTGCATCCGGCTCTCTGCATTAGTGCCGTAGGCCAAGCGTCACTAGTTGCGGCTGCAGGCCAGGGTGCGCCGTTCCCGGGAAATAAGGGAACAGCCTTTTGAGAAGGATAATGGCAAGTGGAATAGGGGCTCTTTGAGCCATAGTTGCGCATAATTGCTTTTCTCCCTGCTTTTGCTATTGTTGAAGGAGCGGAGTGAAGTGGAAGTATACGAATGTAGCACGAGAAGGCCAGGAAAGGGCCTCGGGAGGAAATCGAGTTAGGCGGGAGATTGTCAATGATACTGCTAGTAAGCCAACGATATACACCTTTAAACGACCAATATGATCTTTTTTGATCTTTACTGTACATATACCAGTCCACAGCGACGACCTCGTACCAATCACTCATTCAGCACGGGAGATTACATCGCCCCCATGGAAGCCGTGGGCCTCAGCCGTGCGTGCATATAACCCCACGAGTGGGTCCCGGTCGACCTTGCAATTCGACGGTCGACAGCCAATTTACGGTTAGATTACAAGCCTCGAACGATTCGTTACCAGGAAGGACGCAGACTTAGGAGCAAATCGCTCCAGTATTGTCACATCCGCCGCTGTTGATGCTTCCACACGTGTCCCACCGCCCCATTTCTCTCCTTCGCCCCCTAATACTCTCCCTCAATCTATTCATTCACTGTAATTCACTCTTTTCTTTCCTTCATCTTTCCGTTGTCCATCGACACGGCGCCTTAGACCTGGGTCCTGCCAATTCCAGCGCTCCCCTTGCTTCCCACGGTCGCGCTTTATATTCCCCCGTTTCTTTGTTGGCTTGCTCATCTGCCTCAAGTAGGCCGTCACTCGCTCCTTACAGCTTCCACCACCCACACTCGCTTTTTGCTGCGTTCCGGTCGTTTCACTTTGATCCGACCCCCTTTTCACTCGCTTGTCGATCGATTTGCCAATTCGATCGGTTTCACTCGACGTTCGTTGCCCGCGAGACGCCGATTAACTCTTAATTTGCAGAGAAGGAGGTCTCTTCAGTTGGTTGGGACATATTGCGAAAATCGTATAGCGCAAGACTATATCAACAAGGGACGTCGAAAAAGCGTCGGACTTTCGCCAAAGCTACGAGAGGTGTTGACAGACGAGATTTGAATGCTCGTTCTGTACCCTCTAATCCTGAACGCCATTTTCACGGATCAACTCTAGTTACTTCAGACAAGATGCGTACTGGACCCCTGTCCGCCCTCGCTTTCGCCCTCGGTAGTGTCCGGCTGGTGGCCGCCGCTGACAAGGCCTGGGAGGATCCCAATGCGGAGCGCGTTGATCGCCCACGATACTACTTCCCTCAGGAGATCAAGCGCAACGTTCGCAGCTTCAACGACAATGACAATATCCTCGCCAACTCGATCGACGAACTCGCCAATGGGTTGACCGGTCAGTCCCAGTCCGGAAACCCTCAGTCTGCCGCTACTGCATCAGCACCCAACAAGGAGAAGGAGGTGGTTGTTATCGTTTCCATTGACAGCGAAGGCCACCGCCACACTGTGACTACGACTACCGATGGCCCTCAGGCTACGACCACTACGACTACCGTCGACAAGCCCAACAAGAGTACCGACGAGGGTGAGAGCAGCTCCGATGATGTGAGCAAGAACACCGCTCCCGCTTCGACATCAGCCGCTGCTTCTTCATCATCAGACGGTGGTCTGCTTGGTGGTCTTGGCGCGGGTCTCTCTTCTCTCGGTGCTGCTCTTGGTGGTGAAACCGACACTTCTTCCACCTCAACTGCGACTGCCACCGCTGCTCAGACTACATCTAAAAGCCAGGCTAGCTCCAACTCTGCGGGCAGTGCCAATGGCGCAGGTACTCCCAACGTCGTATCCAGCTCTGAGCCAGGTGCTACCACCACTGACACTGGCCTGCTCGGTGGTGTCGGTGCTGGTGTCTCTTCCTGGGAGCAGGCCTTGGATCTGCCCTGGGCACTGGTGAGACCACGACTTCTACTTCTCCCGCCAACAGCGCCGTTAGCGCCAGCACCGTGTCCAGTGCGGAAGCTACGACTACCACTTCTGACCCAGGATTGCTGGGTGGTCTTGGAGCTGGTGTTTCCACGTTGGGTGCCGGCCTTGGCGGTGGTGTCTCTTCCCTCGGCGCAGGCGTCGGTTCTCTGCTTGGTGGTGGCGATAAGGCTACTACCACTGAGAAGCCTACTGCCACTGCCAGTGGTGCGGCTCCAGCTTCTGCTACCACTACTACTGACCCGGGCTTGCTGGGCGGTCTAGGAGCTGGTGTTTCCTCGTTGGGTGCCGGCCTTGGCGGTGGTGTCTCTTCTCTCGGCGCAGGCGTCGGCTCTGCTCTTGGTGACGGTGACAAGACCACTGCCACTGCCACCGCAACTGGAGCTGGAACCGCTACCGGCATTGCTCCTTCTGCTGCCACCGCTTCCAGTGCCACTTCTTCTGGCGGTGGCCTTCTTGGTGGCCTAGGTGGTGGTCTTTCGTCCCTCGGCGCTGGCCTCGGTTCCGCCCTTGGAGGAAGTAGCACTACGACTGCTGCTCCTCCTGCTAACGGCACAATTTCCGGCTCTGGCTCCGCTACGGCTACAGCTACAACTTCCTCCGATGGCGGTCTTCTTGGCGGTATTGGCGGTGGTCTGTCTTCCCTAGGTGCCGGTGTTGGATCTCTTCTTGGTGGCAACTCTACCAGCCGCCCTACAGAGTCGACTATTCCTGTCAGCGTTCCGGCATCCGCTACTCCATCGGCTACCCCTGATGTCAGTAGCTCTGGCAGCCTGGCCCCTACCGCAACTGGCACTGACTCCAGCTCTGGCATTGGTTCCGTCCCTACACCTGCTGGAGGTGCGCATTCGACCATTCCTGCTGGCTCTGAGACTGTTGCCCCCGTCCCTACTCCTACTGGCAGCCCGCAGACTTCCAAGCCCGCTTCGCACACCCCCCACGGCGACGCCCACGACCGAGACTACTGTTTCTCCCACCAGCGAGCCTCAGACCACTGCTACTCCTACTGAGACCCACACCGAGCATCACCCCACCGAGTCTACTACTGACTGGCTCCCCTCGACCGTTCTGATCATGCCTACTCAGACTTCTGAGACAAGCCACACTGGCACTGCTACTCAAACAAGCCAGCCAAGCTCGCTTCCCGGATCCATCTCTCCCGCAAACGGCGTCACCCAGGCTCCCAAGGACTCGATGCTGCTTCAACTAGGGTTTGATGGCAGTCTTCCCTGGTCTTTCGTTGCGACTACCCCTCTTTCGTCGTCTCAGATCTTCAGATTCATCCCACTGGCTCTGGAGCACGCCGTTCCTTACTGGGCCACCAAGGCTGAGATGTTTGCCCTGGAGCCGTACTACAACTGGCAGAAGACCGGGTACAACGGAACCCTTGCTATCTTCTACTTCCCTAACGAAGGTTACGCCAAGCTCGAGTCCATGAAGTCGAACCCTAACTCTGCCCTCTACACCGATGACTCAAGCGCCTCTGTCAGGAGCCTGATGAATATGGTCGACCCAACAATCCCTTTGGTGTACAACGGCAATTGGCCCGCCGATGATGCCGACACTACTGGCAACACCGGCACTGACTCCGGCTCCGACGGCGGTGACAATGGTTCAGACGGCTCTCAGAGCGACGGTTCCAGCAACAGCTCCAAGGGCTCTGCCACTTCTGCTGGTATTGCCGTTGGTGCCGTGGCTGGTGCTGCCGCCTACGGTGCTGGTATGTTCTACCTCGCCCGCCGCTACCGCCAGCGGAAGCAGCTGCACCAGCGATCAAGCTCTCAGGTCGACCAGATGAGCCAGGCTTCCGGTGCTGGCTCTCTCTTCGGTGCTCATGTGTCCGGCAGCCAACGCTCCCAGATGATCAGTGCCCCAGTGATGGCCGAAAATTCACTCGGATGGAACTAAACGCCCTTATATCAACACGAACTCCTTCAGCATGGATAGACCAGGTCCTCTTTGTTTCTATATATATCTCCCCATCATTTCGCCTTGAGGAGCGAGCCGGCGTCTCGAGATCACAGCGATTCGCCGTTCCCTTCCGAGCTGTCGGCTCTCTTTTTAAATCATGGTTTGAAGCCTGGAAGAGCAGTGACTACCCAAAACTTTATATTCATTGTTCATCATCGCCCAGACATGTCATATATCACGTACCTCTTCTCTGTGAAAGTTTTTCGAGGTTTTCGATTGGCCAACAACCATTTTCCATTCTCTGATACAGCCGTCTCAGCGCCGTGTCGCCCCCTCTTTCCTTTCTAAATTCTTTTTTTTTCTTGAAATATTCCCCCTTCTGTTCAAACCCCCTTTTTTCCCCTTCCAATTTTCTTCCGATGGCACTGAGAAATCCGATTGAGACGAACCCTTAATTCCTGCCCCCGTGCCATGGGAAATCTTACATCTTTACTGGTCATGTTTGAACTTTGCACATCCTAATGGTCTGGGGGACCAGGATCCCTGATGAGCCGACGCTAGTTCCCTGCGCTTTTCCCTTATTGAGTCTTATTTTTTTGGTCATTTTTGTACACACTTGGACAGCAGTGTGGTGGATGTGTGAGTAGTCAGATGTGAATGGAATTGTAGATTTCCTTGTTTCAAGTTCTTCGACTGCGCTTTGGTAGTTGTTTCATAATGTAGGCTTAGAGTTTTTTTGATTTTCTTGCGTTGCCTGGGTAGTTTACGCTAGGGGGTTTCCTTCAACTAGAACTCAGCCAACGCTGGCGAGCCATATACCCGTGAAAATATCTCCCGTGGCAATCATCCGAGTAGCTGGAACATGATCTTGAACTCGCTCCTTTACTAGCAATGGCTATTTCAAGGTTCCTTTGAAGGTCCCAGTCAAGATGCACTGGTACTTCAACGCCTTGCAGAACTCCCAAACTTGGGTATGAAGTTGTACCTAAACGGGCTGGGGCTCAAAATGCCTCAAAGTGCAACGGTATAGAATGATAACGAGGTACTCGTCAACTAAAATCCAGATTGAAGACTAGCAGGCTCATGTCCATTCCTAGCTACCAGTGTATTCTGGTGAACTAACTAACAATAATTGTTCTAGCTATCACTTTTCTCGACTGCTCAAATGCACAATTGAGACAGCACCTTTGACACAAGATGGAGGTGTAGCCGACACGAGCATGACCCCATAACGCTACAATCTGCGCTATTGGGTTTCCAGCAGTCTGAACCACAATCTTCTTTCCACGGTATGGATCCATGTTGAATGGAGCCACTGTAACCACCAATACTTGGCTGGAATACTCGTCTTTCAAAGGCGTCATTCGCGAATGCTCGCATGGCACTGTTTTCAGTAGACCGAACAAGCCAGCGACGCATTTCGTAAAGTTGATTGGCCAGGTCTGACCCGATACCGTTATCTGGGTCTGTAAAGTCAAGTGCCTTCCGCTAGGCTCCACTTGCATGGACATATCATTCATAGCGCCAGCTGAAGACGGTTTTATAGAAGCCGCCTGAAGCTCGTCTGCTAGGTTTTCGCGCGGGTAAAACATTTCTAGGCCCCGGATTTCTCGATAGTATCGGCCATTGTGAATAATGGATCCATCTAGAACCTCGATGTATCGATGGCTACAGATATCGTCATCGTCGAGAGCCAAATAGGGAGCTGGAACCCATGTCTCGGACCCGGTTGACCATGCTATCTGAAAGCTCTCCATTCCTGAAAGGACTTCAAGAATTGACCTCTCGTCCCAGGAGAAAGTTTCATTCTCGTAGAAGTCGGTACCATAATATCCCTGGCCACCTTCAAATCCGGTCATGCCGTACGTTTCCGTATCATCTCGATCTAAAACAATCGAGCATGTGCCTTCCGGGGAAGGGTGTAGGAAAAAAAAATCGAAAAATTAATAAAACATACCTACGCATAAAATACCCCATCGGAATAACACTTGCCGGTCTAACTGATTCAAATGATGAGCTGGAGTCCATGTCTTCGTCGTGTTGCTCTCTGAATGTTTGCTCTCTGGCTGGAAAGACACCACTTGCGGTATCTACGAGCAGCTTTCGCGCTTCTGGAAAAGAAGGCCATGACTGGGGCATTTCAAGCCCTGTTGAAAATTCATATCGCTGGCGTATTAACGAAAGATAGTCATCTCCCAAACTTCTGACAAGCAGGCGTCTACTCGAGGCGTCTGGGTTGTCAACTAACCATTTCAGGTGGCGGACTAAATTTGTATGGATGTAAACACTGTTTGCCATAGCGAGTGCACATACTGCTAGAGCTTCCACGAGGTCGGAAGAGTATGGAAGATTGAGCATCCCGAGTTCGAAACTGATCATTGCAGCTATGCTTCCTTTCCAGAAGAACTTGAACTGCTCGATTTGTAGATGATGAGGCTCCGGGTGCATTGTATTGAAGAACGAGCCGATATCGTCGATTTTATCCATAAAATGCACCTCAAGGAAATCGGCGCCTGGCAATACTTGTATCTCGACGAATATGGAAGCTGAGCGTTTCCCATTGTGGATGGTGCTAGTTTCAAGAGTCACAACACAGTCGTCTGAGAACAGCGTGATTGCAAGAGCTGCCACGTATCCCATACCATGGGTTCCCCGTATTCTTAGTTCGGATTTGTCTTCTCGCAGAGCGCGAGATGCTTTGGAGAGAAGTTCCACCATCTCTGCTGCGGGAATCCCAGCTAAAATATTGTCTGGGGGGCTTTCCGCTAGGTTCTGATAGGCATCATAAATGCGGCAAGTTTGCTCCGCAACCGCACTTCCGAACCCTATGATGGCAAGTTTGTTGGCGACGACCTCTGCTGCTTGGTTCAGAAGATCTGGGCTGCTGACACCGGAAGAATGAGGCAGCAAAAGACCAGAAAGATCGTAAAGAATCTCTCCCGTCCGTTCACCATAAGTATTCCACAAGCAGGTGGCCACTAATGAAATAGCTTGGCCGCCCGCTGATTGTGCCATCAGAGAGGCGGAGTCACCCTCACGCCAACCGATGATAAGCCCCAAGCGCTCGATGCGCCGGCTCTTACATCGTAATAAATGGTTTGGAACATTTTTGGCAACCGGCCCACTGGTGGGAAACACAGCGCCCAGCTCTTGCAGCTGGAGCATTGCAGCAGGTTGTACATTGTCGGCAGACAGTACAGATAGCTGGGTTGAGAACTGGCCTAGATCTGCTAAGGAGAGGCTGGACATATCCACCTGGGTGTTAATATCACCGGACATGATTGTATACGGCTTCCAAGCAGGTGCAGTGAGATGTCAAGTCTCAAGGAGGGGTAGTCCCGGGAAGTTGAATCAGTAGCAGGGTAAGGCAACCCATCATATAGGCCATCGTCTGTTCGGCATCACTCGGTGCTGTGATAGGCGCGATTGGGAACACGGGGCTATGTCTGCGCTGGCCATTATTGGTGCAGAGTGCTCGGGTCATTGAGTTGTCGCCGCCTAGAAGAAGCAATATGGGTTGCGTAAAACGGGATATCTGATTGGTCAATAGAGAAGATTAGTTGATTAATACCGAGGATGACATTGGATTCAAAAAAAAAATATGGATTTCTTGAAGATTGGTATATAGAGGGAAGAGCAAAAACGCTCGGAGAGAAGATCATTTTAAATGCTGATCAGGAGATGTGCCCTTTAGAGGTTGGAGATAAATGACATCCTCGAAACGCCGTGTAACCTTATATGTTCTATTCCTTCTTAGATTTTTCGTTGGGTCCCGAGGAGCCACTCAGCACGCTGCTCAATTTGCTTTCCAACTTCTTCTCCCCCGACGAAAACTTCGCCATAGCCGAGGAGACGGCTCCCTCGGCAGGGCTTGTGGCGTGAGAATGAGCAGGTAGAGGACGGACAGCATCCTCGCCGCCGTACGCGCGAAGAGCAGTATCAAAAGCCCAGTCAACGGCTTGTTCAACCGGGTGGTCGAATAGATATGGAAGGGCGGGAACAACGGCAAGACCGAGCTATAAAGACGTCAGCATAAATGCCATGCAATAACGAACACTGGATGAAAGGAAAAGAATGCAGGGAAAACAAATCATTAACATACCCCGATAGGACCCCAGGTACGGACGAGGGGAGTCTTCACACGTTTCAACATATTGCCGGAATATTTAACAACGCTGTGGATCGTGAAAGCAGGCAGACCCATACTGGCAATACCTTGGAAGATAGCGCGCTTGGTCATGACCATACGGTAGTCCTCGGCAAGCGAAATTTCGGGAGTAGGCCAAGGAGTCAAAGAATCGCTACCCTCTTTCTCGGCTTTGGACAGGGGCTTGTAGAGGTTACCAGTAGCCATTCCGCGTATGATCTCATCTTGCGACGGCTCCTTTGCGTCCTTGAACGCGGCCTCGCTGGGCGGGGACAGCGCGCGGCGGTTGCGCAAGTACGCCTTGTAGCCCTCGTGGCTGACGTCGCCGATCAAGTAGGCCCACGAGATACCGTAGGCAGTGCGAACCAGGTATGGGTGGGCGACGGGGCGAAACGACTCGCCAATATCGGATGTGTAGGCGACATATCGGTGGGCAGAGAGCAGGATCGTTCGGACTCGCTGGGCGTATGCGGCGTAACGGTACGGGGTCTCCGTAGAATTAACGGAGCTATCGTCAGAGGAAGAGCTCATGGTTAGTTTGATAGTACTTTCGTGCTCTGTGGTATTCAAGGAGTGTTGGAGCCCTGTTTTGTCGTGGACACAGTGGTGTCGCGGCGGACGATGTCGCTGCCAGGCGCAAAACGCCGGATGTGGAGTGTGGAGTCGGTGACTTCCACCCGTTGTTTGCTTTTTCCTCCTCTAGGAGGTCTGTCTAGACACGACACCTCTGGATGCTATGACAGGCACAACGGTTGAAAATGAGAATAGCCCTGACTTACTACGGAGCGTAGATGTCGCTATACACATCTTCATCCCGGTCAACTAAGTCCTGAAGCTTTGCAGGGAGCTTCTTCGCATCCTTCGAGCCATGCTGGCGGCTTGTTCCCCAGGGGTCCATGGTGAGAATGCTCGTCAAGGGCGGGAATCAAAAGAAGAGATTATAATTGACAACAGAGCCAGGGTACTTCGTGGAAGGTGTCGCGTGCAGAGAAGCCTAGTTTGGTGGGCAATAATAGCTAGTAATAAGCTGGGAAGTGTATTTGCTCTATGGATGGAACAGGAACAGGAACAAAAATCGGGCACCACCCAAGCTTATATCTGCTTCAACGACCGGTTCCGTCGTAGTAGCCGAAGGACACATGAGCCGGCCATACATGCGTGACGGATTCGACCGTGGGAAAAGTAGATCGTCGCCCGAGGTTCCGACAAAGTTCCCTTTGTGCGGGGATCCGTGGAACAGTCCAGCCCTCAATCATTTGATTCATGATGCATCTGTCTCACTACAGTCCCACATTTCGTAATTTCCTTGCAGAAATGTGGTATGAGCCGGTAAAAAGCGCTGGCAATGCTGCTTGTTCATAGACTCCTCAAGATCAAGCCACAGCCTATATCATCACATGATATCGGACCTTCTCGGGAGGTCACCTGACTTACTGGTTGACTTGCAGAGGAACTACGCTAACCGCATTTGGGAAGGCGGTCTCGGAGCCAACTTCGACTCTGTCAAGCCTGAGGATTCGATTCCGCTACCACACCCGTATACCCTCCAGCTTCTCTCCCCAGCACACTCCCCCAAGATGGTTGTCTACTACCAGATCGCCGGCAAGAAGGTCGGCTCCCACGTCGTAAGTGGAGCTATTTCCCGCTCAACCGCCAGGGTGTGGCTTCTCGGCTATCCCTTTCTGTGACTAGCTCACACCCGACGGCAAGTACGAGAATGAAAAACTAACCATTGACTTTGCGGTGACCATATAGCTCGCCATGGCCACCCTCGGCGCCATCTTCACTGGTACCTGGGCTGCCACCGGTAGCAGCAGCAAGCCCAAGACCGCTGCTGGTCCTCCCATCAACGCTTCCTCCAAGGACGAGGGTGACTTCATCCAGTACGTACAACGCAACCAAATCCTAGACCGCCGTCTACAAACTCTGCGCTTTCAATTGCATCATTCCGTGCTATATGGGGGCTCACCAATGCTGTGTCAATTGATTGCTAACCATTTCCAGGCAATTCCTGGCTGAGGCAGACAGCGGCGACAAAAAGGCCGGGCATTAAATTTCTCCCGCCCTCATAACGGATGACTCCGATGGGTCGGCCCGGTACGAATCCGCATGACGCATGAATCGAGTCGTCCCGTTCGTCGCTTCCGACCCCGATGCATTGAAACATCCTAAATATCTGGATGTGAGATCTCCGGAAGTATACGGATGGTTTGTCCATGGATTTGTACATAAGAGGCGTGTACGCTGCATAAGAAATGTTTCTTCTATCGAATACTGCGCATGAAGATGTTTGGGTGCTTGGGAGTGTTCCCGTTGTTGGAGCTCGCAAGCGGCGGTCCTGGGTTTATATCTGTTGAATTGGTCCGGTGCGGATGGTCAAAGTAGCTTCTGCTACTCGGCCTCTCACTTCCTAGCCATGATACAGATACTTTGTAGCTTGTAAATCTGACAAGGTGATCAAATTAGATGTTGGGTGAGCGCCTTTCGCTGATCCGGTAAAAGTAAGACCCAAGCAACAACATAAGGCTTTAAGCACAAGATCAAGAATAAGGTTAATTTTATGGCATATTTTACGCTGTACAAGTGGCGTGCATCGAGGTATAACGGTATCGTATCACTGGGAAGGCCTCCGCTGTGGACGTGCTGCTGGAGCTTTTTCTCCGATATCCCCGAACTTTCCTTCCCAACGAAGCTACCACTCAAATTCGCCTCGAACCACCATCCAAGCTCTCCAGGCTACCGAAATGAAACCCCTCCCATTCCCATACCCTATCAACATCGGGACAGATATCGTCCACCTTCCACGAATCGCCGCCCTGCTCACCCGACGCGACGAGTCCCTGACACGCTTCACCGGCCGGATTCTCTGCACACAAGAACAAGACGACTTTCGGCGCCGCTTCCACAAGCTCTTCACACCTCAACCACCCAATATCAAACCACCAACTATCCAAAAGCCAGATGTCCAACCACCGGTTATCGAACCCGCAACCTCTTGCGCTCCGCCCATTAGCGCCGAAATGACGCGCTGGCTCGCAGGCCGCTTCGCTGCGAAAGAAGCCGCGCGCAAAGCTGCCCCAGAGGGGGCGGCGTCAATTGGATGGAAAGACGTTATGGTTCGCGTGCAGGAGAGGACACCGGGAAACACAAAACAGCCTAGTGACAGCCGCAGGCCGGAGATTGTGTATTTAGGGGACGAGGAGAGAGGAATTCCGGCGCGCATTGGGCAGCTTTCTATCTCGCATGATGGGGAGTATGTTGTTGCTACTGTTTTGGCAGCAGGATGAGTATCGAGTCCTGCGTTGAACTTGATATGATATAAAGCTGGGGGGGATTCTTGGACTATGTGCTTGCAGGAGACCAAGCGCGTTCTATATCGACTCGACCAATACTGCACTGGCGCCGGGCGCTAGTGTGCAGATGTTCTGGTCTGTCACGGCTGCATATTTCAATCACTGTGTCAGAAATATGATATGCTCCAAGCTCGTGAAATATTTTGATAGTCTACTACCGAGCGCTCAGAGATACCCGAATCCAGATCAGTGGCATCACTCACCAGAACTCCAATAACTGCTCCAAGTAGAGAACTGGGTCGGTCTAATTAGTCTCAAAAATCAGATCGGGATCTCAGATTATGAGTTCTGAACTGATACTTTGTAAAGTAAAAACATGTAAAGTCAATGGATGGACCCAGCCAGGTAGACCCCGCCAATAGCGGGACGGTTATTCTTATCGAGTCATATCGAGTTCTTCAGAAGCGATCTACGCCAACTTTCATCTGGTCTTCATTCGTTTACAGACAGCAAATAGAGGAAGTCTCACCGAGTAGATCTTAGATATAGAGGTGATTACAACTCCAGTCAAGTGTTCCTGCTGACCGCCCAACCTCTGAGGGATACTGACATCAACCAGGAGCTTGAACGGCGTCAGCCATGCCATTCTCTCATCACAGCCACTCGGGCCAATTCTGCCCAGGGCATGCCAAAGATTCGTTGGAAGATGTGATCCAAAAAGCCATCAGCAAGAAGATGCAGGTCTTCTGCTTGACGGAACATATGCCCCGCCACGAAGAGGACTTTTACCCTGAAGAGGTGAGCAGCCGATACCACACAAGTTCATAACCTTGCAATGCATTCAAAACATACAAGCCCCAAATATAAGCCCCGGAGTAATTCTAATATAATCTAGATCGAAGCTGGCCAAACAGAGGCCTGGCATGAAACCAACGAAGCTGCATACTGGGAAGAGGCCCAGCGCCTGCGCACAAAATACGCCTCGCAAATCCAGCTCATCATCGGCTTCGAGTGCGAATGGATCCGCCCCAAATCAAAAGAGCTCATCGACCGCTCTCTCGCGCGGTTTCCATTCGAATTCTTCATCGGCTCAGTGCACTACACCAAGACCGTGCCGATTGACTACGATCGACCCCTGTACGAAAAGGCGCGGGAGCTCGCAGGTGGGTCTGACGAGCTCTTGTACGAGGCGTACTTCGACGAGCAGCTGGATATGTTGCAGCAGTTAAAGCCTCTCGTTGTTGGGCACTTTGATCTGATTCGGCTGAAGAGCGATGACCCGGAACGCAGCTTCAAGACGTGGCCTGGGGTTTGGGCGAAGGTGCTGCGGAATTTGGACTTTGTGGCTTCTTACGGGGGCATTCTGGAGATCAATGGCGCCGCATTGAGGAAGGGGATGAGTGAGCCTTATCCTAAGGCTGAGATTTGCAAAGTTCGTTGTTCCGGAGGCATAAAGCTCTGACTCTACAGATTTGCTAACGACTTATAGGAGTTTATTGCGCGGGGAGGGGGTTTCTGTCTGTCGGATGACAGCCATGGCGTTGATCAGATCAGCCTGAACTTCCATCGCGTGCTGGAATTCTTAGACAGTACAGGGATCTCAACCCTACATTATCTACGCCTTGCAGAGCCATCGGAAAAATCTCCAGCGCCCGATTCTCGGTTTCCCCAGACACGGATTGCTATTATTTCTCTGGACGAGGTAAAGCAAATGGCTTTCTGGAAGACCGAATGACACACTTCAAGGTATAATGCGCAATGAATAGAGGTAGAACCAGATAAACCAGATAATAATAAGTGGCATAACCAATTCTGGACCTGTCTTATGGATGTGCAGATGGCTGGCTGTAGTGTTCCATTGTCGCCACCTGTAAGATCCATAGAGGTCGTCCCCCGCTTGAGACCCCGCGGAGGGGCAGACGGCCTGAGACGAGGCAGACACAACAAACCGACGATCAAATCAGCAAGCTGACTCCGGCCCCAGATCAGCACAGTTCGAGGGCCTGGTCTCAGTCTAATTGGAGTCAATTAATTTCGGTACCTCGAGATAGCGGCGGTGGATATCCCAATCAGCGCCCCGTCCAACGCCACGCTCCAGCGGATTGGATGCCTGCCTACACAGAGCAAACTCAAAGCCACCATACATAGCCTCCGCAAGCACAGTCAGATTCCGGCTTTTCCCATGATTTGCACAAGTACTGCGGCATAATTTGGGCGCGGCGTTGCTAGGAGCTTCCGTCCTGGGGACCCCCGCGTGGTAAGCTTCCTGTAGCTGTTGGCTGCCCCTCCCCCTTCCAAATTGCTTTCTGCTCAATGCCCTTGGATTGGGGCAGGATCGTCGTATGCAGTGATCCATTTATGGATCATGATGTAGCGGTGCCAGCCTATAGAAGTAAGGCACTTATTAGAGCCGTAAAATGTGAGCGCAAAGCTCGGAAGTCCATTACCTCGCGAGGCACGAATCCGGAACCCCCCCCACCAAAGCAGAAGTGGACAAATCTTCCTCGCCCCTCCGCTTCTCTTCCTTCTTCCGTCACTTCTACCAATTACCCAAATCATCAAACCCATCACTTTCATTCAAAATGGGGGTCACAATTGATAACATCCGCGATGGCAACGGCGCCGATTTCCCCAAGCCCGGTGATAACATCGAGATGCACTACCGTGGCTGCCTCTACGATGAGAAGGCTACGGACAAAATGGGCTCCCAGTAAGTGAAATCATCTCAGACAAGCTAGCTCTATTGAGTACCTTCCAAGAATCTTACATCTAATACACTGTTTTGTGAATAGGTTCGATAGCTCCTACGACCGTGGGGCTCCTCTGCCTTCTCCCATCGGTGTTGGCCGCCTCATCAAGGGTATGTTGACTATTCGAGCTCCCTGGCCACAAAAATTCGAATCAGACAAACCTCGATCTTCCAAAGAATCTGGTATTTCTCACACAGTCATCGATACAGGTTGGGACGAGGCCGTTCCTCAGATGAGCCTGGGCCAGAAGGCTAGGCTCACCATTACACCGTAAGTCCTCTCCTTGAAAAAAAGATAGATTGTGGCAATTGATTACTGACCTGGCATCTGATGACTAGTGACTACGGCTATGGTGCTCGGTATGTGAATTGTTGATATAAATATAGACCCTTTGATTCCCTCCGAAATCACGGCCAATGATTCTAGGCCTCTATTCGGAGAATACATGTATGTTTGAGATATTGTTTCTGACATCTTTCTAGTGGCTTCCCTCCCGTTATCCCCGGAAATGCTACTTTGGTCTTGTGAGTTTTGCTGGTCGTTCTTGGATTGGTGGATTCATACTAATAGATTTGTTTTTAGCGAGGTCGAGCTGATGAGCATCAACGGCAAGCGTCTCTAAACGCTTTCATACTCCCCTTTACTGAGATGCTCATTGAACGTTTCTTGGCTCTCCAAATGGGTGTCTCCCAAAAAAGGAGATAGCTTACTGCTCTCTCTTTCGGGAATTAGCAATCCATAAAATTACGAAATTTGACTTGTGGTCCGCCCCAAGCTCCATTCCGTTCTTTTTTCCTCTGTTACTATGAATTTGCCCATCTATTTTAGGGAATATAGCTTTCAAAAGCCGGATGCTGAAAATTTCTGAGTCAATTCTCTCAAGTACAACTCCTGCTTCGACTTCGGGCAACGTATGCGCAGTTAATTCGTAATCGCGGGCGCCTAGAATGATTCATTCTGCTAGTAGCACAGATAGATCCCTACCAGTTTACCAAAAATAAACGCAGCGTACCCAATTAGGAATGGTTGCGAGATGCGTGCCTCACTGGCGCATGATGGGCGCTAACTGCGATGTTGCTGCAGCAGCCCCTCATTTAGAGGCAAGAAAATAATCTGACCACGAGAAGCCTCGTCTCGTACTCATCTGAAGTGTACCTGTACTTGAATATGGATAGACTTCGGAAATGGCGCTCACGACGAAAATCAACCGTGATAGTTGCCCAGAAGGGACACAATAGCCTCGAAGACCCGCCGCCACGATACGAGACAGATCTATCGCCCCCGGCCGCAGATCCATCAGCATCCCACTACGGCATCAAGGTCCTACACGCAGATCCCTCTGCGGTAGTAGACATTTGCTTCATCCATGGGTTGACCGGAGACCGTGAAAAGACATGGACTGCCCACGGTCACTCTACACCATGGCCCCAGTCATTGTTGCCTTCTAGGCTGCCTGCGCGAATTCTTACGTATGGATATAATGCGCACATCACACAAAAGTCCGTCGCTTCATCCAATCGGCTCATCAATCATGCGCAAAACCTATTGACTGATCTTTCAGCGGATCGAGGGTTTGAAGGCGCAGTTGATCGACCCCTCATCTTTGTCGTGCACAGCCTCGGCGGGCTGGTTTGCAAAAAAGCAATTTTGCTGTCTCAGAATGCGGCTGAGCCCAAATCTCGATCCATATTCGATTGCCTCAAGGGCGTCGTGTTCATGGGGACTCCACATCGAGGTGCTTGGATGGCAGACTGGGCAAAGACGCCTGCCTCCGCTTTGGGATTAGTCAAATCTACGAATGTGATGCTGCTGGATATTCTGCAAAGAGACAATCAGCTCCTGGATTCGATCCAAGTCGATTTTCTCACCATGATTCGAAGGTTGAGAGAAAGTGGAAGACGCGTTGAGATCTCCTGCTTTTATGAGGAACTTCCATTCCCCGTCGTTGGGAAGATCGTGAACGAACAATCGGCCACTTTGGACGGATTCGATGCCGTCAGCATCTATGCAAACCATCGAGACATGGTCAGGTTTGCTTCGGATGAGGATCCCGGGTTCAGAAGAGTGTTATGGCAGCTCCATGACTGGACATCCCAAATATCGACCGGTGAGTTTTGAGATAAAGCAATCAATCAGCGTAAACTAGAAGCTAATACACCTTTTCGGCTCTAGTTCAAGCCAAACAGGAGACTGAAGTGTTTGTTCTTGATGCCGAGGACCGAGCATGTTTGGGAGACCTACAAACAACCAATCCGCGTTATGACAAAAGACGCATAGAGACCACCAGAGGACGTTTATATAAGGATTCCTATTGCTGGGTACTGAATGACGAGAAATTTAATCAATGGAGGGACCCCGGGAAAGGGGGCGAACTCCTCTGGATCAAAGGTGCCCCTGGAAGAGGCAAGACCATGTTACTCTGCGGAATCATTGATGAAATCTCCGATGCTGGCCAGTACTTAGTCTCCTATTTCTTTTGTCAAGAGACTGATTCACGCTTGAACAAAGCTACAAATATCCTGAGGGGGCTCATCTATATGCTCATTGACCAGAACCCAGCTCTGATTTCTCATGTCCGCGGAAGGTATGATGAATTGGGCAAGCAACTCTTCGAAGGTATCAACTCTTGGCATGCCTTGTCAAACATCTTCGTCGATATCTTGGACGAGCTTGACCACGTCCACAGCACAGTCTATTTGATAATTGATGCTCTCGACGAGTGTACAAATGGGTTGTTCGAGCTTCTAGAGTTGATCACTGAGAACGTCTCGAGGTTTCCGCACGTCAAATGGTTGCTCTCAAGCCGGATTTGGCCTGAGATCACAGAAAGGCTCCATTTGGTCCCTGATAAATCAAGAATAACTCTTGAGCTTGACGAAACTTCTGTCGCGGGTGCCGTGAAGACTTTCATCGACATCAAAGTTTCAGAATTAGCGAAGCTAAAGAATTATACCCAGCAGGTTTTCGACGCTGTGTACTCATGCCTCATATCCCATGCTCAAGGCACCTTTCTCTGGGTAGCGCTTGTTTGCGAGAGACTGGCCCGTGTGTCTAGGATGAGGACCATAGAAATGCTTACTGCATTTCCACCTGGACTCGATGCGCTATATAACAGAATGATGCAGCAGGTCCTTGAGCATGACGAGGCTCCACTCTGCAGGCAAATCCTTGAAGTCGCTTCACTTGTATATCGCCCTCTGACACTTCACGAATTGCCTACGTTCATTGACTTGCCTACTCATGTAAATGAAAACGACCATGGTTTGCTGGAAGAGATAATTGAATACTGTGGATCCTTTTTGACTATCTCTGAAAGCACTATTCTCTTCGTGCATAATTCTGCGAAGGACTACTTGCTTGAACACGCCCAATCCGACGTATTACCCACGGGTAAGGACCAGGGACACATTGCAATATTCCTGCGTTCCCTTGAAGTGATGGAAGTAACCCTCAAGCGTGACTTATACAACACTGGCTTTGCAGGATTGTCCATCCGTCCAATGGATGTGCCGAGGCCAACATCAGACCCGCTTGTGAAAGCCCGATACGCTTGTATGAATTGGACAGAGCACCTGTCGGACTATACTTCTCTAAGACCCTCGAGTGGAACTTCTGGAGATGAACTTTGGAGAACCAAGTTGAAATGTTTTATTGCAACCAAATTCCTCTATTGGTTGGAGGCTTTGAGTTACCTGGGAAGCATTTCCACGGGTTTGAACGGGATAATGTGCCTCGACCAAATATGCCAGGTAAGTATTATTATTATATATTCATCCATAATGTTTTCCCTTGGAAGGGGGTGAAGACGGAATAACAGAAACTGACTGTTTGTCTTCAGAGATCTCCCGATGAGAACCTGGCTTCACAGTTAGCCGATGCATCGCGTTTTATCCAATACCATCAACCAGCGATTGAGAGCAGTCCCCTGCAAGCTTACTGCTCATCTCTGCTATTTTCCCCAACGGGCAGTGAAGTCCAGAGAAATTTTCTCGGTGAAATGGCAGACTGGGTAACAATAAACCCCAGTATACAAACATGGAATCCCTGTGTCCAAACCTTGGAAGGACACAGCAGTCCTGTAATGTCTTTAGAATGGTCACCAGATCTAACTATGATCGCCTCCTTTTCATATGATAGCATCTGCATTTGGAATCCCCAAACCCGCCAATGCATTCTCAGACTCGAGGGCCATACTTCAGACATAAAAGCGACAGCTTGGTCGCCTGATGGAAAGCTTTTGGCATCTTCGTCTGTGGATTGTACCCTGCGAGTGTGGGACATGGAGACAGGCCAGTGCACCTTGATTTTGGAAAACCACAAGGACCCCATAAGCGCAATCTACTGGTCTTCCGATGGAAATCGCCTAGTTTCAGTTTCGGGCATTCGACATGTCTATGAGCCCGTTCCAATGGTCATCAAGACCTGGAGCCGAGAAACTGGACACTGTGAGTTAACACTCGAGGACGAAAAGCCCGATGCACATGTGTTTCCATCATATCCACGTGTTTTCCCGTCGTCCGACGGAAAATTTCTCATATCAACAACACCAGAAGGAGGCATGAGGACCTGGCAGCCACTCGGTCATAAAATGACCTTAGCTAGCACCAAACACAAAATGTCCAGATCACCCTGGATCTGGACCGATGATCGAAAGCACGTCATGTACTCGGTACCATCAACCGGTCATGTTAAGGTTTTGGATGCATCCACGTTACCGTATTCGACTATCTTCGAGCTTGAGCATCCTGATGTGAGGGTTATTGCACTCTCCCTGGATGAGCTATCACTGGCATCAGCGTCAGGTCGAAAGAGTTTGACAAGAATCAAAATCTGGAGTCTGATCACAGGCCAGTGTATTTCATCATTTGATGAGAAGTCCGTCGTGATCGACGCCATGATGTGGATGCCCGATGGAAGGCTCGTTGCATCTAGTGCCAACATAATTCAGATCTGGAACCCCTCAACTGGTCACTGTATGTCGACGCTGACAGGGCATTCGGGTGAAGTAACTTCTCTGGCCTTGCTGGGTGCATCGCAAATCGTGTCTTCAGGAGAAGATCATACCCTTAAGATCTGGGATGCTAGCTCATCCACCATGAATCAGGACCATGACTCGGGGATCTCGAATGTGATGTGGTCCCCAAGTGGAGCCATGATCGCGTCCTTTGGGCCAGATAGCAATATCGGAATATGGGACTCATCGACTGGGGGCCGGCTGTCAACAATGAAGCAACATAACGAACACGTCACATTCATGGCTTGGTCGCGGTCTGAAAAGCTTGCTTCGACATCAATGGACAGGAAGATCAGAATTTGGGATGCGTTAGCTGACCAACCCTTACTCATCATTGATGAAGGTTCACAGTTCACGACACCCCTATGTTGGTCTGTGGATGAAAGTCACCTCTTGTGTGGGTCGTATGATGACCATACCATGAAGTCCTGGGATACAGCCACCGGGGAATGCAAATCATCCTGCAAACTGGACAATCTCGGTCTTTATGTCTTTTGGTCTCCCGACGCATCCCAATTTGCATCAGTTTCAGGTGACAGCAGGATCATGATTCAGAATCCATACACAGGAGAATGCAGCTTGACTCTTGACGGATACAAAGATGCAGGGCCGTGTGGTCTCATCACTCCAGCAGTACAGCTGGCTTGGTCTAGCGACGGGACGCAGCTCGTATCAGTTCGTGCCAAAACAATCAGAGTCTGGGATCTTGTGACTGGCAAGTGTACTTTCAGTAAAGAAATGGACCTGTATCCTGGAAATCTTCATTTCCCCGGTGCTCTTCCATATGACGAACCAGCGGTGAACTATCTAAATAGTAGCATTGGCGGGCTCGAGATACAGCCAAGCATCGCTGGTCCCGTCGATATGAAGAGTTGTGCTTCCGCTCACAGACCAAGCGGACTTGGGTTCAGTCCGAGCTTTGACTGGATTACTTATGAGGGCGTGAATATTATCCGCCTGCCGCAAGAGTATAGACCGACTTCTGCAAGTGGAACCATGATATCTGGAGCGACTGTGGTGATCGGAAGTGTAACGGGACGGGTGTTGATTTTGAAATTTGACAAGGATCGTCTCATGAGGGCTCATGCAGGTCGATAGGCATGTCAGATGAATGCCAACGGCTCCTATGATTTACGGATTATGATGATTTAGGATTCACCCGAATCTAACATCTATGTTAGCTTAGAAGAAAGGAATCAAGTTGTCTCACGTGTGTTTGTATATTGTTGCATAACGCTCTATTATCCTGGATAAATTGGGTAGCCAATTGCAACATCAAGATGTTGACTCATTGAGTCCATGTCATACATACATACATACAAGGTCCAGAGCAACCTATGCTATAAGTCCATGGCCATAGCCATCGAGTAACTCGGATTGTTTGGGGAATGAGGCAGAAAGAGAAAAAGAAAACACCAAGTCGCTCATGACAAAAGACAAGAGATCTCAGCAGGGAAGAAAAAGCTAGAAAATGAGAAATTCAGTCCGTGAACGACACGATCCACATACGCACAAAAAAAAAAAACCTCTATTATGTACGCTTACAGCCGCAACCTTGAATGGAAAGTTTCATCACTTAATCATCCTTTGCTCGCTCCCTCGACCTAGAGCCAGCGCCAAATGCAGTCGCCCGAGACCTGCTCGCAGCGGTAGAAGATGCTGGAACCTGGTATGCTGAGGAAGAGGATGATGAGTCTTGGAATTCAGACCGTCGGATGGTCTCTCTAGAGTTACTGGGTGATCGCCGACCCTCTGAAGTATCGTCCATCTCGATCAGATCACCAATCCCCCCAGAGGCCGACGCTGCGACCCCGGCTAGTGGCTTGTTGATTCGCAGAACCTTGTTGTAGCTCGCTGATGCCGACCTTCGCGCGAGTCGCAACTTTGCGGACCCAGCCCTCCAGGGCACCACCGATGTTTTCAAGGCTGGTAGAGGCATTAGAGGCTGCCGGAGACCCTGACTCGAATGAAGCCTTTCGTAGAGGGTCTGGTTGAGGTGGCGGGGCGAGGTGTGGCATATGCTGTGCGAAAAACTTTGTGAGACCGTCAAGAGCCGGCCCAGGTCCCGTAGCCTCGCGATCAAGAGTACCAACACCAGTTCCAGAAAGATTGATACTGCTGCGCTGGCGACGATGGAGAGGGCGAGGGTTTCTAGAGTCTTTCGGGTTCGCTTGACTGTTACGAGGCCGGGTGCGAGGAAGGGTATCCTGGAATGAGTCAAGATCTGGAGATCCGTCTGGCGATGGAGATCTCGTTGCATCTGGGGAAAAGACAGAAGGAGGTCCAGACTCGGAATGGGACACTGATTTCCTGCGTGATCGTGGGAAGAACCCCAAAGCTCTTCGTGGGACGCGTCCAATCTGAACTGGCGCCGGAAATCCGTCGACTTGCACCCATGATTCGTGTTTCCAGACCCGATTGGCCTCGGCTTCCGTTGAATCCAAGCTCGATTGCTCTGTTGACGGGGCTTCCACATCTGGAGTGATAGAGCTGCCAGATGCGTCCTCAGTATCAGGACCCAACAGGTCCAATGGCTCGGTGGTCCGTATTGGTCGTCCTTTCACGCTGCACGCGTCAACCGGCAAAAGAACCGTCTTCCTGCTCTGAATGCTGTCACTTGGCCAGAACCCGTTGGCTTTTCGAAACACAGCAACTTGACACCCGTATTTGATAGTAACTCCGGTGATGCTGTCCGATGGTTGAACTTGATGAACATAAGCAAGGGCGTCCTCGTCCTGTTCAGGATCAGGCGCCTGATCAAAATAATCCTCTGAGTCGCGTCTTTTGTGTCGTATGTTGCGTCCGGATATCAAATCTGAATCTGCAAGTAAAAGCGCCTCTCTCTTCTTGGCTTGCACAAGCGCCTGTCGTTCCTCCTTGGTTCCAGTTCCAATTTCCGGGGAGGCGGGCCCGGATGGACCCCACGTTGGTGTTGAACGTGGCGTACTCTTGATATATACGTCCGATCGTGATGGTTTCCTTCGCGCGTGCGATTTCGTCCCATTGTTGAGAGCGTTTCGCCCGTTATCGCTCCCCAACACCGATGACGCAAGGCTCTGGATGGAAGACCAGGACGAATCCAGGAAGTCGGTAGCGCCCCGCGATGAAGATGTCTTCGATGTCCCATTTGATCCAAAAAAACTGTTCTCATTGCGGCTCCGACGTTCTGACTGTGTGACTCGCGAAGGATGTTTCAGAGGCATCGGCGACGTCCCTCGGGATGAAAGCGGCGAGGGGGTGGCACCGCGAGAGCGAACGGTTCCATCCAGGAGATTTGCAGATGAACCTGTAGTCAATGGCGGCGGTTCTGCGGAGGAATTATTGTTGCTCTGCCGGGAGTCATCCTCGTCGTCTTCCAGAAAGGACACCAATCGGCGAGGGCGCGACCGCATGGAGGTGGAGGCGGAGCTTGCGCTGACGGAGTTGGGGGTCAAGGACGCATTGGCGAAGCTAGTTTGGAAACTCATTCCTGTGAATTAGGTCCGTTAAGACGCTCTTACGAGGACGTTGAGGTAAAAGTCCCCTTCGCAAGCATAGGTGTTGTCCTAGGCGCTAGTTGCCATCCGCCGTCTCCTAGGAGAGACCCATCCGTCATTTACCAAATTCGCATGCGTACCTTCCAAAGGTAAAGCTCGGATAGAGTGTTGACCAGGAAAATACCGCCGAAATGAACTCAATGCTATGCCGACGAGGCTTGAAAGGCGGGGGAGATACTCGAGGGAGGTACAACGCGATAGGAGGTACGATGCGATGGGAGAAGTGGTGGAAGCGACGATAACGACCCGCAGGCCACAGCGGCAGATAGCTCCGGCAGAGAAATACAGAGATTCCAGGCGGCAATGAAACCCAGTGACTTCGGGGTCTTCGGGGGAGGGACAAGGAGGTAGGAGTGTCGAAAAGCCACCGTAATGCAGGAGTGGGTTTCGGGAGGCGCTCTGGGATGATCGGCAGCTGACTTGGCCTAAGTAGTAGTTACATGACGTTGCCTGGCACTTCCCGCGACTTGGCGGGTACTGGTACTTGCCCGCGTCACCCTACTTAAACAGACGGTTGGAAAGCAAAGATATTTTATTATTTAGTTGCATCTTGATCGCGTATATTCTACATTAGATCAAGGGAAATACCATCTATGGAAGTAAGAATCACGGCCCTCAAAAAAATTTAAAACATCCTGTTTCAGCCGGTGGGGAGCCAAGAGTCTTCCAAATCCCGATAAAATCACTTCCTGCGCGCTGCGTTGTGAATGTTCTGAAGAGAAAATAAACAAGAAATACCAGTCCTCTAGTAAAACATCGTACATTCATCACTCTGGGGACTCAGCCCTTGCGGAATAGGTCTCGGGGGTCTCAGACTCGGTGCGCCACTCTCTTTCATCCTCGCCGGACCGACTGGTCGCTCTTGACCGCGGAGCGGGCTCTGGGTCAAAGAGCCCGTCAATCTTGCAGCTTTTGCTGTCCATGGAGTCTTTCGACTGCTTGGGAGCAAAGTCGACCAGGCGGAGCGGGCGCTGGACATGGGTTGAGCTCATTTCATGCATATTAACGCCTTTGCGTTGCATCTCCTCGATACCCTCGCATGTGCAATCATGAATAGCTGAGCGGCAAGCTTCTTTGATGAAACTGCCAGAGCACCCTTGCGTTTTTCGAATCAATCGTTTCATCATAACATCTCTCTCTGTCATCTGGGCCAGCTCTTCTTCATCTTCCTCAAGCTCCAGATCCTCCCAGTCGACTCGGCGACCCTTGAGGAAGAGCTTGAACAGCTTGTATCGACCTTTGGCATCTGGAAGAGAGATCTCGAATTGCTTGGGCATACGACGGTGCATAGCAGCATCCATAACATACGGGCGGTTGGTGGCACCAAGGACGACAATGCGTTGCGGCTCGCCGGCTTCATTGGACGAGTCCAACCCCTGCCAGTGTGTCATGAATTCGGCCTTCACCATACCGCTCGCCTCGTGTTCACCGCCGCTCATTCTGTTACCAAGAATAGCATCAATCTCATCAATGAACACGATGCAAGGTTGAACCTTGCGTGCGAGAGTAAAGACTGCCTTGACAAGCTTGTTCGAGTCACCGTACCATTTCTCGGTCAGGGTGGAGATATTCAAGTTGATGAATGAAGCACCGCTTTCTGCGGCCAGCGCCTTTGCGATTGTAGTCTTTCCGCAGCCAGGAGGACCCTTCAAGAGGGCGCCAGACGGAGCGCCCCCAAGCGTTGAGTCTGCTGAGGCAAACAGTTTCGGGTAGATCAACGGCCAGATCACAGACCATTTGAGTTGTTGTAGAGTATCATCAAGACCGGCGATATCCGCCCAGCGAACATTAATGTCTCTTGGGTCGATGAGCTCTTGGGCAATGACTTGCTCGTATTGATTGAGGACGAGCTCGCTCTTGGTGGCTCCGTCCTTTGATTCCTCGCCGCCGTATAATCTCCTCAGAATAGCCTGGGATTTCTGCCGTTGCTCTTCCTTTTTCTGGCTCTCGGCATCGGGAGGCATGAGATGATTGAGGACAAGTCTGACTCCACCGTATGCCACAACGCCCTGGTGAGGGTATTAGAGTCTTACATTCTTCGCAATGCGCGGGCACCACGAGGCCTCGGTCCATCTCTCCGGGCGGTGGGCACTCACCGTAGCAATCATCATCCCCACCTCCTGGAAGAAGCGCATCCAGGGGATGCCTCCTCGGTCGCCTTGAGGAGACATGGTAGGCAAGAGTGTTGGAAAACGAAACAGGCGACGTGACCAACAGAAGATCTGATCAAAAGCCGGCCCGGAGAGAACAGGTCTGCTCCGGAGATGAATCGGGCTGTGGAGCGGGCGATCGGCGGAATGTCACATGTTACTCCAAGGCGGAGACTTGTTGACGGTTCGCGCGGGAACGCGTCTTGCGATCACATCCCCACTCCAGAATTACCCCAGTCTCGCACCATGCCCAAACGAAAAGCCCCGACAAAGGCAAACATATCCGGCCTTGTTGGCTCGGATGATGAAGATCTAATGCAAATGGACTCAACTGCAGTCCCGCCGCAGGAGTCGCGCGACGAGCCTCCCGCGAAGAAACGAAGAGGTAGACCGCGTACCTCAAATGATACCGCCGACGCGAAATCAACTCAGACAAAAAAACGAGAATCATCGGCTACCGCTCAGGGGACTGCTGCAGCCAAGAGGCCTGGTCGACGGGGTCGTCCTCGAGGCAGCAGTCGTACCTCTGAAACCGACGATACAAATGCGCAGGCCCCTGTAACACAAGAGCCCAAGGACTCGTATGAGCAAGAAAACGAGGATCCCCAAGCAGCGCCTGCTGCAAAAGCTACTCGCGCAACAAATTCCGCGAAATTAGTACCGGCCGCAACTCGTCGTGGTGGACGTGCGCCGAACGCAGCAAAAACACTCGAGGCGGAAGATGAATTTCAATATACACCGACATCTGCCCGCCAGTTCGCGAATGAGCATCAAGCAAAAAATGCGCGTGATGCCAGCCTCGCCCCAGTGGGGCCCAACGACGAAAAAATGACAAGGAAACCATTACAGACGAAGTAGATGAGTCTGTGTTTCCAGACGAGGCAACAGAATCAGCCCCATTCCCAGAGACGACCAATCAAGTTGTGAGAAATGTACGTGCTCGTGTCAACTCACTACGAATTGGCCAGGAATTGTCTCCGAACAAACGCAAGTCGGGGATTGGAATCGACAACGGGGACCCGGATCTAAGGCGTAGAATTGGTGAACTGACCAAGAAACATGATGCACTTGAATCCAAGTATCGCAATCTCCGTGAAATTGGAATAGTAGAGGCCAACTCAAATATGGATAAACTACGCAAACAATGCAATACTATTACAGCTGGTATGTCCTTTCGTCTGAATGATTTGTGGTGGGAACATCGGACTAATACTACTTCTAGCGTCTAATGACCTAGTGGCTTCTCTCAAAGCCGAACTTGAAGCCCAGCGCTCTCTTGGACAGCAAAGCCGGGAGCTCCAACGGCAGGTGAAAGAGCAAGACAGTGAGATGGCTCGCCTGAAAGCAGAAGCACACGAATCACGCTCTCAACTTGCTGCAGCCCAAACTGAGATCAAAAACCTGCAGACTAAGCTTGCCGCGGCCAGAAACACGGCTGCGACCCTTGAAAGTGCCGTCAAAGCTTCTGGCAGCGCCGCCAAGGCGGTGCAGCGAATCGCGCAACCGCGGCCGCTAATGCCGAAGCAGCGCAGGCAGCCCAGATTGCCCAATTGAAGGAAGACCTTTTCAGTGATCTGACTGGACTGATTGTACGAGATGTTAAGATGCGAGAGTCTGATTACCTGTTTGATTGCATACAGACTGGTATTAACGGCAGTAAGTCTCTGGGTGTCCCTTCTCTTGTATTCTTCGCTCTAATCATCTATAGGCCTCCACTTCAAGTTGGTGGTTCCCAAAGAGTCGGGTGCGGAATTCCACTCTGCAGAGTTCCAGTACTTGCCGCTCCTGGACGAGAACAGAGACCGTGACTTGTTCCATGTCTTACCTGAGTTCTTGAGGGTAGATATAACCTTCGCACGGCAGCAGACATCCAAATTCTATACGCGGGTCATCGATGCGTTGACTAAACGACGGATCAGTTCGACGTCCTAATTACCCTACAAATGTACATAGTAGTAATATGCGTGGACCTACAAAGCCAATCTATCGGTGTTTCCATACTCTAAGTCCGTAGGCTACTATAGTAGACCCAATATTTACAGTCGGTAGACGATCTGCGACGCGCCGTGTTTCGTGCACAATTGGGGCACTGTGATTGGCGCTTCACCGCCCGCAGGGTTCCCCGATGCGTGTCAAGAAAAGTGTCGAGATGACCTCCTTTTCAGTCTACCTTTGTTTTTGTTTCCTCCTTCTCACTAGGGGCCCAATTACTTTCTTTTAATCAAATACAGGCTGCCCCCTGTGAGAGAAGAGGATCATGGCCCGTCTAGGCCGCGTCGGGTTTGTGACCCTCGCGGTGGTCTTCCACCTGATCTATACATATTCGATCTTCGACATCTACTTCGTGAGCCCGATCGTGAGTGGCATGCGCTCCTATGGTGTCGACCGATCCGATGGCTCCGCTGCTCCCCGCTCAACGTCTTGTCCTTTTCGTCGCCGATGGCCTCCGTGCTGACAAGGCCTTTCAATCCTTCCCTGATCCCTCCCCCGAGAATCCCGCCGAACAAAGCGACGAACCTATTCGCCTGGCTCCGTTTATTCGCTCCAAGGTCCTCGAGGAAGGGACGTTTGGTGTGTCGCATACCCGGGTCCCCACTGAGTCTCGGCCCGGTCATGTCGCCCTGATTGCGGGTCTGTACGAGGACGTGTCAGCTGTGACGACGGGCTGGAAGATGAACCCGGTGAACTTTGATAGTGTCTTCAACCAGAGCCGGCATACTTGGAGCTGGGGCAGTCCTGACATTCTGCCCATGTTCAAGGAGGGCGCAGTTCCGGGTCGAGTCGATGCAGATACATACGGGGAAGAGTTCGAGGATTTCAGCGTGGACGCGACGCATTTGGATACCTGGGTGTTTGACAAGGTACATGGCCTTTTTGAGTCGGCTAAGACTGACCCTGAGCTTGATCAGAAATTGCGCGAAGATAAGCTCGTTTTCTTCTTGCATTTGCTAGGGTTGGATACTACGGGTCATGGGTACCGTCCGTTTTCGAAAGAATACTTGCACAACATTAAGGTTGTAGATCGCGGAATTGAGTCTGTTACCAAGCTTGTGCAGGAATTTTATGCAGATGACAAAACTGCATTCGTTTTCACTGCAGACCATGGTATGAATGACTTCGGCAGCCACGGTGACGGTCACCCGGATAACACGCGTACCCCTCTGGTCGTGTGGGGCTCAGGTGTTGCTAAACCTCAGATCAGCAAGGCGGGAGATGCTCCTGGACATGAGGACGGGTTCTCGTCAGACTGGGGATTCGACCATGTGCAACGGAATGATGTAGCGCAGGCAGACGTTGCCGCGCTCATGGCCTATCTGATCGGTGTTGACTATCCTGTGAACTCTGTTGGTCAATTACCACTGAATTACATAGAAGGAAGCCCTAAGGAGAAGGCCTCTGCTGCCTTAGCGAATGCACGGGGTGTTCTCGAAATGTACCGTGTTAAGGAGGAGCAGAAACGAGCTGCAGTACTGCGCTATATGCCTTTCGAACCTCTCTCTGGCGATGGAGAGATGTCTATCGAGGGACGTTTTGCCAACCTTGAGGCGCTTATCTCCAATGGCGAATACGAAGAGTCTATTTCTCTCTCGCAGGACCTCTTAGTGCGTGGCCTCGAGGGCTTGCGTTACCTGCAGACTTATGATTGGTTATTCCTGCGAAACATTGTCACTCTCGGGTATCTGGGCTGGATCGCCTATGCACTAACAACTGTGATTGACCTGCATGTACTGCACGGAACTTCGGACTCCCATCGAACAGTTGCCAGTACCTCGTTCTTCTCTTCCGTCTTGATTGCTCTGTACTCTGTTTTCTTTTACCAGGGCTCATCATGGCGCTACTACTTATATGGTTTTTTCCCTGTCTTTTTCTGGGAGGAAGTCTTTGCCCGGCGTAAGGCTCTTGCTGCTGGTCGCGCAATCATCCTTGGCCACGTCCACTCATTCGGTGGCTACGTGAGCTTTGGCGTACAGGTGATTGTCTTTATTGGTGTGCTCGAAGCACTTGTACGTTTGCCTCGCTCTGGATATTGCTCGAAGTTGTCTAATTATTTGGCAGGTCCAATCTTACTTTCATCGTGAGATTTTTAGCGTTGGCTTTGGACTTGCAGCCTTTTGGCCTTCGTCCTATGGGTTTGGATTTGTTCGCCGCAACGCCCTTTTGACTGTCACATGGGCCATTGGATGCTCCCTTATGAGCACCTTTACTCTTCTTCCAGTCACTAAGATGGAAGATGTCAACACATTGTGTGTATTTCCACTGGACTTGAAATACAGTGGCTAACTTGCTCATTCAGGACGTACGGCGGACTTCTAATGTTCTTCACCGGTCTGTTGTACCTGCTTTTCGAGGACAATATCCTTGGCAAAAGCACCACAGCCTCTAAGAACCCCGCGGCTATCAGCACCGTGGGGTCGCGCATCATCATGGGCACTCAGGTAAGCTATGCAGATCTCGTTACCATGCATGGGTACTAACTCATTGCAGGTTGGGATGGTTCTTCTCGCTTTGGTCGTCACTAGATCGAGCGTGTCATTCCTCCAAGCGCGCCAAGGTGTGCCCTTCGGCAATCAGATCGTTGGCTGGACTGTCCTTGGTATGTTTTATCGTTGCTGTTACTTAACAACATGCAGCCTAATATTGATCTAGCTTCCTCTCTTGCGCTCCCATTCTTCCACCGACTGTACCCCAATAGCCACTACCTCCACCGCCTCATGGTCATCTTCTTAACCTTCTCCCCGACCTTCATCATTCTCACCATTTCCTGGGAGGGACTATTCTACTTTGCATTCTGCATGACTCTTGTCACATGGGTTCGCCTTGAGCATGCCATCTACGTCCACATGGCCGGAGTCTACGCCAAATCATCGCCAACGAACAACGGATCGATTGAAAAACCAGCGCCAAGCGCCACTGCCAAAGTCGACGGCGAAACATACAAATACCGTGCTCTGACCGTTTCTGATGCACGAGTGGCACTGTTCTTTTTCTTCCTGCTACAGTCCGCCTTCTTCAGCACGGGCAATATAGCATCCATCTCAACATTCTCTTTGGAAAGCGTCCGTCGCCTCATCCCTGTTTTCAACCCTTTTGCCCAGTCAGCACTCCTCCTCTTCCAAATTTTAATTCCCTTCACTATAATCAGCGCCAACCTCGGCATCCTTAACCGTCGTCTCGAGGTTGCATCCAGCGCCCTGTTCATGGTCGTAATGTCCATCTCGGACGTGATGACCCTGAACTTTTTCTGCATGGTGCGCGACGAGGGATCATGGCTGGACATCGGAATGACCATCAGCCACTATTGCATTGCCAGTCTCATGTGCACATTTGTTGCCGGTTTGGAGTTTCTCAGCGAGCAATTCGTTAGCGGAGTCGACTTCGGCTCTGCAGCTACCGCTATTGTGGATGCTGTAAGCGACGCTGTCGATTCAAGCGTTGAGACCGCTAAGGCCTCAAAGCCCTTTGACGGCGAGAAAAAGGGCAAGGAGACGCAGTAATACATGATTTTAATTTGCATACATGTACTTTACCCACTTGGCTGCTTCGGCCATTTCTTGTTCATATAGAACGACATTTGGTGATGAACCTGTATGAATTCAAGTTTTAGACGTGATTTTACGGCGGTATCGACCTGCATACTTGATGATTCGTGTTGGTTCCTACCATGACGAGCATGTACTTTCGAATTTGTTGTTTGTGATGATGTTTGTGTGCTATACTGACAACGCCGTTGATGGGGTGACCGTCTGCTTCTATAGAGCAGGGAAATACGATTGCGGCACAGCATCGATACAGATGTATCTTTCGGAGATCGGAAGGTACAATCTCCGAATCTCCGAGTCCATAGACAAAATATCGCCAACGTTTCGTATCGAATCAATTATGACCTCTGAACGATAAGAAACAACATATGTAGCCAATTGGTCCATTGACAGAACTCCGACTCGCACTCGCAAATCGAAACATAGACTTTCTAACCGAGGGCTCAAAGCTCAAGTGCTAGTATCACAAGACAAAGGTCAAGTTCGTAATCCTTCAATGTCAGGTTGGAGCTGATTGATACCCTTGTCAATGACAGCACATCGTTCACCAATGAAGTCGAGCTATACCCTTGAAGTACAGGAAGGTTTGCTAGTTCTTTTATTAGGAGACCCGAGCCCCCTGTTTTCCCGGGTTCGAATATTACTCTCTTCCTTTGCGATATTGGATGATTGTGTTCAAATTTTCTCGAATGAGGGGGCAACCCGTATAGCCAACCGTGTCGAAGTTCATTAAAGTGTAATTCTCGACTGAGAACTGGAATTGGTTCAACGTATACTATCGCTGTTGGGTGCTCAAAATACTAGAAGAGGTGTATGGAACCCCTATTGCCAAGCTGAAGAGCATTAGGTATGTCTCAGTTTACCTGTCAGGTGTATATTAGGTCTAAGCTTGAAGCGGCCAAGCTGTCTTCGAGTCTACACGGTCATGCTGATAATCTGATGTCAGTGCACTCCGCCTCACAAGGCCCAAGCTGAAACATCCGAATAGATCAAATCTCATGATCTGCAACCGTATCACATCGTTCATTCCATCTAATGGTACCGGATCTCCCAGGTGGGGCCCGAATGGGCTAGAGCACGCGAGCTAAGGTAGGTGGCAGATCTGGACCGGCGAACGGGCCGGAGTATGACAAACAAAAAGATAGTTCGTTTTTTTTTTCTCGACAAGAATTAGTCGAAAGCATGAAATGTCAAACTCAAAGCCCAAAACTCAAATATAGCAAGGTGCCTGGCAGAACTTGAAGTGTGGACGGAGACAAGCCACATTGCAAAGTGCGGGCTCTGATTGGCTATCGGTGGACCCGCATGTGCAGAGTTGCCGAGGCATCACAAGCCTTTTTGCTGAGGCTTCACGCCTGATTAGTATTCGCGACTCGCAACAGGCTGGCTTGTCGCGTTTCATTTTCGTCGACCCTGTGATCTTTGAAGTTCCTCCCCGCAGTCCTCCCCAGTTTGTCCCCGCAAATTGCAATCGGGATAATCGGGGTCTAAATGCGGGAGTTTCGAGTTGATAGTGGAGAAACTGGACAGTCCCACCAAACCACTGGCGGCATAAAAGACTTATACGAATGGAAGAAATTAGGAGTACGTAATAGAATAAATTAATTTAGAAGAAATGCACCTTGCATAAAGCTAAGGACAAAAAAATTCCCACGAGGCGAAAGCCCGCCAATATCTCACGAAGTTCGTACATTCAAGCCTCCCGAACACCACGTACGTCTGTTGGCGCATACGCACGCCCCCACACCCCCGATACATTGACCAAATCAGCTGCGAGCCACTCCTTCATCTTGCAATCCCTGGCTCCCCCGCCTTCTAAGCCTATCCGTGACTTCCCGCGTGGCGGTCTGGATTGGAGAGCCGACTGGGGGCGGAGCTTGGATCGCCTGTACATCTACCTCGCGCACTACTGCGCTGCACGACTATAGTTCTACTAGTATTTAGATGGGCGCGCACAGGTACTACTGAAGCAATAGGTCATGCCACTAGAAGCATCGAATTGTACGACGATTGGAGCGCGTAACCTTTTCCACAGCGCAAGGCGGCTCTCCACGGGTATTTCCACGGCGCGGGTTAGTGGAGGCGGGCTGCTCCAAAAAGGTATTTCCGCCGTGCCTGGTTCAGAATTTGAACCCACCCATAGACAAGACACGAGGACCCCCGTGGGATCTGGTTTTGCTCAAGGCCCTGGTCGGTCCAAGTAGCCACATGGAAGCCCATGACTTGGGGATTCTCCGCATTAATATGCGCCCTAACATCCTACTCGACCGTTCGAGCAGGAACTCGCCGGAGCCTCTTCATTTCTGGTTTTCGGTCTCCCTTTCCCCTCTCTGTCGATCCTCCCCCAAACCGCATCGAACCGGACTTTGTACCCAGGAGGCTGGAGGCTGGAGGCTGGAACCGTTGTTAGCCTAACGTCTAGAAGTGCCGATGTGCATGATCCTCGTAAGCCATGAGAATAGCGGGTGACTTGTAGACTTTGTGGATAACTACTAGCGATGATCTACTTGGCTTAGCCCGCGCTAGTGTCTGAAGACCAAATTGATCGGGGAGAGAGAGTGGAGCGCGTTGAAAAGACGATGCGACAGTAGAGTAGGGGGGTTTGCGACGTGGCGAAAAGAGGAATCGGAAGGGAGGGACAGGTGAAATTGGCCAAATCATGTCGAGCAAGGGAAGGTGCAAAGCACAATGAATATCGATAAGGGAAGGCGATCCTTAACGGGCGCTCCATTAGAGGGCGCATCCCACCTGGTCACAGCGACGGTGATCCCCACAAAGGTGACCTCAATCCACTATTGCCACATCCTGGTCTCTCTCTCTTTCCCTCCTCCATCTTTGATATTTCCATTCTCTTTTCTCTCCCTCCGGTTCCTTTTCTTACCTTTCCCCCCGGATCGCCTGGCCTGTGCCTAATCATACACGGACCCCGGAATTGCCCTGCACCTCCATACACCGATTTCGATTTGATCCCTGGCTCCTTATATTATTCCTGTGCTCCCCGTCCTTCACGCCCTCGCCCCCCCCCTCCCTTGAACCCTCCTCACTGCCCCGTGTGTCTGCTCGAGGGCTCTGAATGGGGTTGATCCGGCTATGAGTGCTACGATCGAATCCCACGCCGAACCCGCCGGCGGCAGTCCTGCGCCCAGTGCTACCGGCTCGACTGGCACCTCCGGCATCACAGTGCGCAATGGCCCTGGAGGCCAACCACTTAGCTTCAGAAGGTAAGTGAGCTGTTGATACCATTTAAATCTCCAAATGAGCTTTCCCCGGAGTATCTGGGTGCGCAAGTGTGGGGACGAGTAATCCAGAAGGGCTGGTTGCGCGGGGGTCGTCAGGATAGAGAAAGGCGAAGTAACGCGGCAGGAATTTTCACTTGCGCCCAGAATGGTAAAATTTGGATCCTTATAGATGGTTGCTGATGCATTTTATCTTATCTTAGACAACGTGCATCACGCGCGTGCGAGGTACGCTTTTATGTTCGATTCTAGCCCTGGCAGACGCGATCTGGCAGGGAGAGCCGAGGCTGCTGTGTGCCGCGGTCCCCTCCTTATCGCGATGCTCCGCGGTCGCCCCAGTATTGCCCACCCCCATTGCACCCCATCAACTAACATATGCTTTTGCTGGCCTGCAGACCTGTCATGCTCGAAAGGTACGTTGCATCTTGCTGTTTAAAAAAACCTATGAAATTTCATATCTCTTCGTCTTGTGACTGTGCTAACCTTGTACTGGTTCCAGGTTCGTTGCGACGCCGCCAGCCTAGGAGTCCCCTGCACCAACTGCGTGGCCTTCTCCATCGAATGCAAAATTCCCTCCCCGAAAAGAAAGAAGAACTCTTCGAAGTCCAAGGAAGATGCTCGCTATGGTGATAGCCCGCCGCCTCAATCCGCCTCCTCACTAGTCGACGCTGCCGTTGCCCAGTTCCGTCCAAACAATGTAGAGGATTCGGACCAAGGGACAGTCCCCCCGACAACCGGCTTCCATCGCCGGAATCTGATCCGAAGGATGATACGTTTGGATACCGACCGAACAAGATGTCTGCCGAAGGGATGCCCAGTACCTCCTTGTCCGAAGCCGATGCTGCTCAGCAAGCCTCCGTCGACAATGCTTACGCTCAGTTCATGAAGCCCAAGTTTGCTCGTGCACCCATCAAAGAAGCAGGCCGTGTCGCATATTTAGGAGAATCGTCAAATCTATCTCTGCTGGTCCAAGACCGCCATGGAACTAGCGACGTCGTGCATTACCCGCTGCCGCCGAATATCCGAGGATCGCGTGCGCGACTCACGGACTTGGATAACTTGGAGATCGAGATATTGCACCAACGCGGCGCATTCCTTTTGCCACCGAAGCCCCTGTGTGATGAGCTCGTCGAAGCTTACTTCAAATGGGTTGCCCCAGTGGTTCCGATTATCAACCGCAGTCGGTTCATGCGACACTACCGAGACCCAAAGAATCCGCCTTCGTTATTACTTCTACAGGCAATCCTGCTGGCTGGCTCCAGGGTGTGCACAAACCCCCCAGCTGATGGATGCGAATGGATCGACCACGCCTGCGGCCATGACATTCTATAAGCGTGCCAAGGCGCTGTACGATGCCAATTACGAAGACGACCGCGTTACTATTGTGCAGGCCTTGGTATTGCTGGGGTGGTACTGGGAAGGACCCGAGGATGTCACAAAGAACGTTTTCTACTGGACTCGTGTGGCGATGGTTGTTGCTCAGGGTTCAGGAATGCATCGTAGCGTGGAGGCGTCGCAGCTCAGCAAGCCTGATAAGAGACTTTGGAAGCGAATTTGGTGGACACTCTTCACCCGAGACCGCTCCGTTGCGGTGGCTTTGGGCCGACCGATTGGAATCAACACTGACGACTCTGACGTTGAGATGGTGACTGAGGACGATTTCATCGAAGATGAACTTGACATGGTCGCTGAATACCCGCCAGATCCTGTCCACACACAATTCTTTTTGCAGTATGTGAAGCTCTGTGAGATCATGGGTCTGGTCCTCTCGCAACAATATTCCGTGGCTTCGAAGTCTCGACGCATGAATGCGATGGATCTTACCCACTCCGATATGGCCTTGGCCGATTGGCTTCAAAACTGCCCCAAGGAGGTTTGCTGGCAACGATCTTGCCACCGTTTCTGGGCTGCTCTTCTTCACTCAAACTACTAGTAAGTTGTCGTCATTTGGGTCCAAGACGGTCAATAGTTAACTCGCTTGTAGTACTACGCTCTGTCTCCTGCATAGAGCCCATATGCCTCCTGCTTCCTCAGCCCCCAACACTTACCGAGTAGAAGAGATGGCCTATCCTTCGCGTACCATTGCCTTCCAAGCAGCAGGAATGATGACTTCGATCGTCGAGAATCTTCAAGCCCACAATGAGCTCCGATACACTCCTGCGTTCATGTACGTCCAACATCCAATCCCATTCAAATAAGTGCTGACCATTTCATCTACAGTGTCTACAGCTTGTTCTCAGCTCTGATCATGCACGTGTACCAGATGCGTTCTTCGGTTCCCTCAATTGTTGCGACCTGCCAAGAACGTATCAACGTGTGTATGGCAGCCTTGAAGGATGTCTCTAAGGTGTGGCTCGTAGCGAAGATGGTTCACACCTTGTTTGAGTCCATCTTGGGTAACAAGGTCCTCGAAGAGCGTCTCCAAAAAGCAGCTGGTCGGAGACATCAACGCCGGCCACAAGACGGCGCTGCGGCTGCTTCCCACAAGAGATCGTCGGACCCTCTTAAGCGAAAGTTCGATGACATGGAACTTGGTCTGCCAAATAGCGGACCTACCCCCCCCTGTTTCATACGAACGATCACGGCCACAGACACCCGCTGTTACTCCATCTCGCGAATTAAATCAACCGCAACCTGGTCAGACATCGCCCATGCAGCCTCGCGGACCGCACGACCCTCTCGGCGGTCCTGCAAACTCGCGTGGTAATACTCGGCCAACGACCCCTTTCAACGCCCAGTTCTCCCTCCCCGCTACACCCCCGACTTCTTCCTTGTCACACGTAATTCCCCCAACCTGTCCCCTTCCCTCTGGGAGAACTTCCAGCCTGATCAGCTCTTCCCCGACGGCACCGCTATCTTCCCCGAGCTGGCCTCCCCACCCCCGGCTGGCATGGACCCGCAAATGCAGATGCCGACGGGACTTCCCGCCCAGGGCATGTCTCAACGACATATGATGGGCAACCCGGCGCAACCTGCACCTGGACGTAGTATGTCAGTGTCGCAAAGCAGCCCACCAGTCATCCCCGGAATTCCACCTGCTATGGGAATGCGGCCTGGCCAGCAGCAGATGTTTGGAATGGACGGCCAGCCATGGCCGGTGCAAGGCATGGATGGTACTATGAGCGGGGCAGCGCTGGACGCTACTAGCCAGGATAATGACACCTGGAGCAGCAGTTCGCGCAGCGGACCGACCGCCCCAACCACTTTGAACGTGGAAGACTGGTATGTTACTTCCCTTATGTGGTGGTTCCCCGATATTCTAACCCTGGACTGTAGGTTCCAATTCTTTGGTATTAATGGTGGCTTCGCCGATCTAGCAGCGTAGGCCGTCTGTCTGGTTCATGTTATTATTTTAATGTATGCGGTGTATAAGTTTTTTTTGTGCCCTTGCTGGCAACTTAAAATGGAAATGCTGGAGGGGGTTGGGGGTGTTTGGGTTTTCCAAGGCGTTTTGCAGGCATGGACTTTGATTAGCCTGCTGGTTGATTTAGTTTGGCCGCCTTACTGGAATATATAATCTATATTGCTGATGACTCCTTTTGCAAAACACTGCATAGTTTAACCTAATCAGGCCTAGTGGATGACGAAATCGCAAGATCCGCCCGGCTGGCCAATCAGAGCTCCCCGACAGCGGAGTCATCGGAGTCACTGATCTGGGGTCGGTGGGAGTACTCGCTTTTTTAATTCCAATCTATCCCGTCCTCTCGAGTAACTTTCTCTCCATTGTGTTTCGTCTCATTTTCCTCGTCTGATCTCCTGTCTTGCATCCCCTCAATTCGTTGCTCCCCTATCTGCCTATCCCTCCGTATAACCCCTCACCCACATATCTGCCCCGCCTCTACCGCCAAGCGATGTCGGCACCATCAGGAGCCTCCGCCGCGTCGGGACCGTCAAGCTCGATTAAGAAGCCATTTCCTCATGTCGACCTGGAGGGCAATGACTTGCCCCCTTCACCAGCTCCCTCAAGCCCCCACGCCGGCCGTCGATACAATATTGCCACCGAACTAGTCTTCACCGAGGGCAATGACCAATACAATGCCAGCAGTGTGCCGATCTACCAGGTATGAAAATTCCCTGCTGGACACCGCCAATCATGGCTTCAAAGTGAATTGTACTCAACCTAACCATGACCTATAGAGCGCTACTTTCAAGCAATCTTCTGGCGCCGGTGGTGGAGAATATGACTACACTCGCTCCGGGAACCCAACTCGCACCCACCTGGAACGGCACCTGGCAAAGATTATGTCCGCCCAACGGGCCCTCGTCGTATCCTCCGGCATGGCCGCCCTGGACGTGATCACTCGACTCCTGCGACCCGGTGACGAGGTCGTCACCGGTGACGACCTGTACGGCGGCACCCATCGCCTGCTGAAGTACCTGTCAACCAACGGCGGCATCATTGTACACCACGTTGACACCACCGACCACGAGAAGGTCAAATCCGTGTTAACCCCTAAAACCGCCATGGTCCTCCTGGAAACCCCCCACCAACCCCCCTCATCAAGATCGCCGACATCCCGCGCATCGCCGCCTCGGCCCACGAAGCCAACCCCTCCTGCATAGTTTCTGTCGACAACACCATGATGTCTCCTCTTCTCCTCAACCCGCTCGACCTGGGCGCCGACATCGTCTACGAGAGCGGGACGAAATACCTCTCTGGCCACCACGACCTGATGGCCGGTGTGATCGCCGTCAACAACCTCGAGCTCGGTGAGCGCCTGTTCTTCCCAATCAACGCCTCCGGCTGCGGCCTGTCTCCCTTCGACTCATGGCTGCTCATGCGTGGCGTGAAGACGCTGAAGGTGCGCATGGACCAGCAGCAGAGCAACGCCCAGCGCATTGCCGAGTTCCTGGAGAACCACGGCTTTAAGGTGCGGTACCCTGGCCTGCGCTCGCACCCACAGTACGAGCTGCATCACTCCATGGCGCGGGGATCGGGAGCCGTGCTCTCGTTCGAGACGGGAGATGTTAACGTCAGCGAGCGGATTGTGGAGAGCGCGAAGATCTGGGCTATCAGCGTTAGTTTCGGATGTGTCAACTCCTTGATTAGTATGCCGTGCCGGATGAGCCATGCGAGTATCGACGCGAAGACCCGAGCGGAGCGGGAGTTCCCAGAGGATCTGATCCGGCTGTGTGTTGGTATTGAGGATGTGGAGGATCTGATTGATGATTTGCAACGGGCGGTAAGTTCTACAACTCCTTTCTCGGCCTCGATAAGGACCCCTTGCGCTGACCTTTTTGCTCTACAGCTCGTGCAGTCCGGTGCTGTGAATGTTACTCTGGACGATTTCCAGGCGGTCAATGCTGCGTAGATATATATTTTTTCCCTCTTTCTAATTTTCTGTGAATGACCAGGCGTTTTGGGGGAATTTCAAAATACGGTTATCACACAATCTGGCAGTGAATCCACGTTATCGTAGAAAGTAGATCCGGCATCGGGACCGGTGCCGACTCGCGCCCGGCCTTTTATCGTCCGCAACGATCGGTTCCAGCCCCGATTGCTAAGTGCTTTATCGTTTGGAGAGCTTTCTGCTCTTCTCCAGCTTTTGGTCCCCAGATTCTGCTTTCTGCTTTTCCTGTTCTCCCATCTCTTGTCCAATGCGCAAGTGATCGACCCATCCCCGATCTCCCGCATGAGTATGACTCGCGATGCTGTCGCGGATGCTTCGTTCGCCGTATCATCGGTTCCGGAGCGTCCTGCTCCACGGCCTGGAGCTGCCCCTACACCAAAGACACAACCGCTAAACCCAAAGGCAGCTTCAGGTTGGAATACCAATGACTTGGGACTGCGAGTAGGCGCGGACGTGGTCAGCGCCATGTCTGCCGGCGCGCTGACATGTCCATTGATTACTATCATTGACCGGTGAGCTATAACGCGCTGGACCTCCCATGGATAATAGGAATTCATCCGTCCAAGCATGAAACTCGGATCAAAGCAACCACGCTGTATGCTAATTTCGTGTCAATGCAGTGCCATCATGGAAAAAGCCTCCAAAGGCATTCCAATCGCGCCAAATGTCAAGGACTGCCTCAAGTCGATGGTAGCTCGTCCAGGGGCATTTTTCTTCGGCACTCCCTTTCTCCTCATCTACACTCTCTACACCTCGACCTACCTCACCGCCAATGTCATCGATACCGCGTCCTCCACAATCCGCAACCTCTCCTACTCCGCGGTCACCGCCGGCCCGGCCAAATTCATTGCCACCACGGCTGTGAACATGGGCATCTGCGTGTATAAAGATGCGCGCTTTGCGAAGATCTTCGGCGCAAAGCCTCCCCCAACAACCCCCTCTCCGGCCGCAAGCCCATACGCCAAAACTACCCTCCACCCGCCAACACCCCCGGCGCCGAAGATCCCCGTGCTCTCCTATTCCCTCTTCTGTCTCCGCGACAGCGTCACCATCTTCGCCTCTTTCAACGTCCCCGCTCTGATCGCCCCGTCCGTCCCCGACTTCGTCGCCGGATCACCGGGAAACAAGGCGGCGATCGCGCAATTCGCAAGCCCCGCCCTCATGCAATTCGTGAGCACGCCGATGCATCTTCTCGGTCTGGACTTGTATAACCGTCAGCCTCCGGGCGGACTACACTGGACGGACCGGGCCGCTCGGATCCGCCGAGATCTGATCTCTAGCTCGTTCGCGCGGATGGCCAAGATCGTGCCGGCGTACGGGGTGGGGGTGTTGCCAATGTGCGGATGAGGGCAATGTTGATGGAAAAGATTGGGGGAAGGGCTTCGGGCTGATTGATGATGTGATGAGATTCGCTTTATACTCTCCGCTCTAGACTTGTTATTGTCTGTTTTCGTATTTCTTGGGGATTCGGAGTTGATCATGATGGGTGCCTGGCCTGGGTATACATTGCATGGCCGTGGCGTTCTTTGAATCTTCATATGTTACCCTTGTTTCTGAGGGTTTCGGTCTTAATGGATCTATAGACTGTTTAATATGCTTATATGCTTGATTCGCCACGTTGAGATGGCTTACTGTCAATATGCGTCAAGATTCACCTAACTCTTTCTTTCCAGCCAGATAACTCTCAAATAGAGGCCTCTGTATGCCAACAGATCCGATGCTATATTTACAATAATCTTGATTTCACCGTGAGTCTCACTAAAACAGGTCTCAGCCATCTACAGTCTGGCGTCCAGTGCGGATGGAATTGCCCCTTTGGCCGAGGACATCACGAGCGCCGGCTGAGTAGGATGCCCCATAATGGCTGGCCTGACCTGGGAACCCGAAAGATGGCGTATGTGGATGACAGGTCGAAAATGGATTTTCGGAAATAACCCGGACACTTGGCCTAATTTTAGCTGCTGTACACCGTACATACCCCAAGTATATTGGGCGACCTAGAAGTTATGCTATATAGCCCAACTCCCTGACAGATTTCGCTGGGAGTGAACATCTGGTTCAAGTTCTGTAGCTTTCTCGGTATCCTTCGCAGGATATGGATTTATATCAATTGATGTCATCTTTAGCGCAGGACCATTCATAGCTATTGTTAACCTACATTCATAACGGCAAGGCTTTATTGCTAAACTTCGGCTCTCGTCTCCACCCTTTCCTCAGACTTTTCAGCTGGAGTTTCATTCTGTACTCGTAGACGCCTTGGGGACATGATCAAGATCCTCCTAAACAAGAATACACGGGAATTACGGCAACGGGAGGTGAGACATGCGGGCATTTATAGAAAGATCTTTCGCTTTAAGGCTTCAGACGCGTATCCACCTCCCCATTTGACTGACTTGGATCTCACGCTCCGACTTTACACTGGGGGCCTTGCCTGGCTGACTGGGTGACGTCTTTCCAGCCAAACAGTGCCTCATTTCTGCGACTTCGTATTCTATACTAGTACTTGCTATCTAAAAATCTATAAAACCGGGTCTATCACACTAGCTAAGCTCTGGTCCCAGTCCACACATTCCAGACATTTAGCATCTACCTTCTCAAATGCAGTACCTCGTCGCCCTTGCCGCCCTCGCCGGCGCCGCCGTTGCCCAGAGCGTCGGAATCTCCGCTCCTCCTTCCAACGCCAAAGTGAGCGCTGGCTCGGACATAACCGTCAAGGTCTCCAAGCCTGTTAGTCAACCTCGCTCAAGATCCAGTGGTTCTATACTGATATACAATACAGAACAGCCTCTCCTCTTCCGAGGAAATCGGTATCGCTATCGCCATCGGCAACATCGACAAGGACCCCAGTGAAGTTTTCGGCGACGTCCTCTACCACGGCCCTTACGACCCCGTGTACCACGAGTCAACACAGGCCCCGTACCAGAACTTCACTATTACTATTCCAAGTAGTCAGGCAAAGGGGGCTGCTCGCATCAATGTTGCCCATGCTGCCCTCATCGGAGTAAGTATTCTTTCCCTCCTGGTATCGCTTATGCATCGCTGACGGTGCGGACGTAGGCTGGCCCTGAGCCATGGCTTGAGACTGTCACTTCGAACATTACTATTGTCTAGACGTATTCGAAGCTTTGCGAAAGGGGATTCTATCTGATAAGAACCATGCACGGTTTTAGTGATCTGCTATCAGTGCTGATCTGTGCCCCGTGGGGTTCAAGTTGGAGGATGACCTTCTTGGTCTTACATAGCAGGAGCCGCAATAACTAATTGGATCAATGATGGTTAAATGATACTTCTTGGACAGTCCATACGAAATGCTATCCTCTGGTAAAACAATGTATTTTCGAATAGTACACACATGTCAACAAGTAAGGAAGTAAGCTCGAGCTCACAATAAGTCCATTTAGATCCTTGGAGTGGAAGGCTAAGCTACCCATCATTACCCCTTATTTAGCGATATATTGGTGAAAGTACCTCTCATATATCCCAGCAATATCGAGTCCTAGCATCCGAAGCAACTTGATCTCGGAAAGCAGTTCGGCAATGTCCTTGCCAAATATCCTGCCGAAAACCCGATGGCTGCTGTGTCTGACTGTTGCTGTTTGGGAAAGGCATAGGCTATGGAAGACCGGAGAAAGGACATATATGGACGAATGAAGAGCCAGCCTGGAGTATGCTGAGTACAACGCCGTGGTACGGACTACGGAAGTAGGCTGGGTATCCGGGAGCAAAGGTGGCATGGAGGGTGGTGTTTCTGCGCTACTTATGCTCGGAAACTGTTTCGTTTCTATTCCTTGTGATGGAAGACTCTATTCTGGTGGAGTGTTTTGCTTCTCACGGAAAGGTCGGCCGCAGTGCATGAACTTAGGTGGTCTGGTATTTTCTGGTTCTAATATCGGGACACACGTCGTTTGCGTAAGTTGAGGCTTCTAGACTTTCTTCTTTTGATAAACCCCGGGTTCTATGAAATGATTGAAGGAACTCAGGAAGGTCGTATCATCTTTCCTGTATGCTAAGTTTTCATACGATGATGACCAGAGTGGCGTGTTGACACTATTGACTCAGGTTTCCAAGGTTATGCTTCCGAGATCCTTCGAGGCCCGATGTTCACACTATATGATACCATAACGGTACACCACTATTTGATTTCTAGAAGACCCTTTTGACAATCTGGGCACAGTACTAGGAAATGGGATGATCCCCGCGGGCTCTCTCCAATACAAACTAAGGATCCTTGCGGTATGTGCTTACTCGTCTAAAGTGCTTACTAGTCCAAAGTCGGGCTGCGCAGGCGGGCTGGATCATGTCTTGTTGATGCGGCCGTCCATGGTTATGAATTACCCCAGCTGTTCAAGTCGGTCTTTCAATGGAGGGCTCGAGTTCATTTTAAAGGGCTCTTCACAAGCTATCAACTTTCAAAATAAGGATTCAGTAGGATCCACAGTACCTAGATGTCCCAGAATAGTCATTTCTCTCAAGTTATTAGACAAAGGGACCCTGCGCAGTCGAAGGAGTGAAACCTTCCATACGCTGTTTCTTGTTCATTATTGGACATAGCAATGTTTCATCAGTCTGATTGTTCTAACCCTGGAGACCAAGGGCCAGTTTAAAGCCCGTGTTTAGAATAAGGCTCTACAATCAGCATCAGGGACATATTCAATTCCGGATGTCTTTGTTGAGGCATGCTTTGTGTCGCTTATTCATATGGTGCTGCGGAAGCGCAGCACACTAGACTACTTAAACTTCATATTGTCACCATTGAATTCGCACCACAGACAAACAAGATCAAAGCCTGCCTCGAAGCTTAAGAGTCTCAACCTCCGACAGTAAAGACATTGCCACTGGCATGAGATCTTTCCAGCTGCACATGATACCTCGAACCTTCTAGAGCCGATAACAAGAGACAGCTGATACATTCACCATGATCGCCAGCTCATCAATCGGCGAACGCCTTGGACAGGTCGTCCACATCATCGACCTCCTCCTCTTGTTAGTTTCGGTCGGCGTCCTTTTGATGGAAGTCTTTGTCGGCGCGCTATTCATTACTATGTTCTTTATATGCGGTGCACTCCTTGTCGGAGGCGTCGCATTCCTTCGAAGTGGAGGGAGCACTGGCATGGAAGAGTTGAAAGTTCTCTTCATGAACAAATGGCTCATTGGGGCATACATTGTTATCGGCGGGCTTTGGTTCTCATACTGTGTCCTCACTTACAAATTTAAGAACTCTGGCTTGTTCCCGCCTAATATGGAATGTCGCCTGAACGGGAATGTCTTCTGATGGCTCGGATATACTATTTGCTCTCAAGAGCCCAGAGGAACATTGGCTTGGCATGCAGTAAGTGCCTGGATGAATTGCCTGAAGGCGTTTTGGAGAGGACTCTCTCTTGCTACCTGCGAGACAGAGACCGGACCGGCAGCGGAGGATACCAAAAGACAGAAGAGAAAAGGAAGATAATATGGAGAAGTTAGGAGTCATAGTAAAGTTGGCTGTTCAGGCACTAACAAGCCAGTCTACTAAGTAGCACTTGGGATTGACCGCAACCTTGAAAGTCAGGTCAATCTTAGCAAGTACAGTAGTATTCGTCAGTTTATTAGGGCCGGCCCTGACAAGATTTCTACGAGAATCAATATTGCATTAGATTCAATGATCCTTGCGTTGTACCATGCATGCTCAGCGTTTCTACTAGGAGCTGAAATGCAGTGAGGGTAGAACCCTTGTCCGTTAGAGCAACAGAGCAGCGAGACAGTAGATATGATCAAAATTTGAGTATGCCTGAAACGGGGCTGTGTCGTTCATTTCATGAATAGTCCGCCCCCAGAAACATCTCAAGCCCACACTAGAGTCATTGTCAATCCATATCCATAGCATTCATATCTAAGATAATCATGAGAACATCAAGTCCATCAGATCTGGATTACTTCTTGTACTTTTCGGTTACGATCCACTACCAACCGCAGTTGCCTTCCCTGCCAGTCTGCCGTGGCTGAGGACACCTGAGCTGTCGGTTTGAAAGCTCCATTCCGAAGTGTCTCCGTGAAAAGCTCATACGATGGGTAATCTGCATGATGGAGTCAGCTAAGTTCAAGTCGAATGACCTTCATAGACGCGTACGTACATCCATCCACAAAGTGATTGACCTGTTCTTCTGTCATGCCAGTGCCTTTGGTTGCCTTCAGAGTACGCTCCTGTTCTTGCCGCCATTCGTAGACGAAGCGTAGATCTTGGGCGTCACTGGGAACTATTGTAAGCAAATTTGACTAACAGCAACTATAGGTCAAGGTATATTGCTTACATGTGAACCAGTGCATCAAGTTTACTGTTATCCAGTCAGTCAGGAAGGGGCATATTGGGACACTAGGAGCTTACTCAGTCAACGAGTCGTATCGCTTCAATGCATCATTGACAGCTTGGACATCCTCGAATTTAACATGGCCCAGTCGACCTTGATAATTGCCCGCTTCTTTTTGCCGCACTGCAGCCTCCCATAGAGAACGAAGGGTCTGATCGTCCCGGGGCCGGAAACCGACACACCAACCCTCGAAGATTACAACCTTGACTTTAGGTTGCCCTTCCTTGTTCACCACTGGCCATCGGAATTCGGGCACCCGATCTCCCTGGCCGGCAAATGCCGATTTGTCATACTGCGGAATCGCCGTCGGCTGCTCAGCCGCTAGCGAAGCGAAAACTTTCTCCGCCAGCGCTAAGTCATGCGTCGAAGGTTGCCCCCGGTGCTGCAGTAGAGGGTTTGTCGGGTTGGCTTGTGCGAGCGCGACTTGATCGGCATGGGTCAGGTAGAGATCGTCAAGTGACAAGGTCGCTACATCGAGCGAATAAGGTTCCGAACGAAGAGTTTCATACAGGGTCGACACCTACAAGAATTGACAGCATCAGCCCATCAAGCTCGGGGAACGATCAGTTATCATAATGCGCGATTGGGGGACAGCCGAGCATGTTTTATTCCGAGGTTACGGGTCTGGGCCGACTTACCAGGACGGTCTTGCCGGCTCCCTGCACGCCATTGAGCCCCAAGAAGAATGGTGGGGTACCGTCCGAGTTGCCGTGCCGCTCCTTATGGATGCGCAGGCGCTCGAGGAGGAATGGGATACAGTACTGTGATTTGTCGTCTATAATCGCCATGGGGGATAAACTGGTGCCTCTAGGGAAGGGCTCTCTTATTTATTCGGTGTTCCGCTGAGCGGCAGAAATCTGGGGGTTTCATAATCCGGGGAATCGCCCGACATTCTCGGGCGAAAGGTGGAGAGCCTATCAGGACCAGGCTCCTTCGAGGGTTCATACAGGAAGCCTATTCTATCTGCTCGATTCAAATCGACTAGAATGGTAATATACTGCGTACTTAAAAAAGGCACCTCCGGATTATTGATTATTATACCCCGTACTCCGTACACCGTTACACAATACGTGCAGTGTGATGACGTCGGCTGTCACATGCCTGAGTCAGCACGGTACTCGGTACCACAGCTGGGATACGGCGACTCGAGGATAATGGCAAGCAGGGGACCTGAGATCGTGGTCCGGTTAGAAGCGGTACACAATAGCTAAGGTATCTGTTCCTGGGGTTCTCATTTGCAGCAATCGAAAATCAAGGGTTTGCTTGTGAGAGAGCTGCAGCCGGCATGTGAAATCATTTGCATCTGCCACGATTTGCTTCCCGTACCAAAATTACGCCCCCCATTTGTTACCGTCGAACGTGCCGAGGTCCCTCCAGCTCTACCGAGCTGGGGAATTTGGTCTTTAAACCTCCCCTCCCTCCTCCTTTTTTCCCTCCAACTTCTAGTCCCTTGAACCAAATAGTCTGGACTGGTTGGACTTTGCACATCATGTCCGAATTACGCTTTGATAATCAGACTGTCGTTGTCACCGGCGCCGGCGGTGGCTTGGGGAAGGCATATGCTCTCTTCTTTGCCTCAAGGGGCGCCAACATCGTGGTCAACGACCTCGGTGGCTCTCACTCCGGCGAGGGCAAGTCCTCCAAGGTACGTAACCATTCTGTCAATTAAATGCGACCCTTCTAACCTCTCGCAGGCTGCTGATGTCGTGGTTGACGAGATTCGCGCTGCCGGCGGCAAGGCGGTCGCGAACTACGACAGCGTCGAGAATGGCGAGGCTATCATTGATACTGCCATCAAGAACTTCGGCCGTGTTGATATCCTCTTGAACAACGCCGGTATTCTGCGCGATGTCAGCTTTAAGAACATGAAGGACGAGGACTGGGACCTGATCAACCGGGTGCACACTTACGGAGCTTACAAGGTATGCAACTATTTTTCAAAGCCCAAGAGAGGGAAACCCGACTAATAATATGTATTGATAGACTGCTCGTGCCGCCTGGCCTCATTTCCGCAAGCAAAAGTTCGGTCGTATCATCAACACCTCTTCGGCTGCTGGTCTCTTCGGTAACTTCGGCCAGGCCAACTACTCCGCTGCCAAGTTGGGCCAGGTTGGTTTCACGGAGACCTTGGCTAAGGAGGGTGCTAAGTACAACATCATCGCCAATGCCATTGCTCCCATTGCTGCCAGTCGTATGACTGCCACTATCATGCCCCCAGATGTGCTCGAGAACCTCAAGCCCGAGTGGGTTGTGCCTGTTGTCGCAGCGCTCGTCCACTCGTCCAACACCACCGAGACCGGTGGTATCTATGAAGTCGGCGCTGGTGCTGTGGCCAAGCTCCGCTGGGAGCGTGCTAAGGGTGCTCTCTTGAAGACCGATGACACCTTAACCCCTGGTGCTATTGCTGCGAAGTGGGCCGACGTCAACGACTTCTCCAAGCCTGAATACCCCACTGGACCTGCTGACTTTATGGGCCTCTTGGAAGAGGGTATTAAGCTTCCTAGCGCTCCTAAGGCCCAGGAGCCTGACTTCAAGGGTAAGGTTGCTCTTGTCACTGGTGGTGGTAACGGTCTTGGCCGTCAGTACTGTTTACTGTATGCGAAGTATGGCGCTAAGGTCGTGGTCAACGATCTGGTTGACCCAGAGCCCGTGGTCGCTGAGATCAAGAAGGCTGGTGGTGAGGCCGTTGGTAACAAGGCCTCGTGCGAGGATGGTGACGCTGTCATCAAGTCTGCCATTGATGCTTTCGGCCGCATTGATATCCTGGTCAACAACGCTGGTATCCTTCGTGACAAGGCCTTTACCAACATGGATGACAGCCTGTGGAACCCTGTCATCAATGTCCACCTCCGCGGAACCTACAAGGTCACCAAGGCCGCTTGGCCCTACTTCCTCAAGCAGAAGTACGGTCGTATCGTGAACACTGCGAGCACCAGTGGTATCTACGGTAACTTCGGCCAGGCCAACTACGCTGCTGCTAAGCTTGGAATCCTGGGTCTCTCTCGTGCTCTTGCTGTTGAGGGTGCCAAGTACAACATCAAGGTCAACACCATTGCCCCTAACGCTGGCACCAACATGACCCGCACCATCATGCCCGAGGAGATGGTCCAGGCCTTCAAGCCTGACTACGTTGCTCCTCTTGTCGTCCTCCTCACCTCCGACCTCGCTCCCGAGCCCTCAACCAAGGGTCTCTACGAGTGTGGTAGTGGCTGGTTCGGCCGCACCCGCTGGCAACGATCCGGTGGCCACGGCTTCCCTGTGGATGTCCCATTGACCCCCGAGGAAGTGGTCGCGAAGTGGAAGCAAATCACCAACTTCGACGATGGCCGCGCCGACCACCCTGAAGACTTCCAGGATGGCTCTTCCCGTGTCATGGCTAACATGGACAACCGTTCTGGTGCCGCCAAGGGTGGTGAGAACGAGTACATCAAGGCCATTGAGAAGGCCAAGTCTGTGACTACTGAGGGCACTGAATTCAACTACGTTGACCGCGACGTGATCCTCTACAACCTGAGTTTGGGTGCTAAGCGCACTGACTTGCCTTTGGTTTACGAGAACGACGACAACTTCCAGCCTCTGCCTTCCTTCGGTGTGGTCCCCTACTTCAACACTGCTACTCCTTGGAGCTTGGATGAGCTTGTCAAGGACTTCTCCCCCATGATGCTGCTCCACGGCGAGCAATACCTGGAAGTCCGCAAGTACCCCATCCCCACCGCTGCCAACACCTTGACCTACCCCAAGCTTGTCGACGTGGTCGACAAGGGCAACGCCGCGCTTGTTATCATCGGGTACACCACCAAGGATGCTAAGACCGGCGAGGACCTGTTCTACAATGAGTCTACCGTCTTCATCCGCGGTAGCGGTGGCTTCGGTGGCTCTCCTAAGCCCACTGCTGCTCGTCCCAAGGGCGCTGTGGCCGCATACAAGGCTCCTAAGCGCCAGCCCGACGCTGTCGTTGAGGAGAAGACCTCCGAGGACCAGGCTGCCCTGTACCGTCTGAACGGCGACCGTAACCCTCTGCACATCGACCCTGAATTCAGCAAGGTCGGTGGGTTCAAGACCCCCATCTTGCACGGCCTCTGCTCGCTCGGTATCTCAGCCAAGCACGTCTTCGGCAAGTACGGTGCCTTCAAGAACCTGAAGGTCCGCTTCGCTGGCGTCGTTCTGCCTGGTCAGACTCTGCGCACTGAGCTCTGGAAGGAGGGTAACACTGTCCTCTTCCAGACCACCGTTGTCGAGACTGGCAAGCCCGCTATTTCGGGTGCTGGTGCCGAGCTCCTGGAGGGTGCTAAGGCTAAGCTGTAAAATATGGGAGTTCTTCTTGATACGATATACCAAGGCATGCTTACTAGGGACACCTTCCCATCAGACTGACTTCTTTGTTTGTATGTAAATACTTTTTTTTTTCTTAGTTTGGTTGGAACCCCTGGCAAATGAATGATATGCATTTCCAAAGATAGCCCGGTAAATTTTCGAATCCTCCAGTAGAATGTTCGTCACCTGCATTGGCATCTCAGCAAATGGCTACGATCCTGCCAAAGAAAATCCCTGTGGTCGCACCGCCCCCATGCAACTCATGTAGCTCGAGCCTCCAGTGCCGCATTTCCGCCCGGGGATTTCCGAGTGAAAAAAAAAATCCAGCAAGTCCCGGCTTTATCTTATCGTCGCCGTGCCTTTCATCGTGTCACTTCACAAAGTTCTTTAAAAGGAAACACACCCTCACCTCCACTCCGACCCACTCCATCTCGTCCATCCACCAGTCGTCTCACACACAATGGATCACTCACGCGACCCCTGCCCCTGGGTAGCCCTCAGCGACTTTGGCGGCGCCTTCTGTATGGGCGCCATCGGTGGCTCCGTCTGGCACGGCATCAAGGGATTCCGCAACAGTCCCTACGGCGAGCGCCGGGTAGGCGCCCTTACAGCCATCAAGGCACGCGCACCCGTGCTGGGCGGGAATTTCGGTGTGTGGGGAGGCTTGTTCTCGACGTTCGACTGTGCGATCAAGGGCATCCGCAAGAAGGAGGACCCGTACAATGCTATCATTGCCGGTTTCTTTACTGGTGGTGCGCTAGCTGTCCGTGGCGGCGTTAAGGCTGCTCGGAACTCTGCGATTATGTGTGCTGTTTTCTTGGGTGTGATCGAGGGCGTGGGCATTGGGTTCCAGCGTCTTATGGCTGATAATACCAAGCTTGAGGTATGTCGAGTCTGGGGCCTCTTCTGGGAAGAGGGTATGAGGATGGGATATGTGACCGTTTGTCTGACTTGACGTTTCAATAGCTTCCTCCAGTGCCTCAAACAGAGGGCGCGGCTCTTGCTTAAACCTACCTCCCTGCTCCTTTCTCACCCCCGATCTTTCACTGTCGGTCTCGACACCGACTTCTCGTCTCTCCGACGGTATACCCATATTCAATCTCTTCTAAAAAAAAGGGGTGTTCGGCTGGGTTATCATTCTTGAACGACATTGCATAGAGGTTCTGTTTTCCTCGCTTGAGTTGGCCCGTGTGGCCTGTATTCTGGCACATTGCATCGTGTGGAGCGTTGGGCCATTTGTATGGTTGGATCCATGGCTGCATTGTTGTTTTATATGGTCGGTTGGCTGAAAAGCATTTCTGTGCTTGATACATACGCGATGGATGGGATCATGTTGACTCCCTGTATATTAATGTATATAATGAAGAATTAGACATTTCTTTACTGTACCCGGCGGCGTTATTGCATCTGCAGGCCCTCGTATGGGTTGGGGCCACTTGAAGGGCCATAGAATGATCAGTGTTTTTGATGCAATAAGTTCTGGCAGCTAGAAAGCGTGGCAAGTCTATAATGTCCATCTTATAGTTGGCACGTGACTCTAATTTTGATTGATTTCCTAGACCTTCGCTCCAACATTGCAAGAGTCTAAGTCTTGAATTCCCGGCGAATCTTTATTAAACCTGAACGGGGTTTATTCCGGAAATGGGCCTTGGAACACCAGCGAAGGCAGGTAGAAATGGACCTTGCGCCTACTCCGGCCATGCGCATATAGATTCGGAGGCTTGAACATAATCCCTGGTTTCTTCTTAACTCCTATACCATCTACTGGTAGTACAAGGGATCCCTGTTACTGGTAACTTATGAGGTTTCGGTATTAACAGGAAAATGATGGTATGTCTGGCTCAGAACTATTGGTCTTCATAATATCCGAGTCTCTGGTGTTGCGCCTCCTGCAGCCCTGACTGCAGCCCTGACTGCAGCCCTGGTATGTAGTGGTCGGCGTAAGGGCTTTGCTCCGCAATGTAACTAACATGCAAGCACAAAAAGGTGTGTGACGGAATCGCGCGGAAAATCGACAATGTGCGCATCCAAGACATGGTTGGAATCTGACCTGAACCTCTGGAACTCTCGGCGCATGGATCCTGCGGTCTCCTTGAGTCTCGATTCAGGCAGCCGCCAAATCTTATGTAACTCACCTGCACCAAACACCTGGACATTCCTTGCAACTCGATCGCAACAAAGAAAGCATCTGAAAGAGAGAGGCACCGAAATGTAGCTTCATGCCATTTTCCAACATGGTGCTCTCGCTGTCAGTCCCCGGCTTCTCTAAATCCTCCACGTCTCCTCCTCGCCCCGCGGACGCCAACACACCAGCATCTCGTGATCGCGGCGCATCCTCCAGCTCCTCAAGCGGCCGAAATGCCTGGAGACCTACTCTTTGGGCCGGAAACTCAAGCCCGGTCCCCTCGTCCTCTTCAAACACCCAATCTGCCACGCTGAGTGAAGCCCTCCGCAATAACCCCTTCGGCAGTAGCTCCTCCCGCACCCGCTCGCAAGTCCCCGATAATGAGGCGGAGGAGAGGAGGCATGAGCAAGAAGAACTGAATGCTGCACTGGAGACGCTTGTTCGTGTATTCCCTGACATTCGTATTGAAGTGTTCCGCGAGCTCCTGCTCCGTTTCGATGGCGAGAGTAGGTTACAAGTATGCGTGGAGCAACTGCTGCGCCATAAGGAGAAATGGGTTTCTGGACGCTGGAGCATCCCACAAGCCGACGATGAGAAGGATGATCAGAATACTCACAGCTCCAGCACCGATAAGCACGATCCTGCCGCTGCAGATTGTCTGGTGCCTCTCGACGAGCGGTTTCGCTCGGTTGAATATAAGGCTGCGGTACGAGCGGCCCTACAGAAAGAATTCAGTGCCCTGAATAAAAGCACCCTCGAGGCTGTTCTTGCAGAAGCCAACTTCAGTTACCTTCGAGCCAGGCCGACCCTACGAGACCTTTCGCGTCAAAGCTGGCGTGCTACGTTCAACAGCTATCTACCTTTCAAGCGAAAGAAGGATCGAGAAGAACATCCGCTCCTGGTATGGCAACGCCGTGCCGATGGGGAGCTGATTCCCCGCGTTAAGGGCACTGGGTGCGGTGAACTGGATGAGGAATTACATGCAATGATCGTGGCTCCGCTGCTGCAGCGTAGACGCCAGGAGCAGGAAACTGGTGATTTCCAGGTAGCTTCGGATCTGAACGAGAAAGAAGCTGAGGCAGTGAACGCTTTGTTCGAGTGCGAGTGCTGCTTTGCCGATGTTACTTTTGAGCAGATTGCCACTTGCTCTGCGAATGTCCACATCATTTGCTACAACTGCATCCAGCGCACGATTGAGGAAGCATTGTTCGGCCAGGGCTGGGGGAAATCGGTTGATCTGGAGCACTCGACGCTGAAATGCCTCGCTCCGCTGTCTATTGGTGCGTGTGATGGACGCCTTCATCCCCAGATCGTGCGCCAAGCCATTCTTCTTGGAAAGGCTGGGTCGGAGACCTACAGCAAATTCGAAGACAGGCTAGCCTCTGAGGTGCTGCTGAAGTCACAGTTGAAGCTTGTACGTTGCCCCTTCTGCTCATACGCCGAAGCGGACCCGGTCTATCATCCTTCGGATCGGGGCATTGGCTGGCGTATTCGCACAGATGCCGGCGTACTCCCGACCCTTACAACGATCACACTCCTACTCGACCTTGTACCCTTATTGATCATCCCCTTCTTCGTTCTCTTGATTTTTGACCCTCTGTTCCTCACATCCCTCTTCCGAAACGCCATCCAAAACCTGTGTCTCAAGACTCGGCCGAAGCGGTTTACATGCGCCAACCCGACCTGTAAACGAACCAGCTGTTTAACATGCCAAAAGGCATGGCGCGACCCACATGTCTGCCACGAGCCATTGCTGCTTGACTTGCGCGCAACAATCGAAGCTGCTCGTACAGCTGCCGTGAAACGCACCTGTCCACGCTGCAGCCTCTCGTTCGTCAAGTCTTCTGGCTGCAATAAACTGACCTGCATTTGCGGTTACTCCATGTGCTATCTATGCCGCAAAGCGCTCGGTCCTCCCATCGATCCCAATAGAGTCCGCCGCGGTAACCGACGGCCTCGACAGCAAGGGCCGGAACTCTTTGACGGGGCAGTCGATGAGGAGAACAACGAGGACGCGCTAGACGAAGACGAGCCCGAGGAAATGGAGGGCTACAAGCACTTCTGCGAGCATTTCCGAATAAACCCCGGCTCTCGCTGCACGGAATGTACCAAATGCGACCTTTACCAAGCCGAAGACGAGGAACTTGTTGCCCGGCGTGCGGGCGAAAAGGCTGAGCGCGAGTGGCTTATCCGACAGGGCAATTCGAGCTCTCAAGCGCCTTCGTCTGTACTTGCTCTCCGTAATGTGAATCAGGATCTGTCAATGGGAAATGAGGGCCATAATAATTCCACTCGCCGCGCACCTCAGTCCCTATGGGATGTCCAACTGGTTCCTGGTAAGCCCTGGGATTACTGGCTCTATGATGTGTGGACAGAAGGACGGTGGAGACTGGAAGGACAAAATCTGGTAAACTGGATCGTGGAACAAGTGGTTGTCATCGAGGATATCTGAGCCTGTTCTGCATTTCTTGCTCTTCCCGTTTTCTGCCCTCGTTATTATGAGATGTTGCTTTTGATCTGCAAATCAGGACGAGCCATTCAAGCTGAATGGGTTCGTTTCGCACGGGCATAGTGGGTGCCACGACTTCACGACTGATATGACATTTTCTTGATGAACCGGGTCTTTCGTTTTACTCTTCTTTAATACATGAATTTGATCTTCTTTTTGACTCCACATCTGTTATCAAACCTTATCCCAGTAGATAAGTCATCCCCATCTATTCTACAAAACCGTCAATGATTCCACTACCTATGCAAGAACGTAAGCGGGCTATTCTCATGACGTTGTCCGCTTTTCCTCGTCGAGGGCCCCTTCTACTCGCTTTTTCCCTTCCTCCTTGAGCTTATCATCATCGGCTCTCTTCAGTCCAAGTTGCGGCATGAGAGCAAATGCCAGGAAGAAAGCGAACGCTGCTAGGGAGGCGCCGATAATAAAGATCAGTCGGAAGCCTCTCTGGTATGCAGGTATCAAAACGCTCCGAATATGCGCGGCTTCCTCGGTACTTTGCTTTTTCAAGAATGTCTGAGGGCTCGACAGGAGAGATTTCGAGTCAGACGCATCGAGATCAAGCGACGAAATCGACGATGCCAGGAGATTGTTACTGGAGTCAAATATTAGTGATGGCCTTGCGTAGCTCGTCCTGGCGTATTCCCTTACATGATTGTTCCACTAATCGCCAGCCCGAGGGTTCCGCCGAGATTTCGAACAAAGCTTTCTGGATGTTAGAATTCCGAAAGGGGTGGTAATCTCAGACCCAAGTCAAGGATCTCACTTACTTCCGAAAGGCCGTGACGACCGCCATATCTCGACGCTCGACACCGGCCTGAACTGCGATGAGAGCACTACAAATGTCAGCCCAATCATACATACAAGATTGTGATCACTCACGGCTGCAAAGTGTTTCCCACTCCCACGCCAGTCAAGAGGCCATATCCGATCTGCTTCCCTAATCCTGAGTGTGGGCCCAGCGTTGAGAAGAGGCCAAGTCCCACAGCCCAAATGACCCAGCCGAGCAAGATGCACTCCCTATACCGGCCGATGCGGTGGACAACGAGACCTGAAAGTGTGCTGCTAAGAGCTGCAAATCAGAATATTAGCATAGCATCAATGCACCAGGGGTCCAGAGCTCATACTTTGCATCAACGTCACCGGTAGCAGCATCGCTCCAGCCTTCACGGTCGAGTAGTTGAACACCAGCTGATAAAAAGTTGGTATATAGTAAACCTGCACCAGGAAGTTCCACCCATTGATAAACATCGTTAAACTCGCCCCGATCACCATCCGCGACTTGAAAATATGCATCGGCACAAGCGGGACAGACGCGCCCTTCCACTGCCACATGACAAAGACAACGGAGACCACAAACCCAATCACCAGAGTCACAATGACATGAGTTGAGTCCCATCGATACTCACCGCCACCCCAATTCAGTCCCAGCAGCAAGACAGCCGTTCCACCCAGCGCAAGCAATGCTCCGACGAAGTCCACGGCCTTCAACTTCAGCTTCCAATCGCCTTTGACCTTGCGAAGCGGCATAAAGAAATACACGCAGAGCGTCGTAAAGACCGTCAGCGGTAAATTCAGCCGAAAGATCCACCTCCAGGAATCGTGGGAGATAGAGGCTAGGGCACCGCCGATGACAGGCCCAATGCCGTTGGATATAGCGACTACCGCACCCAGAATGCCTTGGTATTTCCCTCTTTCTCGGAGGGGGACGACGTCGCTCACGATCGTCTGGGCGATGGTCATTAGTCCGCCGCCTCCGACGCCGGTGAGGGCTCGGAAGACGATGAGCTGAGTGACTGTTTGCGCGAGGGAGGCGCCGAGGGAGCCGATGAAGAAGATGGCTAAGCCGACAAAGAGGACGTGTTTTCGGGACCAGATGTCAGATAGTTTGCCGTATAGAAGTTGAAAACATGTTGATGTTCTGTTTTGTTTTTTTTAAGACGTATAAGCATTCTGTCGAGAGGGATATGAGTTACAACAGCTGAATCACGTACACGAAGTAGCCTCCTGAGATCCAGGAGGCTTGGTCGCTTCCGCCGAGGGCATTGGCGATAATGTACAGACTCGCTGCTAGCGTTGTCTGGTCCATCAATGCCAGGAGATCGACCGTCGAGCATGCTAAAAAGATCTGAAAATGGTGGTTAGAGCTCGGAATCAAGCTTCTATAGGAAGCTGGCTTCTGGTCTTCCGCAACTCACAATGATGATTGTCCTCTTGGGCACATAGTTTGTCTGCTCGTTGAACGTGATCTTGGTCTCATTCTTCTCTGGGGCTGCGCCCTCGGAGCTATCGGAGCTCTCGTTTCCTGGTCTATCCTCAACGACCCCGGCCATGCTGTCTTGTAATCGCAATAGCTTGCAACGAAGAAATCAAGTCAATCGCGGCATTCAGGGGCCACTCTGCTGAGCCCCGGGGATAAATTTTTCAGGAATCCCCGGGATTCTGGAACCAAGGACGTGGAGAAAAGAAGAACAGCTTAGTGACACATCTGGACTCTCGGAGCCATCCGATCGCGAGCTCTAAGTTGAGCACATTTTCTCAGCGTCTGTGCATAGAACGAGCAGATTTGTCCTGAAACGGCAGCGATCGGCTCTATTTTGCATGCGGAATCTTGACAGCCAAGGGCGATCTGCACGGCTAAAACTTAGCGCGAAGTAAACATGCTCAAACGCCCTCAGGGTACCCGTATTGCTCCTTTGGGGGCTTTATTAGGCAATTTGTTGGCTCCATGAGTAAGAGAATTGATTATTGGAGGCCTTTCAGTCTACCTTGGTGTCAAACCTGCACGAAATGACCCGCCCCGTGGCATGGAAGGATGCGAGAGGACCTTGTAGGGCTTTTGGACACGGTAAACCCCGAGGTATTTTGAGGAGAATAGGGATTGTTGGAAGGGAAAGTAACACGAGAGCCTTCCTAGAAACAGTGAATCCACTGTGTTCTAGAAAACCGTGATCATCGAGGCATCCAGGTTTCGGCCCAAATCGCTGCAGATGCTACATCTCAGAGGAATCGCCGCCGCCGATCGTACCGTTTCCGTCGAATCTCCTCCCTGTAAACAGCCTCGGAAAACTTCGCCATTGAATTTTGCAATAGCGAGATCTTTGCTTTTCAGGTCAAGATCTCAACGGAGGCCTAACTTGATCTGCTGACGGCAGTGCGTGCTTGAATAGCACACGGAGCACTGGTAATTATGGCGCATACAGCGTTTCCGCAACCCGTGCCCCTCTTTGGAAAGACATAAGCGTGCACCTGTATAAGAATCTCGGTGGAGCTGTGGGGCATATTGCCTCTATTTCACTCTGATTTCCGTGTCCGAGGGCCCAATTGCGGGTTGAACTGAGGGCGGGGGCTCTGATGCATACAACGCCTGGCCCTGGACTATTTGTATTCGCCCATCCCTCTTTTCCTTCGCTTGAGTTTCTTTTCGCCAAAGTATACGGTATAGAATTTCTATTTATAAGTTCATGAGCACCGCAGAATTCGGTCAATATGGCGCCTATCTCTGACGATACAAAAAATTTGAACGAACGCAATGTATACTTCGGGGCAGATTCGCTGAAGAAATACTTTGATCCTGATTGTCAACCCCCACTCCCTCTGGTAGAACTACCTGAATATCTCAACCCTTACTACCATGATGGGGTGAGGATCTATGCCAAGATGATGACGATGCACCCGGCGAATAACGTGAAAGCCATGCCAGGTACGAGATGCCCTGGGGCAATAGATGGACTATCTCGAAAGACCCTTTTCCCGGGCTAACCTCAATAGCTTTGAATCTTCTCGAGTCAAGTGTGGTTCCACAAAAGACCAACAGAATCATCGAGTACAGCTCCGGTTCCACGGTGATTTCCATGTCGATGGTTGCCCGAGTCATGCACGGGATCAACGATACTCGCGCGTTCTTGAGTAACAAGACGAGTGACGCAAAGCTGAAGCTTATGCAATTTTTCGGCCTAGATATCACCTTATTTGGCGGTCCCTCTCAGCCGGAGCCCCTTGATGAGCGTGGGGGTATCCAAAATGCTCGCAGACAAGCACAAGAATCCGAGTCTATCATCAACCCTAACCAATACGAAAACGACAAGAATTGGCAGTCACATATCAGATGGACAGGACCCCAAATCTATAAGCAGCTGCCCGAGATCAACGTTCTCTGCGCCGGCATGGGAACCTCAGGAACCCTTACCGGGCTCGGGACATACTTCAAACAAGTCAAGCCTTCTGTCTACAGGCTCGGCGTCTGCACGGCAGCGGGAGACAGAGTGCCTGGCCCTCGATCTTTTGCTCTGATGCGCCCCGTTGAATTTCCTTGGAAAGATGCAGTCGATACCATCGAAGAAGTGGGCTCCACCGATTCATATACTTGGTCTCTCAAGTTGTGCCGAGAGGGTCTCGTGTGCGGTCCATCTTCAGGATTCAACTTGCAGGGCTTGTTCCAGATGCTGGAGAAGCGCAAGGCTGCGGGCACCTTGTCTGAGCTAGCCGGCCCTGATGGCTTGATCCATTCCGTCTTCTTGTGCTGCGATCTCCCATACCAGTACATTGGCGAGTACTTCGAGAAGCTGAACGCCGAGCAGTTCCCTCCCATCCGGAACGAGGTATGCAACGAACACACGGCCCCAGGCCCATCTGCTTAACCCTCCAGCTACTGAATCAATATCCTAACTGTCTATAACAGTATCTCACGAAAGTCGACCTCTACCGCTACGATGAAGCCTGGGAACGTGATGCTATCGACGTCCTCCCCACCGTCTACACCTCAACTGGACCCCTTTCCACCACACCCCTCCAAGACATCGCCCTGAAACCCAACCACCTGGTCCTCGACCTCCGACGCCCCGAAGACTTCTCATCCTGGCACCTCCCCTCTTCCACCAACCTGCCCCTCTCCAGCACCGGCCCGCACACCCCCTCGCCGTTCTCAGACCCCACCATCCTGGAAGCGCAGTGGAGAGAGCTGGAAAAGCTCTTCAGCGAGCCACAGCTCCTAGCTGACCTGCAGCCGCACCACGTCCTGCTCGTGTGCTACAACGGGGACTCGGCGCGCGTGGCAACAAGCGTGCTGCGGGCGAAGGGCCTCGAAGCGGATAGCGTGCGTGGCGGGCTCCACGCGCTGCGGGCCTACGAGGCGGGGCTTGGGAATGGGGTTGTGGGGATGTCAGAGTCCGTGTCGAAGCCAATTGCGGCGACGGTCTCTGTTGCAGCGGTGCCCCTTGACTGACGATCGATCGGGAATGCGGGTAGTGGGGGATGAGGAATGTAGGGGGAGCGTGGCTAGGCCTGATGCGGAAGCTTCTTCTCTCCTTGTCTTCTTATTCTCCTCTTTTCAGTTTTTTTTTTCTTTTTTTCTTTTTTTCGTTTTTTCTTTTGTTCTTTTTTCTTTTTTTATTGTATATATGCGCTATATTCAAAATTGCTTGGGATTGGGCTTTTAGGCTTTGCTGAGCCTACTTTGTGAGATACGACGTTATGAGATCACAATGATAGGTGGTTTGTGAGGAAAGTTTACGATGTAGTATCTCGCGGCAGTCATGATCTCAGTTCCGTAGATTTGGAGGGCCGGTTCCTGAGATCTCCGTATCGGTGTATTGAGGGATGCTGCTTTTACGACGGGATGTTTTATAGTCTACCATTGCGTAATTCAAGGTTCAGGGTTCAAGATTCAGCTCTATACGGAAAACATGCTTCTCGTCGCTTCGGGCTTCATAGATATGGAGGATTCACTCTTTCAAGTGTTCTCCGAACCACTCAATAGCTTGCAGGAAAGCACTCTGCTTGGCGTAGCGAATCTGCTTAACCGAGGGATCGCCGCGCACTGCAAATCCATGTTTGACACCACTATACAGGTTCACCTGGTAGGGCAGCCCCAGCTCCCGGAGAATGGCTTCGGACTGATGACGCTTCTCGGCGGGGAATATATGATCGTCTTCAGCGGCAGCAATAGCAAGCGGCCCTTGGATTTCCTTGAGCTCGCTCTCGTCGACGTGCGATGGATGAGCAGTATAGCCGACATCAGCCTTTCCAGACCGTAGATGCCGAACGACGTATTTGCCGCCAAAGCAGTAGCCGACGAGGCCAATCCTCTGCTTCGTGTCAGGACCGAAGAAAGTTCGTAACTGAACAGACGAATAGATGACCGGGAAGGGTTTACCTTGGAGTTATACTTGGTCTTGAGCGCCTCCAAGCTCGCCGTGACAATGGGATCCACGGTCTCGGGGAAGTGGGATTTGCCCTCGGGGTGATACCCCCCCAGATCGCCACTTCTGCATATCAAAGTCGCCCGGTCTGTTCAAAGGAATTGGATCTCCAAAGAACAAATCAGGGACTATAACGAGATACCCGTTCGCGGCAAACTGATCAGCGACGAGCTGAATATTGGGAGTCCCATGGCCCGTGACATCCGTCAGACTGCTCTGAGTCAGAGAAAGCATTCAGGAAGATAGATTTTGCTTCTTACATTAAGATGGCATGTTCGGTCGATTTATCCGGGGGATAACTGGTATAGACTTCGAAGTCCTGCAGCCGAGACAACTCGCCGGTCGGCTGCCCCTCGTGCTTGAAGCCCTGGTAGCAGCATGAAGTAGAAGGGTAAGACGCCATTTTGCAGACACACACTTTTGGCAGGGATATTAGTTCGATTAGTATAAGAAAGGATACTCAAGACGCGATCGGGCGACCCCGCGCTTCTCGCAAGATTTATCGGATTTGCATCAAGTCCGAGCTCGGTCCGAATTTCTTTTTGCTCCCTAGTGTCCTCGAGATCCTCCCACAGCTCGGACTTAATCTGACGCGCAAAGACTGCACACGCTCGGCTCGGCTTCCTTGAAGTGTACAAGTGGCTCTCGGAGAACATTTGCCCGTAGTCGCATATGTCAGTGTTGGTATTGTTCTGTCCGGGTTCTGGGCAGCCATCGCAGATCCATTAGCGGCATTCCACCTACAGAGCGTGACATCCACAACCTTGTCTAGAGCCTGAATTTGGCTCTTTCTTTGCCTCGGATCAAATAGAAGTAAATCCAGTTAGGCTCTATTCACGCCGAGGTACTTTTTGGCGCCTTCACGTTGTCCGTGGCGCGCGGTATTGCCGAGCTTCAAGTTGAGCAACAGACAACCTAGGGCAATTGCTTCGCTATTGACAGCTCTAGAAGCCCAATTATTACGTGATATTAGCGACGCCGGTTTTTGTTTCATATTCGTAATGATGCATTCCAAATCAGGAGGAGTGGACATGTTTGCCAAGGCGCGTTTATTAAATTACTTTTTCTTCAAACAGAATAGTTATAAGCAGGTATCGTATAGATAATAGCCAGCATACTAGATGAAGAAACTCCTGCAAGACGAAAGTATCATAGAAGATGGTAAAAGCAGCATGGTGGCTGTCCCAATGCGGAAAGTGCGATGGAGCCGCAGCCAAAGGGAACTTCTATACTTCCAAAGTTAATATAGTACCGTGCCAACGCGATCATGCTCAAATATGCTCGACCCAGAAGGGAGGATGAAGGGAGACGCAGGTACTGCAAGCATATGATAGGGGAGACATAGTAAACGGGGCTCATTTCTCGGCAGAGTCTCCAACGTCCGGGCCCTTCTGGAATGTCACCCCTTGGACATCTCCCCGTCATCGTTGGACCGATTCCCGTTTTCGGTGCAACAAATGGCCTCAGCAAGTTTCACAATCCCCACACTCGTTATTTGACTTCTTCTGTCTCTTGGGTTCAAGTTGTGGGCTGGTTCTTGATTCCTACATCATCCCAGAACGTGGTGGAACACGTCCAACCAAGCCGGTCGGGCCAGTGAATATCTTTGATGCACCTCGCCCATCATGATGGACATGAACAACATGCATCGAGGCATTCCCTGGCTCACCAAGCCGGTGATGCTTCATTCCTCACGTGATTTCAAGTGCAAGCTGAACCCTGAGCAGTGTGCTTATCAAACAGGCCATTGGCGATTCTGGTATATCATTTCGGTGATGATTCCCTGGCCAGATGCTAATGTGGGGGTTTCCTTATAATTTAGGTACAAGGCCGACCTGGTTTACTCCCTGAACACTATCTACCTTTGTTGTGCTATCATCGGCGTCTTCACCATCGCCAATATCCTTACCCGCTATGCCCCAGACTGCATCAAGCGAACTCGAGTTTGGCGCGCGACGACCTCTGCGTCTCGCTACTTGGCATATCGAGGATATCGACTCCCAACTCTCCGTTACTGGTCTCCATCTTTGGGGGTCATATTGCTTGGTGTTGTGGGTTTCGTATTCTTCTTCGCCATGACACTCGGGCCCAAACCATACTACTGGCCTACTGAGGTCTCCTACGGTAGCAGTCCACCCATTGCTACACGCGCAGGGTGGATGGCCTTGGCATTGCTGCCTTTCATATTGTAGGAGACTACACACAACTTTGCAACTGCCGATTCTAATGCTTAACCAGGGCTCTAAGTACGAAAGCGAATTTGATCACTGCGTGTACAGGTGTTCCACACGAAAAGTTGCAGGTCTTCCATCACTGGTTGAGCTATGCTATGTTCGTGTTAGCATTGGTTCATACCTTCCCCTTCATCATATATCATATCTCGAAGGGAGATATGGTGAAGAAATGGAAGACCGACATGGTGTACTGGACTGGGGTCGTGACTCTCCTTGCGCAAACCTATCTGACGGTCATGTCACTCCCTTCGATTCGGTATGGTGTTGAGATCCTAGAAAACTGTCATAACCTGTGCTAATCTTTGACAGAAATCGCTTTTATGAGTTTTTCAAAGCCACGCATTTGGTCGCTGCGCTGGTGTTCGTGCTCTTCTTCTTCTTCCACTGCGATTTCCGACTGTCATCGTGGTATGCGAATATAATCCCTTGAAGATATCAAATTTCATCTTGCTAACAAAGTGTCAGGGATTACTTCATTGCGTCAGGCGTCATCTACATGCTCAGTTTGATGGCTGCAAACTTCAGAACGTTTCTGCTCAATGGCCTTCACACAGCCACTCTGGAAGTACTTCCCAGTGGTCTCGTTCGCGTCGCAGTACCAACCTTCATCAACTGGACTCCCGGTCAGCATGTCTATGTACGATTCCTGACTTCCGACTTACATCTTCTCACCGCACACCCTTTCACCATCTCCTCCGTTTACCACGACCCAGCGACTACAGGGAAGGTCTCGGAATTGATCTTCTACATCAAGCCGCGTGGTGGCGTGACTGGCAGAATCGCTGCCCTCGCCAAGAAAAAACCAGGCTGCTCGAAGAAGATCTTTATCGAAGGCCCGTACGGAGGTGTCAGCGCACACAACATGGCTCGGTTCGACACCATCCTCGTGATCGCCGGTGGCTCGGGTGGTGGTTTTTCGTTGGCTATGGTCGACGAAGCCCTCCGCCTATCCGAGCTTGAAGCTACTGGGGAGAAGCCAGCCCACAAAGGTCGTCGAAACTTGGAAGTCGTCTTTTCGACTCGCGACTCCGCCATGGCAGACTGGTACACCGCAGAGATCGAGTCCCGCCTCTCCCATTCGACCATACTTTCGCCGGCCCCGGAGATTGGCTTCGAGACCTCGGTATCTGTGCATACCACGGCCGCGTTCGAATCGGCGGCTTCGTCTCCGGCGCTCGGTTCGGCAAAGAACCCCAAGGCCCCGGCTGAGATCACGACTACTGGGTCCTTCAGCCTGAACGTTCACCGCAACGCGAGGCCCGACATACCAGGCCTCCTAGCTCGCACGGTCGCCATGGCCCACAGCCAAGAGACTTTCGGGGGAAGAAGCAACGGATCGGAGTTCTCGTTTGTGGACCCGCTTCAATGCTTCATGATACTCGGAATGCCGTAGCGGCCGCTCAAACGCGAGCTATGGCTGGCGAGGTCGAGGAAGTGTATCTGCATTCAGAACCATTTTCGTAAGTTATGTCTCTTCATATTCTTCCAGATCGATATCAGTCACTGACATCTATTTGACTAGTTGGTGAGCTTGGGTGGCTTCCGATACCGACGCAGTTAAGTCGCCACTTTTTGCTATTTGCATGCTTTTCTTCTATTTTTTTTGTAAAAGTTTTTTCGGCGTACATAGGATACCCGCTCATATAACAATTTGAGGGTCGATGCATCCTCTTTGGCTATCTACTAGCAATGCCAATGGCCTCTTCACAAGACCCCCCGGCCTAGGGGGATAGTTTTATATTACAAGATTCAGTCCCCTGGTTTAGACACTGCGCCAGTCGAAGCAACTCGACACTTTGAGCTGCACTGGTCCTTGGGCATTCGAGAATCTGCACCCTTGCAGCTAAAGCCAATGTGATGAATCACATCTAGGAAACTGTCCACGGGTCTGTATGAGTGTACATAATACAGAGCAGTCATGTGACCAGATAATTACATAACCATTTTTTGACGCCCCAAAGTGGGCTCGATGGTTCAGGTTGGCTTGAACCCAAGCCACTGGAGACCTGGATGCAGTGGGCCCTTGATCCAAGCGCTGAGGGCAATTCCTGTGGGAGTATCAACCGTTAATGCGCATCCGCTTCTCTCGATTTTCCGAGCGGCGGAGCTCTAGGAGATGTAAGGTAGTTTTGACAAACAGGGTAGTAACCATCAGTGGGGGGGGAAACGGTCTTAGGCATCCAGGCTGTGTTGCTCAGTTGGGTATGCAATGACGCGACGATCTGGGGGCGACACGTCGCCGAGGAGACCAACAATCTTCGAACCAAATTCGAATCTGACATGGCACTCACGAGATCAGCCATTCGCCAGAAAAGGCCCGGAGGTTGGGATATCGAACAGAGAGCGCTGCAGGGGCAGTGTTATTATACACGTAGTATAGCTGTAGAGCTGTAGAGCTGGAAAGCTGGAAAGCGAGAGGCAGATGGAATGATGTATCATCGAACCCTACAAAGTCCTCCGGGACTCCGAATTCCAGATCCCAAAGTCGTCGAAACGATAGCAAAGAGTCCGATCTCTACGGCGATCTTTCCAGGGCAAAAAGTCCATGTCCCACATCCCAGCCATCCCTCCCCCTCCGAAGTTCTACTGATTCGTACTGATTTGTGTGCCCCTCTCCATCTCCCCGACAATCTAGTCAGGGTAGTCCAGCTACCTGAGCGCGATCCACTCAACCCCCCCCCTCTCTTCCCCCACAACCTCATTACCTTCGAGGCGGAGTTCATTGAACTTGATGATGTCCTGGGCCTCCTAACCTTTCCACGTCCCGTCATCGCATCTGCGCCGGGCTTTCCTTTCCCCTTCCCCCTGCGCGCTTCTCGCGTGTGTTGTCTCTTCCCCTCTCCTGGCCCGACCGCAGCCCAGGGTAGATTAGGTGGCGCCCAATTCTTGCTTCATTTCCCCCTTTGAGGTCGCATCTGCCCATTATGGATCCTGGCTGGCAACCGCAACAGGATCCCCTGATGGGACGCCCAGCAGCGCTCAATGCTGGCGTAGCGGCCCATTCGCAGCGACTACCCTCGAAGTACGGTCAGCCACCACAGTCACAAGCCCCCGTCGGATACACGTACGAGACCTTTCAAACTCCCGGCAAGGCTCCCCCAGGCCCCAACTCGAAGTCCATGGCCTCGTCCCCCACCGCCACGCCACGTACTCGGGATTATGTCACCGATGCCGACACTGCCATGGAGGACGCTGATCCGTACAACCGCGCCAAGTATTCCTCGAGACAGACCCAGCACAGCCGGGCTTCCTCTCAATTCCTCTCCCAGGCCGAGGAGTCTTCCGCCGCTCGCAGATACTCGCCCATGAACGTTCTGTCTCCGCCGATGTCATACCCTACAAGTCCTGGGAAGCCCCAGGGCTACGGTTACTCGCCTTCGGGCCAGTCGCGACGGTCGCCTGCTCGAAACGAGTATGCGTCACCACCCCAGGGATACCAGTCCCCTCCCTGTGAGTCTGCATCGTCGCAAACAACCGATTGCCTGCTGACAATCCTAGCTTCCAACCGCACACCTCGACTCCCGCCGCTCCAAGCGACCGACCTCAGTCCCGATCAATACTACCCCCCCTCCGCATCATCGCACCTGGGTCCAGCTTTCGGCTCTGGAACCCGATCCCCCAGGTCGGGTTCACTGCCATCGCAAGTCCCTGGGCGAGGTCCCGTGCCCAGATTTCAGAAGATCCAGTCCGTGCAGGAGCTTCAGCCCCGCGTGCACGCTCAGCCCGCATATCGCCGTGCCAACCCGGAGGGCGGCTTCATCAGCGTAAGTGACATACCCATCCAGAACCCATAAACCCTTCGCCCATGTCTCATACTGACACTGCTGTATGCAGCCCCTGCAAGCTCTGACGAGCCACCTGCCATCGACCTATCGCATTTGCAACCCCAACTTCAACTATGAATCATCAAGGAACCCCCGACGCGTGTTGACGAAACCCAGCAAAGGCACCAAGAACGACGGCTATGACAATGAGGACAGTGATTATATCCTCTATGTCAATGACATTCTTGGAAGTGAGGAGGCAGGCCACAAGTAAATCGCCCACTCCCACGTTGCCGCTACGACATAGGGTCTAACACTTCTCTAGGAATCGTTACCTCATTTTGGATGTTCTTGGACAAGGTACCTTTGGTCAGGTGGTGAAATGCCAGAACTTGAAGACGCAAGAGGTCGTGGCGGTCAAAGTGATCAAGAACAAAACTGCGTACTTTAATCAAAGTATGATGGAAGTCTCTGTTCTAGACCTGGTAAGCCAGATACCGCCGATCAGTCTGAGTGTGTACTAAGTCCTCTCCAGCTGAATAGCAAGTACGACAAGAACGATGACCATCATCTTCTCCGCCTCAAGGACACCTTCATCCATCGCCAACATTTATGTCTTGCATTTGAGCTGCTCAGTGTCAACCTGTATGAACTTATCAAGCAGAACCAATTCCGAGGATTGAGCACAACCCTTGTTCGTGTCTTTGCGCAACAATTGTTGAATGCCCTCAGCTTGTTGAATAAGGCCCACTTGATCCATTGCGATCTGAAGCCTGAGAACATCTTACTCAAAAAGTCGGTCATGATTCCTACAAACCCCGGGGGTTTCCCTTCCCGCTCTTACTGACACTGGAGTCCTTGGACAGTCTTGAAAGCCCGATCATCAAGGTTATTGATTTCGGTTCTGCCTGCGATGAGCGCCAAACGGTTTACACCTATATCCAATCACGGTTCTATCGTTCCCCCCGAAGTGCTTCTTGGGCTGCCGTATGTTGTGCCTACCGTTTAGTGATGTTTATGAGACTAATTCAATTTTCAAGGTACTCTTCCGCTATCGATATGTGGTCTCTTGGCTGCATCGTCGTCGAACTTTTCCTCGGTCTCCCGCTCTTCCCTGGATCGTCGGAGTACAACCAAGTCTGTCGAATCGTTGAGATGCTGGGCCTGCCCCCAACATGGATGTTAGAAATGGGCAAGCAATCTGGCGAGTTCTTTGAGAAGACCCAGGATGAATATGGGCGCAAGACATATCGCCTGAAGAGTTTGGAGCAATACTCCCGGGAGCACAATACCAAGGAGCAACCGAGCAAGAAGTACTTTTCTGCTTCGACTTTGGAGGAAATCATCCGAAGCTACCCAATGCCGAGGAAGAATATGAAGCAAGCAGAAATTGAACGAGGTAAGATTCCATATTCTGTTTATCGTGCGATAATGGCTACTAACTCGACCTAGAACTGAACAACCGTGTCGCATTTATTGACTTTGTGCGCGGCCTACTGTCAATCAACCCCCTGGAGCGCTGGTCGCCTCAGCAGGCGAAGTTGCATCCGTTCATCACCCAGCAAAAGTTCACTGGTCCCTTCATGCCGCCGATGAACTTGAAGTACTCGTCTCTCAACAAGACCGTTGCTCCCGGTGTACAGCAACAGCAGCAGGCCGAGCAAGCCAGCAAGCAAAGAGCTGCCCAGGCTGCCCAGGCACAGAATGCATACTCCATGCAGCAGATGAATCAATATCACCAACCTCCTCATGGCCAGGCGCCCCCTATGTACAACGGAATGTACCAGCAGGGCGCGCCACCTCCTTACCCTACCCAGCCCCCGGGATACAACCACCAGATGGGCATGATTCCCGGCCAAATGCCACCACAGCAGTCCCAGCAATACGGCCCTAGCCAAAGCCTATACGCTCAAGCTACTACAAGAGCTGGTCGTCAACGAGCTTCGACCATGGATCACCAGGGTGGCGGCATCCCGCCTACCATCCAACGTGTGGCAAGCCACTTAGACCCGAACGCCCCCATCCGCCTGCAGCCTAGCCCGGCCTATTATCCCCCTCCACCAGATGGGTACGTCGACGCCAATGCTCAACGACGCCGTGGAAGCCGTGCTAGTGGGAATGGAAGCCAGCGGAATCGAGATTTCATTCGCACACTCGAAGACGGAGCTCTTGGTGAAACTTACATGGGCCAGGGCCAGGGCCAATGGCATTAGTGGACTTGTCGGCGTTCCCAAGGCACATGCATCGGATGCTTCTGCTGTGCCCTGGGGTGTGGTATATTGAATTATCTTGGTTTACAGTCAAGCTTCATCCTTCGATTCTCGCTTTCAGAAAATCCTGCAGAGAATCTTTTGATCTGCATGATGCTCCATTCTGCGATCTGCTATCTCCTGTCTGATCGCTGGCACAATCATGAGGAGTTATTGCTTGACTCGACATACCGTGGCCCATCCTGGCTTCGTCCCCTGGCTCGATTCTCAGCTATTTCTCGACTCCAGGCCATTGCTTCGGTGATCCACCCTTGTGGCCGGAGTATACTCAGTATTGCATGTGGATCTGAAAATAGCCACCAGGGGTGGAAATGCAGGATCGATACAAGGCTCTTTACGTAGCTCGTGTCGGCCACTACCGCGTCTCACAGATGAGAAGCACAACCTACTGAAAAAAGTGGTCGAGGTTTTTCTATGCTTCTTTTTTTTTGTTCTACTTTCGGACCTTGGTCTTGCGGGGTACCTTTCCTTTTGTGCTTGCTCTTTTGTGACGTTACCCTGCCCTGCAAATGATTTACACCGTCGCTCTGATGCGTTACGAACGACTTCCGAGCGATAGTCCTGTTTCTACTACTTCTTTGCCCCATTTTCATTTTGGCACATGTCTTTTCCCCTTCTCAGCATAGCCGGGAGTATGAAAGAACGACTTGATTCTTCTTTGTCTTAAGTAAACCCCGGATCCTCGTTTCCAGTGATCCTCCTTAAACGTCGGTGCGGGTGTTCGGTTGCATGGTTTCTAGAGACGGATATGCTGCTGCTTTATGGCGTCTACTTCGAGTTTCCAAATTTCATTTCACGGTAGAATAGTCGACGTGCGAGCTCGAAGCGGGAAGTTTACCTGGATAGCTGTACGTACTGGACTTTTCCGGGCAAGCGAGGCGTACATATTGCGGCTGCCGCCACTCTTATGAGGGGGAGATTTACCTAGGTAGGTACAATTTAGCATACATAAGCCATCTGACTTAGCGATAAGACGCACAGGAATGCCCTATAAAGCGCCATGAATTGAACTTTGGAATTAGCAATGAAATAATCCCTATTCAAGAGAATCTCCCTGTCTTATTTCGCCCTTATACTCCTGACTGATTTGGCGGAGGAAATCATCGGTGGCGCTAGTCCCGATTGGGTATAGTCAACCCCTCGCTTAAATTTCGTGTGTGGTTCTCGCTCCCGGGACATTCAACATAGTGAAAGGATCTGCCTTCAAACTGCCTTCGTGCACCGGATTACTACACCATCCACGATGTCACGATTCTTCTACCGCGGCGGCAGCGACAGCGAGTCCAGCTCCTCCGATGAGAGGAGGAGGATGTCTACGACCGTTCCGAAGAGGAGGAGAGCGACGAGGAAGAGTCCAGCTCGGAAGAATCTGGCTCTGATTCCGGTAGCGACGAGAGCAGCGATGTAGACGACAGCTCTCTGGAGGACTCGGATGAGGAGAGCGACGACGAGAAGCCTACCATCGTCAAGAGTGCCAAGGATAAGCGACTTGAGGGTCTGGAGAACACCATTCGCCTGATCGATAATGCCGAGAAGATCAACGACTGGGTTGTTATTTCGAACGGTGAGTCTACTCCGTGACTCGATGATTTTTTTTGGATTTTTTTTGAGGATATTGGCTGGGTGGGATCGTGGGATTCTGTGGCGGGGGAACTCAGAGATGTGGACTCATTTATTCCCTGGAAACTTGTGCTAATACAAAGGCTTTTTTTTTAAGAGTTCGACAACTTGAACCGCCAGATTGTTAAGATTACCCAGTCGGGCCCGACCCCCAAGCTCTATGTCAAGGCCGTCGCCGACCTCGAGGACTTCGTCAATGAGACTGCTGCCAAGCAGAAGCAGGCCTCAAGCAAAAAGATGAATGCTAGCAACCAGAAGAGCTTCAACGCCGTCAAGCAGCGTATTAAGAAGAACAACAAGGACTACGCCGCTCAGATCGACAAGTACCGTGAGAACAAGGAGGCCTACCTTGAGGAGGCCGAAGAGGCTGAGAAGCCGGCCGCCCCTGCGCCCAAGCCCACCAAGGTTGAGAAGATCCAGAACTTCGTCGCTGCTGCCTCCGCTGCTGCAGCCGGTGAGGATGATGGCTTCGCCACCGTTGGCCGTGGTGGTAAGACCATGCAGTACACTTCAGAGAGCATCCTCAAGCACCTGCGTACGATTGTTGAGTCGCGAGGAAAGAAGAACACCGATCGCATGGAGCAGATCAAGATCATGGAGAAGCTCCTTGAGGTCGCTACATCGCCCTACCAGCGTATCCGCATTTACCTGACTATTATCTCCACCCGCTTCGACCTTACCGCTAGCTCTTCCGCCAACTACATGAGCGCCGAGCAATGGAAGCAGGCCGACGACGAATTCGCCGCCCTTCTGGCCGTTCTGGAGGAGAACCGTAACATCATTGTCAGCGAGAGTGCTGACGAGTGGGAGGATGACGAGAAGCAGCCCCAAATTGTGCCTGGCGAGACTTTCTACGTGCCCGGAAGCATCGTCTCCTACATTGAGCGTCTCGACGATGAGCTCACCCGCTCCCTGCAGCAGATCGACCCTCACACTGCCGAGTACATTGAGCGCCTCAGCGATGAGCAACAACTGTACAACAACATTGTGCGGACACAGCTTTACGCCGAGAGCTTGAACGCCGGTGACAAGAACGATGCCCGCCAGGACAGCGTTAACCGTGTCGTTATCCGTCGTTTGGAGCACGTCTACTTCAAGCCTGCTCAAGTGGTCTCTATCCTCGAGGACTCCACCTGGAAGGCTCTTCCCGAGGAGCTGGACTCCCCTGTCACCCCTCGCAGCCAGGCCGGTGATGTCTCGGCTCTCATCCAGACCCTCACCAACTACCTGTTCCAGTTCAGCGACGGCATTATTCGTGCTCGTTCGATGCTGTGCCAGATCTACTTCCTTGCCCTGCACGACCAGTACTACCGCTCTCGTGACCTGATGCTCATGTCCCACCTGTCCGAGAACATCTCCAACTTCGATGTCAGCACCCAGATCCTCTTCAACCGCACTTTGGTTCAGATTGGCCTGTGCGCTTTCCGCGCCGGTCTTATCTACGAGGCCCAGAACACTCTCGGTGATATCTGCGGCAGCGGCCGTCAAAAGGAGCTACTCGCTCAGGGTATCATTCTCCAGCGCTACTCTACTGTCACCCCCGAACAGGAGCGTTTGGAGCGCCAGCGCCAGCTGCCCTTCCACATGCACATCAACCTGGAGTTGCTTGAGTGCATCTACCTGACCTCCAGCATGTTCCTCGAGGTTCCCCTCATGGCTCAGACCTCGTCCTCCCCCGAGATGCGCCGCCGCATGATCTCTAAGACCTTCCCGCCGCATGCTCGACTACAACGAGCGCCAAGTCTTCACTGGCCCACCCGAGAACACCCGTGACGGTGTGATCATGAGCGCCAAGTTCCTCGCTGCCGGCGACTGGAAGAAGGCCGCCTCGATGCTCGCCTCCATCAAGATCTGGGATCTGATGCCCCAGCCCGAGAAGGTCAAGGAGATGCTGTCCCAGCAGACTCAAGAGGAGGGTCTGCGCACTTACCTCTTCACATATGCCCCCTTCTACGACAGCCTCTCCATCTCCTCGCTGGCTGACATGTTCGAGCTCCCCGCTAAGAAGATCACCGCCATTATCAGCAGGATGATCTCACACGAAGAGCTCGCTGCGGCTCTCGACCAGGTGAACGACGCTATCGTCTTCCGCAAGGGCGTCGAGCTTTCCCGCCTGCAGTCCCAGATCGTCACCCTGGCTGACAAGTCGATGGTTCTCCTCGAGTCCAACGAGAAGACCCTCGAGCAGCGTACCCAGGGTATGGCCAATGCTTTCCAGCGCGAGCAAGGCCCCGGGGCTCGTGGCGGCCGTGGCCGCGGAGGTGCCAACCAGGCCCGCGGTGGTCACCGTCTGCCGGGCGGGCAGGGCCGGAGACCAGGTGGTCAGCAGTTCGGTGGCGGTGCATTGGGTGGTGCTATCAAGGCTTAAAAAGGGGTTCGAGTTCTTTTTCTTTTCTACACCCGGTTTGATGTAATGGCATGTCTTTTTCTTTCTCCCCTTTTACCACCCTCTCCTCCATATCCATAAAGGCTCCCTGTCATCCTCTTTCCTCTCTCCATACCGAGTTCCTTTTTTCCCCTTGGTTCATTTGTCATGGTTCGCCCCTTGTTCTTTCTCATGCCGTTTCCGGCGCGCGAGTAGTATCTCCCGCGTTGGCTCGATGACTCAAAATGAAATGAATATAAATGGTTAGAAAGTACATCTGTCCTGTTCGATTTGTGCTGTGTAGAAATGAGCTGTAGGAGTAGTTCTACAAGCGGAGAACGTCCCCATCCGCACTAGCACACTTGAAGCGCTAGGTCATGGGGATAGGGGAGTGTTTGTAAGATCCTCAACTTGAGTTGTTAAGATTGGATGAGAGCAGTCGTTTCAGCGTGCTAATTTTCATCTGTATTTCATCTGCGGGTGTCGGCCGCAACAATTGAATTACGCAGTTGATACTTACGCCCAGGCTAGGTACTCAACTGACGTTGACTTTCTTTTCTCCATCTTGTTCTCTCTCTGTCCTCACCATCTCATATCTTATTACCCCCTGGCTTTTCCAGGACGTTGTAGCGAGTCAAATACCACATATGGAATCAACTCTCACCCTTCCGTCGAAGGCTCATTCGATCAAGTCAAAGACAATGGCTACTGAGCAGGATTCAGAAGAAAATATGGATCAGCAGGAGAGCCAAAGCAGCCGAAGCAGCCGAAGCGAGAGAGCTTTTGGGGGCTCAAAAGAGTAAGTGGACCGTTCTCTGACAAGCATATGCTCTAATGAAATTCAGTTACGACCTTCTCTATGGTGATTCCCTGAACACGATCGAAATATCCGACGAATTAGATTGCAAGATCGAAGTTCATTCCAGACATCTTAGCAAGGTGGCACCCTCATTGGCCACAAAAACCCGTTACGAGACAATTGGTTATGTGTCTCCGCCGCGAGCAAAACATGTCTTCATGCAGACCATCCGTCTACACCTAGTGGAGGGGTTCACGACCTACGGTAGTCTCCAAGGCTTTGCTCGGTGGATCTACACTCAAAAGATCGGTTGGGGCGACGACCACGAGTCCGTGATCACCCGGTGTATTGAACTCGTCCAATTCGCAGACCTGTACCAGATAAGCTCCCGCGAGGCCGCAACTGTCCATCATCTGATGACACTTTCTCGCGAACGGGGCGATGGGTTTATTGCCTGGAAGGAAGGCATATTACTGGAGTGCCACATTTTCGCCGCCATGCAGCTACATCCCATGCGGCGGTCCATTGTACGGGCCACGGTTTACAACTACTTCAGCTGGCCTCCATGTATATCGAATGCGGTGAAGAAATGCCCTCTTTATGGTTGTGCACCGAGCTACTATATTTACCGGGAAAGGTGGCTATGTGGGCCGCAGCTCGAGCTCCCAGGGTCGACTGATCAGCCCCGGAGTCAGTGTGCATCATGAGTCATGCACGGACGGAGTTGCTTTTTGGTGGGCTCGCGGAGACTTCCCAGCACGGAAATGAGCATCGAAATCATATAAGACCAACCTATCTTATCAATCAAATCAGATCTCCCGCTACAAGTCCCCAAGCAAGCTTCTTCAAGAGGAAATGGGCATCAACCCATCAATCGGACTCTGGGCTATGATTCAGAACTAAAGCCCTCGCTATATGAGCAGTGCATTGCTCTACAGATTTGTCTGGTGAGAATAATTTTTCATCACAGTTATCGCTAGCCAAGGGTCGAGGGCAGATCAGATCTTCACTTGCGCATACACTAATCTCTCCCACTCCTCAATTTCTCGAACGCAAGAAGAAGTTAGGGCGGCAAACAAATGTGATGACGACCAAATCTTCCGATAGGGAGGCCAATGAGCTCCGTGAGCCGAGATTCAGGGTTGGCGCGCTACGCATTGAAAAGCCTCTCCGCGAAAGCCGAGCGCACGCCGCTGATGGTCTACAGTATAATACGGCGCACCTCTCGAAAACCCCCTCTTCAGCTGCACTTCTGTTACGGCTCAGTCCGACCAGGAGACTCTCCAATCGAACCGATTATCCCTAAGCAACGGCCCGCATGATCATCCTCGACTTTTGTGTAGTGGTGGATCTGATACCCGGAACGAAACCGGCAATTTTGACGATCCCCTAGCCGACGTAACATCATTTGCTTACTTTTTCGAACCAAATCTCTTGTTCATCCAAACCCCCTTCCTCCTTCTCCCCTTTAGCAGCCCCGTGTCTCGCGTGGAAGCTCCGCCATTCGGAATGATACGCTACACCTCGCATAGATGATGGAGGGATAGATAAGAGATGCTCCCGGCGTTGATGCAATTAGATCTCGCTACTGATTTCGTCCAGGATTTGGAACAGAGCTTGGTTCTGCACCCGACAACAGTTGCCTTCTCGATCCACTATTATTGCAGGTGCCAACCGCTGCCAGATCTCATCCATGTCGATACCACGAGTGTTGTATTGGCAAATGAGATCATGGGCTTTGGTGTGCAACGTTGCGTCGGCAGTATCCATTTCTTTCTTGTCCGCGACATCCAGTCCTTCTCCAGCGGGGCTTTGTGTTCCTGATTCCGGTGTCTCGAGGTTCGTGTCACGGTATGGCAGATTTACTTCGGTTTGACCGTCGTTAGGTGCCTGCCCGATCTGGTCGACCTGGTGATTCGATCCTCCAGAGGAAGCGCTCTTCTGGTTGGTCCTCGATCGGGACCTACTTGCGCTCGCCCTAGGGGCGTTTGGCGCAGCTGGTCGTACGAGGCCGGGAATTGCAATCTTGTAATCCGCCGCTACGCCTGGACCTCGAGCTTGGGAGCGAAGGTACTCCTGGATCGTCTCGGCTGAGACATCCAGGGTACCTAGCAGCTCCCGCAGGCATCCATTTTCTGCTTCAAGGGCCTGGAGTTTCAGGAGGTACTTGATACAGTCGACCTTGGCCTCGCCTTTGCAGGTCTCGAGTCGCTGCTCCAGCTCGCGGATGTATTCTTGCTTCTTGGCGCGGCTCTTTCGTTGGTTTTCACGGATACGTGCGAGACGTTCGGAGTGCTTTGCAAGTTGTCAGTCGAGGTTTCCGGCGAAAGAGAAAGAACATTGCTCTCAGCACTGACTTTTCGATCGCTGTCCTGATCCATGGGGGAGCTCGTCTCATGCTTGCTGTTTCCCAAGCTGCTCAAAAGAAATAGCGAAGAACGACTCGCCCTGGAAATGGGGTCCTGGATGGCCGCTACCTCGATTGGCGGTGATGCTGCCGTTCTTCGTGCACCACACTAAATCCTGTAGTAGAGGCACCTCACAAAGGTACCCAAGCGTTTACGAGTTGACCAAACAGCCTAAACGGGCTGTTCTGGAGGAATTGAGAACGATACGTAACGTACGTAATACCAATTCCGGTTTCCATACAAGGGCCGATCAATGTTGCAGGAGATTCTCCATTCGGGTACTAAACCCAATGAAGAATATGGACATCTAGAAAAGCCGCGTGGGCAGACCAGCGATCTAGACTGGGTTCTTTCTCTGCGTCTAGCTTGGTCTGCTTGTTAATCCCGGCTTTGGGGCTTAGGGAAACGGGGCAAGATTCGTGATCGGCGCCGTTAAGACCTCGGCTTTTACGGTACTGGAAGTAGTCAAGAGGGAAAAAACCGGGGGATTTCTTTTTCATTTGGGCTCTACTACACGACACGCCACCTCTCCTCGCGTAAGTTGATGTCTACCGCCTTGCCAACACATTGGCGGTGTTCTTCTTGGCTCTTGGTTATCTGTGAGAAAATGCCAATGTTACTGAAAATGTACAAAAGACGCCAAGGGCCAAGGAGGAAGAGGGGGGCCCTACTAACTCTGGGCACAGGAACACCCAATCGTTCACCTCGGTAACAAAAGATCTGTGTGTTCTGAGAAGCTCCAGTATTGGATTGATTGGTTGGAACTAGTTCATTATCAGCTCAATTACGAATCCAGTCAAAGGGCACCCCCCTCCCCAAGGCTATACTCACGAGAGCAACATCCTCAGCATCCTGGAGAGGAGAAATGGATCAGCTTGTTGACCAACTGGTGGTCCTGAAGATAATCATCAATCCACCGATCAACCGCATTCAGATCCCACTGACCTCTGGTCGGTCTCAAATGGGGATTATCACGAGTGATGGCGGAGATCTTGTGCTCGATAGCGCGAGTCGATCGGTCGTAGCCCCGGCGCTGGAGGAGCGAACGCACTGGTTTCGGTTGGAGCCCTCGCGACGTAAAGTAGAGCATGATAATCGTCTCTTCTCGCGACCATTCCGACATTGGGGAGCCTCCGCCCCTTTCAGAGGGATACTAAAAAAGATTCCAGAAGTTCTACATGCTTCTTTAACAGAACAGTCCCCTGGTCATGCGCGCCCTTGAAACGCCAAGTTCGTACTTGCATAGTGTCGCATCCTTGTGGATCGCGGACTCCACCCTCAACTGATAACCCTGAGCTGTTACAAAAAATCCTGACCAATTACTTCTTCGCGTGCAGGGGATCACTTTTGACCGATTTCCGCTCTGGGGCCCCCTCGCCAGGGCGTAAAGAGCCTCGGGCAACTGCCCGCGCTGAGCGCCGACGTAAAGATTTTCTCTTCATGATGCAATATTCCTTGTTTTCATTGCTAATCTTCATCCGGCTTGCGATGAAAATATACGGAGACACGGCGATCAATTGCGCCAGAGCGGATCCCTGCTAGGGTGCTTTTTTTTTCCCTTCCCCCCCCCCTCTCGCGATATCGAGGTAGCATTCTCCTCGATATCAGTTCAGAAACTTGTCCAGTTGGGGAGCAGACAAATGAGATATATATGGCATTTGAATCACGCCAACGCCGGTCACCCTCTAAGCTACAAATACAGTTTCCACTCCAAGATTGTCATTTCTGGATGGTAATGCTATCTACCCCCTCGTGGAGCAGGATCTGCCGCACATAGTTCCGATACTGGCTTTGCCAGCCCACCGAATTCCAGTAGCGCAGCTTCAGCCCTCGCTCATGGGCCTTCCGCACATGGTCTCGTATCCTGAGGATCTGCTCCTCTGCAAAGCCCGCTTCAGACACCTCCCCGATAGTCTCATGGAAATCGACCGACACATAGTACACATTCCGCATATTAAACTCCAGCTCGTGATCCCAGGTCTGCGCGGGCGTCGACAGGACGTCCGCGAGCGGAAGATCGTAGAAGATGTCCCTGAAGGCACTCCCCTCCGGAACACGGTGGAACGGCGCATCGCCCGAGGCGACGATGGTCACCGGCCCCTGCACCAGCGTGGAACCCTCATAATGGGTGAGATAGCCCGCTTCACGCAGACTCTTGAGTTGCGCGCTCAGCAGCGCCCAGGCCGTCTCGGCATTCTGCTCGTTCATGTTCAAGCGGATCAGCAGGACCAGGCTTTGCCTCGGGTTCTCCAAGAAGACTCCACTGATTTCGCCGTCATGCATGCCCGCACGCAGCCTTTGCCGGGGACGGTTATGCCGTCGAATGAGATCCAGGAGTGGGTCGAGGTAGATGCCGTGTAGATCGAGGCCGCGGGCCAACGTGTCCGGGTGGTGGCCCACGAGCAGCTCGCGGCCGGACGGATAAACGGTTATTTCGATGCCCGTGCAGCCCGAGGCGATGGCATCGTGGAAGGGGATCTGGTGGCCGTGGATGTCGTAGGAAGCGCAGACGGCAGGGACTGCTTGGCGAGATTGGTAGTGAGGAATATGGAAGATGCGGTCTTGGGGATGATCCACGTGCTCCTTAGACTCTATTGTGCTTTCGAAGAAGAGCGCATCTTTCTGCTGGGCCAAGTGCAGAATTTTGAGAATGTACCTGGAGATGCATGAGTTCGATCTGAGGGTTTTTTGCGAGGGTTGTGGTCGGTCAAGGATGGATTCGCTTACAAGATAATCAGCAAACCCCAGAAACAACGCCTTATCACCAGTCTAGGAAGGTCACGCTTGGCAGGCGGACTCGGAGAGCCGCTCTCTGGGTCATCAGTTGTATTTCCCTTGGTGTCTTGGCTTTCTTCTGCTGTGACCCCCGGAGGCATGAGTTCCCAAGCATCTGAAACCCTAGTAATTGACGACATAGTCTACCTCCAAGGTACGGGGAAGCCAAGACTGAGCCAAGCTTTGGCGACGAAAAAAAAAAAGTAATTAAGTTCACTTAGTACATCTTCAGAGATCCTTGCAAGAGTCTTATTCACTTTGAACCACAAGCTGCCACCGCCAAGACAACGTGTATCGCACTCTAAAAAATCCGTCTGCCTGAACTATGCGGGCTGGGCCAGAAAAGAAGAAGAAAAAAGCCTTCCGCGACAGTCTCCATTCCGAATTGAGCCCCGCTAACCCCATAGGTCGATGAGACTGTGCTAGTATACAATAAGCCAAGTCAACAAAAAAAATATCGAAAGTGACGCAACTGATTGCGTGGGCACGAAATGGATCATCAGAGCATCTGGGGCCGGGTTTCCGGGAGTGCTTGGTAGAAAGCTTAGCCTCAGGGACCAATCCAGGGACTCCAGTGACATTCAACGGGTCCTCCCCGCTGCACTGCCTCGTTTGAGTACGAGTCAATCCTAGACCTGGACGTTAGAAACGAACGGACCCTGAAACGGACCGTGCTATGGAGTCTTACGATCTAACCGTATCGTACGGAGAAGGTCAGCGAATATAGGACTCCCCCCGTTGGTCGCTTTGCTCGCTACTTTGCTCCACTGGAGCACGTTGGCGCAGGAAAGGGGAGACAGATGGATACTCCAGCGCGGCCAGTGTATTTACCAGGTATAGGATACGGAACGGCGGTGATACAGGGCGTATTTACCAGTTTCTGTGTGCTTCACCCGCAGCACGATGATCTGGGTTTGTTGACCTCCGGTAATCCCTGCAGCTTGAAGACCAAAACGCAAAGGGTCGAGAGGGACCGTACGTGATAGACAGTCTACTCAGCGCCTAGAGCAGAGCACAGAAGCACATTCTAGCGATTGGATATCTACTTTGAGATATTTCAGATAAAAGGGTCAGTTTGAGGCTGATGGTAGAAAATTTCCGTACCATAGTATCCACCAGGTCAAGCTACGGAGACTGCCTACCGGGACTGCCAGTAAGAAAAAAGCCCGGGAGGTAGACAAAAAGTGACGAGTCATGCTCTGCCGCAATTCCAAGGTTGAGTTTTTGGCTGCGTGCTGTCAATTGTTAGGCAGCCATATTTGCTCCCGCTTCGAAATCCGAATCGTCCCACTTAGGGCGGGAGCATCATTGGGAATGTATACGTAAACTCGAATTGACCAATCGTTCGTCGTACCCCGGTCATGATGACAGGCGTCTCGTATTGGGGAAGATCAATAACCTTATCGAGGAGTCGGAACTCGGGTCCCAGGTGGAGCAGGACTTACGTGGCTAAGGACTTTGACTGGAGACTTGACTAGACTCAGTACCAGGACATTGATCACTACGGGGGAAAACATACGATTGCGGGTTGTCTGAAGCTCATTAATTAACGGAAATCCCAGACCTAGTATCGCTAATTGACGTGAAAATACACAGCCCGTGTGCTACCATAAACAACCCGTAACGAAGTAAATCGTGAAAAAAAAAAGCTTTTTTTGGTTTTGGTTTGGACGCCAATCGACCGTCATGACCTGAAGGAACTACATCTAGTTCATCTGGCGGATGAGGGCGTTGATGTTGTCCTCACGGTTACCGGTGTCACCACCCTGGATGTAGTGCTTGAACTTGCGGGTGCGGAAGCCACCGTTGGGGTTGGACAGCTTGAAGGGCCACAGGAAGTTGTTGGCCTGCTTGAAGTTGGGGCCGACAGTGTAGATCTCGTGGATCAGATCCTCCATACAGACAATGCCGTACTTGCCGAGGGCCTCCTCGATGATCTGGTTGTCGGTGAGGGGAACACGCTGCTTGTCGACCTTTCCGTAACCGCGCTTGTAGAGGAGCTCACGGACGGACTTCAGGTTGGGGTAACCGTAGGCAATGTAGGGGTTGACAATGGTCAACATCTCCTGGGTAGCCTTGGTCAGGCGGATGAAGGTACCGCTGTTGATCTGCAGCAGACGGAGCAGCTGGAGAATCTTGCGGGGCTTGGGAGCGATCTTGTTGATACCCTTGATACGGACAACGAAGACCAGCTTAGGCTCGTCATCGACGTAGAAGTTGCCCTCGGCACGGGCAGCACGAGCCAGGCGGATCTTCTCACGCTCGGCATCGCGGTACTCCTTGACGTAGGACTCGGCGCGCTTGAAGATGACAGCACGCTTCTCCTTGTTGGCCTATATGGATCCCATGTTAGTCAAGGTTCCAAGTCACCATGCGTGAGACACAGATGCAGGTGGGATCAACAAAGTGTCAGACCCGAAAGATGGTTAACAAGCGACAGCATCGGCCTTTTGGGCCTAGTCGCGTGGTTGGTGTTGTCATCAGGAAGTTGGGGAGGCAAGGGAGGGATGTGGAAATCGGGACGAGAGTGAGAACTGACCTGCTTCTTCTTCTCGGCCTCAGCACGGCGCTCAGCGCGGGCAGCCTCCTGGGACTTGCGCTTCTTGAGGAGCGTCTCGGGGACGAGGACGTGGTCCTGGGTGGGAACGGAACTGTGGAGGTTAGTATAGTCCATCCGCAAGAAGCAAAGACTAAACAATCCGCCGAGTGTAAGAATTGCAGCTATAGTGCCACATTCTCGAACTGAAGGCAATGATAAGATATAACTCGACGAAATGTCTTTAGTCAGTGAGGGCTATGGTCAGGGGCTTTAACGGTCGATTTTTTTTTTCCTTGCTACTATTTGGCAATATTTCAGCACAAATTTTTTCGCAATGAAGAAAAAAAAAATTCGACCATCCGCAAAGAACCATATCTGCCTTCATCCGACAACACCCCGAACAAAATGTTCAGGAATTATGTGTTGACGCTTTTCGATCCAAGTGTGATGACTACTATTACCGTATCAAGCACACAGGAAGACGATCGCTGTTCAACAATGATTTTGGAGGAGAAGGCGTAGCAAGCTTTCAACCTCAAAACTCCATAGTCTCCGTCGGCGGGCCTGATAAAGATGCGTGACGCAAATCAAGGTCGTTCGAGAAGGAGAACGCGGAAGGATCGAGCTGGTGCCTGACTGTCGTCAACCTTGACGACAGCGATGGCATCTCCAGCGAGAAGGACGACTATACCTGGAACCTCACAATCTCGAAAGATTGGATCAGTCAGAGAGGATTAGGGAAAAGCATACGTGGTAGGGGCCATTGCGACGGTCGAGGCGAGTTGGCTGGTCGAAGGTTGTCGTGGAAAAGTTCAAGCGGAAGAAAAGTTCGAGAGACGAAGAAATGGTTGTGTGGGCGGGTCATGAGAAGCTAACCATAATTGGAAAGATGGCTGCCAAGACCAAACTTTCCCCGATCCAGAATACCATACCCTTATCTTCACGTGACTAGGGCTAGCCTCCAGATACGGATCCATTGGGCATGACGGCATGCGCTCCCAAGACAGGTGCTCCTATCTTCCCCGCAACTGTTTCTACCATCCAACAATATCCCACGCACGAGATCATGTCGCGCCGGGGTGTTGGCCTCGGGGCCTTTGCGAATAGAACTCAGGCGACTCAATCCTATGCCACCCATGGCGCGAACCTCAGATCTACCCACCTGGCGTCCCTCCAAACTCAGCTCTCTGTCTTCCAGTCGCTTTTACATACTTTTGCACTTGAGCACAGCTCTACTATTAAATCCAACCCTACATTCCGTGCTGAATTTGCGCGCATGTGTAATACAATCGGTGTCGACCCACTGGCAGCAAGCAACATCAAGGGCAAGAATGGACGGCGAGGGCTGGGCGAAGGGGGTAGCTTTTGGACCCAGATCCTCGGAGGAGACATGAACGACTTTTACTTTGAAGTTGCTGTGCGAGTGGTGGAGCTCTGTAGAGAAACGCGAAGTGAGAACGGAGGTTTGATAGGCGTCGAGGAATGTCGGAAACAGGTTGGGCGAGGGAAAGCTATCGGTAGTGGACTAGAGGTTTCAGCGTATGCTCAGCCTTTCCGGATCACTTCTTGACCATGGGGGACTAACCGGGTGGAAATGTTAGAGATGACGTTCTTCGCGCCGTTCGATCGCTTGAGCCTCTTGGCTCTGGATTTTCCATTGTCAATGTTGGCTCCAAACAGTACATCCGGTCCATTCCGAAGGAGCTGAATACCGACCAGGCTACGGTCCTAGATGTGATCCAAATGCTCGGGTTTGTGAGCGTCTCGATGCTACGTCTCAACTTGAATTGGGAAAAAGCTCGGGCGCAAACCGTGATCGATGACCTCGTTGCGGACGGGCTGGTTTGGGTGGATGCCCAAGGCCCGGAAAAGGAGTACTGGTCTCCGCAGAACTTACTGAACGATACTTGAAGGCTGCTATCACCTCGCACTTCTCAAACTTTCCAATCAGGTGCTATAGGGGATATAATCCTGCAAACCCGAGCTCGGTTACATTTCTCCCCTACCGTGGGGTGAGGTCCGGTACATGAGCCACGATTGATGTGAAACTCAGACACCTTAGGATTCATAATGCCAGGTCCTTTCTCGGCTTGAAGTCTGTACTCGCCCGAGACGACACAAAAAGAGTCCGACCAACGACCAGGAATCTAAAATCCGAGGAGGAAGGGGTCACCATGATCATAGAAGATGGCACCTGAGAATGTTGTACCAATACCAACAGTACAGATAACTTTGGACGAGAACGAGTTCAAGTTAGACTATGATTAGACTTTGACTGCGATATGTTCACAACGACCCGGGATACCCGAGACCTGCAACATATATTTCCAAACATGGTATCCTTAACATTAAGTTACGTCCTAGATACACGCCGAGAACGAAACGAAGCTGAAAGGACAGTTAAGTCCATGTTTGAAAGAGAAACTTACTAGTCATTAGCTTGGGCTTATTCACATGTTGCTCGAATAAAAAATAGGTCTATTAGGAGTAAGAAGTTGATCATGAACCCTCCGGGTCTTATCGCGATAAGTTTGCCCAGGGGTGCTGATTGGCCGAACGCCACCTGCAAGGAGATCAATAAACAAAAACATTATATGAATGCTTGTAGATATAGCAAGTCGAGATAGTAGAGAGAGATTTGTCTGTACAGAGGAATTTAAATGTAAGACGTCCTCTAGAGATTCTGGTCCATGCCTACTCCAGTAGATCTGGCGGGCAATGCTACAAGAATATAGCAGATCCATGGGTTTAGAATGTTCGGGTAGAAGTGGATCTGTCAAGATACAGCAAGAGGATTGTTTACAGGATCTTGACAATTGTTTAGTTGCGAGATCTTGATTAATCAAAACCTGCTGTCCAACTCAATCAATTTGTGTGGCGAGCTAGAATTGCCAGCTCAGAATTCGTTGTGTGGTTTCCATGTGAATCAAGTACGCAGTATGGGCGAGCCTCCTATAAATAGGCCGGATGTCTCACAATGATCCTGACCAATTTGGGCTTAGCCCCGCAATACACTCCAGACACTTCTCTGTCTCGCCTTCGACTTGCTTCTTCTGAACCTCTTCACTTCCTCTCGCTTTTCATGTCACTCGTTTGGCTCTTCCTCTCGCTACATTGCACCTCATCGCCCTCGTCCTCGCCAAAATAGGGGAATTCTGCTACGGACGCCAGGCATTCCTGTGATCGACACCCGGTCCAGATCGTCAGACCAGCCATTTTTCCCGCTCCGCTTTGTTTGGGTCACCCGGTCGCCCATACTTCTTCAGCCAAACATTTTGCCATCCTCCTAGTGAAGCTGCAAATATCCATCCACTCTCCCTGGGTACCAGCTTTGACTTGGTCGACCGTCGATCTAGACACCTTCCACTCCGCAAGGGGTGACAGATTCCGCTCGGTTATTTCCGATCAAGGGCCATCCTCCTGTTTCTGATCATCGACCCCCGTCAGCACAGACGCCTCCGCCACGATGCGGTCCTTTCTGAGCATCTTTTATACCCTTTTTCTCCTAGCAACTATTGCATCGGCCTGGTCTTGGCAATATGGTGATCTCCTCGGTCGCGGTGACACCTTGGAACGGCGTGCAGGTATTGATGGATTCGTCCAATCTCAAGAAAACACTGAGCTAATTTGCATAACCAGATGAATCATCGACAGCCAGTAGCTCGGAGCCAAAAATGACCTCTAGCCAAGCTTCCTCAACCGGCACAGCATCCGACGCTTCCACTACCGGAACTGGGACTGGCAAGGAGACGGGAACTGCCACGGAGACCGGCACTGCATCAGGCACTGCATCAGGCACGGATACCAAGACCAAAGATCATTCCACCAAGACAACTTCCATCTCGATCGATCCTGCCGCGGGTGCCGGTGGCATCTCCATGATCACTCCTGCTTCCACCACCACCACGTACTACAAGATCGGCCACAATGTCACCTTCGTTTGGAACTACACTTCGCTCTCAGTGACTCCATCTGCAATTGACGTTGTTGCTTCTTGCAGCTTGAACAGTGCTACCTATACTCTCACCTCGAACATGAGCGTCAAGGAGACGGGCTCGTTAGTCTGGGACACGGGCAAATACCAGGCCAACCCAACCATCCCTTTACTGACTGCAACCTACACACTGTTCGTTGTGGATTCGGAAAAGTCTCTCGATGACACCCCAGAGGCCGGTTACTTGAGTTCGAACGTGGGCTTCCCCTTCGGAATGTATATTGGGTCGAAACCAACCCCGCTCAACGGTATGTGAAACTAGCCCACCCTGAATACCTCTTCCATGAACTAACGAAGGACACAGAGTTTCTCTGCGTCACATGTAGCAGCGCTATGTCCGAGTTCCAGCGTACCGGCCTTACTTTTGCAGCCGGCATGGCCCTGATCACGGTGCTGTCGTTTACCTGGTTCGCGGGAACATTCGGGCTCTTCTCACTCTGATCTCCACTTGTAATTGTCAAAATGAGCATTCACATGGATATAATTCTACGAACTGCGGGTGTTCTTTGTTTGAAAGCGACTTGGGTTCACGACTATTAGCAGAAAAAATGGCGTTTGTTGATATTATCGGGATGGATCATTCTTGTTTTGCCGTCTGCATCGGGTTTTGACATGCATACGCATATCAAACTCCAGGCCTTTATTATTTCGGCTGGAGTTAGTTACAGACTTACCTAATTGAATTGCATACTTTCGCATCTGTCCTCTTCAGGGCTTTGTATAGAATCTCTACGTTAGAGGAATAAAGACGGGATGGATCCCAAATATCATTTCAAAAGGTTTCTCAGCATCATAATGTCTTAGCGTCTAGTAGCTCGAAGGAAAACTACCAACAAGCAGGAGACAGCAAGCAGGGAGAGATGGCACAGCACCTCCATTGTCTGACCAGAGCTAGACACTTGCCAGAAACATGAGCAGTCTCCGAAATGCATTACCAGCTACCGCAATTCGACAGTAATGACCTTTGATCATGGTAGTACTGTCGGTCAACATTGCAGATCGCGATGAATGTTCTTTCTGTTCTTACCAATGTAGGATTACTGGACCCGCATACAAACGGAGGGAGTCAAGGGGAATTCTAGAAAATTGTGCGTCGGGAAGAGATGAAAGAAAGAAGCAGCAGTCCTTGTCAAACTGCCGAGATGCGACAAACAGTACCATGTTGTACCAGCATAAGATCTTAGGAGAAGACTTAAATTGCTCGCAAAGGCTCTACTATAGGCAAGTCTCATCTCCCATACAAATAGACCAAATCATTCTCATAGATCCTGGTGTCTCCACTGAGAAAAATCATCCCAAAGCAGTCATTCCATTCCATTTGTTGTCTCAACCTCGATATACAGGATTCGAAGATGGCTCGGATGGGTTTCATCTGGCCTAAGGACCCCCAACCAGGGAACCCAGATAGCTGGCCACGACGCTGGCGTTTTACAGATGTCCTCCACAACATGGGACCAGACATCTATGTCGGGCCAATTGGGAAAGAGAGAAAGAGAAAGAAAGGGAGAAGGAGAGGGAGAGGACGTCCAGAACAAGGCGTCCCCAAAATACACTGGGACATGTGGGACCAAGGCCGAGGAGAGCAAGATGGCTACCCCCTGCAGGCGACATATCCGGGGCCATTCTATGCCTGCAATCAAAGACTTCATGAACCAGGGCAGCAGAGCCACCCGTGGTTGGGGCCAACCCGCGAAGGCAAGATATATGACTATCGCCAGCGCAAGTACATTTTGCCGGATGAGGGAACATGGTCAAAAGTGGAATACTGCGACTTTGAGAACCCACGCAGTTTTCTGCGTCGTCGCCGAGAGGGTCAGCACTGCGTTCCGGTTCAATACCGTGACAAAAATGGCATGATGTATCCGGCCTACCATTGGCATGATCTTATCCATGGCCGTAAATGCAGGGAATTCCCGGCGCAGGATTCGTCGCCACCTGTTCCTCATGGTGATCGTTCTGGCAATGGCTATCATCGGCCGGGTCATACCTCTCATCCGCCTGATGATCCTCGGCCACCCGGCAATCGCCGTCCACGCAATCCTCGCAATCCGCCTGGCAATCCTGCGTTTCTTGGTGGTTCCCAGCCACTGAATTCAGGCTGGCCACAAGCGAATACTCGTAATCCGCACCGAAGCTACAGGCCAAGACGAGGCGAAGATCATCATTCTGATGACAGTGGGCCCACTGGATCTATTTACGGGCCAGCCATGCATACACATGACATGGAAGAGGCCATCCACGAGAGTCGCAGGAGTAGTACTGCGAATATCCTATGGTCACAGTCGACTGCTCCTGCGATTGCCCAGACGGCGCCACGTCATGCCCCTGATCCGTTCGCACCCTTTGACCCCAGCAGCCTCTATCCAAGCCAAGGATCGAGCAATAATGGTTTCAGATTTCCAGTTTCCTCGCCTGGGCCTAGTCCACGTTTCCGGTCTCTGCCTACTCAACATGGCAACTTCGACGACTTCACTGGCAATGAAGCAAGTGAGGATTTCCCAGGCCATGACAGACGGGGAAGACGACGTTCGATTAAAGTTCAACCGGAATGCCGCACCAAGCCAGCCGCCCGGTCAAGAGCGTGGCTCTGGGGCCATTGATTGCGATTTATGGCTACCGGCGGCAGACTTATATTGGAGCCAGCGTTGATTCATAGACAGTCTGGGTGATATGCGTTAAAGGAAAATATCTGTGTACTGTCGGTGGGTTGTTCAGCGGGCTGTACACGGCGAATGACAGGGAGTTGAGCGGCGTTGTTGGTAAGCTTCGTGCACTTGGCGCAAGGGGTCTGTTTAATTTCTGCATATGAAGATATCATGTCCTTTTTCAAAGTTAGCATTTTTCAACCAACTTCGCACCCTCTTAGTTTCGGTAGACAGATAGACTCACTAGCAAGAAAGCCAAATCCCATTTACGAGGACGTGAGTCCAGGCATTCCAGGATGGCAAGTTCAAGTTTCGTTGGAGACCGACCGGAAGCCACCTTATTAGCCACCTGCCAGTTCGCAACACCAGGCGAATCAGGCTCCCTAGTGCCTTCAAGCAAAAAGATCATACCAGCCCTTGCCAGGGTGACGGCAAATTCAGGTTTATCCTGGTTTTTGCTCCGAATGATATGTACACCAGGTAGGTCGCGCTGGGAGAACCGCTCGATAACGGATCTCCATCCTCCCTCTGAAGAAAGGGCCTTGGCACGTTCCGTCTCTTCCTCTTGCCTGAGACGATCTTCTTCTGCGCTCTGCTTGGTTGTAGTGAGATGCGCGAGGATAGAGGCGTAATCTTTCTCCCACATTCCAGTCGGCTGAACCAGTTGGCCATTCGATTCGTTTATGCGCGTTTGAACGTGGTCCCACACAGGCTTGAGCTCCGGGCTACGCCATAGGGATTGAAACTGCTCAATGTTGGCCAGGCCTTCGCGCGCTGCTATTTCAAGCCCATGATGGAGGGTCGATGGGGACGCGGCTTGATCGGATGGGTTGTTAGAGGTTGAGATCGGGGCCAGAGGGCTCAGGATACCGGCCGGTATGCATTGGCGCAGCTCGTGGATCTAATATTGTCAGTCTGCGGGGAACATGCTTGCAGTTGCGGAAGCCGTGCGGGGTTGAAAAGTAAAGGAATAGACGACATAAACTCACCTTGCGCTCAAGTTCTTGAAGCTTGGCCAGTGAGGACACAAGCTGCACCTCCGATTCCCAATCGACTGTGGGGGTTTCGGCGCTTGTAACCTTCGTGTCTGCCCCTTCTATCTTCGCTGGGATACCATTCCCTGCCGGCGCAGCTGATCCGGGTACGGGGGGGCATATTCTGTGGCACGAGAAATGCTCCGTAGTAGCTGAAGAGGCCGACTTTATTGGTTCAATGTAGTGATTCAGGTCGAGGCGCCCTGTACGTGGTCGTGGTTTTCCTCCAAGCGACAAGATGGCTGGCAGATTCTTCGCATGAACGAAACAATTGAGTAAGTAAACGGAGTCAGACTGGTAGGCAGAATCTGCTGAAGTCAGACTGACCAGGAAACCAGTTTGGAAGGTATCAATCAAGCGACAAGAGAAGCTGCGATCGCGTCCGCGAAGGAATGGCCGTCAAGGATGCGCCACACTCAGCCACCTGTGGCATAGCCTAATCCTTATTTGGTAATGATATGCATAGGTCTACACGCGCGTGCCCGAGTGACTGCAGGTCAACAAAATCAGAAAGCCTCTGACTGCTCTGGAGAGAAGGCGACTATGGAAATTATCAGATTGGAAATATGCTCATATATTAAGGCCTCATATTAAATGAGCCTCACGGCTGCTTCTAGTACATCCAGGGACGCTTCATGGACGAATCTGAGCGCTCTTGTGGTATTTGTCACTAGCCAAATAGCCAGAAGATGCAAGGGTGCTTTAAGCTTTGGGGGTAATCCTAATGCAACTTTTGCAGATATCCTCAATTCCAACGTACACTAGGGACACCATATTACCTAGCGCGTCATGTGCTTTGTGGCTGGAAGCAAGAGTCCAGATTCCATAATACTTGTACAGTCCAATTGGCGAGGAAGTGGGCCATCGAAATAACTTAGACCTATTTCAAGTAAGCTTTGACTATCTCAAATCAGACCTAGATTACTGCTTGTGTAAAGAATGAAGCCCCATACTAGCTGCGACTCCAACGAACGTGTAGCAATATACTATGTAGACTTCTCTCGCGAAGACCAGGTGAAGCAGGCATTCTTGATAGCTGTTGAGATGGGAACCACGGGGACAATTTACAGTGAGGATCACAGTGACGAAGAAACTGATACTGCGGGTGTTGAAACTTTTTGAATTTACCATGGCATTCATACAAGCTATGCCCCATATTGTAGCATATAATGTAATGAAATGTACATGGACGGAAAAAAGATACTGCGTTGTTCAAGTTGTTCAGATCTGAAAGCACACCCACCGCCTCTCAAACACCCCCAACTCCATCCCCTGCTACCACCTTCATAGTTGCGCCATATCTCCAATAAACAAGCCTCCACAATGTTTCGCCAGCGACTCAGGCAATTTCGCAACCTTGTAGTCAGGCCGGCTTGGCAGCCTTGGGTGGGTACTTCTTGCCATCCTTCTCAACCTGCGGGGTGCAGGCACACCACTCATCTGCAGGGATGGAATCCATGACAGATGGAATGTGGCTGCCGCAGCCAAACCAAGTGGCTTTGTCTACTCCTTGGTTAGATTCACCTCTTCTCTAGCCTTCCCGCTTGTCACTTACTGCAGGTAGAGCACTGAGCTTTCATGCACATTGTAAAAGTGAGATTGCAGGCAAAGACTTGTGTCCGTGGAAGGTCTTCAAAATAGATATTAGGGGTGTGATACGAGCGTAAGTGGGGGTGAGGGGAGAGTGGTTTTATATCGCGGTTTAGCCTCGGGGCAACCTGAGATCTTAGTCATGGACGCCGATGGTGAAGCCCGATATCCCGATAAGAAATTTACTGTGAGTAATCTAAGGCTAGCGTGCCCAGTGGGGATCCTGGATTAGGCAAGGACCACAATCATTGTCTGTATTCTATCTACACTGCAAATCCCCGATTCTATGAAGTCATTGGAGGGCAATGAGGGCCGGCGTGCTCGGTGGGGCAAGCGCGGGGGTTAGATTCCCGCGCGTGTGCGCGCGTTTTCACTCTGACAAGTGCGCCTATCATTGAACCCTCCTATAGACCATATCTTTTCAGTTAAAGGCAAGATTATAGCCTCATCATGCCTGTTATCGCGGTAGCTGGCGGTACTGGAGGTGTGGGGAAGACCATCGTCGAGAGATTGGTCTCTGAGCCCAAGCACCAAGTCATTGTATTGTCACGGCAGGTGAGACAAGACCGGTTTGAAAGGGCTAAGTACTTACAAATTGCTAAGAAGAACGTGCAGGGATCGATTCAGGGTCTTTCATCATCTCGGTTTCAAAGAGTCCAGATCGACTACAATGACATTCCCTCGATGGCCCGAGTGTTGGAGGATGTCCATGTCGATACTATCGTCTCCGCGATCGGCCTTGTCTCCGATGAGACCAGCCAGGCTCAGTTGAACCTGATCGAAGCGGCCGAGAAATCCCGTACCACAAAGCGATTCATCCCAAGCGAATTTTCTTTTATCCAAACCGAAGAGTGTGTACCACGACCCTCTCCTCCCTCCCTTGTCGGTGATTAACAACGCATTAGACTACTGCATATAGATCCAAGCATCAAGTACTGGCTTGATGCAGCAAACAGACTCAAGTCCAGCTCTCTGCAATTTACCCGAGTCGTTCCGGGATTCTTCATGGATTACTGGGGCATGCCAAATATTCAATCAAATCTGCAGCCATATTCGTTCGGTATCAACATCGCCAAGCACTCGGCCGCCATCCCGGGTAACGGAGACGATGTGATCTGTACGACATACTCGTACGACATGGCGAACTATTTGGTCAAATTACTCGATCTTGACGAGTGGCCTGAGTTTAGTGTCATCGTCGGGGACGAGGTGACCTACAACCAGATTTTAAAGATGGCCGAAGAGTTTACCGGTAAGGCTGATAGCTTTAACGAGAATGACGTCGCACGGTCATATCCACCTACTGACGCAATAATGTCCAGGTACCAAATTCGAAGTGACCTATGATAGCGTAGACCAGGTCAACGCGGGGAATGTCACCATACCTCCCAACCCCCCGGGTACCAAATACTCCGAAGAGGAAATGCGTGAGGTAACTGCGCTAGTCAGTCGGCTCACAGTCAACGGCGTGTTTGAGTTACCAAAGGAGAATAGGCTAAATGAGCTATTCCCGGACATACACCCAATTACAATGAAGGAACTTTTGGAACGAAGTTGGAAGAAGTAAATGAGTGACAGGTCGATTTAGAATTAGTTCAAATGAGCCGCAATGATAAGTGACCAAGAATATAAAATCGGAGGAGTTCCCTTTCCCCCCCCAAAATAAGCAGCTTCTCCAACTCGAATTATTTTGACGAGATGAACGTCGAGACGCAACCATTCGCAGAAGCCACCCACTGTGCTTAAGGCTCCAAAGGTTGCAAGTTTCCCTAGGTGCACAGAGGCGCTGCACCATAATATCCCACACAGACAATGTGCCCAGGTATAAGGTTCGAGCACTGAGGGTTGATATCTGGATTCCAGCACAAAAGTTGCCCGACAGTCAGGGTGTTCTCGTTCCTGTTGACAATATCCCAGCAAGTATCGCCATCTTGAATTTTATAATATAGATTGCCTTTTTCAAACTGTGAGCATTCGAGATCGCATCACCTATCAATCCAACTTACAGCCCGTCCACTTTGTTTCGTTATTCTTGCTCATTTCCTCCTTTTGTATTGCTGCAGAGAAGACGAAGTTGCCCAAACCCAGTGTGCAGAGCAACCATGTGCATAAGTCAACCATTGTGATAGATGAGTTTGCTGTGTAGATGCTATGATTTTGTTGATTGAGATTGACCTGGGAGTAACGTTTTCAGAGGACCTCGTGAAAGCAGCTTATATAGCCACAGAAAGTTAGGAGATGAGCAGTTGAGTTTTTTCGAAGCAAAGTGCACTGTTTGATCTATAGACTGTCATGAAACCCCAAGTAATTTGACATGCCAGTATCCGATGACTATGGAGAAGTCTCACAAGAGAACAGCATGTAGTCGAAGCGTTTGAGGGTGCCGCATTGTAACATGCGTGACTCCTTTTCCTGCTCGTTGTACAAGTGACAGGCGCTCACCGCTGTAACGTTAGAGTAGTTGACAGGGAAAGCACACCGAAAATATCAAGCAAGAGCCTTTTATTGAGGAAAAGCTGTTATGTCTCAACCTTCGGGGCCCCTGGTCATCTGTTTTTGGCCAGCAAGATGCCTTGTAAGTTCAAAAGCCCTGGTCTGTTCTACTGTTACATCATGTTGATCTACAACCACTGTCTCCAGAAGGTCAAGTATTACCACCTTTTGTGGGAACACAGACGTATGGATGCATGGAATTGGTATGACATTTGCTGAAACCAGCGCAGTATCTAGGAGTAAACTAATGTGACTTGCCATGGGTGGCCTGACTGATGGATTTGAGAGTGTCCACGGGTGGTTTGTGTAACCCTTGAAAACCTGGACCAGCAAGTAAATAAGGCAGCTCGCTTTATTGGGAGCTAGGGCTGTTTAGAGTCTATTTCTGCGAAAGGATAACTGGGCGGCCATTTCCAGCCAAGAGTTGAAATAAATTTCGCCAGACATCAAACATTACGCGAGCATCTCTTTGCTTAGCCCGAACAGGTATCCTAAACGGCACTGAGCATATGATTTCCGGCGCGGGCTGTCAAGTTAAGTTGATGTAATCAACCAAGATAACTCCATGGCTATGTTTAGATTCGGTTTGCATACACAAGCGATTGAGCATTCAATCATAGAAGCTACTTGATGTGGGCCAAGCTCGGCCCGTAGAAAAGAAGAGGGTATCATACATACAACAAAGGTGGTAGACATATTGTCAGCCCACTGGCATCCGAGGCAGTACCCAATAAATGACATTTAACCCTACCTTGATATTAAGCTTATTGCCGGTGCTAGTAGGCCAGGCAATGGCTCTTTCACCCTTCATTTCCAGAAATCCCTTTCTAACTCAAATTTTGTATTAAAAGGAAGTTTTCCCTTTCATTGTTTGATATTTGGTACCTATATATATTCAATGTTATATTGACAAAAGGATCTACGTATCCTTATGCTCATGAGGTGCTGGCCTGAATACTGAAAGTTGGTTCTACTTCCTTTTTCGACTACGCAAAACGCTTTGAAACAAAGCCTTTGAACCTATACAGTCAGTGCAGCGACCTCGTTATAAGTAACAGTATCTTTCCTCCATATATGCATGGAAATTCATTGATATCCCAAGTTTGAGACAGTGGTGCCATCAGTCTGACGGTCTGGATAGCCTCACGTTAGCTTCTTATTTGAGTTCCTTTAGTCATCCGTATTATAGCCTTTGCTGCAACCCAGTGCAACATGAATCCTGAAGTATTCGAAAACGAGCGACAGAACATCTGGGCTTGTCTCGCCTCCCTCTCTCGAGAGACTCATCTTCACACAAATGAGCACATTGCTGAAATTCTTGAGCTGAATGGCGGCAAAGTTGAGCTTTTCAAGACCCTTACTAGCCCAGGGAATGTCTCCGGTCAATGTTTTCGTAATAGATGTGAGATGATCAAAATGGTCATGTTCGAGGTAAGTGATAAGCTCTTGCATCGGCCAGCTCATTCCGATACGAGGGTCCCCATGAAACATGAAGTCGTTACGGAGCATGCCGCATTAGCTGACCAAGGATCCATCAACTCCTGCCCCTGGAAGGCAACATATCGGCTTGTAAGCCAGATCAGTCGCAGCATTCTGATAGAGATCCTGGACATGCTTGCGATTTCAGTTGGTATGCTTACTATGCATCCGTATGATGACCAGGATGAGTTCTCTGTGACAATGGCCACACAAGCATATGCCAAAGATCAAGCCTGGGTAGAGGTACCTCTTCAAACTGAGACCTGGGCAGAGCAAAACTATCTCAGTTCTATGTGGGGATTTTTGCAGTACATTACCTCGAACTGCGATTGTAACCTCTGCCAAGGAAAGTATTCGCCGCAACAAGGCTACTGAGTCGGACCGGCCGTTATGGAATTTCCCTAATAGGTCGGTGGCATCTACAGTGATATACAGCCGAAGGTTCTTTGGCATATGCCAAACAAATAATTTGAATCTAACCTGCCTTACTCCAATAAATGTCTATTTTCCTCTTAATGATCCTATGAAAGCTACGCCTATTATATAATAGTGTCTAGTCCTACATGACTGCGCTTTTTCTATGTCTGTTCATACAGAGGTTCGAGCCTTAACTGCGAGCGAATAAGATAATGCCAAGCCAGGTTTCCTAGACGTCCTGGTGACTGTGCTAGATTTTCCCAACTAATACCGCCTAGTTGTGGTGACTGCTAGATCGCAGCAGTTAGGTCTCCGTGATCCTAGAATAACGCTTACGGAACTTTCCAGATAGGCAATGTTCAAGGGAACTAGAGAACTAGGAGTGACATTATCAGAACTCTGTAACTAATGAAGTTATAGCAAAGTGAAGGATATTGCCACCGTTTGGTGTGTGAATGACTTCAAGCAGCAAGTACGGTTCGTAGTGGCCGTATACAGATAATTAACGAGGCAGTTTTAGGCAACACATGAACATGGTCTTACTATGAGTTTCCGGAGTAGAGCCCCATTAAAGTCAGAACGTGCCCACTGCCATTTATAGCCCGCAGAAAGCAAGTGGGGGCCGTGACGCCAATCATTTCATACAAATTTCCATCCGCGATGCGGGCCAGACGCCCCTTGTCACGTGACATTCCCCCCATAAGCGACACCTCAGCAAGGACAACAGCGGACCTCCTGAGGTCACTTCCGCTTCCTCAGATTCCCTTGACTCCCCCTCCTCCTTTCTTATACTTCTTCATCTTCTCTTTCGTGACTCCTCCTTGCAGAGTTGCTTCCTCTCCTTTCCCTAATTTCTCTATTTCCTTTGGGCGTTCACTTGGGTGCATTAGGTCGTGCTGCGGCCTAAGTAAATATGGCGGCACTTCCCATCAAGTTTACGGAGCTGGTCAATGTGAGCATATCCGCGTCCATCATGGTACTCCATCTCTTGGTTTCAATGGCTAATCAGAATCTTTTCATAGTTGACCGAGGTTGGCATCGCGGTTCGTTTCCCTACCTGTACTTAGCCCCCAGGGTTCTGCAACGCGACAACGGGCTGCCCGGCTTTCCCGGACGCGCGCCCAAGCGGACACCTGTTATCTGTTGGCCGACTTGACTAACCTATTTCCTCAATTACAGCCTGCCTCCATTGGCTTCACGTCATGTGTAGGTAATCCCTCATCAACCTAAAATAAACAGACAGCGGGGGCAAGAGCTGACCGGCGATGGCCGCATCATAGACCCTCGAATCCGACCACTATGTCTGTGTACGCCAGAAGCTCAACGAAGATGAGAAGCCACAAGTCATCATCGTCAACCTCAAAAATAACAATGAGGTCATGCGCCGACCCATTAACGCCGATAGCGCCATCATGCATTGGACCAAGAACATCATCGCCCTCAAGGCCCAGGGCCGCACAATCCAGATATTCGACCTCGGCGCAAAGGCGAAGCTCAAGTCTGCCGTGATGAATGAAGATATCGTTTACTGGAAGTGGTTCAGTGAGAGGTCTTTGGGTTTGGTAACTGATAGCGCAGTGTACCACTGGGACGTCTACGACACTGCACAGGAGTCCCCCGTGAAGATGTTCGATCGACTTCCCAACCTCTCGGTACGTTGAAGGGCTTTGTATTATGCGAATTGACTGACTAACTTGATGTTTCTTAGGGGTGCCAAATCATCAATTACCGCGTCAACTCCGAAGAGAAGTGGATGGTCGTGGTTGGTATCAGCCAACAACAGGGCCGCGTCGTGGGCTCAATGCAGCTATACTCGAAGGAACGTGGCATTTCGCAATTCATTGAGGGTCACGCTGCAGCATTCGCTTCTATTCATGTCGAAGGCTCTCCATTACCACACCACCTCTTCTCATTCGCCGTGCGAACCGCTACTGGTGCCAAGTTACAAATTGCAGAGATCGACCACCAAGAACCCAATCCACGATTCCAAAAGAAGGCCGTGGAGGTCTTCTTCCCCCAGGAGGCCGTCAATGACTTCCCCGTGGCGATGCAGGTGTCCACCAAATATGACATTGTGTATCTTGTCACTAAATATGGATTCATCCACCTTTACGACCTGGAGACTGGCACCTGTCTGTTCATGAACCGTATCTCCAGCGAGACTATTTTCACTACTGCTGCCGACGCGGACGGTGCTGGCCTTGTGGGACTTAACCGTAAGGGACAGGTCCTCGCTGTCAGCGTCGATGAGAACAACATCATCAACTACTTGATGAGCAACCCTGCTATGTCCGGTCTTGCCGTGAAGCTCGCTTCGCGTGCTGGTCTCCCCCGGTGTTGACCACCTCTACCAACAGCAATTTGACAACTTTATTGCTCAGGGTGACTATGGTGAGGCTGCTAAGGTCGCTGCCAACTCTCCTCGTGGCTTCCTTCGTACTCCCGAGACCATCAACCGCTTTAAGTCTGCCCCTCAGACTGGACAGATGTCTGTCATCCTGCAATATTTCGGTATGCTTCTGGATAAGGGAACTTTGAACAGATACGAAAGTGTGGAGCTTGTCCGGCCTGTGCTGCAACAGAATCGAAAGCACCTGCTGGAGAAGTGGCTGCGTGAGAATAAGCTGGAGGCCTCAGAGGAACTCGGAGACATCATCCGACCATACGACATGGGTCTCGCTCTCGACGTGTACCTGAAGGCGAATGTTCCTCATAAGGCTGTCGCCGGTTTTGCTGAGACCGGACAGTTTGACAAGATCCTTACCTACTCTAAGGAGGTTGGATACCAGCCTGACTACACTCAACTTCTCCAGCACATTGTTCGTGTCAATCCCGAGAAGGGTGCTGAGTTTGCTACTCAGTTGGCCAATGAGGAGTCCGGTTCTTTGGTTGACCTCGAGCGCGTTGTGGATGTCTTCATGTCCCAGAACATGGTTCAGCAAGCTACTTCCTTCCTCCTTGATGCCCTCAAGGACAACAAGCCTGAACAAGGAAACCTGCAGACTCGTCTGCTTGAAATGAACCTGATCAACGCTCCTCAGGTAGCTGATGCCATTCTTGGAAACGAGATCTTCACTCACTACGATCATGCTCGCATCGCCAGTCTCTGTGAGGGTGCTGGGCTTATTCAACGTGCGCTCGAGAACTCGGACGATCCCTCTGTCATCAAGCGTAACATCGTACGCACCGACAAGCTGAGCCCCGAGTGGTTGATGAACTACTTCGGCCGCTTGTCTGTTGAACAGACTCTGGATTGCCTTGACACCATGCTCGAGGCCAACATCCGCCAGAACTTGCAGGCCGTTGTCCAGATTGCTATCAAGTTCTCCGATCTTCTGGGCCCTAACCGCCTCATCGACTTGTTGGAGAAGTACCGCACTGCTGAGGGTTTGTACTACTACCTTGGCAGTATCGTCAACCTGAGCGAGGATCCCGAGGTGCACTACAAGTACATCGAGGCTGCCACTCTTAACGGCCAGCTTACCGAGGTCGAGCGTATTTGTCGCGAGAGCAACTACTACAACCCAGAGAAGGTCAAGAACTTCCTCAAGGAGGCTAACCTCAGCGAGCAGCTTCCTCTGATCATCGTTTGCGACCGCTTCAACTTCATCCATGATCTGGTTCTTTACCTTTACCAGAACCAGCAATTCCGGTCCATCGAGACTTACGTGCAGAATGTCAACCCATCCCGTGCCCCTGCTGTTGTCGGGGGTCTCTTGGATGTTGACTGTGATGAGAACATCATCAAAAATCTTCTCGCTACTGTCAACCCATCCGTCATCCCTATCGATGAGCTCGTGTCCGAGGTTGAGAACCGTAACCGTCTCAAGCTGCTGCTACCTTTCCTTGAGGCTACTCTGGCTTCTGGCAACCAGCAGCAAGCTGTCTACAACGCTCTTGCCAAGATCTACATTGACAGCAACAACAATCCCGAGAAGTTCCTTAAGGAGAACGATCTCTACGATACTCTCATTGTCGGAAAGTACTGTGAGAAGCGTGACCCCAATCTCGCGTACATCGCCTACCGCAAGGGTCAAAATGACCTGGAACTCATCAACATCACCAACGAGAACTCCATGTACCGTGCCCAAGCTCGCTACCTTGTCGAGCGTGCTGATCCAGAGGTCTGGCACTTCGTGCTGAAGGAGTCCAACATCCACCGTCGTTCCCTGGTGGACCAGGTTGTTGCCACCGCCGTTCCCGAGTCCACTGAGCCTGACAAGGTCTCTGTTGCCGTCAAGTGCTTCCTTGAGGCCGATCTTCCTGGTGAACTGATCGAGCTGCTCGAAAAGATTATCCTGGAGCCCTCACCTTTCAGTGACAACACTAGCTTGCAGAACTTGTTGATGCTGACGGCTGCCAAGGCTGATAAGGGTCGTCTGATGGACTACATTCACCAGCTTAACGAGTTCTCTGCTGATGAGATTGCTGAGATGTGTATCAGCGTTGGTCTGTACGAGGAGGCCTTCGAGATCTACAAGAAGGTCAACAACTACTTGGCTGCCGTCAGCGTCCTTATTGAGAACATTGTCAGCATCGACCGGGCACAGGAGTTTGCCGAGCGTGTGGAGCTCCCTGATGTCTGGAGCAAGGTTGCCAAGGCCCAGCTCGATGGTCTTCGCGTCACCGACTCTATCGAGTCTTACATTCGTGCCGCTGACCCATCCAACTACGCCGAGGTCATCGAGACCGCCACCCATGCTGGTAAGGATGAGGACCTCGTCAAGTTCCTTCGTATGGCCCGTAAGACCCTGCGTGAGCCCGCTATCGACACCGCTCTCGCATTCTCCCTTGCTCGCCTTGACCAGCTTCCTGAGCTCGAGGACTTCCTTCGCTCTACCAACGTTGCAGACATCGAAGCATCGGGTGACAAGGCTTACGAGGAGGGTTACCACCAGGCTGCCAAGATCTTCTACTCCAGTATCTCCAACTGGGCCAAGCTTGCTACCACCTTGGTCCATCTTGAAGAGTACCAAGCCGCTGTCGACTGCGCCCGCAAGGCTAACAGCGTCAAGGTCTGGAAGCAGGTCAACGAGGCCTGTGTTGAGAAGAAGGAGTTCCGCCTTGCCCAGATCTGCGGTCTTAACCTCATCGTCCACGCCGAGGAACTTCAAACTCTTGTCCGCCAATACGAGCGCAACGGCTACTTCGATGAGCTCATTGCTGTCTTGGAGGCTGGTCTCGGTCTGGAGCGTGCTCACATGGGTATGTTCACCGAGCTGGGCATTGCCTTGTCGAAGTACCACCCGGACCGTGTCATGGAGCACCTCAAGCTTTTCTGGTCCCGTATCAACATCCCCAAGATGATCCGTGCTTGCGAGGAGGCCAACCTGTGGCCCGAACTTGTTTTCCTGTACTGCCACTACGATGAGTGGGACAACGCTGCCCTCGCGATGATGGAGCGCGCCGCTGATGCCTGGGAACACCACTCCTTCAAGGATATCATCGTCAAGGTTGCCAATCTGGAGATCTACTACCGCTCGCTCAATTTCTACCTGCAGGAGCAGCCCCTTCTGATCACCGATCTCCTCCAAGTGTTGACTCCTCGCATCGATGTCAACCGTGTTGTGCGCATCTTCCAGAGCTCCGATAACATCCCTCTGATCAAGCCCTTCCTGCTCAATGTGCAGACCCAGAACAAGCGAGCTGTGAACGATGCTATCAATGAGCTTCTGATCGAGGAGGAGGACTACAAGACTCTCCGTGACTCCGTGGACAACTACGACAATTTCGATGCCGTTGATCTTGCTCAACGCCTGGAGAAGCACGACCTCATCTTCTTCCGCCAGATCGCCGCCAGCATCTACCGCAACAACAAGCGCTGGGAGAAGTCTATTGCTTTGTCTAAGCAAGACAAGCTCTACAAGGATGCTATCGAGACCGCCGCTATGTCTGCCAAGCCTGAGATTGTTGAAGAGTTGCTCCGCTACGTAAGTGGAAACGCCAACCCTACCTCAACCTTTGAACATTGTCAACTAACAATAATTACTATAGTTTGTGGATATTGGCAGCCGTGAGTGTTACGTCGGTATGCTTTACGCTTGCTACGACCTCATCCGCCCCGATGTGATCATGGAGATTTCATGGCGCAAGGGCCTGCATGACTTCACCATGCCTTTCATGATCAACTTCCTCTGCGAGCAGACCCGGGCCATCGAGACCCTGAAGAAGGACAACGAGGAGCGCAAGTTAAGGGAGAAGAGCCAGAAGACCGAGGAAGACAACACTCCTATTCTGGGTGGCTCGCGTCTCATGCTTACCCAAGGCCCGGGGCCATCAGCCAGCCCTGCGCCGTACGGGCAAGTCAACGGCCTCACTCCCCAGGCCACCGGCTACCGGGCTTTCTGAGACTGATGCAACGATTCCCTCATATGTTTGTCATGCGCCGTTTCTTGCTCGATTTTTTTCTTTTATGTGTACCATAAAGCGAAGTGATGACCCCTTTGGTGTGCAGCAAAAGTCATGAGACTCCGGGGTTAGATGGACGGGCGGAGAGATGTGCCATAGGAGGACTTTCATGATGGTCCGTTAATTTGTTCTCTTTTATTATCCAATGTATTTTCCACCGGTTTTGCGTTCTCTTCTGCCCCCCTCGGCCTGGGTTGGTTTGATAGTAATCTGCATTGCGTTCCTTTATCAACCACAGAGCTATACTGTGCTCTCTGAATCTCCTAAGCTTTCCATCCATCCGACCTGACTTCTCATCCCACGTCACCACCCTGTCTTGTAATGGTTCATCTCTAGACCTTGCCTTTTTCCCATGGAGCCTCGGCCTCGGACTACAACCGTCCAAAATAAAAGCAGTATTCCCCTCCTACCACCACGTTCTGCTTCAAAGTCCCAGCTCCCAAAAATGTCCAATTAGTAGCAACTATGAATCAACCCCGGAAAAATCAAACCCATAGCCGCCCCGCCAAGGCAGCACGCTGCGGATCCAGCCTCACGTAGCAAGCGCCAAGCGCGCCAAGGCTCACCGACTATCCAACACGCCCGCCCAGCAAATGATCTGCCGTAGATCCAACGCCCAGAGCCTGATGTGACGGTGTCTTCTGCTAGTTTGTACGACCGGTCTCAAGGAGGTTCATATATGCCAGGTCTAGGCCGGGCTGCTGTGGCGGTTTCGGAGTTATAGCATGGTCTTGGTGCCTTGTTTGGTGTATAGGGAGCTGCTGTGGTCTTCGGGTGGTTCAAAATTTGGGGTGATATGCTTACAGATCTTCATGAGTTTCTTTTCTCAGGCCCCGGAGAGCACCTAGGTACTATAGCAACTACTGTGGTGATGATCTAGGGCGCGAGCTGTCTTATCCATTAATCCAGCCAGGCTCCACTGCTACTAAGTAGTGTCAGTCGAATCGGCAATATGTGAATTTTTAGAAATACACTGACTCCGCCCCAAGCGCCTGGAGCCTCCCGGATCCTTGCACTATCTAATGGCAGACAAAAGACCAAACCCCTGCAACGCGTAACCCCATCTTTCTCACCGGTCTGCAGAAACTATCTACCACCCTTATCGGTAGATCACTCGTACTAATGAGAGACAATGGGGCCGAGATCTTGGCAATGCTCCAAGCCGCCCCTGTCCAGCCATGCAGCTTCTCCGCAGCCGTCTCTCTGAAGCCAGACGGTTACGTTCTCTGGCTTCGTCGGTCTTACCAGCATGCCGAGCGCCCGTTCCCCGTGGAGGCAATTCAGCATGCGGTTTGGCACAACAGTGGGTGGATTTCCTCAGGCCGGTGGGGTGTATACGGCGGGTGCCAGGGCATGTGCCAAATATCGATCTGCTAGGCGAGCTATGGTGTTCCACTCTTGCGGTCACGGGGTTCGCTTTACTGCGGAATTATCTAGACCTCTCTTCGTAGCTCTCGTCCCATATACTCGTATATCTGGTATTACACGGGGGACCGAGATGCTCAGTCATATGGAGATCTGACGGAGAATGATTTATCCTGTGGAGAAAGCAGCTTTTTTTTTGTGTATGGCTGAAGGTGGGATAGATAGCTACAGGGATCATTGATATGGGCTTCTTTTCCCGTGGGGACATGGGTATTCAGATCGAATGCTAGAGCCAAGTGGCTCTGCTCCGGTGGAGAAATACCGCATCATCCATGCACGAGGGTCGCTTGAAACCGCCGAATGGCAGACGCTCGAGAGCTGATAAGGGGTCGCTAGCGGGGCGTACACAGGGATATTCTTAGGCGGTCGGCCACGGCAGAGGATAGGCAGGCGATCCTGCATATCGGGTTTCGGGTTAAGATTTGCCAGCTTTGCCAACTATTACGGTTTTAACTAGTACACGTCATAGATGGAGATCGGGAGGTTTAACCGTAGTGTCTGAAGCGATGGGCACGAGTGGACGCGTGGGGGGAGTGCGTGTCTAGATCTGACGACGGGAACGGGGGAGTATGATGTGCTCTACTGGGTTACCCGGGTAGGGTTTATCTCAGAATGCCAAATGCCAGCCGATTTGCAGGTATTACAAGCAGGAATTACAGCCACGGCTCTTGGCTGCTTGGCTGCTTGGCTACCAAAGAAAAATCAACACTGTCATACCTGGGCGGGAGATCACCGCTACGCCAAGCAGCAGTACCTGGCTGCCGCACTGGATTTACTAGATTGGCAATGTTCTACAGGTAGATCTGATCAGGAAAATTGCGAAATTGTGAAATTATGAAATCGGGCAATTGGAGGTGGGGAGCTTCAGGGCAAAGTCAGGCACATGGCAAAAAGGGCTTGGAGGGCCCGAACCACAGATCCTTTCCTCTAGAGATTGGGACGCATGACCAGGACGAATTCTTGACCGGAACCACAGCTCAGCTTGACCATTCGGGGCAAAATCTTCCAGTTAGAAAGGCAGGAAGAGGGAAAGGACAAGGAAATGAGGGAATTCGGAATGACTTTCCCCGAGGTCAAGGGCCTTTCCGCCTGGCGAGATTCCCCTTCAGATGGGAGATACTTCTGGCATGATTGGCTGCGACCAGTTCGTGTTCGTAGGGATCGAGAGTTCTCCGAATTTGCCCCGCGGTTGCTCCCAAGGGTTGAGGTTTCCCGCTGATATCCGTCCTGTCTCGGGAGGGGCTGTCTAGGAGACTAGACCTTCTTCGCTACTTTCCCCATGAGCCCATGAGGGCCCCGAGGGCCCGAGGTTGTCCTGTACCGGGTGCTTCCACCTATTCCACCCGATCTAAAGCCGTGGATAATATGAGCTTAGTCGGGAGATCTCGTCAGTGACAGTCTGGGGGTCCTAAATGGACTCAAGGGGAAACGCGTATTCTTATCGTGTCCGAGGATGGCGGGGATTCCTGACCAAGCCGACTTGTGAGGGCCAAATAAGCGGCTAAGCCGCGGAACAATTAGTAGCTCAGAACCCCAGTACCTCCCAATACCCGCAGGATAATCTTAGGCGATCTGATTGTCAATTTTGGGGGAGGACCCAGAAAATTGTTTTACGATTCTGTCAAAAGCAAAGCTATCAAGCCTGGGCGAATCCTTGGAAGGTCCCGGTGTACCGGTGAACGAAGTACCTGTTACCTCATTCCTGTACTCAACTCCGCCTCGGAAACTGCAGATCACTGGCAGCACTGTCCCCTCTTAATTTTTATCTTTATCTATCGGAAGCACCCCCCCCCCTTCCCCAGTCATCTTCTGCAACTTCCCTTCCTACCCTCCCCTGCAGAAACTCTTGAGTGGAACCATCTGTGGCAGAGTTTCTCTCCTTGTAATAGCGAACCGAAACCGGTGGGGTTCCCGTCCGGCGTTCTATCCGCAAGAGCTGCCAAACCCAAAGCTTTCATATAGTGAGTCACTGCCCGTCCGTCTTCTGCGTCCTGTCCTCAATTGCTTCGTATATGCTAGAGGCGTTGCATTCAAGGTCTTAGCGCAACTTGCTGACGGTCGCCCCCTTCCTAAAGATAGCTGTAGTTCGATCTCTGCACAATGGCTGCCCCGCATCGCCAGCCCGAGGAGGCGATCGATGACTCCGAGATGGTCGAGGACCATCACCAGCAGCACCAGGACTCCGTCCACCGGCGTCTGCGTGCTAACTCCACCATTATGCACTTCCAGAAGATCTTGGTGGCCAACCGGGGTGAAATCCCCATTCGTATCTTCCGTACGGCTCACGAGCTGTCCCTCCAGACTGTCGCCGTCTTCTCCTACGAAGACCGCATGGGTATGCACCGTCAGAAGGCCGACGAGGCGTACATGATCGGCCACCGCGGTCAATATACCCCCGTCGGCGCTTACCTGGCCGGCGACGAGATTATCAAGATCGCCAAGGAGCACGGCGTGCACCTGATCCATCCCGGCTACGGTTTCCTGTCGGAGAACGCCGAGTTCGCCCGAAATGTCGAGAAGGCTGGAATCGTTTTCGTCGGTCCTACTCCCGAAACCATTGACAGCTTGGGTGACAAGGTGTCAGCCCGTAAGCTGGCCATCAAGTGTGACGTCCCGGTGGTCCCCGGTACCGAGAACCCGCTGGAGAAGTACGAGGACATTAAGGCCTTCACTGATGAGTACGGCTTCCCCATCATCATCAAGGCCGCCTTCGGTGGTGGTGGTCGTGGTATGCGTGTGGTGCGGAACCAAGCCGATCTACGTGACTCATTCGAGCGTGCTACCTCGGAGGCCAAGTCTGCCTTCGGTAACGGCACGGTCTTCGTCGAGCGATTCCTCGACAAACCCAAGCACATTGAAGTCCAGCTGCTTGGTGACAACCAGGGCAATGTCGTCCACCTGTTCGAGCGGGACTGCTCCGTCCAGCGTCGTCACCAGAAGGTCGTGGAGATTGCTCCCGCCAAGGATCTTCCTATCGAGGTTCGCGACAAGATTCTCGCCGATGCTGTGAAGCTTGCCAAGTCAGTCAAGTACCGCAACGCCGGTACCGCCGAATTCTTGGTTGACCAGCAGAACCGCCACTACTTCATCGAGATCAACCCCCGTATCCAAGTCGAGCACACTATCACTGAGGAGATCACGGGTATTGATATCGTGGCTGCCCAGATTCAGATCGCCGCGGGTGCTACTCTTGAGCAGCTGGGCCTGACCCAAGACCGCATCTCTACTCGCGGTTTCGCGATCCAATGTCGTATCACCACCGAGGACCCGGCCAAGGGCTTCTCCCCGACACTGGTAAGATCGAGGTCTACCGTTCCGCGGGTGGTAACGGTGTCCGTCTGGACGGTGGCAACGGTTTCGCCGGTGCCATCATCACTCCTCACTACGATTCTATGCTGGTCAAGTGCTCTTGCCGTGGCTCTACCTACGAGATCGTCCGCCGCAAGATGCTGCGTGCCCTGGTCGAGTTCCGTATCCGTGGGGTTAAGACCAACATTCCCTTCCTTGCTTCATTGCTTAGCCACCCCACCTTCATCGATGGTACTTGCTGGACCACTTTCATCGACGATACCCCCCGAGCTGTTTGCTCTGGTCAGCTCGCAGAACCGTGCTCAGAAGCTTCTGTCCTACCTCGGTGACCTCGCTGTCAACGGCAGTAGCATTAAGGGTCAGATCGGCGAGCCCAAGCTGAAGGGCGAGATCATCAAGCCCATCCTCAAGGATGCCTCGGGCAAGCCCATCGATGTCTCTTCCCCCAGCCTCAAGGGATGGAAGAACATCATCGACACGGAGGGCCCCGCGGCGTTCGCCAAGGCCGTTCGATCGAACAAAGGCACTTTGCTCATGGACACCACCTGGCGTGATGCCCACCAGTCGCTGCTGGCCACCCGTGTGCGTACCATTGACATGCTGAACATTGCCCACGAGACCAGTCACGCTCTCGAGAATGCGTATGCCCTGGAGTGCTGGGGTGGTGCTACATTCGATGTCGCCATGCGTTTCCTCTACGAGGACCCCTGGGACCGTCTGCGCAAGCTCCGCAAGGCTGTGCCCAACATTCCCTTCCAGATGCTGCTGCGTGGTGCCAACGGTGTCGCCTATTCTTCCCTTCCCGACAACGCCATCTACCACTTCTGTAAGCAAGCCAAGAAGTACGGTGTGGACATCTTCCGTGTCTTCGATGCTCTCAACGACATCGACCAGCTTGAGGTTGGCATCAAGGCTGTCCAGGAGGCGGGCGGTGTGGTTGAGGCCACTGTGTGCTACAGTGGTGATATGCTGAACCCCAAGAAGAAGTACAACCTTGAGTACTACCTGGCTTTGGTGGACAAGATTGTCGCTTTGGGCACACACGTGCTTGGCATCAAGGACATGGCTGGTGTTCTCAAGCCCCAGGCCGCTCGCCTGCTGGTCGGCTCTATCCGCGAGCGCTACCCTGACCTCCCCATTCACGTCCACACTCACGACTCGGCCGGTACGGGTGTGGCTTCCATGATCGCCTGTGCCCAGGCTGGTGCCGATGCCGTCGATGCCGCCACTGACAGTCTGTCGGGTATGACCTCGCAGCCTAGCATTGGTGCCATCCTGGCCTCTCTCCAGGGCACCGAGCAGGACCTTAACCTTGATCTCACCCATATCCGTGCCCTTGACACCTACTGGGCTCAGCTTCGCCTTCTCTACTCTCCCTTCGAGGCCGGTCTCACCGGTCCCGACCCGGAGGTCTACGAGCACGAGATCCCCGGTGGCCAGCTGACCAACCTGATCTTCCAGGCGAGCCAGCTCGGTCTGGGCCAGCAGTGGGCCGAGACCAAGAAGGCCTACGAGGCCGCCAATGACCTCCTTGGCGATATTGTGAAGGTCACGCCTACCTCCAAGGTCGTCGGTGACCTTGCCCAGTTCATGGTCTCCAACAAGCTTACCTCGGAAGATGTTGTCGCTCGCGCCGACCAGCTCGACTTCCCGGGCTCCGTCCTGGAGTTCCTGGAGGGTCTGATGGGTCAGCCCTTCGGTGGCTTCCCCGAGCCTTTGCGGTCCAAGGCCCTGCGCAACCGCCGCAAGCTCGACAAGCGCCCCGGTCTCTTCCTGGAGCCCCTGGACCTTGCCAAGATCAAGGCCGAGATCAAGGAGAAATTCGGCTCCGCTACCGAGTGCGACGTTGCCAGCTACGCTATGTACCCCAAGGTCTACGAGGACTACCGCAAGTTTGTCGCCAAGTTCGGTGACCTCTCGGTGCTGCCCACCCGCTATTTCCTGGCCCGCCCCGAGATCGGCGAGGAATTCCACGTTGAGCTGGAGAAGGGTAAGGTGCTGATTCTCAAGCTCCTGGCCATCGGCCCCCTGTCCGAGCAGACCGGCCAGCGGGAGGTCTTCTACGAGGTCAACGGTGAAGTCCGCCAAGTTTCCGTCGACGACCAGAAGGCCTCTGTCGACAACGTCGCCCGTCCCAAGGCCGACGCTTCCGACAGCAGCCAAGTGGGTGCTCCCATGAGCGGTGTTGTTGTGGAGATCCGCGTCCACGATGGCCACGAGGTCAAGAAGGGTGACCCCATTGCGGTGCTGAGCGCCATGAAGATGGTAGGTTTTTTCTGTTCCTCGCTTGCCCGCTTGCAATTGATACTAACTTTGTATAGGAAATGGTTATCTCTGCGCCTCACAGCGGTGTGGTCTCCGGCCTCCAGGTCAAGGAGGGAGACTCTGTTGACGGCCAAGACTTGGTCTGCAAGATCGGCAAGGCTGCGTAAAAGTGACAATGAAAATTGGTTTGCTTCTGTATAAAGAGGTGTACCTTTCATGCGCGATGTGAACGATCATTTACAGCGATGGCTTTATCCATATCTTCCCGTGTCTTTCTTGCTTTTTTTTTCTTTCCTCTTCCGGTGGGATTCTTGGTTCCTGGCTCTATTAGGTTCGATAAATGGATTTCTGTTTCCTCTATTGTTTAACTTGCTCCCACCAACTCGGCTTCCCTTGAGGTAGGCCAGATGACGGCTATCTAGGGAGATCGTAGTCACTACTTGGAGCTTTTCGAGATTGTTGTACAAGGTTCTTCTATAGAGCTCCTTGAAGTCTATCATTGATTCTCCAAAGCTTCGTGACTGGGATAAAGGTACTGGAAATATCCAGATACGAGTGGGGGGTATATAACATTTATATCTACTTGTCATTGCTAGCCGATCCTCCCTAGTCCGAAGCAACTTCCTCTGCTCATTGGGATTCTATCCAGGCTATGTTTGTCACTGTGGGGCTTACCATTGTCGCAAGTCCAATAGCTACAATCCTCTTATAGAGCTTGGGAATTTAGTCCCAATGCTCTCAATTCATGGGTACCTCGCTGCTACTATAGTTATCACTTTGCTGACTCGCGAAACTGCTCTTGCGGGCTACCATTAGCTAACTACGCATTAATCATGATCTTCCAATCTGCGACAGCTACTACAGCTGTTCGAGTTACAGGCTCGAAATGTCTCCGCCTAGGCAGTAGTTGACGATCTAGAATTCAATCTGCCATGGAGCTTTCCCCGCATTTCGTCTTACGTCAAGGCGCAGCTCCACTTTCGGGGGTTAGCATTGCAGCTACTGCCAGTGAGGCTACCTGGATTACTCAAAGGATTATCTGTCTGGATTGCCTTCATTAGCTTCCGACTCACTATTACTATAGTAATTCGGGAGATCAGCACATGTCCTCTCTGACAGCTACTCATTAGGTTCTGCAATACGTAAACCCCTCAAGAAATCAGAGATCATGCCAGATCGAGCCAATAATTGCAAACAGTGGCACGCGACAGTATTGGATCCCTGGAGGATTGCGCCATATGACTCTGTCCCCCTCTTTTGCTCTGTGGTTAATAAGTCGCCGTTCTTATAACTAGGCTATAACCCCCTCCCTCCTGCATCCATCTACACCACAAGTAGTTTCAACCAGGTACGTCCTTTTTGTTCCTATAATACCTTCTCTACCCAACCACTGGTTTTCCCCTTCGTCCAAATCAGACAAGTATCCCCCCGCCCATGGCTCATTCCCGCATACCACATCCATGACGTCTTCTATCTTACCTCCCCCCGTGACATCAACCCCTCCTATACAGTCACGCATTTTCCCAAAATCCCATCAGTTATTTCTGATCTCCTGTGACGAGGAATCTTTCTCCATTGAGGAGAATTGCTCTAGTCTTCTCAAACATTAACTGATATCAACCAAGATAAATATCGATACGGACTACGTCCTCTTCGAACTATCCAACATGTCCGACTCCTCTCCGCGCTACTGGCGCGGCCAGCCAGGCGACCGTCATGAACACGGTAATGTCTGGGTGCCCGGTGGTCCAAAGTCACCCACTACAAAGGCCCCATGGGCTCCAACGCCAGAAATGATCGCTGCCCGCCGTGTAAGTCCCAAGTCCCAAACCGGCTCGAGACTCACCGAAAGACAACCAACCCCAACCCCAAAGATAGAGCAAAGCAAATGAAATGCAAGCAACAAGCTAATAGGACTAGGAATCCGATGCCTCCGCCTCCTCAGCCGGTGCAGCCACCAACGAACCGTACCTCCCGACGCTGTCTGAGCGACGCCGCTCAAGCGCCTCCTCGGGGACCCAGCTATTCTCGAACCTGCATACGCAGAAGCGGGAGTCGACGGATCCGGATGCGGCGGCGCGCAGAAAGAGTTATTCGGAGCAGCTGGCGAAGGGAGGGATGTTTTCGAAGCTTTGGGATGGGTATACGCGCGGAAAGTAGGGTTCGGGTTTCTTTGGGGGGGCACATGTGATTACACTAGGATGGATTTGAAATTTGATGCTCAGTATGGCAGTTATGTTTTGAGTTCAAGTGTTATACCCGTCTTTGGTAGCTGTAGAATGGTAGTCCTCACTAGTAGACCTTGAGCTGGGTATTAGTCCAGGTAGAGGTATCAAGGTATTACGTAGAACGATTTGTCTTTGGTGAAGTTTCGGTTTTGGTGGACTAGATAGATAAATAGATTCCTCCTTTATCGAGAGGCCAGATAATAGAATACGCCGGTTTATTCAAACCGTAGACCATGTGGTTGTGTCCAACTTGGAGTAGGCTTGTCGAGTACCGCTGGTCTTCTATGAATATGGAGACATAGACATCATGCCCATGGGCCATTCGAGGGGAGGTAATTTGTTTCACAAGACCATACCAATATAGAGGTATTTTGTGGTAAACTTCAAGTTGCTCTTGCAAGTCAAACCGAACAGTGGGGTAATCCCGAGACAATTCCCAAGAGCCTCAACCTACCACCGGGTTTTGGCTCACCAAGGTGGATAAAGGAACAAGATAATGTCGATCAGATAAGAGCAGACGCATGCCTGTGAGACAATTACACTCATGCCAATGGGTATCTGAAGGAGTGAGAACTAGTGGCCAACTATGCCACCTTGTCAGCTGGGCATCCTACCACTACAATCTACGACTACGCAAGAACGGCATCAGGTGTAGACAGCAACAAACGGAGATAGGCCAATTGGTACTCCACATAAGAAACTTATGGGAGACCGACTCTTTGATCCAGTCGAAACGGAATCAAGCGAGTCATGGCGGCATCAGACAAGTCCGAGCCAGCCACTCTTTTCACCAATGGTTATGCGGAAAACAACACCCTCTCGTGCAGCCTCCATTGTGAAAAGGAGAAATAAATCTTTTGTGAAGTGGTTGTAGATTCATGTCTCTAACACGCCTATCCTGAGTTGCCGTGATAGAATAAAAAAAAAAGATAAGAAAGGGTTCAGAACACCATTATCCGACGCAGAGATCAGGAGCCCGGTTGGGATTTATCATGGGTCCGTCCTGGGCCTAGTTTTTGGTTTTTTTCTTGTTTCCTTTTGCGGAAAGAAATTTTTGGCTCCCTTCGATGCATCGTAAATCACAAGATTTGAACACCCCCCGCGCTTCCTCATTTCATTGAGGCATTTACCGGACGATACCGTCGAAGCGGTTCTTGAACCACTTGATAGTCTCGGCCTGGGTGATCTTGTGGCTGGCACCGATGTGGGACTTCGCGCGGCGACGCTTAGCGACACGCTCACCGGGGCGGGTCCTAAAAAAGACAAAATTGTTAGTTCATGGCATACTGTGAGAACCAGATGCCGATGGCATATAGAGGGGAAAACGCACATGCAGCAGTAGAAGTCCATGCCGTAGATACCAATACCGGGGTCGTACTTGATACCCAGATCGATGTGCTCGGAGATACCGAAACCGAAGTTGCCAGTCTCGGAGAAGTTGCGCTTGCGGAGCTCGTATTCCTTGACCTTGAGGCCACGCTCGATAATCTCCTCGGCCTTGGCGCCACGGACGGTGACGTGGACGGAGATCTTTTCGTTACGACGAATACCGAAGGTACGGACGGTGTAGCGGGCCTTGCTGTAGACGGGGGTCTGACCGGAAAGCTGCTCCAACACCTTGGCGGCACGAGTAAGTCTGTCACCAGACTCGCCGACGGAGATGTTCAGCACGAGCTTCTGGACGCGAAGCTCGCGCATAGGGTTGGAAGACTTGTCCTTGGCGTCCGACTGCATCGCTAATTAGAGTCTGCAACAGATATTGGGTGGTTGTAGCGAGTGCTGGGAACCTACCATGGCGACTGGGTGTGTTGGGCGTGGAGGTTGTCGACGAGATGAGAATCTAAAGAAAACCGTAAAAGCGGTTTGTGTGTGGGCTCCACAATCACGGGACCGTGGCCGCCGGTCAGGTGACTCTGAAGCGAAGCGAGAGGGTCAGGTGATCAACGGTCGACAGATATGGGGTCGACCCGATAAGGGCGGTGGAGGAGGCCAAAAAAAATACGTGGATGAGTCAGCGGCTCCCAGTTGGGAACTTCAAAGTCTAGACAACGCGCCAAAGCAGAGCTCTAGCTTCTCCACGAATTCTCGTAACCCCCATCGCGCGATCCCGTCCAGCAAATAAAGCTTCGTGCTTTGCCGTGGAACCTTCTTTTTTTGACCTCAAGTCGCATTCGTGCGCGTCGTAGCTGGTCATGGCTACTAACAAGCAGGGAAAGATGGTATGTCCTGATTCTTCTGTGTGAGCTCCTCACACGCTCAATGGCACAGGCTAACTTGCGGTTTTCTTTTTTCTAGATCAACTACGTGAGTCCAAGAAACAACACCCAAATCTCGGTTGTTGGGAATCCTAACATGACTAGATCAATTACCGCATGCGCATTACCCTCAACGATGGCCGACAGATGATCGGTCAAATGCTAGCTTTTGATAAGGTCCGCGTTAATGCCCGCTACCCTGTCTTCTCCAAGGTTGAAAACTAACGATACCTCCCTACAGCACATGAACCTCGTTCTCGCCGACACAGAAGAGTTCCGCCGTCTCAAGCGCAAGAACAAGACCCCCGCCGGAGCCAACGAGAAAGTAGAAGTGGAAGAAAAGCGCACTCTGGGCCTCGCCATCATCCGTGGCGCCCAGGTTGTCTCTTGCTCTGTTGATGGTCCTCCCCTGCCGACCCCTCTGCTCGTCTCGGTACCAACACTGGCGGTGGTGGTGCTGCCACCCTTTCTACCGGGCCCGGTATCAGCAAGCCCGCTGGTCGTGGCCTGCCGATTGGCCTCAGTGGCCCAGCTGCTGGCGTCGGCGGTCCTGCACCCCCCGGTGGCTTTGGAGGCTTCCCTCCCGGTGGTTTTCCCGGTGCCCCTCCTGGATTCGCCGGCCGTGGCGGACCCCCAGGTGGTCCTCGTGAGTTATCTGTCCTAACCCCCCCCCTTAGTTTTTGCTAAAGCTCATGCCTTTCTTTTCTTTCTTTTTAGCTGGTTTCGTTCCTCCTCCAGGATTTGCGCCAGGAGCTCCTCCGGGCGGCCCACGTAAGTTCTCCTCGAGCCCTCGCTGCGACCACCTCTAACAACACTTCATGTTCAGCTGGATCCTTCCCTCCCCCGGGTTTCCAGCCTCCAGGCCAGGGACGTGGATACCCTCCCCCAGGATTCGGTGGCCGATGATTTCATGTTTCTAAGCTGGGAGAAGACAGGACTCTTCTATCGCGTGATACCAAGTGCAAGCAAGATATGACAAAGTTTGACTAAACAGGGAAGCGCTAGGTAGTGGCGTAAAGGATCAGCAATTAAAAATCTAGTTGATATTTTGAGCTTTTCTACATCCTTGGAACTCCTATGTTATTCAAAGTAAGGACTCGTGACAGGAAGTATTGCTTGTCATCACGGACCTAGGCAGCTGCCTCAGGCGCAGGCCCTGTAACCTCCCAGGAGGTTTGGTGATTTGATAGGCTAACGAATTCAATGTTCTTCGAGTTTACAATAGACATTGGAACGTTGCGAGGTTCGCTCATGTGCAGAGCGGTCGGGGTAGCAACGCTATGCCAATGCTAGTGAGTACTCCAACGGAGTTCAACCTTGGAACTTACAGGTTCCATTCCAGAGTTGGTCACGCTGTTGCTCTTTGAACCTCTTTTTTCATGAAACTGCAACATTGCGGGGCTGTGTCGGATGCCTTCCAAGTTCAAGTTGGATGAAGAAAAATCTGTGACTTGAACACCTAGGTAATGGGCGATCCTAGTTCAAGATAAGATCTGCCCTGACAAGCGGCAATAGGTGGACCCCCAGATATATAGTTCACATACATCCTATTCCTAGCTTCAAGTCCTCACATTCCACGTCCAAGTCTCATAATTAGTTACTCAAATATCGGAAAGACTACTAGTGTTAAAGAAAGAGCGCCTTCGTTTCACATCGTCAAACCCTATTATCTGAGAAGTTGTACCTGACAAAGTAGGGGAAAGGATCCAGTCACCGGGCACGTGACATGGGGCCGACGCCGGCTCTGCATCGACTCGATTCCGCCATGAAACCCCGTCTCGACCTCACCGCGACCTTTCCCCAAGTTTCCTTCGCCCAGAAACTGTCACCATGGCCGCCGCTATCAAGGCAATCAACGCCAAGATCCGCTCCAACAAGGTGACGGACTACCTCTGCTCAACCCGTACGTATCCATGTTCAATCTCTTCCCCGAATTTCCTGCCATTTCCGTACCGAGATCGGCTGCAACAACAATGCCTCGAGTTTCGAGTAATGGAACCAGCATTTGAAATGGGGTTCCACAGTGGCTGTTGAGGTTGGAGAAGGATCACACAACTGTTTATTCATTGTTCTGTCATTACGAATCTGGGCATGCCGCAGATTACGATCACGCTGCTAACATTGCTTATTCCTGCAGATTTCTGGGGCCCGGCCTCCAACTTCGGTATTCCTTTGGCTGCGGTGATGGACACTCAGAAGGATGCTGAGCTGTATGTATAACGGTCCTTAATCAGGGGATATCCCCAATCCCCAAGCCATCCTGAGCTTATCAGCTCCCTTTTTGGGACCGCTCACTAATCTCACCCCTGCAGTATCTCCGGTCCCATGACCGGCGCTCTGATCCTTTACGCCGCTACTTTCATGCGCTACGCTTTGGCTGTCACCCCCAAGAACTACCTTCTGTTTGCTTGCCACTTGACCAACTTCGGTGCTCAGACTACCCAGGGATACCGTTATCTCGCCTACTGGAAGTACGTTTAACCCCGCCCCTTTCGTCGCATGCCCTGCGTACAGACACTCTGGTTTGTATTCTTGGGATTTGGTGCTGACTCGGTTTGTTATAGCTGGGGAGGACGTGAGGCGCAGCTCGCCGAGAAGGCTAAGCAGGGTGCCCAGGCTGCTGAGGCTGGTGCGTAAAGAGTCGGATTCTACAAAAGCTATTACGACATCGACTCACATAATCTAACTCCATCGCACGTCTGGTTTGAATGACCAGTGTTTTTGTATTCCGGAGATGGAAGAGATGGTAATCTATCGCAACAACTAATGGGGCGCTGATAGAGGACGATACCAAAGAGCTGGTGGTTTGGGCTGGTAAGCTACGGATTCATTCTTGACTCATTGTGCTTGACTCGGCCACTGTACATAGATCTATTGAATCAATTCGGGTTTCTCAAAGCATGCTGGAACAACGGAAAGTTTGCTGCATTCAAATTTGTACCAAGGGAGCTTAGATGACTACGGAGCATGACCACCGCCGAACTGAGCTCAACTCCCCTTGACGATTATCTGCTGTACAATTTTGTCAAAAATACATCAAAGTCACCACGCCAAACATCACAGAACTTAAATCGCCAGGAAAACCCGAATGCTCAGCCAGAAGCCGGGAGCAAATTATCAGAAAAATTAAAAAAAAATACAAAACAACCCCCCCCCCCTCAACCAAGGTACCTACTCTAAGGTTAAGGCTCCATCTCTGTCATTGGGAATGTATCATGCCTGGGAATTTGCTGACCAGAAGTACTATACCATCCTACTACCGTATTTAGGAAACAGCATGGTCCTCAGATCATGAGGAAGCCGAAGCTTCTACTTTGAAGTGGGAAGATGTTCAATATGGAAAACTCCTTGTTTATGCAACATACTAGGTAGATTGACAGGAACGGCGGATTTTATACAAAAAAGACAACCAGTAGAAAGGCTTAAAAGCGAGAAACCCTTAACACCAAGATCGTGATTCTTCCCTGATGCAAAGGCCAAACGAATAGTACCATGCCAATCAAGAGTAAAGGCACAGGAGATGGAGGCAAAAAGAGAAGCTCACGTTGTGATGTCACCGATTAGTTCCCAGGAGAATCACAATAGCCGGGACTTGGAGCAGCTTGGCCACCCATCCAGTTTTGGATAGTGAGAAACGTGGTATATATGCATACAATGCCACCAAAGACGGCGAGAACAACATCCGCAATTGCCTGGCGTTTGGAGCCGGCGCAACCGCGCAGATGGAGGAGTGGCTATAGAGAGATGGTGGTTAGTACATAGCTGGTACGACGTAATGCCCGGATCACTTACTGGATAGACGTAGATCAATGGGACGCAAGCAAAGCTTCCTACAAGGGCAACAAATTTATCCAAATCGTCTGCACCAGCCCAGGCAACGACAGCACAGACGAGAACTAGGAAGAAGCGGAAACCATTCTTCTGCCACTTTATGTATGGATTGTACTTCCCACTCCGCGTGAACAGCTCGTTCTCCATGATACGGATGGCAGGGAAGAGCTGGAGTGGCGTACTCAGCAAGATAGCGAGCGAATAGAGAAGTTGGACCACGTTGACAAATTTGTCGTCTTGCGGCAGATTAAGAAGGATAACTGTTTTCGTCGCAGAGCCATAAGCCGCGTAGCTAAGAGCACCGGCGGAAAGGAAAATCAGCGTGATTATTACCATGACACCGGCCAAGACACCAGGGAAGCGTTGGGGCTGCTTCATCGATTCTTGGATAGGGATAATAAGTCCAACCCCCTCATAGGTGAAGATAGCCGTGCCGATGAACATGGACCAAGTCGCGGGATTGAACGAAATGACATCCGAGATACCCCCGTTTCCGATCAAAGTCACAGCATCGTAATAATAGATGTAGAGCAGACCCAAAAGAATGAAGACATCGGCGATAAGGGCGGTGAAACCAAGCTTGCTGATATCACGAATGAGTGACAATGGCAAGAAGATGATGAGCTGCACCAAAACCATAACCTTGATGTCAATGAAAGACTTGCACTTGCTCACGGCCAAGACAAAAGCCTGCAGATTTTGGGAGACGAAGACAATGTATGCGGACACGAATCCCAGCTGACTGAGGACAATAGATCCGAGAATGATGCGACGCATATGCTTGCCGTACAGGATTCCGCCAATATCACCGAACGATCCTTCGATTCTCATGCGGGTGTTGACCAGCAGGATAAATGCGTAATAACTCAGCAACGAGACAGCAAGTAGAACAAGGGAACTGAACAGCAGACCCCCATTCAAGAATGCTCGAGGAAGGAAGAGGATTCCGGTGCCCACGAAAGACTTGAGAAGTAGAAGAACAGCACCGGTGGTGGTTGAAGTTCCTGCAGGTGCTCGCTGCTTATGCTTCCTCTTCCGAACCCTTCGGCGTGCATTATCGCCTTGTAGCAGAGCTGCGTCTTCTCCCGACTCTCGGCCCTCGTCTTGGTCATCCCAGTTACCCGACGAAAAGTACTCATCGGGTCCCAAAACCTCGTCATCTTCCTCGAGTTCCTCACCAGCAAAGTGGCCGTACAGCGTCAGGAATTCTAGGAAGTTCGTTGTCGGCAGCTGAGGTTGAGGAGGTGCACCTCCATGATTCGATCCATGGGTACTTCCGCGATGAGGACTGGCTGCAGTCCGGCGCAAGAAATCACGTCGAAATCCTCCGGGAATTAAAATGGTCTGGATATCCTCTGTCTGAGTCTCCGGAGTTGGTCGACTGATACTGAAACTTTTACTGCGGGCAAAGCGGTTCTCTGATTCCGCATCCTCGGCCCAACGATATACTTCTCGGGTCATATCACCACCTTGAAGTTGAAGGCTCGAGAAATTCTCGTCACCAATGCTGGTACCGAGCTCAGGACCTGTTTCACGGTGGTCGGTGGCATGTTGTGGGAGGACAAGGTGTCGCTTCACCACCTCTGGGTCCTCAAGTGGGGGATTTGCTTCCCCAACACTTCTCATATCGAAAGATCCATATTGCGAGTTGATCGCGCGGTTCTCCACAGCCGAATGAAGCCCGGCAGGCTCCCCAGCTCGTGAGGGGGTCCCGAGTCTTGGGGGTGACCGGCCGAGGCTCTCCTGGAGCTGGGACGCAATCATCGACTGACCGGGGCCTGGAAGTGAGGGCGGATAAGGCACAGCGCGGAAGTCATGATCGGAGGCCACTGTGCCGGATGTAGTTATAGGGCGACTGGAGGGAACACCCTGGCGCGATGACGGAGAAGTTCCAAATGCCGGAGACGACGGAACAGGTGAAGCAAGTCGAGCAATCGAGGCTTGTCGATTTGAACCATCAGGGGCTGGCGAAGTCGAGCGAATTGAGGAGGCCGAAATGGGTAAAGATCGAGAGGGGTTCTGCGAGGAGCTCTCGCCGTTGTCCGCCATGTTGGCAGCTCCTGATTTCAATTAAGAATGTGGGGTTCAGGGCATCTAGGAGACACAAAAAGCGGGCAGCCAAGTCGACGATGCCCTATGCCCAGAGGACAGAAGCTAGATATACAGAGCAATGGAATCGACGTTCCTAGGGACTAGAGACGAAGAAGAACTGTCACGTCCAGGAGTGGATCGGCGAGTGCGGGTCACACACTGGCAAGCCCGGGGCTCGACATTTTGCATTGTTTGTTCTCCCCGAACGTCATTGCGCGTTTGGTGACGTCCGCGGCGTTAACATCGAGTTTATATCTTTGCTTTTGTTTTGGTGGGCGCGGTTTATTAGTCTTCTAGATCGTGTCTTCTTCTCATTATTTCTCTCACAGCCTATCTTTCCCCCCCTCATGTTTCACCGGTAGCCGATTGTGCTTGAACGCCGAACCTGGCAGAGACCAGTACTAGGACTGCGAAATGTCAACCCGCAGACGCCCGAACTTCTTAACTCGAACTGCCGAAGAAGATGCTGTTCGCCTCGATCCTGGGGAGCCAGGACGCCAAGAAAGCACTTCTGAAGGTCCCCTGGAGCCATCTGCTCCGCCGGAAAGGGCCTCCACGACACCTGCGACGGCCCAGCGTCCATCACATATTCGCGATCTTCCAAAATGGTGGAGTGGGACAACAGGAGAATTGGATGCGGGCCAATCTTCCCAGCAAAACCCGGCGAGTGCGCTGGTACATATGCCCCTGTCGAAAAGCCCATTGAGCGGAGCTAGCAACGATAAGAAAGACAAGAATGGACATAGGTCTCGTACAGCGGAGGAGTCCAAGAAGCTCGGTACTTTTTCTGGAGTTTTTGTGCCGACAACATTGAATGTGCTGAGTATTTTGATGTTCCTGCGTTTTGGCTTCATCTTGGGCCAAGCAGGGTTGCTAGGCATACTAGGTAAATTTCAAAAGCTTCGAAGAGGAGTTAACGGCTAACCAAGAGCAGGTCTTCTGGTTGTATCCTATTTGATTAACCTGGTAACCACAATGTCTCTCTCTGCAATTGCGACGAATGGCACTGTGCGAGGCGGTGGGGCGTATTACTTGATTTCTCGTTCTCTGGGACCGGAGTTTGGTGGCTCCATTGGTATCGTGTTCTACTTGGGCTATGTATTCAACACGGGCATGAATGCCGTCGGATTGATTGACTGTCTGACACAAAACTTTGGTGTTGTCTCTGGGGCCTTGAGCAACTTTCTTGCGGAAGGGTTCTGGTGGCAGTATCTCTGGGGTACTGTGGTCTTGGTCCTCTGCACAGCTATTTGCTTAGCTGGAAGCTCCATCTTCGCCAAAGCTAGCAATGGTCTGCTGGTAATCCTCTTGATTGCTACATTTAGCATTCCATTGTCCGCTATTTTCATGAAGCCATTCCACTCGGTTAAAGACGGCGTGGAGTTTACGGGACTGAGCATGCAAACCTTGATGGGGAATTTGAAGCCCCGTTTAACCAAAAATGCAGCAGGAAGTCAGTTACGCGGAAAGGAGACGTTTCAAGATCTTTTCGGTATCCTGTTCCCTGCAACAGGAGGCATCTTCGCGTAAGTGTGTCTCTGAACCATTCATAGTCATGGTCTCTTACTAACCATTCGTAGAGGCGCAAGCATGTCTGGGGATCTGAGGAACCCAAGTCAGGCCATCCCCAAGGGCACGCTGGCTGGCCTGGCGCTGACTTTTGTAACTTATGCGCTGGTCGTTGGTGCAATGGCAGCTTCTATTACCCGAGAGTCCCTTTATAACAATGTGAATGTGATACAAATTGTGAGTCTCCTGCGCCAACTTCATGTTGAACTTTTCTAACCTTACTAGGTCAATTTCTCCGACACCATAATTCTTCTCGGAGAATTTGCAACTACTTTCTTCTCCGCCTTGATGGGTGTTATCGGGTCTGCAAAACTTCTGCAAGCCATTGCTCGAGACAGTTTGCTACCAGGGCTCAACTTGTTTGGTCAAGGTACTAAGAAGAGCGATGACCCCATATATGCCATTATTGTGACCTTCATATTTGCGCAAATAACGATGCTGTTTGACATCAATCGGATCGCCTCATTCATTACCATGGCATACTTGATGACTTTCCTTGTGATGAACCTGGCTTGTTTCTTACTGAAAATCGGATCCGCACCGAACTTTAGACCATCCTTTCGTTATTTCAATTGGCAGACGGCCGCTGCAGGTACACTCGTCAGTGGGATGAGCATGTTCTTCGTGGATGGGCTCTATGCTGCTGGCTGTGTTGGAATACTGATCGTGATTTTCTTGTTCATACACTACAGCTGTCCACCCAAGCCCTGGGGGGATGTCAGCCAAAGTTTGATCTATCATCAGGTGCGCAAATATCTGCTCCGTCTGCGCCCCGAACATGTTAAATTCTGGCGCCCTCAGATTCTGCTCTTTGTCAGTGATCTTGACAGGCAGTATAAGATGGTTTCGTTTTGCAATTCGCTCAAGAAAGGTGCGCTGTTCGTGCTGGGCCATGTCATTGTTACCGAAGACTTTTCCTCAGCCGTACCGGAGGCCCGTCGCCAGCAGACGACATGGACCAAGCTAGTGGAATATTCCAAAATAAAAGCGTTTGTGAATGTCGCCGTGGCCCCTGCTGCTGAATGGGGAATGCGCAACATTGTTCTCAGTTCCGGGCTGGGAGGCATGCGGCCCAACATTGTTGTAATTGACCAGTTTAGAGAGGATCATTCGCTCGTGGAGACTTTCTCGGCCAGCAGCAAATCACGGCGTCGGTCATCCGCCTTTCCTCGAGAGCCGGATGACGCCACGACAGCAGCTCTACCTGAAAAGCCAATGTCGATTCAAAGCTATGTGACTATTCTTGAAGACCTCTTGTTCAAGCTTCGGATAAACGTCGCCGTGGCAAAGGGGTTTGAGGAGCTTGAACTACCAGACCGCAATGGACATCATACGAAGAAGTACATTGATCTGTGGCCGATTCAGATGTCAGCAGAACTGGGGGCCGATAGCGAAAGCAAGCAAAACGTGACGACAACCAATTTCGATACTTATACTCTCATTCTTCAGCTGGGCTGTATTTTGAATACTGTTCCATCTTGGAAAAAGACATATCAACTCCGAGTCGCCGTGTTCGTTGAATATGAGACGGATGTTGAAGAGGAAAGAGCTCGAGTCGAAGCTCTTCTCGAGAAATTGCGCATACAGGCTGAAGTTCTTGTCTTCTGGCTTGCCTGCGGCGACGTCAAATCCTATCGGATCATCGTCAATGGCGATACGTCTCCGGAAGTAGAGGATGCCCAAGAGAAAGTGCAATCCGTTTTGGGCGCCGAAGAATGGTGGCAAGGAGCTTTGCAGGCCCGCAATAACTATGGTGACTTGGATGAGACCGGTAATGTTGATATCCGACCTTCAGGTCAAACGCCAGCGGGGGCCCCTGAGAGTGGAGAGAGTGAAGGCAAGTCCCTGAGCAGCCGTGTTAGCGGACTACGCAAACTCATCGAGTCTACTCGACGTCGGCGTTCTGTATCATCATTCAGGGCTATGGGCGGACTGAACTTGGGAATGCAAACCCATCGTCTGCTGGACGCATTTGTGGACTATGACGGGGACGATTCCAGCAGCGAAAGTAGCGCCGACAGTGACCTGGACTCATACGTCAGCGAGCCCGAGGATGAAGCCGCCCCTGTCCCCAAGGACGGACTTCGACCGGACTTTGCGTTCACGCGAAATTCTGCCCGCACCAGGAGTGCCGATCGAAGCTCTGGGATTAGCCCCAAGACTCGTTCCCAGCCGCAGCCCAGTTTCTCAGGAGAGCAAGGATCCATTCCAACCTCAGCTGCAGAATCTACTATCCCTAAAATTGTGGCTGAAGAAGCATCTCCGAAGACCAAGTCCCCAGCTTCTCTCTCTAACCTTCCTAGCCAATCGAATCGACCGTCAATGAGTCGGTCTGCATCTAGCAACCGTTTCAGCTCGTCACCGATTCCGGAAGCTAAGGTCAATACCGAAGATGACGCTGGTCCCTCGATCATGTTCGAGTCAAGCGCATCCCCCCGCGTTTCAACAAGTTTGACTCAATCTATGCTCGAGGACCTGGCGCCGCGTCGCCCTCTAGCAGCGGTCCGGCCAATCGTAAAGCGACAGGCTTTCCGGGCCCAGCTTCTGTTCCTCTTTCATTCAACGACTTGCCGAGCCGGGCTCAGCATCTCATCTTGAACGAGCTGATGCTCCAGCAAAGCAGCGAAACGGCCGTCATCTTTACCACTCTACCATCGCCGGTAGAGGGGACTTGGCGCAGCGAAGAAGATTGCGTTTCTTATCTCAGTGACCTGGAAGTGCTGTGGCAGGATCTGCCGCCTTGCCTTCTCGTTCACAGCAATAGCATGACCGTGACGATGAACCTTTGAATGTCGATTTTGCATTCCATGATTACATGTGGTACCTTTCGGGACTGTACTGTAGCACAACGCTGCACCGGACTTTACATAGATGAAATATCAATACTAGTACATACTTCATGAACACTGGATCCCAGCGCAGCCAGGCCTCTGCAAAACCCTTTTACGACACGTCTAGTGCCGATTTGGCTGCGGCAGTCTGATATTGACTGTGGGTTACGCAGGGCGTGTGGCGGGGCTGAAGCGACTCGAGATGTTTACTGCTAACAGTAGTGCCAGTGCCCGGTCAGCTCCAGTCTTTCACACTTGCGACGCCCCAAAGCAGACCTAACCCCACCTGGGCATAGACTAGAAGCAGAAGATCGAAGGCAGAAAATTGCAGAAAATGGACGGAAGCTGATAGGCCCGACCTCAGGCGGGCTGACCAATAGCAGACTGCAGGAGAACGATTGGCGGAGATGCGTGCCTTGGTATACTCGTAAAATAGAGCATTGCTGATCGATATCAGCTCGAGATTCCAGACGTGGCTCGCCTTTCTGCGCCAGCTGTTTCTTGCGTTGCGCGATTTGCGGGTGGTCGAACATGCCCGCCTGTTTATGATTCTTTGGTTCTCTGGATCCTATTGCTTTTCTTCCCGTTCCCCCGGGTCGCTCCTCCCACCCCTGAATTCCAATCTCGACCATGTCAGTTGCTTCGCAACTCAATGGCAGCGTAAGCGTACCACTGGCCAGTCGCCCCGCCGCCCGCTTCGAAACCGAATCTCTACAAAACGGCCACCCTCGCCTGAACGGCGCCCACTCGGATTCTACAGACTACGACAGCTCCTCCGGCTCCCGCGCGTTGAACGGCAATTCAACCAAACGACCAGGCATGTCGCGCAAGGCTTCCTCTCCTATGGCCCCGGCCTTTATGGTCTCTGCGCCGGGCAAGGTCATTGTGTACGGTGAACATGCGGTCGTGTACGGTAGAGCTGCCCTAGCGGCGGCCATTTCGCTTCGGTCCTATCTCTTGGTCACTACGCTCTCCAAATCGCATCGCACAATTACCTTGAACTTCCGTGATTTGGGCTTAAATCATACCTGGGACATCGATTCTCTCCCATGGGGAATCTTCAAATCCCCCGAAAAGAAGACCACCTACTACGACAGGGTTACCTCTCTTGACCCCGAACTGTTGAAAGCCATCGAGCCGCACCTCGAGAACGTTTCGCTGAATGTCCCCGAGGAAACGCGCAAACCTCACGTCCGTTCCGCCCTCGCCTTCCTGTTCCTCTTCATGTCACTGGGCTCCCCGGAAAGCCCAGGCGCCATCTACACTCTCCGCTCCACAATCCCCACCGGCGCCGGCTTGGGCAGCAGTGCCAGTGTATGTGTCTGTATGAGTGCTGCCCTGCTACTCCAGATTCGTACACTCGCCGGCCCCCACCCCGATCAGGAGCCAGCAGAGGCCGAAAGCCAAATAGATCGTATCAACCGCTGGGCATTTGTGGGTGAAATGTGTATCCATGGAAATCCTAGCGGCGTCGACAACACAGTCTCCGCAGGCGGAAAGGCTGTGATATTTAGGCGTGTTGACTACGCAAAACCCCCTATAGTCACCTCCCTACCTGCATTTCCCGAATTGCCTCTCCTCATTGTTGATACCCAGCAGACTCGCTCAACTGCGATTGAAGTCGCGAAGGTCGGTGCCTTGAAAAAGGCCCATCCGGTGGTAACGGAGTCTATTCTTGATGCTATCGACCAGGTCACAACATCAGCCCAGGACCTTCTCCAATCCCCTGACTTTGACGGTTCTTCAGACGACACGACGGCCCACTTTGGAACCTTGATGCGTCTTAACCATGGCCTTCTCGTCTCGTTGGGGGTGTCACATCCGCGTCTGGAGCGGATCCGTGAGTTAGTGGATCAGTCCGATATTGGCTGGACTAAATTGACTGGCGCTGGCGGGGGTGGGTGCGCAGTAACTTTGCTGCGCCCCAATGCCGAGCCGGAGGCGGTTCTGAACCTCAAGAACCAATTGGCTCAAGAGGGCTTCGCCAAGTATCAGACCACTCTTGGTGGTGACGGCATTGGGGTGCTTTACCCCGCTGTCCTGCGCAACGGCTCTGACGACGAGGAAGGTGGCGAGGAAATTGATCAACAGAAGTTCGAGAACGCTGAGGGCCACGCGGGTATTGAGCGCTTGGTGGGTGTCGGATTCCACGAGAAGCGTCAGGGTTGGAAGTTCTGGAAACGTGCTACGGACTGATACTGAGCATGCCGCTGTGCATTACTCCGTCACCAACGCCTCCAACGCCTCACGAAGCTTTGTATGCCCTTCCCACCTCCTTTTCGGTTTAAGTATCTCATTTTGCAGTGCCTATTCCCCAGTCATGTTCGATTCTCTGTACAACCTATCCACCATACACTTTTTCACGCCATATTCGCGAGTTCTTCTGTGAACATGATCAAAACTCGATCTTTGAGCGGCTTCCATGCCTCTCTGGGTTGTCATCGTCATGGTTCACTTGAGTTGAATAGCCCGTATGGACCCCTCAGTCTTTTACATTAGCATAATTCGGCGCAGGGTAATCTTAATAGAAGAAAGGGCCGGATGAACGGAATAATAATCAAACTGACGAATCCAATGGAATATTGCCTCTGCCTGTAGATCGTACAAGTAGACCAGGGGATTGTCGATCTGATAGCAGCCCAGGAGCCCTCGACCCACCCGTGGACATAGTCACGTAGTTTATAAGCGGGCTGCGCAGCTCAGGTGAACCTTGGAACCTGGCAGCGCGCTTATAAACTAGTTACGTTCATTACTCAGCGATCTTAACTCCGGGACCGACTCCGTTCCATGAGAGTGGAGAAACCCCGTCCCTGAGAGCTAATACATGGAAGCTCGATTCAGATGCATAGACTCCTTTAACATATCGTCTTCCTGTGAATAGCAACGTACAGTGCACTATGCTTCAATTGGCGTCTGCCAGCAAGGTAATAACAAACCTCTGACAGCGCATCAACAAGCTAACTAATCCAATTCGAGCGTTAGCTTAAACCAACGCGACTTGCACCCTGGACATACTCTTCAAGACTCATCAGTCGACTGTATCCAAAGCATGCTGTCATTGAACACAAGTACACACAAGTACAAGCGTATAGCCAGCCCCTAGGACCGCGAATCCCGCAGTCCACCCACGCACGCCAGTTCCACTCAACCAAGCCCACCATGGCCAGCAAGCAAGAAACCCTAAACCGCACCCTGACCCCGGCACTCCTCTCTCAAGTAAATAACTTCTGGTTCAGCCACATCTGTACCGAAGATGCCCGGATCCTGCCGGGCAAGGAGGACCAAATGCGCTGGTTCAAGAAAGACGAGCAATTCGACGCAGCCTGCGTGTATGTCCTGACCCTGCTTCTCCCTCATGGCCCCCACTTAAACGCAAAATAAAGCTACTAATAACACTGTTAAACCAGAGAGCAGTTCAAGCCCGCGCTAGATACTCTTCTCAATACCGGCGCCACAGCCCCCGAGCTCCTCGCTGCGGTCGACACATCCTCGTGTCTGAATTGGGTTAGTCTGCTCCTGCTCCTGGACCAGATCCCTCGGAACTGCTACCGCGGCGATGCGGCAAAGATCGTGTTCAGCCAGTTCGATCCGCTGGCGGTGGGTGTCGCGCTGGAGGCTGTTGAGCGCGGAATCCCGATGCTGGATCCGGACGTGCGGTGGCGACTTGCGTATCGGACTTGGTTCTTTTTGCCCCTTATGCATTCGGAGGATTTGGGGGTCCATGAGCGGGCGATACGATTGCATGAGGAGACGCGGGAGGATTTTGAGGGATTTTTGAAGGCGGATGCGGGGTCGTTGGAGGGAAGGGAGAAGGCGTGTTATGATGTTTTGAAGGGGCGGGAGGAGGAGCTGAGAGAGAGATTGAAGGCACTGCTGGACTTTGAGGCCAGACATAAGGCTATCGTGGAGCGGTTTGGAAAGTATCCGCATCGGAATCAGGCGATGGGAAGGGAGTCTACGCTTGAGGAGGCGGAGTATTTGGAAAATGGGGGTGAGACGTTTGGATAGGCTGAACTTGGGTGAATTTGTATTCTAGAGGGATTAGCCTTGTATGTAATGATAATGGATGTGGAGATGTACTGCGTTAAGGCCCTTCGTTTACGTTTATGGTTGTAGTTGCGCTGGACCGAGAGTGTGCTAGAGAAACAGATGGAATAGATCAAGAGAACGTGAAGCTCATATTGACGCCTTTCATGACCAGATCGGCCCAGGGTCAATCAACATCGAGTCAAGAGTCGAAAAGTCTTGAGCTCCACCCTGGTCCAACGACTGGTTATCGTAGATGTAGCAAAGGTATCCAAATGACTGCAAAGGAGGGTCGGATGCATCCGCAGCGGGAACCGGAGGGACATTTCCACCTCGGTAGTCTTCCAAGCTTGGTATTATTAGCTATAGACCTAGGTTCGATCCCGATGAAGAGCTTTTATACACTTACTCTCTATACTACTATATCTTAGACCTTGGATTTGGATCCAACAGCATGTTAAAGAGCTCTTTTCGTCTTCCCCTTTTGTCGGCTGCCAGGCGGCGTTTGGGTACTGCGACCAAGAAACAACTGTCGCTTCCGGCGGCGTACTACCGCGGAGGCACTTCTCGAGCCGTCTTCTTCAACCAATCAGACTTACCTTCAAATCGCGCAGACTGGGATCCGATCTTTCGCGGGGTGATTGGTAGCCCAGATCCCTATGGTCGTCAGCTCGACGGGCTGGGCGGCGGCATTTCCAGCCTATCCAAAGTCTGTGTCGTGGGCAAGCCGACGCATCCGGAGGCAGACGTCGACTATACGTTTGTATCCCTTGGTGTCAAGAATAGAGATGTTGATTATTCCAGCAATTGTGGAAACATGAGCAGTGCTGTTGGACCCTATGCTATCGACCAGCAGCTTGTCGCCCCTCAAGATTCCGAGTGGGCAACCGTGCGAATCCACAACACGAACACAGGAAAGCTGATCAATGCGAGCTTCCCTGTTGTCGAAGGCGAGGCTGCGTCAAGTGGTGATTTCGCCATTGACGGCGTTGCGGGCACTGCTGCCCGTATCCAGCTTGATTTCATCGACCCTTCCGGCGCTGTGACCGGAAAACTTCTTCCCACTGGAAACGTGCAAGATACATTTGACGGGGTCCCAGTAACCTGCATTGATGTCGCAAATCCATGTGTCTTCGTCTGCGCAGACGATCTGGGAGTTGCGGGCAATCTCACTCCAGACGAGATCACAGCACATCCTGATCTTTTGCCCCGATTGGATTCTATTCGCCGTCAAGCAGGAGTCAAGATGGGAATTGCGGAGACAGCTTCTCAAGTGCCAGGGAGCATTCCCAAGATTTGCATGGTGGCGAAGCCCCCGCCCTCTGCTGATGCGAACGCATCTGAGAATAAGCAGACTGAGCAAGATGTTGATCTGGTGGTGCGCTCACTCTCTGTGGGCCAGCCGCATAAGGCCGTACCCATCACAGTTGCACTGGCACTCTCTTGTGCTGCACGAGTGGATGGAACAACTGTGGCTAAGTCAAAAACGGAAACCCAGATCGATGGTGCTGGGATCACCATTGGGCATGCTAGCGGCAATTTGCTCGTCGGTGCACAGTTCGAGGGAGGCGAGCTCAAGGCTGCCACCGTCTTTCGCACCGCGCGGCGGCTATTCGAGGGACGCATTTACTACAAAAGCGAGTAGGGCCAGACGTCAACCTGGTACATTGAAACATTTTAAATTTATGTCAAAATATAAATATTTTCTCTTTAGATAGCAACCATAGTATGAACTAATACATCTCGGACGCACTTGTTATCGTTTCTCCGTGGTGGTAGGAACTTTGGCACCCTCTGCACCTATCATGGTACGGATAAACGATGAACTTGACTATTTTTCATGCAAGCCGTCATGCCATGGTGAGATAGACTCGGGTGATTTCACCGCTAATGCCACTTAGAATGCCACATACAGTTGAAGAGGAATGGCTTTGGATTAGGCATGATAATTTGACTTCAGCTGAAGTCAAAATCAAGATTGCATTCTCAGTGGACGCCTCCAGCCTTGACTACTCTGGTCATTTGTCGTCCACTTAGATGACCGGGAGACATACCCAGGCAATTTGGCCTTGATAAAATCAGCCCTGGCTTGTCACCGCCAACCATCACTACGGCGAGGGCTCTTCGCGAAAGCACGCGGCTTTTTAGCCGACAAATCTGGGCGGAAAGGCTATCACTGCCAAGTCGTTCGCGCGCATCCATGAGCCAAATCGGAGGAAGTAGCGTATCTTGGCGCTTATGTCTGCCAGCGAAACCCTCAGCGAAGAACAGATTGCATGCTTTCGCACTGGAATTTCCCTTGATTTGACGAGCCAGAGTTAGTGTCCGATAAGTGGTCGACTGAGAAATGGAAGCATTTTCCTAGTCTGTCATTTTTGCTTAGGGTTAGTCACAAATTTGACAGTATACTCTACGGCACTTTTGTCTCTTACCACGTTAATGACAAACTTCCATACCGCCGGCACAAGGTGACTCGGTAATGGGTTGAGCCAAAAGACAGCTAGTGTACACCTCGATGCACACTCCTTCAACATGATTAGCCCAGCCAGGATAACGAGCCATCGGAACGACAGAAATCCGATCTCCAGCTTGGAGATTTCTGACCCATTGGGTTGACAGTGAAGGAAAGGAAATAATATGTAGTGCAAATCCCAAACGCGCGTATAGATTCGTCATCAAGTGCCGTTGTCTTGAGATCCTATCAGGACCTTGTTGAGGTCCGGGCTCGATATTCAAATCAAACCATGTCCCCGAGATTTCAGAAGTGTCATGACTTTCAGGATGAGAGGCGTGTCCGTGTTCATAGCTTATAATTCGAAATTTGATCATCTGAACCGGATGCTTTGAGCCATGCACAAGCGTGGTGGCTAAATATGGTGTCTTTTCCTGACATTCGTTTTCAGTAACGCGTAAGAAGCCCTTTCGCCACGCCCTATGGAGAAGCCAATATCTCGCGTGATCCAAAATTTGTAGGATAATGGAACGAGGTAATCCCCCATGGCCACATTGACATAGAATACTGAAAACCTCAAAGATGTCTCGTGGCTGCGCTGGGTGATATCTCTCGCTGGGTCTCTGCTCTCCGGACGGGGTAAGAGCCTGAATTGGTATTCGAGTCAAATATGGCATCGTCACGTTTGAGACATCTTTTACATATGCAAAAATATCATGCATTCGACCTTGATGCTCGAATATCTTGGCAAGATGATTTATAGCGTGCACAGTTCGGGGGTCATCTTCTCCGAGTGCAGACTTGACTCCCTGAAGACAGCTGATTTGGGCTTGCTCTGCATCCTTCCACCGACCTTGATCTCCATAGGCTTGCGCTAGGCAACCCTGGCTTTCACACGTGTCAAGGTGCTCCTCTCCAAGTACCCGCTTTCGGACGTTGGCCACTTGCTCGTGGAGTTCCACAGATTTCGCGTAATTATTAACACTTCTATACAAAGCGGCAAGGTTGCTTAGTACGGTTAAGGTATCCGGATGCTCCTCTCCATGGGCCTCTGGGCTCGTGAGTATCTGCATGTATAATTTTTCAGCTTCTTCCCATTGTCCTTGCTCCTGATGTAATGTTGCAAGACTGTTCATTGCGGGGAAACAATTGGGACTATTGACTCCGTAGAACCTTTGAGAGAATCCGAGCACTGGCTCTAGCAAAACCTTGGCTTCATCGAAGCGATTTTGGGAGATATACGTTGACGCTAGGTTCCCCATGCACGCCATTGTATTAGGGTGATGAAGACCAAGCTTTGGCACGAAGATCCTGACTGATGTATCTCCTAATATTTCAGCGTGTTGGTAATCACCCATCTTGTTGCATGTTGCTGCCAGGTTTGCTAGAGCCGCAATCGAGTTTGGATGATCTTCAGGAAAGAGCTTTTTGCTTTTCTCCATTACTTGCCATTGAAGCTCTGCAGCCTCTTGCAATCGCCCCTGAGCTTTATATGTCAAAGCAAGATCATTCATAGCGTCGATCATCATCTCGTTATCACCTCCCAGTCCTGTTTTTATGTTTTCAACCAAGTGAGTTTGGAGTACCTCAGCTTTAGGAAAACGTCCTTGAAGGGTATATGCAAGAGCTAGTATTTTGGAGCTCTTTAGAGTGCTCATGTGCTCTGGACCCAGGAGTGTCTCTCTCGCCTCTTTTGCATTAAGAACCAACTGCTTCATATCTGCAATTTTCCCACCATCCCAAGCATGAAGCGATGCGTTGAAAAGCAAAGAAGCCCAGCGGAGGAGATCTTCGTCTGATTTTGGGCGCTGTAGCATAGCCGATTTTACATGTGGAAATAATTTTTGTGCTTTCTTCCAGCCATATGATTCTTCATGGGTTGATACTTCATCGGGGAATGCACTGCATAGAATTCGGATGAATCTGGATTTCCAGTGCTCAATCTCTTCATGTATCTCTAGCCAGTTTATGAGTGCGAATTGCACCAGTCTGTGCATCTCGATGGTCTCTTCTGCCCCATCATGGTTAATTGAGATGAATGAAAAGTCCCTCAGAGTCAGGAGGTCACTATTAAAATCGAGGTCCTCGTCGGATTCAGTTGCACTTTCCTCGCTATCACTGTGCGACGGGCGGGTGGTCTGCAGATCAGGAGGGCTATTCCTTCGTTGGTCCTGAAGGAACTTTCTCGGGATTCCTTGTCTGTCGAAGAAGCTCATCAGAGAGAGCAAATTAGCTGCAGATCGATGGGATTGTCTGATATAGTCAAAAGAGATTTGCCAAGTGACCAAGATTGAATTACTAGCACTGGTGTCACGTCTGTGATGCATGTGCTCGGCCTCATGATCTACTAATAAGCGGCGATGGCTTTTTCGAAATACTTTGAGATATTTTGCCACCGACCATGGTGGGTATTGATGCTCCATGTAAGAAGCGGCATGGACGATTGCAAGGGGCATGAACTCAAGTGTTTCCACAATTTCCTTGATCTCCTTCTCGGTCGTTCCGACAGTGAGTTTCTGTTTCATCAAGGTGGATGCGAACTTCTCATCCATGGGAGTGATTCCAAGAATATCGCTCTCTTTGGCCATCATCCGCGCTACCTTCATGTGGCGTGTAGTCAGAATGATGGTACCGTGGGAACATCGAGGAAGGAGTCCTCGAAAAGGCTTGCGAAGGGCGCTGTTTTGGCTGTGAGCCTGTACAGACTCGCTAAGAAGGCTCTCATCGTCGAGGTTATCCAGTATCAATATCCATCTCCCTCTTTTCGACTCATGAAGCCAGTCATGAAGAAGTTGAAATACACTGGCTTGAGGGTCCTTACGTCCGAAGATTTTGAGACGGTCGGCAATCTCACGGTAGCTCAGCTCAAGGCGTGCAGCATTACTCGCATGGACCCACAGAACCCACGTGCCCAGTGATCTTTCACGAACACGATAGCAGTATTCGATAGCCAACTGCGATTTCCTGAAATTGGCTTAGAGCTGGTGTAGATGACGCTGTACGTTTCTAAACTTACCCGACACCACCAAGGCCACAAAGGGCAATAATTCTCGAAGCAGGAGAGGAGCATTTATCATCGATATCATCGAGTATCGACCCACAGGTGACAAAATCAGGATCACGATCGAAGGGAACTGTGGAGAGCGGCTCTGGTGGAGTCTCCGGTCGCTCTATGAGCGTGTTAGTTCGATTTCTGCAACTTAGAAAGTTGAACATACCAGGACGGGCTTGGATGTGTATGTTTCCATAATTATTTCCCAGTTGGAACCCACTATTGTCCCCTTCGAAACGCACATGCGATGCCATAGTCATTGTATGATGTTGGCAAAAGTGCGCGGGGCTCTGCGGCTGAGAATCGCAACAGATGCATGTTAATATCAGGTGATTGGCGGCGCTAAAATGGAGGACCAATCCAGTTATCGAAGACACTCTGAAGGTTCTAAAAGGCCTAATTCCATATGCGGTGACTGCTGTGCTACATTACTACTGGTAGATAACTTGAACAACAAGTGAACATATTGCACGGCCGATAAGATTACAGTTCGCAGGCGACGTGCCATATTGCTTTCCGTATACAAGGACTTCGCAACTTTAAGGATGAAATTAAAATGGGGTCCGTTTGAGATAGAGAGAGCGGGTCTTAGTACAGACCTATTGACCGTTCATCAAGAGCTTGTTTAGTCCCATTGGAGTGGCTGCCGATCTGGAGACGTCAATTTCACAGTCTCTACACTGTCAAACCCAGTTTGCGGATTGCCCAGTTTCATCTATGTGGGACTTGGGATATTAGCAATCCATGCACACTGGGCGCGGAGGTTTCGAGGGGGCGATATGCTCGGCATAATTTAGTGGCGCTACGACCCATCGCAACTCTGATCCCCACGACCCTTAATATCAAAGGATGGAGTTGGGTGTGATGCCTCTTGCGCTGCCCCTTCATGAAACAGCCCCTTGTAACAGGGATCTTCCTTCATACTCGCTAGCGTCCCTCGTGGCTTGGTTCCGCAAACCAGGCCATAGCTTTTTGTGAAGGGTGGGGCTCGTGCGGGTTCCAGACAGGTCGGGGGCGCTTCAAGACTGGGCAGTCAAAAGTCTGTGACCCTCAGGGTATAAGTCGTTCTCTGCCATTGGCAGGGTCGCTAAATCTGTATACGTGAAAGTGCTTAGATTTGAGGGGTCTCTTTGAGCTCAGAGTTGAGGGCCCTTAAGAGACTGGCCACTGCAGCAGTCACACAAAGCATGATAACGTCAATAGGCGTCCGGCGGAACACAAGAAATAGGAATAGGCCTGTCGAGCGCGTACTGCGTATTTTAGTATGCTCTTGACGCTGGCAGATGTGGGCGGCTACTGAGGGGTCGCAAACTTATGGCGCACAAGGGTATCAAGGCTAACTGAAATCGTCTAATACGTACGGTCCCTGATCTACGCCTTTTAGGCGCTCAATCATTTGACAAGGTTTTCATGAAACGTCGCTAGAGTCTGGCACATAAATACTACCTAATGCCTCGAGGGACTTGGGAAAGTCATTTGTCTTTGTAAATCGTTTCGTTCTTTCTTGCCATTCGCTTCCTTACAGGTGCAGGTACACCTTTCACATTCATTTCTACGACTCACGTCCATTCGAGATTGAGGACTCAAAAGCACCCAGTCACTCCTTTTCCTGAAATTTCAATATATACACTCGCTCTCGAAAATGCGATCGACAACTTTTGTTGCCATTTTGGCAGCGTTTTCATCCGCTGCCATTGCAGCGAAAGACAGCCGTACATTTGCTGTCAACCATTTCTATGGGACTCCTAGTCCTCTGACTATGGGACGCATGGATCCGATCGTTTCTCCAGGGACCGCCGCTCAGCATGTTCATGCGGTTCACGGTGGAAGCAATTTTGGTCTATCGATGGACAACGAGATTCTCATGGACTCCAACTGCACCACATCTCGCATCCAAAAGGATAACAGCAACTACTGGACCCCGGCGCTGTTCTTTCAAGCTGATAACGGATCATTCATTTCCGTGGACTTCTACTACATGAATGTATATTACTTGTCAGTTCCTCATTTAACCTTGATGGCCAGCGTCCAGTATCAAGCTAACATAGATGAAGCTTCGAGCCCACCGACGACGAGATCAAGGCATTTCCCGTCGGCTTGCGTATGCTGAGCGGTGATAACTTCGCGCGCACACCTCCCAAGAATGGCGGAGGGCTGAACATTGAACCGGCTGCTGGCGATATCCAGCCCGTCCAGTGGACCTGTCCTCGAACTAGCTACGATCCTCCTTCGTATCCCGCCGACTCGGACGGACTGAACGGCGTTGGAATCGGCGATCCAAACAACAAAGGATCTGGTGCGGGTTTCCCCGACCAGAACTGCGATGGATTCGCGTCCCCTCTGCGGGCCGACATTCATTTCCCCTCTTGCTACAACCCCAAAGCCGGTCTGCGGGACTACAAAAGTAACACTGCTTTCCCAAGTAGCAAGGGCACCACCGGAGGCAAAGCTAACTGCCCTGAGGGATGGATCCATCTCCCTCATATCTTCTATGAGGTCTACTGGAACACTCCGGCTTTCAAAGACGAGTGGACACCAGGACAGGGGAAACAACCGTTTATCCTTGCGAACGGAGATCGCACCGGATACTCGCTCCACGGAGACTTTGTAAGTCATTCGTCCCAAAGCTTGGGGTAGAAAAGGAAACAGACAACTGACCGAACCAATAGATTGCCGGCTGGGACACCGACACCCTGCAAAACATCATCGACAACTGCAACGGAGGAGACGCGGGTATGGAATCCTGCTCAACCGACATCACCGGCCCCCAAAATGATCCAGCCACCGCACAAAGCTGCAACGTCCCCAACCTAGTCCCCGAGAAAATTTCCGGTGTTCTCGATCGGCTGCCTGGTAACAACCCGCCCACCGGATGGGGCGTCAATGTAGATCTTAGCCCCAGCGGCGTCTCGCTCACTCTCGGTGGCAGTGGAGACAGCGCCACCGAAACTGCAGCTGCAAATTTGAAGCAGGACTCTACTCCGACTGCAGCGGCCTCGTCTCCTACCTCTGAGCCAGAGCCGGTTGAGGTCATAGTCACAGTGACCGAATTCGTGGCGCGTGGTGAACCTACCCGGTTCTCTAATAGCACTCCTAGCTGGACTACCCGGGTTGCCGGTGCGGCAACGACTCTGGGCCCGTACTAACGGGCGCAGGGATTGCTGGCGTTGGCGTCATGACTTTTTCGGGCTGTGCGGAATACTGCGAGATGGCTCGCTTTTTGCTAGCCGAAATTGAGTACGCAAGAACTGTTTCTGTGCAAATTTTTGATAGATAGAGTACACCATCGCAGGTTTCTCTATTTGATGTACAAAATCTTCGTGTTATATGATTCAATTTTATGCGACAATCCAGAGGAACTTGCCTAATGGAAGTTTGACGCTCTATCACTGGCAACTGATCTATCAAGCCAGTACGACTTAACTCTTGGTGAAATAGTATATGGCTCAGTCAGGTTCCTTCTCGTATATTGTATATCAGGTCTGGTCCCAGTGTAAATTTGAATTCTAAAGACTAGCACGTATCTCTCAGAATTCGCCTCGGATTTCAGCCTTGCGGTAACTTTTTGGGCTGTTTCGTCATGGTAGATACGTATCAGATTCACTTGGGTATTAACGAAATCCGTTGACGCAAGGAGTGGGCCTATCAGCCAGTCCTTCTGCGCCGTCTTGATAGTCGCGTTATTCTTAACGTTCGCCGATCTCCCATAGGATCTAAGGGCTTGAAAGCCGGCTAAAATGTAATATCCGCGGTAAAGTGCAATGCACGGCACACCAAAGGCATAGAACAATGGGCTCGGGTCAAGAGGTACGCGCTCCGCCTTGATGTCGCCTGTCGCGTTAAAGTCTTCGGTCCATTTCTGCGCGTAACGCGCTTTCGCGGAAAGTATCTTGGTAACCATATAGACGTGTTCGTCAGATAACTTGTATCCCGCTGGAGACAGTTAGTATCGTGCTTGGACGAACACCATCTCCGTATATTTAAGAAGGGTACACCAGTTCGCGGGATCGTTCTGAGTAGGACCACTGAGACCCACAGCCTTCAAGAAACAATAGTAAGAATTGGTTATAGAATCAATATATGTCGTCATGGAATATTCTGGGTAGTCATGTATATAGGCTGCTGAGTGTCAGTGAATTAGCATGAGAGGGATTTGGTCATTTGCATATATCGTACCTGGTCAATAGGAGGACAAATTTGATGGACTCCATGATCCATTTTTTCCAACGGCAAATGCGCTTCAAAATATATCCCTTGAAAGCAAGGATAAAGAGGCCTTTTTGATGAAGCGAAGCTGGAAGAGAAGATAGTGGTTCAGGCGAAGATGGCGATCGCTTGACGCTGCTGTCATCATTATCAGAGTCATCATCATTACATTGAGCGGAAGATGTCTCTATATAAACAGACATTTTTCATCATTAATAAGACAGTGTAGGCACACTTGCAGACGTTGCTATACAGGTTCTTGGGTCTTGGTTCTTGACGGGCCTGGTATTTGTTACTAAACGAGGAGAGCAACCAGGGGGAGAGGTTGCATGAAAGAACAAATTGACTTCATATACGATTGTCCAAACCTATTCATGACTCAGTCATTCCACAAATCAGGATGCAAAATGGGCGAGGCCTAACTGGAAAAGGGCGAACAATCAAGCCTCATTCATTGTTCGGTCCACAGTTTGGCCTGAGGCCACCCACCGCCCCGCTTCCGAGTCGCCGTTGATTCTTTGACAGCAGAAACTGAGCCCCCGTCCCCCTCATCTCGTAGAAAAATTATTTTCAAATCAAAAGCGAGAGCTCTGGAACAAAAAGGCTCCTTTCCCCGAGCTCGCTGCTGCGCCTGATTCTTTCAATCCGCAGCTTGCGCACCTCAGAACTTCCCCGCATCAGATTTGATATCCGCACCTGCACAGTATGGACGGCCAATATGCCAATGACCCAGAATGGGCCGACGTGACTCCAATTCCTTTGGATGATGGATCCAACGAGGAGGTCATGCCCCTGGCTTCTATTGCCTACCCTCCGGAGTACATTGAGGCAACGTCCTATTTGCGGGCTGTAATGGCCGCAAATGAAATGTCTGAGAGAGCACTCAAATTGACCCAGGATGTGATAGCGCTGAATCCAGCCCATTACACCGTATGGTGAGTATTCCAAACTACAGAACTACTCCAGCACAACTACCATGTATCCTTCCACAATAAACACTAACATGTCACCACTCCAGGATCTACCGCGCCAAAATCCTCTTCGCGCTGAACAAGAGCCTAGAAGAAGAGATGGCTTGGCTAAACAAGGTCTCTCTCAAGTATCTCAAGAACTACCAAATATGGTTGGTTTTCATCCACAAGACCTGTTCCCTAGTAGACTCAGACTGACAAAGAACCCAGGCACCACCGCCAAGTCCTCATGTCATCACGAGAACACTTCCCCACCATCCCGCCCAAGGAACTAGACTTCCTGATGGAGATGTTTGCCCAGGACTCTAAGAACTACCACGTCTGGACCTACCGTCACTGGCTGGTTCGCCACTTCAAGCTATGGGACTCGCCTCGCGAAATCGAGGACATAGATGCCCTCCTCAAGGCTGATGTGCGCAACAATTCCGCCTGGAGCCACCGGTACATGCTCCGTTTTTCGCCGCGCGAAGAGGATGTCCCAGATTCAGGGCTGGCGAATGCGGGCGACATGAGCACTACCCCGGCTGATAAGGGCCGGTTGGCTATTGTGGACGAGGATATGGTGGACGCGGAGCTGGAGTATGCGCAGAAGGCAATTGTGCTGGCACCAGAGAATCGGAGTCCGTGGTGGTATGCACGTGGGGTGCTCCGGGCTGCTGGACGGGGACTGGGCGAGTGGGAGGAGTTTGCGGGGAGGTTCGTGGAGGGCGATGCGGTTAAGAGTACGCATGCTGTGGAGTTATTGGCGGAGGTTTATGCGGAGGATGGGGAGAAGGGGCAGAAGGCGGTGGACTTGCTGACGCTCCTGAAGGAGAGGTATGATCCTATAAGAAAGAATTATTGGGATTATCGGATTAAGCAGATTGAGGTCGATGTTTAGTAGCGGGCTGGTTGTGCTGAGTTCTTATGGGGAGGAGACTTTGGCAACCAGAATGGTCATTAACTATAGGATATGGTGCATGAAATAAACATCACTCGCTACACTCCAATAACCCGGACTTCTGAACCTCAAATTGGGTTCTATACCACCCCAATACGTCGCATATTCTTGATTCTGCGCATTTTGCGAACCCTTCGTGGTAACCTGGAACGTGGGCATGGAAAATGGGCCTCAAACTATGAATGCTATGCCAAAATTCTTTCCGTTGTATCCTATAGACTATAATTTTCGGCAGATGATTGGCACACGTTGCTAATGCTATGTGACGGACCGCTCAGCCTCGCAAGCAGGTGTGTATGCTGTGACCCCTCTTTTCAGCCGCATGAACATCGCACCCATCACCCTTCCCAGAACAACTGCTCCTTCTCTGCCAATTCCGAAAACCCTGGAGCTCAAAGGTGAATCTGATTCCAACAATTCATGTTTTGGCCCACGATGTCTACCCTGACCCACGATGACTACACAATCGCGTGGATATGCGCCCTGCCGCTGGAGGTTGCAGCTGCTCGAGTTATGCTGGACAAAACCCACAGTCCCCTACGCCAACCTCCTTCCGATCCGAACGCCTACGAGCTTGGCGAACTGAATGGCCGTTTGATCGTCATTGCCTGCCTACCGGCTGGCGTGTATGGAACAGTCTCTGCTGCAGCTGTTGTATCTCGCATGCGCTCAACCTTTCCTCGGCTTCAATATGCGCTGATGGTGGGAATCGGGGGCGGAGTTCCAAGTAAAGCCAATGACATCCGTTTGGGCGATGTGGTGGTCAGCAAACCGTCCGGGACGTACAGCGGGGTGGTCCAGTATGATTATGGCAAGGCGATTCAAGGCGGAATCTTTGAGTCCATTGGTACTCTGAATAAGCCCCCACCGACGCTGCTGATGCACATGAGTCAACTTGAGCCAAAGCAAATGACGGAAAGCAGAGATGCGGTATCAAAGATTGTATCGGATGTTCTGCAGCGAAATTCCCATATGAGCCAAACTTTTTCGCCCCCAGAGCAGGGAATGGATCTTCTTTTCCTCTCTGGTTATCGCCATGCCGCGAGGGATGAAGGGTGCGAAAAGTGTGATAAAGAGCAATTAGTCCAGCGACAAGTCCGTGATACGCGGTCACCTCACGTCCACTATGGATTAATTGCATCCGGGAATCAAGTGATGAAGGACTCGGAAGCACGAGACCGTCTAGGTCAGCGACATGGAATACTCTGCTTCGAGATGGAGGCTGCCGGCCTAATGGACGAGTTACCGACTCTGGTGATCCGGGGAATATGCGACTACTGCGACTCACACAAGCAAAAAGACTGGCAAGGATATGCAGCCTTGTCGGCGGCCGCTTATGCCAAACTGCTGATATCGATAGTGCCTGCGCAGCGTACAGATCTGAGCTTCGCAAACCATAGAGTGCGACACTGGATGGTCCCATTCGCAAGGAATCCAAGATTTATTGGTCGCCAGCACGAACTGGCAGAACTAGAAGAAATGATTTTATTACAAGATGGCCCTACTCGTGTTGCAATCACCGGCCTGGGAGGGATTGGGAAGACCCAGGTGGCGCTAGAAATAGCATACCGCGTACGGGAGCGAGACAAAGAATGCTCGGTCTTCTGGGTCCCATGTACTAGTCATGCGATGATTGACCAGACTTTCTTGAGCATTGCACAGGTCCTCGGAATATCAGATGCGAGTCCCAGGGAGGTTAGAGAACAGATCAAAACATATCTCAGCTCCGAGCGTGCGGGAAAATGGCTTATGGTTTTCGACAATGCAGACGATGCCAAGGTGTGCTTGGCAGGTGAGGAACAGACGGGCCAGGCCCTTGAGGATTCTCTTCCCCAGAGTGATCAAGGCCGCATAATATTTACATCCCGGAACTTGGAACTCGCAGTGGATCTCGCTTTTTCGAATATCATCACTATTCCAGATATAGACCCAGAAACTGCAACGCTGATCCTACAGAAGTCATTGGTACAGAAAGAGCTACTCAATGACCCGACGGTAACGGCTGCTCTTCTCGAGCAGCTGGCATACCTTCCATTAGCGATCATACAGGCATCAGCATATATCAACAAAAAGCGCCTTGACCTCTCTTCGTATTCCGCGCTCTTACAAGAGACCGAAGAAGAAGCCATTGAGCTCCTAAGCGAAGACTTTCGGGATCCTGGTCGTTATAGGGACATTCAAAATCCTGTTACAGCCACTTGGTTAATATCATTCCATCAAATCCAACAGCAAGACCAACTAGCAGCGGACTATCTATCCTTCATGGCCTGTGTTGGCCCACGGAAGATCCCTCAGTCTCTTCTTCCATCACAAACAGCTAAGAAACAGACAGACGCTTTGGGGCTACTACATGCGTACTCCTTTATCAACAGAGAAGATACAAATATTATCATGCACAGACTTGTGCATATCGCATCGAGGAACTGGCTCAGAAAGAATGCGCTGTTCAGAGACTGGATTCACAGGGTGGCCGAACAAATCCAACGGGTATTTCCTGATGACGACTATTCTAATCGACCGCTGTGGCGCGAATATCTTCCCGCTGCTCTGAGCCTAGTGCGAGAGGAGGCGTTTAAGGAGCTCCAAAAAGACTTTATCTTGTTGATGGGGAGGATGGCAGACTGCCTTGCTAGCGATGGACGATTTGATGAGGCGGAGATACTATACGCCAAGTCAATGAGAATAAATACGGAGAGGAGAGGCTCTGAGGATCCAGCTACTCTGACAAGCATGGCAGGCCTGGCATCAACGTACTGCAGTCAGGGACGCTGGAGCGAGGCTGAGAAGCTGAACTTGCAAGTCATAGAGACAAGCAAGAGAGTGTTCGGTGTGGACCATCCCGATACTCTGACCAGCATGGCAAATCTAGCATCAACCTACAGAAAACAAGGACATTGGAATAAGGCGGAGAAGCTGAACGTACAGGTCATGGAGGTAAGGAAGACAGTGTTAGGTGCGGAGCATCCTGACACTCTGACCAGTGTGGCGAACCTGGCAGCAACATATTGGAATCAAGGACGTTGGAGTGAGGCCAAGAAGTTATATGTACAGGTTATAGAGACAATGAAGGCAGTGCTTGGGGCTGAGCATCCGAACACTCTGACCAGCATGGCGAACCTTGCCTTTATCTGGAAATCTCAGGGGAGACTTGAAGACTCATTGACCATGTTGAAGAAATGTTGCCGGTTACGCACCAAAGTTTTAGGGGCTGATCATCCTGATACCCAATCCTCCTCTCGCGCTATCGCAAACTTGGTGAATGAACACAGGGTATCCCAAAGTCAGCGTCTCCAGTCAGGTACCACTGAATCTGGACGCTTGCGACAACCGTAGGAGGCATTAATAGGCCCTGATATCGCTGCTTCAGGAGCCCAGCGATGCTCATGCACCGGTGCATCGCTTGCAAGCCACCCCCTTATTACAGTTTCCAGAACGCTCTCTCTTCCTCCACGCAGCGAGAACATGCACAACGTGGATGATTACGACCTACTCTGGCCACCACGCACGATGCTGCAGGGGCAATCAATTGGAAAAATCTAGCATGTATTGACCTTGCAAAGCTTCTTTATAACACGATGTCGCCATGTGTGTATGCTGGTAGTATCTGGTAGCGTTCGCTCCGTTGGAATTTAGATACTTAGACTGGGGTCACTCCTGAACGAGACCAACCGCCCCATCGCCCGCGATAACCCACCCGCTTATATCACCGGATTCGTCGACAAAACCTAATGATAGGAATGCGACTCAGATAGTTTATGCTGGTAGAATTCCCACAATTCAGGATTTTGATGTTTGTATCGTAAGGTACTCACGGAGGACATCGAGCACAACAGTAGTAATAATCGCTGGTCGACGAACGAGGACATGATAGATCTTACGCTGTTGAACAATCCCATCTTCCTGCCTATCGCTCACTACATTGTACTGCCTGAGCAATTTGCAATGTCGTCATTTTTTGCTACGTACATATCACCTTGCCAGTCGATGTCATGGCGGGTGGGTTTTATTTTTTAGAATTGGAACAATACGGGACTCATGTACAAAGTCGTTCCGTCCAGAGTCTACGAAACATAACTTAAACTACGCCTTTACTCTACATAGAATAGAGTATATAGACACTATATATGCCAAATTTTGTTATTTATCACTGAAGAGCCGCTGAAGTCAGGCCCTGAGAACCATCGGTTCCTATTGGACGCAGGAGAGCCGCCGCACCTGCTGAATAGTGGTGGCTGAGCAAGGCACCCAACAGCGAAGACCTCGTAGTATGCCACGATAAGTGGGAGTTGCATATTACTTAATCCACAGTATGCCCACAGTTTTGCATTATGGAATGCTTCACATGCTCTTTACGAGGTAGAACAGACGGGGACTTAAACAATATGTGATGGTTGAATCTATTTACGGTGGGGACTGTATAAGGATCATTTAAGTCGCAGTCTTATTGATCGTCAAGGCGGAGGTCCTGTGACGGCAGCGTCCTGGGACTCCAAGAGGCGTGGGTAGATGTTTGCCGTCTCAGAGTCGAGAGATGAAAGCAGAGTTTCGGTGCGCGACCCATTGTCTGACGCCAAGGCCTCTGCGCTGCCAACGGATGGAGTATCGCTGCAGCTCAGCGTAGGTCTCTTGAGAAGATGATGGAGTTTAATATGGACATCGTACGTTCACTGCATGGGCCAAGAATCCAGTGATATCTTCGAATTTGGGAACAGCACGGCAAGATGACCAATTGCAACTAATTCCATCATGTATAAGGGCGAGATGAGAATCGATCAAATGACGATGTAGAGAGTCCAGTCGCTTCGAAGGGAACTGGTGCGGTGGAGGATTGGACGGTAATTCATGAGATAGACTATAGTAGACAATGTAAACGTTCGTCGGATATACTAGGGTTTCCTCCTTAACACATAAGGGCTCTCCAGACTTCGTTTGATCAAATGAACCTTCTTTTATTTACAAGAATGTGCTAATGCAGGGGAATAAGTGACATGATGCGTGATGAGAAGTATAGGAAATGCCAAATGACCAAAACCACAAAAGGATTAATGCGAATTCTAAATGACAAGAAGTGAAACGTCCCAGCGTTATTAAATAGTTAAAATCAAGCCCAGCCCTCGGCAAGGAGCTTCCTGTATTCGCTCGCCATGTCGATAGTGACGTTGCTTCCGCCACAGACAATGATGACAACACGGCTCTGAGCGTTGAGATCAGGAACCAGGGTCTTGAGCTTGGACTGAAGGAGAGGGGTCTTGGTGGCAACAGCAACAGCATCGCTGACCTCCGGCTCGGTCTCGTTCTCAGTAGAAGACCAACGGTCATCACTGTAACCCTCATCCTTCGGAAGCACGGTGACGACATCGTCAGAATCGACCTTGCGGCGTTTGGCGCTTCGGGTCTCGGCGACGGCATTTGCCGCTGCGGTGGCAGCTGCGGTGGCAGCATCGCCAATGGCCGCCTCGATACAGACACCACAGGCAAGTTCGACAAGGAGGCGCTCATCATCTGCGAGCCGGAGAACTCCCCGGGCGGCCTCCGCGTCGGTGAGGACCGCACTGTGAACCTGGATGCCTGGCGGGGGAGCAACGGCATATTGGAATGTGGTTTCTGATACCCGGATGGCGCCGAGTGATGTGGCTTGCGAGGTGATCTTAGGGAGAGAGACGAGGGAGTTACTGGCGATGGCAGCGGCAAGTGAGTCGGTGCCGTCTGTTTCGATGGCGAGAAGGTGAATAGGGCTTGGGGTGCTGGATAAAGGTGTGGTGGTGCTTTCTGAGTGAGTATCTTGGTAGGAGTGGCCGGTGCTGGACTGGACAGTCTCGATCTGTTTCTTGGTGCGTCGAGACTCAAGGCCTTGCACCAGGCCATTCAACAGACCACCGCCTCCGACACTGCAGAGGATGGCGTCGACGGGGAGCGCCCGTGAGCCGTAGACTTGCTCTTCTTCCGGAGAAGCAGGGACTGGGAGTTGTTTCTCTAATTCGTCGATAATCGTGCTGTTCCCCTCCCAGATAGGCTCGTTGTCGAAAGGGTGGAGGGCAATCTTTGCCACATCTTCATCGTCCCCTGAGCTTTGCTTCATAATAACGTCCTTCATGTATGATCCAGCCTCGAAGAAGTTCTCGCCATGGCGGATGACATCTGCAGCGCCGGCTGCGTGAAGTTTGTCAACCATCAAGGGCTTCGTAGAGAGGGGCACCACAACGGTGCACGGGTATCCTAGGGTCCGGGCAGCGCAGACGGCAGCAATTCCCGCGTTACCACCGGATGAGGCATAGAAGTGGACTCGTCGGTTGAAGTTTTCTGGCTTGCGAAGGTGTGAAAGAATCTGGTTACCCATGGCGCGGGATTTGAAGGAACCGCTGGGCTGGACATTCTCCAGCTTGAGGAAAATACGGCATCCAGCTGCTCGCGAAAGGTTGGCAGACTCGACCAATGGTGTTTCGATCCACGGAGTCTTGAAGTTGGGAGCAAAGTCCTCCGGAGTAGGCTGATAGCTTCCCATGTTGAAGATACTGGATTACCCAGAATTTGGTAGTGTTGAACAAAGACGTAGATGCAAGAGCGACGGTCAATTGACTAGACCGAAGCAAGTAGAGATGAAACCCAAAACAGGGAAAGGGTAGGTATCGATCTGGTACTGTTACAAGGGGTCGGTGGGATATGAAATGTCGAAGGAGTCGAAGATAAGTGAAGATGCAGCGAATTGATAAGAGAGATAGCAGAGTCAATTGCTCTTTATTCTTCAAGGTAGTATACAAATATAGCCACATGTTTTGATACACTCACGAAAGCCCTACTTTCCCTAGTTTTCCGACGGGAAAGTGGCCCGTTTCCCGAGCCGTCGCCCCCGGCGCCCAGCAGAACCGCGAGATGATCCACGGTTCTGGCCCATTCTGCCCGATAGCATGCGGAGATAGCCAATCACACCCCCTTCAGGCATACCATACCGTGCGCAAGCCTGATGAAGGGGACCCCCTGGAAAACCTGGCAGCTAAGCTGTCGCGGTATGGAGAGGTTTCGGAAACTTTCTCGATGGAGCAGTCACAGATGATGTAAATCATGCGGCGAATGGGTCCCCTTGTGCCCCATAATTGGTCTATCACCTATTCTCTTATCAAATCGAAAACACCCCGGGACCACCACCAGAGATAATATTGACAAATTTATTTGTACGTCAGCAGTGGAGGGAAGAGGATACCCTTCTTGATGCCTTCACCGTACGCCGCATCGAAACCGTACGCCGTGGCCGCGAATGCCCGTTTGGTAGGTGATAAATCTACTTTGAGGTGATCGAGGAGTTCCTTTGATTTGGTCGGCATGAATGGCTGCAGCAGAATGCCCGTGATACGAAGAGATTCCGCCGCATTGAAGATAACTCGCTGGGGATTGGGGTTGTTCCACGGCTCCGCCGCGTGGAAGTATTTGTTAGTCTAAAAAAGGGGGTCAAAGAGGGTCAGCCTGGCGCCCGACGGCCGACCGGGGAAGAGGACTCTGCAAGGGCTTACAGTGGGGACTTACCTTCTCGATTATGCTCATGGTTTCCTGGAGCGCCGCACGGGGGTTCAAACCGGTCATATGCTCGGCCACAATCGGCGGTGTATCGATAAGCATCTTCTGATGGTCCAGATCTTCCGGGGTTGGAGCCGGGAGCTTATCAGCAGCGGCATCTTGAACATAAGTGGACAATTTCCCCTTCGCACATGCGGTGGTACGGGAAGCAAGGTTTCCAAGTCCACCTTGAAGTAGCTTTCGATAGTCCCGGGAGATGAAGTCGTTATCGTAGTCTGCGTCATCCGCCATCCCCCCTTGGTATGCTAAGAAGAACCGCATACCATCAACGCCAAAGCGATCCATGGCAAAAAACGGATTCACTACATTTCCCGTTGACTTGGACATTTTCGCCCGGTTCATAGTCCAGTGTCCGTGGACGAGAATGGTCCGGGGTAAAGGCAGATCTAGAGCCATGAGGAAGGCCGGCCAGTAAACGGAATGGAAACTACCGGGAGGTCAGCCAAAGTTTATGTTCATAGGTCATGGCGTGAACTTACCGAACAATGTCCTTTCCAACCACGTGAACATCTGCTGGCCAGATTGACTTGTTCTCTTGCCCGGGTGGAAAAGGGTATCCTGCCTTGGTCAAGTAATTGACGAGTGCATCCAACCAGACATAGATCGTTTGTGTACTATCGCCGGGAACCGGGATTCCCCAGGTGAGTCTTTCTGCTGGGCGGGAAATCGACAAATCTGTTAGGCCCGCGGAGACCGATTGAATCACGGCTGTCGCATATTTCGATGGTTTGATGAACGAGTCGGGTCTGTTGTACAATTCTAAGAGGCGGTCTTGAAATGCCGAAAGCCGGAAATGGTAGTTCGTTTCTGAGGACCATTCGACTTCTTTGCCGGTCTCAATCGATACCATCCTCTTCCTCCCTGTTGATGGATCGAGGGAGTTTTGAACTTGTGTTTGCGGGTAGAATGTTTCGTCGCTGACCGAATACCAACCCTCGTGTTTAGAAGTATAGATATATCCACGATGTTGCAGCATTTCCTGCCAGTCTGTCAGTTTTATCGGTGCTGCCTCCGAGATTCCGGGCAAACCTGCTTACCCAGAAGTATTGTACAGCATCACGATGTTCCGGATCGGTGGTTCTGATGAAATGGTCATTGCTCAAACTGGCGGCTCTAGCTAGGAACTATTTGGGAAACAATGAGAATATCAGCACTTGTCTAAGAAAAGAAAGAAAAAGAAAGTGTCACAATACCTCGAAAGTTCTGCAATTCATGTCGCAAAAAGCCTGTGTGTCCATGTCGGCCTTTTGCGCAGCCTGCTGAATCTGGCAATGAATGTTAGCCCCAGCTTATCATTCATTGAAATAGCCTATTGTACCTTCATCCCATGTTCGTCGGTGCCAGTCAATAATTGGGCGTCCGAATTGCCGATAAGAACTTGCCATCGTTTCAAGATGTCCGCGATGACCATGGTGTACAAGTGACCGACATGAGGTGCTGATAGAACAGAAACTGATCAGATACCCATTGTAGCATTGAATTGCAATCCGGGAGAGACTCACCAGCATTGACGTAGAATATTGGAGTGGTCACATAGTATGGCTTCTTGATATGTCCGGCATCGGGGGTTGTCCCAAGTCCGCGTTTTGAGATCTTGGAGGGCCCATGCCTACAGGCTGAGCATGTCCATGGTATAATGGGACTCAAAGGCTTCCGAGCCCTTAATATGGCACGAAATGGTATCCTGGGAGTAAGCATCAGGATGGCTTAGGCAAAAGGAAGAAAGTTCGTGTCGCATGTTATGCGATCCGCGGAGATGGTCCAAGCTCCACCGGCAGTACATCTGCAGGGAAATCCAGACAATGGGCAAGTTAAATGAGCTCGGTTTTATCAGCCTCCTGGTATAAGGCCCTCGAGGATCATTGGAAGATAGTATCCATGACGCGCGTAGGTATAAGACTCCAAATCTGACCGTAAATTGAGATATTTATGATAAGTATATTGTAAAGCCCAAGGCGGACAAGAGAGCGGTAAGGCTCGTGGTGCGTGTTTCTCCGGTGTTCCGCCTTTTACTGCCGCGAACTTTTTTTTCTTTTGTTCGACAGCCTAATCCCGTGACATCCTCCAGCTTGTCTTTCGACTTGAAATCCGATATCCTTGACCGCTCTGCCGCTTTGTTTATTGAGCCCTACATTCGATTTGCATCAGATATTTGCTACATCATCCAGAGCTGTCTCGCACCTTTCAAACAACGCCATGGCCCCACCAACCGAGGATCAGCTAACAAAGGTATCAACTGAAGGTATGTTTGAATAATTAATCTCCATCTTGGGCCACGCATTGACATGGTGCGTAGCTGCGACAAACTTTGTCAGGACATTCTATCCCGCACTTCAGTCTAATCGAGACTCCATCAGCTCATTTTACTCCGAAACGCCGGCCAAAATCCTCTTCAATGGCAATACAGTAGCGGATGGCAAGGCAGTCCAAGACATTTTCACCAACCAAATGCCTGTATCATACTACGAGGTTCAGTCCTTCGATTGCCAAATCATCAACCGGTCGTACCCTACTCCTACGCCGACAGGTCCTAAGCAGCCCGACCAGAGGACCGTCAAGGACATGTCGATTCTCGTTGTTGTGAGTGGGAGTGTGCGATACGGCGACCGCGACCCGGCCAAGCCTCAGCGAGGCTTCAGCGAGACATTTGTCCTTGTCCCCAACGCTACCGGTGGAGACCACGGGAAAGGCCGTCGTTCCGAATACCTGATTGAGGATCAGAACTTCCGTCTTGTTGTCTAAACCCATATGATGCTTGGTGGTGATACGTTCGGCCGATGCTCAAATGATTGCTATGAGAGAGATTACAGCACTCAATAGCACGAAACAGCGATACCCGCTTGGTCCTCTTCAAATCATGCGCACCTTCAGTCACTGAATAATTGAGGGAATTACATGCGGTTCCATATACGAGTTTCTCCGAGAAGCCAAAACACAAGTCCAAAGTCAGACGTTCGACTCTGTTCATTTAGGATACCAAAGATACACCAGCGTGGAGTCTTCCCTCGGTCTCCGGTCTCGCGAGATGGCTACGCCATCATGACTTGGCAGAAGGCGGTTGCGCGCGAGGTACGCGAAGATTGGCCTTGATTCTTTCCAGAAGATCTGCCCGAGTGGCATTCTCGCTTGGCATGAGTGCGCGCTAGTACATGCATTAGTATAGAATCCGAAGTATGTCGCGAGGATCTTTTGGGACTCACCGCCCGGAGCCATCTCTTCATCTCTTCGATTGTCCAGTTCTCGGGATCTGCCCCTTATTAGTTCAAATGCCACATAAAGGTCGTTTCTTTGGTCATTCTTACCACCTGTTGGATCTGCCTCCGTGGGGAACACATCACCGCCCCAAATAGACCAGGCTGCAGCCGCAGTGACCATGCCTGCGAAACCTACAAGCCGACATTCTGTTAGTATGCTTGTGATAGATATCAGAATAGTTGACGCTTTACCCAGGAACAAGTTCTGAAAAAGCTATTAGTTCATATCCTGTTCCAGAAAGGGCAAAGTGGAGTAGTACCTTGGAGTGCAAAGCGCGATCCAACGGCGTAGGCATTTTGACCAAATCACAGAGAGGATACCCTCTCCTTAATGATAGTGAAAGAAAATTAAATCGGGGATTTCGCGGTCTTTAAATCTGAATATGCAATGAGCAATCTGGAGTGATGATGCAACGGGGGAGATCGGCCACCTTGACCACACCTAGTTGCACCGCCACAAACGCCACTCCATACTATGGCTGCCTACGTAGGTGACTATGAACATTCCCTTCAGCAATATATTTCCCCGTTCAAGAAATGATTAATCCCAAAGATGTTCCATGAAACCTGCTTGCCGCGGCTGCTATTAGAGAACACTAGTATGATTTCTATTCCATCTTGTCAAAAATTCATCGCCTCCGCAGACGGCTCCCTACCGCAGCTACCATGCATCTTCTTCCCAACAGCCCTTTCCTTCGCTGGGCAACTCCAAGCTAGCATTCGACTGTTTAAGTAGCACCTGGAGTGGAGAGACCCCGTATAAGGGTATAAGGTGTCTAATAGTAACGAAAATCATGTATCTAGGAATGCTAGCGTCAATGCTGCAGCTTCGTAGCCCCGTCATATCGATATTTGGAGTACTCCCTATGTATCGTTGGATACTTTCGCAATGGAAGCAGTCATTTATTTAGCGTATGTGACATTTGTTATAACCCTGGCAATGGAGATCATCCAAGGGTGAGCAATGCCTGCGCGTGTCTTCACATGGACTGTTATCTCCTAACTCCAGCTGTGAGAGTTTCAGGAGTAACAAGTTCAGAAGTAACAAGCCAATAGATCGATACTATGGAGGAGGCACAGACCTAATATCAGCAGTGAATCACCTACCAGACACAGTCCTGACCTTGGAAGCCCAGAGCCTGATCTGCTACCTCCTCCCTCCCCCATCCCCACTCCCCCCCTCCCCCGGTGCTCCTGATGCATTCGCAACACAAAAGCGGCATACGACGCCTACCCGCTCACTGGAATACTCTATGCAGAATTTACCGGAGAGCTGTGTCTGCCACAAACCACTTTATTCCCATTCTTAGCGATCCCAGTCCAACCCCAGGAAGCATCAGCCACTATGTGCCAGCCACTATGTCACGTGATTACCAGGGCTTCGCAGAGCAGAAACCCTAATCCGATCCACACATCTTGTCTTTCGCCGTGAACTCTCCCCATCGCCAACTTATCAGCATCAAACCGCCACCATGCCTCGCGAAGTCTCCGATATCAAGCAGTTCATTGAGATCTCCCGCCGGAAGGATGCTTCCTGTACGTTACCGCTCAGAAAACCCGCGATTGGAGAGGACCGGACCCAATGCCGAGACGCGACTTTGAAGCTTGAAAGACTAACATCATGACCTCTCATAGCCGCCCGGATCAAGCGCAACCGCAAGTCCCAGCAGGTCAAGTTCAAGGTCCGCTGCCAGCGCTTCGTCTACTCCCTTGTCCTGAAGGACTCCGACAAGGCCGATAAGCTCAAGCAGAGCTTGCCTCCTTGTACGTCAAACCCCACTATCTTTGCATTCGCCCTTACATAAGGATTGCCGCTGCTGGAGTTTGGATTTCAAGGTCATTCGGACAGACATTGAACAGAAAGCATTCGGCATATCACATCACACGGAATCCAATCGCAAGAACATTGACTAACCTCTCTACTACAGCCCTGAAGGTTGTCGACGTCTCCAAGGGCGAGAAGAAGAACCTGTAAATGCGACCCTAGCACAATGAATGGAGGATCGGAGTGTGGTGCGATTGGTTGTTGATGCAGCAAAACAACTGTTGGAGGGATACATTGGCCTGGGCTTCGTCTCTCTGCGGGCCGGCACGGGGTGACAATCCCGCGTCTCTCCGCTGTTAAAACACGGTTAGACGACTCGCATTTTCTGGCGCACTCGGGGGAAGCTTTTGTCGGGGCTTCCAATCCCTACATAACAATTGAAATAAAACAGTTGAAACATCATTATTCAAGATGCCCTTACTCATGCTCTTACTTCTCCCGTCATCCTGCCCCCTTGGGTTATCATATCCTTTGTTAGGTATTCATGACTTGGGGCTCATTCCTGTTTCGATGCGCGTAGACGTAGACCTTCAATTTTTCCGGTTGCGCTACGTCCGCTTTGTCAGTATAGTAAATGGGTCCACGGGTCAAGTTAAACTTGAACCTGGCATTGTTGAACCCAAAAACATGTATCATCTCATTGTCATGATGATTTGCCTTGAGTTTGTGTTGCTGAACGCTTGTTGTCTACTATGTTATTGTTGCGACGCGTCTCGAGTCGTATTATCAAAAGCACCATGTTAATGCTTTGTAGCCTTGCAGTAAACAATGTGTAAATGCTCTACTGGAAAGTAATTGAGGAAGGGCTCCTTGTACTTCTCGCGTTTGAACAAATCAGAGTTGTCTTTCTTTTTGAGTCCCTTTGTTGTGTAATCGATACCGAAGTAAACATAAATAGTACATCGAAATTCCTGATTCCTTTTCCAATTCCCTTTTGGTCTGATAGCGCGTTCAGGCACTGGCCGGGTTAAGGTCAAGTCATTCACTTCGTATTCAAATTCAACTGTGGAAGTGTAACTCCATCTCTCCTACAACCAAGGTGCAACAACCGACACTATACCCCCTCGTCCATATCATCTACCCCACGCGCCAGCAGATCGCTAACATGGAGCCTCACAGAACATTCCAATCCCCATGGGTCATGAACCATCAACTTGTTGAGTTATGTGAGCTTCTGGAGTCAATGGAAGCCGAGGAATGGCTTTCACACAGAACATTATGCGCCATTCGAATGTTTGCTGCTATGGATGAGTCCAAGGACGCGTATCTCAAGTCTTACCTAGCCAGCAGTCCAAAGTTTCAAAACGAAATTAGTTACAGCTTCCGGATCCCATACTTCAATGCTCACAACGGCGGCCGCAGGACACCACCCCCCACCTTTCTCAACACCGGTAATCCTGAAGACTCACAAGACATGATAACTGACATCATCCGTGACGATTGTGCCTGTTGCTTCAAATTTCTGGAGGCCATCGTCCCTGGGCTCACGCCTCTGAGCTATAATGTACATGGATGGAACTTCCTCTCAATGGCTACAGTTCACGGATCTTTGAATGTGTTCAAACACTTTGTACAGCGGGACAGAACCATCGCGTTGCATATGATTTCCAAGTCCTTCGCTGGACAGACAGATTGTTGGCCCATGCCCCTGTCTTTCCTCCATCCAGACACAAATATCTCTTTCCCGTTCCTCTCCCTGTGGGTAGAGCAACTAACGGACCTCAGAATGGTAGGCAAGAAATGCATTACGGCAGCCATCCATCCAATCGACAAAATCCACTTCTGCCAGTTCTTCCACCTCGGCATGGCAACATTGATGGAGTCAATCGGCGCCAGCATCGAGAATGCCCAGATCTCCGAATCCGATAAGTCCCTCAGCCCGTTCTCAGTGGGCACAACTTCCTGGCACGGCGCAACAGCAAATTCGGCCGACTTCATGAATAGGATGGCTGAGCGCTCTGCTCTCAGCTTTACCTGGTCTAACCAAGCAGGAGACTGTCCTATTCATTGGGCAGTCCGGTACCAGAATCTCGAGACTGCGCTCTGGCTATACGATCACGGCGCTATTCCACGGTTCAGCATACCCATGGAGGAAACAGAGACCATTTGGCATCAGGCTTTGCATGAAACTGGAGAGAAGAGCCCCATGATCTTCGAAATGCTTATGCCGAGTTGTAATAACCAAATGGATCAGGTTGATCGGTATGCGGTCGCCTCGTTATTTCACCAGATCATGCTGACTACTATGGATTGCGTTATGTGTGCTGCTGTGACAACCATCGACAACTTGGAGTTTGAGATGCTGAGAGAGCAGCTCAAGGCTGAGGGGATCCAGAAATGTAAACTCATTTGGGAGGATTTCGTGGATGTAGATCTTTCCCCCGAAAGAGCGGACGCTGCCGCGAAACTCCACAACAAAGCGGTATCGGTTATGCGATATCTAGAGTTGGGGTCCCTCGCTGATGCTATGATGTGTGCTCCTGTTGAAGAAGAGCAGGATCTTGATGAGGACTTCGCGGATGGATGAGTTCTACGTCTCAATGAAATACTCCGGTTGATGCCCTGTATCTTATTGTTATCATACTAACACAACACCTAGCAAGTTCAAGCTAAATTGAGGCTATCTTGAAGCCAATGTGAGACCAGAACGTACTCAGAAGATTGAGAATCTTCTACCTACTAGGAGCTGGAAAAGTCATAATAGATACTTCCAGCGCACTGGTAAATGCAAACTCTATAATTCTATTCCGTCCACATTATTCTGTTCTCAAATACGGCCTTGCCGAGTAATTTTCTACTCTGTATTCTTCAAGAGCTTTGTCCACCCCGCGGAGTTCCAAATCATCTCGTCGAAGCTCAAATTCGCCAAAGAAATTCGGCTCAGGAGAGACCTTCTTGAACCCCAGCGATTCAAACAGCGCCAGACTTCGCATATTTGAGCTCCCAATCTTGACACTCAGGCATGACAATGAAATATGCCCATCATTGACCTTTTGCACCTTTGCACGCGTCTCCTGGTCAATGCCTCCTTGGATGAATTCAGACAATATTTCTTGTTGGTGCTGCAGAATGTACCGCAAGAACACCAAAGCTGCAGCCTTCCCAAAGCCTCGCCTTTGATTTGCCTTTTCGGCGATCATAAGCTCGATCTCTCCCACGATCTTGGGGGGCTCGTCTCCGCCGTCCCCGTCATCGACGCGGAGGAACAGATTGATATCTCCCACCATAGCCTGCGGTGAATCATCTGCTGGCTCAAGTTCAATGGGAGGAGACCTATCGACAGGCCGACAGATAATGAATGTCAATTTATCTGCGTCTTGTCGCCAGCTTTTCTGCATTGAATATTCTTCCTCAATTGAAAGCGGCTCTGAAGCAGTCGCTTCTTGGATTTCCTGGGAAGAGTCAGTCTGTTTGCCTAGACAAATATTGAATCCCAGAATGGATTCTGTCGTGTAGCTAACCTCGTCTTGCATCCATTCATGATAGCGCGGTACATGCCATGTCGAGTATGGCACTAAAAGCACCTTTGAGCATGACAGTGCTAGAAGAGAACATTAGTACCAATTTATGCTTTGCAAAACGGCATGTTGCTCTAATTTCTTACAAGGCCGAAGAGTATTGACCTACCAGTTTTCTCGTTGAGTAACATATTTGCAGCACCCCAACTAATAGGACCACCTTTTCAACGAGTTATTGGAAATGAAGGATGATTTTCCCCCACACTATGCTATTCTGCACTACTCGACCGCCTTCCCCACACATGTCTATCCAAGAATTGTAGAAAATAGTTCCAAGAAATGAATGGATTTTCATTAGCCAAATTTTAGGGTTGTCTAGTTATTGTTTTTCTTCTTGTCCTTTGAAAACACTGAATCGGATGACTTCAACTTCCAGCGTCTCAGAGTCAACCAAAACCAATTCCCCTGTCTCCTTAAACCGGGGCAGGGTGAGCAACCGCACACGAGGGATGGGTGTGTCGCTGGAATCCATCATTTCGGCATCGTCTGCTCCATCCAAGCGTAGTGGAAGGTTACCTTCAATTACTGCAGTCTTGAAGGACGGCTGATTGCCCACGAAAAACAGGTGCGGGCAATTGTCAAGTACAAACGGGTCGTTTGTTTGAAACGGATATGACCCTACAGGGAGATTAGCTAAATTCGAATCCTTAATGTAAACAGCCTCCAACGAGAAGACGCGACTCACAAATAGTGTCTGGGGCAGTGGGGACGCCACACCGCCAACGCAGCATAGATTCCATCACCCGCATTCGAGACTCTGAATCGGCTGTTTCGTCTATGTCGTCTGCGCTGTCTCCTGGAAAGTCTAGGTAGCGTAATATGTCATCCACGTTCTGGCCACTGCAGCCCCATAATCTCCAGCCCTCTACGTCGCCTTCCCAAGGGTTGGTCACACTGTCGAACCAGCCAGGTTCTTGTTTGGAGTCGCCCGAAGGTGGGGGAGCAGCATATGCTCGGGCCTGAGGGAACATGGCACGGTGAATTCCCTGCTGAGGTAAAGCAAAGTTTGCAGGATCTTGTTCACCTGGCATGAGTGTGACTGGGATACTTGGTAGGATCTCAGCCAGGAAGTTATCGAGCTGTGTAATAGGTGAAGCATTGTAGGCCGAAGCATCATATCCATACTTCTTTGGTGCAGCCTTCTTCTTAGCTGCGTTTTCAGCGCCTGCAGCTGCTGCATCGGCGGTAACACTGGCACCGAGGGAGTTTCCTGCGATGATGAGGCGAGTAATCTTCGACGCCGGGGCTGAAGGGCTGTTGTCGGGGTTACCTGAAAACCCTGTGTAGCCTAGCAGATAGTCCGTCAACAGCTCCAGCGTAAGAGTGTCGCCGGACGTTCCAGTAATGCCCAGTCCACTGACGAATGCAATCTTGCCGCCTTCTCGCTTGCCGTCGTCGTTCGGGACACCTCCATCTCTCTCCCATCGTCGAGGCTGTGGTGCTAGGTCCGGGGTCTTGATATCGATCACTTCAAAGTCACCATCGGCATTTTCAGTTCCCAATGCTGCAACAATAGCGCCAGTTGCTAATTGTACAGAGCCAAGATATGCGCCTGTCAAACGAAGGCGGCCGGATTCATCTTCCATCATGATCTGGGTTGCGGATGGATTTGAGGGATCGATGTAGGTGCGGCGGGGAGGAGGAGCAGATGTAAAGTTCTAGCAATACGTCAGATCTATGAACTCGGTTGGATATCACGAGGCTATTGTCATACTTCCTTAGTCACGTCCTCTAGGACGTCCGGCTTCAAGGGCATGTCCATGTAGATCGTTCCGGCCACCCAACAGAGTTCACCTTGTCGCACATCCAGCACACGGTCTACACGTCGGGCCTTTTCTCCAGCAATCTGAGGTATGGCAGATTCCCAATTAGCCGTCTGAGTCTGATGACTGTTAAGGATGAATGGCTCACGCTGAATCCATCCCAAGCCGCTGCGGCTAAGCTTTCCACACTCGGCTTCAACTTAGCGAGCCGCAAGAAATACATATCACCATATTGCTGCTGGTATTGGCGACCGGCGCCAGCTGGAAGCTTGAACGTGTCGAGGGGATTGTAATGTGAGGGCACGCGTTGGGTTTCTTCGTATACCTCGTCCCTACCAGAGAAGAACGACAGTCAGTAAGAGCTCAAATCCCTAGGCAATTTTTCAGGGGGAAAGTTTTCAGCATACTTTGGACCGCGCAGGAACCCATAATCCTCGTCGGCTGGCATTTTGGCGGACCCGAGGAGTGCGAATGAAGGTGTTGAGTTGCGCGGGTGGTTTGACGCGTGGGGTTCGCGATCTGGCGCGCCACTTACATTCCCCCTTCGGGTTGGCTCTTCGGTCTCAACGGGAGTCGCTGCCTGGAAAGTACACTTGGAAATTAATGGATCTCAATATTGAACATCTACCGTTGTCTGGAATTGCTGCACTTATTCTCATCGCTTTTTTTTAAAAAAGAGTAATATGAATATCCCCCTATCCCACGTGACCGACCACGATCAGAGCAACTAGCAATCAAGCGGCGAATCATGAATACAAATGTACTTGAACTGGTTTCGTTGATAGTTAACCTCGATTCATTGTTTCGAGGTTGGAATACTACCAACGATACTAGCAGCTCTTGGTGACTGCGGCCGCATATTTGAGAATTTCCCCGGGTCTATACCCATCCGGGTGTGGCAATATGGAATTGGATATCAGCAGTGTTGAAATTCGATTCCAAAGGACATGTATTACTTCGCGTTGTGTTATATCTACGCTATAAACATCAATTGAAGGAAGTAGTGCCCGGTTGTTGAGAAGAATAGAAAAGAATATGCTGAGACGGTATGATGTATATCGACAACAATATACTGATTTCCCTTTAGTCCGATAGCTGCGAAGAAGAGCTACGAATCTACTTAAATTGCGATTGCTCATTTGTATATGGGATGTCTTCAGGTGGTGCCAAGAGCTCTAAATTAGCTCGTCAAAGGTAAGATTTGTACGGAGGAGTAAAAAGAAACCACTGGCGGTGGAGCTCTGATAACAAAGACTAGTACCAATGATAAGCATTAAGCATATCTATTTTCAGTTTATTTCATATACAAACTGCTTTATCTGTGAAGAGTAAATCAGCCCTAAAATTATGCGTAAATCTCACGAGGAGCCAAAAAAAAGTGCCTCGGTCCGGTTCAAAAAGCGCTTGAATTCCCCGCATTTTCAACCCCGACAGCGATCGGCAACTTAGATATAATTCTTTAAAAAGCCTCACAGACCCGGGCTGGGGAACGGTCTCAGATGCACATTCCCACCCTATTACTATAACTTATTGACCCGGACATCGCGTACAACCTCTTAACACCTTGAACCTTCCCACGCGGTCTCGCCTCCACACAACCACAATGTCTCTCCAAACACCCCTCTGCTCGCTCTTGAATATCCAGCACCCAGTTCTGCTCGCAGGAATGGCACGCGCCTCAGGAGCACCCCTCGCTGCCGCCGTCTCCAATGCCGGCGGCCTCGGCACGGTGGGCGGACTGGGCTATACACCCGAGCAGCTGGACGAGATGCTCACTGAACTCAAGTCGCTCCTCCGCGACCCATCACTGCCATTTGGCGTCGATCTTGCGCTGCCACAGGTGGGCGGTGGCGCACGAGCCACCAACCACGACTACACCCACGGGCACCTGGACGAGCTGATAGAAGTCACCATCAAGCACGGCACAAAGCTCTTCGTCTCAGCAGTGGGCGTTCCGCCCGAGAAGACCATCAAGCGGCTGCACGAAGCCGGGATCTTGATCATGAACATGGTTGGTGCGCCGCGGCATGCGGAGAAGGCGCTTGAGCGCGGCGTGGATATTGTGTGTGCCCAGGGCGGCGAGGGCGGGGGCCATACAGGTGATATCCCGTTCTCGGTGCTGATACCTGCGGTCGTGGACGTTGCGCGCAAGTATAAGAGCCCGTTGACGGGCCAACCGGCTCAGGTTGTTGCCGCTGGGGGCGTTAACGATGGGCGCAGTCTGGCTGCGTCGTTAGTTATGGGTGCGTCGGGGGTGTGGGTGGGTACCCGCTTTTTGGCATCTACTGAAAGTGGTGCGAGCAAATTGCATAAGGATGCGGTGGTTAGCGCGAAGTACGGCGATACGCAGCGCACATTGGTTGTCAGTGGGCGGCCGTTGCGGGTGTTGCCAAATGAGTATATCAGAGAGTGGGAGAATAGGCCTGAGGAGATCAAGAAATTGACCTCGAAGGGAGTTGTGCCTATGATGCATGACCTCGAGAACGAGAAAGATGTTGACATGCCTTTTCTGATGGGCGATGTCTCGGCCAGTGTTAAGGAGATCAAGCCTGCAGGTGATATCTTGCGGGATATGGTGAAGGGAGCCGTGGAGGTTCTCAGGACGAGCAACTCATACATCAATGCGGCGCCATCTAGTAGGCTGTAGGTCGAGACTGGACTACCCTATGGCTGGCGCATTTATCAAAACATCCAGGTTTGAATTTCTAATATGGCATGTACTTGTACAGCGAAGTTTGATCTCATAGACCCATGACAGATATCGATTCTGGAAAAAGTCTGATGTTAAATCCTAAAGGTGCAGTCGGAAAAGTCTGCGAAACCAGGGGTCGCGCGTCTCGTCCAGAGCAGCATGTTCTAGAAAAAAATTAATCAAACCCTCCTTGTTTCGATCCTTCGGCATGTGTAATCCTTGAAGTATCTATCGCGTAAATTGGGGTTCGTGAAAGCAATATGGAAACAAGGGTACGTCGTGATGGCACATTTCTCCCGAAAAAAGAGATAATGGGTCAGAGGACTCCAGCAAAATCGAATCAGCACCGACTAGTGAACTCCATTCAAAACAGCGTTCTTGGAAGCCCGAGCCTGGAGGATGTTGGGGGGGAGGTGGAGGGCCAAAGACAGGTCGTTCCGAAGACGCGGGAGACTGAGTGGCTGACTGGGTAGCACCACGGTCAGATTCATCCGGTTCTTCCTCCTCACTTAGGTCCTCCTCGTCCTCATAGTCTTCCTCGTACTCACTCTCGGTACCCTCGTCGTCATGGTCTAGATGATCATCGCCCTCGGCCAGTCCTTCTCCCCGACCCTGGGCCTGCATGCGGCGGCAAAGAGCTTCAAGATGCTGGCACTTGCGTCGCCATCTCTCCAACTCCTCCTGGTTGCGTGTGCGTTCTTCAGCCATCTCAAGGATGTTGCGGTTGGTGGATTCGTGCTTGCGGTTGAGGGTGTGGTTCTCTTTCTCGAGGCGCTTGGTCTTCTTGGACATCTCCTCCATCTCCTTGCGAAAGGTAAGAAAAAGCTCGTTGCTGTTGTTCAGTGTGTCCTCGACCTGCTTGAACTTCTCCACGTAGATGTTTAACTGACTGCGGAGCTCAGCCTCCGTGTGAGAGAAGGTTGATACTTGGGCGCTCAAGGCACGACCGCGAGCCGCCTCATTCTCGGCAGCTCGGCGTTGTTCCTCGTATTTGGCCGTGGTAAGCTGAATTTCCAGATCCTTGCCGCGAAGAAGACTCTTGAAGTAGATATCACGCATCTCAAACTGGTCGCAGAGAGTCTTGATCTTAAGGCGGACACTAAAGGTAAAAAAAAAGCACGAAGTCAGTAAACGATGAACGTGCTGCGGGGATTCATCCTCATGTCGAAGGAAGGCGAGGACGTATGCGTACGCTTCATTGAGATCGATATCGAGCGTCTCGGCCCGGGGGTTTTGCTTTGAGGCCATGACGTCTTGAATATCCCAGAGAAGAGAGTCCAGGCGTTCATTGACAACAATGCGAGCTCTTTTGTCATTTTCTTCTAGCTTCTTGTTTTCGTCCTGTGGAGAAGAGGTTAGAGAAGGTCCAGTCGCGCAACCTCTTTTCAACCTCGTACCTTGACTTTCTTGTTTTCCTTGGTCAGCTCACGGCAGAGCTTCTCCAGCTTATCCTTCATGGTAACGGTTTTGTTCAACTCTGACTTTCCTTTCTCCTGGTCCTTCTGCAGCTGATCCGCTCGTTTCTTGCTTTTGGCGTGGTCCCGATCCAGCTTCTTCATATCGGCGAGCAAATCGGTGTACCTCTTATGAACGGTTTCCAACTTGACCATTGGCGATTCTATAGTATTGAGCAGCTGATTCAAGTCCCGCGTGGCCTTCTTCACCTCCCGCTCTGTACATCGCATGCAAGTTAGCCTTACGTATCTTTGACTAGCATAGAAAAAGGCCCATCCAAGATATTGGACATCAATCCTCAGGACTCACCGATCTCCATTTCCTGGTCTTTCTCGTTCGTCGCATCTTGTTCGAGCTGCGAGATCTTGGCGGCTAGCAATTTGGAGGTTTCGTTGGGATCGGCGACTTTCTTCCCCTTGTTCTTTTTTCCTACTGTTGCAGCAGCCATGATGCGTGGTCGTTCCACAGTATCTGCTGGCTTTCAACAGACCCGGCCTTTACCCTGAAGTTGTCGCGTGGCCGGACAGACTCCGAGAAATTTGTGCGGTGGTCGGGGTGGGATACTTTCCAAAGGATGGGCGGAGATCGATTCGGCGGGTTCGTTAGGATCTGTCGGAGCGGAACCCAGAGGACTTCAGAGCTCGGTCAAGAGCAAGGCCTCTGGGGAAGGAGATTCGGATTTTGTCGCGGTGCTTCGTGATTAAGCGCAGGTAGACGATGCCGTCGGAACAGAACTCAACGAGGGGACCTCTTAGTCATCCCGTCATCCACCTGTGCCACCCCCCGGGGCCCCGAGCCTTCCAAGGTCCGTCCAGTCTTGTCGAAACAAGATGGATTGATGAGTTTCAGTACGTTTGGGTCTCTGAAGGGCTGGACCTGTGATGGAGTCCGGATCATCAAAGGGCGATGAGAGAAGGGTTCTCTTCAGGAACAGTGTCTATCAAATTGTTCCCGCGCCGAGACGCCGAGAAGTCGTGAGACGGCGCAGGAGTGTGTTTGGGACCGATCTACTTGTGCTTAGGTTAAATCAGAGGGCTTTGGTGAATTGGCTGCGTTGAACCCAGTCACCAAATGCTGTCCAGGATTATGCTGTTAAAGTTGACCACTACTTGCATCATATCCCACCATTTGATGTGTTTGATTAATGAGCGCATAGATCACCCGAGATTGCTCACAAGTTACTCAGACTTCGAGTTTCCATCCCACACTAGCATGGTGGTCTGGATTCATTGGTCTACATTATATAGCAAATCATTACAAGAATATTTACAAGTATAGACCGAGTGCCATGGTTATACTTTGATTTGATAATACATCAAATGACATTCTAGTTGCCGGCAGAGAATGCGGCTCTGCTGGCCCGCTTTATGGTGAATTCAGGCGTACTCTAGCTTGAGCACACTACCCCTCACCAAAATCTATAATGAGCAAAAGTTTCACTCTTCAATTGGAAATTCCAGGCTGGCAGTGGAACCAGCCAACCCCAGGAAATAGGCGGGCCCGCTTCTGCTCACGTGGCCAGTGATAAGGAAGTAGCACGGACGTTGGATACTTCTCCAAAGATATCCTGAGACAATCAAGCCAATATGGTGCTAGGACCAAAGCCCACGAAGGCGTGCGGTGAGGAGAAAATCCATTGTTGGTTCCACCAATATCACACTAACGTGCATATACAGTCAACTGCCGGCGCCTGAAGGTATGGGTTGCATAGCATGTGAGAGCAAGTCAAAGCAGAGCTAAAATGCTTCTCCAGATGAAATGTGAAGTATCAGGGCTCCCGCCATGCCGGAGGTGTCGACAGAGCAACAACACCTGCATATTCAAGCCTCGAGCAAATGTATGAAGCCCCACTATGGATTGGGTGTCACTCATATTTACACTCAGGTACAACTAGGCCTCTGCAGTCCATGGGCCTCTAGAAGAACCTCAGGACTATAACTCTACTTCAAGTATTGCCATGCAACATCAGCAGTCTGTTCTTGATCGACTCGACAGAATTGAGAAGGCTCTGGGTATCAATTTGGAAGGTACAGAGAGCCCTCGCAGGCTGCTGGAGTTATCGATAGACGAGAAAGATGAGCAATCTCCGAGTCTCCACATGAAAGAGGTTTGGGCCTCGACTGCTCATCTCAGACATATTACCTTCCCTAAACAAGATGACAAAATTTGGGCTCGACCAATCGTCAAACGCCTCTGGAACTCGTAGGTATTTCTGCCAGTTGCATTCGCGCCTGTGATTAATGGCTGTCTAGATTCCTTAACAATCTCCCGCTCCTGCATTTTCTGAAAGACAAAGACATTTTTGCTGCACCTACACCTCTCTTGCTTGCCTCGGTCCTCTATATTGCGGCACTCAATCATAAGTCGGCAGAGTTAGTGTCACTGGCGCCTGGCTACTTTGCTGCGATTTACTGTGCGATAACGGAGCTCATATGCCCTCCGCCCATCGCCCAAAACATAACCACGTCAGTTATACCAGAACAAGGAAAGCCTATCCATGATATTTTGGGTCTCATCATGGCAAGCCTGAGTTCCGAAGGTTACATCCATACAACCGGGTCATGGATTGCGACTGGCTATCGGTTGTGGCTCGATAGTTGCCCACGAGATCTAGAATCTTCGTCGTCTGACTGGCGTGGATTGTGGTCTGGTCTTCAAGTTATTGACATTGAACACGCCTCTATACATATGTCATACCCTTTACTCCCCCGCCAGCCGCCGATCGAAGCAATCAGAAACTTGAATGCGAGACAAGGCAATGCTTACCAAGGCTTGGCGGAGATGATGCATTTTGGACTGAACCACTTTGTAGGAAGAGGCTTACCGACAATTTGGGACTCTATCAATGCCGACGTATCGCATACAGTTTTAAGCGTGCGCAGCGCATTCACAGAGGAGGACTCGGAAGTGATTCGGCTATGGGCACGGAAGCTTGATGACTGGTTAGTGCGGTATAATGGGACATCTCGTGAGTGTTTCTTGATTCCTATGTACCCTTCGTTCAGGTCTTGATTCTAATCTCCGCCCTAGAACCAACTCCGTCGGACCGGCAGGGAATCTTGATCCTTCTACAATATCATCTGCACAAGCTATATGTTCTATCTATTTACCATCCTGCTCGGGGGTTCGATATAAGCTCGGCAAATATCACTCCTGTAGAAAGGCACGAGCTTCTAGTGTCAGCTCGGGCAGTACTGCGACTGAGAGAGGATGACGCTAGTATCTGGTCCAATTGGGATCTTATAGTAAGCCAAAAAAAAAATTATTCCCATCAAGAAATTCCTGCATCAGATCTAACTTCCGTGAAGATGATAACGTGGGCGGCTGTTCTACTTCTACGAGGCATAGAAGATGGAATGACACACCAAGATGGTAAGCTCATTATTAATACATCACAACGTCCGTATGCTCACAGTCCTGATAGATTTACACTTAATCCGAGGCCATTTACAAAGCCTGGAGCGGAGCCACCCATCAACGGCCAGTATCCACACTGTTCTATTTCAGCGCTTGGATTCCAGCATGCAATCCATGCACACCCCGCCAGGTACAAATGCAGAAGTGATGTTACCAGGCCCCGATGCAGATGACTCGTGGACAATATTTGACCAGGAGATCATGGCATTGGCGAACCCACCATGGTTATATGAGGAGGCGGCCCCGTTTCAACGGACGGACAATGATACTGGGCTTCTGGTCGAAGCCGGGCAGAACTTTACCGCAGGTATAGCTTGGACTCGGACAGGATAGGGCGAAGATTCCATTCTGAGTATTTTCATTTCGACTCTTTTGGGCAACCTCAGTACTAGATCCTCCTTATGACAAATCTCAACTTGAATGTCTGCAAACCATTGTGGTAAGACTTCATAAGCTTGTCAGCTCCCTTCCACTCTTCCAATCGAGAAAATACCTCCCACTGCGTCCCTGTCTCTCTTTGGATCTGCTCCCATAGTCTAAGCCACGTCTTGTCATCGTGGCGGTAATGCTCTGGTGCATTTTCCTTGTCATCCGGGTCAATGGGATCAATACGACCGACTTGGCGTCCAATTATGAGGGATCCAGGTTGGGCGCGAAGGAGACTGACCAGTCGCTTCCCGATCAAGACCTGGCTGTCCCAGCTGAAAAGGTGGAAGAAGGAGGCAGCGTTGACAATGTCCACTTGATGCAAGAGTGTTTTGATAAGCTCAGAGTTATTGTCGAAGATGTCGGTGCTGATAAATTTGGCCTTCAGAGTGGACCGATCCTTGAATAAATCGTAGCCTATGTCGAAGAATTCCCCTCGTAGATCCGAGGCGTATAAATTCTCTCCCGGGACTCCATCGTAAACCTAGAAACGCAATATAATGAGCATCTGAAATCGAAGTTACTGGATAAAATCATGTTTGAACATACCAGCTTTCGAAGTTCTTGTCCAATGGCACAGCCTACATCCAAAAGCTTCTGTCCAGATTTGAGGCGTTGCAGGACTTCGGGATAGACCGGCGACTCCGGAATGCTCATATCCAAGAACCTATATGATCCAATGCAAGGGTATGGGAACTAGGATTCTGTGAGCCCTGCACATCTAAGAAAAAGAGAATATCCCATTTGAAAATTGAACCACTCACCACTTCAAACGCGCGCTTCCTCTAGAAATTTCAGATAAAGGAATCAGCACATCCGATAAATCTTTATAAGGAGATTTACAGAAAGCTCCCACTCACCACACCCTTAACATGATCCAAGATCTGATCAGCTGGGATCTGGCTGTACCGCTCCAATATAGTCTTAGCAGGCTCCGGAACCTCGTCGATCTCGGCGTCAAACCATGGTAGCTCTCTCAGGTCCTTGCCCTTGGCCATCATGGACCGAAGTTCAGTTTCTGATTTCGCCATTGCGAAAACTGCTGCACTCTATTTCTGCAAAGGACAATGCGTCCTTTATGATACATATACCGAGGGGATGTCTAGGATGGTGGAAGGTCTGGGTAGTTGGTGAGGAGAGTTAATACTAATCCTAGTTCCGGTTAAGGTTCCCCGTGGTGGGGCAGCGCTTTGTTGCGAAGCAGAGACATTTGCTTATTCTCATCTCAAGTTGGTTATGTCTGCCGTTCGTTGAGAATAAGTTATTTCCCATAAGCTTACTTACTTTTAGCTGGCTCTCAATTTGGCATGCACTGTGAACGGCTCTACTTGTAATACTGGCGTCTCTACCAGATGCCGACAAGATTAAAATTTTGTAGGTTCCAAATGTAGGCTTCTGCATAGCCCACAAATGGGGCCCGACTTCCAGCCCACACCCATTGATGGGGCCCACGGACATAAGGGCACATTAAAGCTCATGCCATTAGAGCGTTTGGTTGGGCTGGGGCTTTGTAGGCTATACAGTGGTTTCGTATAACATACTAGTTTACTAATTGTTGAATTCCAAAGAAAAATAAATTAAATAGGAAGTGATATCGGGTCAACGCAAAGCGGGAAACCGCTCTGCAATTAATACGTAACATTGGGTATAGTACACAGAAAGAGAAGAATCATCACATCATATCATACAGACGGCCCAGGAGACGCCTGCGCCACACCAGCCTGGAAAGAAAACGTCAGCACTAATGGCCGGCATCCGGGTCACCGGTATCGCCAGTGGCAGTCTTGCTACTAGCTTCTGGTACGGAGCTAGGGGTAGGCGAGGAAGCGAGAGAAGCAGATGCTGGAAATGGTGGAAAAGGCTCGGTCTGGTCACGCGATAACCTCCGAATAGATGAATCGGTCGACATTTGATCATATTTGTCAGAAACTCGACGGGAGCTCAGCGATTGACCTTGTTCGAGGGGTCGCTCTGTGACATGCTCTTTAAGCTGAGATGGGGATACGGACTGAAAGGCATGTTAGAGCTGATTTCAGCTGAAATGAAGGATGGATTGACCATACCAGCTGCGCGTCTTGCGCATCTAGCCCACGCTTCATGGCCAGTTCTTGCGCAGCAAGTCGTCTCTTCTCAATCGCAAGCTCCTCTTCCTTGGCCGCCTGGTCCTCTTCTTTTTTCAAATCCGCGAGGGATGGCATATCGGCATCATGGATGACCTCTTGATCTGTACTCATTGGTGATTTTGTCGACGAGCGCTTCTTTTTTCCACGCCTCGCCTTTCGTGATGACGTTTCTGCCAAGCTAGAAGTACCAGAGGGAGACCTCATTATCTCCGGTTTCGAGCCCGACAAGTCATCCGACTCTAGCCCTGTACCACGGCGCCCCAGCGCAAGAGCAAATTCATCGTCTAGCGGAACTGCATCTTCTTCGTCATCACTAGGGGAACAGATCCCCGCGGGAGCTGAGTGAGTTATTAGTGCCCCGTGATGATCCAGTCTCACTCCGATGCCGTCCAGAATCCTGATAAGAAACTAAATTCTCCTCATTCTCATCCATAGCAGCCATCAACGGCTCGTCTTCATGGACATAGCGTCGTAGGTTACCTGGGTTTTCCTGCAATCCCGATGCCGAGGGACGATACTTAACACCCTTTGCCCCAAGCCTCCAAGGAAAGCGCTCCAAGAACCCCAGCAGAGACGAACTAGGGATAACCGTCGGATCGGATCGGTTATCCGGATTAAGCACTGTACTCCTGCGCCTTGTGTGACGCGTGCCATAACTCATGCGCCGCGGAAGTCGCGGCTGCTCCGCACCGCCCCGTGCCAGGCCACTGCCAGCCAGGAGGCGGTCCAATTCCCCCGTGCCCCAGCCCAGTAGCCCGTCGTCGGCTTCGTCGTTGTCCCAATCATCGTAGAAGTCGAAGTTGGCTTCCGCATTGCCGCGGCGCCGGCGCCGCAGCTGATCTTCACGCGTTGGTATGCAGCAGGCAGTGCACGCAGATATACAGTTTCCAAGGGAGGACAGACATGGCGATATGTAGTTCTGGGAGAAAGCGTACAGGCCTTCCTGGGCAGATTCGTTGGCAGTTTCGAGGTTTTGGGAGATCTGGTTGATCCGCTGGCGGATCCTAGGATCACGCGTGCGCATCATAGAGAAGGTCCGTTGAATGGAGCGAAAAGGTGGCTTTCACCTTATCCAGGTGAACTCGAGGTTCTGGAGAAGTGACGATGATGATGCGGCCGGGCACTGATAGCATGTTAGTCAGCTGGCACGTGCGGGCGCACCCTCTGGGGTAAAACCGGCAAATCGGTTGATTCTTTTCTTTGCCTTTTTAAATCTAAGACTTTGTTGAGGGCCGCGGGAACATGGTCTACTATATTCGGTTCTTGAAACCTCCTCGATTTGAGCCGGATAAGAAAAGTATCGCTAAATCAGGACGATCGTCTAAGAAGTCCGTGCTTATCACCGCACTTATCTGCCTCACCACCGACTTGGGTGATGACTTTCTTGCCGAAGATGTAGATCTAGCAGCCATTTGGGCTGAGGAATCTTCCAAAGAACATATAGATGAATTATCTTTAACATGGCAAGCTGGCTCGCGTCAGATTGCTGTCTCAATGGGTCCATACTCCCCGAGCATGCTGAGCAGCATCCCGGAGTGCTGGAGATCCGAGGTAAAGGAACCACAAAAGACACGATGGAAGCCAATGCCATTCCATTGGTGATATCTGGATGCAGCGCCCCATTTCGATTGGGATCAGAACCTGCGGAGAAGCTGATCTTGCGCGAACTCACTCTTGCATCAAGCCATACTGCAACACTTCGGATATGGGAGGAGACAGGCAATAGTATTGCTCGGCATATCTGGTTAGTACCACCCACCAAAACACCTGAACCCATATCTCATCATTGTCGCGTCGGAAGGGATGCAGCTCTAGCATCGGTGATCTTCCTCGATCAGACTATTACCAGTGAGACCACCGCTCGCCTGCCGGCTCTCAGTAAACTCCTCCACCAGCCCCGCGGTCCACCATTGCAGGCCGTGGAATTGGGAGCTGGCTGTGGCATTGTGGGGATTGCGCTAGCGAGCATGCTGGATTCGTGCGAAGTACTTCTCACGGATCTCCCAGAGGTGGAAGAAATAGTCCAGCGAAACCTTGCGGAGGCCCACCTGAAAAAGTCCTCGTCCGTTTCGTACCAGAACTTGGATTGGGACGAGCCGCCTCTGCAATTCTGTCGCAAGCGCATTGATCTGATTCTGGTGTCTGACTGCACCTATAATGCAGACAGTCTCCCCGCTTTGGTCTCTGTGCTTGACAAGTTGACCCGTAGTTCCCCGGAAGCCCTTGTTCTCGTGGCTCTCAAGCGGCGGCACGAGAGCGAGGCCGTCTTCTTCGATCTTATGCAGTCCGCGGAGTTCACAGGGGAGCAGGCATCTATGGACATGCCGGCACAAAACGACCAAGTGGACAAAATCGAATTACATTGTTACCGGAAGGTGACGTGTCATAGATCAGGGTAGTATAGACTTTCGGTACTAATTCATAGCTGAAGACCCCAAATTGTGTGGGTATCACTCTGAAATGATTGGTCAAGGCCATCGCCCTGTCAGACTCGTACAGGGTAACTATACGTAGTATTATAACATCGAGGTATAGCCGGCCTCCAGAACCTGGATATCATGTGACAGAACACCTATTTTTCAGGTGTCATAGATAGTCTATTCTGTGTTGTCAGAGCGGCAGGAAGACCCCCTGTTCCGAAGTAGAAAACATCCCATCACTGGTCGAGATCGTTCTACATCAGAGGTGATGAAGAGATATCTACCCAAGGTTTGCTGGGAATCAGGAAACATGAAACGCCTTACATGTCCAGCTGCTGAAGCGGGTAGGCTAATTCCGCGGGGCCCATAGAAAAGCACAGGGCGGGTCGTGTCCACTGTGCGTCATCCCGCTCGCTGAAAACCTGCCGATCCTTTGCTGCACTGCAGAGAGCATCACGAAGCTATGGCTTATTTTACACGGCTGAAACCGCTACGGCCATTGGACATTGGTGACAGCTGTCCCTCTCATTTGTTGTCCAAGTAGCAATTGAGAAGGAAACTTTGCCTATTGTGGAGAATGGCCGACGCCACCAAGATCAAAGCAAATACCCTGGCAAGGCATTGCCACACCGCAATTTTTTTTTAGGACCTGAAGGTCCCAGCAGCAAGTTCTAGGCGGGACGCAGGACCAGCTGTGCCTGCGGCGCGCCTACATGGATTCTCGCCGAATTGGGTGCCTAGAGCCCAGAAATCGCTCATAGTAAGAGGGGCCACCTCCTGGATTTGGTACAGTATGTACGAGACTATGTACGGGGTGCATCATACCTGTACCTGTAAAATGTCTCAATCTTGAGACGATCCCAGAGATCCCAGGCCAAAGGAAGGAAACGCAAAAATCTCCAATCTCCAGATCCAGTGCCCGGACTTGGGAGGATTACGTAGCACCGCACCGTCAAAGTTTGCGACCCTGAGAGCCTGGATTTCCCGGGGGAATGCCGTAAGCAGCTCCCCGCCAGTAGACACTTTCTTCTTCTTCCCCGTCGTGCTTTCCTCCTTTCACCTCAATTTGGGTCTTCAGTACCAGGTGAGTTGTTTTTTTTTCTTTCGTGTCCTCTGCCAGGTAGAGCTCTTTCAGGAGGCTTCCCTAGCGTGGTATCAATGCGTCTTTTTTGGACCAAACCCTGTTGAGCCCTAATCCGAACACCGCCCGCAAATTTAAAAATCCCTTCCCCCCTCCAAAACCGCTGCCCTCTCCCTCGTCCAATTTTTTCTCTCATACTGGAACTGCCAGTCTGATTCAATCTAGTTTCTCCATTCTTCCTAGTGTTCCAGCCTTTGGATTCCCTCTCCAAAGGCAAAAACGGCACCACGGCTCGAGTAGCCGCGTACCCTTCTCTCAGCCAAATTGTATCCGCTCGACGTCTCCGCAACACTCTTAACAACATTCCACCTCCTGCTGATCGGTCCTAAACTTTCTCCGGGTGCGCCTTTTTTCGACCCGTTGACGCCAATCCCAGTCTTTCCCCCAACCCTTGAGCTGCCGCATAGGACTTCTCTGCAGGTTCTTCCTCTTAAGGAGGAAGGGTCTAGGAGGCTTGGTCCAGTCAACCTCGGTTGCGACACTTTTCGTCCTCCCTAACACGCAGTCGCGTTACTTGGAACTTTCTACTTTCTTTGAATCTTTAAGATCAAAATCGTGTTGAGTCGCAGCTACACGGTTATGGCACCGACTGCGTTAGTTAGTCCTGCTGAAATATGCTCTCTGAAAAATGAATTGATCAATCGTGATCAGCTTGATCTGATCACCGACCGTGGGGACGATTTGTTGCAATCTCGGTTGACTGCCAAGGACAAAGTCTTGGACGTGTTGAAGAAGCGCGCCGCGGAGGTCAACACTGACAACTGTGGTGCCGGCGAGGAGGACCCCTTCTACGTTGCCGACATGGGGGAGGTCTACCGCCAGCACATGCGTTGGAAGATGAACTTGAGCCGTGTCAAGCCCTTTTTTGGTAAGTCCCTTCCTACGGCTCGCGCTGTCTTCAGGGTTGAACTCTTCGTGCTAACTTGATTCTCTCAACAGCTGTGAAGTGTAACCCAGACGCCGAGGTTCTGCGTCTTATGGCCCAGCTGGGCAATGGATTCGACTGCGCCTCCAAATCGGAAATTGAACTCGCTCTTCGCACCGGCGTCGACCCCAGTCGCATCATCTACGCGCAGCCCTGCAAGACCAAGTCTTATTTGCGGTATGCTGCTCAGGTTGGCGTTAAGCAAATGACCTTTGATAACGCGGACGAGTTGTACAAAATCAAAGCTAACTTCCCGGATGCGGAGCTCTACCTTCGTATTCTGACCGACGACTCGACCAGCCTGTGTCGGCTGAGTATGAAGTTTGGCGCCTCGATGGACATTGCCCCTCAATTGCTACAGCTTGCGCATGAGCTTGAGCTCAATGTTGTTGGCGTCAGCTTCCACGTCGGCTCCGGTGCCGAAGACCCTTGTGCGTTCTTGAAGGCTGTCCAGGACGCTCGTGCCGTGTTCGATCAGGCTGCGGAGATAGGCTACGAACTGCACACCCTGGATGTTGGCGGTGGTTTCTGCCATGATACTTTCGAGAAGTTCTCCGGTATCCTGAGCGAGGCGCTAGATACCTACTTCCCACCCAGCGTTCGTATCATCGCCGAGCCCGGCCGATACTACGTTGCCAATGCCTTCACTCTGGCCGCCCACATCATCGCCCGCCGGGACGTCCCTGATCCATCGGACCCGTCTCGTGATGCATACATGCTTTACCTGAACGATGGGGTGTATGGTAACTTCTCGAACATCATCTTCGACCACCAACACCCCGTTGCACAAGTTCTGCTGCGTGGGTCCTCTGACGGGTCTGAGTCTCCGAATTCTGCGACTTCGGAGAACATCGCCTACTCCATCTGGGGCCCGACTTGTGACGGTATCGATGTCATCACTCAGCGCATTGACTTGCCTGGTCTGTTGAACACCGGTGACTGGCTCTTCTTTGAAGAGATGGGGGCCTACACCAAGTGCAGCGCTACCCGCTTCAATGGTTTCTCCGATAACCACGAGGTGATCTACATCTCGAGCGAGCCTGGCGCGTCTGCGTTGCTTGACTATTGAATGGTTTTCTTTTTGTTATTTCGGGCTCAGTTCTAGTTCTTTCGGCTTAGATTTAGCTTCCTACCGTGATATTTGAGTGTGTCTATCTTCATTCCAAGTATCATTTGCTCCCCAAAAGTATTTCGGTCTATCTTTTGCACATTCTTGAAGACAGTCTACGCTGAACAGGGTTCGCGGATCTTATTTAGACGTTTTTGTATAGAATAGACATCTGTTCTGGTTATATCGATGCTGTATTGCCCCCCTCAGTAGACTTGGGGAACCAATTGAGTATTCTTCTATATCATCTATGCGCCTGATCTCTATCGACAAGTGGTGATCGAAATTTGTACAAGTGGCTAGGGGGGGGGTTTGCTCGCTTTGCTGCACTCCTCCCTAGCGTTAATTCAATCGCTCAACAGTCAACTCTGCCTCGGAATCAAATGCCTGCACCAGTCCTCCGGCATCGAGCTTTTTCTTCCACTTAGCTGACTCGTAACGAGCAAGAATGAAAGTCAAACGCCCAATGACGTTCTCATCCACTGCCTCTGCCACCGCTGGAGACGGCGTACAAGTCCATCGCCCAAACGCCCAATTGAGAATGTAGTACCGATACTCCGACTCCTCGCCCTCCGTTCTTGATTCCATATCGTCCGACGTCTCAACGGGCGGCGTTTTCGTCGAGCAACGAACAACCCCCTTGATCCGATAAACCTCCTCTCTAGGCGCAGACCCAAGCAACGTCTCCAAAGCCTGAACATCAATGGTCTTCAAGGGCTCCTTCGCCTTCAAAACAGCGGACAGAACCTCCACCTCGGACTGGTGATCATGCTCATGCTCCCCCTCCATGCTGATGCTGCACCTCACCCCCCTCCTTCGCAAACAACGCCCCATCAATGCCCAACAACACACTCTTGTCCACAACCCCCTTATCCGACTTAACCCACGGCGTCTCCACCTCCAAGTCGCCCACCCGATCAAGACATACATCAAACCGCCTCTCATCCACCTTTTCCCACTTATTAAACACAATCAAATCCGTATACCGCGCCTGCAACTTCGCCGTGTAACTTGTATCCTCGTACCCCTCCCAGTTTTCCACATCAATCACACTCACCACCCCATCAAGCACATACGCGCCCTCCTCGCGCGCAAGCCGATTCACCTCCATCGCCAGCGTAGCCGGGAACGCCGACCCGCTCGTCTCGATCACGATGCGGTCCGGCTGCACCTCGGTGCGCAGCTGGGCGAGCGCATCACTGAGCTGGCCGACGAGGTTGCAGCAGATGCAACCATTGAGTAGCTCCCGCACGCCAGAGATCGATTTGGTGGAGGCGAGCTGGGAGTCGACGGCTACGTCGCCGAATTCATTTTTGAGGAGGGCGAGCTTGTAGGATGGGGGGAGTTGGGGGATCAGGTTTAGGAGGAGGGTGGTTTTGCCGGAGCCGAGGAAGCCCGTTACGATTGTTATTGGAATCGGGGCCATTGTGTGCTGGTTGGGAGGTTGTTTGTTGCAAACTTCCAATTCTTTCCTTCTTCGGCGGGGCTTGGGATCTTGAGAGTCGGTGCGGGGCGGGAGCGGGGCAAAATTGGCCTAGAGGAGAGGCAGTAAGTAGATCGGTAGACTACGCGAGGCAGTTGGGATGAAGGTGAGGCTGTACTGTGGCTTTTTCATTTGTTGATTTTTCTGCCTTCTGGTGCTTAGTTGGTGGGCGCTAAGCATGTGGCTGCGCAATTGAGGTGGCAGTCGTTCCGATGGCGGAGTAAATGGCTGGGTGGTATAGTTCGAAGATATCAGTGCATATAGGGGACTTGTGCGCTGAGGAATCTGTTGGTCGTTTGAAATATGTTTTTCCATTGTAGTTGTCTGTCAATACTGAGAGGGGCCAGGGTCAATTATGGACGAGCCACACTGGAAAATCATCATACCACGAATAGTGCTATCCTTGAGGACTTCATGTCATCCTATCAGTCCCTTATGTATCCTTGTGTCACAGTTTAATGTCAAGCCCTGAAAACAGAGGCAAGGCTTATGCTAGCAATTTTCAAAATATTATGTTAGGCATACGCATACCAGGAGGTCCAACACGGGTTGGCAGGGCAGGGGTTGTGTTGGCGCCAAATCGGTTTCACAACCCCCGCACAGCGCCTAGACTGGAAGATTCCTGTATGCCTTGTGCGCTATCTTCCAAGGTTGCACGTGTGGCTGGAGAATCAATCTGTGAAATAAAAGTTTGCATTTTCCTTCGAATCCCTCTCTTTGATTCAGTCTCTTTCTCAAACCAGTCAAATTCAAGTTCAACCAGTTTTCTCTATTCCATTATGATACCTCTGGGCCTGTGGGCTTCGACCTTCAGCCTCTCGAATGTCAACACTACCGCTGATGGAATGTACCATATTGCCACTAACTGCTCTCTCCTACACCCTGGTCTTGAGAATCTCTCTGGGACTTTGGCGGAGCTTTGGACTTCCTTAACTGGAGCTGCCATGCAGTGGCTGTCACGCCCAGGTGAGAAAAGTCGACCGTTGTCGTAGTCCATGTAGCACTAAGGGACTTGCAGATGTTCTCGCGATTATCACTGCTTGGTGGATTACCTTTACCGTCGTCGTGACGATCTGCCTTTGCCTTGGGTTTGGATCTGGCGGAATCGTCGTTGGTTCGCTTGCTCCGCATTTAATATAACATTGAAACACGATAGGCTAATTCCAGAGTAGGCTCGCTGGCTGCTGCATTTCAATCGTTTATGTATGGCGGATTCACTCCAGCTGGAGGCATCTTTGCCACGTTGACAAGCATGGCTATGCTTGGCACTTTTCTGCTGCCAGTCGTGTTGCTCGGATGTATCATTGCAACTGGCGTCGGTGTGGCCGTGTGGAGACTCGGCTATGGGATACCTTGATTGATATCGGGTTATTTCGTGGAAAGTTCATTTGAAAGGGACATGGAAGGTATCTCCTTGTATGACTGCTGTCTAAGTCTCCGCCAGTATCAGGATGTTTTCTCATATCCCTCTCATTTATGCTCGCAGTTCTTTGCTCGAGAGGATTCTTGAAGTGCGTCAGTCGGTTCCTTTCCAATTTGACCTCATTTATGATCATTGAAGTGTCCCTAGAGTTGGCCACCACTGGTAGAGAAATGGTTTTACCCTGGGGTTAAATTGAAATTGCTTGCTAATACCTCGTAAATTTGAGCGAGGATTCTAGAGTTCCCAGGTATTTGGTCGTTTTCAGTATGACTTGCTGGAGGGCTAAATGGACATCTAGGACAAGGGACTAATCCTCCGAGTAGTTATTGTGCAAGTACAGCACCCTAAGGTCAAGAAGAGCGAGTGAAGATACTCCTACCATCGTGACAGCTTCAAGTCGAATGATATAGGTCGCTTGGATAGGCGAATAGCTCTCAGTTCAACATAGAATGTCCTGCGGGGGACTTCTGGTATGTTCCAGGGACTCTGAGTCAAGGCCAAAAAAAGGTATGGGCAGCATGAATTCTTCAGTGTAGGGGGCTCAACTCGGATATTGGGGGCTCTTCATACCCATGGGAAATAATCACCAAGCCTCCGTGACGAGAGGCCACATGGCCTCAGGGCTCTAAAGTAAAAAGTGAAGCCTTTAGTATCTTCGGTTACAGCGTACATCAGAGACCAAGTAATTAATGGGTGCTATATGACGGGTCACTCCTTTTAATCTCAAGATATCTCATTTGCATCACTCTCAGGTATCCTGTTTGCCTCCTGCTTGGTATCTCAGCCTGGCAGCTCCTTGCCTCTTTACCACCTCGCTTTTCCTGCCCTGCTATGCAAGGTAGTCTTTACATTTGGTATCGCTTCTCTACTCTTACACTCTTTACAATCTAACAGCGTATTTGAGGCTTACACTGCTCCTTCTTCTCACTAGGAATCAAGCCAGTCCCGATCCACAATGTCCGAAGACTCTGACGACGAGCCAAGCTGCGATCAAAATGCGAAAGCCTTTGGTACGATTGCCCAGAGACGTCGTTATGGCGTGTACTTCTCCAGGTCCTCTGTGATGTCCATGATAGCCGATTCCTCCCGCGACTCCGGACTCTTTTTGGATCGAGAGTTGTCAAACGAACTCTCCTTGGAACGAATTCCTTCTTCGGAAAAGTCCTCTCATTCCAAGTTAACCGAGAGTGATGGACTCAATATAACAGGGAATCACATATCACGTCCGCTTGTCGGCAACGATGCGGACATACGACTAACTCTGAAACATATTCGGTCAAAGCTCTGGCTATCTGACGGCGAAACCACGAGTGAAAAATCCTTGGAAATATCAGCGATTCCAAATGGAAAGGTTCGTATTGGTGCTGGAGGATTTCCCCTTTGCCCAAATTATTTTATATCATACTAATAGTCGAAAGTGTCCTCCGCATCAACATGTACATCCTTGCACAAACGATCTGGTGCACGACTTTCCGAACATAACAGTCCCCGAATTTGCCGATGCAGTTGCAAAGGCTGGAATTAGCCATGAGTCTACGCCGAAATTTCTTCCCGATTCTGCCCCCTTGAAACCATTGCAGTGGAGTCCATTTTCTCCATCCCCGACTCATAATGTCCACGCAGTCGACGATACTGCGACGCTTTCTGGGGTGACTTCATCAGATCAAACTCTCACCAAGCTCGAGCGTCCTGGACCATTGGATACCAAAGATCAAACTTCTACAGACAACCGACGCGCAAAGACGATGTGTTCGAAACTCTCTATGCGAGTGCGAGGACTTAAGAGATACATCCACAAGAAGCTCTCAGTGAAGACTTGATGACCCAGTAATTCCAGTTCCACCTCAGGTCGTCCATAGTTATGCCATAATGAAACTCCATGTCTTCCAAATGAGAATTCGCCGTAGACCATTACATCAACGTTGTCTCATGTGGCTGAACGTATTTGCCATCCTCGCGGGCCAATACGCCACCTTGGGGACTTAAGACATTCCAAGCCGCCTCTTTCTAATAGAATGTCACAGTATTCACATATTTCACGACGAAGAAAATCCCTCCAATGCCTCCTACGAGCATGTCCTCCCGTTCGGCAAGTCCATCACGCACTGCCGAGAATCTTGCCCAAAGCTCTGATCCCAGCGAAGACGAGTTATCCAACCTTGATGTCCAACAAAAGCCAGACCATTCTCGAGTAACAAGTCGAGGTACACCTGCTCGCCGCTCTCGCCGACAACGATCCGAGTACCGCAAATGGGACCGGGCTAGTGAGTATCCGCATGATAACACAACGGGGTCAAAGAATAGATCTTGCACTAGGCATTAAGGGATTTTGAAGGATGAATCCAAGTGGGCTATAGCTATTCTCGAGCTGGTGCTACGATCTGCCGTCTTTCTAGGGCGAGAGACCCGAGTTCATTGTTTTGACTATTCATCGTTCATGTATTACTAGGAGAGCCAAGCATGTCCACTCTATACTAGTATCACATTCCACGTAGTGCCTTTAGGAGTATACGGACTATATAGATGATGTGGGCTAAACATGGTTAGTTTTCGCCAAGTGAATTGCCATATATTCCCGGTGAGAAGTAGGGAAACCTGCTGGTCGACAATGAATATATGGGTTACTCTTCAAATGCCCTGAGCGCTGCAAGGCCAGCGACGGAAAACGAAGCTACCTTGTTATGACCTATAAGCCCATATTGTCAGTCACGTAATATGAATCAAAAAGCAATGAGACCAACATACCTCCATACTGAACACGCTCCCACCGAACCCTTTTCACAACCTCCGATCCATCTTTCTGAACAAACTTGTTTTCCCAGATCTTCAATTCAGTGGGACTATCCGGCTCGGTTTTCTCAAAAATCACAGCGCCAGGAGCCCCCCTCTATCTCCTCGCCAGTAGCTGCCTTCCAGTTCCGCCAGCCTTCATACCACGGAATCTCAACGTCATTCATAGCGTGCACGATGGTCAAATCGAGACTCTTCGACGAATACTTCAAGCCATTCGCATCCGGCTCTGCCGCATCAATTCCGGCCAGCCGAGCAAGCCTTCCTGCCGTGTTCCACTCGTCAACCATATGGCTCATCACATACTTCTGGAAGCGCGGGTATCCCCTCAACGCCGAGAGAAGCGGAGGCGTAAGACCCTTGAGGCTGTAACAATCGATCACGCTCGCAAGGCTGCTGAACGACGCCAGCAAGATGACACCGGCGAATGGCTCCGCGTCCCGGATCGCCGGCTGGATTGCCGCGGGATTAGGAGACCCGAATGCGAAACGCTCCGCGACGGCCGCTGTCACGGCTGTGCCGAGGCTTTGGCCCACGATTACGATGCGGGATGTTGGGATCTTCAACGGCCCTGCGGTGAGAAAGTTGATGAGAGAGACTCCGTCGGTGATTAGGCCCTCTTCGGTGGGGCTGCCAGTGGATAGACCGAAACCGCGGTAGTCGAGCGCGAAGACGTGGACTGGGTTTGACGGTGTTGAGAGGCCGAGGAGAGTGTTGTAGGCATTTGGACGGTTTGCGGAGCCCAGGTGAGCTGCATTTCCGTGGACTGTCGGGTGGTGAGCTTGGGTCTTGGGAGCTGATGTTGCGATTACGTACAGCTGACGACCACGCGGGCGTTGGGGTCATTTGCCAGTGCTTTGTAGGCGATGGTCTGCGTGTAATCTTTTGCAGGGCCCGATGGAGGGTTCTCCATCAGCTCAATTTCATGGTCGCGGCAGAGATGCAGTGGCATCAGGTGCCAGCCGTAGAGCGTCTCGTTATCAGGCGTGACGAGATGGAAAGGCTGAACCTGGGTCCCTGGAAGACGTCAATACATTGACCTGGGCCTCTAGGAGCTTAACATACTCAGAAACCCGAATTGCTCAACCTGGTTTACATCTTGCCAGCGACTCGGATTGACTTTATTGACATAAAGGACGCTGTTTCTGGGTCAAACCTCCACACTGAATCATACGTTCAAAACTGACTACTCACAGGCGCTGAACTTGAGGGAAGGTCAAACAATAGACGAACAGGACGTACAGCAGCCCAGCAGCTGCTAGCGACCAGTAGGCCTTCTTGAATATTGACTGCAAGCCCATGATGTTGTGGAATTGACAATCGCAGGGTCTCGGATTCGCCGTGATCATGTACTGATGACATAATATAATATTGTGCACCCGTGAACATATTATACATGTATGATCCATGACAGGCAGTTGATACGGTGGTATCCTCGAGACTTTACGTTTACACTTGCTAATGTTTAGTTCGCGCCTTCCGAGGAATGAGAGGGCTTTAAGGATCAAAAGGTCTCATTGGGTCGATTTTGACCCGTTCATGGGGGGGTCGCGCATCCATCTATGGAACACTAACTCCGGATACTTCTTGACAAATCTTTAAGAGCTCTTCCTGCTTTTCCACATTTGCAGCACCAGGGTGAGCCGACTCAGCACCCCGTGTGTAGCAGAACGAACCGCTTGGCAGGCTTGCAAGGGGCCCCTTGCCAGCCACCCAGTCAGCAATAGCTTTGGATGGCGTATCCAAGCCAGAAGATGCCATGCTGCCTCCCATCTTGGTTCTCACCCAGCCAGGGTGCATACTAATAACTTGGACCTCTTTGCCCCAGCGCCTCGCGAAAGCGTTTGCGAGCATAGTATCGTGCAGTTTGCTGTCGCTGTAAGAATGTGACTGGGTGATATTTCGCAGGTTTTCATCACCGCCATAATGACTGTCCGAACTCATGAACATTAGGCGTGACTTGGGCTTGTCCATCAGACAAGTGAGAATATATGGCGCTAAAGTGTTGACTGCGAATACAGCAGAAATCTTGTCTGCGGTGATCTCCTTGCTAGAGGTTGAGCCGTAGCCGATGCCGGCATTGTGGATGATCGCATCGAATGGACCGCGGCCGAGGCCGTTTGCATCGGCTGCGAGCTTCTTGGTTTCCTCGATAGATTTCAGGTCTGCTACGAGGACTGCCTCAGCTTTAGGGACGGCTTTATGAGCAGATGCCGCTCGATCTGCGTTTCTCGCGTGCAAGACGACTGAGTGGCCTTGGTCAGCGAGTACCTTTGCGGCGGCTTGGCCGATGCCGTCGCTGGAGCCGGTGATGAATACACGTGCCATGGTAGATCGAATGAGTCACAGCACACAACTTTCGATATTGCACAAGAGGTTTGAAAAAAAAATGACTTTATATTTGGACGTTGAATTCGAGTCTTTAAAGTCGAATGCCGGAAAGCCAGATGATATCATAAACTCGGTTCTGGTCGTACTATGACGTCAAACTATCCCCAAATCACAGGTTTCGTTAACGACAGTACTAAGACTTTAATTCGTTCAATGACAGACAAGGCCCTTTTTTTAATTTTTAATTTTCTAATCCGAGAAGGCCCAAAGGTCCTCGGTTCTGGAAACAAGGTATTGCTCGAAGATTCACTCGCAAATTCAACAAAAGAACTAGTTCTCATCATCCCCATGGATCTGACCATTATCTACACTGAATCAAGACGATGAATTCAAAAGAAGAGGCAACACGCTTGTTTCGGTGTAGCTCCACAGCAAAGATGAATCTTGGGTGTCAAAAGCCGCACCGGTATACCACGTATTTCTGTAGCCCTGCAACGCATATAGGTCTTTGTAGAACCCCTTTGCTATACTGTCCTTGGGGGACTGTCAACTCAAAGGGAGTATGACTTTTGTATCGCACAAATTGTGGCTTGTTGGAAGTCTTGTTCGCAATTCCATTTGCTTGGAGCTTTGCAATGTAGGCAAGAATTTCCTTTTGAACGTACTGGTCTGACAAGGTCCCTGGACTGCCATATTTGATGTCAAACAACCCAGGGACAGCGGTCGCCTGAATCGAGTATATTCCAGGCAGCTTGGGGATATGGTAGGGTGTATCGGCACTAACAGAGAATGAAACAAAGCCTGCTGGTAATCCAGTGTTGTTTACAAGGCTCGTGTAGTAGCCAGTGTTTTTAAATTGGCCGAAAAGAGCAGACTCCTTCTGGTCCAGGGCAAACGGGCGCAGATTTTCCAATTTCTGCGGTATAGAGATCAAGAGCTTTTTGGCTTTGATTGTCTCATAACCCTTTGTTGTTTGAACGATGAGATCGATACCGGTTTTATTGCGAGACTTGATCGATACTACTTTGCTGCCCAAAAGTACATCACTTCCGAGCAGCTCAGTAGCGTGTTTGTAGATATCGTCATTTCCATTATCAGCCACGATGAACCCCCCTTCGGTATCCTTAATGATGTCGGTTCCGAAATTCTTGAACACGTACAGCGTAGTCTGGTGGAGGAAATCGCCAAGGCCCTGGGCAAAGTTGAAAATGACCTGGGCGGCGCTTTGAATCTCTGGGTATTTTGCGAGGTACTGACCAAATGGCAACAGCAGGTCTTCTGGTACAGGTTCTGGGAGAAAGAAGCCCTGTTCAATGCTCGGGTACTGCGACAAATGTGCCGCATATGCCTGGATTCCGCTAGCAGGGTTGGGACTGGTGTAGTTGACTGGGTCAGCTGTCTTAGGATCCAGCCATCGAGTTTCCGGGCTCGATGAGTCAAAAGAAGACAGAGTCCAAGAGACCCCGAGTCGATTGAAAAAATCTTTGACAATCTGGAGGTTGTGGTAGATCACGACCCCATAGTCAACAGTCTGATTGGTAGCAGCATCGTGGTACGTATTGACATGCCCACCCAGTATGTCCTCTTTTTCAATCAAAATAACGGATTGGCCTTTGTCTCGAAGTCTCACCGCAGCAAATGTACCGGAAGCTCCACCTCCGATGATAGCAACATCACGGACGATCGTATCTTTGCATTCACCCAGAGGCACGACAGCTCCGAAGAAAAATAGAGCCCTGATTATTTTTCGCAACATTATTGCAGAGTAATCCAAGGAAAATTCTCTCTTGGGGGTGAAGAGGGGTATAGATCAAGTTTTGGTCGCGCCCTGCCAGCGACTACGGGTGGCTTTTATTTAGCGAGTGTTGAACTTTTGTTCTGGGCAAAGGCGTAATGCAGGCTCGGAATCAGTCGGATATCACTCGAGCTTCTGCTCATCAAATGAATGGCCCAGAATCCCTGTAGATACCCTCCATGCTTTGAGTGACCCATGTATATACTGGCCGGGGCTTAGCATCGAGTGGATCAAAACAACTCAGGAATGTAGGCTAGTCTCGCAAAATGTCCGGCGAAACGTCTGCAAAGTTTCCCATAAAAGGTGCCTGACAAATTCTCTATTCGAATCAGCGCCGAGAAACAATGGACACATAGGTACCTTGCAGGTTCCTAGATTCGTCTCAACGGATCGCGTTAATAGAGGTATGATTGGCGGCCGAGCGCCACAGCAAGACCTGCAGCTCGTGGAGCAGATGCACCTGACTGTGCCAACGACCATGTTCTGGACAGCTCATTAGCCAACCTAGGCTAAGCGACTCGGAGATCATTTCGACGCTGAAGGCACCCCGCCCCCAAGCCCGTGCATCACGCGCTGGAATGGACGTGTCGCGAACACGAATGCGAGACCCAATGCGGGCTTTTCCGATGGAGAAGCATTCCTTGGGGCTTATTTTCTTGCCCCATCACTGGATGGTTGGGAGATAACATCCGATCAAGGTACTCGAGTGTACATTTGCTTTTTGCGGTGAATACGTGAACCAGGTGACAAGGCAACATTGGAATGGCGTGCTGATAATTGCTTGTGAACTCGGAGACAACGCATATTCCTATACAATTCTCAATGACCTGTATAAGTGCAGCTGCTGTGTAACATTTCGCTAGAGATTGAGGGCCGCCCCTACCTGAGCACCCATGTGGGGTTGGATAAAAACCTCCAGATGTCCTTTCGGCGCCACTTCGAATGCTCATGTCTCAACCTGGTCAAGGTCCCAAAACCTGGAACTTGGCAAAAGTGGGTGTCTAGTTGTCCCGAAGGCTCGGTTCACTGTTGCAATATGAAAATACTACTCAATATGCATGTCAGTCAACTATTGGCGGTGATGTGACTTACTAGCTTGGCCTCGGTGTATATACCTGCACACAAATGCTACTGAATATCAGTAGTAATAGCTTCAAGGCCAGGGTTTTCAGGGCTTTCCACCAGTGGAACCTTGAAAATAAAATCAAACTCATCCTCTCATCGTACAGGTAGTTATTTGAGACCCATTAGGGTATCAGATCGGGAGATTACGCAGCGTAAATATTTTGCCTTGTCCACAGCGAAATCCGGTGGAGCTGCGGAGGCCAACCTTATCGTTGCGGATAAGGCGCGGTCGACCGCGTCACGATTTTCCCCCTTCAACCTCGCCAGCGCCGCTCGCCCGCGCACTTCCACTCCGGTCACAAGTGATGGTTGTCCGTTGATGCTCAAGACCCTGGTCTGTCATTTGCATTCTAATGGCTGAGAAGCGCAAGCAGCCTCCTCGCGCGGGGCGTGAGCCCGCGAAGAGACGGGCCACCGAAGCCGCCGCGACACCGACAAGCCACAGAAAGAAAGAAAAAGAGAAAGCTGCAACCCCAAAAGCCCCATCACCCCCCACCGAGCCGATCGAGGCGCCTCTCCCGGTGACGATAAAGGAGGGCGACCCTCTGCCTGTGAGGAAATCTCGCCAACCAACAAATCTGCCGGATGAAGATTACCAGTCCATCGCAGAAAGGTTTGTCACCATCACGACCCTCAAGGATAAACCGGAGTAACTGACTGTTCCAAACCCAATCAGTGCCGTTCTATTGACAGCTCTTGAAAGATCGAAGAAGAAATGGTTGAGCGATGGGATACTTGTTCGCTATTATACGAAACCGAAGAAGACGAAACGTGAACTAATTGAGAAGAACAATCCTCCGAAAGAATCTATGACCAAAGTTGGCCTATGTGATATTACCGTCGGCCCACACTTATTCGATGCGATGATCTACACTGTGAAAGACCCCGACGTACAACAGCAGCTCCATTACGCTCCGCAACAACGACAAATGATCCACTACGGCCCTCCCGGCAATTTTCAGCAATACCAGCATTATCAATCTTCACCCGGTCAACAGAGGCGGCCGCCGTATACCCCAACACCGGGAGCGAGGCCCCCACAGGGATATCCGGGACACCAGTCTCCAGCGTCTCGTGTTCCGCAGCCAGGGCCGTCATCCCAACCGCAACGACCCTCTCAAACCCCAAATGGACAATCTGGCCAGCCCGCGAAGCCCAGCCCTGATCCTGTGATCCAAATGTTGGCTACCCGCGCAGCCGCTGACCCAGAGCTGAAGGCACTCATGCGAGTGGTTGCGTCTCAGCCAAGCTTCACAGGAGCAGCTCCGCGCGTTCCAGGCACATATTGATGAGCTAAATGCCATCATAAAGGCGAGAGAACAGCAGGAAAAACGCCAACAGGCTGCAACTGCGGCTGCCGCCCAGCAACAGAAGGCCCTCCACTCGCAGTCTGCGACTAGTGCAGCGCAGACCAAGCCCCCGGCGCAGCAGGCTGGCACACAACCAAAGGAGCCCGAGACAAAGACGAAGACGATATCTCAAGGACAAACCTCGAAGTCAAGCGAACCCTCGGTGCAAACTCCATCGAAAGGCCCCGAGCAACCCAAAGCCGTGTCTTCAACACCGGCTGCGCCACCAGCCAAGCCACCAGCCGAGGGAACACCACAGACAACAAACGCATCACATGTATCAGACCAAGCAAAAAGCCAAGACAAAACAAACGCAGGATCGACACCAGCTACCGAGCCGAACATCAAGCAGGAACCAGCGCCACTAGCCAGTGGAGGTGCAACACCCGCCCCTTCAAATGCCCCTGCAACGCCTGCATCAAGCCAAGGAGCGCAACAGGCCCCGGGGGTACGTCCAACACCCACTCCTGGCAATCCTCCGCAACCTATTCCTCGCCCAACCCCCGTCTACACGCCGCAACAGCAACAACCGTATGGGGCGCAGACCCCTATCCAATCGCGCCCACAACCATATGCTACGTCCTCCCTGTATCAGGCCAAACCTGCCACTCCGCGTGTGATGTACAAAGCCGTTGTTTTCGAGTTCACCTCTCCTTTGACCCCATATGGGAGTAGTACCTCCGGCCATGCGGGATCTGGTGACCGATATCTGTTTCCGGAGTATTCAATTCTGGAATGGCTCCCAAGTGATAATACTCTTTTGGCGTCCTTCTTGATCACTCGCAAAGTGGATCCAAACACGCCTTTCCCAATCGAGACAGCCCCAGAGCCAACGACTGCTCGAGGAAAAGGTAAAGGTGCCTCCAAATCAAAGAAAAAGGGCAAGGCCGAAGAGAAGAACGAGACCCCGGAGACCCCGGCTCCCAACCAAGCGACAACGACACCATCTACAAATCCACCAGCAACATCCGAAAGTGCCGAGAAGTCGGATACCAAGCAGGATGGCTCGGGTGGTCCAGGAGAAGGCGCTAAGAAGGAGGCCAATCTCAAGGAGTACTGGCAGCCTGTGACTTTCCGTATTCACGCGGCAGATTCTCGGATTCTCGAACCCTTGACTCGTGTCGTCAAGCCGCCTGACGAAGTTCGCAAGTACATGAATGAGATTATGGACCGTGCCGAACGTGCCCCTGATGGCTATCTGGCTCTACGTCTTCCCCGCGAAGAGGCGGTTGAAGCTATTGCAGCTGAGAACACGACTGCTTCTACACCCCAAACGACCACTGCGCGTCATCGTTCTTCCCGTGCATCTGTCGTGAAGGTCGAGGAAGAACCCGAAATGGAGGACACGCAGGTCGAGGAGGATCTTGAGGAAGAGTTGAAGGACTTCTACGGAGATCCGATGGGTCTTCCGCCATTACGCGTCTAGGCCACTGCTATGTATTCTACTAAAGATATCTCGATACCACGCTATTTTATTATTAGCCCAAATTTATGCTGTGGAGCCATGATAACTATTGATTGAGTGAACGTCAAAATTCTTCCAGTGTTGAGCCCATGAGGCGAAAAATTAACTGCTATGCTTGTAAAACCGCGCGATGGCCGGGTTTCTCGGAAACCTCAGGCAGTAAGTCTGCACGTCATCTCGAAATTCCAGCGATCTCCGCTCTGTCCTCCGGCTTCACGACTCGTTAGTGGTGTTTTTTGAGCTCGATATTTTCCCTGGTTTGACTCCGAGTCATTCCATAGACTCGTCTCGCAAAGCTCTTGCTCCTATCAAGAACCTCGAGCAGCGGAGGGTTCCCCGCATTGCGCGACAATGGGCGCGGGCCAGTCCACCGAGTATAGTGGAGCCACCCCAGGTCAGTATCTCTTTTACTCCAGCAAGACCAGGTTCTTTGTTTCTTCTGCAGGAACAAATGCCCACCTCATAGCTGGGACAATGTAATGCAACAGGATATCATGTTAACTTGCTATTAGAGGAGCTCAGTTACGTGCTAGCCGAACGCTTTGCAACAAAATGCTTTACGCCCTTAGAGCTTACTCATTTCAAAGACAACTTCTTCTCGAGAGCAGCAGAGCAAGGCGGTCTTCGGTACTGGAACGAAAAGACTCTATCTGACTTTCTAGGTGTGCCAGATGGCAGCTTTTCCACGTCACAAGAGACTCCCCTAGATGCCGGACCAGTGCTGTTCCGCATGGTGTCTTACCTCGGTGCATTTCCGTTTCAAAATACGCTGGCACCAAGTGTATTAACATTTGAGGCTATGGTAAAGGTTGTAGTGCTTTTGACTGAGCGCTATGGAAAAGTACTGAAGCGCGGCCGCAAGGACCGTGTGAAGTTACTGTTTGGAAGTCTTGCGGACGTCGGGAGAAGAGATATTGGCCCCCCCCATGGGTCTAGTGGAGAAAGAAGAGAAGGGAGCGCCTGCTGATGACCAGGCTGGCTCCTCTACTATTCAATCCCATGCCCCTGGCTTCTCCGTTGATGAGCCAGCAAATGATGACTACGATGAGGATGAGGACGACGATCTTGCCCTGGCTGCACTGGAGTCCTTGGATGCCATTGAAGTCTTCAAACAGGACCATCGTGTTGATAAGACCGTATACGAGACGCGAATCTCCACCGATACGTTTCGCAGGCTGCTGATGCTTCTCCTTGTTCTAGCACCACTGAAGCCCCTGGAACCAGTCAAGATGTACACGTCAAATTTGGATCCTCAGCAACTCACAGAGATCCAGAAGGAAGCAGATAGCATTATTCGAGCATTTGATCCCGAGGACAGCGATGGAGGTATTTCCTATCGAGCCTTCGCTCGAACGGTCTCTTCCTCTTTGCCGTTTCTTTTTGACCCCTTGACTGCGCTTTTCGAACATCTTTTGTTCAGCAAAAACCTGGATCTCTCCCAGAGACGACAGAAGGGCGTCTTACCAGAAGAAGAAACAAGTGAAAAGCCGGAGGACATTCCTGCACCGGCACCAGTTACGCTCCAAGGGAGTTTCGAGTCGACAGTCCTTAATCCGGCCCTGATCTCCCATCTATCATTTTTCTTAGCGTCCATTTCACCCACTGTGAACCTATTCCGCAGCGGCGCCCGTCTCCATCCTGTTTTTTCCACAGCTGCGCATGGCTCTTCCCTTACATCTTTCTCACACAACGTCCTGACCTGGCAATCCGCCACTCTTTTAATCTTACAAGGCACTCCGGAGGGCACCGAAGGCACCGAAGACAATTTAGTCACACTGGGCGCCTATTTGCCCCAGCCATGGAAATCGCCTTCTTCGACAAGCACATCTTCGACGACAAACCAACACATCGACCCTCTCCCCTGTCTCTTTCAGCTATCTCCGCAACATAAAGTCCTGCAGGGCAATCCTTCCCCCTCAATAATCAAACAATTAAACACCCCGGCAGCCTGGTTCTCCACTCATGGTGGCATTGCAATTGGTTGCCAGATTCCGCCTGCCTCTCGCAGCCATCAAACACCACCCCGTCCCCACGGGCGGGAAGTATACTCATAGATGTAAACTTGGAGACCGCAGAGCTGCACATTGCTCCAGTTGGACATGATGGCGTCTTTCTTCCCTCGGGGACATCGTCACTGGCTGATAAACCGACGAAAACCCGGCTTGATCTGTATAACCTGGAAGTTTGGGGTATTATCCCCGACCCGGAACAGGCAACCTCTTCTGGCAGTGGGCAGAGTGCAGTGGAAGCACAGCATGCGAAGTGGGAATTCGAGGCACGCGAGGCGGAAAGGCGTCGGAATGTCAATTTGAAATCTGGCGCGGGGGATATCGAGGGGGCGAGATGGCTGTTGGAGACGGCTGGGATCATAGGTGACCATGGGCAACATGGTGGTAGTGTCTGAGGGTCCTTCTCCATTGTACTTTTTTTCTTCTTGTTTTCCTATAAGTTGGATGTTGGGCGTAGGTGCTAGATCAAAGATTCGCTTCAGACCTTATTTGAGTTTCTATCATGGTATAGATCCATTAATAAACAATAGGTTTTTGATTCTGTTCTGAACTGAATTTATGTTCAAATTTTATTTTGTGTTTTGTTGGGTATAGCAGCGTAAGGTATCCTCATGTATTGGTTGGGATATGCTCCGTTTCGCTATCCGCTCAATCCACCTAAAGCATAACAATACCCATGCCACGGGTCTGCTTGGTATCGATCTGGTTCTTATCGTTGATACCGCCGGGCACAGGAGCTGTGCGGTAGTTGTAGAGATAGAAGTGAAGCTGGCCATCCCCAGCACCAAACTTTAGTTGCTCGAGGAAGAGCGGGTTATCGTGAGAGGTGAGTGCGTTGAACACGTCGAAGTTGGCCTGTATGCAATGATCAGTCCCTGCTCTACTTCTACAGTGGGGAGAAGAGGCCTTACCTTCTTAGCACAGATAAGCGCATCGTTCATCAATAGCAGCAGACGGTCCTGCAAGCCCTTGGTGTTATCCGTGAATGCAGTCTCGCTAGCATAGTAGTAAAGATAGGCAGCGCGGACAAGGCTGTGCTGAGCGTGGCCCAGAACAGTAGACTCGAGGTTGTAGAATGAGAAAAAGTCCGTAATCTTGTGCGTCTGCGGATCCTCCACAACATAAGCCCACACAACTTGATCCTTACCCTTCTCCTCCTTGTACACAAGCCAGTGGTCGATTTCTTCGCGAGTGAACGCCTGGTTCATATCGTAGCGCAGACTGAACCGCTCCAGCAGGTCATGCACCGCATCGATATCTTTCGACTCCATAGGCCGCAAGCCCGGTGTCGCAGTGCTATTCGGCAGCTGGTTCTTTGCGACCTGGCGCGCCTTGGTCGAGCCATGCGGCAGAGGCGAGAAGCCTACATCATACAGCTTCATCCAGTTCAGCGCGCGGTGGTAGTACCGGCACGAGCTGACGGGTGTAGGCAGGATGATGCCGGCCGTGTAGATCGCTTGGTAGATGCCATGCTGGTAACAGCGTCGGGTGATCTCCTTGATCAGAACAGGCGTCAGGCGCTTCGAGCGCAGCTTCTTATGGATGCAGAGGAAATTGATTTCTGTTACGCGGATGCGCTCGCCACGCACGCGAATGTCGGTTGGAACACCACAGATCGAGGCGACCAGCTTGCGTGACTTGGTAGCCCGGACGCCCACGTGCCAGTCCTTTCTCCAACCGGGGGACATCAAGGCCCTGTGTCAATAGAAGATGGGTTAGCGGGTTGGTTGGATTGAAGTCGTTCGATTGTACGCACCAATGCAAGAATGACTGCGAGTAGGCAAATCGGAACATGGCGTTGTCATCTTCCACGTAGTGGTTGTTCAGTAGCTCGTAGAGTTCGCGCAGCTCGGTCTCGTCGGTCAGGTCCAGGGTGCACCATTCGAAACCTTCGATCAAAGGGTCGGGTTGCTGCTGCACATCCTCGGGCTTGATGATCTTGATAGGACCCTGTGTAGCAGTGCGCTTGCTTGTATTATCATTGAAGTGAGGCACAGGCTGTGTCTGCCAGAACTTGTGTGAAGCCATATCTTTCTGATTCTTTCCAGTGAGTGAGAGCCCGGTGAGCAGCTCAGAGACATCCATGTTGGAGAGCATCTTGGCCGCATCTTCCTGGGGCATGGAGGCAAGCTCGGCCTTCAGCGCGGGGTTCATTTCAAGGATTGGCTCGATCATGTTGGAGGGGATCTTCTTCTTGTCGGACTTGGCTGCGTTGACGCGATAGCTTTTAGCTTATGCTCCGGACGCGGGGCATGGGGAGGTTTACCTTTACCCTTGTTGGCACCGTCACCCCCCTCTGGGCGCTCAGGGGCCTTATCTTTCTTGCCGGAGTCTGACATGGCGCGATTGAGAGAATTGGAGTTGTTCAGTGAGGGAAGAAGAGGAGGATTTCGTCCGGGCCCCACGTTATCCGCAAATGTAACGCGGATCGTAATGGTGGGGTACGCGGCAGGCCACGCTGGCGACAGGGTCTCGTGATATGCTTATTGCACTCCTCGAGACCTTGGAATAGAAGACTCCGGAAACCTGATATGTTTAATTTACATCACAGATCAGCAGTAAACAAAAATGCTATCTACCCACTATCGAGAAAGATGACTGACTGGGCCTGTAGTTAACGCAGTTGTGAGGCATATTCTGAGGAATAAGACGAAAGGACTATGTGTTTTATTCTTTAGACTGTATGGTTGAGACGATGTGGATGAGACAGATATACTCTCTAACGATTATTTGGTGATTAAAATTAGGAGTAACAAAGACCGACACCAATTGTGTCTTCTCTGCAACACTAGTCGTTATGTTGTGTTCTATATTTTCTGATCAGCAAAGCAGTTAGGGGTTCTCTATTTGTTGAAACAAATAAAAAGAAAAGAAAAGAAAAGAAAGAAAGGCATCTCTATGGCCCCGAATTCGTGATATGTAGCAGCTAATGCCCCAAGTGTTGATACATGAAAAGATAGCTTTGCCCAGTAAGCGAAGCTTTGAAGCGAGCGTCTTATGCCTCGGTGTATGGCTTGGTCTCAATAACGTCAAGGAATCCTCCAACTAGATGCAAGCTACCAGTGACAAAAGTCATCACAGGCGCTTCATCGTTTTGCGCTGTCTTACGCTCTTGAGAGGCCACATCACGTGCATAATCCACAGCCTCTTCAATTGTACCAAAGACTTTCGTCTGAGCACTAGGGTCGATAGAGTTCCAAGCTTCGGCTAGAGACTTCTGCACACGCAAATGCTCCACGTCATCGGCATTGGTGTTCATGCTTACAAGGTCGGGGCGGTAGCCGGCTTGCTTGTAGGTGATATTCGTGCAAAAGATGGCATGTGTGAAGGGAACTCCAGATTGCAGTGCCGCTGCCAGGGTTTCGTGGAGGGCTGTAGCCAAGGCAGTGCTGTCCCGGGTCTGCTGGTTGAAGATCAGAATACGAGTCTTCTTCGTGGCCAGGTCACTTGAGGAAGAGTCTTCCTGGATCCGAGAGGCAAACCACTGCCCAGCCAGTCGGATACTTTCAAGGGTGTGGCCCCCATCAATGTACCAAGTCACATTTTTCTCAAACCGAGTCTCACAGCGGCCCCCCTAGTCGAGTCTCCTCTAGACCAGTTTTGAACTTGGCAGGGAGAGGCTCGGTCAACACGGTCTCTTTGATATCTGCAACCCCAGTCTTTCGCAAGAACTCAGCAGCAGCAGCAACTGCTACGGAGGCATTGGTATATTGAAAATCACCAGCCAGCCCAAGTTTCACTTGGCTACTACCGGCCTGAAGATCGGGATGGCCACGAACAATGTCTAACTGCGTGTTCTTCTCCGCCGCACGTTCTTCCAGAACTTTCTCGGCAGTTGGAGCTTGGGGCGCAGAAAACGCTCTGACACCTGGTTTGATAATACCACCCTTGTGCCATGCGATTTGCTCAATGGTAGTTCCCAGCATAGCTGTATGGTCAATGCCGAGGCTAGTGATAGCAGCAACCTTGGGCTGCTCAATGACATTTGTGCAGTCATATTGGCCTCCAATACCGCACTCAATGACAGCAGCGTCAACGCCCTCGCTCAGGTATGTGTGGAAGGCCATCAATGTCAAGTAGCGGAAATATTGGGGCTTGGTTCCAGGAGCGGTGGGGTCCTGGCCAGCCGCCCGCGCGGCTGCTTCCAAGCGATCCCAGACCTCAAAAAAGTACTGCGCGAATTTCTCTTCCGACAGTGGTGCATTATCAATCTTGATGCGCTCGCGAGCGAACCGGAGATGCGGGGATGTGTAGAGTCCGATCTTATGAAGTCTGGTTGACTGACCCTCTGCGGGCTGGGTATACTGGGATAAAATGCTCGAGATGAATGCAGAGGTCGAGCCTTTGCCTTTGGTTCCTGCGACATGGACCGCGTTCAATCGATTGAGATCTGAAGGCTAGAAAGATATTCGACGTCAGCCCCCACCTTCATTGCAAAGCTATATTCGATCATGCAATTGGCTGGAGAAAGAGGAACAGACCTTGTAACCAATGCGCTGAAGCCATTCCACCGTCTCAGGCAAAGATCGCTCGTTCATGTCCTTCCGAGACGTCGACTTCCGGAGTTCCTCCACAATCGCATAGTTTGTTTGTAAGGAATTGAGAGCTGCAATTGCAGACTATGCATGATTTGGGTCAGCTGATGCGATCAGCAATGCAAGAAAGGGTGTCAAGGGAGTCAGGCGATCTCAGCTATTATCGAGGTGCAGGGCTTAGAGCAAGTGGGCATACCATACCTCATAAGAGCGAGTCATCGTGGGTGATTGCGAGTGACTCGAGACTTGCCGCCGTGGGCTAAACCAGCGTAATGTCCTCCAAACCCCTCTCATGGAATATCGTAGCCCGTGCCTGTCAATTTTAGGGAGCAGGCGGGGTGTTCACAAAGAGAAAGCCCCCGGCAGCTCGACAGCTTTGGTCCTGACCCGATCTAAGCTCCCCTCGGGAAAACCGTCGATATGGAATCACCACCGGGAATATCACGTGACATATGCTTATCTGCCCATAACGGGGCCGGATTGTGTCAGAAGACGACCGCCATGTGAAGCTATTTAACGGGCTCTAGCTCACCAGAACTGGAGAGGCTTTGGAGCTACCATTAGTGGAGTTCTGGGTGTTTTCCGGTATGGAGAACGAGAACGGGTGGTCGAATGATTCCTCTAAGGAAATTGATTTGTGATTGGCTGCTCATCTACCGCACAACTGCTGTCTATTTCCCCTACCGCAAGCAAAGTGATTGAAAAGAAATTATCCCGCAAGTAGCAGGAGACATACAGCTCGATCCGATATGCAATAACAAGTGGAAGAAATGCGGATTCCGAGAAGAAGAAATGAAAGAGGCTGTCATAGTCGACAGAGAGTAAAGACATATGGGAAAGGGTGCAATGATGATTTTTAAACATACAGGCGTGAATTGAACAGAAGTGAAGGGTGGACGTGAAAGCAGTTGCGTAAGAAAGCTGGAGAAGCTATTCGATCCTGGTCTTCCCCTCTTCAAGGAAACCTAGGCGAGCGTTGCTGATGCCGCGCTGGTGACGCCGAGATGGAAGCCATTGGCCAATGATAGGGTCCGAACGGGCTTTGACCAAAGCATCTTGATAGCCCTCAGCGCCTGCAACAGGAGTGTTGAGCTTGGGCCAATTGACCTAGAATCGAGTCAATAATCAGTCTGCTTTGCGACTGGACGCGGTCAGATTGGGAGGAACTTACATAAAGCATTCCGTGATTGTTGATGAAACGGAATGAGTAGCCTCCAATAATCAACCAGAAAATCATGAAGAGACGTAGTGGCCAGACAGTTGCATCCGGGAGTCGACGCGTAAACAATGCAACGAAAACCATGAACAAGCTAGCGGCGAAAACATATGGCACAGCTTGGATTACTAGCGGGCGGCGGTCTAGGAATATCTGGATGTTCGCGGGTAGGGAGTCTGAGGGAAGATAGGTGCCTAGGAAGACATCAAAGCCGTCCTGGCGGGGGCCATCCAAGAAGTTGTTGCGCACGTAACGGGTGATGGAATTCCTCAGGTCTTGCACGGCACCAGCCCGCGTACGCTTGCCTGTCCGAGTGAAGTCCGTTTTCAATGCACCCGTGCCCGAGTAGGATTTTGATACAACATCGGCATTATCGGCCCAGATATTGCGGAACAGATCGGCGAACACGTTATCATCAAAGGCATTATCACCGGCCCGAAGAACGCCGGCATCTGTAAGCTGACGATTGAGAGCCCATCGTCCCAGCATGCTTTGCACAACATTGGTACGATCAAGACAGTCCATACAATTGGTTCGCACCACACTTGATTGGATGGACCGGATATCCAGTTGGCCCCCTGAAGCCCCGGGGCTTTCCACTCCACGAAAATATCCGCCTTGCGCAAGGCCATCATTCAATCTGTTCATTAAAAGCTCCGCGCGGTGCCATTTAAGGCCCTTCGTCTCATTATGGAAATCGAAGTACACATAATGCAGGCGATCCATTTCTTTTTGTTTCGCACTCGGCTCCACGATGTGCGTCTTCTCAGACGTTCTCCTGCCAGATTCAGTCATCTCGCTCGGGGAACTCACTAGAGTTCGAACCATTTGCTCGTAGGCTAATTTGACTCGTTCTTCCCGACCCTTCTGGTTGACAAGATTGACCAGATAGTTCTCACCGTAGATTTGAATCTGTTCCGAGAAATGCTTGCGAGCAGCTTCGATGGCTGTATCGACGCCACGGACTTGGAGCTTGGGCGTGTACTTGAGGTTGTTCACTTCAGCCCAGAAGACAGGCACGCTGCCCCGGGTCTGCACGAAAGAATAAACCTGCAGGTCCTGCCCCGTCTTGGCGTTGGACATTGACTGTCCTCCTGCAAAGCCCGATAGACTGCCAGTTGCGTCATTCAAAATGACCACCTGCTCGGTTTCGTTGTAGTTTGATACGTGACCCTGCTCGTCAATTCCACGGGAGAAGTATCTGGTACCCGCACGGTGCCGAGATCGTCGTGTGATAAGAGCGAAGGTGAAAGAGGCCGACTTAATTCGCGCTGGCGTAATACGGAGCATACCAAACATCACAGGAAGGATATAAGGGTCAGCTCCGGGCTGTGGACCGTAGCGAATGCCACCCTTGTTACCCTCGCCGAGGCTGAAATCGATCAGGTCAGATTGAATGAAGCGATTCCAGAAGAAACGGTCATCCGCCCGCTTCCAGAGCGGGATATCCGAGGGGCTTTGCGATTGTCGCTGAAAGCTATTGGTGATATCCAGCGAGTAGGAGAAGTACATCGGACCCGTGCGAAGCAGCTCTTTCACCAGGGCAAGATAGGTGTCTTCGTCTTTATCGTGCAGAGGTCGCTCACGCATGGGGAGGAACTCGGTCGCGGCCACTTTGTAGATCATATGGCCACGAAGGCGACCCATAGGCTGGGCCTTCGTGATCACGATGATATATTTGTCTATGTAGGTTGAACGTTAGCGCTACGGCCTCAATGCAGCGCATGCGGTCGCATATTTACCGAGCTTGAGCTTGATTATTCCAAGGATACCCGCAATGCTCGAGATGCGCTTTGCACCCGCGAGGGGCCCATCATTGAGCCGGAGGTCACCCGTGGGCCGGTCTACCACTAACGTGGGAGCCTGGGGTGTGGATGGTGAAGTGAAGGCATAGTGGGAGGGCGATGAATGCAAGTTAACATCCCTGAACGGGAGTAGAGAAGGCGCCATTGCGAGCCCTCGAAAGTTGGGGGTAGGACGGAAAAAGGGGGGGGGGTGTGGATGTCAAAAAGAAGATCGTATATCACGAACACATGATCGACCGCGGCGCAGTTGATTAGGTGGAGGCGCGGGCCAAGGGCCTTGGACAAGAGCTAAGGGGACAACTAACTAACTCGGGACTGCTCAAGGCAAACGACAGAGCCACTGCGGCCTGCCCAGTCACCGTTACAGTCCCGCCACACCGCCCCGCTACCTCATGTGGCTGCACGACTTCCGTCATCCACTCCCCAGACCTTTTGATCTTCTCTCTATCAAATCTTGGGCCTTACCACCCTCTAGCCTGTTTATCTTCCACTGGTCCACCCGCTACCTGTCTCCTTTGGACCCCGTTACCTCCCTCCGCCTTATCGGCCATGGCTTCTCGACCTGCTCCAGGCGCCCGCCCCGGGGCCAAGTTCGCCCAGTTCAAACTCGTTTTACTCGGTAAGGGGACTCCCTAGGAGGCAAAGGCGACTTATGGTGGGGTGATTGTATACTGACGAGGTCTTGTTATAGGTGAATCTGCTGTGGGAAAGGTTGGACAGACATCCAGGCTGCTACTTTTCGGATACGGGCGCTAACTATGATCGCTACGCAGAGTTCCCTGGTTTTAAGATTCGTCAAGGTGAGCTTCTTCGAGGGAACGCCTTTCTCTGTGCCGGCGCTCTTAAACAACCAATATGCTGATCGTTTCCCCAGGATCAATTTGACGATTATCGCGAATCCACTATCGGCGCCGCTTTCTTGACACAGACGATTTCGCTCGACGATACCACCACAGTCAAGTTCGAAATCTGGGATACTGCGGGTCAAGAAAGATACAAGTCTTTGGCTCCCATGTATTATCGAAATGCCAACTGTGCTGTTGTGGTCTATGACATCACCCAAGCGGTATGCGAGAATACGGAGAAACCTCCCCCTTCCCATTGTCGACCGATAACGCTGACATGTAATTAAATAGTCATCATTGGATAAGGCCAAGTCCTGGGTGAAGGAACTCCAGCGCCAAGCAAATGAGAACATCGTCATTGCGCTGGCCGGTAACAAGTTGGATTTGGTGACAGAGAGCCCCGACAAGCGAGCTATTCCGACCGCAGACGCCGAAGCTTATGCGCGTGAAGCCAATCTCCTGTTCTTCGAGACTTCCGCCAAGTCATCTACGAATGTGAAGGAGCTGTTTACTGCCATCGCAAAGAAGCTGCCTCTCGACCAAGCTGGTCCTCGGAACCTGCGGGCAGCTCCACGACCGGGCGTTGACCTCCGACCCGAAGCCCCTGGCACCCAAGGCGCCGGTGCATGCAACTGCTAAAGCCTCTACCTTTCCCCGATGGGCCCGACTTCCTACTCCCGGGGCGAAGAGAGTCCTTTGCTATTCCTGCATGAACCCGGTATACCCCTTATGACTTGAGCCACTTCGGGACCATCTATGACCCTATCGCCTCTCTCTCCTTGATCTTGATGAGCACCTCGGGCTCTCGGATCATTGTCTATCTCATCTGACTCCTTACAACCGCTTCTACATGTTGCTCAGGTCCCCGTTTTCTGAAGTGCGTCGAGCTTATGTGAAGGGTTCGCCTGAATCCCAGACGTATCTGGAAACTGGCTTTAGACATATTGCCGCAGGAAACTCCTGCCTTTCTTTTCTTGTATCTGTCCCCCTTTCTTACGGCGTCTGCATCTGCTCCTTTTCTCGTTTTTTGGGTCGAATCCTTGTTCCCGTTACTACCTCCCAGAGCTTTTCTTTAGTATGGTATGCCCAGATAATACATTATTTCCGACTCTAACTACTAGCTATGCGGATCTTCTGTAGCGTATCCAGGTTGACCTCTCGCAATCCTGAACAATGACCAGAACTCCACGTTTTGGCCAGTTCTGAGCTTGTATAAACTGAGATCAAGCCACGTTGTCATGGTGAAACCTTGAAGTCTGTCTACTAGAAGAAGTTCACATCTAGCGGCTCGAAGGCTCAGAACTATCCTGTTGGCCAATTGCTACAAGTAGGCCTTCGATACTATACCAGCCCCTGAAGATACCTAAAGATTTTATGGTAATATCTTCCCAGCCTTAGGGGCAATTCCTCACAGCTGGTGCTTATCTGTAGAGTTCTAAGTTCTGTTCACAGTTCCTGTCGGACTACCATGCGGGTATGTACGAGACAAAGTCGATACTAGTAGCCTCCAACCTTCGGGAGCTGTAATTCGAAGGTGTACGAATAAGCCTCAAATGTCCAGTCGGATTGTCTCAGTACGTCGCCAATGAGATGAGCCTGGTGTCGAAGCCTTCTGTATAACCAAGATCTTGAGCTGTGCGGGCTGAAAACAGGCTGACCGCCCGCAGGATCATCGGAGCGGACCGCGAGAACATCGACTTCCCGTTTCCTACCCATCCATCTTCTCCCCAACTCTCCCCGCTCATAGGCGATTGTGCGGCTCGTGATGCTGCGCTCCTCTATTTCATCGGGTCGGCAGCTGCTGTCGTCTCCCGTTCGCCAACGAGTTCCCGCCCAATGGCTGTCCAAGGCCGGCGCAAGCACTCGGCTCTCGGGCCAGGTACGTACTACGAGACTCAAACCACATATCCACGGTGGTAGCAGCCCCATAGCTAACAAGTCAAACTAGCGCTTTTTCGCTGATGCGAAGCCTCCGACCCCGGCTACCCCTTCTTCCGAATCGTCTATCCCCAGAAATGACATCCCCAAGCCCTTGGAGCAAGGTACCGCCAAACAGCATCAATTTGCGCTGATATCATAATCTGACCCGAGATCATTGCAGAATCCAAAGCTCCCTCATCCTCACCAAAAGTAGCCCCCCAAAAGACCGGTCGTTTCCGCCGATTCCTTCTCTACCTGATTCTCTCTTCCGGTATCGCATACGGTGGCAGTATCTTCCTCGCTCTCAAGTCCGACAACTTCCACGATTTCTTTACCGAGTACATCCCCTACGGCGAGGAGTGCGTTCTCTATTTCGAAGAGCGTGACTTCTACCGCCGATTCCCCAACGCTTCTCGGGCCTCTAATCGCATCCACGCCATTCCCAAGGACGAGGGCAAGCCGGTTACAATCCCCAGCAAGAGCGGTCTATCCTGGAATGTGGCAAGGGTTGAAGATACTGGCAGTGACGCCTCTAAGGCTGGATCTCATACTGCTGCCAAGGCTGAGGAAGCCCAGACCAAGACTGAGGCTTCTAAGCCCGAGCAGCGTACCGCTGCTGTGAAGAAGGCTAAGGAGGACAAGGCCAACAAGGAGTCTTCTACGGAGCCTACTAAGACTGTCTCTTTGGACGAGCCTAGGAAGCCAGCTGTTGATGCTGCGGGATCCATTGGCCTCCTTCAGCACGAGGAGGGTGATGAGCCTGTCGTCCAAGAGCTGGTCAAGACCTTTAACGACATCGTTTCTGTCATTAGCGCCGACGCGAACGCTGGTCACTACTCCGCATCCATTGCCAAGGCCACGGAGAATCTACAGAAGATCGGCGACAAGATCAACTCCATCCGTTCCGAGGCTAAGAACGCCGCCGAGGAGGAGATCAAGAAGGCCCATGCCACCTTCGATGAGGCTGCACAGGAGCTCATGCGCCGATTTGAGGAGACCCGCAACATGGATCTTGCTCAGTTCCGAGAGGAATTCGAGACCGAGCGTGAGAAGCTTGCCTCCGCTTACCAGGAGAAGATCAAGACCGAGCTTAGTCGCGCTCAGGACCTCGCCGAGCAGCGTCTGAAGAACGAGCTTGTGGAGCAGGCCATTGAGCTGAATCGCAAGTACATCCACGAGGTCCAGGACTTGGTCGAGCGTGAGCGTGAAGGTCGTTTGGGCAAACTGAACGAACTGAGTGCCAACATTGCAGAGCTCGAGAACTTGACCACCGGCTGGGGTAGCGTTATTGATACTAACCTGAAGACCCAGCAACTCCAGATCGCCGTGGATGCTGTCCGTACTGCCCTGGAGCGTGCTGAGGTACCTCGACCTTTCCTCCGCGAATTGGTTGCTGTCAAGGAACTGGCTGCCGATGACCCCGTGGTTGACGCTGCCATCGCCTCCATCAACCCCACTGCCTACCAGCGTGGTATTCCCTCAACCGCCATGATCATTGAGCGTTTCCGCCGCGTGGCCGGAGAGGTTCGCAAGGCCAGTCTCCTCCCCGAGGATGCTGGTATTGCCAGCCACGCTGCCAGCATGGTTCTCAGTAAGGTTATGTTCAAGAAGGACGCCCTTGCCGACGGTGACGATGTTGAGAGCATTCTCGTCCGCACTGAAAACCTGTTGGAGCAGGGTAATGTGGATGCTGCGGCCCGTGAGATGAACACCCTCCAGGGCTGGGCTAAAATTCTGAGCAAGGACTGGCTGGCCGACGTTCGCAGGGTTCTTGAAGTCAAGCAGGCCCTCGAGGTGAGTCTGATCCTTCCTTAATTTCGAAAACCCCTTGCTAACTTAGTACACAGGTTATTGAGACTGAGGCCCGCCTCCAATGCCTGCGCGTAGAATAAGCGCATATAGCGATGCTGATTTCATTTATCCTGTACATCTTCGTTTGTCTACAGGAACTGTACCTTTAGTTGTACTTTTGCGTTTAGACCCAAATGCTAGAAACCCTTTCTTATGTCTCATTCCTTGGTTCGGTCTTCCAAGTTTGCCCCCATCTGGTTGACCCAGATTGTACTCGAATTTTGCCTCCCCTCATCCCCTGCCCCCGTTTGATCCTGCTTCCGCAAGACCTCCATGTTCGATTTGATCCTCTATTCTACGCCAAGCTCGAGACGCATGTCTTATCATAACCTATCTCGCCTTGGTGGGGTCTATCTTAAAGTCCAACAGGGTTCATCCACCACAGTCTTTATCACCCCTCCAAAACAAGGCGAAATACCCGCGCTTACCCGCCAGGTTCAGCGGTAGGATAATTTCCCCGGCCCTTTACATCCCCGCGATATCAGTTCCAAGGCGCCCACTGGTGGCAGATTTCGGGTCCCCCGTCATCGATCCGGGGATCACGGCTCCGCGCGGATAACATCGGGGTAATCGGGCTTGAAATACTACAATGTACAAATAACACCCCAGCGTAAGATATTTTCTCTGACATGCTGACTTTGACCAGACAACATGCTTGCCGAACCAGTGAAGTACCTCACGGTTGAGAGGGCTGCGGTGGATCTGGCCACCGTGCTCGCCGTCCTGGTACGTAGTCTTTTAGACCATAACACTTGGAGATCCTTTGTATTGGATTCGAAAAGTCCAGCTTGGGGAAATCTGACACTTTGGCTAGACAATTGCTTACGTCCTCTACAATCGCTTCGTTCATCCCCTCCGTAATATCCCAGGTCCCATTCTCGCGTCTATTACACCCTGGGTACAGCTTTATCATGGTCTAAGAGGTGACCGCCACCTGTGGCTGCACGCTCTCCACAAGAAGTATGGAAGCCATGTCCGTGTCGCACCGAATTTTGTGTCGGTGAATACCGCCCAAGGGCTTCACGACATCTATGGCCATGGCAAACGCCTTCAGAAAGCGGACTTCTATAATGGCTTCACTGCCATCAAAGGCGTGCACAATACCCATAACATGATCGACAAGACTCTTCATGGCCGGAAGCGTCGTGTACTGAGCCAGGCATTCTCAGAAGCGGCATTGAAGGGCATGGAGGATGTGATGCTGTTACATGTGCGGCAGCTCTGTGCCTCGCTTGCCGGATATGCAGCACACGAGAAGAATGTACCCGAGGGCACGGGCGTCGTGCGCAACATGAGCAACTGGTTCGGGTACCTTTCCTATGATGTTATGGGAGAGCTCTGCTTTGGAAAAAGCTTCGATATGCTTGTTGCCGAAGACAAGAGACATATGATTGGGCTGGTTGACCGAGCGTCAAACCGGCACTATCTTGTATGAGCCCATGAGAGACTCGGGAATTTGCCCCCCCCTGGTCCAAACACCCAGAGATTCAGCATTTATTCAGACTAACTTGTTCTATAGTGCGGACTTTGGATGCCCTTGGACCGCTGGCACCTCGATCAGATCTTTATCCGGAAACTGACCCAGGACCGCTGGAACTTCATCATGAACTCCCGAGTGGAAGCGAATAAGCGGGCTCAAGAACGCGCAGAGAAAGGTAGAGAAGCGAAGAAAGATTTCTTCTATTACCTGCTTAATGCGAAAGACCCGGAGACAGGCAAAGGACTCACCACCCCGGAGCTCTGGGGCGAGGCCAACGTCCTGATGATCGCAGGCAGTGATACGACCTCAACGACGTTGGCCGCGGTCCTCTTCTACCTGACACGTAACCCGGCCGCCCTCGCAAAGTTGAATCAGGAGGTGCGCAACGCCTTTGCGAGTGTCGAGGACATTGTCAGCGGCACGCAGCTGAATGAACTCGTGTACCTCAAGGCATGCATCGATGAGGCATTGCGGCTCGCACCGGCCGTCCCTGGCGCGATCCCCCGAGAGGTCATGCAGGGCGGCGCAGTCGTCGATGGCGTCCTCCTTCCCGCGGGAACCGACTGCGGCACACCTACATACTCGATCCACCGACAGGAGAAATACTATCGGGCAGCGGAAAGTTTTGTTCCCGAGCGTTGGATCGAAGGCGCGGTCTGCTCTACATCGACTGAATCCTGGACTACCACCAAAGAAGAGATCGAGGTAGCGCGCCACGCGTTCTGCCCTTTCAGTATTGGGCCACGTGGATGCATTGGCAAGAGCATGGCGTTCATGGAGATGCGGCTGACGCTGGCGCGCCTGGTTTTCTTATTCGACATGACTCTTGCAGACCGTGTCGGGGAGGATGCCGGGGGCCATTTGGAGCTGATTGATCATTTCACCAGCGCAAAGAACGGGCCTAACGTCGAGTTCAAGAAGGTCATGGGCGCACTTTGAGAAGGGGAAAATCATTTTGCAGTGAACCTAGGTTAATACATTTCCGGTCCGGGTAAGATAGTATCTCTGGTATTTCGCGTAAAAGATCGACATGGGATAGGATAAAGACTGAAGTCTCAAATGGACTAGCAATTCCCATCGTCCCATCTCACTATGAAACAAACACGGACTCGTATTCTCCTAACGAATACTGCGGTTTTGGTGACAGCCTTCAGAGCTGACAGTTGTAAGACGGTTTAGTCAGGACACGGTTGCACGTAGTCTTGGCATCCCCTGTAAGGCCTTCAACCTGGGCAGCTCCCACTGGTACTTTGTAAGGATGCGACGATGCTCGTGTCACCGCTGACCGTGACGTTCGTGCAATCAACCATTCTAAATGCGTTGTCCAATATCCTTGCCCAGCTGATCGACCAGCACATCAATAGTCCCGTGAGTCCGGACCACCCAAAAGGGCTCCTCTAGGCAGAAGCTAACCGCGTGTATAGAAACCCTTCTCACTGAACACGCTGGCTCTGCTGCAGTATGTTACCTACGGCATCCTGATTGTGCCCATCAATTTCTACTGGCAGCGCGCTTTGGAGGCGCGGTATCCGGGGTTCCCCACGCGCGCTGAAATCGCAAATGCATTCCGCTTCTCGGGGCGATCATGCTCGCCGGCTGCTCTGTTCAGAGGCATCCGCTCCTTTTTTTCCTTTGCGGTCTCGTCTCTCTTTACCAGGGATCCGGACGATCAGCTTCCTTCTCATAAAGAAAGGGAGAAAGACAAGGACTTATGGGCGCCGCGGGCCCGGCGCTCCGGTCTGCATTGTTTCGTGATGAAGTTCTTTCTCGACCTGACGGTTGCCTCCGGCGTGAACATTGTTCTTTTTGTTGTTTTGATAAATCTTCTCAAGGGTGAGAGCCTTTCCCGTACTTGGGAGCTAATTTTTATTGTAAGTCTCTTTTGCGCCGCGCCCCCCCCCCTTCTACCCCCTGTCTCCATATGGCGTGCCCCCGGGGGCACGCCATATCAGAATTGGCCGGGACTGACCTATTGGTTAGGATTTCCGTCCTATCATGAGCGCACGTCTCAAGTATCGCCCTCTCGTTTCAACTCTTATGTACACTGTCATTCCCGTCGATCGGCGCGTTGTTTTTGGGAGCGCTTGTGGTGTCATCTGGGGCGTCTATCTAAGTTTATATGCGGTGGTCTAACATTCCGCGACTTCTTTCCAATCTACGTTCTTGTGTCTTTTCTTGAGTGAGTCTTAATATTCAGCGCCGAAGATAATTTTAGATGCATGATACATCGTGCGAAAGGCAAAATGTAAATAATATCATTAGAGCTACCTGAGTGACAGCAGGTATCCGAGTCGTATAACACCAAGTATCTTCTTCAATCCACAGAGCCGGCTTGCTAGCCATCGCCAACTCGTATGAAAAACAAAGAAAGAAAAAATTAATATGCAAGGAAAACGCAGTTCTTCACCGCGCCATCAGCTTTACACGGCAGCTGTTTCAATCTTCTTGCCCTTGACGGAGATCCACTCCACAAAGATCGGCCCGATCAAGGACAGCGCACCCATAGCCACAGACACATAGAAAGTCTGCATAATGGCATCGTTATACGCAACAAGAACACGGTGCAGCATCGGACTCGGAACAATGTTACGAAGCGCGGTCGCACCGGCGGAAGCAAGCTTACCGGCATCAGCCCCAGGTACATTCCGGGCAATGTTATGGACCAGCTGGTTCTGGAACACGTTCTGCGCAACCGAGACGAAAATAGAGCCGCCAAGGGTCTGGGAGAACATGACGATAGCAGTTCCGCTGGGGACGTCTTCGGCTTTCAGCGCTGTCTGCGCGACTATCATCGGCTGCTGCATGCCCAGACCCAGGCCGATACCAAAGAGCGCTTGATAGCCAATCCACTTCGCGTGGCCGGAATCAGTCTCCAGGGTGGACAGGAGCCCGGCCCCGATGGTCATGATGATCGAGGAGAAAATCATGAAGGGTGTGTAGTATCCGCAGGCAGTGACGAGACCGCCTGAGAGAATTGAGATGACCACGACGGCGATGATCATGGGCAAATTCATGATTCCAGACTTCATGGGCGAGGCACCCTTGATGGCTTGGAACCAGATGGGGAGCTGGAGAACGAGTTAGCGTAGGCAGGTAGTTTATAGGCTGGGTTGAACGAACGTAGTAGACGAGAATGAAATACGCGGCACCGATCGCCAGTGCATACCAAGCGGCACCCCAGACATTGCGATTCTTAATAAGACGAGGTGGCACAGTGGCACGGTCCTGGCCCCACCATTGAATGCCGATGAAGATGATTATCAGAACGCCGAAGGCGACGAAGAGGCCGATAATTCGGCCATTGCCCCAGTCGTACTTGGTGCCGCCCCATTGCAGAGCCAAAAGCAAGCTGATGATGGCGGGGAGGAAGAACAGCGAGCCGAGGAGATCCAACTCCGCGATCTGTTCCTTCCAGCCGTTCGTTTGCTTGATTGCCTTGCCGGCCTGGAAGAAGAACAGGATGAAAACGAAGGTGACAGCGCCGATAGGTAGGTTGATGTAGAAGCACCAACGCCAGGTCAGCTTGTCTGTGAACGCACCGCCCATTCTGCGATGAGTTAGTCGAGTTGTCTTCAGTGGGCCTAGAGCCGGGGTGATAGGCCAACATACAGAGGACCAGTGACATTTGCAATTCCAAACATAGCGCCGATAAGGCCCGTGTAGACTGGGCGCTTGTCCAATGGCACACTCTGGGCGATGATCAAGATGGAGCCCGAAAACAAGCCCGCGGCTCCGAGGCCGGCAATTGCACGGCCACAGATGAGACCAACCGAGTTAGGAGTCACGGCGCAGACAAGAGATCCCAGCTCGAAGATGGAGAGAGCCAGCAGATAAATCCATTTGATGGAGTAAAACGTGTAGAATCTCCCAAACATCAATGTCACAGAGCAGGTTGTCAATAGGTAGGAGCTTCCATACCAGCCCACATCTGCGAGGGAGTTGAATTGATCTGTGATCTTGGGAATGGCTGTAGCGATAATTGTATTATCCTGAGTATTCCACGTTAGATCGAACCTTTGAAGGGGGATCAAAGTGGATTACATACAAGGGCCACGCAGAACACGCAGAGACATAAGGCGATTGTGATCAACGCCAGTCTCCACGCAGATGGATATTCCCCATCATCTACCGGTGTCCCATTCTGATTTTCATTGTCATTGTCATTCTCGTTCTTGTGTTCGGGAGTCGAAGCTTCCTTTGCCGACTCGCTCCTTGAGCTTGTAGGCTCTTTATTAGAGTCTTCGGTAGGAACTGCTTCGGGCAAGTGATCTGGTGCTGTCTCTTTATTCGTGTCGATTGGGTTTGGAGAATCGTGTCGTGGTTCATTTACTAACGTGCTCTCTTTCTCACTGGATGGCTTTGAATGGCTCTTTGATAAGTTCGATTGAGAACCTGTATCTGTATCGGACGATTCATGTTTCTCTGCAGTCTCATCTGCCTCCGGGGAGTCCTTAGCAGTGAACTTGTTGAAGAACGAAGCCATTGCGATCACAAAAGCGGGCGGGAGGGGGGCAAAAGGGAAAAGACTGAGCATGGAATAAGAGGGGGGACTGGATTGGATTAAAAAGTGTTCTGTGTACAGTCAAAGTGCAGGACTAGCTAGCTATTCATTGGTAACGCAACCGAGTCCTTTGTACAGGTCTCATCATGGGCCAGGGCGACCTTGCCGATGCGTCCAACGTGGGTTTACGACAGGAGCCAAGGTACCTACATAATCCCCTGTGAGCAGATCCTTGCAACCTGGCCATGTGGATCATGGACTTCCACGCCATTCTGCACCCCAGCTTGGGATTGGCCGCGCCAGTCCTGGGCAGTGCCGTGAACAGAAGTTGGGGAAGAACCGCAGCCAATCGCCGCCGTTGACAACGCCTCTTGGGCAAGGCACAAAAAGAAGATCACAAATGGCAAAAGATTCATGCAGCACTCGGACGGACATGACGCCAGCGAATAGGCTGAGTCGAAACTGCGTCTCAGCCGCAGGCCAGGCGGGGCCATTTCGGCCAGGAGACCATGCAAGGATGAGGAAGCTATTTATTGTACCTTGGCCGGCAGCAACTGATGAGAGTTCAGACAGGGGATGAAGAATGGTATCAATTAGTTGAGATCCCTTGCGCATCAAACGGAGGTCCCATGATTCGCATGGCCTTTGCGGGGTTTAGAGCCTGATGTTCCTGCTGGTTTTGCAGCTTGTCAGTACTTTGGACTGAGGATGCCCCGGAGATTTGCCTAGCGACAATTGTTGCACAAGGCCTTACGAACCCAACCGCCTTGTCAAACTGGCCAAACCAGACACTCCGAGGTGAAGAACTCGTACCATCAAGTTGGGTACCATGGAAGACGTCAAACTCGAGCTCATCAAACAAGGGGTTGAAATCTAAATAAGGGAGCCGTCCTCCAGGCGATCAATGCTCCTTCGCGGCCTCAGGCACACGTGATTCAGAGCCAAGCATTCATGCCTGGACGCCTTGGCGCCTGAGGTCTGAAGGTGGGGGTATGGGCACTAAAGATAAACTATGGTAAATATACACAGTAGATCCGAGGACCGAAAACACGGGTGGTGATATCGAGAGTCGATTTTTTTTTTTTTTTTTTTTTTTTTTTTTGGATATAGATTTTTATGCTTTCCTCTGCAGCTACTAGAGGATTCTCTTCTCTCTCTCTCTGTCCCCTGTTCATCAGCATCTCGTTCTCGACCAAGGTCCAGCCCTGGTGGGCCAGCCCTATTTCCCACTTTGGGACCGCTGCCTCCCCGCAGATACGAAAGTCAGCGCGTGGTTAATCACTCCACCACCCGACGTCCACCAATCTCACCATAGTCCTAACTGATAATCCATCAGATTGGGTGATATCTTCTCTCATGGCCCCTATCCTGGCCCTTCCCAATGAGACATTGGAGCGTATCCTCTCGTTCATTGCTTCCCCTGACCTTGCCCCTGATAGCGATGATGAAGACCGTTCCTTTAAGGAACCTGACACCAATTTCGTTCGCGAAACTCCCAAGGGGCGTGCGCATTATAAATTGCTTGAAGAGAAGGAAATCTGCCACAACACTCTTCGTGACACGTGCTTGGTCTCACGCCGATTCCGTGATCTAGCCCAGCCCCTTCTCTTCCGCGATTTCCAAGATGATGGCGATGCAGGGGATCTCACTAAAACGCTTAAATTCACCAAAGCTTTGTATCGCCGACCAGAACTCGGAGAAATATACCAGGAACGTTACACTGTCTCCGTATGATTCGGGAGAGTTCAAGTGGAAAGTAGACCTTTCATCCGATGATGTCGCGTTCTTTACACCGATCATTAAGGACATGAACCTGCCCGTTGCCGAGGAAGAATACTGCTTGAGGGCAATGAAACAGCTCGACGTCAGCTTTTTCACTACATTGCTAGTGAACAAAACACCCAATCTGCGTTGCTTAGTTTTACCAGCAGAGCACTTCTCCGCCCTCCCACTAGTTAGTCTTATGAAACGGAATCCTGCCATCTTGTCCACTCTTCAAAGTGTGTGGCTAGAGGTGGGTGATGCTCGATCGGATCGGGGCTGGTCCCTGAATAATTTCAAAGAACTCTTTACGTTGCCCAAGCTCAGACGCACTGTTGCGGAGTTCGCCAATCTCGTTGACTCGGACTACCCAGAGACCTGGACACCCGGGTCATTGCCGGCCGAAGAGGCAGTTTTCCTCAACTGCCATGCCGATGCCAAATCCATCACAAAGTTCATGAAAGCCTGCAAGAACCTCAAAGCATTCACCTTCAGGAACTTTGGTCTTAACCCGTTCTTAATTCGCGACACGACTGGGCTCGCCCATAAACAGTTCAACGCCAAGGATGCCGTTGATGCTGCGCTCGCTCAAAAGGATACACTGGAGCATTTCCATGTCGATTTTGCGCGGATGCCCGAAGACGTCGGGACTGCCGAGGACGTCAAACGGTATATCAGACGAACCGTCAAGATTAGCTCTCTTCGCCCCTTCACTGCTATGAAAAGTCTCATGATCCCTCATGCGGTTCTACCAGCTCACCCAAAGTTTCCTCCAAACATCGAAATGCTCGAAATTCATGACTGCAACTCGTCTGTTGTTGATATGGTTGCAGAGGTTGCCGCGGAGGTCAAGAAGGGCCGCTACCCAAACTTGAAGATATTCATGTGTCTGGCTACCGATGTCTCGCGGCTTGTGAAGCTTACCGGACAAATTGTTCCACCTGGGAAAACCCCACATGATATGATGATGAGTCTCCTGGACTTGTTCAAGGGTACCCAGGTGGACTTCCGTATCAATCCGTACGTCCTGCCCGACTTTGACTTATACGATTCAGACGAAGATGAAAGCGACGAAGATGACGACGGATCGTTCCCTCTTGGTGGTCCTGGGGGTGCTGGCGGGGGGCTTGAAGCTCTTCTTGGAGGCCTTCTTGGAGGTCGACCCGGAGTCGGAGGTGGCCCACCGGGCCCTGGTGGACGGGGCCCTATGCCACCGGAGCTTCTCGAATACTTCATGGCGCGGGCTCGAACAGACCCGGACTTTGCACATCTTTTCCGCTAAGTAGGTGGCGGGTTATATATCCGAGGATGATTGTATATGAAGCGGAGGGTCATTCACTGCAGAGTTACATTTTCAGGGACTTTATATCTAACATCGTGTCACATACTTCATCTATGAATTAATTTTCTCCATCCTAATCAACGGCAATACAGCTTTTGATGTCTGTCTACGCAGGATATTGTAGACTTTCCGTTTCCGCAGGTGAGGACGTATGTACAGCGTGGACCTTTATTGCCAATTATATGCTTTTGATAGATTTATGGGCGTTTCTAGCAAGTTTAAACAATGAAAAATGCATGCATCCGGATAGAACGCCTACCCAATCGCGGGATTATGGGCGTGTCTCCGTAAATCGAGAACAAAAGCTAATGATACATCCTGCCGGAGGACCAGGCTTGACAGACGAATGAAGACAGAAAGGGGATTCAGAGCCGCTGGTTCCGACAGGTGCCCAAACCCTCGGGGTTCCGGCAGCCGTTGGCTGCATAATGCCGCATGTGTTTCAGCCGATGCCTGTGCGTGGAAAATGGGCGATATGGAGGAGGGATAATTCGAAGAAGATGAACAGGAAGTGGGGCAGGGCCTCGGTCGTTAGACGATACTGATTTCAGCTCGGCGCAGGATAGTGGTATCTTGGGCATTGTTCAGTCAGATCAGAATTCAGCTCGGCAAAGCTGGATTGAGCTAAGACGAGAAAGAAAAGATCAACTGAAAGAAAGGAAGACATTGGACACGTAAATCGGACATCAGATGCAATCGTTCAGGATCATTTCCCTTCTTTCTGTTGGGGATTCTGCAGGGTCTCGTCTTTACTGGCAACAAGGGCGATCAAAGCTGCTCCGACACCACTGCCATCCTTAGAGATACCGATTCGGATCTTCTTCTCCCCAGCAGGGCCAACTTCGGTGACTTCCCGCAGAGCATCGCGTATGTACCCCTCGAAGTTAGGGTAGAACTCAACCAGACTTCCGTCGACACCCACGTCGACGAGCTCGTCGGTCTGGAGCTTGCCGGTGTGGATCAGAACAGCAGCGATGGGAACGGCGCTCAGACGGGCTGCACGCTTGCCGATTGCGTGTACCAGAATCTTGACGGCCTCGCACTCTTCATCACTTGGGTTCTCAATCTTGAGGTGGTCCTTCAGAGCGGCCTTGACCGCGGGATAATGCTTTGCGGTATCTTCCTCAACCAAGCTCAACAAACTAGTGTCCAGACCCCACTGGCGGAAGAATTGAGAGTCGGAGGGAGAGAGACCTTGGAGGTTTCGCTAGGCTTGAACAGGCCGATTTGAGGGTCGTTGTGCAGGGCTAACAGGGCACGTCGTAAGATCTCACCCAGAAACATACCCGAAACTCGCTTCTCGAACATCTGGATCCCAGGGTTGTTGCTTTCCTCATCTAACTGTCTATCATAGATGGTGTCAGGCAGCACGCTCAGCTGGTTGTCGAAGCTACCCCACTCGGCATTGATGATCATCTCGCCGGTGGATTTATCGTAATGCACATCCTTCATGCTGTCCAGCTTGGTAATCTTCTCAATCTTCTCCAGGTAGGCGCCATTGGTTCCAGTGCCGAAAATACCACCCAACAGGGTCCCGGTCTTGCCAGGAGAGGTGTACGAACGAGCCATGAGGGTACCGACGGTGTCGTTGACCAGAGCGGCCACCCGCACGGGCAAATTTAGATCATCGATCGCAGACTGGAGCAAGGCGCACACATCGTGGCCGACAGCGTCGGGGATATTGAAGCCCTTAGTCCATCGAATGAGCGTGCCGGAGTTGATTCCAAACTGGCGCACCGGGAAACTGAAGGTGAAGCCAAGATCGAACAGGTCTTCGACAGCGGCATTGTTTGCACGTCGACGCTGGTGGGCTTCAAAGTGGTCGTTGTGATGAATACGTAAGAAAGACTCGATCTGGCGGGCAAGGAAGGTGAAAAGGTCTTTCGAGGTGCCGGAGGCCATGAGTTCCCGGGGGATCATGATCTTAGACTGGGTGAGAGAGAAAGTGGTATCGCCGTGAAGTTGCACAGAACACACGCGAAAGTTCGTCCCGCCGAGGTCAACGGCCAGGTAGAGACCCTTTTCGAGAACGTGTCAGTATACTGATGAGCCGTGGAATAGTGCCCAGGCGTTGCTACTAGACAATCCTCGAACACACCTTTTCCGTGCCATTGGGCACTGCGGTCACAAAGGTGGGAATCTGGCTCAGAGTGGTGTTCTCCTTCGCCAAACCCTCGTCGGCCTGGCGAATGTACTCGGCAACCCCGCGACGGACTTGCTCAGCGGGGTAGTCGAATTCGCGCGCAATGCGCGTAGCCTCGACTAGCAGCGCAGACATGGTGGGGCTCCGCGTAGAGAAATCTAGAAGAGGAAGAAAGAGGAGTGGAAAAAAGAAAAGCAGCAGCACAGGAAAGGTCAAGGTAGAAATTATGGAAAAATGTCTCACAAGGAGAATAAAACAGAAAAGTCTAGTGGTGGGGGGAGAAAGGAAAGGTAACGGCCATGAGGTCAGACACTTAACCTTGGCAGTGCTTGATGCGGGACGCCAACCGCGCCAACTATTTCCAACTCTTTCCACCAAAGAAAACTCGCGGGTTCGCCGGGGATTTCCATATGGCCCCTCGGCTCGATTGCCTGCGTAGTTGAGCACGAAAGCATGAAAACATATCCTATTGTCACTCCTCGATCCGGGGCATATTTCTGTAAACGTGGGGAGGTTATCCCGTGAACGGTCTTGCGCCCTACATTCCTCATGGTAGTTACACTGTCCGGGGTTCCGTAACACCTTTTCGGGACCGTTGCGGCTTTTTTCGTGGCGTTCTGCCGTCTTCTAATGACCGCATGTAATTCTTGCCTTGAAACTATGGAGAAGTTGTGGGGAATAGGCAGTGGTTCTCCATGGCGCGGCTGGACTTCACCGGTGAGCGACAAGAGGTTACGGCGGACGGAGGCCGGGGACTGCTAATCAAAAGAGACCTAGTCCATACTAGTTTGTATGTACTGGCAGCGTTGCATGCAGGTGCACGAGCCCTGCGGAAGAGCCAAGCAAGTGATGACGATATTTTGAGCCTTTCAAAGCGACATTTCGGGCTCGGGTTGGAAGCGCTGGGGCCGAGAAGAGCGGAATGCCGAGTTGACATTCGATCCATTCGGGCTGTGGGCGTGTGTGGGCGTGTGAACGTGGGGCTTCCAATACTCTCCCATGAATTCCCCAAAACATGAAAGCCCTGCGCCGTGTCATGGCGCCTAGGCTTTATACCTTGCCCCTTACCACCCCCCTAAGGCCGGAACCCCCTATCTGGAGCCTTCACGACATCAACTGATCTGCTATATATATCAGGCGAAATTGGATTTGGAGGCCAATTGCCCTTAGCCTCGCCCCCCATTGAAGGACATCTATGCAAGAGCCTGTACTGTGCTGCATAGGACTGACGCGGAGAACGCGGGAGAAGAAATCTAAGCAATACTCTCAAGTCATAGAGTTGCTTCAGGAACAAGGGCGAGCTCCGCGCAAACATACTTTCTGGCGAATATTTAGTTACTTGTAAATTTGCCTCACACAAGTCCCATTAGCTCGCGGCACCTGGTACCAGTATCGGTAGTGTTCAGCAACTGGTACTGAAGTAGACCTTCGAGTCATTATGTGTCCTAGCCCTCTTGTTTTAGATCTTCCGGGTACCTCTGATTCATATGCTTCTTAGAGGAGATTTCGCGCTTCCTCTTCATCTTCCGCAACCTCGCTCCGATCCATACGAGTTTCGACAAGCTTGGGGACACGGAAAATCATCTTCTCCTAGTTAATACCAAACCTGTATAGAGACGCATCATTACAGACCGCGGTCATATATATGGCTGCTGGACGAATACGATTCTCCATACTACTCTTTAGAAGCCGGGGTGTACTATGTACGGAACTAGTAAGTTCTATCGGCTGTCTTATTTGCTGCACGCTTAGAGCTTGGATGGGTAATACGATTCAATAGCTGTTGACTGTGCACTGGAAGGTCTTCTCTACAACGGTGTCTCGATTGAACCGCGTATGGCTATTTGATAAGGCCAGTTCCTGTATCTCAAGGGTCAGAAAGAGGGTACTACCGCACGACAGCGGGCTCCGAGCTTGACAAATTCATCGGATAATCCTTCGCGCTGGGCATCTATGGAAAGCGGCGAGTCTTCCTGCCATCGCTCTGAAGTGATGAGAGTACATATTCTGCCATTAGATGGCGAGAGCATTACCAGAAGAACCAGGCCAGCTTCAGAAATACGGTAATTAAACATCTCTAGGGAGGGGGCAACTGGAGAAGAAAAGCGATACAGGAGACTAACCCGGGGGAAAGAGAATCCAGGGGGGGGGGGGGGAAATCGGAAGAGAGAGATAGCGAGTAGTTACGGTTGGAGAGTTGCGGAGAAGAAAACGCAAAACCGAAGGAAAATTTTGCTAGGGTCTGGAGAAAAAGTCTGAAAAACTATTCCTGGTGAATAAAACTCATTCCTGGTGACAGACTCCTTATGGTCAGGCAAACGTGACCAAGTCCAGTCCAGCTATGACTCGCGGGTAGAATTAAGTCTTGGATACAAAGCCAAGCTCTCCCACTGTTGATACAGTACTGGTACCCGAGCCCAGTTCACCCGAAAGTCAACGCCCAGTCACTGGTTGACCTTGGAACTATGGCTGGTGCATATGACAGCCAAACCATACTTGCCAGGGGTTACCCCAACATGTCTCGCTTCCGCGTCTATCATAGAGCTCCAAGGAAACAAGCCCCGTGGCAGAAACGAATGATTTCTTCTTATTTGATCCCGCAGCTTTACATATAGAGAATGTGTTACCTAGTTAGCATCCCCTCACCTGGACGCCTGGGCATTCTTGGTGGTGCTTAGTCAATATGACGATCTTCGGCCGAGGCCTGCAGACGGTGGATCCCAGGCCCAGTTACGTACGTACTCCCCCTGCAGGCCCGGGGCCTGGGGCTTGACTTTGTACTCTCGCGATCTCGCGACCTCGAGTCTATCATTATCGCCAGTCTCTATCAGCCTCCCACGTCCATGCTAGTTGATTGCTGACAAGCCACGCCTCCTGTCACCCTGACAGGCGTGGCAGAATAATTCCTGCCCCCCGTTTCACACGTCATCGAGACAACGCGACCTTGATCACAGCTTTTCGATGTCGCCCGCCGATGAGCAGAAGCTTCACGAAGCGTCTTCGGACCGGCACAATCGCGCTTACAGGGGCTCCCTCCGCAAGGGAGCGCTGCTGAGCGATGGACGGACAAGCGGGGAGCAGCTGGACGGGGCGCGGGCGACGTCGAACCCGAGGAGGACACAGAGCTCGGGCGGCTTCTTATTAGACTCCTTGCCGCGATCAGGAAGCACTCGTATCACTGGTGCTCATCGGGCTCGCCCCCCAGAGCCAGCGGGGAAACGAACGGCCGAAGCAGATCTCGTGGTCCCAAAAAAACGTTCCCGTTTGCCATGGAGTCGCCATAAGGTATCTGCCTCTGAATCGTCGCCCGCCCAAGGATCTACCAAGCAGACGCCGACCCCGCCTCCGGAAGATGAGCACTGGAGGATATCCTCCAGTGCAGACTCGCCGGATTCACAGCAGAATGCGCGCGGCCTTGGCCTCGATGCAGACTCCATAAAAATCGTGAATTTGGCTCTGAACCTGAACGAGTCGCGAAGGAAGTCTTCGGGACTTCCGCTAGGCCCTGCATCTCGCAGGTCGGTATCTGTGACACAGCCTGCTGCTGTTGATCGCCACGTCTCTCCTTCTCCTAGGATAAACAATTCTTTGGGATTTTTTGACGACCAGAACCCACGAGTCACGCCACCGACCGTACATTCTCCAGTATTGGAGTTCCTACCGGCCACTGCGGTCCACGACAACCGCGCGTTTGAATGCTCGAAGAGCACTCTTGCGCGAGCTGAACGGGCGCGTCGACACTTCGAACTCTTCCATGAATATTTACGACTACTTCCACTACTACCACCCCTACGAAACCCCGCTCCTTCAGAAAGCCCGGACTCTCGCCCATCAAGTTCCCAGCCTCTCACAAACCGAGAATACAACCCCCTCCAGGCTATTCGAAACCGCCGGGTAAGATACCGGGAGAAATGCCACCTCGACGCAGAACGGGAGGGATGGTATGATGCAGATAAAGTACACGATTGGGTCGATGCGATCGAGGAACAGACTAGGTCCAAGATATTTGACGACAAACAATCTATAAAGATTCCTCCACTGAATTCAGACTACCATCGACGGTCTGATGGAGCCGGCGGTGAGCTTGACCAGCTAGCGGGCTCTCCGCCGGCAAGCCTGACACGCGGCAGTCGTACGAACAGCATCAAGGCTCCACATCTGGGCCTTGACTGGAAGATCTCCCCTGCAGAGCTTCTGGCCGATGCCGCATGGGTCGAAGATCCTGTGAACAAAGCCAAAATCGTTGACAAAGAGGGCAACCAAATCTACCCTAACATTGCAGAGCTCGCTAAAGTGGATACGAATGCAGAATCGGCGCGGAAAAAACGATCCTCTCTCGAAGTTGGGCGTCCGTTTGATGATTTATCGTCTCAGCATGCTTCCTTGTCGAGTTCTCACCCGGTTACTTCACATCCGGCTTTGGGACAAGAGTTTAAAAGTGTTGGCAGAGGGCGACAGAAGCACAGACTTCGAAGCCACTCGCACAGTCTGCGAAGCCAGAGCCCTTCCAGTTCCCACAAGCGTTCTCGATGGGACAAAGTAAGATTGCGCGCTGGAAGCACTTCGAGCGAGTCCAGCAGTGACCACCAGAGGTCTCCTGGCAACAACAAGCATCAAACTCTGGGACGTTTACGAAGAGAACTCGAGAAACTCCCCCATAATACCCACCCTGATCGATCAGTATATCGAGGCCCTCAAATGAGCCCTCCGGACGCGACGGGAGCTGATGCCGACCGTGGCCGAACCCGTCCAGCCCTGCCGCTTTCTGACAGCACCAAATCCAATTACTTCAATCGAAAGGCATCCTTTTTGTCTACTGGAAGTGTCGACGATCGCTACAACCCGAGAATATCGTTAGACCATGATAGTACCGCAGCAAACTCTCCTTCTCAGCAAGCTGGCTACTTTCCTAGCATTGCAGTTAATCTCTCTCCGCCAGCCACCCGAGACACTTCGCCAGCCAAGAAAGGCTTGCGTCATAAGATTGCTTCCCGTCATGAGCGAAGCAAAAGCAAGCAAGGGGAACGAGACGCGAAAAAGCATGATGAAGAGGAGCCCGTCGAGACAGTTGCGCAGGACCTATTGCCCCAGCCTAGCTCTGCTGATCAGCCTGCAAGGCTTGAACCGAGCCCTTTACCAGACGTAGTGTCTTCGTCGTATCATGAAGACCCTGATGCTCCCGATGTTCGCCGATCGGAGAGTTTCCGAGCAAAGAAAGGGCAAAACGGCCCTGAGTCTAAGCTACGAGGTATATTCAAGGGTCCGGGGCGGATAGCAGCAGTCGTTGGAAATGAGGTTTCGAAGGTCGGAGACCTTATCCTAAAGAAGGAGCCTGTCCCCGACGGTCGGAAGTCATCATATCCGACTACTGCCGACTCCGATACCAGTGATTCCTCCGATGACGAGAAACGATCAGAAAAACGTTCGGGGCCCAAAGCCCTATTACGCCGCCTGCCTACACTTGGGGATGAACCGAGTCGGCCTCGCCACATCCGTCGAGATTCCGACAAGGGTTCCTCGCGCAATCCTCTTCCATCACTCCCTACCTTTACATCACCGCTTCGACAAGATGAGGGCCCCGGATCCTCCGAGGCGATCGACCAGGGGAGTCCGCGTGAGCGCGGAAACGGTTCTCGAAGACTAGATGAGCACAACGAACCCAAGAGGAAGCCGCTCTCTCGAGCTGAAACCTTCGACTTTTCCTCGTCGTTCTACGCAAACCGTGACAGGCTCAGAAGTAACGACATCCACGTCGCATCCGCTGCGTATGGTCTGACCCGGCCCCCTGTCACTGGGTTAGCGCAAGCCCGCGCCTCGCCTGGCCCCCAAGCGGAGAGGAAGGACCCTTTATCACGCGCATGGAGTATTTCGGGCCGTTCTCTCAAAGCACAGAACGACTCGGGCGTCCCAGACAAGCCCGAAGTTGAACGAACCCGCGCTCTTTTTCTATCGTCCGGAATCAAGGCTCGAGAAATTATAAGGCGCGCTCGCACCCCTCGAAACCCGCCTCCGCACTGGCTTCAGAACAGCATGGGACCACACATCTCTATACCTCGCGTCGAGCGAATCGACGAATTCGACCTTGCGGCGCAGAATTTACTCCGGCGGTTCGAAATGACCCAATACAACTTCCAGCAATCCATGCACCGCTTCGTGACGACCAGTTCTTCGCCCCTCCGTGCGCAGCTGAAAGAGCTAGAGAATCTTGTCAACAAGAGTCTCACGCCGCGTGTGCGCGCGACATCCGACGAGGCCGAGGCTCTCTGTGTCCAGCTGAACACTACTGGTACGCTCGCCGTGAAGTCCCTCAGCGAAGCCCTCGATAGAGGCGTGCGAAGGCGTCGACGCCGTATCCGGTGGGCCCGTCGCGCTGGATTCGTTGTCCTTGAGTGGGCTCTTGTCGGCATGCTCTGGTGGGTTTGGCTGGTCGTAATGGCCTTCAAAATTGTCCGCGGTGTCTTCCGCGGTGTTATCTCCGGTGCAAGATGGATTCTGTGGCTTTGAACCAAGCAGTCTCTGATTATGGCCTTTTGGTTTTTACTCTAATGCCCCTAGTATTATGGCCTCTTTTCTTTTCTTTTCTTTTCTTTTTCTTCTTTTACTGTATTGCATAGCGCATACCCTCCCACGACCGCATTCTTCTTTTCACAGGTTCATATTTATTTTTAATTTTTACGGTGTATATAACTAGATTGGCTGTGTTGCTTTCTTGCAATGATAATGTCATAATTCTCTAAATGATTACCAAGTTTCTTCTTCTACGAGTGTTCGGCTATCTATTAGGCTGATACTTAAGCTTTATGGACGTAGTTTCGTCTTTTTAGAAGGTATGCCAGGTTATTCCGAGCAGAAGATTTGATGTGTTGTACTAGTAGGACCATTTGCGACCCCCGCTGGATCAATAAAAATCTTTTTTGTCAAGTTTAACAATGGGATTGTACGCTAGATCACCTTTGGAAGTCCTCTCTCTTGCTGCCCACTGTCTTGATTCCGGACGGGTCAAGAATACGCACGATCTTTGTTTTGGATTGAACCCAAGCCAGAAAAAAGAAGAGAGGAGAAAAAGATTCAGCAATTCCATTGTTCCGAATTTTATGTCGTTTTGTCGATTTTCGACTGGTCCTAGTGAGTTACGAAATTTCTCTCTTTGAAATTCTTTCATATAAGGAGGTTGTTCACGGCACCCAATGTGGTAGAGCTTTGACTCGCCCAATATCCATGGTAAACTATAAATATCCCTCCGCTCGCATCTTTAGAAAGATGGCAAGTTACAGATCCTTGCATCTCTCTAAACACAACAAAAACTATTCTCGGCTACAATAGCATCAGTTACCCCATATAATGAGCAAATCCAACTTCAAAAAGCCTAAGATCCACCCCCCACACCCAGCACGTTACCCAAAGCACAAACGCTTCATTTTTTGTCGACACTGCTTGGCCCGAGTCGACAACGAAGGGAAAGCACATGGTGCAGCTACCCCTGTGTATCCCCTTCAAACTGTATTGCACGGCAGTCCAAGGCGTCGCCGCGACACAGAGTAGCCTATGGGTTTTCTGGTGTACATTCCATGGACTATTAAGATACGGAGATGGTAAATTTTCATTTTGCTAAATAAGACATTTGCCCGTTAATGCCCGGTCATGCAACGAATCGATCAAAGATGCAAGCCACTTTTCTTATTACCCAGCATATGGTTTATGAGCCCATCAGGCTTCTGGTATCCTTCTAGATTTTTCCTCTAGAAAAGTAGAGAAAATTAGACATTAGTATGAATATGGCTGCCCTCGAGTCTCTTCTTCGGCTATATGGCTTATTCGAAGCCTAGGAGCCCGCCGCGCAGGGCATCTCGGGTCACATGATTCCGTTCGTTCCAATTTGAGCCCAGACCCCTAGAAAGTAGCAACTTGAACTGTACTCTCACGGAGTTTCGATCTATGGTAGTACCTCCAACTGAACCACAGCTAACATACGACGATCCCCCAGAGTCCAGACCCAAAAGGATGAGGGTCGGAGATGGCGTGACTAGCGGAGCTGCGCGCCAAGCCCTTCGCCATCAGATCTGCACGCGAAGACCGAGGTGATGCCCACCGCATACCGCACGTGGACAGCCTCATGGCCTCAATTTTGGTCCCTATGATATCATAATCACTACAGGCAGAAGCAAATTTCTTTCAACTTGATGTTGGCTCTATCGTCGACATTTTCAATTCAATGCAGCCAAACAGCGAAAACGGCAAAGAAGTAAGAAAAACTAGATACAATAAATCAAAACATAACTTTTGCAAAACAAGGGCCGAGCTCTCTCCTGAATTCTAGGCTGGGATATACCATTATGATGCTATAATCTACTGTTTCTCCACATTGGGAGCGTCCTTCTTCCGTCCCATTCCGCAGAGGAGAAGCAGGAAGGGAATTGTTGCGAGGAGAACGAAGGCCACGAGGGTGAAGGTCCATCCCCGGCCCATTGCAGCCAGCATGGGGTCGATGACTGCCGACGCACCGGCGGAGAAGAGGGAACGGACGAAGTTGTTTGCGGCTGTTGCGGCTGCGGGGTTACTGGAGTGGAGGTCGACGAGGAGAGTGGAGGTTGAGATGAATCCGCCGGTCTGCCCGATGCCAACGAAGAAGAGAATGACTTCGGGGGCTGCGAGTGGGGCTTTGTAGTAGAGAACCCAGCCAAAGGCGAGGGTAGTCAACGAACCCAGGACCACAAGCGGAGTGGTGATCATGGCGCGGGCTTTTTCGACAGGTACTTCTTGGAGCTGTTTGCCGGAGGTCACGGCGTCTGACTCGTTCTTCGCGGCCATGCGCTTGAAGTTCCAGTCGAGCATGCGGCCAGTGGAGACGGAGGCCACGATGGATCCACATCCCATGGCGATGTAGCAGAGGCCAATCTCGAGCTCGTCGAGACCGTACAGGTCGGTGTAGGTGGAGGTGATAGAGGAGAGGACAGTCATGTTTCCGGCCATGATAACACCGGTGACGGCCAGAACAATGATGGAGTTGACATGGCAAACAATCTTGAGAGGGTGCAGGGGATTGGGGAACCGGAGCTTGTGCTTGATCTCCTGGATCGAGTCCTCGCTCCCGGTTTCACTGGAGCTGGAGGTCGCAGGACGATCGGCATATTTCTGGGGAGAGAGGTATTGGATGAATGGTCGGTTCCATGGCTGAGCGGGCTGAGTGCCATCGCCGACAACATTTCGGGCAGTCTCAGGGAGGAAGAAGAGGAGGGGGAGAAGGAAGGCCCCTGAAGCAATGACCAGGAACCAGAAGGTAGATCGCCAACCAAGGTACTGGGCGAGCAGGCCCCCGATGATGGGACCGATGGCTGGGCCCATGAAGTTCCCGGCCATGGTAAAGCCCATGTAGGTTCCTCTCTCCTCCTTGGTGGCGACATCGGCAACTGTTGCGGCTGAGAGAGCCACGGTACTGCTGATGCCAGAGGCCTGCATACATCGTAGTATGATCAAAGCAGCGTAACTGTCTTGCAAGGCCAGGCCAATGTTGGAAGCAATGTAGATCACGAAGCAAATGATGTACGCAGGCCGGCGTCCTGTTTGATCTGCGAAGCTCCCAATGAACATAGGGGCAATACCTTGGAATATCTAACGCATCATCGTTATTCGTCAGCTTCCGGTCCCCCTTGCGCGGTGGAATCTCCTTGGAAGGGTTTCATGTGATTTGCATACCATGTAGCTCGTGACTGTCAGATTGATCATGGACGTTGACACATTCAAGTCATTTGCCAGCACGCTCAATGATGGGAAGTAGATCTGGGCGGATAAGGAGGAGAATAGCCCCGCTCCAGCTGCTGTGAAGACAATGTATCGTTTCATCCAAGGCCCGAATGAAGAGTATGGCGAGGGATTTCCTCGGTTAGCGTGATTTGTGAATTCATATCGGCGATCTCAGGTCCAAAGCACGAAAGCAGAAAAGCACCAAAAGATACAAGAAAGTACAAGAGCCAGAATAGGCAAAAGGGAAAAAAAAATCAAATGATTGTTGACAAACAAATAAGGAAAGAGAAATGATAGACTTCCACAATGGAGAACACAGAGAGAGAATAGCAATAGTAGAAGAAAAAAAATGAATGGAATCCCCAAGTACAGAGTACAGTGGATAGAAAGAATAGGTCTACACATTCGCTGGGTCCTATGGAGTATAAAACCCCTTTCGACCTGAAGTGGCAGCTGAGACTAGTGCCTGAGCCTGGCCTGAGCCTGGCCTGAACTCAGGAGTTGTGGCAATGCCACGAAGACTGAACACGAATTGTGGATTGTGTGATCTAAGGAGGCAAGCCAAGAATGATCTGCCACGCGCTCAAAAATGATCTATAGGCCACGAGTGGAAATCATTTGTCAGAACCGATCCCCCTGAGACAAAAAAACCAAGTTTATGCAATCTTTATGATGTACCTAGGGTTTCCATGTATAATAGGTATTAAGCATCGATCGACTCGCTCGAAGCGATGAGAAGAAAAAAAAGCTTTCACGGGCTGGGCGAGAAGGATTCGGGATGCCATTCGGTTATGATTTGGAGGAGAGAAACCCAACCGGCCCCCCTGGTTTCCCCGGTGGAGCATGCAGCTGGCGTGGACCCTCTGATGATCATTGGTTTGGGATGCTGTTCATAGGGGTCCTCAAAGCCCCACTGCCGGTTGATCTGCAAACGATCTCCCCGCCGGCCCCTAGCATCAGGCCCGTTTCAACTCTATAATCGTAATCTGATCTGCAAGTTATGTGCTTGCGTCAGAAGCTGTCAGGCGCTTGACACACTTGCGCAATCGCACGTACGTGGAGTCCCCTTGTCAACCCCCTGGGGTCATTTCCCATGCTTTCCCCAGGAATTCTGTCCTAGGGACACCGTAGGTCTAACTTGGGGTTAGGGTTAGGGATGATGTCAAGGAACCAGAAAACCTTCGCCAAGGATCAGTGGGGAATGAGGAAGAATTCGCCATGGCCCACAGCTTAGAGAAGAAAAAGCAAAAACAAACGCTTTCCAGGACTTGCAAGGTCTCGGAACTGGCCTACTGATGAGGACAAAGGACAGTCGATCGGCCAAAGTTAAACAGCTTCCAGCCAATTCCTCTTGGCAGCAATGCCTTTGTTGCTCCACGCATGTGCGTTGATCTAACATCTCATGCAGCCGAGATCGATGTCACAGGCTCCTACAGCTCCTCCGTACGTCGTGGCGATAACCCATTGTGATACAGATCCATGTGTTGGCGTTGCAAGTCTTTCAAAACAAAGAAAACAAGAACACAAAGAGGTGGAACTTGTCTGGCCCTCTGCTCAGAAACAACACCCTGACGATCTTCCGACGGTCCCCGGTGGGCCATACGTGATTCTAGGCTTACGTTGCGCTCAATAATATGCCAGGGTTCGATCTCGTGGGTCGTCTGGGGTGGATTTTATGTGTAATAGACCGGGGAAGCTTAGGCCAGATGGTTTCGTTTCGGCGAAGAATATTCCATCTCGGATTTCAACCACCCACTTGACGCTCCACCTCACAGCCTTGAGGCAGCCCCAATGCTAAGATATCACGCCATTACCTATCCAGTCAAGCTTGATTTTCAGGATTCCGCGTAATGCTGCATGGACACGGGAGGGATTGCCAAGGGGAGTGGCCAAGGCATCACGAATGAGGAGATCAACTGGAACTGGCCTGAGCTGCGAAAATGCAACAGGGGGCGGAGCTCTTGTCTTGGCATCGTTCTATACTTTTATTCATAGAAAGCTGATCATCAGAGTCTCTGATTCGGAAGAATATTTAAAGTGCTCGATGCTTCCGCGCTTTAGAGTTGGTATCATTCTCAAGGACTCTTTTCTACAATCGAAAAACATCTTGAACTCAAAGCATTACATCTCATCAAAAGTCGATCTTTTTTAACATCCATCATGGCCATTGACACCTCTGAGACTGTCCCCTCGGTTTCCATTATTGGAGCCGGACCATGCGGATGTGCCTTCGCTGCCGACCTGGCTAGCAAAGGCCGAGACGTCCTTCTATACGCCCATCCCGAGCACCGGGGATTCGTTCCATTGATCGAGAACAATGGCGGCTGGCTGGGAGCCAAAGGCGAGGTCAATGGCCAATTCCAAATCCCAACCACCAGTGATATGAGCCGCGCCGTCCACCACGCCAACTACCTTATTGTCACCGTCCCTTCCTTTGGTCAAGATACTATCCTGACCATATTGAGCCAATTCGACCTCCGCAAGCACACTCTTATCATCAACGTTGGCAATTTCTTCTACTTGGCCGCCCGTCAAAAGGTCAACGCCAGCACCATCGTGGAAACCGATATCTCCCCCTACGCCTGCCGCATGGTCGGCAACGACGTCTTCATCAAGGGCACTAAAAAGCGCCTCGCCATCTGGGCCGAGAAGGCCCCCTTCCAAGACGCTCTGAAGCCTCAGGGTGACCAGCTTTTCCGCCGCCAGATACAATCCGTCTTTACCCCGGAACTCGTCTGGACCAAGAACCTGCTGGAAGTGGGCCTGAACAACATCAACCCGGTTGTGCACGCCCCAGCCGTGCTCATGAACGCAGGCTGGATCGAGTCCACCAAGGGCGACTTCTACTTCTATGGCCAAGGAATGTCCCCTGCCGTCTCGCGGGTCTCAGAGAAGATCGACCAGGAGCGGCTGGCGATCGCCCGCGCTTACGGCCTCGAGCTCGTCGATATCACCACCTACATGAACCGGAACTACAGCCACGACAAGGAGTACCAGAGCTTCCACGACTTCGCGAGCCAGTCGTGGATTCACAACCAGACCAAGGGCGCTCCCACACACATGGGCCACCGCTACGTAACAGAGGATATCCGGTACGGGCTGGTCCCATGGTACGAGCTCGGTGTCAAGTGCGGCCTCGCGTCGCCGACGATTCGATCGCTGATCGAGGTGGCGTCTGTGGTTGGTGGTGTTGACTCCTTTGCGACCGGGCGCAGTCTCCAAGCTGCTGGGCTTGGCGAAGCGACCAAAGAGCAGGTACTGATGGCCCTGGGTGGGCCTATGGAGATGACCCCTGGCATTCTTCCGCCCCTGTCGGAGCCTCCTGTCAAGATGATGGAGTCGCGTGTCTCCATGCAGGCTACGCGAGTGGCTGCATAAGCTATTTAGCTTTTTATGACATTTCTTTTGTTTTGGGGTGACAAAAAAAAGGTTAAGGACATTGGTTTCCTTCTTTTACTCTTTGTTCAACGTTAGCTAGTAATTTCTTTTTGCTGGAGTTCTGCTTCTATATACATTTACTGCTCGAGTCTCAGTTTGCACAGTCTTGAGACTGCTAAGAATATGATTCTACAAATTCATCGCTCTCGCCTTCTACATTCATATCATCAATTTGAACCCAGTAGTGCCGGTGCCGCATGGGCAGTAACCAGGCCAACAAACTCTTTCAGATTCAAACCGACAGGGGTGGTCGCACAGTGCCAAGAGTTTCATTCTTAACTTGACAATGACTTTCGGTCATTTCATCTTCATATGAAAAATGTGATCCAAGCTACGCCGATCAATATTGTCAGAACGCCCCCAAGGTTTACTCCCGAGACAAAAGCAGAACAGTAAAGACATAGTTTCACGCGAAGCACTTGCCATATGGATGAATGTTTTATTCCGTCTAGAATAGTACTACCCTCATAGTAGTGGTATTAGCCTAGGTTCTAACTTGAAGTTGAGTGTCGACTTCAACATAGTTAGCATTCTATTGGTAGTTAGTCCAGACTAGCTTTGCAATTAGGGCACGTGCTGGAGCCCACCCTTGGCACCAAACTTCAAGAAAATAAAATCTAAACATCCAATTCGAGGCGGTAATAGCTTCGGAACACGACATTTCGGCTCTATCCGACAATGATGCTAAGCAGAAAGAAGCACCTCGGTTCTTGTAGAATCGAGTGACTGTCGGGTAAGCGCCTGGAAGATGCATCGCGACATCACGGGAGCCCGACGGCATATCGCTCTACGTTCAAGCCCAGTTCCCGTTGGGACAAGACATTTAATATGCTGACCGCAAGCCTTGCCGGCATCGTAGATCTTAGAAAATATCTGGTGTAGCTTCAAGTTCGTGTCCTATCCGCTGGAGGATCGGCGGTTCGGGATCTTCGAAACTTGGACTCGGATAAATCGAGAAATAGGGGAAATACACTTATTCTGCATGCCATAGTGCTAGATGTGAGAGTAGTGGAACGTATTGTTTCAAATAATAGACATTTGAGATGTTCCAAAGTCTGTTCGAGAGATTTGATGCTGAGGATTTGTTGACTTTCGCCGTATACGGGAGGGATCTACCAGTACTCGTAACATTTGCATGAGAAAACTTCTCACGGAACTTTCAAAGTAAACACATCCATGGGGTCAGCAATGACAATAAGGGGCTTATATTAAATCTTAATGCGATGAAATTATCAGCTCCCTCTTTTTGGAAGTAGAAATTTATAAAAATAAAAAGAAAAATTAAAGAATGAAATAAGAAACGAACAGGAACGTGGGGGCCTTAGCGCCGGTCACGGGCCCCTGGGGCCCGTCAATAGTGTTGAAGATGGGCCCGAACCACACCACCGGGGAAACGTCAACTCGAACCTGAAACCTCCTGGAGCTGCCAGAAGCGCCAGAAATTTTCAATTAGAAGTCCTTTTGTCGTCGAATGTAATGTACGGAGTCGAATTGTCGAACCGGGAAGTCAAGCCATTCTGCAACTTCCGCCATTCTGTAAGGTTTGTTTACTCCGCTCGCCTCACCCCCTGGGACGGTTCGCGATGGGATCGTGCCGTGTGGGGTCAACCAGATCTGACATCATTCAGGACTGAAAATCCCCAGCAGGATGCTTGATTGGACACAGCTCCAAGATCAACATGGCCAGTCAACAAATTCAGCTTGCGCGCAGAGTTGCGCCCTCCTGACAAGCGGCAGGTTCGGCATTCGAGGGATTCTTCCAAGATGCTCTCTACTTCCACGGAAGTGCATTATTAGGAGATCACGCTAGATTCGCTATGGGCTCCCTTGCTGTCGAGATCCCCCTCGGGACAGATGAGGCCATGAATGCCGAGATCACGGCCATCTGGGTCGAGATGCAGAAGCGAGTTGCGAAACTTGCACAGCTTGCCGGGGGTGAAGTTGATCCGAACTTGCAGGTGGGCAGCATCTTGAATAATCTGGACGTGGCAGCCAACCCGAAGAAAAAAACATCCCAAGGCGTCGGCGCGTGTTAGAAAGATCTTCGATAACACGCTGACTGTCATTTCGAATGTCGGAGGCATTGTCGCTGATGGAGCATCGCAGGTAAGTTCACTGTATGGCGGAACGCTCCACGGCCCTTTTCAGTGCGGTTCTACTGAACAATACGCCCTCTATAGGTGTTTGGCCCGGCTGGCCAATGTTACAATGCTATCAACTTTCTGATTGGTGCATACAAAGGATACCAGTCGTCTTTTGATGATTTGGCAGATTTATTCGAGAAATGCACTAAATTCTTGAAGCGGTTGGAAGAGTACTCCGCGGGCAAGATGGATGCCAAATTGACCATGGTGGTGTATCAGCACCTGGACCTGTTTGTGCAAATTTGTGACCGGGCTTATGGCCTCCGCGCGCAGGTGCGCCCAAGATTCAAGCTCTTCGCGAAAAGCGCCTTCCTCTCGTCCAATGGCATGGAGGATCTCACTAGCCAGATGGAGAGCCTTATCGACGAAGAGAGAGGTTTGGTTGGCGCTCAGACATTCAAATATGCGTCTCTGACGCATGGCAACACCGAGATAATCCTTGAGAAAACGGACCAGATGGATGGAAAGCTGGACGTTCTTGTCGAAGATAGCTCGGCCAACAAGAACAAGCGTGAGAAAGACGACGACAAGAGGGCCCTGCTGCACATTCTTTCTTACGATAAGACATCGGCTGCATGGGACCACAATACTCAAAAGCCCACTGACTCTTGGGAGATCTCATACAACAACATCCGCAGGAACCACGTGGAGAACACCGGCGATTGGCTCTTTTCGAATCCTGAATTCAAGGCTTGGGCCAATACCACCAGCAAGTCCCCTGTCATCGGGCTGGTTGGCAGTGAGGCATCTGGCAAAAGCTATCTTACCTCCACTATTATACGGCATCTGCGCAATAACCCGGTGACAGAGCAGCCAGACGCCAGACAACTGGTCGGCTTTTACTGGATGGGCAATGGGCAAGTGGACATCGGCGACATTTCCAGGGCTCTTGTCTGGCAGTATGCTGAGGATGACGATTCCTATCTGCAAACGGTGGCGGCGAAATGCAAGCAAATCCGCTCGCTTGACCCAAAAGATATCCTCCCCACCCTCCTGCTGGATCCCAAAGTTCTGGAGAAGGTAGATGCGACCTTTTATATTGTCATCAACAAGCTCGGTGGGTATGCCGAGAGTGTTGATCCGGTCCTGCTGAGCTTCTTGCAACGGATTTGGCGATCTCAGTACAACAATGTGCGCATCCTTTTTACAGCTACCCCCAGTATAGCGGAACACCTCGGGACGAAAGGCCTCTTTTGTCCGATTATCTCGATCAGTGAGCACAACCATGACGACATACGGAAATTCATTTCCGCTCGGATGGAGGGCATGGAGTCTCTCTCAGATAAACGCAATCCCAAGGTTCGCGAGATCCGCGAGGAGATTGTGGACAAACTCTGCAATCAAACCAAGGGCGATTATATTAAGGTTGATCTAGCCTTGAGTACGATCGGCTCCTTGGATGATGTCGACGAGATCCGCAGGGTGCTAGAAAATGCCGGAAACCCCTTGATTGACAATATCAGGACCGAAATTGATACACTGGCTAAGACTCGCACTGCCAAAGAGCTTCAAGAAATCAACGATATAATCCTCTGGCTTGAATACGGACAGAGGAGCCTATCAATCAATGAGATGTCCAAATTCCTCGAATGGAAAAGCAAGACCGTCTCAGTGCGCTCCCTCTTGTCCAAATTCAAGGGTAAATACTCATTGTTCGAAGTGGACACGGACGGCATGGTGAGCTATAAATCCAGTAAAGTCCACGAAGCGATTAGACAGCGAGACGAGATAGCAACAACCGAACAGGAAAGCGACAAAAAGGTCACGGCAAGTGAGATACACGTGCTCAAGCACTTCCTTGACAAGATGTGTCCCCCCGTCCTGCTCGATAAGCTCGACGTCCAGACCTACCTGGATCAAAAGGTCCATAAGGAGGAAATGCACATCTTCAAAGAGGACCCAGCGACCGCGAATGCCCAGCTCGCTATATACTGCCTGAAGCTCCTCACAGAGGAGCTGCCGCCACAGTACCTCGAGTTGCGAGGTTACGCATCCGCCTCCCTGTTAATGCACCTCGACCTCGTCGATCTCGCAATGGTCAACCGCGATGTGAAGAGCCAGGTTGGGCCCGATCTCGTCAAGATACTGGTTGATAGTGACTGTATTGACAATGTCTTCTTCGCCAGTCGTGTAGGCGCGAGGCTCGGAGACTGGATTTTCACCCAGACTTCGCGGCGCGCTGTTGAAAAATGGCTCAAGGATTCCGCAGCCATGTCTAAGGTTGACGCAGAGTTGAAGGCTTGGGCTGCGAAGGCGGTTGGCGATCCGAATGATATGTTTGGAGAGCTTCTTAAGCCCACCGCGCGGCAGATGGCGAAGCACTGCTTCCACAAGCCGAACTGGAGTGATCATACATTGGCGGCTTTTCTCTTCATTGTCAAGTACACTTTCAAGGTAAGTCGACAGTATTATGGATTTCCGAGGCATCAAGCTAATTTTGATTCCCCTAAGTCGAAATTCCCGAAAGAGAAAATCGAGTCTCCAAGCCTCGAACAGATCGAAGAGGCAGAGACGTGGTCTGTACAGGCGCTCGAAGGTGTAAAAGAAACCACCCGGGAGATCCAAATGGCGTGGCTATTGAAAAAGCTATCCCGACCACGCGAGGCAGAGAAAAGATGCCGCCATGCCCTCGAGCTCGATCCAAGCAACTATTCAGCGTCCTATCTTCTCGCCACGATAGTTGAGTCCGACCAAGAAGCCATCGCGATCTTAACCGTTATCATCGAGCCGCTCAAATCTGACAGCGCCTGGGTCGCCGAAAACAAGCAACATCTCATCGAGATGGAATACGAACTCGCCCGTCGATACTGGAGCGTCAACCTATATGACCAAGCCGTCGAACTATACTCCTCAGTCATCCAAGCCAACCCTAACGACGAAGACAAAGTCCTCTCCATCCTATCCCGATACAGGTCCCACCACCGCTGGGCTGATGCCCTAAAAATCATCCAAGCTATCAACCTTCTGCACGAAGACCCCGCCAGCCCAACCTCCCTCGCCATGCCCCTAATGGCCCACGAAGAATTTCACCGGATCCTCGTCGCAGTCATGCTGGAGACAGACCAAACTGACTCTCTGACCACCTTCTACGACACCGTTATCAAGCACGCCACCGACATCAAAGCAACCGACGTCTCTTGCTATGCCCGCTATTACGGCGCCCTGTCCCTAAGCAAGAGCTCCGACCAGATCCACCCGCACATCGTGAAGATGGTCGAAGCAGCCGTCAAAAACGACAGCGCCAACTCCCATGTCGGCCAGGACAACTTCTTCCTCCTCGCCGGCGCCGACCTCGCCGCCATGTACCTGTATCAAGCGCGCGAGGCGCACGCCGCAGACGACCAGATCCGCGTCGCAAAGTACCTGGGCAAACTGGGCACGCTGCGGCCGGACGGGATCCCCGAGTGGCAGCTCATGCTCCCGCCGCAGGTGTACGAGGCGCGGTTCTGTATTATCGCGAACGAGGAGAAGCGGGCGCGGCGGCTGACGCATGACACGGTCAAGGTTGCGCTGGAGCTGCTCTCGGACGACGATCTGACGAATGATGCGGATGCGTTCGAGAGGCTGTTTTTTGCGTTCCTGGCGCTGGGGGATAAGGAGAATGCGACAACGGCGCTGGCGATGATTGCGCTGTGTCAGCGGACGAATGCTGCAAGGGGGACGCCGGGTTTGGTGCATCCGTCGCAGAATTGGGGGTTCTCGCTTGGTGTCCGTGAGAAGACGGTTTGGGATAGGCCTGGGGATGTTTCGTGGTGTCAGAATTGTATGAATATTGTTGACGAGACGAACTCGGAGAATACGTTTAAGGGAAGGCTGAGGTTCAATATCTGTCATGGGAAACATGATGCTTTGCATGTTGATCGATGGGATCCGGAGAGGCTGGAGAAGCTGCCTACTGGGTATGTGCCGTGGAAAGACCAGGATATTCCTATGAAGGAGTGGGAGAAGAAGATCCAGGCGATGATGAATATGAAGTAACTAGCTCTGAATATTTGCGAGAAAGCAGGGTTACAGTACCAAGGGAAAGAGGAGAGAGTTGGCATGCCTTGAAGGCTGATGTATTTGGTGTTCAGACAGGAGAGGGTGAAGCGAATATCAAAGTTAAAGTACATATCCCATAAATGCACGAGATGATCTGCTTGACGCAGAGAATACATGAGTTTTGAATCTGAGCTTGGCGGGGGAAAAAAAGGGGGTGGCTGCCTTTCTATTAAAACATGAAATAGTCTGTACTTGTCCTGCTCTTCAATTTTTAGGCGTGTTTCAGGCCAGCCTGTGGCGCTAGCCAATTTCGTGATGGTATAGAACGGTAGATGTAAATGTTACAAGTCGGGAGGGAGAGAGTTAGCAGGCCTTGATGATGCGCTTATTTCTTGTTGCGAGCAGCCTGGGCCTTGAGGTACTGAGCAATAAGCTCCTTCCTGTTCGTGTAAATCATGATTAGCATATACTTCGCCGGATAAAGAAGAGGGGTGTTGGGATAAAACATACTGTACGTGGGCAGGAGCCTTCTCGTAATGGCTGAATTCCATAGTGTATTCGCCCTTGCCTTGGGTGGTAGCACGAAGGTTAGAGCTGAAGCCGAACATGCCGTTCAAGCTGCAGTCGGCGTAGATGGTGAACTCATCAACACCAGTCTCAGTGTCGTTGATGGTGGCACCTCGCTTGTTAAGCAGAGCGATGACATCACCCTGGAACTCAGAAGGAGCGGTCACAACAGTCTTCATCAAAGGCTCCAGCACGGAGGGCTGACTCTCAGCAAAGGCTTTGCGGAAAGCTTGCTGAGTGGCGTTCTTGAAAGCCATTTCGGAAGAATCAGTCATGTGAGTAGCACCATCGTTGATGACCATGCGAGTTCCGAGAACCTTGTGTCCAATGAGCGGACCCTTCTCACAAGAAAGATTGAATCCCTTCTCACAAGCGAACAAGAACTTCTCGGAAATGCTGCCACCAACAACCTGCTGTTCGAACTTGTTCTCCTCAAGGGCTCCGGTAGGCTCCATCCATCCCATAACACGGGCATAGTCACCAGCACCACCAGTCTGCTTCTTCAGCAGATGGTCGAATTCGACACGTCCGCCAATAGTCTCACGGTAGGCGACCTGAGGCTGGCCTGTCTCACAGTCCACGCGGTACTCTCGGCGCATGCGCTCGATATAGATTTGCAAGTGCAGCTCACCCATTCCGGAAATGATGGTTTGCTCACTTTCGGTGTCGTAGGTGACACGGAAGGTTGGGTCCTCTCGTTGGAAACGAGCCATAGCCTTGGAGAAGTTGGCAGCGTCCTTAGTCTGCTTGGGCTTGATGGACAGCGAAATAACGGGCTCGGGAACGAACATGGATGACATACTGTAGCCCAATTGTCCATCAGTGAAGGTGTCACCGGAGGCACAGTCGACACCGAACACGGCACAGATTTCACCGGCACCAATCTCGCTAACTTCCTCCATCTCATTCGAGTGCATGCGCACAATACGAGGGATCTTGACCTTCTTGTCATTGCGAGCGTTGAACACGTTGGAACCCTTCCGAAGAGTACCCTGGTACACACGGATATAGGTGAGTTGTCCGAAGTTGCTCTCTTCCAGCTTGAACGCCAGGCCAACGAATGGAAGGGAGTTGTATGGCACTAGCTTAACCGAGGCCTCGTTACGCTTCTGGTCGAGGGCAAGGTTCTCCACCTCCGAGGGGTTGGGAAGGTAGTCAATAACACCATCCAGCATAGGCTGAACAGACTTATTGGCAAGCGCTGATCCCATGAAGACAGGAGTGAACTTCAAGCTGATTGTGGCGCGACGGATAGCAGCCCGCAGCTGCTCTTCAGTAGGCTCCTGCTCTTCAAGGAAGATCTCGGCCATCTCATCATCGACATCGGCAAGAGTTTCGATGAGCATAGCTCTACGCTCGTTGGCAATGTCCTTCACCTTGTCCGGGATCTCAGAGGTCTCCTTCAGTTCTTCTCCGTTCTCTCCAACGTTGTAGATCGCCTTCATGCGAATCAAGTCCACCACACCTTGGAACTCATCCTCAGCGCCAATTGGAACCTGGACAGCTGCAGCAGGCATCTTGAGCTTGCTGTTGATCTGATCAATAGCCTTGAACGGGTTGGCTCCCATACGGTCCATCTTGTTGACGAAGGAAATTCGGGGAACGTTGTAACGGCGCATCTGGCGATCGACGGTAATGGTCTGTGACTGAACGCCGGAGACGGCGCAAAGAATCATGACGGCTCCATCGAGGACACGCAGGGCACGCTCGACTTCGATAGTGAAATCAATGTGTCCTGGAGTGTCGATCAAGTTGATGTGGTAGCTCTGGTCCTTGCCGTCCTTGTCCTTCTTGACCCAGTCACAGAAAGTGGCAGCAGACTGAATGGTAATACCCTTCTCACGTTCCAGTTCCATTGAGTCCATCTTCGCTCCGACGGCATCTCGTCCGCGAACCTCGTGGATTGCCTTGATGCGGCCGGTGTAGAAAAGGACTCGTTCGGTACAGGTGGTCTTACCACTGTCGATATGCGCCTATTGGAAGACAGGTATTAGGCGTTGGGTCATACAGTTTCGAGTATAAGGATACATACAGCAATACCAATATTCCGCACTTCTCTCTAGACGAGCAGCTTCCACTGGGTCGAGATTATCAATGATGGCAGCTTGGGAGAGTCCATCCGGGTTCACGGCGGCGGCTTCCAGACTATCGGATTAAGTTAGATGGCTAAATCACCGACATGACCAAATAAACGAATGGACTCACACCGCAGATGCTGTCGCAGTACCGGCACTTCGTCGTTGCTCCCATTGTCTTAAGACAGACTGATAAGCGGGCGCGATGCCGGAAGTCCGCAAAGCGGCCGTAGATGCAAATCGGGAATTCACAAGGCTCTGTGACTGGAAACGGGATGATCTGGCCAAGCCGGATACAGCACGGTACTGCAACCGCGCCAGAGTAGGAGACCGCATGTCGACAATCGCTTTACCCCGAATTGAAGGAACCAAACCGGATTGATCGTCGCGTGTTTTCGCGCGAACGAGAAAAAAGTTCGGGCCAGGAACATGGCACGTGACGTACCAGGGAGGCCAATCAGAGCCCGCGCTTTACGACTGAGAGACTTCGCAGAAGGATTCTGCCGGCGCTATGTCCTCACCATCTGATAGACCGCATGCCCAATATAGAGCCATCGCAAAATGAGCTTGAAGCCGGCGTAGTCTTTCAGTGTTCGAAAACATGATATTAAGTTCCTAAATACGTGTATTCATCCCAATCTGGTCGGAGGCGTTTGACTACGAAGCGTTGGTTCTCACAGCGGGATGAAACGCTCACTAGGCGGCATCGCAAACTATATGATCAATAGATCTTCCTACAAGGTATTGTATATGCTGCGTGCCGGATATGAGGTTCTATTGTACATATAATTGGTATTGAATACAGAAATCAAGATGTCCACCACCCTTCCTCAGAGCGTGGCGAGTTTCGCAAACAGAAAAGCCAATGCCCAGCCAACCGTCGGAGAAGTTATCTGACTGAAATCGAGTGAAACCCATAACTCGATTTCAAGACCCATTTTAAGCCCCTTTAGTTCTTTATACCGAGTCGGAGGGCTCTGCAAAGGGAAATGTAGCCTTGTCCATCAGGGTACTTGAGCACGCATGACGCAGAGGCGAAAATCGAAGTTATCAGGGTCATGCACGGACTTAAATCCGACAAATTCCTATTTTCCTTGTCTTTGCTTGTGCTTTGGGTTCTTGGAGCTTTAGGAAAATTCATCAGCAGGTAGTCCCCGAAGATACTATAGGTGATAATGAATCTTACCAAATAATGTAGACTCGGTTCTTCCTTCGCACAGGCTAGATATCATAGGTTAGCATCTAACATATCCCTTAGAGTACACTATATCTGAGTTGAGATAAGTGCTGCAGCCTATCGCACCTTGCAACCATCACACAGCCGCTTGACGGAAGACCGAGTCTTCATTCCGCGAACCTGCTCAATCTGGCGAGAGGCACCCACTGTGGCCGCGACAGCATTATGTGTTTGTGATGAAGCGCGTAGCCTGGTGAGGCTATTCTGAATCATGTGCGAGAAAGGACGGATTGGGGTGGTGCTTGCGAAGGATCGACGCGAAAAAGAGGGGAGCAGCTGGCGGAGAGCGCTGGGAGCACTGAGGATACGTCGAAGGGAGAACATCATGACAATGGCCAAAAATATCTTCGAACGGAAAACAGAGAGCTGAATATCCCAATTGTTCGTTATTTGGCGGTTAGAACAACAGGGAGCGGCCTGGGCGAATTTCCGCGCTCCGCGGATCCTCCAAAAAGATTATGGCTTGATACGGTCACGTGCGTCGGGACAATCGCGCTTCATTGGTCTGAATGATCTATGAGGCAATTACATTGAAACAAATCGATCCTGTAACACAAGAAATTGCCGTAGGTTGTTGAGAAATATTCATATACGTAAAGGCCTCGGGAAGGTATCAATTATCATACAAATCGAGTCCAAAATTCATAGTCTATGTCCGAAGATACCAAACGCCAAATATACAGGAAAAGACACAGCGGGTTTACACTTTTTGGAAGAAATCGCTGCAGGAGAATGGGCAAAGGAAAAATAATCAACAGATAGTCATGGGCCGGATCATCTCCTCAAGACCGAAGGAAAGTCTGGTATGTGGGTGAATCGGTGTGCTCGGAGTATGGGTAGCCCAGGTCCTCAAGGAAAGACTCCAGGTCGTTCTTCTCTTCAGGAGGACATTGGATTCCAGCAAGGACTTTGCCAACATCACCGCCGTAATTACGGTAGTGGAAAAGGGAGATGTTCTGATTAGGACGCAAGGTCGTTAAGAACTTGGCCAAAGCTCCGGGTCGTTCAGGGAACTCGAACATGAACAAGCGCTCGTCGCTGACGCTGCTACGACCGCCAACGAGGAAGCGTACATGGCGCTTAGCCAGTTCATCGTCGCTTAAGTCCCGAGTCTCCATGCCGCCCCGCTGCAACTCCGCCATGATCTTTGCAAGGTCTTCGCGGCCGGTCGAAGCTGACAGCGAGATACCCATGAGCACGTCAGCCACGTCCTCCTGCGCATATCGATAGTTGAAAGCCGTGACTGCATGGGGCAAGACAACCTCGACAAGTTTTGAAAAAGTACCGGGCTTCTCGGGGATCTTCACACTCAACAAGGCCTCCTTGCGCTCGCCAAGAGCAGCACGTTCAGCAACGAAGCGAAGGCGGTCAAAATCCATGTTAGCACCGGAAGTGATCGCGACAAGCTCACGATTGGGATCGGGGCTAGGGTTATTAGCGACGTATTTCTTGAGTCCGGCGAGCGACAGAGCACCAGCGGGCTCAACAACGGAGCGGGTGTCCATGAACGCGTCCTTGATAGCTGCACAAATCTCGTCAGTGGAGACCTGAACAATTCCATCGATAACTTCACGAGCGACACGGAAGGTCTCCTCGCCTACAGATTTCACCGCCGCGCCGTCAGCGAAGAGGCCAACTTCCTTCAGGAAAACCCGCTGGTCCTCATCCAATGACCGGGCCATAGCATTGGCATCGTAGGCTTCCACGCCAATGACCTTGACGTGTGGTGCAATGCGCTTCAGATAAACGCCAATGCCGGCAATCAGGCCGCCTCCGCCAACACCGCAGAATACCGCCTCCAACTTATCGAGGTTCGCCTGACGAAGCAGCTCCATGCCAATAGTTCCCTGGCCAGCAATGACGTACGGGTCGTCGAAAGGTGGGATGTTGGTCAGGCCGTGCTGCTTCTCCAATCGGTGGGCCTCCTCCTTCGCAGCATCGAAATCATTTCCATGCAGTACAACACTTCCTCCCAAACGAGCAACGTTCAGGTGTTTGATAGCAGGGGTTCCAGATGGCATCACGATGGTCGCGGGGATTCTGAGCTTGCGGGCAGAGAACGCTACGCCTTGCGCATGGTTTCCCGCGGAGCACGCAATGACACCCTTCCACCGCTGCTCATGGTTCAAGTGAGCCATCTTGTTGTACGCACCGCGCAGCTTGAAGCTGAAGACTGGCAGGAGATCCTCTCGCTTGAGTAGCACTCGGCTCTCCAGTCTGTTACTGAGATTGACGGCATGGTGAAGTGGGGTCTCTTCAATGACATCGTAGACGCGGGAAGTTAAGATGAGTCGCAGGTACTAAAATATTGACGGGGATCCGTTAGCATTCATTTAGATCCATTGGGAGCATTCAAGGCCTCGAATGGTCGGTCTCACATCAGGGTATCCATTGGGAAGGAGGTAGCTGTCAGGAACACCCCAATCGGGAGGCACTCCAGGGAATCGCTCTGCCCGCTCTGACGGGGGAGTAGGAGCAGCGGTGTACTCGGTTAGAGCCAAACCACTCATTTTGGGGGTGACGGGCGTCCTGACGCCATTTGTGGATTCTTCGGACATTGTAACCCAGTATGGCACGAGCCCAAAGAATGCACGAGGTTCAATCGGTTAGGTGTGAAGATTTGAAAAAAGACGGTAAAGCTTTGTGACTCTTTTTTTTATTGCGCGGGGGGGGCGTCCATGGTTGGCCGGGATCGGACTTATGTCATCAAAGCCTGCTCCTAGATAAGCCCTTGAGTACAGATAATTTCAAGGAGCGTCTCCTGTACAAAGAGAAAATGTTTCATTCAAGGATGGCGGAAATGGAGATCATGATAAATCCTGGCTGGCCGGGGATGTACTGTGCAGCGGAGCCTTTCTGCCTCGTGATCGTTTTTAGCACGTAGCTGATCATTTAAGATTGGCTGTATATATAACTAGTTACTTTAGATATGAAAATAGGTAAGTGTTTTTGGTGATGTCCGAAAACACATTGAGGTCGAATAAAAATGTACCGCCGTCGGTATATGCTTGTTGTATTAGTTTCCTCCATGATTACATGGAGAATAATTCGGTGTAGAATCCTCAAAGTTCTATAAGAACCATGTTGAAAGCAGAAGACCGCCCGGAGCGTCTGCAACTCACCGAGTGGCAGAAAAGCTCGCGACGTCATGTTGCTCTCAAAACCTCTCGCGTGCCCCAGGTAATCGCCATCCCCACGTAGTATTTCCTGTGAAAGGGTTTTGCTTTGCACAAAAGGAGACCAAAACCATCTCGTGACCTCCTTAACGGGTAGCCCATCTGCCCCGAGTCTTCTTCTAACTGCATCGAACCCGCAAGTCGCCGAAGCTGCGAGTGCTCAATCCACCCGCCATCATGAGTCGCGAACCTCTTCCCTCATCCTTCGATAACAATCCGTACGTTTTTCCTTGCTACCATGAGCCCGACCGGCGTACCCGGTGTCAATAGCCTAAGCTACGTGGGCCGACGGGTATGACCAGCCATGGCTAACATCCGGACTTCATTAGCCAATTTCAAGAGGAAACAGGGGTCCAGAAATTTACCAGACGTCTGAAGGAAGAGCCTTTGATCCCACTAGGTAAGTGAATTGAAACGGTACTGGTTGTCCGATCAAGGGCTAACCCATGTCTCGACCCTCCACAGGTTGCGCTGCAACATGCTACGCCCTTTACCGAGCATACCGATCGATGAGAGCCGGCGACTCCGCGGAGATGAACCGCATGTTCCGAGCCCGTATCTACGCCCAAGCATTCACCCTCGTCGCCCTTGTTGCGGGTGGCATGTACTTCAAAACCGAGCGACAGCAACGCCGGGAGTTTGAGCAGGCGGTGGAGCTGCGCAAGAAGCAGGAGAAGCGTGATGCTTGGCTGAAGGAACTTGAGGTCCGTGACAAGGAGGATCGCGAGTGGCGTGAGCGCCATGCGGCCATCGAGGCTGCTGCGAAAGAGGCTGGCAAGAAGCCTGACCAGACCCCGCCTCAGCAGCCCCCACAGCAGCCCGATGCTGCTCGGTCGGCGATTGAGTTGGCGGATGAGAAGAGGATGGGTGTTTTGGATGCAGTTAAGATGCTTATTTCCAAGCAGAATTGAGAAGCTCAAAATAACTTGAAGCGTGTACGATATGTGTCTGTACGTGTACATAATTGGGAAGCCCTTGAAAACCGAACGTCTCCTACTCAATGTTTGCCTGAAACTTCTGTCCTCTAATAGTAGGGGAGACTCAGCTTGGAGTCATTTAACGAGCTAGTATGCCCCTGCCAGCGGTCTCAAATTGAACTCAAGATATTTAAAGATGCTACTAGCTTGCGACTCAAGACAAGAATGAAGACTTAACATTAAACAGAATCAGCTTCAGACTTTGCATCGCCACTGTACATGGATCCTCTAGAACCACTTCGTAGGTCTGGCGTACTGGCAAGATCGTCTGCCTGGTTGCCAACTTCGCACCAGACAGCGGAAAGGTGGACCCCGGAGGCCTATCCTTACCTGGTCATCCTAAAGGCCTTTGCTAGGTCTACCAAAAAGTTGGGCGCAGCGATTGGTGCAGTTTTGTCCGACTTTCGATCTTTGCAAGTAGGGACAATATGTCATAGTAGCACGTGCCTATAGCATTCTATATCCTAACTATTCGACATCTACAATTATGTAACATGAAGATTCGTGCCCCGGGATAAGCTAGGAGCTTAGCTCTCTGAAACCCTTATATTAAGTACTGTCGGGAAACCAGTGGCGAGGGATATGTTGGCTTTCTATACAGCAAAAGCAACGAACAGGAATCCACCATGATATCAACTTCAGATGGAGAGCAAGCTACCTGGGGTAAGAGCCGATAGTCAGGTCTCAATGCCGATTGTCTAGGTGGTAATGGAGCCATTTGAGTCGTGTAGGCTTCCCGACCCAGAGCCTTGTATGCAGATAGGGCGGTACAGCTTTAGACATTACTGCGATGTATATACAAAACCGGAGATTTACGCGGTGTGCATGTCGGATGTAAGCTTAGGATTTGAAAAGAGCATAGATATCTTTCCGGATATGGGAGGCAGAAGCGGCCCTGTATTTATGTTCCCTTTATTATGATATAGTCCATGAGTTTGCTGAGAGCCAGTGTTCGCTTACGCTGGCCAAGTTCCAAGCGAGTGCTGGATTGATTGCGGGGGAGATGCGGGGTCCCGGGTTTGCTGGGGGCGCTTATGTACCTGGATCTCCTAGTGTTCTAGGTCCTGTTGCATGATGTCAAGATTCTTTATGGTCGGTAATAGAGTTTGGTGTAAGTTACAGAGAGTCATGCGCAGACTCCGTCCAATAGAAGCTCCTGTCGCAAATTGATTCCCACGGGAAAATATCTATTTGGAATGGATGGCTCCAACCTGGGGAAATCTCTGGAGAGCACGTGCTACTATGCCCGAAAGTCCCTACAAAACCTGGCGAGAAGCCTGACCAAATAATGAGTCACAGTAAGCCCCTGGAGTGACTGAACTACATGAAGTCACTGCCTTGATTAGCCTGATTTGTGTAAAGTCAAATTTCGAATTAAGTCTCCTGCCCTGTTCTCTCAAACTGGAACTCTGGGGTATCGACGGGGTTGCGGGTCAGGAGCAGGAGCAGGTTTGGATGGTCTGGGGGTGGCGTGAGTGGCCGGAAATCCTGCTCGTCAGATTTCTCAACAGAAGCTGGCGCCCATCTGGACTGCAGATCAAGGTGGTGTGCTGTCGAGCGCACAACGTGTGTACAATGATCGGCGGTGTAATTTACTGTGTTGGGGGGCGGCCTCGGATTCACATGTGAGTTCGCCCACATTGGAGGAAACTGAGTTTTCAACTATTCTTTTTAAGCGATGTGACGGAGATTTTGTCATATTAGGTTCATCGCGACCATTAGTACTCCGTACGCGCAGATAAATGCCTGTATACACCTACTAGGAAACCCCCCCGCCTTTCTCCTCGAGCTGTGTACCTGGATCCCCTGAACAGGCGCATCCACAGAGGGCATAAGGGCAATATCATGCGCCGAGGCGTTCGCGCCGGACTCACCCGTGCGCACTAGGAGTTTAACAGTCCTGGGCCCATAAATCGTTAGTTAGAAAACAAAAAGCGAATCAGGCCCTCCAATAGGATCACATACCCCTGTCGGTTTTCCGGGTTCCACCCGGCTTGCATACAACTTGTCGGGGGAAGGCTCCAGGGTCTTTTCTGACCCCATGGTGAGACGTCACTATTAAGTGCCTCGGCTGTAGATCTTGGGTAGATTAGGCAAGCTTTTCGGTCTATTGATCTGACTATTAAAGCGTGCCCCCCCGGGAGGCACAGCCTTTACTTTACACCGCTGATACCTGATCGGATTGACGTCTTGTCACGCGCAAAGGAGCCACGCCGTCCTAATCTATAACTTCATCCAAAATGTTGCGCTGGGTCTACCCCGTTCGAATCATCCAGGCGATCTTCGCCCTGGCCGTTATTGGTCTAACAGCATATGGTATGTGAACGATCTGGTCCGCCTAGTATACCGCACGCAGTTCTAATAAACCACTTAGTCGTTGCCACGATCCCCTTCTCGAATGTGATCTATTTCATGCTCTTCAATGGCTGCTGGACCGCTGCCATCGCTGTACCATACCTCGGCCTCGCCCCCGTCTTCAGCCCCACCGTCTCCCACGAGCTCGTGATCCCTGGCATGGAAATTATTACCAGCTGTCTTTGGCTGGCCAGCTGGATCGCAGTAGCAGTCCTGATTCCTAAGCCCAGCGAATGCCACATGTCCAGTTGCCATAGTGCCCAGGCTGTGATCGTCCTCGCTGCTGTGGAGTGGTAAGTGACCCACCCCGACCCACTAAACGAATTGATTTAACATGTGATCCAGGGCCCTGTTCATTTTCACCAACTACTTCGCGATCTTGGATCTCAGGAACTCGCGTAACAACCGCCACAAGCGCGCCCAGAACGAGGCTACCCAGCGCGAGACCACCCAGGTCGAAGCTGCAGACGCCTCCCAGACCGTCTAAGCCGTGATCCACGATCTTCAAGCTGACTTGATGCGATGATTCCATTTGGCCATATACCCCTGTAAAAAAGAAAGGAACCCGCACCGGTCTGAACATAAATGAACGGCGGTGTGGTGCTCGGATTTGATTCTTCTACCTGATGGGCTCCATGATCCCGATATTACGATACGATAATGATATTCTTTAATGATAATACATACGCTCTCTAAAACGAACATCGCTCCGGAAATACACAGGCGGTAAGGGTAATAGATCTCGCAAAACGAGCCATGCGACAGGCTGTCAAAAGACGAAAATGACGCTTCACGCTAATCAGATAAGACACAAAAGAAATGACACCCCAACCGACGTTTCGAGAGCTACTCCAATTAGGTATTGGGTTCTTCGCTCTCGACCCGCGGTGGGATCTGTGGTTCGCCGCCCGACGAGTGATACCTCAAGACTTCTGCATATCTGGCCATCGTTAGCGAGGATCACTATCATGGTGGGCGATCGCGTACATTAGTGTCTTCCAGACATCAGGCGGGAGATTGGCATCCACCATCGACCAATCAATTCGTGCAGCGGCGACCGGTTCGTCATCAGGGTCATGATAGGGCGCAAGATATTCTGACTTCAGAGCGTCGGCGGCAGAGATCCGCTCGTCAGGGTCTAACTGGAGCATCCTGTCCAACAAATCCAAGGCTGGGCGTGTCAGTGGCTTATATAAAGGGGGGAGGGAGGAGGGAGGATCTTGAATCACATACTCGCTGCGTCAGCTTGTGGCAGAATCACCGTGAGTGGCTGACGAGGCTGCGCTGGCAGAGACCGCAGGAAGTTCAATGTCTATACCATGATTAATACAGATACTAATCTGTCAAGCGGACCATCCCGTTGCTCACATTCTCACTAGTCACGCTGGCGACCAAATTTGGTGGAGGGCCACCTAAGAGCCTTGAAATCACACAGAACTGATCGATATGGTTTTCGCCCCGGAACAAGGGCTCTCCAAGCATCATCTCCGCGAAAATGCAGGCGACGCTCCAGATATCGACTTTCTCGTTGTATCGTTGCCAGGTAAGCATGATCTCTGGGGCTCGATAGAATCGCGTGGAGACATAGCCGGTCATACTTGTTTCTTGGACTCGAGCGAGGCCGAAGTCGCAAATCTTCAAGTCGCAGTTCTCGTTAATGAGGATATTGGCAGGCTTCAAGTCACGGTGGACAACCCCTGCTGAATGGACATATTTCAGGCCTCGCTGATTTCGATTAGTCTCGCGTTTCTACTGGTATGTGTCTTTTTTTTTTCCCCTCCATTGAAACATACCATCATTTGGTATACGAAATACTGCGTGAATTGATTATCGAATTTGCGGGCGCGCAGCAGAGTCATGAGGTCGGTCGTCATGAGATCGGTAACGAGGTATCTGCACGGGTTAGTTCACATGGCAATTCTATACAATGCACTGCCCACCTGGGGAAAGAATGCTTACATGTCCTCCGAGGGGGAGATGAACATATCGCTCAAATTGATGATCTAGAAGGGTCCGATCAGCATCAGCCATGCTTCCTGAGCCCAATCGCAGGACGAACATTATCATGACGCAGTTGGTTCAGCAACTTGATCTCCCGAAAAATATGCTTGGAGATACTCGAATTCCCAAACGGCTCCGCAACCTTCTTTACCGCAACGGTCCGCCGCAGAAGCTGATCCTTAGCGGAGCTATGACCGCATCCCAATCAGCCACGACCCGAGCTTTGATAATGACATCATCCTACATACCAGACAAGTCCCGAGGTGCCAATCCCAATGGGGTATATATTCGAATATCTAAATCTAAACATTAGCGATTGTACTCTGAGCGGGACCTCTGGATAGCGCGCACCTCTCTGTCGTCTCAAAATTCATTCCCATAATTACATGGTTCGTAAAATGGGCCATATCCCGGCCTTCGGAATTGCTCCGGCGATTGTTCTGGCCATCGTCCTGGAACTCGTGCTGCAGAGGAGTAGACATGCTCTGGGTGAAGCAGATCTGATGTATCAGGGCTGCGAATGCGCGTGGATGTTGAAGCTGTAAGCGATCGTGTTCTCCATCTGGATCAGCAGTCTTTTATAGCGTGTCGTGAGAAAGCGCGGGCGCGGTAGTCAGATACTAGTATAAGTATAGGACGGCTCGGCCGGTCACGTAGGGTGGCGACTTTACAACCGGAACCCGGTGGATCGATCGCGACCGTCGCCTCTCCCCACTAGATCAGGTGGCTGTCCCTCGTACATCATCCTCCCAGCGTTCTGCTCCCCGCAAGCCCCACCTACGTTGCGGGTGCGACGGCTTTTATTCGGTAGGAAATATGCGTGAGGCGGCGGCCCGCTTTTCCTGTTGAACCCTGATCGATCGTGACCAATGGCATGATCAATCGCCGTTTTCCATCGGGATGAGATCATTGGTTGTTCTGTTGTGTTCTGCGCAGGGCTGCCAATCCTGTTTTTTGAGAGGCGGAAGACTAGTACTGGGTTCTATAAGCTTCGATTAGTGTTGCCAGTGTCGAACGAATGGTACGAGCAGGGAATTTCCGGTCTGTCGAGGCCTAAATGTGGAAGCGCTACGTGCCCTCGACGCAAGGGCTTCTCGCCAAACTTGAATAGAACCAGCTTGAACAGGTTGGTCTGGTCCTTTGGGAGTCAAAAAAGCCACTGACCTCAGATAAGGGAATATATGCCCAGCTCATATTGAAGTGCTCAATTATCTTAGGAAGACAAATGTTACTAGTACTAGTGGTAGTACAACTTTGAGGTACACGGTGAGCCCCAAAGCCCAATGCTACTAGTACCAGTATTGGCAACGACCCAAAATAACGCATTCATCCCCGACATAGCAAAGGTCAAGGGGAAAAAAATGTCAGTAGGCAAGATCATGGTTCAGGCACAGAGTGTGCTAGTATTGGTACAATGTTTCACGCTATATACAACTTGAAATACACCCATTCAAGAAAAGAAATCAACCCACAACCTGCTCATTAATATACCGACTCATAGTCTGGAACTCGGTCTTCCCCGTCTGCAACAAAAAGTCAGCATCAAACCACAGATCCACCAGGGTCCCAAACATACCGAAAGCAAGTATCGAATATGTTGCTATATGACAGAAGTATTAGCTCATCCTGCCACCCCCCCCAAAAACCTCACACAGCAGTAGAGAAAAAAACATACCGAGTCAGTCACCTCGCGATGGCGCTCGAATTCCTGCCGCGCATACGACCGCAGCTCATTCCTTGTGGAGGACGGCGGAATCTCTGTGCCAAGTTTAGCAAATGGCAGCAGCCCCGGGGCGACACAAGACCTACTGTTCAACGTCCGGACGATCTCGCGCCAGAAGGAAAGGACGCGGCCTCTTTGGATGAACTGGCCCATTGTTAGCGGGGGCTTTCTGCGATTTCCGTACTTGGGGGGACCGTCGGGTTGATACGGACGTGGTCGAGGCTTATCGCGGGCTTTCTAAGCCGGGATGGCTGGCCGCGCGACACGGCCGCAAAGAGGGTTAGAGAGGGCCGCATGAGGTTTGCTTCATGGTACCATCCGGAGGAAATTTGAAAGAACTCTAAAGGTGTACGAGCGCTGGGCGGGACTGGATATCGCGTCACAGGCTGAGGCGGTCGAGTTTGCGGTACCGGGATAACTTGTATTTTTGCTCATGTGACCTCACTTGTTGACCCGATGGCAATAAATTGGATATCACATTACACTCATGACAGATTCAATTTATATTGCTATTCACTATTTCTCTATTTTAGAAAATGAGGAGCACTTATGCTTGTAGAGCTCCGATACCGCCAAAAGTGACGCTCTTGATAACCGTGAACTCGTCAATACCGTACTTGCTGCCCTCGCGGCCAAAGCCACTCTGCTTGACACCACCAAATCTGGAAATTATTAGTTTGATATACCTGGGTGTATGAAACAGGATCCACTTACGGTGAGGCAACATCACTGATCAAACCAGTGTTCACACCGACCATACCAACCTCCAACGCCTCCGCAACGCGGAAGATCCGCCCAACATTGCTACTGAAGAAGTAGCCCGCAAGACCAACCTCGGCCTTGTTAGCTAGTTCAACAACCTCCTTCTCAGTGTCAAAAGCGAAGAGGCCAGCAACGGGTCCAAAAGTCTCCTCCGAGGCAATCAGCATCTCCTTGCTCATACCAGTAAGCACGGTAGGTTCGTAGAAGTTGGGTCCCAGCGCGGAAGCCTTCTGGCCACCAATAAGCACTTTGGCACCTTTGCTGGTCGCGTCCTGGACGTGCTCGTGCACCTTGCTAGTGGCGCGCTCGTGGATCACAGGGCCGTGGGTGATACCCTCCTCGAATCCGACTCCGAGCTTGAATTCCTTGACCTTGGCCGTGAAGCGCTTGGCGAACTCGTCGTAGATGCCACTCTGCACGTAGATGCGGTTGGCGCAGACGCAAGTCTGGCCGGAGCTGCGGAACTTGGAGGCGATGGCGCCTGCGACGGCAGTGTCGAGGTCCTCCACGTCGTCGAACACGATGAATGGGGCGTTGCCACCTAGAGGAATGTTGAATTAGCGATGTTCTAACTGACCAACTAATGGTGCCTCGATTTAACGAGTGAGAAGAGAAAAAAAAAAAATCACATACCGAGCTCCCATGAAACCTTCTTGAGCGTAGAAGAGGCCTGCTTCATAAGCAGACGGCCGACATTAGTCGAACCGGTGAACGACACCTTGCGGACCTCAGGATGGGTATTAATAAGCTCTCCTACATCAGGAGTGTTCTTCGCCGCAGTGACAATATTCACAACACCCTTCGGAATGCCAGCACGATGCGCCAGCTCCGCGAGCGCATTGGCCGTGAAGGGAGTCTCTGCAGGCGACTTCGCCACAACGGTACAGCCCGCCGCCAAAGCAGGACCGATCTTGCGGGTAATCATCGCAGCCGGGAAGTTCCAAGGGGTGATCAGACCGCACACACCAACGGGCTGCTTGATAGTCATAACACGGTTTCCGGGCACACTGGAGGGAATCGTGTCGCCGTACACGCGGGGCGCCTCCTCGCTGAACCACTCGAAGAACGAGGCGGCATAGTTCACCTCGCCCTTGGCGTCGGCCAGCGGCTTGCCATTCTCCCAGGTGATCAGCGTAGCGAGATCCTCGGCATTATCGATCATTAGCTGGTACCAGCGGCGGAGCATGCGGGCGCGCTCGCGGGCGAGGAGGGAGCGGAATTTGGGGAAGGCCTCCGAGGCTGCCTCGATGGCTTTTTCGACGTCGCTAGTGCTGAGTTCGGGGCATGTTCCGATCAAGTGACCGGTGGCAGGATCTGGATGAGTTTTTTGTCAGTTTACTGGTCTGATCAGGTCTAGTATTTGGGAAGACGCAAGTGGATTCTCCTTACCATGGACCTCGAAGGTTGCGCCCGACTGAGCGCCCACCCATTCGCCATTGATGTAAGATTTCTCGATGAGGAGGGATTTGTCCTTCAACTGTGCTATTGTGAGCAGCTGCTCTCAGACTCGCAATCAGCTTCTGAAGCTCCGACTGACCTCAGGTCTGCTTCCCATAGTGTAGAGCCTCTTAGCGACAGGCGATGCTGGAATAGGGAAAGGATATCTCAGACGAGGGCGTAGCAATTGCCGGGATACAGGGCGGACGATGCGCTCCATTTATGAGTATCTGTGAGGGGAGATTGAACTTCCGTATCCTACCTACGCTTTTGATGAACAGAAGCGCCGCGGAAATGCGGGGAGATAGGCTTTAAAGAAACCCGGCTTTCGCTGCGAGGTCACTGCTGGATAATCTAGCTAATGTGGGGCTCAACGATGATTGCTTTAATGGTCCGAGAAGCACCGAGGGCGGGGGTTTAGGCGTTGGGGGTAGAAAGGTTTGCTCCAACTTGAACGCTTAGAACGTAAGGGAAGCTGGATTACTGGTAACTTATATTGAGTTATGAGCGGGGGTTGATGTCATTGACGAAGGGGGAAAAACCTATTTGGCGCATACTTCATTCACAGGATTGCTCTGTCTCTTACGGCCTACGGACCCAAAATGAGCAACTTGTCAAGACTCGAATCAATGGTCTACACGAACATGAATGATAACCTCTCGCTCTTCTCTCCGATTGATTTTCAAGCCACTTTTATTCAGTTCACCGTTCTGTGCCTAGTTGTGTACTGTGTTTCCATACATCTGAAGGCCGCGGCATACCAAGCCAATAGGGAGGCCGGAATGTAATCAGCTCGGCTGTTCCCACCAATGATGGGCGCCTCAGCAGCTTCCGCTGAAGATAATGTTATGGTAATACAGATTGCTGATGAATAACAGAATGCTATAATCTGGGAAGGGCCAGCCGACAAGTGGATTATGAATTATGGATTTTTGCAAAAATTTGAAGGTATTTAATAGATATTGAGCCAATAATTGAAACCAGGAATGCAATCCGTTCAATAGGGACATCATGCTAAAATAGCTCCAGGGCATGCGATATTAATACATAGACATCGTAAGCAAACGTGAATCATCCACCGATTAGATGTTATGACTTCTTCTTCCGTATGACCAGCGAGTCCTTGACAGTCTCATAGTATTCCGGATGCTTTCTCTCCAAGTGAAGCTTGAAATTCCATATCCGTGGGAACGGATGTGTGTGCTGCTTGCATGTCGGGAAAGGACAATAATGGCCATCCGGCTTTCGAGGTGCTGCTCCATCAGTATTGGGGAAAGTTGGCAGCGCAGCCGAGCTTGAAGGGGCTGGGAAAGACGATGCTGGAACACCAGCCGGGAATGACTGTGGCTGAGGGCCAGTACCTTGAGATAAGGCCAGAATGGTCGAATGAGCCTTCTTGGATTGGCTTGGAGGGACTCTGGAAGGAGCTCGAGGTTTCTGTGCAGGGCCGGTTCCGCTTCCTATCTCATCCTCAATGTAGGCGTATTGTAATTTAGAGCCCGGCAACCGACTGACCGGTTCCATGCGTCCTTCTTGGAGAGTTCGGAATGTCATGTCTTGATTGAAGAGGTCGGCACATCGCCGTGACGCGCGTTTGACTGCGCCTGCTGGAAGACCAATCATGGAAGCCACGCCCATAACCTCGCTCCAGTCGCGTAAGGCCATTCGATCGAGCATGGTGGGTCGCATTTCATTCTCACCGTCTTCCTCCTTGTCTCCCTCTATACCTTGGTCTCCAATAGCAGATAGACGCTGATTGCGTCGAGAATTGGATTCCCGTTCACTACGGGAACCCCTTCTGGCCCGTTTTCGACCTCGAGATTGAGTTCTACCCCGGCCTCTGCCTTTCCTGTTTCCCTTTGATCGACCAGACGAGGAGGCATCTTCATCTGTCGCAGAGTCATCGCTTGACTCAATGTCATCAACTCTATTCCTGATAGAATGATGTAGTCCCATCAAAAGCTTATCAACTTGAGTTATCACGTTGCGGGAAAGAGGCAGTAATTGCCGTCGAGAGATATCGTCGTCAGATTGTATGACCGGTTTGAGGACCGGTGCTCCCAAATGTGCATCATCATGATCTTTCTTATCTTCATCCATCGTGTCCATGTCATCCGGGCCGGCGGTGCGCTTCTCGGGGTTGATTTTCAGACCATCATTGTCCCATTCGCGAGCTTTGAACCGTTGCTGCGCTGTGTTCATCATACTGGCGATAATGGAGTCCTCAAGATCAGCACTGGGCCGGAAATCAGCAGGCTTTCCGTATATGCCGAGATCAGCCTGCTTTCGATACAAAGGCTCGCTTGGACATGGGACTGTGGCCGCAGACATCGGCCACGCGACCCATCGTTTGCGAAAAGCCGCTACTTCGTCATCTTCAGCTTCTTCAGTTTCTAATGTCCCTTCCCGGTATACTTTAGATGAGTGGCGGAGCGCGTATGCGTTATAGAGATGATTGGAAAGATTTCGAGATCCATTGGAAGCCAGACTGTCGTAAACACCTCGTTCTTGCGCAATGGCTCTGTAATATGCAGACGGGGTTCCAGCCCATCGGTTGGGACGTTCGGAATCCTCCGAGAGATCATTCTCACGACGAAGAGAGTATATGATTTGTGGCTCTGGCTCATCTATCATAGACTGGTCTTCAGTAGTATTAGACGCAGTCGCTGAGGATCTTCTGGATCGGCCGCGGCGATGATCTGGCCTGGGCACATCGTCGTCGCTGCCACTGTCGCGGTAATCTTCATCGGCAGAGTCGTCCGCATACTTTTGAAAGTCACCTAGCATTAACTCAAAGTCACCATCCCTGAGCTCGTTTTCTTTCACGGGCTGGCCATCAAGTTCCCGGTCTTCCCCAAGCTCTTCCAGCTCTAGCTGTGGGGATGAGCGTGGGCCAACATCGCTGCTAGGTCCTCCGAATAGGGAGCGAACTCGCTGAGCTGACTGCGGTGGATAAAATTGTGACGATGAGGGTAATTGGTCGTCTCGAGACGACATGCCTCGAGGTTCTCGCTATTCTTAGATTGTTGATGTCAATACTCGCTTCATTTCACAAAGCACTTGTCTCAAGCGAGCCTAAGAAGAATAAACCAAAATACAGGGACAAGCCTCCATGGATAATCAACGAGACCACCCGAATCGAATATTTGAACATCAGTAGGTTGAGTCTGAGATACATTTTGAAGACCTGTTCTGTCAAAAATTTGAAGTGGGTCCATAGTCACGTGACCTCTATTAATATGTTTGATCCAAACCACTCGGCTTTTACTCTGGACGATTACTCGTACTAGTAGTTCCAGATTGATCTCGTTCAACAATAGAATGATATTCGATGGACATAATTTTGTGAAATGCATATACAAGGGACCGTCCCAGCCCGACGCCATTGAATGGAAAACAAAAAAAAACATTTTTACGGTTCTATAACCCATTACCCTTATTTCTGAGCCTTCTCCAGCTTGCGTCGCTTAGAGCGAAGCTTGGCAGCCTCCTCAGACTGCTTCTTGTTGGAGTAGGTCATCTTCTCCAACAACTTGCGCTTCTTGCGGCTCATCATCATTTTCTGGCGCTCCAGCTCTTCCTCTTCCTGGCGCTTCTTGGCAGCAAGCTTCTTAGACTTAGCAGTCTTCTTCTTAGAAGCTTCGTCAGCAACGCTGTTGGATGAGAACGGCAGACCGGCGGCTTCGGCCTCGAGTTCACGCTGATGCTGGTTGCGAGCAGCCTCGTCGTCGTCATCTTCACCCGACTCATCCTCGGCTCCCTCTTCGACTCCCTCGAATTCTTCTACTTCCTCGTCCTCGTCTTCCTCATCACTATCGTCGTCAGAGCCGGCAACATCCATGCCGCCATCAACAGATTCGTCTTCAGATTCCTCAGCAGTGACAGTAGGCTTCTCTTCAACGGGCTCTTCGTCCTCCATCTCTTCGTCGCTATCAGAGGCATCCTCGGCCTCCTCAGCCTCGTCTTCAGATTCCTCAGCAGTGACAGTAGGCTTCTCTTCAACGGGCTCTTCGTCCTCCATCTCTTCGTCGCTATCAGAGGCATCCTCGGCCTCCTCAGCCTCGCCTTCCTCTTCTTGCTCAGCCAGAGGAGCACGAGGATCATACCCACCACGAGAAGGCTTGACCCAAGGACTCAAGTGAGGGGGAAGAGTGGCACCAGGCCCATAGAGATCCGCACGAAGAAGCTTGCCCTCATTGATACAGTCCCAAACCCACTGAGGCTGGACGTAAGTACGTCCGGGGATACGAGTGCCAGCCTTCACTTTCTGAGGAGCATCGCTAGCCGCAGGGATAGCCGGGAGAGAAGACTCGGGCAGTTGGGGGCGATCAACAATTTGGTGAGTGATACGGGGATCGGTCTCATCATGGGTGAAAGCACCGCCGCCGAGGACAACGTCCCAACCAATTCGACGGCAGCCGAAAGCGCGCAAAATGAACTCCAGAGGAGCCTTGGGGGCCTCACGCGAGATGTAGAACACAAAGGGGGCGAAAAGGGCACCGGCCTCGTTTCCGCTCAGATCAGGCTGGGGGAGGGTGTCGGCCTCTGGGGCGGCGGTCTCGAATCGGTCAATGGCATCAGTGTCTTCTTCAGCTGCCTCCACGGGCTGCTCTTTCTGGTCCTTGTCCAGTCCCGCTGACTTGATCACCTCGTCCACCCTGGCCTGGACTTCCTTGGAGACTTCGTTGTTCGAGTGTCCATTGGTCTGTTTGCTGGGCTCCAGGGCCTTTGGCTGCTCCCCAACGGTACGACCCTCCAAAGTGAACGCTGCAAGCTCAGCACCGTTCTCGTCACTGCGGGTATCGAACTTAGGGGGGATATCGCAGACCAATCGAAGTGTAAAGACGGAAGTTGACGAAGCCCAAGAGGGTGGTGTAGAAATCAACGAAAGTGGCCATGATGCGGTAGTCCACGTCGCCGTTCACGCGCTGCACGAATCGGTAGGGAACCAGCCACATGATATCCTGGCCCTGGATAGTAGCCTGATAGTAGATACCCTTGATGGACAAGAAAGATTTCCGCAGAGAGTTGGAGATGATCAGGTAATGTTGGAATTCGTGGCACAGACGCTGGCACAGAGCAATGGTCTTGGCGGGAACATGGTCAGACGAAGGAAGAGTAGCGAAAAGGAAAAGCAGGGAGAGAGCATCATCGAGGTCGCGCAGAGCATCGATAAAGGTGGGATAGCGCTCCTTGATAACGTGATCGAGAGTGAGCTTGGGAGCATGGGTCTTCTCCAAGCGTGCTGCATCGCTGACCTCACCACGGCCGAGGAAACGAGCAATCTTCTTCGCAACGGACTTCTGGTCACGGAACTTGGCTAGTAGTGGTTCGTGCAGGAGGTACTGGATGTCCTTAGTGTAATAAAAGGTAGTGTTCGGCGTGGACGTCTTGGATGCCTTCTTCTTGTTACGGGGCTCACGAGGGTAAATTCCTGTGATCATAGGCTGTCAGTACCTCTGAAATGGAGGGATGTGGGCAATGGGTCTTACCCTTGAAGATACATAGTCGACGGAAATCCGGCAGCGAGATCTGAAGTTTGCGCACGGCTTGGGTACGAGTAATGTAGTTTTTGGCCTGGCCGGAAGTTCCTGGTAAACATGAATTATTAGCATTGCTCCGAAAGACTCAGTCGCCTTGAGCATACCCTTCTTCTTAATTCGCCCCATAGTGAGATCTGTTGTCGTCTAAGAATTAGAGCGGCAAACGATTTTGCTGATAAGAAGAAGAAAAATTTCTCGATAACTTTTTTTTTTTTGCAAGGCGGTCAAGTGGCCCGTGCATTGCGGGCGTCCGTGGTTCCCCAAGGGACAACTGGTCCACTCGGCGAGAATACGACCTCCCGCTACTGATTGTGATCATGGCAATTGACCAGCGGAAGGTCGCCGTGTTCGCCGGGGCCTTCGTGCTACGACTGGTCCTTGTGTTCCTTTTTCCATCGCTGCCGGACTTGCTTACTGGCCGGGTGGAGGTGTCAACCCCCGTCAATAGCTTCAAACGATGTACGTGACAAGTCCACCAAGCTTCTAACATGCGATTATAGTACTCTTACTGACGAAAATTGCTTGAAAGTGCAGGAAGGTCTCTTTCTCTATACCCGGAATGTATCTCCATACGACGGCGGTGTCTTTCACCAAGTGAGTCGACTATACGCCGTTCCCAAGACCCTCGAATTGACCTGGCCTTAACTTAGGCGCCGCTTCTCCTACCATTATTCGCGCTGCTTCCGGATGTGACCCAGTACCCATTACCGACAGCACTTTTCTTTTTTGGTGTCGATCTAGTCAACGCATATGCCTTGAGCACCATCTCAGACTCCGGCCAATCGGTCAAGAGCAGGCTTCACTCGGCAATGCGCAAACACATTCGATGGGACGGAGCGTCCGTTGCGGCTTGGTACGTGTTCTTAAAAGACGTCGGATGCAGACTGAGGGCTTATATATCTAATACGACTTAGGTTCCTTTTCAATCCCTTTACAATTGCGACGTGCCTGGCCCGATCTACAAGCGTGTTTACTACCTCCGGCATCCTTTTTGCCGTATCGAATGCCGTTGAAGGGAATAGCATCAATGCAATGTTAGCGATTGGGTTTGCGTCCTATCTATCTCTATACCCTGCGTTGCTATTTGTACCAGTGCTTCTGCTCTGCTACGACTTCCATGCAGAAAAATCCAAGCAATCACTCAACACAACCGTGTTCGTTCTCCAACACACCGCGATATTCCTTGGGAGTCTTACAGGGCTACTGGCAATATCGTGCTTGATCACCGGCAACTTCTGGGAGTTTATGTCGGCTACCTATGGCTTCCATTTGCTGGTTCCAGATCTGACTCCGAACGTGGGCCTTTGGTGGTACTTTTTCATTGAGATGTTCGATTCATTCCGCGCATTCTTCTTGGGGGTATTCTGGCTCCATCTGGCTAGCTACGCTGGAGGGCTCACTTTCAGGCTTCGACGACAGCCTTTGTTTATTGTGTCCTCCCTACTGGGCGTCTTTGCCATCTTCAAGCCATATCCTAGTATCTCCGATGCATCTCTGTACCTTGCACTACTACCTCTATACCGCCACCTCTTCCCACGTGAGTATTCTTCTGTTGACGCTTTCCAAACGAGCCAATACGCTAATGGTGCTAGTCATGCGATATACGTTTTTCGCTATTTCCGCCCTTCTCTACTCGAGCCTCCTCGGCCCCGCTTTCTACCACTTGTGGATCTATGCCGGGTCTGGCAATGCCAACTTCTTCTATGCAATCACTTTGGTATGGAGCCTTGGGCTCTCCATCCTCCTTGCGGACTTCCTCTTCGCCGGCCTCAGAGACGAATGGGAGCAAGACCATCCTGAGGCACAGGGCAAAGAGGTCAAGCAAGTATAGCTTAGAATAACATAATTTCATTACACGCCCTCAAGACTCAAAGAATCAAAGCCCCGGAAAAGACTCTTGAATTATGAACTCCAACCTCTAATGCCTACATACTCAATTTAATTGCTTGGACAAAATGAAATAATCAGCCTCCTTTACCGTCCCATTGCGCAATCGCCGCGGCTTTGGCGAATATTCGTCCACCTCGTACCCACCCTTCTCATAGAACTGTCGCGCAGCAGTATTAGACCTGAAAACCGTCAACATAGCCTTCTCCAGCCCAATAAGCCTCCCAATCCCCTCCATCGTGCTCATCAACAGCCCCCCAATTCCCTTCCCACGCGCCTCAGTCGCCAAATGAATCTCGTAACAGTAAACAACCTCCTTTCCATCCTCATACGTAACCATAAAAGACAGAAACCCCAGGACGCCCCCCTCATCTTCATCCTCCCATTCCCCGTCCGCAGTCCCCGACGCGTTCGGCCGATCGGCCACAGGCTCAGGCGTCCCAGCCAAACATCCCGCGTCCCGAACAATCAGGAACTTCATGTCTGGCAGTAGCATTTCTTTACGCTTGCGGGGACGCGACCAGCCGCTGGTGGATGCTGCGTACGCCGCGCTGGAGGTCAGCTCCACGAGGTCGAGGCAGGCCTCTAGATCTGCGGCGGAGATGGACTTGGCGGAGTACACGTCTACAGTTGGACGCGTCGGGGTTAGCGGGGGTGTGCTTCTGGGCGCGCTCCTTTGCCGCCTGGATCCCCTGCTGTCAGCGGAGAGACGTAGCGCGAGATGAAGTCGTCGATGCTGAGCGCATTGGTGCGCTCGACGAGTGGGTCTCCTGGGCGTTTTGTTAGTGATGGCGTTGTGGACTGTGTGATGAAAGTTCTCTAGAGAGCGCTACTCCATGGTATCGCTCGTGGCTTTAAAGTGGGATCCAGGGCAATTACTGGGCCGTCTGGTCTTTAGTATGCGGTCCTTACCTTTTCTGACGGACCGCGCCTCTTTTCTTCCTGTCTTGGGTTGTGCTTTAGATTTTGTGATGCGGCCTTCTTGCGTAGGCATTTTACTTCGGACTAAACGTGGGATGTTATAAAGTCGATATATTGAGTGACTGGATGAATCGAAAAAGAAAACCCCAAATAATCAAAACAAAAAACCTCGACGGCGACGGGTTCGTGTTTGGGCGCGGGAGGGGATACCGGCCCCTCGACTATGTCATAGAAAGTGGGTTATTCACAATTCGCAGGTGGAAAAACTCGATTCGACTAGAACAGGCCCATAGAGCTAGAATATTTGACTATAACAGCTGTCTATCTTTGCTTCAAGCCAGTATACGGCCCTAGACGAGGCTCGAAGCGACGCAGCGTGTTCTTGGGCTCCTCGCTCCGCCATTGCGCTCCCATCTCGCCCAATGCACCATCGGAAAAGAGAGTTATATCGCTCGTTGGGATATGAGTTCTTTTTCTTTTTTACCACTTCCTTTTTAGGATTAACAAATCCTGGTCTCAAATGGCGGGGCCCACAACTTATTAGCCTTGTCGCACAAGCGGTCTTCATTTGGCCACATGCCTTGGAAGTAATTCTCGATTAGCGACGGAGGAACACTCGTAAGCCCAGCTGAATAGCCCCATGGGATTAGTATAGTTGCGTGTAAGTCGTAATGCCTACTTCTGTCCGGTCTTTAACACTGACGGGACTGATAAGATCAGATGCTATTCCAAGGGTTTCTTTGGTCTCCAAAAAGGTCCTCTCTTGCGTAGCTCGGACCTGTGCGATCCCTAACCCCCTTTCTATCCTGACAAAAAAAGAAGACTGCCATTGTATAATGCAGCTAGTCTATGTCTGCCATAAACGCATCATACACTCTACGTCTTAAAGGTCGAGGGAAACCCTGTCGCCTGGACACTTAGAGAGGAATGGCCCTATCTTTTGATTATATTTTCTATAAAATGTTGTTAGAAGCCCTACTCCAATGGCAAATCCCATTCATTTGTTGATAACTGGCACGTTCTGTAAGTTGAACTTGACTCGGAGTGAATATAACATCGCAATCGGTACAATTGTGACTCAAGTCCGATTCAGTGCTCGCACAGGTAACTATGAAGATAGACATACCAATACAGAGACTCACCGTAGTTAGCGCCGCTTCCGTACTTCCACTGAAATTTTCGTATAAATCATGATAAACCCTCACGTTGTTGGGCATGTACCAGCAACAAAACACGCGTATACATATCTAAGACATGCCATTGAAAATACTGCTATTCATGGTTCATAGCCACACCGGCAGAAGCTTATCAAACTGGTGGGCTATCGATATCATGTCGAATTCTTACAATCACAATCGACTGCGTACAACTTGCGCCAATTCCTGCGCGGCCCCACCGATTCTAGGTGAGCTGCCACCATCGGGGCCTTTGTCAGCCCATGCCCATTTCGCAGCCAAAGTATTGTCAAGGATTCCCAAGACAGAATCCACAACGTAGCCACCGATTATTGGCAGAAATTTCCATGAGTGTGCAGAGCCACCTGTGGCAACGTGGAGACCCTGGATTGAAGGATGAGGAGCGATAATGAAATCAGCGGATCGGGTTTGCGAAAGCCTTGCGAAGTGATCTCAGTCATTACTGATTCTACTATAATTGCGAAGAAGAAGACTTACCAGCAAAGCTTTGTACGATCGAATGGACGATCAGCCAGCTCCGGCATGATCTCTCGCAGATTGTCGCGCAGAGCAACTTCTGCACCGAGTGGGATGAAGTCTCCCCGGATTCGTGACTTTCGTGCGCGGTACTGAAGTCTGAATGGTCTTTGCGGGGTCTTCTGGATGTGGAATGGTCACTGTGTTCTGGTACCCCGCCGAGCGTCGCAGACATTTGATCTCCCCATTGTGCGGAGGGAATATGTTGAACCCAGTGCTCAAGTTCGTTGTGATGGACATGCTTTTCCACCGGTGGATCTCCTCTGGTGTGAGCTTCAACCACGCAACCTCAATGGCAGATGACTTTGTCATTCCCTCCAAGTAAACCAGCATGTTTGACCAGGCCCCGGCAGCGATCAGCGTCAAATCGGCATGGAATTGACGACCGTCTTCGAGCAGAACGCCCTTCGCGCTTCCATGCTCAACCAATACCTTTTGAACAGCTGTACCTGTTTGGAAGGAGAGCGAAGACTTAGCAAGGCAACGTTCATACACAACACGAATACTCTCCCTGGCGTCAATAAATGCGTCATTGAGATTGCAATAGCCACGGTTCCATTTGCGCTTCCCGGTCAGCCTACCCGGAGGAACGAGCTTGGAGTCTTTCCCATGGATAAATTGGAAAACAGACTCAGGATCAGGCATTTCCACAAGATCCGTGCGCTTCCCCGTCCTTTGAATATTCACCAAGCCTTTGCTCCATATGGCGAGCATGGGGCCTGCTTCGCCATCCGTCACGAAGGACATCCCCTGCTTAAAGTAATACTTGCTTAGGTCTGGATCCTGCTCTATCTTTAGCTGGGCTTCCTCCGCCAGCTTTGCATAAATGGGATCGGCGTAATCTGCGAATTTTATAGCTCAGGGCCTTGTCTCGCGCTGTTCAAGTGAACTCACCTGCACGTATACACCGCGTGGTATCGACGCTGGTCCCGTCCTCCACCGGCGGCGTAGCACGGTCGATAATAGTGACCTTTGTGGAAGGATGGCGATCGGCAATTGCCAGCGCGGTCGAAAGCCCAAAAATACCAGCGCCAACAATGATTACAGAGTCGGGGAACACACTCGTCGACATATTGTTTTATCTTCACGATAGAGTCTGTGCAGATTTCACACTCCCGGAATTAAGCATGCAGCCCGGAACAAGTAAATAGATACTTTGAAGATTTGAGTATTTGCCCAAGCGCTTATCAATTGAATAATCTTCCAAACCCCGTCCAAGGGAAGCTGTTCATTCGGTACAGGCCGCCCTGTCCAGCCCTGAATCTGGGAATTGCTTGTGCGGAGAAACCGGCGAGATGTCGGGGCTCCTCCCCTATCAGCGGCTCATGCCGCGATTTTGGAGATTATCTATAGTTGACCCCAACTGCAGTCTACGGGGGCCTGGTAGCATTGGTTGATTGAAACCCAGTTTACCCCGCTCATGCTTGCTGCGGTCTCAGCTATAATTTCCCAGTCCGCAGCTTTATAGTGGTGCTTGCACAAAGCCTGTACTTTTGTGGCCCTAATGATTCCGATCCCAGTAGGAAACCTGAGATTTATTTCTTTTTGAGACCGCCCGACTCCTACAAGGGGAAGATAACCTTCGTTAGACCTGAGCAATGCGTACTCCGCAGGACACAGGTGTATCTCAAAGCAAGCCCCACGAAATCACCCTAAAAGGCGGGGGCCCCTGCTCCTGCATTTTACCTGCCAGGTCTGCTGTTATCTGTAAAGCTCAAGTTATCTCGCCGGCCCTGGCTGTCGCGGCTTCACGCCGAGAGTAACCTTATCACGGTTAAAGCCGCGCCAATAATATACAGGCGGTAGAAGCCGTTCTAGTCGCTGGCCTCCAGTACCAGTGAGATTTTATCCAAACGTATCCTATTATCTGCATCGGCTCTTTCTTTCCGCTCAGACGCTAGAGGGAAGAGGAGTGGTCCCGTTTAAATCCAATGTCGTCCTCCATGTTCGCCCCGGGAACATTCTTCTTTTGGCCGCCGACTTGACAATATCACGCTGTGCCAGATTTAGCTTTACGATGGAAGCAAACAAGCCTAAACTTGACAGGAAAGATGCGGTAGATGCGCAGTCCATCGTGTCTATCAAGGCTTGCGATGATGTGCAAGCCGTCGCTAATACCTTTCAGAGCGATGCGGAGAAACGGCTTGTTCGAAAGGTGGATCTCACTCTCATGCCTACCATATGGGTGCTCTACTTGTTTTCTTACGCAGACCGCACCAAGTAAGACTGCATCCATGACCAAGAGCGCACTTCGCTAACAAGAACGCAGTATTGGAAATGCCAAAGTCGCGGGCATGACTGCTGATCTTGGCATGTCTTCCGGGCAGTACTCGCTGGCACTTGTGGTCTTTTTCATTTCCTACATTGTATTCGAAGTCCCCAGTAACCTGGTTCTTTCGAAGACGCGCCCTTCAATTTATCTTCCGATTATTATGACATTATGGGGGACTATTACCTGCACTATGGGGGCGGTCAAAAGTCCCGGTGCCTTGTATGCTGTCCGGTTTATGCTGGGTGTCCTGGAGGCCGGGTTTGCCCCCGGCGTCATGCTCATTCTGTCGTCTTGGTACAAGCCGCATGAACAAGCAAAGCGATTCTCGATATTCTACTCTGCGGCCGTTATCTCGGGAGCTTTCGGTGGAATCGTTGCTGGCGGGATATCAGGTTCACTGGATGGCGCCCATGGCATTGCCGGGTGGCGATGGCTTTTTGTATGGCATCGCATTCTACGAATCAATTATTCGGAACTAACATGGAATCCAGATCGTGGAAGGGGAGCAACGATTGCCTGTGCTCTTATCGCAGTATTTATTCTGCCGGACTATCCAGCGACAACGAAACGATTCACACCAGAGGAAAGGACACTTGCTGTGGAGCGACTCGAAATGAATAATGTCGTCATTTCAACCGAGGAAAGGACACCGCTCAGCTCGCTAGAGGCACTAAGAGGCTCGTTGACCAATTGGCGGACGTGGATTATGACGGCTGGATACACCGTAAGCAGCAAACTCCAAGTGGAATAGTTTTCATTCTGACAATGAAAGGCTATCGGAGGATCCGCGACCATGTCATATTTCTATCCAACCCTGGTGGCAGAAATGGGCTACAGCTCGACTATGGCGGAATACAGTAAGCATCTCTTCCTCCACCTGGGGAAGCGCTCTATGTGTCTGACCAGTTACAGTGGTGGTTCCTATATATGCCGTGGCGTTCTTCGCAGTGTTAACCACCGGATACTTGAACGATAAAATACCAAATTACCGGGGTCTCATAATCGCCGGCTGGCTCACCATATCGATGATCTGCAGTATCATCATATGCACAGTCTATAACCTGAAAGCAAGATACGTCTTCCTGGTGTTCATGGCATCTGGCCTACTCTCGTCCAATGCGTCGTCTCTCGCCTACAGCTCCTCGACATTCGCGTCCATGCCACAGGAAACCAGAGCAGTTAGTCTAGCTTTTGTGAACGGCATCTCTGGCATATCACAGATATACGGGGCATACCTATTCCCTGATACAGATGCCCCGAAATATTTGATGGGGTTCGCTGTCATCTCTGCTTTATCTGCGGCGAGTGTTGGGATTTACACCCTGGCTCATATTTTAATCCGAAAATATCCTCACCCGAACCCTTGAGCTACTCCAACTCCGGACTCAATACATGTCATCGGGATATTGACCTTTGGGGCGGAACTTCTATTTTATGCCTCCGAGTCTTCATAGTTATGAGACTTTCGTTCGAGCGAACTTGTTGCTGTGGAGATTTTTAGTTGTATCCTCCAGAAGCGAATTCTTACATTGCTAGGCTTTTACAAGCCCTTAGCACTATAAAAAAGCTCCATCTTCAAGACGCTTAAGAGGAGTACCCCTGTCTTAGAAATCTATAGTATGTGAGTATTATTGAGTATTATCTAAAACCTATTCTCTATGGCTAGGTAGTTCCGAGAGTAAATGAAGTACACAGCAAGGATAGTACTATGCTTTTTGCCAGTCTCCCGTGGCAGACGTACCACGCATATGGCCAAGACCTAAGCAGGAATCGGATTTGGTGCCGAGGGTCACCATTAGAATCAGAATACAGAAAACGTTAAAGACAATCGAAGAGGATACAAGTACAAGAACAATCGAGCCATCTCACCCGGAGTATAGTGGGCTCCTTTTGGGTTTTTTTCTTTTCTGGGGGGGGGGGGTTTTGGTGCTGATGATTTGCAGAATGGGTTGAGCGGAAGGGTTACTCGGAGGGATATATAGGGCGTATGGATGTGTGGCGCCTTCTGCAAGGATGGGTCTAAATACCGTGTGCCAACTGTCGGCTTTTGCTGTGCAGTTGTGAGTTGTAGAGACAAAGGGTAGAAAGAAAATTCATATTGAAGGGGGCGAACTCTAGCTAAGGGCTCTAAGGCCGGATACGCCTTACATGGACTACGGCAAATAACAGAGAAGAAAAGCAAACGAGGTAAAATAAATCAGAACGAAGGACAAGAACATTGTGTTATTGGAAAGACTTGTCGCAAGATCAAAAAAAATTTAGCAAAATGGTCATTTTCAAGCATCTAGAATCAAAATCACCGCAAGAAGAAACACATAGATTCGTTAGATCAGTGGAGAAACCCCGAAAATCAAGTCTGCCTGGGAATAAACTATCCAGGTAAAAACGTAGGCAGGAAGAATGTTTTAACAATTTGAATAATGTAACAGTAATGGTGCACCAAGCTTAGGTCTCGCTATACTTCGGCACAACCAGGTCGCCCACCATGACAGTGCGACGAGCAGGTGGTTCCCACTCCATAGCGTCGATCTCGGCACGAGCAAGGGCAGCATATCTTCCGAAGAGTACCTTCCCATCGAGAGTACGGGTCTTAGCTAGAGTCGAAAAGGGCTCCTCACGTCGGATACCAGTGAGCTGGTCAATGCAGACCATCTGGCAGCGCTCGCAGGAGCCCATGACGTCCACGCGGAGCTTCTCCGGGCCAATCTGGAGCGAAGACCACATATCCTCGGCATAGGGTTGTTCGGCGTCGCCGAGTTTGGTGAGGCGCTCGGCTACGACGATATTGCTGCGGAAGACGTCTGCGGCAACCGCCTTGGGGGAGCCGGAGATGGGGCGGCCCTTCGCTTTGATATTTTCGTTCAGACGGTTCACTGAGGAGCGTGAGACGATCAGAATAGGCATCTCGTTTGCTAACAGAAGAGGGTTGCGGCCCTGCTCGCGGACTGGAGGGGGAAGGTCTGGGGGGAACGATCCCGGCATGATGATTTTGCGGACCTTGTGCTTCCAGGAGTGCGAGCGAGAGGGTCGAGAGTAGCGATTCGCACTCTGAGGAGGGAACCGGGCAAGGGTGCATGGCACACCGAGGAAATCGGAGAAGAAGGTTGACACGACCGGAGATGCATAGGCATGCAGGGCGAGTTGGTCTCCGCATACTGTGGAGCGCTTGGTCGACATGGGACACATGGAAGTAGAAATAAGGCTGCCCGTTTGTTCCCAACCGAGCGAGATTTCCAGACTCACAGAATCTTTCATGCCATCGCAATGGATGCGGAGCACACCCCGTTCGAGATCAACGTCTGGACGAATAAGCGCCATGCGAGGATATCGCTTTTGATTCAGCGCTGCTCCAGTTCCTTGATGGATCAGGCACCACTCGCGATCCCAAGCAAGCCCCTCGGGCTTCACCTCCCAGCGTTTTCCTTCGGGGATTTTGAAAGCACCGCAACTCTTGATCGGGAACACAGCAAGGCTTTCGATATAGAAATGGCGGTCGATGGGGTTCTCAAGAGTAGGGTTGACGGCGACGACAGGTGCGCTCTTTTCAACGTAGAAGTCCTCCACAAAATTGGCAAAGGATTCGACATCGGTCATATTGGTCATGGCACCCAAGCTGACACGCAGAATGCCAGTCGGTCGACCAGCCATGATATCATTACTATCACCGCAGCGTAATTCTTCTTTGGAGTACAAGTTGCGAAGCTCAGTGCCGTCCCACCCAAGAGCGGATGCCACGCCGCCTGGGTTGCAAACTCCGCCAGTGCGAATTTGGATGTTTTGGACGGTGGCCAGTTTCTCAACCTCGCTCTTGGGTATCCATTCACCTTGACTGTTACATAGATTGAATGCGATGATTGGGCCCTGGGTTTCGGTGCAGCCATAGGTGGAGGAGCGCGAGTGATAAATTTGGCAGACTGTCCGCTGGTTCCAATGGGTCAACTTTGAAAGTCGCTCGAAAAGCAGCTCGGCGAGACAGGCTGTATGGGCAGAGATATTTGCCATTGACCGGTAAAGCCGCTCATGGGTATCCATTGCAGCATTCAAAGCAATGATGTTATGGAATGCAATTGTCCCATCTTCAAGGCGACTATGGAGGGACTGCTCTGCTTTGGCATGCCACTGGAGAGTAGCCAGAGCCATGTCGACGGTACCTCCACCAAAGTACTTGCGGCGTTCGAAGATATGACCAGCCTCCTTGCGAACAATCAAGGCCCCCCAAGTCCGGGAAGCCAAAGATCTTGTAGAAACTCACAGCCGTAAAGTCAGGAGCAACGGCGCTCAAGTCAAGCGGAGAAGTGGAGACGAGAGACGCAGCATCAAGCAATGTAAACACGCGGCTCCCGGTTTCTCTGGCGGCATAGCGGATCTGGTTGCACCAGCGAAGTGGAAGGCGACGTCCGTTCATATTGGATTGCCCCGGGTAAGCAATCAAAGTGGGGACTTTGACTTGCTTAGAGGCCAGCTCGGAAATCCACATATCAACCTCGGTATCGCAGCTGAAATACTGATGGCCGAGATGGGCGACTTCGCGCACCCCGACTATACTATTGTGAGAATCCAGGTGGTAGCCATACTGGAAACCGCGGTTGTCAAAGTCGCGAAAGGCATCTGCCACAAGCTTTATGGCGGCGGTTGCATTTGCCACAAAAACCACGTCGAACTCGTCCGGGTCTGCGTTGAAGAAACGAAGAACACGAAGACGAACATCATCAGTGCGTTGGGTTGAGAGCTGTGAGGACAGGGACATGGAATGAGGATTGCCAAAGATGTTACTGTTCATGTCACCTGCAAAGGCCTCGATGGTGGATTTAGCATAGAGGGTGGTCCCAGCATGATCGAGATAAGTGGTGTCTGTAGATATCAGCACATGTCTTCGAGAAGTAGCAAACCGGGAAACCCGGATGCAAGAATTCATACCATTCATAAGAGGGTATTCCTGGTTTCGAATCGCGTCGACGCTCGCACAGTATCCTTTGGAGTAACCACTCAGGGCCTGGCCTGAGCCAAGGTCTGCGTCCATGATGCAGTTTGTAACGAGGGAAGACTTCAAGAGTTCACTGTTCAGAGCCTCCGCGGCCTGCAGGGGTGCAGCTGCAACACGACTTCGGACGTGTCCTCAGAAGGGTTGCAGCTGTTCTCTTCGAGAGGTGGTGATGAGGGGATGTGGATATAAGTTGAACGGAATCGTCGGGATGAGGATGGCTGGGAACAACCAAACGGTAGAAATGTAAAAAAAGCTCGGAATCAACTCAGTTCTGGAAGCCCAAACAACACTTCCACGTGCTCAATCAATAAAGCGAAAATACAGCAATTGCTATTCTATACTGAGCAGCAAGACAGTATGAGAGTCCATCCTTCTAAGCCTGGTCAGAATGATCTCTTATATACAAGACCTGGCAGATTTGAGCTGATGGAGCCGTGGGGGTTCGAGCATGTAGTACATCAAAAAGGCATTTTCCGCTGCATAAAACTCCAACCCGCAGCCACGAGAAACTTGCATATATGACTGTTCCTCGTGAGGGGCTTGCAGATAAGCAGCCTTGACGGAGCCTACCGAAGGGTTCAAGTGGCGGATGACCCACCTGCAAGTCCAAACGAATCTGAACAATATCGGGGCTACTGCAGCACGGCCAATTTTGATACGCCAAGCAGATCAGCAGGATTCGGAAATGGTGTTTGCCATACGCGGTGAACGCTATTTCCAAGCCATCCCCAGTCATGTGACGGAGGCAAAGTCGCCTCAATGACGGTCGCGGCGGGTGCTGCGGACGGGTTGAGGAGACTCACCCGAGTGGACTCGGCCGCCTGTCTCGAGCCATAAAGTGATAAAGTGGACAATCGCATCTGCGGGTACCTCTTGGCATCTGTTGGAACCTCCATTCAAGTCTACGTCATGTGTTATGTGAACAACCTCCAGGGCTTCCAAGACTTGCGTGCAGGGCCATCTCACCAGCGTCGAAACCGCGGGCCTCACGCCTCCGCAAATATAATTGCTCTGCACTGATCGGTGGACGCATTACCGGGCCACAGGTGGCTGCAGGAAATGACTAGTCTCTCAGATACTCAGCTAGACAATACGATCGAGGAGGTTCATTCGACCTTACCCGTGGGCTCCACTTGTGTTGCCTATCATTGCCCGTTGTTGCCTGTTGACTGGCACAGTGTCTTGAACCACTGCCGCCAGTAGACGTTCATAGATCACGAACAGCCCCGGGGGCTAACTCATTCCGCGGGGTCTGATCAGCATATAAATTGCCACCGAAGGAACGCTCATTCTTCTAAAGCTTGGAAGATCTTCTGAACAATGCCTCGGAAGCTCCGTGCTAGACACGCTAACAGAGTGGTGGGTAACACAGACCGTGTCGGTCAAGCCAACTCGGTTCTTGTTCCTCAACTGCCTGCTATCGAACAAACCGAATGTCCGCTTTTTACAATCTTACCAGCGGAGATCCGCAATCACATCTACGCCTTGTCTCTTGAATCGGATGATAGGTCCAAGAAGGATCCGGACTCGCTATATCAGCGCCACGCTTTCTATTACCGTCCGGGTTACAAACAACCGAGATGCATCCCAACAGCCTTGCTCCAAACGTGCCAACAGATCTACCTTGAGGCGTCACTTTTGCCTGCAGCAGTCAATGAGCACACGTTCTGGTTCTATCGCGCCCCTCCTCACGTAAAGAACGCCACGTCACCGGTGGCGTACTTCCAGAAAATGAGCCCAGAGCAACGGGCCCAAGTGTATCATCTGCATTTCTTCTTCCAACAGTTCGCTCTCGAAGACGATCATTGGCACAGTATCCTCCGGGGACTCAAGATCGGCGACAACGATGAACGCGGCATGCGAAGCGACATCAGGATCGCGCCGAAAAAGATGACCATCACACTCCGGCACACGGACTGGTGGCTATGGGAGAATGACGACCCGTTGGGCATTGACCCGTTCCGACAAGGGCGAACTCATGCAGCTGAGATGGGAAATACGAATCGAGAATACAACCCAAGAGCCTGGGGAAACCGGTTTATGCTCATTCCCACCCTGAACGAACTCGTCATTGAGTTCGAAACGGTTCTGCGCAAGAGGAATCAGCTGGATTCCATTCTGCAGATGGCCCACCAATGGAAATTCCCCATGGATGTCGAGAAACACGTGTACCTCGTCGCCGATCCAAGCACGCTAAGAGCGTATACCTGGGTGGGTGCCACGGAGGATGACCTGCAGATGCAGGGAAGCATCTGGCGGGTTATCCCATCGCCACCGGTGGGACCAGAAACTCAGCCTGATACTGCTCTGGCAGGCCAAGCAGCCGCAAATGAAGCACCTCTAAGTCCCACTCTCAGGCCTTTTGAAACCACTTCTGAAATTCGCACCGTGGAGGAAGAAAATTCAGAGAAGTACTACGTTGTTTACTTGACATGGAGGAAGCAAGTTGTAGAGGGGTAAATTTTACATTCCAGTGATCTAGCGTCAATCAGTCCCAAAATTGCTGACGAATATGCCCATAACCCTATTTTGCTCCGGGCTATCCATACTCCTAATACTATACTAGTACTAGTAGACGAAAGCCTTTATGACTCAAGAGCATAATGCAATGATCACATCAACTTCTCGACGATGCTCAAGATTGTTCGTTCTGATGGGTACTCGTAGCACATACTAGTGATCGGCTACCACGAAAATTGATGAATTGATTCTTATTGACACAGGGACTAAACATCCAAGCATGAATCGCTGTGATACTCTGGAGTTTGAATAATATGATACAGATATGTTGAAAATGGCGAAAGTAACTCCATCCCAAAACCCCGGCAATGGTCATACAGATGCTGGCGAGAATAGAAGATGGCCCAACGGCAGTCTCATCTCGAGTAAGGCAAAACGGTCGCTTGGTAGATAGTCGGTTTTCACGAAATATATGGCGACCATGTAAAACAACCAAAATTGGGCGTCCGAGTTTACCGCTTGGGCCATTGGCGCCATCCACGACCATGGCCTCTCTGTTAAGAACACCGTTAGCCGCAGCCATCGAAAACTGCCATAACTGATGAGAACTTACCTGCTTCCACAGACGGATCATCTCCGGCATCTCCATCATTGCCTTGCGGCGGTCCTCCAAGCGAGCCTCCATAGTACGCTCCCACTTGTGACCCTTAACCTTCTGGCCAATACCAGTACCCTTAATAGCCAAGCCACGCTCCGAGAGACGAGCAGCCTTGTAAGGAGTCGACTTAGGTCCAGGTGGGAGAAGAGGCTCAACATTGTACTTCTGGGCCAATTTGACTAGATCTGCTTGTTCTCGAAGTCCATAGCGTGGACCCTTCCACTTCCCAGTGCGGAAGATCTTCTGAGGGAGGAAAGGGTTTGGAAAATTAGGGTCGTTGTGTAGAAGTGCGCGGGAGAACGAATACTTCTCCAGATCGGGTTTCGGAGTACCCTTGGCATCACGGTTGGGTGTGTAAGGCGATGGCAGGGACTTTTCAGCGGCTTCTGTGCCCTCTGCCTGGCTAGCTTCCCGCGGTGTTGGCTGAGGCGCAACTAAGGCGGAGTATTTCTGGGGAGGATAACGGGCGAAGAAATTGCGCAGCCTGGTAGGCAAATTGCCTACTGCTGATGATGCTGCAGACATGATTCCAAATGCAATTGGCGGAGACAAACCAGCTTGTCGGGGAAATTCTAAAGTTGAAGTGGTTGCTTCCATTCACACTAGTCCAGTTGTGGAAATATTGTCGCCTTACTGCCTGAAGCGGTGAACGATTGTTCAGTTAACTAGTTATCTCAGTCTTTTTCGTTTCCGCATTTCGTTGCTCTAGTTTCATCACCTTTTCCGATCCTCCCCGCATTGTTACCCAACAGCTGTTCTTCATCGGTATCTGTGACAGTGCTACAGAAGAACATTTCCCCTCCCTGCTTGTGCATCCTCCAAGATGGAGCCCGTCCCGGATTACGAGTATGGGGGCTCTGAGCAGGAGAATGCGGAGCTGCTGAGACTTGAGCTTGAACTGGTACGTTTGTGACGCGTCGCTCCCAACGAAGACCCGCGCAAGGACCCGCGATAGCCCACCGCTGAGGACCCGTGTGCGGGGCTATTTAACTTGTTATGGTTCTAATAAGATGAACAGCGCGTCGATCCTGACGACTACGGAACGTGGGAGCAGCTCGTGAGCGTCGCTGAGTCGCTCGAAGGTGGGATCAACCGCAACTCCAACCCCCAGGCCATCACCACTGCGCGCCGTATCTATGACAAGTTCCTCGCCAAATTCCCCCTCTTTTTCGCCTACTGGAAGAAGTATGCCGACATGGAGTTTGCGACCACTGGCACTGAAGCCGCGGAGATGGTAAGCTTCAGTCCTACCTTCTAATTCCGTATACCAACGGTGGTACTCTGCGAATGGGTACTTACATGCTGCTCAGGTCTATGAACGCGGCATTGCCAGCATTCCCATGTCCGTTGATTTGTGGGCCAACTATTGTTCCTTCAAAGCAGAGACTTCCCACGACCCTGTCATCATTCGAGAGTAAGTTGGAACATGCCCGTTGGGCTTCCCTTCACCCTACCCACTACCGACGTAGCTGAGACGCTTCTGCCGGCCCGATGCGCAAACTGTGGAGGAGTCGAATGGATGCGCGCTGGTTTAGCAGCTCATTCGAAACCTAACCGACCCGGACGGCAATCGCATTGCACATCTCACCTATGGCTCACCCGAGCTGCTACCTTCCCGAGCAGAACTCAACTTTCCCTCTTGCACCGATACACCAAAGCACCGGTCTTGGCGCTCAAAGCACAGGCTTTCTTGCTTAACTTACCCCCCTCCCCTATAGCTTCTATCTGGCTGTCTCTTCTCGACCGAGGCAGCGATATGAATGTCTCCTCGTGCATATTGCGCTTGATAAACTCCCAATCCTTCTCTCCCTTCCTTGTCCTTCATTGATCAGTCCAAGATGTCCCGATGCTGACCCAAAGCTCAACAGACTTTTCGAACGCGCCCTAGCCGTCGTTGGTCACGATTTCTACGGTCACGACCTCTGGGATAAGTACATCGTGTACGAGGAACGCCTTGAGGCTCATGACAAGATCTTTGCGATCTTGGCCCGTGTCATCCATGTGCCCATGCACCAATATGCTCGATACTTCGAACGCTACCGTCACATGGCCCAGCTTCGTCCCCTTGCCGAACTCGCCCCGAAGGATGTCCTGACTCAACTCCGTGCCGAGGTTGAGACCATGTTTGCTCAAGTCGGAGGTAAGAGCGAGGCCGAGATTGAGCACGAGCTTCGTCTCCGGCTCGATGCGCAGGTCCTGGAGACCTTCCACAAAACCCAGGCCGAGGTAAACAGTCGCTGGGCATTCGAATCTGAGATCAAGCGCCCTTACTTCCACGTCACCGAGCTCGATGAGGCCCAGCTTGTCAACTGGCGGAAGTACCTCGATTTTGAAGAGTCCGAAGGTTCATTTGACCGTATCCGGTTCCTGTATGAGCGCTGTCTCGTAACCTGTGCCTTCCATGAAGAGTTCTGGCTCCGTTACGCTCGATGGATGACAGCTCAGCCTGACAAGGAGGAAGAAGTGCGTTTAATCTACCAACGTGCTGTTTGCATCTTTGTCCCCATTGCTCTGCCTACCATTCGACTGCATTATGCCTACTTCGAGGAGATGGTTGGCCGCACTGAAGTGGCAAAGGAAATTCATCTGGGCATTTTGATCAACATGCCTAGCCATGTTGAAACCATTGTGTCGCTGGCCAATTTGTCTCGCCGTCACGGTGGCCTTGATGCTGCCATCGAAGTTTACAAGACCCAACTGAACTCCCCGGAGGTTGATATGGGCACCAAGGCTGCTCTGGTTGCTGAGTGGGCTCGCCTTCTGTGGAAGATCAAGGGTGCACCCGAGGAAGCTCGCCAGGTCTTTGAAGAGAACAAGCAGTACTACCTGGACAGCCGCCCCTTCTGGTCCAGCTATCTCAAGCTGGAGATCGAACAGCCCACCAGCGCCGAGACCGAGTCCAAAGCCTACGAACGCATTAAGGGTGTAATTTCTGACGTGCGATCTAAGAGCACCCTGCCTCCCGAAGCCGTGAAGGAACTAGTCGAACTCTACATGACTTACTTGCTCGAGCGAGGCACTGCCGACTCGGCCAAAGAGTACATCACTTTGGATCGAGAAATCCATGGCCCTGCTTCTATCGCGCTAGTTCGTACTGGCGGCCATTACGCCTACTCCCCCGCCGCTGCTGATCTTATTTCCTCGCAGCAGCCTGCTGCCGACCCAGCCGCAGCGCAAGCTTACGCCTACTACCAGCAGGAAGGCGCTCTGAACGGTGCTCCCCAGGCCTAAAAAGATACCCCAGACCCACTAACGGTTTCAAAATATCCCCCCTCGGATTTGTTTACGAATATTGCAATTTCTTGAGCGGCATTTGCCCATCTCCAATTCGGTGTTGTGGTTTGTTTCTTTCCCCTTTCTTCTGGGTGGGTATCCTTCTTTCTCTGTAGTACCAATCAATTTCTTTCTTATCTTCTTCGTTCACAAGTCTGTAAGGCTCGTAGTTGAACTTTCATGGTCCAGCACAAATTCTGTAATCATACTATATATGGAGGCTTCTAATTTACTATTGCTTTTAAAGGAGTGGTCTTATTTGCAGCATAATGATGTCGCGGGTGCTAGTCCTGATATAATGCTGCGTACTTAAATTTGAACTAATATGCTATCCAAATTGGAGATAATACTCGTACGCCATTTGTCTCCATTCGCATATATAAAACGTTCCGAAGTCGACCATAAAGGACGTGTTTCTAATCCAACTTGGAGAAAATCAAAAGAAAATCCGTACATCGCTTAAATATGCATATCAACTAGCAAAATACCAAAAGCATTAGCTTTTCCCATTTAGTTTCCGAATGTTGGGATGGCCCATCATTCCATTAGCTTGGGTTTGGAGTGCCCGTGTTCGGTTCTCTCGTTCAGCCTCATCCTGTAACAACGGGTTATTCCTTATCACCACGTGATATTTCACCGCTTTGCACAGCGAGCTCTTACAGTCTGCCGTAGATTTTCAACATCCACGTATTTGCCGTTTCGCGTTTCGCTCTTTCGTTCTCCCATCCATCACTCCCCCAAGCGCCACGATGGAGGGAGGTAATACCAACGGCTTTGGAGGGGCCGCTCCAGCTTCCCCCCAAAGGCCGCCTTCACCACCCCCGCCGCCTCCATTGGAATCTGGCGTACCACCCCCTCCACCTCCGGACATGAACCCACCAGCGCCTCCTCCGGACATGAACCCACCAGCGCCTCCTCCGGACATGAACCCACCAGGACTTCCTGTGGAAACGAAAAGACAGAAACAGGGATGGGGTACTAAGAAATCATCTGGTCAAGCTAAAAATGCAGATGAGATCTTGCGCGCGAAGAAAGAACGTGATGATGCTGCTTCCAAGGTATGCCTCTCGTGATAACTTGTGAATAGTCCATTCTTATGCCACCGGTAATCTAACAAGACGGTCGTCCTTTAGCCGAAATTCTTATCAAAGAAAGAACGCGAGAGGATCGCGCTTGAGAAACGGGCTGCCGAGGTTGCAGCTGCGCAGAAGCCCAAGGATGATAGGATGAAGTTTGGGGAGACCAAAGCTGCAGGTTCCAGCATAGCGAGATACAACAACGCGAAGCATGATGATATGATACAAGACAGCCGATCCTCCGGTGAAAGAGCCCCCACTGGCCCTCGGGCCATGCGTGACAATTACGACGAGCGATCTAGAAATGACCGTATGCTCCCATCTCCCCCTCCAGCTTCCGGGAAAGAAAAACGTGGCTCGAAGGCAGAGAAGTGTCTCGCGGAAGAGGACGAAACGGTTGCACAAGCAAAAATGGTCCGACAGTACTACTTGGGATCGGAACAGACCTCAAATTTCTCAGTGAAGAAGCGAAAGCGGGGAGCCGCCGACAAATTCAATTTCGCGTGGAGCGCTGACGAGGACACGAGTCGCGACTACAATCCCCTTTACCAGCACAAACATGAGGCAAACTTCTTCGGGCGAGGCAGGCTGGCAGGCTTCGGTGACGATGTTGTAGATCAACAGGCGCAGAGGTACGCACGGGCCCTGGAAACGAGAGATCATGAGTCGGGTGAAATGCGCGCAAAGGAGGTCCTCGAGATGGAGCGACGCCGTCGCGAGGAGGATAAGCGTACCCAGATCGACAAGCACTGGAGCCAGAAAGCTCTCAAAGATATGCGCGAGCGAGACTGGCGGATCTTCAAAGAAGATTTCGAGATTTCTACCAAGGGAGGCAGCGTGCCCAATCCGATGCGCTCTTGGGCTGAGAGTGGATTGTCAAATCGCGTGCTGGAACTAGTTGAACAGGTCGGATACAAAGATCCGACGCCCATTCAGCGTGCCGCAATTCCTACTGCCCTCGAATCTCGTGATCTTATTGGTGTTGCCCAGACAGGTTCCGGTAAAACTGCAGCTTTCATACTTCCTCTTCTCATGTACATCATGACGTTACCACGTTTTACAGAAGAGCCCTGGCGTATTGCCGAAGGCCCATACGCTATTGTCCTGGCTCCGACCCGTGAGTTGGCCCAGCAGATCGAAAGTGAAACAATGAAGTTCACTGGACCTCTTGGTTTCAAGGTCGTCAGTATCGTCGGTGGCCACTCCATCGACGAACAAAACTACAATCTCCGTAACGGCGCGGAAATTATCATTGCTACCCCTGGTCGTCTGGTCGATTTTCTCGAAAGACGTATGCTAGTCCTTAACCAATGTTGCTACGTGATCATGGATGAAGCCGATCGTATGATCGATATGGGGTTCGAAGACCCCGTGAATAAGATCCTGGACGCGCTCCCTGTGACCAATGAAAAGCCTGACACCGATGAAGCCGAGAACTCGCTCGCTATGCGCCGATACCGATACCGCCAGACAATGATGTACACTGCCACCATGCCTGCAGCTGTCGAACGAATTGCCCGAAAGTATTTGCGACGACCGGCCGTCATCAGCGTCGGCAATGTGGGTGAAGCCGTCGATACAGTCGAGCAACATGTCGAGTTGATCACCGGCGAAGAAAAGCGCAAGAAACGACTTGCCGAGATCCTAGGCTCTCGCACCTTCAGGCCACCGATCATCGTCTTCGTCAATATCAAGCGCAACTGTGATGCTGTTGCCCGCGACATCAGGCACATGGGCTTCTCAGCGGTTACCCTCCATGGTTCCAAAACCCAGGAACAGCGTGAAGCCGCCCTTGCTGCCCTCCGTAACGGTCAAGCGGAAATTCTCGTTGCAACAGATCTTGCTGGACGAGGTATCGATGTACCCGATGTGTCACTCGTCATCAATTTCAACATGGCGTCTTCCATTGAGACCTACACCCACCGTATCGGTCGTACCGGTCGTGCGGGCAAGAGTGGTGTCGCTATCACATTCCTGGGCAATGAAGACGCTGATGTCATGTTCGTTCACCCTTTAGTCCCCCCATCCGATCCCATCACATGCTAACAATCCTCTAGGTACGATCTCAAGCAAATGCTCGCTAAATCTCCCATTTCCCGCGTGCCGGACGAGCTTCGCAGGCACGAAGCAGCTCAATCTAAGCCCACACGAGGCCATGGGAAGAAGATCGAGGACAGCTCCGGTGCGGGTGGAAAGGGAGGCTGGCCATAGGGTGGCCAGTCGAAACTAGCACCTCAGTCACAGCAGCGATATGGTCAGGGTCCACATGGTTGGCCATTCCGAAGGGCCCCAAGCGCGAGTGCCTCAATTTATTACAGGCCCTTCTAATGTCAATCCGAAACCGATGCACCCCCTTTGCCTCGGCTAATAGCCAGAGAGAATGGAAGCGAGCCAACGAAATGGGTGGTCAAGTCTTTCGTCGTCAAGGATGATCCGGGTAAGGTCCCGCGTTAGTTATTCACGATACCAGGATTCAAATCTAGCAACCAATGTATTCTTATCATGTACTCCGGTGAATCAATCTTCATCAAGTTTCCTGCTTGACACTCAGTTCTAGAAAGTGACACCAATTTCCAACAAAATTCACCAGGATCGACTTTCGTGGCTTTTCCGCCAGATACTAGCAGAAAAAATCTCCTGGTTCTGTCTTTTCTCTTCTTACAACCACTCGACCTTCATAGCTTTGATTAGGTGTAGCTTGACCATCCCACTTCCACCAATTTCCGGCAAAACTCACCAGGATCGACTTTCGTGACTTTTCCGCCAGATACTAGCCAAAAAATTTTTACTGGTTCTGTATTTTCTCTTTTTACATCTACTCAACTATTATGTTGTCGTTTGCTGTAGTGTTAAAGCCCCGGTCATAGAATGTGACACCAAAATCTAGCAAAATCCACCAGGATCAACTTTCGTGGCTTTTCCGCCAGATACTAGCAGAAAAAATCTCCTGGTTCTGTCTTTTCTCTTCTTACATCTACTCAACCTTCATGGCGTCGTTTGCTGTAGCGTTACCTCGACATCAGATTCGGATTGAGTAGCTTGTGCTTGTAGATGAGATGCAGTGGGTGTTCATGCCTAGATACCCTGATGGGATTATCATCCTCACTCAAGTATGCGTTCTAGATAGCACGGCCGGCCATAGTGGCTCTTCGCCCAGTCAAAAAAAAAATGACCTTTCCACTTTCTGCATACAGCACCAATAAAGGATACCCATAAAGTCTGCATCAGGTGACAGCTCCATTTAGAAAATCTATCTGAGTTAGATTCGTCCACACCATATCTCTTGCTGGTGGGCATCATGACAGATTTGACAAGAATATATTAGGAAATCACCAGGAAAAGGTTCTAGATAGGCCTCGCCTTCCTAAACTCGATTTCAACTATTTCCAGGAATAGCTACCATGTTTTATGGTCCCGAATCATGCAATTCAGCGAGGGTAATCACTGCACTAGTACATTTCAACTAGATAAGTTGCTAGGAGAGTGGAGTGTAAAGGCGGGTTGAAAATAAAAGGGCCCCCGCTAGAAAGGAAAGGGCAAAAAAGCCAAAGCCCGAACAGAATGACTACCACGCCATGCTAAACAAAAGGGACTCATAGCTTGCTCTGCAAGTACTGGTTCTTGTTGAGCCAGGTCTCGACGTCCTCGCGGTCACGGTTGATCCAGTTAACCTTGGCGCGAATGGCATCAAGACTCTGGGAAACAGCGCGGTCGTATCCCTATGACTTATGTCAGTTACTTGCACGGAAGGAAGCGCCCATGGGGGGAATTCATACCTTAGTATCCTTAGATTTGAAGAAAGCATCGACCTCATCGAGCTGAGCTTGGGTAGAGAAACTGGCAGTAGTGAGCTGAACGACAGTGCCCAGCATACCAAGAGACGGGGGAAGACGCTTGTAGATCTCATCCCAGTTCTCCTTGAGCCAAGTCCAGCGGGCCTGGATACCGGCAGTGTGGTTGCGGAGGCCACCCAGGGGCATGTAGATGTCCTGGTTCTTGACCTCGCCGCTGGTAGCCAGATCAAGGGTACGCTTGATGAGCTCAGGGTCTTCGGCAGCACCGAGACAGCGGAGAGCAGTGGTCTTCTCGTCGGAAGTAGGGGCATTGCGGAAGCGATCAAGGATAACCTCGTACTCCTTAGAACCACCGTTCTTCAGGACGATAGTGAAGACACTGCCGCGGATGTTGGGGTGGATGGCGGAGATATCGCCTGCAGCGAAACGAGCAAACATGTCTTGAGCAGCCTTAACCACAACGGGGTCCTCGGCTAGACCGGCGGCGCCAAACATGAGGGCCTTGAGCTGCTGAAGAATGTGGCCGTCACTCTCGGAGAACTCCCAGCCGACCTCGTGGGCCTTGGCGCTAACCAGGGCACGCTGGAAGCTCTTCAGAGCATCCTTAGTCTTCTGGTCCTCGAATAGCCAAGCAGCACGGAGGCCTCCAATACGAGTCAAAATTTCATTCCAAACGACGAATTCGGACTCAGTGTCCAGTCCCTGGAGCAGAGAAAGCAGACCGGAAGTCTTCTGGTATCCGGAAGCAGCCAGGGCACCAGAGTCCGCAATCATACCGGCACGATCTTCAACAGTGAGCAGGCCATCGCGAGCAGCCTTGGCGAGCTTGGCAAGACGCTCTGGGGAGTAGGAGGTGCGATAGATGGCGGAGTGGTCGGCATTGAGCTTGTAGAAATCAAGGTCGGGAACCTTGAACTCCTTCTCACGCTCAGTGAGCATGGTGTTTTCATCTATACCCTCCTTGCTGCGAAGACCGAGCATGACGGGGTAGAGACTTGATCCTCCTCGGGCTTGACGTCGCCAGTGCGGAGGAATCGGTTCTGCTTTAGGCTGATAGAGGACGTGGCGGGGTTTTCAGTCACACTGACGACAGGAAACCCGACATTCTTGGTCCAGACGTCCATGACAGACTGGACTGGCTTGCCGCTGGCATCACCCAGGGCGGACCATAGATCACCAGTCTCGGTGTTTCCGTAGGCGTGCTTCTTAATGTAATTGCGAACGCCCTGCAGGAAGACATCCTCACCAAGATATTTGGAGATCATACGCAGGACAGATGATCCCTTCGAGTAAGAAATGGCATCGAAGATCTGGTTGATCTCATCGGCACGCTTGACGGGAACCTCGATAGGGTGACTGCTACGAAGTGAGTCAAGAGACAGAGCGCTCTGCAAGTTATCAATGACATAGGTCTGCCACACCTTCCACTCTGGGTAGAAGACGTTGCAAGAGTACCACGACATCCATGTAGCGAAACCCTCGTTGAGCCACAGACCATCCCAGAAGTCCATAGTCACCAAGTTACCGAACCATTGGTGCGCCAATTCGTGCTGGACAGTCTCGGCAATTCGCTCCTTGCGAGAAGCGCCGGCTGTCTTCTCATCCAACAGGACATCGACGATACGGTATGTGATCAGACCCCAGTTCTCCATAGCCCCCGCGCTGAAGTCGGGCACTGCCACCATATCCATCTTCGGCAAAGGGAACTCGCTATCGAAAGCCTTCTCATAGAACGCGAGAGTCTTTGCAGCGAGCTCGAGAGAGAAGCGTCCGTGCTCAATGTCCTGGTCAGGTGTGGCGTAGACACGGACTGGGACGCGGAAGTTGTTTGTTTCCACGTATTTCAGATGGCCCACAATAAAAGCAACTAGATAAGTGGACATCAGAGGCGAGGTGTTGAACTTGACAGCCTTCTTCGCACCGCCCTGGACGTCGGTTTCAGAAGCAACGTCCATGTTACTCAGACAAGTCATGCCCTTATCAGCGACCAAAGTAACCGTGAACTTGGCCTTAAGAGCAGGCTCGTCAAAGCAAGGGAAAGCACGGCGAGCGTCGGTGGGCTCCATCTGAGTTGAAGCAATGTATTTGGTCTCCCCATTTTCTTGGTATGAAGAACGGTAGAAACCGGCCATGTTGTCGTTCAAGATGCCTGAGAAGTTGAGCTTCAGCTGGGCACTCGACCCCGCAGATAACGCTTGAGGGAACTTGATCGTTGAGGTCTGGGCATCTTTGTTTGTGGAGATTTGAGGCTTCGATTCGACCACCGTGCCATTAGAGGAGACGACTGCATCATGGATCTTGAGCTCGTTGGTGTTGAGAGAGATGAAGTCGGTGTCTTCGTTCACATGGAGGCTATTCATGACAGGTCAGCGGTGCCAGCGAAATGGTAATTCGCCGGGTGTGTCATACTCAATCGTGACAGTTCCGTCGTAAGTAAACTTTTCAAAGTTGGGTTCCAGAGTCAAATCGTAATGGACTGGCTTGACGTTGGTGGGCAAGACCTCGCGGCCCTGCACATTGGTCGAGCCAGATACGCCGTCGCGTCGTGAGATGCACATCCTGCGATAGGAACAGTATCTTTTGGGGATATGGGGAAGGGGAAAGGAGCTCAGGCGAGTTGGCTTAAGAGCAGGCGCTGAGCGAGGGGCGGAGGCAAAGAGGGGGAGGGGTGATCTGGCAGATAGAAGCGGTGGCTTTGCTTTGGATTGAAGCAGCGCTCGCGTGGAGAAACGTCGCATCGGGGAACGGTGTCGGGAACAACCCCAATTGGACCTGGAAACAAAGAAAGTGACAAGCACGGGGAACCCCTCCGAGCTATATAATACACGGTATTAAAAAATATATCTATATTAGTACAATTGAAACAATGAAAACCGCCTCGAAGGGGATCGAGGCTGTTCGAGGATACCCGTAAGAAATAAATGCCGCGGCAAAACTGCAGGGCGGTGAAACGCCATTGGCCTTCCGCTTTTTTTCTTTCTTTGTTCCCTTTTTCTTTCCAACCACGCAAGTCTTACCCAGCGTATGCCCAATCTTGACGGCACTCGACTGTGGAGCAGCCCTGCTTCGGTAGATGCTCCTCTCTTGCAAGATCGTGCCTCCAGCCAGTTTGAGGGGCCCATGATAGCTTTGCTACCCCGTGAATGGGCATCCATAGAGTTCTGGGACATACCTAGCCCTTATTAGTTTCATTGGAAGTCGAATGCATCAAATCTTTAGAATAAATCATATGCACCGTAGAATGAGATGGCCACCATCTACTCACACAATTTCATGCATTTGCAAGTTGCAGGATATCTTCTGGTCCCTGTTCTGGATCGCAATAATCGCATGTCTTCCGCGTAGACTGGATCAGAATGTCTACGTCGCTACTCAATGCCTCAGACGGTCATAATCCAAGTTATCGGCCCTGTTAAATGATTTGGAGACTTAGAAATCTGGTCAGATCAGCAAGTTCGCTAGTCCGATCATCTGCCAGCGGAGGTTGGCCAGACCAGCCCCATGGTCGATAGACATGTCTATCGCTATTAGCTCACAGCCGAAAGAGCAGATGCAAAGTCATATCATCAAAGGCAGTGAGTATTCGTATATGAGAGACATTTTTAGAGCAAAAAGCATAACAATGTCCTTCTAAGGTACTTTTAAAGCAACCACAGAATCACGCGATGGCCTAGGATTCCATCAGGGACTCCAAGGTCCTCCATTGATATCCGTTCCACCTCCCATTATGGCGGGACAATCGTGTTGAAGAAGCATTTCAACGAAGGCATATTTGGGGTTTAATAGTTGGCGTCTTCGCAAGTAGATCAGGCCTGAGCTCGGGTGCTTTAGGGCTTTGGGTATATACTAGAAATTTACTATCAATTCAACACTTTGCCCAGCTGCAAACGCCATCCCATTCTGTTCAATAAGGTGGATCAATTCTATACAGAGTTGACGCAGGATGCAGATACGCTTCGTATTCCACTTCTTGACCACCGTCCACATCATAATGATAGTGACCTCCCTTGCGAGCACCCTCAGTTTCAAAGCAATGCGTATGCTCCATGCGCAACCCCAGATTCTCGGGATCCGCACTATGAAAAACAGTCAAACATACGACCGGAGCTTCAAACAGATAGTACCGAATCCACTCATTTTCCAACTGCTTCCTGTCTCGAAAAGGAAGATCCTCTGGCCTCGGAAAGTCTGGCATAACATGAAACTTCGCCTTGCCCGATTTCAAAAGGAATACCCCACCAAGACTTATAGGTTTATCCTCCCCATAGTGGGCGCGCAGACCATCACGAATCACATTCGTAAAGTTGCCTTCCCCTGTCCGTGCACGAGCGGTGATTTTGATTACTGGGCCGGAGATCCCCTCGGATCCGTACAGATTCATCATTAGAGCGCAGTTTGTACTCGCTAGACTATGACACGCCGATGAGCCGTCTTCCTTTACTTCAGTCACGTGCGTGTTATTTTGCAGCTGAAGTGACCCTGGGTCCTCAAGGTTCCAGTTCTGCGACTCCGAAGTCCACGAGAAGTTCGGCGCGAGTTCGGCGTTGTGGCCGATATCTTGCCAGGGCGCTGCCCCCGCGCCGATCAGGAAGCCTTTCCTTGATGACATCTGCATGTCCTTCGCGATCGACAGCATGGAGTATTTTGCTTCCATGTTAGGCTGAGGGAAAAGATTTGGCTGGCCTCCAATATCGGCGACCTTTGCATTTCCCGAGAGGCCTGGCGCGGCCAGATTGAAGGGTGGTTGTCGGAGATCTGGACATTGGGCGACTATGGCAGTTGCGTGGGTGAAGTTTGACTGGAGGGACGTTTGGATGACGGTTGCCAGCTCAGTCAAGTCTGGAGTTTCCCTTGGGTGAGTTGTCACGCTCATTTCGAAAGTCTACCATAAAAATACTTTGGGACGAGAAGGAATGTCGAATCCAGATCCCCACGTGGCAGATGCTTAGAGCCCGCACGTCATCCGCCGGTTCAATAGCCGCTGATTCTCAATCTTGCATCGCTAACTAATTGCTAGAGGAAATTTTAGTTCGATGTTTTCTGATGAAACTTGGACCTGGCATTGACTACTGCGAAATGTTCAGCACGTTGACAGAACCGTCGTATCATTGCGCATTGTAGATTTCATTCAGGGAAAGATAGGATGATTTGGCATTCTGGATGCCTCCCACCCTATCAAAACATACCCCGTCTTTCGGTCAACAAGAGGCCGCCTAGTATGAAGGCGAACTTTATTTTCTCTAGCCTCAGACTTGATTCAAAAGTATTAAAGCATCCGATCATCCCATCATATATCCTCATTATCTGGCCACATAGTCATATCTCATAAGAGAACGAAAAAAAAAGGAAATGGGAAAACACAAGAGAGAAACTATAATCCACACGAAAGAGAACAAAAGATCATAAGGTGCATTCCTACCCCGTCTTAACAAACGCGCGTCTACACCACATAGTGTGGACGACTGCGACTCGAGCTCCTGTGACGATGATGCCCTGAGCTCGAGTGCCCCGTCGGGAACTATGGCTGCGTCGACGCACAGTCTCTTTCACAACAACCTCGCGCTCGCCCCGCGAATGCAGGAAAAGCGCCCAGAAGGCCGTCCACGAGAAGAAGATGATTTCCATAATGCCAATCGCAAAATTTGCCTTCAGCATCGAGCACGTTTTGTTGATAGACAAGTGCAGGTCATTATCGATGCGCGCGCCGTATGCGCCGAATGGGCCAAGCGAGACCCAGACCGAGCCGCCATCCCAGTGGGAGCAGTTCGCGTTCGCGATGAAACGCAGTTCGTAGACGCCTGCGATAAAAGCACCCATGAAGCACAGGTCGACGAAGGCGACGAAGAGGGGTGATCGCTTTGTTGAGGAGAAGCGGATCAGCGTATCTAGGGCCCAGAACACAGCGATTACGCTGACGATGAAAAGGACCAGAATGTACGGCGGGGTGAGGATATTGGCATCGAGGTAGCCGTTGACGAAGTAGGCCTAGTTTCGTCGTGTTAGATCAGGCCTTGTGGAGGCAAAATTGCGATCTGGACCTGAACTAGGGAGGATCTCAGATCGTGGGTAGGACTCACCATCATTCCAATGATGGGGATCAGGAAGACGATCTCCACCATACGGTTGAAGATGAAGAACAGGCTGCCAATCATCTTGCCGGCGTCGAGTAAAGCGTGGGAGGCGTGGTCTCAGGAATGCGACAAGGCGAGAGATAAGGCTTGGGTTGGGTTGCTCGGGTATGTATGTCCCAGTACCTGTTGTACGTCTAGTGCGCTCTGTACTCCTGGCTGGCAATAGCTACGCAAGCCTCATGCAGCGATCGGAGCGTAGAAGGTATTGCGATCGCAGCCTAGACAGATGCACGAGCTAGAAACGAAGGGATGCAGGAAGGAAAGTTGAGAAGGGTGCGACAGACGTAAAAAGCGTCATCGTCGCTGACGGCGGGGGAAGACGGCGGGGGGCTGGGCGAGTCACATTGGAGCGTAATTGGGTGGCTGGGGCAACCAGAGTCCTTCCTTTTTCTCTCGTCAATTACCGACGAGGCCCAGATCCGCGAGTCACTGTAGACTTGCTTGAATCGAGTATAGCGTTTGTTCCTTGGCAGCATATTTTAATGAATGTCTTGCATTTGTTGATCTTGTTAGTATAGCGTTGCAGCAGCAACGCTGGATCCCGCGGTGGAGTCGCCCATCAACCCAATGGGATTGGTTGCTTTTACTCCGTAGTCTCGATTCGCTATACTCTGCTTTCTAGGCCGAGGAAGCAGCTTTTCTACAGATCAATCATTCAAAGGGCTTAGCGCACTGAGCTCCTTTCTTTGCCTTTGCAAACTACATTATAATTTCAGTTCATGTTCCTTGCAGCGAAGATCTCCAAGCTACTCCGTGAAGTATAGTTAATTCCTCAAACGCCATGAAGCATTATTCTTCCGTTTGTCCGTACATGCGATAATTGAATATGCAATTTTTGCAATACAATGCCCAAGAAATACCCCCTAGACAGGTGAGCTTCAAGTCAGAAACGCTACGCTAAACATGACTAGATACCGTGGGCTGGATCAACCGCCCGCGGATCATGCACAGAATGTCCAACCACGACACCAGAAGATTCCAAATCATTGAGGCGCCCGGCAGGCGTCTGCGACGGATAGGCCGTATTAGCCTCAAAGGGTTGAGCATATGGATTACTCAGGGGAATTTGACCCATTGGATATCCACTCTGCATCTCATAACCATCACCAACATCTTCCTCACTGGAAGAGTAATTCCCGTCTGGGTGATGGTCATGCGAGCGCCGTGGATGAGCCCTTGAGGTGGGATCGTAGGCCTGGTTGGCGTAACCCGATGCGATAGGAAACGGAGCGGGCGATACGGAGCCCTCACGCGGGTGCAAGGCATCTAAACGTTCACTGTTTGGATCGCGAAGGTTCTCCGTACTACCAGCCAAAGGGGCGAATTGAGCGCCACCAGGCACGACAGGCTCCGTGCCCCAGGTGCGAATGGGGTAAGCCCGACCCTTGCGCCAGGACTCACTGAGAGGAGGAAAGTATTGGTGGTAAGAGAGGTAGGCGCATGCGATACCGAGCATACCCCCCCGTGATCACATCGAATGGGTGGTGGCGTGCGTCCATGATTCGAGAAACGGCGACCAGCGTCGCTGCGAGGAGCGGAACGGATACAAGGAGAGTCTTCCAAGTTTCACCACGTTGGTCCATGATATGGAACTTGCCACCGAGCCAGAGGGAGAGGTAAGTTAGACCGGCGAAAGAGGCTAAATCAGAATTAAAGTTAGCAATTTCCGAATGCCACATGGCTGGGTCAGAAATCTGCATCAGTGAGACTCACAGCTGCTATGTCCTAAATAATCATTAGTAAGTATTTCCTTTCGTGAGTTTTCTTCTTAGGTGCACTTACCAGATGGCCATGATCGGAACCCGTCCTTGATCAACGCTGGACTGCCCGTGCAAATAGTCGAGTTGGACAGCCCATAAGGGCTTAGGTCTGCACTCCCAGGGACAGGCTGACACCGATCGATAATATCCGGTCGTGGCTTGCCGCATGCATTCTTGAGAACCTGGGTAATCAAGAAAGCCAATGCCTGGGAGAGCAAAAGCCCAAGAATTCCACAATTTAGCTCCCATAGCCGATCCTTCCACCGCCACGGCCCACGCAGCTTGCGCTTCCCCGAGATCGGGTCTTGGGGTTTGTGATGGGAGAACAAGCCATCGAGGAGAAGTGTGTAGATCGCGATCACGACGAGGGGGAAAGCACCGGAGATGCACAGCGCATACTGGATCGGGATGCGTTCGTGGACCGCGTACGGATACTGGAGGGTGTAGTTCCTGAGGGAAAAATGTTGATGGTACGGTTCGACCGAGTCGAGGATCCAAAAACCAATAACGCAGGCACTATGTGATTCCAAGCAAAGTCAGTGACGAAACTCTCGCAATCGCGGGGACGGAACGGGGACTGACATCAAGATCACATAGTCGAAGATGTAGCTGGAGGATTTGGTTAGTGGCAGGAAGTCAATTCCGCGGGGGTCAAAGGAACCCACGAAATCACCACGCGCGGCCGAAGCCGGCGTTTTGAGAAGGGTAGTTTGCTCGGAATTTCCATGCGGACATGAAGCTCTTCACCGGAGCAGGTGTAACAGGAAAACTCGAAGTTGGGAACTCGAATTTGAACATTCGAAAGTCGCGTGTGCAGGGCGAGACCAATAAAGTCACGGTGCGCAATGGCGCAGCTTGGCGCTACAGGGCAGGCGTACGTGCAAAACGGGGGCCCACCGATTAGACATACTAAGCCCCTTTTCTCTCTAGATACGGTGGCGGAGCTCAGCTTTGATCCCGATCTCTGTCCCTTGTTAAGGGTCTTGTAGTAAATTGTGGGGGGGGTCTCCAGGCCAGTGACAGACTGCGCAAGTTCTGTTGGTCTAGACATTCAGGCTGGCGCCCGCGGGCGCTGCGCCGCCGGGCCTAGACGCAGATCTTCATCTTGAAACCGCCGTAGACTGGAGCGTCTCTACGAGTTCTAGTAATAGCAATAACTTGGCCTGAAGTGAGACTGTCATTTCTCCAAAAATGATGCCTTTTCCATCTAATTCCCACTGCTTTACATCATATTCCATTCGCGGTCCTTTGCTAGTTACTACATACTTCAGTGCCTAATTTCTTAGCGTGGGTTAGGCTTCTAGGCGGCGGCTGATCCATCCTAGTTTAGGCAGCATAATTTTGTCACATCTAACACCTGGATTCAAAACTAATGACTGCAGCTACCCTGTCCGCAACATAGTCTCCATATTGAGGTCCGTTTCAAGAATTTTGTCAGTGAAGCCTCATTCTTAGTCTCCGCCCAAGTCGCTGTGTGATGCACTAGTGTCTTGTCTACAACCCCCGAAAGATGGATGTTAGACACGGCGAATCTGGCGCAGATAAGGCGCCTGGACGACAGGTCTCGAAATTCCACCTGCTACTTGCCCTCTGTCGGAATATTAAGATAACCACCAGCTGGTTTTGGCACACCGAGGCAAGTTTTCAATACTGCGTACAAAGAGTCATCCAATCCAACGCTCTCATGCAGCAGATCCGTGTTAAGTTGGTTCTCCTGCCATTTTGTTTTTTAACAAAATATATTACGATCATTCAAGTCATCCAGTTCCTTTTAGGCATAGTCGTGTTACTTTTCAGTCACTGCAGGCTAGTTCGTCAAGAACGAAGCTTTAGCCTGACAGAAACATGTAGCCACTGGCAAAATCTTGCCGAAGGACAACCATAAACACGCTAAACGAGTGGATGAAGTACTTCCAGAACAGCATAGACGACAGCTCAATGATGGCCTATTATGGAACAAGCAAGCGCGCTAGCTCAACTCGGGACTGGCATGGCAAGACTCAATGAATATATTTAGCGAATCAACGCTCCCTAGACGGATCGGTGCGCATGTGGCCAAGCTAAAGAGACCGCGAAGCACTTCCTATTTGACGTCGGAACTGGGCTGCGCACCGGGTGGAACTGCTACAATGTACCGACATATACCGGGAAATATCTCCTTTTCGGGAGGGAATTGCCTTCTGATGACCAGAAATGCACTTCGGACTTGGAAGCCTCAATAGGGTTCGCTGTCGCAACAGGCCGATTCGGGGCCACTTAACCGTACGGATGAAAACACATCAACCCCGTTTTCTAATCTAATTACCAACGACTTGGCGATCCATGTGGTAGATGCACTTCAACTGCCGAAAATAGAAGTTCGGACATTGGGAGAGCCGCATTGAAGACATCTACTAAGAGAACTACTACATATTTTGCCTAGATTTTGATTAGTCGTGCTCCTTACTGTTTCCTCTTGGGAAAAAGGCGAGTCTTTATTACTTGTGTTAGATTCGCTCAGTATATAATAATATATCCCTTCATCCACAACAAATTCCTGGCTTTGCTTCCTAGTTATTTACATCCTACCTAAGTTCAAATGACGACCACCCTCTCCTCACCCGTCTTCACATGTCCTCCCATAGTGTGTCCTAGGCTGGCATTTACCCAGGCCAACATCGCAAGATCACCCGCTCTTCGTCTCGCGTACAGCATACTACAGCAGCCGTCATAACACCTTTCAAGGTCTGCAAAGCCCCCCTGAGAAAATCTCATCCACAAAATGGTGCCTCGGCCCTTAGCCCTGGTGCTGACGCAGACGTATAAGAACCGCCATTCCTGAGAACAATTCTGAATCCCGCATTATAGCCTTTCGATCCGCATTCCCTAGCGAAATCTGATATCCTTGTCTCTGCGGTGGGACTCATCTTGCTCGTCGCATGAGTTGCCCACGACAAACATGAGCTGCTGCTGTACCAAGTGATACATGCAGAACACATCCTCTCACCGAGTCTCTTGCCATTATTAACTTCCTTGAGTCCAGCAAGGATCTGTCAGAAGCTGAAACAGAGCCAACCCCAGAGACGAAGCTGGCAATCCCATGTACGCCCCGCAGCAAGCAAATCTGATGCCGCCACCGGGGTCGTTACGGTCGCATTAGGTCCTTTTCGACAGACCGTCTTCATTGATGAAGGCAGAGTAGTAGCTCCGTAGAGCATCTTGTTCGTCCATTAAGGTGTCGATTGTGTAGAGTGTGAAATCGACGCCAGTCACCCGATCGGTATAATCACCCGCATTGAATAACGTAACTTCAGACTGAGTATCTATAGACTGTGCGAGAGCACCTGGAAAGAATAACCTCAGCAGTACAAAGCACACAGTCATGGTGATGAAGCCAATGACTGTTTTTGCGACAAAGGTTTGAAAATCTTTGCTGTCATCCCGCCGCTTCGGGACATTGGAGTCGCTCATTATGCTCTTGAGGCTCAGTAATCTTTCTTTTTGATGAATGAGAGAAATATCAAAGGCGAGAGAGGAATAAGAGTGCAGGGGACTAGGAAATGGCTTCCTGGCTTTATAGGCGTCCAGCTATCCTCAACCGATGCACTTACTGTAACATAACAGGGAATAAAAAACAAGAAATTTGGAGGCCTCGGACTCCGGAGTGCCCACTTATCTATACACGTGGATAAAGTTTGTGTAAAGAATACAACATCCACTTCGACGCTAGAGACATTTTCTTTTTGGTAAGATTCATGAGTCTGTGAAATATAGACCCCTACCATGTTAGACATCATCTTACTACCATTTTGCCTCGACTATTTAGAAAGACGCGTTGGAAACCCCTTCCTATTAAACGTAGATTATGATAGTGGCTGGATCAGCGAGCATATGGATATGGCAAGTTGGAAAGGCCGTTAAGAGAGTAGACGGAGAGAAGCGGAGCAGGGTTCTTTTGATGTTATACTAGGCAGCAGTTCCAACCGCCCCACTACAGGGGACATGCTGTTGGGTGGTTCTTTGTTTGATTCTTACTTGATCGGGAAGGGAGACAGGGGGGAAGGAGGGGAAGCGAGGGAATGAGGCGATTATTGTGGATAATATCTTACAGATACCATACATTTTAGCGGTAAATTTCTTTTTTAAAAAAGCAAAACGGACAGGACTTTTTAGATGGACCTCCGTAGCCCAATCATGGAAAGTCATACTAATACACGAACAGAACGAGGCTTTTTTTTTGCACCAAGCGGATTTGAATCGCTGGGGGTTTTGCTTCTCAGCCGCAAAGCACAGATCTAACGGTCTGGACCCGTACATATCTTCCGGTGATGAACACGTATCAAATGTGGGGTCAAACCACACCTTCCGAGATCATCTTGTTGACAAAGTTCAATCCATATACCTTTGGATAATGCTCTCAACAAGCGGTGATGTAAAGACCGAGACTAGAAGAATCAATTAGTGAAAACTCATATCACCAGGGTAGACTAGACTTACGGAGAAGGATTCCAGTCCTCGAAGAAATGGAGATAGGTGCTTCCCGCATTCTTAATCTCATAGCCAACGGCCTGTCCAGCCGGGCAAGAGAAAGTGTTCACGACGTATGAGTGACCAGGGGAGATAGTGATATCCCCAAAGTCGTGGGAAACAGAGGGCGCATTGTTGTATGTAGTGGAAGTGCTGGCTGTGGCAGACAGCTGGGAAATATCAATCTTGCCGTCGCCGATGAAAGTGTAATCCGATGTCTCGAGATCAGCCTTTTGGGGGAACAAGAACACCAAGTTGCAACTCTTGCCAGAGTAGTTCTGCGGAATATCGAAGTTGAAGAGAACGGAGGTGTGGTTGCTGATTGTGGCGAAGTATTGGGTGCCATAGGCAGTATCAGGAGACGAGGAGTTGATCGGCACAACCAAGTGCGGGTATTGGTAGTTACTCTTGTCCGTAGCCAGGGTTGTCAAACAAGCTCCTCCGGAAGACTGGGTAGAGCTTGGCTTTGCAGAGCTAGTAGATGCATTTCCATATGGGGCAACAACAGCACTAGTGGATAGAACCGCGGCCGAGCTTGTCGAGTGTGGGACGCCGCCAGGACTAGAGGAGGGTGCAGTGCTAGAGGGACCCTGAGAGCCTCCCCCGCCGCCGACGGGACTGGACGGTGTAGACGTACCAGCCGGCCCTGGCGCAGATGGGTGAATGCTGCTATTCGAAGAGGGATGGGCGGAAGGTACAGACGGAGGGGTACCACCTCCACCGATGATAGGGATGACTGGCGGAGTACCTCCGGTTGTGGATGGCTGTGGACTAGCACTACTACCACCGCCTCCTCCAGCAGGTCCAGAAGGCTGGCTTCCACCTCCACCGCTGGCAACGCCACTACCGGTGCTAGACGGTGCAGGCGTGCCGGCGGGTCCTGCTTCGGATGAATGACTACCTGCAGTCGAAGAAGGAGAAGTTGGAGGTACCGATGGAGAAGTACCACCACCTCCTCCAGCAGGTCCAGAAGGCTGGCTTGCACCTCCGCCTCCGCCGGAGCCACCTGGAGCTGGAGCTGGAGCTGGAGCGCCGGTACTGGGGCAGTTGCAAGCAGCTGTCACGGTAACAGTGCTCATGATGGTAGTTGTAGAAGGAGCAGAGCCGGAGCCACTTGACCCTCCAGGCCCTCCGGGGCTTCCTCCTCCAGGGCTTCCTCCTCCAGGGCTTCCCCCTCCTGGGCTTCCTCCTCCAACTGCTCCTCCTCCTCCTCCGGGCTGGCCGGGAGACCCTCCTCCTCCACCGGGCCCACTAGCACCGGATCCCGAGCAAGAATCGGCTTTCATCTGAATATTCTTGCACTGGGTCACAGAAGTGCTGTTGGTAGTATAGATGTTACGACCTCCATTTTGGCCTGTCTCGCAAGCAATGAAAGAAGGGTTGCCGTGATACTCAACCTGGCCCGATGAGCTAATTGAGAAGCCGATGGTGGCATTCTTACCAGCATCGCACTGGAACTGGGTGGTCTCGGCTGTCATTTGATCAGTTATGTGATGGATATTATATGTATTGAAGAGAACGTACCAGTTAAGATACAGCCACGACCAGCGCTGTCAGTGATACCACCATTTTGGTCGATGCAGTACGTGGATGCCGGAAGACTTGTGTCACCGACACGATTCTGGCCATCACTGATCTGACCCAGGGTGCCGTTCACTTCGCCAGTAACACTCAGATGGAAGCAGCATCCATTGCTACGCCCAACCAATGCGTTGGTGCCAGTAATAAGAGCCGCAAGTGCGACGAATCCCCTCATAGTAACAGAGAAGGCGATATGTAGGTTTTTATTGAAAAGACTGCGAACAAAAATTAAGCGAGAAAGCAAGCTTCTTTTGCTATTTACCCGTAGGCGCCTTTTTGGGGGTCTGAAGTGACAGAAAGAAATGCAGAGAAGTTTGGTCCGGGGGCGCGGGATATACTTATAAAAGCCGGTGGTTATAACCAGTATTACGCAGCTGGGTCCATAATCGAGGATGGTGAACGGCGAATGAATCCGGTTTGTTTTCGCTAAGAGGGGAATAGCAGTAAGACGAGTTGCAGCTTCTGTTGGCCTCTCAGGATTGAGTACCAGGCAAGATGACCGTGGATTGAGCTGTGGGCCTGTACCTGTCTGGCCGAACCAGCCGGATAGCCATCCGTTGATTTGGGAGAAACGTCATTCTCAACTCTGTCAACGTGAAAGAAATGGACAGTCGCTGACCAATGCAGCTACACAGTGGTGGGAGGCTCCTCGAGGCTCCCCGGGGCTGCAGAACTGCAAAATGAGCGTGTCAGCAATCTGGATTTTCTCCCATGAGCGTCTGAGGTATGGGTGAAACATCATTTCCTCAAATAGAGCATATGATATCAAGTGGAGCAATATGGACCTGAATCGCTTTCGTCCCCGTAGCTCTCGGATGGTACGGATGATGGGGCTGGCTGGGATGGGCCTCCCAACTTGGATCAGACAAGTGGAAGCATACTCTGGGGGATGTTATTATTTCATATCTTGATAGCGGAATCAAGCAAACATTGAGCTTTTTCTACAAGCTCTATCTCAGATTAAGGCAATTAACACAACTCCAACAGCAACTAGTATCCACGATCCGGGAGTTCAAAAACTGGGTCCATTTCCCGTCAATGACAACAACTCTCCAATAATGTCGTTCCTGTGCCTTATTCGTACCCGCAGAGCAATGGGATTGGATCGGATTTTGAAACGCCGGAACTTAATCAGCAGTCCCAGTGAAAAGTGGGCCTTGTCTATACCTCAGCCAACAGTGATCCATACTATTTATATATCCTTGGGTCGACCCAGCAAGCAAATCCAGGCGCGCGCAATGATTGACTCGTGGTGATTATTGTCCTCGGTCCTCGCTAAAATAAAGAGGCGAGTATCGGATGGTCTAAGGGAGCCACCCCATCACTGCGAATTTATTGGAGTCACCCGGACGTCATTGGGCCCGTTACTTCAGGCCTGGTGGAAACATCCATCATAAACCGCCTTGTGCGGAGCTTGCGTACCAGCTCTCTAACGGGTTTGACGCGTGTCATCGTCTAGATCGATTGGACTGCCGATCAAAAGACACAATTTTTCATGTTGAGTTCCTAGAATACCTTCCACAACGAGCAGCTAATTATAGCTAGACCTATAAATAAGATCAAAATTCGACCAAGTTCAGGGCAACTTGATCTACTCCACAGGCGTACTGTTGTGCTTGAAAGTGAGATCAATCGCCAGGATGCTAGTTGTCATACTATCTCGTAAGAGCTGGAATCTTGAGTGGTTCGCCACCGAAAGTTGACAGCGAAGGCCTCCCAAGTGGCTCGCTACCAAGTTTTTGTTTTATTTCGTTTTGATTATTGTTGCCTTGCACTTCCATATCCCGTACGATCTATAGTGAAAGTAGTCTTATACTTCGTCAAAATCCTTACCAAGGCAGAACCATTTTCCATCGTTATTCATCGTTACATAATTCAGATTGGGCAAAACGAATTCCACTACTGTCCCTCTCGTCACGTATGTCACATATGAGACTCGTGCTACTTGCAAGCTGAATCGGGTAGGAAGTAGCCCCTTGGCGGGCATCCTAGAAGGTATATCCTTGGAAGATATAACCGTGGTAACCTTCGGAAGGTCGCCAAGCAGGTGCAATGAATCCTTTCGCTTACATATAGTAGGGAATTATAAGGTTTGTCAAAAGAGCTTCCACCTTTGGTCCCCGGTCAGCTTGCCGGCATGGACATTGATCATCATGATGCTAATATTGCTTCGATAATTTCCAAGCAGCTTGAAGGATCGGCCCGTAAGTATCGTATATCTCCCAGTGGTTTATCCAAGCTTCGAACTTCAAATTAAGCCGCTGAGCTGGGTTGGTTACTCAACAAGCCGGATGCGTAAGTTCAACCATTAGGGTGATCGTAGCACCATGGATCATGGAAATTTACCGTTTCAGCCTACCATTCCCATGGCAGTCAAAATAGCTCATGGTTTCGACATTTCTTAAGATTTAGTAAATCCAGAAGGGTTTGTCACAAGCCCGCAGCTTACCCACCAGAAGGTCGATGAATACTTGATCGGGATGTTCCCTGATTTAGGCGGTCTCTTTTCGAGAAGTTGATGGGGGACATCTCGGTACAAAGCGAGTCATGCAAGCATTATACTCCCGTGGCTTCTCGAAAGAGTTTTGTCCCTGTAAATATGCATGAGCGACTTTTATCAACCCGACGATAGAAATGATGCCGATGGACATGATAAAAGCGCTCTAAGACTCAGTGCCCTTCTCGCGCTGGCAGGAAAAGGGCCCATGAGTGACACAAACCACATGGGCAGATTCATGTGCTCTCTCGGCATCTTCCATAAGCCTTCAGGGCTGACGCAGACTACAGAAGTCTCGAAAGTCCCAAGGGCCCGTTCGAGTATGGACAAGAAGTACCCTTTCAGACCAGGACTGGCTGGGTCGTAGGAGCAAAAACAAAATGGCAGACGCACGGCAGCGCGCTGATACGTCCATATGAAGTTCATAGAGGCAACCCACCTCATGGGTTAATTGGTTTGCCCATCCAGGATAAGTTGCCGGTCGGTTCCCGGTTCATTTCAGATGCAGGCGGCGGTCGCGGCCACTCTTGGACTTCAAAAAGCGATTTCCAAATACCCTAGAAAACTTATCATGGGGAATCTTCGTATCGTAATAAATGACCGAAGACCTTGGCCCGGTACTGTGGGAATCAAGCATAACTTATTTACCCGTCAACCCGTCAAACGTGAATCACAACAACCACTAAACCCCTGGCACCGACGAGAAAATTCCTAACAGTTCCAAGGGCTCGTTTTTACGATGTCAAGCATATCGTGAACGACTAATTTGATGCAAAATGTAAACAGGTCCTCATGCAGAATGCTGCGGCGCCAAATGTGTGCTTTCTAGAAATTCTTACTGAAGACTACATCTTCCTCGACCAAAGCGTGTGGCGGGCACAAGCGGTTCCGGATGACCATTGTAGCATGGGCTTGGGAGTCGGGCGTACGCACAACGCCGCTGATACATGGTCTAAGCCTTGGGCGGGGGTTGGTTTACACCCGAGTAGACATGACGGCTGGAGAGTTGCAAAGGAGAACAAGCAAAACCAAACGGGAATTTTTTGCTAGGGTCTGGAGAAAAAGTCTGAAAAGTCATTCCTGGTTAATAAATTCCGATCCTGGTGACAGAATCCCTAATTGGGTGGCAGTGCCTGGAGGCTACTAAGGGATCTTCTATGCTCTTCGGGCTTAGCATAATGAAGTTTTGGATTTAAATGAAGACTCGTCAGGCATCATCTAACACGGGCTTGAAACCTGACATCGCAGCCTCAGCGATGCGTGGCACCGAGTTGCATGAGAAAGTTTGCAATCATATTTTTGTGACATAGTTAATGTCTTCACCTCCGTGGCCCCATATTTCGTGAACTTCCCTTGCTCACGCTTGTCCGTGAGCTTTTTCGGGGCCCGGGAGCGAAGACGTCCAGATGCTGTGAAGAGGAGAGGATTCTGGCTGGCAATCTTCTTAATCTCTCGCTTCGGGCAGTTTGAGTTAATCACCTCCTGGCTGAAGAGAGGTTGTCTATGGTCGTCTGTACGGTCTAGGATGGCGACGAATCGTTGTCGCAGGTGGCCCTCCTTCGTGAAGGCCATCTGAAATTGTTTCCGAACTCTGACTCTGTAGTTAATGACTGCAACCAGCTCTCCCTCGTCTAGGGGGTGTGTGTTCCGAATGTCTTCTGGCATTTCCCTTAGAGCCCGAGGTAGGACCTCGTCTCCTCTGTTTGGCATGCGTTTGTACTCAAGCATGACGGCCGAAGGATCGATCAACCCGGCTAGCGGGTTCTCTGAAGACGTTCCTTCTTCAACTATTGTACTTAGCTCAGCCATGTTCAGCTTCCTCCTAGGCCCTTCCTTGTTGACGTAGTAGCCGAGGAAGTGCTTGCTGATCCCTCAGTCCTGCCCTCTTCTTGGATAGGTTGAGCTGAGACATCTCTCATTTCCACGTCAGTCGGTAGTCTCTCCATGTCCAGTCCTTCTGCCATAATGCCGAGTTCAAGGGTATACCAGGTCCAGGAAACTAAGGGGAAGTGGACGCTGCTGTCTGTCAATTCTGAGATGGTTGTAAGAGCAAAGTCCGAGAGGATAGAAAAGATTGTCCACTATCAGCAGATCTGCAATTCTGAGATGAGGCGTAATCACAATGGACCAAATCATGTTGAATATATGGAGTTTATTGAAAAAAAAAAAGCTCAAGATGATAAAGAGACTGAACATCCTCAAACGATTAGTCGCCTCTCTGAGGGGAATATTCCAAGATTTTGAGACCTGTCTTCATACACATGCTTTTTCCACTAGCCTGTTCAACAGAGAAGAATAATGGTCGGCGAAAACCTCGTTTGATCCAGAAGGTGGCGGTGTTGGCAAGGGTAGCCAAACCTAGCATATCCCAGTGTCATCGGTCTATTATTGTCAATAACTCGGTAAAAACCAACCACGAGTGCATCTACAGTGGGACTGTGTATCATATGCTCGATGCATGAAGTGTCGGTAAGATATTTCTCGATAATCTGTTCAGCTTCGCCGCGGAAGGAAGCCAAACACAAGGAGTGGCGAGAGAAGCTCCTAAAGGACCGCTGTTATTAGATAAGGGCGGCTCCAGCCGCCTTAATGGAACATATCCTAAACGCTAACTTGCATGGAGGTTTTAGCAATAGGACTTCTGTCTCCGAGTAGCCAAAAAAGGGAGGGGGAGATAATAAACTCACCGCATATATCGGGCATGTAACCTCTCCCACCAGCCCACCCACATTAATAGTGACTGACATTCGGTATGCGAATCAGGATATCCTTTCTGCCAATCCCAGGGTGTGCTTCGGTCTTCCACGGCATATTTTGATTCCCGATCACGATTTCTTCTAGGTTTGCGAGGCGAGCTAGAACATCTTGAAAGCCGGAGGGCTCCGATCACCTGCTGTTACTGCTGTCCACGGAAGGCGTTGATGCCCATTCTTGCTGGCACTAAAACCCTCTGTTGGTATAGTTGTTGCAGGGTTGCAGAGGACCTCCTGGCTGCCTCTAAGCTTTCGCCGCCAGGACACGCAGGAAACAAGACGTGAACGAGAAGGACGCGAGGCTCGAGATGGTCGCAGCGCATGCTTGCCGATCCGCCCCAATCTTACACCGAAATTAGTCTCGAATTTTGCAATAAGCACCGGGGATATCGTAGCATAGAAAGGGAAAAAATTAGTGACAACCTAGAAATTCCCGTGAAAGCCCAGGGGCTCGAGTTTATTGCACGGGGCACAAATTGGTGGTCAGCAGTGCCGTATCTTTCCTTTTGGCGAGCTTTGGTTAAGTGCATGGGTTGAGATGAGTGAGGATTTATATTTTTGGGTTTATGTTTTTCCTAAATTCTGTACAAATGTGGAAAATACATGTAACAATACTCTAGCTTGTGATCCGAAGTGTTATGCTCAGGTGTGCCCGGGCCTGATGATGCAAGTGCGCAGTATAAAAGACCGCTTGGCCATGAAGACACTGGTGAACCTTCAGATGACCCTAACCCCTGCGAAGCAGACACAATGGAATCTATTGTTTCTCAGATCTATGCTCTAGTTGAATCTGCCGACAATGTCAGTCGGTTGAGCATTCAGAGAGAGCTTCAGAAGGTTCAATCCGAGATCCAGGGTCCTCATGATACCCTCATGGCTTTTGGCAATTCGGTTAGTTGCATTCCTTTTGCATCATGGTCCAGACAGAGGCTGACATGGTTGCATTAGAACCTGCTGATTGCGATGCTTCGTCTCGCAGTAGACCTTCGTGTGTTCCGGCAGCTTGTCAAGTCGCAGCATCCACTTACAGTTGCCAATTTGGCGAAGCCATCTAACTCCTGCTTGGAATTCATGGGTACACCTCAAAGATATCTGATTACGATGAATGAGATCTAACTGGAGCCACTAGAGCGGGTTCTTCGCTACCTGGCAGCCAACCTTATGATTCAGGAGACCGGCGTAAATGAGTATCGTGCGAACAACGTAACCTATGTCCTCGCTGATCCGAGAGGTGAAGGTATCGCCTATCATGGGTATGTCGTATCTTGGTTCTGAATCATCAACTATCTATCTATCCTGACTGCTAATGTTGATAGATTCGATGTTTTTGGTCCGGTGATTCAGGTCATGCCCAACTTCTTTGCCGAAAACAAGTACCAAGATATCACTAGTAACATCAACACGCCATTTCAGAAAGCATTTAATACCCAGCTTACTTGCTTCGAGTGGCTCGTGCAGAATCCGAAGCATTTCGAATCTTTGCAAAAAGTAATGACCGCTCTGGAGGGAGTGGAATGGACAAATGGATTCTCTCTGCTGGAGGAGGAAGTGAAGAAAATCACGCCCACTTCCCCTCCCGAGGAAACATTTTTCGTGGATGTCGGTGGCGGTCATGGCCACCAGGGCATTCAACTCGGGAAGAAATATCCAGCGTTACTGGGCCATCTCGTTCTTCAAGATCTACCAGAGACCATCAACAGACTGCCTCCAATCGAAGGCGTGAAAGCTCAGGCCGCCGACTTCTTCCAAGTGCAGCCAATTATAGGTACACATCACATCCACTAACATCGATTGGTTAGTATGGATACTTAGGACAGGAACTGACATCTGCGTAGGGGCTAACTTCTACTATCTGCGCCGAATCATCCATGACTGGCCCGACAAAGAAGCGGTTGTGATCCTTCAAAACATTGCCAGCGCAATGACGCCGAAATCTCGCATTCTGGTCGATGATGTTGTCCTTCCAGATACTGGTGCACATTGGCAAGCCGCAATGGCTGACCTCTCCATGATGTTTTGCTTTGGTGGAAAGGAGCGAACTACACGCCAGTGGAATTTGCTAGCTGATCGAGCTGGACTTCGCATCGAGCAGTTCCACACATATGCTGCTACCACATATACTGCGATCCTTGTAATGGCACTGAAATTTGAGTAGACTTTTATTCTCATTTCCAGGATGGACGGGTCATATTTTCTGTTTGGTGGGCAGGATAATCCCTGGTTTGCGGCCCCATTTGCACACGGTGATTGATAGTCAGTCGTCTCAGTTCGTCACGTGAATGGCCATGGAAATTTCGTCATCTTTCTGGAATGGATGATATATGTACAGATTGTGCCTCCTCTGGAATGAGAGGCATGGATTACTCAGAAACTATTTGCCAAGATAAGTCGCAATCCATAGTCTGTATTCCATCAGGGCAAATTACCTTCCAAGCTGATCGTCTTGAGTACCAACCCATGGGCCGAAAGTCGGAGTTTATGCAAGGTATTTCTTGCTTTCCATTTTCTTGCTAAGAATGGAGATTCATGCTTTACGCTAATTTTCAAGCGCTTTGGCACAGTCTTGCGTAGAATGCCATTTACATTTTTAGATTCATTGCATCTAAGCTTCTAGCATATATGTTACGGGGCATTCTTGAAATTTAGCCGAGCTTCAAACTGAGCCCCCGTACTAGTATACATTAATAGGTTCAACCTTGGTATCTAGTAACTAGTTACTAGTGATAGATCACGTAATCTATTCAAAATTACCTGGGCAAATCGTGCAACATCAAATCTGCAATATTCCTGACATATTCATGTCTTTTTATGATCCATCATTCTCCACGGTATTCTCTTTGTACACTTGAATACTGTGCTGTGCGAACTTGCTGCGCGCCCGAAGCCACGCGCCATATCGCTGGAACAAGAATGGAAACAAGCTGAAGACAGTCATTGCGGCCGCTAAGACAGAGACAGCAATATTCGAACCCAGGGCTTCAAACATAGGAGGCGCAAATAACGGAAACATAGCAGACATCACGGCCCGCGTTAGCCCGACAGCTGCGAAGACGCTGGACGAATACGAAAGATAACTATCCGCCAAGTAACCATTCAACACGATCGCTAGCTCATTGCGTCCGTATCCGACTGCGAATAAGGAGACCATAGACACGGCCCAGGGAATACTTTGAACCCTGGGGGAATTGTCCAGGCAAACCACCACAGTCCTAGCGCTAGCACCGGAGCCGCAAAGGTCAGCCCCTTGAGCTTGTACTCGGGCGACGCCAGATGCTCCCCTTTATCCTTTTTCTTGGCCGCTTGATGATCGATGATGCGGCCGGGGATGTTAAAAATAGAGGCAAAACCAAGTGCGAAGAATGGAAGACTTGACTGCTCCTGGTTCAGGCCCATGTCCTCGTAGATATGCGGCAGAGCCTCGGTAAAGAGGTATATGATCCCAAGCGCAGTCCCAACTATAAGACAAATACTGAAAACGATGGGTTCGGTAGAAATGAGCCGGATTGGCCGCAGAACGTTTGTTCGAAACGAAAGTCTGCCAGTCCGGTGGTTTGTCATGGTTGAGGGCCTGCAGGGAATCAATTCCCGTTTCAATTCGAAGATTCTCAACCTCTCGGGAAAGTAAGAGAGACGGTCGAGACTCCTTTATCGTCAGAAGTAGAATGGAAATAGCTGCCGTCACGATGGCGGCGATGTAGAAGATCCAAGGCCTAGTAATTGACTTTTTAGTATCATGTTCTCCTTCTCCCGTACGTGTGAATTCAACATACCAGCCAAATGCCTGTGTAATGTATGCACTCATGACGGGTCCAAGAGATACACCAATCTGAGCAACTCCGATATAAGGCAACATAGTCCATATGCGGGCTTTTGCATTAAAAATGTCCTCCATACTCCCAACAATAATAACAGTGGGGATAGACGATAGAACACCGGTCAAATATCGACCGACAACAGCCGCGGCGGGAGAGTCCACAGCACCTATCATCGCACACAGTCCGCTGTATGCTACTGTGCTTGCGACGTATAACTTCTTCCGTCCAAAGCATTCTGAGTATGGTGGAAACACAACATTCCCTAGCGCTTGGCCAAGCAGATACCTGTAAGGGAGTAAACGACAATTGATCTGCCTCAAGCAGAGATCCACAGATACGTACGTTGATACAAACATGAACTGGGCAAGTGTGATCGAGATATCAAGTCTTTCCTGGGACCACCTTGCAGCAGCCGACTGAATGGGAACGTTAGCTTGTAAAACATAGACCGCTTTGCCGGTGCGTGGCATACATACCCCAGAGGTACTTATTGCAGTGCTATGCGATCGATCATTAGTATGGTCAAGACTCGCGTGGTTAAAGTGGCACGAACGTATAGCATTCCAGGAGGATAATTATTCCAATGTCATATACCTTCCTCGCCAGTGGCCAGTTTCTGGGGTGCTTTGGATTATCAGGCGCCCATCGAATGTACCCACTGTCAGGATCTAGTTCCAACCGCAGGTTGTGGAGGGCGACATCGAGCGGCGTTGCTTCCTTCATAGTTTAATCGAGATTTTCGTGCATGTCCAGAAAATTCTAGTGAGGATAAATCCTATTTGTATGCTGTTGGATTTAAGATCGGAGTTATGAATACAGGGAGGATCTGCAATCCAAGGAATAACCCACGTTCCTGTGATATTACGCCAGCGAACTATGCGCCCTCAAGATGATAGCCAAATTTCCAGACACATACCGGAACCCCTGGAATGGATGATCGACCGAACTTACTTCCCAGCCGGTACGAACCTACCGTAGGTAGCGACGTAGCTATCGGAACTTGGGCCGGTCGTGATGTTTATTGTGGAGTTACAAAATTCGCCGACGATCTAGGGGCTTTACCCTCAATCATGGACTGGTCTGGGTGATCTGATGGTCGGAGGAACATCAATCGAAGACTCGTAGTTAGGAACTTCCTTCAAGTGCCTAGGTATGTTCAAAGCTATCAAGTCTGATAAGCCACTGAGTGGCAATCACAATGCATATAAATATAATAGCTTCGAAGAAAAATATTGTACAAATGGCAGTTAAAGGCCCGATCACATCTTACCACCGGTAATTTGTTCACCGAGTCTCTTGAGTCGTTCCTGGGTCACGTCCCAGCGAGTAGTCTCACTCTTCCGAGTCTCATTGACGAGAGCTGTGACAGTTGGAGGTTGACCAAGGTTCCAGATGTTGGCGCCTTCTTGGTGGTCATTGCGCCAGGCCTCGTTCTCACCGACAGGGAATACACGATCAATCTCCGCTGAGAGCTGTTCTTCGGTCGTGATGAATGAGCGGGCATTCATGTAGAGTTCCTGGATATCTTCTTGGCGCTGCGCATTCTTCTGCGCCAGGGAGGCCTCCAGTCGTGCTTGGGAAAGAGCAAGGCGTTGCTCGCGGTTCGGATCCGGGAGAGTCGAATGTTTCAGCGGCTGCATATCCTCGACAACGGAAGATCGAGTCAAACGCTCGTCTTCTGGCTCGGGTTGTCGCAGGATACGCTCTCGTCGAAGCTGGCTCTCAAGACTTTGCTGGAACATGGCGTTGTCCGTTTTGCGCTTGCGTTCGTACAATTGATTAAGCCCCTTTCGGAGATGATGTCGCCGCCGACCAGCCATCTCGATTTTGAATGCCTGTTTCTCAGAGACTGTGCCTTCCTTCTTGGTCAAAGGTTCTCGGGCGACATCGTCGAGGTATTTTTTGGAGGGTTTGTCGGCGCGGCGCGGCGGAAAGACTTCACGAGGCACAGGAAGTGTACCTTTGACGGAGGGCTTCACAGGAGTGCGGGTTTGGTAAGTTTTAGGGACGTCGATGAAGTTTGGTGACTCTGGGCCAACACGAAGGCCTGGAGTAGTTGCAAAACCGCGGACCTGCAAGCAAGCAGCCCGGCCAGCGCGGAGGGCAGTCATGCTGCCTAGATTGATCCTCTGGTCGGAGAATCAGTAAATTTGACAGACCTGATGTCTGACACTGATGAGTAATGGAATCTCAAAATGGTCGCTCCGGCTAGCGGAGATCTCATAAAAGGAGGATTAGACAGAAAGTAGCCGGAGAGCAACAGAAGCGGATTTTCCTTGGTCCGTGCGTGGGCTTGGCGCCAAAAAAAAATAGTTTCTTCCGCCTTTTTTTCCTCCCTCTTCTTGCGCTTCACCACTCCTCGTGTTTGGTCTCGCAGTTAAATTTTTCACGAAGTCCGAACTACCGTTTAGGAGATTCAAATATATCCTACTCATCATGGGTACCGGAAAAAAAGAGGCCACTCGTAAGGAGCGGCAAGGGAAGAATAGTGATGGCATGGGCAACGTTCGGACCAAAGGTGAAAACTTCTACCGGTAAGTTCATGCGATGTTCCCAGAGCAGACCCTCAAGTTTATTTGGTCTAACTTACTTCTAGTGATGCTAAGAAGATTAAGCACCTGAATATGTTCAAGGATGGCAAGGCTCGGCGAAATGCTGCAGGAGACATCACCGTAGCCGCCTCCTACCAGTCTCGCGATACGCCCACTGCTCGTATCGAACCGAACCGGAAATGGTTCGGCAATACCCGAGTCATCTCACAAGAAGCACTCACCTCATTCCGAGAGGCTGTTGCGGAACGTGCGTCAGATCCTTACCAGGTGCTGCTGAAGACAAATAAGCTTCCCATGAGCTTGATCCGAGACAATGACACTGTCAACGGCTTGAAGCAGCATCAGGCCAAGATGGAAATTGAGAACAACCCTTTCAATGACACATTCGGTCCCAAGGCTCAAAGGAAGCGAGTTAAGCTTGCTGTCACTTCGCTCGAGGACCTAGCTGGCGAGACCGCGAAAAATCAAGACTCATATTATGACAAGCAGGATCAAGGCACACACGAGGATGGTACCCCCATCGTCGCTAGTGATGTCACCGTCGGCTTCACTCAGGATAGCACCTTGACTACGTCTCGAGAGAGTGTTTTCCTCAAGGGTCAGAGTAAGCGTATCTGGAATGAGCTGTACAAGGTAATCGACTCGTCAGATGTGGTCATTCACGTTATTGATGCCCGTGACCCCAATGGAACTCGCTGCCGCAGTGTTGAAAAATACATTCGCGAAGAGGCTCCTCACAAGCATCTTATTTTCGTGTTAAACAAGTGCGATCTCGTCCCTACCGGTGTCGCTGTAAGTTTCAACTCCCCTTGTCTCAATCTGCAACCACTCTTCTCTTCCTATCATCCCAATTGCTTTTTTGCTTTTCCTTTTCTTCGGCCTTCTTGCCGTTCCATTGCTAAGTCAAGGCTTCTCCCTGCGACTCTTGTCGTATTTTTTTTTCCCTCAATGGGAGTCTGTCTGTTACAGCTTTGGTAGATTGATCCTGTCCCGCACCGAATTTCTTTCTGAAGCTAGGTTGATAGTCCTTCGTCTTGAAGGGCTATCGCAAGGGACAGATGTGCTTTGTTTAAGAGTTGAGGTCTGCTTCTGCCTTTTCTGGCGGCCTCATAGCAGAACTCTTAGTAACATCCCACACATTCTCATCGATCTACACTATTTGTTATTTGTTCTTGATTAGTGGCTAACATAGCTCTCATCAGGCTGCCTGGGTTCGTCATCTTTCAAAAGATTATCCGACTCTTGCTTTCCACGCTTCTATCAACAATTCATTCGGAAAGGGGTCCCTGATTACTCTTCTCCGCCAATTCTCGTCCCTGCACTCCGACCGCAAGCAGATATCAGTGGGCCTGATTGGTTACCCCAACACTGGCAAATCCTCCATCATCAACACTCTTCGTAAGAAGAAGGTCTGTACTGTCGCTCCTATCCCTGGTGAGACCAAGGTTTGGCAGTATGTCACATTGATGAAGCGGATCTACCTCATTGACTGCCCTGGTGTGGTCCCGCCCAATCAAAACGACACCGAGGAGGATATTCTTCTTCGCGGTGTGTGCCGAGTGGAAAATGTCGAGAACCCCGAGCAATACATTCCCGCTATCTCCGCAAGGTCCAGCCCCGCCACCTGGAGCGCACCTACGGGATAAAAGAGCCAAAGGACGCCGTTGATCTTCTGAGCAGACTAGCTCGTAAAGGTGGTCGCCTTCTCAAGGGCGGTGAGCCTGATTTGGACGGTGTTGCAAAGATGATCATTAATGACTTCCTGCGTGGCAAGATCCCTTGGTACACACCTCCTCCCAAGGCAGATCAAGGAGACGGCGCCGCTGATGAGAAAATCGAGGGCCGAGATGGTCGCCTTGGGGAGATGGGCCGCAAGCGTAAGCTTGATGAAACCGAACCTGCTGAAGAGAAAGCCTCTTCAGACTCCCAAGATGACGATGAGTTCGAAGGATTTGACGAGGATGACGATGATAACGATTCTATTGCGAACCTGGAGGTCAGCGATGTTGAAAGTGGCGAGGAGGACTGAAGAGCTGGTATCTCTTCACGCCTTGCAAATCTCCAATTCTGTAACAAGCACCACCTGAGCCGGCCTGATCGAGGCGACGAATTGAAGGCCCGATACTGAGCCCAATCCGAGTTTGTCTCGCATTTAAAGCCTGGTGATATTGTGCGCCCGCCCGGACTAAAAACTTTTGAGTTGTCGTTAGGCTCGACCGCATCACCTGGCTTCGGCTTTGTGGGAACCTTCTAGGACAGAGACGAGGCCACTTGGGCATTCGCGTCAAGCTGCACCTTTTGACCCGTCCAGACCAATGCTTAATGCCACAAACGTGCAGATGTGCGGCCCAACTGGAACTGCGCCATTGCCTGGTTTGTGGCCAACCCAGATCATTCTAGATACCCCGGTTCTTCCATCAATTGAAACCAAAAAGCTGTTCTTGGCTCCTCTCCATCTCTTCTATCGTAGCCTCGCCCGTAGTTTAGGCATTCCGTTGGACCAGCATAATCTAGCAATCGATCCTTGTCCCATTCGCCACCGTTTCCAGAAGCTCCAAAAAAAATCGGCCCAACCGTGGGTCGTGGGAGGATGGATCCTGGGGGCTTCACCGCCCGCGGGGTGGGCTCTTAGTTAACTATTAATCTCCGTTTAATCCAACTGCAGTTGCCACGCGCAGGTCCCCGAGATGTGCTTGCAGCCATGCCGGATCATATGTCGATGATCCCCTACAACGGCGGAAACCAAGATGTCGTTCTGTACGAGAGACCCTCCCGCTGGATTTCCTAGCTAAGCTAACCAGAACAGCCGACACAATGATTCCGTCGTGGTTTATGACCGCGACTCGCAGCAGATAGCTCTCCACAATGCATCTGAAGCTCCCGACAGCGATGTCGAGCTGGCGAATTGCCCATTGTGTCACCGACCCATGCGTGACAGTAGCAGGGGCCGTCATCGCAGCGATAGCCATCGCGAGGCTGAATTCATCAACCCAAACTACTTCCGCATGCTCAATAACAGCCTCCCAAGCTCCGCCAGCTCGTCGACCCCGCCTTCGCCTCGTCGTCGTTTAGTACGCCCTGCCCTTCCAGATGGCTCTGCGAATGAGGGACCTACCAGCGCTCCCTCTGAACAAACTCCTCCGCAAGGAATCTCGTCGGCCGCATTTAGCCCGGAATACTTCAAAAAGTTCTTTGTGGAAGAGAAACTTCTCGGTAAAGGTGGAAAGGGCGTCGTGTTGCTCGTTAAGCACGTGCTGGACGGCGTCTCACTCGGTCAGTATGCTTGCAAACGTGTTCCCGTAGGGGATGACCATGAGTGGCTGGAGAAGGTCCTCGGTGAGGTACAACTGCTACAGCATTTGTCCCATCAGAACCTAGTGTCCTATCGCCATGTTTGGCTGGAAAATGCCAAAATATCCACCTTCGGGCCAAGTGTGCCCTGCGCATTCATTCTGCAGCAATATTGCAATGCCGGCGATCTTCATAACTACATCTGCGGCTCTGTCCAGCAATCAACGACAGCGCAGCAGCTTAAGGACCGACTTCGCCGAAGATCCAAAGGCGAACCAGACATCCAGTTCGACCAAGCAGGAGCGCGCACACTCCAGCTTGATCAAATTTATTCTTTCTTCCGTGATATCACGGCTGGCTTGCGCCATTTGCACACTAATGGGTACATTCATCGCGACTTGAAACCCAATAACTGCCTGCTCCATGAGACTAGTGATGGGATCCGAGTATTGGTCAGTGATTTCGGTGAAGTCCAATCACAAAATGACATGCGCAAGTCTACTGGGGCAACAGGGACAGTCTCGTACTGTGCACCCGAAGTTCTGCGCCGTCAATATCCGGGTGGTCCTTTCGGCAACTTCACCTTCAAGTCTGACATATTCTCTCTGGGGATGATTCTTTACTTCCTTTGCTTTGCAGAGCTTCCATATTCCAGCGCGGACATCATTAACGAAGAGAAAGAAGATCTAGACCTGCTGCGAGAAGAGATTACTCGATGGACAGGGTTTGACAATGCTCGTCGAGTTCGTCGAGATCTTCCAGACAAACTCTATGACTTCCTCGAACGACTGCTTTCGGTGAATCCCGATCGTCGTCCCACGGCAGACGAAGTATTGAGCGGAATCCAAGTCGGCGCAATTACCAGCGACAGCTTTCGCTTCAAAAGAGCAAGTTCTGCGAGCCCTGATGTGACCGGAAGTACTCGCATTCGCCCTGTGGATAGCCCCCTGCCCTCGGCGGATGGACGCGCTCTCTCGCCTACCAAGAAGAATCCCTTGAACCAGGTCGCATACCGACATGATTCCATGTTTGACTCCAGTGGATCGAGAGGCAGTCCGACTCCTGCTTCTGAAGGGGTCATAGATAATCGGCCCTCACTCAGTCCAGACCGGGACTTGGTAGTGCGACCTCGGTACTCGACTTCTCCACCGATTTCGCCCACAAGGGCGAGCCATGGCGAACTTCACAGCGCCAACTCTTCTCCAGTTCATCGTCAACAACTCCTTCCTCCTCCCCCTAGACGATTTTCAATCCTTGAACCCCTCCGAAATCCTGCAGTCTCTAATCTTTCACTGCAATTTTCTCTCTTCCTCCTGAAGATTGTTACTGTGGTTCACCCCTGTTCCCCACTCTCTGTGAATCCGTGGGTCCTCTATCCTCTCCTTCTTTCGCAGGGGTGACACTTGGCTTCCATGATATCCGAATCCAAGCTGCCGTGGCCTTTGCCCATGTCACCGTCGTTAGTGTGCTTTTGCAGTTCGGTGCTCTTTGTGCTTGGCCTGGCAATTCTTCCACCCATCCCGCATATCACCCCTGACCCTGAACAGTCTTCCTCCTTGTCTTTTTTATTCTTGACCTGACGAATTCATGAATCTACTATTAATGCCCTCGAGATACCTTGTCCAGTTCGTTATGCGTTCTATGCTGCATATTCTATCCATGTACACAATTGGCGGTGGCAATGCTTCAAGTCTCATCCAGACCCGAAAATGCATGATATTTTCCATTAATACATGAGTGGAATTATCTCTATAGCAACACAAATCTTCATAAACGGGGCCATCAGGAGTATACCAGTAGCAACTTCTAGATTAGACAATCAAACTCCACGACTGCTTCAGACAAATTTCCGAGAGCGCGTAAACGATCCAATCCTGCCATGAACTCCGGATCATCGGTTGCGTTATCACGTTCCTAATCCCAGTCAGCCATAATGCATACAACTTTTCCTCTACTCTACGATCATGTGAATTCAAAGTGGAATATTTCCTTACCTCCAAGCTCTCCCAGCCCAGAATACCAAGAACTACATCCTCCTGGAGGTTCAAACTCTTCCCATGAGTAAGCTTGGCTTTCACGCCAGCTTTGGCATTGAGCTTCTGGACCGAATCCTCCCATGCAGCTCTGGCTTCGCTGACCTTGTCACTCGCAACACTGACCCGATAGATCTCCACTACAGGAGAACTGGCAGGCTCTGTAGGACTTTGATTTGTCTCGAATAGTTGCAGCTCCGGAGGTCCTAGCACGAAAGGTTTGACCAGGCCAGCGAATTCCTTGAATTTGTCAGAGCCGATAAAGTTGTGGAATGAGGCTGCCTCGTTCCATTCTACCTCAAGGGCCCTATTAACACATATCTCAATTTCTAAGACTTCGCGAAGACATTACCAAGGATTAGAGCCTCCAGGCCCTCGCCCCTAACACTCTTTCCGTCTTTACTGACATACCAACCCCGAAACATGCTGAGAATCCCTGGGTTGGGGTCTGTGAAATATTTCTTGAGTCCGGGGAAAATCTTCTCGACATGTTCCAGATTGGCTGGGTCGGGATTGACAGAGACGGTGACGATTTCTGTGATGGCCATTTCTCGAGATATGGTTGATGGGTGATTCTGAGATTGAATATTGGAATGCAGCGATGGGTATATTATTTTGGCTGGATGGTAGTACAATATTCGTTCACTGCGATGACTACATCTGACTATATACTAGCTACGTCGGCTTCGCAATGACCATTCTCGCACCACATCACTATAACCCATCCGGAGTTCAAAATTCCTTAGAGCGGAGTTTAGTTTCGAATCTCCCCCCCACTCAAGTCACTATCAGGCTGGAAAAGCCCAAACCATGAGTCCATACTACTAACAGTCAGAACCTTAGGAATGATTCCCCGGGGGCCAACCTCGATAGGCTTACAAATGGGGGGCGCTGCGGAGTTGCGGACTTTGGCCTGCGGACTTTGACAGCCCTCGACCTTCAAGACCCCCTAGAAACTCCCCTGCCCACCCCCCTAGCCCATCCCCAGAGCACTAACGATGCCTCGCATAACACGCCCAGGGCGCTCGCGCCAAAAATCATGCACCGCGTGCGCGGCCGGCAAGCGTCAGTGCAACCGCCAAACTCCGCACTGCGGCCGCTGCCTCGCGCGCGGGATTCCCTGCACATACATTCACGGGACGCCTCGCGTAGTGCAAGCTCGAGCCAGGAGCCCCGTTTCTTCAGATGACACACCTGCATCATTTGAGTCACTTGATCGGTCGATTCCGGATCTCTCCGATGAATTCCTCTCGATTGCAGAGGCCTCCGAGCCCTGGTTCTCGGGGTACGAGGCAGACGAGGACTTCTTTTCGTGGATGAGTCTGAGTCCGTCGCTGCTGGGGTTCCCGCAGCTGTCACCGATGGAGGAGACCCCGGATATCAGGCGCATCGACAAGTGGTCGAAGGAGCAGAGTCTCCGATGTATTAAAGAGTTCTCGCGGATGTTCGCCAAGCATCGGTGCACGCCGTTTATTCACGCCCGGTTGTACGAGGCGGAGCTGCCGGATGCGATGGCTGATGCGTTCACGGTGTCTGCGGCGTATCATGCGAAGAGTCCGGAGACGCAGGATCTCGTCTTCCGGATTCTGGAGAAGAAGAGCAGCCAGCTTGCGTACAAGGATTACCAGCAGGAATCGATAGCGGAACTGCTAGCGGCGGTCCAAGCCTTGGTGCTGTTTCATACTATCCAGTTATTCGATGGCGATATACGGCAGCGGTCTATTGCGGAGCGAGACGGTGAGCAGTTCATGCGTATGGTCGAACAACTACGAGTGCGGGCCATTGAGCTGGGCCCTGCGTCGACGTGGCAGGCGTGGATCTTTGGCGAGAGTCTTCGGCGAACGGTGATTCTGGCGTATTTTATGATGGATATATTCCAAACGCTGAAACAGGGGTATTGTTCGAATGTGCCTACCCTCAGTGTACTTCCCTTCACGGCGGGGGAGAACCTGTGGGAGGCAACGACGGATGCGTCATGGCAGAAGAAAGTGAGTAATGCAGATTCGACTATGGTCCTCTACGGAGACTTCGCATCATCTTTTAAAAGGGGCCGTCTGCGAGGCAAACTATCGCCTTTCGAGCGATTCTTACTCAGGCCTTGCGCGGGAGAAGAGTACCGGGAGATCATTGAGCTTCAAACCCCCGATAATGTGGGAAATGAATTATTAACGAATCAATGTATTGTAACGAATGTCTGGGCTGAAAAACAACCACATCTCCACTGTTCACATCCTAAAACCAAGCAATCATTGCCAATAAATCCCCCCCGTATGCACCCTTGCGAGCTCAGTACAGAGAAGACCTCCGGTAACAGACCATTCGGCGTAGAATGGAAGGTGATGAGGCCAGAGAAGCCCTCGTCTGATCTTGGAAGCTGATGTATGGATCATCCTATACGCGTGTCACCCGAAGGGAAAGTATGTCCATGTTCCCAATGCGTAAACAATGGGATCAGCTTCCTGCAATTCTACTGATAAGGTTCGTCTTTGGGTTTCCGTGAAAATGTGAAAAAAACTATACTATTCGGTTGTTATAGGTTCCGAATACCCTGGCAGAGCATTAAATCATAATTGGTGTGATATTTCAATTGTACACGTAAAGTGCTCATACGTTAGAGAGCATAGACCTGTGTCAGTGATCCAGAGACACTGGACACAGGTCACTTCATCCTCGCTGCTTTGAACTTACTGATCCGCTTTGGTGGCTCTTCAACGTTCAAGGGTACACCCTCGGGCTCCTCGTCATTGAGAAAGCCTCCGTGGTTCTGGATTTTTCGATTTCGCAAACGGTAAAATTCGCTTGCGATCTCTTTCCGATGAATTTCCTCATCAAGCTCATCAGGCTCGGGGCGTTGACTGGACCTCGGGCAGTCTCGCGCTCGACGAGCATATCAGCTAGAGTTTTGCCTTGAGGGGGCTGGGGAGCAGAGGGTGTATCCGAGTTGTCTGCGATCGGAGTTAAAAAAGGCTTTGGTTCTGAAGGGGTGGCGGGGAAAAGAGCTGGGGGAATAGCGGACGGCACGGCATTAGCTTGCTTTCGAACGGGTTGTGGTCCTGGAAAACCCGGGCTCGAGGTGGATGCAGCCAGCCCTGATGGGGCTTGCACTGCAGCGCGAGCACTTTTGAATCGAGAAACCTTCTTTGGTGCTTCAGCGTTCTGATGGCTCTCCGGAACACGATCGGTACGCTCAATAATGGCATCTGCAAGCGGGGGCGCCTCGGGCATTGGAGGCAGGGTCCTCTTCTCCGCGGAAGGAAGCTGCTCAATTGAGGGGCCTTCGGAAGAAGGAGCAATATCAAGTTCATCCGCAAAAGCGACACGCTTCTTGGCTTTCTTGTCTTTCTCTGAGCGCTTGGAAGCGTCACCCATTGGTACCTCCTCAATGAGTTCCACCTCTGGTTCGGCTTCTTGGATTTGTACATTTTCTGGGATCGCTCGCACGTCTTTGCCCATATTCAACATCTCGCGTCCGGTCAGTCTCTTTTCCAGTTCACGCATCTGTTGGTGATATTCCTCCGTGAGCTCCGTGTGGGAGCGACCGAATTCGTCCTCATCCTCGTCGTCAGTTCCAAATTCGAAGTCTTCGTCGTCCACGGAGAATTCACTGCCCTCCTCATCCAGTTCAAGCTCAGCAACGATAGCTCCAACCTCGTCAATGCCGTACTGGAGCATTTCACGGCGAAGGCGGGCATCTTCCGCTGATTCTTCCACATCCGTAACGGGTGGAACGCTGCGATCTTCGTCTGTGACCAATGAGACTGGCTGAGATAGGTCCAGTTCTTCGCCTGCCTCCTCTTGTGAAGAGGTTTTTGTCTCGGGGGGAGGGGCAGGGCTTGCGTCACTCGTTGCGGCATTAACAGCTGGCTGCGCTTCCTCGGCGTGGCTAGGCTCTGCGTCTGCACGGGGGGTAGTACCCTTGGCAGCAAGCTCCCTGGCTTTAGGGATGTCGGGTATATTCTCCACCCCGGCTTTCTTCAGAAGGTCTAGCAATTGTGGTGCTTGGTCGCCGGGATCGTTCACAGAGCTAGATATGATAGCTCCATCGTCATCCAATTCTTCAAAGATCTCCTTCATCGCAAAGTTACAGCCACCCTGCACTGGCGGATGATCTCCGGCATCTAACGCATAGAGCTCATCCTCCGCAGCCCGCAGGCGTTTTTCCACAATAGAAACGTTTTGCTGCACGTAATCAATTCTCCGTCCAAGGATATCAACAACTTGATCGCGTGATCTCCTCGCGCCCTTTGTATCGAGAATGCTTTTCATATCCTCTTCCTTCACTTGCGAGCTACCGAGTTCGCGGGAGACAAGAAGGAATTCGTCGGTTGTCGCGTCTTCATCAAGGCTCTTGACTTCGTCGCGGAGTCCATCGTAGTCTGCTTCGAGAGTGCGCCAGTGGTAGAGGGATTTCTGAAGTTGGAGGATGTTCTCTTCGAGGGCTCGTCGACGCTGCTCAAGAGCTGTCAGATTATGTGTGGGAACCCCCATGTTTCCAGCTTTTACACCAATCGGTCGATTCCGTGAAGAATACCAGCCTGGCCAAGTTGAGAAGACGGTGGAAAGAAATAGTCGAGGGGCAAAAAAAAGGTGAAGATGAAGAAAGTGGTCCGTGCGCGGGTGGGTCCGCTCTTTATCGGCAGCTTCGTTGATCTCCGACTCATTCATTCCTCCAACAAACCCCCCCCCCCACCATGGCCTCCAGAAATGGTGTCGACCGCCGGGACGACGATGGTGAGCTAATATTCTCTCCTCAAGATGTTTCTGGTTCCCAACTAACTCCATATTCAGAGGTTTGCCCCGTATGCAAGTCCTCGCGGTACCTGAACCCGAATATGCGGTTTCTCATCAACCCGGAATGCTACCACAAGATGTGTGAGTCCTGCGTGGACCGCATTTTCTCGTCCGGTCCATCCAGTTGCCCAGTTGCAGGTTGCCGCAAGACACTGCGTAAGAACAGATTCCGGGCCCAGACCTTTGAGGATATAGGAGTAGAGCGAGAGGTTGATATACGGCGGCGCGTGATGCACATGTAAGCCAACAGCCCTTTCAAGCGCTTGAAGTGCTTCCCAGCTGCTGACGATTCCCCCCCCCCCTCGCCAGTCTGAATCGCCGAGAAGATGAATTCGATAGCAAGCGCAACTACGACGACTTCCTCGAGCAACGCGAAGAGATAATTGCCAACCTAGTCTCTCGCATCGACGTCGCCAAAACCGAAGCCCAGCTCCAAGCATACGCCTCCGAGAATATGGACTCCATCCGCGCAAACCAAGCCCTTGAAGAGGAAGAAGCCTCCACCTTCCAAGCCCGCGTGACAAAGGAACAAGAAGAAGCGCGCCAACGCCGCCAAGCAGAACGCGACCGGCTCGACGCCGAGCGCCGCGAAATGCAAGCTGGCCGAGAAGATTTCTTATCCCGGCTGGCCTCCGGCTCCAGTGCAGACGCAGGCAAGATTGCTCGGGAAGGCCACAAGGTTCTTCTCAAGAAATCTTCCGCACGGCGCAGCGAGGAGGATCGCATTCGACAGAAACAAGCTGCGCTGCGCGGGTCCGAGACCAAGCGGACTGGCACGACTTTGTCTTCGGTGGAGAAGTCGGGCGACTCGGGGCTTATTAAGGGCTTGCGGAAGATCAAGACGCCTGAGCCGGAGAAGCCATATGATCCGTTCATGGGCTATGTGCCTGAAAAGCGGGACTATTATACTCTCAAGCAGTCCTACCCGTCTGGATATCTTGATCGCATCCGGAATGATCCCCAGGCGCAGGCCGGTGGGTATGACTTGCGAGAGTATTATTCTCGGACGCTTCTGGAGGCTTTTGCTGGGTTAGGCGTCTTTGTTGAAGAGGAGGTTACTCGGCGGGATGTCAGCCAGGCTGCTGCGACAGAGGGCGCGGCGGTGGCCGTCGAAGAATAAAATGGGTTTCGTGTGGTCTGAGGATTTTCTTGTCGGTTTTGCAACTTGGTACGGCGTATGTGGCATAGCGACGGCGCTTTCAATCTGCGTTTCTACAAAAAGTGTTATTTTTTTTCCCTTTTATTGGCATTGGAATTTTCTAGTATTGGCCATGAACAGGGCATTAATCTGCTCAAGGATAGCATGGAATGGTGCAAAGTTCTCCCTAGCTACATGCGTTATACTCTCACATAAGAGTTTACTATTTCACTGCCTAGGTATTCATGAGAGAAAACAGTCAATAGACTGACAAAAACATCCATTTGAATTGATTGGGTTCCCGCAAAAACAAGTGCAAAACAAGCTACGCTCAAGTGCTGATGCTAAAAAAAAAAACAACTTAGGTGCGCCCAGTAATCTCAGCTGTGCTCTCGATACCCTCCCAAGGCAAATCATCATCCAAATCGATCGGGTGCGACGATTTCGAGGTCCCAGTTATATCGCCGCCGGTTACATTTGCATCAATGCCAATAGACTCCAGGGTCATTTCCATCTCCTGCTCCGTCATTTCCTTCACGTTCCGGTGACTCTCAAGAACATCGAATAGAGAGTAAATTTGATCAGACTTCATATCAATCTCCCGCAAAATTAATTCAATCTTTTCCATCAAAGCCTTGCGCTGTTTCTTTCCGAGCGATGCATCCAATTTATTGAATGCACTCTGGTAGCTAGCGAGTTGCATCTTCAGGTGAGCCAACTCATCCTCGAGGGCCTTCAGCACATTGGCAAGCGCCACAGCGGGGGATTGCGAAGGGCGCATTGTAGGCTCTTCGTTGTAGATAGATGGCTTGGGCATGCGCTCAGAGACGGGTACGGGCTTGGGCACTTTGACAGGCTCGTGGTTACAGGCCCCGTCGTGAGGAAGGACATTCTTACAAACCATGCAGTTCTTCCCATTGTGCTGGGCAACGCCGTCCAGAGCCCGCTGTGCAGACTCTGGCAAGCGAGACGGGTTGCTGGCCGCAAGCTCAGCACGGCCAAGAGTAATATCGGGGAGGATGAAAGCAGATGTCATGTCCTCGATATTGCGGCGCTTCTTATGCTGGGCGACAGATGCGATAGAGGCGACAGAGTGATCAGAATGGCGTCGTGGGCGGTCAGCTGTGGGCACAACCAGGCTGTTGTCGCCCTCACTCGTAGCAATTGACCTGGTGGTAATATCGCCAGCCGCTGAGGCTGGACGGGGGATGGCAACTTTCGGTTCACGCAGTGATGATTTCCGTGGTAGAGGCGCCTTCAGGATACTCTGCCGCGTCGAGTTGACGGTCTCATTGGCAGGAGGCTCCCTCGGAGCACTCGAACGTCGCTGCTTTCGAAAGTTTCTTTCTTCCTCCAAGCTCTTGCGCAGTCGAGAAAGTTCGGATTCCTGAAACAAGTTAGCTGAATTCACATCCAGAGCGGGACTATCTTTCAGGGGAAAATAAAGAAGAAAAAACTCACATCCACGACGCTGAGCAATGTCAGGTCAATAGCGTCAGCAGAAGCAGTCTTGCTCTGCTCCGTAGCCTCCAATGGCTCCGATGCATCTTCCACGACTACTCTCTTGATTCGCTGCTTGCTGGTATTTGGTTGCTTTTTGGATGTCTTTGTTCCGGACTTCGCTGACTTGGAAGCAGATGGGCGTTTCGGAGTGGGCACATTGATAGAAAACAACTCTTCTTCAGCACGTTCCTTTTCTAATCGTGAGATCTCTTTTTCTACCTGTGTGGAGACACGAGCACGTGAGTCGTCGCGGCGTCGCGACTTCAAATTGGACCGACTGCTCTTAGCTGTCAGGTCCTTTGTGCTGCGACTCATATCACCACTTCGCTCAGTGTAACCCTGGCTATCATCGACGTCGGAGCCAGTCACAGAAGCCTCGGATTCAACATCCTGCTCATGGGACTTCCTCCCCGCGTATCGAGAGATTTGTGACCTCAACTCTGCGTTCTCCGCTCGCAGCGCTTCATTCTCGGCCTTCAGCTCACGAGTCTCAAGATAGGCCACGCCAAGTTGCGAGATGGCGGATTCTTTGTCCTGGTTCAAGCGCTTGACTGCTGCTTCCTGCACTTGAGACTTACGATCGGCAATGTCCAATTGATTTTGAAGAGCAATGTTCTCCGCCTCTAGCTTACTCTGTGTCTCGCTGACAGACCGCTTGGACACCTTCTTGCTGTCAGCATCGAAGGCGTATTTTTCGGGGTGACGAGATCTGCCCGCCTTGAGCGCCGCATTCTCCTCGCGGAAGTGCTCGAGCCGCTTTTCTGCGTCGGATTTGTACATCTCCAGTTCGGCTACCTTGTCTTGCAGGAGGCGCAAAGACACAAACAAAGCCTTCTCGTCGTCGGGGATTGGGACAGCATCGAGAGGAAATGCTCCCGGGTCAGGGAGACGTCGGTCGCGTCGTTCGGAGACACAAATCGGGTCGAGCGCACCCGATTCCGGGAGAAAACAGGCGTTCCATCTTCGTAAACACCAGAGACAAGTTCTGAAATGTTAGGGAGGTCGGGTAGGAGAAAAGAGTTGCGGGTCACGGTATCCCCCATGTTGTTGACATTTGTTTGTCCCGAAGCAACACGTCGAGGAGTACCTGCTACACTGCTCTTCCGGGTCTCTTTTGCATAAGCGTCTCGTGACGCGCGCTCGACGGCGTCGGCAATTTCTTGCGAGCTGTTTCTGTTTCCGAAACGCGTAGATCGTGGCTTCACGTCTATCGGGGCTGGACGCTCATCTCCGAGAAATGAGCCATCGTAATCATCTCTGACCTTAGCATGCATTTCAGAGAGGGTGCGGCGGTGGTCGCGTTGGTTCTTAGAGACCTGGGGACTGGCGAGTATCTCCTTCTGGGCTTGGTTGGCTCGTCGCAATTGCGCGTCTTTGCGTAGGTTTTCGCTGACAGCGCGCCGGGCGGTCGAACGAGCAGGGCCTGCCTTCTGAGGCGTGGGGTAATCGATTCGGACAGCAGGCGAGGAAGAGCGAACGCTGTTTTGAAAACTCATAATCGAGCTTCGGGAGTCGTCGAGCCGACGCGCGGGTTTGTTTACACCGCGTCCAAGCTCCAGAGAGATATCGCTGTTCGAATCCGACATATTGTCCATTTCGTCTTCCGAAGGAGACAGTTGGGAGAAGTCAGGAAAAGCTTTGTCAAGGGTGGAGGTGTGAATGTCCCAATCAGGGTCGTCCTGCTCGTCCTGTGCGTGCTGGTAGGTGTTAGGGAGTTGGGGACTGCCAAATTCACGGGTAGAAGCCAAAGCCTCGTGCTCGGGATCAAAGTCGGACAGAGTCAGACTCGCATCGGGGAGAGGCATAGTCAATAATCAAAACGGGCTCATGGGAAGGAACGTCCGGAGCTTGAAACTTGAAGTTGCGAAGTCCGTTTGTTTTGCTGCCGAGAATGTTTTGGTCGCGCGCGCACGGCCAATCACGAGCGGTCCTGTCCCCACATCCGGATCTAAACACTGTGAAGAGCTTGTTGTTTACTTCTGGTTCATCGGCCCAGGTGGAGGTATGAGATTGATGGAGAAAGTAGATTCTAACTAGAAGACTTCCAGTTTCTTCTTTTGGTACTATATGTTCTAGCCCTAATTTTGTCCGGTACTTCAGATTCCAATGTTCAACTTGTGTTTATATATAAGTCCACCGTAACTCGGTCACGTATACATGAGAGGAAAGAACGTCAATTTGGTCCGAACTTGAAGTACAAGCTGCCTGAAGCCCATGAAAAAAGTAATTGGTGAGCCTTGCCATGGAGAATCTGGATTAGCATGCCATGCTGGGTGAGGTCAATCCTAGCCTTGGAAGACTTCGATGCTGAATATGTCAGGGCTACTACTATTACTGTATGGAACAAGATCCTTGAAGCCACTGGCACTTTCAGAGTACCGCCAGGGAGGAAGGTTCTTATAAACCCTCGTAATAGCCTTCTTACTTGGGTTTTCCACGTCGATAGATGAGTTCTGAACAGTAGACCTGCTGTTGTCGCAGCGCGCATGAGCTCTAAGTAAAGACTGTAAATATTTAGTTCGATTTACTATCATTTGCCCAACGGGCTACATAGCTCTACCTACATCCCATTTGCTTCTATCCAAAGAATCCAAAATTAAGGAGACCAAAACTCGTCAAACTAATAAGAGTACTGCCCACGTACCCACGAACGCCATGCCGGCCAAAATAAACGAATGGAAAGGTGGTGATAGAAAAGACAGAATGCTAATACAGGTCATAAATCATGCTCATTAAAGCCATTTTGTAGAAATGAAAAGTTCACCTCCTTTCACGGTGGGGCGCCATCCCGAGCAACAGGGCCATGCTCTGAAGTGGAGCTTGGTGTCACACTTGAAGCAGTGCTTTGTGACTGCAGTGGCTCTTCAGGGTTCGGAGCTGCGGTTTCTGGCCGTTGAGCTGATGGATCGACAGGCGACGCTGGAGAGAGGGTTATGGGGCTTGCGATATCAACGCGAATTGAGGGAAGTCGAGCGAGATCAGTGACCGGTTGAGACACTGGAGCTTGGTTCTCGGTTTCTACAGTGTGATTTGCATTTGCCTCAGCCTGGTCCGGACCCTCGTAGGCTGGGGCATCACCCCAATCAAGATGCTCATATTCCGGGGCGGTGGGATGTTGACGTCGCCGAGATCAGCCTCTTCGAATTGAGAAGCGGGACGACTCGAGCCTTGAGTCACGGTTGGAACTAGCGTAAGAGTGTCGAGATCGACACCACCTGTATCAACGGTTCGAATAGACGAGGCCATGGATTGAATGCGCGAGCTCCCGCCATCCTGCTGATCGGCTAGCGACGGCGACGAGGGATTTCCGGCGGCATTTTGGAGCAGCGGGCGATGATCCGAGTTCGCAGAGTCCGCGCGAAGCCGGGATCCATCGTGGCGGACATGGCCGAGATCAGCGTAGCTCACGCTCGCGATGCGACGTGCCCGTTCGCGAGCCTGATTCTCTGCTATCACGGCAGATGCGCTCAAGGATGAACTGCTGTTATTGCCGCTTCGGCGGTTGCTGTTTCGAACCCGGGATTCGGCAGCTATTTGGGCGAGCCGGAGACTGTCACCACGAGCTCTTGCGGCGCGACGTTCTTCGCGACGGGCATCTCGTTCGGCTTGTTCCTGGCGACGGTTGAGGCGAACCTGATAGAGCGCTTCCATCTGTTCTTCACGGCGAGCCTCTTCCTCTTCGGCCGTCTCTGGGAATTCCACAACCATATCCATACCAGCCCGCTCACCTTCGCGTGCAACGACTTGCTCGGTTGGGTTCGGATTGGCGGAATAGGCAGGCAACGTGATGACCGACCGAATAGAGGTTTCCCGCCGCACCTCCGCATTGTTGGTCGTTGTCATCTCTGGGGGGTTTGCGCCGCCTCCGCGGTACGAAGTATCCTGGTCATTATTGGCGGCGGTTTGGCTGGGAACCTGACCGTATGATGCCTTGCCGCCCGGACACCATTGCTGCCATTTCCGCTTCAAGGCCTTTCCGGGGATATACTTCGGGTTATAATGGCGTTGGCGTAGATATCGAGCGAGAAAGAAGCCGCATACACAAAGGGCAAGGAAGAAGATAATGGTCACAAAGATCTGGAGGGTCAGCTAGGCAATAAACAAGATACGGATGCGGCGGAACCTTGGAACGTACAATGATGAAGATGTGATTCTTACTTCCACTGCCAGTGTCCCGTTTCTGAGGAATGTACATGATGGGCAACGGGCCCTACAGATCTGCACAAGGCATGAAGTCCTCGACTCCCCAGAATTCAAAGAATGTTAGAGGGAGGGAAACACAACAGACGACCAGCCACGGTAAATCCACCCAGGTGGAGCCGCCCACGGTCGCGGCCAGTGGCTATTATTATCGAGCCACGAGTGGATCAGGGAACCAGTGAGACGATTGCGTGGGCCCAGTAGGGAACGTCAGCGATAAAGCAAAACAACGAATGAGCACATTGCAAGGCGCCTGATTCAGCCTGCACCGCCGTCGATCGTGTCTGAGGCCACGCACGCCCTTTTGGGCCCAGAATCCGGGCCCTTTTCGACCATCTTCGAATCCCCCGTTGAGAAGATTGACAGGTGGGGCAGCTCCGTTGAAACAGAACGGCCCTCGAGGGCATCGTCATTGGTAGCTCGTGAAGGGATGGCACGAGTTGGCCCGGATCGAACGTCGTGCAGCAAGGGTTTGGTTCCTCTACTATGTGATACAAAACTCCCCCCGCCCTTACATGGGGTGGGAAGAGAAAGTACTGGGGCCTATATAGGGTGTCAGGGGGCCTCCAATCTCCCACTAATTACTCTGACACTAGCGCTCTGCTTCAAAGCGCTCGAAGCCACTTCCTATTCATCGGATATCGCTTGTGGGCGATTAGCCAGCACAACTGACAGCACCCCCCCCCCCTACCCTCACCCCGGCAAGCGCGGATTTACCTATCCAATGCCTGTATTCAACACCTGCAATTTACTTCTGCAATATGAACTGCGCAATGTTCCCTTCTTGTCGCTGCTGCCTGCACCATGCAACTTAACAACCATGTCCCGGTAAGAACGGCATCACCGGTGGTGGCTGGGAGTTCTGGTTTGGAGGCTTCCTATTGGAGATTTTATTTTCCCACCACCTATACCATATTCCGACTGCCCCTCATTAATTGAGGCTTCTCTAGTCTCCACGTCACAAAAATCTTCGGAAATAGTGTAAGCCACGAAAGATAATCTAGATCGCATTTTGCAGGCTGTTAATTTTGCGTAAGCATGGGCTCTGGGTTCGAGTTCGCAACAGTTTGAGATGCCTTATTTTTAGAAATCAAATTCAAAGGCGGCTCACACCTTGCATACTGCATTGTGAATCCAAGACATTGGCGTCTAATCTCCCAAGGAATGAATGGCAGTCGACATGCTCATTTTATTCAGTCTCGTCCCCCTATTTTGATTTTCAATGTAAGGTTGAGTTTTACCAGGAGAGGGAAAATAGCATCGTAATGATCCGTGGCGAATAGAGCGAGAGACTAAACTCGTTCCTGCTAGTGATCAAAAGAATTACAATAGAGCAAGCATTTGCATGATCGTCAATTCGAGCCGCAGTACGAAGTGCATCTTCAAATTGGATCGGGCCGGACGGCTATGTACACATCCTATGACACAGTGCTTGAAGGTGAACGGCAAGGGGGCGATCGACCCAGACTCGAGTCCTGGGATAGCATACTAATGAAGACAAATTATTAGTATGACAGTATGACTCTCAACCTCGTGACAGTTTCCGTGGAGGCGTCGGAAGAGTCGGCCACCCATGCACCTACAACATAAGGAGATATCATTTTCCGGTAAAGTCATGCCTATATCAGATGGACACCGCAATTCTGCATGCATAGTACATGCTACTCAAGTAGATATGCCACCCATTCCTGTTTTTCACTCAGCAGCCCGAGCCTGCCCAGGTGAGTCTTCTTTGGATGACTATGCTCTCTCACTTTGGAAATGCTCCCGTCTCACTTTTCTGCCCCCACATTTTTTTCTCTGTGGAAGAGACCCAATAGTAAGACCCTTTATGGTCCCCTATGATAATCACTAGTTACTCCCTGTCAGCAGGAGGGGCGGATATTTGTACCAGTAAAATAAAGCGACACCTGATTCCTCTTTCATACAAGCAAGACACCACGCTATATCATATAGCGTCCGTACTAGTAGCACTTGTGTACTGACATTTACTGGTTGAAGAACTCCGCCAGGCCCAAAATGGTTAATGCACACTGATGGAAGCAAAGCGGGATGGGAATCAAATGATCAACCTGTATCCCAAAGGCCAAGAGCAATGCCGAACTTGCATTTAGGTTGCAACACTAACGACCTTCGTTTCATTAGTCCGAACCCATTGGGGATGGGCTGGGATGAAAGAAAAGCAAAACACCCCCCCAATTACTAACTAGTGCTCCTAGTGCCTACTACCATAGGCCCATCAAATGTCATGCTCTAGCGCAGTTGGCATTAGTATGAGCTGTCATACTGCAGGGTCTAGCCTTAAATTCCTCAAGTCATTCCATTCCCCACAAAATAGGCAACCCCCGCATCCCCAGCTAGAACTCATGACACACCGACAGCCAGATGATCGCGTGGTGGCGCCGATTGGCGCCTGGAACGGCGGTCGGTCCTCTTTGGGTTCCGCTACGATGCCTCGTCCCAGCAACGATCAACACATGGGCGACGATCTCCAAATTGACCCAATCCCCACCGAAAGCCTCGAGCAGATCATCACAATTCATTAAATCTCATCCAACCCGTAGTAACCCTGTATCACCAGGTCCTGTCAGCCAGCCGGACATGTGGCCGCAGAGGGTCCCTTGAAACCGCCGTCCGGAGGAAGGGAGCTCCTATATAACATACTCGCTGAGCCCGGCCAAACTGATCGCTCAAACTTCAAACTCCATTCATCTGCAGCGCTGCAAGTGCTTTCTGCAGCCTTGTGGGTCTGGAACAATTCCGAATTTCCGATCGAATTTCAGGGATCATCGATTGCCATTGCGTTCTGAATTTTGGCCCCCAAGTCGAATTACCGTCCTACAAGTTCATCCTGCTGCACGTGAAGTCATCATGGCTACTCTTGATTTTGCCCTCGTGAACAACACGGGGTCGGACACCGTCTACGCTTATATCACTGGCCAGGCCATTGACAACAACAATGCGGTGTTCCTGTTGCAAGCGGATGGCAAGACAGCTTATTATCCGACTTCCCCGTCAGCAACAGGGTCAGCATTGGCACAAGACTGTGCTATTCCCCTTGGGGCATCTGGAAGCACAAAGACTGTTACTATTCCACATATAGCTGGTGGCCGACTATGGTTCTCTCGGGATGCCAAACTGACCTTCCTGCTGAACCCTGGCCCAGCTCTCGTGGAGCCTTCCTCATCCAATCCATCGGATCCTAACTATAATATCTTTTGGGATTTCGCCGAGTTCACATGGAACAGCTCACAGCTCTTCGTCAACATTAGCATGGTTGACTTCTTCAGTCTTCCCATTGCCCTGGCACTGGAGAATACCTCCGGTAGCACAAATACCGTCAAGGGTCTTCCCGCCGACGGACTCGAGACTGCCTGCAATGGTCTCACAGCGCAAGACGCCAAGGACAACGCTGGCTGGAGCAAATTGATTGTCAAGCAGGGCGGTGCTAACCTCCGCGCTGTATCTCCCAACACCGGCGCAGCTCTGACGAGTGGCTTGCTTGCCAATTACTTTGACGGCTACGTCAGGCAAGTGTGGTCGAAGTATGGTTCTGATACCCTGACAGTCGACACCCAGGCAGCCGCGGGGAAGCTCACGGCCAAGGTGCAAGGCAACAATCTCACCTTTTCGAGCGGTGGCATCACCTATGCTCCACCCTCGAGTGCCGACATCTTCGCCAATAGCTCTGGCGTGTTTGCCGTGAGTAGCGACGACACGAAGAACCAAGTGTCTGCTCGTCTGGCGGCCGCTTTTAATCGAAGCACTCTGCTGACGAATGCCAACCAACCGGATGGTGAGGTCCCGTCGAACTATTATACCAACCCTGTGACGAACCATTACGCTCGTATTTGCCATGCCACAGCTCTTGATGGCCGCGGATACGCGTTCCCCTATGATGACGTGGGCCCTTCGAATGGTGCAGACCAGTCTGGTAGTGTCTACGATCCCAACCCAAAGCTTTTGACGGTGACTGTGGGCGGGCTTACTAGCAATTCGACCAAGAAGGACGCCAAGCAAGGCGATACTCCTCGGTCGGGTGGCGATAACGGTGGTCCTTCTGCTGCTCCTACCCAGCCTTCCCAGGGTGGGAACCGGAATCCAGACACTCAGAAGCAGTCTCGGAGCCAGACCTTGACTACCATCCTGCACAAGCTGCTCTGCCACAAGAGCTCCTGATCACGTTACGACTCGGCTCTTTCATATGGCTTTACGATTCGAACGGATATACCCATCATCAATTCCACGTTGTACTGGTAAATACGCTACTCAGTTAAACGTTCATACTACTACTATGTTGTATAGTTGTTAGACAATGTGAATATATCATGTTCGTGTTTTTGATATCATTTCGCAACCCCCACCCAACCAGAAAAAAAGGAAAAAAAACAAATCATTACATCAGCTCAAACCTCTTCACCAGCCTGTCGCCGAATGTAGGCCACAAACTTCTCCGGAGCTGCAAGCCACGGCGTATGCCCCGTGTTGATCTTTTCTGTCTCGATCTCGGCGCCCTTTCGCCGGGCCCGGTCGACCATGACCTGTTGCACAGCCAGGGGAATCGCACGGTCCTCCTCGCACAGCAGGTAGTACGTTGGGATGAAGAAGTACGCAGCGCTAGTCGAGGGCGTATTCTTCGTGACCCACGAGTGAGGCTTCAGAGCCGCAGCCCACTCCTTGCCATCGGGCACGTCATGGAAGAACAGTGTATATGGATCCGTGGTCGTCAGAGTCCCACTTGCCTCCTATGCAGCCATCAGCACAAAGAAACCCATATGATCCACACCCACGAGGCAGGTCGCACCTGCGCAGGCATTTGAGAGAAAAAAGGGGAAAAAAAAAAAGAGTAGAAGAACTTACATCAAGAACGTACCACGGCGGCGGCGTCCCCCCAAACGCCCCAATCAGACTTTCGCCAATATTAGGAATAAAAGCCGCCACAAACACCAGCCTCACCACCCCCCCCGCCTTGCCCTCCTCCTCGCGCTCCTCCCGGCTCAGCCCGTCCAGCGCGCTATTCACTGGTAGCCCGGACCAGCTGTGCGACACGACAATCACGTCGCGCCCCGCGTCCGCCTCCTGTGCGACTAGCGCCCGCACCGCCTCGATGTCTGGTTTGAGGTCTTTGACACTGGCGGCCTGCTGCACGGAGGGAAACGCCACGGTGTGACAGTGGCTGTAGCCAAGCTCGTTCAGCTTGGTGATAGTAGGGTCGAATGCTGTGGGCGGGTACCACGCGCCCGGGGCGAAGATGAGTGAGGGCTTTGACATTTTTGGAGTAATTGTGAGGTTCAAATGGTGGATGGGGGGACCTGTAGGGTTTTCCAATCTTAAAGATCGAGACCACGTTTCATCGAGAAAGAATAACAGATCAGCCTCGAGATAAGAAGGCGGCTTTGTTGATTGCGTTCCCTGATTCGCTTTTGCCGAAATCTACCGAATTGAAAAGTGGATTGGAGCCCCGCGCGTAGGGCCGCTAACCGGGGAAGGTTGCAAGGCTACAGTGGGGAAAGGACAGCTTGATCTCCAAAATAAATAGAAAAGTGGGTCGAATGGGATTCCTTTGAAGAACGTAGTGAAAACAGGACTTTCGCTATGTACATACGTGTTCAGTTATTGTAGGCTTGATCTGACATTATGTCATGGACATTGGGAGATGCCTTGTTTAGGCGCCACTGTTCCCCTCCGGATCGTTGATCAGTTCGCGTAGTCTGCTATTTTCTTTTTTTACGAGAGCCCCGTATGACCCGTCCTCGACGACCACACCCTGATCAAGCACGATGACGTGGTCCGCGATCTGGATCATGTCCTTCGCGTGCGTGATGATGATCACGGTGAGGTTCTGCCGAGTGGCTACAAGTCGCTGGATTGTTAGACGGACGAGCTCCGCGCCGGCGGGGTCAAGACTGGAGGTCGCTTCATCGAGAATAAGGATCTGAGGGTGGCGCAGCAGAGCTCGGGCTATGACCAGTCGCTGTTTCTGGCCGCCTGATAGACCGATACCGCCGTCGCCAATTACAGTCGAATAGCCCAGAGGGAGAGACATGATGAACTCGTCGATTCCGGCTGCCTGTGCTGCGGAGCGCACGCTGTCGAGAGAAGCGAGCCAGTTGGTGGGGTTGAGGCCGTAACTAATGTTGCTTTGGATGGTGCCTGGGAAAATAGTGGGCTGTTGGGATACGACGGAGATCATGGAGCGGAGGGTGGGGACGTGGAGGTCGCGTATGCTTTGGTTTCCGAGGGTTATGCTGGCTCGACCAGTTTTGGACCCCGGAGCTTCGTAGAGCGCGAGCAGTAGGGAAGCAATTGTGGATTTGCCGGAGCCTGATCTTCCAACAATTGCTGTACACGAACTTTCTTGGATGCAGAACGAGACGTTCTTCAGAACAGGAGTCTTGGGCCTAGATGGGTATCGAAAGTAAAGGTTCTTCAGTCTTATCGGTGTAAGACGAAAGGCTCTCGTTTTTCCACGGTGCTCGTGAGAGTTGTGCTTTGAAAGCTGTGACAGTCGGAGCAGATGGGTCGCTATTTCTTTCGAGGTGTTTATCTGGGGAACTATCAGGAAAGTGTCAGCAGAAAGGTACCAAAGGCAGAGATGGTGTATGCCAACTCACTCCAAGATAATATTTGTGCAGCATATCCAATGCTGAAGAGCAAGAGGGAAAATACTTGGACAACATCGTCGACGGTGAACTCTGAGGCGGCCAGGATTGCTCCATAATAGAAGATCAGTGCTAGATTTGTTAGCATACAGCATTGTCACTATGTCAAGGACGGACTGACCACTTGCTAATATTACAGTAGTCTCGACAAGACCGAACATGGCTCCCGTGTAGATGGCCCGTTTCAGCCCGACATTGAGACAGTTCTTGGCCGCTGAAGAGTGTTTGTCGCGGAAATAGGGCTGGAGCGTGAGTGCCCTGACTGTGCGAATCTCGGAGAATATCTCAGTGAAGATGTCAGACACAATGGCATTGGCTTCATTGCATCGCCTCTCCCATCGCCCATTGGTTATCTCGAAGCCACGGGTGATGGCATAAATGATCGGTCCACAAGCCAGGGCCACGAGAGTCAGCTTCCAACAAACGATCAAGCTCCAAATAATGGCAATAATCATGATAGAAGCTGCAGTGATGAAGAATCCAGCGAAACGGCCAAGTAAATTCCGCATGTCCTCTCCGTTTTGGTCGAGGTAAGATGCAATTCTGTAAGCACCGTTGCCATCCTCTTCGAACCAGGCTTTGGGCTGGTCGAGAACCCGCTTAAAGGATTTCTTTCGCAGTGTATTCATCCATGCTTCACCACAAAATTCCAGAAAATAGTGCATGAAGAATGATGTCACCCCATCGCCCGTAGATACACCAAGAACAGCGAGTGACCACACCATGGCCATATGTGCGCTATTTTCTGTGATATAGAATGTTGCAACCAGCTGGGACAGGCAGTACGAGAATATTGGAGTCGCACTTGCGTGGATGACTGCAGATAGCACCCCAATGAGAAGGATGAGTCTATCAATTGGGGTGAGACTGGGTATTATCGTGCATAAGATCTTGGTCAATGTAGCTGGTTCTGGTTTCTTCTCGCTGGGTGATTTGGGAATAGGTTCCAATCGCTGATAACGGGCATGTACTGTCTGGGATGTAGACCGGCGATGGACCGTTGGCTCAGGCAGCTGCGGCAGAGATTCTCCTGGGTTGGGCCTGTGTGGGTTGATCTCTGCCAGTTCAATTCCTTCCTCTGAGCCTTGGGAGTATACTCTTGATGGTGATGCTGGTCTTTGCATGGTTTGGCTAGTCAGCAGGAAAAGAGATTCTCGAGAGGATATTGGAAGTTTCTTAGCAGCTCTGAGAGATTCGGAGTAAACCTTGTGTTTTCGCTTCGGAATGTCGTAGATGCTCGACCGGAACCCAGGAGGTAAATGATGTTGCAAAAAGGAGGTCCTCCGAGATTGGCGGACTCGCCTGGGCAGCTGAGTTCTGTATTTCTTGCTCCTGCGACTCCGACGGCTCCTGACAGATGACGCGATGGACGAACGACTGGGTTGCTTTCTAATGGACTTGACTTTCAAGAGCTTCGCTCCAGAACGAGATCTCACCATAGATGGGAAGTACTTTTCATTTCCCGGAAGCCTTTCCACTTCGTATCTGTAGCCTTCATGAACGATTGACCCATTCTCCATAATATAGACGAAATCATCGGGCCGAATGTGTGACATATCATGAGTGATGATGATTGTGGTTTTTCCTTTTCGCCACTCGCGAATAGCTTCCATGACTGCAACACGATTCATATTGTCGAGGGCACTCGTTGGCTCATCGAGGATGAGGATCGGCGTGTCACGAAGCTTGGCTCTGGCGATCGCAACTCTTTGGCGTTGACCCCCACTGAGGAAACTTCCACCAGGGCCTACTAAAGTATTCAGTCCTTTAGGCAAGTTGAGAATTGTACTTTCAAGCATCGCGAGCTCGATAGCCTCGTTTATGTCCTTTGCGTTGACGACGGGGAAGTTTTTGAGACCAAGTGTCATATTTCGGTAAACAGAATCATTGAACAAGACGCTCTTCTGTTCAAGTAATGTTATGTTGTTCCTGATCCAGCTCACATCCAATGAATACAGCGGATATCCATCAACCATAATCTGGCCTGTTTTCGGGAGGTAGAATCGCAGAAGAAGTGCACCGAGGGTACTTTTCCCTGAACCGCTCTTTCCTATGACGAATCGAGTTTCACCAGCAGGAAAGACAAAGTTCGACGGGGTAAGGACATTTCGTTCAGGCTGAGTAGGGTATGCGAAAGACACCTATTCACGTTAGTAGTGCGAGACAGAAATGGGGATGCTGACATCACCGACATTTTTCACCTCAATCAAGCCTTTACAATAGAGCGGATACTGCGTTCCTCGCAGTTCACTCTGAAGCCGATGTCTTCCACGATCTCGGACGATGGAACTAAGAATTGCACTAGCAATCTTACCCTTTTCCATCACGATGACCTGTGGTAGAATCTGCTCGATAGACTGAGCAGCAGTGGTGCAGGCCCAGAATGTCCGAACCACGTTCCTGCAGATAGATTCCCTGCGCGCGCTAAGCTGCTGCCATACCAGAACCCCTGAACAAACATCCCGAACATCATCCATCGAATCATGGCGATCTGCACGGAATTCAGCCGTGCTTGTTGGAGATAGTAGAACGCTGATCTCTCAATTCGCGAAGAGTAGCTCTCCATCTCGTTTTCCTCCGCATTCAAACATTTGACGGTATCAATAGATGTAATGGCATTGTTGACAACTTTGGATGCTTCCGTGAGCTCTACTTGTTGCGCCGTGATGCTTCCTTTCATTCGCGCTGTTAAATACGCGATTATTGCGGCGAACAGGGGAATCCCAGCCAGAGTTACCACAGATAATCGCCAGGAGGTATAGAATGCCAGCACGAGAGATGCGACGATCCGGCATGAATATTGTAAGATTAGCCCCAGCGGCTGGGAGGCTGCTACTTGCAAGTCATGGACATAACTGGGTGATTGTAAGCAAAATCAGAAGGCCCAATTGTTCTGACTGGAGGAAGGAGAACGGTGCGTACGATTGAATACCGGAGAGGAAAGCGCCCATGCCTTCTTTGTGAGCTTCAAACCACTCGACGTCGCGTTTCAACAGCTCCTCGAAGACTTTATCACGGATAACGGAAGCTTGAATTTCTCCGAATGCCACGAAGACCATGAAGTAGGCCCCGTTGAGTACCAATCCTGCACCTGCAAGTCCTACCATACCCAAGCAATTTGTGATCATCGTCGACCGAAGTGAGTTCGCGTTCGAATGACCGGCGCCGAAGGACGTGAAAGCGTCAAACATGTTTCCGAGAAGGACAGCGAGCACTGGGGTCACACAGCCAGCGAGCAGGGCAAAAAGAGTTCCAAGCGCCAAGACTGGAACATGTTGGCTTGCCGTGAAAGTGGCGAGTGATTTCCAGCTTGTTCTTATTGTCGGCTTGGTCCCATGCATCGAGTCTCTATCGCGAGCTTCTCCTCGTGTATCAGACATCGCGTTGGGAAACAGATATTTTGTGGTGCATTTGGGATGGAGGTTTAAAAATGAGAAGAAGCGATGGGAGAGAAAAATTTTAGGGTGCGATTTCCTGGGAAATGTTTTGAAAATCGATTGTCTCTTCGTAGAACAATAGAAGGCCGGCTCCACCCCCGCGGGAGCAAACAAAGACTCGACAACCGGTCACCAGACTAAGATAAGAGATAGAATGGGAAGGTTCAATGAGAATTGCCAGCATTCATACACTGGATGCTATTAATTTCGGGGTATATGGACAGTCCTATCAAATGCTATCCACCGAAATATTCTATAAACTCCAAGTCAATTTTTCATGGTAACCGTCAATTCGGCATAGCCAAAAGTTGGCTTCACGCGAGACCGCTTGTGGTGCCACTTTTTCGAAGGTGTCGTTACGCCACAAACGAGATATCTACATGCCGTCGGCTGTACAGTCGGGGTACCTGGCAGGTCATGACAGAGTCAAATGCTGACAGAGGTATGGTAGCATTGACGCGCTTTATTTCTGAGAACGCTCGTAGATCCAGTCATTGAGACCAGCACGGTTTCTAACCCGGTTAGAGGGACGACACGATATATATGCCAAGGTAGGCTACTTACCGCGCAATTTCAATAGCGTAAAACTGCATACGGACACCTGATGCCAACTTGTCAGCTCTGCCTTGGAACACGCTTTCTCGCTAACTGATCGAAAGGCTTCTCACCGAAGATGGTAGTGTCCTGTTCGTATTCGACGTCCGCACGGTTGCGAATGATGGTGCCAAAATTGAAGTCGTCGATCTTCTTCTCGTACTGGTTAATCCAGTTTCGCCACTTCTCCTTGCCGGCCTTGCTCTTCATCAGGTCCTCATTGATGGTGGCTGCAGGGTCGAAATCGGGGAACTCGGCTTTAAATGATTCGTAGATTTCGTCGTCCATCTTGGTCAAGCGCAGTTGAGAGCCCTTGACCTTCTCTAGGATTGCCCAGTATGTCATGAGGTGTTCGACGGCTGATTGAGAGGAAAACAAAAGGTCAGAGCCGAAAAATGAAAAATGTGCGTTTTTAAAGCCTTCGTGGCTGGAACAAATCCAAGCTAACCTTTGACAGCGAATTGCTTCTCCATCTAATGGGAGTGTTAGTGATGACAGACCCGTGCTTCTGCAGGAGGGACGCTTACATCCTCGAAGTTCTCGGCCTCCTCTGGGTTAAATGGCTTCGACATTTTGGGCGGTTGTAAGAAACTCTGGATTTCAAGTTGGAGAGTTCAGGAAATGAAAAACTGGACGAGAGACTGAGTCGCGATGGGGGGGGATACTCACTGCCCCGCGAATAATTTTCGGCGGGCGGAGAGATAATTCTGCCGGTCATTGAACGACGTCAGCGGGGCCCGACCAACTGTTTAATGCATATGATTGGCTCCTAGCTGATGCAAAAAGCTGATTAGAGACTGGAAGAATATCTCAGGAACAAAAATGACTTCTGTGTATCGAGACATATGCCGGCGCATTGGAATAATGTATACAGTACCCATTATTATATAATATTATACATTCATCATACTAGTAGAGGACATCCTGCCATCGCCGGCAGGCCAATACACGTAATAAATCAATCGGTGGCTATATTCATATCATGCCAATATCGCATTTGACATTGTAGAATAAGAGAACCAGTACTGCAGAGCAGATATTGAATGGGATCAGTCGCTATCAGCATCGTCGGGTAATTCCTCGAATCGTCCCTCGCGTACAGCCTGAGCTACGGGGTTCTCCATTTTTAGAATACCATTTGCGCGCGCCCTGAAGTTACTTAGTATGAGAAGTTCGGCCATCTTAGACAAAATCGTAGTGACATACCTTTCGAACAGAACAAAGAGTCGCTCCGCTTCTCTCCTCCTTCTCTTCCTGGGTCATTGGTGGGCCCGTGTCCTCGGGCTCTGCAGCCCATCGTTGCCCTGTGATGGGGTTGACTTCTGAACTCACACCCTCAGCGTTTGTAGCGAAGGCTTCACTAGCATTTTGCGGGATCTCCAGTCCACGAGATGCAAGGAACCCGGCAGCAAACCCGTAGCCAATCCGGCGAGTAAGGTTCTCAGGGTTCTTGCCAGAAAGGACAAACATCAACTCCGAAATACTCGTCTTGAGATTTGGGTAAGGAGTGGTTGAAAGTTTCAATAGCCTTGACGCTAGTGTGTCTGATCGTCCAATCGGCTGGCTGCGGTCGTTATCTTCAGGCAGCAGAAGCCACTGCATGTATTTTCGCGACCCCTCAGGTGCTATTTCGTGGATGATAATGAGGGAGTGTAGAAGTGGGACGGCCTTCTCTTCTAGTTCCTCCGGGGGATATGTTAACACAGCTTGATCAAGAATGTTGATTAACTTGTCCACATTGCAGTTCTGATTGAATGTTGGGAATAGTGGGTTATTCTCCAATTTGCCTTTCTTCCCCTCCAGGTCAAGCACGGACAGAGAATTGATCAGGTAGCTGACTAGGCCATCTAGGGCCTTTGCTGGAATCTCCATGCGGCTGATGATCTTTAAAATGGACGGAATAGATGGCGAGAATGTTCCAGAGAGATCGGGGTAAATTTTTGAAACGTTGAAGATCACTTTGAGGGTGTCAATAAGAGCGAGCTCATCCATTTGAGTTAACTGCTGCTTCCCGGACTTGGGAAACTGTTTCGCGTGTCGACTCATTTGCTGCAGAAGACCGGTATTAGTATGCCTATAGGCCTCACCAAGCCTTGCGAACTCACATAGTTCACGTTATCACCCAGAGAATGATTCTTGATCAGATCGTCAAAGTTGATATTGGTATCGTACGTGATCAGGAAGAGGATGCGGCTGGCGACCATTTCATCCTCAGAGTTGTCGGTCTAAATTTGATTTTTCGATATTAGTGTCAAGCGCATGAAGCTAGTACGACTAGTACCTACCCTAAGTCGTTCGGCCAGTTTACCCGCATACCCTGTATCCACAAAGACCTGTCGCATTTTTCCATCAAGCAGCAGAGCGTTGGCAACGCATCGCAAAGCCGCCCGGCGTACATCAGGTGTCTCCCCATCTATTCCATACCGCGCTAGTATTCCGATGCCCTTGCATTCAAGTCAGAGAACCAGTTTGTCCAAAGTTAGGCGTGGTGGCTTGTACTTTACTGCAGTAGATTGGACTCGCGTCGGTAGGACTCGTGCCATGTTGACGCAGCTGCAGAAGGGTTTGAACTCTTTCTATATGCGAATTGCGAACGGTCAGAAGTGGCTCGCTCCGGGTCAGAGTACGAAGGGAAGCTCACTCACGGGCTGACGTTAAATTTTTGTCTTGCAAGTCTGTTTCCAGAGACTGCAGCAATTGTGTCACTTCTTGTAACTTGGCTAGAGGGGGAACAACAGAGTACTCGATTAGTTCCTTAACCCAAGTGCGCCTCGCATGAACTCCGTATCGATTACTCACCAGGTCCCTGCAGCTGCTGGAAGGCCATGATGTGTCCTGCGTCTGTGGAGCAGGAGCTCGGACGAATGGCAGATACTATCTTCTAATGCGGCCGGTAATAGCCGTAACAGAGGCTAGCGTGGTATAGAAATGGGCGACGAGTCACCGCAGTACGGAATGCGGGAGAAGTTGTCGACGCGGGGAAGTTGACCTAATACCGTCATTGGGGAAGCTCGGCAGAAGGGCTCCTAACCCAAGCTGTCGCCTCTGCGGAGCTCTGCGGAGCTCTAGTGGCTCTAGCCGTCAGTGCACTCGGAATCCCTCAAGCGTAAGTCCTGGCCTCAGTTGATTCCGGTAGACGCGTTTTGGGTTTGCGTCTGCAATATCCTTGTCGACACAATATGTACCGACCCCGGGTTTTTAAAGTTCTGTTAAAGTAAGGCCTGAGGCCGCCGTTGACCATCTTATTATGTATAGTGCTCACGATAGGCAGCGCGAAAAAAAAAAAATTCAGGAAGAGGAAATGACAAACATAAGTCTTCAAGGTCTCTCAATGTAAGAGGTAATCTTGATATGCGATACTACCCTTTTCGAGCTTTGTACAACTCGCAGCAGAATCGAGAATCAGGACGCGTGCCTGAGGCCAGAGTCGCGGTCCACACTTGACACTTTACGCGACTGCGCGACTCGGAGGCGCGTCCGGGCTCCAGTTTTCCCGAGCCCTGGCCTCAGATCTCTTAGGCGCTTCTCTACAGCAAGAAACCATAGGGAAATGCTCTATTTCCCTTCCCACTGTTCCTTCCCTACCTGAACCTGGGAACCATGGTGGAGATGCTGGGTCCTATTCCTGCTCGTCCACCAACGCCCCCACGGCCTGGTTCTCGAAGCGAGAAGGACGAGACCGACACGCCTATTCCCATACTCACACCCGGAGAAGCGTCACACACAGCAGTCTCATCGAAAGCCCCCCCTTCAAGTCGAGGTTCGAAGCGAGTCACCTTCTCCCCCTTGGCTGCACACCTCGATCAATCCGAATGCGACCCCGTCGAAGGATGGCAAGGCCAAGGACAGCCCATTCAAATCCATCCTCAAAGAATCCAATTCCCCGATTCCTGTATGGTCACCGAACACCAACGACTTCACACCCGATTCCCTTGCGATGCTCCTCGAGTCTGTGAGCCAACAACTTGCCAGCGGCTCCGTTACCTCCCGACTGGACGCCTACATGCAATTTTTCGGGGCATTACGAACGTACGATGGCTTGCCAGCTGTAAATGATATCAAGGGAAAATTAAGTCTTATCACGGATTACATTCAACGAGATGTGGCTCAAGAATTGGTGAATGCCTCACCATTGGAAACCAACCTCGTCACACAAGCATTGAAGCTATCAGCTGCTTTTGTTTGGCACACGGACATCGCATCAAACCTGTCCGACGACTTCAAGATTTTTCTTCTCGATCACGCTATCGCTTCCCTAGAGCAGGCAAAGGCGCCAAAATCCGTTTTGACGCACTACATGTCGATCCTTTCAACACAAAATTTTGGCCCCCGTGTATTAACAAATGCTCGGATCACAAAACTTCTCACTGTGTTAAAAGACTTGAGCAATCGAGTTCCCGGGAAAGCTATAATTTCAAGCCGTCTTTCAATCTACCAGCGCCTTCTTGCCCAGTCAGAAGCCCACTTCATATTGTCCTCGTCGCTGTGGGTAGAACATCTTGTCACGGGCGTCCTGAACCACGTGAAAGAGACAAGAACCAGAGCGATATACTTAGGCTTCCAAGTCTCTGCCATTGCGGGACCAAACCAGGCTATTTCAAAGACAGTTCGCGATATGTTTGATCGACCGCTAGACAATGGGCAGAAAATGGTTACCGAAATTCGAGAGCGTTTGTCGCGCATGGTGACTCAACCGGATGCAGGGGTTCACGTGCCTCAAGCATGGAGTGTCATTGTTCTTCTATTGAGAAGTAAAAAGTGGAATTGGGACCAGTGGGAGCATTTCAAAGAATGGGTGCTGATTCTTCAAAAATGCTTCAATTGTAGCGAACCTGCTATCAAATCCCAGGCAATCCTTGGGTGGAACCGCTTTGTGTTCGCAATTGGCCCTAATGAGTCTACCAGTCCCAGCCTCCTGAGGATGCTGGGCAAGCCCGTCATCTCCCAATTCGAACGGAAAAAGTCCGATAAATCCGCTACACCTACGCCGCTTGCATTGGGCAGTTACCATAACTTGCTCTATTATGCTTTTCGCCCATCTGCGCCCCGTGAGTTTCTAAATACTGCTTGGGATGAATTCATCGCGAATCCATCGTTTTCCATATTCTCATCACAGCCAGCCTTAAGTGATAATACATCGCGTGTTTTGGCGAGCATGTTGTGGAGCGCCCAAGCCAAACTTTGGTCAGCAAATCGTATTTACGAGGCAAAGAAGGTTGAACCAGAAGAACTACCTTCTTTTGACCCGCAATGGGTGCGTTCAAGGATCCCAAATATCTTGGCTGTATATGAATCGTTGTTCAGAGCTTCAGTCTGGGATGATGATGAAATTCATAAATCGGGCATTGCTCTTTCCTGGGTCAGTTTGTCGAAAGCTTTGTGCATAGCTTCCAGTAAGGAAATCACTCCGTCAACTGAGACTATGCAAGTTGTTGCGAGTTTACTTGGCTTGCTGTGTCGGCTATGGATAATTGGCCCGCTTTCCCTGAATGCACCATCTGAGGGTGGTGCCGAGATTTTTTTTCGAGAGATTCAAATATCTGTCCACCACAATGATTTCCTCACTGGGAGCAATCCCATTCACTGAAAGGCTTCTGTTGAAAACTTCCCCAGGAACATTCCAAACGTCAAATACCCCGATCCACCGCAATTCCACCTCAGGTACGGACCTGAATAGTCCGATTCTGCATCTTTTAGAGGCCGTTCGCACCACGAGTCTCATCTCAGCTCCAACATTGTCATACACTCAACTTGTCGAGGGAATCATTGGAGCTTCCTCGAAGGGTAGAAGCTCCCGCGGATCCCGCCTTGAGCTACTGCAGCAGTTTTCGAACTTGGGGAAATCTCAAACCACAGTATCAGTGCATGGAACTCTTGATGCTGTCCTGTGGAAGGCGAGTGCGCGAGCAGCAGCAGACGCATTGCAGTCTATTCCGATCGAATCAGCTCGTGAGCGAGATGGTTCGGTATCAAGTGATTACGACAACGTTACAAAAATCCTCCAAGCTGGCCTCGGGTTTCCAGATGTTCACCAGGACTGGTCCCACCTTCTAGGTTCCTTCGGCCGAGTCGTGAGAACAGAAAAGGGCGACCAGGCATTGCCTGGCTTGATGATCGAGCCTCTGAGCAAGGAGTTGAGCACACTCGACGTTCAAGAAACATACATGCCCTTGGCGTCTCTTCTTAGTCATTCTCTTTCCATTTCCTCTTGGCCTGAGACTGGGAGTACACATGCTGCATCTAGTTCCGAACAACACTCGTCACCATCAATTCCTGTGAACCTGCTTGATGCCGTGGGGAGAACATTGCACTCTTCCTATGATCATTTCAGTGTCTCTGAAACACTTGGCCTTGCGGGGTTCATCGAGTCCCTCACGTCCTTTCTGGGCTCTGGTTCATTGCCATTTCGCATAACCGTTTTGGAGATCCTCCAAACATCACTCCGTCCCTGGGTGCAAGATGAAAAACGCAAATTCGATGTACAGCTTGGGGTCGATAGCCGTATCTTGACCGCGGTAAGTGGCCAAGATCTGATTCGTTTGCATTGGAACTAATAATTCTGTAGTGCCGAGCCATAACATCTGCTGTGTTGAATATTCTGCAGACCGGGTGCTCTGATATTCCTTCAGCAAAAAGATTCGAAACTGCCATTTGTGCTGGTCTGGACTCACCTCATGCTTCCCGATGCAGCAAATTCGTGGATTTCTGGCAGTCTACAGCCCTAGATGTCGACGAATGTGGTCAAGATTCAGCCCTTTGGCGGTCGCTACAAGCGGCGAAGAGCAGACTTGTGGCAGATCAGACCGCGATAATCACGTCTTCCATTGATCAGCAGTATCTTCATATCAACTCGTCGCCTGTCATTGGGTTTCGAAAATCAGCCTGTTGTCGAATCGTCTGAGTCAAAAGAACCAACTTTGCCAGTTCAACCCCCACTCTCTGAGGAGTCCATTGAGCAGGAAGATTCGAAGTTCCAGAATGTGCACAATCGTCAGGAAGTCTTCAAACTCATTGACGACATTCGCTCTTCGTCTCCCGGAAATACACCGGGAGGGCTAGGATTCAACACTCCTGTTCATCTGCGAAGATTTCAGGGACTATCTATGCATGATGCCCCTCTAACTCCCACACTTGCAGCAGCTGAGAATGAAGACGGCTTTATTGGATCATCTCCCACACCCGCAACCCGCGACCCAACTCCTGCATCACATGTCGGGGCTTCGGCACTGGGATCTCGTGACGTGATAATGAATGATGCCAGCGACATTCCATCCTCCCCACCTGAAATTCATTCCAACACTCCCAGTCCACGCAAGAAATCCCGACGTTCGAAGGCAGCCCGAAAGAAGGAGAAAAAAGCCTTGGCCCGGAGAGCAGCACTTGAAAACGGCACAAGCAGCAACCCAATTGCCATTTCTGACTCGTTCGATCGCCCTCAGGCTGAAACCCAAGATGCGAGTGATAGTAGCATGTCTTATCAAGTGGACGAAAGGCCTCCAAGTCGACGTACTCGATTAGCCCTGAGCCAAAGCATAGACAATGTTCAAAACACCGACCACTCTGAGGCAGCTGGAACCCCCATCAAGCCCACTGAGGCACTTCCTGCGTCCAGTTCCAAGTCCAAATCCAGGTCAGCATCACGAAATAAGAAGCGGAAGGCAAAACGTCAAACCGATGAGAACCACTACCCTGGCTCATTGCCTGTGACACCGACTCATGCTTCTGAATTGGTGGAGTCTTCCAGCGATGACCTGGAGGAGCAGATTGCCTCGCAGCTTGTACAAGATCTTGAATTGGCAGTCGACCAAACCAGTCATGGCCAGAGCCCGGACATGACCTCCCATGAACCCACCCAGCCCCAACCTTCGAAGAAAGCATCCAGTGGAAAGAAGCGAAAGCGAGACGAGGATTCCCAATCAAGCTCGCACAATTCTACACGCCGATCAAAGCGACTCTCTACCGTGAATGACGTCGACGCAATTCTCGTTGACGACCCCGAGGCTACACAGTCCCAAGAGCCCGATGTTGCGATGGCGTCACAAGCTGAACCAGTCCCACGACCACCACCCTCGGCTACTCGCCGCTCGACTCGTGGTTCACAGCGAAAGGAGGAAGCGGCCGCGGCTGAAGAGCCTATCCCTATAATATCTTCTACTGACAAGACCGCTCCTGAACCTCTTCCACCACCGGAGAATTCAGTCACAAACGACAAGTCAAAAGACCAAGAACTCTCTCAGCGACCGACCAAGCGATCGCGTAAATCTCTTCGCGGTCCAGAGCAATCTTTTCCTGTTTCCACTGCAGATCGGCCTACCACTGCTTCAACAACCCATACTACCCGCAATCGTAAGAGCCGCTCAACACGCCCACCGCCAAGTCAGCAAGTTCCTTCTCAGGAAGAATCTATTCAAGTAGAACCGCCGACAGAACTGCCAGCAGTGGATGCCGAGAGCATCTCTGCACTGATGGTTGAAGAGCGTGTCCCTGAAAGCTTTCTCACGTCTGAGGCTATGCCAGATACTACCATGGATCCTCTCATTTCTACGGAAGAGGCCACAAACTGTCAGGTCACCGGGGTGGATCTAGCGACTGACACTGTGTCAGCCCCTTCGGAGGTCCCTATGGAGATGGATGTGGAGCATGTACTCGAAACAACAACCCAATCCCACCCCCTCGAGCAACCAGTCGACGAGCTCGCCGCTGGCACTCAATCTGAGCCCAGCCCCAGCCGCGAAGAAATGTCTAGCGAGGCTGGTATTACATCCTCATTGAAGCATCTCCTCGAAAACATGAAATCAGCCAACTTGAGTCCTGCTGGTCTTCGTGAGATTGACGATCTTCTTTTCAATATTCGCGTTGAGGCGCACGACGCATCACGACGCTACAATTCCGCATAGCGATGGCGTTACTGAAACATACACTGTCGAATTTTCCACTTGGCATACACCCTCCTTGTTGTTTTTATTCCCGCGTGCATATCACATACCACATGATCCATAAAAATAAGGCGCGGTTTTTGCATAAATATACTCTCGGTATTGAATTGAAGGCTTTGGTCCGAATGAATTTCTATTCTGAATGTCTCATCAATCCCTTTGTAAAAACCACTTACCTGATGTCATGTAGTATCGCCAACCGTATAGTGGAGACCCCGCTCAGGCCACCCAGATTGCTTGTACGCGTCCATGACTCAGTAGCAACTCCCATCCCGAAGTCTCCAGCTGCTGCACCTCATTCCACTACACCCCAACAATAATGTCTGAAACGAATCCAAATAGACAGTTAACCAAAGCCGACGTCCAAGTTGAACAGCTCCAGCAAAATGACTTCGAGCGCTTCTTCGACATCGGAATTGCTTGCTTCGTCAAACAGCTAAATGATGGTTTTTGGATCACCATGCACCCAGGCTACGACACAGAAGCAGGCCGCAAAGCTGCAATCGCACGGCTCGTGGCCAGGTTCAACTCAGTCACCACGAATCATGCCGGCCAGCCTAACACCATCTTCCTCAAGGCAACCGTCCCGTCACGGACACAACCTGGTGCGCGCGAGATCGCCGGCGTCGCCATCTGGGACCAGGCCTCCACCGTCGAGGGCCATGGCAACATCCCCATTCCAGACCTCGCGGAGGCCATGGACTTGAATGCGCTGTATCCTGAACAGGAGGCGGAGCAGCGGTATGCGCGGCAGCTAGACCGGTCGTTCCGCAAGCGCCGAATTGAGGTTGTGAATGAAGCCTCAAGTGCGAATCCACCGGCGGTCTTTGTGTTGGATCTTTGTGAAGTCGATCCGGCGTTTCAGAGGCTAGGAATCGCGACGAAGCTCGTGGAGTGGGGGCTTGCTGAAGCGAGGGCTCGTGGGGGCTTGGAGGCTGTGCTGGAAGCGTCGACGATGGGGAGACATGTTTATCGGAAGCTGGGATTTTATCAGGATGGCGAGTGTGAGTACATTGTCGACGAGGAGTTCCAGGACCGCAGCAGGCCGTCTAATATCTTTATGCGCACTGGGAGACTCGTGTAGGTGGATACTGGGTGATTTTTTTTTTTAGATTTAGTATATAACCTAACGCCGTCGAATATTACTAGATTGCCGGAATAATTCGCTATCTTGCGACCTTGATTTATGTAGCATTGCGATTTTTGTGAGGTCATAAACACCTTCATAGTTCTAGATCGAAAGACAAGACGAAGAATGCGGGCAATGCAGTAACAGGTACCGCAGGTGGGGCCAAGATTCCCCCCGCCATCACTTGAACCCTCGCAACAGTTCGACCTTCCAACCTTCAACAACCATGGACCGTTCAAACAAACCCTCTGCCATCGGGCTGGGCAAGTCCCTTCCCCAACCCACCGTCTCAATCCAAGACAACACCGTTGAAGCCTCCCTCCCCACCGGCGAATCTGTCACAGTCCACCTTTACGGTGCCACCGTCACCTCGTGGAAAGCTAATGGCCAGGAACAGCTGTTCCTCAGCCAAAAGGCTCACTTAGACGGCTCAAAGCCCATTCGTGGAGGTATTCCAGTTGTTTTCCCGGTACGATCGCTCCCCACTTCCCTCTCGAATCCCCCTTCTTACGAAGCTATTTGCTAACTATGGTTCTTCCGGCTCACAGGTCTTCGGCCCTCCCCCCAAGGACCATGCCACCTCGGCCCTGCCCCAGCACGGCTTCGCCCGGAACTCAACCTGGGAGTACCTTGGCAAGTCATCGTCGGAGTCCGCCGACAGTCAGGGTGATATGACCGTGAAGCTTGATTTTGGCCTGTCCCACACCTTGCTGAGCGAGGAGTTCCGGAAAGCCTGGCCGTACGAGTTCGCGCTGGTCTACAGCGTGACACTGAATAAGAACTCTCTGATGACTGCGCTGGAGGTACGCAATGAAGGCAAAGAGAACTTTGATTTCCAGGTGCTGATGCACACGTACCTGAGCGTTGAGGTATGTATATGCGCTTTCTGCCGGCGCTACCGGGCTATGGCGTGCATTGCTAATATAACTTCACTTTTTCTAGGATATCTCCGCTGTTCGCGTCAAGAACCTTGAGTCTAAGACCTACATCGACAAGACCCAGAATGCTACTTCGCACACCGAGGCTTCCAATGCGCTGGCTATTACCGGGGAAACAGACCGAGTCTATCAGGCGCTCGACCCGGCTGTTCCTATCATTGTCTCCTCCGCTGCGGATGACAAGCCCCTGTTCTCGATTACGCGCGAGGCGCTAACAGATGTGGTGGTGTGGAACCCCTGGATCGAGAAGGCCAAGGGCATGGCCGACTTTGCGCCGGATGAGGCGTACAAGAACATGATTTGTGTGGAGGCCGGATCTGTCTCTGGATGGCAGACCCTTGAGGCTGGGGACTCCTGGGAGGGTGCCCAGAACATCAAGTCGCGTCTTTAAACGGCGATGGCTGCGTAGTGTTGAGCGGCTGAGGGCGGTTCGCCTAGACGATTCTGATGACCCAGAACTTTGCTTTAACTTGGAAGTTTCAAAATGAATAGAAGATTTGATATCAGAAAACCGGATGCCCCCATTTTTACAAGCTAATAGTATATCCAGGATCGCATTCGTAAGGTACATTTTCGCATAAGACTTGAACGCTAGACCACAAGGCCACACCGATTAATCGTAACAAAAACTGAATGACAGACCAGCATATTTACCTTGGAACAGGCCCTCACGCAAGCATCAATTATAAGATCATCGTCGGAGACTCAAGGTGTCGACTCGCAAAAGCGGGATGCTCTGCCAGCGGCGGAGCAGCAATACTTGCAACATCAATGAACGAGCGCCGCCCCTCTTTACCCGCCTGCAGTGTGCTCAGCCTTTCCGCGGCTTCGAAGCTATACTGTGGACCCTCATACTCTCTCCTCCCCGGACCAACCACCACAACCCCATCAACACCATCAACCCGGTAGTAATCACGCTGGTATAGTTCATGTTCTGCACGGTCACGGGCAACTCCAATGGGAAGCAGAAGAAGACGACCGTGACGAGAATATAGATAAGTGCCACGATGTTCACCGTCATCCCCAGCTTCTGACCCATGTAGAATGGCCCAGGGACCATGTTCCGGCGGCAGGAGAGTACGTGCGGGAGAATAGCTCCAAAGTAGGAGAGTGAGCTGAGGACGATAAACGACGATATCAGCGCCTGAAAAGCCGTTGTGCTGCCGATATATATGCATCCGAGGCAGGTCACTAGTGTGCTCATAGCGACAGTTGCCCGGACGGGACAGTTGAGCGTTGGGTGGACGTGGGCGAAGTAGCTGGCGAAGGGGGTCGCGTTATCCCGAGCGAGACTCCACCACATACGGCCACCGGTCACGAACGTGCCGATTAGGGTGGGAAAAGTTGCGAGGAAGAGCACTGCGATCAGGGCTATTGCGCCGGCGTTGGAGCCGGTTGCTTGTCGGTAGATCTCGGCTGTTGGGAAGAAGCCGATGTTGCTGGAGTAGACGGCGTCGAGGTCTCGGATGGAGTAGAAGAGGGCAATCAGATAAACGAATGAGCTAATGAATGCCGTGAGCATTTGGATCATTATGCCTTGTGGGACTTTGGTTTCTGGGCTGGGGACTGGAGACGAGCAAAGGGAAATTAGTCGACGGCTATTTCTGATAGAGCTTGGTTTTGGGTACCTTCTTCAGATAGATGGCTGATGCAGTCGGGGACTCCAACGGCAAACGCTGCATTCAATAGCCCTGTCATGAAACATACCCCGTCTGACCACCCGCCGGTTTTGTTGTGGTATTCCGTCCAGACTTGGGCGTTCGAGGCGTATCGCGTGGGCATTACCAAGAGCACCACGATAGTCGCAAGGAGCCCACTCATGGAGAGTGCTAGCGCAATGCGGTTGATTAGCGGGATGAACCGATTTCCAAGGCAGACAATAGCACAGCAAGCCCAGTTGACTACCTGGAAGCAAATAAAGACCTGCCAATTCTGCCACCTGACGCTTGTATTGTTGAGTAAATACATGGCAACGGCCTCGTTCCCCAGCATGGAGCTCATCGAAGAGGCAGAGAGTAGCCAGGCGCATGCATTCAAATATCCTGTAAAGAAGCCAGCTCCACGGCCTCGATTGCGGCTCAGAACAGATGACCAGTAGTATACCCCGCCAGCCGAGGGCATTGAAGAGGCGAGTTCGGCTAATGAGGCGGAGATCGCTGTGTAGAATATGCTCACGAGAATGAGCCCGTATATCACGGCCATGGGGCCTCCGTTTCGAAGAGCAGCGACAATCGTTCCTCCGGTTGAAGCCCAAGAGCTGGAACGTGTTAACGCGATACAATTACACTCCAGAAGGAACAAAAAAAAACATACTTTGCGATCACAATTCCCAGGCTAGTCAGGCTCCATAGCCCGAAGTTTCTCTTTAGTTCCTGCTTGTGCCCCAGTGCAGCCTCGAGGCGCACTTCATCGATCTCTCCTTTGATCTTCAGGGGGCGTCACCCCATCTGGGGAGGTTCGTGAGGCCATAACCATCTTTTCATTCCAGCCTCCTGCCAGGCTGGAACTGTATTCAAAGGAGCGTTCGGTACTGAAGGAACGGGATATGGCCGGCGAAGCCCTCTCAATGATGGAGGAGAACGATTAAAAAGAAACGCAAGACAAGACCTCTTCAGCGGAGAAAAAATAGGGCAAATGCACCTTGAACCCCCCAGAAAAATATCATGCGAGGGGGGACATCCCCGATCTCCATATGGCTTCCACGTGCATGGGGCGCATTCCTGATCATAAATCTACGAGATCAGGCTCCTTTTTCCGAGCGAGGGGCTATTGAGCCAGAGACTGTGCTGAGAGGGTGATTGGAACTAAGCCATGGCGGCTCGCATAAGAAGCTTTGTGTCCACTCTATTGAAGGCTGCCGTGGCGGCTATTGGCAATAGTACAAAATCTTGCGCCAAGCCGACCTGTAGATTCGATACTAGTAGAAGCCATGCAGGATGCCGATCGAAGCAAGTGTGGCGCACAAAAGGCGAATCGGAATTCTCGACAGGCTCTCGAGGCCTGGCGAGAATGTGAGCTGTTGAAGTTGGTGGCTCGCCACGCATGCAAGGGGCTTGGTCTGAAGAATCGACGTACGACATTTTCTGTCGACCAGGCGACATTTAGTCTCCTAGATTTCATAACCATGAGACTGACATCAATCACAAAATAATCTATAAGCAAGTAAAAAGTCAAGGGACCGCATGCTCAAGACATGCGCTCTCTACTTCCACTCGAGTGAGCGGGTCAAGTTGCGAGAAATAAATTCCAGAAGAACATTTCATCTTAGAAGTCGAAGTTGTATATAAGTTCACCTTAAGCCTCCACGGGGTGTCTTCAACATATTCCAAAGTCCTCCACGGATTTGAAAACCAACCCCACCATGCGCTGTCAATGGCTTGCCGTCCGTTTTGCATGGTGTGTGACGGCACAATCACCGGATCGACCAATAGGGATACCTATAGAAAACACATCAGTGTTGAATATTGTTAATTTTCACGTCCAAAATCCCAACCTGTCAACGCTGTCTCCCGGCTGCATACCTTCACTAATGAGGTCTGCCAAAACATTATGGATGAAGAATATTGTATAATCGCAAAAGCCTCTTTCAAACCCCGCCAAAGTAACATGAGGCTGGTTTCGACTATTCCAGGGATATATCCCAAAGGGCTTCAGCGTGGGCACAGGACAAACCTATCGTGGCTCCAGGTGAACCTCTGCCGCTAGAAAGGGCTTTGCACAGATCTGCTGAGCGGGATCGGGTCCCAATGACAAATAAATTTGGCATTAATACCAACGGGCCCATGGTCCGATGGCGTTACTCGTCTCTGAAATCCACAACCGGTGTCGTGGATATCCAGAAGACTACGAAGAGGCTTTTGTTTTTCAAGGCCCGGATGTGTGAGGATCTCCTCTTAACCATCACACCGCAATTGGAATTGACAGAGTTGAGATTGCTGGATTGACTACCTACGTATATTTTCGTTGCCATTGAGAGAAAAGAGTGGAATTGTTCATTCAGTAGAGCTTCTGCTTCCCAGCGTTGGGTTTAACAATCTCGAGATTGGCGGATATACCGATCAAGTGGGCGTGCTGCAACTGAACGGAACAAACCACCCGCTCGTGTTTCAACTAGCCGAGACCCTCAATGTATTCATGAATTCCATCTCACGACAAGCCGGATATATCCTCGAACATATTGACAGAATATTGAATACATTCAACAGCGTTTATTACGGTCCTGACTGTTAAAGACGCCGACGAGTGAAATCTCCAACCATGCAAAAAGTATCAACGGACGATTCATCTACAATTAATATCTGTTTGGCAGACCCGAAAGATGATTACCATATCTTGGGAAGACCTTGATGGTGACGACTAGTCACGTACAGAACTCCCACACGGAGTCCTTGGTTTTGGTGGCTTTCAAACTACATGGACAACAACTATAGCCTCCGTTGGAATTCACTGCCGAGGGTGAACATGCAGAGTACGTCCTGAACATATTCGCGAATTTGCATGGCGAGGTTGCCTACAAAAAGTGTATTGATGATTCCCAGGGCCTTCGCTGATCCGAAAAGAGCCCAACGCTGGAGGGGGGTTGGCTTTTCCCACGGTCGGCCAGCACAAGCTCTACATCTCCACCTCCGGCACGGAGAGCAATGTGAGTATCGCTCTGGCCGGGGCTTAGAATTAGCGGCAAGCCCAGCTTAACGTGGATTATTTTTATTGGTGGGCAGGCCGCGTGAACCATGGCTAGAGTAGGCGAAGAGCCTCTTCCAAAATTTCCATATGAGAGAGCTAACTGGAGGATTAGTTGGGTCAGGGGAGAATGGGCCATCCGCGGGGCTGTCCAACTCCTTGTACGTCCGTCCCTGTTTGATGTGGGCCCGTTGCATCGAGCACAGCTAAATCGGAGAGAGACATAGGGCCGGTAGACGAAGCAAAGGATACAATTCAGACGTGGATGGGCAGGTTGGTGACCGCGTGAAGGGTGTGATAGGGTGATGTTGGATTGAAGCTGCAGGCGCCAACGACCAATTCGGGGAAGTGCGGCGCAGCGAATGAATGCCATCGTAGAAGCGCCGAAGGCCTTAACAGAACCCCTCCACGTGCATGTGCTCGAGTTGGCTGAGCCAGGCAGTGGAAAAGAATCGGGCCTGCTTCTCCCTTCTTATCGACCAATCCTGCTATGTTCCGTCTTATCATTGGTGGGCGAGGTCTCAGTCATCGTTGCGTCGTCACGATGCTAGTACGAAGATCAACCTCGGCCACATACAGCTTGGATGGAAGAAAGGTACGGAAAGAGCTCTCCAAGCTCTGGATCTCATCAGGGTCAAGGCTATTTGTTTGTACCCAGAGAACAAGGTTCGAATGGCATGAAGTATCCAAGCAATTTTAGCCGCATCGGGAACAGAGCAGCAGTTCACGTTCACAGAATAAGGCCGCAGGCGCAGTGAAGACGGACAGGGATTAAAACCCCTCAGTTTCGACCCCACCCAACAACCAACACAATCAACCCCGCTTCTGTGGAAGACAAACAACATAGGAGACCTGGCAGAGATAAATAATAGACGATTCCGTGCAAGGCAACGATGAAGGCTGTTGTACTGTTAACCCCGTTCTCGCCATGTCCGCCATCAAGGTCGCCATCGCGTCCAATTCCATGGGCAAGTCCGTCGCCGGGCACACCATTGAGAGAAAACTAGAGGCTGCAAAGGCACATGGCTTCGATGGCGTCGAGGTGGCTTTTGAATGCGTGGAGGCCAATGCTACCCAGTTCAACACCATGGCCACTCGCGATGACCGGCTCCGCGCCTCCGCGGCCGACATCTATGAAAAGGCCCAATCGCTGGATTTGAAGCTCATAGCATTGAACCCATTCAGAGATTTCGATGGACTGAGGAATCCACGGCAAGCGAACGCTCGGTTACAAGAGGCTGATCTCTGGTGTCAATTATGCCAAATCATGCATATTCCCATAATACAGGTATGATCCACTGCCATGACATCCATTCGCGAAAGCTGACCCATGCTTAGGTCCCCACGGCTCTGTACCCTCTCGAGGAATCCAAAGTCACGACTGATGTCTGCGTGATAGCTACCAACATGCGCAAACTCGGCCGGCTGGCAGAGAAATATGACCTAAAGATAGGCTATGAAGCGCCCTCGTGGGGAATCCATAAGAGTACATGGCAAGAAATCCAGGAGATTCTTGCGCGTGTCAACCTCCCGAACGTCGGGCACTGTCTTGACACATTCCATATCGCCTCTAAAGAGGCCGGGGATCCATTCAACGCATCTTCTCCCATCCGAGGCTCGGGATTTGATGACCTTTACCGCAGCTTGGATGAGCTCAAGAGAACGGTTAGCCCCGAGGACATCGTTTACCTGCAGTTAAGCGACGCGACGACGGCAGATCAAGAGCAGAAGGGGTATCCCAATACCGACCTCGACCAGCCCGCATACATGACCCAGTCAAGGAATTGCAGGGTTTTCCCATGCGAGGAACGTTTGGGAGGCTCCTTACCCGTGATGGAGGTTGCCAAGGCTGTCTTTGACATGGGGTATACTGGCTGGGTCTCCATGGAAGTATTCCACAAGGACATGTTCCATGAGGGAAACTCGTGAGTTCTTTTTCTCAACTGAAATCAGGGTTTTCTGTTAACTTTGTTCAGTGTTCCAGATGACTGGGCGAGACGGGGAATGGAATCTTGGAAGAACGTTGCCCTTCGCTGTGGGCTTGACCGCCGTAAGTAAACCGAAAGGGGGGGGTTACTTGGCAAAGCTAACGGATTGCAGGCGCAAAGATCTAATACAGGAATGCGGGAGTCACAAAAACGAGCGTTGCCATATAAGGAGAAGTAATAGTTGCATTGGAGCTTCAGAGCAAAATAATCTAGGTCAAGAGAATAGCGATGGCATAATTCAATCCTTCCCTCTGATGTGACACGGTAGCCGCCGGTCAAGAATGGTGCGGTGCATGCGGATCTCTGCAAAAATCAGGGCAAGGGACAGAGTCCACTCTGACGCAACGGTATTTAACACTACTGTCGGGATCAAAGCTGAGTGGGATGGACGCTAGTCATCCAAGACATAATTACGCAGTAGCAATCTGGCAAACTGATAATGAGAGCATCCTAAATAACCTGCTCGAAGCCTTAGATCAACCGTAGAGGACATGCGCTTATGAGCCGTTCATACACAATGAGATCTCCAAATCTCTTGCTCATATATTTCTGAGAAATCGTACCTATGCTTGGCAGGAATGTGGCTACCTAGGTAAGTTGTGCAATTATAATATCGGCCGCATGGACCATCCCTACTCTGCAATATGACCTGTCAACTGGCTTCTGGAGAACGTAGCTCAGGGTCCAATCCCGAACTTATTGAGATCGTGCATATGATTGACAATGCATCAGCCCGGTTTTCGGGAGCCGATGAAATCTTTGTTGGATGCTACCTTTGCCTAACTTCCCACTCTACCATCCCGGAAAGAGGGAACTTCGGTCCTAGTAAGGATGTATGTCGTAGGCTGAGTCAGTGAGTTATAACAATGACAAAATGTATTCAAGATGCTTTTTATAGTGGGTTGGAAAATAGAAACAAGGGAGGGGGCTAGCCTCCCGTCCACTTTCCTTGCCAATAATGATCTGCATTCCGGCACGAACTGCCATCAATCAACTTTTGACAGTTTTTGCACCACCCCTTGCATGGGCTTTCGAGCGGCTCCTTGCTTTCAGAAGCTCTGATAATTTCAATAACGAAAAAAAGAAAAAATTAATGCCGAGATACTCCAAAGGGTCTCTCGAGTCTATCTAAAACTAGCTTTCAGCTAAAGCTGGGGTTTGTTTCAGTCCAGCGACTGCGATGAAATCTCCTTGGCCCGGCCAGCTTTAGCTAGCCCTAGTTGCCTAGTCACTTCTAGAGAGCGAATGGGCACGTTTCTGAGAACTTTGATACTTCATTCGCTTTTCTCGAACTCGCTGTGTTTCTTCAGAGGATGGCCATATTTTTCTTTGGCTATATTGGAGGTTAACATCTGAGGTGCTAGCGGTACAAGTCTGCTCTTCCCCCCAGCATGGGGAATGTATCGCCCACTCCGCATCAGCTATTTCTGGAAGCTGTGATATTTTGGAGTATAGCAGTGGTTATTTATGCTGGGAGAATGTAGGACGAGATGAAGTGGATTCGAAGTCTCATGCTGATGCAAGTGTAGGGCTTCACGAATTATTTCCCATGGATCAATCAAAGGGTTGTTTTGTAAGATTGTTCCAACTCGTTATCGTTATGACACTTTCTGATCTTAGTATTTTGGAAATACCAGGGGACGATTATATTATGACTGCCACTTTTGTGAGAGCAATGTTTCTATGGTGTCTTTGGAGTGGACTTTTGCTGACGAATGTCCACAGATAATCTATACCGCACTCCTCGTCTTAATCCAAATTTCAGCTCGCTATGCAACCAATCTTATGGATCCTAAAGACTACAGCGCTGTTCTGGCGGACCCGAAGCAGGTTAGCGACCGAATCTTTGGAAGCAAGATCGTGATCGGATTAGAGCAATGCATGCTTTTTTCGACATGGGGCGTCAAGACATGCATGTTGATATTCTACTGGAGGCTAACCCAGAGTCTACGGTCCAACCTCTATATCAAGATCCTGACCGGATACGTGGTTCTCGGATTCGTAGTCATCATGGTCACCTACTATGCCGTCTACTGCCGCCCGTTCTCTCAATACTGGGCTATGCCCGTCGAAAACATGCAATGCGCAACTTACCAGCACTACTCGATAACCCAGGCTGTGTTCAACATCTCGTCCGACGCAATCATGTTCGCCATCCCGATTCCTCTGTTAATCCGCGCCCAACTCAAGAAACACCGGAAGATTCTGCTCCTGTGCGTGATGAGCCTCGGGCTATTCACCATCATTGCCGCCATCCTGAACAAATTCTTCAACTTTGCGTCCCCGTTGACGACAACGTACCAGATATGGTATATTCGCGAAGCGAGCACAGCCATATACGTTGCAAACCTCATGTGCTGGTGGCCGCTCCTCCGCAAACTCTTCGGCTTCAAGGCATTTTCCTACAATAGCAATCGGCGGCGCGAGGGACTGAATAACGGGAACAAATTCAGCAACAGCTCCGCGGCCAACTCGCAGTCCCGCCCCTCTTTTTCCTTGCCCAGGGCGCTGCAATTCATTCGGCCGGGCGTGAATAAGGCGGGGAAGCACACGCCAGGAGAGCAGCAGACTGCGATCCATCGATCAAGCGAAGAACCCATCACACATGCTTCGCGTGATGGGGATACCGTTGAAGCCTACCAGCTGGATTATTGGAGTTCCCCTGAAGCACACGGGGCGAACATGGAACACTTGAGAGCGATGAGCCTGGATACTCTTTCTGCGTATGAGAGTGCGCATTCGAAACGATCCGAGGGGGGGTATGGTCATAAAGGGATGGGCTGTTAGATACTGCTGCTGAGCGAAGATCCTACTACGACAAAAAATAATGCCTACAGTCCCTCCTTACATTATCAACCCCATACTGTATTTAAGTCCATTCAAGCGGGGCATATAGATGAAGCCCGTGGTTCATATGGACGAAAAAGGGCTATAGAGTGGTAGCTGACCAGGCCAAAAGTCACCTCTTCTGGTACTCCTCGCGCCGATGGTCAAGGGGTTACGATGCCATTTTCCCATTTCCACATGAGTCAGATGGCGACCCGGGTTCGAATCCCGGTCGGCGCAAGAAAGATTTACTTTTTTTGTTTTTGCTATTCATTTCAGATATCCATCCGAGGAACGATCAGAAGCATATACTAGGTCAAACAGAGCAAGCCAGATCAATAATAGGCTGTAGTGCAGTCACGATCGTCGGAATGGACCCGCGGCTAGGTCGGCACTTCGCGAGATTGCGGGGACGATGGTGTCAAGTGGGTTCAATCTTTGCCATTCGGAGCCTTCTCCACCGTCAATGAGTTTCTTTAGACCTAGAATTTTTCGTTAGATAAAACTAATCCTCCATAAACCGTCCCAGACGCCCATCCTGTATACTTCGCCCCGCTCGCGTGTCACCCCCGGCTTGGCTTAGATGGGCTCGTCTTCTCCCGAACACTCGGGCCGGCCCCAAGCAAACATCTCCGAGCCATCCAACGACTTCAACTTCCGTAGATCCCAGGAAGGGGAAGCCCAGACGCATCATGCGAGCAAGCCCAGTCACGTGGCCCCGACTATCGTCACCAGCGGGATAAATACGCCCGAAGTTGAACATGCCGATGCCGAACTCAGGCCCGACTCTAGCACGCCGGAGAAGCCTGTGACGTGGAGTTCGTTGCCCAAGAAAGGGCAACTGGCTATCCTGACGCTGGCACGGCTGTCCGAGCCGCTTACGCAGACTTCGTTGCAGGCATATCTCTTCTACCAACTGAGGTCGTTTGATCCGTCTTTGCCCAGCGCAACGATATCAGCGCAGGCTGGAGTCCTACAGGCTAGTTTTACTGCGGCCCAATTTCTGACAGCCTTTTGGTGGGGCCGGTTGGCGGATACGGAATGGATGGGACGGAAGAGAGTCTTGTTGATTGGCTTGTTTGGCACTTGTATCTCCTGTTTGGGGTTCGGGTTTTCTCGCAACTTTGCAACGGCGGCAGTCTTCCGGACGCTGAATGGGGTGTTGAATAGCAATGTCGGTGTTATGAGGACGATGGTCTCGGAGATCATCGTTGAGAAAAAGTATGCCTTATCCAATACGTCTGGAAAGAAAAATTAAGCTGACAAGTGGGAAACCAGATACCAGTCGCGCGCATTCTTACTCCTGCCGATGTGCTTTAATATCGGTGTCATTATAGGCCCAGTGCTCGGCGGCTCATTGGCTGATCCAATCAACAGCTTCCCAGGTATATTTGGCCCTGGATCCTGGATTGGTGGCGAGAATGGCGTCTGGTGGATGAAACACTGGCCCTTCCTTCTTCCCCAATCTCTTAAGTGCTGTGTTCATTCTTATGTCCTTTTGCACGATCCTCTTTGGCCTTGAAGAGGTAAGCCGCTCTTCCAATCGAGCTGTTCATACTCTACTAATCACGCATCCAGACCCATGAAATCGCCCGCTACCGCCAGGACTGGGGCCGCGATGTCGGCAAACGAATCGCCCGCTCCTTTACCCGACGGCCACAGCACTACCACTCCCTCACCGTGGCCGGTGAAGAAGGCCTGTTCGTTGACGAGAGGGTGGAGATCAATTCCGCACCAGCAAGCCCCACTGGCTCTCCCAGGCCCCTTCCTCGACCTCGTCAACGCCCGCCCTTCAGCCAGATTTTCACCCGCAACGTCCTCTTAACCCTCTTCGCCCACTTTCTGCTTGCAGCACACACAAGTGCCTTCAATGCGCTGACCTTTGTGTTCCTGCCGACTCCTCGCGCACCCGAGGGCTCGAGGACCGATTTCTTCCACTTTGGTGGTGGCCTTGGGTTACCATCTGCGCGGGTCGGTCTCGCGACGGCTATCATTGGGTTCATTGGTCTTCCGCTGCAGATATTCGTATATCCGCGTGTACAGGGGAAGCTAGGGACGCTTACTTCCTTCCGCTTCTTTCTTCCTTTCTCCCCCTTGGCTTATATACTGATGCCGTTCCTGGTTGTTCTACCGCGAGCTGCGGCAATTGTCTGGCCCTCCTTTAGTCTGGTTGTAGGGCTGCAGGTTTTGTCGCGGACCTTTGCGTTACCGGCTGCTATTATCCTTGTGAATAATTCTGTGACAGATAGTTCGATTCTAGGAACTGTCCATGGAGTTGCGCAGAGAGTCTCGAGTGCGGCCCGTACTTTGGGGCCGCTGCTTGGTGGTTGGGGTCTTGGACTGGGCTTGTCTCATAATATTGTGGGTGCGGTCTGGTGGGCCTTGGCTGCAGAGGCTCTCCTGGGGTATGTTGTTCTGTGGACCATTCGAGAGGGCAAGGGGGTTGAGCCTCAAAAGTTTGATGTAGAGGAACTTGAGGAGGAACTTGACAGATAGACAGTCTTGTCTCGCGTGGAGTTGACATTGCATAGCCATTTAGGATTTGCTCATCTAAAATATGATTCGCCTTATTTTGATACATCGCTAGATCAATGGACCCCGTCAATAGAAGCGGCTCTCCCGAGCGATTTTCATCTGATGGATTGGGCACTGTCCAGCAGGAACACGGTCATCGAATCACCAATCGATATCTTCAGAACACCGGAGTAATGAAAGCCCGCAGAGCACCCACCACATCTCCATCATTCGCCCTCAGAAGCTCCGTGGCTTTCACCTTGTTCAGATCAAGCTGGTCAATCTGACGGGGAAGACTGTTATTATGGAATCAGACATCAGACTAAGGAACTGAACTCACCAGCAATGTTACATCGGCGGCATCGATTTTGACTGTTTTCTTGACCTCGGCCTTCTTCTTGCTTTGCTTGCTCTCCTTTTTAACCCCTTGCCCAGAAGTCATCTCCAGACGGCTCATTGCCTTTCCCAAAGCCTCCTGGTCTGCAGCCCCGGTGCCCTTCGGTGAACTTGAGTCGGCTATTTCGTTCTCGTTGAGGGAAGACAGAGCGGCAGCTGCTTTGCGGTCTTCCGCGTTGACTGGAGGCTTCTTTTCGACCACATCAGGGCCTCCCGTGGCGGAGGGGATTGGGTCTGACATAATGAAGTCGGCTTTTAATGTGTTGCAAGGTACAATGAGGAGTATATGTTATTGATAAAGGGCGAGACGCAGAGCGGGGCGGGCGGGGCCGAGGCGTGGATCTGCTAACGTCCCAATACGAATTAGTTAGCCTTCCAGATGTCTAATGCTGCCACAGTGCATGCCATCCGCTTCAGGCACCAAGATGACTCACTCGGAGCCGTGAATAAGCGCGTCTGCGAAGCTTTGTGCTCAATTTCCAGTGTGGTCTTTTCTGCTCATGAGCTGCATTTCATCCGTCTTTCGCTGATCCAGCACTGCTCCGATTTGAGCACTCACGACTCTTCAGCCGACTCATCGCCTTTCGAGGCTCAATTCCATTTTTATTCCACAGTCCCACCAGGCGGGGTAATTCGTGAACTGACGCCATGGCGGACTGGACCCCCAGTTGTATGTGCTGCATATCTCGCGGCATCTCTTCGATTCCTCATGCCAACGATCTGACCGAACTTGACCTATCACAGCTTGGACCACGAAGCCTATCAAGCAGGATGTCGTGTACGAGGACGCACAGGGAGTGAAGGATGCTCTCACGAGACTCCAGAAGCTCCCCCCCGCTCGTCACTACTCAAGAGGTGCGGCGCACTACGTTCAGTGGGACCTTGCATTGGGTTACGCTAAACCGCTCTTCAGATCGCGAATCTCAAGGCTAGCTTGAGAGAAGTCGCTCTGGGCAATGCCTTTGTCTTGCAAGGCGGTATGTCGTCCAATTGTCCGAGCCCTAAAAGCCTAAACTTGTCTCATCTGAACAATCCTAGGGGATTGCGCCGAGCTATTCGACTACTGTAACCAAGAGATGATCGAAGCCAAAGTGAAGCTACTGCTTCAGATGAGCTTGGTCCTAATTTGGGGTATAGTCATACCTTACCACAGCTAATGAACTCGCGGTCTAACGAGGTATCCTAGGCGCCAATAAACCCGTTATCCGTATCGCACGAATCGCTGGTCAATTCGCAAAGTAAACAACCACTTCCTCAATCACACAATTTGAATCGCAACAACCAGCTAATCTCTGAAAAAAAAAAAAGACCCCGTTCTAGTCCAACTGAGACCGTCAACGGAGTCGAAATGCCCTCTTTCCGAGGGGATAACATCAACGGCTTCGATGCCGATCCTGAAATCCGTAAGCCCGACCCATCACGCCTCGTGTCGGCCTACTTCCACTCCGCTGCAACTCTCAACTACCTGCGTGCATCGCTCTCTTCCGGACTCGCCGATCTGCATTCCCCACTCGACTGGGGCCTCGGCCACGTCATCACACCGGCTATCAAAGAGCAGTACAGCAAGATCGTAAGCGCAGTCAAGGATGCCCTCCGTTTCATGCGCACAGTTGGAATCGACAAAGACCGTGGCGTCGAGACTGCCGACATCTACACCAGCCATGAAGGCTTGTCGCTTGAATACGAACAAACACTTACACGAAATCTCCGCGACCCCATCGAGCGTTCCGCACGGAACATCGGCAGCGCAGAGCCCACGTCCAGCTTCTATGCGACGTCGGCTCATTTCCTCTGGATCGGTGACCGCACACGCCAGCTCAACGGCGCACACATCGAGTTCTTCCGCGGCATCGCCAACCCCATCGGCATCAAGATCGGGCCCTCCATGGCCGCCGACGAGCTCGTCGCCCTCCTGGACGTGGTCAATCCTCGCAAGGAAATCGGCAAGGTCACCCTGATCTCCCGCTACGGCGCGAGCAAGATCGCGCAGTTCCTGCCCGGTCATATCGCGGCCGTGAAGGCTTCAGGCCATGTCCCTGTCTGGCAGTGTGACCCCATGCACGGCAACACACAGGCGACCCCATCAGGCGTTAAAACGAGACATTTCACGGATATCCTGGCAGAGCTAAAGCAGGCGCTGGAGATCCATCGCGCTGCTGGGTCGTTCTTGGGCGGCATGCATCTCGAGTTGACGGGCGAGGCTGTGACGGAGTGCGTCGGCGGTGCGGCTGGATTGACCGAGGATGGGCTCGGTGAGAGGTACACGACTTTCTGTGACCCTCGATTAAACGAGAAACAGGCGCTTGAACTGGCGTTCCTGGTGGCTGGTTTCTACCGCGAGGAGGAAGGTCAGTAGAGGGGTTTCTACGCGATATCTTGATCAGATAAGATATCGCAAAAAGTTGATGAGATTTGGTCGTCATTTATTCATAGACTTGTGAATTACAAAGAATCACTTTGAAAGGCCCCTGTTGGTCCCTAGACTTTTTCTCCAAACTCCATAACCTCCAAATCATGACGGAAGATGGGCCACAACACCATTCGAATGTGGTTTTGTGGCAATGAGCGGCTTACTTTTTATTCTGGCCTCCAATTTTTCCTCCTCATACCTTGGTGGGAAGTTAGAAACCTAGTAAGACTGATATTCCATCTGTACCGGGATGACACGGAGTATCAAGCTTCTCTTCCCGCCTGCTGTATCTTGCTGTATAACCAAAAAGCTATTTCTCCAGTTCCCATAAACTCCTGTGAGACCTGTGTATATTTATTGTCAGCGCTCCTCAGTCTCGCCACTACGTTTGCTTGTTGCGGGAGATTCGTTATTCCAGCCCACAAATCAAGCTACTAGTATAAGGCATCTTGACCTTCAGAAGTCCCCATACGGACCTTATTGCAACCACTCCTTAGGATTGATGCCTCCCATCGCGTCTGTCGGGATGTGATCCTTTGATCTCGAGTCTAAATGGCCCGTGCATGGGTCCACTTTCCCGGAGCCTCAAAAGGCTTGTTTCACTTCATAAGCGCGCGCATTTCCAGTAAAGTAAGACATGGTATCCGGTACCCTCTAGGCTTGTCTCAACAGATGCATATGACCGGCAATTGTCTCCAATTCTGACAATCTTACAGCGAGATGCGCAATTATATCCTGACGAGAACAGCACGTCGATTTCTTTCAGATTGCAAGGGAATTGCCTTCATCCTTGAATCCCTTACGCATAGAGAAGGACTGTTATTAGGTGGAGTCCGTTGGGTGCAAAATACCTCCCACCCCCCCTTTCCAGGTTTCCTTTCATGGGCACGCTCATTACCAGAGCCCATGGCAGCGCTGAGAAGAGATGAACTTGAAGTAGATATTCACGATAGCTTGATTCATTGAGCGTTTAACAAAGTCACTTATAATACGACGGTCAGGCAGACAGTGGACAAATTTCAAATGATTGCATTCGACAAAATAGTCTCAGGAACCCTTGGTTTTCAAAGTAATCCCCAATTCCAAGTCCGTCCCTCGCCGGGGTCCAGGGTAAAAACCTCATTCACAAAACTCCCAAAGTATCCCCCCATATGTACAATGAACACGAAAGGCATTGACGCATTCATGCAGAAAGTCAAAACACAAATTACCGGGCAAGCGGACTAGCAACAGCGGGTTTATGGAAAAGACTCTTCCGTCTCGCAGCTTCCATCATAGCACGCTGCTTGCGGCGGCCAACATCTTCGTCCTCGTCTTCAAAACTCAACTTCTTACTGGTGTTCGAGCTCGGGAACAGACCCCGGTTGCTTTGCTTAGGAGGGCAGGATTGTTGGACGAGCTTGCTGCGGTTGGAGAGGAAGTATGGGGTTGCCGGGGACATGCCCATGGCGTCAAGGTTGTCAAAGTTGTAGCCCGGGGTCGCAGGGACGTGGTAGCGGTCCGTAGATCGCTCTGTAGGTGTAGAGGGGGCTTCACCGGCGCGGGGGGTTGGGGGTGTGATTTTTCGGAAGCTCTCCATTGCACCCCAGTCAGCGCCGCAGCGACGGCCGCTGGCTGAGGGGGTTGAAGGCTCGGCGACGTGGACAAGAGTGCCGTTGACGTTGCTCAGGGCACGAGGCTCCATGCTCTTACGGCGGTTGGCCCCTCCGCGGGGAATGATAGTACTGTCAACGGTATAGGGGGTTTCGTCAAGCCATTTGCTTTCTCGCTCGCAGCTGAACGTTTATTAGTAATTTGCAGTACAGCAGTCTGGATTGATAAACTTACTCAAGAACCCAGCCTACACCAACACATTTGACAAGGCCACCGGCGTGCTTGACCTTCTCCAAGGTCCGTAATCCACCGTCCTTGTAGACAACATGGGTGATACCAATCTTAGCATGGGTATGCATAGGGTCTTGGCCATCAACTGGGGACGCGCTAGAGCGGGGGTTCCAAGACCAGGACTTGACACAGCGAGCACCCATCTGTTGTAGCAACTCAACAAAGATTCCCGATGCATCCTCTCCTTCCGTGGTATGTACGTTGACATGAACCACAGCACCGTTCAATACCTGCTTCTCTTTGTTCACGCTGGATTTCCGTCGAGAGGTCTTTGCAGGACTGCTGGCAACAGAGGGGCTTCGTGGAGGAGGCATCATCGAGGATCGAACGCTGGAACGGCGAGCGACACTACAACGGCGTTTCGGACTTGGGCTTCTATCGACCTGTGTTTTGGGCGGAGAAAGAACCGGTGCACTGTCATTCCGAGGGAAGGAAATCGGTTTGCGGCTACGGGGAGAAACACGGGTTGGAGAGGTAGCTGTCAATGAGAGACCGCGCTTTCGAGGCATCTTCAGAGGAGATACCTCTCCCTCCCCTTTCAAAGGAACCTTTGAAACGGTATGAACGGTGCGGTGGCTGTTCGGCATTGATCTGACGGGTGTGGCTGGGAGGACAGGGGGGTGCAGGGGAATTTTCTTTATTTTCCTCTTCGAGTGGCTTGTCGTTGCTTTCAGCTACAGAGCCAGGAAGACTGAAGCGAGATTGCTCTCCAGGAGACACAGGCTCGTTGTCCTCAAAAATCTCGTTCTTGGTAGGCGAATCTATCATATCATCATCTGCCTCAAGCAAGGGGGAACTTGCAGGACTATCGAATGCAGGTGCCGGGGACGATTCGTTACTCCGAGGTTGAAGGGGCAACTCTGCGAAGAGACGTGGAGTGTTCGCAAGAGATGGACGCGAGAGATCAGGGTATGAAACCTTGCCTTCGTCTGGAATGTGGGTCTCACCAGGCTGATCCAATGGACCAACAAGAGAGAAAACACCTCTTCGGCGTGGTCGGCCTTCTCTAGCCTTTGGTGTGTTGGTTTGCCAGCTGCTGAGTTGATTTACGAGTGGCGTGAAGGCCATATCAACGTTGAAGTTGGAGCGACGTCGGGTGTGCGGAGTACCCTTGAGGCTCGGTGGAGCGGGTGTTGGAATGTCGGATTCAGTAAATTCGAAAGGACTATTCTCATAATCAAATCGAGCATCCTCAGTGTTGAAATCGAACATGCGCCCGTTGGATTTGACACTCGCTTCTCGTCCGATAGACGAGGACGTGCCTGGGACCGGAGGGGTTGGAGCTGTAGGTGGAACGTGTATCTCCCGGAAGGGGGGAGTCTTCGTGCTCGCCACTCTCTTCAGGGGTTTGAGACCGAGCCTCGATACTGGAGCTGAAGTCTGCATGGACGGGGGTAGCCTCAGTATCGGAATGGTCATCCTCAGTTTCAGGCTCTTCGATCTCGTAGTCATCTCGTGCGCCCAAGGCTTGATGAACAACGCTCTCTTCGACATGGGCCTCATACTGTTCTGGCGCGTCAATTTCGATTGTTCCATGAACAGGGGCAGGCGAGCTAGGTTCCACAAGAGCGTCAAACGCAGCCAAATCGAGGGTAGGCGAAAAATCGGGAACAACATTTGCATCTTCATGTGCAGGAGACAATGGACTCGACCTTCGAGAACAGAAATCATCTTTATCCTCGGGTTCAGACTCGATAGCATCGTCTTGTTCCACATCGTTTATCTCTTCTTCAACATGTTCGTCGACTTCCTCATCTTCCAGATTCTCCAGAGACAGCGGTTCAAAGGGCTTCTGCAAAGCTTCCATGTTATTGAAGCAGAGTGTTCCAAAATCATCCGGCTCGCGCTGGATCTCGGCCTGAAGAGCATCAAGCTTCTCGTCAACAGTCTGACCGTCGTACTCCTCTTGTTCCGGCTCCATATCGATATCATCATCGCTCAGAGCGAGCGGCTCTGGCTGTGGCTCTAGCCCTGACTCTGGCCCTGACTCCGGTTGCGCCGATTTGTCTTTATGGGCAGATTGCTGCGAAGATGACAGTTCAATCCCAAAGATATCGCGAGCGACCTCTTCGACCATTGATAGCTCATGGTCATCTGCTGGTTCCTCTTCATCATTGTGAAACGAAAGGCGATGGCGAATCACAGACCCTGAAAGATTTTCGGTGTCCGCTTGAGTGGGAGATGGGGCCTTCGTTGGTGCTGGAGATTTGGCGAATAGAGAACTCTTGAACGGCGACGCAATGCGTTTCGCAGGACTTTGGATCAGCGATGCCTTGGGTTTAAAGGATGGCGTAGCAGTCTTTGCCGGGCTTTGGAATGACGAGCCTAATTTACCCTTCTTAGGGGACATTTTAAGCGGCGAAGTCGGTCCTTGGAAAAGGTCTGACGCATATCCAGTTTCAAGTTCTTCGCGGAAAAGCCTGTTCCGGCTGGGGGTGTCCATAATAGAGAACTTGAACGGCGACACCTCCGGGCGTCTGGCCGGGCTAGACATCATCATTGAGTTGCTGAAATCGAAAGAGCTGCCAAGTGGAAGTGCTAGGTGACCATTATCAACAACAGTGTTCTGGCTTCTGTTTGGTGTGAAATTGATTTTGCGGACCGGTGAACCAAGTCCAATCGTCGAGGATCCGTGTTTGGGTGTAGGGACTTTCAGTTCCCCATTCTCGTCAAGTTGACGTGAGGCTTTATTGGGCGTAAAGTTGATTCTGCGGACAGGCGAACTCAGTCCTGAACCTTCGGTGTGCTTTACAGGCGAGTGGACCACGAGTCCGACAGGACTCTTAGGATCAGCCTTGGCTACACTCAATTCGTCTTCCTCATCCTCAGACTCTGTGTAGATGCCAAGAGACTTCGCCATCTGCTTTGTTTTCTTTGGAGAAAGTGGCTGCGGCATATCTTTCTTGGCCCCAGGTTTTCGTCCCCGAGTTGCGCTAGTCGCTTTACGCATCGGAGTAGCTCCCAGGCCAGCTCTACCTGGAGCTTTCCTTCGTCCTGCAGCTGACGCAGAGGACTCTTCAGCCTCTGAGTCCGAGTTTGATACGCCTTGAAAAGTGACGGTTTTCTTCTTGGCGGGACCACGCAGAAGGTTCGAACGCATAGTAGTCGAATTAGTATTGATCACAATATGCGTAGGATCCGCCTCATCCGTCGACTCAGTGGATTTATTAGTAGCTCGTGTAGCTTTTCTTGTGGTGGCTGGCTTTTTCGCAGCAGGCTCAGCCTTGGGTCGTCCTCGAGTCTTCGTCGCGCCTGCGGCTGACTTGGTTGGCTCTGGGGTGGCATTCTTCCTAGGCCGGCCGACGCGTTTCTTCACTGGCTCTGCCTTGTCCTTGTCCGCCGTCTCTGCCACCACCGCGGCAGCTGCAGCGGCAGCGGCAGCGGTAGCTTTCTTGGTTCGGGCGGTCGCAGCCTTTGGCGCGACAGGTTTAGTCACAGCACGCCCAGCAGGCCGGCCGCGAGGCTTGGCTTGTTTATCTGCATCCTCCATCATCATGCCGAGCTCATCGTCTGTATCGTCGGAGTCGGCGCTGTTCAAAGAAGCTAAATGGTTCGGTCTGACTACATTCCTTGGTGCTGCAGCAGTCTTAGCTTCTGTCGTTTTGGTTGTTGTCCGGGGAGCTGTCCGAGCTCCCCGTTTAACTGGAGATGGTGGGAGGACAGCCGCGCGTGCCATTGCGGCGATTTATTGTTATGCCGTCGTGAAGCAGTCGTCGCGATGGATTTAGTGATGTCGGATTTGCTTGCTCATGGCGGATCTGAGCGTGTCGAGATTGCGGGTGGCGGTCAACGTCAAGAATGCACTATGCAGGACGAAATGGGCGCGGTGGAGCGTGTTTTCCTCAAACTGCCGGACCCGCGCCTGGTCGCCCTGGCAACAAATCACGTGACTATCCAAGGATCTGCAATCGATGGGGCAGCGAGGATCAGCCGAAGTATATCTGCATGATTTCTCTGATTACAGTGCATATCGTTGGTGCCTATGGGGTGCATCTCTTTTTCGCTAGTGACGGTGGCTAGTGAAAGTGCTTATCAGAATCCAATAACACAAAAGATAGTCCTAATTTGGTCGTAACGCACTGCAGGTCAAGGCTATCTAAGAGAACCAAGACTCGAATATACATGTTTTCATAAAAGTGGCGCGAGAGAACGCAAGGCCTGTAATAATTCAAATGTAGGAATGAAAGAATGGAAAAGAATGGAGAATCCCCGACCACGAATCGCGCCCGCGAAAATGCAATTTATCTCTCCAACTAAACTAAGGAGAAACCAACGACGGTGGCCACCATAGTAGCCAGCATAGCAGGAACAATGGCGTTGACAGCAGCATCCTCCTTCACAGGGTCTAGGGCCTTGGGCTCATATTTGGCAGGGGTGGTGGAGTTGATCTTGCCATCCCAGCAGTATTTGCTGAAGCAAGTATCACAAATGTCAGGAAGCTTGGTGCCAGTGCGCTCGAAGGAGCGCTGCAACATCGCACAGCCAACACACGCAGTCCAGTTGCCATCGCGAGTACCGTTGCCCATGGTTGCAACCTCATAACCGTTGGTGATAAGGCTGTCACGCTGCTCGTCAGTGTATTCCATCATGAAAGTCGAGGTGTTGGACAGGTAGGAATAAGGGTAGTTGGGGATGTAGACAATGAGCGGGGTCATGCTGGTGGTGTTGGAGCTGTTGCAGCCGAAGAAGGTTGGGCGGGTGTTCAGGCCCTCGTTGACGAAGGTATTCGTATCGGGAACGGCAGGGAAGGCAGTGTGGTTGCCGATTCCGGTGGCGTTCAGGCTACGCTCATAAGTGGCAACCAGAGAAGTACCGTTAGGCCAGTTCATGTCGGTATCAGCAGATGAGTCAATGGCAAACACAACGTCAATGTGACGATTGGGCTGGATCACGGGCTGAAGAGGAATGTTTTGACCATCCTCGCCACCGTCCACAAGCTCCAATGTAGTCTGAGCAGCGTAGGGCGAAGTGTCCTCATTGTAGCGGTAGAAAGGGTTAGGGTCGTAGGGGGCGATATCGTCGTCAGCACGGGATAGCTTGGTGAGGAACTTTCGGACGAGGTCCTGGACAGCACTGGGGATCGAAGTAGTGTTCAGCTGGAGCAGAAACTGATTGAAAAGGGTGGACGAAGTTCCAATGATGAAACCGGCGTTGTCAAAGCCACGAACACAGGATCCGTTACTTGGGAGCTTGCCGTCCTCGAATGGCGAACCCAGGTATTCCAAAGGAGCGAAACCGTAGATAGTAGGGTCCCAGGTGCCGAACTCCCAAGGGTTGAACTCGTAGATGGTCGCGTTACCACCGACCACTTTTTCGCCGGGGTTACGGCCATCAGCAACCACGAGAGGCAGGGGTTGGTTGCCCTGCTTGAAATCGGACATATCGGCAATAGAAGACCAAGTGTAATCGACACCTCCGTCGGTTCCATTGAAGAACTGGTAACCCAAGGCACGGCCCCTATTATATTGAATTAGCATAAGGCACGACCTACTTCGAAGCCTACGCACAAACTCACCAAAGATCAGTAACAGCAGTCTCGTAGCCAGCATCCTTCTTGTCGTCGACCTCATCAACGAGGTTCTTGTAGTAATCCACGGTGTCAAAGATGTGTAGACCGCCCTTATCAGGACCACTGAAGATAGAACTGCTGAGCTGCCACAGATCACCGTCAGAGGTGGTCTGCAGGTCAGAGATGGTGGTGAAGTTGTTGACCCAAATGGAGCCAAGCAACCAACTACCACCACTCAGACCAGCGACATAAGTGGCAGACTGCAGCAGACCACCCAGGTGACCCTTGGTAGTCGAGTTGGAGATACGGCTGTCAAAGGCCTTGATCGCACCGGCACCGTTCAACATGGCACGGTAACCACCACCAGAAACTGCAACTGCGACGTTGGGAAGACTGGAGGCATTTGAGGCGTGCTTGTCCAAATATCCCGCTACGTCATAGCCGCCCACACTCACATGGCCGAAGAAGTCCTTCATCGCATCCAATGTCTTGTTGCGGCGGACGGGCAGCCATTTCTCCTCATTGTCTGACAGCGTCGAGGCACTGCGAATGGATGGTCGCGTAGACGGGCAGCTTACATTCTGGGGGGCGTAGCCGTCGGGAGCATTAGGCAGCGCACGAGCTATAACCTCAACAGCGACTTCATCCAGGTTACTGGGGGCAGCGATTGCGCCTAGAGCAATTTGATGCGTCAGCCAATCGATCTTGAATCGGACCCCCCGATCTCTGTGGAGACGCGATCTCCAATGGGGGGAGTGTCGAGGTAGGGGGAGGGGAGGAGAGTGCAATCGGAGACATACCAGGCAGGGCCAGGGCGGTCGCGATCAATGCAGTCGTCTTCATGGTGAGGACGTTGAGTACGAGTCGCGATGAGATACGAAGCCAAAGGGGGGACCCTGATATTATTTATTTTCGGGACGACCGGAAGCTTGGCGAGGGTTCCATGCCAAGGATCTCGCAGATGAAGAGTTATGCCTATCGTATGCGGGATAGCATTAGTGCTCCTGGGGGAAACGAATCAAGGCAAAGCAAGTGGGTTCGGACGAGTTCGAAGGGCCTTGGATCGTGTGTGATGTCAATCGCAAAAATGAACCCCAAAGGGGGGGCCGCGGACCCCGGGGCTTGAGGACTGCTCTGACTGGCTGCTCGTACTTGTGTGTTGGGGGAGCAGTATGGGGCTTCTTGGTGTTCTCTTGGCAACCGCCCCAATTGTCGACGCCTCGTCTCTAGCTGCATCGTGCCTGGAAGTGACTGTGCCACAACGTATTTCGGGTGTCGGGGGCCAGGCACCGCCCAGTATGCCCCGAACCAGCATTTCATCAGCTGGCCGTTTGTTTTACATGGTTTAATACGAATTCCCAGGTCCCAGGTCCCCTAGGTGGGAAATACGAGGAGTTCGAGGTTTGAAATTCTGTTATTCTGTAACGGCGACGAAACCCGCTTGTCGCAAAGGATTCCTCCCAATTCCACTTGCTCCACTTAGTACGGCGCACAGCTCACAGGAAGAGTAATTCCAGTGCCATGTCTGCCCTACGGGCACGCCACCCCTTTTCCAGCCCCACTCGTTTGCAAAACATGCTGTGTATACCTGCGGTGCAGCAACACATCAGCAGAGATGCGGCTGTGCCCGCCGCAAAACAAGGACTCGAGCAGTGGACCCATCTAAGTCATCAAAATTCGCCTCCGGCAATCCACTGGAACCAGTGCTGAAGTCAAGCCACAGCCGGCAGCATCCGAGAACCCTGCAACCGATCGGACCAGGCAGCCACTTTCCAGAACCTTAAGCTTGTGATTCCAGTACGGAGTACGGAGTAAATTGCGGTAAAAGACGTTGCACCAGTCGAGATGAGGGCCTCCGTAGGCCCTTTGGGGGTAATCGAGCCCCGGATGGGGTATTTGGAGCGTTATTTACGGAGCTGATGTGATCTTAGGCAGCCGTACCTAGGTACAGAAAGTATATGGAGTTGCTTACAGCGGGAAGTCATGGTGCTTGGCATCCGGCTGTGTTCTGAGCATGGCCCCCCGAGCCTCGGAAAATTATTCTGGGCAAAGCAGGACTTGGGAGCTGGCTAGTATTTGAGACTTGGAAGTGGTACTAATAACAGTGCCAAAGGAAGTCTACTAAGTGGCATCAGTAGAGCTTCGCTTGCTACGGCTTTCGTGTGCCTCCAGAATATATCGGAAGATCGGCAGTGGCTTGTCGATTGCCGCAGGATCGACCGCTGGCTGATCGACCGCCTTTACTACCACCGGCATAATCTTGAAGGCTGACCCCGCACTGGCTGTCAGGCTGGCTGGCATACAACATGGTGCGGGCATGCTAATTATAATGTAGATTCAAGTAGTTCAAATGTTGATGCTCGTTCATAAAATACCAAATACCACCACCATTGCTACGGCTAGATATTGAGCTCCGACAGGTTAACGTACGTCACAGTCTGCCTGTAAAGGGATCTAAGTCTCAAAGTTTCAAGTTGAACTAACCAAGGTTCTCATTCCAGCTTCTTCCATCTCATCTGTATATACGGCGGGCAGCCATTCTCCTTGTGGCACGAAATCTAGCTATGTGGAGAAAACCTCGGCATCCTTGGAGATCTCAGCGATCTCGGCAACTTGGGTCACACCGTTCCACTGATATTTGTCTCTGTCATCTGGATCCCATGTAAGTGATCCCCGCGCCTATATCTAGCCCTCGGTTTCTGAGTTCCTAAAGCTTTTTTTTTTTTCGATTTAATGACCAGGAAAGACCTGGCAGTTATCTAGATGCTACTTATCTTGTTAGAACGTAAATCATATCATTGGCTTCAACAAAGCAGTCCAGCCTGAAGGTTCTTTACAGCGCACCTCGGACAAGATCCATGAATATACAGGTAGCTTTTTGGGATGACTACTCCCTGGAGCGGCGCAGTTATCTGCTGGACAGATCAAGGCACTTGGAGCGCTGAAATCCGGATTATCATAATCAGCATCCATCGCATGTAGGTTTACCATTGATATCGGCAAGCTTTTGGCAAGACGCCCATTTCTTTTGACTGATAATCTCCGCATTGTCACAGCAAAGGCACGTTTGCGCTGTTATCATCGGGCTGTCGCAATACTACTCGGCCTATCTACCATTTTCTTGGCTACAGGGGTTGGAATTTTTATGAGCACTATTGATTAGCTTCGGAACAAGGAAATAGCTGTCTATTATAGGAGAGTAAAGACATACCAATAAACTTACTGGGCGTGGTTGACGTGCGAGGATGGAATGTGCGCAGTCGCAGACATACCTTTCGGGAGTTAATGGTCCGATCCAGGGAGCCTCACCGATCGGCTTTTTTAAGATCATCGGAATATGCAGAAGTAGCCTGTGAGGGCCTAAATGGCCCCTACATGCACAGTGCGGTAAAGCAAAGTGGATACTTTGATATGAAAGCCCCAGGTTCTGTCAGCTCCTGATACTCGTTTTCTATTGGAGAATAACTAGTCACTAAATGAACTGAAATTCGCTAGTCGGTAGACTCCTCATTACTTTCCGAGTCCAGATCAGGCGGTCCCATGGGCCCTCCAAGATCATAGGCCGGGCCGATACTTGCTGTTGGCCAGTGTGTCGTGTCATCGAGCTCGAAATGGGACAGACCTTGTAATTCCACGGCATGATCGAATTCTTCGCGGCAGTAGCGGACTACTCGCCCACAGTCATCATAGAAGGCCAAAAGAACATTGCCTGCATCAGGTCCCTCAGAGGCAAAGGTTGTTGCATCAACGATCTGGAGACGACCTACGACTTGGTGCATATGATAACTGCTGTAAAAGAATTGCCACGGAGTTGCATCCTCATCGGGGTCATAGCCGTTTTCTATCGCACGGTCCGGGTCGGAAGCCTCTTCTTCAAGCGCTTCTCGTAAAAGATCTTGGGATTCTCGCTCATGTTCGTCGGCCTCTTCTGGCTTCATTCGTATCTCAACAAGTTGGGGCAGGCGAGTGAATATTCTCTCCCAACTTGAGCCATAATTGAACAGGACACTATCACTGCAAATTCCAGGTTTGAAAGGATCCAAAGACAATATACGATCCTCTATTTCAGCCCATTTTTCTTCGGACGAGGGGTCGTAACATGTACGGAGCCAACAGACGTAATCAATTGAGTGTAACGCTGCGCGCTCCACACCAGATTGACCGATACGATCTAACAGCTGTTGACTCTTCGCTGGAAGGTCTTGTCTAGACTGAATACGACCCTGCATCAACTGAGTCGCGTATGGCTACTCTAAAAATTAGTTCCTGCATTTCAGAGGCTAGGGGGACCTTGAGGATTACCACACGACCGCGGAGTCCGAGCTTGACGAATTCATCAAATAACTGTTCGCGTTGGGCATCCGTGCCTAGCGGCGAGTCTTCCTGCCATCGCTCCTGTAATCATTTAGCTCTCGTACTTCTTCTCGAACAGCGAGGGAACTACCAAAAGAAATAGGTCGGCTTGAGAAATTTTGTCGTTAGACATTTCGCGTCGTAGATAGTGTATTTCGCGATGCTTCGTCGTTTTTCTGAAAATGGAATGGCAACTAGAGAATGTCCTGAATCGAGCAGACCGTGCAGAGAGGCAACTCGAGAAGAACGAGACCCAGAAGATTGATCGGGAGGAAAAGGGAATCCAAGAGTAAAAAGACCCAAGAGAGAGATAGCGAGTCAATTTCGAAACAGGGACCAGCTAGTGAGGCGTACCTAAGGTGTTTGCCCCGCCCCCTCCATGTGGGTCGGTCTCTTAGTCCTGCGGCTACAGCGATTTTAGCGTGAGACAGTAAATTGCGATTTGATCGAATCGTCCGGAGCTGCCTTGCTCACCGTTACAGTATTTCCTATATATACTATGCGCCCATTCAGTTCTGGATCTATCCATTTCATTTTGCCTTGGTGGATCAGCGACCATGTTCGGGCCAATTTCGGCATCAAGGTCACTGGTTTTCTTATTCCCGACCTTCAAGACATCTGCAATCCAACTGTTCAAAGAAGCTCCATCTGGTATTCCCTAGTAGTAGAAGTAGTAGTAGAAGTAGTAGTAGTAGTAGTAGTAGTAGTAGTAGTAGTATTTATTAACGTCCAGGGTGCTGGTGGTGTACGCCGCCAGCTCTTAGCCTCCCTTGGGGTATAGGGACAGGCAGAGCTTCTTAAACCCATTGGATTGGACCTATAATGTTTCCTGCCTCACCAGTGGTGAAGAATATTGTTACTCGCAGATCACAAATTGCAACTTGCTAATCCAGGATGCTTTTCTTTTCTTTTTGCTTCGTGCAGTGTTCCAGCGTCGAGCTATTCCTATTCAACAACAACAAGCACCATTACCCCAGTGACTTCTCCAACCTCGCACGTCACAACGCCCTCTAGAACTTATGCGGCTACTACTTAGACCTTCAAAAAGGGCAATAGCTGTGATTCAATAACATCTGAAATAATATCGCCACGGACCGATTTATGACAGAAAGTCACTTCGATATCAGTTTTGCACTTTGGAAACCGGAGATGAGGTCTCTCTGAGGCCAGCTTGCTCCTTGCAAAGTGCAGGAGAACGATACTTGCAATTCAATTTTGTCAAGCTATACTCTTTACATGAATCAGTTCCTGTCATGTATCCCGTTAGTCTTGCCTTCTTTCTTTGCCGCGACAAAATTTCGTGTCGCGTGAATCATCAAAGAGCATTTCAGTATCACCATCCTCACTATTCTTGCTCATTAAGCAATGTTCGGATGGATCTTCCCTGATGTCAGCCTTGGCACGGAGGGCTGAGCCTACCCTCCAACATGTGTACGGCGGATAGAGCGGAGCTGCTTAATATCATGTAGGACATTTTCCTTGAGCGGGAACATCGGCACGACCTTTCATCGAGCTATTGTGTTGACCTTGGTATTTCTCACTGTCTCACGGATGTTGTTGAGTCCACTGGCCAGCATCGCTGGACCCCAGAAGCTTACGGAGTACTCCACAAAAAAATTTCATGATTTGAGTCGATGAGTCCGTTTACGATGGGTTGTCTTTGCTCGCCGGCTGCTCCGAAGTTGACTATCTTGACCGGTACGATATTATTGGATTGATATTAAGCATATTCCACATCCACAGTCAAATCCTACGTATTCCGCGGTACTATTGATTCTAACCCCAAACATTTGGCTGAACTTGTTGGTCCAGATATTGGATTCGTACTGTCGAGACTCGGGCAAGGGATTAGCATGATCAACTCGGTGCTCCAGCCCGCGATTCACATCATAAAACGGCAGTGGAAATCATGGACCGGATATCAAACTCTAAGGAAATGTCAGCTTTATCTTCCATCGTATGGAATCCATTCAATCCTGCTTCTGCAATTATAAGGTAATAGAGTCACGCGGGCGCATGGGGGGATCCTGGAATTCCGCCCAGTAGGTCGGCTTTCGGAGCCGAAGAAACCTTAATATTCGCAGAACCAGTTTTGACATATCAACCTTTCCAGAATTAGATGAGCTTGCTATGCCAAACTTGGGCAAGGGGTACGAGCCAACAGGAATCCATCTTTGAACGGTCGAAACAAGGCACACGAGCACTATATAACGCTCAAAAAGGAAGTTCCGGAACTACCAGCCTATCAAAACGGCGGCACGCGATACTCGCCCAGTTTGGGTTGCCACTAGTACATTCGTCAAGTCGTGGTTCGACGTTCCAGATTCCAGGATCCCTCCGTTGAAATTCGTGAGCGTGCTACTATTTATAGCGTCACCCCGCTTCAGATACTCTACCATCAGGAAGGCTATGGGGGAATGGAACATGAGATCAAGCGCCAAAATGGACGTGTGCGTCTCATAGGAATATAGCTTTCTACTCATAGTACTCGTAGAGGAGCAAGTGGCATTCAAGCCAAGGTAGCGCATGGAGCGCGTACTCCAAATCAACTAAAGGAACGGGACAAGGAATCACAGGTCCGAGTCATAGCACATTGCCTATACCAAGTTATTTGACACCTGAGATCTGGGATGCATGAAAGTAACTCACTTCGAACAAGGTACCCTTTGTCGCTCATTTCCAACTTTGAGCTAAGAGACTGGTGATCTTTTACAGTCCATTGCTCCCACCCAGCTCGTGTTGATTGTCTATTACGCAATGAAGCAGGCACATATCAACCCACCAGTCATTTGACGTTCTGAAAGTTAATATGACATGGCTCTGGTTGGTGGGTGGCAAGGAACCAAACAAAAGAATCCGGGCATCAGGATGCCTCACGTGTCCTCGCAACTCAATCCTAGAGAAGCCAAGGGATAGACACATCATCCACTGGTCATCTGGAAAGCTTATTTCCCAACAAAAGTTCTCTACAGCCAATAGCTCGCAGATTCTCGCCATCAGAAATTAGTCGGTGAGAAGCGAGCCTATGGGAGTTTCCCCGCAAGGAAAAGCAAGCGGCTCCGATAGGATCGCTCGCCCGGCACTTGACCTAACTACACTTAGGGGTTATCATGACTTCACCAGTGGAGCCAAGCTGTCAAAAGTGGAGAAAGTGGGCCAGAACATATCGAAATAGTAGAGTGATCGATTAATCTAATTAATAAAATCGTAACGGTCCATTGAGACAGACAAAGTCGCTAAAACCTCCAAAACAAGTTTTGACCAAGGCCGAATTAGACAACAGCAAAAATGCGCGCTGCGCAGCTCCAGAACCCCGCAATCCGTCGAACCACCCTTATTAGTGAAATATTATATAGAAACGCCATGCCATGAGACACCTGTACACGGGTCACGCGCAGGTAGATTGAATGAGTCATCGACTCTTCCTTTGCCAAGCCCTTCTTCTGAGGTATCTACCATGCGGCGTGGCCACCGTCCATGCGCAGGTCGCTACCAGTCATGAAGCTACTGGCGTCGCTGAGCAGGAACACGGCCGCACCACGGTACTCCTCCGGTCGGGAGAGGCGGCCGAGCATGTTCTCCTTAGGCCACTGGTCGCGGCGCTCTGGGAAGTCCTCGAAAAGCTTTTCCACCATCGCAGTCACGATGTAGCCCGGGGAGATTGTGTTGACGCGGATGTTGTACTGGCCCCACTCGGCAGCCAGGTTGCGGGCGAGCTGGATAACAGCAGCCTTGCTGGCGTTGTAGGCGGGGCAGATGAGACCCTGTGAGAGAAATGTTAGCCAGATGTCATAAAATTCCAGTATAGTGATATAGATGATAAGAGTGTCAAGAGTCGGAGGGCTCGGAGATGCTGTGCTTCTCGGATCCCTGCAGGGTTCCGAAAAGGGCAAATAGAAGACCACACGACGCAAAGACACCGGAAAACATCCAAAAAAAGGGATGGAAACCCCCAGAGTTGGGGTTGCGGGGGATGGCTGGGTACGTACCCTATTGGCAATGGTTCCACTCATACTAGCGATCATAGCAATGCTACCACCGTTGCCAAAGCGAATCATTTGCTTGGCCACGGCCTGTGCGGTCATAAACACGCCTGTGACATTGACTTCGAACATGGTGTTGCTGTCTTTGGCAGAGTACTCGAGAGCGGGCGTCTCCTGTTGGATACCAGCGGCGGCAACAAGGCCATCCATGCGACCCTCGGCGTCGGCGATCGCCTCAATCACGCTGTTCAGAAGCTCTGTGTCACGAACATCAATGCGGCGGTAGTGCAACTCGGTTCCCAGTTGCTTGGCGCGCTCTTGGATGGCTGAGAACTCTGGGGCCTGTGTATTATGTTAGTCTATTTGGGATCTGGAAAAAGATCATTCGTTCGTTCGTCCAATATGAGTGCCAACGAACAAACAGGTTTAGGGAATAGAACATACCGGCTCAGGTAGACGGTCCAAGGCATAGACTTTCGCGCCAGCTTCCAACAGGGCCTCGGCTTGAGTCAAACCCAGCCCACGACCAGCGCCAGACACCAAAACTACCTTGCCAGCAAGACTGAACTCGGGCATGCGAGCTTGGTGTCCCAAGAGGACAGGCTGCTGGGGAGCCGTAGGGGCAGTAGGAACTGCAGTGGACTCAATGGAGACAGACATTATTGTATAAGGGTGTTGTGTTATTAATTAAAAAGTTGGTAGGCGTGAAGGGCTGATAGTACAAGGAGTCAGGAAGATCTGGTAAAATATACACAGAAGAGTAGAGCGTTGGATGGACTGCTGGATGGACTTCACGATGGAGTGAACCAGCCTTTATATGTTACTGGCAGGGGCATCGGCACCGCAAGCCGACGAAACGTCGAGCCCACCGAAGGGTTTCCATGCGAGAGGTCTCGTGAACACTCTCGAATTTGGAGCGAAAACATGATTGTAGAATCGACAGAATTGGTCCTTGGCGCCGGCCCAGACCCCGACAAGCCGTCCCGGTCTTCCGGGGAATGCGGCAGAGTCGTGGCGACATCTGGGAACTCAGATCGACTGGGCTACTCCTATATTGCTTTTTCTTTCCTTCCTCAAATAAAATTACAAATATTCCAAAAACCCGCTTTTACAAGAATGCGAACGTTCAATTTGAGACGCTGTGAGATCTATTTGGCTCTGTTCGCTTAACGGTGCTATTTTCTAGAGCTTTGGCTGTGCAAAGTCCGGGAGATCAAGATGGGCTGTAGATCGGATATCTTGTTTGGGAAAGCCGGCGCCACCAAACCCATTCAGGTGACCCCGGGGAATCTGGAGCCTTGCAGTTCTTTGGGGTTCCCCGGGGTTCCCCCCCGGACATCAACCTTCAAGCTCCTGAGAATGGTCAGCCCCGCATAATTTCTTTTCTTACTTTTTCATATCCTCCATTTTGCCTGTCATGTGGTCGCTGGCATCCAATCAAGGTTTCTACTCATCCCCGTGCTTTCGGTTCCTGGATGTCGGGTAAACTCAATGGCTCATCCCGCGTCTTTCTGATCGAAAATGAGACGACTAAAAAAAAGTTTCGATGTACTTTTACAAAAGTCCCTACCTTCACAACCTCGTTGAGCGCGCAACTGGTGGATTCCGAATAGCCTCTAGAACGGACTGTACAGACTGCGGCCACTGTCTCCGACCGTGCCCATCATATCGCAGTGACCCTTCTCAATAGTCCAGGTATCTCAGCTTCTGGGCTTAAAAAAGGGTAAGGAACTAACTACACTGTGGGTAACAAACTTGAGGCTTACCCAATTGAGCTTCTTGTCGCCGAGCCCAGGCACGAGTGAGATAGATCAGTCTAGTCCGTCGCGTTAGCAAACCCGCGCTCAAGGCGCCAAACCACGAGAACCATGTGACCCTAAAATTTTTTTTTCCCTTCGCTACAAACTGGCCAACCTGACTTTACCTAATTGGGGATTCCGAAGCTGCCACGACAGGAGACACACTCAACAGCATAGCAAGATAGCGGGCCCACTTTTGTCCGCGTGAGCAAGGTGTTAGCCCTCCAATCCCAATAAACGTCGATCGGGAGTCTTCTAGAAATGTCCGCGAGCCCCTGTCCTTCGCTCCTGCATAGTTGCATCTCACCGCTAGCCTCATATCTTGGTTCCTATCGAGATAACGACAGGTCTAGGCCCGAGACGTTCAAGCATTGGACCCGGCGGTGGGTTGTCTAAATCCTGGAAAACCGGCTATGGCTTATCTTTGAAATGCTGCAAGGATTTGACCATGTGTGCATTGTGAGTAGTACGCCCACCCCTCCCTTGGTCTCTCTGTCCAGTCACGGCTTCCATATCTGGGTTCCCGTTGGAAGAAACCATGTTCGCTGGCTGGAACAGCATCCGGGGATCGCGCGCTGATCATCCCGGCAATTGCGGGAGCGTAAATCTTTTGTATCCTTGGTAAAGCCTGTTTTGTGGAGGTGGCAAGGAGTATATTCCAATGGCTCCATTGTTATCGCTTCCCAATTGCAACCAGTGTTTTTTTTTATTGTTTTAGAACTGATGAAAGTAGCCAAAACGGAAATAATAGGATCATCAATCAGACTGCGAGAGCCCAACGGCCGAAAGCGCAATCGTATGTAGCACTTCGATAAGCCATTCTCTGTGTTGCTGGAGTAAACTTTGCCGCCAAAATTCGCAATGGAGCCAGTGATGCAGTAACATTTTGCGACGTGGATTTTTGGCGGCAAAATCGCCAGGGTGTATAACCCTGCTGTTCCAGGATTCTTGTTGGTTCTGCGAGGGCCACAGGACTCACCGGAATTGCTCTTTGCAGTATTCGATTCCAGTGGTGGCACGAATTCTCTCCCCGTATCCTCTTTGGATCTTGTCGTGGCCACGTTGCTTTGCTTGTGTGGGGGTGAAGGGCGATTGTTGGGATGGGCCTCCTGGGTTCGGTAGTCGAAGACGGGATTCTAGACATGCAGATCCATTGTGGTGTAACCGTGATCTGCTCACATTCTGGCCACATTAGAGACCTTAGCTTGGACAAGCCAGACATATTATGTGATGCGAGCCACGTGGCTCCCACTGACAACAGCAAGCGGGTGTGCGCACCAGATGTGCGGTGAGAATTACTACAGGAAGTTGGAATGAAATATATATTTTCTATTGATTGATTTGGAAATAGAAAATAATATAGAACCAAAGACTCCAATGGAATTTGACTGTCTTCAACTTGCATTCTGGTTTGAAGAATACTTTGGGAGTGTTGGGGAGAACCTCTTCGTGGAAAGGGAAACGAAAAAGTGGCAGGATATTTCAAGACACATCAAAAGAGTCGACCCGAATAGTATTGGGTGAGAGAGCAACATTAGGAGGATTACAGGTACAAAGAACTCAGTGCATTTACTCAAAGTTCCCCTCGGGTAGTCTCGTGGTTATCCGCGTGGAGTAGACGGTGCAAATCCTCATCTCTATTCAGCAACTCGTTCATTCCTTTCTCTAAGAACCTTGTTTATTCCAACAACTCATTCATGAGAGCGCCTCTCACGTAGCCAAGATGATGCACCAAGTTATTTTATGCTCTGGCAATGATCCCCTTCTCCTCGCTTTCGGCTCTCTCGCTTTGCACGCCCCAGCACAACTGGGAATACCCCGCTTAACGATTTCCCAGCAGCTGTAGGAGATTGGGATGTCACTTACTGTATTATGATTCTGACAAGACACACAGATCAGAGCTGCTCTAGCGCCATTTGCGTCTGTATGCGGGGCTGCCGAATGGCAGGTCATGATGAAGTTCCTCAACTGTCTCGACAAAGCCGGCACCATGATCGTATTATGGTGGCGAGTCATTCACGAAAACTGACTGATAAGGAAAGAAGCATAGCTAACGACAATCCAAAGGACCATAGGGTTTCTAGCTCAAAGGACTGGTAGCGCCAGCGTAGGAGCTAGGAGACAGGCGCAGCCGCCGGTTGGGAACAGAATTCCTCGAGTCACTCCTTGTTATATCTCGATATGTGGCAAATGTAAACCTGATGATGCCAGATTGTGTGGGCTCTGTGGATTTCCTGGAACGATCAATAGCTAGTTAACTCAGGCCAGATATTCCAAGAGTCAACTAATATTTCCGTGAACCTAGGGTGCTATTCCAATTCTTCAAGCAACTGGATTAGCCTCTAGTTATCCGACATTTACCAGTATGGAATTTCAACTCCTTGCGGCCTTCGTTCTCCGAGTCCTCCTATATCTTCCTTCCACATTAAGTTCTCACTTTCCCTAATCAGGCGTAACAGAAGAATTCTAAATACACGCAGGACGGTAATTGCCGTTTGTCATTATACTCGTTTGTCATTATACCAATTATACGCTCAGCATGATCTTTCTAGTTTGAAGACAATCGACTCCTAACCGTCATCCGAGTCGTCAACGCTTGCTATTTCCTGAGTCCAATCTCCGACCTACTTCCGCGGCGCATAGGCGGCTGATTGGTGGTCACGCATCTAAAGAATATTTTCAAGTTAATCTATGCCGAGGCACTCCTCATTTAGATCGAATTTGATTGCTAGGTTCTATAAACCGTCTTGTTGGCCAGAATGGCCTTCCACTTTTCTGCAGACACTCCGACTGTGTATTAATCGCCGACTCTCATCACAGCTTGTCTGTACTGATATCCTGAAATGCTAATTGTGCAGGATCATGGGCCACGGCGTACTAAGACTTTCTAATATAAAGTCCGAAGTCTGAGGTTCTAACGCATGCGGGCTTTTCAATCCGGTGTATGACTGAATGGGCTTTCCCTGCGTCATTTTATGAGGCAAGTTGGCAATTCCTGGAATATTGAAGCTGTGGCCCAATTTGATTTAGACATTCTGCCCTCGATATTCTTACAGAGACAACTCTAAGCATATGAGTCAGCGGACAACTTGATTTAACTTGCAGGAAGGCGCATTCCTTATGAAACCCATGCCTCGGGGGCACTCACAGCGGTGAGCGATTTACATATTGAGGCCACAATATCGATTCCAATACTATAATCTGATAAAACGGAATAAATATGCTCTCTTGCACATCAATATCTTTTTCTTGTGGATTTAACAGTAACAACACGTCCTCAGTACCCTCTCGAAGATCCGTTGCCTGTCTCCGAATTCTACCTATTATGCTGGCATTCCTCATCGTGTCTATAGGTTTTCTTGATGAAGTCATGTCCTTGACGGCTTTTACAGTCTCCTAGACTACTATAGCAGTGGGAGGTGCTATTACTATCATCCTGAGTGCTGCGGACGAAGAATCTATAGCGGATCGCAGAATGAGATCATAAACTCGAGATAAACTACGAGTGCCTGAGATAGTGTAGACGTAAACGACAATGCGGTGTACCTAAAATACTTCCTTAGATATGCTAATGTGAACAATACCACATAGGCACCTTGTACTTGAAGGAGCTGGAAAAAGCCCTTCGATATTTCACTTTCATTCTACTTCCATTTCATTTTCCCTTCTACTTGTCCTCGGTTTCCATGAAACGTCAAGCTCCCCTCCAGACCTCTTTCTCTCTTCAATATCCTGAAGCATTCTATCTCTGGGGCTCTCTTGTTTGTTTAAGCATCACTCTAAACCATGCCTCACCCATACCAGCTCACGACTCCGAGTCTACGGGACTGGTATTGTCACCCTCACGGTGCCGACTATCCATCAGCGATAGCATCGGCGGCGAGTAATCACACAACCTTCCATATGACCTTCTACGACAGTAGAATCACTCAGTTCTACATTATTCGCGCTCGTTGTTACATTGAATCTCAGCTTCCGAGGCTTCACATTGGTCCTGACTTCTCTGCCAACGGTGAAGTGATCTTTACCGCTCAGCATACCTTCGACTTCGCTCTCGAGGTCGAGAACAGCCCACTTAGCCTCATCTACCACCACCATCGCCGAGCCTGTCCTCTCCTCTTCTACTCGCGCGGCTGCCAGGACACCCTTACCCACTGGAAACAGGTGTCATTGGTCACCATACGAGTGAACGTCCCGCCTATCGTGTTGGGCTTCCTACCTCTCGATCCTCAGCGAGGACAAGCACAAGATACAGACGACGCATGGGAGGCTCTGACCTCTGCGGCGCCAGGTCAAACCATCTGTCTCTGGACGAGTGTTGGCCCCGCGCAAGGAAGGGGACTAGAAGAGGTGTGGAGCTTGATGAAAGAGCTGGTCCCACTGGCTCGCCAGACCGAGGGCTCGTTCTGGTATCGCGAGCTCCATAAACCTGACAGAGAAGGGTGCCGGCCTACTCCTCCCTGGTTAGTTTTTCCTAACCAGCGTGACCGCGTGACCATGTTGTATCCAGCCATTCCGGCTTTCCTCGACCAGCGAGACCGGCTGTGCCGGCTCCTCGATGCCCTCTATTTGGAGAGGCGTGAGCAGCGTCGGGTTTTTGGGCGATTATTGCAGTTTCGCATTCCGCATGTTGCGTCTCAGCATTGAGTTTCTTGCGGCGAATTTGTTTCGCGTTCATGTCAATATCATGAACATGTCTACTCCACCCGTTGTTCCGGAGATGACGAAGGTGTTTTTCTCGTTCAAGGTCCCGGGTAACTCGCTGGAGGCATTCCGGCAGACCAGTTTCGTTGGGACGGTCGTCGAGGATGACTCCATCTGTGATTTCACGATTGCGTGTCGCGGTGCGGTACCCAAGAGACTTCTTGACTTTTCACCGTTTGTGTTTTTATCGCTCGAGGGAGTCACGTCGCCCCTTGAAAAACAGACTGTTGCGCTCGAGAAGACGGCCCAGCCACTGGTCGAAGGAGACCTTGCGGAACGTTTCAAAGTGGGATTCTCCTTGCTGAGAACTGTCCTGAGTCATGGAGTGGAGATGAACCCTGAAAGCCCTCTCTGTTTCGAATTGAGCATCAAGGATCTCTCTCCTCTTCCACCAAAGGAGGCGTCAAGTCGTCTCCAGATGGTGCAGAAGTTTTTCGAGGACAAGCTCGACAAAAGCCAAAGGAAAGCCGTTCGCCTTTCTGTGGAACGCTTGCGAGGAGGACTGAGCATCATTGTCGGCCCTCCCGGGACAGGGAAGACTCTAACTGCGATCCCAGTCATTGTCAGTGCGATGGCTCTGGAGGTCCCGGTCCTTCTGACAGCGGCCACCAACAAAGCAGTCGGCAACGTGTTGGCTGCGCTGATGAACTTTCTCCAGCGCTACCCATGCATCGGGTCTCTTTGTGGCCTTGCCATGAGACTGCGTGCCGTTGACGAGGAGCTTGCAACACTTCGTGGGCACGGCACGGCGGAGCGGCCCGTCGATGCCACAATCCAGCAAGCTGAGGCGTACAACCTGGTGGTGAAATATGCCACCATGGAAAAGGATCGTAGCAGCGACTGCCGACGCTTGATCGAGCTGTTGGATATGGACTTGAAATTCGGCGTGAGCGGTCCGCCGTTAAGTGAATTGAAGAGGCTGTATAAAAGCACCCTTGGACGGGTTATTGGGAAGGCCCGATTGATCGCGGCCACACTGATTGAGTCAGGAGCAGAGATCCTCAAAACCTCAAAGTTCAAGCCTGCATTAATGATCTGCGACGAAGCCTCTCAAGCTTCAGAGCCAGAGATGATGATCCCCATGACACTGAAATCATTCCGTGGACTAGTCCTGATCGGCGATCCCAACCAGCTGGAGCCTACAGTCCTTTCAATAAACGGCAAAAACGAGCATGCCCTCTTCCTCAAACGGTCTTTGCTCAAACGACTGGTTGACGCAAAGTATCCCCTGGCTCAGCTCCAAACGGACTACCGGAACCACCCACAAATCATGGAATTCTTCAACCGCCGAGTATACCTCAACACCTTGAACGTCGGCGCCCATAAGTCAATCCCCTTGAACAACGAGCGAGCGCGCGTCGGCCAGGTCTTCGACTCCTTCATGGAGAGCTACGTTGCCCGTGCCGAGCATTGTCACATCCCCAAGTCAGAAGTAGCCCGACTAAAGCGAACGGTCCCGGGACGCCGACGTCTATGGCTGAAAATCCAAAGCTACGCCAAGCGCGAAATTTCCGGCCAATCATGGGAAAACAAACCCCAGGTTACGGCACTCAAGACCTTCCTCCTCCAGCTCTACCGGTACCAATACAAGGGGATGAGCATTACACCGGACGACGTGATGGTCCTCTGTCCCTACCGAGCCCAACAAGAAATATGCCGCCTCGAACTGCAACTGGACGCCAACCTCGCGGGCGAGATCATCCCCGTGGACGCGGCTCAGGGCCGAGAGGCGCCGATGACAATTCTCATGCTGACGACGCCCGGACGGGGGGGACTTTGAGGATCTGGGGATCGTGAACAGCGAGGCACGACTGAATATGGCGCTCAGTCGGGCGCAGCAGGTCTGCCTGATCGTGGGCAATATGGACATGTTCACCCTCTACGCGAGGAAAAGGATCAGAAACAATGGGAAAGGCTCCTATTTCTTGGAAGTCCTTGCGGATATCAAATCTAGACAGAGCTGGTTCTACCCGCTTACCAGCAGATATGTCACTAGAGAGCCTGCGACTCCTGCGCCAGGAGTACAGAGGGCTGTACGGAAAGATGCGCCGAAGCCGGTGGACCCCGTGGTCCGGATGAAGAACGAGCTGAGGGCATTGGAGACTGAAGAGTATCGATTTGTGAAGAGGAAGGAGAAAGTCCTGAAAGATTTGGACTCGGAGGAAAATGCCTTGACCAGGAAAATGGCCGAGCTGAACGAAAAGATAGCAGCCAGTATTGCCGCAGGTCAGCCATAAGGCTGGAGGAGACAGCTAGGATGTGCATTTTGCGAGATTGAGAAGGCCTTGTGTGATTATTCAATTTCGTATTTGTTCTATTTTTGAGGATTCCCATCGTTTACAGGTGCTGGCTAGAAGGGGGGGTTTGGGGGGCATTTGCGCTCATGCATGATGAATCCAAGAGAGGATGGTTGGTTTTCCACTGGTTTTCGTGCTCGGTTTCATTATTCTAAGGGCAAGGTATCATCACATAGTCGAACATAAAAATTCCAGATTAAGTGTTAAGTGCTTTTTTGTATACGGCAGGAGCCAATCTCGAGACATTACCATAGAGACGGCCCTTCTCCTCCATGAGGTATGTACATTAAGCAGCCCAGGTACTCGGGTTCTGCCGAAAGAAAAGGAAAAATGACATGAGGTCGGTAGTAATAACACATGAAGAAACCCTCCTGAATACCCCAAAAACTCCATCCGGAACCAGTGGCATAGAGGGCATCGAAATAAGGCAAGTTAGGAGATAGATGATGGCGATGCATGATGCGTAGACGAATCAAAGGAAGGAAGGAAGGAAGAGACCCGAGAAAATGCAAAACAGAGAAAGCTCAGCAATCAGGCTTCGCGGTAGCCCCAGATGCGTCTTTGCTGGCGAACCCACCACTTGCCAACCTTGCCTGCGCTCTCGAGCCACTTGACTGCGTCGCTGCCGTACTCCTCTTTGACTGCCTTCTTGAGCGCACCGATCGACCAGGCTTTGGTCACGTGTAGCTCGCCCGGGTCCTTGTCCAGGTCGGAGAAGATATACTCGAACTCATTCTTGAGAGGCAAAACCAGGCGGTAAGGGAGACCGGCAGTTGTGACGGAGATCATGGAACCGCCGCCGTTAATGATGCCGAAATTCCACTGGTAGCGAGTGGCAGGCATTTCGTTCCCTTCATGTTTTCGCGATTCGCGGCCTTCGATACTGGTGTCATTGATGGAAGAGAGGAATGGGCGGATGAGCGACTGTCCTTGGTACTCTGGGAGGAGGTGGGAGGCGATATCGGAGTCGTGGTCATTGAGGGAGCCAGATTGGACGAGCATGTCAAGGATGGTGGGGATGATGGAAAGAGAGGTTGCGTTGGCGTCGATGTCGATGCGCGGCATGTGTGGGTGGCGAAATACGAGAGGGACACGGAAGTTACTGATGTGCCCGTTCTCATAGGTGCCAGTCAGGTCTTTGTTGTCTTCGGCGAAGGCTTGGCCGTGGTCGCCGACGATGACCACTAGAGTCGAGTTGGCGATGCCGGACTCGTCGAGCATGGACATGATCTCGCCGAGCCAGCCATCGACGAAGTTGACGGAGTTCAGGTAGCTGTTCATGGCGTCGTGCTTGATACCTCCCTCCCTGCCGAGGTATTTCTGGGTGTCGAAGTCTCTCGGGGTATTCCAAGGGTGGTGGGTGGTGCTGGTCACATGGGAAAGAAAAACACGAGTATTGTTGTGCGCGGCTTCGTTGAAGAGATCTTGCAGGTATGGCCTCAGCTCGGTCTCAGCGTATCTAATTGCTTGTTAGGAATTTTCTATATCAATGCCAACTAAGAAACCGTTATACTCACCCAAAGTAGTTGATCTCCTTGCTTGAAGCCCGGTATTTGGAGGTCATCGAAGTCAGATTACTCTTGACAACATGCTCCTCGAACCCCATTTGCTCGTTCATTTCATTCTGTCGGTCATATTCGTCGGTGATCGACTGCATGAAAACAGACTTCCAGGGGCGCTCAAGAGCATCGACCTCCTCTGAACTCAACTCGCTCGACGACTTCACACGATTAAACAACTCAAGCAGCTGCGGCAAGCAGGGCTGGTAGATTTCCAGCTGAGTCTCCTCCAGCAAATCCACCGGCAGAGGCTGAACACCACAGTGACTGCCCAAAATACTCTTGAAAGTCAACGAGCTCCCCGTTACCGCACCGCGGACATTCAGACCTCCCATACCGTCTGCCGTCCTGTCGTGCCATTTCGTCGCATTATCTGGCTTAATGGCCTGGCCATTGCTGTCGAGCACCGTTTCACCCGTGAGCATCTGTGCGACCGGAGTAATCTTCAGGAGCCTATCAATGGCGTCCTTTTGGGCATGGGCCTTGTGCGATGCGACCAATGCATCGAACATGGGGGTACCCTGGTGTATCGGGAATAGCTCCTTGCGCCCGCTTTCTAGGGTCAGCAGGACTACATGGTCTATAGAGACCGCGTGATCCTTGAAGGCTTTTTGCAAGGGCTCATAAATCTCGCCGCCAAGGTTTGAGATCTTCAATGGGTCATCGAAAGGATTGAAAAAGGCACTCTCGGCGTCGTTGCAGAGATAGTATGCGGCGTTATCCTCCTCCGCGCGCTCTAACGGGCTCTTGACCCAACGACTGAATCCCGACGGCGGGTTCTCGGGAAGCCATGAAGGACGAGACCATTGCGCTGGCGTGAATTTGTCACGATTCCAGAGCGGGAAATTCGGAGCAGGCTCCCGACAGCCTTGGTCGGTGGCGGATTTCTTGGTGAACGCATCGAGGAGCGTGAGAGGCAACGCGCCGGAGATATGATTATACGGAATTGCGGGTCGGGTGATCTGCAAGAACAGTAACGAGGTGAACAGGGACACGAAAATCGCGATTCGGCGCATGGTCCGTAGGTCGAACGTTGCAAGCCATGATTTGCTGGGCTGGCCGATCAAGGTATATCGCGCCTTGAAAAGACCCATGACCGAGTCTTGCACCCCCTGTAATGCCAGTCCGGTCACGTTGTAAAGTCGTCCATAGATCGCCCATGCGGCAAAGCCAAGCACCGTTGAAGCAGCGGAAACGGTTGTGATGCCGCTCAGCAGGATCTTCATGGCGGCGGGATCACTTAAGAAGCTGTTGCTAGCAGCCCAGGCGACTTCCGCACCGGTTTGGAGGAAGAAGCCGAACTGGATGGAGGCCGCTCCCCATGTTATCAGGCTGTGTATACGTTAGCTGGTCAAGTTTTGAGGGATACTCCAAAGAAGAAAATCAAAGAAGAAAAACATAGAAAATAAAAAAAAAGGAAAGGAAAGGAAAGAAGTAAAGAGGGAAAGAGGGAAAGGAATGGGACTTACGACAGAAGTCCCCCGATGCATGTCGAAAGCCATTGCAGTCGAGTCTCTGGCGTTGGAAAGCGTAGCAGGATACGTCCACAGGTGATGACGAGAAAATCAGGCAGAAACAGCGTCGGCGAGTACAGCGCCAAGTAAAGAAAGGGCAAAGAGTGGAAATGGAGACCGATATGCAAGATCTTTGCTGCGAGCCCGCTCACAAACAAGGTCGAGAACAGAAACTGGGGAAGTGGCGGAAGATAGGATAAAGGCGACATGGCGACATCAGCTCATAGTTCAGAGCTGGGTAAGGAAAAGAAGAGTCGGAGGTCACGACCACAGGCCGCAAGGGGGGAAGTTGGTGGAATGGAAGCAGAATAAAACGATTGGAAGGGGCATCAGCCTGGAATGGGGGGGGTGGAAGATGGAAATTGGAGGTTAGAGTAGATTCAAGCAGAGAAGTGCCCAGAAACTAGCGCAGGGTCTGCACTAAAAAGGAATACAATGCGGTACAGGGGAAATCAGGCCCACAAGTGTAAAAATAAAATTGGGGGGCTGTAAGTGGCAGCTGGGCACGCGACTGGCTGCAAGTCTCCACGAATGAATTGGCGTTGACCGCTGAATACCTGGTTTTTCAATACAGAGTGGTATTCTTCTTAGTGAAGCCTGCATAAACGGGCACTTCTTTTCTTTCCTTGGCCTAGAATTACCGCCCTTCCGGATTACAACAATCACAAGACGTTCCTGTCGGCTGCCTCCGCTTTCTCCCTGTGGAGCCTTTGGAACGATTCGATTCTTGTGAGCCTGGGAGCCCCCCCCCTTGGATCCCTTGGCTTTCGCGGGGACAGAAGGCTTAGACTGTTTTTTACTCCATTGTTGGTACCAGAGCGTGCCACGTTCCACCCAATGTTAAGTCTAAAAAGCACCGGTCTTCAAGATCTGCCCCGTACAAAATATTGAGCTTGGCTGTCAAACCAAAGAAAAAAAAATTTTTTTCGTACCTGTTCGGAGCCTGAGACACGTCCGTGGTTCTCACTTACCATTCGATGGGCTGAGAACACCCGGATCATAATCTCCACCCGCAATGGAGCCTTTACCCAGGCTCCTACTTGACTTCCGTTCGTGCCGACGTTGTGAGGGTGCCTGGAGCGAATGCCTGTAAAATATTCACTCATTTGTGGCAGAGGCTGTACGGGTCCGGGACAAGGGGGGAAACCAAGCTTTGTACGGTAAGGGAGACTACAGCGCCGGGGAATTGATCAGACCAGCCAGACGCCATTAATTGCAGCCACTGCATCACCTTGCAGGCCACTGGTGGGTAAGCCCGGGGGTCAGTTCCTCCCGAGGTCCGTTAGCAAGACTCGAAAATGCCCGCTTCCCCTGAGAGTCTTGGAGTTGCCTTCTGTGAAAGGGCTTGCGATGGAGCCCATCACCATTTTTTTTCTGCTCTGACGTGCTTGACAGGATGAAAGACGATCTAAGCCCTGTGGACCCCGAGACGATCTCATGAAAGCCCTACTGCCCGTGTGTTGTAAATTCCTGTTTGGGGTACATTGGAGTCTTATGTGCGCTGGTCAAATCACACCAATACAACACGAGTGCGACATCAACGCTTGGACATACTCGGTCGCGTGTCGGAGCCGCCATTGCGGCTGTGGAAGTCGATGTGGAGCCTCGGCTAGGGCTAGGCCGATCGTAATCACGGAAGCCTGAAACTTGAGGATGAGAGGATCACCAGATGACTCAGGCGGTAGACAGTAAAATGGCGTTCGGATCCATTGATCTAAGAATTCCGTTGTACTCCGTACCTTTGACTCTGCTTCGGTATTCTTTTCTAATGCGCATCGCTAAGCGTGGTTCAAATCTCCCAGTGGCGTCAATTACGGAGTCGAGTCATTGTCCCAGTTCATATGTCTCTGTACTGCGTACCTAGTACGATGTCAGTGAATGTATTAGGACTCGTCTAGACGGGTCTCACGGAAAGCTAGCTGTACGACCCAGTAATCTTCAAGTGCCACTAACCTGCCACAGTTCATCAGATCATTGTTCCACTAGTGCGAGGACCTTGCCGAGCTAATGTGACGATCACTTGCTTGGGCTTGTAAATTCTAATCCTAGTAGAACACCTACTACGTAAACTTCTGAACTTCTTGGTCTAATTCGAGATACTCAATCACTTTCCAGAATTGGCTACACTATAGAAAAACGTAATATCTAATCTTGTCCATATTTGCTGCTAAAATTAACCTGAACGAATTGCCGGGCTTTCCATCAAGGCCCACCTTTGCTGTGTAACGAGTGGACTACGCAACGTGTCCGCGCAAACATTCAATCCAAATGACACAGGCAGCAGCATATCACATATCTCAAACCTTGGAACGAGTCCATGCAGTTCCGTATACCCCCCCACTCGTCAGACGCAAAGCCGGGCCGCCTGGAAGCCAGCTTCCAGTGCTGCAAGTAGCTCACTGCTCGTGAACAGCGGCCACCGCAAGTGGCCAGCATCTTCGCAGCGTGGAAGAAAAAGAAATCCAGGTTCCCGGAGCGACTCAATGCCCATTTCCTCCATCTTTAATCGCAGCCCTCTCACGCACCGTCCTCGCAATCCCATCCCCAACATCACTCCCCAACCCTTTAAATCCCTCAACCACACCTTCCCGATCCCCTTCCGCGAGCTCCTGGCTCATTTTAAACTTTCCCTGTAAACGTTCAATCCGTATCTCCACCCCGATAATCCCCTTCTTCATAACCTCGATATACGCCCCCGGCGCCTCGCCCACAGTCCACGGCTTCTCATACCCCATCACCGATGTCTCCGCGTGCCGCGACAGATCCTCCAGCTGCATCTGCAAGAACGCGCCCGTCTCTGCGGATTTGGGGTTGCCATGTACGGTTATCTTGCCGTAGGCCTGGACCGCGGAATAATTCCAGGTCGGGACGACCTTCCCCGTTGCGGGCTTGGTCGCGGTGTAGAACTTGGGCGTGACGTAGTGGTGATGAGGGCCGTTGAAGAGGATGAGGACTTCGTCGGGGAGTTCGAGGGTGTCCTGGCCGGATTCTTGGTGCGAGGCTAGAGATTCGATGAGGGCTTTGGCTTGGGGATTTGCGCGGGCGATGTGACCGCGCAGAACGCCGGGGGTGTCGGGGTCGGTGGAGGGGATGTCGAGGATGAAGGGGATGTGGCTGGATTGGATGAAGGATTCTTGGGAAGATTTAATGGCTGTGGTGAGGATGCCGAGGGGGTTGTCGCGGATGAATTGTTGGAGGAGGGGGATGTGTGTCTCGGCGTGTACTGCGCGGAGGTACATGTTTGCGATTTATGGGATGGTTAGTGAGAGTGGCTGGTGAGGTAGGTCTGGTAGTCAAACGTGAGCAAGTCTGTAGATTGATTGCTTGGGTGGTCACTTCTCGAGCTTGATCTTATCCATAGTTGATACTATACCACGCCCTATTGTCAGTTCGCTTTCTGCGGTTTGTGATTGGTGGTCGGCGCCGATAGCTTCTCCCATCTTTCTCCCGCATGACAGTCATAACATTGGGCCGGTAATGAGTCAGACCACGGGGAAGAGACAATATGGAGGTGCTTGACCAGACCCTACCCCAGAATGGAAATTGTCAGTAGAATCGGTGGGGCATCCACCGTACCAGCAGAAGAGCGCAGAAACGTGGGGCGTGTAGGCAAATCTTTGTGTATGGGATATTGGAGCTGGATTGGGAGTATCATAGATAAAGTACATCATACTATACATGTTTTGTGAGCGATTATGAAAATTGGCAACACCAGCTGCAAGACCACGCGTCTCAATGAGGGTCGCCGCTCAATCAGACTATTGTAGATGATTGAAGAGACAACTTTACGCAGCTGGTGACACAATGCCAGCTTTCCCAAATCGGGCTACCGTGCCCTTCTTCAGTCGTAAGAGCCGTTCGATTTCACTGTGTGGTAGACGCTGTTGGTCACGCATCGTCAGCGCTTGGTGAATCGTCAAGGAGTCGAGGAATTGTCGGCCAGGGAAATTGGCCAGTCCCATTTGCGCGGTCTCTTCTTGCGCCGCCTTGGTAATTTTATCACGCGCCGTGATCGCTAATAGCGCCGGGTTTGAGGACGTTGGGAACACGGTCTGGACGGAGCCTCGATCGTGGACATGAGGGGGTTGGTAGTTGGTGGAGGGATCAACAGGTCCAATTTTACGGAGGGAAGCGGCGAAGTCGGGATCTCGGCCATCAAGGTCAATCGCTAGAGAGGGAAGCATGTTAGTAGCTTGTTCCGTTGGGCAGGACACAATAGCTCCCAAAAGTTACTCTGCAAGTCTCGTTGCAGCTCGGGTTCAGGTTTGTGCTGGGGTCTCATACCGGGAGATTTCACAACAGAGGGTGGTTCTTTGGAGTGGTATACTGGGCCTTGGGATGACGCATTAGGTGCCCTTTGTGACTGCGAGGTTGCGCTTGCTGGCTCTGGATTGGGAGATTGTGAAGGTGTGGGAGGCACTGGGGTTTCCTTAGGCGCTGGCGCTGGTGGCGCCTTGGGCGGAGGAGCAGGCCTTTTAGGGTACTGACGCGCCGCTGCTCCAGCAGCCGAGCGCGCTGGCTTTGAAGCTGCACTGCCCATTGTGAAGAGTCGCGGTAGCGAGCTGTGAATGAGAGACTTTGGTGATTAAACTTGCGGAGTTCGGAGAAAATCGCGGAGGTTCACCTGGCCAATGCGTTCCGCCCTCGGTGACGTCAATTGGATAGAATCAACGAATTGGACACTTTTACTCTCAATAGTATCCATCTCAGATAGTAAAATTCTATTCACAGCGGCTAATTTTGAAGACGGCATTATATAGAATCTTAATTCCAATCTCTATAGTACCGACCACAAAACATTCCACAATTGGCAGCATGCGTCCGGCAGATGCTACTGCTAAACCGAATATATACTTAGCTATCTAGGTCGCAATCATGACTTCTAGGAATCTTCAGGTTTATCTCGGTTCTAAGAGTGAAAACAACACTGAGTTGCGAGCAAAGTCGTTGGATTTCCAGGTTTGTCCAGGCAGGACCAGGACCATGATGGAATTCCGAAGGCTTGCTAGGCAGGGTGCAGCATATCCCACCCTCTTCAAGTTTTGGAAACTTGAAGTCACGAATTTCCGGATCTCAACCTAATTCGGACAACTAGGGGTGATAGAGTTTCAAGTCACATCTGTTCCTGAGAGGAAATTTTGCCGGATCTCCAAATTAAAGAGTGGAGGCCGTGTTGGCATATTCAGAGGTGAAAAGTGTAGGGCTTACAGGACTGCCTTTATTTTTTCCAGTAGAGATGACGATGAACCAGACACACCCTGAGGGTCGCCTACCCGGTCGAAGTAGGAGGTGAGCAAGAAAAGAGGAAACTAGACCTGTAAAGCCAGGGATGAGCAACTAGTGGGTGGAGGGCGTCCCGTGATTGTCCAGGGGCGGCCATCGAGTTGTACGCGAGGTTTTATTGGCCTCATTTTCTCTTCCTCTTTGAAATCTTTAATATCAAATACCAAAGCTTGGCGCGTTCCCGATGAAACTATATTGCAGCACATGCATGACCAACCCGTGGTCTTTGTTGCTTAGGACATGATGGGAATAACATGGCGGGTATGTTTCAATTGGGCCATATTTCTTGATTCAGGCTTCTGTGGGGGCCAGCCTAGGAATCAAGACCCTTCTATGGTAAGGACGAGCTGCTCATTTGCAAGGACGTTTCTGAATACAACGGATATCATAGCTAAGATACATTGCAGCCCCACAAGGGTCGAGTTTTAAAGATAGCAAAAGGTAACATGGAAGCTTACCCGTCTCTGCGGTGTTTTCATTATTCACCGAAGACCGGCCAGCCGACGGCCCTGTACCTCGCCAAGGGCGCGACTGCCGCTCACGAACGCGACCGCGCCGATGGCAGCTGCGGCAGGGAGAGTCTGGAACAGGTTCCAGGATGTGTAATATAGAAAGAAGAGGCCCTCGAAGGCTACCAAAGACCCAAGGAAGAAGGCATGAGGGAGAGGGGCCGACTGGAGGGCCGCGGGGAGGTGTTTCACGTTGGCACCGAGGAGAAGCCACTAGCCAGGTTAGCAGTGTTTGTGACAATGAGTCGGAGAAGATCTTACAAAGCCACCAAGAAGAGGAAGAGCAGCAAGGACAAGTCCGACAAAAGCTAGAGTAATAGCCACCGGAGGGCTGGTAGGAGAGCCCTTAAAGATGTGGTGGATCTGAGGTTGCTTGCCATATCGCGCCACCTCCACAGTGGGGACAGGCACATCGGGGTTACGTTCAATCGAGAGCGAGAACACGGAGTTGTCATAAGGAGTAGAGCTTCCGAAAGAGCCAAGAACCACCCGTGCATCGACTGGTTCGGCAAGGGAGAGGAATTGGATAGGCAGGTCCTTCTGGGTCTTATGTCCGAATTAGCTTAATGCGTCGCTGAGCGCACTGAGATCCCATACCAATTCAACGCGCGATTTGCCATTTTCCTTCACAGTAAAAGGGTACGAGACATCCAGCCCACTCTGAGTATCCTTCAAGAGAAGGAAAGCTTGGTGTGGTCGCTTTGCGGAGCTACCTTCTTGAGTCGTCAAGGTGACGCGCAATGTATCCGCACCGGCGAGCGAGACGGGTTTGGAGAGGGGGGTGGATTTGGAGAGCCTGGAAAAATTACCGAAAGAAAGAATTAGCTTCAATTTGGTCGTAAGCCATAGATGATTTGCCGGTGCTTTCGTACTGTTCTTTGAATCCGCCGTTAACACCAGCGCCCTTAGGCTGGACTGCCACGGTGGCATCAGCAAACCCCCAATCAGCAGCGGCAGCAGGAGCTGCTGCAGCAGCTAGCAGACAGATAGAAGTGGCCTGCCACAAATGCATTATGCGAAAATGAACAAGAACCAAGGGCAGAAGAAGAAGTGGAGGGAGAAGCTGGGGAACTAGAGGGTGACAGATTGCAGAATGAAGGCGGAACGAGGGAGGCCGCGGCCGATAAGCGCCGATCCCTAGCCCTAATTTCTTTTCTTCTCCGACCTCATCCCAACCCAAGCGGCGACGCCCTGGGTCAGCTTCGGAAGTCTGATCCAAGGGGGCAACCAAGCATCTATTGTGTGAGGGTAATCTTGGAGGGCTACCTGGGGTCAGCTTCTACCTGTGAGTCTTGTTTCTAGCCCTCTGCCCTAAGCCCCAACTTCCTTGCCCTGGCCAGCGGGGATTGTGATAGTTAATTAGTCGCCTATGTCAACTTCTGACGAAAGCACTACATTAACTAACCAATATCACTCCTGCTATTGGCCAAGACATGTGTATTGTTGCTGGCTAATCAATTATCGTCACCTGTCGTGGCGGGGCTAACGTTTTGTGAACGCGGTAGTGAATATGGCGCCCCTCAAAGACCGTCGCAGGTCGATGCCTGCAACCATACATCAAGACTACACCCCATCCAAAAATTCCAAACCTACCACGCTCACACCCTCGCGCCGTTCACCTCGAGTTCCCACGAGCACCACAAAAAACAGATCTTCTTCTGCTCAACCTCACAGCCTTCCTTCCACACCTTCCGATCCCACGTTCCCCAGCGCTCCTCAAACTCCTAATACCACTCGATCCCCGAGTCTACGACAGTCCACGATCAACTGGAAAACTGTTAGCCTGCCAGACGAGCCACAGTCGCGTCGGAGATCTTTCAAACCTCGTCCATCCGGTTTATCGAACGTGTACACACCTGCAGTGGAAAAACAACCAACGACTTCGAGCAGTCGCCGAACAACACGGCGACAATCCTCATTACAAACACCCAAAACCCCGCAGTACACATTCTCCGACCACGAGTCGCTTGAGAGTACTGCTAGTCTGAGTCCAACACTCGACCAGTACGCGAGTGACCTTGACGAATCAACTGCTCCACCTTCTCCTACAGCGTCTTCGAACACCATGCGTTCATCCGCTCGCACCCGCAAACCGACCCAGCGCGCCATGGAAGCGATGGAGTCGGCTGAGAAGTCCCGTCGCAGGAAGAGGGCTACTTCTACTCATCCTCCTTCATCCTCTCCTCACGTCACAGAGGAGCTAGCCACGTCCGCACCATCCGAGCCTGAACCACTGCCAGAACCTGAACCATTGCCAGAGACTGTGTCTAAGCCTGTCAAGCCTGTTAAGCCTACGCCTGTTCGAATTGTGAAAAAGAAGCCCACAACAAAAGCAGAGAAGAAGAAGGCATTGCTGGCAAAACGTCAGCTGACTGCAGCCTCTAACAAGCTGCTTGCCCTGGTCGAATCTGCCACTGACCCTAGTTTCACTCCTGACTATGACCCTGAGTGGGTGATTCAAGATGCTCGATTCTGCTGGTGGCAGAGGACTCATCCGAGCGAAAAGCCTACCACCCGACCCTCACTCGAGCCGGCTGATCTCAACCAGCCAAACTTGTACGACAGTGATTCCGATGAGGCGATGGGGGTAGAAAAGCCCTCAGAAATTGAGAAGCCCTCCACTGTTGAAACGCTTTCTCCCGCCAAAAGTCTGGCGCCTGCGGAGAAGATCGCTGACAACCCCGTGCCCGTTGAACAACCCGTACTCGCTGAGAAGCCTGTGCCCCTCAAGCAGCCTATGCCCGCTACTGAGCCGTCGCTTGCAAAGGAGCCTTCGCCTGTTGAAGAGCCCTTGCCTGCTTCGAAGCCCGCGGCTGGCAAGAAGTCAGTCATCAGGAGGCAATCTGCCAAGAAGCAGATCGCCAAGAAGCAGCCCGCCCGGCGCCAATCGGGCAGGAAGGCCGCCCAAAAGGTGCAGACGGCCCTTGAGGCGGCCCAAGCGGAGAAGTCCACCGCTGCGGAGGAACCGGCCATAGTCGAAATGCCGGCTATGGAAAACCCGGCCCTCCGAGGCCTGGCAAAGAAATCGGAGCCTCGCATCGCCGCTCCCGATTTCGTCGAGACGGGCCATGTCAACGAGTACGGGGAGAAGCTGCTGGTTATCTCGGGTGGGTACACCGTGTACCGCCCACCACACACCTACTTGGATGCGGCCCTGCCACAGCCGCCTCTCCGAGTACGGAGCCAGCAGCAGGTCCAGGCCGACCTGCGACTTGGATTCCCTCCTCTCTTTGGGGATCGCAATATCCCCTTTGATGCGGAGACGATGATGAAGGAGGCGGCTGCCCATCCCGCCTCCTCCTCCGACGCTAAGGCGGAGTCAAAGGCAGAGCCCGAGGTGGATGTGCAGGAGTCCGGGCCCACGACAAAGCGTCGCCGCCTGGCCAGCGGTCGATCGCACCGCGTGGCGCCGACTGTGACGAGGCGCATCCGACTCGTGGTGAAGCCGGCTGCCGCCGAAAGCGCCCCGGTTGAAACTGAGGCCTCCTCGGTTCAGAACCAAGAGGCCCCGGTCTCAGCGGGGAAGGGCAGGAAGAGAGCTGCTACTCTCATCTCTGATGAGGGAGAGTCTGCGACACCTGCCCGTCGGGGGTCCAGGTCGGCTGGAGGAAAGGGAAAGAGGGCCCGCCGCGGGTGAAGGAAGAAGGGGGATGGTGATGCGGTTGGGCGATGAGGAAGAGGAGGATGATGGTGGTGGTCTGGGAAGAGTGGATTGGGGGGTCAATTCTAATGAGGTTACCAGCAGGTGGCCTTCATGTATATATACACATTTCGGCTGCCTACGAGGCATTGTTATCTTCTTTTTGTCCTTTTTGAAGTCGCCATTGTGTTGCTGTACATGGCGCATAAAAAAGCATAGCGTGGCGTTCAAGACACCAAAAGAATCCTATTAACATGGTTGGCAACATCTGACGTTCTATATAAACGTAGTGGTATGACCCATCTTCATGTCCGTGTTTGCAGGAACTAGTTTTCGTCTGCAAAGAGGGCAAGCATGGAATCTGGACGAATGACCTTGAAGCCAAGTTTTACGAAGCGTTTTGAACCGCCTGGATTCTGCGTTCCGAGGTTATCATGGATGGGAAGGGGGATAAAAAGCAGATATAGTGTCTTATCCGAGCGTGTCGTCTGACTGTCTACTACCTAGGAACCTTAGAACCTTCATGGCTTGACGAGAGCCACCGAACATAGCGCAATCCCATTGCATCCTTTCCCATTCGCAACACTCAAGGCCCCAATGAGGAATCCTCGCGTGATTGCTTCGAAGAGCATATGATGCTGACCTTGTGGACATTCAATGAACCTTTTCGCGCTGGATCTTTCTTGTATGAGTGCCTCAGGCACCCGAACGCCCGCTACGCAAAGACTAATCCAACCCAACCCCCCCTCCAGCTCTCCAGTATCAACCGTCCAATCCACTCGCCAACGATGCCGCAATATCCTTCAGAGAAATTTCAGACAGGCCAACCGACTCGGCCGCCCCGGCCTCCCCGGCCCTCTCCCTCCAACCTGAAGGGCCACCCTAACATCCGGTCGACACCGGAGTATAAGCGCGCTGCCCGGCGGTACGTACCCTCCGCGAACTGAGTATTACTGTGGTATTGTGTGCTTTTTTCTGCTTTTTCTCTCACATTGCTCGTACTCTTGGCTCGGAGACTTGCTGTCGTCCTGACTCATGCTGATGGAGCTTGTAGCTGGCTCTCGGTGATTGTTGCGACGCCTGTGCTTTTGGTTACAACTTATATGTTGTTTGATCGCGGTAAGTCATCTTCGTTCTTTTTACGACTTGAGTGATTCGGTAGAGATGCCCCTTTTTGGAGAGTTTGAGGCAGGGGTATGCGGGTTGAATTTGCGCTAATGTTGGGCAGTTTATGGGAACAAAAGTCCGAAGAAGTTGGTGCAGAGGCCGTCAGGAGAGCAGGACTCGACTTCACCATAGTGTTGGTTCGGGTCTTCGATGGGTTGAGGTTGAAGGGGGCGGAGACTGTAAATTAAGCGCCAGGAGTTATCTCGTTGCATGTACTAGTACTACTTCTAAATCCCTGATTGCAAAATCTTCGGTTTGATATCTGATTTGTTTGACAAGTCAGTAAGCTACTCATACTAGTACTGGAATGTAAATCGGATCTCTTGTGACGCTGAACCAAGGGTCTAGCTCAAGAGCCTGAGACGGCATGAAATTGGCAAACAGCAGGACTGTAGTCTATGAAAGTTGTATCAAGTTTTATATCGCGAGATATTTGCAAGATTGGAGTGGTAGGAAGACCCCTCTACCGCACAGCCAGCTGACGGGTAGAAAGCGCAAGAAACAAGAGCAAAAAAAAGAGGGCATGGTATCCTGATCAAATCCACAATCCAAAGAAACAAGCATATAAAGCATAACGTATAACAGACATATCACAATATTCTACCCAGTAACTCCCTGCATAATGAAGTGTGGTTCTGAGCCCGAGGACGCAGGAATAGAAGTCGTTCCGCTGCCACCGCTGGGAGGCTTTGCAGAACGCTCGCGCATCCGGCGGCCCTCCATCAGACCACGCAGACCACGCTTTTGCAGCCCAATTACGCTGCTCAGGTCGCCCGTCCAGATCTCGCGCTGGGGTCTGGTATCTGTGTCATGGCGGTGGTGACTGCGCGACGCCGAACGACTGTCAGTATCACTTATGAATTCCGAGTCGGATTGACTGTAGCTGGCGCTAGAAACGGATGTGGCGGTACTGGCGTTGCTGATGGAATCTTCTCTCTCGCGACGGGCGTCACGGTGTTGACGACCTCGCTGATGAGGGAAGTTCGTGTCGATGCGCAGCGATGGGATACCCAAGAGGGGTTTGTCAGGTCGTTTGAGCTGCTAGCAGCTGATGGAGCCATGCCGCCATTTTCGGTGTCGGAGGAGTCCGAGGCCAGCAGCAGGCTCTGGTTCGACTGGCTTCCTTCTGATAGACCGATCGCGGAGCTGCTGCTTCCTGCGTGGGAGCTGTTGAGGGCCTCAAGAGTCCCTCCTAGGCCGGATGTAAATCCAGTGCCGCGGCCACCACCTGCTGCCATCGCAGCGGCGTTGAACACGGCCGCTGCATTGCGCCCATCGAGGACTTGGTGTAGCCGTTCCACCGTCGCTTCAAGCAGTCCATCGATCTGGTACGGGCGTGCAAGTTGTAGGAGGGAACAGAGAATCTGTGGAGTGCAGAGGGAAGAGCCGGGCGGAGGGAGAGCGGATGTATATAGGTATTGGACAAGAACCTGGAGAGTAAGAATGGTGTGCGGAAGGTATAATACGCGCGGACGAGAAGTTGGTGCGAGACCATGGGCAGACGGAGCCTCCAAGTTGTCGAGGAGGGCCTTCGAAGGAGCAGACGGATTCACTAGAGTTGTAGCGTTTGAATAACTGCTGTTCTGGCCGATGGAGGGAGTGATGGTGACGGTCGAGTTTCGACTAGGGTATCCTTGCGCTGGACGCAGAGTGGCCCCATCTGCAACACCGCTTTCTGATGACTCGCGGAGCAGCTGGATAAAATAGGGCCCCCACCGACGGGCAAGGATGCGAGAGTTCACAGGAAGACGCTCTCCGCCCATGGCTTGCAGTTCCATGTCGGAGATCTCATGGAGGGAAAGAGCAAGCTTTCCAAGTTCGTCAGATGTGGCGGACATCGGCCGTCCACCTGTTGTAAGCTGGGAAAGTTTCGCTTGTAATGATGCCGGTACTGATGGGGCGCTGTATGACTTATATCCCGATGTCGAGGCAGTGCGAGTGGGATTGTTGTACAGGCCAAAGGCTTCGAGCTCGACCAGGCAAATATGGGAGAAATTGATTCGGCGATGGTTATAATCGTCGACAAGGCTCCGTTTACGGTGTCCAAGAATAACGAAGGAGTTTCGACGGGGCCAGAGAATGCCTCGGTTCCAGCTTCCGTGACCAAAGACCGACCCGCCGGCATCAATGCGTCCCCAGGTCAATGTCTTGAGATCGAGAGCCCAAAGTGCATATTCTTGTTTTGACGAGGTTAGATAAGTCCCGCTCACAACGAAATGACCATTGATGATGCCTCCGTTCGGGAAGCGGAGTCCAGGTGGGGACGCCTGACTCTGCATTGGGCGTTCAACAAGACGCCCATCCGGTAGACGGACCTGCAATTCCAGCTTGACGTTCAAGAAGTTGTAGTTGGAGTAAATCAGCATGGGGCATCCCGGTTGTTCTGCTGGCTCAATCGGTTCCTGCGTGTCAGCGTCAGGCGCAGCACATCCTATTTCCGACACATCCATGCCAACCAGCGGCGCAACAACGCTACGGTATGCACCGCAGCTCCGTCCCAGAGGGCTTGTATTAGTCCACTTCAGACTCCGCAGGTTGAACACACTGATCTGCTCAATATAATGGTTTGAGCTGTCCTGGCCACCCACAACCACCATCTCCGCCCCGCCAAACCCGTCGATGTCCACACCAAGCGTCCCTGGTGAGGCGTCGCAGACTCTGGATTATGGTGAATAGCCGATAGAGGTGCACTGGGGGACGTGAAAGTAGCGCTGGATGGGATAACCGTGGCACAATGGGCATACCGACCCTGTGGGGACTCATGCGCCGCAACCCGAGTCCAAGTACGCGATGGGACGTCAAATATGTGGATGTCCGACATGACCACCACCTCCGCTTGTGGTTCTGACCCTGGTGTGTTTGGCTCCTTGGGCGTGCCCGGTGCTGGCGACATACCACCATACGCTACCAACTTATTATCGCCGAGGGCACACACGCTGTGGAAGTAGCGCGGCGGCGGGATGTCTCCGCTGACCTCGACCTTGGTCCAATGTCTCCTGAATCAGATCAAGTTCGTATATATCTGAAGTCAACTTGGGACGGGTGCGCGAGAGCACTCTGCCTCCGAAGACGTATAATTTGTCGCCCAAGATGGTTGTGGTTGCCCCCACAAGGGGATGCGGCTCCTTGCCGGTGGTTCGCCGCACATTGCATACCAATCCAGAGAGGTTTATGGGCCCGGAGGCGGGGTTCTGATTGAAGGACGGGGATACACCTGGTGCGGAGGATTCGTGGACGTCCAGGTATCCTCCCAGACTTGACTGGCTTCGGGACATCATTGTGAGGGTTCGTTGCAACGGCAGACTCGTCGACAATGGGCTCTCGTTGTCCAAGGCCGATCTGGGATTTGCCGCTATTCTCAGGTAGACTGAGCCGTGTCGTACATAAGAAGCCCCCTTCCCAAGTGAGGGTGCAACCGTTCAAAAGCCGCGAGAGATTATGTCCTGGAAATATTGTGTGGGGCGCTGGAGTTCGTAATATAGGGGGGGTCCTGGGTTCCAAGGTTGGGGGCCGGAGGGATTTCCCCGCGAGGAAGGGGTTCTGCTGGGGTTTGAGGAATCAGGCGAACGAGTTTCTTGGACTGGTTCTTCCAAGTGGAGGACGTGTCAGACGGTGGACGTTGTGATCGTCACTCGACAAGGCGGTCTCTGCGGTTTTCCCGCAGTTCTTTTTGGGGGCGACCGTGGGCGGGCCCCCTCTATACTGCATACGAAGTATAAGGTGCTGTGCAGGCAGGTCGGAACAGCCATATAGTGTCGCGCCAGTTCATACTTTGTATCTGCTACTATCCTATTGATGCTCTGAATCCTACTTGTCCATATTGGTGACATCTGACAATTCGATCTTACGTTACCCCTCGGATCGGCAATTGTACCGCAAATCTCCATGGCATGAGGCTTACACAACGTACGACATGAAAAACTGACCTACAGTATAAAATAAGGGAAGCTGGCCATCGAGTCATGTCATATTGGTATCAAGTAAGCTATATCTTGACAAAACTGCTAATTAATTGGGTTCCTTCTTTTCTTTTTACTTGGAATCTTTTCGCGTCACGTCATAAATTCCCACTCTTTACTGGGGAACCTTAGTGAATCGCAGGTAGGGCTTAGCCTCGCGAATCTCACCAAACTTGGCCTTGGCGTCGGCAGTAGAAACGGTGGGAGGAACGACAACGTCGTCACCGGGGAGCCAGTTGATGGGGGTGGTCAGACCGTGCTTGTCGGTGGTCTGGAGAGCGTCAATGACGCGCAGGACCTCGGCGGTGTTACGGCCGGTGGAAGCAGGGTAGGTCATGATGAGGCGGATCTTCTTGGCGGGGTCGATAATGAAGACGGAGCGGATGGTCAGAGCCAGACCCTTCTGGTCGACGTTGGTGGTGTCCTGGTAGTCAACCATGTCGTACAGGTAGGCGACCTTGCGCTCAGGGTCGGAGATGATTGGGAATTTGAGATTGGAGCCAGTGACCTCATCAATATCCTTGATCCAGCGGTGGTGGGAGTCGACATTGTTGGCACTCAGACCAATGAGCTGGACACCACGCTGGGTGAACTCGGGCTCGAGCTTGGCGAAAGCACCGAGCTCGGTGGTGCAGATGGGAGTGAAGTCATCGGGGTGGGAGAAAAGGATGGTCCACTTTCCACCGAGGAAGGTGTGGAAGTTGATAGGACCGTTGGACGTCTCGGAGTCGAAGTCAGGGGCAATGGAGCCCAAACGGAGGCTATACAAATACTTGGTTAGCTCATTATGGGATACAGATGTACCTGAAGACAGGGGACTTACGGAGCAGCACGGTCAGCCATTGTGAATTGATGGGGGATAACGGAAGATTATCGATGGAGTGAAGAGAAGAGAAAACTTGAGGGGAAACACCAAGGTTCAAATACCCAGAGCTGCCCCTCCTGGTTGCGATGGTCCTCGTTCTATGACCAGACGATCGCCTTACCTCATCCGGCCATACCTAGCACGCAATTTCATACCGCCCCGGGCAGAACGCCCTCATTGGCTGTTTAACAAGGTGGGCTGTTTAGTGTACCTGATGCCATAGGGGACTTGGCTACAGAATACGGAAACTGCGCGAAACAATTCATGACCAAGCACGCCAGCGGCCTTAGCGTGGGTTTTCTTTTGAGTTCGTGGGATCCCCTCCTCCGCTCCCGCGGGGAAGGACATCTATATCTGTATACCCGCTACAACACGCATCTCCCCCCAGACCGTCATCGCTTTTTTAAATCATCAAATGGTCGCTCCGCATGGCCACTCAAGCGGTAGCTTTTCTCACCCGAAATTATCGGCCGAGCAGCTCATGTCAAAAGATAAGTCGGCCGACAATCCTCCACCACGGAGCCAATAGCGGCTCGACTAGATGGCGCAATTCGACAGGCGCTCGTACTCAGAGTTCGTTCCCAAGGCAGTGGGCATTGGCTGTGTAGAGTAGTACAAGTTGAGCGTTCGCAATAGAAATACTGGAGTATATCTAAACCAATGAAATAGGGCCAAATTCTCGCCTTTGGAAAAGTCGATGGTGCATTCGCAGCAGGGGGTCCACAGGTGGGGCAAGATCGAGACGCTTCGTACGGCTGTCCGATATCGCTTGTCGGCTATTCCTGCTGTCACACTCTAGATCTTCGAACTTGTTATAGATCTGGGTGACTGTGGTGCAGTAATAGTTTAGAAGTCAATGATCGGAGGCTTACGGAGAAGATATACAAGGAAAATTCTCATGATCTTCCGAGATCTACACCCCGGAAGATCAATTGAATAAACCGTCATGGTGGTGCGAAACCGTCGTTGGCGCCTCTTGACCCACAGGGTACTCTAGGAGGGGAATCGACCCGGAGGCACCCTCACTATTGGATCCTGCCTCAGCGCTGCAAGTTCTGATACGCAGAGCCAGATAACCTTAATTTGATAAATTAGGAGAATCTTGCATCGAATTTGGCCAGCCTTGAACTTTTGGGTCATTCATGTGGATAAACTACGTATAAGTCGTTCCTCAGAACATTAATTTGACTGTCCAGGTATATTTACAAGAGGTACGCGTGCTATTCAGGTCCGGCGTTCTATTCCAGCCCGAACTTCAGATGTCGACCCTGTCCGAGTCTCAGGCTGTCTGTACTGGCATTATCGTGCAGACAAGGGATTCTCTGGCAGGAAGGGCTATGCGTCCAGAGGAATACCAGAGAACATACCAGAATCTCAATTCGCTCTTCTCACCTGTTAGCAGATGACACAATTGGTCTTCAAAGACTGAAAGACGATATTTCTCTACCCATTAGCCTCCAGATCCCGAAGATCCCTGTCGATCAGGCCTGGATCACGTGAAACAAGACCCACCGTCGCGTCCCAGTTGAGATCAAACACTAAGCTTTCCCCAAACGCATTGGCAGTCTTCTCCATTAAGGACTCCTTGCACGTAGTCCATTCGCCGTGCTTTGCTATCGCCTTCAATTTGATCTGAAGTTTCTCTCCAACTTCGATTTCGTTTTACCCCTATTTGTCCTACATCACCTGAGTTTCATACGCACAAGCGCAAGTCCATCAGCGCAGCAGCGATGTCAGAGACAAGTGACCCAACGCCGAAGGACGGCGACGCTTCGGCGAACAAGGAGGAAGGAGCTTCTGAGGTAACTCGATACCATGTTCATTTGTTTCCTGATGATACAACGGCACAAGCCATCCGGATTCGCGACGCACTTCAAAGCACGCGTGATGTTAACCATTGACTCTAGCTCGCGACTCCCAAGACGGGCGATAAGCGCAAGCGCGGTCGGCCACGCAAGGACCCCGCGGACGTGACCCCCAAGTCCGATGGTCCCAAGCGAGCCCGTGGGCGCCCTCGCAAGGTCGTCTCGGAGGCTGACGCTGCCGAAGCTGCGAAGAAAGCCGCCGCTTCATCTGGCGAGAAGAAAGGACGTGGACGTCCCCGCAAGGAGCCTGGTACGACTTTGAGCCTTTCCCTTTCTATTGATGCTTTCCGACCAATTTCCAAGACCTTGTCTTTCTCTTTCTCTGTCTCTGTGTTGCTCCTTACTGAACTCAGTCTTGGCGGATGGTCGTAGATGAAGCCAGTCAGAAGACAAATTGCTAATACTGCTATATAGGCGCCGCGACACCCAAGCCCAAACCAACTGCTGCTACTCCGAAAAAAGGATGGCCGTGGCCGGCCACGCAAAAGCCTCCCTTCCAATGGCAACACCCCTGCTTCATCTAAAACCACACCCCCTAAGAAGAAAGATGGCCGAGGTCGTCCCCGCAAGAGCCTGCCTGCCAATGGCGATGATCCCCTCGTGGAAGAACAGACAGAGGTGCCCGCTTTCACTGTGCCCAAGGAGGATACTGGCCGTTCGTACTGGCTGATGAAGGCCGAGCCCGAGTCACGCATGGAGAAAGGCGTCGATGTCAAGTTCTCGATCGATGACTTGGCTGCTGCAAAAGAACCCGAGCCTTGGGATGGTATGAACAAAACTCATCTATATCAAGCAAGGTCTTGACTAACCAATGACACAGGAGTACGCAACCCAGTTGGTATGGATTTGGTGGACGAAGTATCTTGACGCTATTCATTGAAACTAATGTTATGATAGCGCGAAACCTCATGCGCGAGATGAGGAAGGGAGACCTTGCATTTTTCTACCACTCTAACTGCAAGTCTCCTGGCATTGTGGGAGCTATGGAAATCGTGAAAGAGCACTCTGCTGACGGTTCGCATTCCCCTAAACCGAGCTATTCTAAAACCCTCGCTAATTCCCCTGTAGAGTCTGCTTTCGATCCTAAGCATCCTTACTACGATCCCAAGTCGAACGCGGATAACCCCAAGTGGGTCGTCGTTCATGTTGAATTTCGTCGAAAGTTCAACAAGCCAGTCACCCTGACCGAACTCAAGGACCATGCTGAAGCTGGGAAGCCACTTGAGAACCTCCAAACCCTCAAGCAGTCTCGCCTTAGTGTCTCCTCCGTGACCCCCGCCCAGTGGCGCTACATTCTCGAGGTGGCAGGCGAAGAGCCATTTCCAGCCCCAACCAAGGACGAAAGCAGCTCCGAGTAAATGTTTACCAATCTTCCTTTACAATTGATGCCGGATTGCAAGGCGCGGGGTCTCATTTGTACAGTTTTCTAATATCACATAAGCTTTCACGGCGTTTTTCGGCGGGCCGCAGGCACAGCAAAAACAATAGGATATTCAAAAAGATCTTTTGATTCTGGCATATATCGCATCTGCCGTTGTTTTTCAGACTCCCGTAAATCCGCATCGAGTAGTCACGCAAAGTACAAATCTCCTTTCAAGGAATATTCCTTCTTAGCAGTTCGCGATCCGCTTATCGATCCCGACGTTGGTTCTCGCGATCCCTTACGGGGGCCGTACGGAGAGAATCTTATAAATTGCGGGGAGTCTCTGGCTAACCTCGGGAGTAGATTAGGCCGGCTCGTCAGCTCTGGGCCAACCAAAACGGCTCCGCTTGAGCCTAATCGACCCAGCTCTCCAGCGGTTGCCCACGAAGAGTAATTCGATCCGACGGGTGGGCCTCCCGTTATCCTTATCGCGGGCGGGGAGCTTTCGTGGCGGTTTTTTCTTAAGACGTCGCCTTCCCCTCCTCGACGCGCGCGTATGTTCGGCTGCACTTTCACTCTTCGGCCTTTGCGCTGTATATCACTCTCCACTCTGCGCTTGCCATCTCGTTCTTTTCATAGATCTGCTATCATGTCCGACCTTTCTGTGCAATTGACTGCGCCGAACGGCCGCTCCTATACCCAGCCAATCGGGCTGTTCATCAACAATGAGTTTGTGCCATCCAAGTCCGGCGAGAAGATCACCTCAGTGAACCCGGCGTAAGTTCGATATGCCCGGATTGCAGCTTTGCTGCTTCAAGCAGGTTCACTGATGCTCTCTATAGAAACGAGGCCGAGATCGCCTCCGTATACGCCGCTGGCGAGGAGGACGTCGATATCGCTGTACGGGCTGCGCGCAAGGCCCTGAGGGATCCCTCATGGAAGCAGCTCCCTGCTACCGACCGTGGGCAGTTGATGATCAAGCTGGCCGATCTCATTGAGCAGCACAAGGAGACTCTCGCCACCATCGAGACCTGGGACAACGGTAAGCGTATCTCATACATGCTGGCAAAAGACATGGAGAAAACAGAAAAAAGAAAAAAAGAAAAAGAAAAAGAAAAAACAAATCTGGAAAACACGACACTGATACACTCCAACAGGCAAACCTTACTCTGTTTCACTGAATGATGACTTGGGCGAGGTCACCGGCACCCTCCGCTACTACGCCGGCTGGGCCGATAAGTCATTTGGCCAGACCATCAGCACCACCCCTGCCAAATTCGCGTATACGCTGCGCCAGCCCATCGGTGTGGTTGGACAGATTATCCCCTGGAACTTCCCCTTGGCCATGGCAGCCTGGAAGCTGGGTCCCGCTCTCGCCTGTGGCAACACCATCGTCATGAAGGCCGCCGAGCAGACCCCGCTGAGCATCCTGTACCTCGCCTCACTGATCAAAGAAGCCGGGTTCCCCCCCGGGCGTGATCAACATCATCAACGGCCACGGCCGCGTCGCGGGCGCCGCACTCGTCCAGCACCCGGAAGTTGACAAGGTTGCCTTCACCGGGTCGACGCTGACAGGCCGCGAGATCATGAAGATGGCAGCTGGCTCGCTGAAGAACATCACGCTCGAAACGGGCGGCAAGTCGCCGCTGCTAGTGTTTGAGGATGCAGACCTCGAGCAAGCGGCCAAGTGGGCCCATATCGGAATCATGTACAACCAGGGCCAGGTGTGTACCTCCACATCACGGATCTTGGTGCATGACTCCGTGTACGACAAGTTCGTTGAGCTGTTCAAGGAGGTCGTGGCTACCACCAGTAAGGTCGGAGATCCTTTTGCCGATGATACCTTCCAGGGTCCACAGGTCACCAAAGCTCAATACGAGCGGGTGCTGTCATACATCGAGGCTGGAAAGTCTGAGGGCGCGACTCTGGCTGCCGGTGGCGAGCCACACAAGAATGTGGGTGACGGCAAGGGCTTCTTTATTGCGCCTACCATCTTCACCAATGTCAAAGATCACATGCGGATCTATCGTGAGGAGGTCTTCGGACCATTCGTCGTTATCTCAAGCTTTACTGCTGAGGATGAGGCAGTCACTCGGGCTAACGATACCACCTACGGGCTGGGAGCGGCTCTCTTCACTCGTGACATCGAGCGTGCGCACCGGGTGGCCTCGGAGATCGAGGCTGGTATGGTCTGGATTAACAGCAGCAATGACAGCGACTTCCGTGTTCCTTTTGGCGGTGTCAAGCAGAGTGGTATTGGCCGCGAGCTGGGCGAGGCGGGTCTGGAGGCCTACTCTCAGATCAAGGCTGTGCACGTGAACATGGGCACCAAGCTGTAGATGACTAGAGGATCATTGGATCTTCGTAACTAAATGACATATTTATGATGACTAGCAAATATGACAATGCCTATTGAGGCGATGAGGCTCCATGGTATGCACGTCAGTCATTTCTCCCAACGAGTAACTTATTCTCCGAATTTGACTACACGCCTAGTCTACCGTTGGGCCTACCGTCCCTTGATAACTGTGTCCACTGCATATCTCTGATAACTGACAAATCTCTGCAACTTCCTTTAGTCATTCATTCCTGATAACATGTTCAACGGTACAAAAGATAAGGCTACCCATCCAGCCTCGATCTTACCTACCCCATAACCCTATCTAGAAACCAGATAGCTCCAGATCCCAGTGGAGCAGATAGGCAACAAAAGGTTAATCTGACCAAACACCTCTCTCAGCTCATCGCACAGCCATCCAAACCCCCAAGAACAGAAATCCAGCAACCTACCCGATTCGAATCAACAGACATGTGGCCAACAATCGTTAGTCGCCTACACAACTGACAGCTCCGCCTCACCCAGGCCCCGAAAAAAAAAAACAAAACCAAAAAAGCAACCAAAGTCCACCAAAACAATGCCCCCTTCCCCCCAAATCCACCAGTAAGATAACCCAGCGCCGAAACCGCTCGTCACCACCCGATCTCGCCTCACAGAAAAGAAAGTTCAGATTAGGCCGTGACAAAGAAAAACACGCGCATACAGTCCCCTTCCTTGATGCCCAATCTCGGAAACTACGTCCCCACGTGTCTGGGCGCATATGCGCAGCGAACCTGAACCTACCAGGGGGGAGAGCGGGCTGCTGTTCCCCGAACGCAAATACACCTTTCCCGCACTAGTGCCAGCGCGGCGTGCGAATGGCGCAGGCCGGATTGGATGGCATGCGTCGCGCGGAGCCAAGAGCCAGTCAAAAAGCATGCAGTCCGGTTCCAGCCGGGCTTCCTTATACGGTGGGTTCAGGGCTGCGGCGGTGCAGGGCCGGGCTAGGGCTAGGCTAGGTTAAGTATGTGTACACCGGCGCCTCTGCTCTTTGCGGCTTTGTGGCTGGGAAAGGGTGACTGGGGGGGGTTGCGTCCAGGTGCACATGGGCCCATGGGGACCGCGGACACTAGTAGATTTGTTTACTGGGATTGGGAGACGAGGGAGGAGGGACGCTGGTCTGGGACTGTGGCTGTAGTTGTGGAGGAACGTACTCCGTACATAGGGAATTTCCAACCCCCCCCTTTCCTCCCCCTCTTCTCTCTCTGCTTCTTTTCTTCTTTTTTAAGCAAGGATTCAAGATGCATGCGAGTGTGTCGGGGTTACTGGAGGTATAAAGTCAAAGAGGTGACGAGGTGCATTGGACTGTTTTACATATGTGCTTGCGAAAGCCCGGGGGGGATGTGATTGGGTGGATGCAAGAACAAGATTTCGGAGGGGGGCAGAGAGGGGGGCATTGCGTGCCGTTGATTTTGGGATTTGGGTTCGGTAGCTCCCTTTTGCGTATTTTTGTTCTTGTTTCGCTTTATTTCCCTAGGGGTTCCCGTTTTCTCGGTGTGCAAGGAGAAGTGTGATTGGATTGGAGGGGGGAAGTACTTGCTTTTTTGGCTTCTCTGAGGCATGACATCGCCCCTGGGGCATCTCCACACTCCATACTTTCTTGGTGCGATGTGATAATGGTGGTGCCCGCCCAGATTACAATGTTATCAACCAGTGTCGTTCACTATAGAGAAAGAAGTGCGGCATTTCCCGCTGTCGAGGTAAAAACCCCCCTCGTGCCAAAGTCTAAGACTCGCAGCGTGCCCAATAATTGGACGAATCAGGCACGAAATTAGGTGGGTGGCTTAGCGCTCCCAACGCATACCTGCATCAATCTCTTGCATGCAGGCCTGGTCATGTGAATCCACTTGTACAGGTTGGGAAAGGTAGAGTCCTTGCCTGGACTAGTTCCAAGTCCTTCGACAAAAGTACCGGGTATCTCGAACGGGCCAATTTCAAGGGAATCTGCAGATGCGCGGGATCCATTCCGAAGCTGTGCCCGTATCCCGTTCCTTTTTAGGTCCTTGTGTGACGGGTTTGGGCGATTCTAGATCTCCACCCGGCCTTTTTTTCCTGATTGTGGGGGCGGGGCCAGGGAAAAAAAAAAGGTCAAGGGAAGTTCGGACGGTTCCCGCGATCGGCGCTGCCACGAGAGGATTTCCCTGATCCCACAAGGCCCATCAGGGTAGCTGACTTGCACTGCTTGGCCCCCCACTTGATCTTCCCGTGAAATCTGTGGTCCTCGATTTTTCCTCCTGCCCTTCTGTCCCAAATAGCGGTGTCCACCCTCGTTTCGACTTTCATCTGGATCGACATGTCTCAAATCCAAAGGTGGACGGTTAGCGAGGTGAGCATCAGGTTTTCCTATTCGTCCGTGGGTTCTCTTTCCGCAACGACAGGGATCAGGTTCCTGGGAGGGGAGCTTGGTTTTTCTGATTGGTCTGTTCTTTCAGTCGGTCAAGAAATGATGAATTGTTTGGTCCCAATCCAGCAAAGAGCATCGCCGGAAAATGAAATCCTCCAGGGGTTCCAAAAGTCAAAAAATGCCAACAAGCCAAAGGCAAATTCCCAATATTCGAGCCAATCACAGATCCCGATGGATTTCTTTCCCATATGCTAATTTTTCATTTGCCAATGGCTAGCCCTATATCGACGTCCGGGGGCACTCTACTCGAGGGTCCCTATCACGACGTGGCCAACAACGAGTTCCGCTTTGTGGATATCTGGGAGCATAAGCTGTATCGTGTGGATTTGACCCGGGGCCCCGAGTCTCTATCCGTGGTTGACACCGGCACGGCTATTGGGTTAGTACAACGTCCTGGTTTAGAAATGCTCTCTGTGGGGTTTGCCTCTTTATCCCAAATGTCCCAAGGGTTCTTTTCTGCGCTGTTTACCTGAGCACCCGAAAAAAGAAAGAAGTCACCGCTAACCTCGACTACACTATTGTCGGCTTCAAGTGTCACCGCCAATATCGGCAATGCAAGTGAATCCAATGCAGATCAACTAGTAGTTGCTGCCAAAAAAGGATTCGCCCGGCTGGACCGTATCACCGGAAACCTATCCTATATCCGCGAAGCTTGGGGCGAAGAAGACGGGCCCGGAAAAGTGGACTTGTAAGTGGTGACCCGCTAATCCTCCCCTAGATCCCCATGAGGGATGGTTTGATTCGGGGAAGAATTCCGTCTTCTCAGGGAAAATGTGGAAAACGAAAGTGAAAAAAAAAAAGCCAAAAAGCCAAAACGGGAGCAAAAGAAGAAAAAAAAAAGACACAAAGAGATAGAGAAAAATAAAAGGAGATGAAGGAGGGGGGAGAAACGCCCTGAACACCAACGAATCATTGCACACCGACTAACGTTGCCCCCACCGACCACCAGAATGCGTTTCAATGACGGCGCTGTCGACAGCGCCGGCCGCTTCTGGGCCGGCGCCATGAACGACCCCAAGATCAAGTCCCCGGAAGCCGAAGGCGTGCTCTTCCGCCTGAGACTCTGATCTCAGTCTACACCGGATGCTAGCGCCGGTGACCATCCCCAATGGAATCGGCTGGAACGCCGCGGATGACACGATGTACGTTACAGACTCGCCGACAGGCAAGATCTTCGCATTCGACTACGAGCCCGTGACGGGCAGTCTCGGGACTCGGCGCGTGTTCTTTGATCTGGGCGAGCCGCTGGAGCCGGATGGATTTGCCATCGACGTTGAAGGCTGCATCTGGAGCGCTATCTATGGCGGCGGGAGGGTTATCCGGATCTCCGCCACTGGGGCCCTCATCGGCCAGATCGATCTGCCTACGCGAAACCCAACCTGTCCCACCTTCGTGGGCGAGGAGCTCTGGATCACCTCGGCCAAGGATGATAGGGACGACGCCGTGCTGCCGCAGTCAGTGCGGTATGGGGGCTGTGTCTTTCGTGTGAACGTGGGTGTTCGGGGGCAGGCGAAGAATGAGTTTCGGCTTCAGCAGTAGTTTTCCACTAGGTGTGGACTTGGGCCTTGGCTTTTTTCAGGTTCACGTTGTTGGGCGACAAAAGTACCTCGCTTTTGGGTCCTATGCATCTCTAGCGCAGCTAACGGGGCCCGTATTATTGGCGAAGAAATCGCGAGATCGACACTTGGGGTTTTTTTTGTGCATAAGTTGCTGTAGAGATTAGCGGGATCGACATGTCCTGACCTTAGTCTGTCAACGACGTGAATAATTTATAGGGGACCCAAGCCTACTGTACAGTCGATCATTAGGGGAAGGTCGACTGCTCCAGCGGTGGCGGCTACGGCTATTAATAAAGTTTTCTGCGGGCATGGATGTGCAGATATTATACTTCACATGTGGCTAAAATGATCGACTGCGCATCTCGCACGCCATCTCATGAGTAAAGCTCTTAAAGCCTTTTTAGCCTTTGCAGCGCTGTCCAAATCCGCGAAGGCTGGTCGTGGACACATCATGGTGGAGACGTCGATCACGAAACACGGGCGGGAGGGGGAAGAATGACGGACCGCTGTCAATCTCATGGCCTCGAAACTTGACACTGCACGCGGTAAGGAGGGGCGCTCCGGTTGATAGATAATCTGGATAGAGGCGGTATGGGCTGCTTAGGCCGAAGGGCCCGTCCATCTTGTCTGCAGGCAATTAATGTGTAACCACCCGGCGGTCAGTGTCGAAATAGCACATATCAATTATCTCCCTGGAAAATCGAGACCATGACCCGCCTTGCTTACAAATTCCAAGATTGTTCCAAGTTTCCACGATTCTAAATTTACCCATGCTTCCTATTGTCTTATGCATGAGTTGGTGCCATTGCCTGGGCAAGGCAGGCAATCAGCGCCATGTGAAGCGGGTCTGCCGTGCAGGGCGGAATGCAGGCACGGAGGATTGGGTGATGAGCCTAGACGTCGGTGTGGCAGGCTACGTAAAGTAGACGTGGCGAGTCCCGACCGTCTGGGTGGGGTGGGCTCGAAAAAGCAAATAGACGCATCTCAGATAGGAACACGGAAGGACCCAGGTGGAGTGAAGATTACTGCAAGGCTAATTGCCAACCGGTCTGGGATCGGGTGCGGTCATATTATCATCCGTCATCTGTCATCCGACTAACGAGCACTTCTTCTGTTCTTGGGGCCTGTTCAGGGTGCCTTGGACTCAACAGAAACAAACCAAAGAACGTCAAGGCCGACATATCCGATCCTATAAATCGAGTTCAAGAACTTCCGCCCGTTGTACATCCGCGTACCAGTAACTTGGGACTGCACTACCCATACCCGCAATCCCTGCCAGCCCCTGGACCCACGGGGCCCATGACACGCATGGGGTGTTCGGTCCCGACATGCCGGGAATACGCATTGGTGGGATATCTACCTTATTGTCTAGCCTCTTGGCTTCGAATGAAAAAAGTTCCATCCAGGCTTCTTCAATTTGCAATGCTACCAATTCCGGCTCCCGAGGAGCGTTGGATGTATCAGACCGCTCAAAGCTTTTTCCGCGCTGGGAGTGGTGATTCGCTGCCTTGAAGGCGGCAAACTGATGCAAGCCTCCGAGCGGGAAAGGAAAAAGGAAGTGAAACATCGAGCCCTGATCACAAATAGCAAGTGATAGCAACTGCGCCGGCTCCAATCCACCTGGGCATACTCGTACTCGTACCTTTTCCTGCTTTTAGCTCAAGGGGTCAAACAGGAGAGACTTCCAGGGCTAGAGTGCTCGACCTTTATAATCACCGACTTTATTCCCGATCTCTGAAGGGTCGGGAGTAGTTCTTTTAGGCACTAGGTTCGTGTGCGGAGCCGTCGAGCATAAGCTGTCAAGATCCTCGGCCCCAATCACAACGTTAGTTCTTGCGGCAGGAAGCTGTCGCGGCGATCTTACCCCGTCGCGGCTTAGTAGCAAAGACCTCGTGAGGATCGGCTCAGTACCCTCATTTCCCAAGCTACGGGGCTTAGCGCAGCAGCTACTGCAAGTGAGAAAGTAGGTGAGCGTGCGTATCTCAGCTCAGCCCACTTATCGTGATCCCCCCATTATCTCAGTGGAAGGATCAGGGGCAGAGGCTCCACTTTGCGGAGGAAAAGGAAGCTGGATCTTCAAGCGTTGAGTCACGCGGTTGTTATTCGTGCGCCGAAGGAGGTTGGCCGCACCCCACCCATCTCCACTGCGTTCCCTCTTCCCCGGGAGGTGAGGCTTGTACGGAGTTCCGGAGTACAAATTCCAGACTCCCAGGGTCCCACAAATCCCCCTTCCCGGTGATAGATCACCTACAGCCAAGCCCGTTTTCGCGGGTTGGCGATTTACCTGAGCTTGGTTCGCACAAGGACAATGGCCTCGGGCAAGTGGATAAGTACGAAGTTATGTTGTTTGTGTCCTCGGCGCATCTCGGTCCAGGACCGTCCATGCTTCTGCAGATCAGAGAACCGTCTGGCGTGTATTGATGTCAGCGTCGGGCACCCCTGTCAATTATTAACCCAATGACGTATCTGAGAGGGAATTTGCTCGAAGATGTTTCTAAATTGAAATGACGCGGAAAATTCCTTCGAATGACGGGGGTCCGGTTCCCTCGGTCCTCGATTATTCGTTTGCTTTTTCGAATGGCTGATCTTGCGCCCCCTTTTCCCCTCTTCCAACGTCGCGTCTTGCTTAGGAACCCAAAAGTTTCACTGGGGAGTAGAAGTAGAAAGGATAATCGCCAACCACAACCCTCTTCTCCAACCTATCTACTCCAGCTAGTGCACGTCATTCATAAGAGGGACTGAAAAAGAAACAACACGCACATGGGACAGGTATATTGAGAAAATTCTACGGGTCCACTGTCCCCCTTTGCCTAGAGGAAGGACTATTGGCAGCTGCCAGTCCGTTCTGGGCTAGACGGGTCTCCCCGAGGATTGGTGAAGCCAACCTTATTGCTGCCAATAGTGTCCAATGAATCTTTTCTTCGCAACGGCTGGCAAGAAATTGCCTTTTATGGTCGGTGAATGCATGCACAACATGGCTCGGAGTCCAGGAAATCATAACATCAACATGGTGGGAAATGAGGGACGCTCTCATACCGTATTCTTGAAGTCCGGTCACAAGAAAGCCGAGGCCGTTATCCTCCGTACCACGAACATGTTCCTCTCCAGCTGTGCTTGCTCATACTCTAATGGTCCTTCCTGGGACGAGAGCATGTACCCATGAGTCATTGGTTGTCAGAAACCTCCCTTGAGGCTTCATTCTTATCTTTTTATTTTATTTTATTCTATTCTATTTTTTTTTTTTTTTTTTTTTCGCTTTTTTTTCTCAATTGTATCCACTTTTCGGCCCTTGTGGGTTTATGTGCTTGAGTTTACTTCAAACTATTCCGGTGCCAGACCCCCGGAAAATGACAGGACCTGGCTCGGGGACCGTCATTTTTTCCCCGTCGCCACCTCCATAGCCCCAGACCAGACTCGAGCTAGTGTGGATCAGTGGAAATGACTATTCCTCCGTAGTGCGTCATTATTGCGAGGGTGTTCCCCTATATCAGGTCTCCACATGGCATAACCCCGACGCAACCAGCGTCGGGGAACAGCTTCGAGAACAGCACGAGTCAGTCCCGCCAGATCTGTAATCTTGGAAGCCATATCCATGGATGTGGGCTGTCATGTCATGCTGATGGAGCAACTGTGAGCGAACTGCCGGCTCCACGCCACGTTTGATAGAGACCTGTCTTCATTGGATTTCGACAGGCTATCAAACGTCAAATGTGAAAAAGGGGTGGACGGGGGAGCCGCCCAGGCAAAAGCAGGCAACAGAACACCAAAGAGGGCGAAAAGGCGAAGAGTTCTGGAGGACAAATAAGGATCAAAAGAAGGCTCCACCCGTCCCTTTACCATGCTGTCGGTGACGGCACTCGCGCACTTGCAGCTCCCCCCCGCTCCCTCGACGATTGCCGATCCTGAATCCCACGTAGAGGTTTCTTTCCCCCTCGATCCTCTTTCCCCGAGCACGAGATGGACACTAGCCGTGAATCCTGTCTCCACCTGCCTATTCCCAGGCCCAATTCCAAACTCAGGTTAAGGGGGGGGGAAGCAGGGCTTATGAATGGAGCGTAGGGGAGCCACTCCCGGGAGGACATCACTGAAACTTTCTGGAAAATAAAAAGAAAAATGAGAAAAACCCAAAAAAAAATTATCGAACCAGAAAATCGAAAATGCGAAAAATGGGGGGAAAAAAAGAAAAATAAAAAATTACAAATTAAAAAAAATAAAAAAAGGACACCCAAGGTGCAGGGCGATCCTGCCCAACACATCCGGCTACTTGGGTCGGACAGACATAACCTGCGAGCAAATCAAAAATGATGGATCAATGGGGGCCTTCACCGCTGAATCTCAACGGTTCTACTTAATTCTTCCCCCTTTGACTTTTTTTCTTATAGCTTGGACCGCCCAAGATCTTTTCCCCTCCCACTTTATAACTTTAGGGGGCCTCGGACCGCTGCCCATGCACATGTTTCCTACTGGATCCGATTACTTTTTTATCCATTACTTTCTTTTTTCTCCCTCTTATCATATCTATTTGACGCTTACTCTCGACTCTCACCAACCCTAGTCAATTTCCTGGACTTTGTACAATCGGCATCAATCAACTCTGGTCACATTCACCATTTTCCATCGTGGCTACTCTCGGGCTGAGCGCATTGACTGCGCCTTATTCGAGGTCGCTTCACCCTCTGACCTTGTCGCATTATCAAGCAGACCCTCGCTTGGTTGCTGGCTCCCTCTCTCACTCTGTTCGTGAAACCCCCCGAGATTTCGAGAGAGGGGGGAATCGGTCATGCCCTAACACCCCACCTGTTCAGAGAGATCAGTCTATGTCGCAGGAGCCGTTGCACGTAGCTCGATTGTCCGAGGATGCGATCCAAGACCGCACCGTGATAGACAGTGAGCAGGGATCTGCAACGGCTCGTCATTCGTCGCGAAGGCCACCGTTGAGGACTCGTCCGCAGCCGTGGCATCCATATGGCCCTGTAGAACCGCCGATGGAGTCGTCCTCTTCACGGTCGATTGGCGTTCATTCTATTTTGAACCCCCCGGCACAACCAGAGGACCAGGCTGACAGCAGTCGAGAGAAACATAGCGGGCCGGCACCCTCTTCTCCTCGTCCACGCAAAGGTTCTTCTCCAGCACCTCGCGCCATGCATCCTCTCGTACAACAACCGTTGTCTCCCAGGGCTCGTGGTCATTCGATGGTGAACCCAGGCTCACCTTCGGCACGATTTGTCGGTTCTGGAGGGCGAAGTGGACGATCAAGCGTTTCACACTCACCGCTTGTTCCTCATGAGCCTCCTCTGGGGATACGTCAGACGCCGGCCAGCTCGCCGATGTCTCTGGATTCCACACTTCGTCCTATCACTTCATTACCAGGTACCCAGCCACCCGTGTCGGCATCGCTGCACTCAACACCAAGCGTGCAGTCGAGGCAAGCAAGCACTGGTCTTGGACCATTAACAACGCCTGTCTCCCAAGAACCAAGTCCTACGACACCCCATTCTTCATACACTTTCGGCCGTGGCTCTCCCGCCGCGCCGAATGTCTCCATGGCCCCAGCACCACCTGTCTACGCGGTCCCATCCGGCCCATCAGTCCCGTACATGACAATGGAATCCCTCAATCGCGGCATCCCTGCAGCGTCCGGGCCTCGTATGAGCGAGATAACCGCCGTCCCCTCCCGGGGCCAGGGAATTCCTCTCTCCCCCGAAGCCCCAGGCATGATCCCCTGCTTCGTGGACCTGAAATCCGGCTCCTCCAGCCAAGCCGAGAAGCGCAAAGCCAACAGCGATGCCTCGCGCCGGTTCCGCAACCGCAAGCGCAATGAGATGCAGCTGGAAGCCCGCCTAACGGCGCAGCAAGACGAGATCCGCGCTCTGCTCCAGCAGCGTGACCACTACCGCTCCGAACGAGACTTCTTCCGCGAGCAACTGAGCCGCTCTGTCCCCTTGTCCCAATTACCACCCAGGCCGTCTTCGCCGCGAGCTGCACCTTCGACGCTCGTCCTGGGCTCGCCGAGCGATACGCCGTCTGCCCCGGTCTGGTCGGGCTCGGAGATAGCGCGGGGCACGCAGACGCCCGCTACGCCTTCAGCCCAGCGGGGTTTGGAGCCTGCTCGGCCGCAGAGTGGTTGGCCTGGATCATCGCTGAGTCGAGATATCGCACCTTCGGGGCCATCAGTTGCTGGTGGGCCATTGCCTCCGTTTCAAGGGTCTACTTGGTCGCGGCAATAGCGCATACCATGGTGTCGGGTTCATGAAAAAAAAAAGTTTTACTTTTTTTTGAATATCTTTATTTTTTTTTTTTTTTTTTTTTTTTTTCCCTTACGTGTTTTCTCTTTATCTATCATATATATTACCTTCCTTTTACGGTATGGGATCAGCGGTCACTGGCATGGCTGTATGGTGCGGCGACTTTGTGTTTATCGGGTTATTCCAGCGGCGGGCTCTTCTCTTCACAAAAGCGCCTGACCTTCTGGCTGTGTGTATTACTATCTATATTTTTGGTGAATCGGTGGTGGATCTTTTTGGCTTCTGGGTGTCTGTTCTATACCTCTACAACTCTTTCAATCCCTTCCTGGGGTCTCTATGCATCAAAGGTGTTTCAATCCCATTCTCCTTGGCATCACTCCCGTCTCTCTTACACTGTAAGCCTTGGCTTCCCTGGTACCTGACAATCACGTGCAACTCTTCCTTCGACCATGCGCGCGATCCAGATGCCCAAATTGAAAACAGAAAAAAAAGGGGAGGGATGATCAGAATCATCTTGCTAGGGTTTCACGATGACGTAGAGCATGTAACTGCCGGGCGTCGGGGAACGCGGCATAGTCGGCAGTTGCCGCCAGGCCCTGAACCTGACAGGCTCTGGGGGGTCCCCGATCAACTAGTATAATTCGTAGTTTACTGCGTAGGCAGGGCAAACAATACAGTTTTCTTTCTTAGAGAGGGTCAAGAAGGGTCTCTGCCAGACCCACTCGACCAATTGCCCTTTTCGAGCTCACCCCTACCAGTTAGAAAATCTGGTTTCTCACTCTAACCCTAATACTGCCACTGCCAAGGCCAGACATCCGGCCCCATGTCAAACCCTCGCCCTGGATCCCCCAGCCTCGAATGTAGAGTCCGCCGTACCCGCCATAAATATATATACACCAGATCATCCCTAGGACCAGGCTTAGTCTGATATACCGGCCAAGCAGCACAACTATTATTATGCGTCCCCGCTCCCCCCCCAGTATTGCACTGCCACTGCATCGCACTCATCCAATCGGACTGACAAATAAAAAAAAAAGGCGACCAGAGCATGCCGGCAATTTTTTCCCTGCATCGCCTCGCCCAAGTTCCTGCAGTTCCCTATAGTTATGGTCGAGCCGGTCCAGGCCCCCCCCCTCCCCACACAACTCGCATGATCGAGGGCATTAAGGTAAAGAACCCCCTTGCGGCCGTTAGCGGGCGCCAAACTCCGATAGCACCGCAACGGTCGCAGGGCTGCTAGCTAAGTATGTGGCTCTGATTAGTACGTGGCGGAATGATTGATCCAAGCTTCGCGCAATCTTGTGTGGCGTTGGCGGCAGAGGCGCATATCGCGCGCGCTCCCCTCCTTTCCCCCTTGCGGTGTAGGCTAGGCTTGACACTTCTGATACTACGAGTAGGATTCTGACAATTTGAAGGATCTAGTGGGGGGGGTTGATTAAGGTGGATTAGTGATTGCGAGATATATTGCCGCGTGGCGCGGGTATTAGGATGGTGGGGGCAAATCTTTCTAGGCAGTTAGTTTGAACAGCTGATAGTAGTGCAGGTAAGGCAGTGCGGTAACTTGTCCTAGGCAGCGTCATCATGCTCGAAGGATCGCCTCAGGATGAATTTTGCTTTTTTCTCACTGGATAATTGGGATTGTTGCCTGCATGAGGCTGGGAGTTGCGGTGTGTCGGGCGTGCGTGTTGGATAGGTAGGAATTGACGGCCTGGCGGTGTCCTGTGGCGCGGATTGGGAGTTCAGGGGAGGCTTAGATGTACGGCGTTGAGCCGTGATGGGTTTCCTTATCATTAGGAGCAGCTTCACAGAGATTCATGTTCCAAGGACTTGAGGTTCCTCATCCAGAATCTGTGTAAAGATTGTGCCGAAGCTTGAAGGATCTACAAGTAGTGGGAGAGGGTATCCAGCTGATCACTAGTGTAACCGAAATGGGATTTGGAGGACTGAAGAGAATACTATTTTCCTAATGAATTGTACCTATACTGGATGAGTTCGAGCTCATTAAAGTACTAGAGTGTTTGTTTAGCTCATTGAATTGATATTCAAGCCGAGGACTGAAGGGTCTAGGCAGCACTTTGACTTCCGAGACGCTTTCACGATTCATGGAGGTCTTCCACAGCGGTGAACCAGTTGAACGGGCCAACAAACCCGCTATTCGACAGCACGGGCTCCTCAATATTGCTAGATGGGATGCAGAACCTCAGCAAATAGTTTGTCACCTCCACATGTTTGGTCTACATGCTTGGATATGGTGGCTGTTGCAAACGGTCTTGCTATCGGAGAAATGGACTTTTAGCCATAATAAATACTTGGCTGGCTGCTTGGCATATTATGACGCTCAAGGCGTTCACATTCTCTCCAATCCTATCTGGCGCAGCTTCGGGAAACCATACTGCTGGATTTCAGCGGTCATTATGTTTGAATGCTACTAGTACTTCGAAGTGTAAGAAGATAGCTTCACCTTGTATAGCACAAGATCCAGAACCAACATTTGGCTGAAGGATTCTCTCTCCTCACATGAAGCAAAGATTTCATAATATTTCATCCCAGCTTAACAGTAGTCGTTTGACCCGTTCTATCCAAAGATGATTGCAGAAACAATCTAGAGCACACCCATGCGGCAGAGCCATGAGTCCTGCTGCCATCCTAATCCCACATACAAAGTGTGCTGGAAGTAATGCTGCTGTTACAACAGGCCATGAGCGGCGGACAGCTGCCAAAATCCGTGCCTATTTCCATATAGCCAATGTCCATATGGGATCAGGCACGTATATGTTTGATGTTTCATGTAGCCCTGTAACAATATCTTGAGACTTCACAGCTAAATATCTCTACCAGGGCCATATGACCGGACTCCATGCCTCTAGAGGAAGCATCGAAATTGTCAAAGAAAATGCCTTTCTGCGGGAAACATCAAAGCATCCCTGCCAGATGGTGTCCCGAGTATTGGCATGGGCTCAAACACAAGAACCTCTATGGAGAAGCGGTATGTGTTTGAGGCCTGCGATGCTGGTGGACTGGAGAGCCTGGACGACTTCCAGGGTTTTTTAGGACCCTGGCGATGCAAAGTAGCATGGTTGGACATGCGAGTGAGGGGCTTGGTTAATGAAACGAATGCGTACGCCGATCGCTAAAATCCCAAAATGAGTTCATAGCTCCTTATTGCAAGTAGACGAAGTGCGATATGTGGAAAATAAGGTAAATATGCAAAGAACCAAGAATGCGTCCTCTCAACAGCAAAAAGTCAAAAAGCCTCCAACACCGATTCTGATCTTGACCACCCCTTCCCTTTTCAATCGTGACGCCATCCGCTCTTCCTCCTTAAAAGCGATATCCAAGGGCTGGGTGTAATCTGTACTTTGTGATGACCTGTCGTATGCAAAATCTGCGAATCGTTTTCCACCTTCCTATAGCCCAGGCCGCCTCGGCCCAGATAGAACCCACGTTTCCCATAGTCGTATCTGCTCTCGATCAACATGAATGCCTGTGTCACCGAGATCATCTAGCGCCAACATACGCATCTTCTCCCACGACTCGCGTCGCAGAAGTGTCCTCTTTCCACGCGCGCGTGGCGGAAGCCACGAGCCCCCCCGCGTCGGTCCCAAAGCCCGAAAATGGCGGTAACTCCGGCGGCGATGTCCCCGCGGCGACGGAAAGAGAAGATGACGCTGGTGCGACTGGGTCAGGGGCGTCCACTCCGTCAGCGGAAAGCTCGACTTCCGGATGGGACGCGTCGTCCTCGTAATCGGAGACTTCGACACCGCTAGCGTTCTCGTGGATGTCGAAGCCGCCGTCGTAATCGATATCGCGCAGATCTAATCGGTCTAATTGCTCCATTTCGTAGCGCAGGACGGTTAGTACATCTGTCCAGCGACTGCCAGGTCGGAGGTAGATGGCAAATAGGCGGAAGTCACGCAGGTGTTCGCGGTGGCGGCGTAGCAGCGCGTTTATCTCTTCTGCGTCAAGACGCCATCCCTGTAAGCTTAGCATCCGCAATGTTTTCCATCTGATGTTGTGGAATATAGATTCTAGGTCGAGGTTAAGTGGGCTCTTGGGTGGAAATCCAATATGGATGGCCATCAGATTCTTGGCGGCTAGGAAAAATCGATGAAACACACTCGACAGGTCGGCCATTTTAGGCGAGATGTCTGAATGTGAATGAAAATTGATATCGAGACTTGTCAGGCGACCGGCCATGTCGGCCAAGATAGCTGAGGGGGCCTGCAGAAGCTGCAACGTTGCCTCTGGACTGATTTGGGGGCCAGTGAAGCGGATCGAGCTGCACTGGGAATCCAAGAGCGCGATCCCGAGGTTTTTCACGGCGCGCGAACAGGCTGAATCCCAGTCAAGTTGGATTGAAGATGACTCCGCGTCGGTATTATTGCGAACCGTACGGATATATTGGTAGCGCTGGAAATCAAGGAGACTCTCGTCGGCCTCATCCTGCGTCCTGAAGAGCTTGATCTCCTGTAATCCCGAGAAGGCAGCTATTCCGCGTCGGAGGAGCATGAGGTCGTAGTTTGCATTGAGTATCGAATTCTCCTCCTCCAATCGCTGGTGGTGAAATTGGGCGAGAGCCGGATCTACATCCCTCAGCGCAAGCAGTATGGAGGTCCATCCTGTATTTGAATTATATCGTTAGCCAGATATTGCTTTTTTCCCTTGGGTCTTTCCTAGTCGTGGGAGAAAGAGGACTGGTACCGCTGCCTTTCCAGAAGGGTCGTACGAGATATGTCAGCGTCTTCACATAGCACGCGCGTTGCATGGCCACGAGCTCCTCAAGTCGGCGCAAGCCCTTTTTCGAGAAGCGCACATTGACACGTGAGAACTTGCGCGGGGTCGCGATGTGCATGAAACGCTTGCAGACCAGGCGGAATCGATCTAAATCGGAGTTCTCGCCATATTCAATAGGATAGTCGCGGTCCGCGTGGCCATTGCGCCCAGATCTGCGCTCCAGTACAAACGCCAGGATCTCGGCGAGCAGCTCGTCGGCGAGATGTAGAATCGGGGGATGTAGAGGCATGATCGAGCACAGCCGGGTTCGCGGCTGCGTAATCGAGTAGCCACGGCATGGAAGGACGGAAGGAAGGAGAAGAGAGGAAGCTATAAGATGATCATCAGGGCTGCACGATCGGGGGCACACCCGTCCCACTATAAACCGAGGGGGTAAAAAAAAAAAAAAAAAGCAGAAAAAGGAAAAAAAGAAAAAAGAAAAAAGGTACAGGTGTCAATCAAGCGCTGGAAAGGTTGACCCCGGGAGTCTTGTCTCACCATGGGCGCATAACGACACTTCTGGCCCTAACGCTGCGCCGCGACCGGGATGATCGTCGAGACCCTAAGCTTAGCGCGCATGGACGACAGGCCTGGCCTTTTTTTGGCATCACGATCTGATCAGTCTCATTGGCGTTGCGCTTGCCACCACAATCACATGATTCCTTCAACCTGCGGCCAGCCATATGGGAATGCATTGGGATTGGAGAGCAGTTGAGGATCCTCCTGGCGGTGGGGAGCGTTCAGGAGGAGAACGCGCGAGGTCTATGCAGGCCCCGCTCTAGTTGTCACATTTCTGCATAGTGACGGCCTTGCGTTTGGTGGAGAAGACGCCGAATAAGCAGGAGTTGTTTGAGAGGGGTTTGAGGTATTGGACAGCAATTTGTGGTGGTCTTGGTGGTTGGTAACTCTTTATTTATTCTACAGGCTCTCGATGCTTCCCTGGCGGTGCTTTCCCCCTTGGCGCCCTCCCCCCCCAAATCTTACATTGAAGTTCTTCGCCCGTCCACCATCATCAGCTCCACTGTGTCAGACTAAACTTTAGCTTGCAGTCGTCTTCGCCGGATGTCTGTGCTGCTGAGCTTGGACTCGAAACTATTGGTATCCGTGGCCTCTCCCGGAATGAAGGACATCTACTTCAAAGACGGCCAACGTATGCCACCCTTTTTTAGCCCGCTCGGAGTTCACAAAGGCCCCTCCAGCCTGAGTCTCCTTGGACAAGACTAGGGCGGTGATTTCCTCGTCGGTCGCTGTGGGCCCACAGACGTCGAAGAACTCCTCGAATTTGAAGCGAAGGTACGGCTGAACCTGCAGAAGAACCACCTGCCCCCTCCCATCCGCCGTCCTGGTGCGCTCTACTTCCAAGTTTTTATTCCCAGTGAAATCCATTATTGCCGAAAGGAAGGCTGCCGTACTCTGATAGCGCTGTTCCCAACTTTCCAAACACTCCGCGTACTTCTTTTTCTTCAGCAGTTCATCTCCCGTCACTCCAATAGTCAGGATTCGTTCTCGGTCCGGGCTATTGGGGCCGATGGGCTCTAGAGCCAACGCAGTGGCCGTTAAAAGAAGCTTGTGACCAAGGTGAAGGTGATCAAATGTTCCTCCCACTGCCACTGAATAGTGGGGAACTGGTGATAATTGGTCGCTTGGAACGAGGAGGCCTTCCGGAACCAACCAATCCCCGGGACCAGATATGGCGGTGGCTTTCGATACTGTTGGACCTCTGGACGCTTCCGCGATGCTTCCCAGAAAAGAGGGCGCAACTCTTGCCCGGCTGTATTGCCGAGATAGAAGATTTGGTCCCACTGTCGACCTGAGGACGCTATTGTTTGTAGACTTACAATGGGCCCGGTTTCGAAATGCGAGCCCGTGTAAGATACATCTTGACTAGAGGTCGGTTGGTCAAGGAACACCACACGAATGTCGAGGCCGCCGGGAGAGTCCAGCTCTATATCTCGTGCGGTAGCAATAGCGCCAATCAAAGTATAGAAACTTGCGAGGTAATGCTGCAGTGGGGGAAAGATCTTGGCTTGTGGTTTATTTGATGCGGAGTGCAGCGTGGGGACTGCCAGGGCTATGTCAAGGATGGCAATCTTATCAGTTCCCCTCACGGACTGGCCGAGCCTAGATAGAACATCTGATAGTGGTTGTTCAAAGGACACCTTGACTTCGGCAAGCGAGAAGGAGGGTGGGGGCGGCAATAAGAACAACGCTGCAGCAGCACGAGACGCCATGATGGAGCAGTTATGTACAGGAAGGGAGAGCTAAGTTGCGAAAGAGTATCACTTTTTGAACGGCCAGGAACCTCGGGTAGATTTAGACGGGACGCAACCCTGTACGCCGCGCCCCCAGCTGACTCAGCAAGGCACCCAGTGCTGTAACACATCGTGAAGCGTCCAAATACCCTTTTGAGAGGTCTGTTGATCCCATCGCGTCTCAAGAGCCTTTCTTGAAGCTCCGATTCCTGGGCACTCCGCTGCTCCCCTCCCTGATAGCTCACCTTGGACCCAGGGGGAAGTGGAGTCCAGCCCCTCTTCCAATCCACCTCCCTTCGACCTTCGGACCGCCTGCAGTTTAGCCGCCCTGCGCACCATGTCCAATCCCTCCTTCGACTCTTCACGTCGGTCTGCTGTTGGCCGTCAACCGGAGGAACTACACATACCATCCACAGGGCTGGTCAATCCGAACTTGTCTCGCCAACTGCCCTCCAACGAATACCCCACAACTCCGGACGCCCCCGTCCCATCGATCAACGTCCACTCGTCCTCCCAGCCTCCTCACTACGGGAGTGGGAGTGGAAGCAACAGCAACGTTCGTCTTCCAGGCGCCCTGACACCGGGTAACCAACAACGCCCGCCCGCCGTCTCCGTCAACACTGCTCCGTCGGTGCTCCCCACCTTACCGCAGGCCTCATCGCAACAGAGTCACCGGTCTAGCATGATCAATTCGCATGGTCATTCTCGATCTAGCCCTGCAGGATTCGATCAAACAATGTACAAACAACATGGTTCTGCCGAGGGCTCGAGCTATCCCTCCTCTCCAGGGGCCGGGTACCCGCCTCAGACCCCGCAGGGCTCGAAGTACTCGCCGCTCGGTCTCGCAGACATTCGCCCGCCGGGAAACCATCTACTAGGAGAATCACTCATGAGTCCATCGGCCATGCAATAATGGGGATAGTCCGGTGCCAAGCAACAGTAACTACATCGCTCCGTGGCCTATATATGCGGTCGACTGGTGCAAATGGCCGATACCCGGAAGTTCAAGCTCTTTCGGGGGCAAATTGGCGCTAGGAAGCTACCTGGAAGATAGCCACAACTATGTTCGTTTGCATCATGTCGAGCTGCGTTCCTTTCGGCTGAGATTACTAACAGGTTTCTCAGATTCAAATTATTGATACACATTGGGCTCAGCCCGACCCAGACACGCAAGACGCTGCAGCGGGCGAGATCAAGCTCGAGTATGTGAAGACAGCTGAAGCGACCCATTCTTACCCCGTGACACGTATTCTATGGGAGCCCCCTTCGTCTCAGAAACAGTCCACGGATTTGCTCGCGACGTCGGGCGATCATCTCCGACTCTGGTCACTGCCCAACTCCCAACCTTTGCCAAGCTCAAATTCTATTACCCGCCCTTCTGGCCAGCGAGATACACCAACCTCCAAGCTTTCGCCGCTGGCGCTGCTCTCGAACTCTAAATCGCCTGAACACACGGCCCCCATCACCTCTCTCGACTGGAACACTATTTCCCCTAGTCTGATCATTACCTCCAGTATCGATACCACCTGCACGATCTGGGATATTCCAACTTTGACAGCCAAAACACAATTGATTGCTCACGACAAGGAGGTCTTTGACGTTCGATTTTGTGCCAACAGTGTTGACGTATTCGTGAGCTGTGGCGCAGATGGAAGTGTCCGCATGTTTGATCTTCGAAGCCTTGAGCATAGTACAATCATTTACGAGCCAACAGACAAGGTGGAGCAGCGACGTGAGTTCTATCTTCAATGAGCGCGCTTCTAACCAGTGTCGATGCTAACTATGCGTAGCGGTCATGAGCCCCGGTAACGCCAGTCCTTCCGGCCCATCCTCCTCGGGCATGTTCCCACCACCTTTGCTGAGGATAGCAGGTATGCCATCTCATATCCCAAATGTCATTTACCGTTACAGAACTGACCCCCTACCAAGCATCTCCTCATGATGCTCACCTCCTGGCAACTTTCTCCCAGGACTCGAGTGTCGTCCGCGTTCTGGATGTCCGCCAACCCGGACAAGCCTTGCTTGAACTGAAGGGCCACGGAGCTCCTCTTAACTGCGTTGAATGGTCTCCAAGCAAGCGAGGGCACCTCGCTTCCGGTGCTGACGATAGTCTTGTCCTTATCTGGGACCTGATCAACCAACACAACGCTGTGCCCCTCTCGCCTCAAGCTCACACTCCCGGTACGCCAGCCACAACCTCTGAACGTGGCCCTACAGCTGCTTGGCAATGTGACTACGAAGTCTCCAATATCAGCTGGTCACCTCAGGGCGGTCCAAACCACTCCGGTCAACCGCGGGAATGGCTCGGGGTCTGCGGCGGCAAAGGCATCTGGGGCGTGGCCCTATGAGAGCATGTAGTTGCAACCCTTTAAAAACAAAAGAACTTCAAAAGGAAATCTGGGGCTGTTCTGACATCCATATCACGGGCCTTAGTGCCCTCTTCTCTCCCTGGTTTTTTTTCTTTTTTCCCGCATACGCTTCGGGGGTTTTCAAAAATCCTGCTCCCCATCCAACTGCATGAGATGGTTCCAACCATGCGGTGGGTTGAGCTGATGCATTTGCATCCCTCCGCCGTGGGCCCATCATCCTCGTTGTCCTGCAACCCCCGTTCCAGCCAGCTCCCGTGTAATCGGGCCTGCCTTTCTCTCGCGCCTGAAATCTTTCACTGCATGTGCCGCAACTAGTTAATTTCGTCGATTGGAGGATGGAACGGGGCCTGGCGATCTACTTTGATATGGTACGAGTGAATGAATAATGAACGATACATCAGATTCTATTCTCGGTCGCGGAGCGTCTTCTCTTTTTCTTTTCTTTTTTTTTCTCCTATCCAGCTGTACCCTACGGTTTAGACTTGACGGTGGTAGGAAACAAAACATCTTAGTATCATCTTCAACTTCAACAATAAAATCAAGCCAGTGGACTTTGAATACGCGCTTGCTGGTCTATCCAGTGCATAGAATTAGAATTCCTTATTACCATACAGCATTGTTACATAGCTCGTCCAGCGAGTGTATGAAATGGCACGAGCGGTAAGATAGTTCGCACTATGAGAAGACAAGGTCCCAGTTTTCAGTATGGCCTGGGCAGAGCACAAGCCACTAGTCCATTAGTCTCTGTTAGGTTGGGCCGTTGAATTCATAGCCATAGCAGGCGTTCCCTTGGCAACAAGTCTGTCCTCCAGCCACCGAGCGAATTTCACGCTGGGAACATCAACCATGCGCCAGAATACATCGCCCGCCCAGATGGCTATGGGGAGACAAATAGTCCACCCGACAAAGAAGCCCAGGCAGTACTGAAAGTTCGTCTCCTTGCCCGTGACCGCCCAGATATTGGGCATAAGCGCGTATCCCAAGGAATGCAGAATCGGGCCGTGGACAATGTAGAACGCATACGAGATCTTACCCAGATACTGCGATAGGGGGTTTGTGAACAGCTTCTGGATATCAGGCGAGTGATTGATGCTGAAGACGATGAGTGCCGCGCCGAGAGTCTGTGGGAAACGGTGCGGCTCGCCGTACGTCCGGGGCGTGATGGACCACAGCCATCTGTATCCGGGTGTCCACTTGAAACCGAGGTTAGGCGAAGAGCCAAGATACAGACCTACAACGAAGAGGCCGATCCACAGGCGCCGGCGTGAGATGGTGCCGACGATTTTGCCTTGGGGTGGTAGGCGAATGTGAATGTTGTCGGAGACTGCGGAGGGAGGTCGCTCCCATGTTCCGTTAATCAGGTCTAGTTCGGCCATTGTCATGCCGAGTAAGAAAAGCACCACGTCCCATCGGCCGTAGCGCATACAAAACCAAATGAGACTGCCGACTAGGCACATGCGCACATTTGAGACTAGGCGCGATGTTGCAAGGGTTGTGAGGAAGAGGACCAGGGAGCAGCGAAACTCGACAGGTATGGTCCATAGGTGGGGGTTATAGTTGTTGTAGTAGAGAGCCCAGTCGAATGGGTTCATGAGGCGCGCGATCGTGTAGTAGAAGTCCCAGAATTGTTTCCCCAAGGTTTGATATACTGGGGGGTGTTGTTCATTCGTCCCGGCGATCGTGTGACCTTCCTGTATCACTAGCCATGAGTAGTTATAGATTCCTAGTCGTACGGCTATGAAAACAGTTGTAAGGCCAACTAGGGACGGGATGTAGAGACGAAGTGCTCGGCGAAAGGTGGAGGACGCCAGGGTCGTGAATGTTTGGTCGAACGCGCGGGACCGGATCGTTTTTAGAGCCTTGTAGGAAAGCACGTAGCCTGAGATGACAAAGAAAATCGCAACCATGATATGACCCGAAATCAACATGTGGATGATGGGCAGCTGGTGCAATCCCCCAGTTGTTTCCACTAAAACCTCCAAACCCCCATCCGACGGCGACTTTCCAGGTGTAAGTAAATAGGAAGTGGAAATTGAAGACGAGAAGACAAGCCCAACCGCGCAGCCCATCCAACGCGGCGATCGCATGCAGCTTTGCGGGCTGAGGGGGATCAACGCCAACGTATTTCTGGAGAAAGCTGGGAGTGAGCGCGATCGTGAGCCTTATCACAGTATCTTCGGCGTATGCCAGCCAATCTTTATCGTTCGAGGCCAGTCCGTCTGGATGTGCGAGGACGTTGGAGGGGTGGAATTGGGAAAATCCATTCCAACGCGAGGCATTGTGTGCATTTTCATGCTTCGATGCGGATTCAAGGTCTGCGAGAGGGATATTGGCCGTGGTCGAGGCCTCGGGCTGGGGGGTCGTCATGGCCAGGGTCGCGATCAAGAGCTCGGTAACATGGAAACCCTGCAAGTCGGAATGTTTTTAGACCGCGACCATGAGATTTAGCTACCCAGTATCCCTCATTCAGTAGAGTATTTGTGTCCGTTTAATCGGCACTTGTCCGGCGAGGCTCGGGTTGCGCAAAGATTGGGGATGTTGCAGTCGGAGCCGTAGAAATGGGGGAGGAATACGTCAGCGACGGCGGTTTGCACCACGCAGTGCGATATGGCGATAACACCCTCAATGCAGTATCCTAGGAGACGAGAAACGTGCGATGAGAGCAGAGATACCGAGAAAGCGCTTGGAAGGCGACACTTCAGTCATGTTACAATATGAGAAAGCAGGAACGGTTGATCGGCTGCCAGATGCGGAGCCCCTATGACCCGTGTGCGGACTGCGATTCTTAGCTGAGATACCAACTATACCTCCAGCGAATCGTTTCGCACAATACTGATGTCAAGGCAGTATACAGCTAGCTCAATTTCGATAGAAGCAATACACCCGTCTACCATCCGTCTACCAACCCCTGGCCGTAGTATGTCTCGTGTTGTACAGTCAACTACGCTATATTGTACCTCACACGTGTAACCCATCGAGGCCCCACATTACGAGACAGCTCCGCCATCACCTTGGAGCCCTCTCACGTGACGTATAGAACGTCGTTCTGCACATAAATGCTTATCTTGATCTGTTTGTAAGGCTGAGAATAGTTTCAATATCCAGCTGGAAGTTGTCTGCCACACAGGTGTCGCCCTAATGGGACAATCGTTTCTGTGAGTTCGCTTGCAGTGGCCATTGGGTTTACAAAGGTCTGAAACGTGGTTCCAACATGATGCAATGACACTTCGCCAATGGCACCAAGGCAGGGAATGTGCTCAGAAGAATAAACCCCATGATGAATTCCGCGCCGAGGTTCTCGCAGATCCCCGAGCCTATATTTCCTCCGAAGCTCCTGCACCTTCATTGAACCAAGTGTCTGCTATTCCCACTCCTGGCAAACGATGTTTACATACCATGCTGCTAGAACAGGTCGAGCGAGGTTGAATGCCAGACAGACCGCGTGGAAGTCTTCTGCCATGCTTCTGGACGTATATTGCCCTCCCCTTATCTGGCTGTTCACTACGACCATACCCCCGAATGTCATACCGAACCTGGTCCGATGTTAGCATATTGGTATTGCACACTCAAGCTTCCTCTTACAAGGTTCAAAATGCTCCTCCGCTCCTCATCAGAGAATTGATTTTCAAAAGCTATACTTGCGAACCCAAAGACATGGAGAAAAATGATAAGCGATTTGGTAGGATCACCCGCTTGCTCTGCCCATAGCTTGGTCCCATCGGCCGAAACGACAAATTGCTTTTGCATTGCTCCGACGTCACACGATCAACGCTTTGCTCTCAAACTGGAGGCGATAAACTAAAGCAACTGTAGGAATATACATATTATTAAGTATCTTCCGTATGCAATGTAAATTCGGTCTCGGTCGTTCAATCGAGGCTGATACCGAAAGCCCAGACTCGGCTCGGTCTCCGTATACTTATGCAGGGATCGGAATTCGATGCCGGTTAGTGCGGAGAGGATCTTCAAAGAAATGACTCGGGAGATGAATCAATGATACGCTTGCATTATAAAAGACCATCGTTTAAGAAAAGTTCCCAATTACACGTTCATGCTTGTGCAATCTAATCTTGGAAAGCAATCCGACCTTGGAAGCAATCCGATATACAACCTTGGAATTCAGGCATCAGATTACTAACGCCTCACATGATCCCCGGGCCACTTTTTACATATGCGTGCCACAGTGGCCTTTCGACCATATGATCTTTGCGATCTAATGTAGCAGAAGGAAACTCTAGCGAGAGAGTAGGAAAAGCAAAAACACAGGGTGTCCTTGTAGAGGGATTGGATTGCTGTCACGTGCTACATACACTTGGCCCAAGCAGGTTATCAATCCAATGAAACTAAAATTCAAGGCGTTTAGCTGTATAGATCGAAAGCGCTGCAGGGTACTACGCTAGCCCCAGGTCACGACTGTGGGAGCCTCCAACCGTAAATTAATGGCTAATTAATGACACTCTCGGTCAGATCTAACATAGTGCAGCCTCTGGCGAGCCCCTAATGTCCTCTTTAAGAGCAATGCGATTCTGTGGCCGTCCAGCCAGAGCCTCCCCGAAGCGGCGATGATCCTCTTAAACTCCCTGACTCGCGGTCCGCAGCGAGAATTTCTCCCTTCCTCAAGTTCTTTGTCCTGCACCCGCTCAGTGACCATCCGCCCCTCTCTGCCCTCGCGACTCCTTGCATCCTCGTCTGGATGACGCGATTGACGGTGTGCGCCCTGCGATAAACCCTCCTCGCGCCGGTGGTGGTGGCCCCGAAAGAGAACCACCATGGATTTGCGCAACATCATGAATAACGACGCCGGCGGCGCCTCCAACGCTCCGCCGGCCACAGGATCCTCAAGCCCTCCGTCCGATCCAGCCCATCAACAGCGCGTGCCAACAAGCTATTCAGACTACCCAGCACGTCCTCCCCAACCCCAACCTCCAGTGCCGCATGCGCAGCACGCCTCGCCAGATCGCTCTTCGCCTTACGGCCCTCCCCAATCACCGTACGCACCGTTCAACAACGCGAGGCCTCCGCCTTTGAATACCACCGTACAAGCTCAAAGAAGCCAAAGCCCTACACACGTTTCGACGCCCTATGGCGCCGGTGCGCGTGATTCCTACGGCGCGACGGTGTACAATTCTCAGCCTCAACATCCGTCGGTCCCTACAGCTTCGCCCTACACTCCACAACAGCCTGTGAGTGCGGGTCCCCAGTCAAGTGAATCGCAGTCGTACTTTGCGCAACAACGGTCTCATTCACTACACACTGTTATGACCAATCCGCCACGCCCCATCCCTCAAGAAACTTCTCCCTCCACCGCTCCACCTCTCCCATCGCAGTATTCTTCCACACATCGCTCGGTCTCAAGCACACCTCTTGGCCCACCTCCTGCTTTTTCACGTCACTCCCCTTTGTCTACACGTCCACCATCTTCCGGCCGTGATTCTCCGCGTAATCCTCTTTCCAGTCCGAGACCTACCCCCGACCAGATACAATCCCCAGTCGCTCCGCGAAATTTTTCGCCAGGCGCCCGCCCATCAGAATCAAATCCCCAGTTCTACCCGACAGTTGTCAAACAAGAGCCCAGTGAGACTGTAAGTCCTCGCTTTGCCTCTCGGCAGAATAGCGCCGCTGCCACGTCCGATTCTGCTGGGCCCCCTTCCCGCTCGGATGACAACAAGTGGAACGACAGCCCTACAGCGCAGTCCACTGCTCGACCCAGTCCTGATCCTGTCAATTCCCAGAGTACCTCTTCACAGATAAGAAGCTCACCGTCCGGCCCCCGGGCTCACAAGATTGCGAAAATGGATGCGGATCACGAACCGAGCCCGCGCGTTTCAAGCCAGCCACCAAAGCCCAAACGAAGACGCTACCGCGAGCCTCCAATTTTTGCTCAGCGAGTCGTCCGGAACAAAGGAAAATGCCCTGTTATCCCTTTCCCTCAGCCTCCCATCACAAAGCAAGAAAGACGTGACAACGCGGATCCCTGGGGAACGCGACGAGGATCCCTGTTGGCAAGAGTTTCAGAAACCACATCAAAGGCACCGATCACTCCGTCTCAAACCGCTCCAACCCCCAGCATTCTTCCAACAAACAGCAATGGTCCTCCGTCGCAACCACCATCAGCTGTATCCCAGACAGGGTCATTGGGAGCTTGGGAACCGTCTATCACTGGGTTCATTCCGCATGAAGAGATTACAAAGATGCTCTGCGACTTCTTATTTCAGCATGTGGTGGTCCGAGAGGACGTGGCCGTAGGACCAGCTGGCTCTGCTGCTGCTGGTCAAGGTGCTATCATCGAAGTTGAAGCGAAGCTTGGTCATGTCATGGACATGGATCGACGGGAAAGATTGAGTCTGCCAGTCTTGACTGAAACTGTCCTCAATCGCGAGAACTCACAATTTCGGACCTCGTTCGAAAGCAATATGAGTGTCGTAAGTTGCCCCCTGACCTTTGAACACTTTACGCCCCCCCCCCCCAAAAAAAAGAGAAGAAATGAAAAGAAGTAGGTAAATAAATAAACTAACACAAAATTCTCTCTAGGAACAACACCGCGCCATGAACAATTTTCTAAACGATGCCGTCAAAGCGTCCATGCCCAACACCAATCCCAAGCGCGTCCCGGTGTCCTACGCCCACAAGAAAGAACGCGACACCTTCTACGAAGTCTCCCCGGCCGACCTCCCACCCATAATCCGCCAGAACCTGAACCCGCGCCACAAGCCCAAAGTCCGCGTAACAACAGACCAGCGAACCGGCGAGGTTCTCGCCAAAATCATCAAATGCCGTGTCGCAGACATAGACGTTCTCAGCCCTTGCACAGCTGTCGACTGGCGGGTCAGCGTGAACCTGGAAATGGAATACCCCGGCGATATCTCCAATCTTCCCGTAGTCGACGCAAGCAGAGGCGGCCGTGGGGAACGCAACAAAGATCGCATGAGCTACCGACACCTGGCCTACCAAGTCGATTTGACCCAAGTAGCTCCAGCCGACACAGCAAAGGGGAATTCGAGCACGAGCTCGAGGTGGAGGTTTCTGCGGCTGAGCTCCGGCGGCAGGGCAATCTTGCTAGGAAGGGTGACCCGACACATCAGTACGAGGAATTGGTCAAGGGTTTCGTGGACAACATTCGAGTGCTGGCGCGAGCTGTGCCACGTTGACGATGTTTCCTATCTGTATTATGTATCATGGCGCGATTAGGGCCGTGCCTATCCCTTTTATCCTTTTGTCTTTATTCCTTTCTCTTTTCTGGCCCTGCAGGTTACCATACGGCTTCGGGTGGACAGTGAGGCAAAATTATATTCTGATAGAATCGAAGAATATGATTCGGATTGTCATTTTTGCTATGCAAAGCAACTATGGATATGAACTTGCATTTTGCTTCCTGAACGTGTGTGATATAGAGGACCAAGCATTGAGCTGGGATAATACTTTCTGGCAACTAGGGCTTCCTCAGAGTCTAGGTACATTTGTCGATCTTGGGGAACTCGTCGCACTCTTGCCTACTAGTATGATGGTAAGACATGGGGATGGCTCTTCGTTGATTTGATGTGGCAGTTGTGCAGCTATGCAGTTATACAAGAAGTGACTTCTGCAGAAGACATTGCCATCTTCTAGACGTTTTTCGTACCCGCTGGCAGGTCAATTCCTATCATGTTTTTGTTAGTCTCTGTTTTATTGCTTTTCCATTTTCCTCCATCGGTAAAACCAAGTTCCTCAATGGCTGCTGAACCTGTGCAACAGAAATTGAGTCTCCGCATATATGGCGGTACAATGGAAGACGTAAAAGACTCGACTCCATTCACTCCAGAACCACCAATTGAGGCCCTATAAAGGTATCTAGAGATGACTCTGGGTAAACACTAGCGTATTTGGGTTCAATTCCACGTTGAAAAGGCTACTTGGCGGCATAGATGAAAGGCCCTGTCAGCCATAACCTAGTTTAATTAACGATGCCGCCGGAATTACATAGAATATGTTACGGCTGTGACATGATAAAACCCGGCGGCGACCCAGAGGAGGACGTCTGTTCAGCAAAGGCAGGGAAAGTACATTCTCGCACTCGACTTGCTCTGAGCCTGAAAGACAAAGGGCTCTTTATGGAGAACGTAGTCAAAAGCAATGTGGCTTTGTTCTATCTCAATTCCAAGGACAATTCTGCCAAGCAGGCACAGCCCTTGCCACACAGCTCTGCAGATTCCATATCCCATGCTGTCCATAGTAATAGCACACTGAGAGAACATTTCACTACTGACACCATGCAATATTGCTATTGACGCTGGCCTCATCTTACCTTCGGCTTACTTCCCATCTTTACGTCGTCAAGGCGTCCTTGTAGTGTCTGTTGACGGCTTGTATATTCCGGTAGATATCTGCTGCAAGATGGAGGTTTCTTGCAGGGGTCGGGAATTACGCCCGCTGGTCTACCGCCGGGATGGCCGCACACGTAACTTGGAGCTCCTTGATCAGGTCCTTCAACGCCGGGTTCATCTGGAGCAGCGCGTTGAAATCCTCGGTCCACATCCGTGCCCGGCGTCCCTTAGCTGAGAGTGTCTTGGTTACCGCGTAAACATGTTCATCTGATAACTTATGGCTGGAAGGGGGTAGTTGGCATAGCCTGTTGATGAACGGGCCGAGCTCTTCCCGCCATCTGGTAATTTCTCTGGTGATGAAGCCCTGAACCGATGCTCTATCTGCGTCTGTGCAGAGTGCATCGGTTATCTCGCGGTTATAGGGGACCGCCTTCTTGTAAGTCGGCTTTCGGTCTGTATGCTCGGATCTATCTGCGTGACGCTAGTGAAGCAGACGGATATCCCTAACTTCACTTGATGTGTTGGCTTGATAATAATACTATTCTCTCGAATAGTCGCCATCATGTCTGCAAGTATCACAGATTGATGACCGTCGCGTTTGCGCCGAGCAATCTTGTCTTGTAGCTTTCCAGTTAAGATATTTCGTGGTGGTATAAAGACGACAGGACTGCTATCATCGCTCGCAGAAAGAATTTCGACCATGCGGGTTGTAGGATGATACGCTTGCGTGGCGACATGCGAGTAACAGCAATCCAGGACGAAGTCAGTGTCTGTGTCTCCGATGTCGAAGTCCTGGATATCCCCTGCCACCACGGAATCAATGATCCTTTGGAGGTTTATGCTTCGGTTGGGTCGGCCTTCAACAGCAAAGAGCTGTCCCGTTCTAACCTCCCCATGCCCATAATCCGGTCGTACCGTGCCTGCGGGCTTGGTTACCCTGTTCGCTCAGGAGTAATGCCTTCTTTGAGATGGTTGCGCTCTGTAGCTGCAGCCTGGTGGTCACTTCTTGTGCCGTCTCGTTGTGGTAGATGCGCGTGATCGTTCGTCGCGTGGATTGACGCGGGCCTTATCTTACCTTCGGCTCACTTCCTATCTTTATCTTCAAACTTACTTCCCATCCTTATCAACTCACTGCTGGGTCCTACTTGGACCGGCGCCAGGCGAGGTATGTTGGTTCGAGAATTCTGCAATGAGATCGTCCGCTGTGATATCTTCAGCGGCCACCCATTGATCTTCGTGTGCTGATAAGGATGGGAGGTGAGTTTGAAGGTAAGATGAGGCCAGCGTCACTGCTGTGTTGTGCAGTATCTGAGGCAGAGTCGACCTCGATGCACCATGATCAGACCTATCTTTGTGTTGGCCCCTCGACTAGTACCACTAAGGGGTAAGAAGAGGATTTTTGTTGGGGATAAATAGAAGCAATGTAGTGCTTAGGAGAATATGCGGCTGGGCTGTAGCCGAAGCTGGGAGATGTAGAGATGTTTTATTAATCTATCTACGGATTGCTAGATGAGAGATTATACACGTGACCGGCCGTCCTGGCTTGGCGGTGACAATATGCCCTCCGAAACAAAGTATCGTCCCGATGCGAGAAGAAAAGATGCGAAAAAGAATGATTCAAGATAGTACTGGTTGCTTGCTGCCTTGACAAGGTCGGCTTGTTGCTAAGGAATTCAGGTTCGTCTTTTTCGCTTTGTTTAGAATAGACCGGCTTCCCCGGGATAACTTGTGTGGTTTATGACTGAAGTTGCGGTTGTGGTTGGGATATTTTCGTTGTTTTTAAAATAATCTGGCTTATAAAAGCCGGCCTCGATGTTTGTAGGGCTGGTGTACAGTGTCTTAAGATTCGCTAGTGTTGTAAGATTATCTTGGATTAGCTTAGTGAGTGTGCTTAGAACAGTCGCCGCTATTAGTCCGGGCTGGACTGTCTTGAGCTTCTCTTCGATTCTCTTCTATATTGTTAAGGTATTCTTATATTATTGGTTGATAGCTTGTATATCTTTTTAGATATCTGTTATGATATTAAGGTTTTCTGAGAGAGTCGGAAATTGTCACGACACGCTCCGACTAATCGACTACAAAGGAGTTGCTGTCACGAGACACTCCGACTAATCACAAAGGAGCCGCGGAGGAACTCGAAGGAAGGCTCGGAAGGCCTGGCGCCATTATGGCATGACTCGAGACCCATAAAGGGGGCTCGCTAGTTAAATCTCGCAATATATATAGGATAATCGTGGGAGGAACCGAAGGGTTCTCCAACGATTAGTTTGATTATCTTGCTACAATCGAGTCCCCTCTCTCACGAACTCGTAGTAGTATCGGCCTCCCTCAGTCGTATCCCATAATACTCCGAGCCTATTAACATTCAGACATCACAGAAATTGTCTTTTATAATCTATCTTTAGGACCGCTGTGTATATTGTTTGAAGTTTATTAATTAGATTCCCGAATATTAGGTTTATTTCTCGAAGTAGTTTTATCATAAACTTTTTAGATTCTCGGGTTTAAGACTTAGCTTTGATATTGACTAAAAGTGTAGTAAATAATAGATAGTCTATAAGTTGTATAAAGAAGAGCTTATTTCTGATATTTATCAGACTGAGATCAAAAATCTGTATAATAATCCGATCGAATGTGTCTTATAGACCTGGCTATTTCGCTTATTTGGTAATAAGATATTAGTCGAGATGATTATATCTTATAGCCTTAACTTTATAGTAACTATCTTCGCCGTCTTGTCATGATAAACCTGTATAATCGTTCGGCGTGTTTTAACGAGGCTTGCTTCTGCAATAATCGGTCCTAACAGCTAGTCTCGCTCTGCAGTTTTGATTGTTATGTTATTTTTCACGTTTGCTAGTACGCTATAAAGTTCAGGGCCTTGGGAGCCGGTCAGGATATAATAGCCGCGATAGAGCGCTATGTAAGGGACCCCGAAAACGTAAAACAAGGGGCTCGGATCGAGTGGGATACGCTCAGCCCTGATATCGCCGGTTGTATTGAAATCTTCTGTCCAGCGCTATGCGCAGCGCGCCTTGGCAGAAAGGGTTTTTGTTACCATGTATACGTGTTCATCTGAGAGCTTATGCCCGGCTGGAGACAGCTGGTATTTTCCCTCAACGAAAACCATTTCTGTGTATCTTGGGAGGGCATTATCCGGATTGCCGCGGTTGGGTTCGTCACGCCATCTAGCGATCTCCTTGGCGATGAATTTCTCGACCGACGGTCGATCGGCTTGTGTGCAGAATGCATCTGTGAGTTGGCGGTTATACGCCACAGCTTTCTTCTTGCAGTTTATATGGGCACCATTAACAATGGGTCTTCAACCAATCAAACTTGAGCCCCAAGAGATTTGCGATTCCTTGATAAGAGGTATAAGAGGTAACCTTCGGTTGAGAGATGAAATTTGCCACTTCTAGTGGAGATAGCCCTAACTGAGCGCGGAAGATGAAAAGGGAGGACTGAAAGTGAGAGTCCTATAGTTCAAGTTGGAGTGAAGCGAAGGATCGACGCTCGTTCTAACGACTTTGAATGCTAAAATTTTATTGATTTGAAATGGCTAGATAGATCACAGTACTGAATTATTTCCGTGGCAGCCATTTCGTCTTCGACGGAGTATAATCCGCGGGAAAGACGCCCAAAGTCAAGAGAGCACATGTGCCGTGGGCCCGTACGGTATGGATGCCGTGAACCGACGTGGCTTAACGCGCGATTGCTTCATGGATCCGGAGGGAAGTCGAACCACAAAGCAAACCTACTGGCACCGCGAGTGCAAGATTCCCTCATTGGGATATCCGGGGTTGAGGGATGGACTCCCCGCAAAATCCCCCCCCACGCTTCCCCACGCCCCTGGCTTTTTCCACGAACCAGGCCAGCTCCCTCCCTGATTTTCCACCAATTGCCATCCTGGTTAGCTACCCCGGCTTTATTCCCCAGGAACTGTGGGGGTTTACCCATAAGCAAAAGGGAGAATGGGCGAACGGACCATTGGCACCTAGTATTAATCAGTACTGCTGGATTCCCATCTACCATCTTTCTACCTATGTTCGTGCATTGCGTGTGCTAAGTGATAACAAGCCTCTATCCTTCCACTATGGACACTAAGAGAGACGATATGGCGGAAGTCGCGCGCATTGAGGATGTGGGGGCGGTCGAAGTCGATCCCAAGGAGGCGGCGATGGTGAACCAGGCTAATTCGGAGCTATACATGGAAGCCATTCAAAGATATCCAGTGGATGAAGCAATTGATTCAGAGGAAGAAAAGCGGCTGAAGAGGAAGTTGGACATTCGGATTCTTCCTCTTCTTGGAATATGTTACTTCTTCTACGTGAGTGTTTCTAGGCCGTCAGGCTTTCGGGGAAGAGAAAAGGAAATAATCTAAAATGAAGCTGATTGTATAGTATGTCGACAAAACGACCCTCTCATATGCTGCCATCTTCGGCATCAAAGACTCTCTGCACTTGGTGGGTACCCAGTACTCATGGCTGTCTAGTATCTTCTACTTTGGTTGGCTGGCCTGGGCGATTCCATCCAATTTGATCATGCAAAGACTCCCACCTGCCTACTACCTCGCTTTCAATATCTTCATGTGGGGAGCCCTCCTGATGTGCGAGGCTGCATCGAAGAATTTTGCAGCCCTCGCCGCTCTCCGAGTGCTTTCGGGAGCATTTGAGGCGATTGCGGATCCGGCGTTCATGGTGATTGTCTCGACCTATTATACTCGGGAGGAACAACCATGGCGCATCTCAGCGTACTATCTGTGGAACGGTCTGGGGGTGGCCGGGGGCGGTCTCATTGGCTATGGCATTGGGAACATCCAGGGCGCCCTCGAATCATGGCGCTACGAGTTTATCATTATCGGTGCCGCCTGTGCATTCTGGGGCATCGTGATCATTTTCATGCTTCCGAACTCCCCTACTACATTCCGAGGCTTTAGCCATGAGGAGAAGCTGATCATGATCGCTCGCATGCGCCGCAACCAGACTGGCGTCGAACAGAGAAAGATTAATTGGGCACATATCAAGGAGGCTTTTGTTGATTACAAGACATGGATCTATTTCCTGCTCGGCTTCGTGGGCAATATTCCCAACGGTGGGATCTCTAACTTCTCGACTCTTGTGATTGAGGGATTGGGCTTTAATACCTTGGACACGGCCCTCCTCGGTATCCCACAGGGTATTATTGTCGTGATCTGGATTGTGCTCGGTGCCATCTGCAACCAATATCTTCCAAAGAACAGCAGAACTCTCGTTTCTGCCCTATTCATGCTTCCGACCATTGCAGGGGCACTTGGCTTCCTCCTCGCCCCTGATGATGCTTATGTCGGCCGCTTGATTTGCTTGTAAGTAAGCAGTAAATATTACCACGAGTCCCCCAAATAGATGCCGGACCTTGCTAACGTCAATCAACAATTGCAGCTACCTGACTGGGTCATACCAAGCCTCCTTCGTTGTTTGCCTGTCCATTGTCACTTCGAACACCGGAGGTCAGTCCAAGAAGATGATCGTTTCCGGAATGACCTGGTTCGGGGTGTGTGTTGGCAACATTGCCAGCCCGTTCTTTTACAAGACCGACCAGGCTCCCAAATATCCTCTTGGCATTGGCTCCCTTCTGGTTGCCAATGTCATTGAGCTCTGTATCTTCTTCGTGTTACGATATGCATACAAGTGGGAGAACCGGCGCAAGGAGAAGGAGCGAGAGGCTCTAAGAGAACAGGGCCAGGATGCAATGTTGTCGCAGAATGCGACGGCCTTCAACGATATGACTGACCGGGAGAACCCCAACTTTGAGTATGTTTACTGATTCATGAGTATTGTGATACCTGGAATCTCTGGTGGAAGACGTATCAATTCTTGTCATTTCTTATCCGTCAACGAAATGTTATTTCTCTTGCCTATGTCCTTCTGCTCATACGTTGTGTCGGCCTTTTAGAAGTCCTGGCAATCTCTCTGGTCTGACTCCAGTTGCTCAATATTCATGAGACTGTCTGTATTTTGCGGCTCCTGAGATAGACCTGACTTGTTACTCGGAGGATGGTATGCTTCTGTCACTTCTTGAGTTGTCTGTTAGTCGGTTGTCATCGCAGTTCTGCTGGACTCTAGATAGTGAAGATGGCCCTGTTTATGCTCAACTGCGACCGTGTGCTCCGAAGGTTGTTTTTGCCCACAGAAGCCTTCCTTTATCCCGGCCCTCCATTCTTTTCTATATGGCCTCGGCAGTCTCACAGCTAGATTCGGATCTCGGTCAGTGGCACATGGTAAAGCCAAGTCTGTTGAGATTGCATATTTGATTGTCATTGGACCTCGCTCACTTTACCATCGAGCGCTATTTCCGCGGTGTCTCTCAGGTAGTGCACTATGCCCCATTCGGGTCAGTGGGGACAACTATAGATGCACACCAGCTTAGGCCGTGAGCACTTGACGTTCCCCCCCCTGTTTTGATGGAGCCCTAGACCAGCTCCCAGAAGCCACGGAAAACGATTCTGTCGATCAAAGACACCTACCGATTCTGCAACAGTCGCAGAAAGTGAACCCACTTATCACCGCTACTACTGATGCTGTACCTGATGGCTTCTACCTGATGGTTTCGCCAACGATTTCCTAACTGAGAGTGTTATGATTAATGATTCTCATGAGCGACATCTGTTCCTTGCGATCTTGGGCGACACTCATAAATGCATATGTAGCATGAGAAGCTAGGCCCGATATGCAAGACCTGCTATATGGCAGGCAGAAGCGTTTTCGCAGGACACTCCACTAACATACTCTCCCGCTACAACCGTCTATCTCGCATGATCATATTGAGCCTCGAGCCCCGGCCTTCCCAAACAGGCAGCTCGACCCCGTTATCTGCGGGGCGCTCCACGAGATCCACCGTCCCCGCGTGGTTGTAGATATTGCGGGTACCTTCGTTCCGATCCAAACACCGTTTTCACCACGTGTGGCATGTCGACCCGTTCGCACCAAGGCTGTTGGACGTGTAAGCGCAAAAGGCGCCGCTGCGACAACGCACAGCCTCATTGCGACAATTGCGTCCGTCGGGGGATTGAATGCGAAGGCTACGAAGTCCGGCTGCGCTGGGGGAGCGGGATCGCCTCACGAGGCCGGTTCGCGGGCGCTGATAAGCCGTTGGAGGACAGTGTGCCGTCTCGGCCCAAAGGAAGGAAGCGGGACTTGAGAAAAGAAAAGAGGCCTGAGAAGTTGGTGTCGCATGAGTCTCATGACCTGCGTGACGAGCGACGGCCGTCCAGACCGAATGAGTCGTCTGAGGGCGTATACCAGGGAACTGGAGGGCCTGCGGTTCCCGAGGATAGTTCATCGCAGCCACGCAGATCGAAGACGGATGAGGCTCTTTTTAGCAAATGTAGGTCCTGATGCATTTGCTCTCACCATGAGGGAGGCTGACTCTGCGCAAGTCATGAACAGTGGCATAAATGTGTTACATTCAACAACGGCCGGTGACGACCTGCTGCAGCCTCGACTGCCCGAATTATGTTGCGAATCCAGTGCATTATACACCATCTGCCTTGCATTTCAACTTTCGCTAGAGACTGTTCAATCGCCACAATTCTTCGAATATTTTGACAAATCCTTGCGGGAATTTCGAGCCGAACTAGACCGGAGCACAACCCTGCCAGATGGGACTTTACTAGCTGGGCTCTTGCTATCAAGTATAGGGGTGCGTTGGATCGCCCTGCCTGGTTTCCGTCCCTGACACTTCTGTTCTGACCCTTACCCTAACAGTTAATGCATGGCCTACCGTGGACTATACACCTCGAAGGCATGCACAACATCCTGCAGAGCCACGACCTTGCCGATCAGCACTACGTTGCCCGCAGCAACTCATTTAGAGCCCACCTCTTCGAAGTCATGGGCGTCATGGACCTCCCGCATTTTTCGGTCGGGCGCCAGACCCCTACGATAGGCATTTGGAAGCGCTACTGCCAGCCCTCATTCCACAAGGACGGCCCAGAACCCATGAGCGGCCTGCCCAGAACTCTCTTAGATCTTTATGCCGGGATCGGCACGAGTACCACCGAGCAAAGCTTGTGGGATTGGCCAGGTGAAGCCGGCAGTTTTCTCCAGTGCTACCTCTGGGAAGCGCATCGGCTGGCTGGTATTCTTGCTCTCCGTCGCGGCAATAGGAAGCGCCAGCAGAACTCACCGACCGAGCCCAGTATAGCAACGTGGCGGCAGTCACGGGAGTGCCCCGCGAGCGAGACCGTGTTAGTGGCGAGGATCCTGGCAAACCTTGATGCGCTTCGTCTGGCATGTATGGAACGTCCCTCGGAGGATAAGTTCATTAGGAATGCAATTCTGTTTCCGGTCTTTCATGCCGGGCTGGAAGTCTCCGTGCTTTCGCAGAATCCGAAATGGAAGGAGACTATTCAGAACTGTCTCCTTGGGTCGCCGCAGGATGCCATTCTTCTCAGTCTGTTGAAGGGGATGTGGGACAGAAATGATTCAAGTCTGGATGTTAACGACTTGGCAAGGTCAAGAGGGGTGGAAATGGGGCTGCTATGATGCTTTTGGTGAGCAGACTGAGTTTACCTTTCAGACTTACATGAACGAGCTCCTCATCTCAGTTTACTATGCAAGATGAAATCTTTGCGCTCTGTAGATTATACGCGGAAACGAAGGCAATGTGAATTCAAGAAACTTTCCTTGCACAGATCGAATAAAATATCAGCCAAGAAATTGTATATAAGGGGGAGCAAAACTCCTGGCAAATCTCAAAACATAACCCCCTATCCACTGCCCTGATCTAGCTACTTCTTCACACACCCAAGGAACCCGCGAACAACCCCTAAAGGTTCGACTGTCGTCGCGTATCGGTGACATGTCTCGGAATCTCAGCCCTCGCCACCCGATCTTCCGACACAAGCATCTGATCCGGCAGCCAAGAGATATCAGCGCTGGACCCATCAGCAAGTTGCCCATCTTCCAAAAGCAACATTGTTGCAACTGCCTTGCCCGAAAGCCAGGCCTGGACCATCCCATCACCGCCAAATGCAGCACACACCCACTCAGATCCCGATTCAGTCGGATCTGGCAGAGGCCGCTGCGTGACAGATCCAGGTAGTCGCCCCACCCATGGAAAGCTGTCTGTACTGAACGCCATGCTACCGGTCCACATCGACTGAATCGCTCTCCCCGGCACACAACCCCACGACTCCCGACCAAACACCGCACTCAGGGCTCCCGAGAGATGGATGTCGATATACACGCTCATCTCATCGTCAGTCGGCACGCCCAGCTCTGCTATTCCCCGCCTTCGCCGCGAGAGAACCCTCCGCCGAACATCATCTGGCCGCCTGGAAGCTGGGTCAAGTAGTCATAGCCCCGGTCGTAATTGAACAGCCAGGAATGTTTCTCTGCCTGACGTGGAAACAGCTCGCCAGGTGTCTGCGCTGACATCTGGCCGCGCACGGGGAAGATTCGGCCCCGTAGACCTGGGACTAAATGGCTGACGTGCGCGTTGGTACAGTGGATGACATGCCGGGCAGAGATACTTCCATATTCGGTGTTGACCTTGAATTTGTATTCAGAGGCGTCGTCGACCGCAATGGACTCGACACTGGTGTGGTCGTTGATGCGGAAATCATCTGGATATTCAGAGAGAAGGCTGGCAAAAATCCCGGTGACGAACTTGTAGGGCCACACAGCGCCAGCCGGACCAGCAACGACGCCATCCGCGCGCGACAGTTTGAATTCCTGCCCGATACACGTTTTAGTATACACAGAACCCTCAGTCTTCTGTCGTGGGGAAGGAGTGTTCCTACCTCGGGAATCGCGTCTCCTTCATAAGCTGTCCATTCGGCTGCTTCTTCTGGCATTCCTTCCTTGAACCGCTGGAACCTCTCCAGCGCATCCTTCCAAGGCTGCTCTCCGAAGTAAGCGCTCAAAAACTGCACTTTCCGGGCCTGGGTCTCTTCAGTCAAGCCCATTTCTTCCGCCACGCTCAACATCTCCGCCAGATGCGACAGCCGAAAGCCGATGATTTTGCGCGCGGCTTCTTCGCCATGCAGATCGACCAGTTCGGCATACTCGTCGGCAGTCTCGAGGATATGGCCACCATTTCGACCGGTGGCGCCGCTGCAGATGTCTCGCGCTTCGAGGACCGCTACGGCAGGGTGGGAGGGGTTTGGAGGATTGGACTTGGCGCGGTTCTGGAGGAGAGTCCGGGCAATCGATGCACCAGTAATTCCAGACCCGATGATCACGACGTCTGCAGTTTGTGGCAGCGGCTGTGATATTTGGTCGGCGAACCTCGGATGAGGGTCCTTCAACCAGAAGGATGAGGTGGTCGAGTCATTTGGAACTCCAGGGTCGGAGTATATTCTGTCCAACGCTTGTTGACGCTCATAAACTGGGATTGAAGTGTCTCCCAGGAGGAACGTTGCGAACGGCATCACTGCAAGGTCCGGTTATTCTGCAACAGATGATGGGACTTCTTTAAGAGTAGGATGAGAGTCGCGGAAGAGGAAGTTCGTCGACAAGAGTGTACTATCTGGACCGAGGAGAGCCTTCTTATACACCTCATCGACGGCGGTTATCAAGATCCCTGCTAATCGGGTTGACCCTCTTGGACTTCCCTATTACGGCCTTGCCTAGTGATAGAATCTATTCACTTATACTCTGTTAGGGCGGCCCTCAAGTGATTAGTGGAGGCGTCGACCTTCTGTTTTAGAGCTGTCGATAGCGGATGCCAGCGGGACGCTCCTTTGCTTAGCGTATTGAATTTGGCGTATGAAGTTTTCGGAGGGCCCATTCTTTTCATTGGCGGTTTCCCTGCCGCGTGATTAACTTGACCAGAAGAAAGGCAGGCAGTTCATGCCAACTGATCTGTTCGCGGAGGATCAAATAGGATTTGCCATATACGCCTCATGATGCATGTGTGGCTGGGCCGCATGATTCAACGCCATTGAAAATGATCGGCAGATGCAACGGGTTTCCATGCTGATCACAGTGAGGCGATCTTAATGGCCGTATGGCCAGGTTCGAGTCCAGATCGGGCAGGTGGACGCACTCAAGTGGAGACCCAACACGAGCGTTATCACTGGGCCCAACAACACTGCACTAGTCAACTACCTAGTTGACTAGTGCACTGTCGTTGGGCTCAGTAAGCAATGACGTATCGTATCAAAAGATGATATGAGGATCAGATACCGCGCCCTTGTTCTCCCAGGAGATTGAAAAAAAAAGCCACACATCAACACATCACATGCGACCAGATGATGTCAAAAGGTCTTAGAGATGTCAGCTCATAGTAGAATCAGATTGGAGACGTTACTCGGGCATCACGGGCCCACTCATAAATCAGGTTGAAGCCAATAGTTAACAAGTGATAGCCCAACGTTATAATAACACGTTCACGTGCCGATGGCAAGGTTTATTCTGTTATCGGAGAAATTAAAGTATAAGAAGTGGCCTAATATCCCCGGGCGACACCTTGTTGGGATTATATATGCTCAAATCCCGTAATGTGATTGCAAATCAACTAGAGCTTCCCATACTGTACACAATCTTGCTCCTTCCCTCTAGAATGAACTCAAACTTTCCCTCGCATTCCAACAATCCGTGACGATTTGGGTCACTGAGGTAATTAGCCACTATACTGGTTTGATTCCGTTATATTCATTCCTAATGGCCAATGGAGTTATTTCGAGCCGCACAGGTGATTTTGATGGCTAGACAGCTGCACAAAGTCCACATTTGTTACTAATTGACTTGCTTCGATTTTTTTATTTGCCCCGCTATAAACGTATGGGTGTCGCTCTATGGCTTCGTTGATTCTCATCAATGGCAACTGAGGAAAGCTCGGATTGACCGTCTTCTCTCTTTAGATAAATTGATCCTCGCCCAATGGGGACCGCATCCGAAAGGACCGGCTTCTCAACATCCTCCCACGTTGCGCGCACAGGCTCTCCACTGAGGATTTGCTTCACGTTGAGCATGGTGCTATACAATACTCCCCAGCTCGCAAACCCTACCGCATCTCCCTGCTGATCATGAATGTCAGATCCTTTTTCCGCGGCGCCAGCTGCACGGAAACCTCCTGTTAAGGCAGGGAAAGGCGCAAAACAACGCAAATACCCATTCCCGCACATGCGCCCTAATGAAACATCGAACTGCGCCCCGATATCGATCTCTTCGGCCAGTCCGGAGGGATTTACGGACAAGGCCGCGAGAATGCGCTGGGCGCCGTGATAACTCACAGCATACATGCTGGTGCATACGCCGTCTTTGGCCGTACAAGTTAGGCGAGCATGGTCAGGCCGCTCGAACGGAGGCGAGTCGCGCAGATAGGGAAGGAAATGACGAGGTTCAAGGATCGTGGGGTCATTCGGGGTGAGGTAGAATGGGAGTTCGGTCTTGCATTCGATGCCGCAATGACCCAACCACAGAATGTCCCAGTCATCGCCGTATGGAGACGTCTTCGGTATACCAGTCGTACCTTGGAGGGCCCGTACTGAGAGGGCAAAGGTCTGGAGTTGTCTCTTGATGTTGACGTCCCAGTCCGCGTCATCTTCCATAATGATTGCGCTTCCAATTCTATCCTCGACAATTCTATACATTGTCAGTGCTAATTCAGCGTGATTCCGGGAATGATTGATCTATTATTGACCTTTTCATTCCGTTCACATGCGCACGGCGGGCAGCATATTCAGACGCCTTGTGGTCTTGGTTCCAATTCTTTCGTTGAGAGCTGAATTAGTGATGTGTTACCGATAGACAGATGTTACTTGAAACGAACATATGGGAAGGTTTTGGAATTGACTTCTTCCGGAAACACACCATCGATCCAGTCGACGAGGAAGTCGCACACGGAAGAACCCAAGACAATATTATCGCGCTTATCAACCCGGCTGGGCATGTTGATGGCAAAAACTTTCCCGAACTGCGAATCCGTTTAATATATCGTTATCGCAACCTACAAAATGGGACTTACGCCCAATGTCTGGTTTTCAATAGCAGCAAGACCATCCCAGGCCTGCCATTGCTGTTCAGCGGAGCGATGCGCGTGCAGTCTTGGCCAGAATACCAAGGCGAAAGCGCAAGCTCCGAGAAGCCCGAGTAACACTCGTCCCAAGCGTAGTTGAATCATTACTAATGCCTTGCTTAGTTGTAGGGGCGTTTCTCCAAGTCCCGAGCTCCACAGACCATCTCGAGGGACGAAAGAGCCAGCGGTGGTGCCGCAAAGAGCACGGCGAAGAAAGCAGAACTTGCGGACTGTGCGGGTGTTAAGAAATGAGAAACGAGCGAGGAGTAGGGAGGAAACCAGTGATAAGCAGTTGATTAGCGAGGTGGCGTCGGGAAGAAAAGCTGAGCTCAGGTCACTTGGAAGCGGCGGTCGATCTGTACCTTTTTTTATCCCGGGCGCTTATGGATTGACTGATACGTTCGTCGTAAATTACAGGATCGCATTTCCTGGAGCCAATAGCCAGAGGTGAGTGAAACTGCCAATGACCACGCACAGGGAAACGCCAATGCCCCACATACTCAGGTGGAGGTTCCCGAGGCGGCCCGCAAGCTTCCACCTGGCAGTGCGGGTGTCTGATGTCGTAGCTGTACTCTTGAAACAGAGTCCAGCACGCACTACTTGTAGATGGCTCAGGCTCTCTCACTCCAGCGCGTTTTGAAGTTATTTCAACCCTACTATACTCTAAATCCTATGTTTGGCTCTTAGCAGAATTCGGACATCTGGAGGATCAAAAATCATCAGATCAATACCTCCCTTGGTGGCATGTGTCTGGCAAGGATGATTTCGAAGGGCCTCTACCCTGATATAGTACACGCTCTGATCTGGCAGAGCCCCAGTGCGGCGGTTAACCAAACGACAAAATTCACGGACATGTCATAGTGTATGACTCCGAACTTACCTTACGAACGCTATTAATAGACATCAGCTTGGCCTTTTATCCTTGTTGCCAAGTTCATCCAAGTCCAACTCAAGATCCGCTCTCTCAAAGCCTCTCCCGCCTCATTCCCAGAGGTTCCAACTCATCATGCGGTGGGTAGGAGCTCTGGTGATGCTCTGTGGGATTGTCTTGGTAGCTGCCGACACCAAGAACTATTTTACCAGTCCCGCCTCGAACAATGGCATCAACCCTGTATATGCTATCGGAGATGATCTGCTCGTGTCATGGGTTACAGAGCTAGGCGTGTTCAACATAACCATCTGGCAAGAAAGTTTGGTTCAGCAGAGCGCAGCAAGTCAAGGAAATATCTACTGTGAGTCTCTATAATGGCAGGAGCCATCGCGCCGCATTCAAGGCGAAACACTCAAAGATTCGTAGCCAAAATCCATGCCAGTGACGATGTTTCCAATTTTACGTGGAATGTTCAACTTTACGGCTTTGATCTTTCATACTCGAACGTCTTCTTTATCTGGCTCAATCCGGACGGACCAGATGGCTTTGTGTCTACATATTTCAATATCACAAAACCAACCAAGTCTGCCACAACCACTGTCGTTCCTACACCTACCTCTCCACATGGCCTCAATCTGGCCTCGCCGCCCCCCTCATCCTTAACACCATCGCCCTCCTCATCGCCCTCCTCATCACTCTCCTCATCAACCTCCTCATCCCCCGAAATGACGACTACGAGCAAGATTGCGCTTGGTGTTGGCCTCGGTCTCGGACTGCCGATTCTATGTGCAGTCTCTGTTCTGGTGTGGCTGAAGCATCGACAGTCTAACGACTATAGCAATAAAGCTATAGCCCAAATGGCAGCTCCGCCCTGGCCCACACAGCCCGCTTTCCCAATAATGCGGCAGCGGCACTTTGCCTCGAGTGATTCTCAGCCGGTTGAATTACGTGACTGGCGAAAATCAAATGCTCATTACGAGTTGCCGAATTCGCCATATAAATAAGAGCAATTGGTTCTTGCAATTATGAGAATGGCAAATATACGAACGGGTAAAACGTGACTTTCCAACCTTGGGAGGAGACTGAGAAGACAGGAGAGTGACCGAAGATATGCTTTTTGGTGGTCAGTTTTGGGCAGATGCTAGCGATGCCGCGGATAGCGACATCCTGCCTGGAAAGCCACAACGGGCCTTACTGTCCTAGAGTACCTGCTGATAAATTGGACCTAGCTTAGAGCTTGACACACCCAGGAATGAATAATAATGCTAATAATAAATTCTACCTCCGACTAAGGATATCCGAGAGACAGGCTTTTCAGTGTGCTTCAAGTTATTACAAAAAGAAGAAAAGAAAAGAAACATAAAAGATAAAGATAAAAGATAAGAAACGCTAGCAATTCATTCCAGCGTCGATTCAAATCATGCGAGGGAGGAGGACAATCATTTCCAGTGCTTCGTGGTTCAGATTGTTAGAAAAAGATGAAAGATGAAAAACGCTGGTAAATAATTCCACTTTCGAGTAAAGATATGAGGGACAACGCAAGCTTTCGACGGTTCAAGTCGTTGGTAGAAAAGAAAAAGGAAGCAAAAATACAAAGGTGAAAATGATAGAAAGCGCCGGCAAATTAAGGGCTTGGTGTACCCTCGTCGTATCGTGGACCACCATCGTCGTCCCCGTACCCAGCACCAGGAGTAGGAGCAGCACCACCCAATGCAGGAGTTGGCGCATCATACGCTGCGGGAGTCGGTGCATCATAGCCACCACGCTTGGGAAGGCCACCAGGAGTAGGGGCATTAAAAGCTCCGCCTGGAGTGGGTGCATTGTCAGCCCAGGCACCAGGAGTCGGGGCAACGCCGGGGGTGGGAGCTCCGTATGCGCCGGGGGTTGGGGCAGAATAGTCTCCACCAGGAGTAGGAGCATCGTCATAATCGCGGTGATCACGGCCGTGAGAAAGGCCTCCCCATGCCGGGGTTCGGTTTCCAGCACCCGCACCACCCCAGGCGGGGGTGCGCGAGCCTGAAGCAAAAGCATCGAAGCCAGAACCAGAGTCATAAGGGGTGCGGGAACCGGAGTTCCAAGCTGGGGTACGATTACCAACGCCACCATACGCAGTACGGCTTCCATCGTAGGGATTCGAGGTACGGGAGCCGTCGTTCTTCCAGGCAGGAGTTCGAGATCCACTCATCCCAGACCAAGCAGGAGCTTTGAACAGTGTCAGTATACAAACAGGGTAGTGCTATCGAAAGACTTACTGCGAGCAGATGCACTGCCTCCCCAAGCTGGAGTTCGTGAAGAATCACCAGCCCCGATGGGTGTACGGCCGCCATTCCATCCACCACCGCTACCGCCTGCTCCTCCGGCAGGAGCGCCAGAAGATCCGTATGGGACACGCGGGCCTCTTCCACGGCCCAGAGGCAAAGGCTGTTTGGAAATCGGGTGCTTCGGAGCAAGCTGATCGCGTGGAATGAGAACATGCTTGCTGCTCATCGTGTACAGCTCAACTCGGGCGATCTTATCATCGGCATCCCGCACTATACCTATGAGACCCTTGAAACGACCCTTACGAACGGAGACAGTCTTACCAATCAGAACGTCCGTATTACCTTTGGGGAGGGGGGAAGGACTCCGGGTCCGCCGGGGCCGACGGGTGGCTTCATTGCCATCGCAGGGTTCATTTTGGTTAGATCGGGGCCAGAGGGACGACCGCCGCGAGCGGACACTGAAACCACGTTAGTCGATCGCACAACCGAAATCCCAGCATTCTCTGCCTGCGCCTTGTTGTGTAGAAATAAGAAAGAACGATGAATGTGAAGAATTGAACCAGTCCTCTGCTCTCCATACACTTCGCGAACGGTATCACGAAGTCTGATTTGAGCGCCGTTTCGATCAGTTGCGACAATCTCGGAGTTAAGTCGCTCACGGACCGCGGTGACTTGGGTCGGGAGAACGTCGCGGACAGAGCCGTTCTGGTCCATGACACGAAGTGATTCACGGTCCACCTTGATTATGCAGCCCACTGTGGCAGGATCGAGCTGGACAAGTTCATGCACATCGAATTTGCCGACTGGGCCATCAGTCAGATCTGCAGAAAGACGCAAATCCTTGCCGAATACTGTGATCTCTCTCATACTCATGTCGCTGAGCAAGGTGACTTTGTCGCCCTCGACGCTAACGACCATGCCCGATTCATTCTGGTTATGGCTGCCGCCAATCACTTTCACGTGGTCGCCTTCGCGGAAACGCTTGCGAAGGGTTCGAACAGGGGCGTCGATGACTTGGCCAGCCAAATCTCCATCTGTGACCTTCAAGGACACAATATCGCCTCGGGTTGATTCGGTGCGACCAATCAAGCCTTGCTGTTCGCCACGATAAACCTCAACGGGATCACCGGGCTGGAAAGCACCCTCAGCGGTGGTATTCTTCATAGTCTCGGCGAGGGTAGCCAGATCGAGGTTTTGGGCACCATCCTCTCCACCACGAGCGAACATAGTGACCTCCTCCAGCCTTGGGTTGACATTTTTGGTGATCAAGTGCTGCACGCGCATATCCTTGATAAGGAATCCGTCCACGTATAAATCGTTCTGGTAGTTCCATGACTTTCCACCCAGGCCGGAAGCCGACGAGAGATATTTGGCGTGCTTTTTCTTCGCCTCAGACACGTTGAACAACCGCTGCGGTGGACGATGGTTCACTGCGAAGCCACGTTTGCGCTTGGCTTTATCAATGTCATAGACGTCGTCCATCATGCCATAGTCAAGTCGAGGAACAAGTCGTACAGTCACGTTCAAGCCATTGGTCTCGACCTCTTCGAGTTGTGCAAGATCGTTCTGGTATTTACCACGCTTAATTCGGACCCAACCACCTGGCACAAGATCTTCGGATTTCTGAACACGCAGGAGGTCGGGCATCTCCTTGACTGGAACCAAAGTCAACTTCTGGGAAGGGTAATAGAAGTTGATCCCTTGCAATCCCTCAGTGACATCGACTTGGCGGCGTGCTTCACAGTAGACCCATCCCTGCATGACGGCTCCTCGTTCAAAGGCCGAGATGATTCGCATTGGGGTACGTGAACCAGCAGGACGTTCTTCCATGCGTCGTTGGATCGCAAAGACCACTTCTCGTTCCTTTCCAGGCTTGACACGGCATCCCCAAATGCTCGGATCCTCGACGCTGGGAAGCAGGAGACGCTTGGGGATCACGAGTGCATCAGTAGCAGCCGCACGATTTCTTCCGTAGCGCTCCTTCAGCATTTGCGCCTGCTTCTCAGCATCCATGGTCGCATCGAGCTCACGTCGGCGATCCAGCTCTCGGTGGCGACGGTCGTCTGTTTCGGCTCCAGGGGGAATATCGAGGTCATCAGGGTGCATTTCGGCTCCGAACTCGCCAAGCTCGTCCTCCTCGTCTTCGACCTCATCTTCTTCTTCGTCGACGCCGGCCTCTTCTTCGAAGAAGGACTGGATACCACCACCTTTGCGGCGCTTGGCTGGTCGACCCTAAGGTAGCACATTGTTTGTTAGTTGGATCATAATAGAGAGATGAAGCTGCTTGGGTACCAACCACAGCTTCCTCTTCCTCTTCTTCCTCTTCCTCTTCGTCATCCTCTTCTTCGTCGTCGTCGCCATTTGCATCTCCGGCAGCTTCGTCATCGTCGCCGCCTTCGTCTTCGTCAACTTCAGCGCCTTCATTGCCTCGGCTAGACTTCACGGCCTGGGCATCGTCCATCCATTAGCCTGACATCAGGATCTATCAATCCTGAATAGTGACGAACCTTTGGCTGTTCGGCATCAGAGTCATCGGCCGCGACGGGGTTAAAGTCATCATCCTCCTCCTCAGAGCCAAAATCTTGGTCGAGCAGATTCGACGACATTGTGAACTTGACGTATCAACAACGACGTGAAGATCGCGAAAATTTGAGATGGGACTTTGGGAAGAGGGTGCTAGAATGCCTATAGACGTAATATATATGTTAGAGCCAGCGCGGGGTATTCACACTGGCGATGGGCCCGCGAATCTGAGATGTACCTACGCCTTGTAGCAAGTCGCTGCTCCAAGGAACAAGACACGACACCAGGGCGCTGGTAACGATTCTCAAGGGGACACGAGAAAATTTCAACAGGTTGGGAAATTTGAAGAGGGAAAAAGAGAAAGAAGAGGGGAGACTCTCTCTTATACCCAAGAGACTGGTGAGGGATCGAGGGAAGTCTAAGTCGCGGCGAAAGTTGAGCACTGAACGAGACTCCGGGCCCACGTAGGGACCCACTACGCAGTTTACCGCCTATCATTCAGTACTTTTCGGCAGAACTGCCAAGTTATTAAGGCATCGACCCTTCCCAAGGACCTAGAGAAAAAATATCTCAATTCTGGACTGATGGTTTCACCTTTACTAGTAGATGGCTTGCGTATTCTAGTATCGGGTACTTATCTCTCTTATGCAAACCCACCCCCGTCTAGAGTACTAAACTTCGGAGAAAGTCCAAGTAAAACACTAGTACAAGGATGCGGATTGAAGATGCAAGTGTTTGGACAGTTTCATGTGTATTTGGTCTTTATATCATTCTAGAGTTCAACCAAAATAGCCAATATGCGAGGCGATGGTATATCGTACAAAACAGAATCAAAATCATGAGGAAAATGCGCCACAAGGCCAGGATATCTAGTCACAGGGGTCCAATCCCCTGAACAGGAGAGCTGAAAAGTAATTCGCTCGAAAATGCGAGCTTGAAGCGAAGGGATTTCAAATATAAATAAGACGTCAACCCTCAACTCAGAGCTTCATGCCAAACATTTCATGCACACGCAGACTCTGGCGCATGCTCAGGTCAAGCATGATCTCCTCGCTTCCGCCGGGAATAGCGTAGGCACGCACATCACGGTACAGACGCTCGATCTTGCCACCCTGACCGCCGCGGCTGTAACTCAGACCGCCAAAGATCTGACTGGCCTCGCGAGCACAGAACTCGAAGGTCTGGGTGGACTGGGCCTTGAGACCAGCAATGGCGCCGCCCAGTTTGAGCATGGCCTCAGTCTCCTCCATGGACTGGCATTGGAAGATGATGTTCTCCAGCCAGTTGTAGGTAGCCTCGATCTGGCGGGCCATGTGGGCCAGTTTCATGCGAATTACGGGATGCTCGATCAGAGGTTTGCCGAAAGTCTTACGCTTGTGGGCGTACTTGACAGACTCCTCGTAGCAGACACGGGCAAAGCGGACACACTGGATAACAATTCCGATACGCTCGTGGTTGAAGTTGGTCATGATGACTGTGCGATTCGTTAGATCCATAAACGTTTCAAGTTTTGACGGATGTTCAAACTTACCCTTGAAGCCCTGGTTCTCCTTGCCAATCAAGTTCTCGACGGGGACCTTGACATCCTCGAAGGTGACATAGGTAGTACCACTGCTCCAGACACCCTGGCAGTCCATGCGGCGGGTGCTAACGCCACCAGCCTCGCGCTCGATAAGCAGCACACTGAGACCGTTCATACCAGGCTTGCCGGTACGGACAGCAGTGGTGAAGTAGTCAGACCAGACGCCGTTGGTGATCCACTTCTTCTCGCCATTGACGATGTAGTGCTTGCCGTCCTCGCTCAGCTTAGCCTCGCAACCCAAGTTGGCAACGTCACTACCCGCGTCTGGCTCAGTGATAGCAAGACAGATGCGCTTGTCACCAGCCAGAATGCCGGGAAGGATACGGTCAACCAGAGCCTTCTTTCCGAATTTCACGAGAGGAGGGCACCCAATGCCGAAACCACCAATCAGGTTCCACACAAGGCCACCGCTGGCCGCGCGAGACAGTTCGTCAGTGAGCAACATCTCGTGGAACAGGTCCCAGCGCTCGGCGGGCACAGATTGGACTCGGTATGGTGTGTGCTTCGCTGGGAATGCAGTGCCGAGCAGACCAGCGAGGTATCCGCGCTCGCCCATCTGCTTATAGATCTTCGCGGGAACTTCCTTGCCCTCGTCCCATTCGGTCACGTATGGTTCGATCTCTGTCTCGACCCAGTTCCGAACCTCCTCGCGAAGAGCAGCATGGGTTTCATTGTGGTAAACGGAGGAGTGCTACGTACATCCCAGAGTATTAGTATCCGACATAATATTCTCTGGTCGCTCAGAAACTTACACCTTGGTACCAAGAGGGATCAGCAAAAGGAATCAGGTCTCCGAAGGGATCTTGAGGAGCCTCAGCGGTCTTAGGCTTGTAAGACGTCGGTGCGGCCTGAGCCTTAGGTTCGGCCTTAGGGGCAGGGGCAGGAGCGGGAGCGGGAGTGGGAGCAGCCTTCTTAGTGTTCAAAGAGCCGATCTGCAACTGGCCCTTGTACTTCTTCAGAATACCCGCGTTGTGATACTTCCAGAACTGCTTGGAAGCATCCTTTCCACCAACTCGCTGAAGGACTAAAACACTGTCAATATCAGGTGTAGTGGGTTCGCGTTCCGAGGCTCCGACATACTCTTCTTGCCACCTGCGAGCACATGTTAGTTATGTGATTCCACTTTGCGCGTGATGTGACCGGCCACCGCACCACATACGCGGTACAGAGAGATCAGCAGTAGGTCTTGGTATGCTTACCTGGGTGCTCGTCTTGGAACTTGGAGACGTCGTAGACATCCTCGTCAATGATGATATAGATGCTGTCACCTTTGCTATGCGACGCTACGTCCTCTTTGGAAAAGGTCTTGGACATGGTGGCTGACGACAAAAAAACGATGACAGAGAAAGTCTGGGGTATGGGGTACGGAATACAGGGAAGGGAAATCCAAAGAGTGTTTTCGCGGGGAGGAAGAGAAGAAGAGATAGATTCTGGGGAAGATGGAGCACATGGGATATAAGATGGAGCGCATGTGATATTAGGCCTGTGGGGCAGCGCCAGATGCAGCTAATGCTCCGTGCCTAGTATTCCACACCATTCGGGGCCTCGGAGAGCGTGCTACGATGGAGTCTTTCAGCTGCTCATCCCTCGGTCGCTGGTGGACACGGTCAGCGCAGTTTCCGCCCACGCTGATTGGCCGCAGCTGCGTCATCATGCCTGAAAATGCCGAGGCGCATGCTTATTAAGACCTGACATGTGAACCTTGGAACCTTCCTTGGAGCTCCTCCGCCTTGCATTCTTGCCGTGGATGACCCTGCTTCATCGGGCAATTTGCGATTCGTGGGTTAGTACGGAGTATCCAAGTAATCAATAGATCTACTGTGGGGAGCTACTGAAGTAATATCATGTGAAGAATGGTAATCGAAATGCTTCGTATCACAAGCGGAAACCTCCGCACTCCCAATAGATCAGGAGAACCCTGATGCATCTAGTAATACATCCAGCATCAAAGGATTTCTATGCCGAAAACTGTCTGCTCTACTCTTCCTCGTCTGGTTCCGTCTCGTACACAAACTCATCTGGCACCGGAGCATCTTCCACACCCTCCTCATCTTCGTCCACAGCAGTCAGCACACCTGCGGCTGCGGCGGCGCCGCTAGCCGGTGTACTCGAGAGAGCTGCACGAGCGGCAGCCCGTTGAGGAGTCTGGACGGCGGCAGCGCCGATAGCAGCCTGGAGGCGGTCTTGTGGAGTCTCGGTAGGCGGAGCGGTCTGCCGTGATTCTTTGCTGGCCTTCAACTCCACAATATCACGGGGTTCATCGGGCTGCTTGTCAAGGACGACGACAACGCCACCAGTAGGCTATAAGGAAAGAAAGTTAGAATAAAGTTTCTGTGTAGAGTGATCGAGATGCATTGTAACATACCCTCTTGACCGGCTCGTAACGGGGATCGGGGAAGGTGAGATATTTGAGTTGGGCCGGAAGCACTCGAGACATATTGTCCAACTCATATCCAACCTTTTCCCGCTCAGCCTTCTTCTTCTGACCCTCGGTGGCGCTCTTCTCACCCTCCTTGCCCTCTTCTCCTTCGGTCTTAGCATCCTCGGCCTCCATTTTCTCGGGCAATTGGTCTGGCTTAGGAGTAGTGGGGGTCTGGTCAATGTCCATGCTCTCACGTCGTGCTTGCTTCTCACGACGCTGGGCGCGGCGCTTGGCCTGGGCAGTGGTAGAGAGCACAGCAGTTTTAACCTTCTCCGGGGCCTCCTCGGCCTTGACTTGCTGCTCTGGAGGATAGTCGAACAGGCTGGGGCGAGTGTTGCTGTGGAACTTGAAGTTGGGGACCTCAAGCTTCTGATCCACGCCGATGACCGATGTAGGGGCGAAACTGAGGGAGAGGAAATGAGTGAGCGGGAACCAGTACCAGTATTGCACGAAGACAGCGGCGCCAACAATTCCGGGCATGTTCAAGTTTCCGGTCTGTGTTTGCAAGCTGATTGTGCAGTTGCGGCCACCGGCATCGATGATACCGAGAGCAACAGCGCAACCAAACTTGGCCATAGCATCCTCATGGCGGTCACCAATCATCTTCATCATGGCCTTTCGGAGACTCACGACACGAGGGTTCATGGCCTCGTTCTGCTGGACAAGAACCATTGCAAGAGCAATCAGGGCACCCTGACGAACGAAGTCAGTAGAGTCCTTGAGCATTGGCTCGAGCAGATCGATGGCTTCATCCAAGCCAGTTCCAGCACAAGAAATACCGAGAGCCATAGCGGCACCATATCGAACGTGAGGATTGTAAGATTCTGAGAGCAACTCGACCATACGGGGGACGCTCTGATGCTTGCGAAACAGGATGAAACCCAAACTCAATACAGCAACTCGGCGGACATCATCATTGACATCGCTGACAGCCACGTGCAGAAGCTTGCGAACGGCCTTGTTGCTACCGCTGCCACAATACGCGAGCGCAATGGTCATGATACCACCGTAGCGAAGGGTGGGGTCAGGGTCACCAAGCAGGCCGTTGATCAGTTCATCAGCAGCCTCTTGGCGACCATACATGATCAGAGCCATACCCATAGCCAAACCACGAACAATCTTCTCGTGCTGAGTATCATGGGCGTACTGGATCATATCCTCCAGGGCCCTCATGTTGCCAGTTCCCAGCATGACAAGACCCATAGCAAGACCAACAGCCTCACCATTGAGAGCCGAGTCAGTGTACAAGACGTTTCGAAGATCTTCGTAGATACCCTCGTCGCCAGTGGCCATACCAGCAACACCAAGACCCAGAGCACCACCGTGCTGAACAACCTCCTCGGTGGCCTTCTTGAAGTGCTCGCGGATCAAATCGACAGCCATTCCACCGTGGTTGGCGTAGATAAGACCGAACGCGTAAAGAGAGCCACCTTGGCTGTAAACAGAGCCTGAGCCGCCAACCCCAGCAATGTGTTCGCGGGGCAGGTAGGGCTGCAGCAGCTTCTGACCTTGGCTCAAGTTACCACGGTGAATCACACCCAACGCGGCGGTAGCTGTGAACTTAGACCAGTTGACAGCCTTGCCGAGCCATTCTAGGTTATCACGGAAGAACTTGTCGTGCGTAGTCCCAGCATGCATAAATGCGTTGGAAAGTGTGACTGCAGTGTGGAAAATAGAATTCCTGGCCTCCAAGCTGTCGCGGATCTTATTCAAAATGGCGATATCGGCTTTATTACTTCGGTATAGGAATTCGAGGTTCAACTGAATCGTCTTAATGCCATCCAAGATTGCGAGAATATTCTTGAATGCACTGCGTGACTCCTCGGGGAGGTTCTCGTTGCCAGTTGGTCGGGAAGAGGACTGGTCCTCAAGTAGGGCATCGGTTTCCTTAGGCTCTTCCTCGGTCTTCTCGGAATCGTTATCTGGCACAAGCTCCGCAATCTCTTGTCGAACCTTTTGCAGGAACTCCTGGGTGCTGTTATCGTATAAATCAAAAGAGATCTGGTAAGCGACTGCCAAAGATCGGGGGTCACCCTTCTCCACGAGCTGACGGAGGATGACAGAAGCCATCGAGTGTTCGTTCAAATAGACCACGCACTTGGCGATAGAGAAGTAGTCCGGGTTGGGGATTTCGTTAAGGAGTTCAAGAATAAGCTTCAGAATCTAATTCACATGTCTTGATTAGTACATCGCGTTGGGGCCTCAGGATGGAAATCAACAAACCTCGTTACGGAAAGCCCGTTCTTGGACAATTCCCATGCAGATATCGAGAACGTATTCCATGAGCTCTTCGCTCCGACGAGATTCACCCTGCTGTTTCTTCTCATCTTCGCTAGCACGCAGGATCGCCAGACGCAGAACATCCAAGCTTTTAGCCTCGATGGCGATTCCAATCACTTGGCGGTAGCGCTTTTGGCGGAAGCACTCTTCAAACAGCCTCTCAATAATACCCTGCAGCTGACCTTGGACACCACGCTTCAGCACAAGTGGGGTTTCCTCCACATGCTGAACACTGGTATCTTCGCCACCAGGGTGGGCAGCATCAATGCCGGGAACTTCTTGTCGTGAAAGAAGGGACTTTGATGGTAAGGCAGACTTGGAGAATGGTGTAATCGGGGAGGTAAGGCTGGCGGATGTGCTGGTAGCACCGTCTCCGGACGCAGGGAAGGAAGTGTTTAGGTTGGCGGGTTGATCGCCCACGCTGGGCTTCTGGGCGGCAGACAACGAAATGAATGTATCAACGCACTTAGCTATACAGATTTAAGCTAGCGTTAGCCATTTGTCGGTAGAAGCATAAGCAATGTATGGTTCAGCGTACCGATGATAGTCTCTTCGTACTCGCCACCCTTGTCGAGCTTGAACAGCTTGCCTGCACCCAGAGCGAGGACCATGCTCTCATTATATTCCTGCAGATGGTAGTACACCTTAGAAGCGAGCAAAGCAGCAAGCTCCCGCTCTGGGAATGTTTCATCTTCGTATAATGCCTCACTAGGACCCCATGGCGTCAGCGATGTAAAAGGGACATTAAGACGACGCTAGTCATCTCCGAAAAAAAAATGGCTCGGGGCTCTCGGGGCTCTAAATGCCAGACGCGCATCATGTATGAGTCACTCACATCTCAGGAACAGCGTTCACAACTTCGGTCCATAGCAGATCGATCTGGGAGTCTAATGACTTCAAGGCAAACACCTTAAGCTCAGGGTCTGGCTCGGAGAGGAATCCGACTAGGCCGGCGGCCGAAGCAACTCCAACCATGTTGGCTGAGCTGAGAAATAGGTGCTTGAGACTTAGTGACAGATGTCAAGCTGTAATAAGGATGGTTTTGTCGAGGTGACGAAGCGGCGTCGCTCGGGACGAGCTATGATGACAGAACAGCGAGCGAGTCCCAAAGTAGGAACTTGATTCAGGTGGGGATTGCAGTGGGCCCCAGATAAGATGATGTCGAGAATTAGAAGGACAAAAGAAATGAGAAACACACTATGTGATGAAGTGAAAGCGTGAATGGAAGCTGGGAGCATGCAGCGGAAGCTTTGCAGGCGCGACGGGACAACGTCAACGGAGCTGACTGTCTGGTCACGTGTTTCAATCTCATGCATCAGGTCAAGTGCTCCATGCAACAGCCCAAGCCCATTCTTGGATGAATGACTCTGGCTTGTGCTTAAATATGCCTTGAGGTCCCCTTTGAGGTCCGGAGGCACTATCTTGTCTCTTCTTCACAACCTTGACTACGTCTCCTACCTCATGATGTCTACCTTACTCCCGTTTCGAGATGAGCGACTACCTTTAGCGGCTTCCACTTATCACCATGATCCTCTTGTATTCATCGATCGGCAGACGAAATATATTCAGCGCTCACTACAAACTTTTATTGATGCGCAAGGCGAAGGTCTTCTGTCGGGGCTAGGCCACACCCAAACGGACGGTCCTTCAGACGGAAGCGACACGCCTACATCCTCCAGAGCTAGTAGGACCTTATCTCCGACATCCTCGTCAAGGAAACTCCCGCCACGGAAGATTGGACTACGTACGGCACGTGAACGCATATTCCAGTCCATCTATGACCTGCTCAAGCTGCGAGAAGAGGAACATGCCATACTATCGTCGCAAATTGATGAAAGGGACACTGCGCTTCGCGAGATTGAAAGCTTTACTGCGAAGCGGAGGAGCTTAGAAGAAGCGATATCTGCTATCCACAACGGCAGAGACACTCAGCGTGCCAAAAGTCTTAGAAAGGAAGCTCATACGCTTGAAACTGACATTCTTGAGCTGGAAACCAGACTTTATGAGATGAAAGCCAGGCACCGTCACCTAATCGGCGAGATCTCGGATATCGAAAACTCCGTCGATGCTAAACTCTCCTCTTACAATGAATCTCTGTCTCTTCTCCAGTCCGATGTCCATACCTACCTGAAAGAACCCCCCCGTCAAGCCCCTGTCGCAACGTGTGAACGAATCTACATTCTATGCCTTGAATCCGGAACGTCGGACCCTTGCAATAGCTCAAGATCATTGGAAACATGAACAACAAGAGATCCAACAGAGGCAACAGAAAGTGGATGCAGAGATAGTGGCTTTAGAAGAGGGAGGTGGGGTCTGGAAGCGAGCTATCGCTGACGTCTCTGGCTTTGAAAAAAAAGCTCGTGGTGTACATGCGACGGTACACGCAGTTGAGTGCGCAAGAAGAAGACGGCGCTCCCATTGGGGACAGTAAGGAAGAGGTAGCCACCAGTGTGTCGAAGGACCTGGAAGATGTTACCCAACACCTGCAATCGTATCTGGCCCGGGCTGAGGACCAGAATTGGAAACTCCTTGTCTGCTGCATCTCAGCGGAACTTGAAGCACTTCGTCTAGCTAAACGGCTTCTTCTGCCAGCATTCGGTATAACTGACTCCGAGGAGCCAAGTGCAGGTTCATCTGGGCAGACCCTGCAGGGGCCATCGAGCGACCATTTAGATGAACCTCAACACCGTCCCGAATCTGCATTGGAGAATGATAACCCGGAGCCCCCGTCAGACCTTCTGAAAGATGAAGATCATCATGCAGATAATGCTTCGAGATCAGAGGACGACGAGCCTGATCCATCGTGGCTCCTTGAAACCTGAATAGCATAGAATTCTACTAGGATCACAGCGAATTGCGTAAAGCGTCTCTTTCAAGATTTTTATTGGTATTCGTATTCGTATTATTTGGGGGGAAAAAAAGGAAAAGAAAAGAAAAGAAATAGAAAATATAGAAATTAAATTCTGACACAGAGCTTCGTAAATCAAGCTGGGACATGCGTCTTGTTAGTGGTGAGTCCTCCCTAAATTGGTGGATGTCAAGTTCAGGTTCTTGCGGAAGGTCTTGAACCCAAAACACACCTCAACATCATCGATGCCCCTTTCTCAAGATCAAGTCAATCTGTCACTCCTGATGATTACTCCTCAAATGCTACAATTCCACCATGAGTCTTCCCAGGCCATCCTTCTCCTTCTGGATTCCGTCTGTTCATGATGGCACGAAGTTAGAGTGCCGCTTATATATCCCTGGTGGGCTCCAGGATAAACCCACACCAGCCACGAGAATCCGAGGCGCCATTGTCGCACATCCCTACGCACCCCTAGGCGGCTGCTACAACGATCCGGTCGTCAATTTCATCGGTCGCGAGCTGTACGAGGAGGGATTCGTGGTCGGAACCTTCAACTTCCGGTACGTGTAACCACCCATCATCCACGGACCCAACCCGCAGTGGCTCGACTGACAGCAAGCAGTGGAGCAGGTAGGTCTGGAGGACGTACCAGTTGGACTGCTAAGCCAGAACTGGCCGATTATGTCTCTTTCTACGGGTTCATGTTGCAGTATCTGCGCGAGCTGCTGCCCAGGGGCCACCAAAGCGAGACAGAAGCCCAACGCCCTGACATTCAGCTGGTGCTGGGAGGTTACTCCTACGGGTCGCTGATCGCATCCCATGTCCCGACGGTTGATGTCATGATGAATCTGTTTGCCCCCGGTTCTGCAGCTGCAGACAGCTTCCTTGGCCAGATTGGCCGGGCCGCGGGGAAGATCGCTGCTTCGACACGAGAGCCGCCGCACGAGGAGGGAGGCGAGATATCTACTACGACCCCTTGTGACTCCATCTGCGTCTCTTATCTGCTTGTTTCCCCGCTGTTACCCCCGGTAAGTTCGTTTCTGACGGTCTTTTCTACGCTAGCCATCGATCTTGGGGGTCGGTCAGCTCAGGCCCGGCCCGCCCGACCGGCCGAGCAGCTGAGTGCTCACCGGACACTGGCACTGTTCGGCGATGGCGACGCTTTCACATCCGTGCGTAAATTGCAACGGTGGTCAGCCGAGATGGGTCGCATACCGCAGAGTCGGTTTCAGGGCTGTGAGATTAAGGGTGCGGGGCATTTCTGGCGAGAGGATGGTGTGGAGACAGAGGCAAGGCGGGTGTTGCGAGAATGGCTTCGTGGGATTTAGCGGTTGCCAGTGTCTCAACTGGTAACTATACTTTATAGAGTTCCGGACCAAGAATCAAATGACCAAGAATTTACGTTCATAGATATAGATAGGACCTCCATGCATTAGCTTTTGTCTGTCAACAGATTGTGGCGTTCGAAAGGATATCTCACATGCAGGTGCATGTGAACCAGGGGACGTCCAGATGATCATGACGAGGGCCTAGTGAGAGATACCGGGTTATGCAAGGTTGGCCCATGATGGGATTACACATACTCCTCTTTCTGCTTCGACTTCCTCTCAGCTAAGCAGTAAAACCCGCGGGGAAATCGCGGGGAGAACGCCCCCTCCCGAAAAAATCAAGTTGGGGTCATCGGCTCGCTTTTACTATTGGCGCTCGTGACCTTTTTCTCCAGACCGCCAACACTCCCTTTAGGAACCGTGAAGGCTGAACTTTCAACTTGCGCAAAGACTCTACAACTCAGCACTCTCTCGGCTTTGGACTCGTCCTCAGCTTGAATGGCGTGGTCTCGATGCACAAACCTGTGATGTCAGTATTGGGCGATTCCGCAATAGCTCATCCGAACTGCTACCCGAAGAAAGACTCAACTCTCATTCCCTTGCCACCACGCAAGTCCTTGCGCAAGGCGATCTCGATCCCTGCAGTATCGACGCTGGTGAAAGAATCTTTTACTTGGGCCGGTGAGACACTGAATACCTACCGCGATGGCCTTACACCGGAGCAACGGAGGCAACGCGCGCAGATCGAGGACCGCAAGCAAGTTCTCTATCTGCAGATCAAAAATGTAAGTCGGACAAGCGATCCGGGAATCTAAACCGGTTCCTGGCCTTTGGTCGCACTTGCGCCGAACCCACTGCTAATCGGAACCCGGCTGCAGGCGGTGTCGTACGAGGAATGGAGCAGCTGCGCCAGCGAGCTAGACGTATTGGAAGAAAACGATCTATGGAAGGAGGCGTTCGAATGCACCGAGTACCATCCTCGGCTGGTGCAGGAACGGCTAGCACAGCTGGAGGAAGCGCGCATTAGCTGTGACGTGAGTCGCATGCTATTCCTGGTGCGAACCGCACTGAGCCGCGATCTCGGGAAAATGAGCAACGCGTCTCTCTACCGGCATTCCCATATCGGGACGAAAACGCTGGTCGATAAGTATATCACAACAGCCTTAGATACTATCACAACATTGGTAGATCTGTCAGTACACAACCGCTGCGACGGGCTCGAACTTAAATATATTCTAGATCAACTGCTAGCAGCTCGGCAAGCATTTGGCCGGAGTGCATTGCTCTTTTCCGGGGAGCGACGTTCGGCATGAATCATATCGGTGTCCTGAAGGCGCTATACGAGGCTAATCTGATACCTCGTATCATCTCAGGGGCATCTGCAGGCAGCATCGTCTGCGCGGTCTTCTGTACACGCAAAGATGACGAACTTCCCGCGCTCCTGGATACGTATGCACATGGCAAATTCGATGTATTCAATGAAGCGGGCCGGGAAGAGAACATCTTCCAGAAGACTGCTCGATTCCTCAAATACGGCTCTTTTCTCGACATTTCTCACCTGGCTAACACCATGAGGAGTTGGCTTGGCGACATCACCTTTCAAGAGGCGTACAACCGGACTCGTCGGATTTTGAACATCTGTGTATCCAGTGCCGGGATGTACGAGCTTCCTCGGCTCCTGAACTATATCTCTGCCCCAAATGTGCTGATTTGGTCTGCTGTGTAAGTCTAGCCGTCCGCTTCCAGGGAAATCATCTAATTATGCATACGTAGGGCCGTTTCTTGTTCGGTGCCACTGGTGTTTCAGCCATTCACTCTGATGGCTAAAGATCCCTTGACGGGAGAGGCACAGCCGTGGAATGACTTCCATAAGCAGTATATTGATGGCTCTGTCGACGGTGATCTTCCGATGACACGGCTCTCCGAGATGTTCAACGTCAACCACTTCATTGTGTCTCAGGTCAACCCCCCATGTGGTTCCTTTCTTGCCCAAAGAAGACGGGCCGACAAAGGCTCCTGAGGGGGGACCTTCATTGGTCCCTCGATGGATGAATACAGTGACCCACCTTGCTAAAGATGAAGTGCTGTATCGAATGAACGTGCTCTCAGAGCTAGGGATTTTCTCAACATCCATGACCAAATTGGCTTCCATCATGAATCAGAAATATAGTGGTGACATCAACATCTACCCTGAACTGATTTCCTCCAATTTCCCTAGAATACTGGAAAATCCAACGACGGAATTCATGCTCGAAGCTTGCCTTAGTGGCGAACGCGCAACATGGCCTAGGCTTAGCCGCATTCGAAACCACTGCGCCATCGAACTCGCACTCGATGGAGCAATCCAACAAATGCGAGCCCGGGTAGCATTCAGTCCGGCGCAGGTTGAGCAGCGCATCTATAACTCATTAGCACAGTCCAGCGAATCAGCAGAGAGCAACGCTAGCCGTGGACGGATACGGAACCGACGAAGAGGATCCTATAGTCAAGAGCTCGAAAGAAGGCGCTCGAAAGGCACAGCAACAGCCTCAATGGAGCAGGGATTGCGCAAGGCTCGAAGCAGTGTGTCCCTTGAAAACCACCCCTCCAGTATAGCACATGACCTCACCTCTTTGCCAACCCGTTCGCGGGCCCACCGGCGATCTTCGGCGCCTTTCGGCGATGGGGCCTTCGAAATTGAATGTGGCAGCGATGAGGATAATGGCATTGAATTCTCGTTCACGTCACGCCCTCGGCTGCCTAAGAAGTCCTCGCTTTGGGATACATCGTTCTACTCTGAAACTCTGGGCCACAACTCGCGCAGTCCGGCAGGGTCTCGGCCATCATCCTTCTCTGGAAAGTCTCAGCGGTCCGGTTCTGGGCATCGAGGATCGCCCAAACAGGCTCATGCGCCGTCTCCTCACGAAGTCACCATGGCACTATCGCCTTCTTCTCGTCACTATCTCAACATGACACCCAGTGTTCAGCCGAGCTCTCCGGATTCTTTCACCCGCACATCATGCAATTAATTGGATTACGAAATGGACTTAGACGGGCAAAGATTTACTAGAATACTATTGCGACAACGAACCCATACACCGAAACCCGGTACAAATGGCTGTCGCGCCTGTCCCGCTGCTGCAGGCCAGGCGGGCAAGGATTTCCGACAGAGATCGTCATCGTACCTTGAAATTTCACTATACCCAGCCATGCGTTTTCTGCATTTCGTTTTCCTGGGCGTGCCATGGATTGGGCTCTTGGACTTCTTCCCTCTAGAATGATTGAACGGGGCTATATTTCGGGATTTTTCCTGTTTCGGCAAGGTTAGACGGCCCACGGGAGACAGGATGACGAGGGCGACAGGCAGCTCAGGGTTATAGCTGCAGTGCCCTTTGCCAGCCCGGACGATCCTCCCCGAGAACAGGTCAGCATGGTCAGCGTTAGAGATCACTAGATTCCCCAGTTCAACCAGCTCTTTACAGAGTCTAGACCAATACGACAGATCTGGTTCACAATACGAGCTTTCACGCTCTGGCCATTGGCTCGTAGAATCACTGATATCTGCTCGTAGTCGATCCCAGATCCCAGATCCCTACGGAGTCCGGACTAGAAAGACCTCGTGCAGTGCACCAGAAGGAATCATTGGCGGATAGGGAGATACCGAATGGGGGAACTATCGGCAAAGAGATCAGACGGCAAACTTCACGATGCCACCACGGGTTGGGCTGTCCAAGATGCCTTTTTCCATTGCCGGAAGAATTGGCTGCGCACCCGGGACAGTGATTTTATAACTCATCCGCAATCTATCCGCAGGGTTCCGTCGTCTAGTGCCTATTGCTCTAGCTCGAGTCTTTAGGTGATGCGTACCCGCACGACAGGCACTAATCCCGGCCCTCGTTTCTCCTGGATCCCTCATAGGCTGATCCCTGCTGTTCCAGGTACTAACGGTGCCCACTTATGGGACTTTTCACGGCGCACGTTGTGGCGGTTTCTACCTTGCCCCACTCTTTCCCCCTTGATCTGCATTCTGAGCTGAAGACGACACGATGATAACAGGCCCTTGGTCTGGTTTGTCGTCAGATTTGAGGAGCCTTGGCCCGAAGCCCATTGGGACAGAATCCATGGATCCATGAATCCATGGATCCTTCATGAAACGTGACTCAGCAACGCCGGCGTTTCAACCCCTCCTAACGAGCCCCGAGATCTCGAGGTGGGCCTCTAGGGCTTTTTGGCATCGGGCGCTTAATGTTCCTGGGAGTCTAGAACAGAGGCATGAAAGAAAGAAATGGAAAGTTCGTATGTCACATCGACAAAGCTCGCATCCAAAGCCCTACGAAGGCTAAGCTCACGGGTTACCAAGTCCTCCGCGACGATCGCAATGCACCCAATCTATTTTGCTGGTTATCGATCGATTGGGATGTCAATCTCTTACCCAACGTAGACTGTCGCCGGTTCCTTTTACCGCAATGCAACCCACAGCCTTCGTATCTGCTACAGGGGGTGCAGGCAAACGGGGAACCCCGACGAATACTGGTACTTGCTGAAAGGCATTCCAAATCCATGAGGCGGCGCAAAATAGAAGCAAAAGATCATTTCAGCACCCTACTTGAAGGAATGAGGAAAGGGTGAGACCACCACTTAAGATCGAGAATTGGCTCCATGGGCCAGAAGCGCTTCAAGAAAAGAACCAGATGAATTAAGCTCGCCCTGGTCAACCTCAATCCAGCCCCACCATCGGAAGAATAACGGACAGTCGCACGACTTCCAAGGCAAGCCGAGACGGGAGGCCAGCACCGGAATCCCAGCGGAGGTTTCGCCAAAAGAACGCGGAAACTATGATACGCCAAATCCAAACTTTGTTGGGCCAGTCACCACAATGAGCGCCTGCAGCGTCACGTCCTGATACGCTGCTAGCGCCTATCTTGTACGCTGTTGGGCTAGTGTGGACGCTATCGGGCACCCAGGGATTTCAAGGGAGGTTTAGACTCCAGTCCCGGGTTCCTGCGGCTTTCGACTGGTCGTACCCCTGAAGGCCCCCCACAGCGCCTGGACCGACGATCGACATCCGCCTTCTATACCGGTTTAGAAGCCCAAACTCGGAAAACCCATGGCAACAAATCTCTGACAACTATGCCATGATAGAGTCTCCGCTACCTTGGGAGGGTCTACGTGGGTCGATCCACCTACAGCCAACTCCCTATAAAACAGTCGAGGGCCGCCTGGACGCCCGGGGAGGGTTCTCTTTCTTCTGCGCCACAACCCTAATTCTTTCGTTATAGACAATCGCTTGAACTATACATCCAACCGTCGGTTCAAAGCCCCCGATCATTCAAAATGAAGTTCACCGGTGCCGCTCTCATGGGCTTCTTGGGCTGCGCCCTTGCTGTCCCTCACGTCGCTCTGTCCAGCTCGACCCCCGTCAGCTCTTCCTCTGTGGCCTCTTCGTCCTTCTCTTCGACCGCCACCCCGACCCCCAGCGCCCTCATCGGTATCCCCGCTGAGAAGCGTGAGTGGCCTCACCACCACCCTTACGGCCCTTACCCTGGCAGCCCCTTCGGTAGCAGCAGCTCCGGCCTGAGCTCTTCTGCTACTCCTACTCCTTCTGGCTTCCCCGGCTTCCCCGGCTTCCCTGGAGGGTTCCCCGGTGGCTTCCAGAAGCGTGCCGTCGCTACCAGCTCTGCTAGCTCCTCCGGTGTCAGCTCCACCGCTACTCCTACTCCCACCTCTACTCCTCTGGGCTTTCCCTTCCCCGGATTCGCCGGAGGTCTCCCTGGCGGCTACCACAAGCGTGCCGTTGCCACCAGCTCTGCTAGCTCCTCCTGGGTCTCCTCGTCGACTCCGGCCTCTTCTTCCACCCCCGTCCCCGTCTTCACCATCTTCTAAGGACCCTACGTGTCCGAACAATGATTGTTCCGATGGGGTGTGAGGATTAGCTCGGAATGGCCGCTGTAGTCATTGACCGGAAGCGATTGATAGAAAGTAGTGCTTGCGCAGAAAGTAGGATCTGATGTATTGATTGCATCAGGATCCGCGAAGGATCAATTTAAGGCTTTTGGATTTTTGGACTATTGGCTTTCCCCCGCGCACACTATAGATGGTTTGCATGTTTCAATGTTTACACTGACGGCAAAGCCATCGATACGTTGAGCTTGTTTGTTTGTTGGTTACCATTCAATACACTCCTTTTGCTACGGCAATCTACTCGTTCTTTCTACCAATGTTTAGCAGAGGCACCCCTTAGCTGCTGAGTTTCCATGGTTTCTCGCACAGCGTATAGACTAGGTCGATGTTGACGGGTTAGTGGTTAGGTATTCATTGGCTAATAGGATACCCTTGTTCCTAACGAAGATCGCTGGTGGCTCGGGTCCCAGATATCTGATGAGAATCGGGATGTCCTTCATACATGCAGTTCCCCCGCTTGGGTCTACTGTATCTGGTAGAGCGCCCGTGTACAGACTCCGTGCGAAGTCATGTCAAGCAATACTCTGAGTCGCAAAGTTCTTCATCGTAATACTAGGATGCGCGGACTCAAAGGTTCATGCCCGCCTTTGACCCAATCTCCATGGTAGAATCCAGATATTCGACGAAAGATGTCGATGCAAAGAGCTTTGTCCCTCTGTGATAGCAATGGGAACTCTTCAAGCTTAGACCCTGAGCTTTCTTGTTTTCGCTCATTTTTAATTTTACTCTATCTCATCTTATTTATTTTTCTTCTTTCGAAATTGTTGACGAGACAGAAATTTTCACTGTCGGGGCATAGTGAAAAACATAGAACAAGTAGACTTGTTGCTTTGAAGAGGGCTCCAGTAGAATAATAATGAACAGTATTTCATCACCCCGAAAACGCTCTCTGGTGGATGTCCGAAACATGCGATGCCAAGATAAATCAATCCCTCGAGCTGTATGTTCAATAACTCTGAATAGCTCCGTTCTAACAGTTTCCTCAGAATAGCAACAGCGGCGCTTCACGAATAGTGACTTATTGCAGAAAGCCATGCTCGGCTCTGCACTTACCTGATCTACTTCTGGTACATTGCTACAAGACCTTTCCAGAGTGCCAACAGCAGTGTGGCAACTTGAAAGTAGCGATTCGCTACGTGCCATGGTACACGGGAAGCCAAATTGAGAGCGATCGAAAGGCTAAGGCTTCAGATAGGTATTGACGACACCCAATGGATCGGCGGAGAAGTTTAGTCGACCTACAAAACGAGCCGGGCAAAATTTGTTGGCCAAAACCTGTGTGTGCTTTTCATAACAACGACAATTTCCTTTATTCCGCCGTGTTAACATTCTACAGGACTCTGGGCCCTGTCGCTTCTATCGCCCTGCCTGGGACAAGCACAGCACTAGAGACACCCGCTTTGGGAAGAAACCGCCGCGCAAGCATAAGCCGGGCAGTATATCGAAGTCAAAGGCAAAGACGGGTGGGTTGTCGGGGTGGAATAGGATGATTCTTGCTTGAAACTTGGCATTTTCGAGCATCAAGTATAGAGAACTAACCTGTGCGGAAACCACGAGTAGTAGTATTTTCCGAGTCTTCTCTACTGCTAAGACCGATCACTACGATACCCTCACGCTTGCGCAAACTCGGAAATATAGTGTGGAGATAACCTGTTTACATGCTCGTTTTGAGTGCCCTCAGTATCCCTGAAATTATTCCTAGCATATAGTACTCAGTTCATGTTATTCCAGGTTCTTTTTCAAAAAAAAAAGAACCTCCTGGATTGGCCAGGGAACGTCTACATTCGAACTCTTTCGGAGCGCGAGTGCTAACGTGGCGCCGGTGTCATCCATCACACGGACAAAGGAAATCTTCCTGACAGCGGGACGCAATGACCATATCTGAAACACGGCGTGCAGCGGATCCGCAAAGTCCTTCAGGGGTCGACGTTATTTCTTCCGCGCGATCAGAACAAGAAAGTCCGAAGAAAGCGCCGGATTGCAAATCAACCTGTTGTGACCGTAAGAAGCTAATTTCTAAAAATAAGTTAATTTGCCTGCATTATGGTGGGTTGCATCCAAGCAGGGATAAGGAAATGCAGGCTAATTTGTTTCTATTTTAGGGGTCAAGCATGGCTAATTAAGGCAAGATTGGCCAGATGCAGCTCCTGCTGAGCGGTAATGCACGCGTCTGATTGGCCTTCGCGGGAGTCCAGACGCAGCTGGACCTGCTATCGAGGTGCTGAATACTCCATCGTCATGCACGCCAGAGGGTCATGAAACTTGGAAGCCACGTTATCTGAACTGGTGCACAAGCTTTAATACCCGTGCGCCTCCCGCCCCAAAGCTTCAGATCATCCTGCGGAGGCTTGAAGTACTCGACTCTGGCTTCAAGTCATTGAAGCGTTCGGACTTGTCATTTGCAGCCCGAGCAGCATACTCCGCTTCTTCTCCTGCTCCTCTATCGATTGGGTAGCATTACTTCCGCCGCTCTCCAGACCCTTGTCGACCGGAACCTGGTCATATCCAATCCTAAACAACCCGTCCTGTTTGCCTTTGTGTTGGTTAGAGGCCCTTGCACCCAACCAACACCAGAATCCCAGTCTTGACGGGTACATCCAATCTGCCAAGAGACCCAAAGCAAGCTTTTTGGGTTTATTCCTCCCAAGCTTGCGTCATCTAAACTACTCTGCTTGCGTCTGCGTAGAGACTCGGTCCGGATTAAAGTCTCTCTTTTATCTTGTCTATACCTCCCGCCTGTTACCCCAAGGTCGAATGTTGCCCGGTGCCCTAATCCGGACGAGACACCCGCATCAATATGTCTGGCATTGTCACTAGACCACTTTCTGTTTTCCGCCGACCTGATTCCTCCAAGCCATTACATGCTCGATGGGGCGACGTGGGTATTTCAGTCCCTACCGAGGGATCTTGGAACCAGATCGACAACCCTCATCGTCGCGCTCTCGAAGAGCGACAGAGATACGGGCCCGGCTTTGTACCCGGCTGTGTGAGCCCCATCCGAGACACTTCGTTGGTAAAAGACGAAGGAGAGGAGGATGAAGAAGAAGAAGCAGACGAAAAAGAGCAAAGGCGAGAAATAGCCGACAAGCCTCTCCCACGTCTTCCCAAGCGCCTCCCAACCCTCGGCCGAAGCAACTCACTACAGCCTGGTCGTCTCTCAGTGCGCCTTGCCTCACGCCCCAAGAATATGAACGGTGAACCAAAGACAGAACAAGAAGTATACCTAGAAAAATCCAAGAAATCCGACTTCACCTATAAGCCCATTCAGCAAGACTACACTGCCGAAGCCACCGAAATTTCAAAGCGCGGTTCCATCTCCCCTTCCGCTATGTCCCTACAAATGCTCGCTACCTCGAGGATACACCCAAAATAGCCCCTCGCAGCCAGTCTGCCGGGCCCTACCGGTCCTCCGATGGAAGGCGCGGCTCATTCACCGAACCGCTTGGGGAAAAAGACATCAACACGGACCAAGTATCCCTCCACAATCCCCCCTACAGAACGAAGCTCTCGGAAAGAAAGCAAGCGAAGAAGCTTTCTATTCACCCCAAAAGGACCGATCAACCAGCTCGAGTCCTAGCGCAGCCTATGAAATGCCACCCAGGCGGCGCACTTCGCCTTTTGTTGCAGCTGATCGGAAGCGCAGCTCGCTTGTGCGACCGATGACTTTGACTATGGTTCCTGACTCGGAGGAACTATATTAAATGATGATTGTTGACGATTATGAATCTCGTTGTAACTCAGAATGTATCTACATGTGCCTGACCTACCAGCGACCAGGGGTCTATGATAGTGCACCATTTCACGAAATAGAAGCTTTGTACTTATTTACACTCTCCCTTGGCATGCACGAGGCAACAGCTTCAGCTTCTCTTCTGGTCTGGACCCTACCAGTCATGCGAAAGGTATCCACACCATTATAGAAGAATCTTCCTATTACAAGAACGGCACAGATTCTTGGTATAGCATAAGTTCCTCGTACATTACTAGTTATCTTGGGCCGAGTATACTTACAACCGTGGCTCTCAGAGTAGAATAGTTTGAGCGGCAACTAATGAACCCCGAATGATAATCCGTGTCGTTTGGAAAGCTAAAGTCCCGTCTTGAGGTGTCGCAGTCACTAAATCACCAAGTTGAACTCTTTAACGGAAAAGGTTTCCGTCTGGATTTTGGGCTTAGTTTGAATTACCTCGAGGTTCGAGCGGAGGGGCTTGGCCTACGGCGAGCCGCCCTTATCTTGAACACATGAGCATTCCATGACAGACATGTCGCTTAGAGTCCCCCTAACTAATACAGAGCAAGAACATAAACACAGACCCATAATGAATCCTAATCATCTCTCCACAATACTAGCTGCACTGACAACAAAGAATGCGTTTCGTTACGTGACGAAGACTAATTCAAAATGTTGGTCTTCCGCAATCAAAAGCCTGATCTGAAAGCTCTTGACTCGACATGGCTCGTCTGCTACCCCACTTGCTAAAATCCAGAATGCCGATCACAAGCGGTGATCGCCATATGAAGAGGCTGTTGGTGATAGCTAGGCCTAGCGAGACGCTTCGGGGAACTGGGCGCTTAGAGTCTACCAATCACAAGCTCGCCGGAGTTTGTTGGTTCCCGCTGCTGCAGTAGGTGTGATGTGCGGACATGCAGCGGTGCGCAAAAGTACTAGTCCGCCTCGTAACCCTCCGTGGGCGCTCCGTGGGCAGAGTCTGGCCGCTGGCTAGGCTGCATTCGGACTAAATCTGGGCTAATTATGGGCCTTTGGGTCTCGATTCTATCTATAGTCGGTTAATTTGTTCTATCTTTGTTCTTCGAGGAGGCGCCTCGTCTCAAAATAACCCACCTGAAACAGGGTCCTGCTGTCAGAGAAGCTTCGCGCGTTGACCCCGTAAACCATATATCAACCCTGACATGTCAATGCTTCCCAGTATCACTTTTCTCAAACACTCCCTTGGGGTCTGCTCTTTACCAAGCTTTGGGAGACGATTGGGGCCCGAAAATTAGGTGCTGAGTGGTATGGGCGTCTGTTTGACCTCTTAAATTTTACTTCGGCGAGAGCTTGCTGCATGTTGAACGTCGCTAGTCCTTTTCCCTTGCTGGTTTTTGGGTTTGATTTTTTTTTATTTTTTATTTTTTTACTGGCCTTGATTTTACCCTGGGCACACGATCTCCAACAAAAATACCGGCTTAAAACATTAATCTCAATTGGGTGCCTGCAGAGCGTTGGCTCATCCTTGCAAGTATGAACCACGATTTATCTATCTTTGCCCGGCAACGGACCTGGCCAGTTTGGGGGAGGCATGCATGCTAACGAATAGTCGCAGTGACGGGACTTTTGCACCTCTTCTCGCGTAAAGAGAGGGCGAAGCGACGACACGCTCAACAAGAAGCGGAGTATTCGCCCGTTCAAGTGCCGTCGGCCTACACTAAAGACGACTATTATCCACCAGCGGCTGGTCCCCGATCTGCACATCCACGACCACTTTCCTCCTTTGCGCCGGATCTAAGTCGCCAATCATACTATCACGCACAGTATGCGCAGTACGCACAGCACGCACAGCACGCACAGCAGCCTCGAGCCTCTTGCGACCAACCCCCACTCCCCACATACGATCCATCCAAATACCAACCCCAGCCTAGCCGACCAACGTCGATCCCCAACTATGACCTGTCGTCTTGGCAGTATCCGTACAACAGGCAATCATCCCAATTGAGCGCTGCACACTACAACCCACGAGGCTCGGTCTACCAGCCCGTACCGGCGGCCGGAGTGGGCCCTTTCCCTGCACCGCTGCCTTTTGAGTCGGCGCCAAGTAATAGGCGACAATCTGCCATGCCGTTTCGGCCGATGTCTGATAAACTGGAGCCCCGGACAGGTCGCGAGCGCAGTTCTTCGGAGCCGCTACAAGTGGAGCCTGGTCGACAGCAGGACTCGAGCGGACGGCGCCGGGCCAAGCCTGTCCTTTCCCGGCTGATCACAAATTTTTGAGACGCAGGAGATGGCAGGGCATGAGTGGATTTTATTTTGTTTTATTTATTTATTTCTGTATCCTTTGTCTTCCTGCTGCTTCAGCTCGATGCCGCCCTTCAGATCTTGCTCGGGCTTTTTTGCTTGGCTGCAGGGGCAGCTGGAGATCTTATGAACTATCACGATGAAACGAGGGCGTTGGTGGATATTTTGCTCCACTTCATGTTTGTACTTCGTGTTATGCGCATGTTGTGCGTTCGAGCATAACAAGGACTTATTCCTTTGGTCAGATTGACAAAAAAACGAATAACACATGTGTCTGGATTGGGACGAGGCATGCGAGTAGACAACGGCCACGCGCTTACGTAGAAGGCTTGAGTAACTAACTAACTAGTGCCCGGCGAGGGAAAAGCCCTTTGTTCTTCCGGGGATGTCGAGCTCTCCCCCTTTCCTTTCTTGTTTTTCTCCTCTAAACTCCCTCAACCGGCCTCCCCACTTGAGATCGAGACCCAACAGCCGCCTTTGGTCCGTGTCACGTCGATCTTGCATTCCTGTCACCGTGCTTTTGCTCCTAGAAGGTTTTGTGAAATGTCGATCATCATGCGTTAGTTACTGGCCTAAGCCGCTGGTCCTTTGGCTTCTTAATGGCCACCCTTTTCAGGGCCTCGCCTGCACGATAAGCCTCATGGACCTCGATTCGGAGTCCCCCGCGGGTCGATCAACCGCCCCGTCCCTGCCGAGCTAAGGTTAATCGGTTTCCATCGAGCGGGGCTCAAGCGCAAGACAATGACAAATTCTTCGAACAATGCATGCTTTGATCTAATTGGGAGTGCCCAGAGTGAATATAATACTTCTCCACCCGGAGGGTCTCCTAATCCACTTTGTTGCAGGGGTTTGACTGCGCCATGAGTGAAACATAGTATTTCTCTGGCAAGTTCGAGGGGGGGTGCCACCATCATACCCCTCTTTTGAAAAATAATCCCTGCCACTCCCGCTTCCTTTCCTGGTTCTCCAACCCGGAATTTCCTGGTGATCACACTCGATTTCTTTGTTCCAACCCAACCCCTGCCTAGCCAGGAGGTTTAATAGCCAATGTAACACCCAGATCCCTCCGGCCGTAACTCGATCTGATTGCTGATTCGGGCAGCACGAGCAATCGTGGGCAGGCGCCGATCCCAACAAGCGCCATGCCAAGCCCCCGGTGGAGACGGTATGCATTCATACTATGCACTACTTGACTCGACATCTAATGACTCTATCTCCTGTGCCGTGAAGTTGCAACCCGCTTCCAGTAATCCATTTCCTTTTGGTCTAGAGGAACCGGGGAAGAATGGGGGCCCAGGTCTATCCACCGTTTTTTTTTCCCTTTTTCGTTCCGTACTGTCATGGGTTTCATCCTCTTCTCCATACCCTATCTTTCTAGGCTAAGTCGATGTACCAACACTGCAGGTATCCTAGTCTCTCAGCTCACACTTGGGGCCGTTTGCTAGCCTCTCGCACCCGGTCATTTTTCGCGCTTGCGGTTCGTCCACTGCCACTCTTGAAGCGCTCGTTCTCTCCCGAGATACGCACCGTCTTTCTAGTGGCGCCTGGGGCCACCGACAGAAAGGATGACCCATTGCGTCGGTCGTCTACGCGGGTTTCTTCATCATTTGACGAGTGTTCTTTTGTTTTCCCTCCCCCTCGCCAACGCCAACAGGTCAGGGATCTAGAAGATCTTCTCTTTTCTAGGTCTGGCGAACCAACATGCGCAGTCCACTTAGTGTTTTGGAGGACTTCTGATGATATAATTTCTACCCTTGCCGACACTTGCTCTCCACGGTTGTGTCCCTTCCTCTTCACAAGTTCGAGCTTGGGGAGGCGTCCCTTGGCAGACAAGCTTATCGCTTCCTGTCGAATTTTATCGAGCTTGAGATGAGTGCCGCATTTGGGGTGCAACCTCCCCTCGAACCATTTCAGACTGAGCTTTGATTGTATGCCAAGAGATATTATATCGGAGGCCTTTCGATGATCAATCCTTTCAAGGCCATGGCGAGCTTTATCAAGAAGATTAAGCGGAAACGCAGACTTTCTTCCGAACTTCACGACCGTTGGGGCGATCCGTCCATCAGCTACCCCAACGATGGATCATGGAACCAGTGGAATCAACAGGCTGGATTCATGGCCAATGCCACTATACCACACGCGAGAGACAACGAGAGATCTCGACGTCACGCCAGTCCATCCACAAGCCCTGGCTCTCCCGACCCGACACACACCACCGCACCCTTTCCTACGGGATACTACAACGAAAACATACGCCGATCGGATAATTCTGGCACGACGCGAGGACTGGGCATCACCACACCTTCGCGACACGGTTCACACGGCAGCAAGGCCCCTACAGAACCAGAGGACTCTTGCGACGAGGACGAAGAGCGCGATACATTGGGCGACGACCCCGGAGAGAGCAGAATTCAGCGGCATTATATGACAGGTGATCCGCGGCCCTCTGGACGGGACGAAGGCGCTTACTCGGATCGCGCATCGAAATCGCCTGCGCTATCCGTAACGTCGCGGATGCGCCGATCGAGTACGCAAAGCTCCGCGACGACATCCTCTGTGGCTGGCGCCACGTCGCGGCGAACCAGCTACACGACGGCGGCCTCGTCTGTTTCAGCACCTTCCCTTCCGCCTGACACCCCGCGGTTTGCCTACAGCAATATGGAGAAACGGGCTCCCCGCCCCAAGCGGCGGGAGCCTGACCCCGTGGCTATGCAGCAGTTGGTCCCCTCTTATGACGAGCTTTACGGTTAAAAGCTCCTGTCAACTTACTTCTATTCAGCATTCTTTTACTTTGTCTCTTCCTCATTTTCCCTCTCTCTATTGTGGTTTTGCGCTTGAAGAAAGTCGTGGAATGATATACGTCGGGTAGGCTGTCTGATTTTGTTTCTCTTCTGCTGGGGGCCCAGATTGAGTTTCCGTTGTTCAATGGCGATTAATTATATCCTTCAGGCAGTGCGCCTATGCCGATCTACATTGAAATGAATTTGACATATTATTTAAGAGTGGTTACAACTTGGCCTGTACTAAGCGAAATCCTTTCCATAATGCGAGGCAAGTAATTGGCGGGGCAGGACAGGATCTCTGCTCGAGCATCCGATCGCCCCCCGCAGTCAACAGCCCCATTTTTCACCCCCATCAAACAGTCCGACCTAGGTAAGCTGTACGCCAGGCAGGTTCTTCTCGTAAGGCCTCTATTTTGCGGCAGTTCTCCAATGCCGGTACTCCGACTGGGTCCCAACTTGGCACGGTTCCTTACACTGCTGGCGCAGTGCCTTGGCAAAGATTTTCTGCATAGGAGTGTCCGTGCAGACGATGCAGGCCTTGTCACAGTCACAACCGCCGTTCACCAATCACTCGCCCAGATGGATCACACTCGTCACACTCGGGGGCGATCCACCCCAGCCAGGATGAGTGGCCGATTCCCTTCGCTAGCCAATTGTTGGCGTGCAACCACTCCGTCTGGTGGCTTTCGGCCAGCCTCTCTGCGACCAGCTCTAAGCGCCGAGGAGGAACGACGAAACGGATGTGCTTGATTCGACCGGCGCATCCTGTTCCCAGAACTAAGCCCTTTCACACTGCATTGAGTGGAAGTTTCCTACACCACCGGCTGGTCAATCTCCACTCGATCGTCCCACCCCTCCCCTTGCTCCTTCAGGCGAGGGAGCTCTGGACTCAAAAAAAGAAGCTTCCCTCGCTCCCGCTGTTCCGATGGTACTTCACCCTTCAGAGCGGCCACTCTCATGACTCCCTGATCACCAAATCTGCGGTGCGCGCCTCTGTTTCTGCTCGGCGGCTGAAGAAATTCAGAACCTGCGAGACGTAATTGTCTGCTCCCTTCCATTTGTACAAGAAAATATTCCGGGCGCGGAAGCCCCGATTTCCTTCCAATATGCGGGGAGGCCTTTTCCTCGCTGTACTGCTCTGCAGCTTCATCCACGTGTTGGGTCTGAGAACGACTCCAGGTTCCCCGTGTGAGGATCGCTGCAAGAAGCAAGGTCCGACCACGAACACTACCACTGCGGAGATCTCGTGTCTGGATACGCAGTACAACAGCACCTCGAAGGGCGAGGACTTCGAGGATTGTACCACTTGTTTGTTGGAAAGCCAATTCGCGATCTTCTCTACCGGGGAATCGGACGTAGAGTGGGGTCTCTGTAAGTTGTCGGCGACCAACGTATCACAGACTGGTCTAATGTGTTCATTCTCCAGACAATCTACGATTTGCAGCCTCAAGTTGCATTTTCGGAGAACCGGCGTTCGCCTCGAATGTTTCCTCGCCTTGCCCAGTGGCCTGTGAAGATGTTCAAAATGCCGTCGTTTACGACATCAATGATCCGTCGGTGAGTAACTTGAACGACTGGTGCTCAGTATCCTCGTTCGCGGACAATGTCATCAACGAATGCGAGTTCTGCTACAATCTCACCTACAATCAAGTATTCCTGGGAAACTGTACGTACCGACCAAATTACCCGATTCGAAAAAAAAAAAGGCAAGATAGGAAACAAGTACTCACCAAATTCACAGTCCTCGAATCGATCCGGTACAACTGCCACTTCAGAGCCAGCACAGGCCACCCCTTCGACATTGCCCCCTCTCGCATCTTCAGAGAAGTCCTCCTCCCCTCCAGTCTTTCTCTCCCATCCTCAACCCCCAGCCCGTCGCACGTCAACCTGGGCCTGGTAATCGCGCTCCCGGTTCTCGCCTTTGTGATCATCCTTCTTGGCTGCACTACCTGCTGCTTCTTCTTCATCCGGCACCGCCGCAGGCGCACCCGCGGCAACAGGTTCCAGCACCACATGTACGCCGGCTGGAACGACCCCGTCAGCGCGCTACACCAAGGACCCGGCGATTTTGACCACAAGGCATACGCCGACTTCCGGTTCCAGAACCAGATGCACGGCGGTGCCTTCAGCGGCTACGGCAGCCCCATCAGCCCGGCCCAGCAGTACGGCCTTGGCGTAGCTGGCCCGTTTTCGCCCTACCATGATAACAAAGGTGAGCAGGGCCATGAAATGTATGGCTACTATACCCAGCCTACCATGGCGCCTGTGCAGGAGACTATCACCGAGACCATCACGGAGACTGGGCCAGGGAGCGTCCCGATTCCGGGGCCGCATGCCGGGCCGGGCAATCGAATTGATGAGTGAGCGTTGTTGGCATGTTTGATATACCCCGGATCCCTATGTCATGAATCTATATCCTTGTTGATACCCGGTTTCTGCTGTTGAAAAAGCCGTGTAGTGGTCGCAAGATCCCGCGGCTGCTGCACGATGCACTCATTATTTGACCTGTCGTCAACTGAATTCTGGCGTTGGTGTTTTTTTTTTTTTGTCTTTCGGTAGTTTCGAATGCTCTGTTCGAATATGTTCCTGGCATCCTGTCTTTTTGCGTTTGTCGCTTGGTCCTGTGCTGTGTTGCACAGGTTAGCCAATGGGTTGGGAGGAAAGGGCTCTTGATACATCGAATACTGAGCCCTCTGGGGTTAGAGTGGAGAAATGACATCTTGATATAAATGAGAAAGAGATCCTCTGTCTCAGAAAGAAGGGTCCAGCGGCAAGCTCTCTCTATTTAACAAATCTCCCAGTCTCTCCCGCCCTTCATTCTGCGGAGAAGACGGGACAAGACCCCTAAAAATAAATGCGGTGTAGTGCTTACTCTCGACACGTTTGTTGAACGCCATTGCTTCTCGTGGCAGAAAGAGGCGAGAGCTCCACTCCCCGCGCTCGACTTAAGGGGACGCCTCCCAGGCTCGCAGTTTCATGAAGCACTGCCAAGAACACGAGAGTCCAATGGCAGGTAGGCTGGGCTTGGGATATTTTTGGATGGCGGTGGGTCTGGGTCTTTTTATAGAACTAGTATAGGCAGCTTTGCAGTTTAGTTGCCCGTTTCTGTCGGAATTCAGGACTTGAGGGACGGATTCGGTCACCTGCGTTGACGAGGAGGGACGGTCGTTAGCGAGACTACATGAAGTCTTTCCCGTTTTGCGAGATCGGTGGGCATTTGACGGCTGGGGGGCTTCATTGCCATATAATATCTTTGGTTAGGTTCAGATGCCTTGCGCCCAATGGGAGGGTTGGTCTGCATGGGATGTGGCTCTCTTGTCCAATTCAGGATTCATCAGGGCGGGGGGAGGTTTCCTCTTGAAGGGTCATCTGGTCAACATCCTGCATTCTCTGGCGCCGGAGGTCGAAGGAATGCATTGTCGTTTCAAGGGCTGGCCGTGGATCGTTGACGATAGACAATGTATGGGGAACAAGGCTAAAGGTGGGATCTAATCCTTTGTGATCCCCTCTATTCTGAAAGTGATCAATTTCGACTTGTGGGTTGAAGAGGGGGATGTCGCCTTTTCTACGACCAGCTTCGATTGTGATGCTGTTCGAGGGCTCGGGATGGACAGTGTCACTTCCAGTTAATCGGTCTCGGTGTATTCTACGGTGCATTATGACTGCCAGTGCCGGTGCGCCTGAAACATATCCTTACCCAACTTCAAGGGGAAATGCGCTCACGAATGATGATCATTCTAGTTTCATGGTCCTATTAGTGATTGCATAGTAACAGCCCTCGATCAGCGATAGCCTATGAGCCGGGAAGTTGCATCGGACATTAGAGTCGACCGTACTCTTCCAGCCCAGCCAAGTTCCTGCCGTAAAGCGTGACAGGTGCATAACTTGCACTCGAACATAAATTGCATCAGTACATAAATTATGAGACAATAACTTGAAAACCGGGGTGGTCGGTGGCTCAGCGTGGTGCCAACTTCGAGTTCCACCGTGATATGTGCAGCCCTGAAAAGGCAAAACCATTGAACAGGACCTGTCTCTATGTGCATCTTCCAGTGCCGCCTACCTTCAATCAACTACCGATACTCGAACCCCCTGACCATGTCTCGAGAGATGGCATGGGCTTTGAAACCAGTTCAGGCCTCTGATCGGCATCACGTCGTTTACACCATTCCATAAACAGGTTTTAAAAGCAAAATTGGACAGAAAATCAATCGATACTTTTTCTAGAAACCTGTATTGGACTTTGAGTACCTGTATCTACAAAATCTCACCCAGGTGCACAAATTAGTACCGGGTCCATGTGCAGTTTTTGCGCGCTATTCGAACTTTCAGGGTGCCATTCCACGCCATTCTGTTCAAGCACTTTCGAAAAGTATATGAGGAAGTCCGAATTTGGGCGGAAGCTAAATTCGATCATTTGCACGTGTGTATATTGAGCTAACACCCAGTTATAGAAAATCCCACCCAGGTGTACTCGGAGAAACCCGCACCCAGTCTCAGCGTTCGAGGAAGGTTTCAGAGAGCCATTCCCAATCATTTTTGGGATCCTTGGTTTAGTTCGAGGCTTCACTTGCAAAGCTTCAATTCTCTCTGTTCCAGACATAATTCCAGGCATCAGAGCCACCATTGGAAAAGCGTCCAGCGCTCGCCAATCACCTTTTCCAGCGAATATCAAAGTGTTCAAATAAACGATGAAGATCGCCCCTCAGCTATGGAGTAGAGTAAGCTAGGCACCATATTACATTTACATCCAGTGAATATTATACCACACCTCATTCCCCAGAATGAGAATAGTAAGACCAGTGACAGGTCGTCCGATGTCGCAAGTCAGAGAGTCCTGCATACTTCCTGAATGGACGATGCGGGCAACTAGACCTTGTGGACCCTCAGCCCGGAAAGCTTCTATCTTATCCTCCCACTCCGAGCTTCGAACTTTGCCCCAACCCAACCCCCCTCAAACATGGCAGCCTTAACTCAAGACCAAATCAAAGTCCTGGAGCAATCCCGCCAGCGGCTAGTCCATCTCACCCGCTCATTGGGCTCTTTGATCGCAAGCCTGAACCAAAGCGACCCTCTGCCACCATGGTACGCAACTCGAGCCCGATGTCCCTGCTCCCCTCTCACACGAACACCAGGTCCTCGCTCCAGTCCCAAGCCACTATCATCTCCAACAACCTTGTCAGCGTCTCCGAACACCTCTCCGACCACCGCGACCTCCTCTCCTCGCTAGTCGCCTACCCGGGCCCTGATTACCCCGGCCGAACCCAGGCCGGCATTCTCGAGCAACTCCTGCGCACGAAACTCGACCCCCGCGTCGAAGACTGGGTCGCGCGCGGTCGTGCTGCGGGGTCTGGATCGACGCCTGCTTCTGCCTTCACCACGTCTGATGCTGCTTCCGTCCCTGCGCCAAGTGCCCTTGCGGCCAATGACTTCAAACCACTCAGCGATGCGGAGCTAGCGGAGCTGTGGGCGTGGGCGCCGGTCGAAGCGAACCAGGAAGCCCGACGGAGGAATTGGGGAGGGAATTTCACGCTGGAGGAACGGGAGGCTGGGATTGAGAATGTCGTGACGGGACTAAAGCGGCAATTGGAGGACGACGAAGGCGACGAGGAGGACGAGGAAGAGGAGGGGGATGGTGACGCCGAGGGCGAGGACGAGATGGAGATTGTCGGGGTGCGCCGCCGGTCTGGCGCCGGGACGGTGGAGTTTGATGTTGCGGCGCCTCATCATCACAAGGCTGAGCCTGTGGTTCCGTTGCCGGAGATCCTGAGGTATATGACTACGGGGCGCATGCCGTAGCGCTCTGCTTTGGTCTAGACGGGTTGTGGCATGGACTACGGCGGGGTTTCCATACATTCGCATACTAATGAATCTGGAGTTTGAGGCAATGGACTAGCGACGTGCATTCCAAAACAAATTATTAAAGCATCTGAGCGAATTACCAATCAAAGAAGGGGGAAAAAAACAAAAACAAAATTAGGACTCGTTTAATATCTAGCCTCGGCGACGCGTGGTAGGGGTCTTGGAGCCAGGCTTGGGTGACACACCGGAGCTTTGCGCAATGGGTGCTTTCTCCGCAGCCTGGGACTTCTTCGACCCGGATGCCTTCTGCTTCTGCGCGGGGGCGTTCCAGTAGTATAGCATCTGGCCTGCAAGGATTACGTTGAGAGAGAAACCGGCGATGAAGCCGTATAGGATTAGCTTATCATCAACCTCTTGAAGGGTGGTGAAGATGCGAGACAGAGAGCCAACGAGGTAGTTGAAAACCTAAAGAGACAGATGTAGATGTTAGTATATGAGGGGGGGGTTTTTTGGGATGAACGAGAAGTGAACATACGGCAAAGGCACTGAGCTGGCCAGTTCCACCCTCGCTCCAGATAGCAAGGATTTGAGGAACCTTGCTGGCGATACCCAGAGCGCCAGCACCTGCCTGCAAGTAGGACATGGTTTGCGCATCAATCAGAGTCTGGTCGAATAGCAAAGCATACACACTAGCTGCGACAACGGCAACAAAAGCCGCAGCGGCAGCAGATCGGCCCGCAAAGATCAAGACAAGCACACCCACAGCGATATCCTGCACTGCGATGAGGGCTGACTCGCCATAAGTGCTGAACGGGAACTGGTTGCGCACGCCGTAGGATAGGGTGATGAGTAGGCTGGCGGTTTCAAGGGCGTAGGAGACGAAAGAGACACCGGCGGAGGAGCGCGAGTTGATGAGCTTGAGGATTTGAGGGACCTTGACCACTGCACTGGCTCCGACAATCGCAATACCGAGAGCTTTCGAAATAGCCAGAGAGGTGCACGCTGGGTCCTGGGTGAGATCGAGATCGAAAAGTAATGCGCTGTGGCATGGCGCGCCTATCAACGAGATAATAGCATCGTGGACCGGTTGCGGGATGACCTTCACTATAGGTTGAAGGAGTGGCTGGAGAGGCTCGACCACATTTTTCTGAAGGACGTCCATGGTGGCTGGTGAAAGAGGAAAAGTTGAAGAAGTTCTGACTACGCCCTTGAAAGTTTAACTGTGTTGACATTCCGCGGGACTAGAGAGCGGGCCTGGTCCGTGCGCCCCGGGGGAAGTTCGCATCTTCCCACTTTTCTCTTGTCGCTCTCTATTGAGGACTCAACCCACGCCATGATCCCTCTACGGTCCGCCATATCCAGGGCGGGGGCTCGCCGAGAGGCATTGGCGTGCTTGCAATGTCCGAAGATCGCACGGACGAAGTCTCCATCCGCCGTTCGGGGATTTCTGACATCCTCAAATCGGAAGACCGGCATCGCGCATCAATCCTCAACTTTTCAGACGGCCTATTTCTCCCCCAATCGACTGTTCGACAGCTTGAAACCCATTGGGGGGTTTTTCTCCTCTGTTGCGCCTGCCAGCTCACACTATTCCCTCCGATCCTTCCACGACCACATTCAACGGCACATCTACCAATAGCCACCCCGGTCCTCAAGCAGCTTCGTCAAGCTCAATTGGGCCCGAACATAGCCAAAATGAACTGCCACATCGCAGGAGGAGGCGAAGAAAGGCATCAGGACCTGAAGATGTACCAGAGGAGCACGTTATCCCTCCCGATGCGTCGGCGCAGCTGTCAGCGTTCTCCTCGGCCCTCCCCACCACCTCGCTGCGCCGCAAATTGGCCGCGTTCCTCGCCCTCACAAAACCTCGTCTCTCATTTCTCATCCTTCTCACCACTACCTCCGCATACGGCATGTATCCGATTTCGAATCTCTTGACGCTCGACCCGGCGATGACTCCTCTCCCAACACTCTCCACCTCCACCTTGACCTTTATCTACTTGACCACCGGCACGTTTCTCTCGTGCTGCAGTGCCAATACCCTCAACATGGTGTTCGAGCCAAAGTATGACGCCTTGATGTCGCGGACCCGGAACCGCCCTCTCGTTCGAAAACTTGTTTCCCGCCGGGCCGCGGTTCTTTTCGCTGCTGGCACTGCAGTTCTGGGTCTCGGGCTCTTGTACGTGGGAACCAACCCAACCACGACAGCCCTGTCGGCGGCAAACATTGCCCTCTATGCATTTATATACACCCCACTCAAGCGAGTTTCTGTCATAAACACCTGGGTCGGTGCCATTGTTGGTGGTATCCCACCTCTTATGGGTTGGGTGGCTGCTGCTGGACAGACTGCAGCTTTAGGCCAAGATACTTGGCGCGACATGCTTTTCAGCGAGCAGAGTATTGGTGGCTGGCTGCTGGGAGGCATTCTGTTTGCATGGCAATTCCCTCATTTCAACGCCCTTTCGCATACTATCCGCGAAGAATACAAGGCGGCTGGGTATAGGATGCTTGCGTGGACAAACCCAGCCCAGAATGCTCGCGTTGCATTGCGATATTCTCTCATCATGTTTCCTCTCTCTATCGGGCTCTGGTGGGTTGGCGTTGTGGGCCATGGCTTCTTGGTTGGAAGCACTCTTGCAAACGGCTGGCTGGCACGTGAGGCCTATCGCTTCTGGCGACACCAGGGTGCCCACGGCACCGCCCGGGGTCTCTTCTGGGCTAGTATTTGGCAATTGCCTATCCTCCTCGTAGGCGGACTGGTTACAAAGAAGGGCCTTTGGGATGGCGTCTGGCGACAGGCATTTGGTCAGCCCGAGGACGAAGAGGACGATGAGTACTTGTACTATGAAGACGAAGAGGAAATCCGCGCAGAACCTCAACAAAGACCTCGATCGGGATCCGCCAAGCCAAGTACTCTGTCTACTGCGTAAAGGTCCTGGTCAGGACTTCTGTTTCTCTACCACATCTCGCGCATTTCATTCAGTTGTGTCTTACCCTGGCTCTTGATTTGTCGGTTTTGCTCTTATACAGCGGCTGGGAGGGCGTTTTTCTCTTGATTATTTATTGTATAACAACAATGTGCATATGGAGCCGCTGCAGGCCTTTCCCAATTTAGACATCTCTTCATGAAATTTGTTGAACAGTCTCTCTCGGCAGAGGAGATGGTGGATCTGTAGCCGACTATTTCAAATCCGAAAAGACATGAAGGAAACCCGTCCTGACGAATGCCCAATTGCGAGCTTATTGCCTTCAGTCGTGAAGATATGGACCCCTGAAAGCTTCCCACCACTGTGCAAATTGGTAGGCCGGAACTCCAGAGGAAGCCAGAGTGCTTTTTGGCCCTGCAGGATGACCCATTGCCCGTTTTCGATAGCGATTTCCATCTTCACGGGGGGCATAGTTGACGGGTCGGTTTGCCAATTTGAGGAGACATTGAACGAGCCCAGTTCTGTGAGTAATGATGAGCCATCCCGGGAGAATCTCAGCTCTTTGACCGGTATTCCCAAATCCCAACTCTGCAAGAGAGAGCCAGTCTCAACATCCCAAACCTGTAACACCGAATCATCCGAAGTGCTCGAAACTATCCATTGTCCGTTCGGAGAGAAGGTCGCCAGATTTCCAGCCCCTTGGTAGCTTTCCATGACTCGGCCTGTGGGATCTGGGGCAAGGTTCCAAAGGACCATTCCTCTACCTTTGCCCAGTGAGCCACTGGATGCCAAGATATCGCTTCGTTGGGGATGATACGTCAAAGCCCGGACGGAGTTTTCTTGCTCGAATTCCTGGCATAGACTCCCTGTTCTGGTGTCCCATATCTTAATGCGGCCATCGCTACTTCCAGATGCCAGGCTTTGGCCGTCTGGTGAGAAGGAGATCGCCAGAACAAAGCTTTGGTGGCCCTGGAGGGTCCGATGTGAGCCGTTTGCGATGTTCCAGAGACATATCGTCCGGTCGTTCGAGCAAGAAGCTAGGAGCTGGCCATCGGGCGAGAATGCCAACGATCGAACTTTCTCGTCGTGCCCTTGAAACGTATGCATGAGATCCCCCGTTTCGACATCCCATACCTGTATGGTCTTGTAGACGAGGCTGGCGAGCATACTTCCATCGAGTGAGAAAGCAAACAGTTCCACCACATCGTTCACGGCAAATACATACTCAAGTGTATCAGAGTGACTCTTTAAAGTGTGCAACACGGTTCCTTCTGCAGTGTCCCAGATTTTAACTGATTGGTCCTCCGAAGTAGAGGCTAGTCGCCTAGAGTCTGGAGAGAACATAATTAAGCTGACGGGCTGTGTGTGAGCTGCCAAATGTTGTTCAGAGAGCATCACCGTCAAATCCCACAATTTGATAGTAGCGTCGCTCGAGCCTGTAGCCAGTAGTCGATTGTCACGCGAAAATGCCACCGATGCTACCGCGTTAGAGTGCCCCGTCAGGATCTGGTGAAGCTGCCCCTTTTGGACGTCCCAAAGCCGCGCCGTCTTGTCACCGGACCCTGTCGCTAGCATTCGTCCGTCGGAGGAAAACGCCACCGCTGTGACGATGCCTGAGTGACCCTCGAGTTTATGGTGTATCTCGCCGGACGCTGCATTCCAAAGCCGTACGATCTTATCAGATGCGCAGGCTAGCAGACGATCGTCGGGCGAAAAGGCAACAGAATAAGCAGCAGACGTGTCTGCGTCTGTGTCGAGGAAGAATTCCGTCCAATTCATTTCGACTTCCTCCAAGAAAGTACGCTCCAATGCGCCTGTATCGACGTTCCAAAGACGCATCTTCCCGTCAGCAGCAGTGGATGCCAGCCGCCGGCTATCTGACGAGAACGCCATTGATGAGGTAGGGTTATTCCATCCCCATTTCGTATGCTCGAGAGTTCTCCCTTTTTTGGCCCGACTCGACATCCCACAGCTGAACGTTGCCATCAATCCATACGCTAGCCAGAAGCTTACCATTAGGAGAGAAAGTAACTTCTGGGTAGAACCCAGTGGGTACTACTTTGGTCGATTCAGCTTTAATGGTCCGGAACTCTTGGTCTTCGGCGATGTCCCAAAGCTTTACTGATGTGGCGGAGCTGGATGCCCAAAGCCGACCATCCGGTGAAAAGGTGACCGTGCTCAAAAAAAAATCGGGCTCGTCCATATAATTCTGGAGCAGAACACCTGTCGACACTTCCCAAAGTCGGATATCTTCCGAGCCAGACAGTAGGCGGCCACCGTCGGGGGAGAATTCAACCGAAACAACCGTATTATTATGACCTTCAAGAGTTTGCACATCTGCACCCCAGTTCTCGCCGGGGTGTGGCAGTTGAGAGAGTCCAGATTTCGCAATCTCTGATTTAAACGCTCGGCGGACTGATGTCGGCGGTGCAAATATGAGCCCCGTACAATAGATTTGGAGAGGCGCCAACTCAAATATAGCGCGATTCTTGGAAACGAAGCGCCTGGCGTCTTGGATGAATTCTGCGAGAACAGGATATTGGTCGTCCTAAGCTCGTCAGGATGAATGGTTATGATGAAGGTTCCGGCGAGCGGCTTACTGGTATATTCTTTCTGAGAAGGTCAAGTATTCCAACAACCTCCGAGGAGAGTCTTAACAAACTCATGGCTTCCAACCAGTGGAGAAAGTGCTGATAGAGAAAGATTAATAGCTCGTCGAGGACATTCTCTGACTCGACCTCGTCGCCAACGCCGAGGCATCCCACCAAGTGATGAGCCCAGTATCGACAGGCATACTGCAGCTCTGCGGGGAAGCATTTCTGGACCATTCCGAAATCAATTTCTGGGCTTTGGGTCCCATTGCTTGGCAACGAGCACATGTTCCTCCGCAGACACTGAGCTACAGAGAAGCATTGTATGGCCAACCTATGATGGGACATCTTCTTGTCTATCGACAAAGGGGTCTTCTCTTTGGTTTTCGGATCAAGGAGATAATCTCGGAACGACAGATGGAAGAGTCGCAAAGGTGAATTCACATCTTTTGGTACTCTAAGGACGGAATGAAGTTGCCCTAATCTGAAATAGATATGCCTGACAGTCATACTCGGAGTATTCAGGAGTCTCGAAAGGGATGAAACAGATAGTGGAGTCTCTAGAATGATGATCGTACCCACTATCTGTTGAAAATCTTCGATCACTTGTTGCCTGTGCTCTCCGCTGACGCCCCAAAGGATCCGGTTCAAAACAGGGAGGTAGGTCCCATCTAATTTATCGCCATCGTTAGTTTTCTGATGGGCTAGAATCTCTGGGAGACTCTCATAAGGGTCCCATTCTTCGTCTCTGAGAACCCGGCAAATGGTTGCAGCAATGATGAAAAGTGGAACGCAAAGATCCACCAGCCGTTGCATTATGGCCTCGCCCGGCCAGTCCATAGGCAAAGGTTGATCTCGCTCTGTTCTTATTTCCGCGATATGATAGTTGAGAAACAGAGAAATGTCATGGCTGATGATGGGCTTTGGTATTTCGTGCAGAATCAGGTCCTGGTGATCTTCCTCTGCTAGGTCTCTGAAGCCTAGCCGCAGGGGCAGCTCTGGCCTGCTGGTCAGAAAAACGCGGAGCCGAATAACACGGAGCTTGTTCAACTGCGGAAGAAGTTGAATGATCCATCGGATGTCTTTGTCGCCATCACATTCGTCAAGTGCATCGACGACCAGGACAACACTGATAGTGTCTTTCAATGTACCGGAGGCATCCAACTTCTTGAGAGGCTCGATGAGGATCTTCTCGAACTGGACTTTCATGGCCCTTTCTGCGATCCCTGGGTTATCGCTTGCCGCAGCCGTCATATAGGAGAGCAGTCCAGGAATCTTAGTCGCCAATTGCTTCGCGATCGTTGGGAATAATCTTGTGGCATTTCCTCGATCGGTTTCGCCTCTCTTAAAGAAGAAGCTCGCTCCCATAGCCGGCCCATCAGTGAAAATCTGCGCAACAGAGCGAGAAATTGTGGATTTCCCTGTTCCTGCCACTCCACATAGCCAAAAGATGCATCTCTCCTGCTGCGTCGAAGTGGCCCAGTTTTGGATCTCGTGAAGCACTTCGGTTCGCGTGCCGGGGAGACACACGTCTTCATGCTCAGTCTCTCGGGAGTCAAAGATAGCCTGTGGGGCTGATGCCAATAGCTTCTCTAGAATGACTAGCACCAAAGTCAATGTAGTCCAGACTCATTGCTCTGGGATGCTCACCAAGGGGCGGATCCTCATGGATGTTGACTGTGCCGTTGTTGACACCAATCTGGGTCCCGCGGTTCTCACCATGGAAGGCTATCTGGGGCTGCATGCTGGATAAGGTAGAATTCCACCCCTCCCAGTACAGCATACACAATTCTTCCTACGGTTCCCAATGAATAACAGTTTGGACCTCTTGCCCAGCGTCAGCTGAAGGTCAGGTGACATACCACTCGAAGCGCTCTTGAGCCCCATCTTGGGGGCCGAGAGCCTACAGGTACAAGCGGGGTCGTGCAATTAGCCCGCCGATCCATCTACATAAATGTGGCGACCGATTTGTCTTCTTCATAGAATTCCTTTCTATCTACTTACAGAACTAGGAGACGAATTGGACTGGAACGGATAAATTGACGAGGAGATTTTCAACCTGGGTATCTCATATGGTACAAACCGTCTTATCTATCATACAACTCTCAAAATCAGCTCAACAAGCGGAAACGAGCATGGGGTTCTGTCTTGAGTCTGAGCCCAAAAAAGGAACCAGAATATAGACTATTCCCGCAATCGCAAATGATACGTCTCCAACGCCTCCGCCGTCATAGGGCTAGGCGCACGAACCATGGCATCATCACCCCCCTTCCCAGTCTTAGGGAAAGCAATGACATCCCGTACCGATTCCTTGCCAAGCATAACAGCGACCAGGCGATCAAAACCAAGGGCGAGACCGGCGTGCGGAGGACATCCAGCTCGCAGCGCATCAAGCAAATGTGAGAAATCAGCGAGCCGCTCGGCGGGCATTTTCAAGATATCCCTGAGAATAAATTCCTGCACAGCAGCATCGTGGATACGGCGACTGCCGCCGCCAAGCTCGACGCCATTCACGACGAGATCGTAGTGGTCTGCTACAGCCTGTGTGGGGTCTGAGAGGAGCATGTCCACATCGGCGGCAGTCTTGGGTGCTGTGAACGGGTGGTGTGTGGACGCGATACCCGCTGCACCGCCTTGTCCAGGCTCGGAGTCGGAGGAGGGGGAAAAGAGGGGAAAATCGACAACCCACATGAAGTCAAACCCTGTTGGCGCAGGTTTAAATCCCGTGGAGACGGCGAAGGCGTGCAGAGCGCGGCGAAGGTCGCCAATTGGCGTTGAGCCGCCAGAGAACGGTGCACGCGGGCGAGCTTGGAGGATGATCAGGTCTCCGTGGTCAGGTTCCAGAATTTCCTCCACCTGCTCGGCGGCTTCGAAGCCGAAAGGTTGCAGTCCGCACAAGGGCTGTTTGCCGTTGTAGACGAAGACGCCTGGTCCTCCGTCTGGGTTATTGTTGAAAGGGGCACCGGCTGGGGAGTCGAGAAATTGTGCGATGAATTGTCCTGTCTCGGCAGGATCATTCTCATTACTCTCGACCTTGAAAGCCTCGACGATCGGGTCCTGGAGTCCGCTTATCTTGTTGACAAGGTCCACTGGAAGTGCATGATCAAGGCGAATAATCTCCATGCCGTACCGAGTGTCTGGTTTGTCTGAACCATAGCGGGCCATGGCTTCTTGATACGGTAGTCGCCGGAATGGCCCCTCTGGCGCAGGATCTTTCATCAATGTTGACCAAAGTCGGCGAATAACCCCTTCAATGGTGCGCATCACATCCTCTCCCTTTGCGAATGACATTTCCAGATCTAATTGGGTGAATTCCGGTTGGCGGTCCGCTCTGAGATCTTCGTCCCGGAAGCAGCGCGCGAACTGGAAATACCTTGGTAGTCCACTGGCCATCAAGATCTGCTTATACTGTTGCGGACTTTGGGGCAGCGCATAGGCCAATCCAGGTCGGCGAGTCGGAACGAGGAATTCGCGAGCTCCTTCGGGCGTAGACTTAAACAGCAGGGGCGTCTCAATTTCCACGAACGGGGGCTGGGAGTTTTCTTCCAGCTCCTTCTTACATACATTACGCACCTGAGCACGGAATCTCAGTGCCTCCCGCAGCTCCGCATCCGAGCGCAGCTGCAGATACCGCTGTTCAGGAGCAAATACGGTCTCCGGGGTCATGATGATGTCCTTTGGGAAGTCGTTCAAAGCATTTATATCTTCCAACGCAAGCTCCCACATATCTTCGGCAGGTTGATCGGCTGTGTCCGATGCCTTGGCCTTCTTCTTTTGGACTGTTCCGCGCACTGCGACAGGACTGTTTGCGTTGAGCGCTTTGAGCTTCTCGAATGCGTCATTCTTGGCAAAAGCGACAACCTGTAAACTGTATTTCATCGTTGGGTCTGTAAGCTTCACGAACGAGAGCTTCTTGGACAGGTCTGCCCGAGGTCCCAGATACCCATGAAGGACAACTTCGGTATTTGGTTCAGCTCGAGCAAGGAACGTCTCGAAATCATGAGTGGCAGGAGGAAATTCAACTACAGACAAAAAGCAATAGATTCATTAGCTGCAGTTGATCCACTTCCGTCCGCCATGCTTACCGGCCTGTTTATAGGTCTCCAGAAAGCTTGGGACCTCCGCCCGCTGATCTCGGAGACAAGTCGGGCGATGGAATCGCCGCGTTGCAGCCGGCAACACACGTCGCGGGCATGAGAAGCCCTCAAGACAATCCCAATTGGCAAATTTGGGCGCACCCGTACGGGCAGCCTCACAGAAGCACCTACCATTGTCTGGGAGAATGACGAGTTGAAGGTTGCGCCATCGAACCATCCGCTATTTGCGGCAGAAAAAAGGCCGCGGCGCAACCGCCCGCCCAAGACAGACTAGTGCGGGAGCCTTTTAAATTGCAGGTCAGCTCCGCTTTTTTCTTCTTTTCTTCATCCTTCCAAGTTTTATACATGTGAGTGTGCCTGCTTTGCTCTCTTACTTGTTTTCAAGTACTAATGTCCTCTGCAGATGATGAAAGCCTAGTGTGTTCTATATGACTGCAATCACTCCCCTCTGAGACGCACGGCTCTTCCTCTTTGAGGACCCAAGGGCTGGGCGACTCGAGGGGAGGGAGAGTGACAAAGGCGTTCGGCACACCCAACCTTGTTTATTAACGGACGCGATTAAGGCATCTCTGACCCAATTTGAACTTGGAGGTGTTTCTGTTGGCTTCTAGCCAAGCGACAACGATCAGAAGATTTAGGTCTTCGAAGGTATTCATGGTTCATTCCATGAAGGCCCCATGACAAGGCACCTTTCTTCGAGAATCAGGAAATTTATTCAGATGTTTCAATATATTCACATGCTGAGGCATTCTATCTGCAGAGTAGCGACGAAAAAAAAAAATGAAAGAACATAACTTTTCTAGTCTTTTTACCCAAATATCATCTGCTCCAGAACAGCCTTTTCGCCGCTGTTGTCCACCAGGTTCTTGAAAACGCCATTCTCAATGCCCATAAGATCCTTTGGCGCACCAAATTCAACCGCTTTGCCCGCATCCAGTACGAGGATGCGGTCAAAGTCCGCAATCGTGCTCAGTCTGTGCGCAATGACCAGCAAGGTAGTCGCGTTCCGCCCAAACTCGGCTCGAATGGACTGTTGAATCAATGTATCGGTCTCCATATCCACGGCAGACGTTGCCTCGTCAAGTACCATGATCTTAGGCCGGGCAACAATGGCACGGGCCAGACAAAGAAGCTGGCGCTGGCCTTGGGAGAGGTTGAGACCACCCTCAGAGATGGGGGAAGAGAGCGAGGAAAAAAGATTCTTGTTCGAGGCCTGTACTGTCGCGGTATCGGGCGTGGTAGCGCCAGGGGTGCCGGATGGTCGGGGCGTCGCAGTTTGAGAGGTCAGGGTTGCCTCGTCATCGCTGGACGCAACCAAGTGCACGCGGACGAGAGCATCGAAGAGCTCGGTATCGGTATACTCGTCGAATGGGTCGAGGTTGGATCGCACGGTGCCGGAGAAGAGCACTGGGTCCTGTGGAATGATAGCCAGTCTGCTGCGCAGGTCATGTAGCTTTATCTTGGCTACGTCTAACCCATCAATGTAAATCTGACCCTGTCGCGCTTCGAGGAACCGGAAGAGGGCGAGAGTCAATGACGATTTGCCCGCCCCGGTACGACCGACGACGCCGACTCGTTGATTCTTCTCAACGGTAAAACTTAGGCCCTTGAGGACTGGTGGCAAGTCGGGGGCATAGCTAACTACCAGATCGTGCACCTCGAGACGGCCTTCAGTAGGCCAAGCTGCAGGTGCATCAGCGCCGCCTTGGTTCTCGAGCTCGATGTTGCAGTACTCGTAAACGCGCTCAGTGGCGTTCATACCGAGCTCGATATTCGAGTATTGGCGGAGAGCGAAGGCAATAGCGGTGTTGCACTGCAGCGCGAAACTAAGAGCAAAACCAGCGAGCGAAGCAGAGATACCCGGGAGAGAGACAACAAGTGCGGCAGTCAGTGTCGCGAAGATCGCTCCAACGAGGTTCATGCGGATTCCTAACCATCGGTTGAGAAGCCAGACGCTCCACCACGCTTGAGCATGCGAGTTGATCTTGTCGTAGATGATGTCGATGTATGCATCGCTCTTGCTAAAAGCACGGATGGTTATTAGGCCTGTCAAGCTAGCCCCAAACTGCTCGAAGACAGGGCTTTTGGCTGTACTCTCCAAGCGCTTGGCTTCGCGGGCCCCTGTCAGATATGTGACGGAAATCTTCAGTGAAATCACTAGAAGAAGGATTGCCAAGATGATAACAACTGGAGAGATCAAGACACCTGCCACGATGATTCCACAGACATCCAGAAGATTTCCGATGAGAAAGCCCAACTCGTATCCCAATCGAGAGTCGATTGTATGGAAATCGGCGGTGAATCGGTTGAGAATTCGACCGACGGGGACGGTATCTAACCAACGAAGAGGGGCTCGAAGAACAGCAAAGACAAGGGCATTGAAGATGTTTCTTGACGCACGAATGCTCGAAGACAGGATGAAATAGAACCGCGAAGTCCCAATTATGAAAGAGAGCAGTGAGATTGTAATGTATCCACCAAGATACATCATCAAGTTGTCGTCGGTCTGGGGCTTGCTAGTGGTGTTGTTGCGGACCATAGCATGCTGCAAGAGTATCTGCATTTGTTCTGGATGCGCTGATGCTTTTGACGATGAGCTGGTCCAGACATTGATCCACCAAGACTAGAAATCTCATGTTAGTACGATTGTGATGCATGCAACCACGCGTTTCATCTGATTTTTGCCAACTCACCCGAACGATCATTAATGCAGCGTAGCCAGTATAAACTAGAGTCGTCATTGTCCACGCAGTAACGCCTCCACCCATAGACAAGTAAGCCTTATAGACTGCCAACCGGACGGATCCCTTTTCGCGCTTTTCATCCTCAACAAACTTTTTGGGTACACCATTGGCAGGGACGGTGGTAACGTTTGGGGGTGGCGCGTTGCTCGCGCGGCGATTGGACCGGTTAGAAATGACTTTTTGGAGGGTATTCCCATCCTCGGGTTCCTCAGGTTCAACATTGACTGACTGCTTGTCTGCTTCCGTCTCATCGCCATCCAGAATATCATCAAGATGGTTGTCTCTGCGAAGCTCTTCAATCGTGCCGGCATATTTCACTCGTCCGTTCTCGAGGAGAACGGAATAGTCCGTACGAGGTAAGCATAGGCCAACGTGATGAGTGACAAGGATTCGCGTTCTGTTTTCTCCGAGCTCGCCCGTGAGTGCGTTTTCGAAGACAAAGCGACCAGTGTGAGCGTCCAACGCGCTAAAAATATCATCCATGACAAGTATACCAGCGCGGGAGTACAGGGCTCGTGCGAATGACACTCGCCATCGCTGGCCACCACTCAAGTTGACGCCGTTGGCGCCAATGTCAGTAAGCTCGCCATCTGGAAGCATCTCGAGGTCCTTTTCGAGAGCACAAGCATGGATCGTTTTCTGGTAGCGGTCCTCGTTGTAGGGCAGCCCGAAAAGAATGTTGTTTCTGATGCTCGCATTTTCGATCCATGGAATCTGGGCCACATATGCAATTGCGGAATCAATGAGCCAGTTCGCACTAGTCGCCTTATCATCGAAGCGCTCCTTTAGCGCAGGTGGAACCGGCACTTTGACAGTACCGTATAGGACATCACATTCCCCCAGAATGGATGAAAGAAGAAGACTCTTTCCTGAACCGGTACGACCAGCGATCACGCTAAGGCCTTTATTGGGAAACTTGATGTTGAGCTCGCGTAGGAGGAAGAGGTCATCGTCTTCAAGCTCTTCCTGCTTTTCGGCGTTGTCCTCAGAGGGCCAAGAAATAGAAGCGTTTTCAAAAGCAATGTAATCGGCCGGAACGGTATTCACAATCTTCTCTTCGGATGCCATGTAGATATCGATGCGGTCAGCGCTGACCTTTGCTTCCAATCCGTTGGTGATGATTTCAGGTAGAATTGCCAGTGACATCTCCAAGGAGCCAAACACTGCCATGGCTGTGAAAGCCACTGAGGCAGATAAGCCCCCCATGCTGAAGGGCATAGACGGTCAAGGAAACAGCGGAGAATCCAATAGGACCAATGAGCCAGATGGCCATAAGCACGACATCGTAGAGGAAGGAAACCCACAGTGCCCCCAGTTCATTCTCTCGGATTTGCTTAATCTTTGACTGCCACTGCTGCTCTAGTGCGGAGAATTTGATCTGGCGAATACCCTGCAAAACCTCCGTGACAACAGCCATCTTCTGATCTCTCAATTTCATGAGTTTATCCTGAGCGTCGGTATACCGTTTCGTACCATAAATGTTGAGTGGTGCGATGAGGACCGCCACGGCAAGACCAGCGAAGGCGCTTTGCCATCCAAGAATTTGAACTAGGAACGCACAGCCGATCGAGATCTTGAGTGTCGCAGAAGGGATGAGGTAGGCGTAAGAGGTGAAATCGGAGATACGGCGAGCATCTACAGCAGCTAGATTGACAATGCTTTGCTGGCTCTTCTTAACAGACTCCTCCTCATCCTCCTCTTCTTCATCTTGGGTCAAAAGCGCTTTTGCAGAAGCCGCGGCACCGTTTTCATCCTTGCTCTTCTTTCTTTGCTTGGCGTCTTTGCGACGCATAGATTTCGCAAAGACCAGGGCCGACAGTTCGGCATAAATAGGAACTCCGACCTTGGAGCAAACAGCCCAAAAGAGCCATGCTTCCACGATCGAGAATAGAAGTTGGAGAGAGCCCAGGCCAACAACCCAAATTGAGGATCGAACAGGGGACCAAGAGGCATCATTGCGGCCTTCCAAGGAGTCGAGAATGTTGAAAAGAGCGAACTGGGGACCAAAACTCAAGAATGCGATGGCGATGGTCAGTAGGAGCTGAAGGCCCAGAGAACGCCAGTGCGCCAGCACAAGTGCTTTCCATACTTTCCGGTTCCCCTTGACATTCTCCAAGGTCGCTCGGAGATTATGGACTCGCTTCTCCGACCGAAGTTTGGGTAGATCAGCCAGCTCTATATTCTTAGCTTCAAGGGTGAAGTTCAAGAGGTCGTTCGCCCAAGAGAAAGTATAGCGGCCGAAAGCCGTCACAGTAAGCTCTCTGTCGACCAGATGGCCCTGGTAGTAGACATTTGGTCGACGGGGCAGCAGGACGGTGAACAATGCGCGGAGGAGCCCGCTAGCAAATTGGCCGGCTTGCAAGCCCACCCACGCCTGATTGTTAATCAGGCTACTTTTAGAGGTCCATGCTTGTTGGACCTCCAAAAAACGACAACGGCGGTGATAACGCTGCCGACAAATGCGTACTGGCCCAATCTGAATCGACTGGTAGGGCGTGGCTCAGTGAAAAATGCAATGGTTTGCAGCGCTAGCACAACCTTTTTACAATTCAGAGTTAGTTATGGTCGCGACGAAGTAATCTGCGGGGTGAGTTCAGAGACTCGGGGTTGGATTAACATACCCAACTGCTGAACTGGAGCCAGTTCGCCACTCCATGGACGTGGCTCTGAGTTGCAAAAATAGCTAGCGTCAACGAGGTGCCCAGTCCAGTCGCGGAGAACAGAACAATGGCCGCACGTTGCCACTTATCCGAGAAGGCGCGAAGTGATTCCTCAGAAGCTTCACCGTCCTCGTCGCGATAAGCCGTCTTGGCCAAGCTTTCCTCTTCATATTGGACTCTGCGGAACACCCGGTCGGCGGTGCTCTTGGTGGCAGGGATACTATCAAGAGCGACCAAGAGTAGGGCTGCGCCCGTCACAAGGTTCTGATTAAAGGACATTCCTCATGTCACCTACGGAGGCGGGGAGTGAAAGAGAAGGAAGTCAGCAGTGGCGGGCCCTACGGAATTATGGCCATCACTAATCGGAGATATATTGCAGATCCACGGAGTCACCTAAATCTAGCCCGTAGCCTCCAATCTGGCCCCTGCTCCCTATCGCGATCCTAGGCAAAGATTTTAGCGTGAGGAGTTGTCAAGGTCGCATCCGAGCGGAGAACAGGCCCCGTCGCGCCGTTCGTGTCGAGTCTTAATGACTCACATTGAGTCAAAGATCGCGTCGATCCAGGCAGCGGGCACTGACCCTGGAGAATCTTTGAATGTACAGAGTACATTTGGAGGTTCCTTCGACTGGCAGAAAGTTCCGTCACAAGCCCCCGGCGCGTGGAAAAAACGGTGTAGAGTCGAGCTACATCAGCCATTGGTTCCGCGACCTGGCTTGCATTATGCAGCAAGCCAGAGCTCCAAGCGGGCACCTGTTCAGGCTAAGTGGGTATGGGGCGGGGCGGGGAGGAAAGGCTCTGTAGCCCGGTGCTCTCGGACTGATACGCGTTCCTGCTGAAACTCTGGATGGGTTCTAGCCTATATGGTAGGCATTTCATCTTGCCTATATATTTCTGAGCTATGCAAGCGTCTTCGTAAACCCCACAAACTCCATGAAACTTTCATGGGGCCGGAAGTGACTGCCTCTGACAGAGGGGGGGCTTTATCAATACTAACCCGGAAGGATCGGCAGCTCGCCATCATGCGCAAGTGTAAAGCTCATTCAAATTAAACGGACTTCATAGCCCCGCATTTGTTAAAGCTCCCTCGGTCTTCCGAGTCTGTATAATTAAAGCTACACTTGTAAGAATACTCTATAGCGATATCCACGATCTACCTAGGCCAGGCCTTGGTGCAACGGGGGCTCCAAATATGTTCTCCAGGATTTGACCACCGGGACTTTAACTGACCAACCCTTTCTTTCGTTAAAGGATATGTATGCAGTCTTCGCCGATCCCAACCATACCACCCAACAAGACGGCATCAAAGCCCCGCCCCCTTCTTATCGCAGCAGATAGCCATCGATCACATCCTAATCATCTCCAATGCTAGTTCAAGACTGGCCTCCACCCGCGCCTGGGGTGGAAATCTACCACATTCTCATCGTCGAGAACATCTTGTCCGCTTCGCCCTGTAACGACGCTCCTCTCAAAATCTGGTCCGCGAACATAGAATGGGTCGAATCCAAGCAAACCGTCACTGCTACCCTTCCGCACCCATCTTCTCTTCTTTGAAGAACTCTTCGAGCCACTCGTTTCCTTCTGTGGTTCGAATCCAGAACTCTCGCGTGCCATACTGAGATACCATTTACGTTGGTGAATAGACCCGATCGTGTTCACCGATCCAGGGTATGCGTTGTTCTTCTGGATATCCAGGTCTACGCCATTGTCTGAATGACCGTCCTCTGAGTCCTCCGCATCTGAACTAGATGTTGATGGAGGGGGAGGCCTTGGAGAATTCTGATGAGCTCGTCGTCGGCGCTTTGGTCCTTTTCGAATTGGTCGCGAAAAGTCGGTTTTCTTGTCCATTCGGAGAAGGACCGTGTAGTCCTTAGGAAGGCGCGTCCCATGTAGTCTTAGGCGAATTTTACGCTTTCGCAGTTAGCACCGCCATCTCGAGAAACATCACCGTACATGCATCGTGCTCACGTTTTTAAATCCCTCTTTCAGTTTATGGCTGTGCGAAACAGCTTCGGAGCGGGTTTCAGGGCCGTCAGAATCAGACCTGGAATCATCGGTCTCTAGTTGTGATTGCTCTTCTTCGTATGGTAGTACTTCATACTCTCCGGTGTCCCATATAATCAGGCTGCCAGTCTTCGGAGACGCAGTTTCAATGAGGTGGTTCTATTTCCAATTAGTATCTCGCTTGACCAGAAAAACCCTCCCCGCTCGTTCAATCCGCCAGGTCAGATTAAGCGTTCCCGCCATCGCCCTGAATCCAAGACATTGGGAAAACCAAATGATATCTAAAGACATACCCATAAACAATGCACCCGAGTCTCAGTCGCATTCCGATTCAACCTCTCACTATTGGGATCACCCGGTAGCCCGTACATAATCGACCAACTGACCGAGCTAGTCTCTGAAAACTGCAGCCGAAGATCGTAATGTGGGCCTGCAACAGGATGGTCGTGCTGATGTATCACAAAATGGCGTCCGTTCGGGTGCTCATTGCGCCGATACAGCTGTATCCAGTCTCCGTTTGAAATCCGGGGTAATTTTTCTGACTCTAAGGCAGGTCGGGTGAGATCGCTGAGTCTTTTTGAGATGACGCTCAGATGGTCATCAACTTGGACCTGACCTGCTTCGATGGCGGCTAGATCGTGGGGGGTGTCAGGCTCTGCTGTGGCAGTTGCTGACTTTGACTCCGAGGAGTTTCCATTCTTTGAGTTGGACAGCCTTTTCCGAGGTGGAGGTGATACAGGTGTCTTTAAACTCGACAGTATGGGAATTGAAATTGGAGACTCTTGCGGGCTTGACCAGCGATTGTTGTCCGAGCTCGCGGCACGTTTCATTTTTGTACTTTGTTTCGAGTCCAGGCGCGGTATTGGTCGGTGAGCAACGCTCTCATTGCAATGGAGGTTAAATCAAGGAGATGAAGATATCGACTGAATGGCAATCTGATATCATTTGCAGCTAACTGATACGTTTGCCAGCTCGAATGCGAAAACCGCTTAGTCATATTCTGGAAGCCTCGGGCCATGAACGATAATATATACACGAATTTTCCATGGCATTGCTAGGAGTTGCTGCAGCGATGGATAATGAATATGGGAAAACTAGGAAAGCCAAGCAACTTGAACTCTTGGGGGTACTCCCGCGCAATGCGGCCAACCACCCACCCAATTACAACCAGTCGTGCGCATTCCTCCCTCAATGAGGGGCAGCGTTCACGCGGACGCTTTGCGGGTTATGAAATACATCTTGTGGATCAATACTCGTTTTGATGTCTTGCAGGCGTGGCAGATTCACACCCCAGTATTCCGCCTGTGCGTTCTCCAGATATGGATCGACAAAGCCTGGATAGGCACCGAGCTCAGCGATGTCAGTTCGGTTGGCCGTAATCACGCTGTGAAGGCCGTTGAGAAATTGCTTCGTGGCCGGAGGCACCGGACCGAAAAGGCTGATGGCGTAAGATTCCATCAAAACGATGACATCGCGATGCGGGTAGGCAGTGGCTGTCGTCGAATAGTCGTTGACCGCTCCACCTTCCAAATCGAAGATCACGAACCAAGCAGGCGTGCCCTTGTTCACCGTATCTAGGTACCGGAACATCTCATCGACATCTTGGTCTGGTATACTTTGGTTATCTTTGAATACCATCGACTTGGCATAAAATGAAGCCGGGGTGCCGCCTATCGCAGAGACGATGAGATTCTCGGCTTCACTGGTCACCATACCCGCCCAGTCGCTCAATTGGAGGACAGTACCGCTGTTTCGAATCGGAAACTTGTCCTCAAGACCAAATTCAGCGAATTCCTCACGCGTTCCAAAATAGAATCCAGAAAGCAGGGCGCTCTTTTCGAAGAGCACAAGCTCTGAAGAGAACTTCCGGGTGATGTTGGGCGTATAGACCAGTTTCTGCCAGTCCTTGAATAATTGCGCCCGGTCAGCTGTGCTCCCAAAGTTCAATTGATAAGTATATTGGATTGCGTTTTTCAATGTCGCATGGGTCAGAAGCTTGAACTCGGTCACGATGCCAAAGCTGGCCGCAGCACCTTTGATTGCCCAGAACACGTCAGGGTTCTCCGTTTCGGAGGCTCGCACGATGCTTGAGTTTGCCAATACAACCTGGGCCTCGATTACATGGTCAAGGGCCATACCCCATTCGCGGGACATAGTTCCAAGACCACCAATGGTGAGATGTCCACCAACGCCCACCTGACGGCAAGTACCATGCGCGATAGCTCGACCCTCCGCGGCGAGTTTATCATGCAGTTCTCCCAGGTTCAGGCCAGGTCCTGCAGTCGCAATGTCCTCTGCATCCATCGAAAACTGGCGAAAGTGCTTCATATTCACAACGACGGCACCGTCTGTCCCTCCAAGGCCTGTGAGAGACGTTAGCTCTAGCCATGAGTTACGTAGCGGACTCCCGGACCGTAGTTTCCATAGCTGTGACCACCACTGTAGGCCTGAACCTTGAGGTTATAGTCCGCGGCACATTTGACAATCTTGGCGACTTGCTGGGCGGACTCGGGGTAAGTTACAGCAATTGGGGCCACCGGAATATTCAGATTATAGCGCGAGACGTGGGAGCTAAAAAGAAGGTCGCCATTGAATGCAACAGAGCTAGAGCTGTTACCGACTGCTGCAAGTAAGCAGCTGTGGGCAGCGGTGCTCTGAGCAGCGCCCATGGCTCACCAATTGAACACGCTGAGGCCAACCGAAGGCGAACGAAGTGATGCGGGGGAAAAAGGAGTGAGGAATGCAGATTGAGATGCCAAACACTCAGGCTGATCCATTGGGATGGAAGGAGAAGACAAATGGAAGGCGCGCCTGTGGCTTCAAGGGAGGAGCTCGAATGAAGAATGTGCCCTTCACCCCAGTTCTACATGTGGCTTGGCCGCTCATGCTCTCCAAAATTTGTTCTACCTGAATGACTTCCACTCCTACTAGTAAAAAAAGGAATCAATAATTAGCTTAATCGAGGACTGATTCATCCCATTATGTACAACTCAAAGGGTATTCATTCTCGATGATGATGTACCAGTCCGGTTCGATCCGCGTATAGCGTCAGTCATCGAGCGGCAAGCGTATACTGTCGGAGAAATAAGCGGCAGGATTAACTTCCAATAGCGTCAAGTCATGCAGGGAAGTAGTCTAGCCAGTTGCGAACCAAAGAAAGGATCATCGATCCACCTCGGGGACAATCAAAGCCTGTTCGGGGACCCGCGCGTTATTGGTCCCCGACTGGGAATTCCGCCCTGAACAAATGAAATTCCTCGAATTTGCAGGGCATAGCCTGGGATCTCTCGCAGTTGCAGGGAGATATGGTTATATGGTCTGTTACACACAGAGCCTCTGTCCTGTTCCTGTTTCTATGATACCGTACCAGGATAACATAAAAGTCTAATCCTACGTCTACCGAGGTTCTCAACAAGGATAATGTTCACCCCAGTCCAGACCTCGCTGGGGGCTCTACTGCTGTTTCACGGGTCATCGGGGCTGCTCTTTCACAATGGAGTGGTTTTTGGCATCTCCTCCCTCGTGTCGGGCTGTATATTCAACCCTAGCCGGGATAATGTGCCGATTGTCGCCGGCTTGATGTCGAGTATTATACCGGTCTGTCTGTTCGCACCATCTCTCATTCCGGACTACCCTGCATCTCCGAACTCGCTTGGATCTTTGGCGGCCACGATGGGCGTTGGGTTCCTTCTGGGCTGGGGAACAAAGGTAAGCAAAGTCAAATTCGGAAAAGGGAGCTCCTGCACATACTAATCCTGGTCTTTTGTCTGGAATAGAATGGTCGGGGTTGCACTTCGGGCCATATGCTCTGTGGATTGTCCCGTCTTTCCCCACGCTCCCTCATAGCAACGGCAGTCTTCTTTACCACGGCCCTAGTGACGGCGAATATCTCTGGCGCGTTCCCATCTTGCGGTACGAAACCATGCTACACTGCCGTTTCTCCCACCGGTGCCGAATTGGTCTTTATGGGCAGTGCAGTGGTTTTGGCGGGCATCACGAACATGGTGGTTGTTCCTAAGGCATTGTCTCGGTCAGAAAACTCTCAATCTATCTTTTCATATCTTGCGGGGTTGGAGTTTGGCTTGGGCTTGTTGATCTCGGGCATGGCAGATTCCGCCAAGGTGCTGCGATTTTTTGCATTTCCCACCGACATCTCTAGATTTGATCCATCTTTAGCATTGATCATCGTGTTTGGCATTGGTCCATCCTTATTGGCATTTCTAACACAAGGGCCAGGTCAAGCCACCGAGAACCGGCCGAAGACGAAGCCTACCTTGAGCGACCATTGGAAGCTCCCGACAGCGACAGTGGCGGACATCGATTGGCGATTTCTCGCCGGCGCGGCAGCCTTTGGCGTTGCTTGGGGTCTTCGGGGCGTCTGTCCGGGGCCTGCTCTCTTGCGCGGTGCCTTTCAACCCCTTTGGGGCGTTGCGACGTTGGGTGGGTATATCCTCGGCAACTTATTCTAGGGCTGGAGCGAACCCTCCCCTCCACCAACCCCGGTATTATGATCGACTCGGAATAGAGCCTTGATAGAGAGATGACGACCTGACATAATAATATATTGTATAGATATTTATTCTAGTCATTATCAACACGCAGAGCTCCGAAGCATGGGCGCCAACTCGTATCAGGGACTATACACGTTATCAATATCAGCTCCAATGACCATGCAGTAGTTGCAAGGGTTTCAGGAAGAGAGTACACGGTTGGACGGGATTTCTGAGAATCCTATCCTTGGAGGAATGACTCATCGGAAGCCAACAATAAAAGAATGGGAAGAGCTTACAACTCGGTCTTCTTGTTGAGACGGATGGCTTCCGCCTCCAACTCTTCGGCTCGTCTGGAGTCCTTGTGATTTTTCGTGACTTCTGGTCTCTCGGGGGCGTCTCCCTTCCTGGAGCATCTGCAGTGGGCATGTGTCCCTCCAACTCCATCCACTCCGCTGCGAATCCTGCGACCAGGACGGACCAGTCTTCGACCGTAGGCATATCCAGATGCTCGCCGTCATCTTCTATGGTATGCCACACGGAAGGGAAGCCTTTGTGTGGTGTAAAGTCAATGACATGGACCACATCCACACCTCGCACTAAGAAAGGAATGTGATCGTCCTGAAGGCCGCCCAGGGGTTCGACTTCGCGAGAAGTCTTCAGCGTGTCCACGAACCAAGGGTCAGCCCCGGAAGATTTGAACTGGCCAACAGCTCTCAGACGACGTTCCAAGTCGCCCAAATTACGATAAGCCCAATGAGTGGTGGGGTAGAAGGACTGGATATATGGATCCTTCGAGCCTAGTAGATCCAAAAGGACGAACATCTCAATGGACGCCAGTTCGGTCTTGAATGTCGACATAGCTGGATTGATCGTTGAGTCCCAGCTTTCAGCAAGGGACCGAGCACCATACAAAGAGTCGGTCGCAGTCCAATGTTGGAATGCTTCTTCGCCGTCGAGGAAGATTATTTGGATACCACGTGTCTCTTCAAGAGTCATGTCGATACCGTGTTCCTCTGCAGTGGCCCACTTTTGGGTCAAGGCTTCATCAATATTGCGCATTGCATGCAATAGCATTGCACATGGTGCCGCGCTATCGATAGCTCCAATGAAGCCTTCCGGTTCTAGCTTGCTATCATAGTGTGCAACGAGGGTCAACCGAGCGATGTCGCCGACGGGGACACCAGGGGGGTCACGGCGCGCAATCAAATTCACAAATGGGATGTCTTTGTTGCCGGTGACCGGGGTCTTTGACGTAGAGTTCTGGAATGCGATTTCCCACTTGGGTAATGTGGTTTGTACGTATTTCACCATATGCTCGAGCACGGCGGCATGGCCCGAGGTGCCAGGGACGCGAGGTTGGAGGAACGGAGAAAGGACCGCGCCATTATGAATATCAAATTCGTCGCCAGGGCGAGACAAAGCCCTCAGGGTATCGTCAGACAGTTGTTGATAAGCTTGGATTGGGGTTAAGACTAGAGAGAGGCCGAGGCAGAGAGCGAGAAAGTGGCCGCAGAGGCCGCTAAAAGCCGGGAACATGGCGACAGTGAGACGCTGCTACACTCTCATGGTAGGTGAAACTGTCGGAATCCCACAATGAGAGCTAGACCAGCTAGCGGCCTCCTTAATGATACCCCCGGGGTGGAAGCACTCAGGAGAGCAAGTCAGCCAGGTAAACTGCCAAGGCGGTCGGTCGCTTCGCTGTTTGGTGTCGCAAAGATCACCCTCCGCAAAAAACGACCCGGATCTGCGAGTTTGCAACTCTCCGCCATGCGACATCTTGCTCCTCCTAACATATTTTCGGCGCTTCCTAGGTTAAGGCAGGGCAGCCTTTGTAAACGACTATGGATCCGACCCAATTCCCAAGTCCTTCCGGCCAAACACCTTGAAACAACAATCCTACAATCAAGAACGTCAAGATCCGCTTGCTTTTCAACATCTCGGTCACAGGCTTCAGCAGTTACACAGGCGAAGACTACAGCTCGAAAGGGTCGGTAATACCAATGATACGGCGGTTACGGCGCATATGCTGAGAATGGACCACAGGACCCCCGGAGAGAATCCTCGTCTTTTATGGAGGAACGGCCCGAACTATCTTCCTGGGCGCTGTGCGCGTAACCACCATTCTTCTGTTCGGTGCATCATGTGCCATAGGCTATAATTTGAGCTCCACAGACGAATATTCATGGATCGCCGCGCCATTAGGTTCGTTTACCGAGCATATGAACATGCCCGATCCCGACTGACCCATGTATCAGTTCTCGGCGGCGCCATACCCATGGCTTTTGTCGCATACACGTCTGCGCCGCATGTGAGCTTCGTCCATCTAGCCCTTCCTGCCTTTGCGCGCCGGTCCCGGGAAGCTGCCCTTAATTATGTGAACAACCTCCCTCCAACCGCAACCCTCTATCTCACTACTATGCGCTTCAACACAATGCCCCGACAGACCTCCGTGCGCCTCGGCGAGCTCGTTGCAGATAAGAACCCAATACGGCCGGTTTCCTTCCGGCATACTAACCCGGCACCACGGCCGTGGTGGATGCACAAAGCTCCAACCCAGTTCTATACCCCGGATGTCAGCAGACCAGGGAGGAAATCGTCGGCATTTTATCCTGAATTTTGGCCAAGATCTTCGCACGGATACAGAGCCAGTCTACTGGTAGGTCACTCAGTTGATCTAGAACCTTCCAAGCCTGTGACTTTGTTGTATGGTCGCAATGGATGTAGAATATGTACCCTTTCCTCTTGTATAATCATCATGGTCGTGGTCTTGTGTGGCGCTATGACCTATACCAAATGAACGAGTTAGGTCTATTTATCTCTCTATGATGGGATTAGATAAACCAAAGTATCCCAATCCATGGGACCAAATGTTCCCAGATCCATGTCTAGAATGCATGGACGTTGAATGTACCACCCAGCAGCTCTCGGAACCTAGTGCTGCCAGTGGCTTTTTGACACATAAGTTGTTCTAATGTTACGATTATGAAGATTACGTTTATCTAGCGTGGTCTAGACAAACGGACTCGCCTCTCGATACCTCGAAGTCGATGCCATCTGAACACAGGGTGTATAATATTAAAAGATAAATCTTCTCGCAAACGCCTTTCAAGCCCAGCTATAAGACATAAGAAACATGATCAGGTAGAGATCTGGAGTGGAAGAAATGCAAGGGAGAAAAATATGAGAAAAAGATCCAGCTGTATGAAATGAGAATGCCACAGGACTACCTACTCAGAGCGCCTCGATAGCTTTGCGGAGAACCTCCAGTCCGAGATCGCTGACGCCCCCATTCTCACCCTCTTCACTGCTAGGTTCCCGCAGTGCCCACGCAACGTCACTCCACCAGCCGAGCCCAACGTAGCCACCACCCTTGCGGCGCTCCAGGCTTTCCTTGAGACGGCTCGTGTGTTCCCACTGTTTGGCAGCTTCCTCGGCACGTTCAATGACCTTGTTGGAAATGCCACACATAGATGCGCAGTGCATACCGAAACTACCTTCTGCGACGCCTTGCTCCAGTTTGTAGAGGAAGGTGACACGGCGCTCGACATCATCGACGTGAATAGCCATCCGCTTCGGGGCAATCTCTGGGTGATTCTCGAATTCGGCAGCAAGAGAGTGGTAGTGCGTTGCGAAGAAACCCATCGCGCCGATGTGGGTCGCGATGTGGTGCAGGACTGCTTGTGCAACCGCTACACCATCGTAAGAGCTAGTCCCGCGGCCTAATTCGTCGAGAATAACAAGCGAACGCGGCGTAGCCTCTGAAAGAATCTTCTTGGTCTCGGATAACTCTACGAAGAAAGTGGACTGAGCTGCAAAGATGTTGTCATTCGCACCGAGACGAGACATGATGCGGTCGACTGGAGTGAGGCGAGCAGATTTGCAGGGTAAGTAACAGCCAATCTGGGCCATAATCACAGCGACACAGGTCTTGAAAATTGACGTTAGAGATCTTTATCAAATTCAGAGGGATGAGAACGAAGACGTACCATTCGAAGGAGTGTAGATTTTCCGGCCGCATTAGCACCGGTCAACAAATCGATGTTAGCATTCTTACCGCCAAGTTGCACATCGTTAGGAATAAAGTCTTCGACTGAAGAGAGTAGACAAGGATGGCGAAGTTCCTCGAACTCGAGCACACTCCGCTCATCCTCAACAAAGACAGGCCGGCAGCTAGGCTGTCCAAGCGAAGACGAAGCCTTGGCCAAGCTGATGAGACAGTCCAGCTGAGATACTATTCGAACAGCAGCAAGCCATGTGCCGTAATGCTCATCGAAGCGAGCATGGAACCGGCCAGCGACTTCTTTAACAATCTGGCTATGGGTTTCTTGGGCCTCCTGGAGCTGGCGAATTAGGTTGCGAAGTTCAGGGAAGTAGTACCGCTTCACCTGCTTGGTAGCAGACATTTGATCCCAGTCATCAGGGATGTTTTTGATCTTGATAGGAACTTCAAGTTGGTAGATTTCCTTTCCATTGTCCTTGTAGACAATTGCGTTTGATCCAAGGTCACGGCGACATTTCTTCAGGAGACTATCAAGATCTTTGTGGATCTGCTCGATATGGTCTTGCGAGCTATCGAAGTCCGACTCGACACCACGTTCGGGAACTAGAATGCCGGATTCTTTGGCCTTGGGACGATCAAAGGCAGTCTTCCAGTAGTCAAGTAGTGGAGGTAGGTCGGGCATCGATGCAATCAACTGCCCGATGATGCCGTCGCCCGAGCCGGAGTCCTTCAGAAGCCCCATGATGTAGTCTATTTGCTCGAATCCTTCGAGGATACGGACAAAATCTTGTGCCTTGCACTGACCCGCATGGACACGAGAGATCAAGCGCTCCAAGTCGGGCATCTTCGTAAGCTGTGACGAAAATTGATCTCGAGTGGTAGGGTCTGCGTTCAGAGCATCGACCGCATCCAGTCGTGCGTTGATCCGCTTCGCATCCATGAGAGGGTGGCAGACCCATTGCTTGAAGGTACGCTTACCGAAGGGTGTAATGCACTTATTAAGAAGATGGAACAAGGTACCATCAACGCCGCCGTCAAAGGAGTTGGCAAAAATCTCCATGTTGATCAGAGTCTGACCGTCCAGTACAAGACTTGAAGCCTTCTTGATCGGATCATACCATGTGAAGTTCCCGATGGTCACCAAGTCACGGTCAATCTTCAGCATTCGCAAGTATTGGACTAGAGCCCCAAATGCGGAGATAAGAAGATCTTTGTCTCGAGCCTGACGCAGCACTTCAGGCCAAGCCTTGACATTCTCGTCATTCTCGGAGACGAAGTACTCACTGGCATCAAGCTCCTTAAGCGTGATGTCAGCTTCCCAGAATTCCCGACCTGGCTTCATGTGGTTCCACAGAGTCGTCGGGCCGGTATTGTTTTTCAAAATACGCATTGCCTTCTGGGAAACACAAGATTTTTCCAGCAACAACTCTTGGGGGCGGGTCTGCGCAACGAATGTTTCAAACTTTGTCATGTCCACATCGTCAACAAACTCGGATATGAAAAATTGACCTGTGGCGGTGTCAACAAAGGCCAGACCGAAAGCAGGGCGATCATCTAGGACAGCCTCCTTGATGGCAACGCAATAAGTCGACATGTCGTCCTGAAGCATGGAGCCCTCCACCAAGGTTCCGGATGTAAGAACACAAGCTAATTCTCGCTTGATTATCTTGTCTTCTTTCTTGCCCTTCAGGGCATCTCTCTCACGCATCTCCTTGCCCAGCGCAGATTCAGATTGATCGACGCGAGCAATCTTGAAACCCTTGGCTACGAACTGGTTTGCCCAGCGGGACAAACTCATCTCGGGAACGCCGACCATGCGCATATTGACGCGATCTGTGAGCTTGAGATCGAATAGCTGGTGACCAATGGTGGCATCGTTTTCGTACAGTTCATAGAATTTGCCCTTTTTGAAGAAGACGACAGTATCCCAGAACTTTTGCTTGATCTCCCAGTACTGCTTCTCGAACGGAGAGAACTTGGACCAAGCCAGCGGAGGAATGTAGATTGTGCGAGGATCGTAATCTGGGTGACCAGGCGGGTTCCCGTCGATGTCCTTGATCGAAGCAAGCCACGGGTATCGCTTCTCAGGTTCAGTGACATGTGCTTTTTCTTTTTTGTTGCTCGATGCACTCTTCGAACTCTTAATTGCCGGGCGCTCCTGTCGAGGCTCCGGGTTCTCTGGGTTCGAAGGTCCACTTAAGGGCAGTGCCAGCAGAACCTTCTGGGAGATCGAGGTCGAGATCATCATCGTCCGGCGGAGGGGGCGGGAGGGACGAGGATTCGTTGGAAGCTTTGCGAGATGGCTTGGTAGCTGGGCGCTTTCGCTTCTTTGCTGGGGCTTCATCTTCATCGTCTTCGTCCTCGACGATGAAATCGTCCATTTCTGTAGATGTCAGCGTGGTTTTATCACCGGTGTTACCGGACGAGCATACCGTCATCGGAGTATCCAACATCAGCCTCATCCTCCTGGAAATCGTCTTCATCGCTTTCAACTACTGTCTTTTGTCGCTTTGAAGCTCGGCCGCTTGTGTTTCGACCGGATCTGAAGATCACGTCGTCGTCCTCCTCTCCTTCGGAATCAGACTCCTTGTAGCTGACCTGTTTCTTGTTCTGGATCGGGATTAGAAATGAGATTACGGTATGTATGAGAGAATGAAAGGATTGTTTCGATAATAACGTACTCGGCGGGAGGGAGACATTGTGCTGTCCTGGGCATTCCTCGACTCTGCCTGCTGGGAGGGGGAAAGAGTTAGGACTAAGTCTGCGAGAAATTACTAGAACAATTTGGGAAAGCTTACCTTGAGATCATTGCTATTCTCCTCATCTTCGTCAGGCACAGGGAGATCGCTACTTGGGACCGGAGTCAAGTCTTGTGCAAAACTAGAAAAGCTTCTCTTCTGTGTTTGCTTGACTGGGCTACCACCCCGATTTTCAGAGGCACGTTGAGCAGGCGAAGAAGCAGGTTCTTGGTTCTTCCCAGTCTTAGGGGTCCCAGGCGAGGATTTTTGAAAGAATCCAAGGATGGACTTTTGGTTCTTCATATTTTGGGTACTGGGCGTGGCGCGCTTCAGCACAGAGGGCGGCGTCGCAGCAGGTGAGGATTCAGCCCCCTTGGCCATGATTCTTTTTTCGTATTAGACTCAATTGAATACCTGAAGCCCTATTAATATAATGCTGATATAGGACGAGAGGGGCCTGGGGGATGGGATTGAAGGAGCAGAGGGGACCCCAAGGGAAAATGATAGGGAGAGAGAGATAAGGCGCGGATCGCGTCGACGCGTTAAGTGGCGTCAGGGCTTGGCGCTCCACTTCCTACTCGACATGTACACTGTGTACTCGGTACAATCTCTTACAATCGCTACTTCGATCATGATTTGGGCGAAGACGCCTGGATTAATGCAGTATAATACATTTTAAAGTTCGCTATTTTACACAGATGCCACTAAAATTACAAAGCGGAGAGTGTTGTGCTTCCACTGACTCATTTCTGGTCCTCGGTCTGGTCCTCCCATCCTGGAGCAGTCAGACCCTGGGCGCGGAAATCCTCATCGCTGATAATTTGGATCATGCGAAGCTTCCACTTGCCCATTTTGATCATGAGATGGTCGTCAACTATAAATTCCTGAGTTTTTTTCTCCTGGCCAGATACGCAGAGGCATGAATGTAAGGTTGTCGCCCATGGCGGCGCCGGTTCCAGGCTTGCAGCCTACGGTGGCTCCGTTGTTCTTGATGACTCGATGACCCTCGCCCTTGGTGGCAACAAGACCTGCAGACCAAAGGATCTTGTTGAAAGGCTGATTGTACACCAGTGAGCGGGGAAGAGTGACTTTGAAGTTGCCCATGTTGGCAAAGTTGGTCTGGGGTGCGAAAGGGTTACCGGACTGAGGGGTGATCATACCCGCCGTGACGGACTTGGGGTTCTCTTTCGATGGGGTTGTGTTCAGAGGCAAAGGCGAAGGCTCGCCTGTTGATGATCGGGAGCGGAACAGTTGACGATGCTGAAGTGATACAGCCTCCGCCTCGTCCCGTCCGTGGATAAGATAGACGAATTCGTAGGCTAAACGATGCTGGGCAATTCGCTTTGAAGGGTCTTTGTTCTGTTCTTCCATTATGGTCGCAATCTCGGGGATTGGAATGAAAGTAAACAGCTTCAGATAACGCTCAATCGTGTCATCTGGGGTTCGGATGAAGAACTAGATTCAAACATTAGCGCCGATTGATCAATTTAATCGAATCTTGCTTACTTGGTAGAGCTCGAACGTCGAAGTCATGTCTTTGTCAAGCCATACAGCATTACCAGCTGATTTGCCAAACTTCTCGCCGTTGGGGGCAGTTAATAAAGGCGTGGTGAAGCCGATAGGGCGATCCAGTTCGGATTCTAGAGGGTTTCGGACCTGCTCAAGCACAGTGTTCCTGCTGATGGCCTTCACAGCATCCATCCCAAAGAGAATATTACCATATTGATCAGCGCCTCCCACCTGGACCTGACAGCCTTTCTGGAACAGTGTCCACCAATCCCATGCCTGCAGGAGTGGGTAAGAGAACTCTGCGAAAGACATACCATCGCCCTTGCTCAATCGATTTTTGACACTGTCACGTTATAAGTGACTCGTCAATGAAATTATATGGGTATTATACTCACGTATCACGTCCGAGCATGGGCCCAAGCCTCATGTACGCACCCAGATCACGAAGCACCTCGATGAAGGGCATTGACCCCCACCACGTGTTGTTGTTCACCAGGGCCCGCTTCCATATCATCTCCCGTTTATATCCGTATTTGCTTCCGTACTGCTCGATGCTAGCGCCCAGTTTCTTGAGCTGCATATGCATGCTGGCCATGTTGGCTTTGCGGACCGAGCTATGAACTTGATCCCGGCCCTTCAGTCGACCTGTGGGGTCACCAATACGAGACGTGGCACCTCCTAGCTATGTCTCGTCAGTCGCAAGTTGCGCGAGGTTTCCAAAAGTGACGTACCAAAAATGTGACCGGTAAACCCCAAACATATGCCCATGCCAATACCATAAACGGTAACATATGACCGACATGCATGGACGGTGCCGTCGGATCGATTCCGACGTATAGTCCGGTCCGCTTCTCGGTGAAGAGCCTATGCAGGAGATCTCGCTCGCTACGGAAAAAGGATTAGCAAACTGAGCATTTATCCTGCGATCGAAGATTGGCCATGTCCAAGCCAAGAATTGACGTACCCAACAACATCATGAATCAAACCTCGCTCTTCCAAGTGCTCGACAAAACTTTTCCTCGTGCCGTTCTTGATCTCCTCCGCATGTCTGGCCCATTCTTTGCGGCCTTCTTCTTGTCGCGCAAGCCATGCTTGTGTGATCCATCTCTTCTGCTCCAAAACCTCTTTTGATCGCTGAAAAGTCGTAGAGTTATTGCTGGTCCTGCATCGGAGCGGGTTTGTTTGCGCCGTCGTGACGAGGCTGCGCGCTCCGTACAGGGTTCGATGGGGAGACAGGGAATAGCGACAAACCGCTCGTGGGAGCGGTGTCGTTTGCGGCCGCATCAGAACGAATGAGTTTAGAATTGAGGGCAATTAAGCCTGCGATGGACTTTCGAGAAACAATAAATTTCCCCAGAGACACCTTCGATAAGAGTCGGATTATCGTTAACGCGTCATTGCCACGTGACTATCGAGCCGCTGGTTGGGATGAGGCAAGTTAGCATAGATTGAACAATAAGACTAGTTTAGTGTACCCGGGTTTCGTAGCATTAATGACATGGCCTCGCAGTCGAACCTATCCTCCTCCGACTCGCACACTGTGCGATTGAGTCATTTGAAGAGCAAATGGGACAAAAATAAAATAATGTGTGGTAGGCCCTGTTTTATAGAAAACTCTGACAAAGTTATTCCGAAATGTGCTATTCTGTAAGCTATAGTGAGTAAATTCAGCCGACAAAAACTTGGACTACGACTTCATTACTCCATCCACTGTCCAGCTTCATCTCTTTCCACGCGGTGAGAACATCGATTGCCAGCACCGAGGAACCATCTCCGCCTTGTTTCCAGACAGTCTTCTGAGGTATCGCGCGTCCCAGAATAGTGACCATGAAGTTTTCAGAAATGTCCCATTTCGCAAGGTCGGAAAAGTAGATGCCAAGCACACCCAGTGCCTTCAAATGGATATTGAATTGCAGTCGACCGGTGTCTGTCTTGTGTATATCTGACGATACCGTCGCCGCAGCACCTGTCATTTTACCCAAGAGACCAAGGACGGCTACATGAGTGGACTCCGAGTCTTCTTGCGCGTCTGATAAACTCTCCTTTCGCTTGTGCTTCAGAGTAAATGGTCGAGTGGGGTAAGCCGTCAGAATCTCCCATCCCCTTTCCTCTAGCAGAACAGAGACTAGCGAGTCTTGCTCAAGAGGGTGCAAAAGCCCTGTGACCTTGCCACTGGTATGTGCACGTATAACATAGGAACCAGTCGAGTCGGCGTGTATACCTGGGAAATCCCTCAACGAGACGATTGATGATGATTGTCCGGACTGCAGGTTGAACAGTCCTAGGATGCCGCTCCCGGTCTTCGCCCAGCCGGTGTAACTTCCCACACGCAGAATATTTCTTTCGTTATAGTCGTGGTATACATCGATAGTGCGACCGACGACACTTGGCCGGAGGATAATAGTGCCTCCTTGGACGGTAGGTGCCAGCATCTCTTCCAACAGCTTTAGATCGTGTTTACCTGGCTCATCGGTAATATAGACCGGGCCTCCGGAGATACAGCGTGCAGCACCATGGAAGGAGGCATATGGATGGCTCGTCTGGAACATATCCCAGTCAGGCAGAGCATTCAAGTATCGAGTGAAAAGAGAGTTATGAGCATTGCAGAACAGATGCCACGGGTGAGAATCATTGATTTCGGGGAAGTAATCATCCGAGTTTCGCAATATGATAGATGGCTTATTTGTTGGGAGCTGGGAGTGGAAGATCATCTGTGGAATTAGAGACATGCAAGAGATGGTCTTCGTGCCGAAATTTCGTAGTGCGGCGATAGACCACGCGTCTTGGAAGGAGGTGATGTAGCTCTTTCGGTCCTCGGGGTCATCTAAGAGATCGATGAAGAACTGAGCGTCGGCTTTCACGGCATCCACTCCAGCGGATCGGAGAAAGCCATAGAAATCGTTGTAGAACTGCTGAATATCGTCTGGATGGATTGCTAGAATCTTCCCCTCCGGGACATTATGTGCAATTGGACCTCCAGCAGCAGGGTCTTTGACTCGCACTTCTTTGGTTTTATACTTCTTCGCAAGTTCCCCATCAGGACTGATTCCGCCCCAGTAGCCCAGCAACGCATGCCAAACTGCAATATGGCCTACATTGGGGTGAAACTGGCGAATCTTCCAAATGGCCTGTTCCAGTCCTCTTGGAAAAGCTTTTGGATTCGCATCGAACTGCATCCAACGCCGGCGGAACTGTGACTGGCCTTCGTTATCCAGGCTTTGCCAATTATCATCGATGATCAGATTTGTTATCTTGATCCCATTGCTTTTGAGAGCATCTAGAGCTTCGAGAATCTTATCTTGGGTGAGACTTTGACCCAGTCCATTCCATGTGCAGTATGTCAGCCCGTCATACCACTCAGCGAGCCACTGAGCTTTCACATCTTTCTCCACGAGCACCACATCATCTCCTTCGGGTGAAAGGGGTCGGTCGTTTTCTACTGTCTCGACAGAATTTGGGAAAACCGGATTAACCAATTTTCTTGATTCATAAACCAATGCTGCGAGGCCGACCTCGAAGTCTTCCGCGGCAGAGATAAGGACGTGGAAATTCGACGCCTCGTGGTTGTCACTTCGTGATTGAACGACCACTTCCCCGTTCTCGCCCGATTGGAAAACAGTCAAGACATCGTTAACCCCAGAGACAGCCAACAGGACCAGGTTGATACCATCGTCACGAAGGAAAGAGCACATGATCGCATCCTCCGTCAACTGGAACCTGTCCTTGCCATGCCTTGGGCCAAGCCAAGGACTCCATATGCGTACCAAGGAGAAATATCTGTTGAACAACGAAGGAGTTCCAAGAGAGAGCTTTTTAAAGCCAGAAACCCCCTCTTTGGCGGGCTCTGTTGCTCCATATACTCGCCAAAGCAGAGACCCCGGGGATTCGCTGTGACGGGACTCTATTTTGACGTCAGGAGAGAGATGATCAATGTATCGCGCGAGATCATCCCGAGCACTGGATGGCGAAGGCTTGGACGCTAGAGACTTTGCAATATCTGATTCTCGTGACGAAAATATAAGCTCCCCGTCGCTGAGCGGATGCTGCTGGTTTGCCCATTGCCATTCAGTGTTCGGGTTAGTTCGGAAGCGCACTGTGAACTTTGCGTGGCCCCCGCGAGTTGGGAGTGGTATCTTTTGCGCGAATACATAGCGGTAGAAGTTATATTGCTTTTCGTCTCCACTAAGCAGTGGCGCATTTGTGGATTCAACCCGTTGTAGCGGGAGGGCTGACCATTCTGGGCTAGTAATATTGTGCCAGATCTGAGCTTCCCACGATTGCTGCGGGAGCGAAGTGCTGGATTCGATGACGACCGTGAACCGCACCTACCAGGACATGAGCTACTTATTTTCGAGCTTGAGGACAAGGAGAGTCAATGTTCTTTTAGGTTACTTACTACATCTCCTGTTGAGCGGCCGGGTAATCTCTTAATACAAGTCACCTGTCCCAGCGGTGGGTAAGATGTCACTCGCGCAAAGAGACTCATCTGGGCCGGACGAATAAATGTTGCTTGCGATGGTTTCAGACGTTCGGCCGCCCCGGTTATTGGGAGAGTTGAAGCGTCTTTGGCAATGTGCTCGGCCATCGGTGCGTGAGGGGTTGAGGTCCCTGTTTCAGAAGACTGACAGAGCTCTGACGTGGTGACGCGCACTATCGGATTAATTGATGGTATAATAGAGTTTACCCGCAGCTGAGCCCAAAATGAGTAACTCGTCTAATATATATAAGAACAACGTGGATTGATAGTATTAGTTGGGGTGGATGGCTTTCTTGGTGTTTATGATGAAATGGCGGGGAAGCTGATCCACCGACAAAATCGCGCTGGGCTGTCGGCGCCTGCATGGACCTACTACTACTGGCCACAAACGCAAGGCTTCTTCGATAAAAAGTACATCACACAACGAATTTCAGATTCCTAATTTTGATATGAGACTATATAGACGTAGGATTTCCAATCGCTGCGATAAATCATTAAAGAATAACCGAGGCTTTTTGTCCTAGTTGCCCTTGTTTCAAGGTATGCTGCCTTGGAGGCTTAGGCAATCTTGATGGTCAGCTTGCCAAAGTGGCTTTGGGCCCACTGTTTCATACATTAGCACACTACTTCGTATGTTGTGAGGGCAGGTCTTCTCCCTACCTGATACTCATAAGCCTGCCGAGTCTGGTCCAGAGTGAAGACCTTCTCATCCACCACGGGGTGAATGTCGTTGGCCTCAATAGCTCGGATCATATCCCTCATAAGAGCTTTGCTGCCGACATAAACACCGCGAACTGTGCAGATGTTCGAGAGTGTGTCCAGGATACCTGGCTGCGAGCTGGCGTCGGTGCCGCCGAGGAAACCAATGATGCTGATGACACCCTCGAACTTGATGGCCTTGAAACTTTGCTGGAGAGTGCCGGGACCGCCGACTTCAATGATGTGGTCCACGCCGGCCTTGTCGGGGGTCAGGCTGCGAGCAGTTTCGCCCCAGTTGGGGTCAGTCTTGTAGTTAATGACGTGGTCGGCACCCAGCTTCTTGAGCTTCGCTGCCTTAGACTCCGACGAGGTAGTAGCGATGACGGTCGCGCCAGCAGCTTTCGCGAACTATAATGTGGCAGAACCCAACTCAGTCAACAATGCTCGGTCTCTCTAGGTTCATGTAGAACGTACCTGCAAACCAAAGGTGCTCACACCGCCAGTACCCTGGACCAGGACAGTCTGACCCGGCTTGAGGGGCTTCAGACCGTACAGCGCATTCCAGCTTGTGACAGCTGCGCAGGCCAAGGTGCTGTTCTCAATCGCGCTAAGGTTCGAAGCAGCCTTGACAAGACCGATTTGGTTAAAGACTGCATATTCCCGGAGGACACCGTCGATGGCTCCGCCGAGGCCAGTGAGGGCCGCGGGGCCATCGATCTCACCCATTGGTGGCCCTGGTTGAAGAGTGTAGCCACTTTGTCCCCCTTCTTGAAATCTGTCACCTTGGGGCCGACCTCGACAACCTCCCCAGCACCGTCGGAGCCTGGGACCACAGGGAAATTCACGGCGAACGGGTATAGTCCCTGTTAAACAGCGATTAGTTTCGCGAGATAGCTTGAATCATTGGCACGGAAGTGTTACCTTGGGAATGATCAGGTCCCGGTAGTTTAACGACGCCGCCTCGAGCTTCACAAGGACTTCATATTCCCCCACCTTGGGGATAGGAGCTTCTTGAAGAGAAAGACCGTCGAAGTCTTTGTCCTTGCCCTGGACAACCCACTGCTTCATGGTTGGAGACATTTTGACTTGGAAATCAGGGATCCAAAGTAGTGTATAGAGTTATTTGACGGAAATCAGAAGGCTGTGTCAAGGGATGGAGGAGGGTATTATATTATCGAGGACTGACGTATTCGGTGGGCTGCTGTTCCACTCACCCGAAATGCCGATCATTAGTGAGCCCGTTAAAAGTCTCCGACGGGGAGCTTAAAACGGAACCACACGGAGGCAAATCCCTCCGGAAGCTCTGGAGACCTTGCGAGTTTGTCAGTCATTGGCGGCGTTTGACGAAATGCTGATCCCATTATGAAGCGGACGTTCAAAAGGACGCACTTTAAGAAGTATCTGCTATACCAAAACCTGACTGGAGGCGCTCTATAGGTATCCGTTTCATCCTTTTCCGCTAAGCTGGCCAGGATGGATTAAGCTTAAGTGGGTCCTCAGCACCTTACAAGTTACCCGTGCCATTAAGTTAGTTAGTTAATAGTACTCATTAGCTAACAGCAACGGGAATCCAATACCGCGTCCAGGCCGATGGGATTACTAGTTTTCTTTTCGTTTCTAGGGCTTTCCAGTGCCTCCATACTGTGAAGCTAGCTCTGACTGGGGAAGTCTAGAACAAACAAGATTGGGAAAGAAAACTCGGAGTGCTGTGTGAAACCCTCGCCTTTTTCACATGCGGGCAGGGTAAGCTAGTTACTAGTACAGAACAGGATGATCGCCCAGCCCGCGTGTCAAAGTTGTACTAGTATTGGCTTTGCTGAAGCGACATTCGCGGCAATAGTTAGTTATGACATATATCTTTGTAAGCCATTCACCGATTTCAAATCGCCGATCGCTGTGGAGACACTAAGTATGTCTCGACTCTCACGGATCTTTGGTATAAGCTGCCTCGGGCTTTGATGTGATCAAACTGGACAAAGAATCATCTCGACTGTCCGAGTTGCTCTCGACCATGTGGGTGCAAGAAAGCGAAGAATTATCAGCAAAACAATGAAGAAATAGGTACCGCTAACTTCATTCGTTCCCCAATAGGCTTCTTTCGAAAAGGCCCTAAAGGTAAATAGTAGCACAGACAATCAAGACAACAGATCCCGACCCCAAGGTCCTCGTAAGGCATTGGCCGACACAGACCTAATATGGGTTGACATGCAAAGAGCGAAATGGCGCCCCGGAACAAAGAAGACTCCTGGATCCTGCAATTATTCTGTGTAGGTCTCGCCAGACTTGGTCGTGAGATATCGTGTTTGCGGGAATATAAGATGCTCCCACACCCTTGGATGACATCTAAATACAAGAGACATTCCATATCCAATCCTCGGAGTAGCCTTTCGATTTCACATAATTGAAAATCTGGCCTCTGCTAGGTTCAGGTCACATTTAACTTCAATTCAAGCCGTAGAACGGTCTCGGTCGGCTTAGTGCCGCGATAATTGCCTCAATGCGATCTTCCAACATTTGCCATTTTCTTACGATATTAGCTCTAGAAATCTTATACCTAAGATCTATAGAGGCTCTCTCGCTCTTACCCACTACCACATTCGCTCTTCGACAAGCTTCGGTGTTGGCCGATGGAAGGCTTTTGCTCGCAAGGGATGCACTTTGTCCGAATTACACGGTCCAAGCCGAGGAGACCTGCACAACAATTGCCTTCTCCCATGGAATCACCACGGCCAATCTTGAAACCTACAACTCTCAAACTTGGAATTGGCATGGTTGCTCAAATGTAAAGCAAGGCGACTACATTTGCATTGGTCCCGGGGCGCCGCCAATGCCCGTGGCTCTTCCCCACGCTATCTGTGGACCTCAGGTGCCCGGGACAGCACGTCCAAAGGACATGACGACCCTCGCGTCTTTGAATCCGTGTCTTTCAGGTGATTGTGTAAGTAGACTTGTCGACCTGCAAATGAAATATTCAAGTTTGACTCACCCCTGTGCGTGTAACTAGTGTTCTTTGCAGGGCCAGTGTGGGACAACTGCAAACTTCTGCTCCGCGACTAACTGCCTCTCTAATTGCAACCCTCCTGTACAGAAGGCCGGTACCAAAGAAGCGACCCCGCATAAAACAACTACCCAGAAAATGACGACCACGGAGTTGACCAAACCGACGACCAAACCACCTCCCACAACTGCTGCCCACACGACCGTGAAAAGCACACCCTCGACCGCGGATCCTGTACTTCCAACGGATTACTGGCACCTTGATAAATACAGTGATACTAAGTGCGGAGATCAACTCTCTGATGCGAAAGACAGTGGCTACTATCGGATACAGGGATACAAAAATGCCAACGATGTCTGTTTCACGCTAGCAGGTGGGAATTTGTCAACAGATGACAGCGGCTTGGATCTATGGTGCCAATGGTGGCCTGGAGAGGGGGCAGATGGATACAGGAATTGCGATCAAAGTCCTCCACTCGAAAAGCCAGGATCGTGGAGATTCACCGCTGGCCCTTCGGGTGGTCATTGTGCGAGTTTTACGGACGCCAAGTGCACGCACGAGGAGCAGTCAGCCACCATGGGCCGTGGAGGGACGGGCTGTGTCAAGAACACCAAAGCGCCAGGTTTTGGCTTGGGTAATAAGGTTTTCAAATCGATCAAATGCGGGTTGGGTAACTATGCTTACGAGGATTATACTTGAAGAGTGGGGATGTAGATAGCGGAGTTTCATGTATAGGAGGGTCTGAGATAGCTGGAGTATAGGATCACACTCTTTTGAAGCACTGAGGCTTCCCAGATGCGGTGAGACATGAAGTTTGCTTTCAAGGTTTATCCTGATAAACTAGATAGGATCGTTACATGTGAATCCTTGAATCCAATTTTCAGGCTACCATGGTTTGGCCATATTGATAGGAAGAGAGCCCAGTAGATCATTGTCTTATCTTCAGGATCGACGATGAATAGAAAGTCACGGAATTTTCCGGTATGGCTCCAATATGCTGTCGGTGAGAAGGATTGGTTCGGTGGCTGAAGGATCACATGCCCCTATCTCCACGCCATGTGTAGAATGATAAGTGGCGTAAGCGTGCACCTGAAGCTTAAAGTAACCGAATCAATAGCCTCAAACACGGTATCCGCTGGTTTCTCAGACCAATCGTTGTAACTTGACTCCGTGGCTGTTACAAGTCCCGTACTACCCGAAGCACTAAGATGTGAGATCTCGAACCGTAGAATACGAAGACAGGCTGAGCAGGCCAGTTGTAGACTCCAGAGCCGATATTAGCATCCAGCATTGCAGTCCAACTCAGAGCCAGGACTATTCTCGACTGGCTTTTGCATGATTACATGAAGCTGCAGACCTTCCAGGGGAAGCTTTACTTGGGAAGTGTAACTGTTGATCGGGCGGTGATGCCGTGAACCGTGAGCCGTTCCGATATACGGCGCCACGCCGACCTTATCGGCGAACGGTTTTGGAGAACCGCCTATCTGGCCTGGGGAGCTGTTCTTTCATCGAGCTCCCTTGGGTCTAGTACTGACGTAGTAACTAATTCCAGGCCATGGTCGTTGCCATTTCTTGGAACGACTTTGCTGATGCAGATGGGAATTCAGGGACGAATTGCTACAGGCACGCGAGGTTCGGCATTAGGTGCAAGCCATAGGTACCTGTGGGGCATCATGGCTTCATCTGCAAGGAGCCTGGAGAGTAAAGCAGCCATGATTCACGGATGATGATCCGGGGGTTATCAAAAGCCTCATCAGGAGAATCGGACGTATGTATGATGTCGCTCGAGATCAGCAGGAGGAAAGAACAAGGAGAGGCCGGCAGAGGCATTGATCAGTCAAATATTGCCCTTTTCAGTTTAAATTCCCAGACAGATACGGATCAGCCCCGTGCCGGTCCCGGATCTCCCAAGGCCCTAGATCTTTCGATCCCTGGGGAAGCCAGCAATAGGGCACGGGATGGTCGGGACTGGGGGATACGTCCGGCCTGCCCACTGTGGCTGAGACCGTCTGCCTTTATGCTGGATGAACTCTAGATTACGCTGCTCGCGCGGTGGTTATCTGCCAGCCATTCGGGCCCACAGTGGGGCTCACCCGATCAGCTGATCGGTATATAGATATCAACTCCCGTTACTCCCGTTGGTATCTGGCCACCTGATGTCAATGAGGCGTGTATGTTTCTAAAGATGTCATTGATATCGGGCATGAAGGAGCACGACCCGTTGGATGGATCGGGTGGGGTCTATCGATTCCGGGGTCAATCTGCTCGTGAGATAGCTATATAGAACCGCTGATGTCTTCGGTTTGAAGTATCATCAGCACCACAGATCAATCAATCAGCCAAATCCCCAGACTCCAAAAAGTCTAGCTCACTTCTTAAGTCAAGAAAGCTTTATTCAGCTCCTCACCACTCATAACTACAATGTCCTTCTTCAGGAATTTCTTTGGCACCGCCCCTGTTCCGGAGGCAAAGGAAGATGCCAAGGGCCCTGCCCCTATCCGCGCTCTGCCTGCCAACTGGTACACCTCCGAGGAGATGTTCCAGCTTGAGCGTCGTGCGATTTTTGGTCGCAAGTGGCTCTTGACTACCCACAAGCACCGTGTCCCCAAGGTGGGCGACTGGGTCCAGTATGACGTTGCCAACTACGAATTCATCGTCGCAAAGGATGAGCAGGAAAAGATCCAGGCCTTCCACAAGGGCAGCCTTCTCCCTATCCACGTGCACATCGACAACAACGGCTTCATCTGGGTCAACTTGGACAGCAAGGAGACTCCCGAGGTCGCGTGGGAAGATGACTTCGCCGGCTCCGACATGCAGCCTCGATTCAAGTACTACAACTTCGAAGACTACACCTTTGACCACACGTGGGACATGGAAGGAGAATTCAACTGGAAGATCCTGGCCGACAACTACAACGAGTGCTACCACTGCCAAGTCGCCCACCCCGATATCCCCACAATCGCCGACCTGAACTCCTACTGGGTCGAGACCAAGAAGGGCGGCGCCATCGAGCACTACGGAGCGCAGCGTCCAGACCAGATCGAGAAGGGCTTCCGCATTGCCACCAACTACTACTGGCCCAACGCCTCCTGCAACGTCAGCCCCAACTTCTTCTTCATGCAGCGCTTCACCCCTGTTAGCCCTACCAAGTCTGTCATGCGATACGAAGTCTACCGCCACAAGGATGCCACCGACGAGGCATTCAACCTCATCAGCGATATGTACAAGCGCATCATGGGCGAGGATAAGTATCTCTGCATCCACACCCAGAAGAACCTGAACACTGGTGTCTTCGTCAACGGCCTGCTCCACCCGGAGATGGAGAAGGGCCCTCTTCACTTCCAGCACACTGTCCGCGAGGTCGTAACAGAGCACCGCAAGAAAGAACTGGCTGCTGGCCATGAGATCTCACCGGCTGCCCAGGCTCCCATCACCACTGAGGACATTTCTTTCCGCACTGGTGTGGATGCGGCCAACAACTACAATGTGACAGACACCCTCAAAGAGGGGCTGGGTACCACTGTCACCGTCTCAGCCATTTCGGTCTAGATCGTTCGGTGATGGATGGGAACGGGACTGGTTCCTACAGCATAAATTGGCATTGCATTCTTGTTAGCGTTGCGCTTGGTTTTTTAGAACTTAGTCTTTTTTAGTACATACTGGTTATGACTTAATGAATTCTCTCTCTCGTTCGAGTCTTCACATTATGCTAGATGTATTGGAATAAATGATCTTGGAACATCAGTATGACTAAATACCTGTTCCTCAATCCATGTCCTATCTGATCTAGCTATACATTTCCTCCTTATCTTTGATCTGTTTTAGCATGGCTGGAATTGGAGAGGTCCTCCTGAAATAAGAAGCGACACACGGGAATTTGGGCTGGTGGTTGGCGCCGGAGTAGGAGTGTTACCAATGGTCCTTGAACGCTAGCGCAAAGAATTGACATATGCGTTCTTGATAGATCTCCAAGTCTTCCAGCACTGCAGGTAAAGTCACCATTTCCATGACTCAAAATCCCGAGTCGGAAACCCGCACCAATCAAATCCGGACGATCCATTTTCGATCGGCCGGAACATCATCCTGCGTCTCTAAAGCTACTGGGATGACCTTGCCGCCGAACGGATCATCAATATTGGATTATTGGCATATCATATATTGACTGGAGAGCGTCTCGGCAGCTGGATCTGTCACAATTCGAACATATCGCCGAAAACCCTATCACCACAGGTATATGGAAATTTATATATGTTGAAAAAACAGGCAACAACTGAGACTGTGTGTCCTTCTAAGAATGATATTAAGCGGAAACAATATATAATAGCCTTCAGTGATGCATAAGGCATCATCAGCTTATTAATGACACCCACTCCATTAGAAGTTTCGCAAAAGCTCCGCAATCGTATCTACTTGTTCTCAATCTCACAAAACGAGAGATTCCCTGTAAGTTTCTGTGAGATTTGATTCTGGTCTCGATATAATCCATGTCTAGTAGCAAGATATACAAACATGCCTGTACAAGTAGTATGTTAGGATATTAGGGGTAGTTCCATTTCCATGTGGTAAGGATATCGAACTTTCGGGCTTCTCCTGGATATCTGTATGACTCGCAAAATATATATACGTGTATTTTAGGGAAAGTAGATCTTGCGTTATAGCATCGATTTCTTCTGTGCGTATAATATGACTCGGTTGATGCCCGTTGGAACAAGAATAGAATAGTCTCATCTGTGCAGGTACTTAAGGAAATGACCAAAGTATCTTGAACTTTGTTGTCAACAACATAAGTTACTTCAGGCAAAATTTGTAACGACACGGAAGATTTTTAGTTATCCCGCTGAGTGTAGATTATTCTTTCCCCATTGAGGCCAATCTCGGGGTATGCAAAAGGGGAAGATAAAATGAGTGGATTTACTAGACAATACCTCTAGAGGAAAGGGAAGGATATGAGAAGAAGTGAACAGCTTGACTTCAAATAACTGATCAGTGGCTATAAGAAATGTATTTGATATTTGACGCCTCAGGCTTTTCACGACCTTGTATGTATGCCGTAGCTTGTGTAAGGACGTGTTGCTGTCTTGGCCCTGCTTCAATGTGATCCATAGATAGTTAGATTGGGACCTTGGATATTCATAACTCGATGACCTTTCCGCGATAATATAACGAGTATGGAGAGCCCTAGAGAAAGTATTGAAGGCAGGATATTTCACACCACGGAGAAGGAAACTAGACCGTCCTTTTCCGGAATTGGAAGACCCCTTTCTTCGAGAGTTCGAATTCTTTTAGCCCTCTTCTTCGAGGATATCCTCGCCCAGTTCCGGTATAGAACTACATCTTCAAGCGAAACTCTTGGAGGAAGAGATTTATCCGGGGATTCCCCAGGCTCGTCGACAGGAGGCTCTTCAGGAATAGGCTCCTCAGGCTCAGGCTCAGGCTCAGGCTCAGGCTCATCATGAAGAACCTCGTCAGGAACAGGCTCAGGAAGAAACTCATCAGGAATAGGCTCCTCAAGTACAGGTTCATCGGCAGGAGGTTCCTCAGGAAGAGGCTCCCCGGCAGAAGCAGGCTCATCAACAGGAGGCTCCTCAAATATAGGCTCCTCAGGAAGAGACTCCTCGGCGGGAGGTTCCTCAACAATAGGTTCGTCTACAGCAGCTTCCTCAACAAAAGCTTCCTCAAGAATAGGCTCCTCAAGAATAGGCTCCTCAGGAAGAGACTCCTCGGCAGGAACAGGCTCATAGGCAACATCCTGCTCAAAAGCAGGATTTCTCTCTGTTGGTATATCCATATAATGTCGCCCATTCGTTGATATATTCGGGGGTTGGTCTCCTGATGTGCTCCACTCTTCCTGCTGACTGTGTATCTGCTCGCAGGGAGTCTTGCCGTCCTGCGAGGTAATTTCCTGGGGACGAAGGAGTATCTCAAGCATCATTTTCGTCACAAAATTATCAAAATGATGATCCTGACCGAGAGCATTGTAAATCTCGTCCAGATCAAATTTTGACGTACTAGAAGTCAAAGACTGCCAGAGGTTTCTTTCGATATACTTCGGAAGCCAAGTTTCATCGTCGGGGAGTTTTGAAAAGACTTCCGTTGTAGTCCGCAGTATTTCAGGCATAGACAATTCTTCGCCGAACCGTTCTATGTAACTCCTTGCAAAGGCTTCAAGAGCAGGAAGCTGGTATGTCCTGGATGCCTGATAAACCAGAACACTTCTCTTATACTCTCTCGCTACATCAGACGTGCCGTCCTCGACTGACGACCTTATTGTCTCATAGCATCCTGAATATAGATAATGCACAAAAGTATGACCAATGTCCTCGTGAATGTCAGACAGGGTGATGTATGAAGAGTAAAACTGGCGATACTCAAGTTGTGGGCATTTCTGAAGAAAATACCTGGGAATGCAATATTCCTTCTTCCCGATTCTAGCGGTTATGTATGGAGCTTCGTACTGTCTATCAAAAAGTTCAGACAGAATTGGATATAGTGAATAAATAGCACTTCCGAGGACAAAGGCTGGACATAATCGATCTTTGGCGATATCTGGAGAGACATCGGACTCACGAGTTCCTTTTGCGTTTGACGCTGTTTGGATTTCTTCTTCGCCATCGGTCCCGGAAGTATATGGACAAAAGATAAAGAGGAAATTGAGGCCAATGTAAGAGAATTTTAAGAGCAGCGGGATGCCTGCCTAGTTCTTTGGGCAGCAAAAAGGGGGGGATTTCAGGTATGCAGGTATGAGTTGTTCTGCATGTGCTAACGCTGTCGCACCGCCATCGCCAGGGTCTTCCAAAGCTACAGCATGCCAAGTGCCTATAAAGTCCCAGAGTAGCTGTGGCCCCGGGTGACTGGAACAGCTATAGGGTGGATTTTCGTAATATTATGTCCCACGGAGCACGCCCTGCTTCTCTTAACGAATAAGATTTATGTCTTCTGACATGAAATTGCAGCCTATCACACATTTAATGCAAGATGACTTGAATCGGGTTGGTATTAATCGATACAGTAACTCTGCTAATATCCTGCTCTAATCATGAAAGCGTGCCTCAGGCCGATTAGTTGAATCATGCCACAAAACAGACGCGTGGGCGGAACAAGGGAGATTGCATGATCTTTACGGAGCGTGCCGAGCAGCCGATAATATTTTCATCGTGGCTAGTTTCCCTTTCGTTGGTAGTAATCCGAGCTTGATCTGACCGACACGACAGGGGCAATGGCTGTCCTCGCATGACCGAGTTAGATCGAAAGTAAAAAGGTTGCTAAACCTTCGAAGAAGCATAGGTCTATATGAAACTTATGGGTGCGAACGTGAAGATGCTCATTGAAAGCGGAGTGGCCGAAACAAGCGCTTTGGCTGGGAATGGATTTCAGTGGACTTCTTTCGCCCCAACGACAGCTATTATCCCTCTCTCGCCACCTATAATCGACGGTCAACAGGGATCATACAGACCAAAGAATTCGTAACATGCGGGGTTTGGTTTGCTAGCGATACCGCCTATTTCCTCTCTTTACCTTTCAAGCTATACATTAGCCTTCAGCGACAAGTTCCCACCGTTGATTCATGTCACGAGTCCGCTTATATTTCCCTCGGTGAAACTTGGCAGCTGACCCGCGTCTTTCTTCTCAAGAGGGACAGAAAGAAAAAGCCATTTAGCGTTGAAAAGAGGCGCTTTGACCTTCTTTGGCAAAATGCCGTATCTGACCGCACAGCTAGACTACGATTCCCAGCCTAAAATCATTTGCGGCTACCCAGAAGAGGGTTCGATTTCAGGCAGCAAAGCGATCTCAGTCAGCCGCCGAACTGCCCGCCGAGTCTCAGGGACTGTAGTTCTTTCTTCCAGAAAGCGACTCATTGACTCTGGTAACAATCTTCACGAAAAGAAACCTATCAGAAATGAATCCACTATTGTGTGATAATGACGCTCCTCAAAATGCCAATAGCCAAGCCGAACTTCAGCGGGAACTTTTCTCAACGGTGACCTCCATGATAAGGAGCCCCCGAAAGGGGATGCGAAGGAAAAGGCTTCAAAATCTCCTGAGAGACCCAGTAATTGACGTCAACTTTCATATAGACGGCATTTCGCTCTTAGCAAAGGCGACATCGGAATCGAGAGTGCTCGCTGAGGTCTTGCGACACGAAGGAATTGACTTGAATTTGTGCAATCCAGATGGCCGAACAAGCATATTCTTCGCGGTTGAGAACCGGAAAACTTATTCATTGAGACTCTTGATAAAGAAAGGGGCTCTTCTTGACGAGAGGGATAACCAAGGCCGTACTCCGTTGTCACTAGCGGCAGAACTTGGGAATGTTGAAAATGTAAGAATTCTCGTCGAATCTAATGCTGATATAAACTTGGCGGACTCAAAAGGCTGGACACCGTTATTCTGGGCAGCTTCAAGGCAGCATCTTGAAGCGGTGGACTACCTTTTGTCAACTCAAGGCGTGAACAGCGACCATCAAGATATCGACGGCCGGACACCTTTAGCAATTGCATCGGAGACTGGAGATGCTAAAATCATAAGATGTCTGCTCGATGCTCAGTCCAAAGGAAGGCTTATTTTTGGGGTTGAACGCGACCTCCTACTATGGGCCATTTTTCACCGCGATATACCTACAGCTCAACTTTTACTCAAGGTTGGCCACGGTCTGGTGAACTATCGCATAGAAAGCCGTACTCCTCTATCTCAGACTAAAGAGCTTGGACATATTGATATGACCGAGATTCTCATCGATGCAGGTGCAGATATGCATGCACTAAATGAAATAATGCTGCGAATTGAGCTCTTCTTTGCCGAAAATTCCCCAACGATGCAACCTCCGTTATCTGAAGCAGAGTCACCAAGTGCCAAAATTTTACAGGGACTGCTTGATGCCGAAATAAATGTGAACTCGCTTGGTATAGAAAAGTGGTCCGCGCTAGCGTGGGCTGTTGAAAAGCGCCACGACGTCCTTGTCAAGTTCTTACTCGAGATCCCGGGAATCTCCGTAGACTCTCGAGATGCGACTGGCCAGACCCCTCTGATCATGGCAGCACGACTTGGTGAAACCAATATATTGAACCATTTACTCGAATCAAGTGCAGCGATCAATTCAGAGGATGAACAGAAGTGGACATCACTCTCCTGGGCTGTTGCAAATGACCATGAGCAGACAGTAAAGCTTCTACTCAGAGCACCAGAAGTATTTGTGGACCATAAAGATAAAGAAGGTCGTACTCCGTTTTCCCTGGCTGCAGAGCGCGGATACATCCAGATCATGCTTTTACTCATTAAACATGGAGCGGATCCCCATGTGCCCGACAACGAAGGCCATACAGGGTTCTGGCGGTTTCTTCGAGCAAGGTATGATAAGTTTATCCGGTCTCCAAACCAATTGGGCTGGCCAATGCTTGGTGGGACGGTGAATCCTTTCACACTCCAATTTTTGGTCTGGGCCTTGCCACTTCCAAATAAAAAAGATCGAAGCGGTCGCAACTGGCTCTCCTGGGCTGCTGAATATGGCGACAACGAAGTTATACAGTGCTTTCTAAATGACGAAGAAAGGGCGGATAAAGTGGACATAAACATTTGTGATGGAACGGGAGACACATTTTCCCGGACTCCATTGATCTGGGCATTGGAGAGGGGCAATGATGCCTTGATTGATTTATTGAAAGACGGGGACACAATTTCCCTGCATTTATTGGTCGAAGGTATAAGCTCAATCGAACAAGAGAAGGCGTTAGGCTTGGTGACTACCCTTCTTCAGGCGGGGTACGAAGCCAACCAGCCAGACCAGAACGGAAGAACTCCTCTGCACCTTGCATGTCTTGAGGAAAGCAAGGAACTTATTGCGGCCTTGATTAAAGCTAATGCAAAGCTGGATGCCGTAGATCATACTGGCAAGATCCCTTTACAATATGCTTTGAAAGTGCGGAACAAAGCTATCATAGATCTACTGCTCGAGGCTCCATCGGCAGTTCTTGAACCTGTTCGGTCACATGAATGGTTCGCGATGGGAAACAAAGTACATTATTGGATCCAAATCACGAGGATGAGCCAAAACCGTGGCTTTGAGCTGAAGTCAATTAATAAGCTCAAATGCGACTGGTTGCCCAGAGCAAAAGAGGCAAGACTATGGTAAGTAAGACTCTAATCTACTGTACAATCGGCATTGTGTTCCCTAATATCTCAAGTATTTGCGAGAAATCCTTGATATGGTCTCGCTTACCACAGGAGCTTGACATCCGTGACAAGCTCAACAGCGAAAGCTATTATTGGAACTGTGCTCAGAAAGACTTTGGGTATCGGTTGGTAACCTATATCTCATTGACCTTTCCATATCAACAAGGCAAAGGTGGTTATCCATGGGGAATCGCCTGGATTAGCAGGAAGACAGCGGAAGGCCTTGCTTATGGATTTATCAGCATGCTTCCAAGCGGCTGGGTTCCAAGTGATCCTTCTGACTTTTTCAATCTGTTTCTTGAGGCTCTGTACCACAAATGGAGAGCAACCTGTTCTGATGAAAATGCAAGGATTGAGAAGTTGGTGAGTTTACTGGACTTCTTAATCACTTCCAGCCAAATAAAGCACAGAACTGATTCATGGTGATTTCTACTAGCGACATGATCAACTCAAAAATCGTGGTGGAAATTACGGTTTAGTCGATGAGCTTGCCAAGAATGCTCTAGAGCGTGCAGAGCTCCGGCAATGTCTGCAATCACACATTGAAGGACTCCTTGACGTGGTGAAATTTAATGCTTCGCTCCAAACAGAACGTAAATCACAGCTTAGAGAAGTTGTCGATGAACTTGAGCAGACGGTGACCACGAAGCTTGACAATATGGAACAGGCTGTACGAGATCTTCTACAAATTGTATGCTGGCTCTCGAAATTTCCTTGCGGACACTAATTTAAATCTAATAGGAGCTTGCATGGGTTTCTACAAAGGAGGCGGCAAGCTTTAAACGTCTGAGCTGGATTTCTGTGAGCGAATTCTCTAACATCGCTTGCGAGGCTTGTTAATAATCAAATCTCAATATTTTTAGTTCATTTTCCTACCGCTGATGTTTGTTTCAGTAAGTGGAGCGGTTTAACCCTGACACCAAGTACCTGATGACTTTGACTGATCAGAACACGAGAGCCTGTTTGGAATGAACATAAACCTCCTTCAGAATAATCCTGATTGGAAGTGGGTTATATTATTTGGGTGTGTGTCGCTTATCATCACCGGCGGTTTGTGGTTGGCATCCAAACGTATTCCCGTTCGTATCCACGTTCATATCATCCTAGACATATCACAGCAGGAACTGATCTATACTTTAGCAAGTGATACAGGGCAGTGTCCTATGCAGATAAATATCCTCGCGTGGAAGAAGAGAAAGATAAATGCAACTCATTTGGATAATTCAGAGCGCTAAATGGATTTGAGAATTTTTTCGCACTTTACCTGAACTATGACTTCTTCTTTGCAGTATGCCAGCACAAATTTCAGAAAATATGGGGAAGCAAAAGTGTGGTCTAGGGCAGGTAAGCAAGGGATTTGTTTATCGCTAAGCTGTCATCTCGCTATGCACTTCTAACTAGTCCTCGTAAGCAAGCCCTTAGAGGTGATACTTCTCTTAGTCGCTTACCACCCTAAGTATATCTTAACTGTCTTGTAACACCCACATAGTAACAGGACTTGGATGCTTACGTCTTTAAAGGCCTTATCTAGTAATAGAGACGGTACTATGAATATTTTCATGGAGTTATAGGTCTCCCCTTCATTTTTAGGTCGAAGTATTGTCAGGGCTCAGGGCTTCCGAGCTATTGCTGGAACCCTCAGACATTGATGTATGAAAGGAATTGGCTTAGTATTCCTCCGAACCATTTCCATCTGGACCAAATATCACAAACTTAGTCAATCTACTACGCGCTAGAGGATGCAAGTTCCTAAGCAAAATACGGGCACCCTTTGAAGGCACCTACACAACCTCGAAAGATGGTTTAGCTATTCATATAATATACTACATATTCTCCCACCCTAGAGGAGCAAACAGCTCAATCAACTGCCTTCCTTCCACGCCAGTGCTCACGGGTACACCTGAGTCGCAGTGGGACCTTCGGCATAATCGTATGGGGTGCACATGTCGAGAAAGGTCAAGATTAGAAGATGCAGGATCGGTTTCCTCCTATTTTCGCCGAGGAATGAATCTAGCGATCTATGAATAATTTCATCCCTGTTAAGGGTTTCCGTTCCATATTTACTTGTTGAACCTGAACTCCTTTCAATCTTCTAAAAGTTGACTCTTCGCTTTCAGGATTAAAATCGATTTGTGGATTTTCGCCTACTCGTTAGTATTGACTTTTCTTGGTCCAAGTTGGTAAAAGAATAAATAATGTACACAGGCGCGCCACGCCAATCAGAAACTAGCCATCTCAATCCAAGTTACCACAAACGCGAGCCGGCGGCCCTTATCAGCCGCCATTCGGCGCTGGAACTCTTCGAAGTTCAGTTTGGCGCCACTGCCGCCACGACTCTTGGCTTCACGCTCCACTTGATTCAAGTATGCCCATCGGGCTAGAACCTGGGCGAGGGCTTTCGCGGGGCGCTGATTTCTTCGGGTGAAGTGACTGCTTTGGGTGGAGGAGGGAGGGGCTGCATGGGAGATGGAGGTTGTTTAGGGGCTGTTGCTTCAGCCTCGGAGGAAGAGGAGCGAGGTGAAGATGGAGCAGGTAAAGAAGGTGTATCATCAGGCGCGAGACGAAGCCGACTTGAAAGATTCGAGGTAGGGTTGCAATGGAGAAATTCGGTGTCGTGATAATTTGCTTCCACCCACACCTGTGGCTCGGTGTGGAAGACAGGCACAGCTCGAGGTGTATCGTTCTCAGGGCGGAACTGTGGCATTGTAGGGTCGTACCCGGGCCTTTCTTCAAGATTGGAATCGGGACTCTCGAAAGTAATATCAGGACCCTCCTGGAAGTCGGCATCGGCGTCCTCCTCATCAGATGATTCAACCGAACCCTCCTCATCTGAATCGGAAGACCCAGTTTCCGAAGCCGATTCTGTCTCAATGTCGTAAGAGTAAGCCTGGCCCAGTCCTTCTTGATCATCGACATTTGGCAAATGCGTTGGCCGGACATCATCGTCTGAGTCGAACACTTGTGTTGAAGGGGGCGCGAGAACGGGGCCTTCGTTCGCTGGTAAAGTCGGACTTGCAATAGCGTAACCGGAGCGTTGGAGCAAATCATCCAGAGATCTCTCGCTTGTAATAGCCTCTAGCTCTTCCTCGTCCTTCGCCTGCACAGGCTCCTTCAGCTCTGGTTTCGGAGGCGGGGAAGCTTGCACCATTTCGATCTCTTTGGCCCAGGTCTTCCGATCGGCCCGTGTGCGGTGAACCTCCATGAGAAGGTCTTCCTGTTGCTTAAACAGAAGGTCGAGGAGCTCATTAAACCCTTGCTGTGTAACTTGATACAAAATCTCCTTGCCGACATCTCTTTCCATTTCTGGGATCTCAAAGCCACCCCATCGCTCACTGACAGTTACACTCCTCGAGGAGGTCGAAGGGTTGGACCGGATATCATCAAGGTCAGTAGGAATGTCATCTTGGAATCGAACCTTTGACGAAGAGCGAGATCTTGGCGATGGCGGGTGTGAGTCTGCAGAGTGATCTGAGTCGTCGTCACTTAAGTCGTCGAAAGACGGATCGTGTTGATATCCATCGGGGATGGTGGCTCCGTCTTCCTCATCGGTGTAAAAAGCGCGCCGTCGCCAGCGCTCGTCGATTCCATTTCGACGGGCGTCGTCGATCCGCCTTTGGTCTTCGTCGCGTACCCTGTTGTATACGGCTGTCACGACACGGGCCCTATCGATAGGGTCGTTGATTTCCTGAGGGGGTACATACGTTCCAAGGGCGTCAATGATATCTTCTTCGCTGATATGCTCTGGTGGAGGCCAGACGCCACTTATTCCTGAGGAGCCGGAATCATCATCAGACTCGCTGGCATCTGGGTCATCCCCTTCGTCATTTCCCTCATCTTCGTCGTCAGCCCGTTGGGCACTCGACTGGGTACCACCCTCGGCATTCGCCAGACGTATGGTGGATGGGAACAACGGTCGTGTTCGACCAAATTGATGGCGGACTGCAGCCTCACCTACGATCGAGTGGCGATCAGCAGTATCGGAGCTATCTTGCCGCAAGACTCCTTCGTTATCGATAATTTGCATATCACCGTCCTGGTTCAGACGCTTGCCTTCGCCAGTGCGCGATGCATCACCAGACGGAATGCTGCCTGGAAAAGCGGAACTGATTGGTTGACTACCAAGAACAACGTCCCGCGCTCCACCTTCGAGAAAGTCATCCTCCATTCCAGCAATCATGTCGCGAGTCAACTCTCGACTCAAAGCGTAATATGCCCTGAAGATTCGAAGGAAATCTTTGCGTTCCACATAACCATCTCCATCGATATCATATCCGCGGAAGACACGGCGCAATCGCTCATCATTACTCTTGTTGTTGAGGCTAGCCAGCCCTTTCAAGAATTCTTCGAAGCCAATAAGGTTGTCACCATTGGTGTCGTAGAAAGCAAACATGCGGTCGTAGATCAAGCTCGGAGGAGGCGGGCGAATAGAGGTGTGAGGAACGAAGCACCGATCAAATGTCTTGCGATCAATGGCCATATACAGTTTGTTAGGGTCATCGGCCCATTCGTAGTTTGCCAAGCAACGAAATTGGTCCCAAAGAGCATCTAGCTCGGTGTTTTCAAAATTGGTTTCGCGACTGAACTTCTTGGCAAGCGGCCGTGGAAGGCTTCGAGGAAGCATTGCCGGCTTGCCAGGGTACCAAACTGGTTGTGACTGTCGTGGGTTTCCAAGGAATGGAGCTGGAATCCGAACCTTATAGAAGAGATGGGTTTTTATGTGCACTTGCATAGCTTCACACGTCTCACAGAGGTCATAGTCAATGCAGTTAGCACACCTGTATCTGATACCTTGAATCGGCATAGCGCCACAGCTGTTGCAAGTGACTCCACGGTGAATATACCCATCTCGCCGTGCCTGATCCTCCGCGATATGGTATAGCAAGTTGAGGAGATTCTGGCCCTCGCGTGTCGGAGATGCGTCATTATGGCTGTCGCGCCAAGAGAAAACGCTCTGATCATCAACGACCGTCTCTCCACCATCAAGAGTTTGGAGAGGTTGTTCCGCCTCTTGCGCGCCTCCGTCCGGTGCTGCTGCATCGAGCAGGGCCCCATCATGGTTGGTAGACCCAGCAATATTGATGCGGTGGGTACCGTTCCGCCTTTGTCGCAGGTCATCCCCAAAGTTCTCGTCGGCATTGAATCGAGCAAGAGCTCGATCAATACAGGAGCGCGAGATCCCCCCGACGCTGTAATTGCTCGATGAAATACGTCCTCTCAGCCGATCCCTCCTCCAGTGTATGGGAAGGAGGAAATTCAAGAGCCATAAAGGTCTCTAGGAAAGCATCCTCCATTGTCTCGCGCATGCTTTCTGCTTGTTCCATCAACATACCGACTTCTTCTACCAACTGCTCGGGGGTACCCAGCAGAGAAGGTAGAAGTCCACTTTCCACTCTCCGGCCATCATGCGTCTCAACACGAAATGTTCCATAAACACCGTTTTGTCGTTCCAGTTGATCTAAGCGGGTTATCGCGCGGTACGAGGGCGTGTCAGCTATTCCCAGCTCGTCGGCTTCAGTTCGTCTTGTGCGGCGTACGGCGCCTCGGCGGCGGAGCAGGGGTTCCGAGGGACTTGATGAGATTATATGGTTCCGTATGTAAACGAGGGTATATGCAGCTGCGACACCAGTAAAGAGGTAAAGGAAAGGGCGGTATCGCGCCAACGAGACCGGCGCGGAGTGCGGCTCGGACATTGCGGAGGTTGAGCTGGAAGCTGCGTTGCGGTCACGGCTAGAAGTGGAGGATCATGGTTGAATTCCACGTGGGACTGGGAGAGTAAAAGAGAGATGATCTCTGAGGATTTTGGGCTGCTTTCAAAGCAGTCCAAAGGGGCCGGAGGATACAGACAACTGGTGTGTTGAAAGAGGAAATTGTTGATGTGGAAGTTCAGATGTCACGGGGTCGGGAAGCCAATGAGATGCCATACGCGATCTTACCCACATTCATGGGACCGCGCCCAAGATCATACATGTGGTGGGGAGATCAATCTTAGAGTATTCAATTAAAGAAAGTATCCATATTGAAAAGCTATTTCTAGATGAACACCCTTATTGCCTCTATCGTTCTAATGGCACTGCAAGCAAAATACTTTCGATGGGGAGGATTAGCAACCTCGGTGCCGATGCAGCTAAATGAAGACAGATTTTCTGTCCGAAAGTCCTTTGGGACCTGGAGGAATTTAGCGGCTCAGCTTGGCTTCGCGGATGAAGAAGCTGGAAAACAGGGCAAAAGAAACGATGCCGACAGAGAAGGCGAATCCCTTATTGGTTGACCAGCCATAACAGTCGCGCACAATCTCCGCAACGTTTGGGTCTAGCTTTTTGATGAAGTCAAGACTCTGGCGAACACCACTGACGATTTCATCAATATTCTTGCTGTCATGTAGCGCGGATAAAAGCCGATCACGGAGCAGTTGTTGCACGACAGTCGCAGATAACGAGAGCCCAATCACGGACCCCAGAGAGCGGAAGAGATACGAACAAGCGGTCACAACTGCCTGATCCTCAGGAGCAGCGTTGGATACTAGTGAGAAGGTTAGTAGGGAGACGCTTTCTCAGACTATCAAGGAAGACTCACTCAGTCCGATCAGTGTTGTAGTGACACCAATTCCGTTTCCGAAGGCAGCGAAGACTGTTCCAAGCACCATGGGAATGGTACTGCGGATCAAACCGCCGGAGAAAAGATATACCAAGAAGGTCCCAATCACTACTGAGGTATATCCAGCCACGGTGAGCCAATAATACTTTCCAGTCCATCGCATCATCAAACCGGCGAACAAGGAGCCGGAGAACCCCGCTAGGATACTGGGCATGAGACGCAATCCAGCGCCGGTTGACGAAACTCCATCAACAGCTTGAAAGTAAAGTGGAATATAGAATATCGCGGCGAGCCAACCACCGAAGCTGAAAAAGTTGCAACTGTAAAGAGAAAAGAGTGTGCTGTCGAAAATAATGTGACCAGGGGCGAAAGGCTCGTAGGCTAGGTATCGCTCGACCAGCACAAAGACCACAAAAAGAACAGCCGATGCGCTTAAGGAAATCACTGTCAAAGGCATTGTCCAAGATTCGTTACTTCCGCGATCCAACCCGAGGATAACACCAAGGACAGCACCGACAAGCACTATAGCACCAAGGAAGTCTATCCGACGCAGTTTGGCCTTCCAATGAGTGTCCTCTCGCGCCGGGAGCTTGAGCACAAAGGTCACAAGAGCGAATGCCAAGCCACACAAAGGGAATTGCGCCAGGAACGCCCTGTCAGCATCATGTTAGATTATTGCGGGGTCTGACAGATTGAGAAAATGAATCGTACCAGCGCCAGCCGATGTAGTCTGCTAGAATTCCTCCAAGGGGAGCGCCCACCCCAGATCCTGTGGCCCAAATGATATTGATAATACCTTGCCACATGCCTCGATCACGGAGGGGAACAATATCACTCATCAGAATACTGACAACCGTCGTCATGCCACCTCCTCCAATGCCTTGGAAAACCTGTGGACTGTGTTAGTGAAGCCGAGGCGAGGCAAGAGTTAAAGACCATACCCGTGCTGCGATGAGGTGATAGATGTTTTGCGCTAGTCCGCAGAAAAGACATCCCGTGCCAAAGATGGCATAAGCAGAAAGGAGGCATGCTTTCCGGCCAAAGATATCACTCAGCTTGCCGTACAATGGCTGGAAGGAGGTTAAGGTCAAGAAGTACGAGGTGGCAATCCAGCTTGTAAGGTTCAAAGCTTTCAGATCACTTCCAATTTGCCCATAGCTAGCCATAATAATTGTCTGATCCGCTGCAGCAAGGAATACCTACATTCAATTGATTAGCCGGGGAGCGGACATTGTGCCGCACCGGAACGGGCAACTTCAGGGATGATGAGAGCATACACCGACTGATACAGCAGGGATGATTAACACAAGCTGTTTCTGTGCATCCGGAGAGTTATCCTTGGTTTGGCCATCTTCCGGCTGCCCAATCTGCCCTGCCTCTTCACGGGGAATATCAATTGCGCCTGTTGAGACATTGCCGTTTCCCGAGCTCAGCAGCGGAGAGGCCTCGGTTGGGGGGGTTTGCTGGCGCCATGAAACAAAATACCTCCTGACCTAACTAAAGCAAGCAAGCCCGGGACTTTACAATAGCGCAGCGGCCTCAATGAATTAACGATCAGTCGCAATCAGTGAGTCAAATGGCAACACGGTGCCAATCTCTCCAGCAGCACGTGATGATAAATACTTCCCCGCTCTCCAACGGTCCACTTGGCTTATCGGACCAATCATCAGTCGGGTTTCGGAAGCACGGCGAGTTGTGCGATGTATGGCCGACTTGAGACGGAAAAACCCGATTCGATCTTGTAGACTATAATTTTCAGAGCAAACTAGGGCGAAGTCCCTAGTTAGCCGCTGAAATAATACAGTGTATGTCGCATATGTCTCGTCAGACTCCTCTTGCTCCATATCAGTCCGATCTCTTCTCAGTCAGTTCGAGACCCGCGGTGTGTATGACACGGAAAACTCTGCTCAGATCTATCAATCAGTCACCAATGATAGGGCTAAGTGATTATCAATGAAGTTCTTGCCAGCCTGGAGAATAGTCGAATAGTCCTTGCATACTGGTATCTCTGCGTTTGCATGGTGGCGCTGAAGATCTAATACGCGGTTATCTGCGAACGAACTGTTTTCTCCGAGCATTGGGGCTAGTCGTGATATATAATATGCTTATTATGAGACATATAAGACTGATTAGCTCTCTTGTGCTTGTTCGCACTTGCGAGTGTCAGTTGTTTAAGCTCAGGAGGCCTGATGACTCGCAAACGGCAGGAGCCCCACCTCCGTAGATTAGATAACAAACTTTTTTCTGTACAAACTTATTTTTCTCATTTCAAGACCTTCAACTTTTCTTCGGCACCAGACCCCCTTTTCGATAACTCCCAATCCTCTTGGCTCACCGTCAGGACTACGGATACAATGGCTCGCACTCTCGAGGCTGAGACGCCGCACAATAACTTCGACGTACGTCCCAACGACCTCCTATGGAGGGGTAGAATGACTCACTTATTCTACCTCACCGTGACTTGCAACCAATTTTCGCCAGATAGATCGTGCAGGCGCAATGATCTATAAATGCGAAAAATCGAATTGGCTAACAATTGGCTCTTTAGACAATTCTCGTCCTCGATTTCGGTGTATGTAGCTCTCCAACCTCTTCCCCCCCTCCCTCGGCTTGCTCCAGCAATTTTGAACCACGAAGTCGATAAAAGAGCTTTCGTCGTGCTGCACAGATTTTAGATCCCTTCAAATAACAAAAGCTTACTCTCGTTGAAGTCCCAAACCAGTCACCTTATCCTGCGCCGACTTCGCGCCCTGGGCGTTTTCGCTGAGCTGCTTCCGTGCACCACCAAGATCGCCGACCTGACATGGAAGCCTAAGGGAATTATCTTCTCCGGAGGTATGCTTCCTCATAAAATATGAGCTGAGAATAGGTCTGACTCGACCACCAGGTCCCTCTTCTGTCTACGACGAAGGCTCGCCCCGTAAGACTTTCGCTACCCGATTGTTATGCTGCCTATACTCATTGCTCAGATGTTGACCCCGCCGTGTTTGACTTGAATGTCCCTATTCTGTGAGTTTAGATTATAATATTCTCAACTCTGAGGATGAACTAACACAGAGGTATAGGGGAATTTGGTACGAGTTGTTCCAACACCGATGTCAGTATGATACTAATACAAATCATCAGCTATGGTTGCCAAGAGATCGCATGGCGCATCGACTCCAAGAACGTTGCTCGTGGAGAGGCCCGAGGTTTGTCATTTTCCAGATCATTTTTCAAACCATTTAAAACTCCTCTAACTTTTCGCTTGCAGAGTACGGTCACGCCGATGTCAAGGTCACTAAGGTTAACGCTCATGTGGACCGACTCTTCGCTGGTTTGGGTGAGGACGTTTCCGTCTTCATGTCTCACTTCGACAAGCTAGTTAGCCTTCCTGCGGTAAGATACAACGGCCCCTGGTTTCGGATTATTCTTATTGACTTTGCCAGGGCTTCGTTGTCATTGCTGCTACCAAGAACTCGGAATTCGCTGGTATCGCCCATGAGGAGAAGCCAATATTCGGTCCGTTTGCCTTTCATCTCATATCCGTGCTTGAATATTTTACTGACGCGACATAAATAGGCGTCCAATTCCACCCTGAGCTCGAACACGTCTGTAGCCCCGATAAAACCTGCATAATCTTTCCTAACATCAAAATTTAGACCCCCTGCGGAAACGAGATCCTCCGCAACTTCAGCATTGAAATTTGTGGAGCTCAAGCAAACTGGCAAATGGGCGACTTTGTCCAGCTCGAGATCGCTCGTATCCGCGAGCTTGTTGGCGACCGAGCCCTCGTTCTTGGAGCTGTTAGCGGTGGTGTTGACAGCACTGTGGGCGCAAAGCTAATGCAGGAAGCCATCGGAGATCGGTTCAAAGCTATCATGATCGATAACGGATGTTTGCGTCTCAACGAGAGCCAGCAGGTCAAGGAAAACCTCGGAAAGCACCTCGGCATCAACCTCACCGTTGTTGATGCTGCTGACTTGTTCTTAAGTCGTCTGGAGGGTGTTTCTGACCCCGAAAAGAAGAGAAAGATCATTGGATCTACTTGTGCGTATCCAATGCCATCGCGGACTGGTTATTAAAATGATGCTGACGAGGCTGAAGTCATTGACCTCTTCGAACAAGAGGCTATTAGAGTATGCGCACTCTTTCATGTCTTACAAATGACTAGCTAACAGATAGCACAGATTGAGAAGGAAGCAGAGAACACCCCCAACACCGGCAAGGTTGAATGGTTCTTGCAGGGAACCTTGTACCCCGATGTGTAAGTTACACTGGATTCAGCGCTAAGGATATGCTAATGGTGTCTCAGTATCGAATCCTTGAGTTTCCGTGGTCCCTCTGCTACTATTAAGAGTAAGCATTTGAGAAATATCAGGAGAGAAAAATAGTTCCAGAGATCGTGAGCTAACAGCAGAGATAGCCCACCACAACGTTGGCGGTCTGCCTGAGGTAAGTGACAGCCTCCTGGCCAAGCAAAAGTATATTAACTAACTCGGCTGCAGCGTATGATGAATGGCGTAAGTCAAATCAGTCTAATGCAACTCGAGTGATTTAGTGACAAATTAACTCTGCTCTTTTAGCAAGGCTTGCGTGTAAGTTTTCCTTCCGGATTCCCACAGAAGCAGACGACTAACGACACGTTGATTATAGCTTATCGAGCCACTGAGAATGCTCTTCAAGGATGAAGTTCGGGTAAGACGGTCTTGGTTCGGTATATCTTCTGTTCAAACCTAATATTTGAAACAACAGGCAATCGGTCGTCAACTCGGCATCCACGAGTCACTAGTCGGCCGACACCCCTTCCCCGGTCCCGGAATTGCCATCCGTATTCTTGGTGACGTTACCAAGGAGCGAGTTGAGATTGCCCGCCAAGCCGACAACATTTTCATCAGCATGATCCGGGAGGCTGGCCTCTACGACCAAGTCAGTAATTGACAAAATTAGCGGAAGACCCAAACTAATCATAGTTTTCTAGATATCCCAAGCTTTCGCTGGTCTTGATACTAACCGCAGTGTTGGCGTCTTTGGTGACCAGCGTGTTTGGGGCTACATTGTCATTCTCCGTGCTGTCCGCACGAAGGATTTCATGAGTGCGGAGGTGTTTAACTTCGATAACGCCTTCCTCGCGGTATGCCATCCCCCCTTAGCCACACTCTTCAGCATCTCTCCACCCCCATACCCTTGATACTAACTCCGCGCCAGAATGTTTCGCGTGCCATCTGTAACCAGGTCGAGGGCGTGGCCCGTGTTGTCTACGATCTGTAAGTCAAGTTCCTCAACTGATAATCCTTTCTCCGTCAGCTGACATCAACTTCTAGGACCTCCAAGCCCCCTGGCACCATTGAGCTGGAATAGACGGCAAATCGGAAGGAATGTAGATATAATATGGACATCCCGTTGGCTTAGACTCGAAAAAGAAAAGACTGCCATGGATAAAATGGCTTCGATGGCGTCCACAGGCTTCGCTGGCAAAACCTAGAAACGGGACCTAAGAGGAAAACCATTGCATGATGCCAGCAGCCTTCAAAAAGAAGAGAAATGATTTGATTACGACCTTTGATAGAATGAAAATACGTTCAAAATTTACAGGACAGCAGGCCCCCGGGAGTCGGCGTTAGAATGATGTTTCACGCTCGAAACGAACTTCCTCTTATAGCCTTGGGAAGGGTCTAATGACACAACGAATCTCGAACTGAGCAATGCCATTGATCGATACATTTTCATCATTGGCTTAAGCTGTCACCGCCTTGACACTAAAGAAGGACCGTCCGAACTACGAGATGGATGTAGATGGGATAGAGGTTCGTGTAGGAGTAGATAGGTCGTTATAGTAGCTCCTCCCCCTCTCTCCTCTCCTTCCCTCCTCTAGTTCTAATATTTCGAATGAGAGCGCTGTTGCTGGTTCTTTTTTTCGTTCCTAATATAGACCAACATTAATAATACTAGAACTTAACCTTCTTACTTTCTTTACTATGATATATATCGTTGACATCACAACCTTGTTATACTCAAGATATCTACTATAGCCAAAAATCACCAAAACCCCGCCAAGATAGCATCTCTTATGATATAGAATCACTCGAACAGCCTAGACTATATAACTGGTAATTAGACTTCCGCACAACTAGACTTCTGTATAACCTAATTTGGGTCGAAGATTGCGACCTAGAACCTAACCCAGTCTGTGTGTCACAGGCCAGGGCCTGGTGTTGATCATGTAGGACATGTGACCTTGGCATACTAGTAACGGGGAACTGGTGCATTGAACTCTCTTTCTTAAGTTTATCGAACATAGTTCGTGGCCTAGTATAGATTGAATCAAGTCTTGCTTTAGCCCTTCATATTCAATAAACTTCGCTTGCAGAATAACTAAACCTTTACTGGTTATTGGAGGCCTTGAAGTAGTCGGCTTGAGTGTAACGAATTATCCCTGAATCGCTGCTGATTCACTGGAACGTCAGAACAGAGACGTCGATATAATAGATATATCGAATATCGAATATTAGCGAATAACGGAAGTCTCGAGGTAGTCGGCTTGAGCATATATTGGGTTATCCCTGAATCGCGATCGATTTAGCGGAATATTAGAATAGAGATGTTGATATAATGGATATGTCGGATGTCGAGTATTAACAAACAACAAAATTCTTGAGGTAGTCGGCTTGAGTATATATGAATTACTCCTGAATTGCTGTTGAGTTAGCGGAGTAGTAGAATAGAGACTTAGCTTGAGTATATAACAGTTTATTATGGAATCAAGATCGATTTAATAACAAGTACAGGGTTGTGCTTCCTGGATTGATAGGATAGTGGAGCATGTTAGTCCCACCACGCTCGGAAGTAGTGGTGGACGAAGTGATGGAGGCTGGATAAGTAAGATCACCTGTAGCTATCAGTAGCTCTGGTTGGCTTAGGCTATTCCTCTGTGTTAGCCTTGTCTGGATAACAGTATTAGAGTCACACCATACTCTCCCTCCTACCCTAATGATTTGCTGCCAGGTAAGAATTTGATCCTTAGTAGTAGGGTCCTGATGGTATACTTTCGCTTCAGAAACACAGTAAGAAATCTATAGGCTCCATCTCTCTCCGCTCAGGCCCAGTAAAAGCTGTAAATGACAGGATCCCCGCTTTCATCTCAAACGCCTCGAAGGATGCAAAGTGGCTCCAGATCACCAATGCAACAGACATTTCTCAACGTCCTGGGTATAAAAGAGATCAAAAAGCTCGTCAGCCTTTTTGCATATCAAGCCCTTGAAAACAATTGAGGCTCTTGACTTGCTCCAGTATCCCATACTTCGATTAAAAGCTCCTGAACCTGTATTATCCCTAACAAACTTTCGTTTTTTACTTGTTCTGTTACAAAATCCTGACTCCATCATTGGGATCGATAAAGATCGAAACTTGTTGAAGATGAAGTCCCCCCAAGTGCGATAAGAACAATATCACTGGGAGAACCAACTGCGAATTCTGTGGTGCTGAGCTCCCTGCGGCCATGTCCCGACCTGTCATGCCCAATATGGTACGTACGATGATCTCGACAGGGTCGATTTTAATATCATTGACGACTGAAAGAACACGGCTATTTATCAACAAAGCGGCACGATCACACTGGAAAAGGAATAGGCCGGCAGGTCCTAAATGTCATATTTGTCGGAAGCAGTGTCACTCGTTGCTTTTACTGTGGAAGGCCTGTGGAAGATCAGCAGAAGAGTAGCTCGATTCTATTCTTATGCCTCATTTGGCATGCTCAATCCACAACTATTTAAAAAACTTAATCCTCTCTCGTCCAAATTCGGATATTTGCGCAAAGCAAAGAAATCCAACCAAAAATTGCGAGCCTCAGTATGGTCCGGCAGATGCTTGCGTAGTAGCTCTTTCCATTCTTTATCCTCTTGCCCTAGACCAATTCCTGCGCAAGTAAATTCCCACCAAACAGGAAAATAACCCGAAGATTCCCAGTCCAGAATACCTACCAAGTTACCGTTATCCACGATGATATTGACATTGGTGAGGTCGGAGTGAGTGAATGTATACGGAGCAGCACTTGGCATACGTTGACGTAATCCCAAGCGAATTTCCTCTGGCACATTTGACAAGGCCAACGACATCTCCGCCCACAGCTCATCATCAGACGAAAACGGCCCATGCCCAATACCGTAGCCATTCGGAAATAGAAAAGCCGAGTATAGTGGCCGTCCGCCTAGGCATTCCATTCGGTTGGAGTGAAGTTCGCGAAGCTGCATCACATATTCAGCGGTCTGTTTTGCGACGCGTTCTTTGTCCGCTCCGGACATGGTAGGCCAGATTTCACTCAAGGTGTGGCCTTGAATCCGTTTGGTAAGCAGGAAATATGTCCCGTTGTCTTCCTGCCACTCTTCTACGATTTTGGGGATAGGTATTGAAGTTCTTTCAGCCAAGAAACGAATGTTGAGAGATTCGAAGTTGGGTGGCTCAATGGACCGTTCTTTCAGAATCAGGTTTGAACCCAGGGACCATACTCCTCGATTGCTGACACCGTAGAAAATTTTCACATGACTGTTGTAGCGACAATCCTCTTGACGTGTTGGTGACCAGCTACAAGCTGAGCAGATATTTTCGGAGGCCATCTGGAAAATAAAGGGCAGAAATTGTCTTGCAACAAGTAATAAGATGGATAACTTTGAAGTTGGAGAAGTCTGGGGTTCTTATATGCTCGCACCAAAGTTTGAAACGACCAACACACCGCTATTTTTTTCAACCCTTTCCCTCATACCGCCTCATTCAACCCCTAGGAGTAGATAGGTCGGTATAAAAGCTCCCCCCCCTCTCTCCTCTCCTTCCCTCCTCTAGTTCTAATATTTCGAATGCGAGCGCTGTTGCTGGTTCTTTTTCCGTTCCCAATATAGACCAACATTAATAATTAGACTTCCGCACAACCCAGCTTGACCCGGACCCAACCCGGACCCAACCCGGACTGGGTTGGGTTTTGGGTCATATCCACTGTATCAAGAAATCTCTTTCTAATGCAATATCTCTGGCAAGTGGATTGTCGCCGATTCCTGCTCAGGTTTCTAAAGGGCTATAATCATGCGCGCTCTTCAGTAATAGTAGTGATTAAACCTTCGATCCCGGCTCGTAAAGATCAAGATGAATAAGGCATAAGATTTGTAGTAGCGGTATTTAGGTATTCGAATTTCATACGCCTCACCCTAGACGGGCTGAAATATCTATCTACTCTGCCTTCTTGAGGCCAGATCAGCAGTCGATAGCCAAAAGATAAACCCTACCCTGGGGCTCTTTCGAAGATTCTCCCAGTCCGAGTATGTTACGGCTAGAAATATTAATTTAGGATTTAGCCTTCATGGACAGTAACCATTGGCTCCCATTGCCACAGTACATTGTTCAGTCTGCTTAAAAATCGTTTCGCCCAGATTGTGTTACTTTCTGGATGATCAGTGCAGCGGCGGGCAATGGCGCAGGCGATGGTCCTAAGAGAATGAGATACTGATTGGCTCCGTACGGCATCCATAGAGGTCAGCTAAGTGGAAGCTATATATGTCCGCAGTACAGCCGATCGGGGAATACAGTGCTGAATATGCAAATGCCTATAAGTATCAAGCTTCTTGTGGTAAGTTTATTTCTCATCAAAATATCAGATAATATGCTCCCCAAACGAGACAAAAGCGCACTCAGGATTGCTGATGCCAGAGAAACTATGAGGGCTCCGATTCCGAAGCCCCCTTGAACGTCGTTCCGTTGAGCTGGCCATAACACTCCCACTAAACTGCGCCCCCAAAATGGTGCTCATCATGATCCAAAAGATGACCTCAGGATACGATCCTTCAATAAAATCTATATGTACCCCAACCGAAGAATGCCCCGTCAACGTCAAGGACTCTCTGTTCTTTCCGCTTAGGCAAGCGTGGAAGCCAACCATTTCGCAAGGGGTTCAAGACTCCTTTGCTGTGTTCACGATGGATGAAGATCTCCAGTGGCACTGGTGGGAGCGGTGTCAGAGGTCTAGAAAACTCATTCATAACAGTCGTCCGGAGAACAGCTTGGCCGGTCCCCAAAGTGGCGACATATAAGGATATGCCCATAATTTGTCGATTCGACACGCATCTTTGTTGTGTATACCTCGCTGGTCGTCAATAGATGCAGTTTCAAGCTTTTAGTTCGAGAAGATTGTATAGAGCTCAGCACTCTCACGGCCTTCAGGATAATGGATGCTGCGGGCTGCTGGTGTGTCAGATGGTAGTAGCCGTGAATTAGGACTCCAGGAGCGCACCACGGGTCCAAAATTTTGAGGCGGCCCGAAGGCTAGAGCATATGAAATCGGAATCTACTTTGCAATCTTTGCGGAGAGGGAACAAGAAGCAGTGTACACCCAAATAAGAAGGGATAGGGCTCTGCATGGATGGACGAATCTTGCCCGTCGCCTTGGGGGAGTTGGGGGGTCTGAATATCTGGGGGACCATCCCCGGCTCGCGAGCGCTTTGGGACCGAACCAGAACATGCGCCTGTGCGCATTTCAGAGTGAACTTGAAAGGCATTATGTTATTGTTCTGTATCGGATTAAATGGCTAGGGACCAGTATACTCATGGTCGTGCCGGACCAGAACGCCGATGGATACCCTTGGCCCTATTCCAATCGGCACCAGCCTCATATCTCAACAACAACAAGAAGTCTTCAATCCTTCCGATCGTGGAATCTAAATAGCTTTATCGATCAGGACCTTGCAATTGACATATGCACTCTTGCTTGATTTATAAATTTGCTAATAGAACTCCCCCTGAACCATGCGTAATGGCTTTCGCTCTTTATGCATGTGATATAGATATAGTAGATTCGGCCAAAGTTGGCTGGGAGTAGCCTGGTGGATATAGTTTTTCTGCGCCAAGTCGGATATGACCGTATACCTAATTTGGTAAGCCAGCATGGGAATGCTTTCAAAGGCTTTCTTGAACTTACACCCACCACCGGCAACCTGAGCCTCCTCCCGACATCTCATATCTATCACGGCCAAGGCTGTAGATGAGGCGCGCGAAGAACAATACAGTAACTCCTGCCGTAACCTGAAAGTCCCAATGCATGATGGCAGATGTAGTTTGGGTATAGCCATGCCGGGTCCACTCAAGGATCCCAGTCGGGTTATCAAATTCGGCTCTCATGTTGATACGAGTTGATGACACTTGATCGGAATGGATCAAGTACATTGACCAATGATTGTCGCTGGTATTTGGCCCGGCTGCACCAAGGGTGTGTACCACAACACGGACTGTCGTGACTGGAGTAGGGTCAGCCTGCACCACTTGCGGAGGTAACGGAGACGGCATAGTGGAAATGTAGGTATCGGGTATGGTAGGGTAATCTCGCAAGGAAATTTCCGAGTCCGCCTCAATAGCTGGGTCTGACGGCTTCCACGCGACAATTTATATGGGCTGAAAAGGTTGGATCAGAGAATGACGCATTGAAGCCTGTGGCTAGTTTTATTAGCGTAAAGCTCATTAACCCTGCAACCGCCAACGATTCAAGGGTGGCGTTGTACGGTAAATCCAGCTTTAATTGATTGGGCAGGGTAGGATGTGGAAAGGGCACGGTCCCTGGTAATAGTTAGTGATAGGAGGTCGTATAAATAACTACGCGTATTGTCAGAACACACGGTGCTGTTGAGCGGCACCGTATTACCGTCTATTCATTCTTGGCGAACAACAAACTCGTTAGTTAACTAGTTACTCATATTAGGTAACTAACTTTTCTTATAGTTATAGGGAACTCAGTGTAACTTAACTAGTTAACGAGTTAACTGACTAACTAACTATAAAAATGCGGTGTCTGTCATTTTAGAACTTGCAGGGTTACATTTTATACGGTAATACTGTTTTCGAATTCTACTAAGTAAAACAGTACTGTAAAAAGTCGGTACCCGGTCACAAGGTGTCCTTGGATAGGAGAGGATAGCTCGTATATTTCTCAGTAATCGTCTGCTACAGCAGTCATGCTAGGCATCTCCGGATAGTTTATCGCGCGGGACAAATAATGAGCACAAATTGGACAAAGTAAGTACAAGTAAACCGTGGAATCGGCTTTTCTTTCTAGCTTCCAGAACCGGATTTCGATAATCGATGGAAGTTGGACTCTCTCGGGCCGAGCAGTCGTGCTCAGCTTGGTCATACCAATCTGGTGGGTATTCCGGCATTGAAGGGGGCGCGGCAGGGATAGATTGTCCCAATAATCTTTGGCATGAATTGGGTCTTTTGGTCTGGCTGGTGGTAGGTGAGTTTCAATCAATATATGTCTAGAGTCCCACGCACTTACAAAGGATACTTCTGGATATTTCTCCAAAAACACATAATGGACTCTTTTTGCGCCATCTCTTGAGCGGATAAAGGGTTCATCTTGGCTAAGAGAAGGGAATTAAACCTGCCGTCCTTTCCTTCAATAATCCACTGCACACAGAACTCAAATAACCTTGGATAGTAGCCGGCAGATGCCCAATCAATAAGGCAGAGAGACCCATCTTCCTGCCACAAGATGTTTCGAGGTGCTAAATCCAAGTGGCAGAGAACAAAGTCACAGCCCTGAAACGACAATTTCGGATTGTGCGAGAGCAGCCGGCTATTAAACCACTTTTCCATCTCGTCGGGGCTCTTGAATACCAGATCTTCAGTGTCAGGGAATAGTAGCCCACGGCAAGGCCCTTTACATAAAGATCCAGGAGTGGCACGCTGTAGTGTTGCAAAATAGTCAAGCACGCCTGCAACCTTTTCGACGGCGCCTAATTCTTCCAATGGGTCAATTACCTTTCCGTTTATCAACTCCATCACAATATAACCCCGGCCTTGTTCATCACAAAAGAAATCATACACACGTGGAATACGAACTATGCGACTATCCACAAGTTCATATGCTATCCTCTGGTTTTCAGCTTCTTCAATCGTTACATCTGGGCCCCACTTCACCACTTGCTGATCAGATATTCTGATGACACGTTTTCCGTATCGACTAAGAATATTATCGGGTAACGGATTTTGACAATAGGCAATCACCGAGGCTTGTCGAATATCCTGGGGGAATGCCATGTTCTTGTGCTGTGTGGTGTCGAAAGAAGGAGCCTATAGCTTTACAGACTCCAGGTCTCAGGAAAAGGTACTAGAGAGCGAAGATAAGGTAGATGATAGGTCGAGGCTAGATACCTCAACAAGCCAGAGACATATGGCGAGAAAGGGGAGCTTCTTGAACAAAACGCGATTTCAGTTGGGAGTACAAGGCGGTGTAAGGGATCAAGAGGCAGAACAAGGGAAAGTACCTTTGTTATTGAGCTCTCCTTTTGATGATGTGATGACGTAACGAACATACAAATTCGATTGGACTCCAGCCTAGCCTATTTTATTAGTTCATTGGTCAGTGTTCATACTATGCAGTACACAGTTCTTCTTGGAGCTGCAGAAGAAAAAGGGTCTGTTGTTTCTTCTGCCAGTTAGCAGTCCCAGTCCGGGTTGGGTCCGGGTTGGGTCCGGGTCAAGCTGGGTTGTGCGGAAGTCTAGTCAGGAGAGACTCGGAAGCACCAGCGAATCTTGATGGCTACTGATCCTGCGAGTATCCATGAAGTAACTGCTATTCATAATATTTATGCATATGCTTCAAATGATACTATCAGCGTAGCAATGATATACACCAAAGCATAAGGCTCTGGTAGGATGTACCACTGCAATGAGATAGGAACTCCCGCGTAACCCTAACAGATTCTCCACCATATTCCATTGCTCCACTCCCATGCGACTTCCACTAGTTCCATGAAAAGTGTAAAAGACTGATCCAACATATCCTGCAACTCCCACTGTGCCTACTCCGCATATTACTCACCAATTCGAATCATCGAAATGCACGCTACCATGCTAACAGCTCCCAACGTCTTTTAGCCCTTGGGGGCTCTATTCGCCTAAGCTCCCATATATGTCAATCATTCCGTGGCATTCGGCAGATTGCATAATATGAATCTAGAAGCTTAGACCATGATCTCTTCCACCGAGGCATCAGAAGGCACTACTGAGAGGCCACAAATCCAGGGCCAGCGTTTCTTTAAACGCGCGTCATAATGCACTGCATACATGGCATGATCAGGGATCGGCAAGATCCCATTCTAGCCAATCGGCACCAGGGCACTCATCAAGTCTGGAATGTATGAAGATAAGACTGCCCTCCTATTTCTCCCATTGGGGTTCGATGATGCAGCTCCTCACAGGAGCCGACTAGCCCCCAAATCATCCGACATGCCTCCTCACCGCCCGAATCCTGATCGTACAGGGCAAACTCAGGCCAATCTGATAATTGCCTGCGCGAGCTGAGACCCTCTGCGTACGGACACAAGATGGCATGTTGCAGACATGCGAATTGGCCCCTTCCGCCCCTCTGGCCCCGAAGCCTGACGGAGCAAGGCCTTTGCCCCCACTGCTATGGAGACACCATGTTGGGCGGTCTTAGTGGGGGCAGAAGGATAGCCTGAAGGATTGAGGATCGTGTCATGAAGCCCGAGAAATACTCATTTCCACGAGTTGGCCAGATCCTTTCATCTCGGATTGTTTATTGCCAGTTCAATGTTTCCTGGGAAAGTCGGAGCGCACATCATGCGGCTAAAAGGCTCCGAATGGGGAGGCGTCCCTACTGCGATTTTGATCAGATGCTCAGACGGCAACTAAATGATACCAAGCAAATCCTAAAGTCAATTTTAAGGGGCGGAGGGGCCGAAACGAGGCTTTTATGGGTCCTGAAGAAACCCGGTTGAACGATTCCTGGCGGGATTCGTCGAATCCATGCTTTCTCACAGTGGAGTCAAACCCAACACAAAAGAAGCGCTGCCTTCCTAAAACGCGATTAAGTTACCCCGTAAGCCTTATGGCCATTCATTGCAGCTGCGTGTACTTCATTCGAGCGTAATCTTTACGCTGTGGGAACTCACGCCACGGGCGGGATTAGACAAAGTTACTTGCCGGGATTATATTCATATAGAAATAGATTCCGGTCTGTGAACCCGATCTTCCCTCCATCTCCAGGTCACGAACATATCCAAAAATGTTCAAGCACATCTCTATCGAGGAACTTCACCCAACGTTCGGTGCCGAGGTCAGCGGCGTCGACTTCTCAAAGTCGCTGGACGATGAGGTCTTTGAGGAGATCAAGCAGGCGATCTACAAAGTAGGTTCCTTTCCCAGAAAGCTTTAGAGTGCGGGAAGCTAATTCATACCTCGATAGTACGGCGTCCTGGTCTTCCGAGATACAGGCATCACTGACGAGCTGCATGTCGAGTTTGGCGAGCGATTCGGAGAGATCGAAGACGCCAGCCCCTTCGTGAAGGATGGCAAATACAGATTGTCAGACACCAGACTGTTCGACCTCAGTAATATGGACGCTGATGGAAACATCGTCGTCCCCGAAACCCTCCACGGCGTGTGGAACAAGGTATGTCTAAACATCCTAAACGCCAGAATAGGGAGAACATATACCCCCATAGCCTTTCCCCCGAACTAACCAAAAGTCCTAGGGCAACACAATCTTCCACACCGACCTGAGCTATAACCCCCACCGCGCAGGAATCAGCATCCTCGCCGCACACGAGCTCCCTCCGCCAGGAAATGGCGGAACCACCGAGTTCGCCGACCTCCGCGCCGCCTTCGACGACCTGCCAGAGGAGCAGAAGAACGAGTTACGCACCAAGGGCTACATCGGCTCCCACTCCGTCTGGCACTCGCGCCAGCTCGCCTCGCCCGAAGTGGAGATCCTGTGGAAGTTCAAGCCCGACGAGCACCCCGTGTCCAAGCACAAGATCTATCAGATCCACGAGGGCTCCGGCCGCGAGACGCTCTATATTGCGTCGCACATCTTCCGCATCGATGGCATGAGCCAGGAGGAGTTCGACGCGTTTTATCCCCCGCTGTACGCGTTCGCCCAGCGCCCGGAGAACATCTTCAGTGTGGAGTGGAAGCAGCCCGGTGATATTGTGATGTGGGATAACACAAGCGTGATGCACCGGGGCACTGGCGGAAACTTCACTGGCAAATACCGCCGTGACATGCGGCGAGCGACGGTGTACGACGGCGGCAAGGAGGGTTGGGGTGTTAACCAGCGTGATGCGCAGTTCCAGGGTCTTCTCCAAGAGGCCTCTGGTTAGAGTCCTTTTTTTTCCTTTTATTTCTCTTTTCTTTTTCATATGTAGTCTAGTATCATAGGAATTTGAAAGCGTTATTAGGTGGAAAGAAATTATTTAAGTCTTATATGCATTGGCGTAGATCTATATCATTGCTATACGAACTCAATGGAGATAGAAGATTCAACGTATAAAAAGAACAACGTAGCGTCATCTCTGGATTTGTCATAAAAAGAAGGGGAAAAAAAAGAACAATCGTGCAAGTTTACAGACGGATCGTTCCCAGCCACTCGAGAAGAGCTGCTCGGTCCAACGTTTGTGAAGCGGTGCGGGGAAGCTTCTCCACAGCAAGCCATACAGAAGGCACCTTGTCTGCGGTAAGTTGAGACAGAGCGCGCTCCTTGATTGCTCCGATCACCTTGTCAGCCGCGGCCTTGCCTTCGTCGGCAAGGAGTTTCAGAGGCGTTTCGCTAGGAAGCTTCTCCTCGGTGAAAGACACTACACCGATGATCTGAGTGCGGCCCTTGACAATCTTATTTGTGACGGCCACTTCGGCAACGCCCTCGTAGCTTGACAGCTCGTTCTCAACCTCCTCGAGGTGGAAGGTTTGTGTCTTGATGCTGATCTTGTTGGATTTGCGTCCAACGAACTCAATGTTGCCGTCGGCCGTGTACTTTGCGAGATCGCCAGTGCGGAAGAACTTGGAGTTCTTGAATCCGGCGTCAACAGCCCATTGAGGTGCGGGGATGAAGAGCTCGCTCCCATCCTTCTCGCTTTGGAGTGCTTGAGCGACAGCTGGGCCCTCGAACAGAAGTTCGCCCACGCCGCCGATTGGACGCAGGCGGTCAACGTTCTTGACGTCAACAATCCAGGCGGTTGACTTGGTTGGCTTCCCGAGAATGTTTGCAGGAGTATCGGGCTTGACCTCGTTGAAGAGTTGGAAGCCCGAAGTGCCAAGAGTTTGGTATCCATTGAACAGCTTCACAGCTTGGCTCCAGGTCTTGCGTGAGGTGGGATCGACCGGTTCGTTATACGATACAACGGCCTTGAGGGTGGGAACAGATTCAGGGGCAAGCTTGCGAAGGGTGTGGGCAGGCAAAAAGGCAGTGTTGACCTCGTTGTCTTTGATGGACGCACCCAGGGGCGCGGCGTCTCCAGGGACGACGACGGAGCCACCGCTCAACAGGGCTCCGAATACCTCAGTGACGCCAACAATGGATGCAAGTGAGGCATTTTGCAAGACTCGGCTTTCGCTGTTGAGACCAAGGACCTCGGAGGCTGACTGAACGGATTCGAGGAGTGGACCATGCTCAACAACAATACCGCTGGATTTAGGAGTAGGGTTACCTGGGGAGAAGATGAAAGCAGCCGCGCTATCAACAGATAGGGCCTCGGCAGACTCGGTGAGGGATTCGGAATCGACCACAAGAAAATCGAGGGCGGATTTTGCGGCATCCTCCTTCTTGGCTGGAGAGGTTAAGATGACCTTGGCATTCGCCTGGCCAAGGATAGCTTCATTAAGGCCCTTCTTGGCAGTGGGCTCCAGTGGCACAGACACGGCGCCGGCCTTGAGGGCTCCAAGGATGGCGATGACGGGCCAAACGGACTTCTCGAATAGAATAGCGACCGTGTCACCGGCAGCAACCCCCTTTTGCTTCAGCTTCTGAGCAACCTGGTTTGACTTGTCGTCCAATTCCTGGTAACTCGTAGTGCCGTTACTGGTGATGACGGCGGGCTCGCCAAGCCGAGCTTGAGCGCGCTCGCTGAAGAGACCATGAAGGGTGTGTTTGGCGAAGCTGGGGGTCACAGGCTTCTGCCATTCAAGGATCTGCTTGTGGTCCTTCTCATTCAGCAACGGCAAGTCCTGAAGCTTGGCTGTACGCTCGGCCTTCACGAGTGTGACAAAGGTATGCGCGAGTTGAGTCATGAGTCGGTCGAATTCGACTGGCGAAAAGTACGCTGGGTCATAGCGGGGCTTGAATGCAACTCCCTCTTCTTCGACGGCACACATGATCGTCAGAGGAAATAGGCCTCGGTGCCAGATAAATTGAGACATTTGGGCATGTGAGTCGTCGTTGAATTTCTGGATCACGGGGCGAAAGCTCAGAGCAGTCTGGAACTTGGTCGCGATCTTCGCAGATTCGCTGATGGCGGCAATTTTTGGCAGTCCATACTGAATCCACGGGCTGGTGGTTAGTTGACGCATAGAAGTGACGCGATCTCTGATGAAGGCTTCCGAGGTCGATAATGGGTTGATGTTGGCTTGGACAGGGACTTCCACCCGAGTGGTTCCCATCCAGGTCTCCTCGATGCCCAAGCCTCCTGGACGACCAGACAGGTAACTGCCGTAGATAATAAGATTGCTGTCGGAGTAGAGACTGGACACTAAAGTCCAAGCTCCCTCGAAGTAGGACGGAATCTAAGTAGGGTCAGCGCTGCCACTAGGGCGATCATCGGCATTCCGCCTTATATCTCGTCGAACATACCTGGGCCGTCATGAGCTTTTGACCGATCTCCTCCCAGGTCACCAATGTCGGTGATGCTGTTGCTCCGTTTGGTACATGGCCTGGCTTGGGCTGGGGATATAAAGTGCCATTGCCACGGAAGCGGGGAGCCCAGAACTTGGTGGCTCCAGCCTCGTCTAGCTCCAAGCTTTGGATCACGAAGTCCTTGTAGGGAACTCGTTTCTTGGGCTTCTCGCCGTGGTAGAACTTGGCCACTTCGATATCCAGGAAGAGCTCCCATGAGTAGAGATCCATAATGGCATGCTGCATTACAACCACGAGATCCCTTCCAACACATTTTGTTTGGAATAATGGTTCGCCGGGCTTGATCTCGATGGCGTCGGGCTTCTGTACATAATCATTGACATTCCCCGTGCAGCGCTCGGTAACGTGAGGCTCATTACTCACGACCTGGACCCAGCCCAGGTCGCAGTTCACGAGTCGAGTGCGGTACACACCGTGCAGAGCCACCGCGTCCGTCAGCGCTTGCAAGAACTTGTCCAGATCTAAAGCGGGGTCGATAGAGATGACGAATTGGTAGATGGCATCTTTCCGCTCAGTAGCGAGCAGCTCCTGCAGCGGTGTGCAACTAAAGACATCTTCAATGGATTCTAATGGCAGATTGCAAGCCTTCGCGATCGACTCTAGGGTCGCAGGGTCGACATCCTCCCGCGACTTGATGATACGGGACATGATGAAGAGATTTGCAGGTCAAAACGCTCAGCAAAAGCCAATAAAAGAATGTTTGAAAGCTTGGCGACAAGAAGACTAAGGACGATCAGGGCTGACTTGGCTGGCTTGGCTGACTTCAATCGGTCCAAAGAGCAACAGGCGGGGACTAGGAACTCTTGGCGGATGGTGACGATTCAGCCGGGGGTCTCTTGGCGATTATAACTATTTGTACGAATCGTAAGCTGGGAAAGTTTGTTCGGCGAAGGATTCAGCGGATTTGCAGATTCAACTCCTGAATTTTAAACTCTTCTGCTCGGAAAACAGGCCCCCTTCCCCCTCCGAGCTGTTGGCGGGATTCCCTGTATACCGTGCAATTCGCTAGGGAAGTCACCCTAGTCCGGCTTGCGTCTTTGCGCCTCGCATTCTCTGGGCCAGGCGTCCAAAACATGATCCTTCTTCATGAAGATCTATGAATCTGTGATCGCCAGTGGAGCGGGCTTGCCGAGTGGCATGCCCCAGCAGTAACGACAGCGGCGAGATGGGGGCTATGGAGGCGTAATCGATCATCTCGAGACCCTCGAATAAAAGGACTCCGCGAGAAACGACTAGTCCTCACTGGTTGAGCCCTCATCTTTCTCATACTGCCGGTCGCCTGTATCCCCCGTTGGCCCCCAAATCCCGTCATGGCTGTGCAGCCCCTATCTCGACGCGCTAATTCTCAATCCGCGCGTGCAGAGTCCCAAAAGACCTGCCATTACTTGGGGCCACGTTGATTGGGGTCCATTTGATGAAAATTCCGAGATCTGGAATTGGTGGCCCCTGCATGCTGAAAGGACCCATTGTAGACGTCAATTGCTTGGCTAATCGGGGCCCACTCAAGTTTATTCAAGCCTATTAGTTTCTGCATGGTACGGCGTGATGGCCCCCCCGTTGGCCAAGTGGACCCCGTTAAGCCCATAATCTGGCCCCATGCACGGCACACCGGGGGCAGCAAGTGATTAGACCCCGGGTGCTTTGCCACACCCAAGTGCGACATATGGGGTCGATGGACCAGCTCCTCCGCAATGTTGCTCATGGTAGCCGCCGTGCCAATCATTGGGGACAAAACCCTGCCGCCGGCTATTAGCCATTTGTCACGGAGATGGGAGCTAACGTATACAGGGTTCTGAGCGGGTCCTTCTTGCCAAAAGAGTCTAGTTCCCCGGGTCGAGCCAACGTCAAGCATTCTAGTCTCGGAGGAGATGAAGTCATCGTACATATAATACCCCGAGTCGACTTATCAGTCTGTTGATCTGCACGTTACCTCCGTAGATCTTGCCCAGACCTGCAAATGGGATTGGGGGTTTTGCGAGACGTTCCCGTCTGGCCAAAACTTATAAAAGTCAGGCTAGCTGAAAGTGGTGTCTCAGGGTAGCTAATCAACTTGAAGTACTATGGGAGATTCTATGTTTGGTTTCGCCCCTGCCCCGAGTAAAAGGAAATACGGCTGGGATCTCTTCATGTGGCGGGGGGGGATCGAGGCGTCCCTCGTTTGGTCTTATCACGCATCCGACATTCGAATAGGTCACATTGGAGCAGGCCTCGGCGCTGTGATTCCTTTATCGCCTCTGCATCATGCTGTTTCACTCACTAGCGTTTGCAGATTTGTGTCCCAAATGCGAGCATACCACTTGACACCCCCATACTATCAATTGTGTGATAGCTTATCCTCATTCCTTTCGTACCACCCCGATGGTAGAAACGCAGTGTCTCTCTGCATATCTCACACCCGTTCATCATTGCTCTCAGTAGCCGATCTAGTTTCAGCAGTACCCTCTTTAAATTATTCATGCGTTTGCCGTAGTCCGTGAATAGTCGCTAAGCTTAGGAAACCTGCTTATACCACCGGAAGAAATGGGCTTTCCAACCCGGAGGCTTGACTGTCAGGACATTCGCCTACTCAAGTAAACACTCTTTTTGAACTACTGCACTACGCATTACAAGATCGCCCAGTCCACCGTGGCTGGTATGTCCGGATATTCTGATTTGGCAGAGGTAAACGGCACCAGCTATGCAGCTCCACATCCTTACCAACAACTAAGCCAGCTGGAATAGCCCTAAACAGTTTTCGATCGACGATACTTGACCCGTCTTGGAGCAAGTTGAGGCAATTCCAATCGGGTAAGAATAGAGGTCTGAGTCCCCGTATTAGCAATGCCATGCTGCTCTTAAATGCATCCATCGTCCGAATCGTTTCCCCTGCGAGATCTTTCTACTTAATAAATACCACTACTAACCACAGGCCCTTTCAACTAGTCAATCATCAAGGTACCTACAAGTATATAATAGCACTTGAGAGTATAATAACATTTTACTTCCAAGCCGATGGTTCTAATTTGACTGACACTAGTAGTATGAACATGATAAGATTATCGAGAAACGTCGCTCTGCTTATGGTTCGCCCCAGATCTCATCAGCAATTTGGCGGACAAGACCCAGCTTCTTCTTCTCGTCCTCAACAGACAACGGGTAACCGCTCTCGTGGGTACTGAAGCCACACTGAGGGCTGACACAGATGCGCTTCAGCGCCTCCGCCCGCGACTCCCCACTGCCCGAAGCCACAAACTCGGCAGCCTTGTAGATGCGCTCCTTCATCGCCTCCTTGTCCTCCAGCGCCCGGAGCTTCGTGCTGATCACTCCCACCACAACATTCTTGTTCTTAGGAAGATACTTGAGAGGCTCAAAGCCCCCAGCCCGCTCGGTATCATACTCCAGATAGAACGTGTTCACGTTCAGATTCTCAAACAGTTTCTTCGCGATAATATCGTACGATCCCTCCGAAAAGTGACGCCCACCAATGAAGTTGCCCCGGCACAGATGGATCCCCGTATGCATGTCTTCCGGCGTCTTGCTAATCGAATCATTGTACAACTTAATGTACGCATCAAGCAGGTCCTCCACCGTCCCCTCGTTGTCCTTATCTTCCTCCCAGCCTTTGCGGAACTCCTTGGAGCAGAAGTAAGCCATGCCGGGGTCGTCGAACTGCACATTGCGCAGACCCGCCTTGTACAGGGCGTCCAGCTCCGCCTGGTACACCTTGGCCACGCCGTCGAAGTACTCGGCATCGTTGGCGTAGGCCTCGGGCGTGTACGCTTTGCCTTGCTTGTACCGCATGTGGAACCAAGCGGGAGTGATCATCGTCAGCTTGATGTTGCCCCACTCGCTTTCCGGAAGGGCCTGCTGCACCAGCTTGAGCTCGTGGAGGTTGGAGGTGGACTTTGCAGGGTTCCAGGAGAGCTTCGAGCCGGCGATCACGGAGTCGCCCGGCATGACCTTGCGGTCTTTCTCGATAAGACTGACCACATCCGGGTGATAGAGACGGAAGATGGAGGCGTCGGCGTCTTGGAGACGGATGGTTCCTGGATAGGAGTTTAGCAATCGAAGTTTTCATTCACGACCATGGTTATCAACTGAGGGTATTTCGCTCAGGTTAGGGATCCCACCTTCAAATTCATCCCACATCAGACCCCAGAACCGGGTCCGGTTGTACTCGCCGGACCCAATGGCCTTGAAGCCGGCGTCTTTCTGGAGCTTGACCACGTCTGCAACGGCTTCCTTCTCCACGGCGGGCAGACCAGCTGCCTCTTCGGACAACCCTTCGTCGCGGATCTTGGCACGAACTTCGAGCAGCTTGTCCGGACGCAGCAGGGAGCCCATGTGCTCGGCGCGAAAAGGTGGTGCGCTGTGGAGTTTGCTTGCCATTGTGCTTGTTGCTTGATCGGTGTTGCCTCAGGGAGAGATTTATTTGTGGGAATTGAGCTTCTCCGGGCGATAATTACAATTATTCCGGGGAAAGAGCTGGGAAGGAAAAAGAGGCGAAATGACGCTGGTAATTGTGTAGCTGATCCTCAAGTGGAGGAATGTGGGGCTTTTGATGATGGGGCTCCGATGGTGCTGTGGTGAGGTTCGTGGGGCAGTGGACGAACTGCCTCCAGCGCCAAGGAGATTAGATTGAAACCTGAGATCCAATAGAGGGCCAATATGGTTTCGGAGATTCACAATGTCTTTATGACTTTGTCAGATTACCAAAACGCACCATCGCACTCGATTAAGCCTGGTTTCGCAAATTTCGCAAAGGCTTAAGTTCAAGGCTTGACGATCGATGTGGGGCTTACGATAAGCATTGCTCAGTAATTGAATGAGGCTGGATGGGATTGGCTCAACTATGCTATTGCGTCAGAATATTCGTATTCTATGGAGAAACGAAATCTGAGTCCGGCATGAAGACATAAACGTGTCGTGAATTTACTTGCAAATGGTATCTGAGTATGATGCAACGCCGCTTTCGATCATTTACCATGCTCCTCTTATGCTGATACGGGCATCGGCACTGGCCCACCTGGAGAGGTTGGCAGGCGAGCCGTGAGAACCTCTACTCCATCTTCGGTTACCAAGAGGGTATGCTCAAATTGCGCTGAGAGGGACCCATCTTGAGTAGTGCTGGTCCAGTCATCGGGCCAGGTGCGGTCGCGGTGAGTACCGATGTTGATCATAGGCTCGATAGTGAAGCACATGCCAGGCTTAGCAGTGCCCACGGCCTTGTTCTTGCCGTAGTGTGGCACGTTAGGCGCACAATGGAAAAGTTGGTTGATACCGTGGCCACAGTAGGTCTTGACAACACTGCAGTTGCGGCTCTTGGCGTGCTTCTCGATGACGTTTCCGGGGTCGCGGAAAAGCATACCGGGCTTCACGAGTTCGATCGATTTGTCAAGACACTCGCGGGAGGTCTCGACCACGCGGACAGCATCGGGGTTTGCGAGCGCCTTGTCGCCGACGTAATAGGTTTCGTTGATGTCACCGTGGAAACCCTTGTGGTAGAGAGTCACATCGATGTTCACAATGTCTCCATCCTCGAGGGGGCGTTGGTCGGGAATACCGTGGCAAATCGTCTCGTTGACCGAGGTACACACTGACTTGGGGAAGTGCATGTAGTTCAAGGGAGAAGGGTACGACTAAGATTCGAGTTTTGTTAGCCGCTTGTCGACCAAATTTGTTGCGCGTATTGTCCTTACCTCGCGTTCAATACAGGCCTTGTGCACAACTTCGTCGATGTAGTCGGTTGTGACACCGGGCTTGACAGCAGCCGCCGCAAGGTCGAGAACCTCACGAGCCAGGCGGCAAACCCGGCGCATACCTTCCTGTTCTTCCTTGTTCAAGATCTTGATGCTGTGCTGGCCAAACAGGCGCTGTTCGGAGCGAGGGATACCATCTCCGGCGTAGTCGGGGTACGGAATAGACTTGGGGACGGTACGACGGGGAGACAGAGGATACACTGGCCGGAGAGAGCCGGTGTACTGGAAGGACGGGAAGGGGTTGAAGAGGCCGGTAGCTGGATCAGGTTCAGAAACTACCTTCGGAATGCGTAGGTTGGAGAGGATATTACTCTTTTTATGGATAGTCTTGTGGTCACTCTGAAGGGTCGAGCATGGTTAGTAACAGATAAACATAACAAGGACTCGCTTCGCGCCACGCGCTACTACCGAGCTTTTGTATGTGCGCTTACCCAGCTTCGCTTGAAACAATCCTGCGAGCAGAAGAAACTGTCCGTCCCCGCCTTCAGACAAGTGGGACACTGCAGGGTGCCGGCATCATTGGCACAGTCGACACCGATGCACTTTCGAGTAACCGCGGCAGCCATGATGCGCTGAGAAGGAGCACAGGCAGGCCGGAGGAATTCGGAGATTGAAATGGGACGAATTGGGGAAGAAAAGTAAGAGTCTCGAAATCTTAAAGATGCCCGAGTCGAAGGCTTCTCGAAGAGACACTAAGCCTAGAATGGACTAGCCCAAAATTTCGCATCGCTGCCTAACCCTCCAGGCCACAAGCCGCCAGGGTCGCCTCCGCCCCCAGGGTCTGAGTCATCAGATCGGACTTACGCCGGTATAACGTTTTAGGAAAAAGAGCAAAAGCCGATGTCGCAGCACGTGATGCCTCAATTGAGCCCTTAAGTGCTTGTTAATCATACCACATCATCCCTTGGGTACTCTCTCCTGCTGAAGAATGACTGCAGTTCCTCCCAAGCAGAAGGTGGTCGTGGTGGGCGCTGGGCCAGTGGGGTCCCTTGCGGCGCTGTATGCGGCTTCCCGTGGTGATGAAGTTGAAGTATATGAGCTACGCGGAGGTAAGTCAGACATGGTTGTTTCTTTGATTGCTGCACCTGGCAGGCCTGTTTGGAATTGCAAGTCGCCGCAAAGAGCGCCCCGCGAAACCACAATGGTGCCCTACAACATGCGCTTGAGGGTCCCGGGAAGCGATCATTTATATAACGCATGCGGCTCACAAGGTCCCTGGCGCCATGTCCAACCGATGTATTGGACAGGCAGATCCTCAAGAAACGCTCTTTTGAAGTCGTGATGCCGTGCTATTTGCTGCATGACCGCTGCGAAATTTCCCGAAGAAAAAAACCAATAACTTTTCCTTGCATCCGTAGATCTCCGCAATCCCGAAACGGTGCCATTGAACTTCACCAAATCGATCAACTTGGCCCTGTCAGAACGTGGCATCAACTCCATCAAACAGGCCGAACGAGATGGGCTCGTCGAGAATGTCCTCCGCGACACCATCCCCATGTATGGCCGCATGATCCACGGCCGAGAGGGCGGATCATTGTGGGAGGCCGCTCAGGCCTATGACGTGCACGGACGGGTGCGTACATGCATTTGCCCTGCATGGGAAATGTTCCGCGATAAGATACTGATCTCTACCCCAGGCTATCAACGCGGTCGACAGGGGTACTCTCAACAATGCCCTATTGGATGAACTAGAGCGGACTCCGAACGTGAAGCTATTTTTCAATCATAAGCTGACGGGTGCTGATTTCAGAAGCAACAAAGCATGGTTTGAGCGTCGCATCCCAGGCGAGACACCCCAGGCCGATGCTCTGGGTGTGGCAGGTCGAGTGCCGGAAATTGAAGTATCCTTCGACTATCTGATTGGCGCTGATGGAGCCCATTCCGCCAGCAGATTCCATATGATGAAGTTTGCCCGAGTGGACTATCAGCAAGAGTATATTGACACCTTATGGTGTGAATTCCGGATCCCGCCCACCGAGGACGGCCAGTTTCGCATCTCGCCAAACCATCTCCATATCTGGCCAGGCAGAGAGTACATGTTCATCGCCATTCCCTCTGCAGACAGATCATTCACATGTACTCTCTTCGCCCCATCAGCGTTCTACGCTTCCCTGGAGGGCTCGCCACAGAGCCTCCAGGCTTCGTTCGATGAGTACTTCCCGGGCGTGTGTCCGGAACTCATCAAGCCTGAGGCTCTCGCTGAGCAATTCGCCATCAATCCGCATCTTCCGCTGATCAGCATCAAGTGCAAGCCACACCATTTCACCTCGAGTGTTGCGATTCTCGGCGATGCCGCACATGCCGTCCTGCCTTTCTACGGACAAGGACTCAATGCGGGCCTCGAAGACGTGCGGGTCCTTTTCGAGAAAATGGATCAGCACGGCGTCTATGATTCTGACTCTTCGGTGTATACTCGCAGCGTTCGTCGGCAGGTGGCGTTCCAGGCGTACACGAACCAGCGCTGCGAGGACGCTCATGCGATCAATGACCTGTCCAAGCAAAACTACCTGGAGATGCGATGGGGTGTGAAATCTCCGTTGTACAAGGTTAGAAAGGCGGTGGAAGAGACTATTGACCAGCGGCTGCCGTTCCTGGGTTGGAAGACCCAGTATGCTCGAGTCAGCTTTAGCAACCAGCGGTACTCCGATGTTGTGCGTGCTGTGCAGCATCAAAGCGAGATGCTAGGGTACGGTCTGACATCCAGCTTGGTCGTTGGATTAGGAGTGATTTCGGTCCTCTTGTGGAAGCACCCGCCTGTGGGAGCTGCCAAAGACGTTTTCCAGCGAGTGGTTGATTTGTGGAGGAAATTCATTGCATGAGCTTGAGTTCCATTATGTTTCTTATTAGGATGGTCTTTGAGCCTCTAGCTAAAGGATGGGGAAGCATGACAGGGTTGCCTTAGGTCGAGTCTCCCCTCTAAGGTCTGTCATAGACAATTGCCCATCCTTTCCAGTGTAAATAGTTTACTAGAAAAGCGTACGTGTGTATATGCGTTGAAGCAGGCATGCTGAATCATATCATTTTGAACGCCCCCGAGGGCGATAATATAGATACGCCCAAAAATTTCCAACCGAAAGACAACTCCCTGAGAGGAGTCTTAATCCCAGTACCTAATGAGACCATCCAGTCCACCAGTGACAACCTTACTTGTCTCCTGCGGATGCCAATCCAAGCAGGTGACTGCACCTCCCTCTTTCCCACCCGCCTGAATTTTGTGGTACATTTTGCCAGTCTTCCAGTCCCAGAAACAAGCATAGCCCCCGCTGTCGCCAGATACAATGAATTGTCCATCGGGCGAGACCTTAATGTCAACAGCATAGCCTGAAGTGTTGTGACCTCGGAAGCTTTTCTTGCGGTTCTGTCGGAACTTATCGGTAGCCCCGTAGACCACAATTTGGTTATCACCAGACTGGAACGCAACGTACTTGCCATTGGGATGCGGCGTAGCACGCGTGAGGGCGAACATGTATGGCTCGGCAATAAACTTGATTGGAACAGGAATGCCGTACTCCCACGCACGCAGAGACTTGTCGTCAGATGTAGTGATGAAACGGCGGTTTCCGTCAACGAAAGTGATGGTGTTGACGGCGGCCAGATGGTGGTCATATTCCTGGACAAGCTCGCCGGATCGGGTGTCGAACTGCACGATCTTCTTGTCCGACATACCAGCCAGGAACTCGTGTGAGTTTTCAGCGCTGGGATTGAAGCGCACGACGTGCGGCGTTTTGCCGGTTGAGAATCGCCCAAGACACTTGCCATACTCGGTATCCCAGAGCTTGATCTGGCGGTCATAAGACCCGGTAAGGAAAGTCTTGCCTGAGGGGTGGAAATCGGTGTCTGTGATAGCCTTCGTGTGCCCAGAGAATGTTCGCAGCAGCTCGCGTTGGTGGTATACATCCCAAATCTTGGCCTTTCCATCCGCTGCCGCCGAGAGCAACAGATGGCCTGATCGAGGGAAAAAGCGCAAAGAGGTGATGGGCTTTGTGTGTGACTTCCAGGTATGCACCAGCTTCTTGGGAACGTAGTTCTTGATGCTCCCCGGCTCCTTGCGCAGATCGATATCCAGGTCCTGGGGAACGTGCATGTATGTGCGGCCCAGATAATCCGTCTCCGCTGAGCCGTGGAACTCGGTGCTCTCCTCCGTTGTAGAGTCTGCTTGGTAGTCGGTCGCCGCTTTGCTCATGGCAGGCATGGGGGGCTGGCCCGTATGACTCCTCCTCGTCTTCCTCCACCCATTCCTCGTCGCTGGCGAGCTCGCGTTCCTCGCCATCGGCAACCTCTACATCTTCGTACTTCAGCTCGTTTTGATATTTGGCCCAGGGGCCTAGGTAGGCGCCTTCCCCTCGACGATACTCGAGTCACCCTTTTTCTGTCGCTTCGCCCGCCATGCTGCTGATGCTTCCTTCGTGGGTTTCATCTGAACGACATCACGACCGCCGTACTGGGACGCCTTATTCACATCACCCACGAATTGATCTGGACGGGTGGGGTTGCGCGTGTAGCCCAGGCTCTGGAAGGTGCGGTGTTGAGCGGCGAAGGTCGCTTCGCTAATAGCGGTCTCTTCCGCAAAGCCCGCTGGTACATTCTTGCGCTTGACGCCATTCCCTGCGTCGGCGGGTTTGAAAGGGTTGGCGGGGCCTTGAGATGGTCGCATAAGATCATCGTAGGTGGCGTTGTAGGTGAGGGCGTTTGACGAGGTGTTCGCAAGGGTCATCTGCATGTGCGCATGATCCTATTCGGCTGTTAGCATTATCTAGATCGTCTGCAAAGCCCAGACTTGGCTTTCTGAGTCGTGAAGAAGGACACGGGAGCTCAGGGAACCAAACCTCTGTATTGACTTCTGGAGCCGCAACGATCGTAGTCGCGGTCGTTAAGGAGGACTTAGGCATGGTAGGGGCCTCATCGCCAACAGATTCATAGCCAGCGCCAGGTAATCCTGACATTGTGTCGTATTACTCCAGAGGAATCTGGAGCTCTCACGCGACCGATAAGTTGAGTAGAGAGGTTGTCGGAGGATTTTTACGGGCGCGCGGAGAGGCCGTTAGTGAAGACCGCGAACCGCTCTGGGGAACCTTGGGACGATTTGGGACAGGAACAAGCGTATCTCCTACCCAGATGGTACAATGGCCTCAGGCTGGTCTATCATATTAGTACTGTTTTTATCTAAACCTCGATATTCCCATACGCAACACTGAATATGTTTTCATAATGAAGGTGAAAGCTTAACCAAACTGGGTATCGTACGCTCTTCATTGCCAAACCGCTTGGAGGTATATACAACTCACAGGCCGAAAGACACCGCAGGAACACAGGACGGACAGACAAGTGTAACACAAAATAAAAGCATGACGCCAGAAGAGAATACACTAGTAGGCCTCTTCCAAACGCCCGCTCAAAGCAATCAACACCACCACTAGCCACAATCTCTATCATCTCCGAATATCAGCAACGACCGTCTATCTCAAATTCGAAGACAACAGAATCTCGTAATCAAGTATTTGGTTTTTATCTGCTCCGAAAGCCAGGTATAACTCAAGGACCCTCAATTTTGCAAGGCAATTGACATCATATCCCCCAGCAGCAAATATAGATTAAAGACGTGGGCATCATGAAGACGGCATGAAACGCGACATGTCTCCGAGATTAATTTTTGTCGAGAAAACGTTTAATAAGCTAGACAGGACGGCCGTGGCGCATAGCATACTCGGTCTGGTCGCGAAGTCAGTGTCCTTCGTCACGGATGAGAGCGACAATCATGCTGTAGAGGTAGAAGAAGAACATGAGGAGGTGGAATCCTAGCTTAATAAACGATTCCTGTAGCACGAGGGTCAGTATGGGGCCTTTATTCCAAACGGGATCACTTGAACGAACCTTCTTGTGGACATTCAGCTTGCGGAAAATCTCGGTGGCATCCAGAAGGTGCTGGTTGTCGTAGATCCTATACGAAAACCTCAATTAGTCCTTGGTTTCGACAGATAGATGGAAAGGAGGAAGCCGAAAAAGGGTGGTGACTAACTTCTTCGCATTGAAAGCGAGGAGAGGCAAATTCAGAATAATGGCGAGCCAGTAGCCATTGATGATGAACAGGAAGGTGAGGAAAGCGTGGACAGCGGCTTCGGGGATGATGTAGGCGTTCAAGCGGTTGCAGAGGTCGATGGGGTTGATGTAGTCACTATGCAGGAAGAGAAGTCAAAGTCAGTGCCATGTCGCTGTGAAATGTGGAGCTCCAGAGTTGAACTGGGAAACCGCAGTTGGAAGTAGCACTTACCACTCAAGATCACTGTACATGATCGTGAAGAAGACCTGGAGGAAGAGGTTGACGGCGTTGATCAACACCGACAACAGGTAAAGCCACGCTTCGCCGGACATGATGGAGACGATGCGAAAAGGAGGAGGTCGAGACTGGGAAACGGATAAGTTCTGTGCTCTGTGCTCGGTTGGAGGTATGTGTGAGGGTTCTGGGAAGTTGCTCAGTCCGTTCGGACAGCAAGACCAGAATTGGAGACAAGTTTTGTGGGGTTCTTCGTATCTGGGGCCAGGGGCATCGCGTGTACCCCTGGAGGGAGGTTATCGAGGCGCACTCACAGAAGATGGTCCGGGTAATGCCTAAGCTTGGGCAGAAGGGGTAGAGTCGTGAGGGCAGAAGGTTGAGGGGGGGTTAGGTTTGCGAATCCGACTGAACCTGAAGTGGTCGGCGGTGGGCAGCAACTGCGGGCATTAGCGCCATCGTTAACCGGAGGGGCTGGGGAAACCCCATTCGCCACTCACGAGGCGCAAGACTCCAGCAACACCGCTTAGAGGGAGTTTGATTCTAGCTAAAGCTCCAGGAAGGGTATTTCTGCTTATGTAGCTCATTTATGGAACTAGCATGTCTGCTCCCCCACCGGAATTCTTTGAGAGGAACATCGCTGCCCGCAGAAAAGCTCCGATTAGCCGCAATGACGCCTACAAAACGCGTTGGCCAATGCAACCCATCGGATGAGAATATTGTCGCCGGACCCGAATCTACTTGCACATCAGGGCTTTCGAGCTGCCGGGGCGCGAATATAAATTGTGGATACAGAAGTCACTCTCTATTTCAAAGGTATAGACGATCGTAGTATGATCTATGTACATCTGATCGGCCTTCGGTTTCTGGTCGCGATTATTCTTGAATAATGTTTGTTCCTAGTATTCATAAACCGATCCAAGATTGCAAAGAAAGAACCCCGGAATTTAAACATGACAAAATGGAAATGATGGCCCTGCAGCCATCTTCTCAGGACTGAAGCGTCTAGCTTCTCGCTTATCGTTTCTCAACAAGAAGGAAATGCATGGCTGCATATGCAATCACAATAAAGACGGCTGAGATGACAGCAAGCCCACCAACATCGTACCAATAGGCGAGATTGTCGAAGCCGAAGGCACTCAAGATTGAGGCGCCCGGTACCTCGATATCCAGCCCGTACTTGTGATCAATGAGGGTGAGAAAAGTGACCTCGTTCACGATGAGAGCCTCGAATCCATAGTGGAAGATGGAAAGCTGCATTTTGTGTTAGTCGAAATCTCACAGTACTTTCCCGGATGAGCGGAGTGCGGATGATACTTACACTTTGTAGCCATAGCGCAGACGCTGGGATTGCGTCATGGTTCAACAGGAGACCGGCGAACAGCAGACTGAAGAGCATAACCAAACTTCCGATCAGATTGGCGACACCACCATCACGGAAGACGATGCCAATGAAGAGACAAATGTTGGCCGCGGCCAAGTTGAACAGAACAAGAATCAACATGAACCGTGAAAACTCGGGCCACGCAGGAATGAGCCCCGTCATTGGATAAACAATGACACCCATGATGATGGGAGGAATTAGTCGCAGGGGTACAATATCAAATAGCACCTTAGACGCAAAGTACGTGATCGGATGGTAATATCCATTGGCACGCTCCCGCACAAACAGTAGGCGCTCGGTGGAGAATACCGTGAGACTTGTCAGGGTGCTGAACCCGAACAGGGCAAGGATGAAGAAGAACAGACCGAGGCGGTTCTGGAAGCCCTTGATATCGTCTGTCAGACCGTAGAAGAGGTATCCAGCGAAGACGGCAAGGAGGATCGAGATGGCATAGTGAGTGAGCATCAGCATGGGATTGCGGTAAAGATTTCGCCAGGTACGTTGAGACAGAATCAAGAATTGCCGTCCCAGGCTGATACGAGCAAAGCCTTGGGGCTGACATTGCACGGGTCCACCCAGGGCATCCGAATTCGTGGAACCGTTAGCAGCCTGTGCACTTTGCACTGCAGCCACGATCTCGGCGTGGACGTAGCTGGCCACATCAGATTCAGCGAAGCTGCTGACGAGGATATCAAGGTCACTTTGGCCAGGGGCGGGCGGAGGAAGCTGATCTGGATCTTCTAATACTTGTGGGGGGACATCACCCTGTTGGCGCGAAAGACGCAGCCATTGGTCTGTGTTCTCGACGGTCTCGAGTGTGGCGTCTTCATCATCAGTCTTGGTGTTCCGGGGCTTGTTCAGCATAACTTCGGCGAGAGTAAAGTTGACGTTCTTGTTGCTGCTTTAATGAGAGCTTGTGCTTATGCATCGATCGCCGAGTTGGGTCTGTAGTACCGCTGGATGTCTCCTCGAAGCTCACATTTGATGCACTCGCAACAGATTTGATGGCTCTCAAACTACTCGAAGCGGTCTTAGGTGGCCTTCCTTCCACCGGAGAATTCATTTCGTCCGTGAAAGGTTGGCTGCCACCAGCATGCATGGTCAAATCAACCAAGTAGTCAGCAATATTGAAGCCCGGCGGGCAAGAGTAGCCGATTTGGTCAAAATACGCCTGGCAAGAAGAGAAGGGACCCGAGTATACAGTGCGCCCTCCTGCAAGGAGGATCAATCGATCGAAGAGAGCAACGATATTGGAGCGAGGCTGGTGGATGGTGAAAATGACAGTACGGTTATACGTTTTGGCCAACGTGACGAGAGCACTCAACCACATTGAATGCGTTGAATGCATCCAGACCGCTGGTTGGTTCATCCAAGAACAAGATACTAGGGCTGGTGACCAATTCGCAGGCAATTCCGACTCTGCGCTTCTCGCCACCAGAAATGCCACGGCCTTTCCCTTCTTCAGAACCGATAATCTGGTCTCTGATATGACCAATCCCAAGTTGCTTTTCCACTTCATATACCCTTTGCTCCTTCGCTGCTCTAGTCATATCCCTGGGAAGTCTCAACAATGCACTGGTGAGGATAGTCTCATGAACCGTCAGGGTAGGAAGCATCGTATCTTCTTGATCAACAAAGCCAATCATGCTTTTAAAATCCTCATGGCTCATCTTCTCGCCATTCACGTAGAAGTCACCATGGACAGTACCACGCTTATTCTTGCGGGCTAAGATGTCCAAGAAAGTGGTCTTTCCGGCTCCAGAGGCTCCCATAATAGCAGTAATCTCACCGGGAGTGGAGGCGCCCTGAATATTCGACAGGATTTCTTTCCCGTTTAGATCGTAGGACACGTTCTCCCAGTATAGAGCCGCTTGGCGGTGCTCAGATAGCAGTTTTGCTGTATCGTCGTCCGAGTCGTCTGACAGAGAGAGACGAAGGTAGCCACGACGGGCAGCTCGTCGAGACAGATACCAAACGAGCAAGATGACGGCCACGACAAAGAGGCCACAGCCAGCAATAACACCTGCAATGAGAGGGGTATTGATCTTCTTGACAGGCCGCTGGTAGCCTGGCAAGTCGGTCTTATAAAGACACTCTCCGGCATTGCAGGAAAGATAGATGCTGGGCTCACCGAAGAAAGTCTTGATAAGACCGTTCATCTCCTTTTCTGAGAAAGTGCTCTTGGTGCCTTCGTTTGTCGCAGTCGTCGTGAAGGACGCGGGTCCCTTGATCAACTGGTCGAGGAACACCCCAATGTCGACCGAGCCGTTCTCACCACAGAGGAAACGACCGGGTATACACCTGCAATCCATAGTTTCGCATTCGTAAGCGGTGACATTCTGATCAGCTTGAACATCCATGTTCCAGTTACACTTGTCTAGACCACAGTAGAATGATTCTTTCTGTCCGACCCAGAACTGGAAATTACAGGTGTGATCTTCAGCAGTGCAGGAGAAGGTAACCTGTGGCTTGCGATCTCCAAGCTGATTCAAGATACCCTTGTTGGTCACGTCACACATCTGAAAGTTCTCCTTGACTGTAACACCATCCTTATAGCATGCTCCGTCTTTGCCTTCGGGCATCATCGCATCGCAGGCACTGTCCTGCTCACAGACGTTGCAGTTGATGCCACCCCAGCCATCTTTACATTCGCAGGAGCCGCCCGTTCTTGGGAATCGATTCTGGCCATCAGCTAGGGAGCCACATGTTGGTGTGAGGCAGTCATCTCCGCCGAAACCGGGAGGGCAGGAGCATTTGCCGTTGTATTTGTTGCAGTCGGCGAAGTGGGTGCAGTTGTAGGAGTCGAGTTGACAGTTGAAACAGGACGGGTTGTCGGCGGCTCGTTCAAAGATAGAATCGGGTCTGTACATCAAGTTTGCATCAGAAAAGTCCTCCCACACTGCATATGCGGTCGTCGGGGTCGCTAGAGCGATCCCCAGAAGGAAGGTCAATGCCGACCGCATGACGAGTAGGGATTTAGCTTGAATCCCTGTCAACGAAGCCGTCACAGAGACCGACGACCAAAGAATAGGTGCGAGGATCGCCGGCAACACTTAACGAGAGGGTGAGCTAAGCATGGGAACTGGCACTGGTTGAAGAGTCTAAGGGAGAGTTTAAGGGAGATGCCGAGCGGAGGTCAGGCCGAGCAGGTGATGATGACGCGGGCGGAGAGGCGGACACCTTAGCGCCAGGAACCCGTGGACAGCACCCGCAGGGTCATAGGCTTATCATTGGAAGATCGCTTGTTTTTGTTCTTGCACGAGGCTTACGTAGCATTAGGCAATATGTAACTAATACGTTGAAGAGATCTAAATACTGTTTATCACGGTCTATCAGCAGCGCAAGCTCATTTACCATTCCTCCCTATTTCCTAAGGGACCCTATGCCTATGTCCGCATCCTAGTATATCCATCACGTCCGAATTGGGGCAGCTCCAGCTCTTTGCGTGCGGGGATGCCACGTGACTCCCGTACTCTTTGTTTTTAGGTTTTTGTGTAGTAGAGCACATCTTCCCCTGTCGTCGCAGGCAACAGCAGTGCTCACGACAAAAGCAGGCAGTAGCCGTCAAGGAAACTAGGTTTTTTACCCAATAATTGGGGATAGCCAGCATCATGGTGAACATTAAAGCGTTCGCAGTGGAACAGGTATATTTTGCTCCCCCTCGGCGTTCCCCCGGGGCCGTGTGACCCGCGCTTACTCTGGACTCTTGTCCTATGAGGTGCTCTGAACTGACTCTGACGGACTATTAGTGGATGGACAAGTATGAGATGATCGCTAAATACAACACTGCCGAGACCTGTTGCGCTTCTCTCTCAGTGGATGACCTGCGGGAACTTTCTGAAGACAAAGACTCCAATCCCCTAGCCCAGCTGCAAACCACCAAGCTCACATATGGAGCCATTCGAGGATCCGAGAATCTGCGTCAGACCTTGGCCAACCTATATTCCGCCAAAACACCCACTCCACTTCCAGCGGACAATGTCCTGATCACTCCTGGTGCTATCCAAGCCAATTTCCTTGCTCTGTATACCCTAATCGGCCCAGGCGATCATGTCATCTGTCATTATCCTACATACCAACAGCTGTACTCGGTTCCTGAGTCATTGGGAGCCGAGGTCAGTCTGTGGAAATCGAAGGAGAAAGATGGCTGGCAGCTTGACCTCGACGAGCTGAAGAAGCTTATTCGCCCTAACACTAAGATGATCATTATCAAGTGCGTTGGATTAAGAAGTCGGACAGATCTGCAGGCACTAACGCGACCGCTTTCCCAGCAACCCCCAAAATCCTACTGGGGCCATTATCTATCGCGATACGCTCGAGGACCTGGCCGATATCGCACGCGAGTCCTCCATCATACTGTACGCTGACGAGGTCTACCGCCCTCTGTTCCACAGCATTAGCCCCGCGGATCCGCAATTCCCTCCCTCAGTTCTGTCGCTTGGATATGAGAAGACTGTCGCAACCGGATCAGTATCAAAGGCATACAGCCTAGCTGGACTCCGCGTAGGCTGGATCGCGTCGCGTGATCGATTCATAATAGAGGCATGCGCTGCTTCGCGAGATTACACCACCATCTCGGTGGGTCAGATCGATGACGCGGTGGCCAGCTTTGCATTAGCGCCGGAATGTATCCATAACCTCCTGAAGCGAAATCTCGATCTCGGCCGAACGAATCTCGCTCTTTTGGAGAAGTTTATTGAATCCCATCGCTGGGGATGCGAATGGGTCAAGCCCCGCGCTGGCACAACCGCATTTGTTAAATTTTCCAAGATGGGTAAGCCTATTGACGATGTTGTATTCTGCGAGAGGCTGCTTGAGAATACCGGGGTAATGCTTGTGCCTGGGAGCCACTGCTTTGGCGGAAGCAAAGAATTCCAGGGCTACGTTCGCATCGGCTATTGTTGCGAGACGAATTTTCTCGAACAGGCCCTCGAGGCCTTGGCAGGATTCATGGAGGAAGGATTCGAAGACGTACCTACGTTAAAGAAGAATACTGTCAAGGCCCCTGAATAATTGCAGTTGCATCCAATCAAGTGTATAGAACCATAGCGCGCCAATATTTTTATCTGCATTTTAGGGTTACATAGCCTGCTTCGCAACAGACCTGCTCATAATCCTTTCTACTGTCGTACTTCAACTGACTGAAAGCACAGTTTTGCAGTATGTCGGTCTTATCCATCCAAGTATCTAGACTCCCAAGGTGGACTCGCCGATGTGGGGAAGCAGCTGCGGAGCAGTGATTAGCACGGCCAATAATTCAACCCATGTGAAGTGTCACTTTGCGCCGAGATGCCGGCGCTAGACCAGGACTGGTTATGTACGCAAGCTGGCAATGATAACAGGGTGAAATACAGTCTTAAAAAACCGTCTTAAAATGAGAGAAATAGAACTGTTGAGCCTATATTTTGACGAAGAAAAACATAAGAAAGAAAGGGACATCATCCTAACGGGACCGCAGTCAAGTAATCTGAGGCATTCTGTACAAGATTGTGGCCACTTGGAGGTCCACCGGGAGGCATGTATTTGCCCCGAAGCAGCGATCCCGTGGCGGGTCTTCACGGGGACCGCGGCATCACGAAACCGCTTTCTTTCCTTCTTTATTCCCTGACAACCTTGCGACATAATCATCCCAGCCCCTTCCCTTTAACTGCGCTCCACTCTCACGGTGGCAAGTGCTGCTCTAATTTTGCAACTACCACGGCAGGTCCAGCTCTTGCAGCTTGATTGTCCGCATTCGCATTGCTGGTTCTAGCCTCGATAACGCCACAACTGCAATTATGTCACTGCTACCAATACCGAGTAAGTTCCGTCAATCCATTGTCATTCTATGACCTTGAAATTGCTGGAGGATCCTAATGACAACCTTTTCGCGGCAGGTATTCCGTGGAGCATTGCTCTCCCTGCCGTCACAACCGCATATGCCTACCTGAACGCCAAGTACTCCATATTCTACGACCTAAATCTGATCAGAGGACTGCTTAAGATGACCTTGAAGCGTCGTCTTGCGGAACGTGGCGACCGTCTGAACATCTTCTATGTCTTGGAAAACATGGCTTTGAACCCTGCGACTAAGGACCACGAATTTATTGTCTACAACGGCCAGTCATGGACGTCGCATGAGGTCTATTTAACGGCACTCCGATATGGAACATGGTTCAAGACAGTGCATGGGGTGCGACGAAAAGAAATTGTCGCCGTTGACTGCATGAACTCCTCCACCTTTATCTTCATGGTTCTTGGGCTGTGGAGCATCGGAGCTGTTCCCGCATTTATCAATTATAACTTGACTGGCAAGCCTCTAGTTCACTCTGTCCGCACATCTTCAGCCAGGCTTCTTTTCGTGGATGAAGAACTTCGCAACAATTTCCCGTCTGAGCAGCTAGAAGTCTTCTCTTCCTCCGACTTCCGCGACGGGAAAGGGCCCGTTCAGGTCGTTTTCTTGACATCTGAAGTGGAATCGCAGGTTTTGGAGACGGAGCCCAGGAGAGAAGATGATAAGGAGCGAGCGGGTGTGCTACCACGCGACATGGCGTTGCTGATCTATACCAGTGGCACCACAGGTCTCCCCAAGCCGGCTATCGTTAGCTGGAACAAATGCTGGGCTGGCAGTTGCTTCGTAGCTGACTGGATGGAGCTTACGAAGGAAGATCGGTTTTATACAGTGAGACATATCCCCGCCTTTCTTATAATTAACCCTTGCTAACGATCACCTCCAGTGTATGCCTCTGTATCACTCATCAGGCTCTGTCTTGGGATTTATAACTTGTCTGATGGCGGGCACCACATTTATTATTGGCCGAAAGTTCTCAGCAAGGAATTTCATGAAAGAAGCTCGGGAGAACCATGCTACTATCATCCAATACGTGGGTGAAACTCTCCGATACATTCTGGGTGCACCGCCTCAGACTGACCCGGTGACGGGAGAAAACTTGGACAAGAAGCATAATATCCGTATAGCGTTTGGCAACGGCCTACGCCCAGACATTTGGAACCGTTTCAAGGATCGCTTTAATGTTCCCACCATTGCCGAATTCTATGCTGCGACGGAAGGCACTACTGGGTCATGGAATCTTTCATCCAACGACTTTGCCGCTGGTGCAATCGGCCGGAACGGCATTATCGGTGATATGGTCCTCGGCCCTGGTTGTGCCATCGTGGACGTCGACCACGAGACGCAGGAGCCATGGCGAGACCCCAAAACAGGGCTGTGCAAGAAGGTTCCTCGTGGCGATCCCGGCGAGCTTCTTTTTGCCATCGATGCTACTGACCCCAGTGCCAACTTCCAGGGCTACTTCCAGAACGAGAAAGCAACCCAGAGCAAGATCATCCGTGATGTCGTGAAGAAGGGTGACGCGTTTTTCCGTACTGGTGACATGGTTCGCTGGGATCGCGATGGCCGTTGGTACTTCTCCGATCGCATCGGTGATACTTATCGCTGGAAGAGCGAGAATGTTTCGACGAACGAGGTTGCCGAGGTCATTGGTGCTCATACGGAGGTCCACGAAGCCAATGTCTACGGCGTGTCTCTGCCCAATCATGATGGACGTGCTGGTTGCGCCGCTATTGTCTTCAATGAGCAGCTGACCAAGGGCAGTGGGTCCGATACAGCTTTGGAACCGGCGAAAGCCACTCTGGACAGCTTGGCTGCCCTTATCCTCCAGCAACTACCGCGTTTCGCAGCTCCATTGTTCGTGCGCGTGATGTCAGAGATGCAGTCGACAGGGAATATGAAGCAACAGAAGCATGTGCTGCGAACTGAGGGAGTGGATCCTTCGAAGGTATCTAAGAAAGACCGTCTGTACTGGTTACAAGGGAACACATATGTTCCTTTCACAGCCCGGGACTGGGATCGGTTGAATGGTGGCCAGGTGCGCCTCTAGATCATTCCAGAAGCTTTTTTCTTCGAGTTTAGATGACCTTCAGCCTATGGTTTTATTCAAGCGTTGAACCTTCAAATGTCAATCCCTTATGGATACCCTGCACTATTATGAAGCAACAATTGACGATGCCGAACCAAAATATCAGCTTCTTTCGATTAATCCCCCACACTACCTCGGGTATACTGAATTAAAACGTGGGGTAAACCATTCCGAAGTAATAAACGCGGAGGATATTCCGTACAACCCACTAGTTGGGAGGTTGCGAGGAATGAAATGCAGCGAATTCCTGTGCGGATCTTCCAAGGGTCCCGCTATTCCCGCCATCAAGGAATGTTTTTTCATCTCATATATGAGGTTCCGGCCTTCTGAGTATCATGGATGCACTCAAGAGCAAAATAATCCATGCCCCCCAAAAGAGGCTTGATTTCAATAAGCGCTTGGTCTTTACGTGATTCTGTCTGACAAGATTACAACTGAGCACACTGCTCATCACGAATGGGAGACCCGAGATACGATTGAGCCAAGTGCTGCCGATTCTCCGATTGTAAGTACTGCTGGTGGTTTGGTCATAAGTGCACAATCCGAGATCTCACAAGTACAGCATTGGTCCTCCCTTCGAAAACATATCATCTTACTACAATGCGAGTTTTACGCCTTGGGGCCTGGCTTTGCAAGCGCAATCCTGATCCCAGGGGCGAATGACATTGCAAAGAATTCGACGTTACGTCGCAAAAAGGCAACATATCTGGTGGCGGTCCATGTCCTCTTCCTAGGCACGGGAACGTTCGTCTGAATCCCCGACATTTCTTTGAGCCGTTCCTCGTGCTCCAAGCGCCTCAGGTTGTACTCGTTGCTTTTGCATATGGCGTTACATTTGCAATCGTCTCAGTCTGGCTGTCCACCATTGTGCCGATTGCCCTGGCAAGGATATACGGCTTCGGCCCGGTAGCTCAAGGTCTTTTCTTTCTTGGGCCGTTGATCGGTGCGTTGCTAGCGGAGCAGATCATGGGACCGATGAGCGACTGCGTTAACAAGCGAGAGCGGCAGAGGATTTCCAGAGCTTCCAGTGGGGAGTCAGAAAGATTTGAACGTCTTCTTGTTGGCATGTCGGGCTTATACTGGCCATATCCGGAGTCCTGATCTTCGGTTTCACGCTGGAAAACAAGACACATTGGATCAGTCCATGCACGAGAGTTGCGATCGCAAACTTCGGACTCCAGGTAGTCACGAATCCTCTCAAGACTTAGGGTGTTGACTGCCTCCAGGCTTATTCTGACTCTGTGCTCCAGCTTATCAACACCGTTCATCGAGTCATTTCCTTCAGTGTGCCGTTCTGGAGTCCGAACTCGGGTGAGAAGTTTGGATACGGTCTTGGATATGGGTTCGAGGCAATTATCGTTGCAGTCTTCGGGCTTGGGTGTCTTTTGACGTTATGGAAGGGTGCATCTTGGGGAGCAGTCGTGCGGCTGAGGGTACTTGGAGAAGTCCTGAATCATCAATCATCGGAGCAGGGAATATGAAAGTGGGCAAAGGATTTTGACACTGGTGAGGTTAAGCAGCGATCCAGAGAAGAATCCTAGATTAGCGATCTGGAGCCGTCAATATTCGATCCTAAAGTATCGCAGATCATCGATCGATACCGAAGTCGTGAATCTTACAGATTTCGATCTCTTGGCTTTCTTCCCGTCCGTCTACCGACTAGCAGAGGCAAAAACAGTTCAACAGATGATTTCAATGTCCTTAGCATGTTCCAAAATTCATCCTTGATACACCAACCGCGCAAAAGTCTGTGTGCGCTCGAACCCATTACCATCACCCTAACAACCACCTACATTTTTATTTTCTCGCCTACACCTCCCCCATGGCATCGATCACTATCAATCTGGAATGATTTTTTAGCAAGATAGCAAAAAGATCTATATGACGAAAGATATACAGGTTTGGTTTAAGAAGCACAGGATATACGTTAAAGATTGGTCTGTATCCTCGCCTGATCTTAACCCTATTAAACTGGTCTGGAAAATACTAAAACGTTGTCTTTGTGTATTCAAATATAGACGAGAAGATCTGAAGAGGATCGGGCTTATCTTAAAGAGTGTATTGATGCTGCATAGGACGTGTTAGACTAGACGAAGATTGGTACGTTAATATTGAGTATAGGAAGAAGGAAGGATAGATAGATTGTATACGAACCAGGGTTATCATACGAAATATTAAGCAAGACAACTCTGTAACTATATAAACCTGATTATTCAGCATATTGAATTTAGTATGATCCAATAAGGATTGGTGGTGTAGGATATGTAACCACAAATATACATAAGTATTTGATGGGGTAGGTGAAGCGGTATGCACACAGACTTTTGCCCCCTATTTACATCCCTCCCTTGTCGCTCGCTCAGGTTTAGACTGAGATTGCAGCCTAAGATTAGCTAACCGCTTGAAGTGTCTGACTTGAACCCCATATCGGGCCAATGAGGTGCACAGTGTAGACGCCCACCTCAACTCCACCTCCCAAAAACTGTATGCCCAGTGGCTCCGGCATGCCTGCGGCTGCAGGGTGGCAGGGATTAAGAGTGAACACGTCAAGTATTGTCGCCCAGCCCCGCACCTGACTTAATCTCGAAGAGCCCCCATTCCAAATTTTCCTTGCGAGAAATGCTTCCGTCGTGACCCAGCGATACTGGACTGCCTCTGTTAAATCACTGCTTGAAAAGTCAGGATCCAATTTGGTGCCTTTATCACGACAATTTCGTCCCCTTCATGTTCAAATAGCTTAGCCCAGAGCTTTGAACTCGCCATAACACCATGAAAAAGCTTCGAAATCTGATCAAAGGGGAAAGCCCCGCGCCTTCTGAGGCCGAATCTGAACAACCCAGTCACGCGGTGGCCTCGATCGAACCGACAGAAGATTTCGCCGCACCGTCCTCTTTTCCAGAAGGAATCAAAATTCTACATGACTGCCAAGATGCAACCGTTGACATTTGTTTTATTCACGGCTTAACTGGAGACCGAGAGAACACTTGGACCGCCGACGGGCAGTCTGCACCATGGCCACGCACCCTTCTTCCACCAAAGCTCACCACGGCTCGTATCATGACCTACGGCTACGACGCCTATGTAGTCCGCAAGTCAGTTGCTGGAACCGAACGACTGATTGATCATGCTACGAATCTTGTCCATGATCTGACTGCCGAGCGAGCAGAGCATAATGCGTCATCTCGTCCACTCATTTTCGTCACTCACAGCCTGGGCGGTCTGGTCTGCAAGAAAGCTATACTGTCCTCACGTCACAATCCCGAAGCTCACCTTCGGAGCATCTTCAGTTGTACTAAAGGGATAATTTTCCTGGGGACCCCCCATAAAGGGTCGTGGATGGCGGACTGGGGCAAGATTTCAGCTAAAGCTCTTGGTGTTGTCAAGTCCACTAACAAGTCACTTCTCGACATCCTCCAGACTAAGAACCAACTACTTGAGGCCATTCAAGTTGATTTTTGGTCCATGATCCGGGAGCAGCGAGAGGGTGGTCGATTAATTGAGGTCACCTGTTTCTATGAAACATTGCCCTTATCCATAGTTGACAGGGTTGTTGTGTCCAAGGAGTCGGCTGCCCTTGAAGGCTACAATTCAATTGGCATTCGAGCGAATCATCGCAACATGGTCAAGTTCGATACCTCTGATGACAATGGGTACAAAAGGATTCTTGGGGAACTGGTCAGATGGGAACGGGACACAAGGTGACTATTGCTTGCCCCGTATAACCTAGCGTGTCTCTGCTAAGAATTAAAAGTGACACTTATGTTATGGATGATCAAGACCGCCAGGTTCTGAATAAACTATGGAGGAGTGATCCCAAAAATGAAAAGAAACGTATTCAGAATACCAAGGGTGACCTCCTGAAAGATGTATACGAATGGATCCTCAGCAATCCTGACTTCAAAAGATGGCTGGATGGCCAAGAGCATCGAATTCTTTGGATCCGTGGAGACCCTGGAAAAGGGAAAACTATGCTGCTGTGTGGCATCATTGATGAACTGCAACTTTCAATCGGGGAATCAAAATTACTATCGTTCTTTTTCTGTCAAGCTACCGATCCAAGACTCAACAACGCCACGGCTGTACTTCGCTGCCTAATCCGCCAGCTCATCGACCAGCAACCATCTCTGATCTCGCATTTGCGAAAGAAAGCTGACAAGTATCAAGACATATGGTCCTGGTACGACTTATTGGAGATTTTCACTGAGTTCGTAGAGGACGAACGGTTGAAACCTACCTTCCTGGTGATTGACGGTTTAGATGAGTGTGGCGATGGTCTTACAGAGCTGTTCACGATGATCATGGAACATTCTTCGTGCCCAAAAATCAAATGGGTTGTTTCCAGTCGCAACTATGCCTCTATTCATGAGCAACTTAGCCGTGCCGCACAATTATCTCTTGAGTTGAATGCTCAGTCGGTCTCTGACGCGGTTGAACATTATATCCAACACAAGATGAGGCAGTTGACGCAGCGGAAAATGTGGAATTCCGAAACACAAACTATCGTACGAGACCACTTGACTCAGAACTCAGGCGGCACATTTCTCTGGGTGGCTTTGGTTTGCGAGCATCTCATGAAAAAGTCTTTCCTGTATCCTACTACACAAATGAAGCTATTCCCCCCTGGATTGGATGCACTATATGAGCGCATGTTGCAGAGGGTAAGTGAATCTGATGGGAAGGACTTCTGTCTAAGAATCATCGCCTTAGCTGCAATGCTCTACCGACCGATCACATTATCGGAACTGCTACACTTTGTTGAAGTTCCAGAGGATGCGCGCGATCATGAATTAGACTTCCTGCATCATGCCATCGTCCTATGTGGATCGTTCCTGGTAATTCGTGAAGACACTGTGTACATCGTGCATCAGTCAGCGAAGGAGTTTTTGGACAAAAAGGCGGCTCAGAAGGAGATATCATCCGAGGCTGAAGAAATACATTTCCATGTGTTTTCAAAATCAATGGACGCCATCTCTGAAGGGCTGGTTCGTGACGTCTATGGTCTACGTGCCCCTGGATATTCGATCGATCAGGTCAGGTGCCCGGTTCCCGATCCGCTGGCCACAATGCAGTATGCCTGTGTCTACTGGGTCGACCACCTCATCGAATGCTATAGCCGAACAGAAGTCTATGGAAATTTCAATGATGGCAGCTCGGTTGAGACTTTCTTTTGTAAAGATTACCTTCATTGGCTCGAAGCACTGAGCCTTTGGAGAATATTACCAACCGGGATAGCTTCAATCCTGAAGCTCAGAAATTATTTGGAGGTGCGTGTCGTGGTCATCATAAACAACGGATTTCTTTTAACTTAAATATAATCAGACTTTGGGAATCAACTCTGGGTTGTTGAGCAGAGTTCACGATGCGTATCGTTTTGCTCTATATCACAGATCAGTCATTGAGAGCCGGCCTCTGCAAGTCTACTACACAGCACTAGTATTCAGTCCAAGAGGAAGTATAACAAGAGACCAATTTGAATCCCAAGGGCCAAAATGGATAGCCGAAACGGAAGGCATCGAGCAAGATTGGAATGCGTGCCTACAAACACTAGAGATAAGAAAGAAAGATCCCCTTTCTCCAATGGCAGTCTCTCGGGATTCTCAGCTTATTGTCATTGGTTCATTTGATTCCGTGAAAGTTTTTGACACCAATAGTAGGCGATCCCTATGGATATCATACATGTCCGATTGGGTGACATCGTTCTGCATTTCTCATGACTCCAAGCTGATCGCATCTGCATCTATGGGAAGGAACGAGACTATGAAAATTTGGGATGCTAGGACCGGAGAACATCTACGGAGCCTGGAAGGTCCTGCTGACTCTGCATTATCACTTGACTTTTCCCACGACTCTACTCTGCTTGTCGCCGGCTCGTCTGATAGATCCGTCAAGGTCTGGGATGTCAAAAAAGGAATATGTCTACAGAAAATGAAAGGACATAGTGATAGAGTGACATCAGTCTGTTTTGCCCACGATTCCAAGCAGGTTGCATCTGCTTCAAGGGACGGGACTGTCAGAATTTGGGATACTATAACCGGACAATGTCTACGGAGCCTGGGAGGCCCTGATAAAAAGGACCAAGTAGCATCGCTTGACTTTTCCCACGACTCTACTCTGCTTGTCTCCGGCTCATCTGACGAAACCGTCAAGATCTGGGATACTAGGACCGGAAAATGTCTACGGAAAATGAGTGGGCATACTGGTAAAGTGGAATCAGTTTGTTTTGCCCACGATTCCAAGCAGGTTGCATCCGCTTCAGCGGACTACACTGTCAAAATCTGGGAGCCGAAAACCGGAGCATGTCTGAGGACATTAGAGGGTCATGCTTCTTCTGTTAGCTCGGTGGCCTTCTCTTATGATCCTCAAGTTATATGCTCCGCGTCAGCAGATGGGACAATCAAAATATGGGACATTACTAGCGACGACGATCACAAATCTCGGGATGAGAACCAGCAAGTGCCATTGGTCATTCTTTCTCCAGACTATCGACTACTTGCCTTTGCCTTTGCCTTGGACCAGTTAGATTGTATCAAAATCCAGGATGCCAACAATGGAAAAGAGCTAAGGGTACTCGAAACTAGTCATTTCATCAGTTCAATGGCTTTCTCTTACGGTTCAAAGCTACTTTTCGGTTACTCGCCGTCATGTGTCGCAACTGTCTGGGATCTCAATAGTGGTCAATGCTTGCAGACAATGAATGAGCATACTAGAATTGATGAAGTGGCTTGCGTTTGTTTTTCCGACGACTCTAGCTTGCTTGCATCCGGCTTATGCGATGGTACTATCCAGGTCTGGGATACTGGCACCAGAAAGTGCCTGTACACACTGTGGGGTACATCTCAAATGAAGAAGATCAGTGCAATTGCCTTTTCTCATGATTCTGAGCTACTTGCTTATTCTTCTCATGAATATGTTCAAATTGTGAATCATGGCCGCAGGCACTATCTGCAACTATTAAAAGGTCATCGTTGGGTTGAGTCAGTTGCCTTTTCGCGTGACTCCAAGCTTCTTTTCGCTAATTCATTTGGTACGATTGCGACCTGGGATATCAGCAACGGCAGCGGCAAATTCCTACAAAGGTTTGACACCTTTATGTGGAGCATGAAATGCATAAGCTTTGATACAACCAACTCATGTCTTATCACCGAGAAAGGTATCATCCGATTATCTTTGGTATCGGAAAAAAGCCGTGAGCCTAGGCTGGAAGCACCACGATTTCAAGGTTACGGCATAAGTCCCGATGGCACCCGTATTACTTTCAATTCCAAAGATGTCCTATGGCTACCACATGAGTACCAGTGCGCGGATTATCATTATCCTTGTTCTGCTGTATCCTTCTCAAGCGTTTTCATTGGTCGTAAATCGAGGGGGGGCATTTGTGCTCAGATTCAACTCCCAAAATCCTCTGTAACCCCGGGGCTACAAAAGAACAATGTCTTCATCTTGCAAGAATTATACCAACGTTAGTCACCAGTAGCATCGGAACGTTCCAAACCGCTCCTCTTCACGTATCAGAAGATCCTGGTAGTTCTGCATTGACGTCAACTTGTGCTAACCAATGCGACTTGCAATATTTCGGAGTATTTCGGAGGGCCTATAATACATATACGGTCTTCTAAGCAGTAGTCTATCAGCCTCGTATCCACGAAATGACCGGTAGAAGGGAAACATCCCGAGCTTGCACCGATGTATGAACTTTGCGGAGTTTTTTGGTCAATACCTGCCTGATGCTATGATTGGCAATTACTTCCTTACATTGTGAAGTCGACTTAGTTAACTCGGAACAACTTGAACTTGAAGCCGCCTACTTTCATAGTTTAGATATCTCAAAAGCCCTCTACCAGATCATATACACGGTCAACTCAAACCGGACGCTCATTTTCAAATATGTTTGCTTCTCCTGTTATTGAAATTAAAACGATCTAATCACCTAAATAGGGCAACGTGGAACAGGTAAGTCCGACCTCCACGAGGAGGCATCTTAAATGAGAACCTTAAGATAGCTGTACCCGCATGAACCGAAGCCATGTTGGAAAACTTCATCGGTCATGGAGATACATTCTCCGCCTACATCTCCGGCTACTAGTCTCAGCCAGGCTATCGCCGACGGAGGAAGAATCTTCTATAACTCCATCACCTTCAACAATTGGAAAGGACCATATGTGAACGGGTCCCAGCGCCCACTCCTCCTACATAGCACTCCATGGCCGAACGCACAGCAGCGCTGTTTCGTCGTTGGTGGTCAATTTTGGTAGTTAGGACAAGACTCGATGAAGGAGGAAAATAGGAAAACGGTGAAAAAAAGAGGAGAAACAAAACTTACAATCCAGCTCAAGCCCATGAGGATAGACATTGCGATATTAATTCGTAATTTCGAGTACAATCTCCAGAACAGATGGGCTGGATATGTGGCTAGCGCAGCATCACAGAAGGCATTGAAACCTGGAGAATGTAAAGAACTTGAACTATATCAGCAAGATCAAGACCTCCAGAGCAAACAGCGTCCATGGCTTGTATGCCAACTCCTCTTTTGTTCTAAGAATATCACCTGCGTGGAAGATTTACGGCTGTGTTCCGCATATACGAGCTCTCACCCCATTGTAGCACTCCCGTGGGGCGGAAAGTTGATTTTGGACACTGGCGGGCTTAAGCAGGGAACCACACAAGTATCCTAGATTAGCAATCTAGAGCTGGCAATATTCGATCCTAGAATATCGCAAAATATCGAAACCAAAGTCGTGAAACCTTGCAGACTTTGATCTCTGTCCCTAGCATCATCTGGCTACAGGCTAGCAGAGGCAGAACCACTTCAATGGCTGAGTATAATACCAATCAGCAATTAAGTCTTTCGTAAATATTTCTTTAACATTCAAGTTGCTACCATCGCCAATGATTAGACCCGCGTGCGCATTGTATTTGACCAGACCCTGTAAGCTTATTAATGAGGATTTGATGTACCTGGCCCAGACATCATTCGATTGTTGCATCATGAATTGAATGAGACAATATAGGCGCCTCCTTATCTCCGACCTGCTGCAAGTTTCTGAGAGTCAGGCAAGGGGCAAAGTCACTTGGTATGGTCAGTAGCATATCTCCGGATATTGGTGTCACCACATACGCTCCGCCCAGGTAGCAATAGTTCTAGAAACCTGAAATACCAGAACCCTAAATCACGTTTGAAAGGAGCCATTTCGCCTCATCAGTTCTGGTGCACCAGAAATGGCCGGGCCGTTATGATAGCGCGAATTATGTTTACTCCCTGCCATGTGTAAGCTCGCACCAACTTCCAACGCTCCCTCAATTTCTTGGTTGGCGCATATACTTGCGCTTCTCACCTAGGGGCAGACTACGCTCGTATTAACTCGTGATATTATGAGCAGTGATAATCTAACTATCTATCAGATGGCAGAAGGCTAGTTGCAGCAAGTGCGTCATTGCCATGATTCAGTCTAACCTGCGACTCTTCGGTAGGGTCAAAGCCCCTCCCATCAAACCTGGACCGCCATAGTGCATCACCCCAACTATACCAGGATCTCTCTGCGACAATCTACTCGAGGACCCGAATCGATGCCTTCATGAGATATAGCTCTTCGTTCTTGATGGATTTGATGTATACGGACCAGAGTTCATGAGCAGCGACGCCCCTTAATGCGAATGTTGATCCAACAAGACCGCTCGACAAGAAGGAAAAGCGCGTGACCCCAATTTAGGTGCTGGTTACTGTCATATTTTCTCAGAATATAACTCCTCCCGTCGCGATCAACGCTACCAGATTATCCCAACATATACTCAGGACGAAACCCTAGCTTCCCGTCTTCTGACGCGGCACAGATGCTTTATTATTCGAAGCTTTTGTTGAAGAACTTCTACATCACTGATGGAGGATCCCCGGCGCCAAGTTCTGTTCCTGTTATGTACAATACATCCTTCCATTCTTCTGGAAAGATCGATCAAATTTGCGTTGGAAGAGGAGCCAACTGGTGTATTTACCTCCGTACTCTTCTGATCTCAACCCGGTGGAAAATTCTTCGCAGAAATTAAAGCTTTCATTCAGCATCATCGGCAGTCATATACTGACGACTTAGAGCAAGGATCTGATAATGACCTTGACTGGTACATTGATAAGGTTGGAGCAAGAGTACAAAGCAAAAGGTGATTACCAGAATGCAGGAATCAATATTGGATATTTGTGTTGCAGACTAAGTATAGATTACATTGGTTAGGTCTCTCTCTACCTTTGATTAATTATGAAGTGCAATACAATGTATACGCATACTTAGTATTCTGAAAATTAAGACTGTAATAGAATAAGAACACAGCAATCATCTTTCACAGAGGAAACAGATGATGACATGACGTTGACGACCTTCGCAAAAGTGTCATCAAATACGTCTCATACAATATGAAGTTTGATCAATTGCTCAGCAAGATCATCGGAAGAAACAGCGAGCTGCTGCCCTTGGCCATTCCAGTATGGTTGATAAAAGTCACAGGCCCCAAGCCTGCAGACGTAGTGCAGCCCCCGGGAACACGTTTTGTAGTGCCTGCCATCTGAGTTTTGCTAGAAACTCCACAGTGGCAAGGTGGATTAAGGGGATCATTCCCCCGCTCGTCGATGAAGCAAAGGAACTTGTTGCAAGGCGGACACTTGTAATAAGGCCGCCCAGCATTTCCGTTTCTGTTAGATTGCCGGGTGCATTGCTTAACACCAACCCTGTTACACCGAGAGCATCTAGGCGGAGTTTGTGGAGGTGGTGCGAGTTGAACAAGCCTCAGGCTTTCCATATCAAAAGTAACAGTAACCTATACGATTTCAGTATCTACGCCTACATATTAAGGGAAGAAAAGCACTTACTGTCTGATTTGGTTCCATTGGGAATAGACTGTTATGCGGTGGAAGCACTGAACGCGAAGAAGTGTAAAATAGATATCGAGTTGAAAGGAAATATCTGGTTTTACGAGTGGGCGTGTCAGGGTATTAGGGAATACACGTGACGCTAAGGTCGACTGAGGCGTCGGTGAGCAACGACCAATAATGATGATTAGCCACCCTCCTTCTCGTATTGATTGGCGCTTGATCAATGAGGTTAGGCAAGACACGACAGCACGAGTCATTGACGGTTCACGAGGCTTATCGACGTATCAGTGGGCTTAGAACAGAGAGTGATTTTCTTCGAGGAGAGCGGGGTAGGCTGATCGAAAAAGATTGTGTCCAAGCAAAGTTCTTGTCAGGTATCCAGGATGATCCACCTGAATGATCTTAATCTACTCCTAATATACCCTTGTTAATGAGGCTTCATTCCTTGCTACAGTTCTTTCACGCCGCCTAGCCATTTTTCACCATCCCGTCAAAAACGACTAATACTAAGAGGCCATTTCTTACTATGATAATCTTTCAATTTAGTATGACTTTTGGATTCAGTCAGGTCTTGAAGTCTTTTTTCCCTTTGTTTATAGTCCAACGTGGAGCCGATCTACCCGACTCGGCCCACTTTTCTCCTATGAGGTGGGATTGAGAGCAGATCTTCCCAGGTGAAGCTGATTCCCCGGGGAGCCTTGCATGACCAGTAATAAGCACAACGCCATTAAATCCCGCGGATTTTATCGCATTTAAATCATAATATTTTTATAAAAAAAAGAAAAAAAGTTCTTACCATGTTTCTCTTAATCTTAATAAACAATTAAGCTTTTAACAGGTATAAAGCGATTACGAAAAGTATTGGATATGTCATCATATGCTTCAATGCCCAGGTGTCTCCTCCTATTGCATGTATCTGGTAAGAGACCTCAAAGTAATCAGTGATGCTTTCCCCTGTATAGATCTTGCTAGGCATATCAGCTTTTGTAGTGGTATGAAAGTCTATACTAATGCACTATTCTATACACATCTCACCAGATTTTATAAGCCCTGTCAATGGGAGCCAATCATTATCGGAGCAAAGCGACAACGGCGCATGCATTTGACATACTAAGGCTGGATAGAGGAAAAACAGGAGAGACGCTATGAACGACTTAAATTTCTTCTATTATCCAACCAGTCCACCGTCCCATTTTCCTGTACATCAGACGATTAGACGACAGCTTCAATTACTAGCAAAGATAGAAGGCAAAATCGAGTAACGATGATGGCCCCCAGAAACCTACTCCGCATCTGTTTCAGCGTCACGTCCCATAATTATTCTATTAGGGATAGAGGATTCTCTATTTTTCTTCTTCTTTTTCTCCTAGATAAGATTCATCCATGATATTCCATACAATATAGTCGATAGTGATCTAAATTCGGATTTCCTTACCAAGACAGTAGAGTTCAGTCCATATCAGCAGCTAGATCTCTACTAATCAACACTAGCTTTCAAAGTGCTTGATGTGTTATGACTAGCAATTTTCATTTGACATTACAATTTGAAGAAGACACTTGCTTGGAAGAATGGAGAGATTTGATTAATTTTGCGACCAGAGTCACATATCCCATCCAAAGGATCGTTCAATAACTTCGCCATTGGCTTACATTGTCCCAGGATGGTTCGAGGACGGTGATGTTGATAGCAAAAAAATCAAGACCCCCCCAGAACAATCAGCGGCCATGGCTTGAAAGAATGCCGGCCCCTGATTTGTTCTAAGAATATCACCTCCGTGGAAGATTTCCGGCTGCGTTCCGCATGTACGAACTCTTAGCCCCATTGTAGCATTCCCGTGGGGAAGAAAGATGAATCGCAAGGACGGGTTCCTGGGCCAATGGAAGACCTTTCCTCCTAGGCTACATAGATGTCTTAACTACTACATTAAGTATCATGAGGCGTGGACACATTAGTCCCTCGGGAAAAGGGTGACTGGTGTATTCCTGATAAGTATAGCAGAAGAACGTACGTTTTACTGCGGTTTATGCGTGTGGAGCGTATTTTCCTTGGAATATCAGGTAATTGTAGCAAGGGGACCGTGATCGCAAATGGATTGGAAACTCATAGTGGTAAAATAGTACTGATCAAACATCGACCGCAGAACAGAGCAAGAAATGAGATAGTCAAGAATAAATTCTACCATCATGCTCCATAACCCCATGAAAACACCAGATAAAGCCGACATAAACCATCCAGGCACAAGGGGTATATGACGCAAACAAATAGTAGAGAGGACAGCCGATCACATATCCGGGTATCACACATAGCCGACACGACGCCAGGGCAAACAACACAAGCAAAACGCAAGGGAACGCAAGGAGACACAAGAAAGAAAGGCATGATGGTTTTTGACATAGGTTACGAGGTGGTATCCGTACCCTAATTCCCCTGAGCTTGGTGGGAAGCGCCAGGCTTCTGGCTGGCTGCATTATTAGGCGTCTCAGGTGGAGCAAAGGGAATTGGACTACTCGACGTGAAGACCGGAAGGCCGGTTCTTGTCTGGGCAGCAGAGGTATTAGGGGAGAATATGCTCGAGTGCTGCTGTGGGAGATCGGGGTTGTCGGGTGTATGAGGCGGGGAGACGTGGGAGGGAAAAACGCGGGGTTTTGGTTGATGGCCGAAGGGACTGGTTGAGTTTGGAACTGAGGTGGATGATAGGTGGAATGCCCACCATCACCATGTCCCGGTACAGGCTCAGGGGTAAAAGGAGATGCGAGGGGCTGAGAATAGGGCCCGGCGTTCGGTGCTGGCTGCTCTTGTTTCACGGCAGTGTCCATAACACCATCCATAGAAATGGCCGGGAGAGGAGGTGGCGAGCTATCAGGCGTCGCTTTCGCACGCGCACCCCTGGAGCCGTTTGCCTTCCGGGGTGTCCTCCCAGGCGATTTCGTTTTCGCTGACTTTGAGGACTGCTGGCGCTCTTCGGCAGCTTTCTGCTCTCGAAGAGCTTGCTCCTCTGGGCTCGGCATGACCAGTTTAATCTTGCGAAGGCCCGTTGTCAAGTTCTCAACATCGTCGGTCGGTGTTTGGGGTACCTCACCAGACAACTTTGAAGGTAGAAACGAAGGCGGGACCTTGGGCACCGGAGGAGCAGTCTTCCTCGGGCTCGCCGAGCGCTTCGGCGTGCCTGAGCGTGAGCCACCGCTGGTCTTCCGTGCACCGGTAGCGGAAGCAGATCGAGGAGTACTCTTTGACGGTGTTGCAGCATCTGCAGTGCTGGTAATATCGGCCATAGATGCCGCCGTGGCACTCTTCCGCCGACTAGCATCTACCGACGGAGATGGCTCCTGTGAAGCATCGGGTAAATCGTTACCGTCAATAGTTGTTCGCCGATTCTTACGCATCGCCTGCTGTCGAGGTGTAGCAGGTCGCGGTGAATAAGGCGTAGGTGACTTGGCTTTTCTCACACGGAGTTGTCGCTTTTCCTCGGTAGACGGGGGGGGCTGGCGGGGGAGGAGGAATGATTGCAGGGTTGACACCGCCATCAAGTGCAACTTGTCGCTCTCGTCGTTGGCGAGACGCCTCGGCATTGAGATCCTCTGGCCTGCAGCTTGTAGTTTGACGGGTTTCGGGAATAAGGACTTTAGAAAGCTCATGCGCTGCCGTGGCCCAGCCAACTTCTGGCATCGGGGGCAGGCTTGTGTCGATTGCAATGCCAGAATAAGAGCCAAATGATTTGCGGTCACGCGCGGGGGTGGAGACCACCTTGGCCGAGAATGAGCGGGTGGAATTGAGGAAGGTTGGCGTCGACTTGGAGCTCAATATAGGAGGAGACACAAGGGCCTCCAACTCGGCCAAAAGCGTGGGTGACCACCATTCCGGATCATAGTCCGCTTGGGCTGGATGGGGCTTGAAAGTAGGCTTCAATGTGTCAACGGGAGATGTCGTGGGAGAAGGAGGAATGGGTGCATCTTGAGAAGTCGGATGCGTATGTGCTACCGCGCTGGACAGCCCAGCTAAATGGCTCAAGACACCGCTTGTCAGAGCTCGGTCACTGTAGCCACCCTCAAGAACACTGATGACACGACCGTCGGTCCCAAGACCTTCTTCCTGCGACATGCGGACCACATCAGCTGTAAATTTGGCGTAGAATTCCGTCGGCACGTTGACCTTGTGCCGTTGCATCCCCGTCCCCTCCCACTCGCTTGCATCAAACCCCGCAGAGAGGAAAATAGCTCCCTTCGGGGGCGGGCCATTAGGTGTCTGCGCCAGTCGCTTTGTCTGATTGCGAAGGAAATCCCGCGCCTTGTTTATCAGGATGGTGTACTTGTTCCTGTACAGCTTCCAGAACTCGGTCTCAGTCTCCCAAGTATCCAGGTGAACGTTCCAAATCGACTGGCCATGGGCCCCATCAATGCAAACACTCGCATTGCGGACTTTATCGAAGTCACCGCCCTCGCAAGGGTACGAGTTGATGTCATGGAGACTGTAATAGCCGATGGCCGTTTTCTTGTAAGCGGGTGCATTCTTGGACGCGGTCAAGGCTTTGCTATTCTGAGCCCATGTGATGTCTTGAGAGCCATCGCCATGGTGTAGATCAAAATCCAGAATGGCTGCGTGAGTAAGCCCATGCATCTTTGCCGCGTACGATATACCGACGTGCACATTATTGATCCAGCAAAACCCGGAAGGAAAGTCGGCAGAGCAGTGATGACCCGGTGGGCGAATGCAGACAAATGCCCGCGTGGCCGGGCTAGGGCTAAACACAGCGTCAATCCCGTCGCAGACGCCACCTAGCGCACCTTGAAAGGCATTCAAGGACTCTGAGCATAGATACAGATCGCCAGAATGCAGCTCGGGGCTGGTTGTTTTTATGCCCTCGTTTTCTTTGCTGCGAGGCCGGACGAGTTCTTTGCCGGTCAGCGCTAAGCGCGACTCAGCGACCTCACACATTGCATGAAGATCCATCATCCAAGCATTTGGGTGTACATTTGTCACCACCTCATCCATGATCGACAACGCGCGCGAGGACTTTTGCATACGGAATGGGGGCGCAGGTAGCATATCAAGGTTGAGATTAGGATGCGGCGCAAAAGACTCCCCTGAGTGTCGCCGACCCATGCGGGCATATGCAGCAGACACTCCTACCACGCAAGCCCGAATGCGCTCCGGTCTCTCTACAATCGAAGCCAGCATGGATTTCGAGGCGCGTGGGCGCGAAAAGCGATGCCCGTAGCAGGCATCGTGAACGACTACCACGGTTTTGGCCTGGGGATCTACCAACTGGTGGTGCTCAACTTCTTTTCGGAAATGCTCTGCAGCAATCGACGCGGCCGTGGGGGCTTGCGGCTCTGGAGGGGCAGCCGCAAGACGCGGTGGCAACATTGCGGGCGACGCGGCGCCAGTGGGGGACCCCGCAAAGTTGGACGAGGGCCGGCGCGACGACTCTGGGTGCGGCGACGGAGGACCATGGGGTTGGGAAACAGCCCGCAGCGATGCGTTTGAGGCGCGTTTTTGTAAGTTGGGAGACGACTTGCGCTTCTGGAGGGAGGGGGTCGAAGGTGTTGACTTGCGGCGCTCGTCGCGTAAAGAGCTGGAACTGGGCGAACGCCGCGGCACGGGGAGCTGGTTGGAAGGCTGCATCGGGGTTTCATGGGGCGACAGGAGAGAAGGCGAGTTGGGCAGCGGGGTTGTTGTTGCATTTGCCAGCGATAAACGATCCAAAGATTCAGAGAGATCGCACGATTGGACCATAGTCGCCGGGGCGTTCTGCGCGAACGGAGGCGCAGGATCGTGCGAGTGATTGGAGGGTTCCATGATACGTGCAGATCATCGATCTGAGAAGCGTGAAGAGGTGCCCTGGGCAATGATAGAAGCCAGACTCGACGCGTTGAAAAGGGGGAAGTGACCGAAGATGGCGGGACGAGTCTTGGATCCGATCAATCTTCATGGGGCAAGGGGTCAGTCGATCTCATTCCAACAACATTAGGCATTCTTTTTACTCGATCTTTACTTCGCGGTCTCACTGGAATATGTCTACTTCAAAAGGAACATTCTTTCTGGGGAGCGCCTTCCATGGCACGCAGAATTGGTCTATTCTGCTTCTCTAATCAATTGTAAACATAAAAAAAAAAAAGTGGGCACCCTGATCGTCGCGGAACTCTTGCCCAACTCTATTTTGGAGCTCCGAATGTAAACACAAAAGAAATGACGACGGATCGACAAGACTCGAAAAATTGCAGGTTTGTTCCACCAACACCAAAGCTTGGGAAAAAGAAAAAAGAAATTTCAAATCAAATTTTGACATCGAAAGGGAGAGAAAAAGGAGAAAGGAACCCTCGGGGTAATAGTTGACTAGCGGGCCCGCAAGCCCCGCCATTGATACCATTGGTACCACCGGCGGCCAAAGGAGGATTTCTCGTCGAAAGACTCCTGAGATTGACGGCGAAGCTTCTTCTCTTCTTGCCGACGGGTCTTTTTCTCGCTTTTAAAGCCACGGGTTGCGTGAGAATGGCAGAAGCATTGCATGTGCACTGTCTCGACGCTAACTCCCGGGCAGCTGCTACGATGCTGGCCAGCACAGGCGCTTTGGCCAGCCTCTTCCTCGCAGTGGCACCACTCGTAAAGGGTGTAATATTGGCGACACATTGTATGTATGGAGCAATTGAACAGTTCGGTGATTGATTGTAGCAGGTCACACTAGATGGTGACGACGTAGCTTTGAGTAGATGGCGGCGAATTCGAGGTTGACAGCCTCCGAGGACTCGCTTCAGATTGGTTGAGAAAGGTCCTCCGGAAGACTCTGATCGATTTCACAGATCTGTCTTGGGTCGGTCTTCGAATATGGCCGTTTTTGGTAGTAGGAGATGGAGTGGTAGTGAATGCAATACGGCAGTTGCGGATGTCAGGTTATTGGTGTTAGAGCAAGATCAGTCCAGCTGAACAGAATGAGTGATATATTTGCAGAAGAAAGGGGAAAAAAGGGAGTAAGAAAGTGTAGATCATCAAGACTTCTTATACTCCACAAGGGCAGAGGGACAGAGACCGGCTAGGCCGGCACCAACCTATGGGGAGTAGGGCTGCGCAGTAATTCCATGGGTGTGAAGCTTCAGCTGACGTCAATCATGTTGCTCGCCAAGCTCGCCCGATACCCTCGGACAGTGAATACTAAGCCCATTCTAGCCACTGGGGGTATTATTGGCACTGTCGGGGGGAGCCTTTCGAAGAGATTTTAGAGAGTGGACTACCTTGTCCGGCGCTACGCGGGTGCTACGCCGGTTACATTTGGTCAAGCCTAGCGTGGTATTGGCCGGAACCCCAAACTCCGCAGCCCATGGCTGGTCATTATGAGACACTATTCACTTGGCGCTTTTTGTTCAGACCTTGTGACTATGCCATTTGCAAATCGAAGAGGGGTAGCTTGGCTGAATCCGACTTCAATGTGAAAAATCTGGGGGGGGGTGCGTCGGACCGCAAGCGCCGGCCCAATGAGGGTCGGGTGGAACAGCAATAGGGGCGGCTGTAGGAGCCCGGCGCCTGTATAGGAATAGGAAGCCAGTCGCATCCAATCGACAGGAATAGAGTTGGCGGGTATGAAACTTTGGCCATGGGTCAGACTAGTGTCAGGTCCAATCTGGTGTGTTTTTGGGTCTGACAGGGATCCGCGGTGACCCGAGCGGTTTCTCAAACGGTTCCTTTAACGACCGGCAGCTTGACGCCTCGGGCCTTCAGTCCGGGGTCACATTTAGCGCCGGGATTATTGTAAAGTTCATGTTGCACGGGTATGCATTCTTAGTGCCGCATGGACAAGATCAAGATGGATGATATCATGTCGATCTTTCCGCATACGCAACCGCAAGCGGCGTTGAGCCACAGAAACAACGAACGGTGTGGCTAGAACCTACCAACTCTGACAGGCGGTGTGGCAGGACGGCCCTCGAGCATGGCACATCATATGACCTCGAATTTCCCGCGGAGGAGTGCCTCAGGCTACGATATTTTCACCGCGGAGTCAAGGATAACTGTTGTCTCGTTGCCCCATTGCCGCCACCTACAATCTTTGATCGAGGCCAAATATATGCGACTGGGATACGCATACAAAACCGCATAATTTGGAACTCTCCAGCCGCCTCATACCCAAATATCTCCCGTCGAACGAACCACTTCACAGCAACCTTGTCATGACAACCACATCCCAAGACTCGCAACCGCCCAACATGGCCAGCACTCCCGCCAGAGCCTCCTCTCTTTTATCCAATCTAACTGCCGTCTCTGCACGCATCAGCACGGCCGTTGCGTCCTCCCCGGCCCCAGCCAAGCCCGTCCGCCTCGTCGCAGTCTCCAAATTAAAGCCCGCATCCGACATCCTCGCGCTCCACCAAGCGCCCGCCTCGCAGCAGCACTTCGGCGAAAACTACCTGCAAGAGCTCCTCGAGAAATCACGCCTGCTCCCCAAGACCATTAAATGGCATTTCATTGGAGGCCTACAATCAAATAAATGCGTCAATCTGGCCCGCGACGTGCACGCGCTGTGGGCCGTCGAGAGCGTTGACTCGGAGAAGAAGGCTACCCTGCTGAATAAGGGATGGGGTGACCGAAAGCCCGAAGTTATGGGTGAGAGGGAGGAGTCAGATGCTGAGGCGGACAAGCTGCGGATCTACGTCCAGGTGAATACCTCGGGCGAGGAGAACAAGGCGGGAATTGACCCCGCTGCGGCGCCGGCACTGTGCCGCTTTGTTAAGGAGAAATGCCCGCGGCTGAAGTTGCAGGGGCTGATGACTATTGGGGCAATTGCGAGGTCGAAGGCCACAACACCGGAGAATGAGAATGAGGACTTTGTTTGTCTGAGGGATACCAGGGATCGAGTCGCTGCGGAGCTGGGGCTTGGCGTGGAAGAGCTGGAGCTTAGCATGGGGATGAGTTCGGATTTCGAGGGTGCGATTGCGTTGGGGTCGGATCAGGTCCGGGTGGGCACCACTATCTTTGGGGATCGGCCGCCGAAGAGTGAGGCGAGGATTGTGTAGACTAGGTGCTTGGGAAAACTTCATAGAAGGCGTTTTTATGTCATGTATTATGAATCGTTGCATTTGGCACTGTCACATAAAGGTTATATACGACAGGCATGGAAAGAACACTTTAAAAAGATATAGAAGACAGCAGGAGCCGAGTATTGTATGGAACATCACGACCCGCTGCAGAAACGATTGTACAAGAAGGTGAGAGATCCGAAAGGAATGCTCGCTAGTATTAGCTCAAAAAGCTGATAGGAGAATATACATGCTTGCTTCCGCCATGAATGCACTGACTGATTAATCGTAGTTCGAGATAGGCCCAGTCTCCTTGACACCCTGGCCCAACTTCTGCTCCATTTGCTTGACAATGGCTGGTGGAACACTATCCTGCGTCGCGCGAACTGTGATACGGTACATCTATTGTTTGTCAGTATTACTAGTTCAATGTTCTGGGGTTGTTTGATCGCCAGGTTGCATACCTTCTTCTCATAGTTAGGTTCCAAGCGCAACAGGCAGCCAGTCTTCCCGCCCTCCATATGATACACGGCGCAACCAACAATGTTCTTCGGGTTCGGATCCACGTTGTCCAAAATCTTCCATCCAAGACCCTCTACCATGTGTCGAGTAAAAGCCTCGTGGATGATCTTGTTCTTTCCGGAAAGTCCAAAGGTCTTCTGCGTCTCCATAGGAGGACCACCAATCTGGCGCCAGCGCTTAAAGAAGTCTTCAGCTGACAGAGAGGAAGGCTCCATGTAGCGGTGCATAAGGACAGGAAGCGCGAGGGTATAAGCTTGCAGAGCACCAGCCAGATAGGAGATACGAATGGTTGGATAGTCATTGAAGGGGCCATGGGCGACACAGAAGAAAGTCTGTTGGGTTTGACCTGCGGCGGGGACCCTGGGCTCAGGAAGATTCTTCGAATCAATTTTCAGGTTGGGGGAGGCAGGATTGTCAATGGTGGTAGTCAGTGAACCAATCGGGTACGATGATTTGTTCGAAATATAGAGCTTGACAACTCCCATATTGGCACGGTATTCTGATCGTAATCCAATGTGGACCTGAGCATCTTCGAAGAGGACCCCTTCGTGTAAGAAGTACAGCTTGTTGAAGCCGATGTCCCAATCTGGCGTTAGATGAGCAGCACTGGCCATGTTGGGTGCAGGTTGAGCCGGCCCGCTGGAGAAATCCAGACCCTCCAAATCCCCGGATGCACTCTTCGTGCCGGTTGGTGACGGAGTGATTCCGTTGGAACCGGTCCGGGTGCCATTGACGATAGTGGTAAATGAGCGCTTGAGACCTGTGGACTGCGCCATAAGGACTTCTTGCTTGTCTGCATTGGCGGCTTTGCCGCCAACAACCCACGTCTTGCGTTCACTGGTACCAGCTGTCTTCTGATGAAGTCGCGACAATAAGATCGAGGCCCGTTCCGAGAATGGTGGCATTTCATCACATACGGTCCGCAGCAGATCATCTGTGGGTAGAGTGGCCAAGGACAAGTACTCGAATGCGCGCTGCTGCAGTTCAGAATCAGGCGAGTGGCTGTACAGACGAAATATTTGTAAAAGCTGGGGCTTGATTTCCGGGAACAGGTTGACAAATTTGACGAAGGAAGACAAAATCATGGCTCGAGTATTGTCCGAACCGGTGAACATCTTCGCCTGCAATGCCATAAACTGTTCAATGGGGCTCGATCCAGGGTTATCGGCAATCAGATGGCCGAACTCTCCAAGCACGTAACAGCCAATCTTCACCAAACTCTCGTGGCAATCGGTCTTCAGGTAGGTCAGCAGAGTGTGAGCCGCATATGCTTGTAACTCTTCATTATTGGTCACAATTTGAATAACCCGCTGCCACACCTCGTCATTAACATGGTCACCAGCAAGAGACAGCAATTTTAACGTCATGTCAATATACCACTGGGCATCTGTGGCATACTTCTCCGTCAAAATGGCGACCTTGAGAACCATCTCCTCTCGAATCGCATAGTCTGCTGTCTGCAGATAGCGCAGCAGCTCATTCACGATGGGGCCGGCGTTCGAGGTATCGCACATGCTGTACAGCAAGTCCAATCCCTTCCGTCGAACACTGATATCTCGGTCTCGGAGCGATCCAAGAATAATGTTCTGATGTTGTTTGATAGGGTCGAGTGTTTCTGCTCGAGCTGCGAAGTGGGTCATAGCATCCAGACCAAGGTACCGGACGTTGGTCTCGCGAGACTGGATATACTTGCCTAGGCGAGTGGAAATCTGCATCATAAGAGTGTGCTCGGAGTCGAGGTGAATGAGGAGGTTGATAGCTTCAAAGAGAATCGCGTTTTGCGCGTTGTTTTGTTGAACATTTTTAGGCGTCTCCATGGCAGACTGCATGATCTGTCGGAGGGACTCACGGATGATCTCACGGACATGGCTATCCTCTGGAAGGGCAGTCAGTATCTGGATATTCACGGGACGGAAAGGATCGGATTTTACCTGATGGAGGGTAGTACTGCAGAAGTCGAAGCAGCTTAACTTGGATCCATGGGCACGGCACACGGTAGTAAAGGTAGTCCGGCGCAATGTCGCTGTCCACCACTATCCGCTTCAATCGCTGAGCAGCCTTAACATAACAGCCCTTGTACTCGTCTGGGAGGTCCTGAGCCAGCGCCATAACCAGCGAAGTCACTGACAATGTCACGCCCATGTCAGGGTCATCCATAATAGATATGATTCGTTCGGCCCACTCGTTCCGCACAATGCCGGGGTATTTCCGGTAGAGACGCAGAAGGGTGAGAGCGGCCTTCTTCTTCACGAAGGCTTTCGAGGTTCTGCATGTCATTAGTAAGTTCACGTCGTTTGCCAGTTAGACCAGATAACCCACGGAGAGATCAGGAGTCGATGGACTTCGCTGCCAAGGGCCTCTCCAAGCTCCCGCCCACCGACATTGGCCACTGCATGCAGTGCCAAACAGATATTCAACTCGCTATTATCCAATAAATCCTTCCGGATACTGTTGACAACCAAATGCAGCAATTCGTGTTCTTCGTGGAGGAACAGAGTGACGGCGAGGTAACCGATTTGTTTCTCCGAATACTTGGTAGACGAAATGAGGTTGACGGCTTCAAGATGGCCGAAATCGACATCGTAGCCTTGAATGTACACGTAAAGGAGCTTGCAGACGTATTTTTTCTTTTGGTAGCCATTCAGATTGCCACCCTTGAACTTCTGTCGGATGTTAGCAAGTTCCTTGTTCACACGCTTCTCCTCCAGCTCACGCGCCCGCGCATTGCGCAAGTCTGCGATGAACTGGACAAGTCCTTTCATTGACGACATGGTTTAGATCGCCGGACACGGGTCTTGGCGAGAAGCGCAGGAACTCTTTCGCACCAAAGACCGAAATTGTCTTTTCACTTCGAGGGTGGGGTTGGAGTCGAAAAGCACTCGGCTCGCATGCCACGCGGAGATGACCTCAGGGGTTCGCGTATAGACGGATAGCGTCACACAACCATGTCCTGTTGCTGCTGTAGTGTCGATGGGGCATTGGCCGTCCACGCTTGGCAATGGGGCCTCCGGATGTGTTCGCAGGGGAGCTTAGAAACAGGGGTTCGCTAAATTGTTACACTTTGGGTCAGCTCCGGTCAGGTAACGAGACTTCTGCTCGTGCGTGGTAGAGAGAAAATGTCAATCAAGAAGAACTCACCCAGATTCACTTGGTGGAATGGATCCCCAGATAATAGGAGCGCGTCAAGTGTTAGGTCCCCCATCACACACCTCCGGCTTGCCCTTAGGCCACTTTCCGCTGTCGATCATCGGCTTCCGCTGTGGCGCAGGATTAACGTTGATGCGGCTGTGGCGGTGCATCAACCTGTATCTACTTGGTACTTTTGTAATTTTGTACTTTTGCTAAAAGTATACACTAACTCTATGAGCTCAGCGCGGATAGAAGGATAATATTAATCATGACTTGTCGGTAATTTTTATTCCATTCTTGGTTTTCGTTGTCCTCGTAAGCACACACACAGTGCGGGCCAGACCCTTTAATGATACATTACAACCCCTGGGTAATCAAATACACAAACGCCATCCCAACTGACTCCAATTTAAAAATGCAAGTAATGCTGGAGCTTCCAGAACCCATGAAGCGTTCATGAGACCAGTGGGCTCGGCGATTTAGGCGCGAGTAGTAAAGTCGGTTTCAAGATCAGACTGAATGGCTGCCGCCTTCTCACAGGTGCAAGAAGCTAAGGTTTATTAGCATAAGTACATCAAATCGCTTCTCAAATCCAATCTTTGAAAACTGTTAGTGGTACTTACCAGCTGGGCGTGTTCCACAGGGACACTTTTCGCCTTGTACAGGCTTGTTCTCGCTCACAGCGCGCTCACAAGTACACGAACCAGCGGGGCGAGCACCTGGTAGATATTAGTTATCATCTTCAATCGAGGAATGAGCTATAGTGCTATTGGAACTTACGGCATGAGCAGCGAGGGCCAGTGATGGCGTTTTCAGTAGCAGCCTTGTTGCAGGAACAGTGGAGAGCACTCTGCTTGCCACAGGAGCACTTGGCCTGGGCAGCACAGACGCAGCTACCATCTTGGGTAGCCTTGCAGCAGGTAGTGGCAGGGGAAATCATCTTGTCGTTTAGTGAAGTGTTGTCTGATTGAAGGAAGACTTCGAATTGAATCTGGTAAGACTGGAGGCGGCTTGAAGAATGAAAGGAATAGCTGGAAAGCAACAAGCTGTATTTGAATAAATCATAGTTACAAAGATCGGCCTGATTATCATTACCCACTTTGTGATTGGCTGATATACCAGTGATCATGTGATCTGTTTCTCTAAATTCTCGCTCTGATTGGCCCCGCGTCTACCATGACCAGCTCCGTCTTCCCTTGTCTGAGATGCTTGCCACTTGAATGGCTACACAACTCTTCTGATTGGATGATGCAGATTTCGATGACCATTACCTTCATTTTCATTCGTTGAATTGGTCCATGAACTAATGGTGGTCTGATGCAAGATTCGAGGACTGATCGTGCGGCTGTTTACTAGCCGCAAATGGACTGCACTCATAGACAGCATCACCGATGTACGCGGATAGGGCCTTCGCTTTTACGAATTGATAGAACTCTTTTTGTCCTTGTTTCATTTGTGTTGGTTTCTGATCACAACTCTCTTGAATAGACTCGGAATCTCATCTTGATGTTACTCATGAGTGTTGGATTTTGGCTACATATATTTGGCGCTCCGGTAACAAATTCGAAGAGCACCATTTCAAATTGCGCCACGGTCCCACGACTACTAGTGGTAGTCCTAGCCTACCTAATCCATCTTTATGAAATACTAGCAGTGGTCTTGGAGTCTCCAGCTTCGGTGGCAGATATCTTCAGGACATCCTAGCTGCGCATCATGCTCACCTATGACGATCATCTCAGTTACGGTCAATAAATTCAATACCAAGCCTTAAGTTGCTAGAGGTAGCTTAAGCAGAGGGGAGAAGGAGAAGGACTTGAATTTAGATGGAGAGAAGTGGAAGATAAGTCAACCGGCCTCCTGTTTGTGCAAGAGTTGCTCGCAAACCCATAGAGACTGCCAAGCTTTAGAGGAAGACAGAGCTGGAAGCGGCTTTGCTATGTCTCCTCTCTACGATTGAGGAAAGCCTTGCGGCTACCGCAACGTTTGACGCGGAGAGTCTCATCACTATATTCTCCCTTCTTTACCTATGAACAGATGATTCACAGGATTTTTCTGTCTGATCCATTCGAGGTAGTATATAGAACCTTCTCGTGGCGCGACAGAGTTGCTTCAACCGGCCAAATACCATGGGAATCTCATGTTAATATGTGAGGGAAAAAAAGTCTCAATTTTAATGCTATTATCCCTATTCTCGCTAATGCGTTTTTACCCTTGGCGTTATGCTTCTCCGAGAATCATCGAGCGAGACTAGCTGTTGTTTATTGCAATAGTAACTCCAAGCTGCTCTTGAGTATTTCGCATTCCGTTCAACGAGAGGCTCGTAGCAGGACATTTCAAAATGCTCAACTGAATACTTTTGAAGTATTTCTATTGTGGCCAATACTGAACTATAACGGGATGAAAGATTTGAAAGCCAAGAACGAAGAATCTTCCCACTCGAGCATGTATAAAGTAGTAACGCCGATATTGGCCCGAAATGAAGCTTTTCTTCTACGGCGAACAGGACTTTGTACCCCTATAGAATGTCTAGTCTCTGCTAGAGAAAGAGCCAAGCATGACCGATTCTATTCGTCAGCGCTTTCTCAGCCATATTGCCTCCCAAGACAAAAGAACGGGGACAAAAGAACGGGCCACTTGCGTCTAGTCTTGTTCATTTCGTAACAAAAAAAAACCATATCCGTCGTCGCATTCCATCGCTTCAAGTCCCGAATATACGAATGTGAAACCCGGGAAGTCAATCAAAGACATCTATGGGGCTCCCTTGGGCACCATATCGGGCATGTCCTACCTCGGTACTCGGTGATTGCACAAGCATACTTGCCGGGCTTCCTGAACTGGCAGGAGCCCATACTCTTTGTTTGCCAACAAAGCTGCGGAATGAATTTCTTCTGCAATCCCAACAACCGGACTCGGTTTCAATCAATGTAATATCCCGAAGCTCACAGTATAACAAAGCTGGACGGATCCAACTGTCGTCTCCAACAATCACAGCCACTTCCTCTTGCCCGCAAGTTAGCTGGGAAAACCCAATGACGCCGGCTGGCGAAGCCTATCGCCGGGAACACGACTGTCTACCTCTACTACTATAGCTTTTTTTTTTAGTCCTGAAACCATTCGACCTTCCCAAAACAGCCAGAGATGAGGGGGAGGGGGGTCGAATAACCTTTACCCCTGAAGCACAGCAGGGTCGCCTCGAACATGCTCAGTGCTGCGGGGGCCCCAAACAGCAGCCGTTTATGATTTGCTTCGAGAAGCGTGTTTCCGGGCTGCAGAACATACTGGCCCGTGCTTGTATCAGATCTCGGCCGATGAGCCCCTCGTTCTTTTTCGCCCTGCTCGACTGATCGCCGAGATTCGCCCGCGCTTTCGGGCTCTCCGATCATGAGCGACGATTTAGACTGTCGAGCTTGGCCGGCCTTCGTCGCTCCAGAGCACACGTGAATCAGAGTTGTCAAAGGATTCAGTCAGCCACCGGAGAACAAGTATATTCTCCTCGACTATAGACTCTGGGGAACTGCTGGGAGAATTTCCCTCGATTATGCTGGTAAATTCGAGGTTCCAGCTTCGAAGGTTACCTGCAGAGTGGTGGATACGCAGGTGAAGAGCCATGGCTTTGGGTCTTTTCACTAAATATGCTTCACTTCTGGTGCAAATGATTGGCTCAGTAGATTGCGTGTCATGGATTTAGAGTAGAAAAATTAATATTAGATGGAATTCCTTTTCCCAGATCAGAGATGAAACTAGGGCTAGTACATCAAAGAATCGTATATACAGTGAATCGCCCGAACCCGATGCTCCCGAGTCTTATGGAAGAAAAGATGCCCCAGAACAGTTCAGGATGCAGACAAACACCCAGCGGTAACAGGTGCGTTTCAAAAAGAAAAGAAAAGAAAAGAAAAAAAGAAGATACACGAAATAACAATTTTGGCTATACAGAAGTATTAAAATTAAAACACGCTGACTTGTGTCAAATGCCGTTTTGCTGGCTTAGCGAGAGAAGTAAATTTGCGAATGGAACGAATGGATCTAAACCGCCCACCGAGTACCGTTTTTAAAGCTTTTGCGCCTGCTGAAATGATGTTGGAAGACAATTCTGGACCAGCCCCGCCTTCTATTATTGCTGAATATAGCCTGCGTAGTTGAAAGATGGGTTTGTGAACTTATTGCGCACGGTGTCAATCGAATGCACCCCCTGCTGCATCTGATCAGCCGTGATGCCTTGATCTGAAGGTGCATATGTCGCAGGGAGGTTGAGGTTCGAGGCTCCACTTGCGGGAGCATAGTTGAGGCTACCGAGTGGGGACGACGTAGCACCATAGGAAAAAGGACGGTAGTCCTGCGGAAGGGACTGCAGAGAAGAGAGAGGTCGGCCATTGGGGAGTTGGGTGTTAAGCCCGAGTGCACTGCTCTGGGCTGAAACAGGCATCCGAGGCGCATAATTTGGCGGTTGCGTGCCTATATTGCATCCGAGAGTTAGGGTTCGCTCCTTTTCCGGGCCGTTTTACACGGCGGGGGAAAGTAATCAAAGACAAACCTAGGTTGCTCATGTCGTACTGTATCTGGTTGCCTTGTGTGTCTGTAGGCGAAACCGAGTTGTCGAATGACTGGGACTGATCGTAGCCTGGCACCATTCCACTCGCGGGCCGAACCACCGCGTAATCTATTGGCGATCGTCCGTAAGGCAGACCTGGTCCACTTGATGGTCCAAGGCGACCGGGAATCGGATAGCCCGCATGGAAGGTGTTGGGTTGGGGGGAGGTATCGGATATGCTGCTGGACCGGGTGATGTTGTAATCGCTGCGTATCGGTCGCTGCTGGTCCAGGGATCCTGTTGCGCCCGGGCGACCAAACATCACACTCGAGGAAGAAAAACCCTCTCGTCCCTGGCCAGCAGAGGACATGTAGGGCCCGGAACTGAGCGGAGAGACGAGGTATTCGTCGTCACTGGGACGGAAGCCGTCATGGCGTATTCCTCTGAAGCCGGAGTAGGTTGTATTGGGGCTATTGAAGTCATGAGGCGAGGTGAGGGATGTTTGTCCAGGTTTTCCCTCAAAGGGCGTACGAAGTACTTTGCTAGTATCGAAATCGTCTGGTAGAGCTCGAGACTTGAGCATTCTTTCGCGGTCGTTCGTAGTGAGACGCTTGAGCTTTGCTCTCCTATCATGATCATACTGTTAAACCCGCGCCAAATTGCCAGATGAAATAGAAGAATTGATATTCACCTGTTCTGGAACCAGACTTGGACTTGTCGGGCGTCAAGCCGGGGATCTCCCTCGACAGGCGTTCGCGATGAGCGGCATCTGGGTGTGCTTGCCGAGTAAACTCGCTCATCAAGAATCGAGTTTGGTTATGGGTCAAGCTGTGGATGCTGTTAGCAATCGGTACAAAGTCTTGTACAGGACTCGGGAGTCTCCCGTCGTACCGGAATCGCTTCATCTTCTTTTTCTCCAACGACGATGTGTATTCATCGCTTCCGGCAGTATCTCCTCTGCCATCGGAGGGACTCATCGAAGAATCCCTGTCGCGTTCCTCCTTCAAATCCAAACCTAGGTCAAAATTGGAATGACTGCTCGTTTCTTGTCCAGGGCTAGGGCCAGCCCGGGGCCGTAGCAGAGAGCCATCCGTGCTATCGCCCGCCGGAACTTGCAGCTTCATTCTGGGTAAGAGGTCTTCTCTGCCCATCTCGGGTTGCTGATTGAGTTGGGAATGCAAGGCCATTTCTCCGTCTGCACGCCCGCTAGATACTGATCCGGTCATTATTGCAGGTCGTGAAGAGGTATATGAGGAGTCTTCAGCCTTGCTAGAAGGTTGTTTGACAGTATATAAACCGGTCGAGGATCCAGACTCGCGTTCGTTGTATAGTGGCAATAGTGGGGAAACAGTTTTCTGTGCGGGAGGGGGCCCAATTTTCAGTTCTATGTGCCCCAGAAAAATGGACTGGAACAGAAGTGAACGGAGAAGGCAGTGGTGAGGACAACGGAGGCATCCAAAGACAAGGACCCCCGATGGACATGGTAAGAGTATGGACAAGGATCGTCCCTTTTAGAGCCGAGTTGGGGCCAAGTCCCAGATTTTCGTTGATAGTGATGTGCTGAACAGACCCAAGTCTATTCAATGCACAAAACCACCAGAAGAAAAAAAATTGGGGGAGGGGGTGGTGGGAAACAATAAAACCGTTAGAGCGCCCTTCTGCAAGATGAGACGTAGGTGGGTCTGGATAAAAGGCCGGGGCGCCTGTGAAATAAGTCCAGGGTTCCTTACGCAATTAAACGGAATCACGGGTGAGGCCAAACCAAACAGAAGAGTCTCAGTATAAGATGAAGCGGAGGGTCTCTCGGGAAAGGAGGAGGGGGGAGGAAGTTAGGCGCCGAGAGCCGTGGCCACAGATATGTCAAAAAGAGCGGACCAACGGCCCGCGTAAGATCTGAGATCGCTGGGAAGGTATACCCCGTTCCACTTGGTGATCTTTACGATGCTCCGTTGGCAGTGTACGCATCCACTGGTCCTCCGGGGTCCGCTAACTGGGGCCTTGGAGGTGGCTGGCCTGGCGTCTGGACGATCTCAGAGGGTGGGATTATACAGTACGGAGAAATGCACAGTAAAACAGCGACTCCTGAGTTAAAAAGCCCCTTGCCAGCAAAAGCTTGTGCAAGACAAGTGAGTTCCCTTCCCAAAGATACGTATTGAGGAAACAGCGAGGGAAGAGGCTGGGGGGGTGGAAATAATGGCAGTTGGGTCACGATCTTAATCCGGACGCCCACATTAACCTCCCAGGGTCCACCAAGGGTCGAGGGCGAGCTGGGGTGGTGAATAATTGACCTAGTAGAGGACAATATACAACTGTTGTCAAGATTCTATGGAACAATCCTTGTTGAATGAATAGTTCCTGCAAGCCGAAGGATTGATATGTCTCTCGGTAGTTCACGCAAGACGACAATATTTGCGACGGCCAAGCGGGAGGAGAATATAAAGTTCGAAAAGCTATAGCTAGAGAAAAAGGCGCATTTCTAAAATGGAAAGGTCTGATGAGAGGGTCGAAATAAGGGAGCCGAGGAGATAAAAAAATTTAGAATTTAAAAATGCCGAAAGCGATTAAGAAGGGTCCCAGCCCAACGACCCTGTCGTCAACCTTGTTGTGCTAGGGTCAACTATAGTGGGCCGGAGAGAAGAACAGGTTAACCATTAGCAAAGCTAGCTCGGTGCTAAGTTCCATGGAGAGGAAGGATCCTCGACGGGGCATAGTCCGGGAGTTTGTAACCTCCGGGGGCCCCGTTTAGTGTCTTGTCAGAATAGAATTCTTAGAGAAATTCCTAGCAACGATCTCCAGAAGGATTTGAAGCTTCAGATCTTTTTTCTTTTATCAGGTGCTGAAAGCCTTGAAACGCACAGAGCAGGAATGAGGCGTTTCCAAAGGCCTGGACCGATTGCTGAAATTACGGGGTAGCCAGACCGCATCCTGAGACTTGCAATGTGGTAGATTCACAAATGACAGTTCCTATCTGGTTGGATGTACCAGAGTTCTGTCCCACGCCCTGCTCCCCGTAGATTAATGCCACGGGTTACCTGTGGCAAATGGCGGTTCTGCCCGAGTGAGAAGTGTAAAAAGAGAAAACAAGGGAAACCGAAAAAACCGAAAAAACCAAAAAAAAAGGAAAAAAAGAAATTCATCCCAAAACGATAAATAAATCAAAAAAAGGGCCATTAGCCACGGCCACGGGCAAAAGGCTGGAAAGGTCCAAAGAAAAGCTCCTGGGATCCTCTTGGGGTCCCTACACATGGGAGACACAGCAATGGATCTATTGACCCACCAGGTACAACTGTGTTCTGTATGCTCCCGTGCGGGTACTATGAACCCTTGTTGAGGTCCTTGGATACGATAGAAGCAATGTGTATTTTTATCCTAGTAGCGGGACTGCAGGGGTGGGATAAGTCAATCGTGTTCTCGAACTTGACAAAGAACAGAGGGCTGGGGGGTGTTCTGACGAGGTGGGGAAATATCCTAATTCGTTGTTAGGGGGGTGACCAAAAACCAGATATCGAAGCTGCATGGACCGCGGAGGATTAGGGTAGCGTCAGATACTTGGCCCATGGTGGAAGCCTGTCACTTTTTTGGCAACCAAAAGCCGGATGCTGGATAATCCATGGATCGATCAAGGGGAAGTCCGTGAGCCACTCGCAAGCCACTATCCGGTGAGCCACGCAGCACGCTTTCCGCCACCGTTCGTCTTGAATGGGTGCATGATGTAGGTGCATCAACATGTAGCGATGGTGGTCCAATGAGAACTACACTATCGCGAGTTGCCAGGAAGGGAAAAAAGCAAAAAGGAAAAAAGAAAGAAAAAAGGGAAGAAACAAAAAACCCCCCCCAACCAAACCGGGAGAGAGAAATCAGGAAAATAGACATCCAAGAGTAATCCCTCTGTTCGCAGTAGGTCCACGTAGACATGTGGAGGGACTGGAATATTCGAGTTGGGATTTTGTGTCTATTTCCCATTCTCAACCGAGATCATCCATGGTCAGCGATCATCTGGCAATCCGCTGAAGCCCCTCATTGGTGTTGCGATGGATACCTGAAACTCGCCATTAGGGGGGGGGGCGATCGGTTAGACGGTACCGGCCGCTCCAAGACGGGCACTGTCGGGCAAATTGCCCCCGGTTAAGAGCCTCCCAAGGATTCCGCTTTACTAAGGTCATTGATTTCTCCGTCTTCTTCTTCTTCTTCTTCTTCTTCTTCTTCTTTTTTTCCTGCGCCTTTGTCTTTAAATGCTTCTCCTTGTAATCACGTCGGATTAAAGTGATGGACACTGCGAGCTGGCTAGCTTACAAAGAAGAAGAAGGGAGGCGAGAGGTGTTTCCAACTGCCAGACTACAACGGAGTCCGGGCGTGGCTTAGGGCTAACCGTTACCTCCTCCCCCCACCGGGCGCTCTCCACCGAAGAGAGCTCCTTGAAATCTCCACATCCCAGCCCCGTGAAACATTCCGAGTCGCATTGGGAAATGAAAGGTTCAAAGGTCCTTTGCATGGTGGGGGGGGAGTGTGGTCTGCTGTAGACGAATGTGAAGAACAAGCACATGATTCTCCTGAGCCTAGGTTGCCCAGTTCATCTAGACTCTCCGATCTGAGGTGTACGGAGTACTTCCCACCTGGAGCATTGTGAGTCCGAGTCCTGAACTCGGATGCCTATCGTACGGGGGATCAGCTACCAAAACTAGTCCCGATGAATCACAGTGGAGTCGCCATTCATGCTCCAATGCTCTAGCCCTCGTCGCTGCTGTGCTACTGTATCGACTTCAAATTCCATCGGGCAACCGGCCATGGTGCATATCATTCCTTGTCTTGGCTCGTATGATGAGGTCATAACTGCAAAGCATACTCGTGCCGATGGGAAACACTAGCTTGGAAGATGGGGATTGGTCGGTGGCCTTCGGTGGCTTCGGATTTTGGCTTTTGCGAACGTTAAAGTAGCTACTCCGTCCATTGTACACATCTCCAGCGCGTCCGCTCAATAGTCGGTGGAGATTTGCACCGCCCGTTACTGTTCTTACGTAGAACCTCGCCCACTCAGGCCAAAATATGGAGACTTAAGTTCGGCGGGTCTCGGAGGGGAGAAAATTCGGGACCGTTAGACTGAGATCCCGAATCAGAATCCTCGATTCGCTCTCTTTCTACGGCGCTCTGAACGGCCGAAACCATTGTCGACCGGAGGCTGCCTGTGTATGCGATCAGATTCTCGTTTCCTTTTTCGGTATGACGCGGCTCTCTCCACAGGCCAGGATCAGGAACGGGATCGATTACATGTAAGCTGGGCATGTCACCCACGTGGAATCAGCAGGATTTGAACCCACGGCGAGGCCCTTGCGTGCCACTTGTCCCTTCCCCGTCTGTGATCTATCATGCATACGGGTCTAGGACCCTTACTTGAAGACCAAGTAAAAAGAAAAGAAGCAGTGTCTGCATGGATACGGTGAAGCGTCGAGTCAAAACGACGAGTCCGATTAGGGGGGGCCTGGAGCCTCTGAGCCCTGCAATAGGCATTCTCCCTCCCTTGGCCCGCAACCTTGGAAGGATACAATGCCTTGCTTCTGGAAAGGTGCGGGGAACCAGCTGGGCGGGCTCGCACCCTCACCGCGTGGGAATCCCTTGAGAGTAACTTTAATCTTTCGGCCCCTTCTAGCTTCATTAGCGCACGTTGACGATACGCACAGCGGTAGCCGTTCAATCACTGGCTCCGTGCGCTGTCCGCAGAGTGACTATGTTACTTCGATAGGAAAGAGGCTAGGCGGCTTACGCAAGCCAATCTGGACACGGGACCTTCCTATTGTAACGCCAATGGCCAACTGTTTTGGAGTTCTTATCCCCCTCCTTTTGGTGTAAGACCCCTTCGACTCTATGCTCACCGTGTGCCCAGTGCAACTTATGCATCCTACCCAAGGTATCTTCCACCGGTAATTTGGTCCGAACCTCGTTGCCCTGCAGATCAAGAGCAGTGGAGCTATGGTTCTGCAAAACGCTCGTTTCTATACGCCAGCCAGGTTATTCTTTCCCTCTCCTTTTTTTTTTCCCGCCCCTTTCCCCCCTTTCCCCCGCCCCGTAATACGTCCTTTGTACATACGCCTTGCGGGTCTTTCCAACCCTTCAACTTTGGGTGACACCCAGCTCCACGAAGATTCTCACGGGTCGATCAGAGGCAAACTGGGCTGTCGCGTGGAGCTACTACATTGCTTCTTCCCAGGGGGTATTGAGGTGAAACTTTGCTCGATGGAAGGCCCCATATATGCGCGAAACGCCGGGCTATCGTCCAACTTTAGAAGGCACCATGAGCTCGTGAACTCGCATTCCGTCTACAGACCCTCTCGGACACATGTTATTCTCCGAATCACCGGTGGATCTCCGATCCCAGATCGGGAAATGCAATGAGCTGACACCATCGACGCCAGCCAACGGGCATCGGTTGCTCCTTTCCAATTTCTGGTGTAGCGTCCCCTCGTAACTCCACTGTGGAGCTCGCAACTCCCTCGCCCTAACAAAGTGGACCATACGGCGTCCTGGGACTCTCGGTCCTTCATACGATCCATGCGTCTTGTTCTCGAAGAATCTTTCCATGAACTCCCGCAGGCACTCTAGTGGCTTCCAAAAAGGGACCCAAAATGCAGCTTAAATAAGGAACCAACTCTAACACTGCATGGCACTGGGGCCTACTCTGATGCTTAATGGTGACGTTTGGTTCTGAAGGACTAGGATAGGATTCAGCTTCGTCGTTTTCAAATCTGCGTGCTCATAAAGCGTATTATGGCTCGATCCTCTATCGCCGAAACTACCACCATCCTCATACTAGTCTACTCGCCAAGCGTCCGATGGTGAAACACGGCTGCGACGGCTCGGTGCCCCAGCCTCACTGCACTTAGTTTTGGGGGAATTTCAATTTCTCCGAAAAGCCAGACGTGATACGTGGAACCCCCGCTAGAAGGCTGCGGTGGTTCTTTAGTTGGTGGAATCTCATGCAGGAACCCTCCAGATGGCGCGCCGAGCTCAAGATACTTGTCGATCAGCTAGAAGAATTACAGAAAACCAAAGAAATCCCCCGCGATCGGGAGCTAATATTCCGACAGTAGATGGCGCTCACGCCGATCCCACTCTATGTAAGTAGTTTGCCGGTGGTGGCGAAACAGGGGAAATGGTATTGTTGAGATACTATCACCGAGCCTCGCTAAGCTTTAGACCCAGCATGCTACTTTACTTGCCTTCAATCAGGAAGGTCGGGAGTGAGTGCCAGTCAATGCGTCCATCAACCCCCAAATCAACTCCCTGAATCCTTTCTACCGGACTAGAATTACCCTTTGCCCCAGTGCATGCCATATTAACCTGGCGGATCCTATGGACTCTTTCTGCGTGTACCCTATGATCATTGGGGCCGGGGCAGTAAAACTGGGTTCCCTGGAGCAAGTGAGGCGAATGATGTGGACCTCCCTACACAGCCATCACCTTCGCGGTCATCTCCTGAAAACACAAGCGGCGCTGGAGTTCAAAATTCTTTGCGTTGTTCCCGATATCCGTGAAAGGCTTCACAGCCCTCCAGATCCGACTAGCTGATTGTGGATCTTGTGGGCTTCGCCGCCTAGCGATACCCGGTGCGGGTATTGCTCCGCACTCCCGAAGAGGGAGGTCAAAGCTCAAAGCAGACAAGTGCGAACAGAAAAAAAAAACCTTCTTGGGTACGCTAGACCAGGGTCTAAGGGTCTATTCAGGTGGCTGCCTCGGGGCTTGTGATTTCTTCTCCGGTATTGGCAGTTGAGTTCAAAGGACCCTGGTCTGTTGTCGTACTCTCCTCGTTAGCGGCAGTCGATTCCTTCTTGGCGGCATCGGGGAGAACTTCGTTATCAAGAGGTCCGTTGGGTGCTTCTTCGACCCCCTGCGGTATGTCCTTGGCGTCTTCGGTATCCTCCGCCTCTCCTGGACTTTCCACTGCCGCGGCTGGGGCTTCGAGCAAAACTTCGAGCTTGTTGCCATCTTCGATCTTGTCGAATGCGGCTAGTTTTGTTTTCGCAGACAAGCGAAGAATGCGCCAGGTTTGGCTGGTCTTGGATCTCACGGCTTCATCCTTCTCATCTTGGTTTGACGCCATGTCAATATCCATCTCACTGTCTAGTATTTTGCCCATGTATGTTTTGGCCGCTGGAATGGTGTAGCGATCTTGCTCTTTAAGCCGCTCGAAATTCGCCTGTGCCGCGCTCTCAGATAGGAAGCTCAGGTCGAGTGCTCCCATAGGCGTGGGGCGAAGACGTTTGTTGGCATATAGTTTACTGGCCTCCTTTCGTGCCTGCATAGAATCGGGAACAGAGACAGCTGGACGTTCAATCGGTGGACATCCTTCGGCCTTCCAGCGTACCCAGTTCTTGTCCCGAGATAGGACCGTATCGACCATTCGGTAATAGAACTTGCCGCTGACTCCTTCCTGTAGGTACCCTTCGATCCTTTTGCGCATGGCCGTCACCCATTTGGTATCTTCTTCATTTAGTGTAAAGCCGTAGAGCACCGACCTGTTAGTCAGGTCGGTAAGACGTGCTTTGGCTTTAGGATTCAAGGATAAAAGGAAGTCAAACAGAATCAATGCCTGGACAAGGACATGTCGGCGAAATGCTTCGTCGCTGACTTCCAAGTCGAAAAGATCCCGGCTGGTTAGGTATTTGGGGTTGAAGCTGGTGCCAATCTCTGCCTCGTCAGACACGTGCTTTCGTTTGTGAGAATTGCGCTCTTCCTCCGTCTGGCGTGAAACAGTTCTGTTGTCCGTATTGATGTTTTTAAATGCATTCAGCGTTGCTTCGATAGCTGCTTTGAAAGATGCGAATTGTTCCGAATCGAAGGTCTTCGTTGGGTTGGAGAAGTAGGCCTGTAGCCCCCAGAATAAGGGGTATAACTCTCCAAGATCGACCTTTTCGGCAGGCGCCGCTTTTTTGCTGTCATTGGAGACAACCACCTTGGGTGTTTGCGGCCGGGATCCCTGGTCCCCAGTCTTAGGGGACTCCTCCTCTCTTTTTCCTGTCGCGGGGGGTTCCTCATTACCTTCAGCCATAGTCGTATCTTCTTCATTCGATGGGGCTGGCTTCGGTATGTCATCAAAGGTAGTAACATTTTCTGTGTGAAATTCGCCACGCAAGTTGACTGAACTCTTGTCTCCGAGGGGGAAGCTTTGGAAGAGAAAGATGAACACCCGACCGCAGAACACTGTGTCCTCGGCTCGTGAAAGTCTGCGGAGGAGTTCATTGCATGACCGTAGGATGATCAAATTCTTTTGCTTGAAGTGCTTCTACGAAATGGTTAGCCATGACCATCCAAGCATACCTGAATCGACGGGGACTTACTCGAATATTACGCTCACGGCGTGATTCAAGGTAATCGAAGACCTTGCGGCATCCATCTATTGTTTGGCTGTCCAGCAGCTCTTCGATGAGCCAGAATATCAAGCCAGGCTCGCATTGTTCTGGAGGGGGTAATCAGCACGAGTAAAGACGGTTGTCGGAATCGCTTGAGGCAACCCACCATTGTCGGAGACGATGGACACTATGTCGAGTAGGTTCCACATGTCAATAAAACTCGGATCATTTATGGAAGTGCTTGCCTTCAAGAAGCATCCAGTGATTAGCGCATATTCTATCAATCATGGTTGAGTCCGGGGCGGAGTTGAGCTCCTTACCAAAATATGGTAGAACTTCTCTCTGAAAGCAATCTCTGCCGCTGCGAACTGAGTTTGCTGGCTCAACTGCGACACTGTTCCTTCATGTTCCTTTGAAACCTGCCAAATGGCCTCGCCTAGGTGTGCTTCGGTCAACGGGGGTTCGATTTGTTTGTCGGGCTTGGCCTGCGCGGCGCGGTCCAACAGGCTTTCGATTAGCGTCTTATAGACACTAACCACCTCCAGCTCCTCCTGGGCCATTTCGCCGGTGTTCGAGTGACTTGGAGGAAATTCCGAGGATCCAATCGCAAAAAAGAAAGAAGAAACGCGAGTTGAAGAAACGCGGAAGGTTGCAAAGTTGCGGCTCGGCGGAGAGGAAGCGCCAAGACCTTTTTGCCGGAAAAAAAGCTCCCGTAGCTTCACTACTCGGCGTTTCCGACGTGCGCGTGGATTCGCTTCTCGTCCTTCACCACTCCCACCCTATCAACAATAGGGACAATCGAATGCGGTGATGGCGCAGAGTCTGGAAACTAGGCCCACTGTCGTGGACTTTCGTGAAGACAGCCCGTGGGTGCAACTTGCTAAGGCCCACTGGTTAGATGTGAAGGTTCGCAAGGTAAAATCAGACGCGATCAAAAAGCAATTATGGGATCCGCTTGAAGCCGAAGGTTTTAGCAGTCGGTCACTGCTGGTGTTAGAGAACTTGAATGTCCTGGAGAAGTAAGAACCGCACCAGATAGCGTGAAGGGAGAGCGAGAGCCCGAGCTAATATGCGACAGGTATCTGTGGCCCACGTACACTGAAGATGCATCGAATCACCACGTACTCTTGATTGCGATAATCGTGAGTATTAAGTATCGCGACCATCTGCCAATATGGGGTAAGTGAGTGCGACAGTGGACCCGTAAATCTTAGTGAATACTAATAGGTGAATCTAGAGGTGTTTTCGGACCGCAGCGACGACTTCTCCAACCTGTTCCATCGGATTCTATCTATGAGCATCGATCATTCCCTTCCAACTAGCTCGCGCCTCGCGATCCTTTCCTTCGTCATCGGCGCCTTCCAATCCTTGGAAAATCCATTGATTCGGAAGGAGTGTGCCCCGCTTGTTTCAATCTCTATCTGGCACAATCTGGCCAGCGAAGGTGCCCGGGATCGCGTAATTGCCAAATCACAATCTCTGAAGAAAGCGTGGAGGGCATCAGCGAAGCGATACGATGCGGGAGACGAAGCTGCTAAGGCCAAAATTCGCTTCGAGCGCGCTTGGCTGTATAGCATGCTCCTGGACTTTACGCAGAAATTGAATGGGCCGCAAAATCAACCAGCGGAAAACGTGTTATATTGTGAGCGGTTTCTGGAGCTGTTAGTCGACCTCTTGAGTCAGTTACCTACCCGCCGATACGTCAATACTCTTCTGAAAGACCTCAACCTTCTCCCCGTCATCCGACTTTCGCAGTTGTATCTCACCCCAGGAAATGATCTTTTCCGGGACTTTTACAACCTTTTGAAGCACTTTATCAACTTCGCTATTGACGATTATTCGGGAGATGCTCTTGCACCGCAGTCAATCTATGATCTGCACTGTCAAGAGCTAGCGCGACTGCAGAGAACCGCCATGAAATCTTTCAAAGACAAGCTCATGATCCTTGCCCTCTCCAACCTAGGGTCAATAGAGCAGCGATCGGAACTTGAAGGACAACTGTCTTCTCTGAACGAATCGGAGCTGCAGAGCCTCTGCTCTGAGTTGGGATTCCGAACCACTTATCCCAAGTCAGCGAACATCACTCCCGATCGCTCTTTGTATTTGGAGGTTCTTGTCTCGTTCTACGAGCGCAAACTGGCCTTTCAAGAAGTAGTCTCACAGCTCAAGATCGTACCCACAGAGGAAAGTCTCTATGATCCGGCACTGCTGCGGAATGAGACTTACGATGGCTCAAGACCTCTTGCAATCCCCAAGTTGAACCTCCAGTATTTGACACTGGGTGACTTCCTCTGGCGATCATTCCTCTTGTACCGATCGGAGGCATTTTTTCAGATCCGAAAGGATATGGAGGCTATCCTCAAACGCATGCAACCACGCGGGAATCGGGATGGGAGTTTGACCTTCGAAGGATTCTCTCGCATGGCAATCCCTATCTCAAAGCCTGCGATCATCGAGGTTGCACCAGCGAAAGTTGGCTCACCAAACCCTGCCTTTGTTCGTGCAGAGATTGCAATCGAGGTCGGCAGGCTAGCAGATCACATTCGGAAAGAATGGGAGTCACTTCGCCCCGATGATGTTGTTTATTTGATGGCTATCCAGTCAACTGCGGCTCCTCCATCGGGCATTCGCGATGAAACGGCAGAGGGCCCACGTTTAACCCACCTTCGGACAGCCGAAATCGTTCAAGTGTTGGATGACCAAGGCCGTCCGCTGCGAAACCCAGGTGGTGGCCAAACAAACGGTTACAAAGCTCGGCCCCGCCTCCGTCGACTACTTGTCAACCTGGATGCTGCAGCTTTCAAAGAAGACAAGGACAGACAACAGCAGGGTAAACCAGATATCTATCCTCTGATCAATGTTATTGCCAGAAGAAAGGGCCGCGAAAACAACTTCAAATCAATCCTCGCGACGATACAGAAGCTCATTGTTTCAGACATGACTCTCCCGTCTTGGCTCCAAGATATCTTCCTGGGATATGGAGACCCATCAGGTGCCCACTATTCACAACTGCCCAATCGCCTCAAGTCTATTGATTTCCGCGATACGCTTTTAGATTGGGCTCATCTTGTGGAAAGCTTCCCAGGGAAAATAGTCGAACCGGCTGGCTCCGAGACATCTAGCTTTGGCCCTCCATATATCCTGGAATCTGTCCAGGCTGAATCCTCTGAGCCCCAAGAAGTTCCACAAAAGAAGCGGCGACGTGAGCAGGCTGGGCAAACAGAGCAAGGCCCTAGTACCATCCGGGTATCAACTTACAAGCCTCCAAACCCAGGTCCCTACCTGTGGATGCCCCCAAACTCAATCAAGTACGCTTTACATCCGCCCAAGTCGAGGCGATTGCTTCTGGTACTCAGCCTGGACTCACTGTCATTGTGGGACCCCCAGGGACCGGCAAGACTGACGTCGCGACTCAAATCATCAATAACATCTATCATAATTTCCCCCGCGAGCGCACGCTTCTTATCGCTCATAGCAACCAAGCACTCAACCAGTTATTCCAAAAGATCATCGCTCTCGATATCGATGAACGTCATCTTTTGCGATTGGGCCACGGCGAGGAAGAGTTGAATACTGATTCCGATTACAGCAAGTATGGTCGGGTTGAGTCTTTCCTTGACAATCGCAACAACTACTTATCAGAAGTGATGCGGTTGGCTGCTTCGATCGGTGCTCAGGGAGCGCACGGGAACTCTTGTGAAACAGCTGGCTATTTCAACACCGTCTACGTCCAACCTGCCTGGGCCAAATTTTGGGACCGTGTCAACTCTGAGGAGATTTCTTCGGAGGACGCTGCCGCCTCATTTCCTTTCCATGCATACTTTTCCAATGCTCCACAGCCCTTGTTCGATCCAAGCGCTTCAAAAGAAACAGTGCTGGATATTGCAGCAGGCTGTCAAAGACATCTGGAGCGGATTTTCTCCGAGCTCGAGGATATCCGACCCTTTGAGATCCTTCGGCAGCCCAAGGATAAAGCCAATTACTTGTTGTTGAAGGAAGCCCGCGTGATAGCCATGACATCGACCCATGCAGCCATGCGTCGTCAGGAAATTGCTGATCTTGGCTTCCATTATGACAATGTGATCATGGAAGAAGCGGCCCAAATTACTGAGGTCGAGAGCTTTATTCCAACGGCTCTTCAGAACCCCAAGAATGGCGAGCTGCCTCTCAAGCGAGTTGTTCTCTGCGGAGATCATTATCAAAATTCCCCTGTCATCCAAAACATGGCTTTCCGCCAATACGCCCATTTCGAGCAGAGCCTTTTCTTGCGCCTTGCCCGTCTCGGCGTGCCTGTGATCACCCTGGACAAGCAGGGTCGATCTCGGCCCAGTATTGCAGAGCTCTTCCGGTGGCGTTACAAGGAGCTGGGTGACTTGCCCGTCGTTGAGACCGCGCCACAGTTCCAGCTCGCTAATGCCGGGTTCCAATTCGAATATCAGTTCATCAACGTGCCCGACTACCAGGGCAACGGTGAACGCGAGCCTACTCCTCACTTCATTCAGAACTTGGGTGAAGCCGAGTACGCTGTGGCTTTGTACCAGTACATGCGTCTGCTCGGCTACCCGGCCGAGAAGATTTCGATCCTGGCCACGTATGCTGGGCAGACTGCTTTGATCCGGGACGTGCTTAACCACCGCTGTGGCAAGAACCCTTTGTTCGGACTGCCCAAGATCGTGACGACTGTGGATAGATATCAAGGAGAACAGAATGACTGTGAGTACTTTCTGTCAAATAGCTATTGCCGCCATCGCTTTTACTAATATGTCTTAAGACGTCCTTCTTTCTTTGACTCGCACTCGCACTGTCGGCTACCTCCGTGACGTGCGTCGCCTTACAGTTGCTCTCTCCCGAGCCCGATTGGGTCTGTACATCCTTGGTCGTCGGGAAGTGTTTGAATCATGTTACGAGCTCAAGCCGGCCTTTGACCAGCTCTTCCAGCGCCCCGACAAGCTCATGCTTTTCCCTGGTGAGATGTTCCCAAGCACTCGGGCGCTAAACGCTCCTGCCGAGGGTACTGCTATGGAGAGCGTTGAGCATCTTGGTCAATACGTGTTTGAGATGACTCAGGCTAAGGTGAAGGCTATGGGTGATGGGGAAATGGTTCTTGATAATGAGGCCCCCGATGGTGAGGACGGCCTTTTGGAGGACGATGCCTTGGAAGGAGACGAAGAGGACGATGTGGAGATCGTATGAAAATCTTGAAATTAATTTTGCGGGAAGCTGCATTTCCAACGCTGATTCTTGGTCCTTCGTATTTGTAAATACTGAGTCTCCTGCTGTCATTCACCTCGTTTCCTTTCAAGTCCCTCCTCTGAGAATCCGAACAGAATCCGTGCATAACTCATGCCCTACAGTGGGCCAATCCCCTAACACCGCTCTTCATCATCAAGGAATGCTTCATTGCTGACGTCCGCCCACAATCCCACCTCCTTGCCCCCATATAGCTTCCGCCTCTAGAACCAGTCATCCTTGCAGCCGCATACTCCAGCTACGTTTGAAAAGCTGGCTTCCCATGGATCCTAGTTGATTGGCGTTGATTCTTGAGTACATCCTGAGCGATATTGATACCCAAGTTACTGTTCTTTCTACTATACTACGGCACATGTATCAGGTTTTCTGTATTCAAGTATCACGATTCATTGCCATTACAAAGTCGAGCAGTCTTCATACAATCTGACCAATAGTCATGATAGAAGCCGCCCTTAGGTCGTATGGCGCTATAGTTTGCCGTATTGGCGAAGCAAAAACTAGGAAGGAATTTCCGAGTGTAGTTGGCCATTTATGGCTCCTTGAGATTGTTGATCTCCTCCACAATGTTGTTCGGGTCCCTCCAGGCCAGTGTCACGTATCTAGATCGTCAGCAGATTCCTTCGGGGAAACTACGTTTGACGGGTGACTCACTTGGTGTGGCTGCCTCTGGCGACAACGTCTCCCTTGGGGTTAGTGAATAAAATATTGGTGAAAGCAAGCGTTTTTCCAACTGGGTTACGTTAGCTTGCGCTATGGAAGCAAGTACGGCTGGTCTCATACACTTGTCACAGGTGACCTCCTAAAAGCATATTAGCAACCATCAAGGCATCAAATGCACTTTCTTCAGAACATACAGCCAAGATTTTGTCGCCCACTCTGCCGCCAGCGTTCAAATAGGTGACTGCCCGGGTTAGAGGTGTTAGTCCATGAAGGGTAGGGGTCCCGTACCATTTAAATCGGTAGACACTCCGGTAGCGAATAATCCCCTCGAAGCCACAGCTAGGGATCCACCCAGATCAACTGGTGAACGGTAGATGCCAAGGTTAGCTACCAGTCATTGACATGGTCTCTCAGAAAACATACCCATGCTTGCAATGGTGCCTCCATGAATAATACTCAAGCGGTTCTAGTGCGATGTCAATCACCCGGGTCGCAATTTTGGGGACACATTTCGGATGTAGTATAATGCCAGACATCAACCTTATTGGGTCTGTGACGCTTTTATATATTAGATGTCATCACTTACAGTGTGTTCTTTTTGGATGTCAAGCTCAAAGTTCACGGTTCCGGGTCGAGCAGCAGTCACTCGAAGCTGTATTTGAATGAGCGAGGCCCCTTAAAAACTCAGCGCTTGAGAGATGCATACATTGTTTAGGAGCCTTCAGATGATCTCATCATCAGATTTGCTTTTTGATTCAAAGTGAACATCTTGGCTTACCGAGGCTCTAGACCTGAGGTGGCTCGGAAGGACTCCCAGACCTGAGTTAAGAGCAGTAAGTAATAACCCAGTAGTGTGTGTGAGGCACTGCCATAACGCACCGACCGGACAAATCGAAGAGTAGTCATTTTGGTAGGAATTGGAGAAACCAAAGAACTGTTTATAGCTGACGAAGTGCTCTGCCGGCAGTTGAGTCGTTATCGCGGGAACTGCACAAAGTGGCCGCAGCGCCCGCCGGAACTCGAGCATGACTTCACCACGAACTTCTTATCCATCCAACAAAGCGAGGCACTGGCACCAGGTCCCTCCGGTCTTCAAGATGGCAGCATCTATGTCTAGGCCTCTGGAGTACCTGGAGAGCCTGCCGGGCACTACCTTCAAGAAGCTCTACCAGCAGCCTTCAACTGCGCTAGCGATCTTTCGGCGCATGTTACCTGATCTAGGTACCTGGAGCTTTGCTTTCGTTCCATAAACACAGTCAGACTGACTATTGTTACAGCAAAATGCTTTGTAATGGCTATGCTCTACTTGAAGGATCCTTTGCCGACATCTGATCTGGAGAAATGGGTCAGATCTGACAGTAAGAGGTGAGCTTCGACAGTTCTGAGTCGATCTACCGCGATAAGCTAACAACTCCCGCTAAGGCAACGCGACAACGCCTTGTCAATACTCGGACGGCTCCATATCCTCTCAACCACCCTGACCGACAATAATGTGCGAGCATGCATGGTCAACGACCCGTTCGCATCTTCCCTCCGACAGGCGCTCATGGGGTCTGATGATGCACAGTCCTTCGGTGTTCTCTCTCAAACCTCAAATGAAAGTACAATCACGGTTGCTGATTTAGACGAATACGCCCGACGGCAATGGGAAGGAGTCCTGGGCTACATGGTGGGAACGAGTGGTTTGGGCCAACGCGATATCAACCTGAGCAAAGGTGTCAAACAGCTTCTTCAAGCAGGGCATCTCGTGGAAATCAGAAATCATCATGTCGATATCACCAAGGATGGGTTCGGCTTCGTATTGCAAGACGTCAATACCCAGGTCTGGCACATCTTGATTCTCTACGTGGAGAGCGCCCAGGCCATCGGCATGGACAGCGTCGAGGTGCTCTCTTTTCTCTTCCTCCTCAGCAGTTTAGAGCTGGGTCAATCATACGACAAGAAGGGCATGACATCTGTGCAGCTTCGCACTCTGACTGATCTGGCCGACTTTGGCATTGTGTATCAAGAATCTCCCGACGCGACGCGGTTCTACCCCACCCGCCTGGCGACCACCCTAACATCCGACTCCAATGCGCTAAGCACCCCTGCTAGCGGTTCATTGAATGGACCAGGCCAACCCGGCATTCCAGGCACTGGCTTCATTATTATTGAGACTAACTACCGACTCTACGCTTACACGTCATCGCCCCTCCAAATCTCCCTCATCTCTCTCTTCACCAACCTCAAATACCGGTTCCCGAACCTGGTGACCGGCAAGATCACTAGAATGTCTGTCCGCAGAGCCATCGATAAGGGCATCACGGCGGACCAAATTATCTCCTATCTCCTTACCCATGCGCATCCCCAGCTGCGGAAACACAACGCCGGCCAAGCCACCAGTAGCTCTTCTACCATGCCTATTTCAGTGCTCCCGCCAACTGTCACGGATCAAATCCGATTATGGCAATTGGAGCGCGATCGTCTCAAGGCCACCCCTGGATTTCTCTTCAAGGACTTCAGTAGTCTTGCTGATTATCAGACTCCTTGTGAGTATGCTCGAGATATTGGGGTGCTAGTCTGGAAGTCGGACCGGAAGCGCATGTTCTTTGTGTCTCGCCATGAGGAAGTGGTCGCTTTTTTGAAAAGCAGAAGCTAGATTGAAGGCCATCTTCCCCCCCCCAAAGGGCATTAAAAGTGATATTTTAAGAAGGCCTTCTGGTCATTCATGTTCTATATAAATAAGTACAGAGTGATTCACTACGGCTGGCGTTGGCTGAAGATCGGGCAGGTAACGACATTACGATTGGGCTGCGTTCTCCGGAAATATGATCATTGAAATTTGAATAATGGAATTTCTATCACCTAATCACGTTCCTGATATTGACCCCTTATCCAGCATCCAATGATCTGGCGGGGAGGCTAAGCCTAAGGACGAGTACTTCGTGGAGGGGCTGAGTTTGCTCAGCCATCCGGGCTGGACGACTCGAGAGAAATGCTGCCATTTCCCTCCTTCTCTTTTTGAATACCTCATAAAAGTGTCACCGTCCACCCGGTCGGGCAGAATGACGCTCACATCCGAGACTCGCATTTCCTTCTTGACCTTCGGGGGCGGGAGGTCCTTTGCAGGCGGATCTTGAAACGCGATTCTGTCATTTACCGTGGGATCATTATCATAGACTCCGGCTTCTTCCATTTTCATGAGCTGCTCTGCGATATCTGCCAGCAACGGCCCATTCCAAACACCTTCTCTGTGTGGAACAGACCGTAATATTGCAATGGCCTGGCGCCGGATCCCAGGATCACGGCACTTGAGAGTCGTGTAATATATTGGTGGTATGAAGCCGGATTCGACGGTGAACCCATTCCCGGCGCATTTATCACTCGGCTCATCCATGATCTTCCTCATATCTCGTATCCGAAAGTCGAGAGAAGCGAAGAATTTCCACATGTCCAAAAACGCAGTCAGAATGATAAGGAATCGGTGCGTGTATTGGTCAAAAATCATCTCGTCGTCGGACAAACAGGTTGAGCCCTTGATCATAGCCATCTCGTAGTAGACCACCAGCAGTAGATGTCCGAACTGATCGCGCCGCCCGTCTTTTCCCGTCATGAAGCGAGGAATCGAATTATCGAATGCTTTCCGCCAGAGCGCGAGATCGCCCATGATGACCTCCTGAGTCTCCACCATTTCTCTCATATCGTCTTTTGATTCGTTTTCCCTAGAAGCGTACGAGTGCCTCTTCAGACAGTGTATCCGGTTGAGGAGATCATCGAGAGTCTGGCGCGCCTCGGAAGCCGAGGGGAAGTTATATGGGAGCGCATTGGTCTTCGGGTTCCGAATCACAGCACACATGCTGGCAGGGACATGGCCGAACATGGCCGATTGGATGGACAGCCGCGCGTACGAATCAATCAAAGCATTGTGCGCGAAGTCTTCCGCCGCGTCGAAAACATTGGGAGTCATCGGAGACTTTTTCTCCGGTATGTTAGATAGGAGCGCGATCCCATGGCGCAAATGGGCACTGCCCCTCTTATACAGCCCCCGTAGATATTCCAGCGTCACGAAAATCATGCAAGTGATCAACGCAACCCGCACATCGTTCTTCTCATTGCGCCCCATTCGGAGCTTCAGATGCTGAATCGCCTTGTTGTATTGCTGCAGCGTAAACTGCTCGGCATCAAACGGGTACGTAGTCGGGATCGTCCACGGCTCATAGTTCGGATCGAAGCGGTGCGCCGCCGATAAGGCCACGACCGCGTGGCGCACGGCCGGTTCTTGCGCACTGGCCTGGAAGACCAGTGTCTCCCAGAAGTCGGATTTGAAGAGCCCGGCGAATTTCTTCGTCGTCATTTCCTTGAACCAGTCGAACGACATCTGCTCGTCGTGGTTGAGGCTGCCCGCCGGGACGGGAGTGCAGTACGTTGATAACGCGCGATGGCTCTGTGGTTGGCCATACGGAGTACCTCCTCCCCCCAAATGCCGTAGCCGTCGCACACACGTCCTGTTGATACACAGCGCCGGCAGGCTGGACGGCCTTCGTCGCATTTCACCCGGCGCACCCTGACGCAGTTGGGTTAAATGTACGGTATATATACATATTTCGAGCGATATGCTGCGACTTACTTGCATGTTTTGCATCCTGTCTTGACCTTCCTGCGACTTTTCGCCGGGGATCCTGTGTCCATTGAGTTATATATGAGGAGGAAATTAAAGACAATTTAGAGCGTAGAGGGATATGGACCTTTGAATACAAGTAGCACCTCTTAAGGTTGACAGTACGCGAGGCTATTCGAGGCGACTGGCTCGCTCGGAAACCCTCGATGATGATTGGCCAGCGGTCGCAGCTGCGGGGGAGGACCTTGGACTTTGTAACTGCGTATGCTGCTGCACATTGTGGGTCTGCGCTTCTTAACTCCGACAGAGCTGTGGTGGGGGGAAGAGCCATGTTGCAGATGACCGGAGTTTAGAGACAAGATGACACCCATAGAACTGCCTGGAGATCCATTGGAAATGGAATCACTTCCGGACACTATCCGACAGAAAATATTTAAAGGTCGCTGTGTTCCAAGCAGTTCCGGTTCAAACTTTTCACCTACTCTCATTATCCTATCTCCACCTGAATTATTTCTCTCTTCCCACCCCCACCTTTTCGTGTTTGACCTCAAGTGCAACCTCACCTTCTTCAATGTCTCGTGAATTTCCACTTCGTAGTCTTGGCCGTGATGGCCCCAAGGTTACCGCTGTCGGACTGGGCCTTATGAGCCTGGGCGGTATCTACGGTGATCAAGACTCCTTGGAGTATAAGGTGTCCTTCTTGGACCACGCTCATGCCATTGGCCAGCGGTTCTGGGATACTGCCGACATGTATCTTGACAGTGAAGATGCGGTTGGAGAGTGGGTGAAGCGCTCGCACAAGCGTGACGACATCTTCCTTGCCACCAAGTTTGCTTGTCAGTTCGACCTCACCACCAAGAGCATGAAGGTCCGATCGGACCCCCAGTATGTCCACGAGGCGTGCGAGAAGAGCCTCAAGCGCCTGAATGTCGACACAATTGACCTTTATTACTGCCACCGCATCGATGGTGTCACCCCTATTGAAAGGACCATTGAGGCCATGGTTGAGTTGAAGAAGTCAGTGGCCCCATCTCCGGACCCACACCGTGAATGCGCTCGTATGCTAATACTGCTTCCCACTGGATAGCCAAGGCAAGATCCGGTACCTCGGTTTGTCTGAAGTATCGGCCGCAACCCTGCGCCGAGCACACGCTGTGCACCCGATTACCGCCTACCAGATAGAATACAGTCCCTTCGCAACCGATATCGAACGGCCTACCATTGACCTTTTGAACACTTGCCGGGAGCTTGGCATTGCCGTAGTGGCTTATAGCCCGGTCGGCCGGGGAGTTCTTTCGGGCCAAATCAAGTCGGCTGATGACATTGCGGAGAATGATTTCCGCAAGACATTGCCTAAATATTCCGCGGAGAATTTCCCTAATATCTTGAAGCTCGCCAATGGGTTTGAAAAGGTAGCCCAGGCCCACGGCTATACTTCCGCTCAAGTTGCCATTGCGTGGCTGTTGGCTCAGGGACCGGACATCATTCCTATCCCTGGTACCCGCTCTACAGCTCGTATCGAAGAGAACACTGCTGCTTCACTGGTGAAGCTGACCGACGAAGAGCTGAAAGAGCTCCGGGAATTGGTCGACAAGACGGAGATCCCGGGCGAACGTTATCATGCCAGGTAAGTGCATCTCCGATCTGATGCATCGGGAGATCCCTGATTGACACGAGCCTTATAGCATGTCGGCAACTACCCTACGCGACTCTGTTCCTCTGAAGTGATTCTATCTAACACTGGCAACATTGAAATAAGATTTGCAATTTAACGTTATCTGATGCGTACTGCGTAGTGTAATTCAATCGGGTCCGGGTGGATCCTCTTCTCTTGCCCAACTGGCCTATGTATGTCCGACCGCGAAATGCTGTTATGTCGTGCTTGGCTCAAAAATAAGCACAGACACCTTATCTTTCGCCTCCCAATCACATGTGATTCCCCATTCTTGTAAGCTCCCGCAGCATCGTTATGGGGCTGGAAGATAAGCTTAAGTTTTAAATACGAGACGTAGCCCTCATGTCGAACAGCCTACAGGATATACTCCCCGAATCTTCGTCCCCGGTCGCCAAAACAATGCACTTCACGCCGGAAACAGCAGGGGGTGGTGGGTCGAGGGCGGCCCATCCCTGTTGCCAAGGCTGGTTTTTACCCTCTCGAGTCGGACTAGCTTGGAAAGCTCACGAAAGGATTTCCCCGCGTAAAATCCTCTTACCCCCCTAACCCGCGCGTTCCCTCCATGACCCTCACACGATGTCGTCCTCCAGTGATGCCAGCCCCAGCAGCTGGATCACTGGCAGCTACACCGGCGACAGTAATGGCCTGCGCATCACCATCGCAACCTTTATCGGGGTCGCGTGGTACAACGTCATCGAGCTGATTGTCGTCATCTTCCTCACCTTCAAGCGCTACCGCGGTCCCTACTTCTGGAGCATGTTGATAGCCTCGGTCGGCATCCTCCCTGCTCCGTGGGCTACCTGATCAAGTTCTTCGCCCTGACCACCGCGACATGGCTCCCGATCGTCCTGCTCACCATCGGATGGTGGACCATGGTTACCGGCCAGTCATTCGTCCTGTACTCCCGGCTGCACTTGGTTCTCGAGAACCTCCGGATTTTGCGCCTGGTAAAGGGGATGATTATCGCGAACATCTTCTTCCTCCATATCCCGACAACCGTTTTGACCTTCGACGCGAATTTCTCCCACACCGACGCCTCGGTGCGCGGGTACGATATTATGGAAAAGATTCAGCTGACCGGCTTCTGTGTCCAAGAAGTGATCATCTCCTGTCTATACATGTGGGAAACGTGGCGCCTGTTGCAATTGAATCCTGATCGTGGGACCCGGAAGACGATCATCCAGCTGCTGGCGGTCAACGTGTCTTGTGTGCTCATGGACATCGCGCTGATGGTCATCGAGTTCATGAATTTCTACATCTACCAAACTACCCTCAAGGCTACGCTCTACAGCATCAAGCTGAAGCTGGAGATTGCCGTGCTGGGAAAGTTAGTCAATGTCGCCCACCGGCATGTCTGGCAATCGTCCTTTGATCGCGTTGGCGGCCCCCGCTACCCCTCTTTTGTCGATCCTTCTCAGCTCATGACCGACTACAACCACGCCGACTCTTTGCCTACGAGCCGAGGTTCGAAAGGGCATGCAAACGGTCTAGAAGACGTGGACTGTGACGATTCTCGATGAAACCCGGCCGGATATCGAGGAAGCAGTGCGTTATTGCGTGGCGCGCCTCGATCGGTAGGCGTCTCGTTCTTTCTTTCGCGCAATTTCAACAAGGCCCCATGGGGCTGAACAACACATTTGCATACAACGGCGCCTCTCGTTCTTCTCATATACCCCGCACTTCTTTTCTGTTTGCACACAGCACAACCAATGGGTTGGCACCAGGAGTCACCGACAACGTCTCTCCTTGGGAAAAAGCATCTGTATGTTGATCGCGGCCGTCACAAATCGAGGAATCCGCACCTACAACGGGAACGGGCTTTTGCATATACCACGAAGTTACGATGAGCGTTTTCCCATATCCTATGATACCAAAATACTATCTTACTAATTAATTCCGGGCTGTTTGACGCCCGCTAATATCAATACAACTCTTGAAACATAGTCGTTTTCTGGAACAGTACATCGGAACCCAGCTACTCATGCAAGTGGATGCGACGATTCTGAGTAACAACGGAATGTGTGGAAAGGCCTCCTTGAGCCCGGTTGTCTAGACTAGTTCCGCGGGGGCGTCCAGACTGTGCGTTCGGAATCGACAGGCTTGGAAAAAGGTCCTTTGCCAATTCCCTGTCATAAGTCATTTTCATTGTCAGGTTGTTTTCGTTATAACTGTAGTATAGCCTCTTCTATTTTTGTCCAGGTCTGGGGCTGAAAAGTTCCCAAGAACCAGCAGTTTTCACCGTAGTCCTTCCCCAGCATCATGAAGATATTCAGATTATCCGCCTTGCCTACCGCCTCATTATAGTACCAGACCATGGTTCCGGGGGGGGTTCGTCCTCTCAGATGAAGGCTCTCCTTGGCGGATAATGGCCGGCGAAAAGTCCACGGATTGCATCAGATTGGCTTTGAATAGGTTGTTGGTCAAGAGCACGACAGAGTCCGATTCGCCGAACAGAAGCCGTGGACTCTTGCCGGAATCGATGTCTTTGAAAACACTTCTCATGAAGTGTATCGTCTGCTTCTCGGTCGACTGCGCCGTGAATTGTTGCCGGTGGGACAGTGCAATCGACGCCACGGATCCCTGGGCCTGCCTGGCAGTGAGGAACGAGTATGTTGCAAGAACCATATTCTGCACAAAGACCCCTCCCCATTTGAGCAGACTCGGAAACCTGAAACGAGTGTTCAGGAAACTGAAGATGACCAGCGGTCGAGGCTTTGGCTGCGCTGCCGCCAGGGCTCGCGCGACCCACGCAGTAAGTATATCTCCTTCACTCGCAAAAGGCTTCGCGCCGAATCCGTGCGCACCCTCCGCGATCTCCTTCTGAACCGTCTTCTTCAGTTTGAGAACCGTATCTCGGGGCATATAGATGACTCGGCGCTCGTAGTTGGAGTTGGTAGTCATCTCCCACAGAAATCGCATGGAGAACTTGAACAGGTCGCGTCCTTTGAGCCGCCTCTTCTCCAGCTCGAATTCTTCGCCGAGATCGTCCGCCGAGGTTTCCAGCACCTCCCGGTGGGCGTCTTTCCGCGCGCCGACCAGCTTCGGAACCTGATCTTCACGCCCCGCTAAGACTGATGACCAGGCGGAGAGCAGCGCATGGCCGCCTAAAGCGTCCATCATGACATGAGGCCATACTAAGGCGATTAAAGTGGCGTCGTGGAACGAGCTGATATGGACCGACATTGGGGGCAAATTCTTTTGGATAATCTCCTCAAACGTCGGAAAGTTCGTCCGGGCTAGAAATGGCCGGAAATCGGGAGATATCGAATGCAGCGATGGACCGTGAGTCGCGGGGGAGACGGCTGCCCACCGGGTGGTCTCGCAGTCTCATGTCGTATGAGGTGTGTGTCGTATACACGTATACATTGTGCTTATCTGCCGGCGAGGGCTTCTGCACATGAATCTCCAGTTTGCCATCGGGCTGGCGGATTGTTAGCAAATGCTCTGCGGTGTCGGAAGACTGCCACGCCTCGAACAAGCCGCGACAGATCGGCGCAATACCTTACGTCTTAATCGCCCGCCTAGTTTGCGCCAGTCCCCAATCTCAAAAAGGCGTGATAGAGCCCTGTTGAGCTGATTCGCGTCCAGGGCATCGTTAAAGCGCATGAACCAATTGACGTAGGAATAGTTTTCTTTGATGTTATCTAGCGTGTGGAGGGGATAGATGTCCACTGGGGCGCCGCATTCCCCACACGTATGGGCATGCGGTTGTTTGGCGCCGAAGTTCATGCCGTCCAGTGTTCTGCTCTGGCAACCTGGAAGGACTAGAGAAGATTTTTGGAAGATTTGCAGGCGTGATGCAATTATTAGCCGTGGGGGAGGCTTCTTAATGAGAAGTGGGCCTGACAAAAGCCCCAGTCAATCGGGGCAGTCGATAGGCCGAACGGTATTCAGCGTGGTTCCATGGAATTAAGATCGGCGGGTTTCCCTTGGACAGAAGTTTTGGTGACGCAGATCGCGACTGGTGTCCGCCCAGCGATCGGCGGATCAGGGGGTTGATTCCAAGGGTTTTCGGCCTTTTGCGATGAATTATTGCCTCCAGCTCCACTAATTAGTTATGTCCAAGTGGGCGCTCTCGAGGCTCGTGTCATCATACGAAGAGGTCCCCTTTCACAGATGCACCTGATCAGCAAGCTAGGTTTCCGGACGGTCTAGAGGGAAAGCCTCTTCGACCTCCTGTTCGTGATTGGTATAAAGCCTGTGTGTGACAAGAATCAGCACTCCGTGATAGATCACCTCTTGCTGTCTGTTTCTGGGGATCATACTGTTGAAATCACCCATGGGGTACCTTATGTTACATGATAACTAGTACATGATCCAGACCAGGGCCTCGGGACGCGTTGTGCCAATGAAGGCAAGGGTATATAAGGTTGGCCTTGTATCAGATTGGCTCAAGAGTGGGGTCCGCGAGATCATCTATCGCTCTCTTTGGGCCATTTTGGCTCTGGCTCAGACTAGTCGGTCATACTTTTTCTCGCTAATCTTATTTTTGGTCACGGTTAGGTGTTTCCCTGGCACTAGCTATCGCCCCAGTTGTGTGGTGTTGTAGGCCAGCCGGCTTCATCCCCTGCATACTAGTCTGTACGCCGGTGCTACCCTATTTTGATCTTGATTATGCTGGCTACTCATCGTGACTGTGGGGACAACGATCGATCTGCAATACAAAAATGACTATCATCTCGTCTTGCCCGACCATTAGTCCTTCTTTTGTCCCCATTAACATCAGGGGGTATTCTCCAGTCGGTGGGACCTCTTTGCCGACTATCATGTGACTCCATGACATCAGCCGGAGCTGCATCCACGCTGTTCCCAATACCCAAATACACAAACAATATCGACAGAATGGCACCCCACGAAGGATTGGTTCACCCCAAGGAGTATGACATTAAGGACAGCAATGTGGAGTTGATTGGCTCCGATCTGGACCACCGTGTGAAGTACAATTCGGCTGCCTCCGAGCCCGCTTGGAACAACGGCAAGGTCGGTCAGGTGCCCGGACTCTTTATCTGGCGCATTGAAGACTTCCAGGTTGTTCCCTGGCCCAAGGAGAGGACGGGGGAATTCTACGATGGAGACAGCTACATTGTGCTGCACAGCTACAAGGTCGGTGACCACAAGCTTGGCCATGACATCTTCTTCTGGCTCGGCAGCAAGACCACGCAGGACGAGGCTGGCACTGCCGCGTATAAGACAGGTGGAGCTAGATGAGTTCCTGCAGGGCGCGGCAACGCAGCACCGGGAGATTCAGCAGCAGCCCTCTGAGGAGTTCCTCGCACTTTTCCACCATATCAGAATCCGCTCTGGCGGGGTGCGTTCTGGCTTCACCCACGTTGAGCCCGAGGAACCTAAGGAGATTCTCACTTTACTCCGCATCTTCAAGCACCCAGGCTCTGGCCGTATCAGCCCCATCATTGTGCATGAAGTGGAGCCCACTTGGGAGAGTCTGGACGAGAATGATGTCTTTGTTCTGGACAAAGGCGATAAGATCTGGGTTTGGCAGGGAAGAAATGCAGCCCAATGGAAAAGGCCAAGGCTGCTCAGGTTGTGAACGATATGACTCTGGCAAAGCATGTCGATGTTGAGGTTCTCTCTCAGCTGGAGTCTAGATCCAGAATCGTGGTTGACTTGCTCGGTGGTAAAGAGGCTGATCAGTCCTCGCTACAAGCCCCGAGACCCGGGTACTTCTCAAGAAGCTTACAGAGCGACTCCAGTAACGCCCGTCCACGTAGATTGTTCCGACTCAGTGATGCATCGGGCACCCTTTCCTTTGATCTCGTCAACGAGGGAGGCCATGTGCAGCAGTCAGATCTCGATGGCAACGATGTCTTCATTTTCGACACCGGGTCCCGTCTCTGGGTCTGGCAGGGCCTTGGCGCCAGCGAGCAAGAGAAGCATCTGTGGCTCAAGGTCGCTCAGGCTTATGTTCGCTGGCTCCAAGAGACCCAGGAGGACTCGGAAGCTTATTTGACACCAATTTCGAAGGTCACGCAAGGCCACGAGTGCGCTCCATTCTTGAAAGCCATTGCGGCCTAATCATGTACATAAATACCAAAATGAACCTCATCAAGCAATTCTCAAGTCTTCGATCAGAGATTTGCCTGCCCTTGCATAGTCAAGGCCGTTCGCATATGAGTCCTAGTCCTCCAGTCTGAGACTAAGTCTGACATGGATATTGCTCATCAATCATATATTAATACTGCTATTTTACCACAGCGGCACCATCGCTCACTTACTATCATAAATTAATACTCATCTCCTGGTTTAGTTCCGTGCGTTGGATTATGTTAACCCTTTTAACTAGGAAATAAGGCTTCAACACCGAATCAGTCTGCGCTGTCGCACAAGCAGGAAGCCCTTGTACCACGAGATAGCAGGTGTACTAGTAGTATGTAGAATGTAGCGAGATTCAACGAGATTTATTTGCTTCTATTTTTCTGAAGATCAGACATTCGCTTTTCGAACTTTCAATCACTTTGTGAGTCAATCAAGATTAGGATGGAATGGCCGGAGTAGATTAGCCCGGTTAGTCCGATACAACCCCGATACTTCAATTTCACCGCCCTGTGGGGACATCGTCTTCCACCTTTCGCAGGACATGAAATATACCTGTAATTTCTGGTAAGAATTACGCTCTGGCCAGATAAACCGACATCGAATGTTCAGGCACCAAGAAGCACACATTATCGTTTCCTTTGTGTGTGTCAAATCCGATGCCTGCTCTGACCCGAACTTCTCTTCACCCAATGGGGAAACTTCGACCTTCTCGCTTCGGGACGTGTATACTAGTGACCCATTGAAGCATACCATGTCTACTTCTAGTCGCCGGCGCAATCGGTCGTTGGCTTCATGCGAGCCGTGCCGTAAAGCAAAAGTCCGATGTGACCACCAGAAGCCTGTCTGCGGCGGATGTCTCCGCAGACAACTGCAAAATAGATGCTGGTATCACCCAGCGCCACTTACCAGGCGAGCTACGGCAATGCCAACCCCGATCCTGGACCCAATACAGCCTATCTCAAATCTATTAGAGACACACACGTTTCTCGATTCTCCGCAAGCAAATGAATCGGTCAGCCAGGGTAGGGCAGAGATGGAGTCAATCAGGCCTGCCACATTCAAGCCTTGGCTTTGGCCGTTTGCTTCCTTGGTCGCTCCCGAATCGAGATCGTATTTCTCGCGCGTGGAGACTGAGAGTAAGCTGGCTCATGAGGCAAACCTGGCGACCATGATCCATCTTGTGTCAAAGCTCTCATTGTTGCCGACAATTGAAAGGCTGTTAAACGAGTACTACAAGTTTAGCCAGGCTGCGCTGGTTGCAAGGCCGATCGTTTCTCAGCTCATAGCATCCATGAAAACCGGTCTGACCATGGCAGGCTATGCCAACGAAAGTGAGGATGGAGTACTGGAGATCCAGGACCCTACTCAGCTTGCAAGAGGCGTACTTCAAGCGTCGTCGCTCGAGATCACGATAACACCATCCTTGGATCCTGAAGGATTTTGCGCACTTTTCACGGGTCCTTGTCTACGTGTCGAGGCTTTGGGTCTTGTATATACCATTGCCGCACGTTCGGCGCTGTATTTTTCTCGTCATGAGGATGAAAGTGAAGATGCCCTGATGCAGGATATGATATGGTATAGCGATTCTTGTCTGCGCCTTGCGCGGGAGTTAAGCCCACGGACGACAGACTTGATTATATGGCTGGCGCAAGAAAATCTCCAACTTACAACGCTTCTTGCAGGAGATGCGGGTAAGTCTCACAAGACCCATTTTGTTTGCTTTAGTATTCACGACGGAAGGACTCCACGGCTGGCGGCGAGTTAGCGATCTCTCAAACGATGTATTCGCGCTCGGTCTCAATCGCGAGGCAACCTACTCCTCACGCGCAATTCCCTTCTTTCTGGCTGAATGTCGAAGAAAGACATATGCTTCCTCCTATTACCTGGACAAGGTATTTGCCATAGTACTCAGTCGGCCACCTCGTATGTCAGCTCGTCATGCAGACTGCAAACTGCCTCTCGATCTGGCATCAAGGGATATTTTCGTGTCATCGGAGGCAGAAGTCGAGAGCTCGTGTAGGAAGGTGACTTCCGATGGTTGGGCAAATGATTCGAGATATCATACGACAACATGGGCTCGCGTAAGATGCATCCTCGGCGTTTTCCGGGAGGAAATGATTGAATTTCAGATTTCTGCCGTGCGCCCTGTCGACAAGACAAAACTTCTGTGAGACCCCTCTTGCTTCAGGTTTGATCAGACCCCTTGCTAATTGACAGAAAGAGAGCTGTTTGACCGTTGTATACAAGTGTGGGATTCTTTGCCTCCCCATCTCAAGTATCGCCCCGACTGTTGGGACTCGGATATCCCTGTGGCTGGCTGCTTTATGCTCGGCAAAATCTATTTGTCCTACCTTCACATACAATTTTACATCCAAAGGATCCTAGGCGAAGGGTTGCAAACACCTTTGCCAATGCTACTGGAACTTTCCTCCAGCATTTTGGAAACAGTCATCCAAATGACAAATTCCCGGAACAAGACATCCTTTACCTTTCGTGAAGTTCCCGAGATCGTGAGTGAATTCTTCATTCATCCCCTGAAAGGACCCGACTAACCAATTTAAGTTGCTATCTTACGGATTGCCCTGTGCCTCCATTCTGATCACAGCTCTGGAAAGTGCTTCTCGAGATCCGACCCAGCCGCTTCCACCCCTTTTAAAGCCGAGTGCTTTGATTCGGAACCTGTCGGTCTTGGTCGCCAATCTTGATCTTATGACGCGCCCTGGTGACCCTAATCATACTTATTGCCAACAGGCATCAAAGACGCTTTCACGCAAACTTGATCGCATTTTGGATTCATTTGCCGGGCTACGCACAACGGGCGCCCCTATTGACAATGTTTCGAGCTCGAGCAATGACAGGCAGATCTCCGATATCACTCCTCAAACGATCTCTGCGTCAACCCCACTGACTGTAGACACCGCCGCAGGATTCTCAGATCTTGATAACATTGATCTAGCGGATTTCGATAACTTTGATCTCGCAACATGGGTTATGGATGTTGACTTGGACCCAGCTGGCGGGGAATGGAACACTGAATGACCGTTTAGCTCTGCTATATCAATGGTTCAAATTTCATCATTCTTAATGATAACCCACTATAATATAACATTCTGCTCCAGTATACTTCATCCCAACTTTAAAACATGCTCTCCCAGTCTTCGCAGTTCTTTGTTTATTGCTCGAGATCAGCATCGTCAAGACTTGGATTTCACCAGAACAGAATGATCACGATTCAGTCCCTGTGTCGTGACAATTCGTGACTGAGCCGTGATTGGCTGGTATTCTCTTCGGTCCTGTGGTCATTTCCCGCTTTCCATCCGCATGCCATTTAAATAAGTTTATATAGTCTTATGTAGGGATTGGTCTTGTGAACATAGCATACGGCTCTTTCAATCGGAGTCAGACGACAACTTTTCACGGCTGAGCGCTCTTAGGCGCTGGGCATTTTAGAAAGTCATCTTGTGGACTCGAAAATGGAAAGCTACTAAAGCGAAATTTTCCGAGAGCCGACAATAGGGCAGCTGGCAGCGGCATCCGGCTGTCAGACTATGGCGAGTATCGTCCACTTTGCAAAGCTACTCAAGTCGAATTCTCAGTGAATATCATAAGAAACTTATAACTCTTTATATCCATTGTCTATTTGATCCTGTATCGTAGCGTAGCTGGGGGCCCCAGAGTCCTTTGATCGCTGAAGCTACACAGATGCAAATCCGTCCTTACCTAAATGATGGGATCGAGCTCCCAAAACGAGCCACAGAAGACACTCATTCTGAGAGATATTCTCAGACTAGATTATGTCGCGCAAACACCACGGCAGCCATGCGATAAACCATGTTCAGCATGTTCAGTCGAGAAAAATGCAAGTCAGTACTCCCGATCAACCATCTACCATGTGGCTGGGCCAAACTTCTCTCCAGGTGCGACTGTCTTCCTATAGGCAGTCGACAGGTAATCCTAGAGTCGGGTTAGTGGGAACTTCCAAAGATCAAGTCGTATGGCACGCACCATCGTTTCAAAGGGGGCCGAGTTCCCCCCACCAATTTGGCACCGAAACCTCGGGCAATGTTATGGCGAAGAAGATGACAATGGTGGACAGAATGAGGCCCGAGTCGAGTGCAGCAGCCGTGATGTAGTTGTAGTGGCGCCACCATCCGCCCCACCGACGACGGATCCAGTAGTTGAAGATGAGGCCGAAGATGATCCAAGACGAGTAACTGATTGGAGTGGCCCTAGGATTCATTAGCGCACAGAATAGTACAAGCACGGGGTCTTCATGGTAACTCACGGAGGCAGCCAGGACATGGCGCCGAGCATTCTTGCATCTGGTCAGCATTAAATGGTCTGGAGAAGGAAGCGGTTCACGTACACGGGAGCATTCAAGAGTCGCAGTTTGGATGTTGGAAACAGGCGCGTGAATACATAGAACACAACAGGGAGCCCCGCGCCAATGAGCCAGAACCATTGGATCGAGGTGTAGATTGCGCCGGGGCCAAAGATTCGTTTGGGCCCGATGACACCTACAATGAATCAGCGTCAGGTCAAGGTATGGTATTGCTGGTTGGGCTCAACGTACCCCATACGATGCTTGAGGAGAAGAACGTCCGCCCATTCGGGCATGAAAAATGAGAGGCTTGATCTCTAATTCATGTAAGCAAATTTTCAATCTTGAGAGAGAGAACAGCAACATACGCAGCGCAAACATTATCAATATGCCCCATAGTCCAGTTCATGACTGCAATTTGCACAAAACAGGCCCATAACGAAGCGATGACCTGAGACATAAATGTGACTCGGGGTGGAATTTTCATGTAGTGTGCCAACTGTGGGGAATATCAGTTATCACACATTCGACGCATATAGGATTGAAGCTTTAGAGTACCTTCAGATCTTGACAGTAAACTTGCCTATATAAGCGTCAGTCGGGATGATCAAAACAGCTGATGCAGAGTCATGACTCACGCTTGCCCCAGTGTGATCGTGCTGAAGACTTTGAAAACCATAACACCGATTGGCCTCCCGGGGATCATAAACCCAGCCAAGAATGGGGACAGGACATTAAGAGCTGCATCTGATGAGCTTTTCTGACGGATTATCGAACATCAAAGAGATACTTACAGAGCTGGATGTTCGTGACGGCCATTATCATGCAAGTTGGAATCTTGGATGGATTAGTATCGGGCATCACCGAGGCGGGTTTAGACTCACAATGAATATAAACGCAATGATCAGAGACACGAAGAAAGCCCACCCTGTGAAGCACATTAGAATCTTCACGGGACAATCTCGAGAGGAACGTACAAGGCATATTCGTGTCATATCCGAGCACACCGCCAAGACCAAGCGCAATAGCCCCAATGAAAAGAGCTCCATACCACCATTCAGGAGCTTCGCGATACTTTTTCATCATCATGAGATGAATGTCGGATTCTTGGTTTCGAGCTTCCCTGAAACGACGCCATATCTCCGTGCGGTGGTATAAAACAACGTGCACTAGCACCGCAGTCAGGGCGGCGAAAGAGAGTCCGTAGTTCAGAGCGAAGGTGGGTGCTAGGAACATGGGCGAGTAGGCTTTGTATTTCTTCTCATCAAACGAGAAGTTGGGGCCAAGGATATTTCGAACTTCGTATGCTTGCTGTGTGTTGTCAAAGGTAGTGGACGTATTTATAGGAAGGTATTCAGAGTACCTGGTATGTTGTTAGATCAAGCGAGGCTCACAGGGTAAAAGTTCCACATACAAGGCTCCAGTGTACGCAATTCCGATCGTAGTTATCAACACAAATACTACAAGTCCGATCATGGTGTTGAAGATTGCGTGAGCCGGGGTCAGCAACGGGTCCAAGAGATAAGCAGAGACGTATCTTCAAGGGGTCAGCGTCATGAATGGGGGTTCTCTAGGAAGGGCTTTCTGTTCTTAAACTTACGTCCAGTCGAATGTGATTGGAATGAGAGAAAGCCCAGTATAGCCACCAAACAGCTGGTTTAAAACCACATTGTTCGGTTTAATCCCTTGTCGTCCGTCAGTCTAGTCAAAATCAGGTGTCGTCACAAGCCTTACAAGTAATGAATGCAAAGACTGAAAGGCTTTGCCAAACCACGCCCGGTAACCTAACTGATTTAGAGAGCTTTCGCCGGCGCAGGCACAGGAAGGAATAAGCAAGTAACTCACCAATACCAGCAAAATGCGCCTATCATGACATACATGAAGTAGCGATAGCGCGAAATACTCCATCCGTTTGTCTCCAAAGGATTGGATGGGCTTTTGTCATGAAGGGCATAGAACAAAGTGGTATTGGCGAATTGAGTTGGCCATATCATGGCGGCCGGCCTTCGCATCATTAGAAACATCGTCTTTTGCCAGCGAGGTGGACAGCTCACCATATCAGGAATCGGCGAAACATCCCAGCAAGTGCAATTCCTATGACTTGACTACTTAATGCGAATAGAAGCTGGAATCCCCAGGACAGATCCAAGTTGTACAGGGCTAAGTCTTATTAGTATTTACCCCTTTTGCCATGGCGTTCACATACATGGTGCTTTCAATGCCAGCAATGCATCAGTACAGTATGCATAACCTATCGAGACGCTGGTTGGGTTAGGAGACACAGTATAGTAGTATCACCTGCAAACTTACTTGGCCATGATCTATAAACAAAGCCCCGTTAGAATCTCGAAAGTCGTGAAGGCCCTATTCGAAGACGCTTACTGTGATTACTGTATGCTCTTTCATATTAAAAGGACCTGGATTGAAGGTCCAACGCACCCCGAATGTGTTGAATGTCTTGGTAGGAACAACTTTGGCCCATAGGCAGCCAAAAGGATAAACCACCAATTGCACAACAATGGCAGGGATCGATATCGCCGGACTCCTGTTAGAGGCTTTAGCTTGCATTTTGGTGAGTATGGCAGGTGTCCAATTACCTCATGCTCAGAAACATGTTCACTCCACTGCCGACTGTGCAAAAGATCGTCCCCAGGATCCAGGCGCGCACTGTATTAGCGGGCTCCCCGCCATCTGTATTGCGCACAGCAGCACGAACTGATTCATATTGGGAATCTTGCACCAAGGACTTCTCGACTTCCACTGCTTTTTCTTGATCTTCTGTGATCACTGCTTCGTGGATCTCCTCCACCTTCTCCTGTGGCAGGTTGGGGTCCCACTGGCGCGACTTCTCTATCTTGTGATCGCCCTGGGGCTCGTAATCTCCTCGTTCGTGCATGGCCAACGAGACCGCGTGTCAACGATAGGAATAAATGACAATGATCCTCGAATCCAGACATGAGGGAATCCTGTTGTTATGCATATCTTGCGCGTTCAGCCCTGGAAAGATAAGAATGTAACCCTTTGTTGCTTTTCCCCGCACGCCATCCCGTTGTTGCGTTAGAGTGCGGCCCGCCACTCTGATAACCTCAATCGCCCCCCGTTTGGGTAAAAAGGCGGAGGCTGATTGCTTAACATATTAGCCCCAATCGCACCAGTCGGAGCGGCTGGCGACATGATAGCCCTTGGTCGCTTAATGTCGGGGCGCTCCCCCGAAACTCACGCCTGGACCTTCCGGGCCCCTGCTCTGGCGGGATTTCTTAGGCTTCTTTGCACTTATCAAGCTTTACATCTTGTCTCGCCGTGCATGCACCTCAAGTCTCTACTGATAACGAGAAACTAGACTATTTTGCGATGGTTTCCTCGAGCACCCCGCGAGGCATCGCCCTGCGGTACTCCCACGGCGACGATATTCGCGAAAGGATCGAACGTGTAAAGGAAGATCTGAAGGAAATCAAGAGGTTCTACCCTATCACAATATCTCCTCGCAGAGCAAAGCGGCTATATGACTTCTTTGATCAGGAGCTCAGTGCTCTCGGTGATCAGCCCTTTGACGTGTATAACCAACAGGAAAAGATAGACTATCTCCTCCTCAAGAATTACTTGGAGCGACAGCGTCGCGAATTAGATCTTGACTGCAAGCAAAATGAGCAAGCGACGCCTTTGCTGCCCTTTGCCCATATCGTCGTTGACCTATGTGAAGCTCAAGCTCTAGGTTCGCCAATGGAACCCAAGGCTGCTGCTCAAACGCTTTTTGAGTTATATGTGGAGGCAAACAACCTGATCGACCAGATCACAGCCAACCCTGTCCAATTCCAAATTGGCAAAAACAGTGCATTTCGGGCCGCAAATGCGGTCCAAAGCCTTCGGGGTCACCTTCGGGACTGGTTCAAGTTCTACAAGGGATATGACCCTTTGTTCGACTGGTGGGTCGAAAGTCCGTACAACTCGGCAGATATCTCCCTTGAGAGGCTCGCGGCTTTTGTCCGCGAAACCCTCGTAGGTATCGAGCCGGGCAATGAGAATGCCATAGTCGGTCAGCCCATTGGGCGTGAAGGCTTACTCGACGAGTTGCTGGCAGAAATGATCCCATACTCGCCAGAGGAGATCCTTCGAATTGGCGAAAAGGAGTTCCACTGGTGTATTGCAGAGATGGAAAAGGCGTCGCGGGGGATGGGACACGAGGACTGGCATCAGGCTCTGGAGGAAGTCAAAAATGACTTTGTCGAGCCCGGAAAACAGATAGATCTCGTCCGAGGCCTGGTTCAAGAAGCCATTACCTTTGTCGAAGATCATCAATTGGTTACGGTACCGCAGATCGCCAAAGAGACCTGGCAAATGTTCATGATGTCGCCTGAACGGCAAAAAGTCAACCCCTTCTTCCTTGGTGGAACATCAATCATTGTTTCTTATCCGGTCGGCTCGATGGCGCACGACGAAAAGCTCATGAGCATGCGTGGAAATAACATTCACTTTTCTCGCGCCACTGTCTTTCATGAGATGATACCGGGTCACCATCTGCAGTTCCACTACAACGCAAGGCACAAGCCATACAGAAAGCTATTCGACACTCCATTTTGGATTGAAGGATGGTCACTGTACTGGGAATTCCTTCTCTGGAACGACGACCGCTTCAAAAAGACTCCCCAGAACAGGATCGGGATGCTCTTCTGGCGACTGCATCGCTGTGCCCGGATTATCTTTTCGGTCAAATTCCATCTCGGTCAAATGTCTCCCCAGGAATGCATTGACTTGCTCGTAGCCGAGGTCGGCCACGAGCGTGCGACGGCAGAGGGTGAAGTCAGGCGGTCCCTGAATGGTGACTATTCCCCATTATATCAAGCCGGATATATGCTGGGGGCTCTCCAAATCTTTACCTTGCGACAAGAGCTTGTGGAGACGGGAGCTATTCCAGAGAAAGATTTCCACGATCGATTTTTGCAGGGAAATCGCATGCCGATTGAATTAGTCAGGGCCTCAATGATCCACCAGCCGCTGTCTCGCGACTATAAGCCCTCATGGAGGTTTTACGACCTTAGCTGATGTTGCGTCGAATCAAAGGGTTTTAGAAAGAAAACTCCAAAGCTCCTGCAAGATGCACCAATATCATGAGTACAAGCGTGCAACCGACTAGTAGATACCAAGCAGATCCCGATTATGCTTCAATCCATCCAAAAGCCAATTCATAGCTATTCATCGCTTCAAGTGCAAAAGCAGAGGGTCTGGTTTATTGGATCTTGGGCGTCTTTTTGGACAGCCACCGTTGGGGTCGTAACGTAAAGCCCGGGCCTGAAACTTCGGGCAAAACTGACCTCCGGACGGAGAATAGAAATCCCCGAAGCGTCACGCTCACTGTATCGTCTCTCGGGCCCCAGGGAATACAAGAATGGATTTCCTGTCAGAGATGAGATCTTCTCTTAGTACAAGCCTGCTCCCCTTCGAGTCTACACTGTGATCCTGCTGGGTGGGTATAAGGCTGGACTGGGTCATGTCGGACACCAAGAGCTCTGGCGCAGGGCCGCAACACCCGCCCTCACAGCCCAAGATGCAGCGAATCTTGGCCTGCGTGAATTGCCAGCAGCGCAAAGTCAAGTGCAATCGCCAATTTCCTTGTGCCAATTGTCTCCGGCTCAAAACACAATGTGTCCCGGCAACGCAGACACGCCCACGGAAGCGTCGATTCCCCGAACGGGAGCTCCTAGGTCGTCTCCGCCAGTACGAAGATCTACTTCGCCAGAATAACGTACCGTTTGATCCACTCCACAAAGAACAAGGGCCAACGGCAAATGGGGAGGATGACGAGTCGGATGATGAGCAGCTTGCAGACGCAGCTCCATCTGCTTCCACTCCTTCCACATCGCCCAAGTACGTTTTTCTACAGCCTGACTACTGTTCCACCCTCTGGACAATGTGAATTAACAAACAACCGCTCAGGGATATTTGGCGGGCTATGAGCGGCGGGGTATGTCTAAGTTGGGCAAAATATTATTCGCAGTCTTCTCTAATTCCAATCTAGTTCCCAACTCCCAATCCAGGTTATGCGTTGACCGAAAGCGCTCCCGAGTCAGCGGTGAAAGTGTCGTGGGATCAGTCGTTTCAAAGCGATGACCATATTATTCTGACTTCACGCAAAGAGCTTGTTGACATCTCGACGCTCCATCCAGAGCCAGTACACATCTTTAGGCTCTGGCAAATATACCTTGAAAACGTAAATCCCCTCTTAATGGTCACGCATCATCCCAGTCTTCAAAGCAAAATCATCGAGGCGGCTTCCAATACGTCAAACCTCAACGCCCATCTCGAAGCCCTCATGTTCAGCATATACAGCATGGCCGTCGGGAGTCTCCCGGCGGCTGAATGCGAAGCCCTCTTTGCTTTGTCAAGGGATGATCTTTTGACGAGGTATCAGTTCGGCTGTCAACAAGCCCTCTTGAACTGCCGGTTCCTCCGAACTGATAATCGCGACTGCTTGACAGCATATCTTCTGTTTCTTGTAACTTCTCCCGCCCGATCTTTAGTCGACATATTGCTTAACACCATTTAGGTATCACTGCATGCCAGAATGCATCCCCGGTCTCTAGGATCAATGTTAGCTATTGCAGTGAGTATCGCACAACGCATGGGAATACACAATGAATCAGATCTCGCGCGGTGCACTCCCTTCGAAGCCGAGATGCGACGAAGACTGTGGTGGGCACTTGTCTGCTTTGATGCGCGCATAGGCGAGCTCAGCGAGTCCAAAACATCGATACTCAACCCGACCTGGGACTGCCGAGTCCCTCTCAATGTGAATGAATCCAGTCTCTGGCCAGAAATGAAAGTGCCTCCTAGCCCTCGTGGAGATGCCACTGAAACAATGTTCATTGTAACCCGCAGTGAGCATGCGGAATATGTGCGAAATGCTCCATTCCACTGTGAATTCAGCAATCCGGCCATGAAACTTCTCACCAAGTCATACGGGGAAATGAACACCTTTGAAAACAAAATCCATCACCAATATCTCCAGTTCTGCGATGAGGGCAATTCGCTTCATTGCATGGCTGTTTGGATGTCCCATGTACAGCTTTCCAAAAGTCATCTATTGGAAAGTTATGCGAAGAACATGGACGCTGCGAAACACCTGACAGGGTCCCAAATCGAGTCTGGCATCCAGCATGCTTTTCGCATGCTCGAGTGCGACACCAAAATGTTGACGTCGTCTCTCACTAAAGGGTACACTTGGATCATCTCTTTCTACTTCCCCTTCCCTGCTTACGCGCACATTGTACAAGAACTGGTAGCTCGACCTGCCGGGAAGCATGCAGAACGAGCATGGGAGATTATGAACAGCAATTACGAGGCCCGGTTTGCTTCGGAGGATACGCCGGTCGATGGCCTTTTTGGAGTGTTCTCGGGCGTCGTGTTAAAGGCCTGGGAAGTTCTAGAAAAAGTTGCCAGTGATGCAGGGGAGCAAAAGGCCCCTCCAAAGATCGTGCGGAGTATCAACCGAAGGATTCACAAATCTACACAGCGTGCAGCAAATGCCCCTGCTGTGCCGAATAATGGAGTGGCCACCGATCTGAGCACTACCCCCCAATCTATGCCAGTGGATGGGAGTGAGTATATGTTCTACGGGATGGGCGAGCCATCGAACATCCCATGGGTAGATCCCAGGATGCTCGCAAACATGGGGCCCGGTCAGCCATCCGGGCCGGACATGAGCCATCTCAACTGGGCGTCGATGGTCTGGGGGTTGCGTAATGGCCGCGGGTGGTAATTTAGCAATCGTGTGAAGCACCCATAGGCCATGTCAGATAGTGAAAAAGTCATTAATTCGAATATATTCAAAACATAGCATCCCAAAATACAATGTGACATCAGGTCTTAACTTCGTTATGTTGCTACACTAAGCCTCCGCGAAACTGTTGAATATCCCATTAAACCACCTGTCGAAGTCGATCTCCTCCTGGTTCCACGGAAACTGCACTTCGTTCATATCCACAGAGTTCATGCCATCGGGCGTATTGGCTGACATTTTACTTGGTGTCATTTCATCAGAATACGGAATGACGCTCGCCCGACTCAAAGTCGAGAAATTCGAGATGATGCGATTGAAGTCGATGGAAGTCTGGTTGTTCGTTCGGGCCCCGTCGGAGCTCGACTGTTCGGCGATCAAAATCGAGTCAATCAGCGCGACGCCTCTTTGCGCCAATAGATCGCCAGTCCGAGCTGCGAGGCGATTGCGGGCAGCAATCACTGCTATTCGGTACATCTCCACATTCGCCTTGTCCTTGGCGGGGTCTTGGATGAGTGCGTTCATTTCAAAGCACAGGATGACTCCCGCGGTGATCGCGAACGCCGTATGGGTCCAGATAGAGAGGTCACCCTCTTCGACAATCGTTTCGTGTTCTCGTAAGATCGTCATGGCGGCGGCCACGCAGGTTCGTCGTGAGTGGCCGTAATTCGAGTCGTGGAATGATCGGAAGAGGAATAATCGATGGATCATAATGATTTTCTCTGCGGCTGTGATTGCAAGACTGCGCCGCGCGATGGTGAGCCATGGTATCTCGGCTTCCTTTGCGGTATCTGGGCGCAGCATAAATAACGGGATATTCTTCACAATTGTTCTCATTCTCTGGTCCACCTTCAGGATATGTTCGTACTGCTCCTGGGTGGGTTTGCGCCGATTCATAGGTCCTAGCCCGTCGACGAGTCCGGGCATCAACGCGGCAAGGCTCACGAGGGTTCGTACATAGCTGCTGATGGTCGGGGTCTGACTTGGGATATCTACTAGGTCATGGTCGTCGGCATTGAGCGGAAGGCCGGTGGAAAAGTGCATCGGGGAGATGCTATATGTATCGGTGAAGGGGATGGCGAAGTGATCTTGAATGAGCATCTGACACCACACACGCCGGCCGACTTCTCGCTCAATTCTCTCTTCCCATTCATCCCGGTTTTGGCTAAATTTTTTCGAGTGGTCCTTGATCTTGTGGATGCCCAGGCATTCGGCAATGCGCACGGCGGCGTTGAACAAGGTCGCATTCAACTGGCTCAGGCCAAGGTTATGCGCGACCTCGGTGGAAATGACGACTGCCTGGACAGAATATATGGATAAGTTGTTCAAGAAATGGCAGCTATATAGTGTTTGCACCATGGCGGAAAACAGCTGGTGAACCGATTGCATCGCGTCGAGATCTATATTGACCAGGAGTCGGAGCTTGACGCTGTTCTGTATTGAGTTCACCGTACAGCTGAGCACGGCAAAATAAAGTGCCATCCAGAGTGGGTGGTCACATCTCCCAGTTTCCCAGAAGAGCTGGCACTGCTCGAGGAATGTCGGTGTATGAAAGGCGTTGTGATGCCAAGTCAGATGCGTGACATGGAATTTCACAAGCTTTTGGGCGAACTCCGTCGGTGGGAGCATCACGAGGGTTTCGAGCGACGAGCCGTATATTTGGAAGCTGCCACTGTTCATCGATAAGAGCTCGGGGGTGTCTCTGCGATATTCACAACCACACCGTCTATGGGGGAAGCACCCTGCCGAATTCCGCCCCCATGCGAGGTGCTCAATTGCCGTGAGGAGCGGCGGATCATTCCCTTCTGGCGGGATTTCTACGAAACGATGGCGCAGGCCCTTGTCCTCCTGGGTTGTAGAGGGGGTCTCTTGATCATCCGCTGCCGACACGGAGGCAGCCTCCTCGGAGTCATTGCTATGGCCAGTTTGGAGTTGAGAGATCCGATCCCTTAGCCTCCGGGCAACTCGCGGCACCTTCTCTGCGGAGAACGAGTCTAATTCACTTAATATTGACGCCAGAAATTGAATCTCCGAGGCATGTTGCACAGTATTCCGTCTTAATTGTACTACCTCGACGGAACAATGCAAATTGAGCCTCCTGCACCTTGAGCACGGGACCTGCTTGTCACATTTCCTCTTCCTCTTCGTGCACTCTGGGTCATGTCAGCGCAATGCCACCGAGAACAAAAGAAACCAGAAGCAAGGGATGAAGTATTACCGCGGCAGGCCAAAGGACGACGCTGTGAGACGCGCAAAGGAGGCGACGAGTCTTGATCGACTGGCATGGAGTCTAGCCTCTCCTGTGGGGTAGCCCTACTCGATTCCGGGGCGGGATTCTGGGAAGCAACCCTCTCGTATTGCCATATGCGCGTTCAAGAAGGAGAGGGGGCGCCGGGTGAGTTCGGAGACTCGCCCGCGCCCGCCAATTTATATCGGCGAGCTTATCTGCCGCTGGAGATAAAGAGCTGACTCCCCCATGCTGCTCCCTTCCCACGCCCAATCAACGCGGCTTGGTTTCTCTCGGAGGCCAGCGATGAACTGGTGTTCGCCCAAGGCCGATGGTAGATGCCATCATAATTGAGAGGCGATCGCCGTCACTGAGATAGTTGAGCCTCCCAGCTTGTCTCCTCTACACAGGCCTCCCAGCATGCGATAGGCGCATCTAGAATCTTCAGCTTATCATCGACCTGCCCTTGTTGCCTGTCGACGAAGCCATCACTTACGTGCAGTGTCTAGGAGGCCGGATCAGCTCGGCTCGACATAGGCCAGGATAATGTCCGCCTGGTCTTGATCCTTCGTTCAGTGCGACCGAGTAGCGCGTCGTGTTCTTAGACTCCCATTTCGTTCGAAACGAGTTCTTCGCAGGACACAAACGTGCTATTTATCTGGCCTGCTTGGCCCGCTGGGACATTCCGGGAGGTTCCAGGCCACATTGGAGTATCCTGCCACCCACAAGTTATAGGTGTGCCAGGCTGGTCATGATTTGGGTCCACGTTATACCAAATAGGCCACACCCCCGCAGTCTCTCGGCAGGAGCCGTGGGGGATTCCTTATCATTGACATCGGTTTCGAGAACTTGGGCATGCAAAGCGCCCCGATTTCAATCTGCAGGCTCTGAAGGTTCTCACATGTCAGGAACAGGATCACCCCCTTCTCGGGTTTTCCTTTCAGCGCTTAATATGAATCGATCATTGCCCTACTAAACTAAAACCCTTGGAAGTTATCGTACCGCTTGTCCTCAAATTAACTAGCAGTGAAGCTCCCAAACACAGACGCTCTTGGTTCTACTAGTCCATGTGTGCAATGGTTGGCCCGGGGCCTGGACATTCGAGGAACAAGAACATGAGAAAGGCAAATGTAGAGGAGCACCCCAGATGTAGCTGATTGCCGAGAGGAAGCCGGGCCACGTTACCATTGCCTGAAGCCTGAAAGACTCCCACTATTGCCCAATCTCGAAACAAACACGACCCCACCACTCTCCTCCAAGTCGGTGAAGAAGTGTTGGTCCCCAAAGTTCGAAACTCGACCCTTTCCAAGGGGGGGCTTCGGATGAATGCGGGGACAGATCGCGACATCATTCCTCTTGGGGCAATCCCACGCGTCTGATTTGGAGGTGTTGTTCTGCGCGATTCCTTATGATCTGAACTCACCCATCTTCCAGAAGGTTTTGTTCCTGAAGACCTCAGAACCAATCTCGGCGATTGGGCCAACCAGCGCCACGCATGCAACACCGGCGCCCGGGCCGGGGGCGCTCTGATTGGTCGAAATCGCCGGTCTCGACTCACGATCTATAGATGCCTTCACAGCTTAATCCAGCATTGTTGGGCGATAAGATGGTTCTCATTACATTATTGCTTGCTCTGCGGGGGACCTATATCTTCAGGCCTGTGGCTCGCTTTCTCTCTTCGTCTTCTCCAGTCTATACTTGCTCCCACAAACAATACGGTCGACAGTAAGTCTCGGTGCAATCGACTGCCCCGCGCCCAAATTTTCTTTATCTAATCGTCGCAGCCCTATTCCCCCTCGAGTCCAGCGATCCCATCGGTGTGGTGGGCTATTACCACCCTCGACTACCATAGAGCCCCCCGAACTGGGCGACGACCACGTCCCTTCCAGCCTACAGACGCCATGACACCCGACCTGCAAGACAAGTCGATGCCCATAGGCATCCAACGAAGCCGGAGCCGGCTCGGGGAGCTTCTGGTAGCCGACACACTAGTTGCTGCGGGTTCAGCAACCCTTATTACACCGGCGGTGATGATCTTTGACAGGTGAGCATGGAAGCTCGGTGGACGCCATTCCCCCCTTCTTTTCTCACGCATCCGTAGACTCGTCGTCGAAAAGGCCTTCTACAACCAACCACTACTCCCAGCGTTCCGCAAGCATCTCTGGTTCTCGATCACTCAGCCCGCTACATTCCTGACCTCACGGCCCAGTCTCCTTGTCTGGGGCCTCTACACGGCAACTTTCGCCACTGCCAATGCCTCTGAAACGATTTTAAACAAAGTATACCCCAAGATCGACCATGCAATTGCGGGTATGACCACCTTCGCATCTACTTTCTTTGTCAACTCCTCAGTGGGAATTTGGAAAGATGTCAAATTCGCCCAACTATTCGGCCACATGAACAGGCCCCAATCGACAGCAACCCCCCCCACCAGCATCCTCACCCAACGCCCAAGCTGCCTCTGATACCCCTCCCCCCCAAAACCGCTCGCTCTATCGGACGCACCCGGATTCCCTTGGCTACCTACTCTGCTTTTCTCCTTCGAGATGGATTGACCATCTTCGGATCCTTTACACTCCCCACCATGGTTTCCACCGCCATACCCGACTCCGTCGCATCGCAAGAATATCTCAAGATCCTGATCGCGCAACTCGCCATCCCTGCATCCATCCAACTTCTCAGCACCCCGATCCACCTCTTCGGACTCGATCTTTACAACCGACCCCAGGTCCTCCCCACCAAGGACCGCATCTCCCGCATCAGTCGCGACTGGCTGGGTGCATCCCTACTTCGCATGTGCCGCATTATCCCCGCGTTTGGAATCGGAGGATTCGTGAACACCGAAGGACGCCTCTATCTCCATGAACAATTGGATGGACGGGCGCCCTCCTAAGCTCTTTTGTTGAGAATATAAATAAGGAAAAATTACATAAAGCCGAATATATCCTTACCGATTCACATTTCGAACAAGAATTTTTGACCTGATCATAGATTGTGTGTCTGACCCCACCCTAGCCCGGGCCGGTTCTATGCGCCTCGGTAAGCACCGGGCGTCTTCCACGGACTAAGTATTCGTACTATTGCCAACTCAGCCACTTTGCACTGACTTCGTCAAGGTGATGCTGGGTGGTCCGCGGTTGTCCTCAAACTGCGTGGAAAACCCACCACGATCTGCTCTACTGACTACTTGTGTCCTTTGTGTTGGCTGGCCTACATGAAATTTGTACAAGCCAAGCGCAGTTTTACCCCCCATCCATCCCAATTAAATAGCTTAAATAGATAACGTTTGGCTATGACAGCATCCCGCCACCAAGGCTGTGCAAGCCCTGCCCCCATTAGCCCCGTCAGTTCCTAATAGTTTAGGCGGCTTAAACCCCCCCCGCAAGCCATGCTGTCCCAGCACTAGGCAACAGAGCCTCAGCAGGGGTTGACTCACCTGGACGCCTTACTATGCAATAATATGCAACAAGCAGAGATCCACATAGCGTCGCAGAATGATACAGGTTTAAATTGGCACCAGCATCATTTTCTCCGATCTTCTCCAGTCCCTCGCAACTGGAAAAGGTTTCTTGGGACTTCAATCCACCCTACTCGACACAATGGGTTCAAGCATCCCCGACCAATTCCTCCGGGGCCCACCACCCCCGGACGTCTGCGCCCGCCAGCTCTTCAAGGATTCCTCTATCCGGGCATATCAAGACTGCTTCGCCGCTGTCATCGACAACCTCTTCAGCGAAGCCGAGTGCAAGGAACTCCTCCGCCGCGCCGAACAATCGACCTCCGCAGCTCCCTCCGCCCACCCCACCCCAACATGGGAGCGCGCCATGGTCAACGCGGGCGCAGGCAAGCAGGTCATGTCGGTTGACACGCGGAAAAGCGGGCGCATAATCTTCGACTCTCCCGACCTCGCCCAGCGCCTCCTCGACCGCATGATGCCGTTCATGCGCGAATGGAATCTGGATGCCGTCCGGGACCGGCCGCTGGTGACGGGGCTCGGGCCCGCGAGGCGCGGCGAGACGTTCCGGCTCGCGAGGCTGAACGAGCGCCTGCGGTTCCTGCGATACGAGGGTGGGGATTACTTCCGCCCGCACTGGGACGGGTGCTATGTTACACCGGATGGGAAGGAGCGGTCTTTGTTTACGATTCATTTGTATCTAAATGGGGAGGGGGAACAGGATATGGAAGAGCTTACGGATGCTATGCGGCGCTTGGAGAAGGAGAATGGGCTGGCGACGGATGAAAAGGGGGAGGTTGGTCTCATGAAGACCGGGGAGGAGGTCAGTCCTCAGCAATTGGATTCGTCGAAAGAGCTGGAGAAACTGCTGGGGGGAGCCACTTCGTTCACCGACAATTATCAGGGACGGGCGCCGTGCGCGTGTTTCCCAGGACGGGCTCGGTGTTGATTTTCCAGCAGCGTGGTCTGCTGCACAGCGGGGACGATGTCTTCCGCGGCGTCAAGTATACTGTCCGGAGCGATGTGATGTATACCCTGGCGCCGGGGGACCAGAGGGAGTAGGAAAGTGGAGAAAGCTGGTTAGCGGCACCCTCGAATGAAGGTTTAGTTCCTGAGTTTAAGAAGGAAAAACGCGACCAAAGCGGTGGAGAAAAAGTGGAGATACGTCACCCCTCTCCCCTGGGTCAGCAGCTGTTGGAGTAAAGTTGATAATCTGCGATCTTCATAAGTAGATTTAGACTTGCTTTTTGGGGGAGTTTAAGGCTCGGCTGCTGTGTCCTTCTTCCTTCTTTCCCCTCCCCCATCCTATCTCCTCATCTTTGGTAGATATTTTTTTTTCTCGCCATGCCCTCCGCAAACAACATCGCCTACACAGCCCCAATCAACCCTCCTGGAGAGACCCCGCTGAGCCGTGACCAGGTCTGGGCGGGCCTCCTCCTGAAGATTCGCTCGGCCGAGACTTTTGTTCCTTCGGCGATTGAGTCAACGGAGGTGCTCAGCGAGTCGGTGGAGCCGTCGACCGGGAATGCCGTCACCATCCGAGAAGTCGCCTTTCGAGATTCAAAGTTGAGGATCCAGGAGACCGTGATGGCATTCGAGCCCTGTCGTGTGGAATTCGAGCAGGCCAACACCAGTGTCAGCAATGTGATCAGCGAGGGCGCTGATGGGAGTCTCTACCTCACCTATATCTTCGAGTGGAGGCATCCTGGTTGCTCCCCCGAGGAATTGGCGAAGAAGCTAGGCAAGGAGAAGCGGATGAGTCAACTCTCGGTCGAAGGCACGATCAAAGTGCTTCGGCAGTTAGCGGAGGCCGGCCGTCTTTGACTGGGAAATCCGATTCTGGGTAGATACGGTGTCTAGGGTTCAGGTCTTTCGTTATATGGGATAGAAAAGGGGTTGCGGCACTGGGAGGTTGAGATGTTTCGTCCCAGCTCTTCTCCCCGTTGCCAATTCCTATCAGATCTTCCTCGAGCCTCTGGCCGAGACAGATTGGTGAGACGGGTGCATGACCGTGTTGTACTTGAAGTCCAAATTCGGGGCAGTGTAGCTTAGCATATAGAGATCCGCTACCGACTTTGTATACCCCTGTCATGTGTGATAACACACACCTCTCCTGGCGACATGAGCTGTGTGCATGAGGAGTAATCTTTTCAATCTACATTGTAGTAATACCAGCAGCTGGAGCTCAAACTCTTTTTAGTACAAATTATACTGGTACACCTTCAACTTGACATTCGTGTAGAGTACTCAACCCCACTGTGCCATGTCTATAATTATTTCTCCTCATCCGGTACCAAGATCTTACCCTCCGACACTTCGACCGCCGTGCCCGTCAATTCAACCTTCGCAACCTGCTTGCTGCCATCCAACGTCACATTGACGCCAATATCACTGCGTCGCCCCATCTCAACTCCCTGCACAACATGGTAGCGATGCTCCTTCCCCGCCTCGCCTTCCGTCAGCGTTAGATAGGCCGTCAGCCCACTCGCCGCGCTCCCCGTGGCCGGATCTTCCAAAGTCCCCAACACCATGCGCGTCCGGATCACCTTCTGGTTCATGACACTGTCCTGCACATCTCGCACAAAGAAGTAGACACAGGTCAGCCCCGCTCTCCACCCCTCGTCCAGGTACGTGCCTCCTTCGGAATCCACCATCTCGCCCCCCGTCGCAGGCGTCACGGCCGCCAGCGCCTCCAGCGACGGCAGCTCGACGAGCACTTGGCTCATGCCATTGACGATCGAGAAGACCGGAAATGACGCATCCTGCGCGCAAAACGGCGCCAGCGTCGGATGCAAGCGCAGCAGATCCTGGACCGAAAACCGCGCGCCGTGAATGCGCGTGTTATGCGCGATCTTGGCCGCTACATACTGCGTCGCCGGGTCCTGGATCGCGATCTGGATGTCGCCGGACTTGGTGCCCAGCGTGGTCACTTCGCCTGCGGCGGCGTCCGGCCCGTGGCAGAGGAACCATGTCGCGGCGCCGATGGTGGGGTGTCCTGCGAAGGTCAGCTCGCCTTCGAGCGTGAAAATGTCGATCGAGCGCTTAGATGCCTCCTGCTTGGGGTGGACGAAAATGGTCTCGGATAGGTTGAATTCGAGCGTGATCATGTGTTTTTGGCGTTGGGTTAGTGCGTGCGACTCGTCTTCGGGGAGGAATACGACTGCCAGCGGGTTGCCGGAGTACGGCTTGGAGGTGAAGACGTCGAGAGTGATGAATTTGAGTTGAGTCATGGCTGCTACTTGTGCTTTCCTGGTTTAAGAGAAGGATATCGGAAGATGTAGCTGGGTTTTATACTTCATACATCCCCCCGCATTGACTCACAAGTGGGTCTGGCTGCCGATGACAAGCGGGCTCCGGCAAAGTAGAAAGTTTGATTTTAGGGAGTCGGAAATAGTTATGAATCATTTATTTTTGACTAGCATATCGCTGTTCACGGTTTCGTGAAATCCTCTTGCATTACCCGATTCGTCCCCACCCCCCCCCCCCACTGTTTCCGCCCTTCGATTGACACCCGGCTAAATCACACGTGGTAGCGCAATCGCCATGTGTATAGTGGCCGATGCTGCAGGGGCACCGGTAGACTTTTAGGGAAAGAAACTCCGCAAGAAGCGCGAGTGTGAATTGGGCCTTGCGGAAGTGACACGCAGAGGTCAATCATTTTTACTCAAGGCATTCTGACATGTATGAGATGAATTCCAGAATCAGAATCCAGTCGAGGGGAAACTGCGAATACGGTATTGAGATGCACGGGCCATGTGGTAAAGAGTCAGCGCCTAGGCTTGGCAAGCCTGCACTTTCTCTGCCCAGATGGGATTCTTCTGGGTCAAGCTCTTTCTACCGAGGGATGGCTCACTGAGCATTCGTTCCTTGGCTGAAGTCATATGCGTTGCCAAATGCCCGATTCAGGTATTGGGCGGCCACCGCCGCTCTAGTGTCCCAATCGACCGGGATCTCTAACGAGTTGGAAGCTTCGATCAATGGCTTCAGATCGTCAGCGAGCTGTAACCGCATCGGATTGCGGTACCAAGGTGCAAAGTGAACTGATTGAGCGGAACAAATTAGCCATGGATCCTGGGGAGGGCTGTACTGTGAAGACTCACTCATCGCCAGCATCACTCGGACGGTGTCAGTCTGGTTCCCAATCCCAGCGTGCCAAAGTCGCAGATCCCGGATGACAATCGAGCCCTTAGGAACAGTGGGCTGACATGGAGGTCGGATGGCCCGGCGCTTTTCGAGCTCCGCGATTTTGATTCGACCGCTGGCGCGTTCACCGTGCTGGCCGTCTTGGAAGCTAAGATCAGTCTCTTGATGGGTGCCCAGCCACACCTCCGTAGAGCCATTCTCCGGAGTCATTTCAATCAACGGGATATTTACAACGTATGCAAAGGGGTGGCTTGGGTGGTCAAAGTCTGCGTCGGTGTGTACGGGCTGCGAAACTGGTGGGTTTTCAGCTGTGGGTGGCATGGCTGAGTTGCCTGAGCAAAAGGTCCATTTGGGGAGTGGACCAAGGGCAGTCGATGTGAGCTGGGTTGCAATTGGATCTTTGAGATCGTCAGTCATTGGGGTTGGGCTATTATTTTCCGAGAGGCGGGGGGTTGTCTCCGACTGGCACCTACTGAGGAAGATTCGAGCGTCAAAATACTGTCGCATAGGCGGCGGGTCTTGCTGGATGTTGTTGGGGTTGTAGTTGAATGGACTGTTCTCCTTTCGGGCGTACAGCGTATATGCGTCTTGCACCATTTTCTCGTTGAGTTGGTCGAGGGTCTCATGAGGTACAACATCGTTCACGACCACTAAACCATCATGGTGCAAGCTACGCATGGCAATCTCTACGTTCTGCGGAGTGAGACTACCTCTTTGGATTTCTGCTTTGGATGGTCTGATGGCTGTTGGATGGCTGCGGTTTGTACTCATTGGTCGAACAACACGAGCGGACTGGACAGAGGCCCAGAGAGAGCGCGTACAATTCCAATTGGACAATTTGAGCATTGCGACGCCTGTGCTGGAAACTTGGCGGAACTGAGGAGGAATTCTTCGAATATATCCAGTTCTACGTCTGAATGGCAAAGGCATTAAGCCAGCTTTATAACTTTCTAGCTGGTCTACAACAATCGAGGCCGTGCACTAGTGTGGGGGATGTGGGCCAGCTGGGCCAATCGCCTTTGCTTGTCGCCTTTCGCTCTTCGTCATTCCTCGCCTTTCGCCTTTGCGCAAACACAACCGGTGATCATCGAGCGCGTAGAGACCTCTTGGCTCGCATACTTCAATCAGGTCGATCATATTCCAGGGTGCCGTGGTCTAAGAGCCCAGGCCCATGCCCCGCCAGTTCCAGCGCAACCGTTCGTGCCCCTCGTACTCAATATGCACACAAACTAAGTCCTGCAGGGTGGTAAGTCTTGGTTGCATCTTCCAGGGCCCTTGATTCTGATGAACGAGAAGCGAAGAGTGTCGGAAACGACGAGTACGATGTAAGTCCTTTCGGTTATCTCAGCATCAGCATATAATATTGACCTCAAGAGGTGATGGAACTCGCCCTTGCTGCTCCCCCCTGTGCCAGGCTCCATCGTAGGTGCCAGTGGCCCCCTCGAGCTAGTGGCTCATCTCATGCACTGGTAGCGCCTCTTGAGCGCCTTCGAGGAGATTCAACGATAAGATCTTTGGTCTCGACCCCACCACAGCTCTCGAGCTCCTTCCAAGCTTTCCGCTTTGTGTCAACGGATAACCCGGAAGTGGCGCTTCAAGATATCGAGGTGTTCCGCTTGTTTCGCCATTATATGTTGCACCTCGCCACTTGGTATGATCTGAACGATCACTGTCGACACTTTGGGGACCGTGTCCCCGTCATGGCACGACGGAACCCACTTCTTTTGAGTGCCATCTTAGCCTTCTCAGCTGCTAGTATCTGTCACTCAAATGATGGGGGTCGTCGGATGGTAGAGAAGGCTGAATTCTACCATCTCCAGAGTATCAGGATCCTTCTTCGCGTCACAAGCACCATACAGGATGCTATATCGAATGGTGAGATGCTAGCAGCAATCTGTCTGCTGCGATCCTTTGAAATTATTTCCCGTGAGATTTACCGTCTGTATCCCCACTACGGCCCCCCCTCCGCTAATCATATCCAGATAACCTCACCTCTCAGAATCATCTTCAAGGATGCTACTCCATTCTAGCAAGTCATTCCATACAGCTCCAATCAGAGTCGGGTCTTGCCCGTGCGGCGTTTTGGAATTATCTGCGAGAAGACATCACTATGGCCTTGATTGAACGACGGAGACTGATGATCGACCTTTCAGACGAGCACCTCCCCCAAGAACTGGAATTTGACGATGACTATGCAAACCACATCACGGTTCGTCTAGGCCAGGTCATCAATAAGTGCTTTAGCGATGACCTACATCCCTTCGAGATCTCAATATATGATGCGCTTAAACACAATCTGAAGACTTGGTATGACCGCTTGCCCGCCTCATTTACTCCGATTACGATGAAAGCAAGCGATTCTTCCCCTGGTAGTGACACAGGGTTCCCTTTCATTGGCACTCTGCACGGGTGGCACGGTTCGTTGCATTTGGTCCGCTGAGTTGATTTCGCCAAGCCTGACTCTCGTAACAGCTGCCGCAAGGCAATATTATCAAACAGCGATGATCATTCTCCTCGTAGCGAAGCCGAATGACCAAGAAGCCTCAATCAGGGATAAAATGACGCACATGTTGACCGTCGCTAAAGAACTCGAGGACCGTGCATCCGAGATCTGTGCCTTAGCGTTGTCAAGTGACTCGGAAGCTGTCTGGGTGAATTCATTTGGCCCGATAGCTTTCTGTACGCCATCTTCTTCACCTCTTCGCGTTCTCGGCTAACCTCTCCATAGGTGGTTGCTTCCTCCGCGAGCAGGTAAAATTGAATACAATCATTGAGGCGGTGCAGGACTGGGGTGGGCGAACTGGGTGGCCAGTCTCAAAGATCATCCGATGCTTGGAGGATCGAGGCAACGCTACTGTATGAAACTGAAAGAGATAACAAAAATGTACATGTATTCTCGATTCAGAGCTAGATATTGTTCCATGCATGACAAGGTCCCAGTCGCTCCCTAATGCAAAAACGCCTCGTCAAGTCATCACAAATGTCGTCCACCTGTTCATTCTGAGTCGCTATCGATAACAAATCCACCACGCACACGCCGCGATGGTACCACCGGTGCGTCTTCTTCCTCAGCTTCGTCACTCTCGAGCATAGAGGGTTTAGATTGGTGGTTGCGGCTGAATGCGAGATCGTCATCAAACATGAGTTCATCTTCGGCGGATGTCAATGGGGTATCTTCGTCGTGAAAGCCATGACTGGCAGAGACATCCTGTTGTGAACCAGGCGATGCAGCATCTACGTCTGCCATCGAGATATCCTCATCGTCATCGCCATCGCCATCACTTCCGGCAGACCCGGATTCATGCCGGCGCCGTTTCGGCTCCGAAGTGCCTGTGTCGCTTTTCCGCTTGCGCACGCTTGCTTTCTTGCCCTTCTGCTCGGCGATTCCAAGGAGCATGGCTTTCTTGACCTTCGCGGCTTGTTTCTTTCGCCGCTCTTCTTCGAGTCGAAAGAACTCTTGGTCTCCGTCCTCGTCGCTTTCCTCATCACTGGCATGGATGAACAGATCACTCTTGATCTTTGCCTGGCGGGCAAGGTCATTGGTAAGACGTGATTGGCGGCGCGCCTCGATTGTCTCGTCATCCAACGGCTCTCGCTCAGAGTTTGATTTGCTCTTCTTCTTCCGTTTCTTCTTCAATTCATCCAACGCACTCGACTTGGTTCGTGGGTTTGGAGGGAACAGTACTTCATCAGGCGCAATATCTTCGCCTTCGGAGTCGGAGCCGAAGTGAACTTGGTACGAGTCTCGCATGTCACGCGCAGCTTTCTTGCTCTGAAGAAGCTTGCGAGGGTCCTCTTCAGTGCCTTCTAATCTCGGGTTGACCATGATTCTGTTGATTATTTCAACGCTTTCCTGAAGATCGTGGGCCTTCAAGCTTGGAGGAATCACCCAAGCAGCACCCGGAACGTCGGCCACACCAAGTCTTTCGAAACCAGCCAGCTCCATGAGAAGCCGGAGCTTTGCGTTCGAAAACATGGCTTTTTGGCAGAACTCGTCACGAGCTTTGACGTCTGCGCAGCATTAGTAGTGTTTAATGGCTTGGGGGGGGGGGGGGATCATAACACGTACGAATCATTGGGTTCGGGGTGCTAGTAGCTTCAGGGTTCTCAGCACGGCGAGCTTCCTCTTCGGCCTCCCAGGACTCTCGCTCGGAAGCTGCTGAGCTGAGGGTATCGAGCATCCATTTCATAAGGTCCAACTGTCCGTCAAGGGTAAGAGCGCCTGCCACGATACCAAATTTGGCTTGCGGTGTTTTCGCATCTTCGTGATTGATCACTAATTTGGTCGGCGCTTGCTTAGCCCTGGATATAGTCTGCTTGTCGTGTCCATACTCCAAATAAAAAGCAGTCGAGTTCATCTTGCTGAAAAGCATCTCGGTGACCAGTCCAGGGCGTTGGTCGATTTTCTTAACCAGTCGCCGAATAAGCTGCCGCACGAGCTCCTCCCATTCTCTGAAGACCGATCTGTTGTCGGGATCCATGGCGCCTGGGCCTTTGATCATCCGGTAGAAGAGATTGATAATGTCCACTCTGAACAGCAAGACCGACATCTCGTTCTTGAATGCGACACGGTAAAAATAGCGATGGGCGCGTTTGAGCTGCTCAGCGCTTAGTTCTCGATATGAATGCGTAAAGGCGACAAACGTATCAACGCAGCTTTGGTTGCAGAATTTGGCAGCAAAGCGTTTGAAATCAAATGAGCGCTCCTTTGACACCTTGGCAGCGTCCACTATATCCTCCTCTTCGGATTTCTGGCCTTCGTCATTGTCTCCGCCGTCTTGGCCAGTGGCATCTTCAGTCTTTTTCTTGTTGCGCCTAGCCTTTCGACGAGACCGCACCTGTAAGTCGACATTCTCTTTTGAGTATCGCTCAAGCATTCGTAAGAACACATGTGCAAGCTCAGTTGCAGCATCCAAATAACCGAATCCTTGGTCCTTATACCCACGTACGATTGAAATGATGCGGTCGTGAGTGGTTTCCTCGTAGAAAATTCGGTTTTGGATATTTTCCGCGATTTCCTGATCCTCTTCGATTGGTGATGCAGCCATCTCTTGGACAGTCAGAAGAATCTGGGTGAAGCACCGCATCTGGGCAGTGACATCTTCCCATTCCTTTGAATCCAGGCTATTCTGCATTGCACGGTTCAGGGAGATAAACATTTCCTGATTCAAGACCGCAGCCACCAAACCAAAGCTATCCGGCTCAGGAAGTTTCCGTCCTTTCTCTGTTTGGGCCATTTTAGCCACCTGCCGTGACCGCCGGGCACGTTCAGCTTCGAGGAACCAGCCAACAGTGTAAAAAAATTGGCGCGTATTGATTTCAAGGATCCTCTCGGCCTCCCGTTCAATAGCCTTGCGGACGTGGGTGAAGAGAGGATTGAACCCAGCATCGAGGAACTCCTCGACGAAATCCCGGAGGTTTTTCGACGCGCTGAAAGAGAGAGGTGTGGGCATATTGAAATTGTTATTTTGGACCACATCTTCTTGTCTCTTCCGAGGCTTGGGCTTATTCCATTTTTTGGTCTCATCCATTTTCTGGAGAGTTCTCTGGTTATCTTTCAGAATGCTCTGCCCAGAAACGGTAGACACTTTGTCATTATCTCGTTTGACCCAGATCATTGTCCCAAAACGCCCGTGTCGCGTGGGGGCCGTTTTTCGAGTATTCCTTCTGGGCCAATGCTTCCTTGCGTAGCATTTCTTTGAGCTCATTCCCACCGTTGGATTTTTCCCTGGGGTCGTCCATGAACAGCTTCTCAACATTAACACCTTTCACAAGATGAAAGAGAATCTCCAATAAAATCACATCCTGGAGATTGAAATCCTCTCCAACGTTGGAACACATGGTCAGGATGAGAGCGAACGCATCCTGCTGTTGAAAGGCGTCGATAGTGGCCGATCTAGAAGTCTCTTCCTCCTCGCCATCTGCGGCCAGTCTTGCATTGGTGGAGATTATTGCAATATTTCGGAGGAAGTATAGCATGAGCTTCAAAATGCCCTCATCGCGCGCTTCACGTTCGGATCGAGGCATTGCCATACTCGGGATAGCGATTCGAATAATGGTACGGAGGAGGTTCGGGCCGCCATATTTAAGCACGCCACGCTTGTATTGGACTTGGATTTGTTGGAGGTATGCGGTATGGCGATGGTGGTTCACGGTCATTTGGCTGTGATATTCAATGGGCCAGGTCAAAGGGACGAGGAGTTCCACTAGAAAAGGATGAGTTTCTTCCGCCATGAGAGCTTATAGATTAGCCACTTACGACACGCCAGGGCAATACGGGTCATATGTTTGTTCTTCTGCCCGTTCGCCCACCACAGAGATAGGATTGGGAGAAGGTCTCCGTTCACCAAATTGGCTTCTCCGAGGCATCGCGCCACGTCCATTCGATTGTTCTTTTCGTCGTAGAGCTTGAGCCATCGTTTGATATCGCGGAGACATGCAAGGGCGTCATCACCCAGGATGTAGCGGTCTTGGTCCTCGCCGTTGAACCCTCCAAGCTAAATTTTGAAGGTCAGTCGGCGTAATCTATTAGGGGACCAAGACTTACCGCAGTGACTAAAGTATACACATAAGCGCGCACATCTGGATCAATGACTTGGACATCATGTCCGGGTGCAGCCAATGCGACTGGCTCCTCGTCCATGATGGCGAGGTGGGGTGCAAGTAAAGTCCAATCCACCGCGAATGTACCTTAAACGGGCAAACGCGTCCAGACGCGACCTCGGCGATTCGGAGAAACCGCGTTCCCTTGATGAACTAGAAGGATTATGTAAACGAGGGCAATGTCCGAAGTTAACCGGTGACGTCGGAGCACACGTGAAGATCTATGAAACACTAAAGATTCTCGGAACTTCTTCCTGGCTTTTGCTTAGACTTGTAAAGATCGCTTCGTACAGTATGTTTGCCTCTTCCCTTCGTTCTGTTTGCCGCAATGGCCCTGTCTTGGGCCGCAGCTTCTCCTCAACCGCCGCTGCAAGTGCAGCCGAGGTCAAATCGCTGGGCGTGATCGGTGCCGGCCAAATGGTAAGTTCCAGCGCCACGACCTGCAGAAAAGATTCTCACACAATAAAAGGGATTGGGGATTGCGCTGGTCGCTGCACAGAAGGCTCAGGTCCCTGTGACCTTGGTCGACACTTCACAGGCCTCTTTGGATAAGGGCCTCAAGTTTGCTGGTAGGATCTCCTCAATGCGGGCGAGACTCAAATGGACCGATAGCGTCCTTACAGGTCCCAAATTTCTGAACATTTATCACTGACAATACTGGTGCTCTCAGATAAGCTGCTAGAGAAGGATGTTTCGAAACAGCGCATTACTCGGGAGGCCGCTGATGCTGCCCGCGGACTGCTCTCTCCCAGCCAGAAGATGGAAGACCTGTCTTCGGTAGACTTCGTCATTGAAGCTGTTCCCGAAATCCCCGATCTGAAACAGTCTATCTTCTCCAAGCTGGCCGAGATTGCACCCAAACATGCCATCCTGGCTACCAACACCTCTTCCATCTCCATCACAAAGATTGCAGCTGCGACGTCCACCGACCCAACAGATCTCCAAGCTCCTTCGCGGGTCATCTCTACTCATTTCATGAACCCCGTCCCAATCCAGAAGGGCGTTGAGATTATCCGCGGTCTTCAGACCTCACAAGAAACCATGGATACCGCCATTGCCTTTGTCGAGCGCATGGGCAAGGTTGCCTCCATCTCGGCAGACTCACCTGGCTTTTTAGCAAACCGTATCCTGATGCCTTACATCAACGAAGCCATCATCTGCCTTGAGACCGGTGTCGGTGGCCGTGAGGATATTGACAACATCATGAAGACTGGAACAAATGTTCCCATGGGACCATTGGTCCTGGCTGATTTCATCGGTCTTGATACCTGTCTAGCTATCATGAACGTTCTGCACCAAGAGACTGGGGACAGCAAATACAGACCCTCTGGCCTGTTGCGCCGCATGGTCGATGCTGGCTGGCTTGGAAAGAAGTCTGGAAAGGGATTTTACGACTATTGAGGCATCTGATATTAGATGTGTATTGTCGAGGTAAAACTCGTAACAATATGTTCGTGTGGATCCTGGGATAGCTTTTGTGCCAGCTGCCAGCGCAATGACCCTATCCTGAGATTGGTCCCTGAAAGTAGAATGTATAGTCCTAGGGAGTTAACAAGTTTATATAATAAACATTGGGCTCGCAACGCCTTTTCCCCCGACTTCCCCAGATCTAGTAACTCCAATTTCTTGAAATGATTCCTCCAGTCTTTCTTTTTATGATGATACAAGCTATTGGTTAGATGTATTGGTCAAATACTCAGTCCTGATTCACCTCCCTCTCCGTCACTTGGAATCCCATTCTCTCTCTTCCACGTGCGCTGTCATCAATTCGTGCCTGAGGCGCTGGATAAAAGTAGCATCTAGCTTGGCTTTCACAGGAACACTTCGATAATGGATGGCCACAGCCATAGCTAAGGCATATCAGTATCCCCTTTAACTTAGGACCAAGCTGATGGAGGCGATATACCAGAACTCTGCTTTGCATTTGCATATCATATGAGAACATCCTTCTATCTTCTCCACTAGAACTCCACAACTCCAACACTGCTGCCAGTGGTTGTTTCGTGCGAGAGATAGCAGGTTATTGAGGCCTGAGTCGGGGTCGCTGGAACAATCCTTGCCTGCATGGGCAAAGTCCCGACATTTCAAACAGATCGAGATGTCACAATGGGGACACTTCAAAGAATTGGACCTAATAGTCAGGTGCTGAGGGTGGATCCATTTACTGCAGTTTGGAAAAGGGCAGTATATCCTCTCTGACGGAGGAGTTGCTTGCTCTTCTCTTCGACTGCAGTACGTCTCTCGCTCTGGGGGTTTCAAGGCCGACGCAACTCTTTTAACTGGGAGCTCTTGGTCACAGCATTGGACTGGAAAGGTAATGTCATTACCCAGAGAAAGTTTTGCCATTTTGCAAAGACACTGCATGCAAAACTGATGCTTGCACTGGGCGATGACGAGTCGGTGGTTCGGCACCTTTCTGCTGCATGCTACGCAATGACTTCGGGATGGTGAGCTGAGATCGATACTGTGGTTGTGAAAAGATGCCATTACGGACTTTTTATTGGCAATCACATTGCTCCAAGCGCTTTTCAGCAGTTGTCTGAATCTCTCGGTAGCTTGGGATCGCGTCTGTGCCGATTCCATAGGGCGTGGAGTTCCATTCGACCTATCTCTGACCCCTTGCGGCTGAATTGGTGAGCGTCTGTTGCTTTCTTGGATAGCATCTTGAAAAAGACCAGTTTCCATAATGATGAGAGGCGGTTAGAGACTGTAAATATCGTAATTCTGATCGATTATCGAAGACGCGCAGAATGGCCGGTATCAATCGTATGTGAGAGGAATCGAGATACCTTGTCAAAAGAAATTGCCCGAAGTCCTTGCGAGACCTTGAGAAAACCGGAAGAAAAGGGTTGTCCCGCTGTAAAAGCTTGCAGTCTTTCTGAGATCGACAACATGGGGAAGAAGCAAGCCTTGTGTCTGGCTCTTCTCTGAAGAGCTTCCAAAACCCAGTCGCCAGTGCAACAAGGCAAGGCAGCCCTAACCTTCCAGCCAACTGTAATCTGACACTATACGCGGATTTCTAGAAGCCCCAATCTTGGAGTTTCTCACGACAATTAATAATTGAAAATCCGTGAAGCATTCACCAGCGAAGGTGTTTTGTTTACCCCTGCCTACAGGAAATAATCCAAGAACACAGGCAGCTTTGGGTAACATTTGATCATGAAGAGCGAGTAACGAAAGCGTCATCCAAAACGGTGTGTTTATTTTGATAGCTACGTCGATTCCGGTCCAACCCAAGGAATCCCTTAGAGCAACCATGGAACCAGACGCTCTTCAAAGACGGACTGAAGCATCATCATGAAAGGCATGGGTATCATTTTGTTACATACGGCTTCGAATTGACCAAAACACCCCAACTCCGAGAAATAGCGCTCGTCTTTTGTCTTCTCTTTTGCCGGCTCTTCATATCGTCCCAGCAAATCGTCGTCCAGCCCAGCCGGATCCATACTCTTGGTATTCCTGGCGAGTAATTGCAACTCTACTAAGCTCCTCCCGATTATTTGCGAGACGAGATCCGCCAAGCCATGTGGAGACAATTGGACTATTTCATGTCAGTCAGTACAAAACAAGTTGAATCATCTGCCTCGAACAACTTACTCTTCCGCGCGTCCGACTCTAACTACACAATCAGCAGATGCAATTGGGCGCAGTTCCGTCTCCCTGGTGAAAAATGGATTAGGATCTTCATCAGCTGTACTCCGGGTTTGTGAGCTTACAGTCGTTCCATGAAGCCTGGGATGGCAGCATTCCCGCCCACCACCAGCACATTTGCGAGAAAGGCTGCATGTAGTCCCGCAGGAAGTACTGACAAGCTCTGGATGATCATATCTGGGATTCCAGCTTGTATTATTCCGATGTCGCCAGGACTGAACAGCAGTTCCGGCACTGTAAATCGCTCATTACCAAGGACTAAGACGTCTTCCGACAAAGTTTCTGCGTCAAGTCCGGAAAGAGCACCCTTCTTTTTCTTCGCATGTAACAGAGGATCGTGTCGCCGCAAAAACCCTTTCTTGCCAGCATTGGGGTCCGGCAAAACATAATCCACAACGACGCCATCCTCCGTCTGGCGCTTTCGGTTGGCTTTCCAAGTCCGTTCCATGTCTTTGTTGAAATCATTACTGACAAAGCAGGCGGCTTCCTTGACCTCATTCATAATGTATGTTTCGTCCACCATATTGTACTGTCTCATTGACACGATCTCTTTCAGGTAGTTTGTGAGGAACTTGCCTCCAATATCGAGACGACGGATAGCGCGCTGGAGTGCTTGCCCTCTATACACTGGAGTGACCGTTGTGTGAGAGTATCCGGAATCGACAACGAGTAAGCAGTCTTTGGGAAGGATTTCAGAGCCGGGTTTGACAAGAGGGTCCCCAAAGGTAGCATGCAGATCGTTCCAAGAGTTTAGCGTTGGACCTATTGATTGCCACAGTATTAGTATTCCAACGGTCCTCAAATCTGTAAACCCTAGATGCCGAATTTCTCTTACCCAAGCATCTGACATATCCTCCAAACCCCCACTCCTCCATGACCATCTCGTCGGCGTTACGTTGTAAGATCGGCATTGCATTTGGCGCCTCGGTCAACACAAGTGTTGTCTCTTCAGGCGCGGAAATTCGAAGGTTTTTGTTCTTTGCAGTAGCCTTCTCCTCGAAGAATGTTTGCTCCCAAATCTCTCGCTCCGCTTCCCAATTGACAATGTAGCCCTTCTCAACTGGCCGGCGGAACATAGCCTCGTTCCAGTCGCTGACCTGCGTTGATATCTGTGCGCCAACCACAATACGATTGTCTCGAGTCCTGACCAAGGTATTTGGAATCGAGGAACAGTTGGAAAGGGCGTCTTCGGAAGAGGACGCCGGATCCGCGGCGTACCCTGCCTTCATGGTGTACGCACCATTGTCGAGGACGAAGGTCTTCTTTGGAAGGCTTCGTGTTGGAACATCCGGCGATTCTTTTGCAGCCTTTGCAGCGCTGCGAGCCTTTGTCGTTCCCATTATTGTGATTGGAGAAACATTGACAAGTTCCTGACCAGGAAACTCGTGGTGACGCGAGTGTTTGCTGTGTTTGCAATACTTCTCTGGGGTTCTGCCACATGCCACCGATTTAGGTCCGTGTATACTCCCCAATCAGCTTGTGCATATGTAATGTAAAGTATTCGGGGTCTGTGCAAGTTTTCAATATCCAGGATAATAATTCCGATCATTAATATATGTATACAAGGAAATGAAGGTATCACTATGTACAAAACAGTAAAAAACTCTTTCCGCCGTGCGGGAATGTTGAAGCGTGCGGTTGAAATATCGTCAATATGCATCAACGAGTTCAGCTTCATGCTCCCATTCAGGTAGTTGATCAACTGGGATGTGCTCTCGGAGGTATTCAAGAATGGCCGCAGTGCCTTTGGCAACAATCTGCCATCGAGGCACTCGGAAGCGATTCCCTGAAACTTCGAAACGCCTCAGTGCTACACCAGTGCCCCAATTTTTGGGGGGCGTTCAGGACCCAACAGACCAATTTTGGGGGGAAGGGATTCGATGTCATTGTTGCTCACATCCAATGCCTGTAGTCCTTGTACGGCCTCGAATTCAAGTCGAATAATTTTGTTATCGGCCACGATGAAGCTTTTGAGATTCGGGAATGTTTGCCGCGTGTTAGGCAGATCGCCGGTCAAACGGTTCTTGGACACGTCCAGCAACGTGAGGGAAGGAGCTTTGACATGCGTCAGAAGATTCTCAAGTGTTGTGAGGCCGGCAGCACTCAGATTCAAGGTCTGTAGCTTTGGCAACTCCAAGGCTGAAGACAAGAGATGGGAATCGCCCAGCGGGTTATTAGAAAGATCAAGTTCGACAAGGCCCTGGGCTAAAATTTCAAGGGCTGGTACAGGCAGCAGGCTTAGCTCGTTGTGCTGCAAATACAGGCAACGAACGTCCTGCACATTGATCGAGCTCAGTTTCTCCACATCTAGATCCTTCAGATCCGAATGCGACCTGTCAAGAACACCACCAGACTTGATCTTCCATCCACTTTGCACTGTCGGAATCTCAGGTGCATCTGTGAACTGGGTTGCCACAGACCCTTCATCGTCTGTCTCCTGAGGCTCGGGCTCACATCGATTCTGCATGTCCCGTTTAATGTCTTCTGTTTCCATATTCAATAACTTGCGCTCAACAAGGGGGTTATTAGCCACTCGTAGCAAGGAGAGTGTATCCATAAATCCAATCCTCTCATCCAGCCTGGTAATGTTATTGCCTGTAAAATCAGCGCTCTTGAGCTTCTTCAAATCCACAAATCCAACGGGAAGTTCAGTCAAGTTGTTGTCTTCAGCCGAAAGAGTCAATAATGACTGCCATGAAGAAAGAGACGGTAGCTTTCTTATACGGTTTATTCCGATGAAAAGGCTATGGAGATTAGGCAGGGACAACTTTTCGTTGTCTGCAAAGATCTCCACAAGATTGTGAGCAATATTCAATGTCTGCAAGGTATCCAAAGAGTTGACAGATGAAGGAATCAGTGTGCCATCGAGCTTGTTTTTGGGAGCACTGAGGGTAATCAAAGGAAGCTTGCTTAAGGCTTCAAATGGGAGAGAGGTCAATTGGTTCTCACCCACTTCCAAAGTTTTCAGGCGAGTCAGCTCGCCCAATTCGGTTGGCAGGAGCGTGATTGCATTTCCTCGTAGGTCCAGAGACTCCAGGTTCCGAAGATTGCCCACAGCTTTAGAAAAAGACCCTTGCAGTTTGTTGTTTGCAAGTTTTAAATCCGAGAGAGACGGGATCTCCATCACAACGCTTAAATCTTCCATCCTCAAGTCATTATTAGAGAGGTTTAGGAAGCGCAATTGATGCAGTCGTCGGAGTCCCAAAGGCAGTGAGCGGAGCACATTACCGTGCAGATCCAGCGATTCAAGGCCTCCGAACTGCGGGCCTCTTTCGTCGCTATCAGGATCGACATCCTCTAAATCCATGTCTGGGAAAACTGCGTCGGCAATTTCGGCCAAGTCGTTATCGGCCGCAATGAACTTGACGAGATCCACATTCTCGAACCAATTATCGGCTTTCTCGGGATCAAACACGTACATAGAGATGACCTCTTCGGGAATTTCAGTCAAAGACAAAGCCGCGATATTCAAAGTGCCGGAGGTGCGTGCGCCATCTACTCGCTTACGAAGCACATTGGCATTCGATCCCTTGGGCAGTTGATTGAAGGGATCCTCAGTATCTATAACATCCCACGAGTTGGCAACTGTTGGTACGTCTGGCCCATCTTCCTTCTTATTCATTGCGGCCGCTTTCTTTGCGGCTTTTGCCCTCGCAATCGTATCTCGCAAGGTGCTCGACGATTTGGAGGCTTTTCTTGACTCGTTCTCTGCCTGCTGCTCTGGGGTGAGATCATCCTGCAAAGAGGAAGCAGCAGAGACATATCGAGAGGTAGTAGAGGGAGACCTAGTGGAAGATGGGGAATCGGCCGGGGTTTTCCTCGTCTTCCGAACTTGTAAAGGTCGCTCCGGAGGGCCCATGCTGGACAATGAAGACTTCGATGAGCTTCTCGGAGAGGGTCGCACGTTTGATTTTGCAACAGTCGTGGGTTTCTTCGGAGTTGCACTCGTATCCGAAGATTTGCTTGGCACAGCAATACTCTGTCTCTTAGGAGGCGGTGGCATCTTCGTAGCGCTGTCATCCGCATCGACAGTACCTCCGGGAAGACCAGAAGATGATGCCACAGACATACGGGACCGAGATGGAAGACGCAGCTTAGAGACCGGCTGTACCAGCAAATCATTGCTGGCTTGGTTGCTCGAAGAGCGCGACGGGGACCGGGAATAGCTGGACACGTTGGATGGGGTGCGCGAGGGAGAACGAATGGGACTCGCGCCATTGAAAAAACTATTCTGCCTCTTCACAGAAACCGGTGAGGGCGGGATACTAGACAGCGTCTCAATTGTCCGTTCTGATAACGAGGGTCGGGTGCGTCCCCGGGTCTCGTACGCGGCGACATCGTCTCTTTTTGCTGGCGGGCTTCCTTCGGGGCTATGTACGTCATCCGGCTCGTTGGCGACTTCTTCTTGCTTTGGCAGCTTTCCGGGTCGCGGTTTTGCAGGCGAGTAATGGGATCTGGGCTTCTGGAGGAGTGATTCGTAGGAAGGCCTACGTAGGCGCCGGTCATCCAAGCCAGGGTCAGCTCGTAACCTTTCGCGAGAAGGAGACGGACGAATTGACTTGGAGGTTGAAGATGTCGGCAAGGGCAGTCGGGAGACTGGGCGCGGAATTCCACTCGAAAGGCGCGAGCCAACTCTGGATTGACCTTCCATGGCTCACGAGCCTTATAGAACGAGGAGCTAGATTCCCGGGGACCGGAAAATAAGCAATGAGAGCGGGAATGGAACCCCAAAGAAAAACTGACGAACACAAATGGTGGGGGGGCCGGCTTAGGGGGGATTTTGGGATGGATCGAGGCCCACTAATGCACAGACGAGTTCATCCCAGGCAACGGAACTTGACGTTGTTTACTTGGGAAATTACGATCATGAAAATCACTCGAATTGGACACGCGGCGCGGCAAGAGCGATAACCGCCTCAGGCAAGAATCCATATCAATGGGGATTTCTTTATCGTTTTCTACTTTGTTCGTCATGGATGAGCAAAGCATAAAATAAACCTTAATAGCACATGATACCAATGGGGCTCCATTTTTCCTCTCGATAGATAGCCTACTGAGCTCCAGAGGGGAACGGCCATGAGGGTCATACTGTGGAATGTATGCGGAGGGGGAGAGAACCCTCGTGGCAAAGATCGTTGTTGTGCTGGGCTGAATTGAGAAGGCTTTTCCAAAGACGTCATGCTCAATCCTTACAATATTAGGGAAACAAGATATCTCCACTGGGCGCTTAAAATAAATACATCTGTCGTCATAGTCTCTTGGGTATTCAAAGAGCTGGGGCTGGATTTGAGTACTAGCGTCGCTTAGCCTACGTTGAAAGAGGGGGTTGACAAGTGGATAAATTGACAAAACCTATGGGGGGGGCACTCCGTACTCTGTGCAGAGAGAAGGCAATCACCACGTACAAACCAAATGGCTGGGTCAGCGCTTCTAGCAAGGAATTACATTAGCAGGACACATGAGAAGAACCATGGACAAGCTTATCCGTTGCCAGCCCAACCTGCAGCTGAGCGATTGTTCACGGCTGTTTACTTGCCCTGAGCGTCCCGTGATCATCCATCTAGCCGCATCAAGAAATGTGGGTCGGTCAGAGAGTTCCTTGATTGGATGTTCCCCATGTACTCCCTCACATGGTTGGTGCAGGCTGGGCACTAAGCCAAGTCCAGAATCAGATCCCCAGCCGCATTTCGCACTGGGCCGTTCCCAGCCTCCCAGCCCCCTCCTCCACGATATCATCCTCCACCTGCCCATCTTAAACCTCATCTCTCTGTTCGTCTCACCCCTACTGTCCCGGTCGTTCTAGTCGTCGCTCCCACCTCTGTCTTTGAAGTCCCTTTATTCCGCGCTCTGTCTCAAATTCCATCTCCGGTATGTATCTGATCGCTTATCACTATTGATCATCCGAATTGACCCCATTCCAGTGTGAGGACCACAGTTCCCCGCGGTTGACCCCTTGCCACTCTTGATCGATCTACTCCGACCATGTCTCAAAATACTCGTCATTCTGAAAGTCCCCCTCGCTGCCCCAGCTGAGATTATCGCCCCGGCAACTCCTGTTCGCCGGGCTACTTTATCGCCCTCTCCAGATCTCAGTGCCGGCATCAAGGCACGATCCTCGCAATCGGACAGGAAGCTCGAGTCCTCACAACCTCTTTCTTCGTCTGATATGACTCCCCCACCCTCTACTCAGATCCCCGGAGCGCCTCTGCGCCGATCGCACTCTCGCTCTATCAGCCCATCTCTCGTCACTCCAGCGAACCTCGATAAGTCGCTGTACGATGCCTATGGGGCATCGGACAATCTTCCAAGCATTGAAGATATTAACAATGCAAATGAAACGCAACTGCGCTCTATCGCCAAAGACCTGTTGGCTGCTGCCCAGGAAGCCCGCATGTCTGCCTTGCACTTCAAGTTGCAAAACAGTCTCGTTTCATTTGCCAGCAATGAGGCTGTAAAGCGTGCCGAGGTCGAGCACCACTTGGCGAAGCGGGAGGTGGAAATCTTGCAAAGCGCTGAATACCGTCGGTCTCGTCCCGTGGAGCCCCTCACTCCCAGACAATCACAGTCGGTATCATCCGAGGATTACTTCAATGCAGTTCAGCGCGCTAAGGAGCTTGAAAATATGAATGCCGTGCTAGACCGTCGTCTTCGACGTGCCAAGCGTGCCATTGATGATGAAACCGCCCGGTCTTCTGAGTTGAAAGAGAAGAATCTCATGTTGAGAAAACGCATCGAAGACAACCGCTCTCATTTCTCTCAATTATACAACTTTGGTTGCCTATCTCCAGGCATGCAAAATGAATTACACAATATATGTCGTGGCGAACCTACGGACGGTCTTGCTACCCTCCTCTTCGCTGGAGAGTTCACCAACCGTATCCAAGAGCCTACGTATAGGGCCCCCACGCTTCCAATGACCCCCAACCGCTCTTCTCAGCGAGAGGAGTATTCGACTCCTCACCAGGGCTCACAGGATCACCGATACGATAGTGATAGCACTGTTTCTCTTTCTGCCCAAGAATCTGAGGAAGAAACTCTGCACCCGCAACATCCCGAGGCTCGGTACACTGCACCCAAGACCAGCACTCTTCTTCAAACAAAGTTGTTTGGGCAGGTCAAGAAACCTGGTGTGGATCGCAGTTCGTCTAACAAGCGCAAGGCTGGTTCCAACGAGACCAGCTCTACACCCAAGAGAGCTAGAAACAGTGGTGGGGTCGGGTTGGGTATTGAAACCTAAAACCAGACATCTTCTCCACTTGACTGTTTTCGCAGTCCTAGAAATGATTCATGAACTAGCGTTGACCTCTTTGCACTTGTGATGACTTGCTTCCCTCGGGGATTTTACGATTAATGAACGTCATGCCCACAAACATTGCGATTTTTTTTTTCTTGCTTTACGTTGATTTTGGTGTACTGCTTTATATTTGGCTTCCTTTTGGATATCCATTATACATTGGGAAATCCCAGGTAGTCCTGTTGCCGGCTATCTTGGTGGCGTTTGGATTCTGCGTCTTACAAAAAAAACTGGATTGGCTGGCTCTCGGTAGGATTGTGTTCGGGACACTTTGAAATGAGTTTGGGAATGCCGATCAGGAAACGGGATATTAGCATCAGATTGCATGCCCGCAAAGCTGTACAATACACATTGAAGCAATCAATTACATGAAACGATCAGCACTAGAACATCCTTTCGTAAATCGGCATTAGCAACACTCTAATCCTGCCAGTCATGGAGACAGCGAGTAACTCATAACTCCTAGCAGCCGGGTGTCGCCCTCTGTCGGTGCAAGTACGAAAGGTGATGTTTGGGCCCGGAAAGTCCAGTTGACCCAGAAACATGCCCCGGTGCCCAGGCGAAATGCGGCTCGCTGACTCAGCCTTCTGCCGTTGCTCTGATTAGTCAGTGGGACGCACCGAATAGGCCTAGTTAGGGCCTCGCTAAACTAGGCGGTGAACCGCAAAGCGGGCCACACGAAAATTGGACACCCGAGACTTTCTTGAAGGCGAGATTTGACCAGCATCCCTCCGACGACCACGCTCGATCCCCATCCGTCACCATGGTGCGTTTCCCCTCGAATATACGATACAGAAGTGAAGGAAGAAATGGAAACGAGTTTATCTCGTCGGTCCTGGGTTACTTTTTGGGGGAGTCGACGGCTGACGAACATCTGTCTTGCGATTTATAGGCGATCAAGCACAACAACCAAATCCAGAAGAACCGTGAGTGACCTTCCACAGCCCTCCAGCGTGGCGCTTCTTTTACTGCCATGAGTATTGCGATTTTGGGGAGTCGATTCAACTAACTGTCTTTTGCAGACTTCCGCAAGGACTGGCAGAAGCGTGTGCGCGTGCACTTCGACCAGGTACGAACTCGAAAACCCTTTCCTTCCCCCTCATCTGGGGTTACCACCCGGCCAATTGAATCAACTCAACGCACCGGATCTGAATTGGACGGCGTCTTCTGCATGGAATGAACTATTGGAACTAACATGGAATTTTTCCGCGATCCACAGCCCGGCCGTAAGCACCGTCGTCGTGAGAACCGTATCGCCAAGGCTGCTGCCGTCGCTCCCCGTCCGGTGGACAAGCTGCGTCCCGTTGTGCGATGCCCTACCGTCAAGTACAACCGCCGTGTCCGTGCCGGCCGTGGTTTCACCCTGGCTGAGCTCAAGGTAAATTTCAACCCTCCATCTTTCATCGACATGATAGCCTTTTTGAACACAGACTCATATCTCTACGTCTACAGGAGGCCGGTATCCCCAAGAAGCTTGCGAACACCGTCGGTATCGCTGTCGACCACCGCCGCACCAACTACTCGAAGGAGTCCCTGGTCGCCAACGTTGCCCGTCTGCAGGACTACAAGGCCCGCCTGATCCTCTTCCCCGCAAGAGCGGTCAGTTCAAGAAGCTCGACTCTTCCGCCGAGGAGGTCAAGGCTGTTAAGGCCGCTACTGCTGACGGCAAGCGTGAGGGTGTCGCCACCCGTGTCGAGGCTGCTTTCCCTATCACCAACCCCGCTGAGGAGCACGCCATTTCCGAGATCAAGCGCAGCGATCTCCCCAAGGGTGAGGAGGCTGCTTACCGCCGCCTGCGTGACGCCCGCGCTGAGGCCCGTCACCGCGGCAAGCGTGAGAAGCGCGCCAAGGCCAAGGCTGAGGAGGAGGCCAACGCTAAGAAATAAGTGTGATAATTTTCTGCTCGTGCTGATGATGATGATCGGGTCGGTTTTCGGATCGGGGATGAGTGTACTGTGGCATGGCGTGGCGCCTCTTCCTTTTCTCCTTTCAAACTGATTCCCTCTTCCCCTCCTACCTAACCCTTTGCCCTTTTTGTCCCTAAAAATGAAAGAACTCGGAAGATCCTCTCGAAATGCAAAACCGCCCAATACTTTTCAAATCTGGTCTTTTATGTTTCTTTTGTTGCTTATGTTTTGGTGTTGGGGACTTGGGACCTGTGGAAAATCTACATGAGACAATCCTCTGATAAGGATGGGTTGATCTTCTTGTGGGTATGAAAAGTATGGTATTGTAAATTGGTTTCAGTTAAGAGTAGGCAAGAGCTACGCCATGGGAAGAATTTTTGCGCCCTCCAACAAATATATTCAGACTCCGTGGTCTCTATTGCTATAATGTACTAGCGGTATCCGTTGACTGGTAGATTGGCTCGAGGGTAGTACACAACTTGGACTCAGGGGCTTAGACTGACTCGAATACGTTTAGAGAACAAAATTTCAAACCACACTTTATCTAACGAGGTTAATGGCTTATCTGAGCTTCAATTTCTAAGCTACCGACTCGAGATCAAGGGCTGCGGCTGCCAGTGGCCGTGAATTGCAAACTGGACATTACTGTACGTAGTGTGGACTGCGGGGAGGTATATATAGCTCCACCCGAGTCCAAATTCAAGATCAGCTTGAACTCGTTTCCTTGCAAAAAATTGAAGAACTCGTGATAGCAATGAAATGTAACAACATCAGTGGAATGTAACTCTAGACACTAATTGATAGTCAATCAAAGCAATCACTGGTGGTACCTGTAAGGCTCTCTGAACAACGTGAACTAGGATGATGATTGACCAATTATCATATTAGTCTGAATCCTATATTCACTTGATAGGAAAAGAAAACTTTCATATTGATTCACGTCAAATCCCAATGCAATGCATCTTCGATCCCCAGCGCCGTCGCTATAGTCAAAGCAGAATTCAATAGGACAACGAAAATCAAGCCCGTGTTTGTAATGCGTCCAATGTAGCTTTCGTGGTGCGGGAAATGGCAACAAGATTGACCTCCCCTGCAATTTTCGAGGTCGAGGTGAGATCGTTTGCGTGCAACATGGTATGAAATAGCTTCTTTGCTTCTTGGTTGACTTTACTGCCCGATCCTCCATTCGCACCTGAAGATGAAACCCCAAGGTCAGGGTCCAATCGTGGCTCTCCAGTCCAGTCGTCCATAGTCAATATGTTAGATAGCAGAATGCTTGGAGCGGTACTGGGCGGGTTCGGTTTTATGATCATCGTACTGCGTTCAAGATGTGGAATTAGTCGCCGGACATCTGCAAGAGAAATCACTCCGGCTTGAGAACCGATCGATGGTTTTTTCCCCGGTTGACTGCCGAAATTCTCATCAATTTGGACCCACAGATGTGCGCGAGCGACACAAGCCTCCCAGTATCGATTTATACCCCAGCAGAGAGTAGCAACATCCAGTTTCAAAAGCGGATTCTCTAGCCGGGAATCTATCCATTGGCGAAGTCCCGTAGGGACTCTCCGTTTCTTGCTGCTGCTACCTGTTGGGACTGACACTGATGTCACACATTGTGTCTCGGGATTTGTTTCATACACAACCGAGACATTATAAAGGGTTGGCGGGAAAGGGCGGGGTGCGGTAAAGGTCAATGTATGGGTTTCGATAATGGCTGCTTTCGATGTAGTCGCGCGATTGATGGTTGTATGAAGGGCGAGAGGAGCGAATACCGTCAGGTAAGGGGCTGAACGAGAAGTTTCTTCAAGGGCGTATGGGTTGGTGGGCAGAGGCGATGCTTCACGATAAGGTAGAGGAATATTGGTTGAGAATGGCAGTAGTCGGCAGATAATCGATGACATTGATGCCCGATTTTGCTTGGGGGCAGGTCGATTTAGATGTGAAGTTTCTTCTGACAGTAGTTCTCTGCATTTTTGTCAGATGAAAATCTACGAGATGATATCAGGCTGAAACTCACAGGAAGTCGTCAAGCTCCTTCGAATCCGTTGCCAAGTCCTCATTCGACTCAACCCTCCCCGTCCATTTCGTCAATTCGGCAACTTCGTTCCTGAGTTGCTGCAATTCAGCTCGGAGGCTCTTTCGTGATTGCTGCTTCTCCAGGATGGCTGCAGATAGCTCTTCTGATTCCGAAAGTACATCGTCTGCATCTTCTGGTACATCTGTCGACCCAAATTTTAAGGCTTTCAATGGGCTTCCCTGCAAGGCTTCTGTAGCCCTCCGTTTCATACGCTTTTCGTGTCTCGCGCTGGGACTACTGCTTAAAATTCCTCTGGGTCGGCCTGGCGCCTTTTCCAATCCAAGTTGGGTTGGCGTTGGAGGAAGATCTGGTTCCAATGGGTCTTCGTCCTCAAAATCGACATCCATCGACCCATCTAGTCCGGCACCGAGACTCATTCCAACACTCGCATTTCTAGTTGCACTCCCTAGTTCCTGAGCCAACTGACCTTCGGGGGTGTTCGAGAGAGGCTCTTCTGCCGGTAGCGTTTGTCTCCTTGCTGGCGATCCGAAGAAGAAGTCGCCGGGTTTAATTTTGTTCGATAATCTCCGCGGCGGTTTCGTAAACGATTGGATACCACTGGGCTTTCGACTGGGAGACAGATGTGGACGTTCCTCGGATAATTGCGACGGGTTTTTCAATGGACTTGAGCTTGCGCCTAATGAGAGTCTGACAGGTCTTCCCCGTATTCCAGCAAGGCTGGTCCTACTTGAAGCTCCTCGCTCCGTTGGGCGATGACCCGGCGATCTGCTGAGTGCGCGTTCGAGGACATCTGGGTAAGCTTTGGCAAGACTTGACCGTGTTGGTGACTGGAAAGAGGGTTGGCGAGCGGAACGTGATCCAGGAGGCTTTGCAGACTGCAAGGTAACGGCTCCCTCGCTCCGTCGGGGGCGTTTTGGTGGCGAATTCATTGTTGAGTCTGGGAAAAATTTACATTTCGCATGTTCTCAGAGCTCGGCGCATCGCATCGCGTGCATAAACAATCAACCCGCGCCCGCATGGAGTTTGGAGTTTGCCGTGTTTGCATCTATGACATAATGCCCCAGTATGTCCAAATCTCGGTCTCGTGTAGGATTTCCTTGTCCTCTTCCGCACATAATGGAAAGCCTCGCGGCAGGCAGGGCACTCACTCAGGAGAGTGAGGGCCTTTTATACTTCTCCCTCCCGTCAGTTTTCACCTTCTGCACCAATCTTTCGGCGGTATGCCTTCAGCACGACTCCACAGCGCATGGATGCTCAGAGCCAACCCGATACCTCCCGTCTCTCTCCAGGCGAGAGTAATGATTCATCTCAAGCATACCCGTTATCTGGATATTACTCTATGATAATGGATTCTCAGCCTCACTACAAAGGCCAAGTATCGACTGCACGAGCGGCCTCCATGCGAGAAGGTAAACCATCAGCATCTATGCAAGAGGCGAAAACGCCCCAAGAAAAGATGGCTATTGTATTCGGGACACGACTCGCTGGCCCAGGTCGTCAATCCCGGTATAATCCTGGGGAAATGCCACCGGAGGCTCAATGGAAAACAATCAATGGTGTCGCAATCCCACCGCGTCCCGAGGAACCCGACAATTGCTGCATGAGTGGCTGTGTACACTGCGTTTGGGACGACTTCCGAGATGAGATGGAGGATTGGGCCGGTCGAGTTGCCCTGGCAAAGGCCAAGGGCGGTCCCTTGAAGGGCACGGCAGACATGCGCGCGGCTCCTCGCGCCGAAGTAGGCTCCGCTAGTCAAAGTATGGATGACGATGGCGGCGGAAGCGATGCAAACTGGTCTCCGCTCAACGAGGACGAAGATCTATTTGGAAATATCCCGGTTGGTATCAGGGAATTCATGAAGACGGAAAAGAAGCTTCGCACCAAACGTCAACAGGCGGAAGCTTCCTAGATCTTCACCGGCTCTTTTCTCTCATTCTTCGTTGATACCCGTGCTATATATCATAGAGTGAAGAAAACATGGTGGAACCTGCGTTATAGAAAGTGCTATGTATATTGATGAGAGAATCATGTATAGATCAATCGTTTTTAGGGTTGAATATGAAACGTTTGTCCGAGTCTCGCGAAATTCGTTGCCTGTCCGGGGAATAGGATGGTGCTTAAACAGGACTAGTCCGACGAGCTACCCATGAAAAAAATATTATTGCTATTGTTATTCTCAAGATAATTTCGAGTTGATGACAAACTTGGCATTCACTGTCCACTTCAAGGCTCGGGTAGGCAGATCAAGCTTCGCTGGATAAGCCATCGGAGACCCTCTTATCTGGGCTGATACGGGATTTTTTTTTTGCCTGCGCTGCACAGCCTTTATTACCGCGCCCTCGACATAAATCAGACCCGGCGCTGGTCTTCTATGTCGGCGCTGATGCTCTTTCCTGGCGCTTCTCCTCGAATTGGTGTCAAAGCCTTCCCATTGGATCCTCCGCAAATCCACGCCTTCCATCCCTCCCCTGCGATGACCGATCCAAGTCTGTTCAATGGCAACAACCGCATCCCTCAGTACACATTTGTCTTCCCCAGCGGTCATGTTCACTCGATATGAGCCAAGTTATAGAGCTCTTCACTGGGCATCTCTGTCAGGCTCTCGAGCGCGGTGCCAAAAGACCAGATGCGCGACTCTCATTCGGAATCGCCGCAGCTTGACATCCTCAGCTCGCAAACACGGAATATCCTCAACCAGCGCTCAATATGATACTACAACGACAAGACCAGAATACGGGGCCATTTTGACCGATTCTTTGTCGCCTTATAATCCTGATGGGCACGGTATGCGCTCCGCCCATATGTCACGACTTGATGATTCGACTGCCAAATCAAGTGACAATTTGCAGAGTATGCACGCCGAACTCATCGAAAATACACTTGCGGAGTTTCCCGAGGCGATTGCGGTATTGAGCCTGCGAACTCTAAATGCTCGGAGTGCAGAGCATTTCCCAGAGGCTTTACAACGCTGGTGCCAAACCAAAAATTTGACACTCCGTCGCCACTTTTCCCGCCAGAAAATCCTGAAAGAAGATGCTACGACCAACATCCCTCTTTGCCGTCTGGTCATCCAAGGGCCCGGTATTGAAGGGGAATTGCAAACATATGGAAATGGGCCAAGCCAGGTACGTTTGAGATGCGGGTTTATATGCCGTTGAATGATCTGGAAATATCCTGACAGTCACCCCCAAAAACAGGCCGTCGCAGCACAAAATTCCAGCATGGCTATGCTTTCTGAATTGGAAAAGAAAGGACAGTGGAATCTTACCCAGAGAGCCATCGCTCTTCGTTTGTCCAGCAGGCGGGAGAGACTCCGCAAGGCTAGAGCGTTACTTGATGATGGATCTATTGAGGCCACCTTTGAGATTTCAGAACCCAGTCCAGGTGTCTATATCTCCCACGCTGTTTTTCGAGTGCCAGTCAATGATAAACTGGAGAGGCATATTCAAACATCTGGATCCACACCAGTACGTATCCCCTTCTATACCCATTCATTGAACGATAAGCCTGACCATCCTGGTGTTTAGCGTGAAGCAAAGCTGATGGCTATATTGCGTTATGTTTCGCATCTGGAGCTGGTACATCAGAAGGACTATTTTGCTCTACTGTTGCAGACTGCCGCAGATAGACGCGCAAGGCAAGCTTTACAAGATTTAATCGAATCATCTGAAAGAAAATCAGTTTCCAATGATGACCTTCAAGCTCTTGGTCAGATGTGGGATCAGAAATGCTTCCGAATCGACCTCCAAGAGACCAAGTCGTCCTGTACGGCCTCACTCGTGTTGCTTCAAAAGAGATACATCCGTCCGAGTCGGCGGTCAAGAAGTATCATTTCCTCTGCCAGTTTTAATGGTCGTAATATGGTGTGTGATGAGTTTCTCCAGCTGGGGGGGCGTATACTGACCACAAAGCAGCGTCAAAATCTTGAAAAGGCAATCCTTGGTCTGATTCCACGTCTAAAGGAGAAATCGGGCCTGTGGGCCATACTTCAGGATCGTGCATCGGAATCTCAGCTCTCCATAACAGACAATCTGCTTCAGGAGATACAATCGGCGCGGGATGATCTGCTTAAAGCAATTGAAAATCTCCCGAATGTTGCGGCGAGCGAAGAATTACCCCAGGGTTATAAAAGAAGTATTTGCAGCCCAGAGTATGAACGAACCAGATCCTCCCAACTCAAACTCGCTTTGCAAGAACGCGAGCGTGATCGCAAGAAACGGAACCCTCAAGCTGAGTTGGAAAAAGACAAGCTCCCTGTCAGCAAGTTCAAAAAAGAGGTCTTGGAGCTAGTCAATGGCAGCCTATTCAGCGTTTTCGCTTCCAAAACTGGCTCTGGAAAATCGACCCAGGTCCCTCAAATTCTCCTGGATGATGCAGCTGCCAGGGGGAAAGGTGGGCAATGCCGTGTCTTGTGTATACAGCCACGGCGGGTAGCAGCCCAGCTCCTGGCCGAACGTGTTGCGAAAGAAAGGAATGAATCTGTTGGGCAGACCGTTGGGTGTATCGTGAGGTTTCATCACCGGGATCCGTACCCTGCTGGTTCGATCACGTATTGCACTACAGGCATTGCGTTGGCCATGCTCGGATCCCGAAGCATGGATTTCCTCGCATACTCTCACATCATCCTCGATGAAGCTCATGTACGTGATGTGGGCATCGATCTCCTGATGATACTTCTGAAGCGGGTTGTTGTTGAATGCCAATCGAAAGGGGTTCCCGTTCCCAAAATTGTGATCATGAGCGCTACGATAGACCTTGACCTTTTCACATCCTATTTCAGCGTCAAAGACTCAGAGGGGAGACTCATCGCTGCTCCTTCTTTATCTCTTCCTGGGAACGCATACAACGTCAAATTCCACTTCCTTGACGATATCCTCGATAGCTTGACCACCACTTTTACGCCGGAAAAATTGGGCGAGCTCATGGAGTCAGACCAGGAATCGACTCAGTGGTATCTCAACGATCATTACAAAAGATTTGATATGGGCCATATGATAGAAGAGCCTGATCTCGAGCATGCCGCTCGTTGGGAAACAAGAAATCTCCCCTACCGTCGATCTCTACCATGAAGAAGGGGCTTGAGCTGGATCCATTGATGCCTTTGGGACTAGTTGCTGCAACAATTCTCCATATCTTGTCTACCACAGAGTCTGGTGCCATTTTGGTGTTTCTCCCAGGCATTTCGAGCATCCGAGCCCTCGATACTTATATCCGGAGAGTTGCCGAACCCCTAGGATTTGACTTATCGAATGAGGACCTGTTCAGGGTCATCATTGCGCATGCCGAATATCCATTGGAAATGGCCAAGATGCGTCTCCCCTATCCAAAAGAATGCAGGAGGATATTCCTATCAACCGATGTAACTGAGGCTTCGGTAACTATTCCGGACGTCAATTATGTGATAGACACCGCAAAACTTCACCGAATCATCCATGACCCTGTTGGCGGGGTTTCTGAAATGACTTGTAGTTGGATCGGAAAGTCCAATGCAACCCAACGAGCTGGCCGAGCTGGCAGAGTTCGCCCTGGAGAGTACTTTTTTCTTGGAACCAAACGACGCTTTGACACACTCCCAGCCTCCATCTCCCCGGAATTTATACGGAGCGATCTGCGAGCAATATGCCTGAAGGCAAAGGTCATTGCCCCCGACATTCCGATTCCAGAGCTTCTTGCACAGAATATTGACCCCCCGGACCCTGTTGATGTGAATGCCTCCATTGAGTCACTGAGGCTCCTCAAGGCGTTGGACAAGGACTCGGAACTCACACCTCTGGGGGGGGCTTCTCTCTCAAATCCCACGTCACCCGTACCTCGGGAAGCTGATTCTTTTGGGGGCTGTCTTTCGCTGTCTGGATCCAATGATAATCCTAGCGATAATGGACGCAAGTTCACCTTTCCACAAGACAGCTGAGGAGTGGGGAGCATTCGACGATCGCACAGGCTTTCTAGGCACTCCCGAAAGTGACCATATTAGCATGATCAAGACGTTCGACATGCTTAGAAAATTGGTACATGAAAAAGGCATTCCAGCGGCCTTGCGTTGCGCCACAGAGAATGGATTGAATGTCCCGAACCTGAGGACGGATTTCTCGCTGGCGCATCAAATTCTTGACCATTTGGCCAAGATGGATATCATCCCAAAGTCTGCTGCCTCACCAGCTGCTTCGGCAAAGAACAAAATCTTCGGTGGACCAGAATTGAATACCAACTCCAATAATGAAGCCCTCATCAAAGCTCTGCTGCTACATTGCCTCCCGCGGATTGCCAGACCACACTCAACCAGCCAAAGATTCCGGACCAAAAACCAAACCGACCTTCGCTTCCCTGTTAGGCTCGCTAGTGTGAAAAATCACTTGAAGCAAGTAATTCACCGCCGACAATTTGCCATTTTCACGTCCTTGTTCCAATCGCCTGATGGCTTGCTCCAACCGAAGAACATCTCTTTCGTGACACCGTTGATGGCATGTCTTTTTGGAAGTAGGCTCGATTGGAGCCAGAACAGGTTGAGGATTGATTCGTGGCTTCCAATCCGCCTTCGACTTGCGGGAACGTCAGTCTCAGAGGAGGAGGCTGCTCATGCGATCACCAGCTTTCGGGAAACTATCGACATGGTGAGAATCTGCCTCCGCCTTCGCATCATTACCGGGGCAGGACTTTATGTAAAATGGATTGACTAACTTGGAGATCTTACTCTAGGCTCTTGACGCTGCATTAAGCACCTTCAGCCCTGAGTTGGCGTTCGAAACAGAAGATCAGCGCAAACAGTTCATTCACCAGCGCTCTCAGCTCTTGGAGAGCTTCCGGAATGCCGTCTGCCGCGTCATCGATGCTGACACCCATCGAATAACTTCTTTCCGACCTCCAGTGAAGTCTCATCCAGCTCCCAACAGAGAAGCAGACCCGGTCACCGCGATTGAAGCTTGACTCGATCCCATAGCGTCCGCTGAATTGCCATAAAGGGCTTGTTTGTGTACGGCTTCGTGGAGCCCAAGAAATCACTTTCCATGTAATATAGGTCTATGTTTATAATATCTGTACAATACCCTCTGCTGATACATGATTCTCTTTGTATCCGTGTTCATACTACTCCCACAAGGAACCTTGTCATTCTATGTTATCTTGCATTTTCTTATATGTTCTGGACGTATGCGATGAGCATTCTGTATACTTGATTGTCTATCGGCCTCTCACCGCCCTCATACTGCCCTTATCGCCAAAAGCTTCGTTTTGGATTTTGAGAGTTGCAACAAAAAGTCTCCTCACGCCAGAAATGGCCGCTTCGAAAAGCGAATCCGATGTGATTCTCAACCGCGCCAATGTTGCGCTTGCCCGCAGCCAGCGTCTCGTCGCCTCATGGCTTCCTGCACCAACCGAAGACGAGCTCGCCAACACCAAGTCCGAAGAAGAGCTCCGGCGCGAGGAAGACGAGATTTTCACCGCAGTTCCCGAGACGTGAGTCATTTCAATTGACTGTACAAGGTTTCTGAATGCTCCTAACTGTTCCTTCTTTTTGTTAATAGACTCGGCGTTGGTGCTCCGCTCCCCGAAAAAGCCGCCGATGGAAGCTGGAACCGCACAGAACTGAGTTCGAATGATAAACTGCGCAAGCAGTTACTTGGCAGGAATTACGATAAAATCATGAAAGCATCCGCGACGAACCCAGCAAATAAGGGCGCAGCGCCGGGCTTTCAAGCAGGGAAAACGGCCCCGTCTGCGGCTCCCACCAATCAAGACGCCGAAAGCGACGATGATGAAGAAGGCCGGACGGCTCTGGTGGGCAAAAAGAGGCGAAGAGTCAGCGCATCGATAGCTTCCAAGGATTCTCAATCGAAGGACCCATCAGAAGAGCAGGAGGGCACCCCTAGTACGAAAAGATGTGCCTGTGCGACAGGCACCTTCTAAGGGGAAAAAGAAGGCGACGAGCTACCTGGATGAGATTCTAGCACAGCGGGCTAACAAGAAAAAGAAGAAGTAAGGTTCTTCTGGATACTTGATTGACTTCAACTACTGCCCGTCACGGCGTCTTTTGAGGGATCCTCGATGAACACAAATCTGTCGGGCCAAGGCCCGTGGTTATGGCGCTATCGCGGTGACTCCTGCTCACCAGACGCTGCCCTCAATGCAATGAGATGAATCAAGATAGGCGTCCTGCAATGGCAAATCCAACAGAGGCAGACTCGAGTGCGCAGAGGTTATATCCATACAAAAAAAGGGTTGTCAGCCGGCTGTTCCTTCCTACAGACATGGTTGGGTGAGACTTGATTAGATTAAATACTAGTATAAACTGTTGCAGACTTAGAATACAGATTTCCATTCTAATCACCTCTAGCTGCCATGTGTATCTTTCATTGTTCCGACTCCTGGGTATATAAGATGCGGCCAAAAATCCAAATATAAACCACGAATGAGCCTTTTTGCCATTTGGAACCGACGGGGATAACCTCGCCTTCCAGTATCCAAAGCATATGAAATGAGAAAAGGGAAACGGTTGTTGAGGGGACGGGGAAGAGACGGGTGAAAGCATCTACAGACTCAAGGAGCTTCAGCACGGCAGTCCAGGCTGCAATTGGTCTTGTAGAGTGAGCGAAGGAGAGGGGGGATTTTCAAGTATACACATCACATTGGATGGAAATGTCAAATGTAGTCAAATCAAATATGGTAACGTAGCGTCTGAACAGTTTTGACGTGTGCTCGTATTTTGCAAAATGGATCAGGAGATGATGGCGCCAACACGGGTACGTTCGAGAGATGTCATAACCAAGTTCCAATTGTCTGTGAATGATCTAATCACTCCAATCGTTTACGCTTGCGATCATCGTTCATCTGCTGGTCCTCATCCGGCCGTTCGGCGGTGTCAGCGGGATTCAAAAGCGAATGAACATTACTAGCCATGCTTGAGCGACGAGTTGCTGGTAATGATGACTCCTGGCGCGGATATCTAGAGCCTCCGATGGCCCATCCGTTGTCGGCACTCAGCATGGATGGAGATGGCTCGGCATTTGCAGGCGGGGTAGCATGTCGTGACTGATCCTGGAGACGTCGGGGGGCGCCCATTTCGTACTGAGCGAGAACATCCCGCACTTGCTGGTCACTCGAGGCGGGTGGACGGTGCGGGGACGAAGGCCAAGCTCCGCCACTGGCGGTATTACCCGGAGGGAAAGGCGAGTTCCCCGGGGGCCAATCATGCTGCCGGATGTCCGCGAAGGTATGCCGACGTCCCAGGTTGGGCCCCGGCGGGGTGGATATAGATAAAGGATGAGGGGTTGGTTGTTGTTGCGCAACCACAGGAGGAGGCTGTGCTCGATTATAATTAGTGGGAGGATTGGGGCCGCCGGTAGAACCGAAACGGCGGGGCGATACGGCGAGATGAGGGGGAACAGGTGGTCGGATCATGGATTGACGGCGGTTGTCGTCTTGTGGTAACTGGCGAGGAGACAGAGGCGGACCGGATTCAACAGTCATGCCTCCGAAAAAAGGCTGGCGAGGGGGCATGAGAGACTCGTGGGATGCCTCCATTGCGCGCACAGCTTCCAAGTGCTTCTCGACTTCTCGTTGCATATTTGAAACTGGAACAAAAACTGTCAGTACCTCTGGGACCAAGATGCAGGAGAGATGGGCGTACTGTCGCGATACAGAGCACTTTCTCTATCAGGTACAACCCCCTGCAGAAAGCGAGAAATAGAGTGTGTCCACTAAACATTGCCCGTTAGAATTGAAGCGGTCATGACGGGTCACGATAGGCATACATGATAGCATTTCACCAATCCCTCGGCCATGCTTTGACATTTTGAGTTGAGAGCGTAGTTGCTTTCCTCGGCGCGAGCCAGGCGGTTATGCATGTCGTAGAGGGTATGCTCAAGATTCAGCAATCTAGCTTCTCCTGCATCTGGGACAGGCTCTGCTGGGGTACCGGGTTGCGATACCGCAGCTTTGTGCCCAGTGAACGAGTCGCGATGGATCAAGGCATGGCGTGAGGCGCGACGTTTGATCTCTCGAAGGCCCACAAGATCGCCCCTCTTGAAATTGCCATTTCCGTGTTTGAATTCCCATAATGCGGAGTCCGGGGAACCGGTATGAAACACATCGCTCACTATATCCATCTCAACAATTGCCCTGGTTTTTCATTCTTTTTTTTTTTCACCGGATGAAAGTACATACCTTTGTGGAATCCATACATGTTCAATTGCCGAACGAAGGAGGAAATATTGGTGTGTTTAAAGTATTGCCTTGGGGGTTGTTAGTATCCTACCAAAAGGTAGGAGGGCCAAAAACAGAATCGAGAATCAAAAAAGCTCCAAGAATGGGAATTACTGACGCTAGAACTTTGGAGAATTCAGACGTTGGCGACATCACAAAGCTGTCATTGGTACTTGACCATGAGATAAGATGCTGGATGCTGGTATCCTCCAGCATACTATTCTAAAGGTAAGCGACCAGTATTTCCGGAGACGGAACCAGGCAACATACTTGTAAAGCTTATGAATGAACGCAGTTTGTACCACTTTGGGCTGCTGAGCGGCGGCGGCGGCCCCAACGGCCGGGTTAGAGGGATTACTCGTGTTCCCAGCGTCGGCGCCATTGGTATTGATGGGGACCCGGTCAGGGTCGGGGCTGCTATGGACAGCCAGGCCGCCGGCGGTGGTGGGCGAAGGGGGGGTGAGCTCCATTTGTCGAGCGTGCTGGGCGGACGATGGAAGAACGGGGAGATTTCGTGTTTTACCGGGCCCGGCGAAGGTATTCCTGGAGGGAGGATCGGCGAGACCACTCATATCGTACGGTCGCAGATGGGAATATATATGGCGTTAACGACAACTAAAGCGGGCAAGGCCAATGAAGCTTCGCGCGGTCGCAAGAGGGTCAGGATCGAGAATCGCGACCGTTGAACCGCTCGTGGCGGGAGAACGTGGGAGGACGGATAATCGCAGGGGCCCAGACTAGGCGCAGATCAACACCCCAAGCATCAAGGCCATGGCGCGGAGGGTCCAGAGAGAGCCGGAAGAGCCAGGAGAGAAGTTCCTGGAGGGAAGGGGGAAGTCGCAGGAGCTTGGTAACGTGGTAGTTGTTCGGGGGGTCCCCTATCAGCTCAAGGGGAGGTGGTGGAGGGAAGTTTTCGAGGAAGCTGAGGGTGAAGAAATGAGTGGAGAAGAAAAGGGGGGGGGGTTCTTTTCTGAGAGCGAGACCTTCTGGGTGACCTGCTCCACTTGGCGATATACTACCCTTCATTTCCCACTAGTTTCTGATGAAACTGGGAGCTTCTTGGGTGGTTCTCTCTGGCTTCCCCAGGCCATGCCTCCTCCATTCCGGGGGCATTCTTGTGTCTTGTATAGATCACTGCCAAATGCCTGCCAGGGGCGCATATCGCCGCATTTTGCCTGGTTTGCCTCTTCCTGCAGGTATGGGACTCGACATACCATCTAGAGCTTGGCAACCCTGGTCCTGTGTTCTGTTCCTTACCTCTACAGCTTCTATCAAGGTTCTAGACGTTCTAGAGTTCCCTGGTCCGGTTTTGGACTCGGAAGAAAAGTCCACGAACATATTCACCCGGAAAAGCTCGCAGTGGTGGTTCTGCAAGCTTCCCCGCTTCCATCAATATATAACCCTGCACCAGTAAGACGGCCACGATCTACGCACCACAAACCGACCCTGTACTAGTAGCTGGTTTGATTTTTTTTTCTTTTCTTTTCAAGAAAAAAAAAAAATAAAGTAAAATAAAACTAGTGGCCAAGAGGCGACTAAGAGTGATGGTCTTGAATGATTCATTACGCGATGCTGATCCTGGCATTGAGTAGATTAATACTAGTAGCCCTTGGGACCTCCAGAGAAGCAACCTGGAGGCACAGGATCCTTCTCGAACTGCTGCCTACGACAAGGAGTATGACTCGTAGTACTGAAGCTTCAAGGGATTCGGCGCGAGGTATGAAGAGCGTTACCTGTATCTACTCGTACAGCCCAAAAAAAATTGGAAGACAAGAGCACCGTGACTCCTCAACCGCTCAGTAGGAGCAGGTTCTTCTGCCTCACTCTTCATCGAATCTCCAAATCTCCATGACACCTGAAGACCGATGGAAGATGCCAAGAAAGTTCTCATTCCCAAAGAACCGGCTACCCTCATTCCAATCGCCATGGGGAAGATTCTTGGACAAGCGAGACCGATCCGAAGCGCTCAGTACGTTCAGTACATTGTTCTGGCTCATGTAATAGAAAAGCCCCATACCTACATAATGGCAGAACGGCGCATTGGGTGGCAAATCTTTTCTTTCGTCGGGCCATATCATATTGGAGGTCTTGCTGGCCGACCATACGGCCGTGTCTAAGGCTCTGGTTTCGGCTATACCTGATTCCCACTCCCAGCTAACCATGCTGTCGTTGCGGGAAGGTTTCTCAGCAACCATCACATTCGAGCCGTTGACTCGCACGTCAGTAAAAGATGCAGAAGGTAGGCGAAAGGATCTGTACTCATGGGAGACGATACTCCACACATGACAATGTCCCCGGTTTGAGACCGCGGCCACCAATGCTTCTGACATAGCAGGAGAGTGCAGGCTTTCACGGTTTTCGGAGCATAAGTCGGAACGTTCCCCATTTTTCGCATCGAAGAGAGATATGATTGTGCGGTCATTGGAGCGATGCCATGCTGCGACGCCATTGAAAGTGCAGTCCATCCATAGGCTGTCATCAAGGTGTATCATTCGCGCATCTGCCGGTGGCATTATTCTGCATCGGGATCTGGAAACAGGGTCTCCGCGCTCGATTCGAACCCTTTGTCGAATGAGCTTGTTCAGGTCCACAGTAATTTCTCCCGGATCGAAAGCAGCTTTGATCGCAGCGGCCTTGACCTCTGCCGAGGAGAGAATTTGCCTCCATCGGCGCGAGACTCTCTGATTCTTGATAATGTCCACTAACGGGAGGTTTCCCGCGACAAGTGCGACAAGCTCGATGGGCAGTTTTCCTAGTATATCGCAATATGATCTTTCACGGGTGCGAGCTTTAACGCTCATCCATTCTGACGAGTCCAGCCCGTCAAGGATACCATGGATTCTGTGAGTGTAAGTACCTCTTCGACTTGGACTATCCTGGTATTTCCGGAACATACACCGCGCGACGTTCTGTTCGAGGGAGACCGCGGAAACAGGTCAGAATGGCCTCCACGTCTGAGTCAGACATGACATTTTCCAGGGCTTGACCCAGGGGTGGGTGTCCAGGACCAAGAGGAATATTTGCCGTGGAAGTTGATGTGTTTCGGGAGGTTCCGTTGGATTCGAACCCAAACCTTGGGAGAGGCTGATGGGATGCACGACTGTCGGGCGGGGAAGGGCTGTTGGGAGAGTTGCAAGGTTTTCGCGAGAATCCAGGTCTGTGTTCTCACCACGAATTTCCCAAACCACCGCCTTTTGGGTTGTGCCTGTTACAAGGTCTATTCGGCTATCCACTTCAGAGCCTGAGAGCCTTTCTGGTCTACGGCCTCGTACAAAAGAATACATCAAATTTCATATCGCCTTCCAATTAGGAAATGATCTAGAAAGGTCATAGAAACACTCAAAGAATACAGTGACAAAAGAAAATTAAATGACACAGTAAAAGGTGCCGCAGCTTCCGACATGCTTTGATTAAAGTGTGTTCTGCGGCGTACCTGCGGGCTCCCCATGCATGTCGCTCTTCTCTATAAGGTCAGGGCTCCACCCATTTAGATACCCAGGGTGAACTCAACGCCAACATCAATCTCACGGGCCATCTTGACGACCTTGGAGAACTGGACGGACTTCTCAGCAGCGTTCTGGAGGTCCTCAATGGAGAAGATCTTCAGGCCGGACTCGTTGATCTAAAAAGCAGTGGTCAGCAAAATGCGCCATTACATGACAAGGAGATAGAACGAATAGAGCTTACCAGCTTGTGAGCTTGCTCCATGTTGGTACCCTGCAGACGGGCAATGATGGGGGTGCGCAGGCCCATCTCGTTGACAACGTTGATCAGACCCTGAGCGATGGCGTCACAGCGGACGATACCACCGAAGATGTTGACAAAGACAGCAGACACCTTGGGATCGCTGGTGATGAGCTCGAAAGCGCTCTTGATAGCGGCGGGGGTCGCACCACCACCAACGTCAAGGAAGTTGGCAGGGTTTCCACCGTTCAGCTTAATGATATCCATGGTAGCCATGGCGAGACCGGCACCGTTGACTGTCCTTCTATCAGTATTGACTTCTCACCATATGACACTTCAGGGATGGAGAGGCGATGCTTACCCAGGCAGCCAATGTCACCGTCGAGCTTGATGAAGTTCAGGCCGTGCCTAGACAAGGTTAGAACAGGGCGATCTAAATTTCCCATCTGAGATGTATTATGGTCACTCACTCGGCAGCCTTGACCTCATCGGCATCCTCCTGGGTGGTATCGCGCCACGAGAAGACCTCCTTCTGACGGAACTCAGCGTTCTCGTCGAAGCCGAGCTTAGCGTCCATGGCGAGGACCTGGTGGTCGGAGGTCTCGGAGAGAGGGTTGATCTCCAGTTGAGTAGCATCCTTCTCCATGAAGACACGGTAGAGGTTCTGGATGGTGGTCTTGGCATCCTCGATGCACTGCTCCGAGAAGCCAAGGTCGGTGGCGATGGTGCGGGCCATCTCATCGGTGACACCGACGTTGATATCGACCTTGGTAGTGATGATAGCCTCGGGGTTCTCCTTGGCGACAGTCTCAATGTCCATACCACCCTGCGAGGAGGCGACGATAACGGGGCTCTGGGTAGCACGGTCCATAAGGACAGCAAGGTAGAACTCGCGGCGGGCAAACTTGCGCTCGACGATGTACACAGCATTGCAAGGGCGACCAGCAGCACCAGTCTGCTTGGTGATAAGCTTGTGGCCGATCATCTGCTCGGCGAACATCTTGGCTTCGGTAGGACTGGAGGAGAGAATGTTAAAACCTGTCATCATCTATTGGATCGACCATGCTCGACTCACGAGTAGATCACCCGGACACCACCCTTCAGACCGTTGTCGAAGTGACCCTTTCCACGGCCACCGGCGAGGACCTGAGCCTTGATGACCAAGTCATCGTTACCTAGGAACCTATAGTTCAGCAGGGCGCGACGAACCCGGGGGGGTAATCAGCATCATGGCTTACCGATAGACTTGGCCACCGCCTCAGCCTCTTCAGGGGTACGAGCAACCTCGCCCTTGGGGACACCGACGCCATACTATCCTCTTTCATCAATATTTTGAAACTCGTTGATTCTCGCCCAAAAGAAAGGGAGGCGACCGAGGCAAAAGCGGGCGACGCGGCACATACCGACTTAAGCAGGTTCGCGGACAGGTACTCGTGGATGGACAGGTTACGCTTCTGCTGCTGAGCCAAGCTAGGGCGGATGGAGGACTCCTGGACGTTGTGTCGACGAGGTCAGTTCGAGGACTTATGTTGACAACAACCGAGCACCGGACCGATAACACGGCATCGCGAGAACTTACTGTAGCGGCGCGGAGGGCCGCAGCGATTGGGCGACTGCGAGCGAGCTTGAACATTATGAATAGGAGGAGAGGAGAGCGTAGAATGAAAGACGAAGGAGTGGGGAGTTGAAGAAGGAGCCCTTGCAGTAGAAACGACTTGGTGTCGGGGATGAACAGCTTTCTCGATTTTCGTTCGGGATGGACATTGCACGTCGCGGTAAAACCGGGTCACCGCAGCCAACCAGCGTGCGCGGCTAGCTGAGTCAGCTGCCCTGTCTCTCTGCCGGGCGCAAATACTCCGGCCATTATGTACAATAAACCCCTTCCTTTACAGAAGATTCATTCCTCTAGCTACGTCTGATTTGGTTCAGCTTGAACGCCTTGCTCATATACCACCCCATAAGGCCAAACCAGGTAAACCCGCCAGACAATATGTATATCAGCCAAGCCCCACGGCCTGCCCAGATATAATGCTTGTTTCCTTGTGCCCAAGGCCATAGCCATCGCCATGGAGCAGATCCCCAGAGAATTTCGGGCACCACCTTTCGGGCGTACTCTTCACTCGTCCAGGAGCCGGCTTGGCTATGCACGACCCGGCGTTGATAGGAATCTTCGATGTCTGCGTAAAGAGAGTCTGCCTTCAATGTACGCTCGGTGCGTGCAATGCGAGATTTGATACCCCCGGTGACAATGGTAGTGACTTTGACTCTGTTGCAGCATCGTTAGTGTGACTGCTCGATGGGGTGAGAAGAGAACCCCGGGGGTGCTGCAGATACTGACCCGTAGGGTGCTAGTTCGATCCGAAGCGAGTCGCTGAAAGCATGTAGTGCTGCTTTGGACGCGTTGTAGACCGACCCAAAGACATAAGGAAGAACCTGCATATGATTAGTCTCTGAGATCACATTTGAATTTGAACCGGTCGGGATCGTGGACGAACAGCGGTGACTGAGCCAATCTGCACGATCGTCCCCTTAGCCTTGATCAAGAGAGGGGCAAACGTCTGGCATATCGCGATGACGGCAAAGAAATTAGTCTCGAATGTCTGGCGAGCCTCTGTCAGGTCGACTTCCAGTGCAGGAACCGTCAAGTCTAAGAAGCGTCAGTCCGGATACCCCGGCCTTGGGTGTAGGCAAGCATCGACGTACTGCGACCGCTATCGATGTCCGTCAGATATGGGAGCCACTGGGTAGATGTAGATGTATATGAACGTACGCATTGTTGACCAGGTAATCAAGACCCTTATCGCCCAGGCGTGACTCGATCTCCGCATGGCAAGCCTTGATGCTCTCCGGATCATCGACGACGAGGGTGAGAGTTTCAATTCCAAGTTCAGCCAAGTCAGATATCGCGTCCGCCGTTCGGGCGGACGCCAGTACGCGTAATCCATTACGATGGAACTCTCGCGCGAGGGCATTCCCGATGCCACCCGGCGAGCACCTGCGACGAGTCAGCCGCAACAGCCGATTCATTGGGGGCCCAATTTCAACATACCCGGTGATCAAAACGGACTTGCGGGTATCTGTCACTCCCGGCATGGTCGCTTGTGCGGTGGGTGAAAGTCCAACGTGAAAAAGTTCCGAGTGCTACAATGCGACAATTGCTCGATTGTCACGGGGCCCAAGAGAGGCGGCTGACTGACCAGTTAGGATCTACATTCTTTCGATTGGTCTACAGTACAAAGGATATAATAAACTGGATCGAACCCTCCTCTTATGCAAATCCTGTTCTGCAAGACCAGCCGTTCGCATTAGGAAATCCCAGCACGCATTGGCTCCAATGGTTACACGTCCTCGCCTTGTGGGCCTGCCGGCTAACTTGCCGGCTCCTGAGGGGAATTGCCTCCCGCGTAATGCCCCCCCGACAGAACTCCCTGATCTGCCTGCAAATGAACTGCGGACAATCCCTGAGTACTTATTGCGATCGTTACCGGGGCCAGAGACACCGGATCCAAAGGTTGGACTCATCTAGGTGACGGGGATGAGGAGACTCATCCGGCTGTCTCTTCGTCTTGCGTACTCACTATGCAATCCAATTTCCCGGTGCCCAGGCATCTGAGAAATCCTGGAGAGGAGGGATATAGAACCCCTACTATCGAGGATGCAGAGCGTACGCTTTCGATGTTTGGTGCTGGGGAAAGTCCAAGCAGCGTCGCGCGCGACTTTCATACAACCGCGCTGGAAGCTGCTGTTCAAAGAGGCTCGTCCCGGGCAACAAGCCATGAAGAACGCAAAGAGCACCGCAGTGATGCGGACCGAAATGGTACAGGAGTTCATCGCACCGTCACTGAATCGTCTGCCCCTACTCTTGGGTGGAAAAAGCGAATACGCCACGTTACCTGGGCATACTTCACACTAACCATGGCCACGGGTGGTCTTGCCAATGTTCTATATGAAGGTATCCCAACCCATGCTGTACGCCATCTTTTATTATATTGATGATTCATAGTTCCATTCCGCTTCCACGGCTTGGAGACCATTGGCGTAGTCGCCTTCTTGCTCAATATTGTTCTTTATCTATGCATTTGGGCTCTACTACTGGCTAGGTTTTACTATTACCCCTATACTTTCAAAGCGTCTTTTCTGCATCCGACGGAATCCCTGTTCATCCCATCATCGGTGGTTTCTTTTGGGACAATCTTGATCAACATATCTCAGTACGGCCCTGGAAAAGCAGGCCCTTGGCTGGTCGAAGCTGTTGGCATCATGTTCTGGATCGATTGCGTACTGGCCATTCTGTTCTCCGCAGGAATCTATCTTATACTGTAAGTTGGAAGCATCAACTCCTTCAGGCCGCCATTGGATCGCTCACTCCCCTCAGGTGGTCCACACAGACTTTCACCATAGCACAAATGACCCCAATATGGATCTTTCCAGCCTACCCGATGCTCATCATCGGCCCACATGCTGGCATTTTGGTGGCCAAGCTCGAGCCCTCACGCTCCCTTCGCATCCTCGTCGGAGGGACGACGATCCAAGGAGTTGGGTTTTTGGTCTCTTTGATGGTATACTCTGCTTTCATCTACCGACTCATGACCCAAAAGCTCCCTAAGGAGAACATGCGACCAGGCATGTTCGTTTCTGTAGGACCGAGCGGCTTTACCGTTGCCGGCCTAGTCAATATGGCCGCACAGGCGCATCGGTGCTTTCCTGCTGACTTCATGGGTAATGGGCCGCTGGCAGCAGAGGTGTTGAAGGTGACGGTTAACTTCTCTGCGCTGTCGCTGTGGGGGTATGTACTCCGGTGAAATACTAGTACACTAGTAGATGTGTTAAGTCAAGCTTGCTAACGTGCAGCAGAATAGCAATATTCTTCTTCATCATTGCCACGGCTGCGCATTGGTCAGCCGTCGCTGGCCCTAAATCGACTAGTATTTTCCATGACGTGGTTTTCTTTCGTGTTTCCTAATACTGCGCTGATCACGGCGACATTCGCGATCGGGAAAGCATTTTCTTGCAAGCCCATCAACATTGTTGGATGCGTCGCGGTCTTCCCTTTGTTTATAATGTATTTCTTTGTGTGCTATCGAATGATCCGTGCCGTCGTGAAACACCAAATCCTCTGGCCTCAGAAGGGAGAAGACCGAAATGAGGGTGGGTTTGAGGTTCAGGAATTGAATCCTGATCCACAGACCTCGGAGGAAAGCACAATCGTCTGAAAGGTCCTCGAGCGTTCCATGATTATATATTCCTTACTAAAACTCTACTTAATGAGATCCACTTACTTTGATCCAGAAAGATCCCTCGTAAACTCGGACAAGGCATATACTCAACTTCATAGAGGCCATATTCATTCAGTCTTGGCTGGCATATCTATTCTCATATCACATCCCGTGCGCAATTCGGTCTCCTAAGTATTCTGAATATTCTGCAGTCGAGAAGCGTATCCCTTTGCCATTCTTTCCAGCGTCTCTCGATAGTTCGCGGGGAGTGATCCGGGCTGTCACCCAATTAGTATGCATGAAAAATCATACAGTGAACGTTTGAGCTCACCTCGTTCTTCAACAGCTCCTGTACAAGAACAAAAGCATTATCTTGGTCTTTCTCCATTTGGGAAAGGTCTTTCGCTTCGGTCTCTTCGGTGGCTGGGGCATATCCGCTCAGTGTTTCCTCAAGAAGCTTCCTCGTATTCTCATCGTCAAATACGTTCACGACAGCAGCGCAGCCGGCTGGAGTATTCGCCATCAAGGCAAGTGCAAACCAGCCCTCACTTCGTACAACAGGCCACTGCGTTTGAGTAATCATTGCCCCCACTGGACGGGCGACTCTCGGGTGCAAGCTGAATAACCTGTCCAGTGATGTAACTGCCTTGGGATTGCCCTCCCGAGCCTTTGGTATAGCTGTTCGACAGATAGAGGCAATCGTGCGGCCAATTTCGGTCTTAATCGGTGCGGAGTCTGATTTTTCGAAAAGGGCCAAGAGTAAAGATAGATATGTCTGCTCATCGGATCCTTCCGATGGGGCGAGCAGTTGCGAAATGTTGTCCACTGATGAAATGATGATCTGGCGTGCTATACTTGCTGCGGCAAATTGGACCTGGGGAACAGTTTCGAACTCCCACAGGCGTGATATGGCGAAGATGCCCGCCTCTACCAGCTTCGTCCGGTTATCGCCAGCAATAGCAAGATTTTTCAAGAAACCTAGGGAGGCATGCAGAACTGCGCCCCGTGAGTTTCCCTTGAGCACAGCAATCAGCTCTTCATGTATCTTGAGATCCTGTACCATCACCTGGCAGACCTCATCGGACCGAGCGAGGTTACCAAGCATTACACAACCGCAAATTTGAAGCTGGTCCTCATCGGCGACGACCCAGGTCTTGAGCTTTTGGCAGAGAGGTGAGTCAAGGGGATACTCTTCGGAAAAGAGAGGAGACGCTGAGGTTTCCGCAAGAGCTTGGTTGATCTTCAGGCGGAGCTGAGTTATAGCCTGAACATCTTCTTTGGAAGAGAGGTCGACCTCGATGGTGAATGACCCCTGAAGGATTTTCAAAACTTTATCAACCAGATGATGTGATATGCAGACTCTCTGGAATTTTTCTTTCTCCAAGTACGTAGCAAGACAATTCGCCAGCGGAGAGAAATGCTCGAATTCCAAATTGGGATTCGAGGCATTCTCTATCAAGAGACATGTGATGCCATCCGGAGAATTCTCGACAGCTTGTGCTGACCTCTAATTTAGCGATACCCAAACATTGTATATAAAGATTTACATACCTTGCTCGGATGCTAGCTCAATCAAATCGCATGAGAAGCCCAGAAGGGATGCGTATTCGTCAAGAAAGCCATCCCTGAGAAGCTTCGACAGGATATAAGCAGTTTGATTTTCTGCTATTTGAGCATGCGCAGGCTCTTTCCAAGCCGTCAGTAATGAGTTGAGAAGAAAGGATAATAGGTTGTTCGAAGTCTCACCAAAATCCATGCAGATGTTGTAGATCACTGGAATGGCGACCTGAATCAATTCCGGGTTCACGAAATGGCGGAGAATAGCCAACGTGTAGTTGCCTTCCACGACAACTTTGCGGTTCTCATCTGTATCAGCGCAGGAGTTGCCTGCCAGGCGCAAGGAGTGCAATAATATTTCTGTTCCCACAGATGACGTACTGGATATCACATCCAAGAAAAACTTGAGGATCCCCGACTGTCCAATCGAAGCTCTCCATAAAGCTTTGACATTGTCAGCAAGAACGGCTCTCATATAATTACATCGATATGCTCACGCTCTCGACTTTTGTTGGCTAGGACTTCGGCCGCTTGAACCAGAAGATCCGAGCCACATGCCCACAGTTGATTGAGGAGATTCGGTATATCCTCCAGGGAGCTCGGCTCCGCTGATAATCCATCTTGAATGGATGAAAGCATCGCAGTTTGCTTCGATGGATCTAGACTTTCTGAGCCTCTTAAAGGCAGCGAGGTGGGGATGCCTGGAAGCCTGGCTAGCACTTCATCCACCGAGGGCAAGTCAAACGACGTGCCAGAGGATGCAGGCTTCTCTCCCAAACCCCGGGGATCCAATCCCATCTTAGAAGACGCCATTGTATCCTCTTTCTCGTTTGATCAGAGCCAAGTCTCGACGGCTTGGACGGAAGCTTTTCACCCTCGAGAAGCGACTTAGCACCGCAACAATGTGGAGATTGATGCCTTATATGCAAGGCATCCACACGAGCTGCAGAGTGGAGAATCAGGAGGGAGTAGGTATACTGGTCGGTGAGATAGATGAGACTCTGGGGATGAAGCAATTTAAAGAAACCTGGAGTCGATCGCATAACCATGTGATGCCACTATCCATCATATAGGGGATCATCATCGCGCACGATCTCCGGGGATCAAGTTCTCGATCAAAACGTAACGCGATTCCGCCTTCGGGAGAGCCAAGTGGTTTGTTGGCCGCACTTCTCCCTCCATCCCTCATTCTCTCCTTGATTCTGTGCATCCAATTGGATCGGGTCGTCTGATTCGGTTGTCCTCTCCTTTATCCTTCGTATTCACAACGAGACTTATCCCTGTCCACATTTCATCATGACGCGCGCTCAGCAGACGCTCTCCGTTCTCCTTCTCGTTTCCTCCGTACGTCGCGAGTTCAACCCTCCCAAACTGGATCGAAGATATATCGCAAATCAACCAAGAACTGCATACTGATATCTTATAGCTGTACCTATCTCTCTATCTTGGCCTGGTTCCCTTGAACGAGACCATCCAGACCGAGATCATCCCTGTGGTATGCCGTAATCCTCCAACACGGACGCAGAACCCCTGCGTCTCTCCAAGCTATAATACTGATAATGCGAACCACGAGCAGCTTCCGTTCTGGGGAATCATTGTCTTCGGATGCTACCTCCTCGGCCGTCTCGGTATTGCGATTTTCACCTTCAACGATGTGCCCGAAGCCCACGCCGAGCTACAGAAGGAGATTGAACAAGCCAAGATCGAGCTGCGCCAGGGCAAGGTTGATGTTGACTAAATTTGTGTCGGAAGAACATTCATACGGGGGGAACGCCATGCATAACCACTGCACCACCTAATCGAGGCCATTTACGTGGACCCTGCAATACGCAGGAGGATTGGACCATCCTCCAGTCGCAGCGGGCCATTCTGAAATATCATGCTTGTTCATTGCTACTCTATGCGTCAATCCATTTTCACTTGATACCCTTTGAGCAATGCGCCACTTTATCTCTGAAGAGCTCCTCTTTTTTTATTCTTCTCTTCTAGAGTTGATCATGTTTATCGTAACATTATTATCCGGGTCTAGTGAAGCGCCAGGAGTCTTTTTTTTTTCTGGCTCTAAATGCCAACTGCGTACCGAAAGCGCCACGGAGGATTTTCACCTCTATGCAACACCGGTCCAAGAGTCTCAAACAAGCGGGTTCTCCTTGGCGAGGCGGTCGTGCTCGTCAATGTCCCTGTATGACATTAGATTCTTGCTTACGCAACTGCAGGAAAGGGCTGACGAGAAACATACTTAGCTTCCCAGGGATAGCAGATCCAAACATCGTCGGTGGTGACCGAGGCGTGGTAGCGACCACCCTCCATCATGTCGGTAGGCAGCACACCCTTCTTCTGTTTGTTCTTGTTCTATTGGACAAGGTCAGTAAGGAACTTCGAATATCAAAAGAATTGCTAGCGCGAAGGTTGACTCACGTGCAGAACAAAGATGAAAAAGTTGGTCTTTTCGCCCTCACGGCCAAGCTGCTTCTGAGCAATCTGTACGTCCTTCTCCAACTCGCGCACGGCGTACTCCAAAGTGGTACGGGTGTCGTCAACCTCGTCCACAATTAGGATATTCTTGCCAATCAGGTTGGCCATCTCCAGTGAACTCAAGTCCAGCCATTGTGTGCGGGTCACCTTAGTTCCGGGGACCTCCTCGGCGTCACCGCGGCCGAGGTCCTCGTAGAGGGACAACCCGATCGCCTGGATGGGGATGTTGGGGTCGCCAGGGCGCTTGAGGAAAGATCTGTGAGGGGAAATAACCGATTAGAAACATGCTCCGAGTTCTTTCGGGATCTGCTTTACCCAAAGGCACAGGTATCTTAGCAGGCGTTAGATGGAGGCTTACCGGAGAATGCGCGCAGGAACATAGCCGCCACCGCCGATCGCGATCATCAGGTTAGGGTGGAACTCCTTCAAGATCGACTCTGCCGAAGTCTGACAGAGCTTGTGCACCTAATCACAAGGTTAGATGCCACCTGTTCAGCAATGACCAGACGACGTTTACAGCACGAGAGATCCCTGAAGAGGGTCGCCGAGTGTGACTTGATCGTCGGCCTGGGAAGTATGGGGCACGAGATCCCGTACCTGATTGTAAGTGACATAGACTTTCTGAGGCATCTTGGCGGTTGAGGACAGGGCTAGGCCTTTGAAATACTGAGGGTGAGATGCTGACCGGGTGGGGTCAGATTGCCTTGCCGAAGGGAAAGGAGAGTAAGGACTCCAAAAAGAAGAGGGATCTCTAAATGGATCTTGCGCCCACGAAAAAAAAAGAAGAGAAAAAATTGGGGGGCAAGCGTTGTTATCGGGCGCGGGGCGCTTATCGCCGAGTACCGCATACATTTGACAGCTACCGGCTATGGGGAAACCAACTATATGTCTTCAATTGCCACGCATTCTTAAAGCCTAGAACATAGCCTTGATCACATAATGGATGGTATAGGAAGTAGCGTCAAGAAGGATCTGATTTAATTAAGGGTAGCCCCGCTTAGGTGTACCATGAAGGCGCGGGGTACTCATGCAGGAGCGCATACCGTCCCTGTTCCCGATTCTTATACGCCACGGGATCATGCAGGGTGTGTGTGCGGATGTCGCGCCAGAACCGATCAAGTCCCACCTTCAACGAGGTTGCGCGGGCTCCAGTGACTTCGAATACTCCAGAGGTCACGCGGAGTCCAGTGTCAGTTGTGACTACCTTGACACTAGCGACCCACTCGGCCAATTCTCCACGCGCTTCGGCTGTGAGAGCGGCTCGGTTGGCGCCGTACTGGTTATACACTTCGGACGCCTTCTCGCCAGCCCGGTCGGCTAAGGCTTCCGCAGCCCGCAGGTGAGCGAAAAAGTTGCCGTATCTCTCGAGGACGTAGAATTCTTCAGTGGCGGAGTCCTTGTTGTCTCCGCCAAAGGGCCAGGCACGGGTGTGCTGCTTGGTGTATTTCGCGGCAAACTCGAGCGCACCGATGCCAATACCCAAGTAGAAGTTGCTGAACACAAGCTGAATACTAAAATGGCCAATCGGGTTAGCTACTGCGATACCATTACTTCTCGTAGGAGGCGGAACCTACGTTGGTAACAACAGAGAAGCAAAAGGAATCTGTAAAATATCGTCCCTGGGCTTCTTGGTACTAGGGTCCCAGCCGAGAGCATCGCTCCAGGGAGCTCGAACATTCTCGATCTTGACACCACCAGACTCGGTCAGCCGCAGACCGATGTTGTGCCAATTGTGGGCGAACTTGATTCCAGGCTGCACGGTTGGCACGAGGGCAAAGATATGACCATCGGTGCCCTCCAGGACACCTTCAAGGACTGTTAGGTCAGAGACGACACCACCGGTGTTGAAGAACTTTTGGCCATTGAACACGATATGGTCCCCTTCTGCAGTGATTTTCAGATCGCTGTCGCGCGGGTTTACAGCTCCGCCGACAAAATAATTGTTCTTGATGATCGTCTCGTGAGTGCGTTCGATTTGTTCGGGGGTCCCAACCACATTAGCAGTGGTCGACCAGAGAAGGTGATAGCCCAGAAGCATTCCAATTGAGCTTTCCAAGGATATATTAGCGAATATCTCCCACATCACCCCTGGCTCGATCTTTGACTTACCCGTCTGCCTTCGCGACTTCGCGAATAGTCTGGTAACCTACCGACCAAGGCTGTTCGCCACCACCATACTTCTTAGGCCCAAGGACCTTAAGCAAGCCAGAGTGCTTGAGAAGCGCAACCTCGGCGCGTGGTGACTTGTTCTCTTGGTCCCGTTGAGCGGCGTCCTGTGCCAGGACGTCGGCTACCTCGCGCGCCCGAGCTAACCACGCATCTGCAGTGTCCGGGAGCGCAGCCCATTTCGCTTGATAGGAAGCATACACCGCGGGGTCTGTAGCTGGGATACTGCTTGCCATTCTGAGGGAATTTTTTTTTTTGCTTTGGTTCAGGGTTGTATAGGGTTCGAGCTCTGTCCATGCGGGCAGAGGTGGCTTATATCTCGTACTTGGCGATCACACCTTTCCATCGACCTAAATGATGCCATGTGGTGTGATAGGTGTGCTACCAGCTAGCTGCTCCCAGTAGGGCGTTAACTCGGCCGACATGTATTGCAAACGCTTCGTCACTTTCGTGGCCGATGTCGTTATTTGATCGACGCGAATACAGATCGTCCCCGCCGGAGAGGTGGAGCACGAGCACGTCTTCGAGGGGACTGCCCAGCTAGACCAGACTCTAAAAATTACGAGATTTGCGCTAAACGGACGGTCGCCCAATTTTTGTGCATATTGTGCAGATCATGGCATTATTGACCCCTAGGGAAGTCCTCAGCTACTATATCGAGTTTGTCGCTCCACTCAGCCCCATTATCTTCTCCCGGTTCGTATTTACTGCGATGGGGCAGGACCCTTAGCACGCAATCTACTGAGCCCTGTGCCTCTTCTTCTTTGCGAAATATTGCGACGTGTCGCCCAGTGGGATGTCCAGAAGTGAGTCCTGAAGAAGCAGATGGAACACAATGTACCAGCCTATCAACCCGGCCAGAAAGCAAAAGACGCCCCCGGATTTCTTCAGAGCCAGCGAAGATGCAGCGTGGCCATCTGCTAGGGCAAAGTAGCTTGCAGCAACCATCAAGAATCCCAAGTCCACAAACAAGAACACCAAGATGTACGCAATGTTGCTGGGCAGCGATGCGATGAGGAATGTGAATACGAACACCGTCCACAGGATCATAAAGAAGCCCACCGCATTATTATACTCTGCAGTACTGCTTCCACCATATGCCTGAGCGACCCCAAAAGCCGGTGTCAGGATAGCGCCAAAGCCCGCGTAGAAAAGACCTATGGCGCGCGGATAAGCATGGGCGGAGGACGTGATCTAGATCTTCAATTTGCAAGCCCTTACCAAAAGCACTGAAAACCGTATACGAAAATCCGTTGCCAATTGACAGTTCCCATTGGGCGGTGATCACGAGCCCAAAGGCTGCGATGAAGAAGAAGTTGGCGACAAAGACGTTCTCGGTGGTCACGCCGCGCCATTCCATCAAACTCAGCGAGAGAGTCGTCAGGGTCGTTCCGAAAGCCCCCAAGGCCAGCGCAGACTAGAAGTAATTCCATAGATCAGCCACGGGCGCCCCCTTGCCATTATCATACTAGTGACTTACCCCGGCACCAAGAGACTTGGGAGCCTCATACAAAACATGAGGTACATCGCTCTGTCGCTCGAGATCGAGCGGAGCAGCTTTCTCGCCGCCATTGGCGCCGTCGTGAGACCCTGAAGACATCCTGCAGGACTCGAAGTGGAAAGACAAGAGACAAGAGCGAGAGGAAACCCTTCAAGTTGGACTTCGTTCAGGGCCGTGCGTGATATTATATACGTCGCTCCACCAAGCAACCTATCGCATCATAGCTGAGTTTCATCGCATCAAACTCCCTTGGGCCCGCGACAGAGCCATTCCCTATTACTGTGCCGTGAGGGATCTACATGTTCATGCGCTGCTCTAGTCGAACCAGGGGATCGTGTCGGCCTTAGCAAGTAGGAGCCCCGGATGCTCCACTTGATCGGCAGAGAGAAGAGGGCTTGTGGGGTATGCTAATGAGGCCATCCGCTACACGATGAGGTGCTTGGGCTTGGTCTTCAATCCTAGAATGGTGCATCTCCCCCACTGTTCCATTCTATGATTTCATGCGATCCCATCTTTAAGCTTAAAGTTTTCGGCCGAGAGCCTGGCCAACTCGAGTAAATCGGGCCTCGCCCATTAGCTGTCTACTTTCGTAGACTTACCTACGAATTGGAGGACCCTTTCGAATCTGCTAGCTCCAAAGTCATAGTATTCGAACGAGAAAGCGTGGGCTTGCCTTCTTATATATGCTTCCTGGGTACGGTTTAGAGTCTTTACTTTCTGAACTATTGATGCGGTTCTTGAGAAGCTTCAAAATGAGATTGAACTAGTGCGAATATGTGCGAATACCAAAAAAAATGATGCGTATATACTTCTACTATTGGTATCTGATCGACACCGAGTCGGACCCCGAGGGCTAGCGCGTGTCTCGACAAACCCTCTCCTGTGCATAGGCCCGATACCGGTCCACAAGGTCGGTCGCGTCTAGGCCGGACGCGCCCTGAGAGGCCGAGTAGTGCGACGCTAATCCCTTCCCATCGATGGTGATACGAGGCTTGTTCCCATCTGCATCTGTCCAGCTCCGAAGGAGTTCTTCGCTGCCCAATTCATGCTCGAAGATACGGCGGAGAACGCCTGCGTCTTTGCCCCAGAAGCATCCGAAGTTCTTGCTGGTGGGCTCGGCCGGGTCGACCCATAAAGGGAATTTGTAGCGAGCGAGATCCTTGGACTCTAGATGGCGTAGGAAAGAATAATGCTGCTGCGCTGCGACTGTCCAGTCGGTCATATTGGGTCCAAGCTGGGTGTAGATGGAGGCTGATATGGGGTCCCGATCCGATCGAGGTTCCGCCGGCAATAACCAGCGGTGGCCCTCAAAGGGAGGCTGGAATCCCTTTCGCACCCGGAAGCTTGCAGGTCCTTCCCAAGTAGGAAGACTGGAGGCTCGCCAATCATGACGAAGTTGGGATTTAGAACGGGATGGCTGCTCGACGTGGTATAGTTCTGGAAGGTAAGGAAGAGCAACCCCGGGGTGACTGTGAAGTGCGGCTAAGGCTCCTTCATTGATGACGTTGGCAGAGACCATCAAGGTGTCAGGATTGTCGAGTTTAGTCTTCACGATCGTGGGGATTGTATGATCTTCCATAAACACAGTATCACCGTCGATACGGATATACATGTTATCACCATGCGCGATCTTCCAATCCATCTCATGGCCTGAAGGAGCAATGGCATATTCTTCGGTCCTAGAAACGATCGAATACAGCCATTCCAGACTGGCTTTATCGTCGGTCTGAGGAATGAAGACTACTTTGTCAAGAAATCCATGATTCTGGACCAGGTTTCTCTTGGGGAATACGTTAGGATGGCAATTTGATGAACGGTGGAAGAAGTATCCAACTTACTCGCAAGTAACAGTCCAGAATCTCTGTACGCTCAAAGTAGGTGAAAGGCACCAAAGCGATGATCTGGAAACCATCAGGCTTGGGGAAGTACCCTGCGCCTTGGGAAAATGCAAAGAATGGAGACACTTCTTTGTTGAAGAGCAACGCGACCGGGTTCACGGGCAGCAGAGACGGATGAAAGTAGCCCACAATGATCAGGATGAGACACATGTATCCAACTGTGCTCCCTATCACTATGGATGCCCAGTCACGCCACACCGAGCGCGTCTGGCCCTCGTGCGACTCGACGTCCCGAATCTCTGAAATACGACCCATGATGAGCAATCCACAAGCCAGTGGGGGTGAGGGCGATTCTGCAGCACAAGACTGGTTGAAGTTACATTGGGCAGGTCGGGGCTCTTTAATTCTACAAGACTAGTAATCGCCATCGCTCAATGAAGTCTTAGATCCCCGTTTGCGGGGGACAACAATCCCCCGTGGCCAGATGCTGCCAGTTCAAAACGGCCAGACAGATCAGCGATCTGCCATCCATTGGAAGAGTCAGTGCATCGAAGCTACCGGGTTCAGCACTAGTAACACATGTCGTAAGGGATCCAAGAAGAATGTGGACTGGAATGTGGAGACGTGCTGGCGTCTGAATCCGGAAGTCTTCGAGGATCACCTCAATGGGAATGATCGGCTGTGATTGTAGGCGAAACCCAAAATAAAATCAATACAATGCTGAGTCCGTCTCCTGTCTGAATTCGCCAGAACTATTTTAACACGAGACGTTTATAGTCTGGTTCCCTTCGGTAACCTGGTTACCAAATTGGTCAGTCCCCTTTGTTCCAGCGACAGCTCCAATCTTGACATGAAGAGAAGTGGAGTGAAGCTGCCATTCGACTGACAGAGCTTGCCCCGAGCCAGTTGCAAATCTTGGAACTGTGCGCTGGCACTGTGAAGCCCCATGTCAATGCTGCAGCTGGTGCCGAAATCCAAATTTTGTATCTAAAGCCTCCAGGGCCGTTCGCTGGACGCAGCCCTGCCGCCCATTCTGTCAGGAACGTATGCCGCAGCTCTTCCCCATGGGTGATTGAAGCTGGTAAACAAACCCAGTCCAGGCAAGCCACCTTGATCAAGATCTGTCCAACTTGCCGCGGTGGATGTAGCGTCATTTCCGAATCCATCTTTCCACCCTTCGGGCAGCATAGCTCCCCAGAGTGAGTGCAGAAGACCACGGGCGGCAGCGGTAGCATTACCCATGAACAGGACAGCAGTATGGACCGTTTACGTTTGGAGAGATATTAGTGCTGGGATCGGCACTGCTGGCACTGTTGTCATCCTTATAACCTGGACCGAGCTTCAGCTGCTTTGAGGGTCTGAGACGAGGTTGCCCGAGAAGCTTGAGTCAAGCTGGTAGCCCCAGATGTGATGCAAAATCTAATTCCAGCCGCGCTGTAATCTGTTTTTTGAAATGGAATTAAGGAGGATACCCCAACTTGTTCGTTCCATGCGGAGGATTCTCCGCCTCCGAATGTGGAGACGTCTTAGCAGGTCATCTTGGACTTGGGGCATGCTAGTGTATACTAGCCGTATGGCTATTTTAACCAATCTTGCTTCCAATTGGGGACGATTCATTCCTGGCACTCCTGTATGCTTCGAAACAACAGAACCCATACTCCAGGGATCAATGACCCAGAAGGAGAGCATAGTCAACAACGCAATATGGACTTGCGCGCTTAGAACTTACTCAGCCAAGGCCCCGAAACCATCACATCCTTGTATCCAAGCAATATTGATCCTATTACCAAGTATGATTACCAAGTATGATGACGGGATCACACAGATGATTCCGTATACTTGATGACGTCACCTACACGTGCGTGTTATCAGGTTATCGTTCCGGAATCGCGCCGCGGCCCATCCTCCTCGTCTTGGGTCCTCTGAGTCCTCTCCATGCCAAATCAACCATGAGGGCGGTCCTCCTTGGCCGTTTCTGCCTTAGACGTGGGCTCCAGCGCCAGCCCCAGCGTTTCTTTTCACCATGGCGTACACCCTCCAAACTCTCCGCGCCACGGCGAACTCCCATAATCGGTGGGGTTCTCGTAGCAGCATTGGCGCCGGCGGCCTTTCTGAAACTAGTGGAGGACTCCGATGGGAAGACCGGTGAAATGCAAATGTTAGAGGCCTCCCGAGAAGAAATCCGGAGAACCGTGTCGCCAGATGCTAGAGGGCTCTCGCGACTTTGGCAGTCATTTTCGATTTTCTTCTATCATTATGTCTACGACCCCATTGCGACTGGTTTCCGGTTCTTACACCTAGTGGTGATATTTGCTCCTGTCATTGTGACGGTGCCAGCAATTTGGATTGGAAGCTCGGTGGGGACTGTGGATGGGACGCGCTCGGGGACGTTGTGGTGGTATCGATTCCTGGTGAAAGCCATGGAGCGTGCAGGGCCGGCGTTTATCAAGGTAACTAGACCGTATCTGAGCCCTGCAATCCTCTGCAACCATTCTAATATACAGCGATTCCCAGCTGGGCCAATGGGCAGCATCGCGTACGGATATCTTCCCGCCCGAAATGTGCACTGTCATGTCTTCCCTCCATTCACACGCCCCGGCCCATTCCCTCCATGAGACTAAGCGCATCATCCGGAAAGCATTCAACGGAATACCGTTTGAGGATATCTTTGAGGAATTCCAGGAGACACCTCTGGGTGTTGGAGCCATCGCACAGGTCTACAAGGCCAAACTAAAGCCGAGTCTGGCTGGGACCTACCAGGAACTGGGCCAGGAACCTGTGACATTGAGCGAGAAGATGCGGAAGAATGTGGACGTCTTGGTCAAAAGCTCGCCACAGCGAGTGCCTTCCTCTTATGTGGCGATCAAAGTCTTACACCCACGGGTCGAGAAAGTCATCCACCGGGACTTGCGCATCATGCATTTCTTCGCCTCCTTGATCAATGCTATTCCAACAATGCATTGGCTCTCGTTTCCCGATGAGGTCCAGCAATTTGGCGAAATGATGAAGCTCCAACTAGATCTCCGCATCGAAGGCGCGAACTTGGTCAGATTCCGTGAAAAGTTCAAGTCTCGGTCCACGGCCTGGTTCCCATATCCATACCTGGACTATACCACTCGTGAAGTTCTCGTCGAGGAATTCGCCCAAGGAATCCCGCTCGCCACTTTCTTAGATATCGGCGGCGGCGTCTATCAGCGTGAGATCGCCAACGAGGGTCTTGACGCTTTTCTGCACATGCTGCTGATTGACAACTTTGTCCACGCAGACCTGCATCCGGGCAACATCATGGTCCGCTTTTACCAGCCAAGCGAGCTCGACCTGTCTCTACAGAAGAATTCGCGGGCCACTGATGCTCCAACCCGAGCAGAAGTGGATGTAACAGAAGCCGTGCTCGCGAGACTGCGGCCTTATAGCGGAAACAAAGATGCTTGGGATGCAGCTCTAGCGCAACTGAATGACGAGGGCTACCGCCCGCAGCTCATTTTCATCGACACTGGTCTTTGTACAGAGTTGAATGAGACCAATCGGCGAAATTTCTTAGATCTTTTCAGAGCCATCGCGGAATTCGATGGTTACAGAGCTGGACAACTGATGGTCGAACGATGCCGAACTCCTCAGGAGGTGATCGACCCCGAGATATTTGCACTCAAAATGCAGCACCTTGTGCTGAGCATCAAGTCACGTACGTTTGCCTTAGGGAACATCAAGATCGGCGATGTGCTCAGCGAGGTTCTCACCATGGTTCGAAGCCACCACGTTCGCTTCGAGGGAGACTTTGTTAATGTGGTAATCTCGTGTCTTCTTCTGGAGGGGATTGGGCGCAGCCTGAACCCCGACCTCGATCTTTTCAAGAGGTAAGCCACCATATCGATCTGTGATTCGCAGAGTAGAACTAACCGATTTCCCTTAGCGCGCTTCCCATCCTACGACAGCTCGGCTCGGGCTCTACCTTCTTGCAAACTGTGCTCTCGGGCGATACTTCAATGCTTCGTGTCTGGGTTGGCTTGGAAGCTCGAGGATGGCTGCAGGCCAGCGTTGAAAGTGTGGAGCACTGCGTCAAATATGACCAACTCTCCCCCGAACATCTGAGTTTCCTTTGATGCATAGACCGCTTCTCTCTCTGAAAGCTTTTACCCTGGTTTGACAATTCTTTGATCACGTTTGCATAGAACAACTGGCCTACATGTACATACTTTTTCCCCGCATACGATACACGTAATCAATATCTCTAGTCGAATACGACACGGCCACCGAAACGCTGCTCATTTAAGCCAGACATCACTTCCATTATCATATGCGGGGGCGAGTAATCCAATAAGCGCAGGAAAAGAATAAGAACACAGTTTGGAGAAGTCGAAATGAAAAGCAACCGCAATCTCATGAAGTTGTACACAGTGAAAGCAACTGAAAATAGCGCCATATCCATGCCAGATCTAAAATGTACAGGTATGAGTGGAGAAGGCCATAAGAAGCCAGATACAAACAAGAAAAAGAAAAAATTAGGAGCGGTTCTGTTCCCGAACAGAGCCCCCACTGGCGCGCCACCAGACATCACCGCCCCATCGCATCAATCGTTCAACAGCAGCGCTAGGGGAATCTAAGGCAGGACGAATGTCAAGGTAAAAGACGGGTTCGCCTGTTGGCTCTGGAGGGCCCGAGTAGTAATCGATCACATAACGTACTTGCTTTGGACCCGCGGGGGTCTGTCGTTGAACGTACCAGTCATGACGGTCGAAAGGCGGTTTTGTTCTACGAGCAGAGGTTAGTTTATCACAAGACCTGAGAGGCGGCTTGTATCGGTTGCACATACTCGAATTGTGAGGGATAGATCCATCCCAAGGTCTGCAGGATCCGAGCCTTAGGAGTGAGCTCCTTTGGTCGACCCTGGAAGCGAATGAGACGTGGCTCAGATGCTGGATCGACAGCACCGGTCATCTCCGCTTTGTATAGATCGTAGCTGAGATTTTCCTCGCCTCGACGGCACTTCTCCCATCCTGGCAGGAGGCCCTTTGCGAAGGTGCGCTCCCACCGGACGATCTCGTTCCAGGCACCTTCATTCAAGAAGTTGTGAACGGCCACCATAGCCTCCACCGCATCTTGAGGGGTGTCCGTGTGGCCCTTGCGCAGCATCGCATTGTACATCTGCTGAGGTGATGGGTATTCCCAGTTTTGGTCGGAATCGCCCCGTGGGATAGTAGATATTTCGCGCTCGACGCCAAGGTCCACAGTCTGGTTGGGCGCGCGTTCCTGCGAGAGAGATGCGAACATGAAGTTCAGCGGATTCAGCTTGGACAGGGTCGATGAGGATTTGGCCGGCGCGGCGGGCTCTGGAGTAGGTGGAGAGGCTGATTTTGGTGGAACATAGAAGGGGGAATCGGTTGATCGGTTCATGGGGCAGGCGCTTGGAGGCGCTGCAGTTACAGGCGCTGCAGATGAGCCAGAGCCAGGCTCGTGCATCGGGCATCCTGGCTGTCAATACCGGTCAGTCGCGGCTGCGAGAAGTGTATCTCATCTTTTGAGCGTACCGGAATAGCTGCATTCGGGGACGTTGGATGAGGTGCCACTGGGGCCTTTGGCTGTGAGTCTGCCCAAAACCAACCCATCTTTCTTTGTCTCTGCGTCAAAAGGGTAATATCACCCAGGTAATGTCACCAAACAACGATATAGTAGCAAAACCAAATGACCTCGCGATAAAAGACCGGAGCAAAAATCGCGCCGTTGACTAAGCACAAGATAACTAGTCAATTCAGGGCACGTGATTCTTCTGGTGCCGGGTGGTGCCGAAGTATAGAAATGGATATTGGGACGGAGAAAAGAGTTGGAACCAAAAGAGACCAAGAAACGACGCTCCAATGATTCGGGAATCGCGCCCTCTCAATAAATCTTACACCACAGTAACAATACATCGCCTTGTAAGAGGACCTTAGTCTAGCAATTAATCAAGTCATGATATCGCATCTCCAGGGACCACGAATCCAGCCATTGCCTCATCCCAAATGATTTGCCAGCTAGGACCTTGAGCTTCCGGTATGAAGTAGTAGTCTGTTAGGATTCGAGATACCTGTTCCCAGGATTGCCAGCCACATAGCATGGCAACGTGGGCCAGCCGCTCCACAAACAATCGTCGCTCGGGGTGACCGAGTGAACCCTGAGCCCCAATGAACAAGGACCAGGCATAGAGCCCGGTATTTTCTTTTGGCAGCTCCATAAGCAGACTAATCTTGAATCTGCGTACTTCCTTAACAAGGTGTTTTGTTAGAGCTCGGCCAAGGCCCGAGGAAGGAGGTGACACGATTAAGAGGTGGTTCAGAAAGCATATAGATGCCACACGCGTGACAGATTCAATAGGATGGATTTCAAGATCAGGTTCGGGGGTTTGAGAAGACTCCGAATCATCGGTATAGATGTAACTGAGCAATTGGTGTTCAGCCTCGCAGTTCAGGAGGTGAATGAAGTCATGGTCACGTTGCTCAATGGCCTGGGGCGCTGCTCGGAGAGTAATACTGTAGAAAATCATGTCTTGGATTACAGTCAAGATACGTAGGAGTGGTTGACTAAGAAGAGTATTGGCCCAGAATCCAGATCCAATTCTCCGAATCGGGGATGAAGCAGGTGGCCTAATTCGCTGTTGGATATCGGCGGGGACGGGTTGTGCATCCCAAGTCAAGGGGAAGACAGGTTTGGTCATGAGTCCAGTACCTGCTTTTACATCGCTCCTAAGGAAGAGATTAGATTCGGATAGTTTGGCGGATCGTTTGGGTCAGAACCCGGAGCAAGGGCCATACGTTAGAATTGCAGATAGCATCGATGATCTGCGAATACTTTCGTCTGCAATGCCTCCTCGGAGGTCCACCATGTGTTTGAGGCCAGTCAAGTGGATACGAGCTTCATCAAATTGGCCCGCAATCAACTTTGTTGCGAAGACTTAGTCAAGGGGAACCTACTAGGGTTGAGAATATGCAGGAGCACGTACTGATCCGGTTAGGAGGTTCACAATGGTATCAAATGCCTCATCAGTTAAGGCCAGTGCAGGATCTCGCACTTTGACATTCATTTCACGTATAGACTTGCCCTTCATGACACAGTAGTCTTGGTCATTGGCAACCAAATCAGTCGCAACTGTCCTATCCGAGGGACCTACCCCCAAGGCAGCTCGATGTGCAGCGCACATGGTCATCAAACCAAAGAAGCTTCCGGGATCCGAGAAAGAAGATCTGACCATCAACTCAAGTTCTGGTATCTGTGAGTTCTTCAGGCCACTTGGGAATGTCATCGGAACAAAGGTGTTCTTCCCTGCATCCGTGTTAGCTATTGTGATAAAGCGGGAAATTTGTAGTACCACTGCCACGTACAATAGTAAACCAAGGTACCGACAGTCATGGGTAGCTCCCCCGACCCGGGCAGAGAGCAGAATGGATCGCAGAACCATGCTGTCGGCAAGGAATATGGACTAGGATTCCAATGAAAGACTAATGGGTGAGTGGTCCAGCGTGACGGGCGGCGCCGGTGCTTGGAGGTAGACAGGGAGGCGGTCGAACTAGAGCCTACGGGCGAAAATGAAGACTGAGAAGAAGAATATCTGAGAACCAGACATTGCTCTTCTGGTACCTCGTCTTTGCATTTGGACTTCGTGGCTGAGTTCTGGCCGCGGTTCTCACGCCTGGATGTCCGTTTAGTTCCTGCGAGCCGCTCCCGCCGTCGCACATCGCGCATCACGTGGGAGCGAATAGCCTTGCGAGCATTGATATCCTTGATTCGTTTCGAGGTTAAGTCGTCATCATGGTCGATGAAAGTGAATGACGGGCGATCTGGCGCCGGAGCAGGTCTCGAAGGGGGTTCTGTGACCGAGGAATTAGCACGGATCCTTTATATTTATTGTGGTATCTGCTGTCCGCGCGTCTTGATTCGACCAGCCTGCCCCTGGAGGGGGGTGATCGCGGGCTAAAGGAGTGGACTCCCATTTGCTCTCTCGGAAGCCTCGAACATCGCACAGATGCATGGGGATTGGTGGGTCTTGCGGCTAGGGAAGGTACGGGAGACTTGAGCACGAACCTGAATCGGAAGGTCGAGCACCCAACGGCTGCAGATGACGATCCATCTCTTAGGCCCGCAGGCCAGTGCGAGGGGAGAAATGATCTTCAACCAAGCCAATATAGTTGGGGATAGCGGGTGGGGTTGGGAAAGATGACGGGATCGAGGAAGAATAAGGAGTAGTTTACGTTTGTCGATGCGGGGGGAGCATGGGAGCACCAGCCCCATTCAGATCCGCAACCATAATTTATCAACTAGGGGCGACCCGGCAGTAATTGTGTGACCGACTGCCCAATTTCACCTCTGGAGAACAGGAATAAAAGAGTGTGGCATTAATCATGTACACTAACAAGGTGGGGGAAAATAAGCTCCTTGAATCCATCAGTAGAATAAAGAGAAAAAAAAAAGAGAGCCAACAAACCCATCTTATATGCGCCCGAAGATGCCGCCAATAGATCAAGTGCGTCAGAAGGGAAACACGCGCCACCCTGAACAAGAAAAGGAGAGAGAGGAGAAGCATAGACGCTTCACTCTTACGAGTCGCTTCATCCCTGAACGTCACTCACAAGTCGTGAGAGTAACGCATACCCAAGAAGCACCGCTAACCCGATCCAGACCCTATTACGGCGGGCCCATCCTTGGCCGGCTTCCCGAGCTACATGGCCTCCCTCCATTACTGCTCCAAGTCCAGGGGTGCTTCCATTTGGACGTCGACGGAGAGCACTGGTTTCCGGTGAGCATTTAGTAGGGGCGTTGGGATCGGGTAGGATCTGGCCCGTGTGGGTGTCGATGCGATGCTCCTTCATCCACGCCCAGTTCTGTTGGTCTAACTCAGGCCATTCCGTACGGAACTTTAGTCCTCCATCGCCAGCCTTCACATTATTGATTCCCTTTGAGGTTCGCGCGACCCCAGGCGTGGCAACGACATGCGATCCGCCCCCGGTGGAGTTCCACCATCGAGATCGTGCAGCAAACACTCGGCGCTCCGCCTCTGACGCACTAACACTTCCCGTCGTCATTTCCTCGCTCGTCATGAATGACAGCAACCCAATCAAGATCGTTGAAACCTCCCAGGCGGGGTTGAAAGACTTGGGGTGGAAATCACTGATGCTCAAACAAAGCCGTGTAGAAGGTTGAAATCGACCGCTGGGGGTGTGCATGCGAATCGCTGGCGGCGCAAAGGGATACTCGGGAGGGAATATCAAAGTACCCCAATATTGGCCATTCTCGTAAGGAGTCCCGGGAGGCCCAGTTAGGATATAGTGCCACCTAAAGACAATGAGTTCAAGCGCATGAAGTAGTCATCTCGTGAGCGAGAACATACTCAAGAATGTTAGACTCTGAAGGATGAGCGATGATAAATGGAGGCGGGTTCTTCTGGATGTTTTGGTATTCGCGAGTAAGCTGCGCAGGACGTCAGTTTGCGCTGTATCAGGCTTCTGGATATAAGTGTTGTCCTTACCCGCTTGAAGGCTGCCTTTGTTGCCATCTTGGCTGCAGAGAGGGCAGCTAGAAAGATTCGTCGTCTGTTGGGTGATATGAAGACTCTCTCGAGTTTTACAAAGGAGCCCGGAAAATAAGGGTCACAGTCAGAGTAGATTTCTAGACCGAGACGTTAAACAATAGATGGAGACGATTTGCGGCGAATAGGACCGAGTCACGTGGGGGCCTCGACTTCCGCGGCAAACGAATCGGGGCATGCGACGTGACGCTGTTCTGAACGTTCGCAAGCGTCGTGCCATTGCAGCTGCTACAATGGCTTCGCCTTTATCTTCTGGAGATGATGGTGTATGCACTAGCCCTCGAGCTTCTTTTGTGTCCTATATCAAACTAATCTCTACCTAGATTTTCGAGCGCCTGCAGCAGCGCCAGGACCCGAAGGTCGCCGAAGAGCAGCAGAATGCCCTGAACGAGCGAACCCAAGCGATCCTCCAGAAAGCTCAATCGCATCTCTCCTTTCTGGTATGTCATGAGCAGCTTGAAACAAGTCGGTTCCTGTTTTGTTCTATTCCATTCTATTTTTGTCTCAGACACCTTTCATGGTTTACAGAAGCTCTTGGGATACTCCGCTAACCGCATGTTTCTAAACAGATCGACCAAAACTCAACCCTACCTTGTACCGTGTCCTCCGTCCAAGTCGTCAGCGCTCCAAACACTCGCAGAGGCTTCTTAAACCACATCGTCAGCCCACTTTTGCAGGCTAAGGACCGTCCCCAAACTTTATCCGATATCTTGCGGGAAGTGTCGGCTACTGCAGACACCTTGGGAAAATTTGGTCCGTATCTCCAACACTCTATCGTGCAATTGCATGGTATTTGTTTATTTCTAACTTTCTTCTAGATCTGTTCCAGCAGCCGATTTCTGTTCACCTCGATGCCTCCAACAGCAACGGCTTAGACGACCTTCGCAATGTCGATGTAATTTTCGCAGCTCGGGAGAAAAGCCGTGTGCTTCTCAAGACTGGAACCGATCTCGGCAATGCAGAAGGCTCAGCTTATGGCAACCTCCTGTGGCGCAATGTATTCGGTGGTGCTGAAACATTGAATGTGAACGCTTCCATGGGCACTCGCACACGATCTGCTTATCAGGCCGCCTTTGAAACCCCACTCTTTTACGATCCGAACTTCCGTTTCGAACTCGGAGGAATTGCCAGTGCGACCCAAAAGTCGTGGGCAAGCCACGAAGAAGTGCTGAAGGGAGGCTGGGGCAAGCTTCGGTGGTTGTCTCAATCTGGTCATCACCACGAATTGAGCTACAGCGGTGCTTGGCGACAGATCACCGGTCTCGGCGAGAACGCATCTCCTTCTGTGCGGGCTGATGCAGGTGATAGTGTGAAGAGCAGTGTGTCGCACAGCTGGGTAAACGATAAGCGGGATAATCCCATGTTGCCCGCACGGGGTTACTACGCGAAGGCCTTCAATGAGCTTGCCGGATGGGGTCCATTGAAGGGAGATGTCTCTTTTTGGAAGTCAGAAATTGAAACACAGGGTGCTGTCCCAATCCCTATTCCAGGAATCAAAGGGGACAGTGGCATCAGCCTGACCACTGGTTTCCGCGCCGGCATTCTGTACCCGCTAGGAGTGGACTCGAAGCCTCAGCCCCAGCTTTCTCGTATCAATGATCGATTCCTTCTTGGTGGTCCTACTGATGTACGTGGGTTCCGCCTATGCGGCTTGGGTCCTCGCGAGGGGTCTGATGCGCTCGGCGGTGATGTTTATGCTGCCGGAAGCGCAAACCTTCTGCTTCCACTGCCCCGTCTGGGCGCCGAGAAGCCAGTTCGATTGCAAGCCTTTGTGAATGGGGGACGACTCCTGCCGCTACAAACATCCCAGAATAAACCTCCCGCCACTAGTGGAGAAGTCCAAGATGCAATGATCTCAACTCTCTCAGAGCTGCAGAACGGCCTGCCTAGTGTTGCAGCTGGCCTGGGTCTCGTGTACGCCCACCCGGTCGCTCGGTTTGAACTCAACTTCTCCTTACCAATTGCTATTCGTAAGGGCGAAGAGGGTCGTAAGGGTCTTCAGCTAGGGATTGGCATCAATTTCCTTTAGACAATACGTGTATCTTACTAGTTTAGCGGTCTCAACAGCTCAAATTCTCTCTCTTCAGCTCAGTCTTGGACATGCCCGACATAATCACTGAATCTTACAATAATACAATTGTCAATAAACTCGTTATCGTTGGACTACTAATCGCATTGTAGATGTATGGGAACGTACCAGTATTCGACTCGGATCTCCAGGGGGAGGAGAGTGGGTGAGCCTATACTATAGAAGGAGTGAAGAAGCCATTAGATATCAAGCTCTTCGGATGTTTTAGGGAAATGACCTTATATCCTTTCTATCTTTCTTCAAAGTGTCCAGGGCTCCAGGGTTGCCCAGGTGCACATTGCGGGGCTGAGTCAGCGGCCCTTATGACCGCCAAATGGACACATCGGAGCTTCCAAGCTCCCTCAAATTCCACATTAAGACGATTGCATTACGTCCTACGCTCTCGGATCTGTTGCAGCAACTGTTCCCTGTGCCATATCTTGGCCATGGCTCAATATTACCCCCAACAGCCCCAGCAGGGCTATGCGCCCCAAGGTTCTGCGCAGAACCTCCAGTTCTTCCCCTCTTCCTACGGCTCGGTCTCCGGCCACACAACGCCATCGCAAGCGTCCTATGGCGCAGGTTTTGGCAGCACCTCCAATCCAGCAACAGCACAGGCCTATCCATCCGGTGGATATGGTGGGTTTGGATCTCCCAGTGCAGGTGTGAGTGGGAGAATGGGAGATCAAGGTGGCTTGCGGACAGGCTGGTTGGCTGCGTTTGGAACGGAGGGCTACGATGGAGAGCCCCCATTATTGGAGGAGCTAGGTGTCAATTTCGAGCATATTCGTACCAAGGTGAGATACCAGCTTGCAAGTAATCTGAAGGAGAGGGCCGTATAATGCTGTTGAGTACTAAACATGTTGACAAACATGTTCGCTTGCAACATTATGCGTCTGCTTTGTCTGAATCCTGCGGCATTAAGAACCAGCAACTAATGTTCTTTTCTTTTCCAAACTCAAGACTCTCACCGTCCTCAACCCATTTGCATCCATCGACAACCACCTGATGGATGACAGCGATCTCTATGGTGCTCTCCTATACATCGTACTTTACGGCACCTTCCTCCTCCTCTCTGGCAAGGTCTTCTACGGTTACATCTATGGTGTTGCTGTATTTGGCACTGTTGCACTACATTTAATCCTCAGTCTTATGTCGCCAGCTCTCGACGCCGCATCCACTCCCAATGCCGCCGACCCTACCAACTACAACCCTCATCACAAACCATCCGTGTCCGGGTCCTCAGTCGCTGGACATTTCTCTGCAACCCTGACCTTTCCCCGCTCTGCCAGTGTTCTGGGTTACTGTTTCCTTCCTCTTGTGCTCACCAGTCTCATTGGTATCCTGATCCCCATGGACACATTGTTTGGATATCTTCTGACCACCGCTGCGGTGGGCTGGTGCACCTACAGCTCGTCTGGGATGTTTTGCGCTGTGGCTCGTATGAGTGGAATGCGCGGTTTGGTGGCTTATCCATTGGCTCTGTTCTATGTTGTCTTCGGTATCATGGGCATCTTCTCTTCACGGGGCACAGGCACCCTCGCAGCGAGGACTGGTGCTGCTGCTTAGATTAAAAGGCACTCCAACTTTATCATTGAGCCCTATGTGTGATGGATTCTTCATTCTGCCTGCTAGTAGGCGTCCCTACTGTCGAGCTGTTCAGTGTTGTATTCCCCAGTAACCAAAAGTTTGGTAGGGATATTTGAAGGGGACCAGAAGCCCCCCCCTGACTGCTCCATTTGCATTTTAATCATGAATATTACGAGATTCAGCCTTGTGTCATACATTATCGATCATTAAATTCGTTACTTGATTAGAATAACCCTCTTTTCAAGTCGTAGATGGTCTATAGTTTCTCCTGATTGGCGGTCTCTTCTTGCGTTGGAGCCCATTTAGCAAGCCATTCTCTGGCCTTGTCCAAATCACCGCCTGCTGCTTCAGCGCCAGCGACACACCAGGCAAAGTCATACCCTTTACCGGAGACAGCGCTATCTGCGAATATCATCTCAGCGATATTACGACGAATCTGACCAAGTTCGTCGGTACAGAAATAGAAAGGCGCGGTGTTCGGGGTCTCTGGTTGAACACTGATAGGTTCCACTAATGGTCGAGTGATTTTCATAATGTCGGCAACACTTAGGCCAGTAGCTGGAGTAGCTGCCTGGTTATTCTTTTGCTTCCCGTTTTTGCAATATCTGTTCTGGCACCATGGTTTCGCGCATCCGCTCATCATCTGGGACAGATAACGCCGCTCAATACGCCGCCGGAGAGCCTTGCCCTCGGGATCGTACGTATCGACGTATAACGGACCAAAGCAAACACTGCATAGACCGAGGGATTTATTGCTCGCACTAGACAGGGTACGGCCGCAGTTCTGATTCAGACAGATACGGGGCGGTGGACGTGAAACTCGCTCTAGATCATGATGGCGAAGATGTGTTTTCATGTCTCGTAGTCGAATGATCTTGCCACAGAGATGGCAATCGGTAGTTCGACCCCCATCGACGAGTTCATGGGGAGTGAGGCCGGACAGCATGACTTCTGGATCCAGCAAGTCGGGATCTGAATCCCCCTGTTGAGGCACAAGAAGATGACAGAATTGGCATAGAATGAGTTTCTTCGGACAGTCAGTAGTTCGATGATGTGCTAGAGCAGGAAGCCCTTCGAATTGGGATCCACAGTCGACGCAGGCATGGGGGGTATGGAACATCGAATCATGAACGGTCTTGCTCGGCTCATCATTCCCATACGAGGAATCATGGGGACAATGCCAGTGACTTTGCCACTCAGGGGATCTTTTTTGGAAGACGTTGTGGCATTGGGGGCAAAAGATATTATTGCGCAGACAGAAGTTCTCGTGCAGAACCAATGTCCGCTGTGGTACCCATTGGCGGCAATTTTGGCACTGAACATCGCCGGGCTCGTGAGAATCATCGGTTTCCAGCTCTTCATTTGATTCGCCTTTCGATATTCGCAGGGTGTATTGTACCGGTAGGTTCTGGGTGGGGGCCGCAGAAGGCTCGGATTCTAAGGACATGGGACTAGCATGGGCAGATATGTAAAGAGCTTCTGCGCCTTCGAGAGCCATGTTTGTGGGCTGAATGATTATTCGCTTTGTTGACGGGCCAGGAAACTGCCCCCACACATGTATGTCTGTCCGAGGGCGGCCTTGTTGGCGGGAGCTTAACGGGCTCGCGAAGAGACAAACCGAAGGATCATCGCTAACTATCTCGAGTCGTACTGTGTCTTCTCGAATCCACTCCCGGAGCTCATAGTCCACATACTCTCCTGGTATAACCTGGGATGCTACCTCTTCGCCCAAGGTCAGAGTGCCTCCGACGGAACTACCATTAGCAGTGCCTGGTGCGCGAGTTGCCCGTTCCAACCGTTTTTGTAACGTCTCTCGAGCTTGTTCCTCTGATAGTGCGACGATGTCGACCTCGAGATCCGTGTCGACCACACAAATGCCGTCACCTTCCGGATACAGTTTATCCACTAAGAATCGGAAAGACTCGTTGCGAGTCCCGGGGACTGTGAGCAGCTCATTGACCGTCAGAGTGGTAAAGTTATCTCGAAGATGGCGTTCCAACAAAGCCTTCCAATCCTCAGGATCATACCCAGCTTCCAGGGGTCGCAATCGGACGTACGTGCCTTTGGGCAGTTGTTTTGCGTGCACGGTTACGGAGGGATTCGAGTCTGAAGGCTGTCCTGAGTAGACCACGTCTGTGTCGCTAATCGCAAGGTCTTCGGGCTGGAATGAGGTATCCTGGATCCCAAGCGACTCTTTAAGCAACGCACTTAATATCACTTCGTTCTCTGCGGCGGAGAACTCGCGGATCCCTGCATACACAAAGCGTCCATTCTCGGGGTTCACGATGCGAAATGTCAGAGGGTGGGGGAGCTGCTGCTGGCGATGCTCGACCTGCTGGCGTGCGATAGATTCAGCGGCAAATGTATGAGGGTTGAAAGGGTCGAAGGAGCTGGTATGTACGCGCGGGTTCGTGGAGACCGCTTGGAGCGGGGCAGCAGCTAAGAGCTGCTCTAAGGCGGATTGAGGGAGTACAATTTTATCACCAGGCAGGCGGGGGGGGCTCTTTTTGGAGGAGTTACAGCCAGCTGGGCCGACCAAGTTAGAGTATTTCCCTCCATGGTAGGAAGGGAAAGAGAAGAGTGGCATTGCAGAAGTTAAGGTGGAGCTGAGAAGTTCTGGAAGCCTCGGCCACCCCCACATCTCTACCTAAAATACAAAGACTAATAATCAAAACGCCGCAAACTCCCTGCTTAGAAATCATCTCACTTGGTTCCAATACTTCAGGCTCGAATGCGGTGGCGAGAGCTGGTGTTGCACCAGTCGCACTTTGGTTTGGTCAGTTGGATCCGATATCGTTGGGAAAAGGCTGCTTATGCTTACCATGGTCGCAGAGCACCCTTCATTGTGCTCGATGCAATAGTCGCCTCGGCAGCTTTGGCAAGTGTACTGACAGTCCAGCTTACACGAGGCACACTTGGCGATGGAAGTTAGAAACATCCCAGTTTCACGAGCTCGGGTTGCTACTCACAGTTGGGCCACATTCCCAGCAGTCTCTGCTAACACCTTTCTGCAGACGCTAGACGAAAATGTGAGTCGAAAGGCATTTACTGGGAAGCATCTCGGGGAAACGTACCTCTCGGTTTACTGGTCTAGCAGTGGCAGCCATGGGACCATGGCCGTGACGCACTGCAGTCTGGTGAGGCGTCAAATTTGCTTGCAGGTGCTGCGGGTTCGGGAGGCAGTTGGAGCAGAACCATTTGTTGCACCTGTTGCACCATCTATCTGTCAAGCAGTCTGTACATCGAGCAATCAGGCAAGGGTGTCTTCCAGGAATTTGCTCCGGTCGCTTTGCTGCGGCGATGCTCGACAGGTGTAGTGGGATTGGGCCCAGCAAAGGGAACTGTTCATCAGGGGATTGTCCCCAGATAGCTGGCCCTTCGGGAGAACTGTGACACCCGTCACAGCCTCGAGGTCCCAGGGCTACAGTAGCTATCGCAGGAGTGAGAAGGGGTGCCTCTAGTGGGGCACTCCCTTCGTCCATGGAATACGCATTGATATCATGTCGAAGCCCCCGGCAAAGTACAGCATCAAAGGCAATGATACCTTCGCATTTCTGCAACGTCTGCGCCCACCCGTCCTCGATGCTGTGTTTGAACATCTTGCCCGAGGGGCTGTACCATTCATTCTGCACGGGCTTGGGCAGCTGGGGATCTTCTTCGTTATCAGAGGAGGCGCTAGATGAACTTTGGCTTGAGCTTCGAGAAGATCCCACGCGCGAACTCCACCATTCACGATAACGACGGCGCACGGGAACTCGTGGCGGGCTGTGCACAGGAGAGAAGTGGTAGATACCCTTGACTCGTGGGGTGCCCGCTGGACGAGTAGGACGCACGGCATGTTGGATGACTTGCATCAGTTTTCGTTCATTAAGGTGGCGACACTCGCGGATGGAGAGGATGTTCACACTGAAACGATCAGTGAGAATGATGTCGGCCACAAGGTCGGCTGGCACCGTCAGGCCATCTAGGACCAAGGTGCGCACATCTTGCAATATCAATCGATTCTCGAGACTGGAGAAGATATGACGCAGAGGTGCGGAGTATATCTCATCCTCTGTCCGAAGATCATCGGCCTCGTGTTTCGCCGGGTGCTGAGCACCTCGACAACAGGTCAGATCCAGATGCCGGAAAACATACGGCGTCTTAGTGATCATATCATGCAGTAGGCGCGAAGTCGAGGCGAGGGCAAACAATGAAGATACCGAGAGATAAGGTGCCATGTGGTCCAGAATCAAACTATTGGTGAGAACATCCTCCAAAGGCGCGCGTGAGGTCGCTACAGGGAGCGCCGTGGCCTCGGGGATCACTGTAACAGTAGGCGATCTGTAGAATACAGGCTCAAGTCCTATCTCCTTTGGGGTCAAACGACGGGCGCTATAGAAATCCGGGGCGCGGTCGATGAGATTCTGGCGATAGGAAGCCATAGCTCCAACGGTGATTTCATCTCCAAGGCGTGTGAAGGAGGGATGTGGCTGAACCTCATGGAGGGCAGCCCGGGCTTTGATGAGCTCGGATTCCAAGAGGTTGATGGTTGATTGGAGGACAGCAGGCATGGCTTCAGTGTTGGGATCAATCGCGTTCATCAAAGAAACCCACAGGTCAGACATCACCCGGCTATCTTGAGTACTCTGTACGGAAAGAAGGAGGATCCACCGAACAAGGGAATCGGGATATATGTCAAGATATATCTGCGGGAAGAGCGGGGGCAAGAGCCAAACGTGTAGAGCTGCACAGGACAAAAGATAGGGCCAATGAAGCTCTGGTGGGGTGGAGATTCGGAGTGGGGAATGTTGGGAAGGATTGAATTATTCCATTGAGTAATTTGCTGATGGCACCATAGATTGCACAGAATCAGCAGAAAAGTGTCGGTCAACGTTCGGACATGAACGTCTGTTACATTCAGGTCCGATCGCGGGGGGAGTCAGATCAGGAAACCACAGGGACTTGGACCGCGATATATTATTTCTATCTACGGAGTAGAACAATTAAAGTAAGGATAAAGGGGTGGAATTAGGAGTATAAGAGTGTGGATCTCTTGGCAAAGAAGTCTTTCATCGAGATCGCCAGCTTATCATAAGAGGAATGTATGATAAATCGTTAAGAATACAGAGATAACTTACCAATTATACGAGGTCCCCTCAATGGACTCGGGGAACCAAATCGCCAAATCAGAAAAATCTTTAAAAGGAATCCCGTCCAGTTCCAAAAACATACACCGGGGAGTCGGATGAGGCGGGTCCATCTGTCTTTTGAGGCTGGGAGAAGGGCCAAGTAAGGGGGAGTACTGGGTACTGGGGGGATACTTGAAGGTCACCGGACAAATGCCAGGTATCCCGGCAAAAACAGAAGGATAAGTAGGTACCCATTGAGTACTGAGTACCCCACTCCCTCGCCAAGAGCTGACACTACATACTAGTATGTACCGAGTACTGTTCATATGTACACAGTATTAACCGGACTCTGTCAACTGCCCCCACTGATCCGCAGGTCACGCGCTTCTTTTTAGCGCTGCCCCACTTTGTTCTCGAATGGAATAAATGGAAATTTAGCACTGGCTTAGCCCATGGGGGGCTACATGGTGGCAATGGTGAGACGGGACCTTCGTGTCGTGGTCCAATAGGCTTGAGCCGCTGCTTGGATGTACGTGTGGTGAAGATCGTATCATCTCGGGCTATCGTTTCCGCTTCGAGGAGTTCGTAAAATGTCCACTGGACAGCAGATGGGGCTCCGTCACCGGCCTTTAGAAGCACGCTAGGTATGGATACGATCCATCGCAATCTCCAAAGGTCAGCCCCCTGACGCGAAGCGGGAGGGAATGTGACCATAACACTCAATAAGCTGCAGAGGTTCAGTTTCAGACTGCCAAGGAAAGTAGGCTCTCTACGGAAGATCCGCGCCAAGCGTCGATCTGAAATGCAACACATTCGGAGGACGGAGGCCTGATTTCAAGCATGTTGATGCTCATGGTCCTGGGGCCCGGAGCTGCCGTTGCGCAAGGATATCTCGTCAATATGTAGTTATCAGTAACCTCTTGGCCCCCTCTCAGTTATTTACGTCTCTCCTGTTTTCCAAGTCTCGCCCAGCTCGGGGGACTATGATGCACGTCGGCCTCAAGGGGCCAAGACCTCAGGGGGTGACGGCCAAGACCTTAGGCTACATATTTTCTAGCCCCCTTCACTCGGACAAGTTGCATCAAAAACTCTTGGTTTCCCAATTCGTGCCCGCGGCAGCTTGCCAAGGGAAGTTATTGAAACCGCTTGCTTGTGGATTACTATTGGCAAGCTTGGCTGAGGTCAATCAGCTTACAGAGAGTACATCTCGGTCAAGAAATGGTGATAGTCCAGGTGATAGTTCAAATATTGAATTAGAACTAGCGATACAGGTTGATCTTCCCCCACAGGGGTTCCCTGTCAAATCCCCTCACTTCCACAACTTCGACACGGCAACTTCCTTATCGTCGTGCTTGTTGAGGATCTTGGCAGTGGCCAAGTCGAAGTCCTCCTGTGTGACGTGCACTCGTCGCTCACGGAGAGCGTACATACCTGCCTCCGTGCAGACACCCTTAAGCTCCGCTCCGGAGCATCCGTTCATTTTCTCGGCAATCTTGGTCAAGTTGATACCTCGGGTCAGATTCATCGAGCGGGAATGGATGCGCAGGATATCGGCACGCGCTTCGACCCTGGTAGCAAAGCAATCATGTTAGTATAATTAGGAAAACAAAACAGTGGGGGTGTAATCCGCTGGGTAAACTAACGAAGGTGGGGGGAATTCGATCTTTCGGTCAATTCGCCCGGGCCGCAGCAAGGCCGGATCCAAGATGTCCAATCGATTGGTCGCCATAATAATTTTGATGTTTTTGGTGGGCTCGAAACCGTCCAGCTGGTTCAGCAGCTCCAACATGGTTCGTTGCACTTCAGAATCACCGCCTCCAGCAGAGTCTATCCGACTGGAACCAATACTATCAATTTCGTCCATAAAGATGATGCTTGGAGCATGCTCTCGTGCCATCACAAAGAGTTCTCGCACCATGCGACTGCCCTCGCCGATATACTTCTGCACCAACTCTGAGCCGCTTACACGAATAAACCGACACGCGGTATGATGAGCCACAGCTCGAGCCAGCAACGTTTTACCAGTACCTGGGGGACCGTAGAGAAGAACACCCTTCGGTTGCGCGATACCGAGTGACTCAAACAGTTCTGGATGCTTAAGACCAAGTTCGATGACTTCCTTGATCTCTTTGATCTGCTGGTCCAAACCACCGATCATGTCGTATGTGCTGTCGGGAACCTTCTCCACCATCATGAGCGATACCAGAGGGTCGACGGAAGAGGGCAGCATCTTTTCCAGCTTGTATGAATCCGAGAGGAGGGCAACTCGCTTGCCGACGGTGAGCTTGGCCACGTCCACGCCATCTGCAATATCCACCACTGTGTATCGAGGAAGCGTTAGCAGGGCTCTCACTGGCCAGAAGGATTGACACCTTGAAAGTCCCATGTAGCTCCGTTTACGTACCGTATTTTCCTTCCGGATGTACTTTCACAAGCACCTTCTTCGTGCTCATGACTTTGACCACCTCACCCACGTACGAGCCAGGCTGTTGGAGTAAGCCGAGCTCCTCCCGCAACAGACGAACCCGAGAGTTGTAGTCATTGCGTTGTGCTTCTAATCGTCTTAGTATCGCCTGGCCTTGGATGATCTCGAGCTTCATGCCCTCAATCTTATTGCGGTAATAACTGTCCAGCGCCATGTTGGAAGAGTGACGCTATCCGGGGAGAGGATAGGTCCACAGGCTTCGTGGTGTCTCGTCGGAAGGAATCAAGAGGGCTGACTGGAATGTATTAGATGCAAATCGAATGTGCCAATGAGATGATGGCGGACAACAGGAAGAGAAGGCGTGTAGACAGGCGCCTCACATCGGAGCTGGAGCATCACCGCTGGGCAGCTTCGAAGCTGCGGGAACAAGATGACTAAGTACGACACCTTGTCGCCTTATAAAACAGGCACCAGATACAGGCCTGGGTCCACGGGTCATCTAACATGCCTTACGTCATCAGATAGAGCTGGGGGACCTCAGATCCACGCGGGCATATCCCAAGGCTGTGATTGGTTTACATCCTGGCCCAGCCTGTTGAAGATCACGGGTCGACCGTTTGCAAGCTCTCCACGCGGCGGTGGTATCACCCGCAGCCTGCAGCGTTGATTTTTCTCTCGGCTGATGCCATGCGCATGAGCGGTGTTCTTTTGCTCTGTTCCAGCTAAGCACTTGGCGCTGGCTTGTGGTTGAGCTTTGACCTTCTCTACTACTTCTTGGAGTGGGGTTGATTGATCCGCTTATTTTGTGTTTGTTTTTTCTTTACTTCCGACTTGCGCAGGTGTTGCATTCATCATGGGAAATAATAAGGGTAAACCCGAGGCTCCCGACGCCAACGAGGCTTCAAGGACAGCAAATGTGGACTCTGCTACTGGGTCATCGCTACCTGCTGGTAGATCAACGCCTTCTCTCCGGAGAACCTACGGTATGACTGAGAATGGAAAAATTTTGCCTGTGTAACAAGGGGAAGCGATACAGTTGTGCTAATATTCTGGGCAAAAGGAACTCTAGACTCCCTCCCTCCCGAATCAATGACCGAGATGCGCGTGAACGAGACTCAGGAAGATTTGACCAACCGTACCGGAACCTCCACATCTGCCGACAGACCTAAAAAGCCCGCGGTCACCCGGCGCATGTCCTCGACAAGACGGATTCCACATAAGGGCCAGCAATTCTCGGCTGACGATGGACTCAATGAAGTCGAGGAAGATGCGGCTCAATATGCACCTATCTCCCAGGCGTCTCCAAGAATTCGCCCACCAGCACGCAGCCCGAACCTTCAACGACGGCCCAGCGCGAGGCCCACTCCGGTGACACGAGCAGACTGGGAAAATGCGAGTATGGAGAACCTCGACCTACCAAACCCTGGTCTGGATGCTTCTATTCCGTCTCTCAGAGAGTCTCAAGGCGGGAGCGATCGCGGCGATGGGGATGAAGACGAAGACGACGCTCACGAAGTTGACGATGAGGATGATGACAGTGACGCAGCAAGCTTTACCCTCAAGGACCGACAACAAGCTATCAATGATACCCATCCTTTTGGACTGAGGATCTGGAAACCCGCTTTGTACAAGAAGAATCGATCTGTGGAGAAGACTGCGGAGGGTGATATTCATTCGTCGCCTGGGGCACCCGGCTCCCGCGTAAGCCCCATGATATTTCTGAGCAATGTTGTATGGTCCCTAGTCTTTGGGTGGTGGCTTGCTCTCGTCGCGTTGCTGGCTGCGGTAGCGTGTTTCTTCTTCGCCTATTCCTCCAGTGCTGTCGCCTATGGAAGAGTGTTCTCGGGGCTCTCCAGATATCTCCTCTATCCATTTGGGTCTTTTGTTCTTCTAAAAACAGATGACGCCTACGCGGAAGAGGACGAGGGAGAAGGCCGCAGCATCGGCGAATACGAACGGTGGCAGAATGGCGAGGACTTGGAGGAAGGCGTGACCCGACTGTTTTTTGGTCCCGAAAGTAATCGGTCTCTTATAGGCCGTCGCAGAAACACTGTGGACTCGGCTGGTGAGCAGGATAGTCTGCTCGGTCGGCCGCAACGAGGCCGGCGGGATGACTCGCAACAGGGCCCCCCGAAGCGTCGCCTATTTGGCCGTGGAGAGTGGACTTTGGGTCGGGTGGTCTTCTTCATCTTCTTCTATTTCCTCGTGGGGCCCTTGATGCTTCTTGTTTCCCTGGTATGTTGGCTGTTAGTATTTTGGATCCCCATGGGCCGTGTCACATTAATCCTGGCGAGCCATCTGCGACGCCATCCTCTCGCCCTCTCGTTTCACTCTGATACTTCTTATGCTCGACTCAGCACTGGATTCTCCTCTCCATCCATTCTTCTCTGCACTTACCGAGCAGCAGGTTCCAGATACTGGAAGTACACGATTGACGGTACTAACATCTTCTTCATTAACCTCCTGAGCGTGGTCGTCTTTGTGATCGCCGACTTCCATATTCTGGACCGACTTTTGGGGGTGCAATCCTGGGTAACACACCCAGGCCTTATTTTCACCTTGTCCTTGTTTTCGATCATCCCGTTGGCCTATTTCATTGGACAGGCTGTGGCTTCGATTTCAGCCCAGTCTTCGATGGGGCTAGGTGCCGCCATCAATGCGTTTTTCTCAACGATCGTGGAAGTTTATCTTTACTGCGTGGCCTTGACCGAGGGCAAAGCTCAACTGGTTGAGGGCAGTCTTATTGGTAGCATCTTTGCCGGTATTTTGTTTCTGCCGGGCCTGTCCATGTGCTTCGGTGCTATCAAACGCAAAACCCAGCGGTTCAATGTGAAATCTGCTGGGGTGACCTCGACGATGCTGCTTTTCGCTGTTATCGCGGCTTTTGGGCCTACGCTCTTCTATCAAGTGTTTGGCAGTGTAAGCACTGATCGCAACTTCCAAGTCATCTGATTCTAACGTTTTCTAGCACGAGATCAATTGCCATGCCTGTAACGGAGTATTTGATATCGGAGAAGACAGAGACTGCCGCCAGTGCTTTTTCACTCAATCTGCCGCTATTCAGGATACCTTTTTCCAAAAGGCTGTCCAGCCTTACGCCTGGATTGCAGCGGTGTCTCTTTTTCTGTCTTACGTCATCGGTCTTTGGTTCACTCTCAGAACCCACGCTGCTTTGATCTGGGCAGAACATGATGAGAAAAAACCTATCCAAGATTCAATCCACAGCGCCGTATTGCCTGAAGCATCAGGGGCCATCCGGGACGCTCACAGTTACAAAAGAGTCTATAATAAATCGCTGCAACATCTCAAGTCCGATGCCAGGCGTGCAAACAATGCAGAAAGGGCCGAGGACGAACTTCGGAGTCATACACCTCATCTAGTTCCTCCATCCACGAATTGGGATGGACGGACAAATGCAACTAGCACCCCTGGCCTCAATGAGGAACAAACCGATGGCCTCGCCCCCCATCTAGCGGCTGCAGAGGTCGCAGCGGGGACTATCCGTGACAACGCTCGAAACCGTAAACTTTCGGGGCAGCAGACTATCGGACGTCATGCGGGTCGGACTGCTGCTGCTCAGGCAGTTCAATCTGGCGAAGAGTCCGGAGATCTTGGTGTGCCCGTAGAGCCTGCTCAATCGAGCGGCGGCCACGACGCACCGAACTGGAGCAAAACTAAGAGTTCAGTTATCCTCCTCGGAGCAACTATCCTCTATGCAATCATTGCGGAGATTCTGGTTGACACTGTCGATGTGGTGCTGGAGAGTGTAGATGTTGACGAGAAGTTCCTCGGTATCACACTCTTCGCTCTGGTTCCCAACACGACTGAATTCTTGGTAAGCTAGAGCCTATTCTTTGCTTGACTCTATGTTCTGTTGTATTAACTGCGCTACAGAATGCCATTTCATTCGCTATGAACGGCAATATTGCACTGTCTATGGAAGTCGGCTCTGCTTACGCCCTGCAGGTCTGCATGTTGCAGGTACCTGCCCTGGTTCTCTTTAGCGCTTATTACTCGAGCTCCGTAGACCCAACCGAACTTGCATCGCACTCATTCAAGTGAGTAGTTTCCTTGCCACTGTTTGCTTCGCTATTGTCACTGCTGTGCCTTCCTTTGCTAACCTAAAATTACCACACTTATAGCCTCATCTTTCCACAGTGGGACATGATCACTGTAATTCTCTGCATCTTCTTACTGTCGAATGTCCACGGAGAAGGCAAGAGCAATTACTTCAAGGGCTCAGTTCTTGTCCTCACATATCTCTTCGTTGTCATTGGATTTTACCTGTCTGGCTACAGCAACATGAACTCCATGGGTGTAAATCGATTTGACACGCTGGCCCTTGATGCCAATCGCTCCCAAAAGTTTTACACTATTGGTCGCGCCGGCTCCGGGGCCGCTTACTAGGCTGCACATATCTGACATGCGATGAATGATAGTCGCCTGGCAATTTTGAAGACAGTCTTGCTGAAAATTTCTGCGTGATATCTATCCGGTTTCTCGCAAGTATAATCATTCTAGCGGGCGTGTTTTCTTTCTTGTACCTGTCATTCGTTGGATTCGAGCTTTCTGCCTGGCAGGACTGGCGTACATATGGCTTCGTGGACATCAATAGCTTGCATAGTAATGAAACCTAGCACTAGTATCCATTTGCAACCCAATTACATTGCAAGGTCTTGTCCGTCAGACTCTTTATCTAATCCTATGGGATGGAATAGCATACCGTAGAAATGAGGGCCTTTTCCGAGGGCCAAATTAAGCCCAATTATTAACAACCTCGTCAATTGACTTGCGATACTTCTGCTGTGTGTTGCACTGTTCCAAGAAGATCCTGTACTTGGCCTCCAGCAAAGACTTCTGCCTGGCATCTTGTGTTGGCATCACACTTCTACCAGGCTTACTCATACGGTTCATGATATCCCATAGTTTTTCGCCTCTGCCATCCTCAGTGGCACTGGCGGCTTTCGCTCCCATCATTGCAGATCCATGACAGACAGCAGAATCGACATACTTGGGGATAACAACGGGCCTATTGCATGCCGACGCAATGAGGGCCACGAGGATCTCGTTTTTGCACTGCGAGCCAGACATGAAAATGGATTTGAGGCGGTGTCCCGCCTGGCTCATCGTCTCAACGATATGTTTCGTTTGCAAGGCAATAAACTCGAGGGTCGCATAGTAATATATGGCGAGGCTGTCGACAGAGTTGTCACTTGTCAATCCAATCACCGACCCGGCCATCGAGGGGTCAGCAACAGGGGATCTGTTTCCATACAGATCGCCGTAGAAGGAGAAGTGACGGGCAAGATAAGAGATGAAGGGCGCATTTTGACCTCTCATCATATCCTTCAGATGACCATCCAAGTAATCGTATATACTTTCCCCTGGGCCCATGGAATATTTTGCCTGTCCATAAGCTGGATGATTTTCGACGACATGCCTTAACAATTCACCCGTGGCTGTCTGGCCTCCCTCTGTGATGCAGTAGCCAGGAAGAACGACGTCATGGAATGGACCCCAGATACGATCAACAAATATTTGATCTGGAGACAGGGCCAAATGACATGTTGATGTTCCGGCAACGGCTGCGAGTCGTGTTAAGGCTTGAGCCTCGTCATTTCCTGGGACATCAGGGATCATATGGCCAGGTCCCAGGTCGACTTTGGCTCCCACAGTACCAATCCAACCAGCATAGGCATCAATAACGCCGCTGCCGATCGGAATCCCTGGTGGCAGACCGAGATCCGATGCAGCCTTCTCACAAAGATGACCCGCCAACTCGCCTGCACTTCGATATTCGCCGCTCTGATAGGGAAAGATCAGCAAACTCCGTCATGCAGCATATGGAGAAGAGAATAAAGGACCTTATTCACGCCACCGATCCGCTTATATCCATCCTGGGCTAAATCTCCCAGGCCAATGGCCCTCAGAAAGTTCTCCTTCCAGCCCTTGACACTTCCGTCAATTCCAACCGGCATGGAACCGCTTTTTCGATCAGCGATTTGAAAGCTTTTATCTTCTGTGCCAGCTGCGATGTGAACAAGGGCGTCAGCCAGGTCATAAAAGCTACATTTATCAAACATCTCCTGAGGCATGTGGTTCTTGAGCCAAAGAACCTTACAAATCTCCATTTCAGGAGACATCTTGCTTCCTACATATCGGAGCAAGTCAGGATCAGCAGTGTTGTTAATCTGCATGGTTTCTTCGATTGGACGCTGGTCCAACCATAAGATGACGTTTTGCTCGGACTTGAAGTCTGGGTATGTCACAGAAACTGGCTCGTCAGTTTCATAATGAAAGACTGCGAGGGAGCAGGTCGCATCGAACCCGATTCCACGAATCGAGCCCGGGTCCGTATTGTTTTCTTTCAAGGCATCTTTGACTGAAATACAAACACTTTGCCAGATATTTGTTGTAGATTGTTCCTAGATCCTGTTAGCATGGGAGGTTGACTGGCGCAGATCATTCTGGGTTGGGTACATGGAATCCATGCTCAGGATCTTGTCGATCGATATTTTCTGAGCCCTCCCCGACAATGTCCCCCGCTGAGTTGATGATGCAGGCACGTGCACTGCCTGTGCCGACATCAATGCCAATGTAATGATCCATTCCGGCACCTTCGCAATTCCAAGCAAGATCTGGAGGGTCTGTGTATTCGTGAGGAAAGGCGGCACCGCGGGTGTGTGTAACTCCAGACGTAGAAGCACCACACGGTTTTGGATGCTAAACAGCGCTCAGAGGTAATGACAAACTTGAAAGAGGGCGCAAATGTGATAGGGGTGGGGGACTTGGGGCAAGGGAAGTAATTTCGGAATGAAACCAACATATATTGGGTTGGCGATAGCCCAACCGTGGAGGTATTTCTAGGAACAATAATTGAGACTCGAGGGAAATCAAACATGTCAACCCCGTCAAGAAGGATGCGTTTCTTTTCCTCCCATGTGCCAACAGAGTCGAATACACGGTAATTACTCCCAGCTGGCAATATCACCGGCTGGTCTCACCGCATTGCTATAAATTACTTATAATTACAATACCAGTGGCACCCCCATCTCACCATGGAGCTTCAAGTTCTCTGCTTTCCGCTTCAACCACAATGCACCTGCGGTCTCTCCTCGGGGCCCTCGCCCTCCCAATCGTTGCCCTCGCAGATATCACGACAGATATATTCTACTGGCCAGTACATGATGCGCAACCGACCGTCCTTGCGCGTGTCTCCTACGACCCGGCGACATTGAAGTCCGACTTGCTATCCTACCACCCTCCCTCCACCACCGACTCCGATGACCTTCTTCGAATTGGTCTCTACACTTCTACATCCGAAAATCCTAAGCTATGGTCTGGAAGCCTTGTGTCGCGGTCCGCCTTGTCTAGTGATGCCCATCAACCTCAGCTTCGTCTCCATCTTGGTCCAACTCACGAGGTCTTCCACGTCTCGCTGGGTGCCACCCCAGCAACCTCTTCTGCATCACCTGAACACACGGACCTGAAAGTGCAACTCATATCGAGTGCGCCTGGCCCGCAGCCTCACCTGAACCGACCGGTGGTCATTGGCCCCGATGGACAAAATCCGGAAGAGGTGCCGGAGAAGACCTTGCTCCAAAAGTAAGTTATATGTCTCGGTTCCGACAATTTGCTTCCTTTCTCTAATAGTTGAATAGGTATTGGTGGGTGCTTCTAATTGTTATGTTCTTGACCATGTCCGGGGGCGGGGAAGGACAATGAGCGCATGATATAGTCTTAATAACATCCCAACTTTACATATGGAACTACAATTACTCGTCTGGGATGCATCCATAATATGCTGCTTTTGTGGAGTTCTACAGACACGCGCCGACTAGGATGATCATCAAGATTCCTCGATGCCCTCATGCAATTGGTAGCAAGTTCGTAGAATCGTTCATGGAAAGAAGCGCAAAAGAAAGGGCAAAGCAGCCAACGCTCAATACGACTTCGACAACAGTACCTCGTAAATTCGAAGAAATCCCATCCTTCCCAGTCGTCAGATCCGACGCGGATTTCTCTCGCGCAACAATCTCGGCTCAGCTGGGCACCGTGGCGGAGAATGGCTATCAGCCCATTTCTTGCGTCAGGAGTTCGTCTTCTCGGGGAATCACCACTCGGGCCCCCTTTCCATTTGGCTCAAGATGCAAGATAATAAGTCCCTTGTCTGTAATAGCAATGAGTTCATTTTCGTCGTCGGTGAACTGAAGCTGGCAGCAGACAGCATCAAGCTGGATGACAACGGGTCGAAGTATGAGATGGCCTTCTTCTGATCGGCATGAATTTCGATAGAAGATATCATAATCGTAGTCAAGGAGGTATGTGATCAAACATTGGGGATTGATAGGCCATACGGTGACAGTCTTCCAGCTGGCCATCGCCAGTCGAGTTCCGAGGACCGAGGCTGCGATGAGCGACCCTTGGGAAGTAATTGATTCTTCATATCCTCCTAGCTGGGCCATGATCGACCATTCGTCGAACCGTCGTCCTCGCTCGATGTTCATGACGTGAGTACATCGCTGGGCTCTCGGAAAGGATTCGGACATCAGAATACATGCTACAGTCCAATGCTCAACTCTATGGGTTGCAATCCCAACGGCAAGATATCTCCAGTGGCAAGGAACTCCGGCAGCTATGTCCCCTTCGACATGAGCACCGAAGAATGGTATGCCGATGGAGAACTGGAGGGAGAGCGAAGTTGAGAACTGGACATTGCACTTGTTGTGGATGGCCCTATGAGCGTGAATCGGGTCTAAGTTGGAAACCCTATGAAACGAGCCGAAGAGAGTTTGTGCCCGATAGTAATGGAGTAGTTGTTTGCCTCGGTCATTGAAAGCCAACCTCACACTGGGGCCCTTCAACTGGGGCCCGTCGCTGTTGGGCATGCTGCGGCGGATGTCAGACAGGAGATGCGACGAATAAGCGCAATCTATTAGAATATTGTCCACCCGGTCAGTCTTCGGTTCAAGTCGCTGGGTTTGGGGGGGGCAAACTGATAATTTGAGGATGAGGTTGGCCTTCAATCTCTTCAGCCAGTGTATCACTCTCGTTCTGCTCATAGGCCTCATCCATTGAGTAAAGGAATACGCTATGGCTGTCTTCTTCGTCTTTGTGCTGCCAAGAAATGGCGAAATTGTCTCCATGCACTGCAAGGCATATCGGCTTGTATTCACTTTCCTCGGGGAGCGTGTACAGCTTTATGGTTTCTTGCTCAGCTTGAAGATCGTAGCAAGCTAAAAATATCGAGTTCTTCTGCTGCGCATCTTTCACAAATGAACCGCCCACTTGTGTCGGATCGGGTGCTAGGCGATGTAGAACGTAAAGCCCGCGGTGGTCCCACACTGTTTGCAGAATGTCGACCTTGCCGAACTTCTCTGCGGGTGACTCTAGTCGGCGTCGCAGGGTGAGCTTACCATCTTGTACGTCCATGAGGTAGACCGTCGAGTCATTTTTGAACACGAGAAATACCCGTCGGGTCTTCGCAACATCTGTCAGGGACGACGCATGGGCGTCGATCACCCGACCCCCAAACTTGTAGAGCTTGCTGTTAGAGACAAACTCCGCTCCATAAAGCTCACGTCGAGCGACCCTGAGCAGTTGACGGAAGAGCTGTTTGTTCGTGAGGCCATTAACCTCATCAAGGAATCCCGGTGATTCTTGAAGGTGGTGGAGAATGAGGGCGCAGCTGGAACAAGCGTTCCCCAGTAAAACCCGGCACGAAAAGGCCGCCTGGAGAAAAGAGGGCAGGTCACATTTCTGCAGTATCAATTGAATCAACTCAGGGGGCAACGAGGTAAGAGAAATTCTCGCCATTTTGGGTGGGAAGGGGTGAGTGGGTTGTAAAGGCGAAGTACTTCAAGCGATGTTGATTTTATAGTCCGGGTGAGTTTGGTAGTTCGGCGCACGAGCCGCTTGTTGCCTTGAGGTCTCTCCACTTGGCCCAGGCAGCTCCGGATCTTCAAGTTCGCTCATTCTCCACCTTGAAGGAGCTCTGGGCTCTGAAAGAGGCTTGGGAAATATTTGGCCCTGTCTAGGGCCTCTACTGGCTCTTAAAGAGTCGCTTATTTGTGAGTAGGCTCGATTTGGCACCCATAGATTTGATTCTACTTTCTATGGCTTCAAATCACAAAACAAGAAAGCGTTGACAAGGAAACACGAGCGGTTTATCATGCAGGAACTCAACCCAGACCTCCAACCCCCTAGAGTATGCAAGTTTCAAATGACAAGTCAGAAAAGAAAATGGGTATCTCCAATCATCACCGTTGGTCGTGTTCATCGTCCATCCGCGAGACCAGCCATTCAAGGATACTTTCATAGCAGAGGACAAACTGGTTAAGATTTTGCACCATGCTCGGGCGCTGAGTCCGAAAGTCTTCCACGGTCTTAGTGATCAAGTCAATATTGGGATCGTCGACCCATTCCGGAGAGCTAGTAGTTTGTGCGTCCGGAGCCCGTTGTCGTTTCAGCATGTCCAGTACACTGTCCACTGTGCAGAAAGTCCCTGTCCTCCCGCAACCCGCACTGCAGTGGACTAAGATTGGTCGCTGACCGCTTGGGTTCGCTTCGTGACTACTGAACTCTGTCTTGCTGGTGGCACGCACCGCTTTGTTACATTGCTCAATGAGACTGAGTAAATGAGCAGGCTGCGAGGTGGTTCCAAAATCAGGCCAGTAAGGGTACTGGAGCTGTGTGATATCTCGAAGCGGTTGGAATGGTAGAGCGGTATGGTAGAGGCTGAAATGCCGCACAATGATAACGGGGTTTTCATTGTTGTCATCTGTTCGCTGTGTTCTTTGGTCTGGGGCGGAAGACTTCTGGGACTCGGAATGGACTGGATGGGGTTCAACATTGATGTGTCGCTCTTGGTAGGCTTTGACCTTGAATGGCCCGTAATCCCCAGACTGCCAGAAGGGATGGCATTTCACTTGGCCTCGTTCCACTTCAGCGGTCAAAGAAACGAGGACACGGACGTCTTGTTCCCAAATCAACCGCCAAAAGTCCTAGATAATGTCATATCTCGGTTAGGCTCCATCCAACATCTTTGATTAATGGGGTGTCACTTACGTTGAACGTATCGGGGACTGGGGCTTGTGTTGCAATGTAACGACGGTTGCTATACTCAGCTTTAATATGATTGGCATTCACATAATCACAACCCCCCCAGCGGTACTTCTTCAAGTCGGACTCGAGAGTGATCAAATGGATATATGTCGTTGTATCGGTTTTTTGTGCCCTTTTCGATACCGGCGACTCTGTACTTCTTGGAAGCTCCTCCCGCCGAGGCCGAAGATCCGTCATAAGATAAAGCCTGCTTCATCCGCTCAAGCTCTTTCTTTTCCAGATCGAGGAACTTGTCTGATACCACATGGCCTTGATCTTTAGCATCTGAAGCATTTCGTAGCCAGGGAGGAAGCCGCCTCCGCTTTGATTCTGTCAAGTTGTCCGGTAATTTCAAGGCGATTTGCCCGACGCCACCCACTAGATCCATGTTTTGACGAATGTTACTGAAGAACGGATTTGCAGCCGATGAGGAGTCGGGTAAAGCACACCCCCCAACAACAGGGGCTATCGACCCCAGGTTAATGCTCATTGGGTGCCGTTTCTTCGGAGACTGGCTGGCTGTTTCCATTTGGGGTCTGTGGAGCAAGAAGGGGAAGCGGGAAGAGAATGTTTTGTAACCACCCCATAAGATTAAGCCTTCACCTTTCCAGCCTTCTGCCTGGAATTTATTGATAACGTTCAAGAGAGGAGCCGAATCCTTCGACTCAGTTGTGGCAGCGTCATAAACGATGATGGTATGACACTCCTTCCATTTGGCGAATTTCTCCTTGTCAAGGTCGCTTGTGAATGTACCTTCGAGTTTTTGTGTATCGAATGAACGGCGTTTGAGCAAAGTAGTTGGTATGCATAGATTCAATGAGCCACGTATATTGGATTGAGAGTAGTGGGCAAATGGTCGAACATCCAGTAAGAGTACGCCTTTGGCAGGAGGTTTGACAATATCCGCGCAGCGCTCAGGTGAAACCCACTGGGACGATCCAGGCGCCAGTTCTGATGGAATGGTAGGTTAGGTATGGTTCAAGTTGCTGTATAGGGAGGAGAGAAAACCAGGGGGTTTGTTCACAGAAGACTTACCTATCGAGGGCGTTGTCGAGTTCTTGTGGTCTGCCGGCTTGTTCCCGCCAAAGTGCAATTGAGCCCACTGGGTTGACTCGCCATTCTTCGTATCCGAGCTGCCATCTTGAGAGGGATCACGCTTAACAGCGGATTCCCGACGATCTTTGTCGGTATCAGATTCAGATCTCAACAGGTTGACGAGCCCCTCGGAGACGGACTCTTGGGAATATAATTGTAACTTGGGGCTTGGCAGAGTAGACTGGGCTCGAGAATACTGGCCCCAGTTCTTTTGTGCATGAGGTCCTGGAGTGGAAGTTGGGGGATTGCTCGTGTTCTCTACGGTGATGCCAAAGTAGTTTGAGCTAGGTCGTTCTGATATGGAGCCGCTCTGCATGCCGGTGTTCGATGGCGAAACGGGACGAAATGATTGCTGCCCTTTGCCCTCGCGAGGGCTTCCTTGTGCCTGTGGTGCCCAAGGCGAGGAAGGGGATCGCCCAGGACCCGTCATGGCCACTGGTCTAACGCCCAGTACTTTGAAGCCCAGGTGTATTCAAGTGACAATAGCAGGTCATACCATCCGTCACTTTTCCTAGAATCGTAGTTGGAGCACGGGTTGCAATTCAATATGGGCGAGCCCTGGAGATACTATTCGTATGGCGAGGGTTTTGAAGAGAAAGTGAGCATAAGAAATGGTGACTGACGTAAGATGGGCTAGAAGGCGTTCGAGGGGGAAGAGGACGAAAAGGGTCCAGCCAGAATGACCAGGGCAATTCAGGCCAATGGAAGCGAGGAGCAGAACCTGATATCCAGCGCCGATGTCATTCCATGATTATTAAGGCACCGGGAGAGGTGGCAGTGGCTTCGAAGGGAAAAAGAACTATGACGTTATTGTGTGGGGATCACGGGCCCAGCCCTCGGCTCGGGGAAAAAGTCCATTTAAATATGAAAAAAACAACATGCGATTGGTCTCAAACCATTCATATTGAACCGAATTATACGCGGGTTTGGGTCCTGGTGTTCAACGCGCATGCCTCATGCCCATGTATCCTTGTCCTAGAAGCTCTAGAGTGGTCTTCGTGGGATAAGTATATCATGGGACCAGTTCCTCCAGAACAAAACGCCAAAACTCAAAAAACAACGTTGGGGTGGGAATCTACCGATGTAATGTCTCCACTAATGGCGTGGGATCGCTTTCTAGAGTGGGTATAGATACAGACAGTCTCTATGACCAAGGGTGAGGTATGAACGTAGAAGATTACTTGGAAATGTCGGGTTTCAGGGTTAGCCACATTGGATATAGGGTCTGAGCAGTTTGCAGGTATTTGGAAGCCAGAGCCAAACTGAAATAACAGATTGACACCAACCCCGGCTTGCTCAACTTTGGAATGGCTGGGAAGGCGGAAGGGGTGGCGGTTCCGGGAGTAGCCTTGCTGGAAGGAGGCTGACTATGGCCTTGATGCAGCATATCCGTCCATCCGTCTCACCTCACCTCACCTCATACATTATCCACTCTATTGTCCCGAAAAGCCACAATGATGAGGCGGGTGGGTCTCTGGGTGGCGAAAGCAATCGAATAGCCAGGCTGATACAGTAGATACACCGCACCAGGTTTTATGGCTCATGTAGTGAAGGCTAAGTGAAGGCTAAGCAAATGATCACCCTCCCTTCCGGGGATATTAAAAAGCCAAAAGCCGCATGCAGCATCTCAGGTCTGGGGTGAAGTTCCTCGATGGGATCGCACGGATGTGTCGCATTTCTTAAAGCCTTCCATCTGGTTCACCTTCAAATCTCTTCACTCGCTTTTGTTCCCAGTCGTCTAGGTCTTTCGCCATAAGTCTCTGAAAAGGAATTAGTCAGTTTTGGATGGAACCACACGGATAGGTCTGGAACTGTACATAGTATTCCTCTCGCTCATCGCCAATGACCCGTCGACGCGGGTTCCGCTTGATGCCCTCTTCGCCATCCGGGCCTTTCAGGCCAAGATTGAAGGCCTCTTCTTTGCTGACTTGTTGAACTTTTCTGTCATATCGCTCATACCGCAGGGCCGTTGCAGGTGTCAAAGCAAAAGACGCTGCGACAATGACAGTCATGAAGGGTAGGCCAAAAAGTAGAAATGGATGGCGAACTAAGCGCGCTCGATAGAATGCGCCAAGCCTCTCACTGAGTGATGAGGATGCAGTGGTTGCCCGTCGGAAGGTTTTGGATTGGAACGTTGGCATGTCGGCTGGAAAGCGAAATCGTATGACAGGGTCCAAAGGGAATAGATCGAGTACTGTATGGAATAAATCACGAGATTGAGCTACAGGAGCATCACGGATAAACAATTATCCGGGCCGCCGCGTTTGGGCTTCTTATTTTGTATTTTGGAGCTCGCAGCGCGGGTTCACGAATTTCCCTTTTATCGCGTTGTAGTCATTGGAGCGACCAAGGGCTGACTGAACATTCACTACTGACAAGGTTCTCTACATCGGTGGACCTTACTCGCCATTGGCCTGAGGCATTGTTCATAAGTGTGCCATCCTTCATCGCAGATTCCTTTCATCTACAAAGCTCTACGCGCCGCAGTCCCCCTCAATCCCAACATAGGAATTCTGTCACTACTCTTATCTGGACTTGCAACGTTTCGCCTTGCCCCCCATGAACTCCAACTCGGGATCCCTTTTCGGAGGAGGTGGTCTAGGGACCACAACAAAGGCTCCATCTTCCAGCCTTTTTGCCTCCACCAATACACCAAGCGCCTTCGGTGCCACTACCGCGGGAACCCAGCCAGCACAGACTTCATCTCTGTTTGGCCAGTCGCAAGCTCAACCTCACCCTCAAGCCCAATCCGGAACCCAGCCGAAAAACAATGAGCAAGAGCAACTTTCAGCTCAGTCAACCAAGCCTGCATTCTTCAATAGCCTACTGGAACGAGGTAAAAAGCGCCCATTGTCGGGTACCGGGCAGAATGGGAACTTTGATGACGTCCCCAGCCTCCAATTAGGCCTTGACGACATCAGAAGAAAAGCGAGAGAACTAGGCCCTGGGGGCAGTAAAGATTCACAACAGCACAGCACAGCGACTAAGGCGTAAGTGATATCTGTTATGCTTATTGCTTCCCAGTATCGCACTTTGTGATGGGCTAATAACTTGTTTAACCTTCAGCCATTACCTCCTAGCATCCTCTGGCGTTTCTCCTGGGCGAGCCCTGCGAGATCTCCGCTCATTGGACCCGCAGGCATCCTTTGCCCCAACCAGAGAAACTGACAACTTCGATCCCGATAACCAAAAGTTTTTGAGAAGCATTCAGCAACGTGGCCGACAGGTGATGATCGCCGAAAGTCTATCACGAGCTCAAAAAGACTTTGACACATTCTTGGAAGAGAAAGTGGACATGGACTGGGAGGACCAACGTCAGAAAATCTTTCATCATTTTGGATTGTCGCAGAAGGACAGTGTGAATGATGGAAGCTTGAGGTCGACCACGAGAGGCGGTGCTTTCGGTCGCTCAGCAAGACAGTCCAAGGCTGGGGCTGGTACGACCAATGCGGCCTCGCGACGAAGCGTTTTTGGACGTTCAGCTCTTGACAAATCAGTTATCGGAACTCCCGGTACAGGACTAGCTAGCGCCCAGCTCTTTGAAGACCCTGCTGAAAGAGGCGATGGACCATCTGCGTCTTCGCCTGATCTCCGATTCCTACGCGAAAAGATGGGTCACTATGCTGAGAGAGTCCAGCAACTGAACATCAGTCGACTCCAAAAACAGACATATCCTATACTCCATCAATTCTCAGAGGTTGAGAAGCACATCAGTGGCGATGCAAGTGTTCCCTTCCACGCTAACCTGCTTTTCGGGTTGCGCACTTTTTCTTTGCCAAAAATTCAACTAACAGGCTTCTTCTAACAGGCACCTCGACAGTTATCGGAGGCTTACCATGCCTTGATAAAGATAGTGGGCGAAGTGCCAGGTATCACGAGTATTTCGGATCCTGGCACGGTGAAGGCACGCCAATATGCCAAGGATTACTTGGAAGAGTCCAATACCTCCCTTAGTACTATCAACCTGAAGAAGAAAATTCTTGAAGGCTCGCGAGGATTCCTCGAACAGACGTTTTACAACGAATTGGAACATGTCATTGCGAAAAACCCTCGAGAGGCTCAGCTGGGCGGTATCCCAACTGTGATCAACAAGATACGTGCATATGTTCGTCTCCGTGCGGCACGAAAAGATCTCGTTCCCGATGGTATTGATTTGCAGGAGGTTGACAACGAAAACTGCTGGGTGCTCATATTCTACCTCCTTCGATGTGGGTTTGTCACAGAGGCTGCAGAATATGTCAGCCAGAATCCTGGATTCAGATCAATGGATCACAAATTCGTGACCTACATGACAACATATGCCCAAAACAGGCGTCTCCCGCGTGATCTGCAACAAAAAATCAATGGCGAATATCAGCAACGGTCACGGAATGCTCCTGATAACACGGTTGACCCCTATCGGATGGCTTGCTACAAAATTATCGGTCGTTGTGATCTCTCACGCCGTCGGCTGGAAGGTGTCAATCAGACCGTTGAGGATTGGATGTGGTTACAGTTTAGTCTTGCTCGCGAGGACGACCGCGCCGAAGAAATAGCAGGCGACGTCTTCGGGTTGGAAGATATTCAGACCGATATCACCGAAATCGGACAACGAGTGTTCGCCAAGGGCCAGGATGCTCCTGGTGGCTATGGAACCTTCTTCCTTCTCCAGGTCCTGGGAGGCATGTTCGAGCAAGCTGTGGCGTATCTCGGGACTTATGCGCCTGTCACTGCGGTACACTTCGCCATTGCGCTATCATATTATGGTCTTTTGCGTGTCTCGGACTTCTACACTTCCGGGAAGAAATCTGTAGGTGTCAATCTTGGAATCGCAGGTTCCTACCCGATTCATCCTCTTGAGTTGCTAACATTCTAAAATTCCAGTATCTTTCACCGTGAAACAATATCCCCAGATCAATTTTGGATACCTCATCACGCAGTACACCCGTGAATTCCGCACTGGCTCCGTCGAAGCTGCTATCGATTACTTCACTCTTATTTGCCTCAATGCAGACCTACCAGGCTCTCTAGGTAAATCCCAATCATCGGTCTGCCACGAGGCTCTTCGTGAGTTCATTCTGGAGACACGGGATTTTGCCAAATTGCTGGGCGATATCCGTGGCGATGGCGCCCGAGTTAAAGGAATAATCGAAGAGCGACTTGATTTGATCAACTTGGCCGATCAAGATGACTTCCTCAAGAATATCACGGTGCAGGCTGCCAGTGTAGCGGAAGATAAGGGCCTGATTATCGACGCTGTTCTCCTGTATCATCTGGCAGAGAATTACGACCGCGTTATCGACATCATTAACCGTGCGCTATCGGATGCAATCGCAGTTGAGCTGGGTGGAATTATGCCGAGGCTACAACCTCTTCGCCCCAGAGTGGAGCAAGGCCCAGGCCAGGCGGAGACAGCGACCAAGGGAACCAGCTTGAGCCTGACTGCCGTGGATGACCCTGTTATTCTGGGTAAGAATATGATCATGATCTACAATGAGAAGCCAATGTACTACGAGAAGATTCGTGCTTCCAACCGTGATGCCTGCATTCTTCTTCTTCGCATGGTAGAGGCAAAGATGGAAGTCGAAGCCGGTAAATGGGCGCCTGCACTGGATGTAAGTCCCTGCTTTCCTTTCTCTTTCTTTTTTCTTTTTATCTTCAACGATGAATCTATTTGGAACGGTGACTGACTCATGACCTCTTGTTACTAGGCCATTGATCAACTTGGCGTCCTTCCCTTGCAGGCTCAGGGCTCAATGCCACATATCCGCAATGCAGCCCAAGCTTTTTCCTCCTTCCCAGATATCATCTCCCGCAACATCGGTCATGTCATAATGTGGTGTATTGCGTGCATTGGCCATGAGCGCCGACGCCAAACTTCGGGTCCATACGAGACCGACATGCACCAGGGTTTTGCAGCGAGGCTTTTGGGTATGGCGAAGGATCTGATGGTCTTTTCGGGAATGGTGAAGTACAAGCTGCCACCTAAGGTCTATGAGGCTCTTGCTCGAGCCGGGGCCGACATTGGAGCGTACTAGATGTGGGCATCGAGCCGATGGAGATGTAGTGTGCTTACGTAGCTATCTTCTAATCGATTCTTTTTTCTCAATAAATCCGGGGTGATCAACTTAGAACGTTACGCTAGAAATTCCAGAAAAGAGCAAACCACGCCAATTGTATCAATGTATTTGAAATCTTGTGCTCAATAGACTATTCTAGAGTATTATAAATAAAGTCCATAGGAAGCTTGGAAGTGTGTATGCGGAGAGCATCCTCATGTTTTAGCTCCGGTGCCAAGCCGCGGGATTTTCTTCTTTATAGCCTCGCCCGGGAAGCTCGACCATTTTCTGACGGGCGATCCACAATGGCTCAAATGTCCGCAGCTACCCTGTCATATCCTTTTGACGGCTGTCTGTGATCCACAAACATGGAACATGCCTTCAACACCTTCAACGCAGACCCGGCACGGGCATCTGAACATGGCTTGGGTTCCCCGCGCAGAGAACACGGTCAAAGCCAAGTGCCAGGACAATCAGCTCTCCAGAATAGGGAGGATTCCACACCGGGTCCGCCTCAAGCACCCGTGAACTTGTCAGATGCATTAGAACGACAAGCGCGACAAGGAGACATGACAGGAATGACCCCTTCGGGCAATTTTCATAAGACTGATGGGACTGAAGGGACAGACACACAGCCGGCTCATAGTCTTCTCGACAACCCACCTAATGTGTCCAGGATTCGAAAGCTCCTATTTGACTGCAAGGACCCCTTCGAAATCAGTCACGAGGAATTCGAGACGTACTGGCCGTTTATCGATAATGTATGGATTAAGCAAAGGTCACATACAAATAAAGAAGGTCATTGTACGACCGATTACTACATGTGTCGACTACGACGTCCAACTCATCGCCCTTCGGAGAGCCGGCCATTGCCCGAGGGGAAGCGAACACGGAAGAAACGCTCTCGAGAAGGCGGAGCCTGCAATGTTCAGATCAAGGTCGCACGATCTGAAGGTGCATATTCTACAGTCACCATCTCAAAGACCCGTGGGAGCAGCAGCAGTCATACTCATGATCTCGACTATAGTGACAATCTCAAAAGGAACTCAGCGCTTATGGAGTTCATCTGGAAAGAGGCTATCAAAGGCTATCTACCGTCATCTATATTTGCCAAATTTCAGGAGGAACCGGCAAAGCTCCAAGAAGCTGGCGGGCGATTCATGACCATTACTGACGTACGCAACGTTTCAGCGAAGTGGCGTATACAGAATCCCGAGGTGACGCTTCGTGCGCATGAAGGATATGTACTTCGGAAGGGAACAGGCATTCTTAAACCCTCCAGAGCCAATAGAAGCCAGGGGAATTCTCAGCCCCTGACGCAGTCTTCGTCCACGCCGGCACTACCGCCGGATATCCTGTCGTTCCCTCAGTTCTCGCTAGACTTCCTGGAGCCCTATCTTCCCCAGCGCCCTGAGCAATCCAAATCATTTACAGGGCGGCCCTCGAAGGGAAGAACATTCCCTCATATCACGCTTTCTTATGCATCATCCATGGACTCCAAGGTCTCTCTGCGGGCGGGAATGCAGACAGTCCTTTCCGGGCCTGAAGCAAAGCTCATGACCCACTATCTCCGCTCTCGCCATGACGCAATTCTCATAGGAGTTGGAACTGTTCTTGCTGACAATCCTGGACTGAATTGCCGCTTGGAGGGGGCAGGTGGGTTCGGGGGCTTGGGAAGGATGTGGCAACCTCGGCCAGTGGTAATCGATCCTACTGGAAGGTGGCCTATCGAGCCGGATTGCCGTATGCTTCGAACCGCCGTGGAAGGCAAAGGTAAAGCCCCGTGGATTGTGGTGTCACCCGGGGCAGAGATTGACCCTCAGAGATTATTGATGCTCAAAGGTTACGGCGGGGATTATTTGCGTATTGTGGAACATAATCATCAATGGCGGTTGCGCTGGGAAGTCATTCTCCGCGCTCTCGCTTCTGAAGGCATCAAAAGTGTCATGATCGAAGGCGGTGGAACCGTTCTGAGCGAGCTTCTTAACCCAGAATACTCCAATTTTATCGACTCGATCATTGTCACCGTGGCGCCGACATACCTCGGCCGCGGCGGAGTTAGTGTGAGTCCAGACTCCAAACTCGACCCTGAAGGCAACCCTAATGCAGCCTTGAACCCCCGCGATGTCAAATGGACTCCTCTCGGACAAAATGTTATTATGTGTGGGAAAATACGTCCCCAGCACCTGCCAGCGGAGATTCCGCCGGCGCCAGAATACGCAGCGTAGGTGTTTCTGACCAGCAAAGCGTGAAAGGGTAGATTCGGGGCGGGGGAGGGCGAATTCAACGAGTAAGGGCGATTCAAGCATTTCTGAGGCTTTATTCTGATCAGCGTAATATGTCCTAATCAAGGTTAATAAATAAATGAGACATACATTTGACGAGTGAATGAATAGAAAGGACGCGGAATGAACTTGAAGATTGTACGAAAAGATGGAAACTGAAATGAAACTATAATGATGTAGCGTCAGACAATGCATTAGCCGAGTGGCTGTATACTTTGATGCAGTACGTACATGATTAACGGTCCAATTGTTAATCCTACATATGCACGAGTAGGGCAGGGCGAGTGAGACCAGGAGACATTAGGTTTGCTTTGGTTGGTTTTCGGGGGCTGCGGAGAATGCGGCATTATTTACGTGCGGCGCGCCTTGGCCTTTTTTTTTTTACCTCGTCGCGTTCCTCCGTGCTTCGCTTTCCTCGCGGCCCCCCGGTTCCCCTACATCAATTTCCTCACATTCCACACACAAAATGCGTCCGAAGAAAGCCACTCCAGCTTCTGCTCCCAAAAAATCCGCCAGGGGAGCTGCAAGCAAGGCTGCCGCCAAACCTGCCCCTAAAGCCGCATCCGAGTCTGCATCCAAGACGGCGTCCAAACAAGCATCGGCTAGCCGTGGACGCCCCAAGAAAATGACTACGGACGACACCAAGGCTTCCACCAAGAAGGATTCCGTGGAAACCTTGAAGAAAACCAAATCCACCACCCCAAGCACTGCCTCGAAGAAGCGCAAGGCTGACGAGGCCGAGGACAAGCCTCGCGAGCAGAAGAAACCCCGAGTCATTGCTCAACCCCGGGCACCTAAGGCTAAAGCTGCCAAGCCGAAGGTTGCGATCAATGAGGCCCCGAAGACTCGATTGAATGTGTATGTCTGCGGTGAAGGAAGTTCCGGGGAACTTGGTCTCGGTACAGCGAAGAATGTTATCGATGTCAAGCGGCCACGTCTTAATCCACTCCTAGCAGCTGACAAGGTTGGAGTTGTCCAAGTGGCCGTTGGAGGCATGCACTGTGTGGCTCTCACCCACGACAATCAAATTCTTACCTGGGGTGTCAATGACCAGGGTGCCCTCGGGAGAGACACTGCATGGGATGGTGGCTACAAGGATATTGATGACAACAAGAGCGACTCAGACTCCGATGATGAAGACAGTGGTCTCAACCCGCACGAAGCGACGCCTACTGCTATCCCGGCATCATCCTTCCCAGAAGGGACCGTGTTCGTTCAAGTAGCTGCAGGAGATAGCTCTAGTTTCGCTGTCACAGATGATGGGCAGGTCTATGGCTGGGGAACCTTCCGCGTAGGTCTATCCTGAAACATTTACAACACTTTACTGACAATACTCATCATTTTGAATAGAGCAACGACGGAATTCTCGGCTTTGACTCCATTCATCGAGTTCAAACCACCCCTCTCTTAATTCCCGACCTAAAGAAGATCAAAAGCATCACATGCGGTGCCAATCATGTGCTTGCACTGAATGAGAAGGGAAGCGTTTTTTCCTGGGGATCTGGCCAACAGAACCAGCTCGGCCGCCGAATTGTTGAGCGTAACAAACTACACGGCTTACAGCCCCGCGAATTTGGACTGCCAAAGAACATCATCCACGTTGGTAGCGGCTCATACCACTCATTCGCTATTCACGAGTCCGGTAAAGTCTACGCCTGGGGCCTCAACAGCTTCGGTGCAACCGGCCTGCGCGAAGGTGCTGGTGATGATGCAGCTATCGTTGTGCACCCGGTTCTTGTGAAGTCTCTAACCGGCCGCGGTATCATCCAGATCGCCGGCGGCTCCCATCACTCCATTGCTCGGACTGTTGATGGTCAATGCTTGGTCTGGGGTCGCCTGGATGGATTCCAGAGTGGCTTGAAAGTTGATACCTTGGCTGACGACGCGATCATCAAAGATGAGCATGGACGGCCGCGAATTCTCATTGAGCCCACCCCAGTCCCAGGCATCAGTGCGCAATTCGTCGCCGCTAATTCTGACCACTCTCTCGTGATCGATGCAAATGGGCGTGCTTGGTCTTGGGGCTTCTCTGCGACATACCAGACAGGTCAGGGGACTCAGGACGATATCGAAGTGGCAACAATGATTGATAACACCGCTACGCGTAACAAGAAGCTCAACTGGGCCGGCGCTGGCGGTCAATTCTCTGTTTTCACTGACCCCGCCGACATTTAAGCTGATCGTTCTCCAAAACATTCTTCTGAATAACGGCTCGCCTTATTAGTAGCATCTATTCATCTCAAGTTTTTGTTACATCTTTTGGTGGATAGTTATTCTTGTGACATTAGCTCTCTTTACCAGTTACTGTTATGTCTATCATGGCAATAATACTTAACCAAGTTTCAGTCTCTCCACCTGAGAACACAATGCATTTGATTATTCTACAATCTCTTTCAATCCTTCCTTCCTTTGGTCAGCGTTGAAGAAAGAGGTTCTCCTGTAGCCTACCCTAGTCAAGCTCCCGAGGCTATCATCGGCCGCTTAGCTTTGACCGGTTACCTGAATGTTGGATAAGGATGCGAATGACTTGGGCGATCAATTCTCCCCTGTAGCTCTATATACGCGAGAATATACCATTCAAGCGCATCGAAGACAATAGACTAGCTCATCAAGTTCCCATTTTACAGCACCATTAATTTTATTTCATCAATCATTCAATGTAAGACAGACAAGCGAGACATTATGCTACATCCCAAGATCATTCATAACTTCATACTCAGCATCAAATTCATCAGGAAAGGTACTCGACCCTTTTGGCCTAGGATCGCCGGGCCCGATGCCATCTTGCTCTTGCTCTCGAAGGAGATCTTCCAAATCATCACCATCGGCTTCCGGGTGGTTTGTTCCCGCTTGCATCGCTGCCTCTGGGTCGGAGACAAAAAGATCTGGATCAGCTTCGCCTGTTCTTTCAGAGGCTGCTTTCAGTTCTGAAGAATCCGCTATTCCACGGTCTATACCGTTGTCATCGTCGGCTGATCGAGTTGGAAGTTCATACTCCATGGGGTCTTCTCGTAGGGGTTCGGAATCCTCAAAGATCTTGCGTTTCTCCTCGTCAATCCATTCCCGTCTCATTGTTTGGATACGCTTCGTGTGTCCCAGCTTTTCGACCATTGCTAGCCCATCCGCAAACTTTGCACGGGGAAATAAGTCATCAAGCCATAATTGGTAGAAGTTCAACAAGCGCGCAGCATCTGAAAACTTGATATCAGGAGTAACATCGTCAGTCCCATCTTGACTTCAAAAGGTACAGGGTCGACCGCTAACCTCATGGCCTTTGCCCTTGAATCGGAGCTTTTGTTTTGCTGTCTGTCGGAGTTTAGGAATGCCTGACTGGGATAGTAGTCTTCATAAATTAGAGAACGCAAGGCTTTTCTTGAGGCAGTGTTACATTCAGGAACACTTACCGTCCCTCATCGAGCTTTGCTACTGGCTGACGCTTTTTCGTCACCTTGACTTCCTCATCAAGGCCAAGCGAATTGAGATCTCCCGTAGGCTTAGAAGCATCGGTAGGAGCGGTATCGTTCTCTTCCAGGATGTCGTCAAGCCCTAGATCATAGTCAAAGAGGTCGTGAGCCCCAGAAGGAGAGCCCATGTGTTCCGCTGAAGTATCCATGGCCCAAGTGGCTTCAGTAGCAAAGGGTGAAGCGCGCCGTCGAGACGATTTCAACCAGTGAACACGCGTAGGACGCGCCAAGTCATCTGCGCCCTGATTGGTGGGCACCGGCTCAATTCGCCCGCCAGGCGCCAAGCCTGATCAGGCTAGCGCCAGAGCCTCTCCAACTTCCGAACATCGACTCTGCACAACGCCCTCCATCCCTCCAACTCGTCCCGTCATGGCTTCTCCCAGTACGGCCATTGTGCCTCCTAAGCGGGCCAGCACTGACTACCCGGTATTTTTTGTTCCTTGCTCATACACATTGAACTCTTCAGCTAACTTCCAGTCCCCTTAGCTCATCGACTCCGACCCGTACGGCTACCCCCGATCATTTCCCCTCTCATGTTTCGATTTGTCTTAGCTCACCTTCCGAGATATAGTCACCTCCGCCGTGTTATTGGATATGCACGTCCCTCCGACTATGCCGTCGCCGGTGCAGCAGCGTCAGCCTCTCCGATCGCTTTCTGGATCATGGAAAGAGTCAGTCCGTCGCATGTGGGCCGAGGTGGGTTTGCCCCCGTCATGCGCCTGGCGACAGCTGTCGGCATTCTCGGTGGACTTCATGTGTTCTACCAGCGATCATGCCGTATGTTTATCCGAATCCACTGCCGGTAATGCTGCTCACATAGTCACAGAACGCTTCTACGGCTTCACCGAAAACTCCAGGGAAGTTGATATGGACATGCGAGAGATGGTGCAGAAGGTGAAGGCAGGTGAGCCTCTGTACGGCAAATCGAAGGTGTCCCCCTATCTTCAGGGAGTTGCTGCCCGTAACTCGCGGTATTCCGAGCTTTTTATCCACGTTTTGCCATGGCTCAACATTGTGAACCACGACCAGGTTTGTTTTCGCCTTGGTTTTAAACGCCCTCTTTTGGAATTCAAGCTAATTGGACTGCACAATACAGCATGGTGTGGATACTGCTAAGTACTATCAGCAGGCTGAACGGGAACTTGAAGCTGAGCGAAATGCCTAAAGCTCTCCGGGTGTCTCCAGCCTTAAAACCGGAGTTGCAAGTTTCATGTACACATAACCATTCTTCGCTGATTCCTTTTTTTTCCATTTTTGCAAAGGCGCATTCGAATCAACAATACAATTCCATGTTCAATCGATTCGTGGATCTTAAATTTCACCGTCGGTCAAACCCAGATGAACGGCTCTACAAAACACGCAATCCTTTCTTCAAGCTTCCTTCATTGTTCTTTTGCTTGGAACTCCCGCATTGGATGCATTGCCCCTAGTTCTCTTCCTCGTCGAACTTGGTGTTGAGTTGGCGGTTCTTCTTGGATCGAGGGTTCGGGGCTGATAGGATGTGTTTAGCTGGGGTAAACTCCGAGATAAATTTCTGTATTCTCTTTAAAGACTCACCCTTGTCGTTTTCCTGGATGTAGAACCGACGAAGTAACATGATGGCTTCTTCTCGAAACAATCCACCATAGACGGGGTAGGCGGGGTCGATGGAATGACTGCGCAAATTGGTTAGCCACAATTGTTTAAAGACATGAAGGTACTGACTCTGAATGAAGTGACAGAACCCCTCCAGTACCCCCGAAACGGTCGTTGTTGCAACCGAAATACACATTTCGGACGCGGTATTGCTTTAATGCAGAAGCACACATAACGCAGGGTTCAACTGTCACGTAGAGATCTGTTGATTGGAGAATCGATCGAGGGTATGTTTGAAGCACCTCGGCAATGGCCAAGAATTCGGCATGGCGGGTTCCCTGTGCACCGTCAGCGGTCTTCGATCATGTCGCCTCGTTTTGTTTATTCAAAGGTCTGACATTCATCGATCGGTTGGTGTCATTCATTCCGTGGCCCACGATTTGGTCGTTGTACACTAGGACACAGCCTACCGGGGTTTCGCCAGCTTGCAATGCCTTTTCGCCCTACAGAAAGCCTGTCAGAATCCTTTGGTTCCGTACCCATGGTGTTCGCTAACCATCAAAAGTGCTTGCTTCATGAAGTAGGTATGCCCTGGATCCGCTGCTAGAGCAGATGGGCTGGCGTGAGGCTCTATGGATGGCCAGTCCATATTATCCGAGAGTAGTGATGCCATAATGAGAAGACTGCTAAGAAGGGACGGAGGGGTGCGGGCAGTCTAATTCTTCATGTCTGTGGCACACGCTCAGCCCAAGGGGAGAAAGTATGAGGAAGAAGAGAGGAATGGGTGTGACTGAGGCCTGGATAAGTAGGAAATAAAAAATCACCATGGGTCTACGATTTTGAGGAACGCCCCACGTAGTCTTTGCCAGCAGAACCAATAGACCCAATAACTGAGTATTGTGGTCCCCGTGGGATTGATCTCTAGCTTCTTGTTTCCTCGTCTATCCCCTCTCTACTTCCAACCGCTTTAGTGTCAGTGCCATCAGTGGCAGTGGCTGGTTATCGCTGGCGTATCATTTTGTGTTATCGTTATCTTTATCGGCTTATCGACAAGACCGCGTCTCTTTCCCTGCGTGTTTGTCTCGAGATCCACGACGACTCGCAACCACCACGTCTTCCTCCAGACACCGAATATCTGGACCTTTAGTTCTTTCCCCTGTCATGCATATCTCTTATGGCCCGCAGTGAGGACTATGATGTGGCGGGGTACGGCTCCCCACCTCCGCCAGCCTCTTCCTTCCTCGCGGCCCACCTTATCCCTCGTCTGGCCCAGAGCCACGAAACACACCTAATCCCTCGGGAAACATTTTCTCAGCTACGGCAGGAGCTTCTTGGAGAGAAACAAAGTCAAACACGCGTGGATGATGGCATCACTGATCTCAACAAACTGGTCTGTATTGTGCTGAAGGCAGGCCTAGATGTAAGACGTGATGGCAACAGCGCTCCTGAGAATGATCTGGAGGGACAGATTCAGGATTGCTTGGATATCATCCAAGCAAGCATTGAAAAGGCCCCACAAGCCCTGTGGGATATTTCAGATCCTCTGATCTTGGGGGAAGATTTTCAAGTGCCGCTGTTCGTGTGGGTGATTCTACGTCTGATCAAACTTGCCGTTATTTGGCCCTCGGATAATGTCCAGGCGCGAATCCATCGCATATTTGGTACCCTTGTCTATTTTCAATCTAAGCAGACCCGCTCCTCACCTGCGCACGGTTCTATTTCAGCATTTGCCCATGCGTGCATATCAGGTTTGCTTTCCTCCTTAAATCGATTGTAGACGTGCAACTAAGAAGCTTTAGATTTATTGTGCTCATTGGAAAATGGGCATTCCATGTATTGGCGGAGTCTTCATCGCGTCCAGATATCGATGCCTGCTGTTCATGGCTCATTTCTAGATGACCTTGACAGCATGTCTCTTCCCCGTGGTCTTCTACGAGATGGTCTAGCTCTTGGGCCTTTCGGTAGGGTAGTCGCTGTGGCGTCCCTGTTTCTAGACTCTCTCTATTCGAAAGATGAAGCACAAGGCCCAGCGAAGAGGCCAGATCTCGCTCGACGGTTGAATTCACCGTGGATGTCAAATGGATATCATCGACTACGAAACGCGGTTTCTAGCTGGTTGCGCAGTAGTGGATCAACCTTGAGCTTGGCAGATGAGCAAGTCATCTTGCGCTCGCTGGATTCGATGTACCGGTTCTATCTGACTGAAATATCCATGACGACTTCTCTGTCTTGTAATAATTCAAGCTACCAATGGCCGCAAGTCTTAGGGCAATTCCTATTGCTTGGGATTAAGCATCATCTACATATACTTCAAACTGGACTGAGTCGATTGTTGAACGAAGGATTACAGCTCGTTCCGCCTTTCCATCTACCACTCGTTCAGTTGAAGGAAACATTTTGGCCGGTTCTTGCAGAGATGGAGAACAACGAAGGCACCCATGCTCCCGTAGAATCCTGCCTATCGACGTCAATCGAATCCCTCCGACTTGAAATACTTAATTCGTTGACACCCACGACTCAATTGACAAGAGGCTCGTTGAAAGGTCACAGCGTCAGCGGTTCTGCTGTTAGCCAGTGGCCTGCTCCTCCACCGCATGAATTGGAGTCGAATCAAGACATAAGAGCCTCTAAACGCCTGTGTTTGTCAGCTGAAATGCCCACCGAGGATCCCTTGCAAGTTCTCATGAAAAAGCTTTCGGGACTTTTGGATTCAACTTCGACAAAAAATTTGGCAAGCTTGCGTGTTGCGGTTGAGTAAGTGTGCAGAGCGATCGGTTAGAATTATAAGATCCTGACCCTTCTCTGCAGAAAAACCTATGAGACTCTATCGGAGTCACAGAAATCTGATGTCTTAGAAGTGATTGGTAAAGTACCTTGTGCTATGGCTGGGATGCTGGTTCAAAAGCCATCACAAGTTGCCGGTCGAAAGACCCTCTTTTGCAAAGAATGTGACTTTGGTCAGCATGCAAATGGAGAGAAGTCCAAGAGTGACATCCGTGCCTTTGAAGAGCTGTGGGCGATTTTCGACTTCATCTTGCCAAAGCTCACGCGCACCCCTGGTCCCCGGATAGGGGCAATGATCACCCTAAGAAGGATTCTCATGCACTCCCCCAGCGTCGATCAGATGCATCTTTCGGCATCTACGCCCGGGGAATTCTGCCTTCATTCTCTGCGTAGCTCTATTCGCGAACTTCGTGTTGCAACTGGGTTTGTTACAGCATCCACATTTAAGTTGACAGCTATATTAACCGATACGTAGGCACTCGGTCGTGGCTTTTGTTCGATCATCTCTGCCATCAGAAATTCGCCGTGCCAATTTTGTGATAGTACTTGAGTGGCTTAAAAATTTGGCTGAGAAGAATGACATGCCTCTTCATGAAGCATGCGTACTGACACTCTGCCAACTTGCAAAGTTCGTCATCTGTTGTCCTTACAATTCTATGTTTTCTGACAACTTGAGACAGATTTTCTGATGAAGAGGAGCGCAACATAATTCTATTGCGTCTATTGGAGTATCTTGGTCACCCAAACCCTTACATCTGCGCGGTTGCATATAATGAGGTATAAATTTCCCCAGCTTAGTCCTGAGCCTATTACTGGCTCGTGTTAGACTGCCCCAAGGATTTTCTTGCCGAATACTGACATATCCTGAAAGCTGTTCAAGCTTGCTCAGCAGTTTGCACTGACGCCCGCCGGCTTGTTTCGCCCTTACTGGAGGACGCTCTCGGTGGCTGTCGTCAAAAATCTTCAATCCAGACCCTATATGGCAGAACAACTCTGTGAACTGTTGGGAATGAAGGTTGACAGCTTTCTTCGGCTCACAGAGGTACATGTCCTCCCTTATCTCGTTTTGACTAGAAAAAGAGATATCATCTGCAGGATCGGTGCGGGCCGTACTGAAGGAGAGACGCCATTTGATGTCTGCTCAGAGAAGAATAACCTCGCCGCAATTCTCGCCTTTCTTCTGGCTCAAGAGTCCAATAACCCTGAGGTAATGATCATGTCTCTTCTCGCCGAGATAGATCCTGCCTTCAAAGGTAGGACTCTAGCAGAGTTAGTACGAATCGAGCCAATTCTCATCGCTTGCGATTTGTTGAAGAGCCTTGGGGGCGCCGGTGAGCATAACAAGGAGAGAGTATGCAGACCATTCCCTGTGAATCAGAGGGACTATCTCAAGCTAATCAGGAAAATACAGTTCCACCAAGCCCTTCGTCGCCTAGCTACGTTTGTTCCACGAAAGGTCACTCACGGAAATTCGGCCAAGAAGGCTGATTTATTGAGCCACTTCATTGAAGAGCACGTTCTTGGTATCATCACGCAGTTTGCAAATGCCATCAATGATTTCCAAGTACGGCAAACACTCGCCGAAAAGAAACGAAATCTGAAGGCGATCGAGGAGATGATCAATATTTCCCGAGGCCATGTCAGTAACGCATTGCCCCAAGTCTGCGCATGTCTGCGTTCTGCGCTCGATATCGAAGAACTTTGTGATCACGCCTTCTCGGCCTGGAAGACATTGATCAGTTCGCTCAGTGAAGAAGATATTGAGCCGCTGGTTGACCAGACCTTTGCCATTGTTATCAAGTATTGGCAGACTTTGACCGGAGACAGCAGGGCTCACGCTTATCAACTCATTGATCATATTCTCACCAATTTCCCGAATCTTGTCCGGGATACATTCAACACTATGCCGTCGCTTGCCCCCATTCCTGAAATGGCTGCACTTGAGGCAAGGATCAATGAGCTGCGAGCTGATATGGATGTTCGAAGCCGATTCTTAGCCTTGATTCGCCGCTGTCAAAGTGAGAATGCCACGGTCGTTGAACAAGCGTTGGGGGAGTTATTACCTTTTCTCGCCACGAATGAAGAGTTCCTACATGTGTCTGTTCTCAGCGAGCAACCGGACCCTGTCATTGCACAGTTGACAAGAGTGCTACTGGACTGCTGTGTCAAATTTAACACCAGTTCCGACTGTATCACCTTGTTGTCTGCTCGATGTCTGGGTCACGTTGGATGTCTCGATCCGAATCGCGTTGAGACTATCAAGGAGAAGAAAGATATACTCGTATTGTCCAATTTCGACCGCATGGAAGAGACAGTGGAATTTGTTCTTTTCTTCCTACAGAATGTGCTGGTTGAAGCATTCCTTTCCGCTTCCAATACTCGCGCCCAGGGGTTCCTTGCATATGCCATGCAAGGGCTCCTCAAGATTGTTCACCTACATACAGCGGTTACTCAGCGGTCCCGAGATCTCCAAGGTGATGAGAAGTACCAAAGATGGATGGAGCTACCAGAGGGCATTCGGAATACGTTGACTCCTTTCCTCACTTCGACGTACACCGTAACCATTGTTGCAACTAACCCAAAAGTTGAATATCCTTTGTTTTCTCCCGAGAAAACTCATAGTGAATGGCTTCGAGGCCTGGTGCAAGATCTGCTTCAAACCGGTAATGCAGACAACGCTCGACTGATTTTCACGGTCTGTAGTCGCGTTGTGAAAGGACAAGATATCTCCATATCTTCGTTCCTTCTTCCATTCGCTGTTCTCAATCGTGTTGTAGGGGGTACTGTGCAAGAGCAGGAGGACATACAAAAAGAGCTGCTGAACGTGCTTTCCCACCCTCTTCCAGATACCACCAACCATGCCCGCGAGACAATTATATGCTGCAGTCAGGTATGCCTCTTCTCTGAGCAACATATCTGCTATTGAATGACTAACTAAAGGATCGCTTCCAGAGCGTCTTCGATGTCTTAGACTACCTCTCGCGTTGGCTTCAGGGCAAGAAAAAACAGCTCAATGGCATGGGGAATCAAAACCAGTCTTACCAATCCAGCCGCTCCCACAAAGATACTAGTCGGGATACTCTCCTTGAAAAATATTCTTCACAAATCAAATCTGTCGAGAACCTTCTAAGCTCGATCCCGCCTGAAATTATCTCCAAGCGTGCGGTGGAATGCAAGTCTTTTTCCCGGGCCTTGTTCCATTGGGAACAATACATTCGCAAATGCAATTCACGTGAAGAGCCTCAGGGGGCCTCTAGTTCGGAGCACCTGTATCAGCGACTACAGGATATCTATAGTCAAATAGACGAACCCGACGGGATCGAAGGCATATCAAGTCATTTATCAGTCTTGAATGTTGATCAGCAGGTCCTAGAGCACCGGAAGGCAGGAAGATGGGCTACCGCACAGAGCTGGTATGAGCTCCAGCTTGAAAAGGAACCTGCAAACATGGAAGCTCAGTGGAACCTTATCACCTGCCTGAAAGAGTCTGGTCAACACGGTAAATTTGCACATCGCTTGTAAAGTGCTTGGTCTAGTTTGCTTACATATTCCCAGATGCGATTCTCACCCGGTTTGAAGCCCTTAGAGAGAATGAAGGAATCGCCACGTCTCGGTTCCTTCCATTCGCTATAGAAGCTTCATGGATAACGGGGCGATGGACGAAGCTCAAAGGCTACCTTGATTTATGTGCCCGGCAAGGCACTGGTGACTTCAATGTTGGAATTGGGTCAGCTCTCCATATGCTCCAAGGACGAAGAGACAGTGACGGGAAGGTTTCAACAGAGAAGTCGCAAGAATTCACCAGGACCGTCAATGATCTTAGACTGAACATTGCAAAGTCCTTGACAGCCAATTCCGTGACTTCTTTACAATCTTGTCATGACGATATGCTCAAATTACATGCGCTGACAGATGTTGAAGCCATTGCAAACTCTCGGAGTAAACTCATTCCATATGCGGACTTGCCATCTGCTTTGACGCGGCGGCTGGATGTCTTGGGAGGGTATATTGCAGACAAGCAGTACCTTTTGGGCGTGAGACGAGCAGCAATGGAATTGACGTGAGTAGTGTACAACAACAACCTTGTTGATGCAGTACTGACTCTTTTGGCTTCTAGCGGTGACTTTGATGATGCTGATATCTCGACCGCGTGGCTTACGAGTGCCCACCTCTCCCGAAAGGGCAACTTCACTAGTCAGGCATACCATTCAATGCTCAATGCAGCCAGACTCAAAGACCAGGCGGCTACCAATGAGCACGCCAAGCTTCTCTGGCAAGATGGGCACCATCGGAAAGCTATCCAGACATTGGAAGGAGCTATTGCTACTAGTGAAACGGCCCCGTCAGCATCTAATTCGGTTGAATCGGATACTGCATCTTTTGCCTCTGGTCGCGGGAGAAAACAAAATGATGTCTCTGCCAAGGTAGGTTCCTCCTACAGTTCAAAGTTATTTACCAAACTAATGGTGCCTAGGCCCATCTCATGTTAGCAAAATGGACGGACAGAGCTGGCCAGACCCACTCACAGGCTATTGTCCAGCGATATCGAGAAGCCATCAAGCTATATCCAAGGTCAGTTGAACTCCGTTTTCCTTGCTTTATTCCCAGTTATCTAACAAGGTTTCACAGGTGGGAGAAGGCCCACTACTACTTGGGAAAGCATTACAACAAGATACTCGATTCAGAGAAGGCCAAGCCTATGGGCAAAGAGGCTCAAATTTAGTAAGCAAATCTTCTAACTTTTAGGAAGTCGCCTTCTTCGTCACTAACTAAAGATCTAGCCTGAGTGGAGAAGCTACCAAGCTAGTGATTGACAATTACCTTCGATCGCTGACGTATGGAAGCAAATATGTCTTTCAGACACTACCGAAACTTCTGACTCTATGGCTCGAGCACGCATCCATTGTTGACCAGCCTCTTGACCCCAAGAGAGGAGATAATGAGTAAATATTTTGCTATCTGTGACCTTGTCTGCACGTTCTTGGCTAACGAGTGATCCTTTAGGGAATTCCAGAGACATACCAAAGCACAGCGTCAAAAGAGTTTGGATGAAATGCACGCGCAACTCAGAAAATACATCTCGTCTCGTCTACAGCCAGCTCTAGTAAGTGAAGCTCGATAAACCGTAACTGGAATCACATCACTGATGGACTGTCTAGTTGTTCACTATACTGCCACAGGTGGTTGCCCGAATCTGCCACCCTAATACCACTGTCTATGATCTCCTTACACGTATTGTGGCCAAGGCTGTTCATCATTTCCCGCAGCAGGGCCTATGGACAGTTCTTGCGGTGGTGAAATCTTCTAACAGGGATCGGGCTTCGAAAGGCTATAACTGCCTTCAGAAAATCACGGTAAATCAAATTTTTGTTAGAACTTCAGTAGCCCCCTTCTCACATATGCTCTTTAGGATTACACCAACAAACACAAGGCAGACGCGACGGGATCTGATATTCGACGCATGATAAACCAAGGTCAAAAATTCGCCGAAGAATTGCTGTCATTGTGTCTTGCACGGGTCGAAGACCGGGTCTCTCTGATTCATCTTGCTCGACATGTTGGATTCAACCACAAGGTTGCGCCATGCCGGCTTGTGGTGCCATTCCAAGCTATGTTGATTCCAAGTCTCCCAGCAAGCCATGACATGGAGTATCTGAAAGGGTTCAGGGCCTTCCCCCGTGACCCAACTACAATTGAAGGTGTGTACACATACCTTCTCTGGCCTTTGGGCTACTTCGCTAATTAGCCTCCAGCCGTACTCGATGAGGCCCAGATTCTCAACTCCCTCCAAAAGCCCCGACGGATCAGCATTCGAGGCTCCGATGGGAAGATTTACAATGCGCTTTGTAAACCCAAGGACGATCTACGAAAAGACCAGCGTCTCATGGAATTCAACAACTTGATCAACCGATCTTTGAAGAGGGATGTTGAAGCGAGTAAACGAAGGATGTGTAAGTCCAAGGAATAGAGAGACCGGCGACCACTGCCTAATTCGAGACCAGACATCAAGACTTACGCCGTGACCCCCTTGAATGAAGAGTGCGGCCTCATTGAATGGGTCGACAACCTCCGCACTCTAAGAGAAATTGTCATCAAACTTCTCCGGGAAAGGGGCATCTCACCAAATGTAAGGCGATATCATGAGTATGTTCTGTACAAAGGACTATCTTGAACTGATGCGGTCAACAGTACACCGAAATCAAGCATTATCTGAATGAGATTTGCGGAGACCGCACGAACACTAAGCTGCATCTTTTCACAACTAAGATCCTCGCAAAGTCAGACTTTCCTCGCTTCGTGCTCTTGCTATCCACCTGCCTAACTAATAATATCCATAGGCTTCCACCGGTGTTGCATGAATGGTTTGTTGAGATGTTCCCAGAAACTGAGGCTTGGTTTACTGCAAGATTGCGATACACTCGGTCTTCGGCCGTGATGTCTATGGTTGGCTATGTTCTAGGGTGAGGATCCGTGCGATAATTGGCGTCGTTGCATTGTGCTGACTTCTTTTTCTTCACCTAGACTGGGGGATCGGCACGGTGAAAACCTATCCTTCGAGGAAGGTACCGGTGGTATTCTCCATGTCGATTTCAACTGTCTTTTTGACAAGGTTTGACCCTCTTCTGCGATCCTGCACGAGAGAAAAATGCTCATCCTCGCTTTCCAGGGACAAACTTTCGAAAAGCCTGAACTCGTGCCGTTTCGACTCACCCACAATATGATTGATGCCTTCGGCGCCTACGGTTACAATGGTAAGTTTAGCGAGGCTGCAAGGTGAAGTTTACTCCTATGGCCTAGATTCTGATGATACAAATAGGGCCCTTTCGACGGACCTGCGAGATAAGCCTGGGCCTCTTGCGACAAAACGAAGATGCGTTGATGACTGTCCTGGAAACCTTCCTCCATGACCCAACTACCGATTTCATTGGGAAACGAGTCAGTGCTACCCACCCTGAGCGCCGAGTGTTCATTAAACTAACGTCTGTTCATCTCCTAGCGGCGCAATCATACTAATGTCCCCGACACACCCGCTGGTGTCCTAGAGGACGTTCGTAATAAGCTGCGGGGGTTCATGTCCAAGCAACCCATTCCACTTTCGGTGGATGGTCAGGTCGATGAACTCATCGTGCAAGCAACCGATAAGAAGAACTTAGCAGCAATGTACATCGGATGGTGCGCCTTCTTTTAAAGGGTCCCCCCCGTTTTTCGCTTGGACAGAGCAGTCTTGGAGTTTTTGGGGCATTTTTTTGGGCTTCCTTTCGTCTCGCATATTTTCAGCACGTGCAAGGACGGAAATGTTGATTTTGTGGGTATGCGGCAATGGAAAGAACGGGAGGATTTCTCATCGAATAGTCAAGATATCTAAGCAAGATGCACTCAGGGAATTCCTCAGACATCATCCACTTCTGCGCTTGTAAAAAGCCAACACCGGAGAACGCTTTGCGAGCCAATGTAGACGAAAATTGTGCAGGTGGGGGATTAATTCCGACCTCGAGCTTTGTTTGGACTTCTGCTTCGATCGCTTCGACTACCATAACTGTCATAGCTAGGACTCCGACGGCGGCGTTGTCGCGGGCTCTCTTGGCGAGTGCTTGCCCTTCGTGGGGAGCGGGAGCGACTATAAGAACGCGAGCGTACAGTAGACCGGGACCTTGATAGCGATTGGGGACGGTACACATCATGTCGATCATGCTGTCGCGCACGGCCTTGACGTCTGGGAGGTGAATTTCCATAAGTATTCTTTCCGAACCATGGCCGGCCTCCGTTTCCTCTGTTAGATGCAGGAGGTGGTGATCGAGAGAATGTTCGTCGAGGAAGGACAATCGATACATTGAGCACGGCACCATCGAGCTGCGCTTCGTGCATATGAGAAATTGCAGCCTCTGCGTCTGCTGGATCGAAGTAGGTGATATAAGCAGTGCCTCGGTTGGTCATGACTAAAAAAAAAAAAGGAAGAAAAAGAAAGATTAGAACAATTAGATCCAGATAGGACGGGGGTTCATGGCAAGGTAACGAAGCTTACAGGATCGATTGATTGGGAGATCTAGGTATTCGATGTCCCCAAAACTGCCGAAGATTTCATGCAGGTGGCCTTCGGTCACATTTTTGGTCAACTTCTCCACCACGATCTACCGATTACTGGTCAGTAGAGCTCAGAGTTGGCATAAAGCAATAAGTGAACTTACCTTCGAGCTCCGTGGAGGGCTAGGATCTCGACTCAGCGAGCGGCTGTAGCTTCGGGAACGGTAACGACGGCTTCCTCGGGCAGGACCTCGAGAAGAAGACCGAGTGCGACTCCTTGAACGTCGCTCGCGTGCAGGAGTAGGACTGCGCGTGATGCTACGCGATCGCGAATCGGGCGATTTCAGATGCGCAGAACGTGAGCGACCTCTGTCATGATGAGAACTTGGCGAGCGCCCCCGAGAGGATCGAGGAGAACGGGGCACCATGGCTATCTTAGATAGAGAGATCTGTGTTGGGCGCTGGGAAAGGAAACCAAGGTGCGCAAGAGAAGAGGGATGGTGAACGGTGAACTGGAGCTGGACGCGGGCCATATGCCGGCTTATGTAATCGTATTTTATGCAGCCCTGCAGCTCCAGCCCAAGCTCCCAGTCTTTGGTTTTCAGCATTCCAAGAATTCTGCAAGTGCAGCCACTAGCTTCTTCTGAGCTGTTCCTTTATACGTTTCCAGGAAAGTGTTCCCTGTTTGAGGGGCGAAAAATGACTACCTCCCCACTATCCCACGGTCCGTACCTTTTGAAATAAATCCTCCGCTTTCTACACAGTGTATATTGTTGTATATTGTTGACGCGACAGATCCACCTCTCGGGCAATATTTCTTTGTACTGTACGGGTTCCCCTCGGGGTGCATTGGCCTGCATGCAGAACTGTCCATGTTGATGATCCCGAGCGAATTTAGGTTTTATGTATCAACAGTCATTTTGTAACCTTTTGAAGAGGATTTCTACCAATGTAGAAAGTTCATGAAATACGCCGTCATCCAAGTTGATTTGAACAATCAATTTAGTCCCATCTCACTCTGGCTACCGCCGTGCTACGTACTACGTACTACGTACAGTGCCTGCAGCGAATACAACCTGTTAATAGTTGCCATATATACACAGTGGCAGCCTCGGATACTTGTCGAAGATTGCTCAGCAATACGGGACCTCAGCTGCCCAGAGCAGTTCAACATGGGGGGCTGGACGGGCTGCGATGGCCTGGAGCAAGGGGATCTCCTCTGTGTTAGCGCCGGCGACCCTCCAATGCCTGCTGCCCTGCCACGGGCCACGGGTGGTCCTCAGGCTCCTGGGGCTGCCCGCCCGAGCAACTATGTGTCTCTTGTATTCATTGAACGCATGTCAAGCAGATCAGCAGATCATCGTGTTAGCAGAGTTATCAGATATCTCAAGTCTACCATAACTAGCGGGCTCTAGTGCGTTAGCAACGGAGCTTTCTCTATAGAATCAGAGACCCGTCATTCCAAAGACTGCATACCAGGCTATAGGGCTTTAGCCAGTAGGTGTACCCACTCTCAAGGTCTCACCTAATATCCTAATATCCTCTCCTCGACTATCCAGCTGGTGGCAACCCTCCAGCTCAGCACACTGACGTCGAGCCCGAGTACTACATCTCTATCTATATTGTCCCACCCCCGAAGAATAGCCACATGCACGTAGAAGCCGGGAACCACCAGTGAATCCTGGTCAAGACTCGGACCTATTAAGCTGATATTTTTTGTTTCTATTATATCAAGGAGTTGGATCGGTCTCGCTGTCTCTCTCTCATTGGAAATAACATTGATAGCGGGGTTCCTACTTCTGGGCGTCGCGCCATTCTGCATATTCTTGAATGACAGCATCGGTGATCTGCCGTCGAACCTGGCCCAATGCATATTCGAAATGCCTCAAACATACTTCTTGCTCCTGCTGGGTCTCTTCCTCCTCGTCTAACGCAGCATCTCCCGCGGTTTCGCATATGCTAACCATTTCGGCTCCCGAGTAGCCCTCTGTCCGAGCCGCAAGTACCTCCAGGTCCACTTCCTTGTGAAGGACGGATTTACTTGCCCAGATCCGTAATATTTCCTTTCGCGCTTCGAAGTCTGGGGGTCCAATGTAGAGAATATTGTCAAGGCGACCAGGACGCATTAGAGCAGGATCGAGAACATCCGGCTTATTGGTAGCGGCAATCACTAAGACGTTCCGCAACTCCTCAATTCCATCCATTTCGTTGAGTAGAGTCGTGAGTACATTGACCCCCCCCTGAGAATTGTTACTTCGGCGACCCGCAATCGCATCAATCTCGTCGAAGAAGATGATACTGGGTCGAGCAGCTCGAGCTTTCCGGAAGATCTCTCGCAACGACCGCTCGGATTCGCCAACGTACATACTCAGGATTTCTGCACCCTTCACGGCCAGAAAATTGAGACCAGCCTCCGTTGCCAAAGCCTTCACAGTCAGTGTCTTCGAACATCCCGGGGGTCCATACAGCAAAACACCCTTTTTACTCTTCACGTTCAGACGATGCATGCGCTGAGGATGCTATGATGAACTCTTAGCCACATGAATTGGGGATTTAGAACATATTGACCCACCTTAAGAGGCCTCTCAACGGCTTGTTGAAGCCGTTTTTTGATATCGTGCTGGCCGCCAATGTCAGACCACCTCACCTTAGGGGTTTCCAAGAACACCTCTCGCATGGCCGTTGGGCGAACTTCCTGCAAGGAAGAATATATATCACTGTCCCGGATGACCAGATCAACCTGCATAGGAGTCGGCTGGTCATTTACCTCCGAGCAAGGTTTTGCCTGCACTTCAGAGTGGTTCGCCGAACTTCGTTCAAGTAACTGCCGCTGGCGTGCCTTCCTGCAGACCAGTTGCAGCAAGGCAAATAGGTCGGCTCCCACATACCCGTGCGTCTTTTCAGCAATATGGTCAATCAACTCGTCGGTTAAGCCGGCAGTGAGAGGGCCACAGATAGCGCGCAGGATCTCCGCCCGATCTTGAGCTGTCGGGACCTGTATCTCAATTTCCGTTCCAAGGCGATGGGGGGTCCTAAGTGCATCATCAACATTATTGGGATGCCGTGTCGCACCAACGACCAAGATAGAGGCACTCCGGATTGCGTCTAGGTTCTCACACAAAACAGTCGCCAGTGATGGGGTCTCGAAGGAAGTCCGCCTAGGTGCGATAAAGTCCAACTGGTCGAGTATGATTACACTTGGTTTAGATCGAGCTGCTTCTTGGAAGATGTTCCGTAATTTTGCCTCGCTTTCACCCACGCTTCGTCCTAGAGAGGCTGTGCCAATTTTGAAGACCTGTCGCCAACCTGCCTTTCCTATTTGCTCTAGGAGCGCTGTCTTTCCTGTTCCCTTTGGACCATAAAGGAGAATTCCACGCCCGTGCTCATAAAAGGAAGGCATAATGAGGCTTTGCGAATCGATATTCAGATCCGAGAGGCATTCATTAATTTCCGCAATTTGGCGGGAAAGCCCGCCAAGTCCGTAAGACTGAACGGTAATATCAGCCGGAGCTTCGCGTACTTCCTCGTTTTCGAGCCCAATGGAGACCTTTGTGGCGCTTGTAAACCGAGCAATGGTTCGACCGGAGCCAGGGCTCACAGTACGGATTGCAACGATTTGGAATGACCGATGTTGACCTTTGAGATCTAGATCAAAAATCAAGCCTTCAGCGAGGACCTCGCTCCTTAAAAGTTGAAACTCGAGCGCCCATTCCCAGTGGCACCGATCTGCAGCAGCTATGGGCCCGTACCTGGCGATCTTTTCAGAATCCGAGGAGTCGACGAGCGTGATCGAGTCGATGTCTTCCAGGCCACCGGCGATCTTGGTAATACCCACCTTCTCTCCAATTTTGATTCCATAGCAATCCTGCAAAGCCCTAGAGGTTTGTACGACTGTGCTCTGTATGTTTTCCACTGCCGTCCATGCAATTGCAGTCTTTGGTGATCCTTCGGCAGCTGTCAAAGTACAGAGATCGTCTGCTCTCAGTCGCAAAGCTGCCAAAGAGGAAGAAGAAAGATACACCCGGAAGGCATCTTTCAGGTCGGTCCGCGATTGTTTGGATAGAGGTCTGACCGTAAAGCTGCGAACGTCTGCCATTTTTCTTTTCTTTCCTTTCCTTTCCCTTTTCAGAAGGCGGGGAAGATTTATGAAGAAGCTAGCGCGAAGGCGAAACCGAACGACTGGTGTTCGACGTACGTAGCCGGACCTAGGTACTTCAACGATATATTGTAGAGAATTCGAGATTCGTGGCTGGGCAGCAGCGATTGGAAAATCATTCGTAGACAGCCAGGGTAGGGCACCACTCAATTGTGAAATGACAAGGTCTGAGAAATCCGAAAGAGCCACCAAGCCGACCCCATCTAGATCCCGAGTTGAAAAAGTTAGAGATTAGAAAATGTGGTATTAGTGGGGGGGATCTTATCGGTGGATTGATACGCGGAGCAGGACAGATTGGGAAAGTAAAAGTGGGGCACCGATGCACGGCCTTTAGGGGCACATGTATACAACTAACGGAATGGACTGGGATATTCGATTTCACTTATATATAGAGCGAAACAAGAGAGGCAGGGAAGTTCGACAAAATATAGACATCTGCATCGGTAGAGACAAAGCAATCCACTACACGGCACAAAACACAGATATGTGGCCTATTGACAGAAGCACGTAGCCCTCGAGCGTCAAAACAAGGATAGGGAAAAAGAAAAGAAAAGAAAAGAATAAAAACAGCAGGCGCCAACTCTCCATAGAAACTGGGCATTCAGATCTTAGCACATGAAATCGCACGCCAATAAAAAGGATATGTGGCAGGTTGCGTGTGGGAGGGAATCCATTGGGGTCAATAAAGAAGACGAGGAAATCGACAGATGACTAAACAAGGGACGGAATACGCAGGGAGCAGCCAACAAAGAACTTTAGTAAAAGAACAAAAGGGGGAGGGGGAGAAATGGTGATACACCTGGATTAACAACACTTTCCACCCGAGTTGCCGTTCAATCCCGAACCGTTATCTATAGCGAGCCCTGGACTTGGCTCGGTCTTTGAGGTGTCCATGCCCTTCTTGATGTCCGATGCAAGGTTATAGAACGCCTTCTCGATGTTGATGTTGTTCTTGGCAGACACCTCAAGGAATGGAATGCCAAGTTCATCGGCAAGTTCCTGACCTTGCTCGGTGGAGACGGCCCGCTTCTCCTCCCAGTCGCATTTGTTTCCGATGAGGATCTTGTGTACTCCCTCGCTGGCGTGTTGCTCGACGTTGGAAAACCAGGTGCGTATGTCTGTTTTTATTCGGGCGCCCTTGTTAGCTCAATCTTTACCAGTCATGGAAACGAAACAAACCAAGGGGTGCTTACTCTGAAACGATCGCTCATCGGTGACATCGTAAACCAGGAGGATCCCCATCGCACCACGATAGTACGCGGTGGTGATGGTCCGAAAGCGTTCTTGGCCGGCGGTGTCCCAAATCTGCAGCTTCACACGCTTGCCATCAAGTTCGATCGTACGGATCTTGAAATCGATGCCGATGGTCGTGATGAAGGACGGGGTGAATGAATCTTCACTGAAACGTAACAGACAGCACGATTTGCCCACGCCCGAGTCGCCAATCAGCAATAATTTGATCTGATGTAAATAGTTAAGTCTCACAATTATTTATGATAGGGCTCGCCCAATGGACTTACCAGGAAGTCATAGTTCCTTGTGCCAGCCATGATGGAATGACGATAGCCCCTAGAGGGTTCTGTGTTTCGGAGATAGGAATGGCCGGAGACAAGATAGGTCTCACTGGTATCCGAAGTTCAGTTGTAGTCGAGTAAGTGGAGAGCTGGAAGTCGAGAGATTCGTGCGAGGAAGGAGAGGGGGAGCGGGAGCGGGAGAGACTTAGGGAGCAGAAGGTAGGATTCCGTGTTTCTAGGGACGGTATCAGGAGTGTCGGAGAGGAGGGGGCGACCTGTCCAAGCTTCGCCCACCTGCGCACCAATATAGCAAGGGAACAGAATTGAATATTTCTGATTCAATCTCACAGGATCCGAGACCACATGTAAATCTCAAGAATTGTCAGGAAGACAAGCAAAGCAGAACGTGGTTCAGAACTAGAGTGCATTAACGTGGAGTGATGATGGTCCACCCGTGGGTGCTTGGGTGAGGTTACATAAGCCATCTGTTGTTGGCCCCGGGGGTAGGCCGTCTTCAGGCTCCAGTCAACGCTTTTCACTTTCTCAACTTCTCAATATTTCCAGTTCAAATTTCTAATGCTTTACGGATGGGATACAAGGGGACAACAGTATTAGAGCCAGTTATTTTTTTTTTTTAAAAAAAATCTGAAATAGACGGGGAGTTGCTGGTTGGATGAGAGCATATATTGCCTGTTTCCCGTTGCATATTGCTGAACAAGTTAGACCTCGGCCACTCTTCCAATAGTAAGGTCACATTTTCATCCACACTGGTATCGAACGGTAGCATCAAGGGAAGTACGTCCATTGGATCCGCTCCAAAACTCGAAGTTGCTTCTTCACACCTCCTTGGATATCCAAGAGGTCCTGAATATCTTCGCTAAATTCGCGATATTGCCTCCCTCCGATCGCCTTGAAGACCTGGCGAAGTAAGACCTCAGATTCACAAAGCAGGCGCCCGGAGTCTTTGTAAGATATGACTCCATTAGTGACAGAGGCAGATGTAAGTATTCGGTTGATGTTTCTGCGTCGGTCAGCAGACTGGCAATTTGCATTGGTTCAGAAAGGGAGTCTTACCGCAACCCACGTCTCAGTTCATGTCGTTGTTTGCCCCTTCGTAGACCCTGCCGGTTATTGAAAAGCCCACCGAGCCATTGCAGTGTAGTATACGAGACTAGGATCCCAGGTGTCAACCCAATGAAGCTAGATCAGGGTCAAACATGGTTAATTAAATATGTCAAAGATGAGTGTGTAGAAGGGAACTCACCCGAATACAAGTTCCTGGCTCTTGAGTAGAGAATTGATTCCACTTATGGCAATTTCTACATCGACTTTAGTCTTCTGAATTTGAATCAAAAGGGCTCGAACAAGGTCTCCACGAATTGTCCCAGTAAGTGGCGAACGAAGGTCCCGTTCGTAAGCTTTCAATACAGGAGTCAGATCTCCCTCTTTGACGGCATTTGCAATTGCAGAGGTATCCTCTGGGGTTGTGCTGAGGTTTGCGGAATCGGGTCGGTCATGAACAAAATCGATGACCATCCGCTCCAGGCTAGCACGGTCTGCAACTAGGCTATTCTTGCTCATTATGGCAATCTCGCTCTTCTCGTCGTGGCGTATAGTCCCGATAAGTTTTCTGACCGGTTCAACCACCCAATTGACGCCGAAATCAATGATAGTAGACCCCAAGCCGAGGATCCACTGCATGATTTCGTCCTGGTAGTGGATCAAAATCCTCAACGAGACGCTAGCCGACAGCAATGCAGCCGATGCTGGAAGCCAGAATCGCATGAGCCTCGATGGGCGTCCATCCCGGATAACGAGATTTGACATTGAGGATCTATGGTTCGGAAGATGATCCTGTACCAGACGCTGGAGGCGTTTGATCAAAACTCGCGGCTTTTCAGCGTCAGGCGATTTTGACGACTGCACCTGTACAGATGTCATGTCGGTCGTGACTGTTTTCTCCACAGATTTTTCAAATTGAGATGAAGTCGATTGCAGAGGCGCCTGCTTAAGGATCGCTTCGGTCATGAACACGGTTTCTGAAATCAAATCTTGCCATTGGGCCTCTGAGTTGTGTCCGTCTCCTTGAGTCCCAATAAAATTTTTCGCTTGGAAAGACAGCCACCTTTCCATGAGCAACCCGAGACTAGTGGTATGAATGTCTTTAGCCACTAGTAGAGAATGCTTCTTCTGTCGAATTTCAGCTCGGCACAATCGAACAGGCGAGGAGAGTTTCAATTGCAACGACGAGTCAGCCATCTCTCGTATGTTTTGTAAAGCAATCTGGTAGAAATGGTCCCATCTGGCACCTAGTGAGGCGGATAAAGATGCAGAGTCTTGTCCTTGGACAGCGGGGCCCCGGAAGACTTGCTTGGACCAGTTCCATAGCCGTTTGGGGGATGTCTGCGCCGCGTACAGGCCACTATACCAAGGAGACCCTAGAACCTTGGTCCAATATTCTGATTCCTCGTGAAGCTCTAGGGTGCGATCTAGAAGAGTATGCATGGCCAACCCGGATGCTTGGACGGCCGCTTTAGCGGCAATGAGCCACAGGTATTCTATTTCATGATTTCGACGTGTCGTCTCCGCGGATACGAAGTTGTCATAAGATATGGCAGGATCGGACAACAGCTCCGCTAGCCGAGGAGCAGAGAGGAGCGGTTGGGTTTTCGAAGTAATAGAGAAAGAATCGATTATGTTCTGTAGCCGACGGGCTTGGTAAGACGTGGTAGTGGTAGTGGTGGAAGCGGACACCTGCTCAGAGCGGATGATCTGGTGTTGGAGACGGTCCAACTGGACATTTACGCCACAGGCATTTCTGTCACAGGCATGAAATGATCAGGAAGAGGCTCTTATATGGACGATCTGGAAATTAAGCCTCAATAAAAGGAAACCACTTACTCTTGCACAATCGACATAGCTCAATCATCAAGACGTGTCGGAACGTGGAGCTCCAAAGCTGATGTCATGGGCATGCAAGGCGTGCAAACATAAGAAACAGAGCAAACACAGAAGGCGGTCTTGGAACTACAGCGTAGACTTCTTCAAGGGCAGAATGCAGAACGTGCACCGCCCAAGATGGTGTGAGGAATTCCGGTTCTGCAGCCAATCATATGGTGGCAGATCCGCATTATACCTGCAGTGGAGCTCGGATGGTGATCGGCTCGCCAGTGGCCTTATCTTCCCAGGCCCCCTTTCCCGGGTTGAGTGGTTCGATCAGGGGGAAGGAGGGGGTCTCGCCACGCCGGGAAAGGCTTGTCCCTGCCGCCGGGGCAAAATATTCTTCTTTTTTTTAAACCTTCTGGATCCCCGGCCTTTCCCTCCTTCTTCATTAAGTACTTCTTCACCTTCCGTGTGGTATCTCTGGCGCTCAAGAGTCCCCTTTTTTTACCTTGTTCTTACCTCGCACTGGAAAAACTGCCATGTTCGTCGGACCCTGCACTAATGACTTCGAAAACCCTCCTTGCTGTGGTCGGTTACTGACTGCGACTTCAGGAATTCCACCGTGGCGCCTGCCCTCACCTACTGGGGCCAATTTCAGGAAATTTCCCAGCACAATGCCGACCTCAATGTGGCTGAAAAGCTTTGGGCCGCTTGGTATGCCTGGATGCAGAACGATGTCCTGGCAACAGGCATCATGTCGTTCATGATGCATGAGCTCGTATATTTCGGTCGCTCTTTGCCCTGGATTTTCATCGACAGCTTTGGTCTTTTCAAGGGTTACAAAATTCAGAGTGTAAGTGGAAGCAATTGATTTGCAATTGGTTGCTCAAGCTGACATTTATGCAGGGCAAAGTTCCATCGCTGCGAGAGCAGTGGGATTGCGCCAAGTTTGTCCTTCTCAGTCATTTTACCGTGGAACTTCCCCAGATCTGGTATGTTTTCAACTTTTCGAGGCGTGTTCACCATTGGACCCCGCTAATAAGAATGCTTCTCCTTTCAGGTTGTTCCATCCTATGGCCCAATTTTTCGGACTTTCCACTTCAATTCCATTCCCGACCTTCTTGACTATGGCTTACCAGATCGCCATTTTCTTTGTGATGGAAGATGCCTGGCATTACTTTTCCCACCGTGCCCTTCACTGGGGCCCCCTTTACAAGGCCATCCATAAAATTCACCATCAATATTCCGCACCTTTTGGGTTGGCCGCCGAGTATGCTTCGCCAATTGAAGTCATGATTCTTGGTTTCGGCACTGTGGGCTGTCCAATCGTGTGGTGCGCGTTCACCGGTGATTTGCATATTCTTACGATGTACGTCTGGATCGTGCTTCGCCTCTTCCAGGCAATTGATGCCCACAGTGGCTACGAATTTCCATGGAGTCTTCACCATTTCCTCCCGTTCTGGGCTGGTGCCGATCACCATGATTTGCATCACGAGAAATTCATCGGCAACTATGCTAGCAGCTTCCGCTGGTGGGACTATTTGCTTGACACTGAATACACTCCCGATGCCTTGAAGCGGCGCCGACAGAACAAAGGCGTTTCTGATAAGAAGGCTCAGTAGATCAAAATGGATCAGATGAAACTCCGTTGGCCTTTTTATTCCTTATTCTCCCCCCCCCAGCGCTCTGGCTGGCCATAAGAGATGCGTCATGTTCATAATCATCGGACTCCTCGTCGATTTGTTGGGTATCATATAAACCCTGCCTCGTCGACAATATGTGATGCGAAATTAATATCAAGATTTTTTAATGTATCTACTCCTAATCTATCCTGGTGAAATATTCCGGTTGTATAAATGCTCGAGGATCCTGTTGAGGCCACTGGAAGAAGAACCTATGGTCCCTTACTCTATGTGACTCTACTGTACAATGTAGATGTATTCATGCATGTTGGGCTTAGGCCATAGTTCCTGAGTTCATCGGCTTGTGTGTTCTGGATGGCGTTTCAGTGCTCTCCCCTATACATGCAGGCAGCCCTGATGATACAACGGGCAAAGCAACTCATATATATACTATAGATATAGAAATAGAAATAGATAAATAGCGTTACTGATCGTTGCAACTGATGGAACTCAGTTGGCGAGCGCGAGTTGTCTTCCGGTCTCAATGTCGCCGCGGGGTTGGTTTACACAGGTGGGATATAGGGTAAAGGGCTTGCAAGGTAGAAGGTATGGAAGTGAACGAACTTTGAGTGAGCGACTTTGAAAGCAAGGAACCCATACAGGATGAGCGGGATGAGCGGGATAAGCTGGGGAGCGGAAGAAAAAAAAGTACTCTCATTTTCATGAGAAATGGTTATGCAAGGGACGAGATTCGAACTCGCGCCTCGAAAGACTGCGGGAAGTCAAATGACCTAAACACAGCGCCTTAACCACTCGGCCACCCTTGCAAGATTAACATAAATTTCGCGGTTCAAGAAATATCAACTTACCCTTCCTTTAAGGCCTTTTTCACAGAATACGTACTAGCAGTTCAGCAACCTATATACACAGTGTGTACAACGAATGTCGATAGGAGCCTATCGAGCCTCCATCTCAAGTTTGCACTTCCCATAGATCGGACGACATCTTATGACGCCAGGAAGGTGACAGGCGGCAAGATCGAGTAACGGTGATACCCAGGTGCTAGATATTCTAATCGTTACATGGTTCGAACAGTCGTCACACTACTTGATATACAGATGCCAAAATCAACCCTACATTATTAACTCGCCGAACATTTACACAGTAAATGACAATCGCGATGAGGGCCTAGTCGCTCTCTGGCGATTAATTTAGTTGCACTGCTACCATCAAGTTATATTGCAACTCATAGCAGTATCTCCTTCGGTCGTATCGTATCCGATATTCGGGGCTATAGTGATACAGGCTACATAATCTCAATTCCTCGTAGTTCAGAGAATACGCATTCATAATGCTAAAGCAGTGGCAGCGTTATGATCTAGATGTGAGGCTTGACGGATGAGCAGAAAGCCCTGCACTACTTGAACTCCTTTGGTAGCGAAGAAAGTACTTCTTGATGAGCGATTTATTTACATGACGGATATACCTGCATGACCATACCCAGGAGTATCAAGGCTTTTGCACTTGTGTGCTAAATAGAACTCCGCAATCATTGACTTTCCAGCCGTCTCCCCATCCAATTGCTTAGACCCAGATTTCAGACGTCCTTGTGGATTGTTGGGCTCTGTAGTTGTTTTTCTTTTATCCAGTCCCATTTTTCTTTCCTTCCTTTACGAAGGAACCAATACCGGTCTCCCCTTTTCCGTTCTTAGTTTTGCCTCCCGCTCCACCAAGTCAATAAAATATCTTGACAAAATACACCTTCTGTCAACTGGCTCGTTCCCGTAAGATTCGCTGATCTGGAGATAGCGGTCTCGAAACGCTTTCCAAAGCTCAGAGTCTTTGCCAGGCCGGGGGTAGTAGGGATCATTGCGCCAAAATGCCCTTGCAGCTTGCTCCATTCCTTCTGAGTCCATTGTCATACTCCTGCATAAATCGAAATCTAGCACCCACATTGAATGTTTTCCAAGAACCAAGGAGTCTATTTTGAAGCTATTATCCCTTGGTGGCGCAAGAACAAACTCGATATCGTTGCCATCGAGTTCACCGACCCAATGCATAATTGCGAGAGTTTCAGCCATGATCGTTGCATACTGTTTTATCTCGTCGATGGGGATTTTGAGCGACTCCATTTGATCTAGATGGAGTGGAAAATTTCGTAGAGAAAATGGCTTGAACCTCGAGGTTGTGTGAGGTCGGTATATTCGTCGTCGGCCCAGATATGGTCTGATCAAGCAGTCTTTGTCAGGCTCACTGCTGAGTATTTGCGGTATAATCTCCACTGGGCAATATTCATTAATGAGCAGCTGCCTTGTATCTTCGAGAAAGGGCTGAATGCGCTCAGAGATAATGATATTGCATGGCGTGTGCCCTGGTGGGAATTTGTGCTGGTTCGTTGACCACCATATGTCATCAGTTGAGTTGATAAACTCATAACAGGCCGGTATCTGGATATTCGCGTGGAAGCTGATTGATTCTTGAAAGCTTTGAAGCACTCGTTGGTGCATCTTGAATTCATTTTCCAAAGATCGGGCAGGCCCACCGTCTTCCCTTTTGAATGCAGGCCCTGTCGTTGCAGCCCAAACTGTACCGCAAGACCCTTGCCCGATCCTGTGTAGCACGGGGGCTTCCGTTTCTTTCATATGTTTCATGATGATGATATGCATAATTTCTGTGTGATATGTGATTCAAAGGAAGGGAGAGTGTGACGGATATCCATTAAGCCAATGTAATTATGACACAGACAACCGAGAATTCAGCTATGCCGCCGCCTAAAGTAGACTAGTAGACTAACCAGTGAACCAGTGATCTGTCTGGCCCGGACTAAGATCGGCGTTTTTGCTTATTTGTGACACCATATGTCTCTTTGGCCAAATTGGATGATGTTGTTATCCGTGTAATATAGTAGGCGCATGATTCTTCCGAGAAGGTCTGTGCTATACTCTATCTGCCCATTACAGCGACACCCAACATTACCCTCTCTTATGAGTCACCCCTCCACTAACCGTCACTTCGTATAGTGCGGTATTCTTTATGCTGGTTGGCCGACAGCTGTATCTAGCCTCTGTGCCATGTGTGTTGACATATCAGTTGGTCGTAGTTGACTTATTTCCCTCAACTGAAGTGGGTCTGCAACATTATTTTAATATAAATATATATAGAACTCTACTTTATTAACTTTAGAGTAGAAATAGATGGAGTTTCTTATAAATTTATATATTTTTGAAAAATAAATCTTTAATTGATATTATATTTTATTTAGGTTAAGATATATTATATATATATCTATTTATAAAAGTAACTTTAAATAAGATATTCGTAAAATTATACAAATCGATAGATCTAAATATATTTATCAGAATCTTTAGTTTAATTCTAATAACTAATTTTAAAAATAATTATTTTAGTAATATAAAATTCAATAACGATAAAAATATATATAGTACTAAAATATAAAATTCTAATAATAAGATAATTAGAAAAAGTAACAAAGGATTTAATATAATAATCTATATAGATTATAATTTATAAATTTATATATGATAAAAATTTTATATAAGAATACTATCGATAAATAAGAAAAAAATATTTTATAAAAAGATATCTAATATTATAGTAATAATAACAATTATAATATATTGAAATTGTATATAGGATTTTAAAATAGATATAATAATGAAATATTATAATTTTATAATATATAAGCTATAAAAAACTAATGTAATTTACTACTACCGAGAGGCCACCCTATCAAAAAATGTGTTGTTTAATCATACCTTCCTTCACCAACTATCTATTATACCACTAATTCGTACTGAATCCTTTCAATAATATATAAAGTAGGAGGGTAGGATTTTATTAGCTATCTAAGCTATTAAAAAACAAGAAATTCGATTAATTTTCGGGGTTATAGTCTAATTTAATATATCTTATATAATACTCTATCGCTGTCTTGCTAATTAGATATATTGTGTTGAGATATGTGCTAATTGTTATAAATTGACTTAAATTATAGAGGAAACTTTTGAGAAATAGATTTTTTGTATAGATATTATAGAGTAACCTTCTAGTTTTTTATTATTTAAGAAATAGCTAATTTATTATTTGTTATATATAGATCTATATCTTCTATTTTAATTAGAATAATATTATTAATATTAAGAATCTAGAAACTTTCGAGAATCTCTTTAAGAAAAGATTATAGAAGTTATAAATAATTATTGTTATTATCCTCTACTTATTAAATAGCTATCGATCTATCTACTAGAGCTAAATCTATAAAATCTAAGAATAATATCAAGAAATAATAGATTAAGTCTTATATATAAAAAAATAGCTTAAGAAGATAATCTAGAGATAGAAGAGATCTAAAAATAAATACTAGATAATAGTAGAATCTCTTTATCAATCTCTAGTCTAAAATAGAAGAGAAATAAATATTATATCCTTAATAGATTAATATATTAAGTCTTTTAAAATACTAGATATATCTATATTTTCTAAAACAGATATTTTAAAGTTTAAATAATAATATATAATAATAAAATAGAAGTTATAACTAAATATAGATTATTATCTAATAGTTATTTATTATATAATATATATTACTAGTTATTATAATAGTAATATACTTTTCTAGATTAGATCTTAAATAATACTAGAAATATCTAATAAATATACTAACTTTAGTAATATATTTAATTATCTATAATTAATCTATTATAATCTCTATAAATAAAAGATAATTTAGACTATTTTTAAAAAGCTAAAGATAAAGCTAAAAGATAATTTTAAAGATTTTATTAAAGAATTTACTAGATTTGTCTTATAAGATAAAATATTTAAGGATAATAACAATATAAAAAAAGAAATTTTATAATTATCTTCTAATCTTAATATAGAATTATCTTTTTTTAGACTATAATAACCTCTTAATCTTATATAAAATATTTTTAAAAGAATATTATATATCTAATTAAATTATTTACTAGTAATTAAAT